TGCCAATCTAGACTGTAAGGTCTACCCCCTCAATCCCACCGAGCAAGAGGAGTTAGACAAGTTTATAGACGAGAATCTATCTACGGGGCGCATTCAGGCCTCTAAATCTCCAATGGCTTCTCCATTCTTCTTCGTCAAAAAGAAGGATGGTAAGCTTTGCCCAGTCCAGGACTACCAAAAGCTCAACGAGATGACCATTAAAAACCGGTACCCGCTGCCACTCATTGGAGAATTGATGGACCGGCTGAAGAGAGCCAAGTACTTCACCAAGTTGGACGTGAGGTGGGGGTACAACAACATTAGGATAAAGCAAGGGGACGAATGGAAAGCCGCGTTTCGAACTAACCACGGCCTCTATGAACCGCTCGTAATGTTCTTCGGACTTACCAACTTGCCGGCCACCTTTCAGTGGATGATGAATGACATTTTCAAGGATCTGATCACCGCTGGAGAAGTGTCCGTCTACCTCGACGACATCCTTATTGCGTCACAGAGCAAGAAGGATCACAGGCGTATCGTACGTGAAGTTCTCCGGATTCTCCGCAAAAACAAGCTATTTCTCAAAGCCGAAAAGTGCGAGTTTGAAGTAGAGGAAACCAAGTACTTGGGCATGCTCATTAGTGAAGGAAAAATTCGCATGGACCCCGTCAAGATTGCCGGCCTACTGGACTGGCCAGTCCCCTCAAAGAAACAGGAGCTTCAGTCGTTCCTCGGTTTTTGTAATTTCTACCGACGGTTCATTCGGGACTACAGTAAGCACGTTAAGCCCCTTACTGCCCTTACGGGAAAAGTGGAGTGGAGATGGGGAGAGGCCCAGCAATTGGCGTTTGCCAAGCTCAAGGACCTGTTCCGCGAAGACGTGGTATTGACCATTCCCCAGGATGAGGGGAAATTCAGGGTGGAAGCGGATTCCAGCGAAGGGGCAATAGGAGCAGTACTATCCCAGTGGCGGGAAGAGAAGTGGTGACCAGTAGCCTTTCTCTCCAAGGCATTATCCGTCACCGAACGCAACTACGAGATCTACGACAAAGAGCTTCTCGCCATTATGATTGCGTTGGAGGAGTGGCGACAATACCTTATGGGCGCCCGAGAAGACTTTGAAATCTGGACAGATCATTCGAATCTTCAGTATTTCCGAAAGCCTCAAAAGCTTAATTGACGACAGGCTCGGTGGGTGACCGAACTCGCCGAGTATCAGTTCACGCTGCATCATAAGCCGGGGGCCCAGAATCGTAAGGCCGATCTGTTATCCAGGCGGGCAGATCATGACCAAGGAAAGGGCGACAATCGAGATGTAACGATTCTCAAACCGGCTCATTTCCGTTCCCTCGTTATGCCCACGATGGAGGAGCTGCACGAGAAGATTAAACTGGCCACCTATGACCCCCGAAGATGGGACCGGGGCATCTCCGACTCTCTCAATCATGAAAAGGGGGTCTCACGGGATCAAGACCTGTTATGGTATGATGGACGGATTTACGTCCCCAGGGATAGGCAATTACGAGGCGAGGTCATAGCCCTCCGGCATGACCATATAACGGCGGGTCACCCAGGCATAGAAAAGACAAAGGAGCTCATATTGCAGGACTATTGGTGGCCCCGGATGCGCGCAGAGGTGGAAGCCTACGTCAAAGGGTGCGAAGTCTGCCAAAGAACCAAGGCAGATCATCGCCCCAAGAAAGCACCCCTCCATCCGAATGAAATCCCGACTCGACCCTGGACGCATATTTCGGTCGATATGATTACCAAACTCCCAGATTCCAGAGGAAACAACTCTATCCTCGTCATCGTCGACAGATTCTCCAAGACCATTATACCCATCGCATGTACCGAAGAATTGTCGTCCCTGGGATTCGCTAAAATCCTGCAGGACTACGTTTATGTACCCTATGGCGTTATGCCCGAAAAGGTCATTTCAGACAGGGGAGCTGTCTTTGTGTCGAAGTTTATGAAAGAATTCTACGCCCTTCTCCAAGTGACTGGAAATCCTTCGACTGCTTATCACCCTCAAACAGACGGACAGACGGAGAGGGTTAATCAAGAAATCGAGAAATATCTTAAGATGTTCATCAGCTATCGGCAGGACGACTGGAGCGAGTGGTTACCGCTCGCCGCATTCACCCACAACAATCGAAAACATTCCGCTACGGGTTTCTCCCCATACAAGGTAGTCTTTGGATGTGACAGGCAGGTTATCAAGACTACCCAGCACCCAGATGCTGTACCAGCCGCGTCAAAACTGGTTCAGGGGATTCAAGAGGTACAAGAGAAGGCAAGGGAGTCACTCGAACGGGCCGCCAACTCCATGAAAACGTCCTATGACAGACACAAAGGGAAGGCAGTGGAATATCAGGTCGGCGATAAGGTTTGGTTAGATTCCACCAACCTAAACCTTCCGCGCCCAACCAAAAAGCTAGGAGACAGGCGAGTAGGACCATTCGCCATCGTGGCCAAGAAGGGAGCCTTGGCCTATGAGTTGAAACTCCCCACAAAGTGGCGAATTCACAATCGATTTAACGAGTCCCTGCTCACTCCATACCATGCACCTGAGTTCCCAGACCAGCCACGTCCCGAACGACCGCCCCCGGAACTCATTGACAATGAGGAAGAATACGAGATCGAGGAAATTGTAGGAGAGAGAGACCGAATCATTGGTCGAGGACGAACTCGTCGCACCATCACCGAATACTTGGTAAAATGGAAGGGTTACCCCATAGAGGAAAACTCATGGGTCAAACGTTCGGACATGGCCAACGCCGAAGAACTCGTCAACGACTACAAAACCCGAATCCAGAAGGTATGGTGGTCGGTTAATGACAAAGGAAAAACGATCGGGCGGGACGACAAAATACCCGTGAACTTACCGATCCAATATCATGAACCAGATACCCCGTGCGTCACCGATGTCATCACCGTCCCTTCTTCAGAATGCACCACGCCTGCACACTCCGAGGAGCTTAACGCCCTGGACGATAGCTCCTCATCCGACGACGACGCCCCAAACTATCCTAATTCCGACGACTCTGATGTAAATCATCTACAACGAGTCACGGAGGATTGGGATAAGGACGAAGATGATGACAACGATGATGAAAGCGATGAGCCATCGTTCTACTCGGAATCAAGACATTCCTCATCAGACGATGAAGCAGACGAGTCCGAGGACTCATTCGGGACGAATGAGTCTTAAGGAGGGGGTAATGTTACGGTTTATTCATTTCTTTTCTTTTTCTTCATATTACTCAGCCTGATTATGCGTATGCGATCATGATGGACGCATTCTCACAGTACTATTTTTAGTTTACCAACGTGTATTTAAGTAGAGCCTCCGCTGGCCTAAACCCCAGCTTCGGCTAAGGTTTAATCTACCTAACATCGAACTCCGTTCTTCGTGACTATCTGTCCCATCGACTTTCGTCACCTTTGACTTGTTAGAGTATCTCCTACCGAAGTGCGAGTAGGGATCCTAGCACGATCTAAGTCGATTAGAGTTAGTGGCTAACAAAAATCCCCTTCCCCATCAGGAAGCCAGCGACACCGATGATCAGTGGATCCGCCATATTGATCAGATCGCAAAGGCATCCCTCTTTCTCATATCCGTGCTGATGACAGCCAAGAGGGGCTCTTTGCCATCGATCTCGTTGGATATCGACGTGGATCAACTCTCTCAGCAGCTCTTTGAGATGTCCGAGAGCATCAGCTTCATGGAGGAAAACGTTGCGGAGCCACTTCAAGGGTATAGAGCAGATGATTGGGATTCACCAAGCTGGCGCCGCTCAAGCAGCATGCTCACAGTGGAGTCGGCATAGCAATGTTGGTGCATTTATGAGGCTGGTGAATGTTCGACAGCGCGGAGATGAAGTTACTGCAGGACATGTGCATATCTACCACTATCACACCACTCGCATCATTATTTTTCTTCGATGGCAATGTTATTCTTTTCTTGATCTTGTTTGTGACTACTTCTAAGCCAGGCCGTGCAGTGTTGCAGTAACAAGTATGGTGATATGGTGAAAGCAAGGTCTTTATAATGGCTATGGCACGTCAATGCTCATATGTGCCATACCATTCAGACACAACCCATACTCTCCATACGTCACCAGAAATATTGCAGATTGCTGATGCACGTCATGCAAAGCATATGGGATATCTGGCAGTAGAGGAGACAGACCAACCTGATGATGATGATCTGACAGAGAACCCATTGAGGGCTAGCTATCAGTGGAGAGGAAAGGAGCTTGGATTTTGATTATAGTGATCTGCTTGTAAGTATCACAGAACAAGAGCGGACTTGGAACTCATCAATAACATATTTAACTGCACTACATTTTGGCATAAATATTGTATGCTGCTTGGGTTCATGTCAGTTTGAGACTGTGCACTCTAGGCCACAAACTTGAAGCTCAAACAAAGGATTCAACATTCACCACGTCCTCTGCACTTGGAATTCCTGATTGAATAAGCCTCACTTCTCACCTGTCCAAACCATACAGGCTTGATGTTTGCCCCTTACAATGTATGCTGCTGACCTTTTCATATGTCTGGTTCCAAGTTCCTGTCAAAAGACAAGTCACAAGCTTAATCTTGTGTTGGGATTTTGCCAGAAAGTTCTAGAAGGGGCAATCCAGCATCATGCTGAGAGTCGCTGAGTAAGCACAAGACTAGTAGTACATTCTAGATTACATTGCGAAGTAGTATAAATACAGGCTCTGTAGGAGCCATAGAATAACAAGTTCATATCAACTGGCCTTACCAGCCAGGAGTCTACCCTGCACAACACTGAGGATTCCAACACCTTGTGCTTCAAGTTATCCTTCATGAGCGCCTGTTTGTATGCCCTCTTTCTCCACGTTCTGCCAAGTTCACTCAGGAAGTCACCTGGGTCTGTCCCGACTCTCGATTCTCGCACTGTGATCTTGACTACTATCATGGTTCTAATTACTACTGCTCCTTTAAATCATCGTGAGAAATATTCCCACGGTCTTAATATTCTCTAAATCCTTGTGGTCAAAGTGTTACTAGTAACTACGACAGCTGAGGAAGTATTTGCAGCATGCTAAGTTCATCCGCCATCTCCCTCTCTCCTTGAGGCTCAAGCTAATGGTGTGTGATACCATCGCTATGTCCCAGCTTGTTACCGCCAAATTTGGTTATTTTTAACTGACCAAGGTAAATTTGAGCAAGTCGTCAGACTGAATAATTATCTGTTCCAAACTCAGATAATTCAGTGCAGTTTACATTTAATAACAGAGGACATTATGATGAAGATTTTTTCGACTTCTCTGCCCACAGTATCAATCGCCCCGGTCGCTTCCTTCAAAATGGTGTCGAAAAGCCTTCTGTATGTCTCTCTCGCTCGTCAGCACCGCACCAACAGCAAAACGTATGCAAACTACTCTATTCAGCCATGTCTGTGTGAGACAGATATCGTCGCGAGCCGATATACGACTGAAAAATGACATATTGAGCGTGTTCAAGGACTCAGTTGTCTGTTGCAGTATGTGAGAAGGGGGGTCCAGTCGGAATACAGTCAGTCCGAAAGAAGGTGGAGTGACAATCTTGATGATATCAGATTGTTTTACTAAACTGACGAAGAGATTATTGAGACTGATTGACTACAGAGGAGTAAGTATACAAGCCTGCATAACACAAAGAAGAGAAAAATACAACCTTTCGGATATGCTGTTGGAAACCTTGCACGCCAAAACTGCGCAAGACAAACCAAAACTTGAGGGACCGAAATCTTCGACCAAGTCCCAAGTGCCAGTTTCGGTAATCGATGGCCAGTGTCTGATTGTAATAATTCATTCACTGTCAATACAAATATATGGAAAACTCGACCAGCATCGCCTTGCTTCGTTCTGAGAAATGGTGGAGTTATGTCTAACGCTTCCGTGAGGAATTTCCTGATTCTTAACCCACAGAGTAGAAGCATCAAAGTTCACGAGCCCCCACTGAAATATAGAGCTGATCAGGATAGTGCATATGAATGGACAAGCTTTGAAGGACCTTGTGGAAATTGGTACAAAAAGAGTCTGCGAACTCGTTGATTTCATCTAGATAGCCGATTTTTCTATACTCAGGACAGCTAAATGCGACTCCGGCCCAAGCAGCATCGACGTGAACACGAAGATAAGGATGATCCCTGGCTGTTCACGTAATTATGCACATTCCTTCATGTTCGTATTTCATAGACTTACCAACTTGTCTAATCTCAGGAAGATTATCAATAGCGCCCGAAGATGTAGTCCCTACAGTAGCAACTGATGCAGAGACGTTAGCGACCACTGAACCATTGAGACGAAAGAGGCAAGCTACTCAAAACAAAGGGTTTTTTACCAGCCCTCCTGTCCTCTTCCAAGGCAGACCTGAGAGTGTCACCTCTCAAGGAATAGTTGTCCTCGGATTTGACATCTAATATACGTACAGACAATCCTAAAACCATTCCAGCCTTTACACCAAGAGAATGAGTTTGCGATGTTGTATAGATGACGAGTTCCTCGAGCTTTGTATCTGGATACTCTCGTTTGTAAGACGCACGCGCGGCCACGATAGCAATCATCGCTGAGTCCGATGCAGACGATTGGATTGCTCCGCCGCCGATTCCAGATTCATTCATGAAACCAGAAGCGAGGCCAAGAAGCTTTGCTGCCCAATCCATAACGATGACTTCTAATTCACTGCATGCGGGACTTGAAGCCCACTAATACGCATCCCTAAGTTGGAGAACACGATACCACAAGTGCGAAACAATACTGACATTGAAACCGGGATTACTAACGCTGGATGAATAAAGGTCACCAAGAATACCTTCAAATGTGCATGCCGTTGGAAAATATGCAAAAAATGAAGGATGTTGCCAATGCGTGAGACCTATGATTGCTTATTAGGTCGATCAGAACAAAGCAAGATATCAGTCCAACCGGGTACGATGAGCCTTTGATAATCGTCAGCAATAGTCTGGAAATCCTCTCCAGCATCGGGGGGAGCCGCTGGATAGCATGCATTGTTAATGGTCTAAGTCGCATGAGTACTTCTCGATACTTACAGGGTATCAGAGGTTTGAGATAACCAGGCTGGACATTAGCTACTACCGGTTTGTTCCGCAATGAATAATGGTAGTCGCAAATCCGATCGATTGCCTGATAGCCAGCTTTGCGGAATCTTTAAGTGGAGATCAGTAATTGCCTCGCTGGTTCAAAAACAAGACGGGAACTCGCTGCTCGATATCCATTCAGTCGGTGATGGTAGTTCGAATGATAGAGGAGGTCCTCGGCCTTTTCGGCTTTGATTTTACCCCGATATGATATTCCGAGATACCAATGGCGTACAATCGGACTCCCAGGGTAAGGCGCAAAGTCGGAACCATTCGAAAGCTATATTATACGGTATCATATACGATATTGGGGCCGTAAAGTCGGCCTGATATCACAAATGCATACAGAAAAATCCCAGAGCAAATGAATAAACCAAATTAACGACAAACTGTAAAGCAAATTGTGTGTTCAACCATACATAGAAGGAAAACTGTGATATAATCACAACTTTGATAGAGTCCTCATTGCGTTAGCAACCGCGAAGCTTGATCTCGCCATGATCTGTCTCGACTCTTTCGTGACCTCCGCACTCTGCACCTCGCTCAACTTGTTCGCGTGCTCCGTCAACTCAGCGAGCAGCTGAGTCCCCTGTTTATAATGCGCTGGAGGTAAGTTATCGTTACACACCGCCACGATGCTTGACACAATCGTTATGATCTGCGTCAAGTTTTCGTTCAAATTATTCGAAGGCGTTGGACTACGGACGCTCGACAAAACGCTTTGGATCGTGTCAATAACTGCTGTGGTTTGCGCTTCGAGATACGGCTGTAAAAGCAGTGAGCCACAAGTCATAAAGTCGAGGGAGATCAAATACCTTGAGCTCAGCCCAGTTATCTTCGACAATTTCACCTGTGGTCGAGTCATCGCTTCCAACACCATTTCCTAGTTGTCGATCGAATATCGGAGGGGGAGAGCTGGTATTTTCCGAGCTAGAGTTGTCTGAAGGCGTCCTCGGTCGGTACGTATCTAAACTTGGTCGCGACTGAGAGGCAGGAGACTCAGTAAAACGAGGCCCCCGTTCCGCATTGGACGAGGAACTCGCTTTACGATAATGTCCCTCTTTCTCTGCAACCGACCGCAGCTGAGGGTGAAAAGCCGCCGGTCGCACTCCCACTGGGGACGTAAGGCGCAGTAGAAATTTGCTCTTGTTCAGTCCTTCGTAGCTTTGCGTACGCAGATGGTCTTGCTGATATCAGTGATGGTAGCCGAGACGTGACTGGCAGCGGCGTCTAACAAGCTGACTGGTGACATGCCGGAACTCGTTGCGTGTGTCTTCGACGCTGCAACAAGATTTCCTAGAGTGGCATCTGCTCGTTCACGTAATGATCGAAGAGTATCGAGGTCAACATCAGAACGGTCTCTTGAAGGCCGCCGTTCAAATGCTCGGACGTCGTCAATAATGGAAGTTACAGCATTTACAACGGATTTCATTGGTGTGAGGACTCGCGTCGGCGCATTGGAACGAGCGGCAGTAAGCAGACCATCAATACCTGAAAGGAAGGCCGTGATATGGATGTCCATTATTCCTCCGTCGCTTGTAACGGGTAGCTGATCCTCTAGATTGTTGAATTTAGGCGCTTGCGTGTACAGTTGAGAAGTAGCTGGATCAATGCTTAGTATTAGGTACTACTTTCGTTCATATCTGGAGTAGACGAACCTTTAATACTCCGCAGTTCTGTTTTGGCTTGTTCATACTTGCGCTTATATTCCTTTAGTTGACTGTCCAGGTCACGCATAACTGCAAGATCTGAGTCTTTAGCCGTCATGAGTTCGTCATTGCGTCGGGACAAGTCTTCAAGCTCGTGCAACAATCCTTGCATGTCCGAGTTTAATTGCTCGATAGTTTCTGGATCGGCCTAGAATTCGCGGATCAGGGCGAGTGGCGTTGAGTATAACATATAAACATACCCCTCCTTCGCGCTCTTGTTCAAGCACTTCACATCGATCGCAGTAGAATTTGGAGTTCGTCTTCATCGGCTTGCGCCCTTCTAGCTTCCCGTTCCTTCTCTCTTTGTCGAGTCTCGCGCAACTCATCAAGCTCCTTCTGAAGAGCACGCATAGTGGTCGACTGCTCTTCAGCACGCTAAACGTAACCCGTAAATGACTGTTAGAACTAGAAAAGGAAGGCTGGTGGCTTACCCGACGGAATACCTGCAATTCTTCTTCCATCTGACGTACACGCGCCTCCCCTTCCTGCCACTTGTGTTCTCGTTGCTCGGAGTCACCAAGGTCGCGTTGCATATTTGTAATTTGACTCTGCATCGTGGCGATTTTGTATTCATAATCCCGTCGCATCTTCTCGCTATCGTCTGATACGCTTGCCCTACCTCCAGCAAGGCGAGAGGTTATTCCACCCGCAGAACGATCAGAATTCGCAGATGTCCTCCCATAAGACACCTTGTCAAAGTAGTCCTCTCCACTTCTCCCGGCGGCGGCTTCCTCATCCTCGTCTTCAACTCCTTTCAATCTTGCGCTGAGCGCACTAAGTCCTACGGGACTACGCGGGCTTAACGGATAATCGCTGGCGCTGTCAGGCTCATCCACCACCCCACCCATAAAGCTGACATCTTGACTCGCATTCCGGCTCCGATCTCTATCATCCACCGTCGTACTGCCGCTCTCCCGGGCATCTCTGCCATATGGTACCTCGATGTACTCTTCCTCCATGGTGCTTTTGTTGGGAATGATCATACCACTGGTAGCTGTCGCGCTTTGCACAGGGTTCGTTGTTCCAGCACTATCACTAGTCCCGCTAACACTGGGAGCACTAGGTCGACGAATAGGAAATTCTCGCTCCCGATCTCGTTCCTCTGATCGTCGAGGGGGGTATTCGCGGTCTCGATCTCGCTCTTCAGAGCGTCGAGAGGGGTATTCTCGATCTCGTTCTCTTTCATCAGATCGTCTTGTCGTATCCTGGGAAGGCTTCCGTCGAGATGAAAGCTGATGCTATGCTGGGGGTATAATTGTTGTCATCACTCGTCCGGCCCGCAAAGAGGTCTTCATTCTGTCGACGCCTATCTTCAGATGGTCGGCGTACTGAAATACCAGTGCTATAGCTACTGTCGACTGGGCGATCCGCAGAAACGCGTCCGGACGTTCTTGAGGTGCTTGTGCGAGGGAGTGAATTGGCTGGAAAATCAGGAGCAGGGTAGTCATCGTAATTAGATCCGGGTGATCCTCGTCCAGAAGGCTGTTCAAGAGTAGTGAGTGCAACGTTCCGTGACAAAGCTCCCTTCATTAGTGTCCCGAGGGAAGCCTGTTAGAGCAGTTCCTGTTGCATGGCACCGTACCGTTTGAGAGGCAAAAAGTAACACCAAATAGTCGCGAGCTTGTGCCGTCTCTTCAATTTGTAGAGCAGTGGGACACTTTGATGACATTTCTGATACCACTTCAGGGGTCCTCTGAAAGGGAAAAAAGGTATTGCAAGAATGACTCTTGTTTATCCGAGATACCTGGGAGGACAGATGTTTCGGGCCCGGTATATAGGAGCAGAAGACAACGACAAGCTTCGGCTTCTTCGGATGTACTTTTTGGAACTCAAGCGGATACGATGCCAAGGCGTGAAAGACTACTTGCATGCAAGGCCTTACCAACACGCGACAGGATGTCGTTATGGCAGACTGTCCTTTCAACCGCCACTAAGGATCTCCAAGATGCCAGGTAAAAACAAACAGGATCAGAGAGTCCCTTCAACCAGGCTTCCCCCGGGATGTAGAATAGAATGAAGGAGATAACAAATTGAGAGTACGCACATCTTCCTTGAACTCTGGGTATCGCCGGGCCAACTCAAAATACACGTCGCTGGATAGATCTTCAAACCTGGCTGTGGGTAGAGTAGCCAGCTTCTGCCTGGCTTGATTTCGTTTAGGATGGAATTCCTCTCGGACAGGTAAGAAGGGCACTGAAAACAAAAATATAGATGAGAGTCACAGGAGGCACGTCGGGGGAGAGTCTACCTTCTTTATCACCTTTCCTACGCACTAATTCATCATATACATCGGTCGATAGTTCGTGGAACTGCTGAATAGTGAGTCGAGTGAGCTTTTGCCTTGCTGTCGACCGGGAATTGGGTAGGGCTGTAGAAGGTTAGCATCGGACAGTCCTACCGGGCGTTATCCGTACCTTTAGATAGATAAACGGCCAGATATTTGCTCAGCTCATCAAAATGGGTCTTTGATATGAGTCGATAGTCGATTGTCGGCACTGCGGGCACGCTTTTGTCTCTAATCGGTCGATAGGACTCTGTGCGATAGTTGGAGATGCCTGAAAATGATGTGGGCGTCGGTGACGGCGCTCGAGACTGAGAGCGTTTCATGCGTGTCGATGATGGTGGTAGATGGTCAACAGAGGTGAAGAGTGCTCATTATCGTCTGGGACAAGGGCAACATGCTGGATCCTCGTGTTTGCACCACCAAATAACACCAACACGTGCGGAGCGTAATTCCGGAATCAGTTTCAAATTGGAACAATCAAAAATTATTACCGACAAATTTATTCGGGGTAATAATCTACCTGACTCTTCGCCTGTATCATCTACCAGGTACGCCTTCACATTATCTGAAAGAACAGTCGTCATAGACGTGGACGACGGGGGAAGTGGGAATAGACGCCGAAAGCTTACGGATCTTGGACCGATCAGTATCACAGCGGCAAGCTATAGCAAGCGAAGACGAAGTTCGTCAAACGTACAAAATAATCACAGAAAAAGTGTTGACGAGCTTGGCCAAATTGTGGGGCTTAGATTTCTAACTTTAGTGGGAAGGTGAGGAACGCTTTTGTCCCAGAGAATGTAGCAAGATCTGATGGAGAGCAAGCTGGAGCAAGACACATACACCTCCTGGTAACCACGTGAAACAAGCATGCTGGCTTGCAAGGAACTGTGATTAGTCCGACACGGCCCGTGAAGTTATGGGGCATGCCTTCCGCAACTTGAAGTTCAGGCTTACGGGAACCAGACTTATCGAACGCTAGGCACTTAGTTGACTGCAAACGGTATGTATGACTCAAAAAAAAATGGTGGTCATGGAATTCAAGTCGGAAAAGACAGATTGGCTGAAATTTCTTCCCACAGGAAGAGCCTATTATGCACAAAGATTCCGAGCGCTGTTTTACAAAGAACCATACAGGTTTTGAGAGCAACGGTTTGAACAAGGTTCATCCCAACAATCAGAATATATTATAACGATTGCTATTCGACTTCTTCTGCAGGTCCGGCATTCATTTATGTCTGATCGAGTTCTGGGATCGACGCCGATCTACGAATTAACGGACAAAGGTTCACGCGCAAATACCGCCCTCGGTCACAACTTAAGTTGAGAAGGTGAACAAGCAGTTTGATACCTCCGATGACAAGGCTATTTCTTGCGAAGGTCCAAAAACATTTACGATATCCTTTTCTGTTTGTTGTGTAGAGAGAGACATTTTTAGATTCAAGCAGCATTAGTTTTCACCACATTTGAATACGATTGAATCATTCTGAGAAGAGTACTAGGATTAGGTTACAATCAAATGAAAATAGACTAGCCTGTATTTATATAACCCGTCCCTGCAAACGTGTTAAGTTTCGCTCCCATTCCCATGTCTGCTCCAAGCCATAGCCAGATATCTTTTTGAGTAAGCGCAGATCCTTCACATGTCCATAGTCATCTCCTGGCACTGGGCACCACCTGAACTTCTGTAATGACTCCTGACGTAGCTCAATCATCTTTGCCAGTGTACCATCGGCAGAGCACCGCACCGCACGATGCAGAACAAGGTTCTCCAATAGCGGACACAACGACCCTTCAATCAAACCAGCAAGCTCGTCTGATACGCAGACGTTTTCGCCCGAATCATACAAGGCAAGATGCCTGAGGGAAGACGACATAACCTCTAAACATTGACAGAGATTACTTTCCGAGATCCCTGTGCTTTCCAAATGGAGCCGTTCGATAGTACATGACGACCGCAGGAGAAACGATATGAACGCGGTTCTGAGGCCACGCAAACCGATTCGTAAATCCGCAAGTGAATGCAACCTTCCGCAGGTTGGGACAAAGCAAATGAGAGAAGAAGCGGGTGAGGGGATCACGCATCGTGACGAGATTGATGGTGTAGAGAGAAAGCGAGGTGAGGTTCTGAAGTGTGATTGCTGGGAGATTGACGACGCTTATGTGCGCGTACCCAGGTGGTGAAAACCTCCTGATATCACACTCGACCAGGGCGTGACATTTGCTGAGAATGGTGCATGCCTCTTCCACTGTTACACAAGTGTCCAGTTTGAGATGCGTCAAACGTGACCATGGTGCATTAACGACGGTGCGCCCGCTCAATCTTCCCGGCAAATAGTCCCGTGCTCCCCAAGACGAGCTAAATCCCCATGTAAACTTTTCAAGTGGAGCGTCGTTAGAGAATAAAAATGTATTGAGCTCCATGATGTCGGCCTCTGAACCACGAACCACATAAAGGGACAGCTCTCGGAGATGAGGCATGTCTGCATTGACAAATGCATCACGAAATAGCGAGTTTGACCCCGGGAGGAGGAGATTCACGCGTTCCCATCGAGTAGACGCGAGACGCAGAGCGCGTAGGAGGTGGGCGGCATCGGCGTAAGAAAATGAATGTGCGCTGTAGTCGATTTTAAAGGAGAGCAGGCGGTCATTCGAATGGTCGAGCCATACACGTATAAGGTGAGGATTGCAATATGTTGGAGGCTTTACTTGGAAGGAGCACCAAAGTTCGGGAGAAGATAAAGTGAGTAGCCTCCACGAAATGACACACTCTTGAAAGAACGAGGGGTGTGGCACTATTCGACAAGTAGACATACTCGTCTGAGGGTAATGTTTCGGTGAAAATATGTGCTAGCAACTCTGAAGGGAGATCATTCAGAGTAGTTGGCATTTCGATTCGATTTAAGACAACCTGCATATGGAGAATGGTTGTAGTTGACAGTTGTAGAGTGGTTGTATAAATCACCTACCTGGACTGAAGTATGATTCACTAAAAGCAAAGGGAAAATCTTTGCTGACATATAAAGGAAGGAGGCCACTGGACCCGAGGCGCCTAAGTAAAGATATATCAATATTGACGTCACTGACCCCTGTGAGCCACTTTCAAGTTCAAACGGTAACCCGGACCGATACAGGATTGCCTGTTACAGCCATGTCGAAACAATTCTCCTGGACTCTAGTAAAAGACATAGAATTGGCTTCCTCGCGATCCTAGAAGACTTGGTACGTATATCTCGACGAACCTTGCCCCAACGCACATCTCCTTCGTTCGGGGTCTGAAACAGAACCAAGTCAGCATCCTCCGATTCCGTCTCTCTCATGGCAGAAACTAGGCGTGCTAGCTAATTCGGAGGCTAGTGGACACTGATACCGGATTATACAGATACGAGTTCCGCAAGTATCTAATAAAGCGGCTTGCCAGGCTAACAATGCATGGAGGCAAGGAAAACGAAGTGCACGTATGAATGAATGAATGAATAAATCCCGTTTAGATTATTCACGCCCTTTAGGGCGTATGTATACATCTAGTGGCTTTCTACATTACGTTCTTGGTTCTTTGGTTGGTCGTATTCTACATCGTTCGGTCTGAATCTACTTGTACCATGTGTCTGTATGTGCACTGCGAGTGTACGTCTGTATGTAAGGTGCGCGTCTTCGGTTTTGGGTCTTGGGAGAGATGGTTTGGTGGTCGTTTGATGACCCGTAGGCGTGTTGCCGTGAGAGGTGATGGGCGGTATGAATGGGGGATCGCATATGTTCGGGTTTGGAGAGATGGGCATCGCATTTGCCGGTTTATGGCGTTGTAAATGCACTTGAGGGGGGTGGTGGTACGTTAGTACTCGTGAATGGCTTACATTGAAAGAGTGGACTGTCCTCCATGGAGGAGGCGGGAGGAGAGTGTCTGCGAAACACTGATCCTCCCCCTCGCATGCACGAGGCACAAACAGTTTGTCTTCTCGAGCTACACTCCACGGGGGAGGTCACCGGCTCGTATTCAAGGCGATGGTTGCGGTTCTTGTTGCTCGAGCATAGAGGGGTGTGAGTATTAGTTGGGTATGTATAGGTTGGACAAAAAGGGGGGACTTTCCTCCACCTGGGAGGCGGGAGGAAAAGAGCCTGGCGACGCTTTTTCCTCCCCCTCGCATACCCAAAGGCACAGATCCATGTGGTCGGCTTGGGCTACATTCTACGGGGGAGGGTTCGTAGCCAGGTTGAAGTCGGATAGTCACCCTGTTCGGCGTACAAAGGCTAGCGTAGCATGTATGTTCGTGGAGGAAATGGAGAGTAGATGGCGTAGTTGAAGGTTCCCAATTTTGGTTCTGCGTCGTAGGTTCTGACGGGCATCAGCGTACCAGCGGCAAGAGAGGAGGAAGTGGGAGACTGTCTCCGGAACACCACATGCGTCGCAATTTGGTGATGTGGCCGCTTTCATACGGTGTAGATGGGCATTGAGTCCGGCATGAGAGGTTCGAAGCTGCGTAAGGATGCTTACTTCCGGTCTGGAGAGGGTATTGTAGACTTTCTTGGTCTTGGCTGAAGGTGGTGTCTTGTCAAACTTTTTGAGGAAGCGGCAGGTTGGCGAGGACATCCAGCGAGTCGTCCAGTCTCGTTGAATCTGTTTAGCGAAAGCTGCGACTGTCGCAGACTTGCTCCAGGGGAGGGGTGTAGCGAGTATGGTCTTGACATCGTGCAGGGGAGAGGAATCACCCTGCGCTGCCTGTTGAGCTTCGTCAGAAGTGCACGTGACGGTTTTCTTCGTTGAAAGCGATCGGTCAATAAACATTATGCCGGTTGGGTTCGGGTTCGGAAAAATCGTTTGCTTCTGTCCTCATGCAACGTCAGCCATTCACGTCATCGTCCGTCTTTCCGTTTGTCTGGAATTTGCTCGTCGAGCCGAGGACAAGATCAACCGCCTTCGTTGCATGATCAACAAATGGTCTCTTGTAAAACTATTAGAGATTTCTCGTACAGTTCCCGGAGGGATAGAGGCAACTGCCGAGAGCAAGATTGTTTCTTTGGCTTACCATCTTCAAGGACGAAGAATAGAACATCCGGCACGTCGATATGTTCCCAGTCTATTTCCTACAAGTGCGGTCTCCGATTAACAGATATCTGACTGTCTGTGAAGTTGTCATCTTGGCTCTATTACAGAATCTAAGTGATGCAGGGTAGCTACAGCGGTGGCGATTAGGCAAAGCGCTCTCGGTAGAACGGCGAAATGTAAGAATGATTGATTTACTACAAAAGCCAGGCCGCCATCCTGTAAAGATTTGGCATAACGATTTTCCTATCTGGTCTTCGCTGTGTTCATGCTGCCTTCGGAGACCTCTGTGCTCATCATCGGTGCAGGCCCAACGGGCCTCGCTGCTGCTATCTCGCTTGCTCAACAAGGGATCGAAGACTTCATAATTGTCGATGCTGTCGTTGAGGGACAGAATTCTTCTAGAGCTAGTGCAGTCCACGCAGCCACCCTGGAGGCGAGTCCCGTTTCACCAGCCGACTGCTCATAGAAGACTTACTCAAGTATAGGCACTTGACACCATAGGATGTGCAAGCCCCATTATCTCCAAAGGCATGATAGGCAAAGGGATGATGTTCAAAAGGAACACTGCATCTTTTGCCATGGCTGAGATGGAGGAACTCACAGCTTATACTCGCTTTCCTTATGTTCTGTTCGTACCTCAGTATAGCGTCGAAGAGGTCCTCAATGCTAAACTCTGCGAGTTCGGCGCACAGGTCGTACGTCCTCTTCGTGCAGTGACTATGAAGGGTTGCAAAGGGTACCATGGCTTGGAGGTGTCTTTTGAAACAGGGGAGGTCATTCGGGCCCGGTATGTTATTGGTGCTGATGGAAAGCAATCAACGGTAAGCAGTTTGAATATGATACAGGAGTGGAAAGTATTGATGCAGTCTCAGGTGCGCCGGCTTGCAGGGATCTCATATACCGAACCAGATAGCATAGCTGTCCAAGACTCTGTGGCCCAACTTGTCATCGCTGATGTCGTCTTTTCTCCGTCGAAGGAAGCCCATATATCTAAGAGCTACCTTACCGGCAATGTTTCTCCCGCCGGCGTATTCTTGACGATACCAATGGCGCCACAGCCTGACCCCGTCACTGGTGAAGACGAAGATGTCGTGAAAATTATTTTCAATGTTCCCCGGTCGTCTGGACCACCGCCTTCCAACCCGTCTCTATCCTACATTCAAGAACACATAAACATGCAGGGACCTCCTCATCTTTCGTCCGACTCCGCTGTGAACCCCCATCCTGTACGCATTACCAAGATAGTTTGGTCGACCCGGTACAAGCTGAGTTCTGCGGTTGCCGAGCAGTTCGTTAAACGCATTCATAACGAGGACGGTTCCTTAGGGGGTACGGTAATTGTCATTGGCGATGCCGGACATACACATTCACCTATGGGAGGGCAAGGGATGAACCTTGGCCTTCGAGACGCAATCCTACTGGGTATTGCGCTGAAGAGGAGCATTCAGGATCATGAGGAGAATAGTCAAGAGTTGGAAGAGTGGGGGAGGTCGAGGCATTCGCGCGCACTCAATACGATCCGGACAACGAAGACACTTGCACATTTTACAGATCATCTCATCTCACAGAACTCGTTTGTAGCGGCCGTAGCATATTGGTCGTTCTGGCTTTTGACCAGATTTCGTTTTGTCAAAAGGCGAGTAGTTCTACTTTCTTCCAATCAAAAATCAAGTTCTTACAGGCTGAATAGAATGAATGCTTGGAGGCTTAGTGGCCTGGGGAATGTGTAAATGATGAAGACGCTGTAAAAGAATCACTGACACCGTGACCATGTCTTGATAGCACTTATACAAGTACTAGACTTCAATATATACACTTGTGAGTCTGCAAGCGAAACGTAGTGAAAGCCGTTGGCATGTACAGCCGGTCCGGGCCGTGAGAAAAGACTGTCAATCTTGCCTAAATTTGAATTTTTCCTGTACAATGAGCAATGCTACCCTTTCCACCCATGGTCAGACACAAACCACCACCTTCCTTTAACATTACTTCCTTGACAGTGTCAATACCTACGAAGAAACGGACGCCTTCAACAACGCCTTCTCGATGGAGCACCCTAGAATTCAGAATATACCTCCTCATTATCGCGCTGGCCGTGCCATGGATGGCCTGGGTCGTTATTCGAATAAGCCTTCCTACCCATCCTGCCTACCATCTCTTCTCAGATAGGCTCTCTCGTGGTTGGCTCTTCGGCTGGCCAGTCGACAACTGGGACGCTCAGTACCGTTCGTTTCGAAATAACGTCCCCATCCTAGCTGCAGTCGCAGGAGTCCATGCCCTATTGACGTATTTCGTTCCTGTACGGCTACGTTTACGCCTCAATCTAGTGTTTTCATTGATCTTCAATGTCGCGTTGCACGGAACGAGCACACTCAAAATCCTTGCAATCCTCAGTCTTAACTACGCTCTGAGAGCGCAGCACCCATCCTTAACCTGGGTATTTAACGGTGTCATGTTGTTTGCCAATGACCGGTTCTCCGGATACTCCTATGCTTGGATTTCACCATCTTTGGGGTGGTTAGACTGACTGGGAAGGTGTCTATCCACGCTGGTACATCTCGTTCAACATCACCATGCTTCGCCTCGTTTCGTTCAATATGGATTATCATGTGGCAGTGAGTTTTCCGATCTGTATACATCTTCTGTTTACTCATACCGGCTAGACGACGACCCCGAAACCAGATTCACATCCACCACATGCATACACCTTCCCTGTGTATCTCACCTATGCCCTCTTTGCACCATTATACATCGCAGGACCAATCATTCCGTTCAATGATTTCCTGGCGCAGATAGAATTGCAGTCGGCGCGCCCGCTTACACAAAAACAAGAAGAACGCCCTATAACCTTGATCAAACCCTACTTGATCCGTTTCATCTTCACCCTTCTCACTATGGAAGTCCTCATCCATACTATGTACGTCGTTGCCATCAAAGATGCGCGTCCTTGGGAACACGTCACTTACCTCCCCTCTGAACTCGCTCTCCTCTCTTTCTTCTCTCTCATCCATGTATGGCTTAAGCTTCTCATTCCCTGGCGTTTCTTTCGCCTGTGGAGCCTCCTAGCTGGTATAGACCCCCCGGAAAACATGGTTCGCTGTATGGCCAACAATTATAGCGCCCTGGCATTCTGGCGCGCCTGGCATAGAAGCTTCAACCTGTGGATTGTACGATATATATACATTCCCCTCGGGGGGTCCCACCGCCAACTCCTCAATTCGCTTCTCATATTCACCTTTGTTGCACTTTGGCACGATCTTACTTTCCGCTTATTGGCGTGGGGATGGCTCGTTAGTATCTTTCTCATCCCCGAGGTCGTGGCAGGATGGGTCTTCAGTACAGGGAAGGTTAGTTGTTTCCAGTCCTTTCCCTATCCTCGCCACTCATTAGGCACTTCCAGTTTGGCGATCGCCCATGGTATCGACACCTTTGCGCCTTAGGTGCTGTGCTCAACATTCTCATGATGATGGCCGCCAATCTTGTGGGGTTCGTCATTGGGACCGACGGGGTACGCTATTTTGTAGAGCAGCTAGTTGGAACAAAACAAGGTGCTACTTATGCTCTTTCTGGATTTATGGTGTCCGCTGACACTTTTCAGGTCTTCAATTTCTTGCATGTGCAGGTGGCAGGACTGTTTGTAGGCGTGCAGTTTATGTTCGAGTACCGGTAAGTTCGCTTCCGAATGCTCTTTAATTATTTCATAATCTTCTATCCAGGGAGGAAGAGAAACGAAGGGGGATATACAGACGATGTTGAGGATGAGAACGATACCCATGGAAGATAAGTGTCTATCGAAAAAGTATTGCAGCCCGCCAAGAACGCTGTTTTTATAGTCATCAGAGTACCACCTGAACCGTGTCTGATAATTGCGGATCTATTAATATATCGTCTTGGGGCACTGATCCTCCATTGCTCACCAACCCCAAGATACAAAAAGGTCCTATTACTGCAAATAATGTGCTATTGGGGTATTTCCGTCTATGTTTACCTGCTAATATTTCTAGGGAAAAAATTCTGTCTAAATAACTTGTAAATATTTCACGCAGTACGTAATCAATACATACATGTTTCCGAGATAAGCCTGCAGCGAGGAACGAGCGGAAGGCTTATCGGAGGATAAAGTAAAGTAGCGCAGGATAATACCTTTAGATATAAATATTCACAATCAAACGTGCCACGTTAATCGCATCTACCGCTCAGCGTTGAGCATCGTCCTCATTAGCGCGGTTCGTCCTCCTTGCTGACTAGCGCGTCCATCCCTTGCAGCTGTCCTTGCATTTCTTTGGCCCACCCACCTACTCCCTCCAAGTGTCTGGTGCAGCTGGATTCGGTCTCTCCCATCCCGTTTCCGGTTCACCAGACGCTCAAGACTTGGACCTGTTTTGCGTCGGGATCTCAGACCCTTCCTTGGGTCGGGATTTTGGACTTCTCCCAACAATTTCACACTCTCAATGTTGGCAAGAAGTTCACGTCTCTCTCCTTCCTGATCCCGCACAAATGTTGACCAGGTCCTTGTCTTTTGACAAACCACTAGAATACATGTCAAACTGTATACTAGTGCCTATTCCCTGATACAGATTACACCCAGACCCATAGAGTCTGGCCCATCACTCAAACCAGCGAATTTACCTTATCATCTACTGCAATAGCACGCTGCTGACCTGAGCAAGCGTGCGAAAAGAGCGAACTACTGCTTTAGATAGACAATAAGATACGGTGAAGCGGAGACTGAGAAGACGAAGGGTATAAAGATAACACGGGGAATACGTTTCATCAAGCACATGCACCAGGCACGCTTTCGTTAAACAGAGCTGGTAGGAGCGGGCGTGGGTGTCCCAGTAGCAGTAACAGCCACCGTAGCGGGAGCGGTAGCAGGCAAAGAAGGGGTGGCCTCGGCGGCAACAGCAAGGCCTGACGTGAGCGCAGTCAGTCCATCCGCTTGAAGTGAGTCAGAATCTCCGGCTGGAACAGTCCCGACGTAGGTGTTGAAGTTATAAATTCCATATATACAGTCCGAGACGATCTCTTTCAGACTGGTATCGCTAATGACGGTGCTACCGTCCCGGGTGAGCGCAAAGGCTTGTGCACCTAAACCCATTGGAACGGAGAATGCAGATGCACCGGCCGGGGCGTCATAGCTATATTCCGTGCCTCCGGAATTGACGGTGACGGTTCCTTTGGCGGTGAGCAGAGAGACGACAAATACTTCATCGGTGAGTGTTTCCCAGCCGTTTGGACGGCCGTTGAAATAGTTGCCGCTGGCATTATTAGCAGCCCCCATGGTAGTATCTGTGGAATCGCAGTCGATATCGCGTGGTGTCGGACGATACCAGTAGATGATTTGGTCGTCGGTTATGTGATCAGAAACAGTAGTAGAGCCGGCTTTGTATGCAGATATGAATGGCTTAGCCATTTCGAGCCAGCCATCATGAGGCCTAAAAATCAGTTAGAAGTCCAAACGTGTTCATGTATCTAAACTACACTCACATGTCATTAACCCATTTAGAGCCGCCGTCGTCGGTGTGAGGAGATGACAATGGAGCAACGTAGTGAGATTCTCCGTAGTCGTTCCATGTTATGATTTCAACATATTCCGGTGCCGATGTGAGGATATCATTCCAGCGTTGATACCAGAGTAAATCACCGGGGAACACCCAATTCTTGCTGTACGTGACTTCTGGGCCAAAGTGGGTAGAGAACCAGGGCGAGGCCGCTATCAAATGACTTCATTAGCCTACTGATTCTCATCGAATGAGGAGAATAAGCAACGCACGAGCAATGAGAGTTTTGTCGGCGATGGTTGTCAAATAGGTCTTGTCACCATCAGTTACAGTGATATCTACACCTCCCTGCGGTGCCTTGTTGTTGCCATCATTGGGCCAGCCCATCCAGTTGAGGGCACCGTCGAGATTGGAAAAGTCACCTTCTCCGGGGTGAAAGTTGGGCGCCACAAACAAGTCCAGACCTGCTGTGGAGCGTACGGTAACGATGTCTAAGCTGTCGCCTGAAATTCAAGCGGTCAATGGCCCATTAAATACATGGGGTAGGGCTGCTGTACCTGAAAACGACGAAACAAACACCTTGCCGTTGATGGTGAGTTGTGCTGATTTGTTACCATACTGCGCAATTTTGGACCCAACACCCGAGGCATCGGATGGATCCCACCAGTTGAAATCGAAGGAGAGAAAGACCTTCATGTCATTGTTGGCTGCAGACTCATATGCATATTCCAACTGCGTGTCGGTGTAATCGTCTGTACCGATATTCAACGCGAATGCGTCGATACCGTAAGATTTCGCGCGCTGCATGTCAGCATCATAGTCGGAGGCATTGTTCCTGTTGGAGACGATACCGATCTATTGAGAGCAACAACAGTGAGCATAGAATAAACGGTATCGGAAAATATAAGGTACCATGAAATGGGAGAAGACGAGCTTTTCGCTAGTAGCTTGTCGTTTAGATGAGTAGTAGTGCGGAATAGGGGCACCCTAGGACACTAAGTAAAGAAGCTAAAAGAAAGACGAGAAGGCAATGAAAGGACAAAATGCGCAGCATTGTTGGGTGATAACAATTATCCTTTCAATTAGTCTTTTATACCTGTCCCCCACCCCTGCTGAAACGAGGCCATCTGATAATTGGTGACGAGGTCTCGCAGTTTTTCCGCACCCAAAAGACAAAAATACAAGCAAGGAAGTGGAGGGATCACTCTGGACCAATTGTACAAACAACGTCCCAAAAAGCACGATTGGTATGACGACCACAACTTATCTGACCAACGACAGCATGCAACGAGCACAAGGATATCGTCGTATTTTGAAATACCTGAGGGGTCCCTTGTGAAAAAACTTAAAGGGGGCGAATACTCTGAAGAGCACTATAGAGCCAGAATACTTGAGCTCGTAGAATACAGCAGTTCCGAGACCCAGACAGCAGCTAAATTTCCAGATGCCTTGAACAAGTTACCACCGAGCAGCAATGAAACGGATAAAGCACGGTGCTAGATGTTCAGAACGCGGGTATTGTCAAAGGCATAGATGCTGAGAAGACAAAACGAACGGCAACCGATACTCCAAAGGGATTAATGATTCGCCACTCACAGGTTCAAGTTGTTGCGGTACAGCAAGTACAGGCAGTGACCTTAGAACCCTACCAAAATCAAAATCAAATGATAGGTAGTATGCTGTCATACTCACCTTCTTTTTGTTGCCTGGCCTTTCCACGGCTCGGTCCCGAAGTATCGAAGACGACCGACAACTCATTTGACAACCACTACTGCTGGCGGGAGACGTGGATGTCGAGAAGGAGGTTGTCGCTTAGGAAGACTGGTACAGCAGAAGATTAAGCATCCGGCTTATTGAGTGTCATTCATAGAAAACGCAAAGTTTTTGCTGCTGATGGTAAAGCAACAAGCAATAATGTAGACAAGTGCTGAAGCTTGAAGGGCCCTATGTGACGCGATCGGCTATCTCCGGCCAGGTCAGTCTAGCATTCGGTTGTAAGAAAAATAGCCGGTATTCCATGTCTCGCTGTCACCATCATGACTACCCTCTCGCCAGCTTCGTTTTCCGCGACATTGTCGCTCAGCGAACATCGAAATCCATCTTATGCGGGTGGTACTCACCTGTGGTGTTGTTGCATCAGTTCTTCATCATTTCTTACTTAGCGTCATTCGATGGCCATTGACGTGGTACTGCCAGCGAAGACGATCTACAGTCTTTCTTTTTGCCAGCAGTCCAGAAGCTTCCCAACACTAAATAGCACGAGAAATAATGAATAGTCTAGCAGACCGCTGCCAAGAGACGCGACAGCGGGTTCCGACGTCGAGAAGTGGAGCAGACCTTCCTGACATCGATTAGGTGCGGAAACTGCATAATTCGTCATTTTTAGTCTCTAATCGTAGTCTAGGATACAAACGTGCTTACAACTATATCTTCTGTCAGACTTGTGTTGAGTCTGCTGGCATCCGCAATGGTGTCCTTCGAGTTTACCTTTACTTGAATGTGTTGGTAAGGTTATAAATTCCTGTTAACATCTGGCTCATGTTTCTCCGTTATATTCAGTTTCCTGGGTCGAGAAAGATTGGCGAAATACTTGAGCTACACAACTTTAAAGAATTCACATCATGGACCGGCCCGCTTCATGGACCGCAATTGGACAATCACGAGGACGGAAACCAGTTTGGAGATGATATGGAGAAGTCGCGGAGAATTGTGACCGTCTGTCTTGGTAAGTAGTCTCTAGCCGACCCTAAGCTATATCCCAAGCCCGCTCTTCACCGTGCTCCGTGTTATGGAATTCTCGCTCTGCTGACGGAACGACGCTTACCTTCGTAATGTTCATTACCAGCATGACGCCTAGAATTGCACCCGGCTACATCATGACCCCGGTATGGCCTTTGCGTAGTGCACGCAAAGATTCTGGAAGGTCAATGTTTTAGCTTCATAATTACGGTGGGGAAAGGTTGAAAGGTTGGAAGGAGGCTAGACGAGCGTTCTCGAAAACGTGAGGTGCGTCATCTTTGATCTCAACCAATATCCAGTCTCTCAGCCATGACTTAGCATACATCGGAGATAGCCTTGTATCGCAAAGTGCCACCGATGTCGGTGTTACGCAGTCGATTCCGCTCCCGGCACATCACCCACCCCTTCGACGCGTGTTCTCAGCGCGGTTTGAAACCTGAAATCGTTCTAGGTTCCATCACATTGTCGATACGGGTTCGCGCGCACTTGAATCACAGCTCGTCATATATATCATTTTCCGGAATTTTAGGACCCTTCAATTCAATAACACATTCTTCGTGCTCACAGGCCCTGTAAGGCCGGTGTCATCGTTATTTGTTCTCGGGTCGGAGGAAGAATGCTGCTACATATCACCTCAGTAGCTCTCCCGTGATTGCTTCTTCAGCCACCAGACTCTTGAGGTCGTCAGTGTTCTCACGTGGATCTGCACACCTCGAGGGTACATCGAAGCGCTGTGTGCTTTCCTTTTCGTTTCTTGAGCGGAAGTCCGCATAGCGCAAAAGAACGGTATCCAGATCGCTTCTTGAACTACTACGGAATGTAGAGGGTTGAAAGCGGTACTGGTCTTTTTACACATGTACCCTCATTCTCAAGGTGTGCCGCCTTTCATCTCATTTGGCTTACTCTTCGATGATTCTATCAGATCTTCTATTACGAGTCTTTTCTCTCATATATTCGTTCTCCCGCATTGGCAGCTGTTTAACCCATTTGTGCAGCACGTGTGGTCGGCAAAAGAAACAGAGGTGAAATGTGGAATTAGAGGCAATTTTGAATGATGCGTACGTCCTTAGTTAAGGGCTCGTAAAATATTGCTAATCCTTACAGCGCAGAACGTCATCTCCTATCATTGTGCGGTGCCGCCTAGGCTGAAATGCACCGCCTGTGCTGCTCTTCTAGGTCCCAAACGTTCAAGGTCTCAGGCATGGATACCTGCTATGGGGATCATCAAATCCGGTTATAACGGGCTGGACAAGGGCCCGCCGGTTCGAGGACCGCCTGTTGGTCCATGCGTAACCAATATCCGCATATCATCACGAGTTTATGCCACGGCCCTGCTCTCCCGCTTCGCTTATCCTGCAGGTACCTCATGCCTCACTCGCATAATAACATTCACCTGTTGCCCGCAGTCCATTCCTGACGCGCCAAGACCTTGTACGCGTATGTTTTATCTTATCTCAGGAACCGCTCGTTCATCGCCACAATACCATGACATTCTCGACATCATCACATCTCCGAAAGGAATACACGGGCGAATATGGGTGTTTATAGTATATGCTCGCATCAAGAAGGGTTCGAAGCTGCGAGGACACTAATCTGTGGCGGACTATAACCTCTTCTCTTCGTACAGCTTGCCCATTTCGTTGGTCTCAAGAGGTCGACTGAAGCCATCCCTCGGCTCCAAATTCCAATTGACAGTTCGAATTAACGTATTTGACGAAACGAGCTGGTTCGGTATGACCTCATTGGGATGGGAACCTGGAACTTGCGGACTTGTGATTTTCAACAATCAAGCGCGATTGGATCCCTTGTACTTGTGTTCGACCCAAGTTATGAGGGCCGCCGGGTAGCATCCCCAAACCCACTCTCAGCGTCTATTCTTACTTTAGAGTACTCTGTACCGCTTTGTCCCTGCAACATCTTACTCTGGTTCCCGCTTTGGTCGTGGGTCGTCCTCGGAGCGTCGGTTAGTTAGTTTCAGTTTCATGTCAGCGAGCATCGGTAAGATGTCGGATATCGAGCAGGTGGTTGCCCGCTGCTAGGGTTTAACTTACATATGTTTCATTCTTCTCTGCCAATGTGACACAGAACAATGGAAAGAAGGAAGAACGGTCGGTGGATGTACGCCATTCTGACAAGGAGAAGAACCTCGGCGGCGGTGGGAGGTCGATTCTCAACGGGACTTGTACGGACTGACGTCACTTGCAAGTTCCTCCGAGGTCTGTTGTACCTTGGGTTATTTGAACTCGGGAGCTAGGGGAGGAACAAGAGGCCCTTGCCGTCGTCCCGTGTACCGGATCCAACGACCGAGCTCAATTGAAGGTCCCACAGCTCGCTTTGATATTCTTGTTACCAAGACCATGAAGGTGTTATATTTGAATACCGTAAGAGCAGAAGTTCGACGGCTAGGGCATGATATCATCAATCAATAGGCCGAATGGAACCCGAAATGATATGATGATGAATTTGCACAAGTCCAAAGCGAACTTCGGGAAAAATTTTTGCCGTTGTGAACGTGCAACTGGTTCCTAGGCTTGTTCTGTTGCAGGGCGCGCGCTGTCGGGACCTGTAATCCGGCCGGTGCACGCGCAGCGGTGGTAAGATAAGTGGATAGCCGGAAGAACAGATGTCTATATCAGAATTGACCGCAAGTGGGACCATCAGACCCACCAATTAAAAACGTGCTGCCGAGTTGAAGTTCCCACTCAACGGTGGGGGCATCAGAAAACTGCCAATTGCCAAGTTGGCTCTCGTGCGTGCGGTATGCCATCATGCCATGCACGTATGACCGAAGCGTCCCTGTAACGAGACTTGCGTGAATAAATGAACTTCTTCTCATCGTCAAGTAACACGCCGCAAAGCGAACAATAAAACTCAAGTCCAATTCGACCTTGGTCAGATCAGCAAAGGGGTGATGTTTAAGACCGGGAAGGGGTGGGAGTGATCATTGATGGATGCGAAAAAAAAAAGACAGGAGATTTCTATAGTCCGTGTTCGAGAGTGAATGCAAAACAAAGGGGAAAACTAGATTGAGGTCCTATGGTACTAGGTATACAGAGAGCAACGAACATAACATATGTTACTTTTTGCGGGCAGCATGTACAGAGATAACGTTAACAAGGAGAAATAAAATTTAGCAACGAAACGGCGAGAGCGCTCAAACACCTATACCGTCGGACTCGGAGGTTAGCACAGCTGGACCTCCCACTCGCCGCCCTCGGCCTGTTCTGTGCTCCGAAGGGCAATGCGCACGCGACGGGATGGGGAAGGCGACGTTGTAGTCGGAACCGTAACAGGGGAAAGAAAATCATTATCGAATCCCATGTCGAGGCCCATTCCAAAGAACGGATCATCGTACGTCGGATAAGCAGGGGCAGGAGAGGTAGGCTGAGGGTCATGTATGCGCACTCGAATAGCACCATTCGAGGCTGTCTGCGCGTCGAAGGAGACGTCAAGTGCAGAGGACGATGGTGATGTCGTCGTCGCGGGAGAAGGTGAAATTGGGAGCGACTGCAGAAGTGGCAGAGCGCAGAGAAGTGCCATTAAGGCGGACTTGGATGAAGACGAGGAGGGAAGCGGCGTTTCAGTGGGTTCGGCCTTGATGGCTTCTGGTTGGGGTGAAGACTGCAGAAGCGCCTGGGCCTCGGCGAGCTGGGCGCGCAGGTCGTCGATCTCGGACGAGGTCGACGACGACGGTGATGGCGACGGTGGTGATGCGCCTCCTGCTAATGCCTGCAAACGCGCATTTTCAAGTTCGAGTTCGGCTACCCGACTGCATACATCCTGTCAGCTACCTGACTAGGGCTAAAGGAATAATGAAAATTTTACTCACATTTCCATGGCCTCAAATTCTTCTCGTTTCCGCTGCCGGCTAAGGAATGCAGCCGCCCTGTTCTTCACTAGTCGTGCTTCTCGTTTCGACAAACCGGACACATCCGGTGGGACGAAGTCCCTCGTTGTCATGCGTTCTCGCGGCCGTTTGGCGGTCACTGAATGAGGAGTAGGCGACGTCCGTTTATTTGATACTGGTGTCTCGGTCGTCGTCGAATCCTCCATCTGCGACTGTGAAGCAGGTGGAGGCGACGGTGAAGGCAGAGGAAAGTCAAAGACCTGGTGGGTAGGGAGGCAGGTGATGGTCGTGGGCTCAGGATTGGCCGTCTTGAACATGGGCGAAGGCGAGCTCGACGAGGAAGACGATGACGGGGAAGGGTAGTAATCCCAGGACTCCATACCACAAGTGCGTAAGATTGGGGACTTGTGGAAAAGAGGCACCCACTGCATTCGCCCTTTTTGTATCCGAGCGGCTCGGCGTTAACTGCGAGTTACCTCCGAATTGGGCATCCTCCGATCCCGAACACGGCCACGAACCGAACCGGTTCCTCCACCGACGACTCTCCGCTTCGAGCTCTCACTTGCACCTTTTAAGAAATCATCTATACACGAAATACTGCTCTAGGGTGTATTGTCGGTCTCAGCTTTTTTTTTATCGTTTGTCTCTTCCGATTTCTATCCTGCTGCTATAGTGTTGCTGCACCAAGGCACCAAGACAAGGCGCATCATCCAACCCCAGCCTCACTTGATCATCTTTTGTTAGTGATTCAGTGTCATGTTTCAATTCCAACTACATAATGTCGTCTTGTATAGTAACCGCCGACACAATGTCCGTAAATCACCGTACCGATTAGATTCAAAAAATGATTACATTCCGACGCGCCCTGCCAATGACCCCACCGACAAACGCCGTACGCGTCTTTAATGTTCGTTGATCTTCTTCTACTTGCATCGCATCATTTTCATGAAATGTTACCATTTGGTCTTTTCCTATACCCAGACTCAGGTACAGGGCCACGGAATCAAAGTGTCAGACTTCAGTACCTAGCTTAATGGATAATAATGTCATGAGGGCTCGGTAGAGCCCAGGGTTATTCGACTGGGATCTGAGTAGATATCCATAGTGGTTCTGTCATTTCCGTAGGCAGAAAAACAATAAAGTTACAACCTTCCTGACTTTTAAGTTTTGATCAGTGGGAACTTGTTCAAAAAAATTAAATGACTACGCAGTGCCCAGATTATTGGACTCTCTGGCTGGGAGTCGAACCCAGCTTTCGCGCGCACGAATATCTCAATAGACGTCATGACAGGCGCGTGTACTAACCGATATACTACCAGAGATGGGTTCAATTCGACTACAATCAACTGTCCCTCGCCTGTGTGCTTTCCTTCGCAAATCCAAGGCGAAGTAACATTGAAGAGCAATGCAATGATATCATTCCTGATCTCGAGTCCTGTTTCTCACTCGTGATAACACGCATTATGAACCAATACAGGGTCAAAGCACGATTTCCTTGAAATCGCCTTTAAGCTTCCTTCCCCCTCCTCCTCTTCTTATCGATTAGGAACTTCCAGGCTCAGAACCAGTTCAACTGGCGGGACCAAATCCGAGTCTATACTTACCATCGCACTCATTCACTAGCACCAAGACCCGATACCTACATCATCAGACCACGTTGGCAAGACCCGGTGAGTCGTTCATATGATTCCGCGTTTTGTCCGAGGCGCCGGTGAACTGATGAAAAATTTCGCGAGTGTAAAAGAAAATCTTCTTATGTACGTCGAGATAGCAATTAGTGCGACCGGTTCGTTCGTCCATTGATTGTCCTTCCGAGCCATTCCTATTTTTCTCCAGAGAAATCTATGGATCCGCCATCGAATCCGCTCTATAGCCAAGGTTATAGTTGATGGAAGCCGAGAGATATCTATATCTGCGCGCAATCTCACACCAGTGAAAAAGTTTTCCATCTTCATCTTTTGTTCTTTATCACAAACAGCCAGCCCAGAGTAATTTACGCGACCGAGGAGAAAAGAGTAAAGCCGACCGAGACCGTGACTTGCTCACGTGGTCCTGGCGCGTTATTGACGCGAATTTTTCGCGATTATGTAACTTTTTTGCATAGCCTTCTCATCCGATTACCACTACAAACGTAGTAATTTTCTTCCCCGGTACCTGGACTCGTCCATATCATCTGTCTGGATCATTAGATGCATCATCGTCTACCAGTAGGATGAGGGGAACAGTGATCGAGCTCCAACATCGTCATCCTCGTTTGTCGGACGTAGGAGTTCGAATTCTGGGCCTCCGTAGAATGGTTCTTCTTGATTCCAAGATTTGCTCACCTCGCCTCCGTTCATCTAACAGGCCCGATATCCATATCCATATCAGATACAACAACGAAATCCACTGGCGCGATAAGCCGATCCTTTTTTTGCCTGTGCTGAACGCGCGAAAAAAAGTACAAACTTGCATCCTGTACTTCTTGTACCGCAGTAAAAATATCTCCTCAGGCACTTCTCTTTAGAAACGGTGAATCCTAATAAGATTGGCTAAGATGCGGAAATCCAGCATGCCGGATTCTCTGACATGACTTAATTAGATTTCGCTAGCCTATTATGTGCTATGAGTGCTACTTTCGTGGAACGACACGCGCCGGCTTACAATGAGCTACCTGCAATCTGAATGCTGCTTGTGGATCAGCATAGGTAGATGTCCATATACCAATAGCGGTATCGTACCACGAAGATCATATATGTTCTAACATTATCCTGTTACGAACTCATTTTGAAGCCGCGCCCAGTTCCTGACAACCGGCCACGACTCTTGAGTCTTGATCATCAGATTGGTCGCTGAACCTGAGTGTTCGAAGACGGCTCCGCGGTGACTCTAACATGTTTCTACAGAGGGATCCAGGGTAGTTGTTTCTCTCGAACCTGGAATATTTTTCAGTGCTAATATTTATCCTTCCTTATCATTCGAAAGCGCAGATGATTTTCAAAATTATCAGAGTTCCTCGTGCATTCATGACACAGAGCTGGTTCAACACTGTCTTGACCCGAGTCGTAAGCATGGCGGATCGCCCTACGATGCAGGTGGTCACAAATACGGACAGGGGAATGTGAGTAACGAACGCATTTTCGTCAACATCTGACTGACATGAGCGTTGAGAATGTAACCATAACAGGGAGCTAAGAAAGAGGATGGTTACAAGTCGTCTTCAGGAAAGGTGTACTAATGATAGAGGAAGACTGCCGTTGAATATGTAAGTTGATCGAAGCCTAGTGAATTCTTTCTAAATTGGATGCCTCAGTCGATACTGCATGGTCGCTGCTTTGAATCCATGTGGAGGAGCACGTTTACATCACTTAATGGCAGGTTCACCGGCAGGAGGAAAAATCGAAGAATATGAATTACTTTTCGCTGAATAAACAGGTCACGGCTTCGATGATATATATCTCGTGCACACTTGGTGTCGCTCTGTATACTTGGTAATCTACCTGGGAACGACGTGAAGGCTTATCAAGACTCATATCTACGGATCTTGCCATCCATGCAGTAGATAACAATGCGTCATGGACTGCGACTCCGGTGAATCTCGCTTGTTCCCTCGTCTTCCCTACCATTTCCATCTCTATCGATTAGAAGCTATGAGGTTGATGCTCTTCCTTTTCAAAAAGTGGTTCAAATTAAGTGCCTGCTCCACATCCGAGTATAGTCAACTGCAGTATGTAACAGCATCTCCACTGACATACGTACAGCCCAAAACAAGCAGCCGATCCAATATTAGACAAGTTCCGGTCATCTAACGTTCCGCGACAACCGTGCGCACGAAGGCACAAAGCTAGTTGAGTGCTTCCCTTATATCTCATTTCAGCCGCTAATCAAAAAAAATACACCGAGTCTATTAAATATTAATGTATAGCTTCAGGTACAAAGTGGATAATTACATGGTGCATCAATTAGCAGTCATTTCGAGTCATTTGTGGTTTACGCGTACGGATGCATTGTGCGCCTTCCTCCCTCACAACGTATGATAGAACCCTGGCTGACCCTGGATCGGCTCTTTCAGTTTACCCTCTCTCATCAGCCTGTTCAGCCTCGAGAAATGTACCACTGTGGTCAGTACGACTCCAATGAGCACAATTTGTGTCCCGATCGTCACCCACAGACCTAAGAATTTTTTATATTTCAGAGTGGTGAGCAGTGAGGGGGAAAGAATACCCACCAGGGATATATTTTGGATAATCCTTTTCCCGAAATACGGTGGAAGCAATGATTCCGCCGATACCTGCGCAGCCCGAAGTCAACGCAGTCTGTACCGACCTAAATGATGATGAGCGGATTGGGTATTGAGGGGAAGGAAGTACAAGTACGTACCGCTTACTCTGAGATACGACATTGTTGGCGCCATACGCTAGGATACATGGTATAGCACCCGCACTTCCAATGTTGATAAGGAAAGTCCCTATTGACTTGACTTGAGGAACGGAAGATGGTCATTTGGAGGGAGAGCACGTACCGAAGTACCGCACGGCATGCGGCTGGCAAAACGCTGTTAAGCAACACCCGACAATGCAAATACAGGCTTGGATGATGATGTATGAGCTCCGGTGCTTGTATCGGTCCGATATCCATGCAAAGAAGAGCGCAGAGATGAACTAGTGAGAACAGTTAAGTTACTGCCAAGGTGATGTAATGGAGGTCAGCGTACCGCGGGACCATAGGGAGGTGCGCTCTAGAAACTACCATTCAACCCAGAATTTGATCAATGAATAGGTGAGACTTACCAGAAGAAGGGACATACTTCTCCCGTAGCCCATACCGCCCAAGATAATAGAAATGAAGTAAGCTAGCATGTATGATGGCACCGTCGAACACGCTAACATGATGCCTAGCACTTCTAGTCAGCCAGGACCCAACTGCATGTGTCACGTTCTGGCATACCATAAGTCCAGATCGACCAATCCTTCAGGTGGAACCAAATCTTAGCGGGGGTCAAGACATCCGGCACTGAATCTCCACGGTCAATTTCGATCCTCCTTAGAACCACTGCCGTCTGCTCCGGGGTCAAGAACCGGTTCTTGTCTGGGAAATCAGGGACATAAAGGAACGTGATGATGCCCAGGAATATAGTGAATGCGCCCTCAATGATCTGTAATACAATGCAAGGCGGCCATATGAAAAACGGAGGGAGATCATTGGAGAAATGACAAGTGCTCACAAAGATCCATGACCAGCCAGCAATACCCCGTTTTCCGTCGAGTAAGCTGAAGCAGTACGCAAGGATAGGAGCGAATCCAGCAATTGTTAGTGATATCATGTAGAATGCAGCGAGTCTAACAGTTTACTATTTTAGTTAACCATCGGTTGATGAGTAGATGTGATGAACCTCTTTGCAACTTCGTGGCGCGTGTACCTACATGCCAAGAAAGATGGAATTAGGTCTGGATAAGGTAGGGGTGTAAGGAGGAGTCTTACCAAGTCGAGATGATGTACACAAGCGCAGGAAAGAGTCCGGCCTATGCGGAGTCAGGCTCGATCAATAGATAGAAACGATGTAGTGATTGCACCTCCAAAGCACCCAGTAGCACGCGTAAAACGGTGAGAACTTCCCAGGTCTTGACGAACCCAATCGATAGGCATACTGCACCCCATGCAGTCACAATAAAAGAGAGGAAGACGCGTGCTCCGATTTTACGAAGAAGGATATTCCCAGGTACTTGACTATCGAGATGGTAAGTTAGGAGCACCGAACAAAAGAAAAAGATAATGACGAACAATAGCACGTAAGGAATGAAGTACATGCACGTCGCGATACTGTAACGAGATCCGATATCAAGTCCCTGTACGAAGATTAACATCGTCTCGGGCCACGGGAACAGCGGGTTCTTACCAGTGCTTCGCCCATACCGGCTGTCCTAGCGACACTAATATTCAATCGGTCCACCAAGGCAACAGAGTAAAGAAGGGCTAGGAGCGGAAGCATCCGGATGTCCACCCATCGCCTATTAACAGGATTTAGGCATGAAAATCCAGTGAAATGAATTGGATGACATACATGGTTTTGCGCTCGAAGACAGGATCGATGTCATCCTCCAATTTCTTTTTGCCAGCTTCCAATGAGTCCGGTCGGGGTGACAGGTCCCCTTTGGGCTCTGTGTAGTCAACGGAAGCGGTGTATGTGGAACTCGGCGACATGTTGAGAACAGGATGGGAGATGGGATAGAGAGAGGCACATCCTTGCCTTCTTATATCAATGAAAATGCCTGTAGGGTGGAAGAGGGACCCTGGCAGACTTCAGGAACAGTGGGTACGGCATCAAAGAGCATCAGACGTCGGAGGTAGTGTATAATTCCATTCCGTTCATTTCTGGGTTACTGAATTAATTCAGTTGACACTGCCCCCCTTCAGACGAGACGGATTTTAGCCCTCAAATAGACGGGGGGAAGATAGATAAGCTTACAATTGGACCAGGAAGCCATGGACCGATTTCAATTAATTGCCGCTCGGCACCAAGGTAACAACGGTCTTTACTGGAGGCAATAGAGAGTAAAACATGACTGCCAATCACCATCAAACCCAGTGTATGATTCCGCTGCAAAAGATAGAAGAAATGGCGGAAGCCGAGGAACACGAGCTGCGGGATCTTTTGCCGAGGTATATGTTGACCTCGGAGCAACGACGAATTGACCAAGTGCGGCTGGTTTGAAGGAAGTTGACACAATGTGGACCAACAAACTTTGAGGATAACAAAGGTACGAGTTCGTCAGGAATGCGGCTCCGGCTGCCGACAAATAGCTACTGATCCTACACAAAACCAAATAGACGGAAGGATCCGAGAGTCACGCCGTATGCCAGCTTCCGAGCCCCTTCATCTTGCAGGGAAGAAGGACAAGGGAGGAATACTTTTTTTTGAAAGAGCGACTCTTAACTATATCTACACGATGCAGTTTCAAGCTATTTAGTGTCCGAAAAGTCCCCTAGTTCAATATGATCCATACCACCCGCTATCCACTTCCCCAAGATTTAAAATCCTATCCCCGCCGTGCTTCAGATTTATTAGAGACCGGCTCGAAACGATATATACAGTTTAAAGTTATAGAACACCGGTATCGGTGGTGCGCGCAGACCTCGCACTTTCGACTACTTAACAGCCGCGGAACGATCACCAAAGCTACTACCTCTTCAATGTAGCTATTCAAGTTCAGATCTGGTCCCCTCGTAGAAGGTCGTTATATAAAGCTCATTCAGCGCATCTCAATGAAAACAAGGGTCGTCTCAAGTAGGCAACATCAGTTTGGGATGTTCAAGGACCGAAATTGAAGTACAGCTAGATCCTAGCAGATCGGATCCGTGCACCGACCACTGTTACATGCAGAAGTAGGCCACTCTTCAAAGAAAAATTCAGAAGCAATAGATTAGATTCAACATAAAAGGTAAAGCAGCGCTTTCCAATCCACCCCAAAACCATTCCAGATAATTATAGCGTGTATAAAAAGACTCCGACCTGACCATCTCCCTCCACCTTCGCCTTCGCCTTCTTATTCTCATACCAGAAGTGTACCGTCAAGACGCCAAGTAGAATTAATTCAAGTACCTGTAGGGAGATTGTCGCAATGATCCCCGGAATGTATCGCGGGAAATCTTGTTGACGGTAGATAGTAGTCGCAATGATCCCACCTATTCCGCCGAAGCTGACGGTGATCGCCGTAGTAACAGCCCGCTTAGAGTGCGAGACAATGTTGTTCGAAGCCTGATCATGGAAATCAGCATTGACGCTGGAGTGCGCGGAGAAGATTGGAGACGTACGTATGCCAGATTCCCAGGAATACATCCCGCAGAACCTGCGTTAGCTAAAAATATCCCTGTCATGAAAGATTAGTAAAAGGAACGGATGCAGAATACAAGAGCAAATCAATCGTCGGACTCACCAGTATAACGCCAGCCAGGGAGGCTACAGTACGCCGTCAAGACCAATCCGATTATGGTCATCAGCGTTTGTATGGTGATGAACAAAGCTCTCATGTGATATTTGTCGGATAACCACGCAAAGAAGAAGATACTAACAGCCTATAGGTGAAAAGTCGTGAACTTTCAATTCGTTTCAAACCGGGAGTCCGATTACTTACTGCGAAAATGTATGGGGGAGCACTCTTTTCGTTCCGCGCAGGGAGGTAATCCCATTAGCATTGTGACGAACCTAGCCAACCGGAGCTTACAAGTAACAGGGACATCTCCAAATTCCATCCCATCCCGCTCAAAATCAGAGTCACAAAATACCTGCGACACATCGTTAGTCAAAGGACTATAAATGTCCAGAAGGGTATTAGTTCACGGACCCAACTGCATACGCCGGGATAGTTGTGCACAGATACATCACGGCTGTATTGCTATGAACGAGCGATATCGGAGATAGGTGACCAGATACTGACCATAGACCCAGACCTTCCAATCACTGAGATGCAGCAACACCTTTCCCTTCAGTGAGTCAGGCAAGGAATCGCCACGGTCCTCTTCAACGCGCTGCAACACAAGGGCAGTCTGTTCAGCACTAAGGAAGTCGTTCTTGTCGGGAAAGTCGGGGATATATAACCGCGACACGATCCCAAACACAACGGTGACCATTCCCTCGATGATCTATGAAAATACGTAAGAACCAATCCATATATATGGTCTTCAGCATAAAGCCCTGACTCACAAAGATCCAGGACCACCCGCCGAGGCCTCCTTTGCCATCAAGAAGACTCAGAGCGTATGCCAAGATGGCGCTGAATCCACCAGCGAGAATTGACGCCATATATAGTCCGGCTAATCTATATCAAGAAAGTTAGCAAACTAGTAATAGCATCCATGGCATAGGACAGTCGCACTTCTTCTGAACTTCATGGCGTTTATACCTAAGGCCGATGAATACGAGGTAACGCGGGGTGAGTATAATTGACCGGCTTACCAAGTGGTCACGATGAACACCAAGGCCGGGAAAAACCCCGCCTGGTAGGTTACCGAAGTGAGTCAAGCGTGCGATTGAATAGGGATAGTCTTACCTCGAAGACGCCTAGAAGAACCCGGCAGAGTGCCAAGTATCCCCAAGAAGGAACGAAGCCCATTCCAACCTGTACAGCACCCCAAGCGATAACAGTGCCGGTCAGGAGACTACGGGCTCCAATCGCACGTAGGCACATGTTACTTGGGAGTTCACTATGCAAATTAGTGTTTAGATGGATATCAACACGTCAAAAGAAGCAAGGACGAACAGAAGGGTGTAAGGGATGAAATAGATGCACGATACGATGCTGTAGCGTGCACCAACACTTAATCCCTGCAGATCATAAGTAATCATCAACGGTTATCAAAAGTATGCATGTATACGTACAAGAGCTGGGCCCATACCCGCAAGACGCGCCACACCCATGTTAGACCTATCGATGAGAGCTAGCGCGTAAAGAGCTCCAAGTATGGGTAACAACCGTAAATCGACGCGACGCCTGGGAAATTTTAGACATAGCGCATAGGAAGGACGCCAAAAGCAACACATACATCGTTTGGCGTTCAAACGACGCGTCAACTTGCTCGCCGCCGCTAGCCGTTAGCCGCGACTTCGACATCAGACGACAACGATGGGGGCTTCACATAGAGCATTGTTGTATGTTCAGCAGAGGCCCTGGAAGACGCAATGGACATGATGGTGATGCAAGAAGATGGAGGACCTCAACGTCGTTTCTTGATGCTTTAATAACTCGACGCATATGACCAAGCATGCGATGATGTAGAAGCCGGAAGAGCAGAAGGACAGGCAAGATGTTTGAAACCGCATCTGATTGCAGATAGAAGAACCCCATCGCAGAAAAGGTGCACCCGCAGAGGTGAGCACCGTAGTGCTGATCACAATTCCAGGCGCTCAACATCCATTTACCAGCGTACTGGAATCTGGAACTCAGGTGTTTCGTTGGATACCTGGAAGACCTATTCAGAAAGATATCCTGCGTCTAGTATACTCTGAAAGCAAAATGAAGAAGCTTACTTGCCATACAAGACTTCGATGTCTCCCTCTACCCCCGCGGAGTTCTGCGATGGACGTACACGTAACGCTATCGTACAGTGTGATGTTGAGGCCTTCGTCCCAACATTTTTAGAGATGAATCGCACTTAAGGCCGTATATCGACGTTCTGTTAGGCATCCACACGTTTCGGTTATTCGTCAGAGGTCGGTATATACCGTACCCGGGCGTAATAGAAATTCAAGGTGGAACGCTCGAATCATCGCATGGTAGGCGGGCTGTCAAATGAATACTCCAGACTCAGTATACACGTGTTAGCAACGCATAATAGCCAACTTGCCCCTGCAAGACCAAGTTAAGGCCCAGTTACCCACTATTATGGGTCAAATTCCATCGAGAATGGCTTCCAATTCGCTTCGAACTGCCATGGGCCGCAGGTGGTTCCGAGGATGAAGATGTCGCGTCTAGGAATGCCGGGAAAGTAGAAATCGAGACGGGGCGCGTCGTAGCCGGTGTTCAAGTGAATTCGGCGAACGCCGACCGCTAATTTTCTTTCAAAGCGCCGGCCCGCCACATCCCGCCCTTGCCTAGGATGCCTTCTAGGCAATTTTTGGTGGGCTCTCTCTAACTCCTCCAGCAATGGGTACCTACTAGGCCGTGTCGCATTATTATCACGGCGAGGCACATCGGTGGTATAATTGGTTGGATGCCCTTCATCCACATGATGAATACTTGTCTACTCGCGCCCTCGTCGAGCCGGCTTGATAGTTCCCGAGGCCTTGCGCCTTTCTACCTGTCATTGTAGCCCCTTGTTAATATCGGGATTACTGGTACCCGGCTTAAATGTATACCACTAACCACCTCGTCGTGTTCATCCGAGATGCAGATGAGAAAACGTTGATGTCGATTCTGTATTACTGCTCTCGAAAAGTCAAAACAACCCGATGAGCATAGTGTGTATAGGAATACCACGGCTTTATGGTCTTTCAGCGATGTTGTTTTGTTTTAATACCAAAAGGTCCAAAAGTAAACGGTCGTGATACCAAGTAGGATCAGGAGAAGCACCTGAAGAGAGATCGTCGTATACATTGATTCCCAGAATGTAGTTCGGGAAATTTTCTCGTCGATAAGTGGTAGTTGCGACAATCCTGCCAAAGCTCACTTCTGCCGCTGCAACCGCGATCTTCTTTGCGTCGCAACACAAGGGACGTCTGTTCACCACCGAGGCAATCATTCCTATCAGGAAATCGGGGATATACATTCATGATACGATCTCAAACAGTGTGAGTGCCGCATCAATTGAAGCAACAGCCAGATCTGAACTTACAAACATCCAGGACCACCTGCTGAGGCTTCCTTACCCACCGGGAACACTTGGAGCGTATGCGAAGATAACAATAAACCAAAAAGGGTCAAATTCGCATATAGCCCAGGTAATCTGCATCGTCGAGGTAAGCGGAAATGGCGAGAGGACCCACAGAATAGGATAGCTATACCTTTTCTGAACTTCATAGGGTTTGTACCCGGATCCGACGAATGCGAGGTAAACTCTATAGCGCTCATCTGCGCCACACAGAGGTGATGAATACCAGCGCGGGGAGAAACCATGCCTAGTATGGTACCAAATTACTAAAACAAACGTAGTAGTAAAAAGTGAATCCCTTACCTCAAAGGCACCTAATAGCAGAGCCCTACCAAATAGCAAGTATCCCAAAAAAGGAGCAATGCCCATTTGAACCCGTACAGCACTCCCAGGCGATAACAGTACCGGTCGAAACATTTCGGGCACCAATTGCCCGCAGGCACAGACTGCTCGGAATTTCGGTATTAGCATTCTAAGGTGAGTTTTATCACATCAGGAGAAATTCGGGGACGAAGGGAAGGATACGACACGCTAAAACGTGCACCGGTACTCGGTCTAGAGTCCCTACAATCCATAGGTAGTGAAGAATTGAAGTGGGCCATAACAAAGCATACACGCGTATAAGCCCTTGACGCGTTTCACGCCCACCTTTCCCCAGCCTATCACAAAGCTAAGCGTGTGTAGTTCCAAGGTGATGCCCTCCAGCCGACACGGCGCCGGTGAAAGACTGGGCATAGTGAACTAGAGGAAGGGTCACAAAAGATGATATACAGCGTCCGGTGTTCAAATGACGCGTCTGCATGCTTTTCTCTAGTCGCGACTTCGGCACCAGACGACGAAGACACAATGGGCCATGCATTGGGTTCAGCTCTGAAAGACAGAATACGCGTGATGGAAAGAGAAGAGGAGACGAAGTGCCCTTAAGATTTGCTCGAAATTTTTATCATAGCATATACCCAGACAAGGCGGTTTCGAATGAAAGCCCGACGCAGTACTATCAAGTTTGTGGAATTCAACATAGCGATGTAGAAAGTCAATCTATTATTCGTATAACGCTGACGTCCAGCCAGGGAGGTTTAAGCGCAGGCCGAGTTAGAAGCCTGTTTAAAAGAATATTTGAACTTGGTCTTCGAAAACAAAAGATAAAAAGCCAGGACTTGCCAGACAACACAGCTTACAGCTTCGACTTCAGCGACTTCAAGAACTTTACCAAGGGAAGGCTCTTCCTCTTTCTCGTGCTGCCCTCGAACATGGTAGGGAATTGAGTCGAAAAACTGCGCCGAAATGTAAGCACGGCCCGCCCAGCCGACACAGGTGACAGCCGCCCGACACTCTCTTTAAATTGACTGGCCAGTGATACACTCTTTATTTTCAGGAAGCGACATCTATCGGTTCAGCCACAAAACGCTTTCCCTCGTCAGGTATATAACCTCGAACCAACTTCATCCCTGCCGAGCTGTTACGCTCTTAGGATCTGTCCGCCCATACTTCTAGATATCTGATAAATAACACCTGCTTCTCTTCCTCTTCGTCCAGAAATACATGTTAAATAACAGTAGCGACATCTTTTCCTTGGAAAGGGTCAACAGCCAAGCGCTTATACAAATTGTACACCCAATGGACTTCGTTTCCTGATCTTCCCCGTGGTTATAATTGGTCATACAGTTTAATGGATATCCCCTGTTAGAAGGAAGAAGGAGCGCCGTGAGTAGTCAAATCATGAGCCATGGGAATTGGGTTGACTTACCTCCTATTTCCCCACACGCGACGCACTGTCCTCGTGATGGTACCGAGTGGGGAGACTGATCTATGAACAGATCTCCTTCGATCCTCCCGCCTGGTCACGCTCCTTGCCTTTTTCACCTATCGTCGGAGAGGACACCGACGCGCTGTCATCCTGGTACAGCCCATGCTGTTCGATATAGTCCACGACGGGTGTTGGCAGGAGATATCGCACAGATAAACCCCGGCGAATGAATAATCGAACCTGGTGTAGCTTTGAGCAATCAGAACATAAACCCAATAGACCGACGTACCTTGGTACTCGAGACGTCGTTCTGGATAAGCTGGGAGATCAAATAGATATTGTGACGCCAGCGTGCAAGGCTGTCCGTCGCTTGATCCATATCTGACCCAGCGCGTTCGACAATAAGACACCCATATCGTCCCAGGATGTGATCAAGCTGAAGAACAATGAGAAAATGCAAGGTCGCCGCTTAGCAAGGAACTTACATCTTGATAACTCCAGACCCCGGGCTCGGACATCGTTCCAATAAGATCTGAACCAGCCAAGAGCATCACCCGAACATTTCGCTGTTCGCCGTCCTCTGTTTGTACCCCGCCTAGGACAGTATTTATCTCGTGATCAAAATGATCAAGGACAACGGCGGTCCGTTGATACGTTTGTACGGCCTCCCATGAATCTATCATGAGCCATGACGAAGTATCTTCGGCAGCGAGAGAACACATTGCAATTCTACACAAAAAATCATCAGCTGAATATTCTGAAAAATGTACGACGTCCGTTATCAGAATTGCTTAGAAGCACGACATCTAGCCGAGGTATTTAACCGGCCCAGATCCGGAACGACGGGCCTGGCAGAGACAAAACTATTCGCTCGATGCACATGGCGCGCAGAAAGTAACTCGGAACTTGGGGACAAGGGGGAAATAGACGCTCACCTGTGCTGCGCACTGAGTAAGCCTGGCTTCTTGTACATATCGCTGACTGGACTAAGATAACCTCCAACGATCTCAAATTCGGTGTTCTGTCGGACGTAGTCTTTCGCCATTTCGAACATGCGTAGATGCAAATAAGTCACAGGGCTGAAAGACCCGCACGCTACCAGCACTATTGGTGTCTTTTGTGGATCCCGGAGAACACGAGACAGGCGATGATGAGGAAAGACATAATTTGGGGGATTGACGAATCCCAGAGTGGGCTGGACCAGGACCATTGGATTAGAAGAAGGGAGGGAGAGCGATGGGAAAAAAGTTGCCGCTGAGCGTGGGGCCGGTAGTAGAGGAGTAAAGCAGAATAAATAGGGAACCTCCAAACTTTTAAGGCCGTCGTCCCAATTCGTCACACCCGTGACATGAGTCATCTTCCCCGGATTCCAGTCTGTAGCTCATGGACTGCAACGTTGTATCAGTTTCATGCCGATAATAACGATTATTAGGCTCCGGGGTCATTGTGGGTCAAGGTTGCGAATATTAATTAGCACGACTTTGAATATTTGAAGTATCATGCGCCCAAGACATTTCGTCCGTTGAGCTAGGATCGAACCAATCCCTTGCTGTATATGTTACCGGTACTACTTGACACAGCTCTCATGCCTGGAACAGGTGACTCGAAGCGACGAAGCGCGCATTAGGCCTACAACTGATCCGACCACTAATTTAGCATGACGGTGACGTCACTTCTCCCTCCTTTCGCCTTCCTGTCGCACGACCCTCTCGGTCAGCACGAGAGAGCATGTGAGCCTTCATTTTGGCGCAGTTGCGGTGGGTTTCACCCCGGAGTTCCGAAATTTACAAGGACAGGACAATTTAAAATGATCAGGGGAACTGGGGCACAATTTCAATTGGCGAAATTTGTTGGCAGAGCGTTGGCAGCTGTATCCTATCCTTAGCAATAGCTTGGCGTTCAACTTCATTTCCGGTGGGAATTTTCTAGATGCTACATTCAATCGTCGAACCGGCGTGAGTACATCCAAGTGCGCCAGTCGGCACTTCGGACCGTTGTAAGTACTCTTGTGCCTGAGAGAAATCTAATCAGATAAAAGAGAAATTGGAAATTCAACCGGCACCATGCCGCAATGTTCTCAAGCCGTATATATTTGTATGGGTAGCTCGTACGATAGATTAAGATGGCATAGAGGCATATAGCATAAAGGCATAGGTTACATATAGTCAATGAACATAGAACAAACACAATATAATCTCTTTGAGCCACACAGCAAGGGCCCACAAGTCGAGGTGATGGTTGTAAAAAACTGATCCGATAGCGAGTACAACAAAGAACCCAAGCACCGTTGTTTCGATTTCCTTAAGTCTTTTTGCAGGGATCCTCTGGAAGGCACGATACCAATTAACCAACGGCGTGTATCGGTCGAGGCGAGAGATGAAATAGCAGAGGAAGAGGTCAGAGAAGGCGCGGAAAGCCCTGTAAGAAGCGCGCAGTTGGCGCTGCCGGATCGTGAACTTGGAGACAAAAGGTTCTGCATACACGTATGAATAAGAGCTGAGCGGGATGCGAAAGAAAGAACACGTACCTGTGAACTTGATCGTTAGCCCACGCTCGCAGAGGTTGGCAACAGCAAGAGGACTGAGCCAGTCTCGGTCAGCGGGGTCCTCAAGCTCCCATCGCAAGGGGTGGATGGGCTGTTTAGACGCTATCAGTTACGATTACAACAGAGAAAAGGAAACAATCACATACCACGCAAGTCTGCAACCCCCAGTTTCGGCGCAACGCACGAAGGTCCAATCCTCCAAACTCATCCAGTCGGAACATCATGTCAATGTCAGGCTCCATTTGCTGATAGAGCATGTTCATCTGAGAGTAGAATTCTACCTGGACGTATCTAGAGAACATGATATCGTCAGTAGCATACTGTCAAGGGATAAAAGGATAGTACTCGTTGCTTGGGAGATTTGTGTGTGGGAGGGTCTCATACAGCTGACGTGCCTTCCACTCCTGGTTTCGCACCTTGAGACGAAACTTGGCGACTTCCTCGGGCGATTGGCAGAAAAGGAACACATTGTCCTCGAAGAACGTCTTCAGAGCTTTCAAGCCAGTCCTCGGGGCGTCTTTGACGGGTCTCGGCTGAGCTGCTCCACGCCTTCTTACCGCAGAGAACGAAATGGGAGCACGCGAGTCCATTTGAGTGTTCAGAGTGGGGAAACAGGAGAGGGAAGATTGGTAGGCGAGTACCGTCGAACTTTTCGCTTCAGCGTAGGACCATTTTATGGCTGGAGTCGAGGTGACGAGTACAAGGTCTCAGCGAGCGGGAGTGACTTTTCGGTTACCCAGACACCGGGACAAGGTCGTCAGGCAAGAGGGACATAGTTTTTGGCGTATTCGATATCACTTGAAGCTAACAGCAGAAAAGGGTACAAAGGATCCAGCATCCCTTCTGGAAGAAAGGTGGTCGACATGAAGTACAAGGGTAAGGAAAAATTTCCCACGCCTCAGACGCGCCTTGCCCCGTTTGGTTGTTTAGGTACTTACGCGTCTATTTTCCTCCTTGTATTTTATGTTCACACTTCCATCTACCAAAATCTGGCGCGTACCAAAGGCATGATTCTCAAGGTTTAAACAGGCTGCTGGTACAAGTGCATCAACTTGCATTTTAGTAAAGAATTACGTTGAAGCAGACTACACAGATTCTATTGGCAACCAAAAGCTTGAGTCGCTTGTATGTATATCACTGGATCGGTCTCTGGCGGATATTCATCCGCTTGCTCTGCTACCCTGACGTTTCCAGCTTGAGACCAGAGATGATATATTTATACATTCCAAGGACCGCCTGAAAGGCAACCTAAAACAAACGAAAAGCTGGTCACGACGCCATGCCCTATGCCATTGTGATCAAACATCGGCATTGCGCATTGTAGGTTCAATCCAAGGAAGACTCAATAGCTCGAAGACCTCTGCTTCGCTCTTTGGAAAGTAAGGGCGAGAATCCCGTCGACGCATTCTGGGGAATTTTCTCAGCACCACTCCGCGGCCATATCAGCAAAGCTACTCACATTCCGGAACTATCAAATTTGAACCCTCTAGTATTCACAATGTGTAAGGATACCGATGGGCTGATAAGAAGTGACACACACCGTTCCTTTGCCCACAACCGCAGGTCCCTTTCGAACATTTTCGAACCAGTCCTAGCATATAATGAGATAAGAAAGGGCTCTGCTAGGAGGACAACATACCAGCCAACAACAGCTGTCCAATACAATTCAGGCGTTGTGAAGATCAAATCAAGCCTTCGATGCAACCTGGCGCTAGTTCCATCGGACGGCAGCATGAACACTGACATCACTTTGTAAAGGGAACCTCGCTCTGCTGTTCGTGAGGAAGTATCGCCGAAATTTGACAAGCCTTTACAAGAATTCTCAGCAGAATTGAAACAAACCGGAGAACAAGACGCACCCATAAGGTGAGTAATTATACCTGATTGACACCGAGACGCGTCAACTCGAGATGACAGACAAGGCATATCCTGACATACCACGATTGTAGAGTCTGTGAACCAACTGCTCACAGAGACTCTTCACTTGATTCCCAGCAGTCTTCAGGTTCTCATGAGTAATGACAATATCAATATCACTGCTACCCTTTTTGCCACGGCGGTAACTAGATGCGAATGTGTTTTTAGATGCCTCTTCTTTATTTGCTCTGCCTTACCTCCCAGTAATGGTGCTGGAGCAGCCGGGTTGCAGATGTCCTAGCTCGTCCATGACAATAGTATGCATTCTCTCCGTCTCGTCTCGGAGGATAGGGCTGTTTAGTTCCTCTTGAAGCCGTATAGCCTCTAGGGAAGTTAATGTTGGCACCTGCGTCTTCTCCGAGGTAGTGGTGAGAACCATATATTGGGATTTTTGCTTAGGAGCATCTGACCCCGCTGAAGCAGAATCTTCCAGGTTCTCATAATAGAACTGCAGATCTTTGAGAGTCCGAAGACCTTCAACGTCGTACATTTGCCGGGCGTACGCAGGACCTATTCCATATACGGATGTGAAGAGTGTTAGGGCTTGATACCTTCGGATCTTCGATGATAGAATCTGTAGCTTGTTGGAACGCGATTGCTCAAATTACTAGGAAAGCAACGCACCAGCCTCGCTTATCGTCCCCGAACGAAGGTATTCCTTGATCTAGATAGCGATACGTGAAATGGTGTACAAAAGTGCAGACGAAGCACAATACTTTGGCAACAGTTTTTTGGCCCAAATGTGCCAAATTTGAGACTTCCGTCTTGAGGAGGTCTTCGGTTATAACAAATGGATACGCTATATGCGTCGCGTTTATTTGTTCAGAAGTAAAGATGCCAGACGAGATCTCTCACATTTGATTGTCTGTCGTACCATAGTTATCATTATCGTCCCAGATGGCAGACAAATTGTGACCCACAGCGATAGCCCTCTCATAAGCCAAGGTATTCATAACTTTCCCTTCAAGCTCTCTTGAGTGACGCAGTACATCCTAATTTCTCCGCCAACTCTTGATTCGGACACTCTAAAGGTGAAAGTCGCCGACACGAGGTTGGACTCCGGTAGTCAATTTCTGTGCTGTCATGAACTTCCCCGAGGCCACTGGCAGACGGGTCTTCTGGAACCGGGGCTGACGAGCGCAACGAGCGAACGGCGATATAGTCATCATATGGTAAGACTTCATGTACTTTGGCGCAATCCCGTAGCCATTTTGGTGTGATAACGAATTTTTGCACCTACGCCTCGCTACTCAGCGGACGCGTCCCATCCACACAATTGGAACTCACCGCGAGATCCCAGTCAATATGTCGCTCCAACCGCTTCCTCATTTTCACTGCGGTGACTATCACGTCTGCATCCTTCATGTCTGGTTCGTAAACCAACTGGAACTGGCCCGAGTCTGCTTCACCGAGAACTTCCCCACTGTCCAGTATTGAGCGAAGCTCTGCTATCTCCTTGACCTTGAGCTTGGCCTCGATGATGTGGACGCGTAACGGGTTAACAGTCGCCGTTGAAGATTCAGACCCGAAGCCAGCCGTCGATGACCTGAATCGCTTCGGCTGTGGTGAGAATGAGCGTGAGAGACTTGACGAGCTGCTGGATGCGAGGTACTGCCGTTTTGGAGACATGCGAAGATAAATTACCATTAAGTTAGTCGACTTGGGGCAGTGACGCCAAAGACGGCTTGACTTCATGGCGGACATCATAGTGGACATGGGTTGGTATGACGACGTCATCTGTTTATTTGCGTCCAGTCAAGTAAATTCTATAGCTTGAGGTTCATACAAAAGATAGCAACGGTACTCTAGTAAAACTTCAGAGCCTAGATTTCATGCTTGCGACCTTGAGCTTAGCATGTTCTAAGCTTTCATCTAAAACAGAATTATTGTGTAGTTGAATTTCGAATAGACAAATAAACGCTCACAGTTTCCGGCATATAGTCTATCGTCTGGCACAGAAACTGTATGTGACCGGAGATTTGAGATATCTACCATCTCTGGAACGACGTTCCTGAGAGTTGGTGCTCCAAGGAGGCGCATGTTCATCTCAAACTCATCCTGACTCAGTAAAGTCAGTTCAAGATTAACCCAATGGTTCAGATACCACGTACATGTAGTATTTGCAACGCCTTGTTAACGCCATCTTCTCCGTACGTAGAGAATGCGTATAGGAAAGGCCGGCCAATGCCAACTAATAGCACTCATAAGAACACGTCACTGGCAACTGAAGCAGGCTTACCAGCCGTTGCACCCAGAGCAACCGCCTTAAGAATGTCAGTAGCACGTCGTACACCTCCATCGATGAACAACTGGAATTTGTCGTTAGGGAAGGACAAGCCACGTCTCTTCTTCAAATTCTCCACGACCTCAGCGAGAACCTCAATCCCTGACCGGGAGAAGTCAAGCTGCCGGCCACCATGATTTGAGAGAACGACACCGGCCAGGCCATAATCATAAGCTTCCATCGCGTCCTCCCAACACTGTACGCCTTTCAATATGAGAGGCACTAAAATTGGCCGTCAGGACGAGGAAACGAACTAAGGTCATTCAACGTACTTGAAGTGATGCTCTTGAACCATTTGATGTCATTCCAACACAAGCCAGGATCAATGAATGACTATTCTATATAAGAAATAGCAAGCTTGGAAAAGAGTGAACTCACGCTGATTGCGCGCGCAGCGCCTTGAGTCCTGTCTACTCCATCTGCGCCAGCCTTGGATACTTCAGAGGGATCTTCAGCTTCAAATTTCATCCTCATATCCTGTATTAGAACGTGAGTGAGGAAGCTGCACTGTAGTAATGACTCACCTTTTCCCGACGACCAAGTTGTGGCGCATCGACCGTAATAAAAAGACCCTTGATTCCTCGCTCCTCCGCATGCTGAACGATTCGCTTCGTGATATTCCGGTCTTTGTTGACATAGCTACACGATACAGTGTCAGTAAACGGCAACCATGATAATTTGACTGCGCACAGCTGGAAAAATTGCACTTGACCAGGCTTTGCACAGTCCAAAATTTCATCGAAAGAACATGAAGCAAGGGTCGGGATCATCTGAATTACACCATGTTTCGCGGCGGCTCTCGTCAAGTTCAGCTCACCGTCAGGATGGCCCAACTTTCCGAGTGCAGTCGCCGACTGTAAAGATGCATGTTTTAGAGATAAGCCGGTGGATATGAAGTGGGTTAAACATACGATGTAAATTGGCATACTAGATTTATGACCCAGTATCGTTGTTGACCAATCTACTTGTGTGACATCCCGCAAGATTCGAGGCCGAAACCATATTCTGAGCGACTGGTAAGCGACTTGATTATGTCAACACGCCTAAACCAAACCTGTGATAAGCAGCGTGGTTTTCTCGGTGCGTTATCTCGTCATCTGCGGCGGATGAATAGTACGCCCATGCTTTCTCAGGCATAACCAGTTTCGCAATATACTGTTGCAAAGTGAGCTTCAGAACAGCAAAGGACCAATTACCACGCACCTCGAAATCGTGCAAGTTCAAAACTTCAGACAGAGGTGGCCTCAGCTCGAATCGCTCCAAACGTGCCTTCTCTTCATCAGTAATCTTTACCTCAACTTTCTCGACTGTTCCAGCTTCAACTGTTCCAAGGCTATTTATGACTGAATGAGATGATAGCCGAACCGGGGGAAGAGGGGACGAACTGTTTCTCTGGGGGTAGGTTAGTAGTGATGGCGTCGGGAGGATGAATTGGTTCGTATTCTGCCCTGTGCCACGTCAGAAAGGTGCCAGCTCCACGAAATCCAGAGCTCACGTAGCATCCTTTCCCGCATATTTGAGGATGATTTTGCTGCCGCCTGTTGAGGCGCAGATTGAGTACCACAGTCGAGTCAAACATTCGTGCGTTCTCACCAGGATGATCTATGCCCGTCAACCAGTCACAACGTACATTCAGATATCAATGCCTACACACCATCCAAAAAATCGGTGACGTCGTAGACCTTGCCTTGTGGAGAATGAACATCTGTTACACTGGTAGAGTTACGCATCTTACCGTGAACTATTATCCAACAGCTCTCGCGCGAATTGTGCTGAGCGACTTCCTTTCCAGATATTACTGCTTCAGGCATCGTGGAGGACCTGTGAGAGAGAGATGTTCGTGTAATGATCGAGCCAGTCGCTATATCAGCATTTCACGGGGTGCCGTAAGATGCCGCCGGTCCGGCAACAGGAGTAGGCCCGGTCCGAATCCGGATGTATATTTTTCTTTTTCCACGCCTGCTGACTTGTTGCTCCGTCCCGTCCAAAATCTCCTTTTAACTACTCGAAGGTGTTCCATCGGCTCTCCTGCCCCTACGTTATCAAAAAAATTTTCCTTGGTGTCAACTTACCACTCTCAAGCTCTTGATCGTACGGACATAGGCCAGGAGCTGTTTTACCTCGAGCCAGATCTCGCCCTAATGTATTCCACTGACCCTTGAATAGTTCGGGCATTCATTCACACAAAACAAGTTGCCACGTAGGAACTACATTCTTAATGGTCTATGACAACCTATCACGGCATACCTACGGAATGCCCCCGGAATACCTTTATTGCTTAGGCGGTTAACTCTGGTTGTATTGGCCGTGTGCCAACCGTTATCTATCTGAGAAAAACCTGCAACACACACGTCGTACATTATACGTATGCATGTAATGGAATGCACATCTCTAGCTTCAGTGTCGCACCTCGGAACTGCGCATTTAATAGGATTATCACTATCGAGCTTTCCTAGGAACGCCGTGGAAGACCGCTAATACTGTTGTCTGAGCTTCGTCCATCAAGTGATGGTCCTTCTTTTTCTCTTTGAGCTCTGAACAACCTACGAAAAAAATACCTGGACAAAGCAGCAAAACAACTTGTTCTGTCTTGCGGCATAGTTCAACAATCGGGGATGTGCTTTTGAATATTAACTGTAATATATATTCAGATCCGCGTATGCGCGCACTAACCGAAAGGCTATACATTGATATCCGTCAAGACGAGGCTGCTGTCATACTTCCCACCATATGGATTGTATGATCTCCAACGTTACAATCCATGGGCTGCTTCAACGCACAAATCTCCATCTTTGGATTATCCGCGTCATGTCTGGATATCCTGACCACGACAACCTCGTTCTCAGCGAACACCATACCGATCGGCGGAAGAGGAATCTCCAGCGGCACGCCACACGATCTTGCCTTGAAGAACATGCGCTCACGTTTGTCGTGTGCGCAATACAACTCGTTCCCGCTTTGACTTGTTGAGGTGGCTGACGCTACGCAATTTCCGAATGGGTCCTTGCGGACCAAGTGTTTTCACCGTATTGGTGTTCGGCACTTCAGCAGGAACTGGACAGAGATAGTTGAGGTGTTCGGAAGATTGCCCTTGGCATCGGTCTTCCGGATTTGAACAACAACGTCCAAAGCGTCATGTTCCTTGCAAGACCCAATGCTTGATTTTGGCATAAGAGCTCGGTAGCCTTGAGGAAGTAAAACTGAAGTCCTCTATTCGGGAAAAATCAAAGGTTGGGTCAAATGGAACAGAAAAGAAGTTTTTTTTTCCCGTTTACACTGGACGCTGTCAGGCTATGGGCATCGTGAACTCTGGTGGGGACGGCTGCTAAACTCAGTGAACTGGACTTCTTGGAGCATGCTAGAGGAACTTATTGCTCTGGTATCTCAACAATTGTCTTTGTCGAGTTATTATTGAACCCAGCAGTGTGCATCGGCCTGGCCCGCTGTTGTCGGTTCCCTTGCAATAGTGGTCTATGTAACGTTGCAGTTCATCATTAATTTCCGGACGATACAAATCATACCCTGGGCGAGAGGCGGACCATCAACGGGCTCTCACCATAGAAAGGGACGCAAATTCTTGATACGAGTGCACCCTCAGCCACTTCTGCTTGGCCCTTACTGACCTAAACGCGGAGCATGACGCAAGGATATACATGGGTACGTCAATGTTCTCAACGGGGATGCTCTTCTCACTCCAGCCCAGCCATTCCGTCCACGAGAAGGTTGTTGAACACCTTGAGGTGAGGCTTTCCTCCTCGAAGGAAGAAGTCGAGATACAGGTCAGTTGCGCATTCCAGTGCGATGACCTCAGGAGCATCTTGACGGGTCAGATGCATGCAAGAGAACCCACTTCCAGATGACGGCAAGCGCGAGTAAACAAGAGAAGTCTGGGAAGTATCAAGGCTTTCGCGGCATCTGGAGAACGAAGAAATTACTTTGTCTCCAACGAAAATAAATCTCCGCTGAAAAATGGATCTTGTCGGTGAAGGCGCATGTGTCGGCGTGTAACTTTCCTCCATAAGTATCCACCCGTACTTTATCTGTTGCTTGGAATGAACTTGCGTTATAATCGATGATGGATGGTATTGAACCACAATTCTGGGAAGACGCAGAGGCTGTCAGGTTCGCAATTTGGAAGGCTAAAGAAAGATCCGAAGGTAAGATCACAGCATCCAATATAAGGGACGGAATCTTCGTGCACCGGTTTCATGCATATATGATGGAACAATATTCACCAACCAATGTGGAGGTTTTGAACGTGCCTGCCGCTCTACGGTCCCGCAGTACATGTACGCACGCTACAGCTTACCCTAAGGTCTGGTCCAGGGCGTGGCGTGCACAGTATTATCGAAATTTTATGTGTGAGGCTACACACCGTATACTAAATCTTCATGGCTGCAGGGAATGCTTACTCTCAGATGTAGCTTGCGTTTGGTTCGCGTTAATTCAATGAGATCTCGCTAGTAATTTACCTACCGCCCCAAGCAGGGCCCACCCGCGGAACCGCGATGGCTTTCTTTGTCGCAACCTGTGCTAAATTTCACACGGACTCCAGCGCTGACGAAGATTCGATCAGACAAGGATCGATCGGGTGGAAAGTCCACCAATGGGGGCCGTTGCACAACAAGAGCAATTAGCCCTGATTCCATCTATGGACATTCGCGCCACCGCCGATCGCCACTTATGGTCTTTCCACCCGTTCCACTGTCTCTATGACGAGTTCCTGGTCTGGAGGGCCCTCGGGCTGCGCAACCCTCTCGCTGCGAAAAAAATTCAGGGCACAATCACTAATGGGACTGCGCCGCTTTTGTCATTTCATTCACAAAGAAATATTAGCCAGACAATGCGGCCGACTACTACAAGGGGATTGTTGGACTTTGCTCCGGTCCAATAAATAGCTGCTGCTCTTGGAAATTACGCCTACCCTAGCTTACTCTTTGACACTCACTCACTTGCATCTACTCCACACACTCGGCGCTTCAACTCTAGCTAGTTCAGTGCCCATCACATTCCCTAGACTTCACCTCGATCTGACCGATCTCATTTTCTCAACCTCTCGTCTCCTTAACATCACCAAACCTCAGTAAAAATGTTCTCTGTCGCTGCTCTTCTCGTTGCCTTCTTCGCATGCCTCCAAACCTTCGTTTTCTCTGTGCCCATTCCTTCGCAAGGGGTCCAGAAACGCACGACTGGCGAGGTGAGCTCTAACCTCCTGATTAAATTCCAATCAATTGACATTCTGTTTAATAGGCTACCTACTTTTACCGTTAGTACTATTGGCGGATTTTTTTTTCGCGTCTGACCAGAGCTCTATCTCGATTTTAGTCGGCGTTGGCAATTGTGGTGAAGATGATACCGGCAAAGACAGCGAATACATCGTTGCTCTGGACTCTACTACCTACGGCAGCGGCGAATACTGTAATACCGTGCGTTCCCTTTCTGATTCAAAAAGTTGATCAACAGACTAATTTTCACAATAGTACGTCTCCATCACGGACACCACTACTGGAGAAACTCAGAAAGGTCTTGTAAGAGACTCATGCCCTTCGTGCGCCGTTGGCAGCATTGGTACGCCTTTCTTCTATCTTTGTATATACGTTTGCCAATGTTCATGTAGACATGTCAACGGGACTTTTCACGGCTTTGCATGGCAGCACGGATGCCGGCGTCTTCACAATGTCGTGGGAATTCGCGTCCGACTCAAGCTCATAAATGTTTGAGTCTCTCATGTCGCCTTATATACCCAGTTTTTCATACTCGTAGAAGTTTTTAATTTTGTTATTAGCAGGAAGAAATCTGGCATTTGCTTTCTCTATATATTGTTCACGGACTGCTTTAGGAGCGCCTTATTAGTGTTGCCCTTCTACTTCCAATCGATTTTGGTTTTTACCGTCCTTTTGTTGCGAAAGTGACCTTCCCATTGTTGATGTGCCTGCCCGCGAACCAGGGTGGCATTTTGATTGAAGCGATGTTCCAAAAGGGGTCAGCGCCCACGCAACTCTGAACTCCGACGTTTTTGTCCTACAATGTACGAGCGCACATTGGTAGAGAAAAGAGTTCGAAGAATGGACTGATGGCTTTGGTCATTGTCCTCGGGGCATTTCTCACGAAGCCACTGGCAACTGTTTCCAAAGACAACTTCAGTGTTAGACAACAATAAAGACCAGCTCGCATGCCACATTTACGTGCCTTGTATAAAACAGACCCTCAATCTTTCAACCACATCTCCCCACATCTGTTTCCGCGGAACCAGATACCCACTTATTCAACCATGCACCGTTCAGGCCACCGTCATCGGCATGACCTACCATACCAGTCTCGCACACAAACTCGATCCCACCCACAACAGAAAATCTTCCCTATTCTCAGTCTTCCGATGGAGCTCTTCCTCGAGATTATTGCCTACGCCGCGTCCCCAGTGTTCCCTGATGCGAGAAACGTTGGTATAGTGAAACCATCATACAGCACAGCTGTAGCCTTAGCACGCGTGTCCTATTTGATGTACCAGCACACGATGCCCCATCTCCTACACACTGTCGTACTCAATTCTACTTCGGATGTCACTTTGTTCGCGCGCTCCGTTCGTCACCAGGACCGACGTCGAGTGCCCCGACGTCTTGCACTTAGCTACCCACTCCTAGTCAGAAGATTTTGGTGCTCCGAGTCGTATGAAGCGATCATCGACCGGGATGATGGCATCGACTATTCCTCCCTGTACCGGGTCATCTCCCGTGCCAAGTCCATCGGCATGCCTTTTTACGGGATGCATTTGTTGTATAATGGCCTTGCCAGTGACGGTGCCAGACCGGTCGAGGACTGGAAATGTCGCCGGGTAACTTTCGAGGGAAACTTTGTCAGATGGAAGCCGATCACGTCCTCCTACGAGGGGGCTACGTTCTTGAGGAGCATCACCCATCTGTCCATGTGGGTACCCTATCACGATCTTTCCTCTGTTTCTCCTCAGGAATACCCAGTCGCGGAGTGGGTGAAGGACATCCCATTCCACATGATGCCCAATCTCCGCCGATTCTCTTTTCCACTGTTGGTAGATAGAAGGCGGTATGAGGGTGATGTTCTTGGGTACCCAACGTTGCTTGTGTACTGCGCGCCCCAAGGACAGGCCTTCAATCCCGTGACGTTTCGTGACTGGGCCACGAGTCCAAGGTTCTGGACGTATGGATGGCAAACGAAACTCCAAAAAATGCCGCAAATATTGCACTCTGACCGCAGTGATTGGACTGTCGGCTATGTTTTGGATGAAACTGAACGTGTTTGGAAGGAAGTCGACAAGATGCTGGAAGCAGGACGTTAAGAATAGATAAGCTAGATCAATGCAATAAAACAAACACGGCATACTATTCCTTGGTAGTAATTCAAGCATGAATCCATCGGTTATTATTAAATAAGTGCGGGTGTAATAGAGGTAATTGCTGTCCAAAGGAAATATGTTTGTTATACAGTACAGCGTGCGTTGAAAACATTGTGTGGACAGATGCGGAATAGATGAAAGAGACCTAAGCAGATACACAACATGAGCAAGGAGAACGATAGACGTAGTAAAATGCAATAACGTGTCAGATGAGATAGCTCGGTGAAATGGGCACTGTTAGGAATTGAGGTTTTGCAGCTTCATCCACTCTTTGTCGTTGGCGTTGAAATCGACACCTTTATGCTTCCACCACTGCCTTGCGTTCTCTCCACCTCCGATAGCATCTTCCAAGGCCTCCTCAATATCACACATGCGATACTGGATGGGAAGACCCGACTTGTCCCACCACTCTAAAACGTCGGGTCTGTTGTGACGTGTAGCTCCTGTAAGCGCATCTTGGTCGAATATTAATGGCAAGCCACTTCCGAGCCACCACTGCAGCACTTCGACCTTCCCATGACAGCTAGCATGTTGAAGAGCGTGTTTATCATATTTGGGATCCAGCTGAGATGTAGCCCACCACTCCAGGACTTCTACATGTCCAGCCGTGCTCGCCATATCCATGACACGGCCGATTTTGAGAGGGAGCCCATGGCGCTCATGCTGCTCCTTCCACCACTGAAGCACCGCAATCTGATTCTTTGCACTGGCATACTCCAGTGCGGCCTCGGTATACTCCATAGCGTTGGCCGCAACGCATCCACCAATCTAAGGAAGCAATTTGTCCGTTTCGAGATGCTCCGTCAATGGCATCCGCAATGGACCCCGGTTTTGGAGGGGGGACAAGATCAGGGTGATGCTCAAAGCCATGTTTCCACCAGGAGAGGATGTTGATTCGACCATGACGTGATGCCTTGACCGGGATGAGGTCACCTTTGAAGATGGAGAGAAAGATGCCATGGTGGTGAGACAGGAAGAATTCGAGGACACGGACGTAGCCAAATCGCACAGCGAGGTCAGCACCAATCTTGGTTGGAGGATTGACAGTGGGGTCGACGGCCCGGATGAGACGAAGAGAGCCGGTTATCATGGCATGGTCAGTGCACGACGCTCGAGACCACTCCAACGGCCGTGGAATGGACGTGGGCACCCCGACAGCTCTAGAAAGCTCCCAGTCACCGACATGGTCCATAATGTCGGCCAAAATTTCTACTGGAAGGTCTGGTATCCCAGACGGACGATGCCTTTTCGATGGATGGGGAAATAGCAAGGACGCCGAGCTGGACGACGAAGATACGATTCCAGAGGCATTTGGAAAGTGGTACAAATGAAAATCGTGGTTGGTGAGGCGAGAGGCGAGCTCATCGTCAGAGCCAGAAGCGGGCAAATTTCGTAGCTTGAGGAAAAGAACAAGTTCTGGATGGGTGAGTCTGCGGTAAGCTTGATGTACGGTGTTCAGAGGCGATTCTACGGTCTGGAAAGAAGAGAATTAGACGATAACAGAGGATATACGAGCCATGGCTGGCGCACCGCCATAAGATTCTTCAAGTACTACAAGAGAGACAAAACGAAGAAATACGAAACGAGGCAACACCACATGTAGAAATGTTACGTAACCAACACGGCCGTCAATAACACTAGAATTCTTTCATCTAATTTTCTTTATTTTCAGTAAGAGCTGCAAGAGCCAGCTCATCATACCCACCTAGGTCATAATGCGCAATTTCGAAATGTGCACCACAAGCTCTTCAAAAGCTTCCAAGTCTACCTCAACATATTTTTCTTCCTCATCCGGCCCCCCTGGAAAAACAGCATGGAGGTACAGAGGCGTAGTTGCATTCAGCAGCCCGAATTTGCTTTTAATGTATATGAATGCGTTCTGCGGCACGGTCACGAAGGAGTCAGAAAGGAGACAGCAGGTTCGAATACTTACGCGACCAGTCATGCTCGCCATTTTTTTCTTCCCGAATGCCATCGTGCGATTCCCAAACGTAACCATGATAGGCGCTGCCTGGGCATTCGTGCTCGATGCTGCCATGAATGCCTGGAGGCATTGCCCAACTCCCGCTGCAAACGAATTGTCGGATGATACCAGCAGTTCCGCCATTTGCTGGATAACCATCGTGGCGATGTAGAATGATGGAGATGCTACGGTCCTTGGCTTTGAGTTGATCCTCAGTCAAGTGATGATTTATCGCCGATTAGAAGGGTCATTCAATATCGTGTCCATTTTTGGCTCGAAGTCCAAGGCTACGCCACCCCCGGCTTGGCTCGCCTTTTCCGACTACTGTATTCACTCAGCTTATATCTTTGGTTTTGTAACATTGATTTGTACAGAAATACTCCAAGAATTACAGCCGCCATATACCAGTGCCGTATCCATCATGCTATTGCAATACGCGAGTCTTGCGGGATACCTGAAGACGAATAATAAGAAAACACTTGCTCACGACATGAAGAACACTCGCCGATATAGTGAATGAACCGATTTAAATTAACATTGAGATCTGCATCGCTCTCCAGTCCATAATCGCAGAGCAAATCGCGAACCATTTTCGCTGTAGGGCGTCAGTACTGTGTCTTCTAAGATAGGCCAGATAACGCTTACCATCATAGGCAAGCAACGAAGTTATATCAGCAGGATAGATTTTACTCCGCTCCCCATCTTTCTTCAGCAGCACATCAAGTTTGTCATTCATATGTTCTAATGTAATCGCCGCATTGGCTATACGCGCTCTCCTGTTACCCGGTATCAGGATTGTACCATCGATATGATACATAACTCACGAATTGACCAACGACACTTTGACCTCGGATAATCTTCCCTCAGTTTCTTCTTTTTGCTTGGCTAGAGGAATGGAAATATGGTCGCTGATCTGGCGGTCGACCTGGTTTTTAGTCTCCTTCTCGATTACGCTCTTAATCTCGCTTGTGATTTGTGACCTGAAGTATGATGAGACTTGTCGGTCAATCCTTCTAATGTAAAGGGAACCGCACCTTAGCGAGTCCAAGATTTCTTTTTGGAGCTCTTCATGCACCCTATTCTTCACCTTACTCACTTCTTCTTTCTCTCGTGCACCGTTTGCTTTCACCTTCGCGCGTAATTCTTCGATGTCTTTCATGATACTATCCTACAAGAATTGCCACTATCAGGACTTCAATACCCACTAGTTTTGTCGGGCGCACTATGCTTGGTGATACTTCATTGACTTTAACCAATCCTGCGGTGAAATCATCCAACGATCTACCACTGAGAACAAAGGGAGTTTGAGCGCTTGCCGTCCAATATGCGAAATGAATTGAACACACGTCGCCTTCGTCGTATCCGCCAACTCGTTGACGGCAGTCTTGATAGAGACAGGTTGCGTCGACTGCATGACTGACAAAGACGAAGAGGATTCAAAGCGAAGTTTCCTCATCTGGGCTCTTTTATACTCAGCCTCAAGGCAGTCATGAGGCAGATCTCGGCGCCTACTTCTTTGGCATCCTTGTATATCAAAAAGGCAACTCCGTCAAGAGAGCGCTAATTGCTCACTGAATGTTATCTTATTTACAATTTCTACATTCTCATCTCGGGAACAACATCTTTGCCCATCCCAAGTACGAGATAATCTCTAATGTTCGTCAGAGCACGCGCTTCCATCTTCTGCTGCGTGTCTCTCGTTTCTGTGCCCATATGAGGTAGTAGCGTGATATTTGGGAATTCGAGAAGGCGGGGGTTGACGTGGGGCTCGTTAGGTAAAACATCAAGACCGACGGAAGCAAGCTGAGTATTCAATAAGGAAGTGGATATAAGAACTGTAATCAAAAACACGTACATGGCCATCCTCTAGAGCGCGAATCAAAGCATCTGCGATACGTCTTCAGCATAGCGATATCGTTTTGTGACGTGAGGACATCGCACCTTCATCGAGGACTTTTCCCCGGGCCGTATTGACGATAATCGAGCCCCTCTTCATCGTTCTAATCCATTTCTCTCCTACGAGGCCTGTAGTGCGGGTGTTTAGAGGGACACTAATACTCAAAATATCGGCTTGCTTGAGCATCTCTTCGACATCCTCAAAGTACTCGCAGTACTCCGGAGCGCCCACCGCTTTCTGTCGATTATGATATATGACGCGCATGGGGAAAGCATGCACGAACTCAGCAATACGTAGCCCAATACCACCAAGTCCCAGAATCGCCAGTGTCTTTCCTGTGAGGTCGTGCGATACGGCGGAGATTCCAGCAGGCTTCCACTTCATATTACGCAAAGAACGTTCTGCACAGGAGAATTGCCGCATTGAAGCAATAATCAGGTACAGAGCGGTCGTAGCTGTGGCATCGTCGACTTCCGATGGCGTGTTGGAGAGATGAATACCTGGGAGTAATCATTTTAGGTCAATCAACTTGAATAACACGATCGATATTCAGACTATTACCCTTGGCCTTCAGAGCCTCGACGTCCACCATATCATAGCCTGCGCCATTCGACGCTATCCATTTGAGACTCGGGGGGAAATGATCGATGAGCTCCTTGTCGTAGGGCCCAAAGGGTGCCTTATAAGACCTGAAGATGGCAACAATTTCACTGTATTTCCCGCCTGGAGAGAGTTCCTTGATGAAACTGGATCTATCCATGTTCTTGTCTATTGTCTTTACAAAGGTCACGAATTCGGTTTTTGGACGTAGCGGTTGGGAGTCTGACCAAAACATCAGCCACACCATCGAATAGTTCCTTTGCTTCCTCGTGAGCCCATTTAATCTCTACATTTACAAGTCAATCGTGAACAATTCATTGGCTGAAGGAAACTCACCGCTGAGGAGAACTTTAGGTGCCATAGCAGCGTCTAGATCAAAACCTACGTCAGCGTCGAGTGCGGGGTATTATCGTCGTGATGATACTCGACGGAGTCACACTGATATAAGTAACTTCGTATTGATAAGCGCATAAGCATCAACAAGATATTTCCGATTGCATTCCGAGTGGTCGGGCCGGTTTAACTCCCCGCGGCGAAGACTCGAAGTGGATCGTCGTACATCATGAATCCCCCCCAGCATGCCTTTGAACACCACGGATACTACTCGTTTGTGTTCCTTCTCACGACCAATTACTCGTGAAGAGGTTCGAAATGCTAAAGAGCATATTCGCCGCAGGGGTGCTTCTGCGGCAATGGGAATTGACCTTGTGAACCAGCGTGAGATTCTGGCAATACCTGACGATGATCTCGTTAGGTTATTTAATCACTGCCTAGATACCAACGAGATCCCTCGCATATGGCTTACTAGTCTCTTGGCCGCAATTCCAAAGAAGGATCGAGATCTTACCCTGCCCGATAGTTACCGTGCTATCGGTCTCCAGTCGTGCATGCTGAAGTTTCTCACCCTGTTGATTGACCGTCGACTTGCTGAATGGATAGAAGACGTAGATGCTCTCCCAGACTCTCAGAACGGATTTAGAGCACACAACCGTACCCATAACAACTCCTTTATTCTCCGGGCGGCAATCGATTCTGCTCATGCTCAAGGAAAAGTCTTGTATGTGGCCTTCGTGGACTTGGAGAATGCGTTCCCTTCTACGGATCTGTCTACCCTGTGGATTAAGCTACAGGAGCTTGGCGTCGGTGGACCAATGTTTGATTGGATCCGTCATATGTACCGAGAAATGGAGTACGTGGTCAGAACGGGATCTTCCTGTTCCAATACCTTTCAATCCTCTATTGGCGTCCTTGCGGGTGATACCTTATCGCCTTCATTGTGGAACATTTACTTTTCCGACCTGTCCATTCCTGACCACCCCAATGACATTGTCTGGATGGGTCGCCATGTCTCCCACATCGAGCATGCCGACGACATCGCACTGTTCTCGACATCACCGGATGGTCTGCAGCATGCATTAGATAACCTTCATGCTTGGTGTGCAACGAATTTTATGACTATTTCCGTATCCAAAACCCATCTGTGGACATCCATTCCCTTTGCAGAGGACAGTGCCCCTTCCGTCTTCGTCGGAATGAATGCTCTTTCGTACGTCTATGAATATAATTTCATCGGATTGCGTCTCGACTCCCGCGATGCATACATTTTCACAAAGCACATCACTGCTAAAGCCGTCAAGGCTCGTGTTACTAAGGACGCGCTCTTCTCTCGGACGGACAATGAATGTGGCTGCGTACCCCCTCGGGAGGGTCGCCGCATTTATTATGGTCGCATCGATCCTTACCTGATTTTTGGTTGTGAAATTGTGTTAGACCTCACGGAGCGAACAGCGGCAGAGCTGTGCACTGTTTCCCATGCATTTCTCCGACACTTTTTGGGTGTCCATGAGAATTCTACCGTGGCTTTTCTTTATTCTGAAATGGGAATGACACCACTTCCTTACCGTCGTCTCCTCTTGGCTTTATCCTATTTGCAGTATCTTCTGTTTTTGCCGGAACGGCACTACGCGAATCTGGCACTGCAAGCATCGTTGTCCCTGGCCAAGAATGGACGTCCTTCATGGTTTTCAGACCTGCTACACGTCCTCCGCCGTCTTGCACCATCTCTGTCCTTGTCTCCATCAGCGGATATCACCATTGATGGCATTATCCATCTCATCGACAACGTCGAAAAGATCGCCGAGCAGTCGCTCACAGAGGTTATCAACCGTTCTCCCAAGGGCCGCATGCTCCGCGGATTCTATAACGACATATCCGTTCCTCGTGCGCTCGCCAAGTTTATGTCTAAATCGCCTAAGATTGCGAGATACAAGTCTTATTTGAATCTCCCCATCCCTTCCCATCGAAAATCGTTGACTCGTCTGTTGATGTCAGCGCATACATTGGCTGTGGAGGTTCTCCGTTGGAAAGAACGATATCGCCCATTCGTACTTCGTCATTGGCGCCTTTGCCGTTTCTGTAAGGTCGCTGTGGAGGACGAGCCGCATGCAATGCTTGGATGCTGCGCTAATAACACCCTGGTTCATCGAAGGCATCGTTTCAGAGCTGATATCGCCGCCATTATCCCGGACATGGGCCTTCTTTGGTCATCTCCATGCACCCTGCAGGAACAACTTTGGTTTTTGCTCAGAGTGTCCAGCATCGAGGGTGTGGTGGCAAAGTTCATACATGATATCTTTACTATTTATAGCAGTGAACCTGTGTATGTAGCTCCCCTCGCACTATGGGCGGACAGTCCTGTAATGCAGGACTAATGTAATCACATCTGTTTAGTGCCCCCTCGAAGTCATCCAACTCCGTGAGATGCGTTGGCCTAAGAAACCAACGATGTTCACAGCGGCATGGGTTCTTCGCGGTCTACGATGTTGACTTGTTTGTCAACAACGGCGTAGAAAACATTGGCTGTTCCCTTCATAGGGACCTTTGCCAGTGCGACGACTACTACTACTACTACTTTGGCTTCTGAGACAGTAAGACGTCCTTGTGGAGACTGTTTGGAAAGCCTGCATGAGTAGCAGAACAAACCACTGCACTCCGGCGACGTACGTGCATACCCACCACTGCACCAGAGCTCCCTTCGACGATGAAATTCTGCGAGTTTGTCACAAATTTCCCCGAATTTCGACGATAGATGAGGTAGATGGGTTATGTAGGGGTACCCAAGCAGCCGGGTATTGTACCTCTGTTTTTTTCGAAGTCGACATCGACCCGCAGATGATTTTCCATAGAGCTTATAGTACTCACCCTTCACATTGACGTCCGTCTTCTAATGCACGAATCATAGCATCACATCTTCATCGATGACCTTCCCTCGTGCGGTGTTAACGACATTGGTGCCTCTTTTTTAGCACTCTAATCCAGTTTTCCTCACAACACTCTCGGCATCAGTATTCTTGTTCAGAGGTATGCCGACGCTTAGAAAGTTGGCTGACTCCAACTTGACAATCACCGGATATTCACAGTACTCCGGAGCATCAGTTACCCTGTGTCGACTTCGATGAGTGCCAGTCCTAGGATGGCGAGGGTGATCCTGTAAGGTCACGAGACAGCTGTGGTCCCATTCAGTTTCTACCCGAGATCAAGAACGTTCTGCGACGGAGCACTGTTGCATCGCGGCGGTGATTACTGAGGTACAGAGCTGCCGTTGCCTTCGCACCGTCCATGACTGAGGGCCGTGTTAGAAAGGCGGGTTCCCACGAGACTTTACTAAGGAATCCAATACCTATACTTTTGCTTGGAGCTTCGATCATGTCATAGTCGCGCTGAAGCAAATCAATTCTTGCTAAGAGGAAGAAGGAAGAGCAGCAATGAGTTCTTTGTCCATCGACGCGTGAACTAGTAGACGCGCACGGCACATTATATTTTCTACTGTAGGTCAAAGCCTGTTGAAGTAGGATGATCGGGTTGCTATAAGGTCGTCTGATTCATCAAGAAGATCTGCTTCAAAGACGAGCTTGCGATGTCGCTGTGTAATTATCCGGTGGTGCCCAAGCAATAGACCCTATTGAAGGCCGTCAATGATCTGGATAAGACATACTGCGAGTGCACGCACTGCATACGAGGACTCTCGGCGTCCATGAGAAGGCCCGATGCTAAACTGGTATTACCAATGAGAAATGCCGCTAGCCTAAGGTAAGCGGAAGCGGACGAGCGCATCGAAAGGGAGCCCTTGATGTGAAAAAGACGGGGAACAGCTTTTTTCAAATAGAATCTGAACCAGTGATTAGGAAAGGTCATATGTCCGTGTTTTCTGACGAGAATACAGCTTCGCGAGTAGTAACCTGTACGTATGTCAATCTATTTACAACGAAATGATCTATATATGAATATCAGGTGAAATAGCGCGTGGCTGAAACGTGACACGCACTTGTTGAAAAAGTTTTGATACACTTCTGACATGTTTACATGCCTGCTGCACATTGTATCCCCACGTAGTGTTCAGTAATCCATTTTCATGATACGCGACGAGATATCTAAAGAGAACGTTGATAAAGCTGGCAGAAAGGAGGTGTCCAACCTACTTCAAACATGCTTCCTCCTTGAAGTCGCTATATATCTTTCTGTTGAACTTGCGCTATACAGCAAAAGTAAGTAATATCCACGTCAAGGAGATGTTTAATGACTGACCTCATTCTTACGGATAGCCTCTTCGTACGCATGGCTTTGGTGGATTAGGAAATGATCTGCCAGGACGTAAAAGGAGATTCCGGAGAGATACATCTCGTACAAGCAGGCAGCCTTGTTACCGCCGTATCCGACGAAACGCTCATCGCACCTGTGTAAACAACTTGAAATCAGAACTTCATATGACTCGGGGTATGAATGAGAGAACCAAGGAGGACCGTCAGCTTTGAATATCACATAAGGCTCATATGCGGCTTGATACTGCGTCACCTGATATACTTCTCCAGGGGAAGCGGCGTAAAATCTTCCATAGTCAGTGCTATTATGGCCCGGTGCCCAAGACGCATGGAACATGTCAATTTGTTTAGTTTCGATAAGGGACTTGAGTGCCTGTGGGTTGGAAATAGGATCGCGAAACCGAACATGCTAAATCGTTAACCCACCTCTTTCGTTTTTGGAAAAGGTTGAGTAATCCGCGCCTTCCTCGTGTGTAGTGTATTCAAATGCAGGGATCACGAGTGCGGCGCGTCCTTCTTTCAGTTTTGCCATGATGGATCTGCTGTTTCTGATAGCAGAACGAAAGTCTGTACAGAGGTAAAAGTCGATGTCGAGCATCATAACGAAGTCTGTACGAGCAAAGAGGCGCGCGATATTTCTCCATGTGTTGAACTGGCGGTCAAAGAAGTCGACTACCAAGTGTACATCGACGAAACGCGACATTTGCGGTGACGATGTGTAGAGCGTTTCAAGGGAATCTAGAAGGTCAAGAATGTGGGTTGTGTCATTATTGACATGTATAGTCACCGAGATAGGTCCTGTAAGAGACGAATGGTAGTAGAAATAATGTCGGAGGTGACGGATGACATACCTCTGTATCTCTCGACTAGGCGCGCAAAGACTTGGAACCTATTGCTCGTGATAATCGTCGTGATCGTAATATCCTCTCGGTCGAAGCGACCCGAAGCTCGATAAAAGAAGGGAACAATTTTGCTAGGATGAAGAGAGCTGGAGAAAGCTTTTGAGAGGAAAAGGTCTTCATCCATTGCAAAGGCGATATCTAGTTGATCCGGACGGTCCGAAATTGCAGTAGAAGCCTTCCACGGTAGAGAGGTGTCCTGTGATTCTAAGAACAGAGTCCAGTTTTTGAATCTCGGTTTTACAGTAACCGTCTCTTCCGTGCGGTCAAGAAAGGTCCAGGAGACAGCCGATGAAATGCGACTTTGAAGAGGGTCAATCACGAAGTATATCGTCGTATAGAAAACGGCGGCCACAGTATAGAAAAAGAAAACTATCTGCACGAGCTCAAAGAGTCGATAGAACGCGTTCTTGAAGGGACATCCTGAAGAGCAAATGGTGGTCGCTGGTTAACATGTATTGGTCAAATAAATTAAATAAATAATGTCAATCCCTTGACTAAAGCAAGAGCGCCAGTAGCGGCGGCATCGTCAATGAACTCCACATGAGCAAACGTATGGCCTTGCGCAGAAAGATGGCTCAGCACCATGTTCCTGTATGCCTCCACGCCGACAAGCGACCCTCCAAAGCAGATGACGGCTTCCTGCGCTCTCACGAGGCGCGGCGCAGCCTCGCTTTTCTCGCCCAGAAGGACAGCAATCTGGGATGCAAGAACACCTGAACAGGTCTGAAGAACGTCGATGGCAAGGGCGTCGTGATCCTCAAATGCACACCTGAATACGAGAGGCGCAAGGGACGACAGTCGCTTCTCTCGAGGCATGACACGATGAGCTGCAGCGTCTGTCCATGGAACAGGAGGTACGTGAATCTCTGTCAAGAGGTCCAGAACGCTCTTGACACCGAACGACTCCAGTACTCGCTGTTTGAGGATGCTCTCCCTGGCTGGCGTACTCAGAACAGAGGCACTGTCGTGCTCATACAAGAGTCGGCGCACAGTCTCCCTTCCAACATGAAAACCACCACCTTCATCGCCCAGGATCCATCCCCACCCACCAATCCTGCCCAACTCCTTTAACTGGCCCCCAGCTGTCTCTCGGAACGTCACCACATTCGACCCTGTCCCACCGATAACCGTAACGGCGTACGACACATCGGCATGCATACGGATTGGCGCTGCGAGGAGATGGGTGTCATTGGCTACCATGAGCCTGGGGCCCCTGGGGATGCCCAGCAGAGTCGAAAGAGCAGGAGAGATGGTATCGATGGCAGCCGGCGAGTCTATTCCGGATATTCCAAACCATGCCGCTGCGAAGGGACTGGGCGAATTAGGCGATAAAGAGACTGGCTCCACAGAGGGGCCCGTCGTGCATTCCTTGAGTGCCTCAGTTACGGCTGTACGAATAGCAGAGATGACTGCTTCCAGAGAATGATAGGCAAAATTAGATGGACCTCCGAGCGCGCGCCCCACGATCTTTCCAGAACTGTCGCATATCACTGCGGACGTCTTGGAGCCACCGCAATCACAGCAGAGATACAAGGACATGGTGGTCTACTGTTAACTGATATCTGGCATTCATCTCGAGCAGCCTAGTCTGCAGGCAAGGACGTTTACCAACAAGGACTAATACGGCAGGTATCGATATCGATATTACCATATGGTCGACTGGCCGCCCGGCGATGCTCTCCACATTCAAATCTGGGGTAATATCTCTCCGGTTGGATAAATGTGTCGGAACCCGTCCATGGGATCGTTCCGAAACCACATACCCGTCAGGTTCGGAGCTAATTAGAGGGGCCATGATCACTTTTCAAATTCCACACTTTTTCGCCGCTTCTCCACATCTCCTGTTCGAAATTATTCTGCATCTTTTTTCTTCCATCGCGGCCCTCCAGGATGGTATCACATTACCCCGATCACGAAGCATTAGATGATCGACAAAGACATACAGTTATTGAGTTGGCCTCCTGTAACTGCGGGTCCGGAAGCAATTATCACATTTCCCGACTTTCCATTTGAGACTGTAAAGGGGTAGTAGTCATTCAGCTTATAAGCCTGGACGTTCACTTTCTGTTTCCCCACCACGTCCTTTGCTTGGGACAGTCACTCCTTTACCCAATTTTTTTTCTCTCATGGCGATCGATGTTGGCTTCAAGACCGAGCATCCGTGAGCAGAAATAAGCATTCATCTCCGTCCACTTGCTCACTGTCCTCTGTTTTTACAGATTCCAACAACTGGAAGTCACCAGAGGTGACATCATCCTCGGTTCCATCACCTTTGGCTTCTTCGTATGTCTACCGCAAGGATCTTCATCAATTTCTCTGTTGACGAATTTGGTTGGAATAGTTTGGCTTTGCTGTCAACGTGACATGGAGCGCAATACGGGAGACGAGGCGGGCTAGAAGGGCAAGACTATATCCATTACCTCCAGCCTCATATTCACCATACTATCCCTATAGTTTTCCGCGTATATCTTCATGATCTGGCTGGAAATTGCCGCGTGAGTGCTCTTTTTTTTGCTCGAGTATACCCCTATGAAGTCAACTCATCATTGTTATTCAGCGATTTGGGTTTTGCTGTGCGTATTCAATCGAGTGACGACCCTTGGAATTTGCTGAAATTAAAGTGTAATTCAGGTCACTTCATGGGGCTACCTGTACGTTTTCGTATTTCCGTCCATCTTCTGCTGCTCACTTGCGTTTCAGCTCGGGGCACTTTCCCCCTGGCATTGGCGTCTTCCTAATGGTCATCATTTGCTGGATATGCCAAGTAAGCTACCAACTCATACACTGGCTACGCAATGTTCAAGCTGATCCTTACTCAGGTCCAATGCCTCATGTTGATTATTGTCAATCGGCTCTGTATCTTGTACTCCGAGCCAAGGCAAAGAGTAGGTGCTTTGTGTCGGAATTCTAGATGTGATTCTAACTAGATCTATTTTCAGCTGTTTCTCAAAGCATCGGTTGCAGGACTCGTCGGCTGCGTCTCCATTGCTACGGGCTGCATATGTGAGCATGTCCATTTTCCTATGCGCCTACGACCCATTCTTAGGTCAGGGATACCCGCTCAGCTACAGATCAGCGATAAATACGTCCACGTATGTACCGCGTGAAATTATAGTTACGATCGTGCTGATGGATACATACAGCTCAACCATTGGTGGGATCGTGTTGAGAAGTCTATTTATCTAGCGTATGTCCCTTGACATCCTTATTTTTCGTCGGTTTTTTCGACTGATCACCGTCGTTTAGTTCTGGATTTATCTCTCAACATCCTATTCATCCGGATGGTAAAAACACGATTGGTCCAACATGGCCTGAAAAAGTATGATAAAGTCATGCGGTGCGTCGTCCCTAGTCCTTCCTTACATATGTGGGACGAGAACTCATCCTAGGCATCAGATTTAATGAATACATCATCGTCGTTTCCATTGGTATGGATATCCTCCTTTTAGGAGTAACATTCCTTAGAAACAAGTTTGTATACTGTCAAGTGAGTGCTTCTGAGGCTTTCTATACCCCTCGCTAACAACCATTCAGTTTCCATCCCGTGGTGTATATCGTAAAGCTCCAGATTGAGATGACCATGTCTCGTATGTTTCTTCCCTTGATGTCTGTTAGCGATTCTTAAAACCGTTTCCATCTAGGTCTCTTGATCAAGGTCGCTCGGTCGACCGGTATCAACGTGTATAACGAAGAAAAGGGTGGCATTACATCCGACAGCCTCAGCGGAAACAAAACGACGAATCATGGAGTGTACGTGTTCAGAGTTTCTTCCCTGTACGAAATAACGTCTGATCATTTTTCAGGGCCGTTCAAATTCAAACTCAAGTATTCACTCATGCTGAAGGGCCGGATGAGTATGGTGCGGACAACGAGCCTTTTCTGATATACGCGTTCTCATGGCATTGTGTAGAACTTGATAGACGGGACCACAAGAGCCAGGCACTGCAAGAAGCCGAGTCCGTCAACTCCAGCGGCGAAATCATCAAAGTCTCACCAGTTTAGATGCCTTAGAATTATATAATTTAATACCCCAGATATACTTTCTTGCGGGGGTATATGTAATTTACGCCCTTTCCACTGCAGTACACGCACTTTTCAGGATGCATTTGCGTTGAATCCCTTTACCCGTGCCCGTGAAGATAAAGCTGGATTGGTCTTGATATAATTACCCAATCAGCACCAAAAAATTATACCTTTGAAGCAACCCACATTACCGTAGCCACTGCTAGCCGCAACCGCTGTCACGCAGATTTAAGATTTACGGGGTGCGGTTTCGAACATGCGACGCACATACGGACGGTCCGATCTATCCGGTCCTGCCCTCAAGTCCGCGATTTATAAGACAAATCAGCCCTGAGATTTTTCTCTTCTTCGTGCGGCGACACGGCCATCTTGTTTCCCTATGTTGCTCATGACTGCCCATGCCATTCGCGTGGTTTTATCAGGCGGTCGTTCGAGTGTCAGGCCGTGTTCTGAGCGATCGGACGTCTTAGCACCCAATATCGCCTCTTCCCCCTTAGCGGGAGAGGGGATGGGTCGGTGGTTCCGTACATTCTATACTCACTTATATATCGTAGTCTGTATTTTCCCAAATGCCAATGTTTTTACTTCAAAGACCTTCGCGCTCAAAGGAAAAAAGAAAAGAAATTTAATCTAGAAAAGAGATCATAGACAGGGCATCCACCGGCTTTCATCGCGTATGTACGTGAAAATTCCATTGATTATAAGTCATTTCGTAGATGGCAGCTTTACACCTATTCGTTCCCACTTGCCCATGTCTCACTCGCTCTCTGCAATGAGTGCTACGATCATTCTGAAAATGACCCTCAGCGGTTGTCATCACACGAGCAAACGGACGAACCGGTAGAGGTAGTAAAAGAACGATAACAGATAGAACCCAAGCTTGATGAAGCTCTCTTTTTTGTGTCCTGGAAGAGACCTGAATATCTCTGTGGCATCGTACATGTGATTTTTGTTTCGTATCCTGAGACATAACGGTAAGAAAGATAAGAGAGTAATAGTAGTAGTGACGACGAACTTGTTTCCATTGAAGACCACCAACGGCAAGTTCAAGAGGAACGCGGTCCATTGTCCAGAGAGCAGGAAAAGCACAGTCAAGAATGCATGAGCGATGTTTTCAGGAAGGACGAACTGTTGGAGTGATAAGGTGAAGTGTATGACTGTAGATCGTGCAACATACTTGATTAAGCTTGTTGCAAAGATCTATAGGATTTATGTAGTCGCATTCCAGGTCCGAGAACATGATGATCTTGGAGGGCGATAGTGTCAGCAAGATAGACAGGCTCATGGCCATGGCACGGCCCGCATAAACGAACTCACGAAAAACACCATGCAAAACAACAGTCCGGCAGCCATGAGGACTGCGAAAAGGAACAACCAGCCTGCATACCCGGACACCGCAGGAAACGTGGATTTTGGCCGCACAGTGAATATCAGCGATATGGGAAAATGGCAGAGAAAGAGTGCAGAGAAAAATAGTCAGTGCTGGTCCTATGTACTGGCCTGGGAATGACGCCCCCAGGACAGGTAAGGAGATATCCCTACCTGCTCCACCCATACTGCAAGTCGGTTCGTAAGATAGTCTTTAAAAGTGTCGTAACCTGGAGCAAAAGCCTGCATGTAACGATACAGAAAAATCAGCCAAAACGAAGGAGTAACGACTGCACGGAATACTGACAAGGAGCAGAAGGGAAGGGAAAAGCAAGATGATGGTGAATTGCGTAGGCCAACGAAGCCAACGTCACGATCGTGCAGGGTAACAAAACGTGACCATCATTTTTTTCGGCTTCAAATTCTACATTACTATTAGATTTCTGTCATATGGATTTACAGAATTGACGAGACAATGAATAGATACATGTTCACGATACAAAACAACGGAAAAATAAGAGTATACCGATGGACATAACACGCGGCAACTGTAATAATGGCTACATAACATCATCGTGGATTCTAGCTTCCAAGCCATAGCTGTCAGTCGGTCATCAACGACAGGCACACTTATATCTCACCCTATTCGCGTTCACCAAACAAGGTACGTGGACAAGTGAATACGCCATACCGAAGAACGTGCCGAGCATTAAGCTATTGGTGGATCAGCTGTTACTGAAGCCAGGCCGGCAGCGTAGGGTGCTCGTCACCTTACAGAGAGAGAATTTGCTTGCCGTGTCTTGCTCTCGGGAGCGCATTTTGTCGCCTTCGATAATGACTTGAACACTTTATAGATTATAATAAGCACCAAAACTGTACGTCAAAAAAGTAAAACAGCACCTGCAAAAGGCAATTACTCTTATCGTTCCGTGTGCGTACGTACTAGTATCATCTGTGGCTCCGACCATTGATGACTGCGTGATTGAAGGCAGGCCATGGCTGTACTTGGGCAGCTGAATCTTACAGGGAGTACTGTAAGGAAAAGTCAGAAACGTGAAGGGCCTGAAATTAGACTGACTGACGAGACAAATCTTTCACTACACTCAAATACGTACGAACCTCTTGCTAGGCACTCGGATTCAGAAGCTTATGGGCATGATCTTAACAAGGATACTGGATACAAGATCAGCCGCAGCAGTAGATGATATCACAGAAGCAACGCACCAACGATCTGAAAAATCAAGCAAAACATGTTGCATCAACAGGTAGAGATACAGGGAACGATCCTAAAACCTCTGTCTGGGACAATATAACGGCGCGTCGGTATGAGGTGTAATAGCATAAATTACAGGAAGGAAATAGAGTTGGGAGATGGAGAGGCCAGGGGATTCATCAAGACACCGATATAAATGAGTTCGCAGTTGGAAGATATGCAATGGCACGCAATCAGTCGATATCCATCTTCCTGTTCCCGCCGTTCCCAGGTCGTCTGCCACCGCCGCCGCGTCTTCCTCGTCCACCTCGTCCCCCACCACGACCACCTCGCCACGGCACCTGTGTATACTCCTTTGGATCAGCACCAGGTGGAGCAACGAGAACCTGCGCCCGCGGATCCTTCAATATGGCATCTGACCTCATTTTTCTGATGGCAGAATAAGATAAGGAAGAAAAAAAGGTTAAAAACAACATACGAGCCGTTGTCGTTCTCTGAGTCCATCAAAACGTCCACACTGCCTTCCTTCATCACAAGCCCCATACCATCCGGGCCAGCCAGTCTCCCAAACAGTGAAGGGCCTTTGTGCAAGCCAACAATCACGACGGACAGCGTCTTACCGTCAGCCTGTTGCTTGTCAAATTTGGCAACAGCAGCTTTGGCAGACGAGGGGTCTTTGAATGTGAGTCGAATCACCACCTCGGGAGAGGCAGCCATGAGCTTGGACTCTGTTATCGCGCCACAGCGCTTAAAGATTGCAGCCACGTCCTCTGCCGTTGTTCCCTTCACAAGACCGGTAACCTCGACGACATTGTTCTGGCTGGCACCCTTTATTGACAATTCTGATGAGGAGATGCCTGCTGCTTTTTCGACGAATTTTCTTGCAGGTCCAAAGTTGACTCGGGGCGCTACAGGCTGGACGCCGAGACGTGCTGAAAGGTTGTTTTCTGATTCGTACATATCATGTCCCCATTGGCTGTCAATGTCTGCCTTGGGAGGTCTGCTCTGTTGCAAAGAGGTTGGAATAGAGAATGTCGAAGAAAGTGAAACCCACGAACATATGGTGTCGAGGATCGACTTGAGTGAGTACCCTTTGAACGGATAGCGCCGGTAGTAGGGGGATTCCCCATACGCTCAAGCAGTGAAGCCATTGACGAAAAGAAAAATGAGCAAGGAGCTAGTAGACGGTGGTGGTCGAAGACGAAGACGAAGGGGCGGTGGCGGTGCAGAGTCCAATTAGGCGATGCTGAGCGACCATCACAGCCTCAAAGATAAAGTCGCCATTGAAAGCGCTCACCCAATACTTTACTGCCAATCAGTCGTTTGCTTCCAAAGGCTATAGAGCGACGACCGAGTCGGAATTTCTCTTTCGTACGATGAATTGTACAGGGCTCACTATAAAGCGCTATCACCGGATAGTCCGATTCGCAACGTCAACCTGCTGACTGAAACAACAGATAACAACGCGACAGTCGCCCTCCTATCCTTTTATCAAACTACGTCCATGGACACGAACTCGTCGCAAAAGGCCATTCCACCAACAAAACAGTTGCTTGGATTCCTGGCCTATAGGATTGCGTTGGTTACAGGTATATGGATACCTGGAAGGTGCTGGAGGGTGATAGTTATTGCCGCTGTCCATACTTAGTGGACCTTCCGGTAAATACCCTACCCATTTACCGGTTTGCATTTCATGCTCCTGACTCCGCCCTGTCAGACTTTTCCCCGCAATCGCAAGCTGGGGATGCAGAAAACTAACTATGCACGGTATCCCTATAATACCATAAATCGTCGCTCTGTAGGCACAAGGCACCTACGATTTACATGCACTTTTGCGACGGTACCGAATTTAAACGCGACTTCAAAAGTTCAGATCTATCGGCAATATGTAACCCCGCCTCCAGTTCTCGTGATACGTATAAAAGAAACTTCTTAGACAACTATTTCGACGTCTCTTGTTACCACCCCTTGTCATTCCCCCATGTCTGCGAAAATCTACACCTCCCCCGACCCGTCTGTGCCTATTGTGAGCCGCTCCATTTTCACCCATCTCCTAGCCAAGGATGGCGATCTTGTTGGAGGACACCCAGCTAGCCTACCGGCATTCGTGGATTCCGCGTCGGGAACAACAATAACGCGTGCACAATTGAGGTCTCTTGCTCTTTCTCTGGGTTACGCCCTACGGAACCATCCAAAGATCGGCGCGAAGCGGGGGGATACCGTTCTCGTCTACTCCCCGAATTCTCTAGCGTGGCCTGTTGCCGTCTTCGGGTGTACGTACAAAGTCCCGTCTCTTATCAACGTACCTTATTCTTGCACTTAGCTATATCTGCTGGACTACGAACAACCTTTGCGAATAACGGATATACGAGTCGTGAATTGGCTCACCAATACAGGGATAGTCGTGCCAGCTATGTCTTCACAACCGAGGAAGGCTTGCCAACTGTCAGGGAGATGTTCAAGACCATTGGCATCGGAAGCGCAGGCGAAGAGAAGATCCTGTTATTAAGTAGCAGTTTATCCTGGGCAGGCGGACCCGATGCCTCGCGGAGTCCTCGCACCGCAGGCTTGCTAAGGATGGAGGATTTGTTGTCGCTGGGGCAGCTGAAGGAGGAAGAAAAGTTTGAAGGTGACCTTGCTCAGGAGACCGTTCTGTTGTGCTATAGCTCAGTAAGTGACAGGTCGACGAAGTAGATCATATTTTAACGGTACATCATCTAGGGAACTACTGGAAAACCCAAGGTATTATTCTCTACGTCTCAGGTGATTCTTTGTTGAGTGAAATCCTGTGTCCTTGAATAGGGTGTTGAGGTAAGTGCAGTCCCATCCTGTTCTTTATACACCCAAAGTGACGTCGATTATCCAAGACGACACATCAAAATCTGACATCTGTAGTTGACATGTCCAACTTGGCCTTAAGCTATATCGCTGGAGGGCCAATACTGGGTGTTCTTCCTTTCTACCACATATATGGTACATTTTCTTCGCAATTCACAACATCAGTTTATTCACTACGCCCACAGGAGCCGTCGAGTTGCTACTAGTTCCCCCTCAGATGCGGTAGCCCGTGCATTATCCAACCACGCTTCGACCCCACACAGTTCTGTGCCAACATCGAACGGTATAAAATCAAACTCGCATTGATCGTCCCGCCGATAATGGTCGTCTTAGCCAGACATCCGGGTATGCCGATGTCTTTTCAAGTAATACGGCGTCTTTCGCTGACACCCGCCATACCCTAGCTGTTGAGCAATACGATCTGACGTCCCTGAAAGTGCTAGTTTCAGGTGCAGCACCTTTGGGGGCAGCATTGACGAAACAGGTACGCAGTTCATTATTTATTTCTAGACGGGATGAAGCTAATCGCTGTGTTCAGGTCAACGACCGACTCCGTTCGAGGAACACGAACTGTGCTATTGTACAGGGCTATGGTCTGACGGAAACCTCTCCTATGACGCATCTTCTCCCACCGCAAGACGCCGAGAGGAAGATGGGTAGTATTGGCATTCTTTTGCCGAATCTCGAAGCCCGACTGGTCGACGAAAGTGTGGACGCGGCGGAAGGCCAACCAGGTGAACTCTGGGTACGAGGACCTACTGTTATGAAGGTATGCGTGGTCCTTCATTTAGCCGGGAAAAGGATAATTAAGGTGGATTAGGGCTATTTGAACAATGTCGAGGCGACCAACGAGGACTATAACGCCGGAAGGATGGTTCATGACCGGCGACGTTGCTATCCGCGATAGGGATGGGTTCTATTTTATTGTAGATAGACGGAAAGAACTTATCAAGTACAAGGTGAGTCTGGTATCTGTCTCTCAAGTTCAGGCTGAAATGACACTTCCAAGGGTTTCCAAGGCAAGCGCAACGCTACTAATGAGAACGTTCACTAACCAATGCCTTACAGTCCCTCCGGCTGAGCTGGAAAGCGTACTGTTAAGCCATCCTGATATCGCAGACGCAGCTGTAGTTGGAGTATACGATGCAGAAGAAGCTACGGAACTACCCAGGTGTGTTTCTTTTCATAATTTTAGTATTGTGACTCTAAACAATTGCTTCAGAGCTTATGTCGTCCACGCCAAACCTCACAGAATAAGTACCGACATCGAGAAGCATACTTTCTCGCGAGACGTATCTTCGTGGATACAGACGAAGGTGGCGAGACACAAATTCTTACGAGGCGGTAAGAGATCTTGTAGTACCTTCCTACGTCTGTCCTCACATCTGCATCTGTCTTAGGCGTCGCTGTCATCGACATTGTACCTAAGAGGTAAGCACTAGTGGAATACCGATCCTCTGACTCTTAACACACAACTCCAGCGCGGCCGGAAAAATTCTTCGTCGAGAGCTACGCGAGCGTGCGAAGGCTGAAGTAGAGAAGCCTTCGAAGGCGAAGTTGTGAGACGGATGGTAGACTGGCAGACATGGGCCCGGTTTCCACCACGAGCAAGAGGCGAAGCAGAGGGATTATCTCATAGGATACAAGACTGGTTTTATTACAAGTACGTACACTGCATTCTACAACGTAGACAATAGATCTAGAAGAACTTGGTCAGTAAAGAGCACTCGCGTTAGATCAGAGAAGAGGATCAGGGTTGTCAAATTCTGGAGCCCGCCCCCGCCATCATTGACGAGGTATACACCATGAAGAAATTCAAAAACATAATTTTCGAAGCATCATAAACAAGCAAGAAGGAAAGAGACTCACCAACTACCCTTCAACGCATTCGCTACGCACGAAGAAGCGAATTCTTCAGATGAGGAAAAAAATTGAGATGTCCTATGCCGAACGAGAGTGAGCCCCATTGTGTTGAAGACCTCCGAGAAGGACTACAATCGTATAACTGTGTCTATGAGCAACAAAGTGCCTACACCTCCAGCAGACCACCGAGCGATACACACGCTCATATCTTCGCGCATGAACACCTTAGCCGGATAGCCTGCCATCAGAGAGACAGCAGAGCGGTCGAGAGGGAGTAACGAGCCAAAAAAAAAATCAGGCTGAGCAAAACATTCTCGCCGTCCTCGTCCAGTACCATCGTGCTTGGAGATGGTCGCTTTCCGTTAGTTGAACGAGGACACACTCTGCATCTCCGGGGACTTTCCCCACAGCAAAAGGTGAAAGCCAGAGCTCTCTGTACGGAAGCTGCGACGACGATTCTTCGAACGGCAAAGGTGACGAAACCGCAAAGAAGAAAAATCAAGTTTTATTTTCCATTTTTGGAACTCCGATTGAAATCAGGGTCGGTCGGTCGCAGCCGGACTGCCGGGACACTTGAGCTTACGACTTCGAACTCTGATGTCGTCCACGCATGAACAGCCTACTCAACAGCCCCAGCGGGTTAGAAAGCCTGCATTCTCGGACTGGCCGACAATAAAGATACTGACGCCTCCCCAAGGTGAGCTCCTCGCGGTCAGTTCATGAAATATCTTAACAAAGGCACAATTTCACAGGACGTTTCTCTCCCAAAACCGACGAGTGGTGTATAACGTACTGCACGCAGACGGTCAAGGGCCGTTTCAACAGCCAGGAACCTTCATGCCGATCTTTATGTATCCGACGGATATTTGCCCATGAAGTCCGGAATATTGTATCGTTCCGACGGCATCAAGATGTCGACGAGGAGGGCAAGGCAAAGTACCCACTACCTGCTGAGGGACAGCCCGTCAATATGCCTCGATACTTAGGTGGGAAGGCGTCCTCGGATACGGATGATGAGCCGACACCGCCGCCTGAACGGAATAGGGCGACCAAGTACTGGGACGAGGGATGGTATTTATGGACAAGCACCAGCCATGTTTCGTCGGTGGAGAAGCTACAAATGATGAAGTATGACCTACGGGGGCAGGTCCGGAGAGAGCACTACAAGGAGCAGAGAAAGGCGACCTGGCAGGAGTACCAGCAATTCATAGAACGCAATGCTCAGCCAGTGCACTCTCCACTTCCCGACGGCGAACACAACAAATGGTGGGGTGCCATCGTGCCGCCTCCCCCAATACCCGATACATCGTGAGCAGACTTTTCGTTTCGTTCCGATTTCCGTCATTCTAATTTCCCTTCAGATCACATTCTTTGCTTATACCATTACCACCACAGATGCCTCCAGCTTGGGATGGTATAAGTAAGCTACTGCAGCCGACACGGCGCGTTTTGACGATCTTCCGAGACAGTCTCATCGCTGGGGACCACTTGACGTTTGCAGGGATGGTTTGGCGAAAAGCATGGACAAAGGAGCCTTATTTTCTTGTTCAACGGACGTTGGAAACTGCGCGTGATATGTGGAAGGGAGCTGGGAAGGATGACAATGATGATGAGAAAGATAGCACACATTAGCCTGATGTATATTATAATAATAGAGGACACTATTCTGTATATCGTTAATACCACTCCATACATAACGGAGAAGGAAAGAAAGACATCTCTGATTTTCTCCTCCAATCGCATGCTCAATTTCTAAACCCCACAAAGGCACTCTATCTATAGACAATTTGCATTTCTTTGCCGGTACTTGACCCGAGGCTGCTGTTGCACTTCCCGCGGCTTGATTGCCTGCATCAACACCACTAACTTTTCTATATATATAGAGAGCGCGCGCCTCTATCTCGAATCGACAAAAGAAGGGTTCTAGAATCGAAGATCCTCGAAATATCTAATTAGTTATCCTAGTTTTGTACCGAAAAGTCCAAATCTGAAAGTCACGAACATATCGAATAAAGAAAATCATGAATGAATAGAGCTGCGCACGAGACCCGCTCGTTCATACTGGACAACCTGCTCTCCAGAAGAACAATCGCCGTTATGGCAGGATGCAGAAGTCCCTGCCTTGGACTGCTTCAGAACGTATCTTCCAGTTTGAAACCAGATGGTTCCCGGGTGACTTTGGCTAAGGTCTTTGAAGACATATCTCCAGCAAGGTACATCTAGGAAGTGAATCAGAACCATCAAAGATTACTAACAATGTATGGATGCACTTACGCGAATCCCATTTTGGTCTGGCATCCAAATATAGTCACCACCGCCAACGTGCATAGTTCGGTATCTAAATTTGGTTTTAAGAAAGCTGGGAAGTAGAAATGGTTAGTCTCACCTATGATCAGACGATAAGCCGAGAAAATCTTTAGCGGCTTGCTTGGGCACAACGCCGCGGATCTCAACCTGGCTGCCGTCGGTTTTCCATTCAATAAGCCCAAAACTCCGTCCATTAACAGCCTTGAGTACAGTGTACCCAGGCATCTTCGAGTCAGTTGTAACGTAGAATTGAGGGTCATTGTTGAGCCCAACCACAATGCAGTTAATGATGGAAGGGTTGAGAGCCGTGAAGTAGAAGGTATGCATGCTTGGAGCATTACTGGAGGAAGAATTATTCCAGGGAAGTGCACCGTAAATTGAAGGGGGGATTTCAGATGATGAGCCGCTGGGAAGGGTACCCCATACGTTGTAAGGATGCTGCATCGTAGGATTAATAAGTCGAAATGAAGGAAGAGAAGGATCGAGATGGGTTGTTTGAACGAGGAGCAGATACTTCACGTTTATGTACTTTGAAAAATGGTAACTGGGATATTTTTGGATGTCATTGGCACGGGCAAACAGTGCTGACCGGACTCGCAAGCCCGCTAACTCTCGACCTCAACCAAGCTGAAGAAGAGACATAAAAAGGCCACCTCGGCAAGGAACACCGAGGTCACGAAGGCAGCATCCTGAAAGGAGAAGTTTCGCAGGAGCCTAGTCCCCATGGACGATCACCAAGGAAGTCGGGCGCCAATCCACAGCCAGCAAGGAGGAAATCGTTTCGATGCCACGTTAGACCCATAAAGTCCATAACAGGATAACAGGTGTACACACTAATGATTATGCATAGCCGTAGGAAAGGTTTAGCCATTGATAAAGGTTTGAAGGGGAAAAACTGATCGAGAGGGTCGATCAGGCATTGAGGCGTGATCCTGATATTGTGATCCCCGAGACGAGATACATCAGAGAAATTTGCAAGGCGTCATAACGTTACTAACACTGCGGCAACCCACGACCCGGGTAGACACGGCAAGTTGACCTTGTTTCGTGTGAATCGAATAGTTATCGTCGCTAGGTATCATCTAGTTCCCTGAGCAGTAAATGATCCTTAGTCTGAATAAGATCACACTGGTTCACCCTCGGAGGCATCGACGGATGGACATACTACTGGCCCTGCCGGTCGTCGAAGTCAACATACGATCGAGCATCAGCCGTCGGTACCGGCAACTTGCCGGTAACTAACCCGATGATCCCGCATCACCGCTCGAAAGAAAGAGTTTTCGAGTTCCCTGAAGACAGTAGCTTCGATAGAAAGTGAACGTGAAGAGCTACTAAGTTCTACGTCCACTCCATCACTGTCTGTGCTCAGTGCTCTGACCAGAGTCTGAATGTTGAATGAGTCACAACGAAGCCCGCAAGGTAGAGAGGTAGACAGATACGAGCAGAATCATAGGACAAAGTTCCCCGAGACTTGGTATATGATTATCCACGCTTTTCTGAGCTCCAGTTGGCCTGCGCTCGACGGAAGATTTGTGGGCCCGATACGGAACATGTAAAACAATGCGTGTACACCCAGTTGGTGCTGTCAGACCCTCACGCCACATTAATACCGTCTAAAGCGTCCGAAATTTTGGCCAAGGTGATGCCAGAGTATAGGCACTGTACACAGAACAACGGCCATTAACTCGCCGACCTCTCGAGATACAATTCTAATCGTCAACGACATCTGAGCCCTTCTCGATCTCGCCTTTGACAGTGGGGACTGTGCATTGTGCAAAATTTCAAATTTGTTCAACAATTCGGCAAGGAAACATTAGAGTCCCAGAATCCTAAAATTTAAAAGCTTAGATTAACTTGTGTTCGATGGACGGATCAGGGAAACTTATGAAATTCTCCGTCCAATACATGCACTGATACCACCGGGAAAATGTCAACCTATAAAACACCAGAACCAGAAGGAGTTATATATCTTCAAAAGTGGCCTACAGGTTCGCACAGACACCCACTGAAAGGCCCTTTTCACATATCGGACATCGAGCCACCGATCCGGATTAAAGGTCTGGGCGTTAGCCCCCAAAATATCGGTATTGCTATCCAGTGATCTTGTTAGAGACTTCAATAAAGGAGTGATATGCCGGTTATATGAAGCGACGGAGGCAATGATCTTTTAGCCTTTAGGTACAGGTCCTTGATGAAAGACTCGACCAGAGGCTGTGATGGTAGAATTCGAGAGAGAATGACATCGTTGCATTCTGCTTGCCTGAACATATTATACACTGCTGGATGGAATCGGAAAACTTCCTCTGGCTGGGGTTGAACAAGGTACGCAGGCGCGGTAAGGATGATACTAACCTTGACAATAGCAGTCAAGTATAGCATCGAACCAAAGTCCAGTGTGCCCGAGAATTCCGCCGATTCTCCGAGGCTCTGACCTTTCGTTCCTTTACGCGTATCTCCTTGCGCAGTTTGTCCTGCATTTCTGGATTTCGGCTGAGTTCCAATACAGTTTAAGTAAGACTACTAGCCGTTGTTTCATGACCAGCAATGATGATTGAACTACAAGAGGTGAGATGGGAAGAAGCAGCCTCATTGCGAAGAGAATGCACTAACCACATCTGGGCATACAGTCCGTCATCAGTGAGGCGATTCTTCACGTCACTGGAATTATTGACCTTTACCGGAAATTTCTCAATTGAGAGGATCCAGTCACCCAGATGTCAGGTCTTTTTATTATTCACCTAACAGAGACGTTATGTTGTACTTGGTATTCCCGGTAAGCAAATCGACATTTTCGGAAGTGACCACCCTTTGAGCAATGGTATGTGAAGCGTGTATGCTCGAGGCCAGACGCATACTCTGTCATCCACTGGAGAAGAGAAAGGAGAGAGCTTCCAGTATACTTGTGAAAAGGATTCTATGGTTTGACGGTGTAGCCATGGCGCCGAAGCTATACGAATAGATTCAGTTGATAGTACTAAGCCAACGCGGGCCTAAATGATCTCACAAAGATTATTGAATGCATTTGCTAGCTCGTTATCTCCATTATCCAGGGAATTGAACTGGTAGCTGAAAGCAGCTATCAAACAGCGATAGAATGAAGATCTGGTTACCTTCACCAATTGCATCCAGGGTTGCACGAGACGTCCATGTTGGGATGTCAACAATCGATTCCTGTTTCTCCGAGGATGAGATGAGATCTCACCATTTATTGGCCATCTATTGAACTTGGTTGAAAGTGGTATCATCAAGGGAAGAAAGGCGCTCACCTAGGTTGCATAGAAATTGAACACAGGTACAAGCGCTCTAGATCTCGGCACGCTGAAACCTGGCAACATGACCTTTCGATGTCGTTTGCAGTCTTCGGTGCGGCCTTCGGCTAGGTGACAATGGTCGGCGCTTCGAACGCCTAGCCGCAGAGGTATAGACTTACCATCTTCCCATCCAATTCCTTGGTCAGATAAGATGCGGGAAACTTCGCGTTGTAGGTAGCTTGGAAAACTTGTATGCTGATGCTTGACAGATGGTATTCCTGCTTTAAAGTCGTCAATAGAATCCACGAAGAGAAAAATGAATCCTGCATACACCAAAGGGCCCCTAACTCGCACGATACCACCGTATATGGATTTCCATTTAAAGTCAGTCTTGTATGAGGGGACTGCGCAACTGAATGCGGAAGTCGAACCTCTCGGGGTTAGCTTTGCATCGATTCCGGAAGGCAACCTTAAATTCAACGTAAGTTAAAAGGTGCTGAAACAACCACTGAATAAAAATCATTACAGAGGTATAACTCCGATTTGGAACCGGAAATCTGGGTAATCGAGATGCGAGAGTAACGCTTGTATGCGACATATAATGCTGCTAGGAGTGCCAAGCAGGTGAATGTGACATATTCCCATGCTGTATCAGAAGGGAAAGGTACCGCAGGATACTCACACCTACACAGGCCGAGGTTATATAGCCCTTGACAGCCGAATTCTTCGTGAAAGTTGAAGCGCATGCTGACGCAGTCCATACATGGATACGGAGATCGTGATGCTTCACATTGCAGCTGACCTTCTGTCAAGAACTTGAAGCCACGGCGTCCGATTATGACTGGCTACATTGACGCCGTTTCGAGCCTTTTCTTTTCTTTTCTTTACCTTTAATTTCTACCACCGTGTCGTACTCGCTCTTGGACTGAAGACCTGTCCCATAGCAGATCATTTACAGTGCCGTTCGGTGACTCATAAAGGCCCATGGGCCTGTTGTCGCAATTCTGTCAATCACAGAAAGTCACTGTCGTGAGACCAGATGTGATAAGACCCAAACCTGCAAGAACCTTGGTTAGGCTCAACTTCGAGTCAAGTTCAATAGCATTCTTTTTTGTTTTGCGCGAAGGAAGAGACTCTGCCAGCCGGGAAACCATCAAGCTAAGGACTTCTTAAAGTCGGTGTGTCAAAGGGGGGCATTGTTCAATTTATAGCAAAGGTGGGTGCTAGCCCACAACCATTTCTGCGGCCTGCCTCTTTGGAATGGGCTTCTATCAGCCGGCAAGCCTTCAGCATGCGGTCAAAGGCACATGAAGAATTCGAACATTACGATATTTGAATGCAGGAGGGCTATGTTGGAGCGAGAAGAAGCTGGTAAAACATAAGCACCGTGTCCTTTCTTCCGCGCCTGTAGGAATAGCGTATTGTGTTCATAAGTCAAATACAAGCTTGCCCTGAAGAAGGATATTTATCTGAATGGTAAAGATGACTTATGATACTGAATCAGTGAATTACAGAAGGAACCTGACCTCGCATCCCTCAAGACATACGTCAAAAAGAAGTTGACTCCGAGTCCCTGAGGCCCGCGCGGGTTCGAGTGCCGTTAGGCAATGAGAAGTACTTTGACATCGTGAAATACTCGCCAACGTTTCACACTCTCCTTAAGTATAATGTGGTGCAGTGACGGAACCTGTTGGAAACGGCGTACAATACAACAGAACTCTTGTTAACAACATTAGTATAAGAAACAGAATCCGAAGTTCAAACCCTTCACGTACCTTTGACCGCCCGAGGACTTGCCTCCTCCGAGTTCTGGCAGTCCCGCAGTTCTGGGCTGACAGAAGCCCATCCCAGGAACAGTCACAGTTCTTCCAACCCACCCACAATACACTTCCGCCATCACCATGGCAAACGCGAAGTCTTCGGTCGCCTGGTCCAGTGTCGAATTGGTCACTGCTTCACAGGAGGCATTCAGTGTCCCTGTGGAGAGCCTATGCAAACACGAGACCACATCATCCGTGAATGCCCCCGATACAATGGACACCGAGACGGACTCCGCAAAGTCTCCAGAGACCTATACTTGCCGGACATCTTAGGGACGAAAAGGGGCATAGAAGCCCTGGCAGCGTTCCTGGAGAAATCAGGCGCATTCACGAAGACTGGCACCCCCAAACGGCCGCCCATGCGACCCACATTGGATGAAGAAGAAACCACGCTTGAAGACTGGCTGGGAGATCAGGACCTGGAGCGAGAGGAAGATCCCGGAGGTTGAAAAGTGGTAGAGGAAGGATGGAAATGTTGACAGACCCGGAGAACAACCAAGGAACTCGCTCCATGCACAAACCCGTGCCCCATAGCCTGAGTTATGGTGGCGTCAACCCCCTTGGATACCAAGGACTCAACACATGAAGTCACGAGAAAACTATACCATTCAAGGTCTGAAAATCCCCCCGTGTACCTACAGTAGCTACTGGGGCTGGCTATGAGCAAGCGCCGCCGCGTCTCTGTACATAGATTACGGGTTGCGGTTTCGAAATATAGATTTTTTTAAATAAAAATAAGAAAAGTTCTTCCAACCCATGGTCCACGTGAAACGGTCCGGCGCTCCGAGCATTTGCCGCTCAGTTCCGTCCTATGAGATGATAGTACTGGTGCGGTGGAATTTTCTTGGACGGCAATCTACTAAGTGAAGTTCGCCTGGCGACGTTCTCACCCTTGAAAGGACAAAGAAACCACTTGTTCCCGATACCTCAACTCTTGGAATTGGTAAGAATATATTTGTCTCCTGCAAGAGATGGAAATGACTCAAAAAGCTTGAAGCCGCAGCCGATAGGCTAATCTCAGCCAGCCAATGAAAAGTTTTCGAGAGTCTCACGAGCCGCGATCGGGTCACTCTCCACTTTTACACCATTCTCTGCAAAGAAAGGTCCAACGGTGACAAAACTTGTATTACACGCTCTCAGTGAACGACGAGATTCCCACAAACAGGAAACGGGATGCCACATATACGGAACGCGTTGTCAATGAACCCGGGGTCACGGCTAATAGAATACCCCGAACTTCGTATCGTACCTCGATAACATGGCCCAGATAAACGACAGTGTCTTAATTATTGGCGCTGGGGTCTTTGGTATCTCCACTGCATATCATCTCCTAGTCAGAGGATTTACCGACGTAACCGTCATCGAACGAGCAGAGACGTTGCCCCCCGCCGATGGAACAAGCAATGACTTCAATAGGAGTAAGAAGCTTTGCCAGTTGTTTCCGATCCCCAGATTAACTTGTTTGCAGTCGTGCGCACATCCTACGGCGACCCTTTTTATGCCAAGTTGGCTCACGAGGCCATTCAGTCTTGGAAGAACCGAGAATTATTTGGGGATAGTTATCAAGAGTATTCGATCTATCACACTCTCTGCCAGAAAAAAAATTTATTGACAACTTTCATTTTTAGATCAGGTGTCCTTGTTCTGGGTTCCACAAATTCTTACACAGAGCAATCGTATACAAGCGATGCCGCGCTTGGCTTGCGCTTGAAACAACTAAAGAATGCTGATGCTATTCGTAGTATCTTCCCAGACGGCGACAAGGTAGGGTCCTTTGATAAGATCACTGGATACCTAAACTTAGACGGCGGATGGGCTCATGCAGCGAATGGTGTATCTGCTTTGACTGCGAAGGTTATCCAACTGGGAGGGAATGTGCTTCCTGGAAAGACTGTTAGCGAACTCTTAAAGGAGAACGGTAAGACTATAGGCGTGCAATGCAAGGATGGATCTTCCTTCAGAGCCAAGTATACTGTCGTCGCTACTGGAGCCTGGACACCTTCAACTTTTCCGGAACTCAATCTTCAGGAGAAGTTCGTGGCTACAGGGTGAGTGTGCCCCAGGCTACCGCCGCCAATAAGCATCCCCACCTGACAGTGTGGTACTTAGCCAATGTGTTACGATGGTTCAGCTCACACCTGAAGAGGCTAAGACCTACAAAAATATCCCTGTTGTGCTAGATTTCGATTCGGGATTCTACTGTTTTCCGGTGAGTGTCGTTTACTCGCTCCAGTGCAGAAACATAACATTTCAAAAGCCCAGTGCAGACAATATAGTAAAAATGGCTATTCACTCTCGCGGATACATACATACCAAAGACGCGATATCAACACCTCGTACAGTTGTCTCTGACGGGGAAGATGGACTTCGGATTCCAAAGGCCGATCTCAATGAAATCAGAAGTCGATTCAAGGAGGTTTTCCCCGAGCTTGCCCACAAACCACTGCTTCGTACTCGGCTATGTTGGTATACAGACACCCAGGATGGGGATTGGGTAATTGGCCCTCATCCAAAGGATAGTGCTTTGATATTTGCGACAGCAGGAAATGGACACGCTTATAAGGCTAGTTCGACGGTTAATTACCGCACACAAATAAACTAACAGGCGCTCTTGTCTTCGTAGTTTCTTCCTGTCATCGGTCGCCTCGTCGCAGATGTGCCTCGAAGGGACAAATGGAACCTGCCGTGGCCAAAAAATTTGCATTTGATCGCGAAGTGGATCACAGTGACGATTCAAGAGCTGGTACGCAAACGACAAGAGCTGGATTTGGGTCAGTTATGCACATCTGAAGATTTGGCTCGTTACAGGGTTGAACGCCAGCATAGGAACTAAAAATAAATGGAGATCTATAGGTAGAATACATGGAACTTCAGGTGCTCCTTTTGATATACCTTTTTCGAGGTCAAGGTATTGAGCAATCATGCTCGCTTTCCAACAAATTCCCGCCAGGATTTGACTTCACTGGGTATCCGTCCTTCCGTGTAACTCCTCAAGCCACCATGTGGTATCTTCTTTGCTAAGCTCTCGACGAACAGCTGAGCAGTGCGAGCATTGTTTAGTAAAGGCAATCCAAAGTCAACGGCATTTCTGAAAGGCCGATTAGCTGGAGATCCTGGAGATTATGTAACTACTTACCGGCGAGCTACATAGTCCTCATCAGTGAAAGTCAATCCTCGAGACTTGGCTAGATTGATGACACATTGGATCTCGTATTCATCGAAGACCTCCCTCAGTTTTCGTTTGTCCTTCGTGGGGAAGAATATACGTTTCGCCGTGACGTAGGGAATATCATTGAGGAATTCTTCCACCACAGGGGAGGAACAATAGAGCTTGAAACCGAAGGTCAAGCAACTGCTTAGCGACAGTAGTCATCTCTGGACGGCTCGTATCTCCTCCGATCAGGACTCCTGATCCGGCCTTGGGAACTTTGAATCCTGTTGTACTGAGCAGAGATGCCCAATATGCTTCATGGATATCCTTCCCGAAACTTGCGACTTCACCCTGTGCTTGCCATTTCTACATAGACGAATTCAGTTGAAGGCGATTTTCACGAGAAAAGGTTACTTACCAACGCCAAGGAAAGGGTCGGCACCGCCCAATCGAGTCCAAGAGAATTGGGCAACCTTGATAGAAGTATAGTCGCGCTGTTCTGTCATAAGATCCACTGGTTGAGGGACATTCTCGTCAACGATGGCAGTGGTAGCCGTGTCGATAAAGTTGTGGCCGAGAACCTTGGATACAAAGGGGAAAGAGCGAGATGCTCGAAGGTTGCATTCAATAACTTTGAGTGCTGCTTCCTCATCGGGAGAATCGGCCGATTTTCTGATAATTTGCATATTGAACGGTCCAGAGATCTCGAAAGCTTGCGCAACTTTTTCAGCGATTGTCTTCAAGCGGGCTAAATCCCGTTCCGTAAGGGAGAAGGGAGGAAGAACGAGGGTTGCGTCGCCAGAGTGAACACCGGCGTTCTCGACATGTTCAGAAACGGCGTGTACCAGAAGTTTACCCTGATGGGCAACTGCATCAATATCGATTTCTTGTGCGTCATCGATGAATTTGGTAATGACAACGGGATGGAGGGGAGACACTGAAGCAGCAGCAGAGAGGTTGTACTCAAGGGCCGCCTCCTCGTAGACCACGTTCATCGCGGCGCCGGACAAAACGTATGAAGGTCGAATAAGGACAGGGTACCTAGAACAACATTAACGAGCACTCTCAATCAGAAAGAGCGGAACAATCGTACCCAACTTTTGCCGCGAACGCCTTGGCAGCATCCAAAGAGGTTGCTTCGGTCCATTCAGGCTGATCGACATCGATACTGTCAAGTACAGAAGAGAACTTGTGGCGATCTTCTGCTTTGTCAATTTGCTCTGGATTCGTTCCCAGAACGTTGACGCCATTATGTTTGAGTCGCAACGCAATGTTCTGCGGGAGTTGGCCTAGAAAGGGGGTCAGCGACGGTACATACAAATTAGACGTATACTCACCACCGACACTGACAACCACACCCTGGGCATGCTCAAGCTCGTAAATATCCATGACACGTTCGTATCCAAGCTCCTCGAAATACAGCCTATCGGCTTCATCGAAGTCTGTCGAAACAGTCTCAGGGTTATAGTTGATCATGATTGTCTTTTTGCCCATGTCCCTCAGTTTCCTGGCACAGGTGACGGCACACCAGTCAAACTCGACACTGCTGCCAATTCGATAGACGCCACTACCCAAGACCATGGTTCCGTGCTCATCGAAGTCGATGTCATGTTCCGAGGCATTGTACGTTGTGTAGAGATAGTTGGTGTTGGCCGGAAACTCGGCGGCAAGAGTATCAATCCGCTTCACGAAGGGTGTGATCCCAAGAGATTTCCTAGCACTTCGAACAACGTCTTCCGTAGATGAAACCAAGTCAGCAATCTGAGAATCTGAGAAGCCCATGCGTTTTGCCCGAGTCATGAGATCATGGTCTATAGCTTCGATTGATCCAGCTGCTTTCAGAGCATGATGTGTTTGAACAATGTTGTCGATCTTGTGAAGGAACCACTATTATACTAACTTTAGTATGAGTTAGATGTCTAAAAGTGATATGCACCTTGTCAATCTTGGTCAAGTCATGAAGCTGGTCAACAGTGTAACCCTTGTTGTACATGGCATATGCAATGGCGAATAGCCTCATGTCCGTGGGTTTCGACAGGGCCTGATCCAAATCCTCTGGAGAGACATACGCCTCGAAACCTTTCCATCGTGGGTCGACTTGCCTAATGGCCTTCTGCAAACTTTCCTCGAAAGTGCGACCAATAGCCATAACTTCACCAACTGACTTCATGGCCGAACCAACTTCCCTGTTGACTTGAGACGAGAATTTAGCCAAATCCCACTTCGGAATCTTCGTGACAATATAATCAAGGGACGGTTCGAAGCAAGCCGTGGTCGTTTTGGTGACTGCGTTGGGGAGTTCGGGGAGCGTATAACCAAGAGCGATCTTTGCGGCTGTGTACGCAAGAGGATAACCAGTCGCTTTGGAAGCCAGAGCACTGAGTTTACGTTAGTAATGGTTCGCACGGCGATGAGTCAGAAGTACCTTGAACGACTCAATCTGAAAATGCAATGTTAGCAGATTATGAGACTAAAAAAGCGTAAATTTTACCTAGCATTAACTTCGATAACACAGTATTCCCGGGATGTCGGATTGAGAGCGTATTGAATGTTACACTCACCCACGACACCCAGATGACGAATAACCTTGAGGGCTGCACTTCGAAGCATATGGTATTCGTCATCAGGTAGGGTCTGAGAGGGAGCAACGACAATTGAATCTCCGGTATGCGTTCCTAGAGGGTCGAAGTTTTCCATGTTACAACAAATGATCGTGTTCTATCTCAATTAGTAGGGAAGCAAATTGCTTAAATGACTGAACCCAACGTACATCTGCCCCATCACGAACAACTTCATATTCGAGTTCTTTCCAGCCTTTCATACTACGTTCAATCAATACCTGGGGGCTCAAACTGAGACTCTTGGCAGATAAGTCACGCAATTCGTCCGGGTTGTTAGCAAAACCAGATCCGAGTCCACCGAGCGTAAAAGCGGATCGCAAAATGACGGGATAGCCGATTGTTTCAGCTGCCGCAAGAGCTGCATTAACAGAGGAGACAGCCGTTGATTGTGCCGCGGGAATATCAATTTCTGGTCGAAATTCAACATTGGTGCTACAAAAAGAGGGAAAGAAGAGTAGATTTACCCTTGAGTGCCTGTACGAAAAGATCACGATCCTCAGAAACTTCGAGTGTCTGGATGGGTGTCCCTAAAACTGTAACTCCAAGTCGTTCAAGAACTCCCATCTTGTCCAAAGCGATACCGACGTTGAGAGCACTCTGACCACCGAAAGTGAGAAGGATACCGTCCGGTTGTTCTTTTTCCAATACGTATGCGACATAGTCGGCAGTAATGGGTAAAAAGTAGACTTCGGAAGCCAATTGATGGGACGTTTGCCATGTAGCGATGTTAGGATTGATCAACACAGCGTCAATGCCTTCCTCGCTGAGAGCCTTCAATGCTTGAGATCCAGAATAATCGAATTCACCGGCCTGTCCAATGCTTAAACCTCCACTACCAACCACCACCACCTTCTGGACTTTGGGCCGGGGAAGTTTAGGGAGAACCTTGGCTGATATTTTCCGTGCTATTTCTGAGGGGGAACTGGGTGCATTTCCGTTGTCGTTGGGAGAGTAATTTCCAACTGCAGGGGCCGCGACTGCACGGACAGGGTTAGTGGCTTTGAGAGCAAGACGGGTAGCAGTATAGTGCAAGGATCGGAAAGTTGTTCGAGGTAAATGTCGGTACGCTGACGATGTGCATCGTAGCAAGCTCATCGTCGCGAAAGACGAGCCAAGCGGCGGCTATGACTCGAGTTGAAAAGTACAATAAATTGAATAATCGAAATTAATTTTTCACAAGCTATCATCACGTGGTTGTTAGAACGGAATACGGGCCGAATTCCCAATTATTCCTTGATGAAAACTACGATGGTCCAAATACTGCCCTGAGACGCATTCAGCTGAAGAACTCCGGAAGAGTTGTCTCATGCACCGTTTCTCGTGCTTGTCTCGAATATGCCTCAACAGTCACCTTGGCTCATAACTCAACACCTTCCGTGGTGTCGAAGTACTTTGCAGTAATACCCTTCTTTGGACAAGTTGTAACTATATAATACCCATTGCATCGAATCGCCTTTTTGCTTTCTGATACGGCGCAATGTCGGTTAATCCATTATAGGTGTGTGAAGTCACCGATTCTTTTGCATTCATTCATTCCGATAGATCACTTCCATTTCACCAATACAGACCGGAAAGGTAGAGATTTCGAAGGTTTATGCAGGCCTACATGATGGTTATGACTCGTCTCTTAACACGCTTCATTGCGATTTGGATGGGACCCGTCATCCTAAGTCGCTTCCTTCTGGTGGTCATTCGACAGGTGCGCCTAAATGCGAAGTTGCCAGTGACCGTTCTTGTTCAAGCTTCCATTATTGGTGGTAGTGCTGCAGTGCTTCGGGACAGTTTTTCTCGGATAAATCCCAACCTGTTTCATGTCTCTCGAATCGCCTGACACCACAGTTTCCAGCGATTTGAATGTCCTCTTCAAAGTCTAGACATTCAACCAAGATCATCCCCGCAGCTTCCTGTCAAAAGTGCAGTTCCGAGCTTTGCATTTGTTTTTTCTCACCGTACTGCCGAACGTATGTGTATCGCTCATTTCAATACCGAGGTTTTCAAGCTCTGATGAATAACATGGTCTTTCCCATGATCAGGGGAAGACGGCGTTTCATTGGGGTCCGCTCCTCTCCCAGGTTGCGTGCCTGTGACAGGGTGTCCCATGTCCTGGAGTTGTACATGCGCATATGTATCGCTGAACGAGCCAGTATCGCTTCGAGGACAGTGTATATTCGTCAGGCTAATATTAATTCATCACCAGTGCGATGACCTCATGTTTGTGATATCGGATATGATTGCTCCTTCCGTCGCACCTTATCCACGTTATCGCAGAGTCTACCAAAGCGAGTATTCTCACATGCGGGAGTTGCCTAGTCGCCAGGACTTCGGAAGAGCAATCAGCGAAAATCGTGTACCTCGGCAATACTCTGGAAGGCTGATAGGCAATGAAGTGTCCAGATCCGGGCTGAAGGACTACACGACCTGCAGCTTTTGCTTAAATGCGAAAGATGTTCGATGATATGCTGTTGACCCTCGACGGATCATTATGGCTTCTTACCAGACGAATGACGCAGAGAGAGGCCTTGCCGATGTCATTCACTTACGGCCTCCCACAAGCTCTGCTTCAAAGGCGAATCCTGGATTCGACCTGCCCTCTCTTCGAAAACCAGTTAAACCTGGCGACTACCTTTCCAAGCCAAAGACCCATACCCGACCAGCGAGAAAGGCCAACTTCTGGATTACTTGTCAATTATGGTTCAACACATATCGGTTCGATTAATTTCTATTATTCAGCTACGTAGCGGCCATCTCACATATATGTGTCCAGGAAATTCTATACTTTTGTCGTGTCTATGAATGTAGTGGGACTAATTCTCACGGCTACCAATACGTGGAAGTATCCTCGCGATTTCACAGGCGCTTTCATTCTAGGCAATCTTCTCACCGCCATTCTCATGCGGAACGAACTGTTTGGGCGACTTCTATATATCATCGTTAATACGCTGTTTGCAAAGGTCTGTTCTGCTATTCTGTTATCAAATGTCGTTATTGGTAGCTAACACACCGTCGAAAGTGGCCTCCCCTGTGGTTCCGCCTGGGATGTACGTCAGTTCTGCAACACTTAGGCGGTATCCATTCAGGATGTGCTACATCTGGATTTATGTGGCTGATATTTCGAGTAATACTCATTTTCATCGACCATAAGGACAATCATGACGCAGTCTTGATTATGGGAGTCATAACAAATCTGGCGGTTGCAATATCTATTCTTTCCGCTTTCCCGTGGGTTCGAAATACTCATCATAAGTAAGTGCCACGCACTGGGCTGTTTCGTGTTATGTTCATAGGCTTGTAGTATCTTTGAACGGCACCACCGATTTGTTGGATGGTGAGCAAATCTGTCGTATCTCCTCTCATAGTTTGAAATCTAACTTACGATGCTAGGATTGGCTTGTTATGTAGTGCGTTTGGCTATCACACGAGATGGTTCTCAAATTCATAGTAGCTTTTAGCCTGGGCATTCGTTATACTTGGTGACAGCTACGACGTTACAACACGCTCTTGGAAACCAGACGGCATTCATATAATTAGACAGCAACAGTTTTGGTTCGCCCTTGGGATAACTGTGTTGTCAGTTTTAAGTTCCATCGTTATGTTATTTCACTAATTGAGCGACACTGACAGCATTGCAATACCTTGGCTGACCGTCAGAGAGGTTAAAGTAGACGTTGAGATTGTAAGCCCCGTTACATCATGTAAAAGTTCTTATCTGATTTTGTGTAACTAGCCCTCGCCGAAGGTGGCCATTCTTCGGTTTGAGCGTGGAATGCAACAAGGACTGCTCGCCAGGATTTCGAGAGGATCTATTATGGAGTACCATGTCCTTTGGAATTATTTCGTGAGTATAATGCAAGCACGCGTTCACCTCTGTTGATATACAAGTTACAGGGAAGGAGTCCACTCGAAAGAACACTTTTTAATTTGTGGTGTCCAAGGCGATTTCACTTACGAGTTGGTCCATAATCCTCCCACCACTATTTGGACACGGCAACTGAAGGTTCGTCGGAATCGGTTTCTCGTCTCATTCGGAACTGACCCTCATCAGTTTGCGGGGGTATCGAACACTTCCACGCTGTATAAACGCGGAATACGCGTTTGTACGGGAACCGGTCTAGGCGCCGCGTTAGTCTACCTGTATACAGGTGAGCTTGCTTGTGATTATTCCGGACCCAAGATCGCTCCTGAACAACAAGTTGTCAGAGCTCAGATTGGTGCGTACAGCATGTGTGCTACACATGGCATATCTAAGTCTAAGTAATGCTAGGTACTTAATCTGGATCGGTTCTGATCAGGAGAAAACGTTCGGTCCTACTATCTCGGGCCTCATTCATAAACATCTGGGTCCTGAGCGATCGATCCTCTGGGATTCTAAGAAGCGTGGTATGTGATTGCCCTCTTATCTCGCGTAGCCACCGAATGACCTGTTAACAGGCGGTCGACCAGATGTCATGAAATTGATCACAGAAGCCTATGCATCTTGGGGCGCAGAAGTTGTTTTCATCACATCAAACTGGGCTGGAAATAAGGAAATGATGGAAGGTTGCAAGGCTGCGGGCATCCCTGCTTTCGTGCGTACAACGATTCTTCTTTGAGAAGGAGTACTGATGCCAGCTTAGGGTACCCTCTGGGATTTCTAGATTCGTAATGTTTAGCGCGATATATGGACGTTAAATTATAGTGTATGTACCTTGTATGGCGCCGTATTATTTCGATCCAAGTAACAACTTGGTTTGTCAGTCCGTCGACAGGCTCTGTATGAAAGCAAGAAGCTGAAGGGCGTAGGTTCCACCACCCTCGCTGCTCGACTTGACACGCGCAATCATAGCCGCTCTGTCTACTAATACCACGGATGCTATTATGGTCCGAACATACATCCATAATGCCTCATGTTTGGGATATGATGAGAGCAAGGACATTGCGTGATCGAAAAGTGAAATAGGATTGATTGATTGAAGGCGGGGTGTGCTGAACTGAAGTATACTGAAACGCTGCACGAGGAGACACAGGTAGTGCATTGCAGAGTAATCGGACACATGAAGATCAATCCAACGAAGAAGAGACAAATATTCTTCCTCAAGGATGGCTTCTGCAGCAGGAGAAGGGGTGGCAATCACTAAATCCATGATACTTTGCATGCAGTAACTCCGATGAATCCACGCATAGTAGTTCCTGGGATACAATTCACAACTTTGCGCAAGAATCCGAAGTTCATTGCGAACAAGGGCAAGCGGCAACTGAGCATGGGGAAGAGAGGGCGGATTTGGAGGATAGAGTTGCTCAAATATCCAACGACGATGGGCCCAAATCATGGACTGCTTGGCGCATTCACGGTTGCCCGAAATCATGGTGCCTGTCAGCACAAGCTCCTTGTTGGCATCGAGTTTGCCCAATATAATAAGTCGTTTACGTGCATTTAACGCCGTCTGGTGGGCACTATTGAGGAGCAGGATGACGATAGAAGACGCGATCAAAGCACCATGATCTTGGACCTGCCGGCGAGCTGTGGTGAACATGGTATTGGCCACAAGATATAGTTTATATAGTGTCTTGTGCGGAACGCCTAGGTGGCCTTCAAATAGAAGGAATGGAGATTTGTTTCCGTCTGGGCTATTCGATGGCCATTCTTCGATTCCACCCGGAAGAATTTCAATGGATGCTCTGATATATGATTAACTCAAAAAATGGCAAGAAAACAAGGAAGCGTACGGCAAATCATGAAGTATCGTCGAGAGAGAGTATACTAATCTTTCCGAGTCCGTCATCGTGGTCGGAGGGGATCCTTGTTTGCCGGTGCTTTACAGCTCTTTTCCTTTTATGTTTCGCGTTCACAGCCTATATAAGCTGAGGCCCTGTATATTGACGTCCAAGTCCTTTCTTCTTCCTTGCAACAGAGTGCGCTACAATTGTTTCAGCACGCGTCCGATGGCTTTCCAAGCACCTCTCGATAGGGCTGCAGGTCCTCTAGTGTGGATCGACTGTGAAATGACTGGACTGGATCACAAAAAGGACAAGATCATCGAGATTGCCGTGCGTCGTTCTGCCGTTCTCTTTCGGATTCTCTCATTCTTTCTAAAGGTTCTGATCACAGACGGTAATCTACAGATTGTCGATGAGGGTATAGATTACGTCGTACGAACTGAAAAGTCCCTCCTAGATGGGTGAGCATAACAATATGCATATACTATATGACGCTGAAGGCCCAACTCGCAGAATGGACGGAATGGTGCACCAAAACGCACGGCGAGGTATCAGGAGTATCGTGTCACTGTCGAATTCCAGCTGACCATGTACCCAGTCGGGCCTTACACAGGCATGTTTAACGTCGCAATGGACCCACGACCTTGTCAGACAAAAAGTGCTATCCTACATTCAGAAATGGGTGCCCCACAATACAGGCGTACTCGCCGGCAGTTCTGTGCACGTAGACCGCTTGTTCCTCCTCGAACAAATGCCGGAAGTAATCAACTGGCTTCGCTATCGGTGAGAAACCACCGCTTTTCCACGCAATCCTTCTGCTGAACGCATAATCTAGAATTGTCGGTACGTTCGCTCCAACATCATGTTCACTGAGCTTCTAATCATCAAGTGCATGTCCTCCAGATGTTTCGTCTAGTCAAAGTGATCTCGTTCTTCTCACTGTATTTTTTTTCAATCATTGAACCTTCTGTATAGGAACTTTCACATAGATGGTATCCGAGCCTCAGGGATCGACAGCACGAAACAAGTCACCGGTAAGTGCAAAAAATCATGAACTTTCCCTGTACCGACTTTGTTTCAGTGCTTTGGATGATATCAAAAGTTCTATTGAAGGCATGTATCAGTCTAACTGAAGCGGATTGCATGACCTCTGATTCAATATAGAGCTGAAGAGGTACCGAGCCCTCATTTTCAATCCATCTCCAGCACTGGAAGCCCAGCCAAGTCCTTCGGCAGTCAGCTTCTAACAAATGGGGTTACTAGTATATATAAACAGAGTGGGGTATGGATGTAAATGCGTAATACAGTGTCAAGTTATTTAACGACTCTTAAGCTTAAGCGGTCAGGACCTTTTATTCTGCCTCTTACCATGACTCCTTCCAGAACCACCGACTTGACCTCGGGCGTCGAAGATCCCTTTTCTCCACTCCTGAACCAAGTCCTTTGCTTCCACAGGAGGGACCTTGTCGTCTCGCGTCCCAACAGTAATATGCAGTCGGCCCTTGACATCCTCAGCCAGCTGCTCCAGAAATTCGGTTCCTTTCTGTCCCCCATCTCCCTCATTGACAACCTTCAGGTCATCAACTGAGACGGCCATAATTCTCTCATTCCAAACGACGTTACCAAGCTTGAGCTCAAATGTCGGAGGCACGCCAAGTTGGTGAAGAGCCATGCATCGTTCCCAGAGTGCCGTCTCTGCCGGCAAAGACTTTTGATGGACAATAGTTACGTGCGGTCGCTTCGCCACCCGTCCACCGTCTTTGAGCTGTGTCCAAAATCCATCGTCCGGCAACTTGCTCTCAAGCGCCTCAGGAAGATTGACCTCCACCACTAGCCCGAAATACCGTATAGGTGGCTGTTTCTTCTCTTCCACCTTCTTGGGACCCGATTTCGTCGACTTGGGTTCGTATCCTAGTGCCACTTGCAGTCCTTCGTCGATCTTCTCCTGACTTGGCTGCTCCAATCCAAGGACCTTGACACATCCTTCTACTGCTCTCGCCACTGCCTGCTCCATAGTGTCTTCGATCTCCATATTGATGCATGCGTCCACTTCGCTCTCTGATAGTTCCTGGGTGTTATTGATGAATTGCCAAATAACCTCTTCGTGCGATTTCGTCTGGCTGTCCCCGTGTAGACTTTGATGTTTATCCCCACGAAGTAGGATCCGGTCGCCACAGATACGATGGATCGTCGAAGGCGGTTTCAGTGAAAGAGCCCAGCTCCAATTGAGCGCGACGAGACGGACAGGAGGAGAGAAGCGTGATAGAGCCTCACGAAGACCGTCACGATGCTGGCGCAGATGGTTGTTCTTGTCGGCTATGACAACGTAGTGCTTCTTGAGCAAGGCAGTGACGTTCTTCAAGAAGACTGGGGCAGCCTTTTTGGCACGCACATCGTCGCTTTGGGTGTGACCGAATCCAAAGATGTGAGCCAGAGCAACGGCAACCGCTGTTTTCCCTGAGAAATTGAATTAAGTATGTTAATAGTTAACGAGTAAAGTTCGCACATACCACAACCAGGGATTGCCACTGGAACAATAACAGTCTTTCCAAACTGTTTGGCGGTTGGCGACGCAGGGCGAGACTCTGGTTTGTTCTTGTTAAGCTCCATCCAGGCCAAAAACCGTTCCCGCGTAGCAATGATTCCCTTTCCCTTTCCAAACTGGGCGAACTGTTTCCTGTCGCGTTTGATCTCGTTGATGACCCAATGAACATACTGCTTGGTTTCCGGTCGCTTCATCTTGGATATAGGGTAGCGACTTTTCGGATAGTTCGCCCTTCTGCCCCAGAAGCATCTTAGTGACCTTCTCGCCAATCCCGATACATCATGTAGGGCTCGTCGAATTTGACTTTAAAAAAGAAAGTAGATCCAGCGGCGTATGGAGGAGCATCTCTTGGCCGATCATTGTTGGGTAGTTCACGAATGTGTGTACGGACCACGAATCCTTCCACTGCTTGACCTTCCCAATGGCCCGCTCTTGAGACCGAGTCAGTGAATGTCCGTACCTCTTCAATGGAGTTCAAAGTCGTCGAGAGTGTTTTGATGAAACCCCATTCGTCAGCAAATGTATCAACGACATCCTGGTGCATCGTCCTGAAGCCTTTTGTGGATTCATTAATTCCGTGAAGATGAAGACCGGTTAGCTCTGGTGGGTATGGTAAGACATGTTCTTCAAATGAGTCATCGCAGAGCTGTAGTCGCGTTCAGAGAAGTGCACGAGTAGGTATATCAAGGAGCATACCTCTGCCACAGCAGTCCAGTTGCTGTCCCATAGCCTCTTTGCAAGATCGGCCTCGGTACGACCCTTCTGTGCAAGGTACTTGGACAACCAGACTTCACCAACTTCTGCATGACTTTTCTCGGAGTTTCCAACCTTGCCGATAGAATGCTTGGATGTGATTAGAAGCTTTGAAGGAGTAAGTGCCGCAATGAAGATGATACAGCCGTTCGACTTGAGTGAAAGCAGGTACGGTGCCCTTGTATGTTTCTCCAAGGCATCCCACTACACTCAAGTATAAGTCCATGCCAAGTATAGGATTCAAGGATACGTACCGTTGTCCAAGGAACCTCTCCAATGTTGAAGAACTTGTCATAGCCTCTTGCTACAATCCGATGCCTGTTTTCCGGGAGATCCACCGAGAAGATGCCGCGAACAAGAGAAGGAAAGGGAGAAGGAACATCGTAGTACTTGTATTCATTCATTTTCCAGCTTCGCACCTTGATTGTTGGATCTGCAGGTGCATCGTAGACAGTTGAGTTGACGAGTTTCGGTTTCTTTGTTGCAAGAGAGGCAAGGTCAGATATGAGCTGAGAATCCTGGTTACGGACTTTGGGATTCTGGAATAGATCCTGAGTACTCATGGCGCGACGACCAAAGAGACTGATTCCCCTGTGGGAAAGACGAGAAATGGAAGAAAACAGTTTGATCGTGACTGTCCAAGTAATATATTACTGCAGGAGTCAGAATGACAAGAATGACAACGATGATCGCGTGACGGTACCGCGCCACAGTCATTTTCATGATTTCTACTACTACAAATTCTCTGATTCATACTGACGGCGACTGCTCTGACGCTCTGACCACAACTTCCTGCAATTTTCGAGAGAAAGAAATGAACCAGCGAAAGAAAATAATTTAATTTTCAATTTATCTGATAAGATGATGGCCTGCCGACGCCACGTGATAACTACGTGTAATGCGACACCGGAAGTCCCTACGTACTCTTCCTCTGCCTTTCACACTTACACGTTCACCAGGGAGGTGCATATACCCACCTTGTTCTGGCCCTTGCTATCACGGTTCTCTTGACTACGGATCACTATGAAGACACGGCCGACGAAGAGGGCAAGAAAGGCGACCTGGCTCGCGTTCGGTCTAGGTAGCACTAGCTGCGGTGTCCGCCTCTGCCCAAGACTCGAACAATCAGGTGGAGGAAACATTAACTACCGACATCTCTCCTGTGGCTACTGGTATGGATGGCGTAAATTCTGATGCTGCTGTGAGTCCGTATCCCCATTCTTGTGGCTGGAGTTCTAAGTCATTCTAGGGCGCGTCCGCGTCGTCGCATGAGCTAGGTCAGGCAGCTGCAGAAGGTGAGCGCTACTTGATTCCTCTGTTTTTATCCCAGCCTTACGATTATACTATTTCAGCGGTGAGGGCCTATAAACAAGCTATGCATACCCTCACAGCACTAGCAGCTCATCCTTCCCCATACGAATCCTTACATTCAACACCGCGTGATTCCAATTCTAAATCCATATTCTCCTCATTTCTTCCCAATCTTCAAGGGCAAGGGCCGATAGGGAGTGCCGTCCGGATATTAGGTCGAATTCAACAGCAAATATTCCATGGTATACTTGGCGGAGATAGAGACGGAATCCCGTTTCCAGGTTCACGGAGAAAAGAAGAGGAGATGCATCGAAAAGCAATCAAGGTCGTGGACTTATTGCAGCATTCCGCGGAACTGGGAAACATGGATGCGCTATATACCCTTGCCCAGATATCTCTGGTGGGTTACTCAGATTTTAATCCATGCAGTTCATAATCTGATCAAGTTATAGGCTTCCTCCTACATCGCACTTCCCATCAAATCCAAAGCTTGCATACGACTCGTACACGACCCACGCATCCCTTACTGGCAACGCTTCTTCTCAGGCTTTTTTGGCAGTTTTTCTATGCAACAGGATATCAGGGCATCGTTCCCGTTGATCAAGCAAAAGCTCAGCTATATTACACCTTCGCAGCCAACGGTGGAGACAAGGGCGCACAAATGGCACTAGGATATCGGTATTGGAGTGGCATCGGCACATTGGAGGATTGCGACAGGGCTGTCGATTGGTATGAGCATTCTTCTGAGCAAGCCATGGCCAAGTTTCGCGCTGGCCCTCCTGGTGGTCTGACTCTACCGCTGACACCCACAAGACTCTCTGATCTTGATGGTGGCGTCTACGGACCCGGTGCTAGTGTAGCTTCTACTGGTTTAAACGCTAATCGGGCAGCTATAAGGGCTGGAGTATCTCGTGCCTCTGGAGAAACCTGGGAGGACATAATTGATTATTACCTTGTGAGCGTGGTGACTGTCTGTCTGCTTTTACACTGACAGTATCATAATTAGTTCAACGCTGATCGTGGTGAGACGGACTTCGCTTATAGACTCGGCAAAATTTACTATCAAGGCAGCATATATGCTAGCCCAGGCGGTATAGCTTCCGGGAGTGAAGGGGTCGGAGCTATAACCCGGGACTATGCACGCGCTAAACATTACTTTGAGCAAATTGTTCGACAAGTATGGCCCCGTGATCCACCCAACCCTCTTCAGCACAGGACAGCTGCACCATCTATCAAAGATGAAGGTGCACCAGTTGGTTATGCTTCTGCAAGCGCAGGTTATCTGGGGCGTATGTATCTTCGAGGCGAAGGTGTGAAGGCGGATCCCGCCATGGCTAGAATGTGGTTTGAGAGAGGCGCAGATTATTCTGATCGTGAATGCCACAACGGATTGGGAATCATCTGGAGAGATGCTTTGGTTCCTGGCACTAAACCAGACCTGAAGAAGGCGACGCAGTTCTTCACTGGGGCAGCAGGTCAAGAACTGGCAGAGGCGCAAGTCAATATGGCGAAATATCACTTTGGTCTAGTACATTCCCTCACTTTTGGAATTAGGCACTCATCGTGGACATAGATCATGGTGAACTTGGTCTAGCAACGACTTATTTTGAGACTGCAGTTCGTTTGGGTTCCCCGTTTGAGGCTTTCTACTACCTTGGCCAAATACATTCTGCGCAATCGAGAGCCCCTGGAATTCCTAAAAATGTAGCTTCCAGTTCGTGCGCAATGGCGGTTTCATTCCACAAACTAGTGTCTGAGCGAGGTGTATGGGATGATGATTTGCTACGGCACGCTGAGACCGCCTGGTTCTCAGGAACTGATCGGGGTAAAGAGGTTGCATTGCTGAAGTGGTGGATTGCTGCCGAGAGAGGCTCTGAGATTGCACAAAACAATCTTGCATACTGCTCTAGACCAAGGTTCGTAGTGTCAACAGGTGTAGTCCTCCACAGCAACTAATATCCCTTTAGATAAGAGTATTCTGCGGCTGACACGCTTTTCTCCAATGACAGCATCGAACGATACAGCACGCCTCGCTTTAACACAGTGGACCCGAGCTGCAGCACAAAGGAACGTGGATGCGTTGGTTAAAGTTGGCGACTATTACTATCACGGACTGGGAGTTCCCGAATATTCTGAATCAGTGCGGTTCGAGAAAGCAGCTCGGTATTATCAGTCCGCCGCGGACACTCAAATGAGTGCGTTGGCCATGTGGAATTTGGGTTGGATGTACGAAAATGGTGTGGGTGTTCCCCAAGTACGTGCCTCCATCAGATTGTCGCGGAAGTTGAACTTTGAATCACCTTGTACAGGATTTTCATCTCGCTAAGCGCCACTACGACTTGGCCTTGGAAACCAATTCTGAGGCGTACATCCCCATTGTTTTGTCTCTAGGAAAGCTGTATGTGCGTAGTATATGGCATACGCTCTTGGGCGGGACGGGTGGACTAAACCTCTGGTACGATGATGAAGATAGTGCGTGTAGCTCAAGATCCACTTTTCGGTGATAATATTAATCTCGGGTATTGCAGCCTCTCAGCCTAAGGAAGAAATGCGTGAAATAGACGAGGGTTCACGGCAGACGACACATGATCAAGCTCAGCCGGAGCAGCATGTGTACAGCGATGACGAAGAAGGACCTTGGTACTTAGGCAAAGCCAGAGAAGAGTTTGATCGTAGAAAAAATGACCAGGCGCGCGGGCATGGTGATGACGAGGATCCCATACAGGTTTGATTTTGCTGTAGCCGTTTGCTTTCTTTGCTAACTGTTACCTTCGAAGTGGGCCCGCGACCGTCGAAATGCCGAAGAACGCGACAGCGAGTTCGGGCCCGATGATTATTTTGAGGGTGGACTGCGAGAAGGAGCAGAGGATAATTTTTCGGAAACTATGCTGTTGATCCTGTTGTGTCTGACTGTATCCGTTCTTATTTATGTGAGAACGAGAATGGTCGACCGCATGCGGCGGGATCAACAGGGCCGTGATCAAGATGGGCAACGGGCCGGAGTCGCAGAAGGAGGCAATGATGCTGCTCGTGCAGCTAATGGGGCGTTTCCACCGCCAGGGAGATCCAGCGCGAGACGAGTGGGTGATTCTTCGCTGATTTTTTCGGAGAGCATGTGTAAAATACTTGTGTGAATAGCACCGAAACTTAAAGGCAATTCCAAACATTAGCATACACACGTGCCACGTGTGCCGTGGCTGCCGCCGCAGACAGACAGACGCGCTCATCCAGCGACGGTATTATTCTATTCACTATTCTATTCCACTGGACACTCTACTCTGCGAAAATCCTTTCATGGCGTATGATTTCCCTGCCTTGGCTCCTCTCGTTCGGCAAATACTGTCTGCACCGGGAACGGACCTCACGACGATCAGCGCAAAACGAGTCCGACGGCAATTACTTGAATTGGACAACTCGTTATCCGCAGAATTTCTGAAAGAATACAAGGACGATGTGAACGCAATAATTACCTGTCGAATACGACCGTATTAGCGCAAATCTTCAACGAGAGGGAAGTGATGAATCACAGGAAGAGGAGCCGCCACGAAGTCAGGATGGAAACTCTGAAGGGGAAGGAGAGGATAACGGGGAAGATGAGATGGAAGTGGATTCACTGCCAGTGACCAAGAAGAAGAGCTCGTCGAAGAAGGCGCGCGCACTCAGCGATGCAGAGCTGGCACGCCAGCTTTCCAGCGAGATCAATGGGCGCTCCCGGAGAAGTACTGGCGGCGGCAAAGGAGCGCGAATTGGCGCTCCTAAACGCAGTGGTCGGTCCAGGAAGAGCGCGGCAACAGTGGACTCAGATGCTGACAGTGAGCTCGAAGGCGGTGGCAAAAAGTCCAGGAAGAAGTCAGCCAGTGGCGGTGCTGCTAAGGGAGGATTCGCCAAAGAATATGCACTGAGGTACAGCTATTTTTTCCCCTTGGATACTGACGCGTGTTCTAATCTGCCATCCGCAAAGTGTACCTCTCGCCGCAGTTCTTGATGTAGATAAGCTCTCACGGCCTCAAGTCGTCAAACAGCTATGGGTTTACATCAAGAGCAACGCCCTACAGAATCCGTCTAACAAGCGCGAGATTTTGTGTGACGAAAAGCTGAGGGCTGTCTTCAGTGTGGACAAAATTGACATGTTCAGAATGAACAAAGTCCTCGGACAGTAAGCATTCTCAGCGGTGCAGCTGATAGGTCTGCTAATTGCCGTATCCCAATTACAGACATCTTCATGAAAATGAAGCGTAGCTTTCATGATTCAGCAGTATCAGGACGACAAATACATCTCCATCATCATTATATTCGCAATCATACACACCATTCTTCCTTCCGCTCATTAGCATTTCTATCCCCATTCTCAGATTCTACTCACGTACATCACGCGCTCTTCCTGTACCACTTTCTGAAAATTCGTATACCTGTCGGACTAGAATGTTCTCGTTCCGCGCACATTGTGAGTATAGCACCAAACATTGAGTCATATTTTTATTCATAATGTGGAACATAACAGATACGGGGTTTTTCAGTTGTTCAAACTCAGCATTGTTCTACGCCATAATATTAAATATATTATATTCGAGAAACCCTCGTTGAAGCTGTATCCCTTGACCAATTAGGCTAGCTTCTCTGGTTCACACTGGCTTCGAAATGTTCTATCTCATCTCATCGATATCGGCTACCCCTTGTTCGCCGTAGATGCTGGACCCGGCCAAATAGGTGTTGACTGCGTTGACAGTTTTTGCTACTTTGGGGCTTCACGCGTTTCCGCGTTTCCCTTTTCGAGGCGCAGCTTCCTTTCCGACGACCCTTAGTCTTGTGGTTATGTCTCGATATCATGACTGATATAAATATGTCATCATATCGAGACATGAACAATAATGCATCGGTTAATGGTGTAATGGTTCAAGCTCAAGAATATGAGGTCTTGGCTACGGGAAGCTAGCGATGAAGAAGTTTATTGTCGACGAGCGTCCAATCGGCTGTAAATCTCATATTGTCAATCTTAGTTCACAGAGGTTAGTGAAAAGGTACAGTCAGACTTCGCATCTCGACTCCTAAAGACCCCGACGCGCACCATCCAGAGACTCGGGATGTAAGTAGGAATTATACGTGCTATTAGTATCACAGTCAAGGTATGTCTTCAGCATTAACCGAGTTAAGTGAGAAATAGAACTAACATACTTGTCGCAGTAAGGCTCATCTGCTGGGCGTCACAAGAAATTTCTTGATATCCAAGGATCTCGGAGTGCGAAGATCCTTACGGCAAATCCAAAATCTGAGTTCGAGAGGCCCAAGTAACGGAAGCTGGACATGAAACCATAGTGGTCTTCAAAGCCAGGCCCAAGCTAGGCCCTGTGAATCACTGGTCATACTAAGGGTCCGGCGGACGCGACTCGGACGGCGGACAAGGCCTAGCCAAGGACGTTAACATCAAACACACAAAAACAGACAAAACACGGAAATAGACATGTAGCGAAACTGAAAGCAACTTGGAAAACATTTCACAGCAAAAAAGACAGCTATCACTAGGTACTTGACACTAGAACCTCTGACCCACTCCTGACCCACGGGAGTCCATGCCCATTTTGGCCAGTGTTTTAGCCATCCCTCCTTTCTGACCTTCGGCCTAATTCAGCTCGGGGTGTAGCTCACGGCACGTTCGCTTGTGCCTCATCAGAGCGTCGGAACGCGACACTGACTTGCCACAAGCATCGCACTGTGTCTTTGCGTCGAGCGCGCGCCGCTGGTCGGGATCCATGTGTTCACGACAAAAATGTTGATGTCTCTTTCGATCGTTGGCCCGTTGGAACATCATACCGCAGTTCTCGAAGGTGCATGGAAAATCACCTGTTCCGCGGGGGCGATGGCGTTGAGACTTCTTAGGTTTGTCATTGAGACAAAAGTCCGAGTCGTCATCCGACACATCGTAATCTTTTTCGGGGCTCGAATAATTGCCCTTCGGCTTGCGCACCCTGCTGGCGCGACGAGGCAGAGGAAGGGTCTGTCGGGGTGAACGGACAGAGGTCGATAGGGGTGTGGATGGAAGACTGGACACATCAGAGTCCAGCTCAGGTGTACTGAGGGGGGTGCGCCGTGCGCGTTTAGGGGACCGAGTATTGGGTTTCGGCTCGTATTCGTCTTCTTCATCGGTCTCTTCTGAATAGTTGGCCATTTTCTTCGCACCGCGTGTGTAATGAGTGCGAAGCTGTTTCGTAGTGTGACCCGCATGTTCGTCCTCGGCAATGTTCGGCTGAACGCAAGGAGATGCAGGTAGAGAAAATGCTAAGGTTGAGCCAGACAAGGTAGTAGTTGGATCGATGGTCGTTGCAGGACTCGTCGCATCGGAATTGAACGATTCTCGGGGAGAGTTGACTGGAGACCAGGCTCCGTAGGAACTATACGCCTCTGGGTCGAAGGGCGACTCGGATGCAGGCGCGTCCGGGTAAGCGGCGCCATCGCAGATCTTGATTATCGTAGAATCAGTACAGTGCAAGGAGAGATCGTATTATGAGGCCTACCTCGTCGTATAATGTCTTTTCTACATCGAAGAAACCATCAGTCTGGTCGGAAAACAATAAGAGAGGCAGGGAGTCTTGAAGGCCCCTAAACACGATCATAAGACAGCCTGAAGAAAGAAGAGGAGGACAAGGACGTACTGCTCTCCGTCGGGAAAGGTGGAGGTAAGAAAAATCTGAATCGTATTCTGCCAAGACAAACGACATGGGGGGGTTGTGTACTACGACATCGGGAGACTTCCTGACACTTATATGCCATTGATCAGTATTGATCTATTTGCATCCGTGGACCCATCACGCAGGACTAATTCCTCGCTTGGTTTGACTCAGCTCAAATGATCATCTCTGATAGACGCCCGTAGTTCACAGAACATCTAATACGCGGCTTTTCACCGGGTAGCCAAGGCGTGGACTGGTTCGGAGAAGCATAATTAAATTGTCATGGAAAGAACAAGTGACAGACTCTAAACAAGATAAAGTCATGCTATTACGACAAAGGGAACAAGGGATATGGTCGATAGCCCGTGTACCCCGTAAGATCAATCGCGGATATGACAAAAAACTTGAACATTGACAAATTGGAACAAAGGTCTAACGGGATATTCGCTTTCCTGGGTAGCCTTCTGGGTTTCAGAGTTCGGCGATAGTGCGAACTGTGCACCCAAAGTTATCGAATTATCACAAGTAATTTTTCGGGGGGAAAGCAGGATGATGAGGAGGTCTGCCAAGTTCAGAGTCACAGAAGATGGATCCAACAGCATGCAGGTCGTAACTGCCACATGATGAATGCGGTAGCTTCGATACGATTTCATGGACCTCGCAGCACGTCTATTTTGGAAATCTTTTACGAGAGTCGGTCGCTAGCCGTTCGAGCTCAGCGAAGTTGCACGAAGGGCGCCGAAAATATGTGCCCTTTACCCTGATAATCAGAACACGCGCAAAAACAGGACATTCTGATAGGGTCGATAGAAGTATATTCCGGTTCGACCGTAAGTTCCTCGCAAGGTGGTTCAGTTCTCCTTTCGACAATTGGATATACACGAGTGCTCTGTAATTCCAAAGCATTGCTACAACGTGCTCGCCACCTTGCCAGAGTGACGGTCCCAGGAACATACCCCGAGCCCGTACTCGATTTGGGGAGGGCCCGAGCGAAATCCAATAAACAGCAAGAGTCACGCTAGATACAGAAGCTCCCAGGGTCCGTAACATGCGACTAAGATCCGTGGGTGCCAATGACTCGCTAGATAGGTGCGGCTGCCTGCAGGCGAGAATCACAAGTACTGATGGACCATGGTGTCAATTGCTGAGTTGAATCGGGCCGAGTTCTTTCGTTGACAGCGTGGTATTGACGACCCACCTTGACGTCATCCGATTTGATGTTGAACTCAAGTCGAACAAGAGAGCCTGAGAGTTCTGCTCAGGATAGATATTAAGGTGGTAATGTATAAGAGGACTCAATTCTAATATTGGAGGCTGCAGAAGCTAGAATTTTGGACCATTCTATGAAAAACGGTTCATTTCTACGGTTCCGATGCTTATGATCGAACCGCCCATCCATCGTCGGGGTCAGTTCAGGCGCCCAACCAGCTGATATCTAGCTGCGTGTAAGTCCAGGGATAACATTCCATCAGTAAGCGTCTGTACAACCGTGCCGTGGCACTTGCTTCTAAAGTTCAACCAAACTGAATTTACTGGTCGTAGCCACCGGTGAGCAAGATAAAATTGCAAGACAATGTGGATTTTCTACTACAGCGTTTTTTATGGTGCCACTAATATCATCACCTCGGAAGCGAGCTCTCTTTTTTATGTCGGAGCCAAACATAGAATAATGATTTTTGGATTTTGATCGCCACCACTCTCTCAGTCTTAGATATCTTACGGTCGCCCCCTAAGGCATAAATTCGTTGCAGAACTACGTACTCTCACCACTCTCCACCCCCGACCGATCCGCAGACCTTAGTCGCCTGCTGCCGCCACGCACCGCCCGCCTCGCCGAGCCTGAGGCATGTACCACACCGCTAGTGTCCTTCACAACTCTGGAGGCCAAATGAATCGATAAACAGACCTACTGTGATGCTAAACGCTGTGGGAGAAGATAGTTGATATGGTTGTAGGTAAGTTTCCACTCGCTAACAGCCCCAGCATCCCTAGAAATCAGGCAACTATTCTCATGCACATTCTATCTCTTTTCCAAACCATACACTTCCTCCACGATGTACATCTATTCTACCAGAGCTGAGCTCAACAAGGCTGCCACCCGACCCCAGGCTGAAGAAAATACTACTGGATCCACAATATGTTGACTATGGAGACTCCTATCAATCTGCACAAGTATTATATGGCTAACGACACCACTTTTTGCTGGTGCCACCAACGACCTCCACGGGAACGATTTTTGCTCGATATTCGGATAAGCCGTCGGGGACCCCAAGGAAAATGCGCCGTCCGGTATCTAATCCGTTTCTACGGCAATTCAGTTGAACAGAATGCCTAACAGGCCTACAGTCATGCCACCTCGTTCATGAAGCCTCTCTGTGATCCTTCGTTACTATCCTCAGCTTGCCACCAACTTTCTAGTGTTTTTCTTACTCTACAACAAGGTCTTGGGTGCGCTTCGCGGTGTAGCCAGAGCGCCAGATTCAATAAGTACTACGGAAATATCTTTACTGGTTAGCATCACGAAATCGGCTGTCACCACTGGGGAATCCGATCAATTGGACCTCACTTGTGGCGCAATTTTTTTACAAAAATTTCCAGGGCGCGAACTTCCAGAAATCGAGGTACCTGTTTGTAGATGACACTGTTGAATCTGGGACCCCAGGCGTTGAGGTTTCTGAGCTAAGAGTCAGCCTGAAGATGTAGATCACTCTTACCCAGTCATCGATCGCCGTTCAGGCACATATCATTCTGTTTTTGGTAGTAGTCATTCACCATTATGATTTTCAATATAACTCAGAACCCTGCGAGTACCGTGCGTAGCGCGGCTGTCAGAACGAAGCCAGAAAGATAATATGTATGCGTCGGTAAAAACCGAACTTATTACTTAGCGCAAACTAGAAAACAAGCCACCAAAGGAAGAGAAAAATGACAATATACATATGTTCATTGTTCACCCGTTGAGATCCAGCTTGATTTAATGTAAAAACAGCATTTCCGACTTTCAAAACGATACAGTAAGAGCGAAGGGGATGCAAAGCCATAAATTGGCGAGGACGACGCAGAAAAAGTTATCGGGAACCATAAAATTTGCAGTGGCTGCTAAGTCTAGTTGCTTGGAGCATCTCATAAGATTGGAATCTCAGATGTTGGCCGATTCCACTCGCTGTGATGGTAACTATTTTGTTAGAAATAAGCGTATTCAAGGTTTTTCGCTCCGACATTTTTCTCCCGAGTACATATACTTTGACATAGGAATGTAGATTACCGAATTTCCAAGATATTGTCACTAAGGAAACATTATTTTTCATTCGTCTAGGGTGCATTGAGGATTGTAAAAGGCGACAGGGAAGCCTTTATGATTCATTAATTATCACAATGACTCACGAGAGATTAAAGTGCCTTGGAATCTTGATGATTATTCTTATTAAGATCTATGTACTTCTACACTTCTAGTAAATACTCGAGTATTTACTATTACTGTCGCAGCTCTCCAAGATGAAGTATATATACAATGCGATTATGTATGATGTAATATTGAGATAATAAATTTATGATAACATGCCTACAACGAGTGATTGAAGTTTTCCATCCCGGATAGCCTAAGAATAATCTTATCAGTCTTTGTTCGCAACTGATTACAGTCCAGAAACTCACCTTCATGAATCAAAGAGACATTCTGCCCAACTGTCACTTCGTCTATACCATGCCCATTAATGAAACGGTGGTAATTTTCAGATCCATGCATCCGGATACCAAGAGTGATACGGACGAACTCGTACAAGGGACGAGTCTTCTTCAAATGTCTGCTTGCTGGTGCAGCACCTCGCTCGCCTGAGAGATATGAGCGACGCAGTTGATCCAGGAGCGTTGTTGCTCTTGATGCGACACGGGAGCGGAACAAAGGAATGGATGTTAGCGCAGATCCAGCAGTCGAGGAGTCAGAAATGAAGGTGCACGACGTGAAGAAGTCGACAAGGACTGTGGTGCTGGAGGCGGCGACTTTCTTCATCCGTTCCGCGGCATCCATCGTTGTTGTATGATCGAGGGCGTCGATCAGGGCCTTCCGTACTTTAGATGTAACGGAGGTAAGGTCGGAGTGGGATAGTACGGGGGCAAATAGATCGACAAGTTCCTCCTTTACGATATTTGAGATCCCATCTATCAGCTCTTGTCGGAGGGCTCGTAGATCCAGAGCTGTTCAAGATATTAAATTGTGGTTACGAAGCGATCTGATAGATTGCGTACCTTGACAGATAACATAGATATACGACGACATTAATATCGACAAGACCTCAAGTGAATTGATGGTAGCACGACCAGAGATCAGAGCAAGCGAACTTAATTTCAAGTCAGTACACTGTGTTTCAGAAATGAATTGAGAGTAAGACTCACTTCACAGCTTGGTTATGCATCTCTGCGGACTGGATGTGGGTTGAAACGGGGTTTGCGAGGTAGCCGAGTTCTGCTACATACGCAGGCTGTGGCGATGTCGATGCCCTTAGCATGATAGTCCAGAGACGGATCCGTAGCAGCCAAGGAAGGCGGCAAGCCACGGTTCATCGAAGGATCCATGAGTTCCGCGCATTGTGCAAAGAGGATCTTGCCAAGATGATGGAGGCTAAGACGCTGTCTTTTCCATGGCATTAGTGACAGCCATAGCTTGGAAGTTCCCACCATGGTGGATGGTACCCGTTTCTCCGTCGGACAAAGGATTATCAGTGGCTGAAGAAATTGATATGTTAAAAATAGCGGCGGGTTATCATAAACCAACCCCTACGTACTCGAATTACATTCCCGCGTTATTGTTTCGAGAGATGCCAACAGATCTTCAACTTGGGGACCAATAAACTGGGGAGCGGTTCGCAGAGGATAGCGGTCCTGTCGAAGAGTGCCCTCGTCTTCCTTGATGGTCACTTCTTCTTCATGTGTAGCGGCGAACTCGCTACCTTCCAAAAGGTCCCACATAATCTTGGCAGATTCCACCTGCAGACATATTAGTTCTCGGATCGCGTAAGAGTGATATATAACATGCCTGTCCGGGGATGAGGGCGTGCAACAGCGTGAATAAAGGGATCAAATGATGCTCGGGTCCCGGCGAGAGCCTCCACACCCATGGCCGTACAAACCTGCGCGAGCAAAGTGAGATGCAAAGCATCATTGAGAGCCAACGAGGCAACGGAGGCGGAAAAGGCGGTCCCGTTCAAGATGCCTAGCGGTTCTTTCGAAGCTAGCGGCAACGGCTCGATGTTGTGCGCCTTGAGTGCATCAATGGATGGAGTAATTTTACGAGATCCAAATGTAGCCGGGCCATCGAACACGCGGATAGACGGATTACCAATAAGAGTACCGGCGATATAAGAAAGAGGCGAGAGGTCTACAACAGAAGGTGTCAGTAATGAAAAAACCCGGGTTACCATCGGAATACATACCTCCGGAGGCAGATATACTCCCGCGAAGAGGAACAACGGGTGTGATATTGCAGTCGAGAAGCTGCTTCATCTTTTCGATGAGTTCCCACCGGACACCGGAATGTCCACGAATGAGGGAATTCATGCGTATCAGGATAGCTCCACGGACCCAGGACTCAGGCATCGTGGTTGAGCCCATGGGATCGAGAAGAGGAAGCGCGTCGAGGGGTTGCGTCGATGACGGGAGGACACCGCTGTGTTGCATCTGGAGGAGACTGTGCCCTAGGACGAGAGGAAGGTCTGTGCGCGTGTCAGCGCTGCCACCAAAGCCGGTGGAGACACCGTAGACACTAATCCCGCTGTCAACTTTGTCTGCAATAATATTGCGACTCTTCTCGACGCGCTTCTTGACTTCAGGAGACTGGGTTAGTTGCACGGAAGCCTGATACCGGGACGCTGCGGTGACCGCAGCAATAGATAGTGTCTGTCCGTCGATGGTAACCGATTTTCCATTCCTAAATCGCGATATGAGAAATTGTTAAGACAAAGAGGACGTTCGATGTACTCACTTGTAAGATTCGAGGTCTTTGAAGGATTGGACGAATTTCGAAAGCAAGGTAGCGGTAGGTAGTGAGGAAGGAGCGATTGGATATTCTGCGATGGTGTTCACAGGTGAGGTATTGAGCATGACGACTTTACGGTCAAGAAGTCCAGGAGGAGGGGCAGAAGACATGCGTCGGGGAGCGGTGCGAGTTTCGGAGAGAATAGCCATAGCGAATTAGAATAAGTAGAATTAGGTGACAAGGTAAGAATAATTCTATGTCAAAGAGATGATGAAGAGAGAACTGGACTGTTGGTGCGAAGATGATCCCAAGTCATCACCAACACGTCCTTTAAATATGGGTCCAGTGATAGATAATGATTCGATCATCGCTTCACATATAGATCCGTGGTCTAACCTCCGGTTCTGAATTATCATCGCATTCGGTTCCTGCCCCGGACGATACGTAGTGGTAGATCATCAGTTTCATCAGCCGTTTCAACCAATAACGGCAAAGAAGGCCCGCCATCATCCCACCATAGGACAAGAATGACTGCAGTGTAGATTGGCATCGCTTAGAAGCCAAATTTATAGAAGCTATTGATGATTGGGGTGAAAGATTGAGGGAAGAACTTTGGTGGAACCCAGAAACACATACCGAAAGATACCGGTAAAATTTTTAGCAAAGTCGCCGCTCCGTGAATTTATAATCGAGTGCACAGCTTCGTCAAGTTGATGGAAAACCCGACTTCTGACTCATGTAGCATATTCCTCCGATCTTCGTGGGCCTTGACGCAGCAAAATGGCCTATTTGTCTCGATCCGCTTTGAAAACATAGACAGGTACATCAACAAACATCCCCAAGGGCCGAGACAGCACAGCACGTTGTTGCGAAATGAACTTGACTGCTGTCATTCTGCATTCCTGATAATGATGTACGAGTGTCAGAAATGCGGAACATCATGAATGTCGAGCTTTGAAGTATAGGGAAGATGAAGCTTGAGAAACAGATGCTTTGCGAAGCGAGGTGATATGATTGTTAAATGCATTCTGATAATTCAGGACGACCGACCGGGGGCCGCCCGCATAAAACGGAAGCCTCCCTACGGCAAATGTATCCACCGTTTGTTAGGATATGTATCTAGATAAAGGCGCCTGAATAGATAGCTATCAGCTGATACACTCTAACCAATGGGAGGGAAAGCGTTTACCTGGTTAGTACCGCATGCCGTAGTAATGTTATATTGGGAGTGCTAACCAAGGAACAAGCCATCCCATTTAAGCTAAGAAAGAAATGTAAATGTGAAAAACGAACAAATCAAAGAACCCAGATAAATGTAAGATATACAATGATACAGAAAGACAGAGAAAATGGCAATGTAGAAGATACATGTATAAAAACAAAGCAATGCGAGGACAGCATTTAGACGGGTAAAACTTGATCGGCTGGTGAAGGACTATGAGCGGAAGAAAGACAGCCAAGCGTATGATGCGTACCTTAAAACGATGTCAGGCGGTGGTAGCGCGATTCTTATTAGCGTTAGCCTTATCCCGCGACTGTTGGACATTGCGTTTTCCACAAGCATATGTACGTTCGTGGCGTATGCGCGCATCAGACCGGGAAAGATCAATGCCGCATATTGTACACTTCACGTTGTCCGACTGCTCCTGGTAGTCGGGGTGTGCACCTGATGCACGGATATGACGAGTAACGTCATTCTTCCTCGTAAAAGTCTTGGTGCATCCCGGTATGGTACACCTGAACCGTTCAGTAATCTTTCGCTTCTTTGAGGTTTTGTTGGAAGGCTTGATCTTCCGCTTCTTGGGCGCGGTATCGTCATCCAATTCATCGTATTCGTCGTCGACCTGATGCTCATCCTCGGACGGAAGTTCATCTATGGTTTGGACGACAGGATGCGGTTCGGCTTGTTCCTGTTCATATTCACTGTCGTCATCGATGTCATCCTCCGATTCCAGCTGCTGGACTTTCTTTGTGGCGATACGCGCACGGGTAGCGGCACGACGGGATGAACTTGATCGACTCGATGTCGGTGAAAGCCCAGACTTTGGTGAAAGCCTAGCTGTTGTTTTAGGTACCTGTATCGCAACCTGCGGTTTATTATCGCGCGGATTCGATGAGCCGGCTGGAGTGATGATACGTGGTGCACGGACAGAAGGAGAACAGTTGGAATCTGGTTCATTTGTGACGTTTTGCGAAGTGTCTGCAGGATCAGATGATTCCTGACTATCGTAAAACATGGTTTGATATCGGGGAGCGTCTGAAGGAGTCTTTGGGTTATCATGGTCATCACTGCTAGTATCCTCCTCTTCGGGGTCGGCAGAGCGTTGTTCTGCTTCCCAGTTGACAGAACTGGGACGTCCTTGTTGCCTGAACTTCCAACCGGGACTCTGAGGGGAGTCTCCGTCGTCAGAGTAGTCGGATTCAGTGTCCACATCACCAGACTCAATGTGCATGGAAGAGAAAGACGATAATTCAGACGAGTTCTCTGTCCGAAGGGGATTAGACCTCTCAGAACTTGCGCGAGGCTCAGATGGAGGTGGAGAAGGAGGGTAGTAGCGAAAGGGAGGTATGTCTGCAAGTATTTCCTCCTGCAGACGCGTTAGAAGCCGGTAGCGGAGCCGAAGACAAGGCACAGACCTTCCCCCTGATACCCATGGGTTCGGTGACATACATCTTGGTAGGCATGAGTTTCGGTATGGATTCCTTGTCTGTATTGTACCAGACGAGACCCATGGCAGGGGTAGTTGGGGACGAAGGGTCCTTGGGTACGATCCTTGGATCCACAGGATGTGTAGGCCATGGGCTCCAAGTGCTATAGGACGTCAATGAGCATTAAAGGCAGGAGGAAGGGCACGCGACTTACCCTACTTCAGCGACGGCCGGGCTGCTGACGACGACGAGGGCATCGTCGACGGTTGCTGAAGGGGGAATAGACATGGACGGGTGATGAGCCACAAAGGCCTGGGAGAGCATCGTGGGTTGATCATATACGCGGTTTGCGGTTGTTTTGTTTTGGAATTATGTGAAGCGCCGTCCGTGGCGCCGCGCCACAAAAAGTTATCCACAGACGGTAGCTTGCGCCACGACCGATATCCTTCCGTCCCTCACCTGGCTTCCCTGTTTCCCTTTGGGACAGCAGGCTTGTTCGTAGCTCGCTGGACAGTGGTCACGTTCACGAACCGCAACGTGTCTTGCTCGGATATCACCAAGCCGTGCAGGGACAGAATTAATACAGTGTCGCCACGACCATCTTCGAAAACAGTCCAATCTTTTCGGAATGAGTTGATCAATCAAGAGGTTGCATGTGCCAAACGGAAAGATAGTGGCGTCGAGGCACGTGACTACGGTTCCTTAATTTTCTCTTCCTTCCCCGTCTGCATCACAACCGCCATGGTCAGTATAAACTCTTGCTCGCTCTCTTCCTTTCATCGGCTCACAGAATGTTCACAGGGAAAGGCAAAGAAAACGAGGAAATTCGCAGCCGTAAAGCGCATGATCAGTCCCAAGGACATTCGCTTGTGAGTTCGGAACACCGAGGCACTTGACCGCATTTCACAAATTCTTCAGAAAAGAAAATCAGGCGAAACAACAGAAAAAGGAAGAAGAGGCAAAGGCAAAAGCCGTTCGACGGGTGTACGTCTGTCTCGGTCCCGCTGCATTCTTGATCCTAACAAATGATGAATAGTGCACCTGTTGCCTCGTCCTTGTTCCTGGCCCATAACACTGCGCTAGTCCCCCCTTATCGCGTCCTCATAGATACCAATTTCATCAATTTCTCTCTCCAAAACAAACTCGAACTCGTTAGTGGAATGATGGACTGCCTATATGCCAAATGTACGTCCCTGCCGTCCTCGCTAAACATCTACTCACTTTCCCCAGGTATACCTTGCGTCACTGACTGTGTTATGGCCGAGCTGGAGAAACTTGGTCACAAGTACCGTGTCGCTCTTCGGTGCGTCTCCTTTAGTCGTTAGCAGCACATTGCATTCTTACGCCGATAAAGCGTCGCTCGTGACCCCCGATTTGAGCGTTTACGCTGTACACACCCCGGAACCTATGCCGACGACTGTTTAGTGCAACGAGTTACTTCCCACAAATGCTACGTCGTGGCGACGTGCGATCGCGAACTCCGGCGGCGTATTCGTCAAATACCAGGCATTCCACTCATGTATATTGTTCGGAGGAAGTACGCCATTGAGAGATTGCCCGACCAGGGTGCGCCGACTTGACCGGGATCCCATCTGTTTCGTCGTTATTGTATTGTATCATTAAATGTGCGTCATATTTGCTGCTTCCGTCTGTAAAATTATCGCTTACCTATTCACTTGCTAAGGTTTTCTATCACGCAGCATACTAGTTAGATTGTTTCTATTTCGGTCCATTCACTGTTTGCTGAACCTTGATTCATGTTCCGGCCTCCCAACCTGGTAGTTTATTCACTTTCCCACAGACAACGAGGCAGAGCCGACCGGGAAGACTAGAAAAACAAACATAAGCAGGGATGCATTTGGAGGATCCTGATCTCCGTTGGTGTCGTAACCAGCAATATTCTATCCTCATATTAGTTTCGCTTCAGTGTCACCCTTCCATTCATCGAACTCTGCGTTGTGAGGGTCCATGCTTGCGGGCGCCGTAGTTGCAAGTCGAGTGTACAGCTCTCACCACACCACTCGAACGCCACACCAAGGTAGCGAGGGTTGGACGGCAGCGATATTTCTCCGCAAAGCCCTGCTTTAGCCCGATAGTCCACTTTCATACCGACTATTTGGTGTTACATGTATCAAAATTGATAATCGATGATCACAACTATCCGCAACTGGAGTTTACAACGCTTAGTGGAACGTAAGTCTTGTCCCGAAATCATGCTTCCTGAAAACTGCAATAACTAGAGAAACTCTATTGGGTGCGCCACACGTCTACCGTGGCCTGCGGTAGTTCATTTTCTGGCAAGTCTTAATTTGGGGGTGTCGTTTCGTACTGCCTATTTCACACTTTCAACTCCGAAAACAGATTAGGCCTGCTCGTTCGGGAATCTATAAACAAAGATTAATAACACGATGTGGCTGACGGCTAAGGAATATTACTATCCGACCATCATTGAGAAGGTGGCCCGTGTGGTTGTGCTCCTTGGTTATCGCCATGGTCTTGTCTAATCGAAAATGTGGCGCGTTTAGCGCGTGAAAGTACGGCTTTCCGCGTCTACCGGTGAAACGTTGGCTCCGAGATATATTCAGCGTGATTAGAAAAATCCAAAGATGTTCATCATCAATATTTTGTGAAATACTTCAGATTTCGCGTCTGAGACTCACGTGGCCTATGTCACGACTCACGCGCCAAGTTCCCACGAATCACCGCCTCTTTTCAATCCACCATGACTTCCACCGAGCTCAGACAAGAAGATTCCATGCCCTCAAAGAATCCTTATGCTTGGTCCAAGACCTCAGAGCCTGAAATCAGCCTAGACCACTTCCTAACAAAGGTCTGTGAAGCTGGAAAACGCGTCCAATAGGGTTCCTGAACGCGCCACAGTATCGACCCTCAATGGTTCGAGACGACGGCACGAAGCCGGTAAGCGTGAACGGGTACATAAGTCGATTACTTTTTGAAATAATGCGCGTATGTGTAGTGGTTATGGGTCCGGGCCCGTGAGCCGTCAGAAGATAGTACTATGGAAGGTGAAACTGCTGCAATTGCTGAGGCAACTGTCGTATGTGCGTGTATATCTCTTCGTTAGTTGCATGTTGGCGTTGATGTATGGACATTCAGTGGAGGAAGCTACGGAGAAGGTTCAAAGCATCCAGGTAAGTACCATACTGAGAGCACCCGGATTATTCATGGTTTGAACCCGAAGAACGACGCGTCAATACCTGTTCGATCCAACAAGAAAACAGGGGCTAAGAGCAAGAAAGAAGTTCGAGAGCAGGCAAGTCTTTCTCCTGTAGTTCATGTCTTGGCGAGCTGGAATTCTGCTCGTCTAGGTTCAAGCAGGAGCCGCCGAGAAATTGAAGGATATCGCGATCAAAAATGGCTATACTTGCGGCAAATGGTAGGTGTCGTGATTGACCAAGTGTCTCGTATTTTATGTTTTATGTTTTCCCAGGCTCGTGTTCGCATCATCAGAAAAGGTTGATTCAATATGGTCGGGCGTCGCTAGTCCGTTTATCCCAAAGCCTGCGCATCTTTTACACATGCTAACATCAATGTGTACAGGGTCCCTTGTCGATGGCCCTCTCTCAACAACCACGGCATTTTGCGCTAAAGTGGCGACATGTCCGGCTGACGAAAAGCCCAACCATCAGCATGTCCTGTGCATCTACATGCCTAACGTATATGATAAAGATGCAGTAACAGAAGTCTGAGAACCTTTCCCCATTTATCGGATATCTCACATGAGAACGCAACAGGTTATGAAGATCTTGCTGCGCCATCATGGATTAAATCTTAGTGGCGTCAAAACAGATTTATACACGGACCTAAGTACCTGCCCTTTCAATCTGTTGGATCTCAACACTGATAGTCGGACTTTTGTTAGACATTGATAGTAAACACCCTTCTGGAATCCCTTCCACAGTGAGTTCACATTTCTTTCCCGACTTTTTGCTATCGTTAACTCTTTCATGTGCAGATCTGGAAAGCTACGTCGTTGATGAAGGACACCGAAATCAAGGGAGGTGTCATGGCGTCTTGTCCGGCTTGCGAATCTTACTGTGAAACAGGAGTTACGCGATGCATTTTTCAATGAACTCGCAGCGAGACCTAAAGATTCTGCTCCGCCTCCCGCGTCGAAGGAGCCAGAGAAGAGTTCAGAGACAGCCCAACCTGATGATGAAAAGCCCAAGCCCAAGCCTAAAACGAAACTCAAGAAAAAGATGCAAGTTGAAGATGCTTTTGCCTCTGACAACGACGAGGAAGACGCCAGAGAAGAGGAAAAAAGAAAAGTGGAGCTCAAAAAGAAATTGGCCAAGGCACGGAAACGAGATGATAGCGACGACGAAGAAGAGAAGCCCAAGAAAAAGACGGCCAAGATATAAATGCATTGGCGAAGCTGTTAAGCGCTATAAACATGATCTACTATTTACTTATGAGGATGATGCTGTGAAATAAAGATCAAGTTTAAACTACACTAAAATACAGTGAACAGATGCATGCAAAGGTGTCCAAAGGGTGGTGGATACAATCGTTAATGGGTGTCGCTCAGACGACCCTTCAACTTCTTGAAACGCCTGCCCTCTTCCTCGTCCGCGCGCACATCAGTCCGAGCTCTCTTCAAACCCTTCGCCAGCCCAGCTTTTGGACGATGGTCAAACGGCAATTCACTTCCCGACAGGTCTGAATCCTCTTCCTCGGGCACGGGCACAACAGGCGCAGAAATATACGCTATTGGTTTCAATGACCGTTTCGTCGGGCCTTTGGGCTTTGTGCGAGATATACTGGCAGAAGATGGAGTATCGGCGGACGTTTTTTGACGTTTAGCAGGACGTGGAGCAGGTTCAGCGTGCGACTCGACCGTGGAGAGAGATATAGAGGATTCATATCCATCATCTTCCTTCTTCACCACAATCCCCGACGGTGTCGCCGAGACGGCAGAGGCGGCAGATACCGGCGGCCGTATTGAAGATGATGGTGAACGGTCGCTCGAAGGGCGAGGGGAATTACTAGATTCTCCTATGCGGTTGACAGTAAACCGATCTGCCTTTTTCTTCTGAACAAGCCTAGGATCTTCGCCCACTGCGCAGAGATAATAGACTTCCTGTTCCCGGAGGAGGTCCACGCCTACTAACTGACGCAAAACGCCGATTAGGTAAGGACTAAAATCCAGGTTCTCGATGTCTGGAACGACTCGACGACTTTCGTCGGTCGTGGCATCTCCATGATCTATAATTTCTTCGTCTTCCATGAGCTCAGCATCTCCCAAAGAACAACCTGGGACAAGGAAGGAAATGCGAGGTCCGTTTTCCACTTTGGGAAGGCTGATACGACGATAACGGCAATTGGACCGTGTCACAGGTGAGCTATAGTAAAGTGGTCGATCAAGAGATGAAGTTGAGGAAGCGCGAGAAGGTCCAGCGGTCGGAAGATGATGTCGATGACGAAGGCGAGGCTGGCTAGAATGTCCATGCAGTAGGGCCGGAGGGTAGTGAACGGGAGGGCGATGGTGCGCGTTAGTAGGCCTTGTAGGTGTTGGAGGTACCTGGGAAGTGGCGACTGAAGCTTCACTAGGCGTGGAAGACGATGCCCTGGACACGCTGCTCTTCCTTGAATATGTCAACAACTTCGCGGCCAAACCTCCTGGACTTGTCGTGTCTGAAGGAGCTGGAGATCCGTTTGGATCTTCTTTCTGTTTTCCCTTCCTTTTGCTGCTGAGCGTATGGGACAGACGTTTAGTGCTTGTTGATTTACGTTTCCGCTTAGTTGACGCAGACCCTTGCACATCACTCCGGTCAAGGGTGGGAGACTCTGGGTTCAGAATGTTTTGATCTTGGTATTTGGCAGAGCTAATTTCAGTCTTGATTACCACTTGAGGTATTTGTCGAGGTGTAATAGACGAAACACCATTTACTTTCTTTGGCGAACTGGAAATCCATGAGCGAACACTTTAAAATAGTAAAAAGAAAACACCGATACCTCTCGATGTCGGTTAAGTCTTCAATCGGGCTTAGCGGTCCAGTGAAAGCAGGATTATCGGGAAGACTGATGGATTGCAGAGGTGGTTTGCTATCCTTGAATGTTTGAACATCCGCCGAAATGGTGGGTATTTCAGATTCCACATGTGCGTCCACAGAGGGTTCCAGCATATCTTGTGAATCCGGAATGCCTTGGTTATCTGGCTCTAGCTCCCTGTCATTGGACGAAGAAGAGGTGTTTGACAGATCGTTTTCGTTTTCGTCTTCAGAGACTTCATCTGAGCCAGATTTGCCTAGGTATTGAGTAACACCAGGTGTAGACAGACTATAAGGGTACGGATCTGGTTGTAGAACAGACATTGCTCTGGCTCTGATGGTGGGAACAACATGTGACGGGCGCGTCAGCGACTCCCTTCGAGGCCGGAAAGAACTCGTCGAGTCAGAGGGCTTCATTCCGACTAGTGCATCCTGAGAATCCAATGTGATCTGTTCTCTCGCCGGATCAAGAACGGGGTCCATCTCCGGACCACGCTGGCTCTCCTTACCATCGTGCTGCGACGGACTCCGTACATCGTCAGATGTATCTCCTTCCGACGAGGGGGGTGTTGTCATAAGACCAGGCGGGCGACGCTTTGTATACGTGCGTGGAGTGAATAAGGGGGAAAACCCGGTTTGAATCTGTGGTTGTGTCGGGGGAGTATGAGGATCTGCGGGCGCCGGCGATCCTGAAGTGGCGGGAGGTGAAGACGCAATATCCGGAGGGGTAGGGGTGGGAGATGTATCGGTAGTAGTCTTTACATTAACTTCGATGTGAGGAGGTGATTGAGGTGAAACTTCGACGACCATGTCAGCATCCACTGTGTGAACTTTATCAATTGGAACTGAGGCATCAGCGGGACTCGTTGTGATATTGTCCGGCGGAGCTGATGAGCTATCATCAACTGGGGAGGGACTTTGTTCATCTGGAACTACGGCACCATCGTCGATTAACGTTGCTGTACTCTCGAGGGGTACCACGCTGTTATCGACGCGAACAACCGAGTTCTTGTCGACGCAAACATGTGAATCATCGCCGGCAGGAACTACTGAAAGTAATTCGAACGTGAGTCCCTCTTCGAAGGGAAGTGTCAGGCCTCCATGAGCCAAAGCGCCTGGACTATTGCCAATAGCGTCTGCTATACCATCATTCACAAGAGCTGTACAATTTTCCCTTGTGACGGTGACAAGACTTTCCTTCGCTGGACTTTCATCGGTGTCCATGGTTGGCTTCAACGCTACAGAGTTATCGTCAACGTCAATTGTTAAGACATCGCCGACGAGCGCTGTGATGCCATCGGACTGTGTTGGTGGGATGACAGTCGTATGATTGTTTTCATCGGCAGCAATGATATCCTGGAGATATGACGCTCGTTAATCCTGCACTGAGCACACAATCGCAATACTCCTACCTGATTCGAAATCTCTGCAGATACAACTACTTCTTGTCCACCATGATCATCATTCAGCTCAACAATGTCTGACGCTGCTTTTATATGTACTACCGCAGGTTCAGGAGCGACGGCGGAGATGTCGGCACCTACGAATTTATGATTTTCATCATAGCTGTCCATTGTGTCATGGTCCACAGCCTCTGTAACAAAGGAGGGTTCATGCTTCGCCTCCTGCGGCTCTGAGTCATCGCCGGTGCTCGTATCATCCAATATACTGTGTACTTGATTTAGCACAGGAGAAGTATCCTCTCTAGAGCTGGTGTGCTCTTCAGCTGGGGGTGTTGGGAGGAATGCAGGCCCTTCGGCGCCACGATCGCCTTCAGGAAGCTCTTTCAATTCTGGAGCAATGTCTGTGGGCACATCCTGTCTTTCAGCGGGTGAAAGCTCCGACTCGGAGGGCTGATGGTGTGTTAACCCTGCCACACACGCAACACCTGGACTGAGATGCTGGGGTGCCTCCAGTTCAGCAACGGCTAGAACCTCTGGAACTGGTAGAGGTTCGATAAATAGGTGAGGTGGGTTCGACCCGTGATCTAAATTTTGGTGATAAGCAGATACATGAAACGAATGGTGGTATACGCGACCTTCTCGAAGGTTTTGTTCTGGGCTCATAGGCACATTCTGGGAGCCTTGAACATCTGCACCATCTATAGCAATGAGGAAGAGTTAAGTTGTGACAAGACCATGTTCTCACCTCCACGATCAAGAATCGGATATGTTACAGGCTGCTCTGTCACTTCGACAGTCAATCCGTCTGCCTCCATCTCCAAATCCTCATACAAATCAAAGGTGATTTCCTCAGTGTTCACAAGCGAGACAGCGGTGAGCTCTTCGTGTTGCTTCACCGACATAGCAGGTTCGGGTGAACCAGCACGGATATTACTTTCGTCTACCTGACCATGCATGTCCTCAGCAGACAATGATAGGTCCTCGACATTGTCATTGCTGAGTTGCTCGAGATTAATACTGTGAGCCTTGACGTCATTATCGTTGGTAATGTTGTCAGGGTGCCGCTCATCAGGACGACGATTGGACACGTCCGCGCTTGAGTCTGATGTCATATCTTCCCCTTCATGCTCATCGGGACGGCTATTGAACTTCTTCGTGTTGCTGGAGTCGACATCGACTGATTCGGGATCGTACTGAATGTAAGACGCGTCTAATGACTGGGAGCGCGAATGACTGGCAGCTTCTGGAGATTTATCACGGATCAATTCGAACGCCATGATGTGTTCGTCCATCTCACGCTGTGGGGTGATAGAAGTGCTAGTGGCGTCGGCGTCTCCGAGCTTATGAGGATTGGGATGACTTTCGGGGTCCGGGAGATGATCCCCACCCTTGTAGAGATCATTCGCATACAGTTGTGGTCGAACCCAAGGATCGACGATTTCAACCGTTTCGTGCAAGGAAGGATAGTCCAATACAGTAGGAGGAAAAGCTGGACAAAAGGCATTGATCAAAAACACGCATGCTCACAGGCAATGTACGCACCTGTATCATCGTACAATGGTTGTTCGTCGTCGTCGTCAACGTCGTAGATCTCTGGAGACGCCACCACATCTTTATGTGCACCCTGGACCTGATCTTCCTCGTCGACATCCGCGTCGGAATCCCTTTCGCTGTCTCCCTGGGCCGGCGGCGAGCTTCCTTCCATGATAACCTCTTCGTCGGAAAGAAGCTCTATTACTTCCGGTTCATCCGATTTCTCGACGTAGTCTTCATCATCCGCATCGAGCACTTCATACTGAACTGGCGGCAGAGTAAGATTGGTCTGACCTCCACATGTCTGGTCGCTCCTCGTCCTCGTCGTCCTCGTGCACCTCATTTTTTTCTTCCAAATCAGATCCTGCCTCTTCATCGTAATTCACTTCATCTTCATACTCGACCTCCGCGTCTGCCTCGGCGTCGACACCTACTACATCCTGCTCGCCCTGTTCATGGCCATCCTGTTCATCCTGTTCATCCTGCTCATCCCATTCGCTGCCATCATCAATATCATCGACTACCCGTGCCAGCTCCTCCACCTGTGCCTCTTCATCTTCCGAATCCGAGGCAAGGTCGATAGGTTCTTCATAGCTGCCATTCCCGCGACTGGCAAAAAGTCCTGGACCTTCCCGTGGATCGCGGCCTTTACCTTTCCTACTGGCGCGTCGCGCCTTGAGCTCGGCGAAGGAGTCCTCAACATCTTCGTCGACTTCCTCGCTTTCGCTGGCCTGTTCAGCTTCAATATGACCGATAGAAGATTCATCTGACACAACCGGCGATTCCTCACGAAAATCATCGTCAATGTGACCCAAAGCGCGGCGGAGAGTTCCAGTAAGGTCATCAATCCACGCGTCGAACTGAGGTTTCGTGAATTTGTCGTACGGATTGTAGATTGGGGCTGGTTTGGTCCTTGTAGTGGTCGAGGTCAGAGAAGACCGAGTGGCGGAAGACGGATGCATTGTCGACCATGTGGCGCGTGGGGTAGACATCGTAGTGCGATATAGAAGGGCGTCGCGTCGCCACCGTGGTGAATGCACTGAGAGACCCTGAGGACTTGTCAATGTCAAGAGGTAAGAATCAAAGTCCGACTATACGGCCCTCTCCGGCTTCTATCTGAGCTTCAATTCAATTATTATGTCTTGGAAATTTTGTTACATTGCCATAAGCGGCAAATCCGCGACTTATTAGTAGTAGGGGCAACCATTCAGCATGCTTCGGGCAGGCGGCGTGCCTCCCTATCCTCAGAGCTTGTGGTAGAGAGCTGGTTGGAAGTAAGCCATTTTTGCTCTAATAACTATTGCTAGTAATTTTATCTGAAAACATCCAGCTAGGTTTTCGTGCTTGCCAGGGGTAAACTTTCGTTAACAAACTTGCGACTATTCCCTTCGTTATCAATGTCTGCTCTTTGGCATTTCGACGCCGCATCTTCTTCCTCGTCGCCATAAGTAACAGGCAGCCAATTCTTCCCGTGAACCTCAGTGTGGAATAAATCGAAACGAGAGCTGGAAGTGCCTCAGGTGTAAGCCATGGACTTTAAATGCCGATTACTCACTAGTTCCCCATGATATCTGCAACGAGTTTGACTTCATTGATCATGTCAAGGGAAATATTGGCGTATACAATGACCTCCTTCCCCGGATTCACAGGCTCGGTCAAGGTAGATCCGTCGGGGCCGTATATCTTCGAGGCACATTACCGTTAAAATAAATCGTACATCGAAATCTAGTTGCTTACCACCGAGAAGCCACCTCCTGGGAATGTGAACCATGGGTATCCAAGCAGCTTCATCTTTTCGGCGTCCGCTTCGCTGACTACTTGACAGCAGACGATTCCAAAAAGTCCACCCTCCATGGACACAAGTTGGCTCATCCGACTAGATGCTTGTCCGCTGACTATGTAGGGCGAACCGCCAGCATGTGGCTCAAATGCGGGCCACCATCCACCGACAAAAATCTGAGGATGCTGGGAATAGAAAACTGTCTTCAACCAGGGCTGTATCCGTGTGGTAAGTAGAAATCACGGAAAGTGCAGCTAGAAGGCAGACCTGGATATGCTCCCAGCAATTCAAGGAGCCCAACCTTCCGTATGGTGTCTGAACTACGTTATAGAGTGACTGGGCTTTGAACTCGTCAGTTAGTTTTCTTTGAATTCCCAATTTGATTACTTACCACTTCCGTCTCCGAAAACGGTCTTCTCGTAGTGTGTAGGCTGATAGAAAATAACGATAAGCTGCGTGATTGGCAGTGTAAGAAAAGTTCGCTCACCTTGATTTTTCGACGATGGTTGGCAATATTACCGTCCGCTGTGATAGTAACTTGAGCGATATAAAGGGAGCCTCCGTCGCGTTCAGAAAATCCAAGGACTACGTTCACGCCTGCTTCTCTGACAGCATCCCGAATTCGATCCATTTCTTTCGAGTGAAGAGCCATGGAGTTCGCTTGGTACTCTTTCAGGACGGCCTGAGTAACGATGAAGTTATTCGCCCATGGCGTCCATGGATAGCCTGAAGTGAGTTATTGCATGCATTAGCATAGTATCATTAGACCCTCCAACGTCGTGGCCTGACCTGGAATAAAGACTTCCGGAAAACCAATAATCTTGGCTCCTTCAGCGGCGGTTTCACGGATGATTTTTATGGTCTTTTCGACGCCTCCTTCGAGGTCAAGCCATACGCTGTATTGTAAACTCGCAGTCAGATCAATTTTACGGCTAGATGATGAGCTTACGGTTCAGCCTGGATGGCGGCAACCTTGAATTTGGTTGTATCGGCGTCAGAGGGATTGAGAGCGATTGGCATTTTATGTGTGATACAAACGGGACACAGGGAGATGTTGATTACTCATGTTCTCAGAAGTAGAAAGCTTTTATATCTTCTAGGACTCGTATATATTAGTTTTAGCGAAGTCGTGTGTGGGTTACATAACCTTCGAGTCCGCTAGGTCGGATTTGGCCTTGCTCGGGGGAAGATGTTACATCCCTAACCCACTCGCTACTAATTTCGCCATCGGTGGCTCATCATTAGCAGCAGTGTCGTTGTCACCGCGGTCTTCGTGGTTTTTATTAAGCCGGTTAGCGGTGGTGCCCGATACTAATGTATAAAGCAGCCCTTCTATTTCTATAACACCCTTCTAGTATCATCCATCTGTGCTGCTTGAAAATATGGTTGTTCTGAATAATGCCAATACCCTGCCATACCTCTAATACTCAAGGTGGGGTGCCAAAGCTCGCGCAGATCCATCTTCGACTGTATTGATTTGGAAGAGAAATCGAAAGGCATCGTTGATATGTCAATTCCGGCAAGAAGGGGCATAAAAAGAAGGGCTCCTAGGTTTCACCGAAAATATAATCGTACGAGGTCCGTCGCTATCCTTTACGGCGGGCCCACCCGAGTGACGTTGCGCCTCAATACTTTGAACCTACATCTTCGGCTATGTTGGTTGATTTACGTATAACTAGTGTGAGGATTCAGGAGCATGCTTATACACACTACAGTGGACGCGGCATATAGTGACGGAGTCCTTTAATATCCGGGTGACTTGATCAGTTCGACACTGTGTTTGTCTTCGAATTTGTCGAAACATTTATGTCCTTTTGTCTTCACGATCTATACCTACACGACAGCAAATTTGCTTCGGAAGAATTTCCAGGAAGAATGTAAGGGTTCGGACAAGGTAATTCAGCGAATTCTAGTCGCATCACAAAAAGACAGAGCTTTACAGCGGTCAATCGAAACTGTGATCAAATTTCTAGGGAGGATGAAGCTGTCACATATGTGGCGCAGCACAGAAGTATTCTTCGCCACGAATTCTGACAGTATTTCGGTATTCAAGAGCACTGAGCCACTGGGTTAGTGACCAAAGCAGTGGAAGCGATTACAACACGTGATCGTGAACCCCAGTGCGGAAGAGTACGGACCGTAGAGCGGCGAGACTGCGTAATCTTCTTATCAAGTTGCGCAAGGGAAGTTTCAACGTTTCCCCAAAGTCTCTTTGCTTTGAAAACATATTTGAGCGCATTGTATCCGATACATTTTCCTGCTCATCATTGGCGCGACCCAATTGCCGAGTCACCCCATCGCCGGGTCACCCCGCAGATGTGACACATGTTCCTCCAAACAACACAATCCTGAATCCTCCGACTATTAACTGTCTGTCATCAGTCTGAAAGCGACGCCCAACGGCAGAAAAATGACAGCGCGTTCAGGTTCATCGTTACGGTATGTCTAAATCCGAAGGGCCTTGGTCGTACTATACATGTCTCTAATACCTATGTATGTTTGAATGACAGCGCTTCAAAAAACGAAGTCCTTTGCCCCTAATCTGCGCTTTCCATGCATGCGCATCATGCATGGACTCAGTGCTGCAGTCGGCGCGACCTCAGTCCACTACCAAGGCTTGGCTCCGATGAACTACGTATGTACTCTTTCTCTTACATGCAATCGTACTACTCGTATTAATACTGGCGGTACGGTGGTAGGCACCAGGCCGCCGAAGAGGGACTGCATATCAAGAACGCCATGATCCGCCCCGCTACTCTGTTGTAGACCCTCGTCTTCCACACGTTCTCAGACCTAGCTAAACATCCGTATCCTTTGAAGTTGAGCACCGCTTGCATGAATCGTCATTTCCATGCATCCTTCCAGGTTTTAGCCCCCTTCGTTCAATAATAATGTCTTGGCGGCTACCCCCTTAACTAACTGAATAGTCTCTGTCGATCCTGTGCTAATCCTCAGCCTTGGCTACGAAGTCTTCGATCATCCGTTACCCATAAGTCATAATGCATAAAGGGTTATATGGAAAAGTCGCGCCGTTGTGCACCTGCCCTGCACCTATCCTTGTCGTTGAAGCCTCGCTATGCCCGGTACCGATGTCGACCCTCTTGGACAAGCTGCTGAAGCAGACAGGAATTTAGCACCAGCTGCCGTTGGGTTCCAATTTCTTATCATGGCTGCCGCGTCGGTAAGACCATCTTTTATTATTCCACTCACCCGCTGAAACCCGTCAGATTGCGACACTCATCACGTTCAATGTTATACGGTCCAAACACAAGGTGCGAATACTTTTACCCCATCTCTTGAGTAACTGACGCCTCTTTCAGCGTATCTATCAGCCGAAAGTCAAGTATCACGTTGGGGATAAACCACCCCCTCGCATATCGGACTCCTTCTTTGGCTGGATCCCACCGCTCATCCATACCAAAGAGCCCGAGCTTATAAAAACGATCGGACTCGATGGTGTCGCTTTTCTTCGATTCCTCAGTCTCCTGCGTACCCTCTTCAGTGGAATCGGCATCTTAGCTTGTGGGGTCCTCATCCCAGTCAACGTGATTTATAATCGCAGCGATAAGGTGGACTCTCGGCAGACAGATATACTCAGTATCCTCACCATCCGTGACGTGAAAGGCAACAGCCTCTACGCAGCCGTCGCCGTCAGCTATCTCATCACAGCGCTTGTCATCGCACTGGTGTACATTTATTGGCGCAGCATGCTACGACTTCGCAAGGAGTGGTTCCGCTCTCCAGAGTACACGAATTCCTTTTACGCGCGCACTTTGAGCATCACCCACGTTCCCAAAAAGCTACAGTCGGATGCCGGAATAAAAAATATCCTAAATACCGTCAAGATGCCATACCCCGCAACCGCAGTGCACATCAGTCGACAAGTCGGGGTTCTCCCGGACTTGATCAAGTACCACAACCAGACTGTGCGGGAATTGGAAACGATTTTGGTCAAGTATCTCAAGGATGGCAAAGTGGGAGCGAAGCGACCAACCATACGAGTTGGTGGGTGCTGTGGTATTGGTGGTGTCAGAAAGGATGCGATAGAGTTTTATACGTATGGCATTTTTCTTTCCATGATATGTCGCTGATTCAACATCTAGCACGAAACTCAAGCGCACGGAGGCTGCCGTAGAGGCCTATCGCTCCGGCACCGATACCAGGAAACCGGAAAAGTACGGCTTCGCTTCCTTGGCTGCGGTCCCGTATGCCCACTTTGCTGCGAGGAAGTTGGATGGCAAACATCCTAAAGGAACAACCATAACTTTGGCACCAGACCCTAAGGATATCGTGAGTTCGGTGCATTTTCCCCAAGCCAGATTTAAACCGTTTTATCAGATCTGCGAAAACATGAATAGGACCGATTCTGCTTTAGCACGAAGAAAGTTTATCGGGTTTCTGTGGATGGGGGTGATCTGTTTTCTCAGTCTGATTCCTGTTTTCTTTGTCTCTGCTTTGGCCAACTTGGACGCCGTGAGTATAATAGTTTTCCTATGGAACTCTTGTATACTGATGCTTAGTTTGGATAGGTCTCAGCAACGGGCTATATTCCTTTTCTACGGTCATGGTCATTGAATTCGAAGGTCTCTTTCGCCTTCGTATCTGGTGTTCTTCCTCCAATGGTAGCCGGCATTTTCTCGTTCTTCCTGCCAAAGATCATGCGGTGGCTGTCGCAATACATGGGTGGTCTTACGCATGCTCGACTCGACAGGGCTGTCGTTGCTCGCTACTTTGCATTCACCGTAATCAGCCAGTTGATCATATTCACCTTGATTGGTGTCGCCTTCAGCAAGTATTGCGAGCTATGTAAACATATGGCTTACTCACTCGTCTATTAGGTTCGGTCTCCCAAATCGTTGCTCTTATTGGGGATCATGCTAGCGCGAAAGAGATTTTCCAAAATTTGAACAGTATGTGGTTATTTTGAACTCGATTCCAACCCGCTGAATGATTCACAAAGAACTTCCCAACAAAATCAGTGAAACCTATATCAATCAATCGTCATACTGGCTTCAGTACTTCTTGTGCGTTTCCTCTTCGGTGAATTGATATCGTTGGCTCATGAGTTCTACACAGTCTCCGGTACTTCACCGTCTTGATATTTGATTTAGCCCAAGCCCTGAATTTTGTATGGATCTCGTTCAAGACTCAGTATGGTCACTTTCTACTCCTTGCAAATGTGCGCGCGCCTCATTTCCTTCGGTGTAGTGTCTTCGGTCGTACTCCTCGTGACATTCGGGAGTGGACTCAACCTCCTGAATTCGAGTATGCATTGTACTAGTGAGTTTTGGCTCCTGTCAATTATCCATTATTGACGTTTATCGTTGACTATGCAGCGCTAACCTGGTCAGTATATTTTCTTATTTCCTCTTGTACGATGGTTCTAACGCTTCGTTAAACAGCTGTTCTTGGTGTCTGTTGCCTTCCTGTTTGCCCCTCTGGTCCCACTTGTTCCGCTGGCTGCAGCCGTCGTCTTTTGGTTGAGCTCGTGGGTGCACAAATACCAGCTGATGTATGTTTATGTCACAAAAGTGGAAACTGGAGGCGTACGTGAGCTCATGACCTGAGGTACCACGACTGATACCTTCTACTTCTAGCGTCTTTGGAATGTAGTGATTAACCGACTTCTGTTTAGTGTCGTGATGATGCAAGCCCTCCTTGTGTTAAGTTAGTCCCTTATCCCACCTCTTTAGATCTATACTAATTAGTGTCGTTTAGCAATCGGCCTCCAATACAAGTTCAAATCCTTCCAGTGGTTATCCACGATTCCGCCAATCTTCATCATCATCGTGTTCAAGTGGTATTTGATCTACAAATTCGACAACGCATTCCGTTATTATGCGCCCACACAGGAAGATCTGAGAAACACAAAAGTGCATTCCAGTAGAGGGGACATCAAGGGACATCGATTGCAGCATCGATATGGTCATCCAGCGCTGACTGCAGAACTATTCACACCTATGGTGCACGCAAAGATGATGCCACTTTTGAAGGAGGTATACAAGGGAAAGGTCACTTTGGCTGACACGACTGCCAAACTCAATGAATATGGCGGTCAAAATGTCCAAGCCCAAGTCTTTGAGGGCATTAAGATTGCTGCTGTAGCCAAGGTGAGCCATCGTTACATCATTGTGAAAGTCGCACGTTGAACATCCTCCCAGGAGGACTTGGAATACGATCCTGACCTTTACCGACGATCTCGCACGAACGCAGGGTGGGATGGCAGGTCCATGACTACGGCCACTATGCTGAGCACCAGCTACGCCCCATCAATACAGAGTTCTTCGTATAACACTGAGCGAACGTCAACACTCAGTTCGCCGGGCCAAATGTCTGAGTACTCTTCGTACTCGTGGAGCCCCGAGTTTCCATCTTCCCCTGCAGCAGGACCTTCATCTGACTGCTTCAATCAGCGACCACAGTACACATCGATGTACTCTAATGCGACATCGATTACACAGGTTATGGAACAGGCGAGATTTGCTGATCCAAATGCGCTTCAGCCAACGAGCAGTATCAACATGCCATCACCTCATGGACAATGGGTTTCGTCGCCTGATCCGTACACTTCGATTGACCAGCAAGTGTCGCCTTCCCATTCCCAGGCGGCTTTTGATCCTTACAGTCTCCGATCTCAACGGTAATAACATTCTACGATACATGTATCAGTAAATTTTCTCTGTCTTTCGGGCATCCGGGGTCTTTAGTGTGACTGTAATATTTTAGTAGACAATGTGTATGGAAAAATGACGTCAAACAGAACTTGTCCGCAACGATGAGCCTTGATGCCTTCGTGAAACATTCCAAGCCTCAGCCTGAGCCAGTCGCAACCTCGCAGGAGATTCGAGACCGGGGTTCCACTTTCGTAGCCAATATATTCAAGTGCACTACTGAAGAAGAAGTACGCTCGTGCATCAAGCACCTCCGGCGCGTCACTCACGGCGCAAAGCCTGCCTCTCATGAGATTTCTGCATGGCGATGCATGGTACTCAAGAAGGAGCATACTGGGCTCATGGGGCCTGACGACTTTGAAGTGAAGAGCGGTAGCGAGGATGATGGGGAAAAGTGGGCCGGAGAGAAGGTCCTGAAAGCTATGGTCAGCGAGGCTGTCATGGACGCTGTCGTCGTTGTCAGCCGCTGGTACGCGACGTTATCGCACTTTATCTGACTCGCCTGGCTTACTATCTATCGTGACAGGTATGGCGGCACATTGCTAGGACCTGCGCGATTTGCTCATATCGAGACTTGTGCTCTCGAAGTCTGTCGAACCTTTCAACAAAAGGAAGAACTTGACGAATGCATATCTACGCTGTCCAGTCTGGATGACACTCTAGCACAGCTCCGTGCAGAACTCGATTCGTTATCGCCAGACTCAGATGCCAGCAAAGTAAAAGCGCCTGTATATCCTGTCTGGACGGTATCCGATTTGGCAAAGGCTAAAAGACTAGTGAAGGCGCGAGAAAATGCTATTAAATCCGTGACTACCTTTATTGAACAACGACGGCGAAATACTGCCTGAAACTGGTAATCCTTTGCGCTAAAGAAAGCCGTTCATCTGATTCTTATTGTCACAGGTACTGTCTGTATATGGATTCATCCAACATAGAAGCAACGCTAGCACGAGGGGTGACTCGGGAACCATGAGAAGCGTGAATCTCTTGGAGTGTAAACTCGGAGCAAGCAGTGCCCTCGGAGCTTGCGTTAAAGAATGCGCCATTCTGATGGTAAGAGGCGCGGCCCTTTCTATTACTGATTGAGCCTTACATCTCCACACTTCTCAGCGCTAGCAACGCCTCATTGACGCAATAAATGACATCGATATCGGCTGTATTCAAGCTTTTTGTATGATCCGACGAGCAAATGGAAACCTTCGTTCCGATAATTTCAACCCAGCTATGAGCATATACTTGTTCAGCATGGGTGAAATTTGGCCAAGAGAAGCTCATTAGCAATGGACGACGTCGAAAGAGACGTCAAGATAGACTTTGGTCCGTCACTGGTCTATGCATTTTACAAGGCCAATTTTGTGAGTGGGCGCCACGAAGGTGGTTGTTGGAATGCTCAACTTGTTGAACCGAAGGGTGACTGTTCACGTATTTGTCACTTGTTTCGCGGCGACTTCAATAACAGAAACCTCCCTCAAACTCCAATGTCACACCGTTTCGAAGAAGATGAAGTACTGTGCATGGGGAAGGGTTATAATCGATAAGAACTCTTGGAATGTTTCGGGGACTGTCACATTCGACTAGCTAATACCGTAAACCCGGCAGCTGGTCAATAGTCTGGATGGCGGGCTCTATCAAAAGAGCCGCTATCCGACATTGCGAATGTCCGAGGGGGAAAGTAAGAGCAAGACGCTGACGCCAACAAGACAATTGGAACGCGAACTTACAGTGACAGTAATTTACATATCTTTTCAATTCGAACGACATAGTATGATACTTACATACGGGTTTTTCAGTGATTACCTGCACATTCTCCAAAACGTTCAAATGCGCACGATGTCACATTAATGACGACTCTTAAAAGACAGCGACATTAAAGGTTAAGGCGCACCAACACAGACGCAGGAACGAGGTCCCCGTTTGCTTGTCTATCCTTCAATTCTGTGCCTGGGAGTATACCCTGAGTCCCACATATCAAGTAAAATCGTTGCGAACTTGAGGTCTAGCCAAAACGTTACTAGGTCCCAGGGTGCCCGTCTGTGATGATATATGGATATAGACTTGTCTTCACAGCTTCTATCCAGATTGCTGGCACACAGCATCGAAACCTTTGGTTACTGATTGACCTCTTATTCTCCATATCTTCTTACCTCAGGCATCAAGGGTGTGGTGCAGCCTCCCTGATGGACCAGATTTGAGGTCACCCGCATGTTCGGAAGAGCAATAGAGTTGGCAGCTTGGCTCCACAATCCGTCTATAGCAACCATACATATTACTTCAACATGCCCAATATTTTCGCGTCGAGAACACGAGTCCGAAGATATAGAATTAAAAAGGACGGTTGCGATATAGTCTATTTTCCACCCCCGTATCTTGCTTTACGGCCAATATCGAATGGAACGTACTTGTACTTGATCATATGTCTGTGGGTCGATAGTTAGCATGATAGTGGAACGAGTGGCGAAACAGCGCCGCAAAAATGCTGGGAGATTAAAAGGGTACTCACTGTATTTGCCGCCTCATTGTCAAAGCAAACAGCACGAAGAAGTAGACAACTAAAATAGGCCAGTAGACAGGTACATCAAAAACTTCCGAGGTTGTGGCAAGAAGCGCTAAGATCGTTGCCCTTGTAGCGGAAAGCCTATCGCAAGTTCAGCATATGTAGATAACGTAACGGTATTAAAATCGCACCAGAACTGCCATTCAGGTAGGCGCCTCACAAACGGTCTGAACTCATCATCACGCTGACTTGGAAGAGGGCTAGCAGAGCCAGCGTCGCCGCCCTCTATCTCGTCTGCGAGCAGGTCTTCTTGTAGTGAAGGGTCAAATTTTGGCTGAAGGAATGCAAGGAGAAGATTAAGGAGGTATATTGCGTGCGCATCTGACAGAAGAAGTGATCAGAACCGACAGAATTTGCCACGAGATGCCCACTTACAGCATACTGTTCGATACAAGGCACCAATACTGTTGAATAAATCGTAATGGCAAATAGAGATAGCACGAACCAATATACCACTGAAAATGGTCATTAAATTGGCAAAAAAGAGTATCAAGTCAACTTACTCCTTGGGCGAACACTACCCTTAGCAGGAATACACAAAGTATCCCACCAGTTGCCAGCCAACGATTCAACATATGAGGTGTCCATCGGTCTAAAATTTGCTGGTACTGCCGTTGGATGCGCCCATATGCAGCTGTGATATTTTGTATGGGGCTACCATCGCCAGAGTCGCTGTCGGACATCATCGTTGAAGGTCGTGGCCGTAAGAGGTGTTCTAAAATCTTTGCTGTGCACGTCTTCGCCGTTGTCGGCTGCTTTGAGCGGAGAATTTCGGAGTTTCCATTTGGGCTTCTTCCATCGGCCCGGCGGTCCGTCCACAGCTAAGTAGAGTATCTCACTTCCCATGTCGCTACCAGCTGCTGTGGAACTGATATCAAAACACATTCTGGCGCGCGTATCTGCTGGTAGTAAGAAGCCAAGTGCGTTGCTGCCTTCCTCCTTCCTTGTAACATAATTATCAAACACATACAGTCTTCGCTGCCATCCAGGGCCCTCAAGGTTCTGGGAAATCGTACCTTACTGGCCTAACACAAAAGCTCCTTACTGATTCACCGCATCTACTTCGAGTTGCCGTACTATCGATAGATGATATCTATCTTTCTCACGACGAACTTGTCTCCCTTGCCCTCCAGCATCCCTCTAACCCTCTCTGGAAAGGAAGAGGACAACCTGGTACTCACGATGTTGCACTGGGTGTTCGAGTACTACAGTCTCTGAAGGAAGGACGTGAGGCGGTTGATATACCCAGGTTTGACAAGAGCCTGTTTAATGGCGAAGGCGATAGACTTCCTATGGATGGAAGCAATTCCGTGGAACCTCCTGTAGACGTCGTCATCATGGAAGGCTGGTGTTTGGGGTTCTATCCTATCTCGCAAGCAAGACTAGCCGAAAAATGGGACGGGATATGGAAAGAACAGAAAATCGCATTAGCTCTGCAGGACGAACTACTAGGATCCAAGGATTGTTTGCAAGATATCAATCTGGCTTTGAAGTCTTATATTGATTTATGGGCTTTCTTTGACGTTTTCGTTCAGGTAATATGACTGTTTTCCCTCCCGATTTAACTCCTCTCTGAATCTCTTTATCGTTAGATTCAACCAACGCCGCTCACCCGAAGCCACTCACCATACTCGGTAATATACCAGTGGCGCCTTGAACAGGAACACTTTATGAAGGCTAGCAACGGCGGCAAAGGGATGTCTGACGATGCCGTCAAATTGTGACGTTTTTTTTTACATTTCTCGTGTTTCGAGCAGACGTACTGACGCACGAGATAGATTCGTGGACCGATACATTCCCGGCTATGTTTTCTTTGGCCAGGGCGTTACCGAAGGGTTCACCGACAACGGACCTTGTTTACCGCCGTGGTTAGGGAACGGACTTCGGATTATCGTCGATGAAAAGAGGCAGGTCACGGAAGTTCAACAGTTCTGATACCAGTTTGATACCTCACCTGTATGGGCTGTGATGCGCGGGGGCTCGCGATCATCAATATATTCATCAATGGATAACCCGGACAACGTGAGAGAGTTCAGTTCTTATCCGTTTCTAACCGGTGTGCTAAGTAATTCACTCTAGTCGGAAAAGCGCTGCTTATAGATTACGCGCAGCATTCAATGTTATAATCCCTCGCAGATTCTACTGCGCCCGAGACCGTAAGCCCGATCTATGCCGATGGCGTCGCGCCCGTTCACTTTTTTGGAGAGCGTCGTACAAGAATCACTATATACTTGATTGATTTCGAATTAAGATCTTGCAAAATCAAACTTCAACTCATAATGACTCAAAACTACGAATGCCACATATTCCGATTTAATTCCGTAAAATTTGAGGAAAGTCCCGATCGATGCACTGTGATCACTTTGAGTTGATACGATTATCTCTGGTTATCTGTATACCACTAGAATGTCTGCGTACGGTGCTATTCAGAGAGCATACACCGGCGACGGTCTCCCTTCTACTGTTTGGTGCTCTTCTTCGAAAACCAAGTACGCAACGATACATCATTTGACGCTCCAAACAGCGAAACCCCTCAATGGCCTGATCGAATATCTTCATCAAGTTTTCGCCAAAGAAGTCGACGATGGAAGGACCTATCCACAGGAGAGGCCCATCGATCTCACAGCTTTCGAAAGCTATTTCTTTGCCGCCGACGTATTCATAGCGATTCTTGGAGCCCCAGAGCGTCCCTGATGGGTTCGAAGAGCCAAAGGAGTCATCTTTAGGAGTAGCAGAGACTCAAGCCGGGAGATCCTGGGAAGACTGCGTCACTGGATACTATTATGTGGGTTCATCATTATGCATAGACTTCCGAGTAACGTGCTGTTAACTTGTACCATTCATTTCTATAGGTCAAACCCAATTATCCAGGACGGTCGTCCCATGTATGTTGACATGTATATCCGTACTTAGCGCTAGGGCTGTAACACCTCAAACAGATTTGCAACGCCGGGTTTGTGGTCCCACCATCCCAGCGGGGACAGGGGGCCGGGTCTATCCTGGCCAAGTCCTACGTCCATTACGCGCCGAAACTCGGGTATCAAGCCAGTGTCTTCAACCTTGTATATGTCAACAACACCGCATCCATCAAGTGAGGTTTTCATTCTACTCTGCCATAATGCTTTACTTAACCTTCGGATATAGGCTCTGGGAAAGGCTCGGATTCACGAAAGCAGGACGGATTCCACGTGCCGGAAGATTGAAGCAAAAAGACGGAACTGGTGAGGAATACGTAGATGCATGGGTGTTTTACAAGAGCTTCATGGACGCCGAGGCGTAGCGGCGAGATGATAGATTGATAAGACATCCTTCTGTGAAAGAGAATTTACCCAGCACCCTCGAATGTGTCAGTGCGGCCGCATGTTTGGAATATGCGAACATCCCGGGGCAACTGAGCGTGTCTGACTAGATCAGTCCAGTCTCGTAGCCTACTATTGAAGGTACCTATGTACCATCAAGATCAGGGTAGAAAGAGAGCTGGCTCGAGAGCGCGAAGGCACGAGGCAAAAATAGTCAAATAGCCGTCACGCTTTCGCCGGGGAATAGTCTGGAGAGTACGAGATAAGTATCAGGGTGTGGCAGGTGGATGATTGGTGGCCCGAATTTGTGTCCATCCCAAATCAGGATTACCATAATGAATTCAATTGACTGTGACATTCGGCGCTTGCGCCTGGTCTAGTTGGAACAAGAAGTGATAATGCATAAAGATTGCTGTCTAGACAGATATAAAGATGAAGATGAAGAAAAAGGTGCCTACGGGTTCACATGCTGGATAGTCCCGTGGGACCTACAGCTTCGTCACAGCAGATCGTCAGTTGATCCTGTATCAGCCCACCACAGATGGGACAGAGTGGACAAGTAGATGCTACTCAGGTTGTGCCATGATTTCGACATCGGATCTATGATATCCAATATTCAGCTTCAGCCACCGGCCCGTCAGCAGCTATGATCAGGAGGGTGATCGACCATGGTCGCGAAAGGTAAAAGAGGGCGGCTGCGAACGAATGTGACAGTTGTTGATACGAGATTACAGCCACGAGCCAGTGTGCTATAGATAGGGTCGACCATTAGCCAGTCAGAGGCTCGGAAATCCCCCTAGAAGTGAAGCAGGCTATCAGGCAGAAGTTCCTGGGTCCTGAGCCTGAGAAGTCCGTAGACATGCGGTATGAGAAGGTGGCACGGAATTTCATAGGCTCGTACCGGAGGCAGAAATTACCGCGTTGGGATGCCGGGTACTAGACCACTGTGTAGATGTCAGATGCACCTAAAAACCCAATTTTGGAGACCACGATACGGCACAATGCTCGATGATGCACAGAGCGGTAGGAGTACAGCTGTCAAGAAGCCTGAAACACCAAGTAAGGGCTGTGTCATTATATTCTTGAATAAATGCTGAATGGGACTTGTTGATTGTGAGAATGCTGGGGTAGAGGTCAGCTGGGGCGTCGGGATAAAAGATAACGAGGTACATAAGATGGAGATGTACACGATGATACCACGCCTAAATTTTGCAAACAGCATCGGACATGATGCGGTGTACCGTACACAAAGACTCTAAGACTTTCGGGATAGCGGAGTAAGCATAATGGGATGACCGGGCGTAGATATTTTACGATCAGTATCTGCTGCGAGATTCTCGCCGAGCCCAAGAAAGTCCGTTGGTAATCTTTGGAGTCGAACACTGGACGCACACTGCCGGGGATCGCAAATGGATGCATATTTCGGTGGAAACGGGCCAATGAATGAAATAACTTTGATTGGACGCATGGGAAGCTGATGGAACTTGACAACAGAACAGCAACAAGCAATGTGGGCCCACAATGTGAGAGACAGCAGAATGCAGGGCAACGGGAAGAGAGAAGATCTGTAGCGAAGCATGGCCTCTGCATGGCTGATTATTTTACGTGGAACAAAGGGGGCTGTTTCCTGCTGGAAAACAATCAAGAGATGAGGAACGAAGGGGAATCCCTGTGCTAGGATGGATATCTGTTGTTCGTTCGCTGTCGCAGTAGCAACAGCTATACAAAAGGTCGCAGTCAGAACGAACACAGCCCGACACCTCCGACGTCATAGGCTGGAATAACCGGTGATCCTATTTTGGAAAGGGATCTGATGAAATTATGTTTAGGATTAAAAATATCAAATAGGGCCCACGATCAGGCCGAATTTGGTCACGTCACAGCACAGGTTTGGCTGTTCAATTCCAAACCGTTTCTTACCCGAACGCCCATCTGCCGTCTCTCCTTTTTATTGCCTTGGCTTATATATATTGGTCCTTCTTTCACTCGGCCCTCCGAGCCCTCGTTGCTGTCCTCCCCCCCGTGGACGTCGTCTATCATACCGTCTCCCTCCCTCTAATTCTGTTGGGCTTTGTGGGTGCTGGGTATCCCCATCTTCGACACTACTGACCTCAGCCGTTCCTTGTGGTGAGTCTTGCCCCTGTTGCCTCGTTTTCAGGATCCCATGGCAGTCAACGAACAGCCTTCCCAAAGGGGTTACGAAAGCATTTTGCTTGCCGCTGTTTGTGCGAGAAAAAAATTTTCTGCCATGATGTTCTGATGAGTTCTGATGGCACAAAGGTCCGCGATGTGTCACAATCGGATGTTGGCAGGGATCAGTCCCTTCTATATATCACCCGTCACAAGTTCTTCCCTTTGCTGACTAGCAGATTCACACCTTTTAGTGGAATTGATCTGAACAACCTTTCCTAATTTCGTGGCATTCTTCCCGTCCAATGGCCAGCTCAAATCCACCAATCGCTAACCCACCAGAGGTCTCGCGAAAATCCGTAGCAAACAGGAGGAGTAATTTTCAACCGATGCCACCAGTGAGTTGCTCGCTAAAGTTCGATATCTTCGGTCCACCTCATCGGATCTTAGGCGCCTGCACAACCACCGACCAAGCCGGATCCCTTCTACGGCCAGGAGGAAATATCTCGACTATGTGCCCGATTCATCACCCATCTCTTTGCCTGCCCGGAGAATCCACCCGCGGCCAGTCAATCGCAAGCCAAACTACCATACTTCATCGCGTACGCTTTCCATCGGACGAAACTACATCCTTCTGTCACCTTTGCGGCGCTTATCCTTCTGCAGCGGCTCAAAGCTCGCTTTCCCACTGCTCGTGGCTCTTCTGGGCACCGACTATTTCTATCTGCCTTCATGATTGCGTCCAAAATCATTTGCGACGACACCTACTCGAATAAATCTTGGACGATTGTAGGGCAGGGCATGTTCAACCTCCGGGAGATCAATCAAATGGAGAGAGAAATGTGTCTGTATTTGGATTGGGAAGCTCACTGTCGACAATACCCTTCTCACTAACTTTGAAAGTATGGTGAGGAGGGATTTCAAGGCAGCAGAGGGACCATATCCGATGTATTCCCTGCAAATGGTGTCGAAACGTGCAGTCCGAGCCGCCGCGTCTACGTCCGCAACCCCCCTTCCAGAGCCACATCCTGGAACCAGCCCTATTCCCATGTTTGGCCACCACGGTCGCCACCCATCACCGTCTGCTTCCGAGTCGTCGCCCAAAAGGCGGAAACGCAGCAAGCAGTATGTGGATTCTCCGCCAGAGACACCTTCGCCGTCTTATTCTGCCTCGACGTCGCCTGCCTCATCGGCTTCACCAGCTACACCTGTCGGTCCCAACGACTTTACTGCCAAGATACGGGGGATCGATTCACCGCTTGGATTCTCAATATCACGTCACAGGCAAAAAGATCGGACACTGTCACATCCATTAAAAACGCGCATGTTCTCTCTCGCCAGTACAACGTTGTGGTAGCATTTATCTTATTTTCTGTTTTCATTCATTGCTTTGATCTCGTTTATTTCCATTCATTGCATCAACTTTCCTCTGATCTCTCTCTCTGCATACATCTTGTCTTCCTGGTTCAATTAACCTTGTACGTGCATGGACTACATCTATACCTCCGACCATCATACCTTCACGCAACATACTTGCCCAAAGAGAGATCGATTATCTTATTTGTTCGCATTGTATCACTAACACAGGATTTCATTTGCTTCTCGGCGTCATTTGCACTTGTTATGGTTGTCACATTAGTCTATCTACTTATAAATCCATCTACATGCATATGTATGTTGCGAGCAATACATGTACATGAGTTCCAGGGAAATGTGTTCATGCTCATTTCGATCGTGATCGGGTACTATTTGTGCTGCTGTGTGTATTTTGTGAGCGCTGCCAACCTGCGGGATCTACTGTGATGCCCACAAGGTCTCTCTCGATGATGGCTGCATCTATAATTACGGTCCCTCTTGGACCCACACCCTGCACAGGGTGAGAACAGAAAGGCCCGCATGTCGACCCACAGAAATTAGGCATCTGGAACCTGTACCCACTCAAGTGCTAGATCATTGTGTCAACAGCCACGAATCTCTCGCCGGCGTTATCAATTACAACAGCCATCACCTATCTCCAACACATGTTTTCATAACAGCACGAGAACTCCCTTTATTGTCCTTGCTTCGTAAATCATTGCTGTACTTTCCCCGAGTTATCAGGGTATTCTTGTTCTCCGCCCTTGTCACTTATGAAACTGTGGACCCACGTACTAATCACCTTCTGTTAGAACTATTGGATCAAACCCATATGAGCTAGTACGACCCGCACGGGTCCTCCCAATGTCCATTCCCTGATTGATACTCGTTAGTCACTATGACAAAAGTATCTCTTTGAATAAAGAATTTCCATGCTACCAAGGCCTGAGATCCGAACATCTCCAGGCGATGCCCTGCGTTCTCACACCAAATAACTCGTACTCGTACCACTCGTCCCACCTTCTTCTAGGGTCTTCAATAAGTACTTCTCTGTCAAGCCGGTCTGAGTTGCGACTGTTCCGAATTTCCGTGCGTAAATGGCCAGGGCGCGTATGTATGTACCTTATCACACCACCGGTATATGAATGTTTTTCGCACCCGAGCTCATTAGTAGCATGCTATCAGAGCATTCTGCTGGGCTTCGATTCCGAAGCTGATGATTGGCCGACGTAACTCACAGCTTTCAGCATGGTGACGGCAACGCCACAGAAAAGAACGTTGGACGGAAATGACTCGGACTACGTTGACAGTCCAAAAGGGAAGGATATATAGAGACAGCTTTGCGAAAGGATGTCACAGTGACACGGGCCATAGTGGCGGCTAGATATTATTATCATCGCAATATAATGGACGAAGCTGAGAAGGGAAGGTGAATCAAAGGGTGATATCGGCGCGTGTTGCGATGGGCTTTGTCTGGTTGGTGGAGCGCTAACGATGGCTACCATTCATTAATGATAATCCAGGAGACTGGAGAAGAGGAAGCACTGAAAGAAAGTGCCTGTGACCAAGAGCCCTGTCAAGGTAGAAGCCCGTAACAACGTAAGGCAACTACAGGGAAAACTGGAGGTTAAGCGCTTGACGCTTGGCAAAATAGGGCGGCAAATGATACGGTAGGAAAGATCATTATCGCCCCCAGATATCGCAAGGAAATAAAGAGGCAAAATCACTTGAAGATGTTAGCCGTATCTGCGTACCATGACCAGTGCAAAAGATGATACAGAATGAATCAGAGCCGGTGAAAAGAAATGCGCGACTCCAAATCATGGCCGATCACCACAAAGACAGACTACCAACAGAAAGATACAACAGACTTCCACTGCTGCAATACAATATGCACAGCAATTTGAACAGCTAAAGATAACAGGTCGTGCTGGATACGTGATAGGCGAACAAGAGCGCAAATCTGAGCGAACTGCTTTTGCGAACGGTCAAGTTAGATAGTCAAGGTAGTAGGAATCAAAGGACGCGAGACGCGATGGTTTTGTCTCATCTCTCTGCGCTTACTAATGCAGTGCGCTTTGGGCACGTGACTATGTAATATTTTGCTAAAGAAATAATTTAATAAAATAAGTAAGCGGCAGCGGAGTCTGAAAATCACGGTTCACTGTCATCTTCCACTCAGATATTATGCCTTTTGGCTTGACGATTGGAACCGAGCGTGCTGCTGCCTTGGAGGTGCGATTTATTGGTTGTGATACAATTGAAGGGATTCTTTACTTATACATTTCAACAGCGGGCAATCCAACATGAGCTCACGGCGCGGGGCTACAGTCCTGAAGGAGGTGAGTGATTCTGTACCAAATAACGGGTCCCAGAACCTGACGAGGTCCATGAAAGATAATGTTATGGCGGAGTACATTACTATCATGATAATAAACAACAAGACTTCCGGTGCGCGCATTGTTTTCGTGTCGTGTTGCGTCAGCTAATGCCAACTTTCGACTAGCTCAAATAACCGCTGAATTGGAAGACCGTGCGTTCAAATTTTCTGTACTGTTCATACATATAGACCTGACTGTTTTCTCATAGTGATTGGGTCAGATTTTGGTACGCCACTGCCTTGTTGGACTTGGTCGTTTATCTTACTCAACTTGACTTTAGACCACTCGTTCACGGACTGGCTGTTCCAGGAAGCCGCGAAGGGTGCGACCGGTCCCGAATCAGTACCAACTGAAGCTACCTCCTCTGAAGAGACGCTTGACCAACCGCCAGAGGCGACGCAAAGTGCCGCTCCTGAGTCATCACGGCGACCACCAAATTCTGGACGGAGTGGTCTCTATCACCAAGCTCTATCCCAAGCACTTCCTTCGGCAGGTCAAAAGCGTAGCGCGTCTGCCCGGTCGCCCTCACCTAGCCACCCAAGCAAAATAAGACGAACCGATGTTCCTACAGGCCCGCGAGCCATGCTCCGGGACGGTCCTCCGCTTTCAAACTCGCGTAGTCTCATAGACCGCGTAGGTGGTCGGAATGGCCCAACACAGAATGGATATGGCCAAGACGACATCCAAGCGCGGATAGACAACATCACCAACACTCCTGACGCAAACATGATGATGGCAGCTGGATACCCTGGAATGAATGGTATGGACATGAACGCCTTGGCAGCTTCAGGAATGGGGAATCCCCTGATGCTTCAAGAGTTAATGATGAACCAAATGGCCCTCATGGCTCAGATCAGCGGGATGATGGGTCCGGGTCAGTTTAATGCGCCCGGTTTTCCGATGCAAAACGGTATGCCTGGGGACATGAACATGTTCCAAAATGGGGGCATGAATGGTTTCCAGAATGGACCTCAGGGGATGAATGGAAACACGAGAGGACGAGGCAGTGGTCGGGGACGAGGAAGCGGACGGGGTAGGGGCAGGTCACACACCATCGTTGTCTGGCTCAAAGCCGGCAGAAGGCACCGCATTGGAGGCAGAGTCGACACAGCAAGTACCTATCGCTGCGCCCATCCCGACCGCTGCAACGCATGCCAAGCCAATACACTCCGCAGTTCCACCGGGTACGGCTCAACAGCGGTCTGGATATGTGTATCCAGAACGACCTCAATCGCCGACGCTGTGCAAATTCGGTCTCAAGTGTACGAATCCGCACTGCCGGTGGACGCATCCATCACCAGTTGCTACTGTTGAAAGCGGTGTAGTCACGAGTACAGAAGCTTGCGAGAAGGGCAAAGATTGCAAGGACAAGGATTGTGTGAAGGCGCATGTCAGCCCAGCGGTGCTTACGGCCAAAGGTGCGAATACGTTGCTCATTTTTATATTGCATTACTGAGTGAAATTAAGATCATCCCCCGCCAACTGTTCCTGTCCCGCAACCCTCTCACCACCATCCTTCGCCAGTACCCTGTCGGTTCGGCGCTGCTTGCACGCGACCGAATTGTACTTTCTCCCACCCTCCTCGTCCGTCAAGTAACTCGAGCCATTTTGCTCAACAGTGCCGGTACGGTGCAGGTTGTACACGAGCGACATGTTCATTCCAGCATCCGGAAGGTCGTGTGCTACCGACTTCATTCCATCGTGGGCTGTCGACGTCTGCCCCATTGGTTAACGTTCAGGCTCCAGAAGCCGGTTCCATGGGAGGACCCAGTCCGCATAAAAGTGTCAAGTTCAGTAATCCGGCTGCGGTGAAGGAGAAATTGGAGAAGCTTGAAGAAGAGAAGAGCCGAGTTGAGAAGGGCCTGAAGTTGAAGGAAGCCGAGGCCGCGAGCAAAGATTCTAAATCACAAGTCGCAATCACTGCTTGAAATGTTTCCCTTTGCTCATTGTTGGTATGGTTCTACTTCTGGTTGCATGAACGTACATCTCAAGAATTTCCAGACACTCGTCTAATCCATCCTTAAAGTAGCACTGTATTTTCCTTGTATTGTTGCCATCACCATTTTTTAAATTTTCTTTCGCTTTTCTATCTAGTATACATACGTCTGCTTACAATCCGTACCGTAGCGTAGCTATCGAAGAGGCGGATGGAAGGGGTGAAATCAAACATCTTTGGCTGGAGGCTCGCAAAAAATACGCGATGCCCCATGCTCACACACCCCATACTTGGCAGAGAAAAGAAAGAGCCTGATAAGAATACCGACAAAGCAAACTTCAGAGTTAAATAAAAGGATATAAGGTTGATATCTTTTTATTTCTTCTGTCGAAATGAGCGCGTGAACACTCTCCGGCAGGGGGTCAACGACCATCCGAGAAGATGCAGGAGAAAGGTATAGCGATAGTCCAATTCGAACAGGAAAGAGAGCCTGTTGCCCTTCAGAACGGCAGCAAGGAGCAGGCAAGGGCCTCACCTTGGTGACACCGTAAGCAAAGACAGCATTAGCTACGTCGCCAGCAAGATGCCCTGGCAGATACGCTGGACTTTCTGTCCTGTTCGTACTATCCTTCTTCTCCAGTCCAAAGATCCCGTATCGTTGACCAACTCTTTCTGCCCAAACTGTTCCTTCTTGCACCCATGTCTTCACCTGCTGCCGTGCCCATCCAGCGGGTTCATCGTCGACTGCTACGGCGTCCACGACGCGTTCCCCAACCCCAAAAGCGCGAGCAGCACATAATACACCCGCAAAAGATGCAATAGCCGTGATTTCATGCAAGACAGCAAAAGAAACAAGCAGAGAAGACAACGGGGCGCCCGTACGCGCAGAAATGGCACTGAGAGCAGCTCTGTAGCGTCCGGCCATGGACGTGAAAAATTGGGCTGACTCCAAGTTCCCACGGTATGGTCCTATGCTCCGTTCACGTCTCGTTGACCGTGGTGTCTGTTCGTCGCGCCGGTACAGCGTAGTCGCCAATAGTAGCAGGGAGCCCAGCTTGAAGCTCCAGCTCCACAGACAGGCTTGGTCGTTGCTACGTTCGCCGGATGAGCGGAGCGCCGTCGTAAAGTCATGGAAGTTTTTCGATTCAATGGCAGAGGCCTACGCACTCCTTCGCGCCGTAGAGGAGAAATACGGTCCTATTCATGAGTATTGGTTCCAAAAGGTGGGTTTTCTGTTGTTTCGTTGCTTGGCCACTTAATGTGTATCGATGCTAGGACCAAGAAGATCCTTCAAAATATACTTCTGTCATTCGCGTGCAGTTTAAAAATGCAGAATCTTTGCGGGATCTCTCGTTCTCTCCCAAGCCGCTGCATGTTGTCGCTCCAGTGGTCCCGGTACGTCCTGGAGGCATTGGCCTGGATGATTTGAAGGGCCTCCTCGCGCCCCGAGCACAGAAGCCCACGGATGGAACGGAGTCGTTGCCTGATATTGGAGAAAGCGAGAAAATCATAGATGCCAGCATCTCCAAGGCCGGTATGTTTATCTTGCCTTCCCCTGGTTCACCCAGACTCATACATGGTCTGCAGCCCAGCCATTATATACGAGCGGAATTTCGATAAACCGAAGAATCATACCTCGGAATATCAAGGCTATCCATGACTGGGGAGGCTTTTTCCCTCTGGAGCCGCTGCCTGAGGGTGCCCCGTTAACGACTGATCACCCTCACATGCGGATTGCTCTGCAACGATGGACGCATGATATGCATTGGCGACCGTCGTCGAATTCCGAGAAACCTGACGCGCAGAATGTAACGCCTCATAGTGGCTACACACGAACGACGCGTCGGGAGGCTCCACCTATTCCCTAAGGCGTCATCTTCCGAGGAAGAGCCACAGGAATCTCCTCCCCTCCCTTCCCCTTCGTCCCGGCCTGTACCTGCTCCTGTGGTCCGGAAGTCTCGCGAACCATGGGATCCTATCCTAGATCCCTTACCGCAACCTACGGTGACAGCGGAAGCAGCACCGCCGACAGAAACAGCTGCACTACCCATCCAGCCCTCACCGCCAGTCCGAAAAACGCCTCTCGCCTCCGTCAGCCTACCTAACGCTGCAGATATCCCGTATATCGACCTTCCACCCGTAGTGACGAGGAAAGATAGAAAGGCTCAGTTGTTGGCCGCGCAACAGGCCATAAATCCGACCCCAAAGGCCCCCAAGGTCTCTCCACAGCCAGTGAAGAAGCCAAAGAAAAAGAAGGAGAAATCTGTTGTCGAGGAGGGTCCACCACCAAAGGAAGGCGTTATTGAGAGACTGAAAAAGACGTTCTTTGGTTCATGGTTTAGTTAATGTAGATGCATTAATCCATTAAATTATTCTACCCATCTCCCTGCTTCATCAAATCGTTGAGTATCCGGACGACCTGGCCCATGCCTAGTCTGACTTTCTCCTGCTCGCCAGTCTTGACGAGCTTCATCAACCGGCTCTCAAACTTATCGGGGTGAAAGCGCAGGTACGTCTCCCGGAGCTTGTCCTTCCTCTCCTTCTTCGCCTCTTCTGAGAAAAGAAAGAAGGGATACCGCCTCTGGAGTAAGGTCCTCGACTGCCACGGACGAGCGTGGCGCCATGACGGGCCACGGAATATCGTCAAAGTGGAGATTAGCGGGAGGCAGAGAGAGGAGCTCCTTCCACCGAGATTCGTATTCTTGTCGCGCATGCTCCCGTCGCCGGATATCTCTATCCTTCCTCCTTTGCCGACGTTCTTCCTCCGCCTGGCGCTCGAGTCGCCGGCTCTCTTCCTTAGCAGCCTTCTCTCGAGCACGTCGGGCATGCCTTCTCTGCCTTGCGACGGCGTGCTTCTTCGTATTCCTGAGCATGGGCTTTCCTGTTATTCAATGTCAGTGTTGATTCGTGGATACTAGGCATTCTGACGAACCTGTACATCCCAGCCCTGATCCACTTCTGCGTATTCCTCATCATCCATGTACCTAGGATCGAGTTTCATGAAGTCGCCATCGTCGTCGTAGACGGGCCTCGTCGAGTCGCCGCCCCATCTCTTTGGGATGTGTGCAAAGTCGTTGAACCGCGCCTCTAGTGAGTCCAGCCGTTCGTCGTCGGCGAACGCCATGGACATTCTCTCGCGGAATCGCTGCTCTTCTAGCTCAGCTTGGATGGCATCGTAGTCGGGTTCGTAGGACGGCCCGTCGTCAGCAGTCGCCTCTTTGCGTTTGTGTTGCTTCTTCTGCCGTTTGCGTTCTCGATGAGCAGCTTGCTCCTCTGGAGTACGCTTGAGGTGCAACTTGGGCATACAAGAAAGGGAGAGATTGATCGAACTAATAAATACAAGTACAAAGAGACACTACGACTTTGTGGGCTCCGGTTCCTCTTCATCGTCCGACTCCTCAAGTACCGATGAAAAATGCACAATCTCAGGATATATAATGTTCTCGTGCCACCAGTGCCTCCACTTTAGCGCATCCTTGACGGGCATAAAGGCACTCCCGTCGACCAATGTCCTGTTTCGCTTCATGGGGACAATCAGCACTTGTTCTATCAGATACCGGACATGGACGTGGTGCGCCATCTCAGGCTGCATCTCGCTCAAGTGCTTCTGCATTCCCAATAGGAGCTTGTACGCCTCGTCAAGTTCCTGTCTTCGGTAGGCGTTTTCGTTCGCATGGTACTCAAGCTGTCTTGCTGTACTTTCATAGCCTTGGGCTTTGGGAGAGTCTTCTGGGGATGGTTCGTCGACTTGGCCTACTGCATGCGCTGTTCGGGCGGGAGGCGCCTCTGCCTTGGAGGGCTCGTCGGACTTGGCGGCCACCCGGCGACGTTCTGTAGGAAGATCAGAATTCAGGACGTGCGACGAGCTGAGATTACTGACTTGCTGGGGGCGCAGGAGCTTTCTCCTTCTTTGCATTTGCAGGCGTCTTCTTGGCTTGTGACGGCTCTTCGGTGGCGCCACCTCTCTTTCGCTTGTTCGCATTGGATTTGGCAGGTTGTTCCTTGGGTTTGCTCTTTGCAGTGGCAAGGCTTATGGATGCTCAGGAAAAAGTTCAACAGAGTAAGACGAACCACTCACGATAGAGCCAATAAATTGCTGATGATAACTTTTGTACCCAGGTTAGCCCGAATTCCGTGTTCCTTGGTGTAAAATATGGGATGTCAACAGTGCCAAGATCAATCAAGGACTAACTTTTGCGAGAGCCTGAAGCTCTTGTCTAGTCAAGGACTCGAGATGATCTTGGGTGAGTTTCTTAGGCATAATTTCGATGCAGAAGTTTGTGGGGGTAAGTGAAGGGAAGTATAATGTGGTCTGGCATTTGAGTCTTTGTTTTAATTATTTCAGCAAAGGCCCGACCGATACGGTGGTTCAAGGTAAAAACAAAGGAACGGCTATCACGAGGCGCGGCCAAAACGATCGAAACAATGCAAGAACAAAAGACCTGTATTGTTCGCTGAACGTGGACCATCCTTATCTTTAGGATTATAATAAAATGGAAACGATTTTCAAACCAAGTTATTAGTTTGTCTTTGCTCTTATATCTGGACCTTGCTGCCTGCGACGCATTGCATTTTGAACCTCCTCGTCCTACTACCACACAATATTCCGTTATTTTCTAACCACTATCCACCATCAACATATCACTAAATGGTCAGGGTGTGCTTAGCAGCTCGTTGTGACCATACCATTCCTCACCCAACGTTCATTTTGCAGGCTAGAATTGGACGAGCAGCAATCGAGAGAGGGGCGGCTCTACGTGCCGCATCTCGACGATCTCCCGAACTGAAGTCACCCAGCCCTAAACGTCCGCAGAGGTCAAGGGCTGGGGCAGCTAAGGCTAAAGTCGAGGCAGTTGAGGAGAGCGTCGAATCCTCCACCAAACGACTTGCCGGCTCACGCACAGCTTCCGCGGCATCCAAGAACTCCAAGGCTTCGGGAAAGGCAACCGCTACTAAAGACATGGGGCCTCGAAAGCATGCCCCTCTCCGGGGCAGTGCCGTTGAGGAGTCTGTTGGTGATTCTCCTTCGGTGCCTGTGCGACGTTCCAGGGCGGTATCTGTCAGGACCAGGACCGTCGTCGAGGAGAGCTCGACGGCCAAAGCTCCGCCCCGCGCGCCGGCGCTGGATAAGGGCAAGGGAAAACAGAAACGGGCTGAGCGTCTGGGCAAGGGCAAGGGAAAGCTCATCAAAGTTATCGAGGAGAGCGACGGCGTCTCAGCGGAAGATGAAGAGCGGGCCGCCGAATCAGCTGTCCCCACTGAAATTGTGGACGAAAGTATGTGCATTGGGTCTGTTCTATCTGATCTGCATCTAACCGCCCGTACTAGGCGAAAATACTGTCAACATTTCTGACAAGAAAGCGGATGAAGAAAAGGCGGAAGAACCTAAAGACTCAGAAGGTGAGGAGACACGTTCCTTTTCTTCGAAGAGCTTGTCCTGAAGATTCGGTAGATGATGAAGTCCTCGACCCCAGCAAGATAATCCCCATCATGAACACCCTAGTCAAAGAGGACATTGCCGATCTAGGGATGATCCATCAACTCCAGAACTCCGTTACCCGACTCACTGAAGAAGCTAACAACATACTCTGTGCCTGTCGCAAGGAGACGGCGTTCCGTACTCGCTTAGAGGCGTACTTGCGATACTGCGTTTTCAACAATAATCTGGATTCGAAGAATGGATGGGTGACGATCCAAGAGAAGGGGAGGCTTGACAATGGGTGGACTGCGGAGGAGATGTGGAGCGGCGGAGGGGTCCTCGTCGTGTACGGTCCGGATTTTGAACTGCTTGCGACTGAGAGTGAGGAAGACGAATTGTTCTGGGTGCTTGATGATGAGGAAATTCAGGAGAGCATAGATAGGGAGTTGCCTTCAGATGATGAGGAGTGAGTTTTTTTGTGCAAGTTGTTTTTGGTTTTTTTTTTTTTGATATCGTATTGGCAGGTCTGAGGGTTCGGGTGAAAATGCGGGCGGGAAAGAAGGAGAGGAGGGAAAGGAAGGGGAGGAGGGAGAATGGGGCGGAGAGGAGGGAGATGGGGAAGACATGTCAGGAGATGAGGAAAACGGGTCGGATGCCGAGCCTGCTAGCCAGCCGTCGTCGCCTTCGCGGAAGCGTCCTCGCAATGACAATGAGGAGGTTGTAACGCCTTCAGCTCGTCGTATCAGAGTATGATACGTAAGGTCCTCTACTACGTGCTAGGGACCATCTTGTATTCGCCATTTTTATTTAAATAATTTATTCAAGTGCTGCAGGCAGTCACTCGGTGGTTCAGCGTCCCAGTCGTGTTTGTATCCAACAGCAAGGTAGTACTTGGCACTAAGAATGTAACTGAAGCGCTAGGATAGTTCATTGAGAACTTGGGGGCGTTCACAAGGAAGGGGTGCCGCGTGCCCCAAGGACAACCCCGGAATTTGAGGAAGGGGAAGGGGATGAAGGAGAGTTGAGGGGAATTCGAAGATTCAGAAGACGACATAAATAACCTTCAGGAAACTTGAACTAATTACTGCATGAGAACCAAACCAGTGACACGCCGTACTATGCAGACGCTCGCTAAACCCACCGCCAACCGCCTAACAGCAGACTCTGAAAAACAGCCTGGACAGAGAGCATACAAACACCTCAAGAGGTTACCGGTGCATTCAAAGTTCAAAAAAAGTAAGATTCCGCAATCATTTCGACATGAAATGGTGCTGTGATGGGAGAGCTCTTTCTAAAACCAACACCTGGCAATAGCGGCGGCGGCAATGAAACTATCGATATTGCGTTATCCGTATTAGATTCGTCTGAAGTGGGTAGATCCGCTACACGCTTTGCCAGTTTGACAATCATAAATCGCTTTGCGAGTGTTGTGAGAAGCCAAGTTTGTCCTGCCTAGCCTCTATGTCGGGGATTAGTAGTGAGTTTGATGCAGCGTTCAGTTAGAATGGAGTGGACAACTCATTTAGCCAATCGTCGACAGTAAGCCGACGAAGGCGTGTGTCAAGGACAGCGGGGCCCACATAAGTATTGGGTCGGTGGCGGCGAGCCTGTGAAGGGAGAACGAATGGTTCATCGCGCTCAAGAGCGAGAAACGGTTGGCAAAGGAGGTCATTCTGAGAAACGAGTTCCGTAGGTCGAGCGTCTTCTGCGTTTTTAGACATTTTTGAGAGATAAGAAGGCGACGAAGGGGGCATAGACACTGCAACGACGAGAGATAATTTTATAGGCAAGAGTGGTAGACCGTAGTCTGTCAAAAAATATTTGCCGGTGATAGTCATGATACTCTTTGGGATTATTTGTGGTGATTGAACTTGAAGGAAGAGTCTATGACAGCAGTAGGGTTCCGTAAGAAATGTCGGAATTTTAAACATCGTGTTTATAACATGGTTTATAACCTGTTTCAAACACGAGGGGGAAAAGTGGGTATGTTAACAATTGTTAACATTTATGACCTTGTAACAGCATTTAAAGGCAGAAATTTGCCCTCTGCCCACCTCTCCAGTGCTTATAGTGGCTGGACATCATATTCGCTGACATTCTGGACAGAATTCTGACAGGTTTGGCTGGTTTTGTCACAAATCTGCCGGAAAATAGCGGATATGCCCATATATATACAATTATCTTAACTAATGTAATCACATGGCCAGCAGTCTGCGAGCTTGGATTGGGCCTTACACTACTTCCCTGGCATTATACAAGGACGTCAAATCCACGGGGATGAATACTACATGCAACCAGGTTATAAACATGGTAAATATCTCATTTCTAACGTGTAACTAACATTTTTTACCAATATGTTTGAAATATGTTTGAAACCTCGGTTTAAAATGTCCAAATTAGGAAGGATGTTTATAACCGGTTTTAAACCCGGACCCATAATTTCTTACGGAACCCTAGATAGCAGCAGTGGCAGATGTTGGCCTTCCAGGGCCGAGTAACAGTTTCTCTAGATAGACACAGAGCCAGGTATTTCTGTCATAACTCCTACAGCTCGAGGAATTCCCAAAATCCATCAAAGGCGGCAAAGTTACCGTCAGTTTCGTTCCTCGACGGCTACAGAAATCTCGAATGGTGATGGTCTGGTAGTCGATTGGAAAATTAACTGTGAATCACAGAAAAAAAGGTAGAAAATGCTCCTGCACAGGCTTGGTAGAAAATTTCGTGAATTGCTAGAGGCTGAGACGGAAGACAGTGGAGGGTCGTGCGGAGCGATGTCTCGTCCGGCGAATAGGCCCGATTGCCGGGATTCAACCTTCCTTCTTTCTCTCACTGACATGGAGTCGCATTCAACCACAGGATTGGCTAGTACAAGCTCTGACTCGAGCAATTCTAATACGTCTGAATCTGGAGATCATCCCATAGCTGCAGAATTCAGGAAGTGGCAGGTGTGAACTCCCACTATTAACAGTTCCAGATTCTAAGTACTAGACACTCTATTCCAACGCTGCACCCCGAATGACGGAAGACTTGTTCGATTTCACGGTAAGATCCATCCGCTTTGTACATGAAATAATCGCTGATTGGAATGCTCCTCTAGGTGGATGAAGCTACCAGAAAACAGCGGGAACAAGCTTACTTGGATGCAGTCGAAGCTGCTACGAAGGATATTAACCGAGACTTTAGGAAGTGGTGTGAGGATCATGAAGAAGAGCTTGGTGAGTTCTGAATGGTTCTATACTCGACATTTATTCATGTTCTAATTAGCAGCGTGGTCGGAGACCTGGGCATACCATGAAGACGACATCGACTTTATGGATCTATGCCATTAGGTATTCCCCCGGCCCTGCTCTCCCTATCGCCTTGTTTTGTATGATCTCCCGGTACTCCAATCAATGTTTTCTTGTCACCATAGTTGCATTCTGTAATTCGATGTTCTATATTTCAAGCATCCTTTGAACAACATTAGGCCACGGATGGACACTAGGGTGCCATGCCATGACGAGACTTTATAGCCTTTACCTATGTTTACATCCATGCCACGGGCCAAATGGTTCTCAACTATGAGAATTAGTTTCTTCTGGCATGCAGGCGACAGAGTACAACTAAACTGAGGTCATCGACTCTGGTCTTCTACCACCCAGCAAGATTACCATTGGACCGACCTTCCCGCTTGGTTCGGCTCTAGTGTCAGTGTCTGTACGTCTCGTTGTTTCATGGGCCCAAGCGCAGCCGCGTGCACGATAAACTTACTCTTCGCGATGAGCGGTGCTTGTATCCCTTAACCCCCGTTTTTACGAAAAAGCATGCCTGTCTGATTGTACTTGGTTTCCGTGTTTTCTATGAGCTGCCGTTGTGTTTTGTATCTTATTGACTACTGCTGTCCTGTACTTTAATCTTCTTCTCGCTCGCCCTGAGGCATGTCTGACTTTCTTATTATTATGTCTTTCACCGTCACTCTTGGCGCACATTTCTTATTACTCTCCTATTCCAAGAGTCACCCTCAATATGTGTTTATTATCCGTCTATCTACATGCGAGAGTAGGTTAGTCGGCGGTTCCGTGTCATGTCTGTATCCAACATGAGGTAGACACACGGCACCGGTAGGCTTGAGCTGGTCCATTAGCGCTGTCGAGGATATCCAATCCTTCAGCGCAATCTCATTTTAGCGCCTATACGAGCGCTACTGTATCTTCAAATTGATAACTGACTCTAATTTGCAACAAATTCCGAGCAGAGTGATTTATGCTTGGCGACCACGTGTACGCCGCTAAATGATGGACCAGGCGCTTGGAACTCACGATGATGGCCATTTTTTCCAAGCACAGCAACTTACTCCTTCCAAGGCTTTCTAGACCGCAGCGACGTTCACCAATCTTTTACCTTCAATGTCCTTAGCTTTTTCTGCCCGTAATCTGTTTCGTGCGCGTGCTGGTCACATATCTGCTTTTTTGCCCAGATTTTATTCTCAAAGTCAGAATACACGTCCGAAGAGCTCGCCTTCGGTAAAAGTAACTCCAAAAGGCCCGCCTAGTGCGGTTCCTGGGCGTCAAGTGCCACCGGCGCGTCATGAAGTCCAGGAGGGCAATGCAGCACTAAATGTCCCGTTCAATCCTCCTGGAGGAGGCGGCGGAGGGGGTGTAGGGGGCACAAGCGTATTTGCATTTACGAACAACGCATTCTTGGATGCAGCACTGACGACGGTGATTGGGCTGGGTATGGGTGAGTACCTTATTCTATCAAAGTATATATCTTTGTCTTATGTGCAAACAGTTTTCCTTGGCGGTGTAGGATACTTGAAGTGGTACAAATGGAATGTTTTGCACAAGGCGCGTAACTTTCTACGCGACACCGATTTGATCTTTCTTTTACACTTACACAGATTGAGAAAGCCTTTCAGCCTGGCTATGATCCCGCACTTGAAGTGGCGACTTGTCATAACAAGAGTAGTGTACTCGAAGAGGGTGGTGATGGCCCGGACGACGTTGACATAAATTCGGACATCCCGTGGACGCAGCACCTCCGACGGAAAGAACAAGATCGGATAGACAAGATCGTCCAGGGAGCAGAACCCGGACATTATTTTGTGCTTCTCGGGCCAAAGGTGCGGTGGTCAATTTATAATGCATTTGACTGCGTTTCATTGAACCGGCTATAGGGCTCGGGAAAGGGCACTATGATTTTCGATTCAATGGCTGCTATCCAGGCTGATGGTGTCGCTATGTGTGATGCTCACCCTGACCTGGAGGTCTTCCGTCTTCGTTTGGGCAAGGCGTTGAACTATGAATACAATGAAGATTCACAGACTGGCTTGTTCCAGAGACGCGACCCTCGTGAAGGTAAGCAGCCGACAAGTTCATAGTCCCGATTCCAACATAATTCCAGGCGGACCTGCGCTCGATATTGAGAGAGGTAAGCACGATAGATGGAACCCTCCTGAGAATGTTCTAATACCTTTGTGTTTCGCAGCTTTGAATAAGCTAGAGAAAGTCGCCCTCAAAGTCGCCGGCGAGAAGGGCAGGCCCTTGGTCCTGATAATTAACAATGTGCATTACCTGAAAAACGACGATGACGGGCGGAACGTTTTACTTCAGCTGCAACAAAAGGCTGAGTCCTGGGCTGCCAGCGGTGAGCACTTTGTTGGTTGTCGCTTGCTGTTCTCAATTCTCTCCAGGAATCTTGACTCTTGTGTTTAGCACGTAAGTCCGCAACTGACGATAATATGCCTCTCGACTAAGATCAACATACAGGGATGATTTCTGGCCTTTTTATGTCATGCGTATGTTCATAATACACCTACAAAAGCCCCTTGGTCTGACTACCAGCAGGAAAAAGCGCCAGTAGGATGCATGTTTGTGACTGGTTGCCTTTCAATGTTCATTCCTAATGAGAGGTCGATAGGTTCTGTCAATCTACGACCTCAACATGAAGGAGGCGCTGCATGCTTGTACCCGTATGAGAATAGACCTAGGTCTGAAGGTGAAAAGCCAAGTCGTTCAGGACGCTGTATCAATCGTTGGAGGCCGCCTTTCCTACCTAAACAAGGTACAATAATCAGTCGTCACTACATTGAGCTACCCTCACATTCCTCCGAAGATTTCGAAATCTAGAGATATGCTCGACATGGCAAGCCAACTTCTCTCAATTGAGAAGGCCTGGTTGTTGAGTCAGATAGGTCAGCTTGTTCAAATCTTAGTTATAATCTAAAAACTCATGTTTGTACAGGTCTGATAACTGATTGTGATGACGATGTTATGGACGAGGTAGAGTGGTCTGCCCGGCTTTCAAGGGCCTTTTTGAGATTGTTTCCAGCAAAAATGGAGTTCATGCTCTTGGTTACTGCTACAAGAATTCGTCAAGCTCAGGCAAGAACAAGAACGGGAGCTAGAGGAAGCTCGTAGAGCTGGCACCTCTGAGATACAATCAGAGGCAGAGTTACCTCTACCTGTGATTCCTTATGTGAGCGTCGTTCCATTTTGCGTTTACTGACATATGCTTATACCGCCACAGTGGAAATGCCGACAGATCATGACAAGAGCAGACTTTTTGGAAGGTGTGTGATGCTGCTGGTACACTTGGTCCGTGTCTGACCCGGACCACCAACAGACCTAGACCGAAAGAACATCATTGCTATTGATGTAAGTGACTTACAAAACCGGGGGATTCGCGGCGTCTCTGACTGCTCCTTGTTAGGTCAACCACGACGTACGACCTGACTCGATGCTCATCCTTCACGCGGCAAGGCAAATGGTGGAGCAAGAAGAGTTTGAAGACACGCTCAACAACGTTCGCGACCGGATCGATGAAATTGAAAGCCTTCACCGGACAAGAGAACTGACTGTGAGTATAGTGCTTTTAACCTCTTCTTTTCTGCTCGCTGACAAGCTCGCCAGTTCAAGGACCTTGACAAGGGTGACAAAATTAACCTTACGGTGGATAAAACAGGCGAAATAGAACGTAATGTATAGCAGCAGTTGTACTTTAGGTCCCTGTTTTATAGGAATCTTTCGCTATATCGCTCTTCCCTGGATGTCGTTCGGCAACATGCACTACAAGCGATCAACGGGATGATTCACATCAGGAGCAGCCATTGCGAAATTTTTCTGGGAATCTGTATCAGGAAATTTCCTTGGTAGCCGTGGTGTCCTTGGGGCTGGGAACTGTTGATTCTGGAACTTCGTGCTACCGAAAAGCAAACTCCTACGATGGACGCTCAAAGGCTCAATCAAACCGTATCATGCGCTGTAGAAGGGGAGTCAGGGACGACATTGCTATATATTTCATTCAGCGAAAACGAGTATCGATACCTAGCGATACATGCATCAAAATCACGGCACCCCCTTCAACGCCGTGTGTATTCTCTTTGATTTTCGGTGATACGTGTCTGGACCTAAGTACTCCTTAAAGTCATGCACTTGTACCTAGATTTAACATCTTACAAGAGGTTCGGGTTTGAAGGTAAAGTGCTTCTCATCCTGGAGCGGCGGAACTGTTGTATTCGATGGAATCAGCTTCAGTATTAGAGCTTTCTAGTAGTCTTTGTATTCTGGTCTCGAGGCAACAGGGAAATTGAACGTTCGAGCATTCACAATTGTGACAAGGACAAGAACGTTGACGGACATTGCCGTTTCCGGAGCGTGAACCCGGCTAAAAGACTGGCAACGTTTTTGTCCTTATACCGGTACCACCACGACCCGTCACATAAAATACGATAGCAGAAGACGACACGAAGCCTCCGCCACCCACCCCACCTCCATCGTACTCTCAGTCTACCTCGACTAGTGTCACGGTCGTCGAACATCCTGGGCCCCTACCCAGCGGTCTTGCGAGCACAGTCGCGGCCACGTCGACGGCGCCATTTCCATCAATGTTCACCCCGCCGAACGTGCAGCGTTCGCATCATGTGCAGCATTCTCGCTTTGGGCCTACCCCGCCACAGGAGTTGCACCTCCCGTACGCGTATTATGATCCGAGGTCGGAGTACTCGGTCGCCATGGCTGACCACCGTGCAAGGATGAGATTCCTTGGTGCAGTTTTATATGCAGCTGGCGTTTGGGTTCTCTTTGGTGTTTTGGCGGGATGGTGGGGACAGGCGTGGAGTGAGTGACTGGGTCGTCTCGTATGGGTGGTGTATTTTTAGATGGATATCATGGGCGAGGGTAAATTCTGGTTGGTTTCATCTGATTCATTCTGGACCTGGGTTTCTGACATTCATTTTGTGTTCCAGGTATATTATATTTCATCTTTCACGACATGCTTGCATTTGGACTGTATCACTATAATTCTACATGGGGACTTGTAATATGCGTACTAATGCCGGACTTCCTTTCCACAAACTTGAAGCTCATTCAAAAATAATGGCTGTCAGTTGACATTTCAAAGGTACTCTTACTGGATTGTGATTATATGTATGCTCACGTCAGGTTTTTTAGGTTTCTACAGCATGTAATTTAACGGTTTAGCTGTACAGAGGCTGTTAATATCGCCCGTTCTTCTCGTTGTTCAATACAACAACTATCTACAGCATATCACTCGCCCCATATAAGCCTTACCGCCCCAAGAATGTACAGTCTATAAGTTCGAGGTAGGGTATTTGAATGGCGAGTATTCCCTGAAAGTCTTCTATGTCGTCCGGATTGCAACGTTGAATGGATTTACTTTAGGCCGCTCCTCGTTCACCTGCGTCGAGTCGGGCGACATCACGATTCTCTCGCGCAACGCTTGCGAACATGGACTGCGGCTCCACCTGTTAGATATGTGCGAAATCGGCATTCTACTGAAGTTTATTCTCATTCCCCTGAAACTTGTCGCAATTTGACGTCTCTTTCACTATTGTTTTTCCGTAGCCGACCGCAGACTTTGTTCTCGAAGTCGTCTCGATGATTTCTACAGACCATGACATCACCTGTCCGACTAACGCAGTCAACTGGACGTCCTTCACGGAATCACAGCCTACCCCCTGTGCAAGGTTTATCATTCTCCCTTTCGACGAGGCGTCGGCGATACGTGAGAAGGCCATTCCGTGAACAAATATGGTGCCGTACTTTCACCCAGAACCGCAATTGAAATCGATAACAATACCTCTGCTACCCTGTCACCGAATAACAACCGCCGGAATCCAGAAGGATGTCCGGCCCCAAAGGCTTTTGGCGAGCCATCGCGTGTGTATCGCGTGCAACTGATGTGGGCAGATTTCTTGGTAAGGTTTCATTCTCTTTTCAACCATGACTTTCATGAACTCTTTCTCTCGAAAACGACAATTTTCTCATTGGCTGACGCTGCGCTTACAAAGTCAAACAGTTCCTACTGCATCAGGCGAACAAAGAATCAACTGATGGGTTTGGATAGGGAACAAAAGGAGGATATGAATGTGGGTGGGCAGCAGTTACGCAAATAAGAGGCGAGACCTTGTGGGTACGAGACAATGTCTTGGTGGTCAAACAATGGGAACATGAACCGAAGGGCGGAGGTCACGGTGCGTCTCTCTGTACACGCTTTGTAGTGGCGAACTGCCATTGGCCAGGGTGAGCCCGGATCACATGAATCAGGTTTGTCTTTGTTTGGGTTTTGGTTTACATCGCCTAAAAAGGAAGTGGTCAATGCGTGGTAATGGATGGAAATGGGAAGAAGCGAAATCCGGAGGGGAAATTCGGCCTCGTCCGCTTGTTACCTTCCAACCCATCACCCTCTTCGATCGCACATATCCCCCTTTCCCCGACCCAATTCCGTCGCCGTCGCCGTCAACGACCTCAAACACCCTTTGCTTATCGTCGACATCGTGCCCAACGTCGTCGACGACATTCTGCTCCACTTTTTTCCGCCGTCGTTGGCCCCAATTTGGCCCTGTACGCGTCGCGCATTCCGTACACCGCGCCCATCGTTCATCCCATCGCCGCCCACTGTATTCATATCTATCTTGCGTCACCTCATCTGTGTTTTGCCCTCTCCCCTTCCATCCTGCTCTCTGATTTGTTGATGTGCTGAGTGTCCTTCATTTCCCCCCCTTGCTGCCCATTTTTGTCACATCCCATTATCTGCCCATCCTGGCGTCTTCGACCCCCCTTCTACCCACCTCTGCTCACCAAGCGGACGAGGACTTTATCAACAAGTCCCTCCTAGATTCACTTGACGCTCAGGCAGACGCTGAGCCCATTGCGTCGTCTGACTCGGACCACGCTGCAGGGCCTTCCTACGGTTCTGCCTCTAACACATCCTCAGAAGGCTCATCATCTGTTCCCTATCACATGCATATCCAATCCCAGCAGTCCATCGTATCTCGTTCAGACTCGCCGCCCGACAACGGTGCCCATCCCATGCTTCACCATATTCAATCTCAGGAAACATTGTACAATCTGCAACCTTCGCAAAACGGCATGTACACCACTGGCCATAGTAGCCATATACACTCCCAACTCTGACTATCCCGTCGACATCGATCCCCAGAAGCAGCTCGCATCAAAAATCAACGACCCCCCTCCTTCCTTCAGATCACCCTTCAGCAGTTTTACCAGCGCTGCTCGCTCTCGGCACCACAACGCGCCTTCCATGCTCGCCTCTCCCACCTCGTATCGTGACCCATCGACTTTTTACCCATCTGCTGCGGACATGTATCCTCAACAAATAACGTCGCCCACCCATGTCCACATGCAAGCGTTCGAGCCCCGGGGTAGTTTTGACTTTTCTGGCACCCAGACGATAAACAGTGTGCCCAAGGCGTCTTTCAATGTTGTTGACCATCAGTTTACCAACGGGCATTCTTCTCTTCTTCCCCCGCACAAATCCCAACCGCATAATCAACAGTCGCAGCTTAATGGCTACGGCAGTCAGTACATGAACGGCATTCATTTGTCGTCACAAACGCCATATGGTCCTCACATTCCATCTGGTCCGGCTACATCCTTAGTCAACGGAAACGTTGTCGGTGGTGCGGGTGGATCTGCAGTTCTATCAGGCGCCGGTAACATGCTCATCAACAGCTCCGGTGCACCCTCTGGTCCGGTCCAGCAGCAAGAGGACATTTCCACTATCTTCGTTGTTGGTTTCCCCGATGATATGCAGGTGTGTACTTTTTCGGCTTACGTGGCAGGATAATTGACTGATCTGCTTTTTAGGAGCGAGAGTTCCAAAATATGTTTACTTTCTCTCCCGGGTTTGAGGCTGCCACTCTCAAAATTCCCAACAAAGAGTATACGTCATATGGCGGCATTAACGGGGTCGGCTCAGCGGGTCTGCGCACCACCTGCTGGTTCGAATTATGCTCAAGCCTTTAATGGCTCTAATGATCCATATAACCTAGTTACCGTTAATCAGGGCGGTGTCGTTGTCGATGGCGGGCGTGACGGCATGTCCTCTTGGCCTGCACCCTCCGTCGATGACAGTGGTAGCGGTCAGTTCATGACTGGTGCCGGCCTCAGCATGCCACCCCGGAAGCAAATCATTGGCTTTGCGAAGTTCAGGACTCGGGAAGAGGCACTGTCTGCCCGAGATCTGCTACAGGGTCGAAGAGTTGACATCGAGAAGGGCGCTGTCTTGAAAGCTGAGATGGCAAAGAAGAACCTGCACACGAAGAGAGGAGTAGGCCCCATTCCCAGTGGCTTAGGAGGTGCCAGCGCTTCTGCCAATGCTATCGGTCAAGGAATGATTGGTGTTGGTGCACCTGGCATGAACGGTCTTCAGACATCGCTGATCAACGGCGCCAGTGCCGGGCTCCTTGGAGGCGTTGGCTCCAATGATATGTATGGTATCGGAGCCGAAGCTCTTAGTGTCAGAGAACGAGAGTATCCTGGTGGCCCTCTCAGGTCGCAATGGCGAGATCATGTTACAGACATGAACGGTGTCATTCGAGACGGCAGAGATGATGAAGAACGCAAGCGGGAGAGAGAGGTAGCTGCCCTCAATGCCATGGGTCTTGGTCCCACGCACCGTAGCGGCCCAGAGCGAGACGATGATGCCAGAGAATGGAAGAGACGCGAGAAGGAGATGCGACTGAGAACCGGAAATGTGACTGCTTATGATGCTTTCCACTCAGTGCCCCCTGGAATTTCACGACAGTCGTCCACCAATACAGGCCTGTTATCCTCTGGAGAGCTACCCGCCGGCGCGACAGGCGGTCCGAGTCCCGTCGCCAGTGGAAACGGTTACCAAATGATGTCTCTTGCTGCTCTTCAATCCTTCCAACAACCGGATGACGTTTCTATTGGACCGTGGGATAACATCCGAAGGACTGGTAGCTCTGCTATTCCAATCAGACCACCTTCGTCATCCCAGCGGTCATCCTCGCCTACAGATCCCGCCTCTGTGTCGGGCTCTTCGGTCCCATTTTCCGAAGGTCCTCGTCCATATTCGCCGTCTCGCGAAGCTTTTGTTGCCTCATATCGTCATGATCCCACTGAGCCACGATCCCAAACGGATTCTCGCTCTTCGAGCACGAATGGTGGGTCGCAGAGTGGCAGAAGCTCGGGTAATGCTACTACAGATGAGGATATGTCGCGAGCAGTTGGAAACCTAGATGTGGGTACGCATCAAGGAAATACTTCTCCGCAGTTGCCATCCCCTGCATCAGGGGCTAGTTCTGGTGGTAGTACAAGAAATGGCGTAGATCAGAACCCTCCTGTGAGTTATATTAAAGGTTCATCGCATGAGCTGGGTCCCTCATTTCAAATTTAGATCAATACGTTGTATGTTGGCAATTTACCGATATCACCTCTGCCGCTCGGTTGCCCTCCTGATGCGCTGGAGGAATCTTTACGAGAGCTGTTCTCGTCACAGCCTGGGTACCGGCGATTGTCATTTAAACAAAAGAACTCCGGGCCCATGTGTTTCGTGGAGGTAATTCATTTGCCCGCTATTACCGTGTAGATTCTGATTACTCTTCCATACAGTTTGAAGATGTTAATCACGCAGCGAAGGCACTAAACGAACTGTATGGCCACCCTCTGGGAGGTTTGGTCAAAGGTGGGGGGATTCGATTGTCGTACAGCAAGAATCCTCTTGGTGTTCGTACGCCTACTAGTGCCACTGGTGGTGGGTCTATGCTACAGCAGCAGCAACAATCGCAACCCTATTCGGGAGGGGCGTATAACTGCCAGGGTGACGAACGGCCGAGCGTTTCCAAGCGGGATACGGTCTTATCGCCCCCACCCCATCACTCACATGGTTACCTCGCGTCACCTCCTCCCCCGCGATTCTTCTCGAGCTCGCCTTCGTCGATGGCATTTGGTGGATCAGCGTCGTCACGCGCTGGTACGTACGGGTATGCCTTGACGTCTTCCACCACCTCAGGGAGTTCAGCCTTCTCGCCTTTTGGCGTGTCTCCTTCTATGCATAATATACCCGATCACAGTCTTCCTGATCAGCAGCAAGACCATCATTCTCATCATTTCATTCCACGAGCATTGTCACCCGGTGTCCATAGCATAGAACCCGCCCGAGCAGTATAAGTGGATGGCAAGTTTTGACTTCGACACGCATTTCGCATCTGACACGCAATATTATTTCTCGCAATTTTCCACCGATGTACCAATGAGCCACGTTTCAGTCCTTAACGCATTCTACAATCCAATCACACGTTTTATTCTTTTTGGTTCTGCTCTCCGCCGCTCTCATCCTTTCAGGACTGTTTCATCTGTCGCAAGCCCATCATATATATCGCTCGCCACTCACCTCTCACTATTTCGTTCTTCGACAATCATCACTACCAATCATATATTGCTCTCACTTTTCTTTTCATTGTCATACACAGTACTTCATCCTCATATATTCCACTACTGTCTTCGTTGCAATATCCACTATATAGTTGTTACTGCTCTTGTTGTCTGTCTTTCTTCATCCATCTCCCTTGCATCATGCACGCTGTTTATTTAGGGCCGCTGTGGGACGCAGCAAGGTCTAAATGGTCATGTATATTATGGTCTGCAAATCTATAGCAATCCTCGCGAACCTCGATTTAGACAATTACCTTCACGCTTCTAGTTGGGGCCGAGTCTTCATCGTCAGCGTCGCTGATGGTTCGGACGTATTGTCCTGGTAAGTCAAATTCTTTAGTTCCAAGTTAGCTTCGCCGAACCTCAAGGAAAGCGCCAACACGTCTCTGACTTCCTGTCGGAATTCCGTGTTGGTCCTTCATCTGTGTCTAGCGCTCAGTGTCATTTCTACTCATACGAACTTCTTCGCGCTGCCAGCGTGAAACAACAGCCTTTATAGGATTAATATATGTCACTTGTAAGGGGACCGAAGAGTAGGAGGCACGAAGAGCGCTTCATCATGTTTGCAGGTGTCCGTTGCAGTATGAAGGTTTTGTGTGATTGTTGCCTGTTAGCTCTGTATTCTGACTGATGCCCAACGTCACTAGGACCATCTTTCTTCTGCTGTACTTGTCCCCGGTCGGTTCTGGGTCGGTTCTGACCCATCTCGCTGCGCTAGTGGAATGTACATCGCCCAACCTGTTCATTACTCAATGGAAATCGCTCTTTCCTGCGGCTTATCATATGGAGAACTGGTTATGCACTGCTGGAAAGGCTGTGTTCTTGATATCCGACATACCCCCGCGAATGCACGTTCATTCCCATTGGATCTGACTTCCTATCTGCACCACCCGCAACATGTGATGTCCGCTTCTTCAACTAGTTTACCTGTTCATTGGCATCTGTTATGGGACGACAGAATGACATTTCAAGCGAATAGATTTCGGAGTTCAATTTCATGATAGATCTTGTTCTGGATGGTTCGCAAGATGAAGGCATTCTGTGCTTGTTATGTTACGCGTAACTGCGGCCGTAGGCGTATTAGTCTGCACTCCACGAGCCCCAAGAATGCGTGATTCAAGGTGAAATAAAAGGTGGTACAATGACCCTGATGGGAAAAGATGGTCAGTGAAACGTCAAGAAGCCTAGAAAACGTAGGAGATCTGCCAAAGAAAATCGCTTGGACGTAGTAAATGCGGTCAGAAAATGCGATCCTCGCCTGCTTGCTAACCTTACCCTGCAATTCCTTGTTTTCCCTCGAATGTGAACGCGCGAGTCTTTACGACGTTATTTTCTGTAACAATAGAAGTGCCACGGGTCTTGTGGGGAGTTCCTGACATGCCGCATTGGTCATTTTCCTCCGTTTCCTGAGCGTCTGTATTCCTTGACGAGTGCGATGAGATGCAGTGCAAATAATATAGATAGCCTCGCATGTAGTTTCTATCTTTAAGTATGCGATTCGCTTTGCTGTCAGGATACTCAGTCGAGTCGGAAGTCGGAAAGACAAATAAGGCATGGACTGACGGCATGCGTAGCCACCGGACTGGCCCCCGCCAACAATTCTCTTCCTTGTCCTACCAGGCGACCTCAAGACTCACTATCCTACCTACCCTCCTTATTCACGATTCAGTCTTCTTCTTGAAGCGATATATCCACGTCTGCCGTCCTGCAGGCCTACGCTCTTCACGACCAACTATTTGCTTAATTTCTTGAACGACCGTTGCTGAGAGAAAATGGGCGGTCTCGATAATGCAGGAGACATCCTCAATACGAATTCGCGGACGCTGGCGCCCGCTGCCGTTGGCTCTCAGGTGGTGTTGATGAGTATCGTTTCAGTGTGTATCCTATCTTACCGACCAACACTACATCATTAATATGTAACCAGACTGTTACTGTCCTTGCCTTCAACTTTTTACGTCCCAAAAACAAGGCAGGTATTCCTCGCAATCATCCTTAACATGCGCCCATTATTTCCTTCTAGATTATCTATGAGCCAAAGGTCAAGTATCATGTCGGAAACAAGCCCCCACCTCGTATAAATGACTCTGTCTTGTTCGGTTGGCTTCCCCCGCTACTCCACACGAAAGAACCTGAGCTTGTCGAAAAAATCGGTCTTGATGCCGTCACCTTCCTTCGTTTCCTGCGACTCCTGCGCTGGCTCTTTACTGGTGTCGCCGTTATGACCTGCGGCATTCTCATCCCTATCAACGTCGTTTACAACCTTAGGAAGGTCGACTCCGGCAATCGCTGATGTCCTGAGTATGTTGACGATTCCGAGACGTATCTGGCAACCTCCTCTTCGTCCATGTTACGGTGTCCTACCTAATCACAGGCCTCATCATCTGGCTTGTTCACATCAACTGGACTCAAGTCGTACGATTGCGTCGGGAGTGGTACCGGTCTCCGGAATATCTCCAGTCTTTCTACGCTCGGACCCTCACCGTGAGGCATGTGCCAAAGAAGTACCAGTCGGATATGGGTATCAAGGACATCTTTGAATCCGTGCATGTTCCTTATCCTACGACTAGCGTTCACATAGGAAGGAGGGTCGGAAAGCTCCCAGAGTTGATTGATTATCACAACGACACTGTTAGGGAGCTGGAACAATACCTCGTCAAATACCTTGAAGGGTGGGAAGATAGGCAAGAGACGGCCAACTGTTAGAATTGGTGGCCATTGTGGTCTTGGTGGGCAAAAACATGACGCCATAGAGTTTTATACGTGAGTGGCTGTCTTTTGCGTCGGGTGCTAGTTCTTATCGATACATTCTGTATAGCGCAAAGCTCAAAGCGCACAGAGGCTGCCATAGAGGAATATCGCTCCCAGATAGACACTCGCAAAGCAGAAAACTATGGCTTTGCAAGTATGGCTGCGGTCCCTTACGCTCACATCGTGGCCAAGTTATTGAACGGCAAGCATCCTAAAGGAACAGACATCGAACTGGCTCCCAATCCCAAAGATATCGTGAGTCACGTTTCCTATTTTTTTTCCGGCAACGATACCTGACCACATCGAGTCGTAGATCTGGGAGAACATGAACAAGTCTGAAGGTGCACTGGCAAGGAAGAAGCTGACTGGATTTCTCTTTCTGGCCCTCGTATGTTTCTTCAACACGGTGCCCTTGTTCATCATATCGGTGTTGGCCAACTTGGACTCGGTAAGTAACATGGCTTAACGCTCTACTCGTTCTGACCGTTTTTTAGTTGACTGCATACGTAACATTTCTTGCAGAATGGTCGTCTTCTTCACCCACGTCCTTTGCTTTCGTTTCTGGTGTTCTTCCACCGGCTGTGTCCGGTCTTTTTGGGTTCTTTTTGCCTGTAATCATGAGATGGTTGACGCAGGTACGAGGCTGTACAAAAGCTGCCGTGTACATCTCCTGACCTTTTCTTCCTCCTTCTTCTAGTACATGGGTGCTCTCACGCACTCTAGACTTGACCGGGCTGTCGTCGCTCGCTACTTTGCTTTCTTGGTCATTTCGCAATTGATTATCTTCACGTTGATTGGTGTCATTTTTAGTGCGTTGTGCCATTTATATGCATCGACTTAAACTTATCTTCGTTCAGATTCGGTGAAGCAGATTGTGGCACAGATCGGGAAGAAGAGTTTCAATGAGATTATTAGCAATCTTGATAGTGAGTTCTATCTCTCCGGTGTACGCATCTATTCCTAATTTTTTCACTCTTTAGCCTTGCCCGATACCATTAACAGGACCTATATTGATCAAGCGTCTTACTGGCTGACATTCTTCCCGTACGTAGACTCCCCTGGGGCAGGTGCTCTCAAGCTGATTTAATAAATTACAGTTTACGTGGTTTCCTCGTAGTCTTCGATTTGGCCCAGATTATCAACTTGCTATGGTTGTCGTTCAAGACTCAGTGAGCGAAACTGCTGTTATTGTAATCTTGAACCCTTATCTCTTTTTAGTGTGTTTGGTCGTACTCCGCGTGACATCCGAGAGTGGACTCAGCCCCCCATCTTCCCGTATGCGGTGTACTAGTAGGTAGACTTCCTTTATTGGACTGACAGAGTACTGATGGTTGTATGCTCTCAAGTGGCAACACGGTGAGTTCTTATTTGTGTAGTAGGCACGTCTTGACTTCCCTTTATTGAACTATAACTTTAGCTGTTCATGGGTTCCGTCGGACTAGTGTTTGCTCCCCTCGCGCCGCTAGTGCCATTGGCTGCTGCTATCGTCTTTTGGATGAGCTCCTTTGTATACAAATATCAACTGATGTTTGTGTTCGTGAGTAAGGTTGAAACTGGTGGCGTAAGTGCATTTTAAAAAGTTCGTGACTCCTGCTTATCATTTAAATGTACAGCGAATGTGGAATGTTCTCATGAATCGGCTGTTATTTTGCGTCGCCCTCATGCAAGCCTTACTTATTTTGAGTAGGTTTTCTTTTTTTTTTACTGGTGCTCGGGTCGGTTTCTTATTAATCTGTGCAGCCATCGGTCTTCAATACGGTTTCAAGTCACTGCAATGGCTCATTACTATTCCTCCCATCATTATTGTCGCTGCGTACAAGATCTATGCCAACAAGGTGTTTGATAGCGCATTCCGTTACTACAATCCTTCGGAAGAGGAGCTTCGGCTGGCAAAGGTGCATTCAGAACGCGCTGATAACAAGGGCAACAAGCTAGGAAAACGCTTTGGACATCCCGCCCTTCATGCTGACTTGTTCACGCCAATGCTGCATGCGAACATGATGCCTCTGCTTGGTCAAGTGTATAAGGGTAAGATTGGTAGAGACCAAGCCAAGCTTGATGAATACGGCGGGCAGAAGATGGATGCACAGGTCGTCGAAGGTGGTATCCGGATTGCTGCCATTGATCAAGTAAGCATGTGTTGTATCGACATACCTTCTGGTAACTTACATCTATCCTTAGCGTGATCTCGAATATGACCCTGTCCAATACCAACGTGATCGCGGTGAACTGGACTGGGACGCCCGATCAATGAACTCCACTGTGATGTTGGATAACGGTCCTCCAAATCCTAACTTCTATGGCAGCAGTACAACGTTACTCAACAGCTACGATCGCGACCGGTATCTTGCTGGCGGAAGCAGTTCCACCCCACCTGCGGAAAACTTTGAGTTGACCACGATGGATTCTCCACGAGAGCCTCTCCTCAGTCCACGATCGCAGATGTACTATCAACAGCAGCAAGGCTACGATTCATCGCAGTCACTAGCGCCATCAATACCGCCGACAATGTACAATGATGGTGCTATGAGGGAGGCGCCAGTACATCGGCCACAGGGCTCACAGTCATCGTTCCACGCCGGAGTCCCTATGGATAGGACGATGAGCTCATTCCAGCAGGAGCGAAGCGGTAGCCCCTTTGTGGAGCGCCGTAGTGGCAGCCCATTGGATGACCGAACGGCCAGTCCCCGGCCATACGCAAACCAGCAACGGCAGTACTCTCATGATCGGGGTCCTTCTGGGGGTAGTGGCAACATGGCGGGCCGTGGCGCATATAGAGGTTGATGGGATATTCTATTTCTCTGTTATTGCTACCTATTGCGTTGCGTTACTTTCCTTCTTTCTTGTGCTGGGACGATGTAGGGGCAGTCGTCTAGCGCATTGGCCTTATATGTTGGATTTAGTTGATTCTGATGGACCATGTACTTACTACAGTAGGAGTATATTATTGTGATGGATGGACCCTTCTGGTACCGACAATTCACCTAATGTCTTCTGAGGATGCAATGGAAAAACCATTCACCCATTTATCTCAACATATGCTACCGTTTTGGTTCCCGGCAGGCCCCTATTGACGGGGGAAGTGAACGAGTTTGTGCTTGTTTGCATCAGAAGCCAATCGACGTTTTCGGCCGTCAACACATCCTCAAGGTCCTCAAAGTTCTCAAGGCGTCGGTACTCTTTTTTACAGCAAAATGGGCTCAACGAGGTGAGAGGTCCCTCTTGACGTCCCCGAGATGCTGCATCTGCGATTTGGAGCCTTTTGGATTGCTGGAAACGATGGATGGACGCCAACTTGAATGGATGACGCTTACGGTCTTTTTGACAGATTGTACTCCAAAGGTCGTGTCCTTGGACACAAGCGGGCCAAGCGCAACAGTCGTCCCAACACCTCCCTCCTTCAAATTGAGGGTGTCGCTACCAAGGAGGATGCCCAGTTCTACCTCGGAAAGGTACGCCTATCTAGTCGCTGAAATCATCCTGCGTACCGATGTGTTTTTTCTTTGTAGCGGGTTGCATATGTCTACAAGGCGAAGCGGGAAGTAAAGGGATCCAAAGTGCGAGTCATTTGGGGGTGCGTATATTGGTTTTCCGTTAGATAGCCTATTCAATTTCCTCGACAGACGAGTAACCCGGCCACATGGAAGCTCTGGTGTTGTAAAATCAAAATTCCGTTCCAACCTCCCTCCCCGCGCGTTCGGTGCTAGTGTTCGGGTGGTACGTCACTCGAAAATGCTCCTTTCTATCTCGTTTTGACTTGAGTTCCGTAGATGCTCTACCCCTCGACTATCTAGGTTATCCGTACTTTATGGGTATATGTATGGCACCTATGGCACTATCCTATCCGATTCACATAACGCAATATGACATGCTTGGGCAGATATACACACATTATACTGAGATCGACTGTGACCCGCTTTTGACCTTGTCGACCGCCAATGTTGTTTGAAACAGAAGACGTAAGAACGCCGTGTAACACATGCAAGGAGGTTTCCTCCCCTTGTAAGAATCTTATTTGCAAAGATGATTACTTTTGAATGCGTGATGCCTATAATTTCGAGGATCTGATTTACATGTTGGATTACAGTAAGATCGGCCATTATCCACTTCTCTTCTAACTATTCAGGGCAGTTACAACGGATTGAATTCTTTCCGGAGCGATTTCTCGTCCTCGCCAATGACTGATTGGAATAGGTGGTGAGTCATTCCAACGAGTGATAGCGTCGTATCATGCTAATTAATTTATCCTAAGCTTTAGACCATTGGAGAAGAAGTGTAACTCACAGTTTGAGGTCCTCATTGCATGCAGCTGCTGGTTTTTGACTGCTTCATCGTACACGGCAGACCAGTCCTTGCAAAGATAGAGATCGGGATAGCCAGTCGACGGCATCTCCATCAGACTTTCTACGGCAATATCACAGCGGCAAATGATCATTTGCCTCAAATAATTCACGCAATGGCGAATAACGGCGGGTGTTTCCTCCGATGGGAGTGGGTTATCGACGTCCTTCCATCTAGCCAAAAGACCATCGCGAATGATACCAAGGCAGCGGAGCTCATGAAACATAGATATCATGAAGGGTCGTTCAGAGCCCTGCTCTTCGAGATATATCAGGCCGTCGCCGGGAACCAGACTGTCCCACTCTGCCTTTGCAACGGAGCCGTGTATGCCATAATGAACTGAGTCTTCGAATGCCATTAAGATGGGGTCAAGGGCGGGTATCTGCCATGAATTAATAGCCTGCTCGTCGCTTTGAGTGTCTGATAGAAGCTGAGTTCACGAGTCCTTTCAGAGAAGGGGCAAACTTACTGTGAGTGCTCAGACGCAGTATTGAACGCTGAATCCAAATGATGCATTCTATTTGTAGGCCTATAGCTCCGCATATGACGACAAGGGTAGCAAGGCGCATCGGACTGCTCTGCTCAGTGAAGACACTACTGAGTCGCATTGCTTGAAGAACTGGAGGTACTCGAAATTTTTCGATACTCCGTAAGGCCAGATCCAACAGTGGAATATAGCCATCACGTTCGACAACCATATGCCTTTATCACAGCTTCCTCCTGTGTCTGGGGTCTTTGGGATCCACTCGATAGCCAACCCAAGTGGCTCGTGGATCTAAGCGCGCAGCTATGATGCCGTTCAGCCAATGACCGATCGACTTGGACGTAACATCAAAAGAATATCAGCATCAGTATCTGTATGCTAGGCGCGATAAGGAGGGAAATGATTCGCGATGAAGAGAAAATGAAGACGAGCGCTTGCACTATCTTGAAGTCTGACGTGGCCTATATCTGATCCATGCACCTGGTACCATGTGATGATGATTGGGAGCAGGGCAGGGCAGATGATTGGTGCAGATCAACTCTCAGGTGCGGTGGAGCAGGCCGTCCCATCATTTAATTTGAAATGCTATGATCATCACAGCCGAGAACTTGCGAAGGGATTCTTGAGGTGGGCCAGACGTTTCTATTCACGTTTCTTACTACGTATCACGGTGTTAGCAACGCATTAATCGCCAGCGTCCAGTATCCGACGTATCAATTGGGGATCACAGACGGTTTCTCTATAGTACCGGTCTTTCGTACCTGTTATTGGATACCAAAGCTAATAAATTTTACAAAGAGGTGCATGGCGGCAACTAAGCGACTTTGCTTAAGTGCCTACCTCACCGTAGTACTGTATGCTACATCTTCGCAGTCTGAGCTATGCGCTTTCAATATTCCGACGTATTTCTATTCCTTTCCATCCTCTTGTGCATTGTCTCCACTGCTCTATTGTTTACCTTGGTTGAATATGCATGGGTCGTATCCGAATTCTTTGCTAGTCCGATTCCACCTCGAACATCGCTTTTGCTGTCTAGCGATATGTTAGATTATAGTATGTGAACTAGTTTTTATAGGGCTTGACTGAAATATTGATTAGATTCTTTTAACTATAGCTTTCATCGGAGATGATTTCCCATATGCTCTCCCGGTTGCTCAGAATCTCTCTACTGTTATCCTGCAAGTGGAGGAGAGTGTGCATTTCTCCCTAAACCATCCTAATTCTCATGCAGAATGGCAATCGATTCTTCCAACATCTCTCGGTACCGTCGTCTTAGGACCCTCCAATCGAACCTTTGCAGTACCCATGTTCCATGAGCTACATTGCACGGTCCTCCTCTTCGAGTCATTTGCCCCAGACGCTGAAAAGCCCCACTGGGGTCATCTTAAACACTGTATGAATTACATTAGGCAGTGGGCATTGTGCCGCGCGGATTTGACGTTGGAGCCAGGGAGTTTCGAGCAACGGGATTTTCTCAGGGAGCGAGTAGGGGCGATGCACGTCTGCCAAGATTGGGATGAGGTATACACTTATGCGGCGACCAATTGGAATAAGTGGGTCCGGGATTGGATAACTCTACATGGCATCAGTGCTGTTGCTGTAGCCGGATCCCACTGAGGGCCCATCTACTACTAGGTTGTTCATACTTGAAAATTGTGACGTATGCAGTACATATTCTATTGAAAGCCTCGGCCGATATAAGTATAGCTGCTCGAATACTGATGTATGAATCTTTAAATAGAGTACTGTACGTAGTCGGTTCGCCGCCCGAGAACCTTGGGTCTAAGTAACAAATGTTACGTGGACTTCGGGTTCGTCTACTTTCTCCGATTGCAGGTCGACAGCGCTTTCCTGCTCCGACCCGAAGGCCAAAGAGGTGCTATTTGCTGCAGTCGAGCTCCCTTCCACGAATGTACTCTCGAGACCCGTACTTGTACCGGTCCGATGAGCAAACTCCAAAGACCGAGTCACGTTAGTCATGGTTGTCTTTGTCCATGCTCTACCCATGGCCACGCGTAGGATGATAAGCTGAGGAGATATGATCTGGAACACAGTCACTTCCAAGTCTTCGGCAGCATTCTATTGGACTTACCACAAATGATCCCCACGTCGGTGCCATGGTCCACTCGGCGGGACTCGCTCGAACATAAGTTGCGATGAAGATTATACCGAGGACTGTGAAAGGTAGAGCCGATTCTACCAGCAACGCAATGATGCCGGTGTACATCTTTGCAGTTTCCGCATCCATATATTTCCTGACGGAACGCTGGAGCGAGAAGATGCGCGCACAAATCATCGTTGTGACCACAACATTGAAACTAACGGTAAGAACCACCCAGGAAACACCGCAACTGGCCGCCTTGCCTTTGAAAACACTGGAATCCGGCAGTCCACTTATGACATTGGTAATTATGGCCATCGCTGCGAAAATAGTCAGTGGTTCGCAGCGGAATCCGGGTGTTACTTCAGCGTGCTTACCTGTGGACGCTATCCAGATAAGTGATGGGGCATACATGAGCGACCTACGGGCGCCACAGATGACATAGCACCGATAAAGCTAAATAAATTTAGGTTAGTCCTAGTCATCGAGTACTGACTGACGAAAACATACAAGAAGAGCATCTCCCAAAATATTAGCCACCGCATCTGCTACTGTACCAAAGGTATTAAGCCAGAGGGTAAGATTCGCAAGATAGTAAGCCCCCGAGCCGCCCGGGAAGTCTCCATTCTCGATCCAAACCAGCTGCCCAAAATAACCATTTGTCACGACGGAAATAGTAGCCAGGATGAATAGCACGGTCCCATATGCATTGTACAGAATTTTGGATTTTTCTGCAGCGGAGTAGACCAAGTAATACACGGATTGGAAAAATAGTACAATCTCAATGCCTGCGAATGCAACTGTCTCAGAGCGTATTAGCAAAATGAGGGCTCAAGAAGCTCACCGTAGAGGATGGCACCCAAGGTTATACCGACATAGAAACCCCTTTCATTGTCGATACCGATCGTTGGTACGTCCATCACAAGAATAATGTGCAGTACAAGTCAACGAGTAACGCGGATACGATATGGTCAATTATTTTGGTAGACTTTCGTGCCAATATATGGTGTCCAGAGAAGACGAGGTATCGATTCGAATGAGCGCTTAGCCTACGGGTAGATGCCTGCCCTGGCGAGGGGATGATCAGTCAGAACGCCATTCCCACAGTGCAGAGGTTTAATTGCCGAACACTCCACACTATCTTTAGTCAATGGATTGCTGGTTCCGATAGGTAGAACCGGCCTTAGGGAAAATTTGATCTATACCAGAAGGGTAACGGCAATCGCCAGCATGAAAAAAAGGCAATATGAAAGGGTAGTGGTTGAGATCCAAACCGGCGCTGATAAGACCGGTTCCAACAATTCGTCGAGCGCTAGTGCCTCATGGATCATGACCTGGCGTGGACAAGCCGAAGCATGCTTTTAGAGAGCCCGTCATCACTGTAACCGTTCTACTGGGTTGCGAAGTTAGCTATGGCACCAGTAAAAGCAGAAGGGACGTCATCCTGTATATAAAGCAACTGCAGCATTGATCATAATACCGTTCCAAGTTAACTAAATCACCTTTCATCCTCATGCAGCCCAAGCTTCCATTCTTCGCGATGGCTTTGATCGTGCTCATCGCAGCAGCCAAGGCCAGTCCTAGCATAAAAACCACCCTTGAAGGTAGGAAACACAGCAGCTTGAACTGTGATAGCGTTTAATCATCCCTCCAGCTAAAGCACCGGACACGAAACCGATTCCTGCTACTTTCTTCATCTCAACTTCTTACGACGATGATGAAGAAGAGGCGTAATGACGGGCAATTGCAAGTACCCCATCTATCCCACTTTGACAAAAGATTGTTCAACATCCCAGAGCTGGAATCGGCGTAGTCGTGATATATCTGGTGGAGAGAGAGGATCAAATTGTAATACTTGAAGCTTATTTACCAATGTATGCCTATCACCACTTGGTCCGCAAAGTCATTAATGGGTCGCACGGACGTTCCGAAAAACCTTTCTGCCAAACAAGGCCGAGTAAAATAAACAAACCCGAAATTTTGAATAAATTCTTTAGCTGTCGTTGTCCCACATCTAGAGCTCGGTTTTTGTGCTTACATGAACTATGGTTCATCATTCCATCAGCGCTCAGCCGTGACATGAAAGAACGTGCCTTGGTGTTTCTCCGTGGTGGCTGGGAGCCGGGAGTGTGAGCATATTAGCCACTGTATAAGTATAAGTAGTCAACCGATTTCTAGCTACTGCCACTGATCATCATGGACTCGAACGATACTTTTGAACACGAGCGTCTACTCGAGGAAGAACCAAATAAGCGTATGGAACCACTGCGAGAGACGTTTCGATGCAACTACTGATGCGCATGTGTAGGAGCGTCCAAGTCAAATAGTATCAATTGGCAGCATAAACTGACGGTTTCTTTCGCCGTCTTCGTCGTGTTAGGCTCAATTACTCAAATGGGCTTGACACTGTACATCTTCAAGCTATTGCCCAGTCCACAAGCCGTGTCTTTTGATTCCCTTCCTATCCGGCAGTCTTATGCCAACCTTGGCCGACTGTATAGCAATGCTAGCCTTCAAAGGATGCAGTACCCTCCCATCATTAATCACGCTCGTTCTTTCGTCCAGGTGTCGAGCGCATCTCCGAATGAGGTCATTCCTTCCCATCAGAACACGATGCTGTTCACAAGCAACGGTTTCACTCCATTGTTCGAACGACGCCTAGTTGTGAATGACGAGGTCCGACCCCAAATTACTATTCTCAGTCTGTAAACTGATGCCTTTTAGATTTCAACAATCGCTCAATTTCGAGTACTTGACTTCGGAATGGAAAATTGCACAATAGGAATCGCAACACCTTCACACAGCGCATATACCGACACCATGTCTGATGATGCCGTCTCCCTTGATGTTTGGTCTATCCCCCATGCAACAAGAAAACTGAACACAAAATCGGTCTCCTATTCTTCATTACCAGTGACCAGGTCATTTCTCGGCAGGCTTTTAGTTTCACGTGAAGGACTTTCACAAACTCCCGCTTTCTCCTGCATGTCAGGATCCTACCATACATTCGAAATAACGTGCTCTGAACCCGGATGCAGTGTTGATATCGTTGGTACTGGCGATAAGGCATCTGGTAGGCACTGAATCTATTTTTTTGATCATGATAGCCACTCTTCTGATTGCACATTACCGTAGGGTTATTCATGCATCAACATCAATCAATCTGACACCCTTGAAGGTCTAACGCCGTTGGCGCCATTTCTATTATTTGCATCGTAGCCTTGTAATGCCCGTATCGATGATCAGAGTTCTTTCAAAGTTGCCTCGGAGTCCTCAAGGATCAATATCAATCGTTATCTATCTTCTAACTCCATTCAAAAACTTTAAGATGCAGGCAATAATAGACATCTTGGCACGTGACACGGGCATACCGAACCTTCCTCGTACATCTTGTGTATATCAACTGGTGATAGATATGGATATAAAGCACCTCCCCCACCACAGACAGCTTGCCACACTAAGATGTCCCCTTTCGCTATTCGTCACATTGATTCTCTAACTGGTATGCAAGACCACTTTTAAAATCCTCGATCTCACGGCTACCATAGCGGAAGAACTAGAAATTGCGGTGAATTTAACCGTGAAGGCTTACGATGATAGTATGATCAACGACTCACCTCATATTCAATCCATATTGAGCGTCATGTAGTGCTTGTGGCCAGAGCGATGGTGGGCGATGACAAGAACCTGATGGACCCTCTATTTCGGTCGATGATTCGTGCCGCCAATTTAGCGGGAACGATCGATTTAGCTTGTGACGTCTCGAACTCGAACAAGATTGTGGGGATGGCGGTGTGGTTTGGACCGGGAAAATCGCTGTTCGCTGAGTAGGTAATATTGGTTCCATGGAAATCTCATCGCCCATCTATACCACAAACATTTTTAGCGCAGAGCAAAGGGAATTAGGCCTGAACGAGTTCATGGGTAAGCTTTCCCCAGAAACGCGCCAATGGTGGGGGGAGACCGTGAGTAACCTTTTCCTAACCGAGCGTGGTCAGCTTAATAATGAGCCGACGGCATAGTACGGTCCCAAGACGTCGGAACTTGTGAAGACCGCTTTAGGGCCAACGGGAGCACTGGATTCGTGGTGGACGCCACACATTGCCGTAGACGAGAAGTACCGGCAAAGAGGGATAGGTACAATGCTTCTAGATGAGTCACACAAACGAGTAGGTTGCCGCATAGCTTTCAAAAGCTCTTCATGCATTGAACGTCATTTCACACACAGGCTGTACAATCCGGAACGATCACGGCATTAGTTACGACGACAGACTTGAATGTAAGTCAAAGTACATTTTGAATGCCCAACTCATACCTTTTCTGTTACAGGAATCTATCTACGAGAAGGTGGGTTTCGTTACGAAAGGAAGAATGTCGGTCGACAGTCCGCAGGGCCCCATAGCGTTTCGGGTGATGAGTCGTTCTTAATCGTTTGTCGGTATTCAAATACACACATCATTGATAACAACAAGGAAAGAGAAAAAGCAGTAGACGGTAGTAACGATGCAAAGGTAGTACAAAGATAAAAGCATAACGAAATCAGACCCGAATTACAGATTAGCCCGATACATTTCCACATTGAAGTTTCCAACCCGCCTCTCGAGCACCACTTGATCAATCAAATGCAGAACATCCACCGCACACCCGACAGAGAACGAGAAACCAGATCCTCCTTGCCCATACGAATGAACAATGCTGCTCGATCCCCCACGCATCCTATTCGGTCGCAGCTCCCGCTCCACACGTACATTTCCTACACGCGTCGGTCGCAGTCCTTGAACAACAGGCGCTACAGGATCAAATTCTGCATTCTCCAGTCCCGGAACACTGACAATGCCATCGTTAGTGGACCGGAGACATCGCATATTAGGGAGCACATACAATTTGTTGCACCGCTCACGCATACGTTGGATCTCAGGTGACTCCATCGTGAGGTTAAGCTCCCACCTATGCGGCTGAGCGATACCACCGAGGATAAGGATCTGAAAGTGAGGTAAATCAAAGGAAATCGAATAGACGACTGGGTGAACATACGTTATCGTTTCGGGGAACTATGAACACGATATCTTCATGCTCCGAGCTCAGTTCGTTGTCGTGCATGACGGCCAGAGCTTCTGTAACCTTCGGGAACCGCTTCCCGTCATTCACTAACCGGATCAGACCACCACGTAGAGGGTAGCATGACTTGTCTCCCGCAGATTCGAATGAATTTAGACCAGTAGCATTGACAATTGCAACGGCACCATAGGTCTCCAGAAGCTTGGCCTCGGAGTCCAAGAGATCACCATCGATGCGGCGAGTGATCAGCTCCGCGCCTTTCGCCTCGACCAGATCATGGAGCCAGACCTGTTTATGAGAGTGAATACAACCGACAATAAAATTTGAGAATGAAGGGACTTGCCATGTACGCGTCCGTGTCGATGACAGGAGCCAGATGGGAGTATGCATCGACAACGCCGGCATTCTGGTTGACTGCATGTTTCGCAATCAAATCCGGGTCCCGGACGAAGCCCTTGATACACGACGCTTCGATCTCGCGCATCTTGCTCAACTGATCTGGGAGGTCTTCGATTGCTTTTCCGAAGAAGAAATTGGCTGTGCGCATTTTGATGGCGGGCAGGGATTTGCTTAGCTGGTCGAAAATTCGGTAGGATGTCAGTGACCATCCTTTGGACAGAGCCAAGGACTTCGCATCTGTGTGCTGGCCTATACAGTGTGTGATTGAGCTTCGAAATTCCCGAATGGAGTGACGCAGTCTTACCGCAGACGGCTGGAGGATACTCCCACCTGGTAAATAGAGGTTTAGTTCCGGGCTGTAAATGATATGTGTATACACCTACAACGCTCCGGCTGGAAAGTAATTTTTTTTTGTCAGTGACGGATTGCAACTTCAGCAAAAGATATGCTTACCGATCTGAGACGTGATACGAGGCGTCGCTGGCGCCCACTGCTCTGACACCACAGTGACATCGTATCCTGCGTCGAGTAGGATCCAGGCGGTCCTATCAATGCAAGGATGAGCTTGACAATATGAACAGTATGATGCACCCACGTTAGACCAGTCACGCCGCCACCGACGACGAGTACACGTTGTCTGTTTCGCGGTGCACCCGTGGCGTTTGCAGATGTGTCGAGCACAAGAAGACCCTTGCTGAGACCCAGGACGGGAGTAGTGTACAATGAAGACATGTTTCGCAAATGTGAAACGGTTGAATCAAATGGATCGAATAGCTAGAGGCTGAGGAGGCTGAGAGACTAGAGGGGGGGGTGATAATGATGAAGGATGTAGAATCTCGAGCATCTTATACTGCTGTAATCTCTTTCTCAAGACTGAAAAAAAAATTAGTCGAACTTCACAATGGACTACGGCGTAGCCAAGATCACCGTTCTGTCGGACACCGCCGTGAACTGCAAGTCAAAGTATGCGTTTGATCCATGTAGGATCACAACTTACGTCTGCGAACTCGTGACCTCTCCATCATCCAGAGGAGGCCCCTGAACAACTGCCGGCCGCAAAGAGAACCGCCTATTGTCCAGGAAATTTTGGTGGTATAAGTCTAGCATATGTCTTACCTTGACATTTCTGTGTGTGATTTGATGGGACAGTAGCGTGCATAAGATGTCTCTGATGTGAACCGAGTGATCACAAATAGTAGCAGCCTAGCAAAAGTGAACGCACCTTCAACTATGGCGAAGTCTGGACCGATTTAACGTACTACGACAAATCCGGAAACAAAGCTGAAACGGCGGCACTCTACCGTAACATAGGCTTATTCCCATTTTGAAGTAGAGAGCACCCTAGCATCGCCAGAGACGCTAGATCAAGCGGGGCGCTAGAGGACGTTCGAACATCATTTGATCAGAGACCCAGAGTCTTGTGAAGAATCGCATCAAGGTCTAGGCCGTCCAGTTATTTCTCGTTCTGTTTTCGTCTCCTACCCAGGATAACAAGAAGTCTCACGAGTGCACCATACTAAAGCACGAGGGCAAGAGGCGGGCAATCGCTTCCGTGTTACTGGTCACGATGTCGGAGAAGAGGCCAAAAGGCTTTCAGGCATTGGCCTGATGACGGGTGTAACGCATGATCGCATCACACATGTAGGAGGGTTCTTGCTCCTCAAGACCTCACAACGGCTTCTTCCGATCTTTGACCCTAAGTCGTCACCCTTCCTTCGTCGTCGGAAATTGCGTGTACCTTGTTCAAACGTTAATTTACATAACACAGTAACCTCATTGCCGCCGGAGCCTACCGACATCGGAAGAACCAGCAGACAACGGGCTCTCGTTGGGAAGAAAGGAACCTTTCCAAAATTCCGCATGTGCCGACGGTTCGATAATGCCAATAGTCCCTTGGGTTTGTTGTACTAGTCGATCGAATCTTTTGGCGCTGAATAGCACCAGACGAAATAAAAAAATTCCAAGTTCATGTGTACTTATACGTACATGAATTACCGCTGGGTCCATGTTTAGAAAAATGCTTGTATACCAGTCATCGCTTTCCCAAGTATCAGAGTGTGGATGTCCTAAAGTCAAAGTTTCAATGAACGAAAAGAAACAGCAGCACTTATATACGATACGCACATAAGTTCCTTCAAAAAAAGATATGTCAACGTAGCTTAGTGAAAGAGGATAGCACATTTTACCTTCATATGTATTAGTGACTTGCAGATTGGCAACGTGTCTTCCAACATGATATCTGCTCCTTATCAGCGCCGGCGACATAGAAGAATGTAAATGACTGACTCGTCAGCACAGGCATTTCCGCCCAAAATATCCAGCACAATCCTCGAGTGTTGCAAAGCTTTCCCACAATTGTTCCTCTTGATCATACTTATCATCTCAGGTGAATATTGTCCGGCCTCCTTGAGTCGGCCGACTTGCAAACTGGCTAGGAGTCCCAAGGTCACCTCCGTCTGGGCATCAACTAGTTTCTTCTGAACGAGCTGGAATGAAGCCAACGGACGCTGAAATTGATGCCGTTCCAGCGCATACGCTCTCGTCCGGTTGACACAATCCTCCAGAGCGCCCATGACTCCCCACGAGATACCATACCTGATCGTTGGATACATTAGTGTCTGTAAGGGTACGACAAGACATCATACCGAGCAGAGTTCAAGCAAGAGAACGGTGATCCCAATCCCTTTGATTTAGGCAACAAGTGCATCGTGGGACACGCGGACAGAGTCCATGAAGATTGATCCTGTGAGAGAAGCTCGTAACGCTACTTTATTCTTGATTGCCTGCGTGTCGAGTCCTTTCATTCCCTTAATGAACAAGGCTTAGTACATCAAAGACGACGTGTTGATCACAGTTGCTTTACCTTTTCAAGGATAAATCCACGGATCTTTTGGTCCCACTTGCAGTTGGCCCAAATTATGAACACATCGCTGAAAAGCTTGAGAATCAGTCAGTCCTCGTGAACACTACCCAAACGTACGCGACAGGTGCATTAGAAATCCATGTCTTGCTTCCGTTGATGATGAATCCCCCTTCTACTTCCTCGGCTGTAGTTTCCATGTTCGCCGGATCCGACCCATGATTGGGTTCGGTGAGCCCCTGACGATGCGCACGTTAAGATGCGACTCCGTGACATGAATATACATGCTTACAAAAGCGCCAACAATTTCACCCTTGGCTGTTCATAACAAAGTCATTTATCGATACACACGTGGAAAAAGCTGGTCCTGACCAAGACGAGGTATGTACTTCTCCTTTTGAGCATCCGTCCCAAACTCGTTGATAGGATGCATGACAAGAGAAGACTGGACAGACGCTATTGAGCGGTACCCAGAATCTACTCTATTAGCAGTTAGCAGTTCAGCAGATACGAAAATGACCTAGACTAATATTTTACCGTTCAATTTCTCGTGCGATGAGTCCATACGCAACGTCACTCGTTCCAGCACATCCATAACCTTGAATTGTAGAGCCTAGAAGCCCAAGCTTTCCCATTTCAGGTAGGATCTTCGGATTGAATTCTATAGAGTTGTTAACGCGAGAAACACAGATGCATGTATTGTCATTTTCACAGGCCTTCTGTACGCCATCCTTCCAAGACGCGAGGCAGAAGGTTTTCCTAGAAGTACTGGGTTAACACTACTCGACTGAGAGGTGAATCTGCAGATGCAGAGATTTCCTCATTTTCGATTGGAACTTGCCTGGCAGTACTGATGAGCAGTGTCCCTGCCAAGATATGATGTCAGGAAAGTCCCGATAATTCAACTGGTAAACTGACCGAATCGCAATTTCCTCCTCAGTGAGAAGGTTCTCAACATTCAAAGGGTCCTAGTGACGATATTAAAATGAGACATGTCACCGGAGAATGGGAAACGTACCTCCCACTGGAACTGGGCGAATTCTGAAACGCATGAGCAAACTTGAGATTGGCCAAGACAAAAGCTCAAGACTAACTCGAAGAAGCAAAACGTACAGAGCCAGTTCTCTTGAGGGCAACTGTACTCACGAAGGGAGAGCGAGATAACAATGACATGGTTGGATGACAAAGTTCAAGGACGAACCAAGAAGTGGCATAAGAGGGCACTCTCCAGCATCGGATCGGCTAGGATCGGCCGAAATTACCGGCTAATTCGGACCGATAGATTTCATTTCGGCTGTCTTTCGTCGACTGACATGTATGATGTATCCGAGTCTACGCATTGCGCAGTTCAGTTAGGCATCCAGATTGCCACGAACCACGGTTGAAAAATCTCCGAAGACCTGTGCTGTCATGTCAGTACATCAGCCGGATTCCGTAAAGCAGAACCTTGGAATTATTGCATTCAGAATCTAAGTAATACAACCTAATAGTATACAAACGGCACAGCACCGTTAAATACACACCCAGACGATCGTTTGTTTAAATGCAGATTATCATCTGTGATAGCCCATTGCACCGAGAAGACTGCATTAAGGTACTTGGATCGAGAGACTTGAATTGATACCTAAGTATTAAGGTGGCCTTATCGATGGATACAAAAAAAGGGAAGAGAGCAAATAGAAAAGTAAATCGGGTTGGGTAATAGCAGAAAGATTAGCTGAGGGGAGGGGAGGGAAGAGTCCTTGGAGAAGTTTACGAGTTGAACTGGCACTGATGATCCAGCTTGAGGCACGTGGTTCAATGACTCTGCTCTTCCTTTAAACCATCACTCACTCTTCCCACCGGCGGTAACTTTCTGACGATTTCGGACTCAAGAGGCAGGAAATCCACGCAAAATAAATTAAGTAACCCAAGTGTACTGCAATAGCGGAATGTGACGCAAAGGGAAACGTTCTAGGAACGACTGCGCGTCCGGCCAATGGCCATAGCATGGGTACGACAAGGATGGACATTTGGTGATGATCAATGTCCGATTGGATTAACCGAGCGGAGTACACCTGATCCCATATGGACTGCAGATTCGGAAATTCTCAGGAAAAAACGAGTGTACCTAGCATTGTTCATTGAATGCCTGGGTACACGGAGCCAACCAATGTAAACGCAATAGGTACGCAGTTTGAGGTTTCATATGATTACTTTGACCATTTGACCGAGCATGGCTTCAATTTTTACCGAATGTCGGAGTAGATTTGAATCAAAATGAGGGGTCAGCGTTTCCGGGAAACCAATACTACCTATGAGAGACCGCTGTCTTCGCGGTTCTCCCGACAGCGGCACCTCAAATTTGTGTGGGATCCAGCGGTAAGACTTCGTACAAGTGAACCAAGTTTAGATCCCTCCCCCTTTTCGTGTCAACATGTTCGCCAATAATCTTTCAGTCGCATGTTCCTTGTCAAAAACGGGAGGTTAAACGCTACTCAACTACGAGCGGCACGAAATTACAGGGAGAGGATAGTTTTCCTACGCCTGTCGCGGCAATGCGATCTTGAAATCTAGTTGTGGTGTCTTTACTTCGACTATATAACGCCATGGTCACCTCAGAGGACATCATCGAAGGCATTGTATTACCGTGAAACATGCTCGTGATTCAATCATAGATGGTTGCATACGCTCGTGACGCGGGGTAAGATGGTGTGCATCATACCTTCATTCTGGACGAGCACCTGGGAGGCCCAGACTTTGATGGTTCATATTTCCCTTCAAGAAAAGTGCTCCAATGACCCTCAGTTCCCAGTGGGCTTTGATCAAATGATCCAAAATATCCTTCGCCCCGACGGTTAAGCGTTGATACATCTTATACGGGCGGTCTTTCTTTTGGGGTTCGTTTCAGTTGGCAGGCAAATCTGGAATTTTCTGCTAGTCAGGCTCAGAACTGCGTTGCTTCATCATCACATGCAGTTTCTAACAACAGGTCTCAACTCGAAGGCATCAAAGTATTCTGCCTTGGAAAGTTGAGCACCTATTTTCTTAGGGCACCATCTTACGAAGACGAAAATAGTTTTCAGGTCACCATCTTCGTCTCATAAATCTTTCGCTCCTGGGTTCTCCCCCAGTCGAAGGATTATTCTAATATTTCAGTACTAAAGACTTCATCAGAAGCTTTTTGGTACCCTGCAGTTGCGTTCGATGGATCGCCCACGTGCGTTACGTCCTACGATCACCAGCGACAGAAATCCCCCCTTGTCTATTAGGAAACCATAAGGACCACACTTAAAAAACTCACAGTCGTGATCCTGAAAGGATCAACCATCATTCCAGGAAACGCCGTGTCCGACGGTGGGTGGTCACGCCTGCACCGCACTACCCCGTCATCCATTGTTAACCTCGAATGGATGCCATTGCCAAGTCCCGAAAAAAAATCAAAAAAAGTATAAAGGCTTCAATGCGCGTCTCTAATGATCATTATCCACCTTCCAGTCCTCCAAAACCAGCATCTCTTTAATTTACAAACTTCTCTCGAACTGATATAAATGTCTTCGTCGCAAACGACCCCAGTCTTGCGTCTCAAGAAAGGTCTTGTCGTCCTTGACACATCCTCAGACGCTACAAGTGCACGTCGTAACGGCCGGCGCGTCCTCATCGTAGGCGGAGGAGTCAATGGTCTAACGTACGTAGGCCATTTCGCCCAATTATTATTTATCCGAGCTCACCCATGCACGTGCAGTACCGCTTGGATCCTGCTTGATGCAGGATACGATGTCACCATCGTGGCAGAACAGTGGGCGCCTGCAACACCCCGTATTGTCTCTCAGATTGGTAAGTAGTAATTTGATGCTTGCAGTATATAGGGTTTCTGATTGGAAATAATTTATAGCTGGAGCGCTGTAAGTCTATTCTGCACCTGACTCTCGTCTTGAATCTGACCACCTCCCTCCAGGTGGGAGTATCCCCCTGCCGTATGTGGTAGGTGTTGGTTTATAACCCAGTCCTAGTCCCGATGCACTTACCACTTCAACAGGTCAACACACCGACGCTGGTTCCTTGGCCCTATCTAAAGGATGGTCGTTGACGACCTACCGAATTTTCGACCAGCTAAGATCAAACGCATACTTTGACTTGCAGTTCACGGCGGTGTCCGACAGAACGGTGATCTTGGCTACGCCGTAGTCCATTGTGAAGTTCGACTAATTTTTTTTTCAGTCTTGAGAAAGAGATTACAGCAGTATAAGATGCTCGAGATTCTACATCCTTCATCATTATCACCCCCCCCTCTAGTCTCTCAGCCTCCTCAGCCTCTAGCTATTCGATCCATTTGATTCAACCGTTTCACATTTGCGAAACATGTCTTCATTGTACACTACTCCCGTCCTGGGTCTCAGCAAGGGTCTTCTTGTGCTCGACACATCTGCAAACGCCACGGGTGCACCGCGAAACAGACAACGTGTACTCGTCGTCGGTGGCGGCGTGACTGGTCTAACGTGGGTGCATCATACTGTTCATATTGTCAAGCTCATCCTTGCATTGATAGGACCGCCTGGATCCTACTCGACGCAGGATACGATGTCACTGTGGTGTCAGAGCAGTGGGCGCCAGCGACGCCTCGTATCACGTCTCAGATCGGTAAGCATATCTTTTGCTGAAGTTGCAATCCGTCACTGACAAAAAAAAATTACTTTCCAGCCGGAGCGTTGTAGGTGTATACACATATCATTTACAGCCCGGAACTAAACCTCTATTTACCAGGTGGGAGTATCCTCCAGCCGTCTGCGGTAAGACTGCGTCACTCCATTCGGGAATTTCGAAGCTCAATCACACACTGTATAGGCCAGCACACAGATGCGAAGTCCTTGGCTCTGTCCAAAGGATGGTCACTGACATCCTACCGAATTTTCGACCAGCTAAGCAAATCCCTGCCCGCCATCAAAATGCGCACAGCCAATTTCTTCTTCGGAAAAGCAATCGAAGACCTCCCAGATCAGTTGAGCAAGATGCGCGAGATCGAAGCGTCGTGTATCAAGGGCTTCGTCCGGGACCCGGATTTGATTGCGAAACATGCAGTCAACCAGAATGCCGGCGTTGTCGATGCATACTCCCATCTGGCTCCTGTCATCGACACGGACGCGTACATGGCAAGTCCCTTCATTCTCAAATTTTATTGTCGGTTGTATTCACTCTCATAAACAGGTCTGGCTCCATGATCTGGTCGAGGCGAAAGGCGCGGAGCTGATCACTCGCCGCATCGATGGTGATCTCTTGGACTCCGAGGCCAAGCTTCTGGAGACCTATGGTGCCGTTGCAATTGTCAATGCTACTGGTCTAAATTCATTCGAATCTGCGGGAGACAAGTCATGCTACCCTCTACGTGGTGGTCTGATCCGGTTAGTGAATGACGGGAAGCGGTTCCCGAAGGTTACAGAAGCTCTGGCCGTCATGCACGACAACGAACTGAGCTCGGAGCATGAAGATATCGTGTTCATAGTTCCCCGAAACGATAACGTATGTTCACCCAGTCGTCTATTCGATTTCCTTTGATTTACCTCACTTTCAGATCCTTATCCTCGGTGGTATCGCTCAGCCGCATAGGTGGGAGCTTAACCTCACGATGGAGTCACCTGAGATCCAACGTATGCGTGAGCGGTGCAACAAATTGTATGTGCTCCCTAATATGCGATGTCTCCGGTCCACTAACGATGGCATTGTCAGTGTTCCGGGACTGGAGAATGCAGAATTTGATCCTGTAGCGCCTGTTGTTCAAGGACTGCGACCGACGCGTGTAGGAAATGTACGTGTGGAGCGGGAGCTGCGACCGAATAGGATGCGTGGGGGATCGAGCAGCATTGTTCATTCGTATGGGCAAGGAGGATCTGGTTTCTCGTTCTCTGTCGGGTGTGCGGTGGATGTTCTGCATTTGATTGATCAAGTGGTGCTCGAGAGGCGGGTTGGAAACTTCAATGTGGAAATGTATCGGGCTAACTTGTAGATTAATATATTGTTTCCGTTTCATGATTTTCGTGTACCAGTATTTTGTATTTCCAGAATCTCATTTTCTGCCGGCGCCAAGCTTCCGATCTGCTTGAGGTAGCTGGTAATAGCATGATCTTCCTAACGTTTTGGATACCTTTTCACCAGGAGTATAAGCTCCATAATTAGATACCCCTTACTACCTCCCTTCCAGACCATTACCACTATGATTGCGTTTCATGAGATGAAGAAAATGGAGAAGATGCCATGACAACGCTTGTCACCATGCCGTCGCCCACGACGTTGCTGGCTTTTCTGGGTTCTGCAAGCCAAATATACCGGCTATGCTGGAGTTTTGGGAGGACTGAACAACTTACAAGAACATCCGGCATGGCAATGGAAGTGGGCAGATGTTGACAGCGTGTTACGAACTAGCAACAGACTTTATCTGGCGGAAAGATCGCTCGATAGCTTCGTCATTTCGCCCAGATGTATCTGATATACGTATATATCGCCGGCAATTGGCTGCGTAATGTACTAACTGACTACCAACTCCTGCACTGGGGGGGCCCGGGGAGTGTTTGTTTTGGACTTGAAAAACGACACGCAAAGCAAGAGGCTCGCTAGTGGCCTTGCATTTTGTACGAATGTAGCGACTGTAAATGAAGTAGTGCCGAAAGACCAGTCTCGCCGGCGCCGCTTTATTGACATCTTATATCTTATTGCTCATCACAAGATTCGGAAGTGAAAGGTCATGGAGTCGGGGAGACCTTGCTGAAAAGCAAGGTAACAATTTTCAAAAGAGGTTCATTGCGATTCAAGGTTCCGACAGAGTCATTGGTGTTAAGTGAATATTCCTGCTACGTTAGTAGTAGGTCTTATAGAGGGATGGTGGTAGCCGAGTTTTGAGTTTAACCCGAAGTCCGATGTCATAAAAATTTCTATTTGTAGAAGAAATTCACGGCCCAACGCTTCAAAATTTCCGTTTAAGTCAGAGTTTCGGGGTGGCACAGTCACCGCTTGTCACTGTTTACATGTGACCCTCTGTTACTATCACGCTTTCTGCGGCGTTGTTCGGCCGATCTTGCCAAGGATTCTGACTCTGAGAGAAAATGCGAGCTGGTGGCGGCAGAATGCCGCCACCGAGCGAGTCTTTTTCTCTCAGCAGCAGAAGCCACCACCACTGAGTGAATCATTTCAAGGGGTAGTACTCTCTCATTCATACTACTATTTTTTGAATGCTAACTATTATTGATTATGACCTCGTTTTTTTTCCGCAAGCCAAGATTTGAATAACCCTTGGGCCTTGATTCAATCTCTCCTGCAGGAATTATAGCCAGCAAACCTCGCAGGATCAATCAATTATACATAAGTTTGGTTTATTATAAACTATCATAATTATATAAAAAACGAGGTTTCAAGGGGGGTCAACGTAGCAGGCTTTGCCCCTGATGTGGGCCTTGCAGGCGTTATTAATTAATAGTGCATCAGCAGATCGGGAAAAAAATTGCCGGGGGTTACGGCGACCACGGTCCGGCGTAATTCTTATCCGCCTTGTCAAGGCCTTATGGGTCCATATAACCAAGGCACGATGTTGCGACCTTTTCATACGCCATTAGAAACCTACATAATAATAACTTGTCCTTCAAGATTGCATAACATTATTTCCGACTCATGTATTGCTACCATAAGCTCAATAAAATGCGGTCTGGGTTGCACAGATTGATTGTAAAATGGCAGTAGCGATTGTATTTGTCTCTTAGGCGTGTCATATAAATATAATACATATCAGAAGACCCCCATATGTTTGACATCGCGGTAGCTTGACTCCACAGATCCACCAGAATTGGTGCATTCTTTGCAAAGCCTTTCATCCCTACTGTCTCCAGAGCTCTGATCCTTGCCATCATTTTCCTATGTGTGTACGTCCGTGACAGCTCCATAATCTAGTGTCTATCTGTCCCCATTTTGTGTGTGGAGACTTGTCCAGCTTTACCTGAGCCCGCTAGTTGAATACTGACTTCGCAGCGATTCTTGCGAAGTGAGAGTCCTTCGGGTGTACTGATTTTTCGGCCACACCCCGCTTCTGTAGGAACACAGAAGAAAGGGGAAACTCACATGATAAAAAGTGACATGGTGCATTTTATGAAAAACTGAGCATGCAACTACTTAGTGGTGCAAGTTGATTCAGAGTCGGAGGATAGCAGCTCGCGTCGCGCGATCACCAGATCGACGCGTCATGGTGGCTGTGATGCACCACGTGATAGCTCGCGGTTCGTTTCAACTAAGTTTCCTCGTCGTGGAGGCCTCTGGCCCATTGGGCCAGACACAGACTCACATGGTCTTCCTTCCTCTAGACCCGTTCTTCTCCGATGCGGACTTCTTCTTCCGAGCCCGGAGCTAGAATAGTCATTCTTTCAACATAAATACAGTCACAAGTCAAGGCCCAACGCTAGCATCTCAAGCAACATGCCACCATCTCTCGAAGAATCGCAAACTCCCAACCTACCAAGATCCTCTCAGCCATCAATGTATCAAGTTCAAACGTTGATCTTCTGAAGCGACGTATTGTAGAGTTGGAGGAAGAAGCGGTCGTGTTGAGGGGCACCTGAGCCAAGCATCGGTGAGTTTAAAATGGCTCTCCTCGGGATCGGCTCCGTATATCATTTTAGGGTGTTCAAACAGATGGGGCATGCACTTTCCCATGTGACGTTGCCCTTTAATAGTGTCCGAGGTATCGTGGATGAGAAGGTCCAACAAAGTGAGGTGATTCTCTCATATGTTGTGGGGTTGCACTGACATTCTTTTTCCTAGTAGTATTTTCAAGATTGGAAAGACTCGAATTTCCAGTTCCTTCCCAACTGACAGCTCTGGAAAGCGATTGGCAGTGAAGAAGGGCAGAGTGGGGGAGAACATGCAGTATAAATTCGAGCCCATCTATATAAACAGGCACAGCATTAAACGTATATACGCACCTGTATTCTCTTTATGGTAGTAATAAATATGCTATAGATTTCAAGTCTCTAAGAGTGAAAATATGCGTAGTATATACAGCAGGCCGCCCGAAAATTATTAGGTGTTATGAACTCGCTGTAAGATGTTGCTCACATCATACTTTCATATGACATCAAGTAATTGTGCTGGTACCTTGCAAAGCTTGACATGTATTACTGACATTGGAAACACTCATAACCATACTTGGAGGATTATCAATTCTTCATGCTTCATATGGGCATATAAGGCTCACGGCAATTATTTTGGACATTGCCATGCATTTTGACCCTTGCCACGGGCTTATACGTGCATATATATTTTTGTCCAATTTGCCGATGATAGCTGCTGCCTGTAGTCGAATATCGAAATGGTTTTCCAGCTGTATAGGCAAATTAATTATTACTGGTTGTGGCAATGTGGCCGAGTGGTCTGAGGCGCTGGAATTGGGCCGGCAGCGAGCTTTAGCGAGCCCTCGAGCATAGGCGAGAGCACCGAGCCAGAGGCAAGCCGCCGCGAGAGCCACTCGAGCATAGGCGAGAGGTAAGCCAGAGGTGAGCAGGCGAGCCAGAGGTGAGGTGGGAGAATGAGAGAGGCGAGGCGAGTACGGGTGCTGAGACAATGATCGGGTTGCTTTCCGAGACAATGATTGCTCGTGGACCAAAGGCCGTCACTAGCAATCCCGTGATCGTGACGTTCGGCAACTTCCGCAACGACGTATCTTTTACCGCCATGACCGACGACGCATCCACCAAGCGAGCACCTAAAGAAGGACCCACCTGTCACCGACCCGGTCCTGCTGCCCAACACTCTGCTCAATTGCGCAGATGGAAAGAATTTTGCGAGGCATGTCCTCCTTTTCCCCTGTCGCTTGAACTCCCACTAAGCTCAGCAGGCGGTATCGACGGAATCCAACGTACGTTCTCTCCTCTACCCATGCCCACTATCCACCAGGCGCCGATGTCCAATGAAATCTCCCCAACCAATACTCGATAGGATCCCATTCTCCCCTTTCACACCAGACACCTGTCAGTGGAATCACATGAAATCCCTGGGGTTGCGCCACCAAGAACCACACGCCAATGCTGGGGAATCGCGCAAAAAATCCTTTGGGGGACCGCGACGCGTTCTGGTGCTCTATAAAAGCCGTCCTCAAACGCTGCTCACCCCCGTCGCCCTCTGGGCCACTTTGGCGCCATGCCACTCATCCCAAAGATCACCACTCGCAAAGAACGTCTCGACACACGTTCCGCCGTACCCAAAGTCGCTGAAAAGATCAAGGACAAGAGTTTCTTCTCTCGGCGCTTCGTCAAAAAGCTCGCCCGTGCTTCCCTCGGTGTCGTCAGGCGGCTGAAGCGGGACTGGAAAGAGTTCTGCAATGCGCAGCCCGAGGACAACCCGTTCCAGGTATACCCCGAGATTGATATCAATACCAAGCTCCCGCCTCGAGGTACGTCGTTCAATCATGGATATATACGTACAGATACTCACCCCATTATAGAGGCCTTTATCGCGTTCACCACTCACCAAGCTCTCTCTTCCAAAGGCCGCATCAGCGAGTATGCCACCAGAGACACTATTCGCTCTCTCATGGGCTCCTTCTTCGGTATTTGGCGCCGTGAGGCACTCAAACCCCTCCCCTACGACTACACCCAGCAGGTCTACACCTACATCGATTCGGAAGAACTCGAACAGATCGCCCCCCTCTGTACCGACTCGATGCCTAAACACTCGATGAGCGCAGCCGACTTTGAGGTCCTTTCCCGAGCACTCTTCAGGGACACGGGTTTTAGAACACTTCGTATGGCTCTCCAAGTCGCTTATCTCGTCAATCTCCAATCACTCATGACCGAGCGTCCCGGTGCCATCGTCGAAGGAACAAAGTACCACGGCACCAACGAGGCCCTCAAATGGGGCGAGCACGAGTTTCACATCATTCCGAATTCTGACGACCCTCATCATCCCCTCGTCATCGTCAAGGTCAAGATCCACCGCCAGAAAGGCTACCGAGGGAAAAAGTCGGTATACAAGGAATTCATCCTTTATCCCGAGCCCAACGCAAACCGCGCAATGTGCCCAGTCGCCCAGGTCGTCGCTCTCGCTATTCAAGACCAGATCTTCGCCCATGTCACCACCGCAGAAGAAATCTTTTGCCCCAAGCATGCTCCCACTAAACACCATATCCTGTCCATAAAGCCATCCGCCCTCTCTCAATGTGTCGCGCGTGCCGAGGTCTTGGTCAAGGGCATCTGGGGCACTTCCTCAGACCGGGCGCTCAGCTACTCTGTATACAGCGCCCACTTACGACGCGTCAGTTTGGCAGACGGGTTCATCAGTATGTGGGAATTCATACCTCATTTCATCTCTCTGATTCTTTTCTAGTTCATGTCACTCCATATTGCTTTCGACGTGGCGCCTCTAATCGAATCTCAAGGGAACTAGGTGAAAACGACCTACACACTCTTATGGGTCACACTGCAAATTCTCAGAAATTCATAGTATGCATCCGCAAAGACTTTATACAAACCTAAATACTCACCATTTCATCACAGAGCGCCTATCAAAGCAGACTCGTCGACGCTGATCTCTCCGCTGTCCTCTATGATCGCGAGGAAAATTCCGAGCATGTCCAAGCTGGCAAGGTGAGAAGAACTTGATCTTCCTTTCGGTACGTGTGCTGAGCATCCGGGCAGGCCGTCTCAAGCATGTCCGCTCGTCGAGACAACAATGCACCTGTAGAACTACCTTTGGAACATATGGGGGAAATCCTCAATGAGCCAGAGCTGGTAGACATGCGCCAGACACGTCAAAAGGTACTCACATTCTTCCCCCCTTTTTCTCTCTTTCTTTCCTCACCATCTCTCTCAGCTTGCCAACGAAATTTCAGCCACTTCAAAACTCCTCGTTTCAGCAGACGTGGATGAGGAAGAGCAGAACGCAGTCTCCGCAAAGATCCTCGAACTCAAAAGGACCATCACTCTGCATGATAGGGAGTATCGCAACATCATCAGGCGCGAAAAGAAATACCTGCCTCACAAAAGTCCGTGAGGATTACTTTGCAGGAGCTTCGTTGAGACAGTTGGCTGGTACTGCAAGTATTCTTCTACCTTTCCTTGTTTCTTTTTCAGTTATATTTTCCCTAGGCGGCCCCGCAAACCAACCGGATCGAGACAGTCACTCGAGGCAAAGAAAATGCCAGTGGACTCATGCCGGTTTCCAAACCCATATCCCGTACCGACGCATTGGAACAACTGATCGGAAACTTTTTTGACGCCGGTCTTTCCTTTGACACGACCGCCGACTCCATTCTCGGATACATTGATGCTCTCAACAACATCCCTGCCAAGCACAAGGCCGTTTGCTACCTTGGAGAATCTCCCGACGAGAACAATGAATGTCCGGCTTGCGGCAAGGAATGCACGTATGTATCCTCTCTCATCTTGTCCCAAGTTCTCTCTCCACCAACAACAACTTGTTCTTTTCAGCATCACGGAAATGCCCAAGGGCATCGGCAGGCATATTCACAGCTGTATCGCCAACACTATGCAAGAACAAGCCACGCTTAATGCCGACGAGGCCTTCAAACAGACCCAATGTTTCTGGAACGGCTGCTTCGCATCAAAGACAGTCTGGAAAACCCGGAAGGCGCACTTGAAGCATCTGACCAATCACATCAACTGGCTGAAATCCCTCTCCATTCGTGGTGATACTAGACGGTGCAGGTGGTACGAACAGGATCGGATCTGCAACGAAACCGCTGCCGAGGATGATGATTCCTTTTGGGAAGACCACTTTGCCAGCGCTCACGGAATAAACACGAGCACAACAATCAGGGTCGACCACTGTGCGTCATGCGGAGAATGGTACGAGGATCTCTACGGCGATTGCTCGGCGTGGAATGACCACTGTATCGGTCACTACGAGGACGCCTTTGCTCCTTTCCAAGAACGCCTCGATCAGGATGTCATTCTTCAACATGACGAAAACGTCATTGTCGTCGACGGGACCGCCGAGTACGACCCTACTACAGGCTTCGGGGGCAAGCAGCCCCTTCTTCATGGCTATATCGAACAGTACATTGCTCTTCGGCCGTTTTATTGCCCATTTTGTGTGTTCGATACCACCAAGCCCATGTTTTCGCGCATGAAGCAGTGAGTCTACACCAAAATACACCCCACCTGGCCACTGATCTTTTTTTTTTTTTGCAGATTCCGTGATAACACGATCTATTCTCGACACGTTTTTCAGCAACATCTCAATGACCTAGAAGACGACTCGGCCTGTCCTGTCCCATCATGCGGAATTCATGTCTACTCGGTCTTTGATCTCGTCTACCACCTTGTCCTTTACCATCGCCTGCCGCTAGTGGGTACGAATCCGTCCAGAAATACCCGAAAGCTTCGAATCCCCACCAAGGACGACGCCGGCAAGCTTGTCATTCCCTTGGCGCAAAACCAGGCAAAGACCAAGGCCAAGGCCAACCCTTTGGACCCAGAACCCGTCCGTAAACGCACCGCCAAGGGAAAGAAGAAGGCCAGAGACTCTTCTGAGGAAGAAACTATCCCTAAACGTGCAACGTCTGTGATCGAGATCTCAGACGACGAGCCGGTCGCACGTTCATCATCTGTAATCTTTGTCGAACCCGGACCCTCGAAACGACGCATAGTCATCTCGGATGAATCCGACCAGGAGAAAACCAAGAAGCAACGCATTGAAGCGCAGCAATCCAAAACGAAAAAGCAGCGCTTTGAGGAACTCGTCGCAGGACCTTTGACCGCTGACGACGACGACGACGATGACGACGACGACGACGGCATCGACGATCACACAAGGCGATATCTCTGCCTAGGTTGTTACAACCAATACCAGGATATACAAACACATTCTGGAGGCATCCCCGTTAGACTCGAGCTGCCGTCGAAAAGGCGCCTTCCAAAAGCTTGCCCCGAATGGGAAACGGTTCAACTATGTGTACCACCACACGTTGTCAGCGGTATGCTCCCTGTCTTGCATTTGTATCCTTTCTCACCAGTTCATAGGACACTTCTGTCGCCGGCAGCACGAGCAAAAAGAATCGTTACCATTACTGCACAACATGCAAGCTCCAATTTACCGATATCAGGGACCACATCCCCGACAAATGCCAATCAAAGACTTTCCGAATCAAGGACCCTAACAATCCCGCTCATCGCCGAGCACGAAACGCTCCCTTGTATACCTTTGTAGAGTGGGTCAAGACTGCACCCCCTAGAGTATAATCGCGTAATGTCTTCGTTGCTATAATGACAGTGAAATTTTTGTTGCTATAATAATAATGAAACTTTATTTCGGTGGATACTTTATCATAAACGCCTCAACATAGCTGGCTGCACTCGACTCTGCAAACACTTTTAGCACCATCCTCAAAGAATGTGCGCCGGCATCATATTGACTAGTCCGGTCTGCGGGAAGCTCCTGGCACAGGGCCGCGATAAACTGCGCAAAGCCCCCACTACGTCGTCTGGTTGCTCCGCCATCTTTAATGTCCCATAAACGATCCATGAACACGACAGCCCCAAACTAGAGCAGCTTTCGTTAGCAGAGAAACTGGGCCCAATGTTCACTTACATGATCATACAGCATCACCAATGGCTTTCTCGCCTTGAGAACTCGCTGATGCGCCTCTTTGAACCGCTTCAATGCCTCTGCAATCTCACCCTCAACAGTGTTCCTCTCCTCGCCAACAGCATCATCCAAACGGCGGTACAGCTCCGGATTCGCATTCTTACAGGCAGCGGTCAGGTATTTGCCTTTCCATGACTTTTTTCCTGCCTTGTCTTCATTCTCTGTCCAGATCTTCATGAATCTAATTATCTCGACAGACCGGACGACATGATCAACCAGCATTTCAGCACATCCAGCGTTCTCTTGTGCCTGGATAAACTGCCAACAACGCCTCAGTGATTTTCCCATCAAATCACAGGGCACAGACCTTGTCTATGGCCAACAGTTGTTCGTGGACACGCTTGAGGCCAGCATTATCACTCGCTTGCTTGCACACAGCACCCCAGGCCATCCGTTTCTCCACTAGCGGTTCCAGTTGCGCAATCTGCCGAGGGTCAGTATCAATGCCACCTTGCTCGCGGAAAATACACTCACCCATTCTTCTTCAGAATCTTCAAAACCCCGTAGCAGCCGCGCGAATCCTCGATCCTCAACCTTGAAGAGAGTACCCTGTTCCGGATACGCCAAGATGCTCTTCCTGTATGCCGACGCAGTCAATGGAGACTGGCCGAGTTCTGGCAGCAACGCCTCAAGCCTCGCTGGTCTAGTAAGGGTATTCTCTCCTTCGCGTCTGGTACCCTCCCGTTGTCCCTTGACGCGCGTAAGATCCTTGTTGATCTCAGCAATATTGCCTTCAACGTACTCGAGCAGGTCCACGCGCTTTTTCACTGTTCCAGGTGATGCATCTGGTGGTAGTTCCGGTAGCGTAGAGATTTTGGAACGTAGATTGGCTAGCTGATGACGAATCTCGGTGCCCTGAGATGCCGGATGATCGTGGTCGTCCATGAAGGAGCGTCTCTGCTTCTTACCATCATGTCACTTGATGACCTCGATGAAATCGCTTCACTCATCGAAGACTGCAGACCGCTGTTTGATGCGTTGCCTTGGTCTCGCAGTAAATTGGACAGCACCCTCGACTGCATCATCCTCAAGGCAAGTCAGTTGCGTGATACGCGAGGTCATGAACAGGTACTATCGCTTTCTCGTACCTGGTAGTATCTCATTCATGCTGCTTTAGCTCTCAGATTCAACTCTAGCGCCTGTATGTATGACTACGATTCGTCGATTGTCGAGCTCATTGCATGCAGAAAAAGCGAGGTCATGAACAGGTACTGTCGCCTTCTCGTACCCGGTATCTTATTCACCCTGCTTTAGCTCTCAGATACAACTGTGGCTCCTGTATGTACGACTATGATGCGTCCAGTGTCGAGCTCATTGCATGCAGAAACAAGCTAGAAAGAGGGACTCGGGGGTAGGTTATATTCAACGCAAATCATGTCTAATGGTTCCGTAGCCCGCCCAAGACCGATTAACCGCCATTCTCGCCGTCTATTATGAACCCTGTATCTCTGTCAGCCACTTTTTGAACCATCTCCGTAACCCTGAATCTCGCTCGCTGCTAGAACAAGAGCAGGCTGCACTGTCACGATTGATACAAGGCTACAGGCCCGCCTCTGAGTATGAGCTTGTATGCGCCCTCATTGACCATGATATGCACCTACTCATTCTCCATCTAGAAAAAGGCATTTCGTTCGGGAATCCGTCCGATCAATCATACCTGGCTTGCTGTCTGCAATAGGCTTTCAAACATTGACTCGAAATCTCGCCCTCTTACGCGCTTACTCGAACACGAACGACACCTCAGCGACAGTCCAGACGGCGATATCTTGACCAACCTCGTATACTACATCTTGCAAACGATCGTTGCCATCTGCTTCGCTATCGATTACGACAATCTCACCCCTCAAGAGAAGAACACGTTCGTTATCGACGCCTGCAACGACCTCGAGAAGAGCAAGCTGAAGAGGGCCAGCAAGGACAAGCAGCGAGAGATTCACCGCAACTTTCGCACCCGGCATCGCAAAGAAGTCACCTATCGGAACAATATCTACAAACTCTACCAGACCGTGAGTGTAGAATTTCGGTCTCTTTGTGTTGCTTACCATTTGTCAGTTTGGCGTAGCCGTGTTCCTCGATCCTACTCTCGACTCGCGCACTAAAAAGACCAGCTCGCCTTCGTATAGTGCCTCTTTTCCCACCACTCTTACCTTGCTCTTGGACGAGGATATCGATCTGCTGCAGGTTCAAAAGGACAATTATACCTTTTTTGTTAATCTTGTTAAAGTTCTTGCCGACGACGTTGTTGTAAAATTTGTGGACCGTTTTCTTTTAAAGTACCCCTCTGATGTCATGAAAGTAGTTTTAGATGAATAGACTTGCACGGTTTCAGTGCAAGTGTGGCCTGACAAAAGTCGGGTAGCCGCACACTTTCTTACCATCATGACTGCGTTGATCCGGTCCACTGCCTGCATCCCTGCCATTACTTCTGGATGCTGATTCCTCGTAGGCGGCGCCTTGGCCACATTCACGATACCGGTACCGAAAGCCTGCAAACACGTTCGTACCACAGACTCGAAAGGGCGCCCAGAAGATCGCATACCAGGTTTTCCTGCTTGCAAGAGCGTAGTGGATAATGTCTCGGTCCCGGACAAAGGTGAGCTCGCCAGGCCAGTACTTCACGTCGTCTTACTCTTATTCAAAAACTTTGGTGCTGGTGACAGGAATATACGCGTGCCCATATAGGAAAATTTTGAAGGCACAGAGGAGGGTTGCAATGCATTCGATACAAACTACGACGTTCGCAGCAGGCCAGGGTACTGAAGAAGGTACGCTTCTGTAGTCCCTCGTTTGGACTTTGCACTGAGCACTGTGACACCGTCTGATACTAGAATCAATCAATGGGGTGAGATTAGAATGGACAGCGCTGGCTACATACAGAGACACGTAGATACCCGTTGATATGAATATCCACGAACATCCCCACAACTGGATCGTAGAATGGGAATTAGCTACTGGCAGATACCTATAGATTTGTCCACTGATATATGCCGGTATCGACTTGTGTAACTGGGGTTGACGTGTTCAAGAAAGAAAAGGAAATTTGCTCAACTCTAAATGGAAAATGACAGAAGTGGGGTTCGAACCCACGCCCTTTCGGACCAGATAAAAGCCTCGACCTAATTCTGGCGCCTTAACCACTCGGCCATTCTGCCAGATTCTTAGGTCTTACGCTTGATTACCTTCATTCGTGCATGTTGCCTCCACCACTTCTATTTTTGCGTCTTATAAAGCTGGGCATCGCGCCTTGTAATAACCTGGCCGGCCGCTGTATTATTCAATACGGTTCACTGCTGTATAGATACTCGCGGAACTCGGATCTGTGGATATTGCACACTGTTTCGACGGAATGCATTGTCGGCGTTGATGGCAGTGATCGGTATTCTTCGCGTACATGAGAAACGGCGCTTGAACGGCGCGAGTCTTGGAGCTGTCATAGTCACCAGGCCAGAAGGCTACCGCTTGATGAGTCGGCGGAACGTAGGAAGTGGACGTGGAGTCTATACAACTACAAAATGATTTCTATATCCATCTTACCTGATAACTTCGGGCACATCCCTTTTTCTACCCGTTTACCAGCAATGACTCTGTTGGACGAATCACAACATCCAGACTCCAAGTCTGACCTTCCGCGTCCCAGTCACAGAATTCAGGGTAGGCGCCACATGTAAACACATGAGGTGAAGCAGATTCCAGACTCGACTCGTGCGTTGGATAAAGCATGAAATTATCCATATGTAGTTGGTCTGGCAGGCAAGGGGTTTGTGGGCGGAGCGTTGTCTTGGTGGCAGCCCTATCACCATGCACCGGTTACAGTATATATGTTCTCGACTTACGGTGTCACTTCACTGAACTACCCCTTAGTCGACCATTTTACACCCACATCGTTGGCAGGTACGTCGCATCAGCTACATTCAATTTCCTGCCATACCCAGAGAATTGCCAGAGGCGAAAAGTGAACATGCCGATACAGACCTTCCCGGGAGTGCCCATCGACATCCTCAGACAGATATTCGAGTTCGCATCTGCTTCGTCTGCCTCGACTGGATTGACTTTAACCCTAGTGTCGACTCACATCCGACACTGGACGCTCCCCATCATCTACAGAAATGTCGTTCTATCATCATCGCGAGCCGTGACTCTTTTCCTTGAAACTATAGCCACCTCTGCGGCCTCCAAACTTACACCAGCGATACCGCTCTGCAGTCGAGTGAAGAACCTTGGTGTCTTCGCCTTGGGCCCTTTGCCTGCTATTGAACAGATTATCTCCTTGTGTGACAACATAGAGAGTCTTGCGTGCGGATTTTCGCTCCATGCTTATCTGCTTTCAAACCACCAAATGCTCCCCCGTGTTTCCTGTAAGAAGCACTTTCTTGGTCCTTCATGTCGAGATGGCATACCCTTCCACCTGATTTCTCCACAAACCACACACTTCCACGCGCAACTATCTCTGGAAGATTTTCATTCTATCTTAGAAATTTGCAACTACGTTTCCGCGATCACGCACCTAGCCATCAGCGTCCCTGTGAGCTCCAAAGACGCCGTGGAAATCATAGAGTCGACCACTTCGGCATTGCTCGACAGCAGTAGTCCTTTGGAATTCCTTCTTATTCAAGTGATGGGCACCAAAGGTTCTGAAATTGCTGAGGTCATAAATGCACGGAATAAAACAAGGATGGAGCTGGCTGGTGTCCAGGATGGTTTCCGTGTGGTTGCAATACGCGCACCAACATCGGTTGTTCGACAATGGGAAAAAATGGTCATTTCTTCTGCGGATTTATGGGAAGACGCAGAAAGAAAAGTCAATCAGAAGCGGTGGTGAAGTTGCGCGTCATGATGTTGAAATGGAGCTGGTTTTATTTACCGGCTCGCTGTATACTACAATCGATGTTGGCAAGAGTTAGACAACTTCAAGATGCAATGGATCTTCGGGCTGCACTTGGCGGCCGATTTAATGCAAACCGCTCAAAATTGTCTAAGCTGCTTCCTAGTTGAGAGTGACAAGTGAATTTTTACTTCCGAGTACTATACTTCTTCGATCTCTCCTGCCTCTTTCGCTTTGATCCATATACCACCCTTGAGAAAGGCATCAGCAACTTGTACAGAGTCAGCCGCAAAAATAGGCGTACGCTTGCATAGATCGTCAGCGTCAACTTGGGGCTGAACTTGCCTCCCATACTTTCATCAAGCTCAAAGCCCTCAAATGCCTGCAACAGCCGGATGATGATAAACGACATTTCGTTATAAGCAAATTGCTGCCCCAAGCATATCCGAGGACCAGCATTGAAGGGTAAGAAGATCCATGGATTTTTTGTTATGCGGTGGTGCCGCTCGTCAATAAACCGCAGAGGGTCAAATTGTTCGGCTATAGTAACCCGGAAAATCAGACAAGATACGGAGCAAGAGAGTTGAAGAGACTCGCCATCTGGACCCCAAAGATCTTTTCGTCTGTGCATCAGGAAGACAGAGTATGGAACGCTGTAGGCTTATTAAGATGGAAGGGATCAGATAATGCAAGAGAATATTACGGTGTTCCTGCGGGAACATATATGTCTTTCTCATCCGGATCATCAGATGGGAACGTTGTCTCCTTGATTGACGTGCGAACGTTCACTGGACTGCAGAGTTCACGTCAGCCGCTGTATTCACTGAACGATGAGGACATACACGGCGGGATATAATCTCATGGTCTCTGATTATCACAGTTTTATCAACTGACCAAAGGGCATGAAAAGGAACGTACCATTGATCACCGCTCGCAAGTACTTCATCCCTTTGATATCTTCAAACGTAGGGCGCCGTACGGGTCCCACTGAGTTGATGATCTCTTGGCGGAGACGGGTGCACACGAGAGGGTTGGTACATAGAAAGTAGACCAGTACAGACAGTGTCCACCCTGTAGTGTCGCGTCCAGCAATTAAGATATTAAGGCTGCAGGCGTATGAAGCTCGGAAGGCTGAAGAAAGAGAGGCGGCGTACATTTCATCCTTCAATATCTTCGGGTCTAGGGTAGTCAACGGTTATTGGAATGTCGTCGGAACTTGTTATCCTCACCGTTCGTCTCACGGACAAGATGCCCCAGTAATGTGTCTTTCTGGCCGTCATCCGTCTCCCCAACTCCGTTCTTCTCTTCGTCCCGCTGCTTTACCGCCTCATCCACGATCGGCTCTATGAAGTGGTTGACAACGCTCATAGGTGCTGCTGTTCTGTCTTTGAAAATCTCGAATAGTGGCCAAATCCACGCTTCATCACCACGTTCATGCAGGATCTTAAGGGCAGACAGAAAGCCATCCGCGAAAACTTCTGATTGAGTTTTCTTGTGGCTTTTGCCAAGATCAAGAGTTGAAGAGGGTAGGTACGGAAGGTTACCTAAGAGACTCTCGACTGATTTCCCGAAGAGGAATTCTGTTGCAGAATCGAGGGTAAAGCGTTGGATAAGGTCCTGAGTCCCCATCAGTTGAATGTCGCTGTCAAATCTCGATTCTTACCTGAAAGTCCAATGCTACACCCATCCGGAGGCGCTCTTTCATTTTAGCTACCACTGTCTGTGCATGGCCATCAAACAAGTCAAAATGCGAGATGCGGTCGCGCGAGAAAAATGGGCGGGTCATCGTTCGATGAAATCTAATATGCTGTTATTCAAACCCTTTGCGATGACGAGCGAAGAGACATGCTTCCACATCTTCCCGTCTGAATTGAATACTCCCGTCCCGAGCACAGACGACATAGTCTCTTGAAATTCCTTCCCTTCAGATTCATTCTCAACAGTTAAAGGGCTGATGGACGAGGCAAAACTACCTTTCTCGAAGTTGTCGAAATCGGTGGCAAGGACACGTTGAATGTGTTTCGGGCTCGTGGTCACGATCTGCATAAGCCCTATGATATTGGTATTGAATATGGGCCCATACTCCGTGGCCAGTGCTGCCAGTGTATCGCAAGGATGCTTGTCATTCTGAGATCTTTGCATGATGTCGACGTTGAAAGGGAGGGTCCCACGCACTTGAGGAGCGAGACGTGCATTGAGAAAGGAGGCGCGCCGGGCATAGTATGGATAAAGGAGGATAGGATACAATGGAAGAACAAGCGGGAGAAGGAGCAATATCCAGGATCGCAGCCAAAAGGCAAGTAGGACGATAGGGACTAGCTTATAGGCAGCACGAGCGATAAAATGGATTCCGGGTGTTATCAGCGCCATCAAGGAGTCTGTATCTCAATGCGCTCCAGATTATCGTTTAAGTATTTGTACCAAGTGTACGTGATTGAAGTTGCATAAACATGGTCATCTGCTGTGAACAGCAGATTGAAAATGGGCTCGGACATAGTCCGTGGGGCCACAGATGGCCACGGGCCACGGATAATGAGGAATCAGATGATGACGCACACTTGCTAACGTTGAGTCCGCGTCAAGGTCGACGCGACTTCTCTTTACTTCGTTGCTGAACCTCTATGAAAGTATATCCCACTCATGGTTTAGATATGCATTCGAATTAAACCGTCGTAGGGAAGCATGTACTATGATATGAACGTCCTGTTCGAGACACGATAACAAGTTGCCGGGTTTGGGTGTCACGTTCTGCGTGCGGGTCTTTTAGTAATGGTCTACGACACACAGAACACATGCCCTTTGAAGGAGTCCATCCACGATTCTGCTCTCGAGTCAAATCCGCCATACCCTGAAACAGATCCCGGTCTAGTAGATGCTTCGTGATGATAAGCATATCTCCCTCCGACCGATACGACTCCAGCATGCCGGTCAGAATGGTACGAAACTCGGTGTAATGAGTGCCTTTGGATGATGGCATCTGGATTGCAGAGTTTACCAGTCGTTTGAAAAGTCGGGGAAAAGATAATGCCCGCGTGGAACTTATGGACACGAGAGATGTAAATGTTTCTTGTATGACACAGCGAAGCGTGTCTAATGTTTGCCGTTCAACCTCCACGATACGGTCTGCATGAGAACGTGAATCTAGGGTGAAGGAGGAGGATAACGTTTCCTGTGAACAAGACGCGGAGACAGATTGGATGCAGTTAATCTGACTGCCGAGTAGTTGGAGCCAGATATCCTCTAAAGATACATCCGGTGAGGTAGATAATGAACGATCTAAACATACAGAGATGCCAGATCTTGCTAGGTCGACGAGTCCATCAACAGCCTTCTTGATGTCCGAATTTGCTTCGGCTGTTTCGGCAGACCCAAGCGCCTCGATGACTCGAAGAGTAAGACGTTTTTCGAAGGTCTCCGCCTTGGTAAGGGCATCAACAGGATGACCTTGTTGATTGAGAGCCCAAACTGCTGCATTATAAACCTCTCTTTCCTCGCATACTGCCACAACACCGGGCCAATCTAACCGACTCGGTGACAAGTACTTCAGGACATTGATAACATCCTGAGGGTGATACTGACACTGAAGCGCAATATATGCTCGTCGGAGATCGTCCAATGCGTGAGACTGGGAGAGGGGCCTTCGGGGGATCTTGGTATATTCTTCGTCTTCCGGACGTGGAGGACCTAAGAGATACTGCAGATATATAAAACGCTTGTAGTCACCGAGAGAACCGAGGCTTTCCAGAGCGCGACTGTGCAGATCGGGAGTGTGCTTGTCGAGAAGATCCGCTGTCCTCGGGATGCTGGCCTGCAATAGCCTAGGTAGAGCGTCTGCTATTGTGACAACCAACTCCGTCGGAATGTGCTTGTTTTCTCCTTCTGAAATCCGGAGAACTTCATCGATACTATGGAATAGTTCTGATGGGTGAAGCTCTGGGTCTTCGATATAAGTCGAAAGCAGCGGTCTCCATTTGCGGTCTTGGCGGTGCCAAATTCGAAGAATTCGATAAAATCCCGCGTCGTTGAAGAGTTGCACCACCCGGTCAATATCATGAGGGGTGTATATGGAAAGAAGGTATTCTGCAGCCAACTGACGATCTTCACGCGTACTTGCATCAGGATCGTCCGCTAGACTGATCAGAATACTATGCTGAGTGCTGACTGGTATCGGGAGGAACTGGGAGTATTTTGGAGCATTCCTAGCAATGAAGATGTTTACAAATGTTACATCACCCGATGTCAGACTTCCCGACGAGAGGATTTCCAATAGTATTCGAACAATGACGAGACGACCGACGTCCTGGGACTTATCATTAAGATATGGGTCTTCGAATGCAATGTCAAGCGAATGCAAAAAGGATTCGGCATCAAAACGCAGGAGAAGCCGAGCATAAGGATATGTGGGTTCGACACCGCCTTCTTCGTCCGACGTTAGAATCAAACTTCCTCCATCACCAACAGGCCAAACACTTGAGCGTCCAGAGAAAAGAAATGCATAGACGTCCTTTTTTGCCTGGTAACTCTCTTCCTCTGGGAGAGGTTCCTCACTAGGGTAGGTAAGGCCCGAAAGGATGTTGGCGAGATATGGATAAATCTTGTATGCGCTCAGGACTATCGGCTCCATGGTGTCCTCATCCCAAGTATTCGTACTTGATTTACGGTACTGGTTGACGCGACGAATTAAGCTGAGCAGTTCAACTACTGGCGCTACGTAATCTTGAAGGGCTCGGGTATAAATGTAGATCAGGGCGTCGTAGAGGTGATGCTGCTGGCAGAGATGGATGGCTTGGTTTAGGTCCAGACAAGCGGGATCAATGTGCCAAATGATACGCTCCACAAGATCTGGGCGCTCATCCTCATTATGCATGGCTACTAGTCTCTGGGTAATGCGAGGAGGAACAAATCGAATCTCGTTCTCCAGCACAAAGCGTTCTAGTTGGAGGAGGTATATTCGAGAGATCCCAGAGTCGTCATACTGCTGGAAAAGGTCTTCGAACAGGAAGTCGAAGTCATCCAATGCAATACAAGCACGACAACACGTTGCCACAAGACCTTCGAACAAAGAGGTCCGGTCAACACCGCGGCCATCAGGCGTGTTATGTGTGCGATCCATCATACGATCCTCGGAAAAGGCGTATTGAGCTGAGGCAGTCATCAAATCGCGCATTTTCTGGCCCACAATCTCTTTCCGTAAATCAACATCCTCCGGGAGGCCATTCTTATTTCCTGGAGCGGCACCGACATAATACAGTCGCGACATGTCGATGGCACTCAAGAAATCGCCATTTTGAACAAATGCCAAGATTTTGTCTGCCCATGTTAGAAGCGTTCCGACTCGAAAGTTTTCGCGTCCCTGGAATGACAGTTTAAATGAAGTGACATTGAAATTGAAAGCAGTCTTACCAGCAAAAACACCTTTCCCTTATAGACGCGAATACTGTGTGCGACATCACTTGCACAGTCCGGGTAGGCCATACTACCCTTTACTGTGTGTTTCAAAGACGGAGAAACCAGTGAAAATCCATCGAAGGGTACTTTTTCAACTGGCTTTGAAACATGAACATCGTACACTTCGAGAGATATTGCAGTAAAGACGAGCACTTGCTATGGAAGATATTAGTACCGAAACGGAAATGGACTTGGTAGCTGGAGTAAACGAACCCACATTGACATTCAACCATTGAACCGCCAATATATCGTCATCTGCCGACCATTTGCCGAGGTTCTCGAAGTCTACCGCGCCGACTTCAACCTCGCTAGTTTTCCCAGACCTGGAACTATGAAACGTTTGCTTTACCTTCGACTCGAACACCTGTAAGATATAGAGTGTACGTCCCCATGAATACACGAGCCTCGGATTTGTGGGGGGGCCGGGGTGATATGAAGGGTTGCTTTCAACCACTTCTACCTTTCCGCTTGGATTCGGCAAGACACTTGGAAACCAGGATAGGGAGCCTTTCTGACTGGGCTTGGTTCTCGGTAAGTCTCCCTGCTCAACTACCCGAGGGCATTTGAACCACGTTTTAGGAGTAGGCTTGAGACCAACGATGACAAGTTTAGTGGAGGTCAATAAGGCCACAATATTGTAGGCGTCGGTGGGATGGGACGTAGTACCAAGAGGTAGGGGCATCATGGAAAGAATGGAATATCGAGATTTTCGGTGAGTTATAGATGTTAGAGGAGAACCATTGGAAGAAGGAAGAGGGTCCAATTGATATTTACCAAGGATGCGAAGAATATCGGAGGCCTCGATAAAAAGCATCTTTCCGAGGCTATGGTAAAAGGCGAGGCCGTGTTCATCCGCTGTCACGATGGCTGTATGCCTCCCTGCCACGAAACCAACATTCACAATCCTGGATCCTTGTATATGGCCCTCTTTACGACCAGTAGAAATGGCAGCAACTGTTGTTGGCGGAACAGTTCGAACAGGCGAGTTTGGCGTCTTCAGATCATACAACTGAACGAAGCCCGACGAATGCCCCGAGACAACATAGGTATGATCAAAGGATAGCGCTAGAGCAGTAACCGGTCCAGCTACTTTACCTGAGTGACTGTCAGAAATGCCTCAGTGATTGTAATAGAGAGAAGCACCTGTCGCTTCCGTACCGCATACACATATAAGCTTCTGCTTGAAGTCAAAGACGCATATTTTCCCTTCATCCGTCCCAATGCAAATGAGACCATTTGCTGCGAGCGCAGTAGGAGAACCGAGAAATGGTGCTCCGAGAATCGATGAAACTTTTGGCGACTTGGTCTTCAGTTGTTGTTCAATAATACGCAATTCGGTCCATTTGAAGACGTCTGTCTGAGGATGTTTTGGAGAGCGGTTGCCATTCTCTTCGGTCCAAGACGCGGTGTGAAGATTAGATAAAGAGGACATCCTTGACAGAGAGAAATGGGAAGGCGAAGATGCTTGCGCATGATTGGCAGAACCACTTGCCGGTGAAGAAATGCGAGACGACTGAGGTGTGTATGACCGAAGTCGGGAAACATTTGGGTGGAGAAAGGGTCGTGCCAGACCGCTGCTTCCACCCAGGTCAGGTGTACTCATTCGCGAAGAGGCGGCAAGTAATGCGTCCGGGCTGGACGGTGCATTTTCGGACAAAGAGTCACCATTCTAGAGGATGATTTAAATTCACAGTGCATACACTGCACCTAATATTGCGCACCAGTATGTTTTCCCGATTCGTGGCGTCATCGCTAATGAGAAGGGAATGCTCCACCTCCCTTGTATCCATGTCCGAATCATCTTCATTGTCGTGACCCAACACCTCTCTCAGCTGTTGGCGATATCCAGACGAAGTGGATGTGCCGGCATCGACGCCCGTGTACAAAAAACCGCCGTCATCATCGGAGTCATCTCCGAGCGCACTAACTTCCACTTCACTGTCTTCATTGCCCAGTAATTCTTCTATGCGAGAAGAGTAGTCTCCTTGGTGCTCGCCGTATTGGAAGCTGTCGTCTTGGGCTTCATTGTCAGAGAAGTGCATGGATGGTGCTCGTATAGTGGACGCATCTTCTACATCTGGGAATTGAATATTGGCTGAAAAGGGAGAGGACATTTCGTCCTTGCTGCTCGAGGCAGCCGGTGATGCTGCGAGGGCGCGATGGCGGGAAAATGGAAGCTATATTACATAATATAGTAAGAAGTATGATCATTGATCACGTGCGAGGCCTAGTCCGGAAAGGCACTGCCACTAACACTGACGGACACTGTTATTGTCGATGTCAGTTTCCAATTTGTATCGGTGACTTCCTTGTGAATGGAATTCAAACCTTCAGCACTCCAGCTACGCTTTTCATTTGCGCTGCAGCACAGTAATCTTCGTCAAGGTGGAAATTTTTTTCGGTTACCAATAAATCATTATTGGTGGCACCGTGCATGAAGCTATGCTCGGAATATTGCCCACCACTGTTACGGATTATTAGCATTCATACTATTGTCTCTTTCAGCCCACCAATATTTCAATAGCCTGGCAATAGAAACAGCGGCGCAAGTGTTCCAGCAAAATTGCAACGCGGCGGATGAGCGGGCCGTCATCAAAAGTTGTCAATTTTATTTGAGATGCGCACATCGCGACGCGTCTTTGTTCAAATCAGTATAACAATAATGCCAATTCTCGGCATGATGCAACCCTCTTTCTTCCAACCGTCATCATCTCCACCTCCCTCACGCCCGTCCGCACTTTTACTCGCATCGACAGGATCGATACTACTCACGAGTGCCACTTATTTAACATTCTTTTTACGACTCCAATCCCTTTGCCCGCTAGCGGACATTCGGACATTCTCTTTAATTCTCAAACATTTGATCTCGAAGAACTAGAGTCATGTTTAGTTACAGCAGACCTTCAAGAAACGCCAATGAAGTTGTTTTGGTGAGCAAGCTCTAGTACTCCTTGGAAGATCGGAAGACTAAAGATGTAACACAGCATCTAACTCCAAATCAACGAGCCACACCGTCTGTTCCCTTCGAGTTACAGGGTCAAGTGAGTGGCAATTACTCTGTGACTTGGACATAGCGGAACTCAACATGCAAAAATTGTAGATTTCTGCCGACAAATGGGAATTGCGCATAGATGCCATAAAAAGCGTAGCAGGTCGTTATTCCAAGCCAGTATTGGAACGTGTTTGGTTGATAGTGGGATTACTGTGCGTGGATTTTCCGCCTAGTCTAATTTTGTTTCAGAGGATGATTGGGCGTTTCTAGGTCTACTTTCACTCTTTCGTTGCTTCTCTATCAACTCGTACTTTTAAGGTTCTTTGTTCGAGGGGACGAATCAAAGCGATCAGAACGACAAACCCAGGTTCGCATTCTTCCATCTCCTGTATTACAACCTCATAACACATGAACTTACACAGGCTGCCGCGATTTCCATCGGTATTTTTGCTGGTTTAGTCCTTCTAGTTGTAGTGCCAATGCTGATTTGGAAATACATGGTAAAGGTCAAAACTGATTGTACTATACTTGACAACTGACTGTACATCTTCACCTAAAAAGGGCAGCAGGGCAATTACAACGATGCTTCAAAAATGGGGACAGGCGGATCGCGCACAGTTCAATCAACATGCCTGCGTGTGGAAAGCTAGCTCGCCCGGAGTGTTCCGAACTGCATTGGTGAAATCAGTGTGTCTGTTTGCCAATTGTGGCTAACCGTATGTTGTTAGACGTTGAAGATAACGTTACCGTCTGCCCCAGCGCCCACAGCCTTTCACCCTGACGCGTATCTCCCATCTTACATCAATGGTCCTCACGATGATGGGGCGTACTTCTATCCCTATCATAGAACAGAGCCTGGTTTGCCTCACATGAGCGTAATCGGCAATGTACCCATTCGCATTGACGCTGAGAAGGGTGGGTTCGAAGAAGTGCGGATTTGAGTCCACAATGCCTACTGGTTAGGCCATCATGATATTTTAGATTACGGATCCGATGTTATGTCAAGGTTTTTATCATTTATGAGTATTAGGAGTAGGAAGTTGGTATATTTTCCGGTAATCATCTACCCTCATTGGTGTGAATTGACCTTCTACTCGGTCCCGGACAAATGATTTCAGCGTTAAAAACGTTATGTACTGGTCTACGACCGTCTATGTGACCGGATGCATGGAATCGCGTTGCAAAGATGTCCCTGTGTGAGAGTTAACTAATTTACGGCTACAATCTGGGGCAGATCTGGGTGCAAAACTAAGATTGAAGCTTGAAGCCTGATCGAAAAAACAAATGACAGCAATGGATGTGGCTCTCTGCTGAGGTGGGGTTCACTTGACTCACTTGACGGGACTAACGTGTGTTAGATTGAAAAGCGCCGGAGGTGGTTTCGGGGGCGCTCACAGGTAAGAGTAAAGTTATTTGCTGATTATTGCGACAGCGCCACTAACGTTCCAACTTCCCTGCTCACTGAAACATGCATGAAGTATTGTACCGGCTGAAGGATGACCGATGGGTCTTGATGTCCTTCAAAAAACCATTTACAGAAAACAAAAGTTCATACAATTTTATATCTGATAGTAGTGATACAAGTTGATTCGCGCAAATCTGGGACCGATCCGGGCGATACCGGGTGGAGCGCTTGCCATCGACGGTCATTTCCAAATTCGAAATTCAACTTCAATTCTGCAGGGACGTTTGTTGCAATGACAATCCACAGTCTATACATATATGATAGGCGCGTATGTTTTCTTTTCATCCTGCTTTCTGTGTTTATAGTTCTCAATAGGCACTGTGCTTGCGTGTACTACCAAGATTGGCACAGAACGAGGAGGCCAAAACTCGCAGTCGAAGGGGGAATAATGCCTGCAGTTTCTCAAGCTGTCTCTGTGCGCCCAACGGAAGCCAACCAGCCATCGTTATCGGTCACAGGAAGCCCTAGAAACACACTCTCCTCAAGTTCTGGCATTGTCGTCGCAGCCAGTGACTCCCCTTCTCCATTGCTGCAGACACCGGTTTCCGCCGCTTCAGCGTTGACTTCATCTAGCCCGGTCACCAGTACGGGCCTGTCTTTTGACGAAGAAGCAAAACTTGTATACGGTGTTATACTGTCACTCCGCAATATGATCAAGAAGTTGTCGGGAAGGTAACGTTTTGTATAGCGTGCCTTTCTTTCAAGCTGACTGCAGCATAGAGACGAGCAATTTGTGAACTATCGCACCTCTGCGTACAAGCTACATCTCTTTGAGACGATCTCGGGATACAAGTTCGTCATGCTTAGTGACCCAAACGCAGACTCTCTTCGGTTTGTCCTTCGCCAGATATACGTTGGTCCTTTCCTCGAATATGTTACTCGCAATCCGCTCGTTAGTATGGACTCTAAAGAATATGGAATAGATAACGAATACTTTCGCTCCGGTGTTGATCGTCTCGTCCGAGGCCTGTCCATCTTTGCTTGAATATTATCTCTATAAAAATACAAAAATTCGGTATACATTTGTATAGAATTGTAAACATGTCTTCCCGCGCCCCACTATCTGTCCGCTCAAATCTAGGTGGTAGAATTTATTGTGGATAGGTCTTCGAATCCCTCCTGCTGTTCAAATTGTTGTCGCAGCACGCTCATCAAGGACGCCTTGACCTCTCGTTCCGCTGTAGCATCTTCCCTGTCGTCCGTCTCCCCTGCGACAGCCTCGTCGAGGGCCAATTTCGTTTCACCCAACTTCAACATATCCTCCTCTATTGTTCCCCGTGATATCAATTTCACAACATCCACGTCGCGCTTCTGCCCGATACGGTACGCGCGGTCTTGCGCTTGGCGGTCATTGTGAGGATTAAAGTCTTGATCGAACCTGTGCACCATCGCAGAATAAGGGACCGGTTGTTTATCCTAAGGTAGGTCACTTACATGATAACAACTGAAGCAGCCGTTAAATTGATGCCCATGCCTATCCAGACTCAGTTTTGATGCAGAGATTGTACATGTTAGGACTCACCGCCAGCTTTCGTTGACAACAAAAAGACCGGAATGTTGTCGTCTTCAGTAAATTCGTCCACCAGTGATTGACGAACGTCCACAGGCGTCGACCCTGTCAGAATAAGGAAACGGATATCCTTCTGCTTCAAAATGACCTGAAGAATATCGAGGATCTGAGTGAACTGGAAGAAAGGATTCAACGATATGGACGATGAACAAGATGAGATATACGTACTTGTGAGAAGATCAAGACCTTCCGCCCGTCCTTGTTGTAGCTTTCGAGTAGTTTGAGCAACGTGTGAACCTTCCCGGAGTTGAGATAACAATCGTCATCCTGGAGGAACTTTTTCGTTGACTTATATGTCCCGCAATGCAGTTGTAATTCAGCATCCGTCATCACCGACATGTCTTCCTTGACGATCTCGAAGAGCGCGCCCCGCCTCTTGAAGTCGGGTTCCTTCAGCAGCTGCTTTGTAATCCCTGACAATATGTCGTCGGTGAAGAGTTTCCGAAAGAGCATAGGATGCGAAGCCGCCTTGCGCAGATCCATGAGAACATTAGTGCTGTTCTCGAGGTACAGTTTATCTTTCGCCCGGGGCTTCTTCGCAGGTTTACGACCGTTTGCCACAGCGTCCCCCATGGCGATAGAAGCATCTGCATCATAGATCGTCTTTCGGGAGCGCTTCAGCGTGTCACGATAGATCGTCTTTTGCAGGGATGTCATATCGCACCATTCAAAGCGCTCGGTTTTCTTTGGGAGGTCAGTGAGGACCTAGGCCCAATGAGCGCTCATTCTGACAGTCGAGATTGAATGGCTTACTTGATCTTTCCGTCGCCTTAGAACAAAGGGTGTCATCATTTTCTTCGCCCGTGACACTCGCTCCTGTGCAAGTAACGTCACCTTCGAGTCACCTTTGACTTTAAAAATGGCTCGCAATTCGGTTATCGTTTCGGAGAAATGCTCGGGTAGGATAAAGTTCATCAGTGACTGACATCGGAATTTGTAAACCACGGTGACAGGAGTGGATAGCAAGCTAGAAGACGTACCACAAGTTCTTGCAGATTGTTTTGCAACGGTGTCCCTGTTAGCAAAAGTCGCCACTTCGAATCGACCTTGAGTAAAGCTTGATATCGTTGGGATTGGAAATTCTTGAGAACATGTCCTTCATCAAAAACACATGACTGAAGTTCAGTAAGTAGGGGTGATTCAGTTGACATAGGAAAGCCTTACATCCCAGTCGATGCGACGGAAGAACTTGCGATCTCCGTCACCCTGTGCAAGGTTGTAAGTGGTGATCAAAACGTTCCATCCATCGTCAGTGTTTTTGTGGGGTCGCGTATCTAGAAGATTCTGCCGGAGATGAACACGCTCGTCTTTACTGCCATAATATGTCTGCACTTTGATTGAAGGAGCGAAGCGTGCGAACTCCCGAACCCAGTTCTCCAACGTAGAGGATCTTGCGAAAAACATGAGAAGAAATGAATTTGGAACGATGGTGACAACATACGGAACAACAATGAGATGCGGCCCATTCCGTCCATGCTCCTTTAGATGTGCAAAGAAACTTATGACTTGGATGGTTTTACCAAGGCCTGCGATGTTTATAATTAGTGATGGGCACATCGAGACATCTTGACCACCTACCCATTTCGTCCGCCAGAATACAACTCAGCTTACGGTCATAGAGGAGACGCAACCAATTAACACCCAAAAGCTGATAATCTTTGAGTTGGACATTTGGCGATAGAAGTGACGGTTGAGAGACAAGGAAGCTTTTGGTGTGCTGGCTCCTCAATGGTGCAATGGATCGGAGATTGAGAGATCCGTCTTGGTTCTCCTCAGATTCCGGAATATCTACTTTAGCTTTCCCTTTGCCTTTATCGACGTCGACCCCGGATGTCCACCCAGCAATGACTGAACGAAGGCTGGATCCTATGTCCTCACATTCCTCCAGTATACGGTCGACTGCACCATATCCTTTAAAAATGCCGGTGCAATCGTCAAAGAGGCGAGGACTGATGCCAGCTGGACCAGATTTCTTCTTCCCCTGGCCAAGTTTTGAATTTAAGTCATCGACGGAATCGAAAGGTCGTAGTCCTATTATAGTATTGGCTTGTTCTGGTGTGCAACCTGAAAGCCCGATTAGCATGATCACTCAGAGAGACGAAGGAGTAAGAAAAATACCTGTAAGTTCTTGCAGTGCTTCTGCGTCTTTCGAGTTGAAAAAGGCTAGAGTCCGCGTTTCTTCTGTGTCCTCCTGTCGACGTCGCTTGCGTTGATGATCATCGTCACTCTCGCTTGCATCCTCTGAGTCGGTGTCCAAGACCATCTTCTTGGCACGTTTACGGCTTGCAGGCTGAACGACAGGCGAAGGTTCGGCTGCATATACGCTCGTTGCATGTTTAGAAGGAGGCGGTGTTGATGTACTAGCACCGTGCGAGTCGATCTCGAGACGGTTGGCATAAATCATGGACTTCTTCCCTTTTTCTTTAGCCGCAACGCGCTGGGCTTTAGTAGACTCGATATAGCCATCTACACGTCCGATGACGGGCGAAGCTGCCTTTGTGGGGGAGGGGGAGGGTTTGGCAACCCAGTCCGGGTCTGAGAGTAATGAGGTCGCCCGCCTCACATCTCCGGTGGCTTGAAGCCAGGCTGCCTTGACACGCTCAGGAGATTCCATAGGCATGGTGAGCTTGAAGCGAACAAACTTCTGGTCTGATGCCAGTGGATCGCTGGGTGATGGAGCCGTATCAGACGGGCGTCCTCGAAAAATGCGTGGTTTGGCGGTATTGGCGCTTATGTTGACAACCTCAGGCAACGATTCGTCTGATGCCGTTGACTGTGCATCGGTGTGGCCAATATTGCGGCGGCGCTGTCCAGCACGTTGAATTGCCGGCGAGTCCGGTGAATTCGCGACGTCGGATGGGGACGCGTTAAGTCGCTTGCGAGGCGGTTCTTCACCATGGCTATCGTCGCTATCCCACGGTCGTCGTAGAGCCCCCTTGCCTGTTCTCCCGCTCGATACAAACCCGCTCGGCCCAGCCAAGGGATCAATGCCGCCTGTGTGCGAAGTGTAATTCCAGTGCCCGCCCTGTACAACTGCCACCGCTGGCGCCACGTCACCACCCTGTCCAGCATTATTGGGCTGATGCAGGCTATGATTGACTGGAGAAGCGCTGGGGCTTGAATCGGGAACAAGAATGGTACCAGCAGTCGATGGCGTAGACGGAGGGAAAAAACGCGATGACACAGTGGCATCCCTCGACTGCGACGGCAACGACGATAAGGACGGTGTGTTCGACGCTACTGTCGACGCCGAGCTAGTAAGACTTGAATTAGAGGCATTCATTTTTGACCTCTTGGAAAACTTGAGGTGTTCCAAGGCGGCTTCCCGCTGCAAATGAAAATAGTCGCCGTGAGGTCGACCGCCCACGTTCCACGACGACACGCTCACCTTGGCTCTAGCAACGTCAACTGAGGACATTGTCGGCAACAATGATGACCTCAGAACTCGGTTAGGCGATGTGATAAGTTGTTGAAGGGTATGCCTCCGTTACTGCACGATGTGTGATGACAAGGCAGTGGCTCCAAACTCTAAACAGTACGGCTCAACGTCGGAGAGTAAAAAAAGTGGCTGCATTGACACTACAACTACTCGAACAAGGAAATTGCAAGCCAACAGCTACGAACCCGGAAAGACTTAACGTATAGTCGACCGTCATCGTTCACGACATTGGACCGACGATAAAAGTATTCTGAAAAGCACAATAAAGGAAAAATTCTCAATGAAGATAACGTGTCGACGACGATAACCATGATACAATTGACTCTAACTCAAGAGTTATAAAAGACTTTGACAAAGCAACGATGCATTGATGCTACGTACAGTGTAACAGGTAAAGAGACACCACACTACACCGTGCTCGAAGGTTTTGGAATGATTTGCACCTTCCAGGCCATACGGTCGAAGACGCGAAGACGCAAAGACAAAGTACCCTCAACTCATTCGTGAACCCGAAAGCTCGTTAGACCAGAGGCACAAATTGTAATCCATAGCATACATTCCCCTTCGAACGAGAAGTACACCTTACATAACTAAACATCACGACTCGTGAATTTCGAGCCAAAAAGGTCAAAATAATCGACGTACTTTAGTTTTCCGCAGAGCCTCCAGTGCAGGGCACTAGATAAGCCTCCCAAATCATAGCATCCCATTGCGACACCAAACTGGATAGATATAACTTCAGGCTTACAACATTCAGCCATTCCTTATCGCAGAAATAGTAAGGCTGGTCCAAAGGTCGAAGAGAAGACCACCGGTTCTGTTCTGTGCCGTTCGGTAACTGCAAGCGAAAGCATGCCTCAAGTAAAGGAGGCAAAGCTACACAGACATGTTCCAATTATTCGAGACCATCGGACCAAGATATGTGACGGAATAAAATGACAGCATTTCCCCTATGCCAGTGGGGGGAAGAAAGGAAGAAAGAGCGCCCTGAGACAAACAAATCCCGCATATATATACCCTGTAGTCACGTGAGCTATCGGGCCCTAAAACGGCCTGGTCGGCTGTTCGGCTGCTCAGCCATTGCACTGTTACGCAGCACTGGCCAACACTCTCCCGCTTTCCCCCATGTTAAGTTTCCTCGACTTTCTTACCCTCACGCTGTCTCTCGCGCTGAGCCTGGCCATTATTGTGCCACTCACTGGCATTCTGATACGGTTCAGAGCGAACTACAATCCCAAAGGTCTACAATTGGATCCTGAAGGAGGCGCCCAACCTCATACGGGTATGGAACTCTGCTACGCCGCTTCATTGCGTTATATCTGACAGAAACTCAGGACCAGTTATCAAATCTTACTTTGGTATGATGAAACGAGTGTACCAGATTGAAGTTTGTCTCAAGTTTCATATTCTCCACTTCTATTTCTCAAAATCTTCTGACAGGGATGGCCTGGTCTGTACAAGGGCTTGAGTGCGTATTTATTTCCGGAATTTTCCGCGTCTCTATGTTGACAAACATGCCTAGTGCCAACTCTCTTGAGCACCTCTGTGGTCACTGTCTTGATCATAGTATTCATGGACACTCCCAAGCCGCGTCATGGCACCTATCACGCTCCCCAAACGGGCGTCCTGGGAACATTGGTCTACAGCATCGGAATGATGCTCATTGCCCTGCCAACCGCGATCATCACGTATCGGTGAGTTTACTATATTGTAATTTGGCCTTATCACTCAGTATACGCTGAACAAAGTGCAATCACCACACCTCACAAGCTGCCTTACCTCAATGCAGCGAAATCACTGCGTATACTTCTCACCCCAACAGAGCGACGTCGTCCCTGGATCATCTTTTTCACCCCGGGATTGCTTGCCGCTGAAGTGTTACACATTGCTATTGTGGTTCTCGCGCTTGGTCCGCTTAGGCGCCTTCTCCTTCCGCCCCTCCCAGAATCAAGCAGCTCTTTCCCTGATGTTTCGCCGGTCAGACTGGCAATATACTTGGTGGTAGTTTTGGTTGCTACCGCCCTGCTTACTCCATTAGAAGTGATGGCTACCCGACTGGCTATACAACGGAATCATGCCTCATCGGAGTATAATTCTGTTTCACAAGAAGTTGACGGTGATGCGGAGGATGCGGAAGAGTTCTCTGGCGCCGAGGAAGATGTTATTGGGTACGTAGAATATGAGCCTTCTTTTTGACTTCATACTGATTGGCATGCTTTAGCCTGCGTAACGAAGGTGATCCGTACCTTGGTTTGGCGGATTGCGCCAAGCGCATCATCGATGAAGAAGGTTGGAGCGCGCTCTATCGTGCCTGGTGGATCACTCTGCTCGGAACCTTTAGCAGCGGGATCGCTTACTGATTATATCAGTGTATGATTATTTTTGTAATCCGACATCTGCCAGCAGCACAGTTCTAATATATATTTATAATTGCGGAATGGCAGAATCAATGAAGTTTAATCTCCCGTTCGTAAGCCCTGATGCTGAGCTCTAGAACTCTATTGATTGTCATATTGGATGAGCAATGGTTCTGAGGGATAAGAAATCTGCCAGCTCCTTCGACGATTCTCGTCAGAATGGTTCCATGTTTCTGACACGTACATGATGTTTCGTTGCAGGTCTTGTCTACTAGCAGGTGCGTAGGTCCGAATTTTTGGTCTTGGCGCAAGCAATCCTTCCCTGCACTGCAAGAGTCAAAAACGGGACGCAAACCCCTGCGAAAGACGGAATTATGGTTTTTACGCTGGCTTCCTTCCATCCCTCAACCCGACAATTCATGGCGCCCATAGTATCCGCTTCAGGTCTCAGGTTCCTTCCGGGTCCAGAGTTCCGTGCTCCTCAACTCTATCCACAGTGAAGGGTGGATGTATTGTTTGGCTATCTGGCGGCCGTTGTGCGTTGACTTCATTGAAGCATCGCCTCTGCTAACGAATACGCCGAGGACTTCTTGGGGCTCCGTGAACAGAGGATATTCCCATGTGACATGCAATTCATGATATCGCACGCCGATTCACTGGGTGGGTCGTTCTGATTCTTAAAGATGACTGCCAATCGTTTTCACCCGGTGTACTGCCTTCGTCTTCCTTTGCCAAGGGATCGTTTACCTCCCCGTGATTCCGACCCTCCTTTGACACAATACACATGGTACTCCCCGTACGGACTTTTTCTTGGGACATATCGTCGGACGTAAGTGGTTTTTTAGTTTGTAGCGTCTGAGAACAAAAGCCAAAAGACAGGAAATGGGGAAAGGAAATCTCAGAATCACTTCTGGCAGTCTTGGCAAGTCTATTCGTACTGTCGGGCATCTCCACAGACTGGGATTTTCTTCGATTGGTGTTCAAAGCATCCCGACGATAAGCACTGCCCAGTGGCCAAGCGAACCTTTCGCTCCCGCCTCAATATTCCAAATGAAAGCCGATTTGTTATTTCAGCGTGATCGAGAATGCGCCCATCTCCGCCCATAAAAGGATGGAGCCAAAATAAAACCAAAAACAAGTCCTCGACATGCTATGATGTTTGTGTAAGGCGATTTCAAGTATATTGAGCTATTATTAACCTACGTGTAATGATTTTATGGTTCGCAGCCACACCTATTCGGTGCGTGTTACTTCCTGAAAGGCCGGCGAGAAAGATGATGATCATAGTCCCGAATGTTTGGTCGATATTCCTCTTATCCACGCTAACACGCGGCTCACACGGTACAAGTTTCCGTGTCACCTTATGGAATCCCGCCCTCACTGCTCGATCGCGCCAATCGGTCTTTGACTGAACGTCTTGGCAGTCCATTCATCGAGATCTTGGCATTCTTGGGCCTGTTTCTAGATATCGATATTTTACCGAATTCGAGAAAACACTGATAACTCTGATGCAACAGAAGGTGAAAGTGCGTTCATGGGCGTTCTTCTCACGAAAGAAACGCTTATTCGCACTCAAGTAATCGTTTCAGCGGTAGGTTAGCATATCGCACGCAGACATAGGTAAAAGTTACGGCGGCTTGATGTTGTTTTAACATCTTACTCACTTCGGTCAGCATCTCGAATCAGGCCCTCGGGGCTTCGCTACCCTTCCGGATGTCCGATCACTCCAAGCCCAGTTTGATATGTGGGCTCCACCCATTATACCTATTAGACATGACGAAAACGTTAACAGACCCGTTGGACTCCTGTCATTGTCGTGAATGTTCCCACGTCCGAATAATCTCGGTCCGCTTCATGATCCTTGTCTACCCCGATATCATGGAAAGTTTTGCGTGCTCGCCTTCTGTTCTCCCCTGAAATGCTGTTTTGGGTATTTTTGTTGATGACTTTGATGACCAGAAACTGACTTCGATTAATCTGCGCATTAGGTGATGGGGAGCGCCAAGGAAAATGATTGCTACAAAAGGTCCGCCCATCTGTTCATATAAACGTATCATTCAGGTCTACTCTACTGTACACGCATACACTATGCCCGCAGAGACACAGCCTCGTAAGAAGAGAACGGTATCCGCCGATAGCAAACCGGACTCAGAGGTCGATCATCGCAAAAGGTAGAGTATGTTTCTTACTCTCGTCAACTCAGCTAACTGGTGTTGCAAAGGCGTCGAAATCGCACCACTCAGTCGTGTCTCAACTGTCATACCTCAAAGCGAATGGCGAGTATTTTGTCCTTGGACTGCTGCGTGAGGAACTAATATTCGGGCAGTGTGACCGGAAGCGTCCAGCTTGCGCTCGTTGCACACAACTTGGCCTGGTAGGTTGTTATCCTCAGGAGCCAGCCTCGTTCGCCATTGACAATCATAATTTAGACCGGGCTATGTGTATATGAAGTTGATGACCCCAATCAACGGCCTGATACCCAGGACGAGAGCTCGCGTTTATTAAAACGAGTGGCTGAGCTCGAAGGCGTTATACGTGAGGTAAATAACTGCTCGCAACTTGTCATATTTATCGGTGATTAATAAATGTATCAGCTGAAGAACAAACCGCATCCCCGATGGTTGCAACCAGGTTGCCAACAAACGCTCCCAGAAGCTGAAAGCTCCCCTCAGAATCCAGTCTCTCGCGATTCTACCGCTTCTGATTCCAGTATGCCTTCATCTTCTGCGCCCATGAAACATTCAGATCCACGAGCGTTACCCTCACCTACGTCACCGACATATCCTTCCACAAGTGGTCTGTGTATTGACAGCAGTCCATCCTCCCAGTCTTCTTCGTGTTTCAGTGCATCTCCCATTAGCACCCCTTCTCCCATAGCAACTCCCATTGACGAGTTTTCCTGCTCACCAGTTGCTATCGGATCGACATCCGACGGTCTCGATCTGGTGTCAATGTTCATGTCGTACCCGGACATGATCCCTACGGATGATGCACTGGCGAGGCCAAACCTCGATCAGCTTCAGAAGACTAACAACGGCCACTGTGGCTGCCTATATGAAGCCGCAAACTATCGTGCACTCTTAGAGTTATCACTAAGGCTTCGGAAAGCTGCGGATGTGCTTGCAAGATCACCCCGACACCATGCTGGCTCGAGCTGTTCGCTCCAGAGACGAGTCCTGGAGCTGGATGCTCATGCTTCGTAGGTTCTTTTTTCCTCCTTATGTTCGCCTTTACTGACATGCCTTGTTTCGGATAGCACTTCCTTAGGCGACATCAATTGCCCGCCCGATGATACAGACACAACCGTGAATGGTTGCGATCAGCCACGACAATCTTTCGGTACCCATACGAACATCTATGATGCAATGACGGTGCAAGCCACGATCCCTCCTGGTGCAATTGCCCCTTTAGCATTGCATGGCATGCGCCCTTGGGATAGCTTTGTTTCCGACATGCACATGGCTGTCGATGATCCAATGATGAATTGGGAACCGCGTAGGTGACGAGGGCCCCGGATAAAGACGATTATCAGAATTGTTGCGCCTTAGTCGGTAGTATCGAACATCGGGCCTATGTAAATACCGAATATTATTGTTATACTTGTCTGTTTTCCTTCTATTTATACAATACGTGTACCAGTAAATTTTCATAACTTAATCCAACGTGTCGACGGCACCCGTTACTGACATACAGAATTTTGTAGATAGACTCGATGACTTTGAAGCATTGGGTCATCAAGATAGATAAGTGATACATCGTCAAACGCCGGATGCGACTAACCGACTTGAGTTTGTCCTTGGCAACTTGATGAAAATAGGGTGTGGCGTCTAGATTCGCGATGTGCTTCGGTAACTTGAAGTATCAACCGACGGTGAGAAGGTTATGGCTTGGCGAGAGGGATCCCATCATTCTCATGAGTGGAGGAAATGACATTCCCACGTAGCATTGTTCCCCAGACTGATCAGTTCTCCCATGCCAACGTCGGAGTGTCGAACGGGGGTCGGGATCAATGGCCTACTACTTCCGTAGAATAGCATAGTACTATCTCAGAATCAACGCGAATCCTGTTGACCTCCCAAATGGAAGGTTCGACAAACTGAGAAGTTCTATTGAATTACTCAAGCACTGCCTCGGAGCGAACTTCTAAGCGGAAATCGGCATGTCCAAGATGGAACTTCAGTCATGACGCTGTCCAAGGGCAAACCAAGCAAGGCACAGACCAAAATACATATGCGAGTTCATCAATGCTTCGACTACGGTCCAAGGTAGTGAGTCGAAGAAGCCAAGCTTTGGATGAAAGCGCGGGAATCCAACCCTGTGGTCTTGCCATGTAAAGAACAAAGTCATGGTACTCTCCAAAGAACGATGGAATGAGGGTGCCTATGCGAGAGAAGTCTTTGAGACATAACGAATCCAAAGTTCGGATATTCCCATTTTCCCTCCCGCCAAGAAAAACGATTCCAGACACGCAGGGCGACTTAGCGACATAAGGCTCCCCATACCGCCGGTAGGGCTTCAATGAAATTCTGGGGTACTCCGGTAAATGAGTTGTGGTTCAATTGGCCTGGATCTGGACAACAAATGAATGACTTAACACCTCATCCGGGTACGGTCCCTCAGCCGCTACCAGTAACCGCAGTAGATGAGACAGTACCGGTTCTTGTTGTCAGGAAATTTCCATGCATGCCCTGAGGTAGGGAGAAAGAGCCCTCGGCGCTAGTGTAACCCGAGTATTTGCCTCTACCACATGAAAGCTTAGAGGCCAGGTTCAAGTTTCGCTCAGTCGCCGGTGACCGTACAGCGTTCCCAGGAAGGAAGCAAACCAAAGGGAGAAAAAAGTCATCAGATCATCAGAAGAGGACTTGAAGGTATGACATACTGCAACTTCCCTTTCTGTAGGCTCTTCGATCGATTCGCCTTGTTGAAGTGGCTACAGAGTCCTGCCAAGTTGATCGACTCGAAAGCACGACATGGTTATTACGAGCTTACTGGCCCGGCACCAATAGCGTTACGATATAGACCCTGCATAATTACTTTGATTCAGTCCTGTAATAGGATGAGGGGGGGGGGACGTTACTGACAAGTTTCTCGCGTTTTAGAGAGTAAATACAATACAATGTCCATTTTTGAACAGATCGTGTTCTGGAAGGATCGAAACTCCGCTAGCTTAGTCATTCGGCCAGCACCGACTAAGCGTTAGTTGCTGCTTGACCCTTTACTCCATTGTTGAACAAAATGGCGTCTCATCTCGTACGTTCTGTGGTGTCTGGATGCTTTTCATTTTCTGACATTCTTCTAGGCAAATATCTTCGGAACAGAGCAAGATCGCGTTAACTGTTCTTTCTACTACAAAGTGTGCTGTTCAATTTTTTCTTTATCACTGTTTTTAATGCTCCTTGCAGATAGGTGCCTGCCGACATGGTGATAGGTGCTCTAGGAAACACATTCGGCCCCCATTTTCCCAAACAATTCTTCTGCCCAATGTCTATCACAACCCTGCTCATGACCCCGTCTGCAAATTGACGGAGAAGGAACTTCAAGAGGGCTTTGATGCCGTTTATGAAGATCTGTACTGTGAACTTTCGAAGTTTGGACATCTTCTGGAGTTGCATGTGAGATCGGCTATCACTATCTGAATGCCATAGCGCTAACCGACGTTTAGGTATGTGACAACGTAGGGGATCATCTTATTGGCAATGTCTACGCTCGATTTGAGTGGGAGACCGAGGCCCAGGCAGCTGTTGATAATCTGAATGATCGTTGGTACGCAGGTAAGTAATCTGATGACGCTGCTCCAACGTTGCGATTATGACTTGTACAGGACGGCCGCTGTATGCAGAGTTATCACCGGTCACAGATTTCCGCGAAGCTTGTTGCCGTCAAAATGAAAACGGAGAATGCAATCGTGGGGGCTTTTGCAACTTCATGCACTTGCGGCTTGCTTCGAAAGAACTGGTGTCTAGTTTGCGGGCGGGCCAAAGGTTGGAAAGAAGGCTGCACCCACCGAAAACCGAGAGTGGCGGAGGATGGGAGCCCAGCAACAGAAAACGTGAGGGCGGTCGCGGCAGAAGCGCGAGTCCGACTAGGAATGGGGGGGAAGACAGATGGACGAGAAAATGAACTTGACCTCTCTTCCTTCTCCATGTAATGTACCAATTTCAAACCTTGTTATATATTTCTTTTGCCCTGGATTTTTCATTTTCTCCGTACTGAGTAGTAGCCGTGTGGTTCATGTATCTATTGTCTCCAGTGGTTAAACATTTAAATTTAGCAGGTTTAGCCTTCAGCGGCACGGCCGCTTTTGCCATGTCACCGTGACCGGCCGTATCTTCCATGCTATCGATGCTAGACAAGCCAACCAAAACATTCTCCTCGACCTCCATTTGCCAAGGGTTGCGGCCATTGTACAACAAATCTGGGAGACGGGTAAGGCAATACGGGGCCAATAAGATCAATGACACTATACCTGTCTACCAAGGGACGAAGTAGCTTTCCCGACAAGGATAATGAATGAACTCGTGCAAATGACTCCACATAAATAAGCTTGGGAGCCGGAAACCCAAAGAACTGTGAAGAGAATGAACGAGCGGGGGAGTCAAGTTACAGACTAACGTACTTTGTTGACATAGACAGCGATACAGAGGCTGAGACACGTACCGGGGCCATTAAGGATCAGGACATCGGCGAAAGGCTGCGGTGCAGATGATGACGACAAAAAAGGGGAGAAAGTTACGTGTTGCATGCAACTGAATAGTGACCAGAGGACTGTCAAGGGGCTGGAGAGTAGAGATTGGTGGACCCGCCGGGCACGCGGGATTGTCCAAACGGCAAACTTAAGAACGGTCACATAGTACAGAGTAACAAGAGATAAAAGTCAATACTTGGTGCTTTCACGATTAAATAATAGATACCGCACATTCTGTTCTGACGAAGAAGCGCATTTGTTGTACTCAAGGTCTCTGGCCTTCTGGGTGCTCAAGGAGTCGCCGTCACTAACTATATATATCCGTGGGGAAAACCGAGTGTAGTCCAATGAAGAGAGAAGAGCTATGGCTTCACTGGTATGGCCACCTGCGCGAAGACGTGTCAGTGAACTTGCTCATGGCAGCATACACAAAGTTGAAAGTTCACCTGATCCTAAAAATACGGCAAGTTTCCGGGTGCCAGAAGTATGATTTGACAACCGTGTTCTACCAGAGGATTTCTGGGCAGGCAATAGAGAAAAGATGCGCAAAACGCATGCTGCAACGCCTATCGAAAAGCAAATAGCGAGGACAGAAAGACTTAAGGCCATGGAAATCGGAAAGCAATCGGAAAGTAGGCCTAGAAGGTCCCACAGTTTGATGAATGCGAGTCCGAGGGGACACGTATGCGGCCAGGGGATCCGCCTGAGAAGAAGTTCCTAACAGATGTACCAGAAGGAACTTTTCGTTTAACAAAACAGCCCAGAAAGAGACTACAAGGTGCGGTACCGTGCGCAAGATCTTGGCAGGGAAGACGGGTATAATATTATTTTGATTATTTTCTGAAATGTGTTTGCGGGGATAGTCACGTGGATTGCACTAGCTTGGCGTCACGAACGAACCCCACTCTGGGGGGCGATTTGAAATAGAAGCAGACCTGTAAGCTCCAATAAATGGCCATCAAACGGGCCTAAAGAAGCCCCCCCTCGGCACGACGTTCCTCCCCCATTATTCCTCATCCGGAATTTCAATCAACACCAAATCGGGATCGACCTTCCGTCGATCCTCCTCGCGCCCGTTTCCGTGCACTGGTACACATTGGAACACGGTAGTTTAGCTGTACAATTAGCCATAGTAATATATTGATGCTTCTCTGTGCCTTCCTATTAAGTGACCCGTGTTTTTGGTAAACTCTGAACGTTCCTGGACCTTCTTCTGCTCTCATGCATCGCCTCCTGGCTGGAAATCTTCAGAATTAAACTAGCATGTAACATGAATAGTTATAGAAGGTCGTCTGAAGACGTTCCAGGTCCCGCGGCCTGTCTGTATCACACTGGACAAAAGTTAATGTATTTTTACCCACAAATATATAGAAAATATGCATAGTTTTTTCATAGTTTTTTGTACTGAAAAAAGTATAGAAGATATTTTAAATTTTTGATTGTTTTATGCAAAATTTGCGAAATATAGTGAAAAGTTCGTAATTTATGAGTATTAGCAAAAATACTCGGAAAAGAAACTTTGAAGTTATTTTCCGCGTATTTTTATTCATACTCATAAATACGAACTTTTCACTATATTTCGCAAATTTTGCATAAAACAATCAAAAATTTAAAATATCTTCTATACTTTTTTCAGTACAAAAAACTATGAAAAAACTATGCATATTTTCTATATATTTGTGGGTAAAAATACATTAACTTTTGTCCAGTGTGATACAGACAGGCCGCGGGACCTGGAACGTCTTCAGACGACCTTCTATAACTATTCATGTTACATGCTAGTTTAATTCTGAAGATTTCCAGCCAGGAGGCGATGCATGAGAGCAGAAGAAGGTCCAGGAACGTTCAGAGTTTACCAAAAACACGGGTCACTTAATAGGAAGGCACAGAGAAGCATCAATATATTACTATGGCTAATTGTACAGCTAAACTACCGTGTTCCAATGTGTACCAGTGCACGGAAACGGGCGCGAGGAGGATCGACGGAAGGTCGATCCCGATTTGGTGTTGATTGAAATTCCGGATGAGGAATGGGGAGGAACGTCGTGCCGAGGGGGGGGGGCTTTAGGCCCGTTTGATGGTCATTTATTGGAGCCTTACAGGTCTGCTTCTATTTCAAATCGCCCCCCAGAGTGGGGTTCGTTCGAGTTGTACACGACCAGCAGCATGACGAAAATGGCAAATTATGTCGACGCGTCAATGGCAGCAGATATACGTGCAGCAGTCCAAGAATGCTCAGAAAGGGGTCTTTACAAGGCGGCTCAATGGTGAGATCGTACTGTGTAGCACTGTGGCGCTGTTGACACGGCTGCATAGGGCAGCAGATTTGTTGTTGACAATCCCAGAAGCAAAACGGAATGCACAACTTCCTGCAATCGAAACGACATTTTCCACAACTACACCGGCGAGGAACACTGCTAATGCGTCGACGTCTTTCATGGAATCTCCAACGAAATTGCCTCCTCGCCATCCTCATGCAGCTTCGCTCAAATCCTTACCACCGGAGTTGCTGCAACACGAGCTTCAACTAGAAGCTCTGGAGGAGGACGAAATTGCGATGGCGCGTGCATGGATGGATACAAGAGAATACACGAGAATCGCCCCAGCCCTGAGGAATTGCCGGAGCTCAAAGGCCCGCTTTTTGGAGATATATAGTAGATATGCGGTGAGTTGAAACGAAACAAATCTCCGGCTAATGTCACTAATTGTGGAAAGCATAATAACAGTGAGCTTAATTTTGACATGGGCGCTACAGTCTTACTGAATCCCGGGTTCAGGTCCCACCGTGCTGCGCGAGCTCCTTCGACTTGTCCGTGGTACGGCTGATCCCTGGCTCCTATTTCTGTAAGGTCGAAATTACGTCGCCCAGCCGTTATTCACGGATTTTAGTAAGGGTTTATTCCTCAAACATCTCGGTAGACGAGAGGAAGCTGCTGAAAGCGCCATCCTTTCCATCGCCGGATTTCTGTGGAACTGGTCTGCTTGGGAGCTATTGAGGAGTTGCATATCTGATAACGAACAGGTAGCGCCTCGAGTTGCTTCATTTGGATTTCTGACTCAAGACCTAGATGTCCGCACTCATACAATTGCTGCCCGTACCTGAGAATCACCCATTGACGCAGATGTTCCAAATAAAAACTATGTCCGACTTACAATTAGCTTCGGACCATGAAATGTCCCTATCAGCCAAGCTCTTGGAGCCCAATTGCTTTCCCAAGAACGACTTTCTCTACGGTCTTCGGGGATGTATCATGTACAATAACCACGGTTGGTTGTCCGTCTTAGCAGGGTATTCTCTATTGATCTTTATACGGGTTTTAGATATGGGTGCAGCCGTTGTGGAGTTTGAGCGAATGCTAGAGCTGGATCCTTGGCACATTGAATACGTTGACGTATATTCTTTTGCGCTACACGTGAACGAAGGGACAAGGAAACTTTCAAGACTTAGCCGCGAGTACCTCCTCCTTAACAAAGATCACCCGGAAGTCGCTTGCTTCGTCGGTAGGTTATAGTCTCTTCTCTTCGTTCTGATTTACACCATATGGTTCAAGGCAACTATTACTCTGTCCGCTCGTATCATACAGATGCTATCAAGTATTTCAAGCGTGCCGTTGATTTGGATCCAACATATGATACTGCCCTCACCCTCATGGGGCATGAATACATCGAGATGAAGAACGCGCAGGCTGCCATCACTGCATATCGCCAGACTTTAGGTATGAAATTCTGTTACTGGAAGAGTCGTACTGACATCCTGTCAATCAGATATTCGACGAGACGATCATCGTGCATGGTACGGTTTAGGGCAAGCCTACGAACTATTGAGCATGCACAACAACGCATTACATTACTTCTTGCATGCGACATCAATAGTGTAGGATCAATTGTTATGCCTGAATGACTTGTACTAAAGCGGAAACACAGACCTTACGATATGCGTATGTGGCAAGCAGCAGGTCATTGCTACGAAGTACTCGGAAGGTGAACCCGCCGTTGTGCCTTGTTCGTCATTTATTCTGACAATGCTTAAGAATCCGCCAAGCTATCGAATGCTATAAACGGTCTCTTATTTCAGCCGATCCCCGCGAGACTAATGTAAAACTAAACCTTGCGAGATTATACTACAAGCTTGGCGAGAAGATGGAGAGCGTGTCTTTTCATCGTCGGATAATTGAAATCAGCCAAGCAGAACGTTGAGTGCATCTATCCTCATTTTTCGCAGATCACCGAAAGAGGTTCTTGCCTCGTTTTAGAAAGGGATGTTGCAGATTATGCCAAGTCTTGCATTGAAGTAGCTGCATATCAAATGGACATTCCGGATGGTGATCTGAACTTGGCGCGGGAATACCTTTCGTCGGTGGCAGCCAGCAACTCCGAGGATGTGGTTCGGGCGACAAACATGTTGAAAAGGATTCCACAGCTTATCGCGAAGCAAACGGCGGCGCGAGAAGCTGACGTAGTGGAGGCTTAGTATCATGGAAATATAGCTACTTGTTATTTAGCTAGCTAGAAAACATGAGATAATTCGATGTGGTTAAATGTAGCTTAGCCTGGAACCTGCCCTTAACATGAGCGCTGGCGCGTGACCTGAAAAGTAAACCTCAACAAACGTAGACGAATGTCGCAAGTCTTCTCTTCACCTCTTTCCTTCACGAATACCTCTATCAAGCCAGTCCAGGATGCATATCCAGGCGTACTTTCTTCTTCTACCCAGCCCCTCCTCCCAACAACAATGTTGTCGTCGCATGCTGGCCCATCCACTTGGCGACCTCCAGCCCATTGGAATCTGGCCCAGAACCAGCCGCCCGCCAAAAAAGCTGCACCTAGAAAAAATAGGACACAGGAGGAAATTAGGATAGCAGCAAATGTTGCAGCCAAGTGAGTTTGGGCACGTAATGAAGGTTTATATGCTTACCGCTTTGTGATGCAGAGTAGCAGCTCGCCTTACAGCTGACCAGGCAGCAGTTATCCATCCAGATGTGGATACTCCTTTCTCCGATACCCTTGATGTTGTCAAGCGTCTACTACCCTATCACATATACCAACAGCCGCCAGAGGACTTGCAGGAACTTATCCACGGAAATACGGACAAAGGCAAGGGTAAGGCGACCAATGATGACCTTAACCGGGAAATACACGGTTCGTGAACGCGTATATGTTAAGTAAACTTGCTGTTTTACTCTTCATAGAAACAAAATTCGCCCTAGAGTGCTTCAAGCGAAGGAAAAAGTTAAAAGAGCGCTTTCGGAAAGCACGTTTGAAATCTGGACGGGTAAGCAGCGTCTTAATCCATATTACTGGATACTCATTCGATGATCTTAGCGTTCTGCACCTGATGACCAGGCAGTCTTCCTTGCACAAGCGGTCTTAGAAGGCGAACGCGCTGACACTGTCACGTTAAACAACGAGCTTCGCACTGCCCGAACGGAACTGGACCGACTCGAAAGGGAGAAACGCGTAGCGACGAATGCCCAACGGACATCGTACTACATGACAACTCAGCCAGCGACTCCAACTACTACGGCCAGTCGACCATACTACCATTCCTACCCGTACGCATACGCTCAAGCGTATGGTGCACCTGTACAGCAAAGCTCTACATCGTCAGTTCAGCGTCGCGCCTGTGACGCCAGCACCTGCCGCCCCAACAGCTGCGACACCGTACCAAGCAGGAAGTGCTATTCCTGTGCAGCTCCCTGTTTCATCGCTGCCAGCTCTTCATCAACTCGGCATCGTGCCGGTGGCCCCTACGTCTGTAACGGATGGGCAACCAGCACCACCTGCAGTGCTTAGAGGCTCGTCAGCTAATGGGACTATGTTGAGCCTGGAGATCAATGTTTCAGTGTTGCAGTCTGCACAGATGAGCGGGCTTGCGGTCATATTGAATTCTTTGATGTCTAGGAGCAGTAGTTCTACTGCCGTGACAGCGACGCCTGTTCAGGGAACTGGCGGTCCGACGGTTACAACTGCTTCTACCGCTGGAAATGCTACTTTGGGTGCTACTAGCAAAGGTGCCAGCTGGTCCTGAACAAGTATCCTGAATGAAAGTATCGTACCATAAAGGGTTACTGTACAGCACATCATTGTATTGAATACTTTATGTTTCTTGTATAATTGCAGCCCCTTATAGATGCCGGCACCACCGGCATCCGTTTACGTACCACGAAACATTGCCATTGCACATCTCTCGTTTACTTGGGTCTCGACAAAGAAAAGATACCTAGAATTCCAGGAACTCGTGTCGCGTTAACGACGGAAGGCTAGAGAACAGCCTGCACCCTGAATGTCCTGAACTACGATTCAACGCATAAAAGTGCCAAACAGTATATGATGTTTCTGGGCACGCGACATATTTTGTCCCCGTGTTTGTCCTTTTATTTCCGGATCAGTCCTTGTTGCTGTGGGGTAAAGACCTTGTGCTCGGGGTACCTTGTGCTCGTACGCTCACTATGCCAGGCTCGGAGGCTCGTAACGCCGGGATTAGCGCGCCATCTTCGACAACATGGCGTCGCGAGCGGCTCCTACGAATCGGGAGTACAGCTACGGTCGAAACTCTGTCAACACTTCCCCCTGGCCACGATTCTGTTCAGGGTGGTGATTCATCGACCAATGAACCTCTTCCTGAGCAGGATGCTATTGAAACCACCCCACTACGTCAAGGTCCTCGCGTTTATGGTACTTTGCCTTCTGCCACCTCCAAAAAGTCACTCTTTCACAAGGGGTCCCTCACTTTCTCGACGAGACGCAGTATGCCAGACCTTCCCCCCATCACTCTACCGGGTCCGGATACTGGTACCAATCCTACTAGTCCGATGTATTCCCCTTCGTTGCTCAGAGAAACTTATTCACGTCTGAGCGCACAACATCCAATCTCGGCCTATGATGCTCCCCTTTCATCTAAGGATACTGGAAGCACCGACATGGATGCAAAGGTCAATGGCATCCGCGTGTGGTACTCATCCTTCTCATCTATCGACTGGCTCCATGACGCTATTAAAGATTCGGCTCGCTTCTCTCGGCTGAGAAGACGCAAATCCATACGTGCGCGCATACGTCTCGCTGTAGACAAGAGTTTGGGGTGGATCATCGTCACCATTGTAGGGTTCTTCACAGCTGTTGTCGCGTTTCTTGTTGTTCGAAGCGAGCAATGGTTGTTTGACTTGAAGGATGGGTATTGCAAGGCCAATTGGCTGCTTGCCAAGCGGTTTTGTTGTCCCCAGCTCGACGAATCTATCTCACTCTTCTCCGGGAACCGGGCATCGGAAGAAATTTGTCCAGAGTGGACAACATGGGCACGGGCAGCACGCTTGGATGAGGGTGCCAAGGGTGGAAAAGCTGTAGAGTACTTGTCTTATTCTGCAGTCGCTGTAAGCCTATACATCCCATGACAATAGTTATGCTGACTGCCTGCAGCTGTTACTGGCACTAGTGTCATGCTTACTCACAATATATCTAACGAACTCGTCATCCTTCGTCACGCGCAAAGGCAATTTAAATGATCCCTTCTCTTTCGCACGTTTGTTGACGCAGTCTAGAATCGGGTGTTCTCGCGCCGGACTTTACTGATCACCGTCGAAGCTTGAAAGACACGCTTTCCGCTCCTGGGCCTAAACGCAAAGTCGCGTTCTATGTAAGTATCGTTGCCATATTCATGTCGAATTTGTTAATATGCCATTTATAGGCTGCCGGAAGCGGGATACCTGAAATCAAGACCATTCTATCCGGTACAGTCGTGTCGCAAATTGCGGAGAATTGTCTGACACTGATTGTAGGATTCGTTATACATGGATACCTCGGCGGTCGCGTCTTGTTCACCAAGTCCGTTGGTCTGGCCCTGTCCGTGGCCTCAGGCTTGTCTTTAGGAAAGGAAGGGCCATTTGTTCACATTGCCAGCTGTATTGGGAACATAGTCAGCCGATTCCATAGCAAATACGAAAACAATGAAGGTCTGTCAGCGTTCTTACGTAGCCCCCTCACATCCGTGCTCATGTTACACTAGCTAAACGGCGCGAAATATTGAGTGCAGCGTGTGCGGCTGGTGTAGCAGTTGCTTTCGGTGCACCTATCGGCGGTACACTGTTTAGTTTGGAAGAGGTGTCCTACTTCTTTCCACCCAAGGTATGTTGTTAACCGACATTTTGACTATATATCCGATGAACTGGAAATGTCTGCAGGTTATGTGGCGAAGGTACTCATATCTCTGTCTATGAATCATTCTTGAATGTTCAGTCTTTTAGCTTCTTCTGTGCAATGATAGCAGCAATCACTCTCAAGATGCTTGACCCATTCGGGACCGGGAAACTAGTATTATTCCAAGTGACGTACGATAGGGTGATTCTCTTTCTTATTGTGGAATTCTGCAGGTCGTTGATTTTCGGACGTTTAGGACTGGCACGCGTATGAACTGTTTCCGTTTGTCCTTCTGGGCGTGTTTGGGGTGCGTGTGCTCCCTAGGTCTACGCTACGGTTTTCCTCGTTGCTTACGATCAAGACAGGGTATCTACGGCGCTTATTTCTCTAAGTTGAACTACCGCTGGAGTCGGCACGTACGAAATGGGACATGGCTCAAGACGCACCCTATCGCGGAAGTGTTACTGGTACGCCAATGTCGTTCTCGCGGCCCTCGTCTTTCCTGATTTCGCTATGGATACTAGGTCACTCTTCTGACCACCGTCCTTTGCTTCCTCAATCCTTATACTCACATGGGTGGTACAGAATTGGTGTACAATCTGTTCGCAGAATGTCGAACGGGTTCTGGAAATTCTCATGAAGGTCTGTGTGTTATTGACCCAGGATCCTTCAAACACATCTGGCCTGTCATCCGTGCCATTGCGGTGGCTCTGGTTATACGGGGCGCGCTCACTATCATTACCTTCGGTATCAAGGTACCGGCGGGAATCTTCATACCATCCCTTGGTGTTGGAGCCTGCGCGGGTCGAATCCTTGGCATCTTCATGCAATGGTTGCAAATGACATACCCCGATGCGCCAATCTTCAAGCCGTGTAAAGGTGATTTGGACTGTAAGCTTTGTCATATTTCTCGAAGGATTTGGTGATTGTTTCTCATGCCACACAAGGCATCATTCCCGGACTTTATGCCATGGTCGGTGCGGCGGCTTCTTTGTCTGGTGTTACGGTAGGGTTCTTGAATTTTTAAATTCCCAACTCAATACTAAGTCAGAGCTTCTGGTAGCGAACAACAGTGTCCCTGGCTGTCATCATGTTCGAGCTGACCGATACTTTAACATATGTGGTCCCTGTCATGTTGGCCGTACTCGTAGCGAAGGGTGTCGCCGACGCCCTCGAACCTAAAGGAATTTATGATCTTGTCATCAATCTCTCTCAGCTTCCCTTATCTTGACTCGAAGATTGGATACTTGTGGGGAAAATTGACGATTGGTGATGTAGTGAGTGATTGTTTTTTGCCGACGTTAAGAGTGTTGTCATGCTAATGCGTTGAATGCAGACCGACAGTGATGTCGAAGTCATCAGACTTGACCGACCAAACACCGTTGAAAGCCTTCGTGATCAACTTCAGACCCTATTATCCTCCGGTAATGATGATGGTGGTTTCCCTATTCTCCGAACAGACAACGAGGAAGAGGGCATGAGAATGGTTGGATATATCGGCGCTAACGAGCTCGAACATGCGCTCAGTTCGTTTTTTCTCGAGTATACTTGCACTTGCCATTGATATCTGCTATAGGTATCGTGGCGGATCATGGTGGTGACGAAGTACATTTCCATTCCGCGTTTTCATATCACAGCCTTGCCTCTTCGTCTATCTCTTCATTGATAGAGAATGCTGCAGGACTACAGTGCAGACCCTCTCGATTTTAGTATCTACATGGACCAGGTAAGCTCGATTATGCCTCGGTCATCTCTTTACCTGATCTCGATACAGGCACCTCTTACTGTGCAATCAAATTCTCCATTGGAAATGGTTCATCAGCTTTTTGTGAAACTAGGGGCTCGCTACGTCGTGGTGACAGACGTTGACGGATTCTGTAGGTTTTTCCGACGCCTCATGTGTAAGCGGTTACTGAAAAATTCTCTAGTCGAAGGTGTTATCGACAAGAAAACATGGCTTGCTTTCTTGAGCGAGCTGGAGGAGAAATCATAACCTCGATACAGCTGAATTTTCTCTTGCACGTCTTAAAATATATTTATTGGAAGCAGGTCAGCCTCAGAAAGACCGACGAGCTGACTTTTTCAATATACCAAGGACTTTTATGACCGTCTTGACATTGTATTACCTGTATATTCTACAGATTACGAACTAATGACATCATCAGGCCGGACTGGCCCCTTTGGATTTCGGAAAGGTTTCTGTTAGTGAGTACAATGAATTGGTGATGTGACTTCCAACGATCCTAAGTAATGAAAAACGTTGTTCATGAAAGCGCCGAAGATCCAAGGAATCGGCAAGTGTGCGTATGTTGATCCATGTTTGGATCAGAAGTCTATCTCGTCTTGACTCTTGCCTCTCAACAAACCCGACCGTGAATACTTAAAACGATGGCAACTTCAGGACTCGGCGTTCCAGTCAAGCTACTTCACGAATCACTGGGCCACATCATCACAGTAGAGCTAAAAACGGGCCAGCTGTACCGTGGAAAATTGGCCGAAGGTGCGTTGGTTCTTCTCACCCAAGGCAAGACTGACGTTTCATGCCCGTTCTTTCTATAGCCGAGGATAATTTGAATATCTCTCTCAAGGAAATCACTGTTACTGCACGGGATGGACGTGTTTCCCAGCTAGACCAGGTGTACATTCGAGGGAGTATGATTCGATTTTTCATTGTGCCGGATATGCTGCAAAACGCTCCAATGTGCGTTCCCCTTTGCCTCCATCCTTCTGGTAGCCTAATGAACGATGAAATCTGTTGTCATAGGTTCAAACGGGTTGGTCCCAATGCAATGAGGGGAAGAGGTATCGGTACAGCACGCGGACGTGCAACTATTATGCGGGGTACGTACTTCTTTTTCGTCCTGTCACTAGTGTCATGCTTATTCATACATTTTCTTCCAGCGAATGGTATGTTTGCCACAATTCCCCAAAGGACCTGGCATTGACACATCTTTTTCACAGCCCGGCGTGGTCGCGGTGTGGCACCTACAGCTTCAAGAGGTATTCGGCGATGATGGGTTTTTCTTGTATTTCAATTACGAAAAGACCTTGGTACTTCCGGCGCTTAACAGTGTTCGCACGGCGTCGTGTAGGTTCCGCGAGGCATTTAGTTTGATGCGTTTGTGTGTAAGTATGGAAGAAATATTTGACTTCCTGTTTGTTGTAGCAGCAGACGACGTGGGACAACAAAGCTTAGTGGGTTGCGAGAGGTCGAAGGAATATCACCAATCTTCAACGTCATATCCTGGTTACGCTTGATAATAAAAGGTGGTTGTGCGGACGATGTCGTCGGCAGTCGCTGTTTGCCATTCGGAAACTTGTCGGCCTTTTTGCTAGGTTCGCTCTTCCGTGAGGGTTCTGATAAAAGTTGAACCCTTGTACCTGACTCCGTATTACGAGCGGGCCGGTGACCTGGTGGGCCATCACTTTTGGTCCGGTAAGGTGTTTTGAATCCATTGATGTGCAAGCACCCTAGCGACGATAAACAAGCGCTGAGTTCTACAGGAATTTCTAGGTACTTATGGGCTTGGATCGTTGCAAGAGATACAACTGATTGTGCGTTCCTTTGACAGCGGTTGTTTTGGACGATTCTAATGTTCTGTTGTTCGACATGCAGCACACATGTTTTTCCCGCGAAAGCTAAGGATGATCCGACAAGCTCAACGAGGTCTACCCGCATGCGGCAAGTGCTCTTCCAATTCCTACGCCTTAGCTGCGAAGCGCGCTGCAAGCTCGGGAACGAGCAGTCTATCACGCCGCCACCGCCGAGTCCCCCCGCTGATAGCTGAAACCTGTGATGCTTTTAGTGCTGAGCTTGTGATTCGGAGTCGTTCCGATGGCGGCTCGATTGTGTTTGATCCGTCCAAACGCACTAGATCTGGGGAGCGATGGAAGACGGTAAAATGGAAAGCGAGGCTGGTACATTGCAAGTTGAGTTGCAGGCGATTACTTCGCATTGACTACTCTCATATGAATTATTATTTGAGGAATAAATGCCGGGTACTATGTACCTAGAGTCCAGGAAATGGTTGGGAATCTAGATCAAGGGATGCCCTGAAGCGCAGTAGACCGCAGCTAGGCAAAGGACATTGCCGACGGTTAATAAATCACAGACGACCAAAACGAGCGAAAAGCGTAAGCTGACAACCACGACTGACGTATGGGACCTGCTAATCCGGGCTCTCGGATATATTGAAATGATCGACTCAACCACGTGAGCGACGAGAACTTGTAACTGGCGGAGTGCCTGACCTTGTTCACTACCTCTCTGACCGCCATCCCGCCCGCCCCGCATTCCCTTTCTTCTTCTCCCACCACCACCATCATATTTCCGGCTTCCCCCTGCTTCCAGCCTCCAGTGCACTTGTCTCTCATTAATGCAAAATTCTCTTTCTTATTATCAATCAGAGAATTCTACTACACATGTCATTGATTTATCCGCTCCTTCTACATCCTCTTTTGCCCTGGACTCCATAGATAGCAGCCGCCCAAAGCTTCGCCTACCCGCCCACAAGAAACGCAAGATCGACAGGGCCTGTGATGCTTGTCGCCGTCGCAAGACGAAATGCGATGGTCCCAAAATGCCCGATAATGTCTGCACCAATTGTATACAGAGTCACAAGGCTTGCACTTATGTGTACGTCACTATTTGCATCCTCTCGCCGTCCTAGTTCTCAATGGTCACCCATAGGGAGATGTCCAAGCCCAGGGGCCCACCTAAAGCGTGAGCTTAATCTTACACATTTGATTTATGCTCACCCCCCGCCCAGGTATGTAACTGGACTTGAGGACCGTCTGGAGAAGATGGAGGATCTCTTGAAGAGGGTGCGTGTATTTGTCGCGTCACACGCGCGGTTTGTTCGCACCATGACATCTTGATCACGTTTCTTACCTTTTTAACTTGTAGCTGTGGCCTGAATCCGATTTTTCAGAAGAGTTAGGACCTCCAGTTATACGTGATTCGTGGAAAAACGAGGATTCTGCAAATTCAGCTGACAACGCCACTTCCCAATCGAAAGTCAAGTCTAGTCCTTTCAATCCCCCGGCGCCATCATCATTCAAGAAACCTGACGCGGCAAGCGCACTGTTCTCTCCCTCGGTCCCGCTTGGATTTTCCACCCACTTAATGCTCAGCGATCTACGTCCACAGAAGCGCCCTCGGGTTCCGGTTCGGAAACATTCTTCTGGGACCCATGGAAGCCACTCCAGGCCGGAAGCCAATGCCTCTGATCCTTCATCTGACATCGATGAGCTTGTGGAAGGCTTCGGAGGGAAAGGACGACTATCTCTACGCTTGTCCGATGATGTCGCGGAAGAGGACAACTCTGCTCGTTTTCATGGTCAGAGTAGCTCATTACGGATGGTGGATGCGACACGAAAGTTCAAGCACCTGCATATACTTGAGACTTCTAGCGATTCCGGTAAGGGTACGCCTAGTCCAGATTTTCGCTCCGATTCGCCAAGGAGAGCAGAATTTTGGCACCCCCCGCCTGTATGTTTTGCTTTCAACTTGATTAAATTTTCCTGACTAATAGCTGAATGTAGTGGGAACGTTTATACGAAGGTCTTCATGTAGATTCCCCTGAGATTCTCCCAGAAATCCTTGCTCACTTCCCTCCTCCCGATCTTGCCACGAAGCTCATTGATATTTATTTTCCGCCACATCAACATCCAGTTCCCCCTCCTTCACCGGCCAACTTTTGATCGTCAGTGGCGCGAGAATTTGCAAAATCGGAACATCTGGTTCGCATGTTTGACACTAACCATCTTTGCGGTCGCTAGTCGTTATTGTGATGATCCGCGGGTTCTGCCGAAAGGTGTTGCCAAGAAGGAAAATGAGGAAGTAGATTGGACACAGGCTGGGTGGAGCTTTTTTACCGTGGCGCTTGGTAAGGCTGATATTCTTTCGTCACAAAGGTGGTTGATTAATTGTACACAGGTGTTCATCGACATCGGAGGAGCCTTCTCTATCCAGCCACTCTGTTCGAAGTGCAGACGTTCTCAGTGAGCTCTACAACATTCAGGTGCCATGCCTCCCTGACACACTCACAGCTCTTGGCCATGTTTCTCCGAGGTACCACGTCTCATCCGACTGCCTGGCTGTTAATCGGTGTGGGTATACGCAAAGCTCAAGACGTCGGAGCCCATCGCCGAACGGTTTATCAGCAGAGACCCACGGTACAAGAAGAGTTGTGGAAGAGAGCTTTTTGGATGTTGATAGCGTTCGATCGCATCGGAAGCGCTCATATCGGACGGCCATGCGGTTTTGGGGAAGAAGAGTAGGTACCTTGCAGCAAATTTCAGTTATCGAAGCTCACTCTGCTGTAGCTTCGATGTGGACTTACCGGTAGAAGTGGACGATGAGTATTGGGAACCTGAAGACCCGAACATGGCCTTTCGGCAGCCTCCAGATGTTCCTTGTACGATAACTGCTTTCAATTTGTTCATCAAGCTCTCACAGATCGTGGCTTTCACCACGCGGACCATCGTACGTATATTTATCATCCCACAGATCTTCGTTAGACTTACATTACTTCTACAGTATGCTACGAATCCGGCCAATGTTATTATGGGGCGTCCTATCGGAAGACCAGAGCAAATTGTTTCACAGCTGAACGCCGCCCTGACAGAATGGGTAGACTCAGTTCCTGAGTATCGTAAGTGTTGCGATGGATCCTCCTCTCATGGTATTTACTATCACATTTTCTCAGTGAAATGGTCTTCTCAGCTAGAGAACCCAATCTATTCCAATCTCTCGGCGACTTTATACACCACTTATTACCTCACTCAGATGCTGATTTATCGCCCCTTTATTCCATCGCCGGCAGCGTATGACGGTCGTCCTTCTAACTCCACTTCGTCGTTTCCATTTCCAGCCTTGGCTATTTGTACCAACGCAGCCAAGTCATGCGCTCACATCGTTGAAGAACAAATGCTGCGGGGAATTTGGAATATTCCAAATCTGATCTCGGTATCGCACATTTCGTGTGGCATGTTACTAGTGGGGATTTGGGATCTGAAAGCCAAAGAAAGGGCTCAGCTGGCCAATGGGGTCGAAGATATCAAGCCACCTTTGGTTCAGGCTCTGGAACCTCTCATCAAGGATATATCTATCTTTCTAAAAGCCTTGGAATGGGCAGCGCCCCGTTATGAGACTGTGGAATCTACAATGTGAGTTTGGATGTGTTTCTATCTGGCGTTCTGAAATGGACGATATGGCAGACGACAAATCAAGGAATCATTGCCTTCTCCCGATATTGATGATAGTCGACCACGTCCTCTGGACTTCCGGGAAAGCAGACGACTAGCACAAGACAATGTTTCTCACTACATGTCAGGTTCATCCGAGTCATCAACCGAGTCGCAACAGGAGGTTGCTCTCTGGTCCATGCCCACGACGCATTCGCCGCAACCAATTATATCGCTTCATCCGCCTTATTCTGTCGAATCAACCCCTCCTCAGCCAACGCGATCTCATTCCGTGCACAGAAGTTTATCTTTCTCGTCAATGTCCGTATTGAGGCAGAGTTTCTACCAGGTCCAAGATGCTTCTGACGAGCAACTTCCCACTACCGAGACTGATACTTCTCGTTATTCAACCTATCGACCGCCTCCACCCAGTAGCAGCGCGAACGACTGGCAGGCCCCGCGATCACGCGTTCCACGAATTGCTTCATATCATCGATTGCCTCATTCATCGCCTGCTCCATATGAACATCAAAATAAGTCATTTGTCGACCATCAGCTCCCTCCCTCGAGTCACAGGCAAGTCGCTTATCGATCAATGGATGATTCAGGTCGCGCAATGGATGTGTACGATGACGAAAGTGGTCGATATTCTCATCCGCCTACTTCGGACACTCGATCGATTCCTGCACAAACTCAGTCTTCCGTCGATAGACGGGTATTCCGGTATGTTTTTCCAAAATTGCCACGCCCTGACAATACTAAGGTATGTTGTAATTAGTGCGCCCCCTGGTTGGGACAGACAAAATCACCACTATGACGAAGAAAACAAAACGAGCTTTTTTACGTGGGATAATCACCTGCCACGAGCCTTTCATGCTTTCCCTCCACCTCCTACACCGCACACCTCCTAATTTATTCAAGGGCTTGGTCTGTAATACTAGAGATCTCCCATTTTGTAATTCATCGCAACTGCTTATTTATCTCTTCCTCTACTGAATTTAGTATTCATGCAATAATGTATCTTGTAGTATAGGTAAATATCCAAGGACCTTGTTCATCGTAGTTTTCTTGTTGCATAAATATGCTTTTAGATTCATGTACCTTACAGCCAACATAACTGAGCCGCGGAGGCTGGTCTCAAATTTAAAATCGCAACTTTTGAGAGCCTCTTGGACCCAAAGCAGAACAGAGGTATCAAATTATACCAGTAAGTACACATAGATCTATGATACAGGGCAGCAAGGTAGGAAGGGATGTCGTGAATCACACGACTGAATTATGATAGTCAGTAGACAGGCAGAATGAAGAGACAGAGGACTTACGAAGGACAGCATTGATACAACCGTCGTTTTCAGGGTTGTTGGTTATTTGAGCATATTTTCCGAACACGACTTTGCCGCCAGTGGTGACCATTCCAAGTTCGGAAACGTTCACCTCTATCACCGTGCCTTTTGTCATCACACCGAGTTGTGTGTACATGGGTGACTGAGGGTTTTTCTTGACACCGAGAATTTGAAGCTGGAATGTGGCTTTTAGGTCGGCTAATGTGGTAATGAGCAAAGGCGACGGGAGACTAATGAACGACGCACGATGTGTGACATTGGCTTTCTTATACCGCAAAGCCATAGGTCGGATGAACCGTTCCATCTTGACTGGTTTTCTTGTGAATCCCTCCCCTACGAACGTCGCTTTCGTGACCATCCTCTTCCATGCCTTGCTCTTGCTTTTGCCAGTTTTCATGACCTTAAACATCTCGTCTTCTGCAATACCACGAACTTTGGGTAACGGAACAGAGTACTTGGCTGCTTTGTCTTTCCGCCTTTGTTTGATGGCGCTGGAGAGGGCTTTCGCATCCTTCTGTCCTTCACGATCAAGAAGGTACGTCGGCAGCGCACCGTCTGGTACAGTTGATGAGTCGGCTTGCTTGACATTGCGCTCGTCGTGCGCTTTGAGAGTCTTCTTGAGTTGAACTTTCTCGGCATGTCGTTTAGCATGCAGGAGCTTGGCCTTTATACCGAATGCTTTCTGGGCAAATGCTGAAGAGCGGTGCGCTTCACGAGCCTCTTTTTTGCGTCTGTGAGGTTGTTCAGCCATTGTCGTGCCTTTAGCAAACGGCCACTCACTTTCGCTCGAAATGATCTAATCTTCTTCCGTGTCGTTTAATATGCTCCTCGATATATTCATTCTAGACAATAGCTCAGCATGTCATGTGGTACTTGTTTGTTTCAAATATTACCTGAGGCTGAAATAAAAGAACCGGTCAGGAAGACATCATACTGAACGAACTAATTTTCCTTACCATGACGGAAGGAGAGAAATTCTGGACGCTTCTGCCAATCAAGCAAAAACACCACTTCAGTCAGATCACGTGACCTCCACGTGTAGACGACGTGCACTCTGCAGAGTGTGTACCGTACAGAATATCTCCCTGATTCCTCCAAGTTTCTTTCTCAATTCAGGTTTTACTTCCTTCAAATTCATGTGGCAAGATAATAACGCATACGGTGCATCGTCCTCCCAAAATGCCTACTATTCGCAACCGGCTCAGGGAGCTCCCTTACAATTCTATTCCCCATCCGGTTCGGATGGAAGCTCATTTTATCCTGGGTCGCGTCCTAGTCTAGAGGGGAGCATGGGAGTACAAGGAACAGTGTCTCAAGCTCCCAGCGGTCCAGGATTTGGAGGAAACATCCAGGTTCAGGGTCCTTGGTGGACAGCATTTGGCACGGGGGGCTTTGAAGGCGAACCACCGTTACTGGAAGGTGCAAAATAATTTCGATGCCTTGCTGCATTTTTTTCTAATACTTGATGTCCAGAGCTAGGAATCAACTTTTCTCATATACGCGCAAAATCAATGACCGTACTCAATCCGCTGAGCAGCGTGGACGAACGTATAATGGACGACGCAGACCTTGCAGGACCCATAATTTTCTTCTTCTGTTATGGTCTGTTCCTTCTATTCGTGAGTTCGATGCCTCATTCCTCCCTTTCACTTTATCTTGACGCAGTGTTATAGTCTGGAAAACCAAATTTTGGTTTCATCTATGGTGTTGGCCTTTTCGGCTCAGTATCCATTTATATGCTCTTGAACCTCATGTCGGAGCAGGGTATCGATGCGTATCGTGTAGCCTCCGTACTTGGATATTGCCTGCTTCCCATGGTAGGTGTGGGTGGTGTCAGTGTCATGGTCGCTCTAGAGTAAGTTCGTCCCTCGTTCAAGTTGGTCCACCAATATTAAATTTTATCAGTGACATGTTCGGTTATCTTCTTGCACTTCTCTCCATCATTTGGTGCACTTATTCAGCATCTGGCATATTTGTTGCCGTCCTGCGTATGTCCGACCAACGTCTCTTAGTCGCCTACCCTGTTGGGCTTTTGTATGGGTGTTTTGCTTTGCTAAGTGTCTTCAGCGGTTCTTCGAATGGTGGAAAATGACCTTTTTGTACATTGTATGGACATGCTCGAATTACATGAAATGTACGCTACCAGGATTAAAATTACGATTATACAATATTATACCCGAAATTAAACTGAATCTCCTCTGTCTAGAAGCTGCCTACTATACAATTTGAGCAAAGCTTCCATGATCTGCTCCAAAGGAGCAGTGGCATATTCATGTACGTATTGTGGAAGAGAATCTTCCAAACTGAACCCAGCCTTTTTCATGAAGAATGGATGCATGACATCAGGCGTTGCATCGCCGAGTTGGCGCATAGTCAGGCGTTCGATAAATCTGTCATGATGTCGATAAATGATTTCCTTGTGCGGTGCTCGTGGGAGTGAGACTGCCGCTGACGTGTCCACATCCTCGTCGGCGGTCAGGGGTGCGGAGGTACTTTGAACGTTTAGAGGTGGAGCGAAACTAGGGGTAGCCGCCGAAGCTGACCGGGCTGCAGTCGAGGGAGATGGTGACCTGGCAGGTCGTGGAACAGTCGCCGAACGAGGAACGTCTGGAGTATCGACAACCTTCCTGCGAGTTGATGCAATATTAACTGGCGCAGTAAGCGTACTCCTCCACTCTGCAGCTGTTCGAACTTGATCCATTTCTCTCGTCAAGTTTTTTCTTTGAACGGTGAGCCATGAATAGAGGCCAACGTTCAGAGTGATATAGATATCCTCGAAGTCCCGCATCCCTGTACGACGAACGAAAACACTTCGGAAATCATAGTCGAGTACCTTGTTGGAGCCCTCTTGCATCTCCTTGCTGACCATGTGCATAGTCATCGATGGAAGACCCACAATGGTGGCTTCTGACGCATCCTTCAAAAGGCCTGTTAACCATTCGTTGTTGTCCGCTAGTGTAGTAGGTATATGGACCTAGCTGAGTGAACCGAGAGATTGACATGGATGTGAATGAGAGAAATATGTCCCTCTTAGATGGCTTATCCGCCTGAATGAGACGATCCAGACGCGCACGGATGTTTCGGCCAATGAACTGAGCGGCTTCGAGGTCATCCATAGTCCTTGGAAACAGGACGAGACGTAATAAATCAAGTCGTAGACTCATGTGTTGACGGATGATGTACGATATACCAGCCTCTACTTCACTGAGGCGGTTGCGCGCAGTATGTAACATCGCCTCAGCAACGGCAGACAGTGCATTATTTGGCTGGGTGGTTCGACTGGCAGAGAAAGTTTTGGAGTCTCGACTAGCACCCTCCTGCTGGGCATCTAGATTCGCATTGAACTTCTTCGCGTATGCCAGGATTTTCGGAATGGTTCCAACTGTAATGACGGCAACAATTTCGGGGCTGACTACGGTGAATGATAGACTGAGTGGACGATTGTATGCCTCCGAATGCGACAGAATCTGTGACCAGTCGTCGAAGACCTCAATTTCGATAGGCTCCGCTCTATAAACTCTTTAGGATGGCCCTAATCGAGGTAGGAACGTTGACTTACCTATAGTGCAATAGCCTCTGGTGCTCTGATTCCAGAACTACAACAAAAGGGCCACTTGTCATTCTGAGCTCCAACATGCGGCTGTGGGCAGCGTCATCGATGTGGTTCTCGATTCGGCGTATAGTCTGGAATACGCAATTGGATACATTGGCTTTGCCGGCAACGTTTCCTTTAGCCGTAACGATGACATCTCCGACAGATAATGAGAGCTCGTGAGTGGCTTCAGTTAATTTTGTGCGTAGAATGGAATCTTTGAGATCAAGAATGACAGTACTAATGGATTGGCCCAGATCGACATCTAACTTGATTTGACGTATCCGAAGGAGAATGATGGTGACATATTCTTGTCGATGTGCCGTAACGGGAGTGTCAGGATTCGATTTCGGAGCCGCATTGACGATATCGTCACTTGGCTTCCCATTGAACATAGGAAGCCGATCAAGCCAAACGGCCTTGAAACAAAGTACGTCCTGAAGCCGAGAAAAGCGTACGCCGCCGAGGAACTCGGTATCCAATACAAGGGACACAGAACTGATGGACCTTGTCTCATCAACATTCAGCTTGGAGAAGGTAACCGAAAATGCAAGATTACGGGCATCCAGATTGACGCAATCTTCGGTCAAGAAGCCATGTCGCAAACCAACAGTGAGACCGCCTACCGTTCCGGTGAATGTCACATTGTGGGCACGAGGAGACACATTGACGACGAATCCCCCGCTATCCCAATGCAAACCAGCGATGACATTGACATCCGGTTTGCAAGTCAATTCCAATCTAGATTGGTCTATCCGCAGACTGAAACTTATCTGCATGCTTGACGATGAATTGGTATCGTACGTAGCCGGACGAGGAGCGACAAGGGAGCTTGATGTCGGCGACAGTGTTTCTCGACGACTAGATTCCCGTAGTCGGCTTTCTATGCGGCCGATCAATTCCGTTAAAAATGGCAAGAGCGTTGGCCTGAGAGTATTTTGGCTTGAGTGAACCGTGCTTTTGAATACTAAAATTGATGCTTCTGTATCACCTGTGGTTGTGGGGAGTTTCTGGGATGTTGGCGTTGCTCGATATTCCGTCCAAACGGAGACCACAGGAAGGCGGAATATTTCTGCTCCCAATCCTAGGACCTGCTCGTCGGTAGGATTATATGGTCCCTTGGTGAATGCCTTAGCTCGAGACAATTTGGAAGCAGTCGCGCTATATGCCCGCACTTTGCCGCTCAAAAATGTAAGTGAGCCGCAGAAAGCCGAGGTTGGAATGGCCGTGGATCGTCGTTCAAATGACTCTTTCGCTGCATCAAGGCGGGAAGGGGAGGATGGAGATAGACGTTGTGAACTGTTTGACAGCTGCGCGACGCGCTCCTCGCCTTGTCGGTAGACGTCAACCAAGGAAAAAATATAATCCGGAATATTTGAATCCAAGTCAAGGATAAAACCACTGACATTGGCCTTCAAGGTAATCTGACGAGACGTTTCGGAACCTGAGGACCTGACATAGGCAGTCATTTCCGGGTACACAAGACGATTTCGGGTTTGATGTGATGAACCAGAAAAATCGCCTGCAAGTGATTGGTGGAAACTGTCGATTACATGAAGATTAATCCGCGAAAACAACTGTATTGGCGCACCTTTGAACAAACTGGAAAGAGCAGTTTTTCATGTGAGCTTCGCCAGTAACTCCACGTTCGGTTCCAAATTTTAGGGATTCAATGGAAAAGAGGAAAGCACGAACAGCACTAGAATCGTGACTGCCTGATTTTGGTAGTTGAAGTTGTTCATCGTGCGTAAGAGGAAAAGCCACCCCGATATGATTGACGTTCACATCAATACTATAGTTGTCGAGCCAGGATGATCGTACTTCTAGGTCATGAACCTTGACGTCGAAGCTCTTCAAGATGCTCTGGGTTTTTTGCTTGAAAGCAGCAAGTTCATGAGCACGCTGCTCTCTCCGCACAGACATCTCAGCCTGCATAAAGTTGTAAGTCCAAGATATTTACACAGATAGTCTCACGCATTTACCTGCATCTCATCAATAAAATCTCCTATCTCACCAATAGAACTGGGTTGCATGACTGCATGGATCTTGGTTACGGATATCTGTAGCATGTCACCAAGAGAAGTCTGGTCCGTTTGGCTCCTTGACACAACTTTGAAGTCTATAGTAACGAAAGCCGAGCGATGATCTCTGCTGAAAGAAGTACTGTGGGGTTCAAGTGATGTTAAAGGTGCCAAGGACAGCGCAAGGCCGGAAAGTGTCATGAACCAGGCACGTCCAGACAAGTCATCAAGACCGCCATTGATATCTTTACACTCAAGATAGACCGTGGAAGATAATCCTTCAAGGCCGATTCGAAAACCATTCATCTTTACGGCAATAACGAATTTTGTGGGTGAGGTTGAAGCAATAGGCTCCCGCGGTGCTGAATGGGACTGTTTTAACCGTGTTTCTTGAACCAGTGCCAACAGATCATTGAAATCCTGTCCGAACTTTTGCTGAACTGCCATGAGGGTATCCCAATGAGATGGTTTTACTTTCAGTTCCAGAAACTCGGCCAGCAGGATGGCTCTGACGCATGCACCATCAAAGCGCCCGGTAAGAGATAAAGAAGGAAGCTCCAATTTGACTCTGGAATTAGGTAGAATATCACGAGCATCTGATTTGGAAGACACCGTGAATATTTGAGAACCCATTTGTAGCCCAAATAATCTGTGTGACGAGAGTAGTGGTGTGGTGCTCATGTGCATTGTTGTGTCGTTCATTTCCCATGATAACCAAGTACCATGCATCACCTGTAAGAGGACGCCAAATGCACCAAGATGCCCATTTATTTGGAAAAGGATAGATGCGTATGACGGTGGAGGTTCAACTGGAGTCGGTCGGCCGGAGGATCTCAATTCGGCCAAGAGCTCTCGGATAGAGCTCTCGATCCCTACAACGAAATCGTTCCTCCATTCCTGGAAGAATCGATAAAGACGAAGAGCACTACGAGGGACAGTGAAATTTAGTTTGTCCGCCGCAAAGATGAGCCGAACTTTCATGGCTGACGTGTTTTCCTGGCGAGTGATGGTATTCAACCTGCCGCCATTGAGCGTTAGAGCAGCAAGAACATCTTGATCGTTTTCCATAGACGATTCTGATGGAGAGCGTGCGCGGATGTAAATATCGGTGAATAGTAGGGAGTGATTGGTGGAAATATTCTGAGAACTGTCAAACATCATGTTGGAGTTGTAGCGAAGAGAATTTAGACCGTATTCAAATGTGAGATTGGCCGCAATGGCTTGCACTCGAAAACTTTGAACGAATGCATCAACCTCTATTTTTGTGGTTGCTACGGAGCGCTTGACTGAGGCCTTTGATCGGCGTGAACGTGTCTCCTCGTCTCCACGATCACGTGTACCGAACGACTTTTGCATACGCCGTACCCGCAGGACGGCTTGCATAAAGCCTACCACGTGTGGATATATGGTCACCACCGTTGCGTCCAAAGAGAATCGGGTGTAAAATGCTTGTATGAGATCAGGTGAATATTGTTCGATTGACACATCAGAATCACTCTCCGAGGGACTGCGTGGGGGATTGATTAAATTGAGATATCGTACTTTGGCAGCCAGGAGCAAGTTTCGTACGGACACACCGCTAGAGTTTGAATTTTCAGGGTCTTCGACTTGAGCGCAAGCGTGTAAGATCCGGATGGTGAACGAGGTGAAAGCACGTCCCAGTCTTTTGGTATCGATCGCTACTGAGAACTTGCGTAGACTAGGGAATAAGGGCTCCAGTAGAGCCAAGTGTTGCGTTTGATATGCTTCAGGGTCTATGATCGTCAAACGAGCTTCCAGATCAGGCACGATATCTTCCAATTTCATGCAGCGATCGGAATCTGGAAGGCCCAACCAGCGCTCATTTTGAAGGTACCATAGGTGATTTCGCAAGTGAAATAAGAACCGAAATGTGGCATCCGTTCGCAGCTGGTGAGGAATACCGCTTTGAATGAGATACAACGGCTGGATGGCGGATAGTGGATCCATGATGGTATCTTCCGCCTGTCATGTTTAAGACCCATTGCACAACACGTAGTTTCGGTTGTGTGAAGACAGTTTTCCATTTTGTGAACAGGTTCTTCAGCTCCTTAGTGTCTCGAACCAGCGCCAGAGTCAGAACCGTGAGGTACTCGGGGCACTGATGAGAGACGTTCACAGCCAGGAGAGCCAAACTCTGCCTCCAAGTGTTTACCATCCCAATGGATATCCACGTCGGAGGTTGATATCGTTGCAAAAACCTTTTCCATTTTTTGAACCCTTCCAATCGTGTCGAGAGTGACACCAAGGCTATCGAAGCCTGTAGTCCAAGTCTCTATTCGTCTCTGGACGAACCCTCGTGCATAAAATCCCGCTAAGCGAAGGTCAATCGAGCCCATAATGCCGGTCGGATTGGAAGATGGGTGATCAAGATGACGCAAAACGAGCAATCGAAGAGACGGCACAGCTACGTCGAGAAGGATGCGCTTCTGATATTTACGTGACTTGGAGGAGAAACTCCCAAGATACCCGGACATCATAGAATCGATACACAATTCTGGGTTGGGTTTCTGTGACGTCCTATCAATGCAAAGCAGTCGAAAGCAATTTTTTGAAACATACACTTTTCTCACAATCCTCCTCTAATTGGGACAACACAGGTAGGACGAGAGGTGTAACACGTATTTCAACGCCCTTTCGGCATACGCAACGGTTTACAACAACGTCGACATCAAGCGGCGGGAGGATCATATCTGGAAAAACATTCGGGTGTATGGAGGACGACCGTGGGGCTCTGGGCCGTGCATATTTCGGCGCGGCCTCTGCCTTGAACGACTGGGGTACCTTGTTAATCAATTGGGTCCCGTATGCTTTGGCTGACTTACATTGATTGAAACAAAGGGCGATTGATCCCAGAGTTCAAGTGTGTCAATGAATTTTGCCGCATAATGTCGCAGAAATCGACCATATTGCCGACACAAAGGATCAGACGTTCCTTCTTCTACCCGTAATATCAGTATTGTTCATTCTCCTCATTACGATGAGAATTTGCTAACCCAATTCGAACCAATCACTGTCAGACGACTCGCCATCTGTGAGATCTTCGTTGTCCGATTCGTCGCCGTCGCTCATGTCTTGATCTTCCTCACGCACAGGTGACATTAGAGAGTCTACTCGGCTTTGGCTGAGGCAACATTAAGACCAAAGGACTATCGCAATGATATGAAGAGGCTAGCACTCACGCCAAACGAGCATCACGATCTGCTTCAGACACCGCAAGTTCCTCCTCTGATTCCGAGAGAGGTCGAGAATCAGGCCATATAGACGCATTCTTACGCCGGTATGCGTTGTCTCCCCATGAAGGCCTATGCATACGACGCTCTCGGCTTCGACTCAGTGGCTGAGGAATGCAGACACCATTTCTGTGCGCAGGAAAAGCTTATTGAATATTAATGAACGAGAAAACGAAGCAAAGGGTAGAATCCACTGACTGTGAGACGAATCTCCAATGTCGGAAGGCCTGAACTGCTCCATCATCTTCGCTGCCCGACCTGTAAGATCATCTTGTTCCGTGACGAATGATTCCTGCGCTGCCGCTAGATTCTTCCAGTTGACTGGCGACGTATATATATCAATGTACGCATCGAGTGTCGTTTCTCCTGCTTCGAGCCAACGATTAGACAAACTATGGAGCAACATCTTGACAGATGCTACTGGAACGCGGATGCTTGTCAATTGGCGATGAAAGCGACCACCCAAATTGTTATTGTCCAGACGTAAACCTTCGGGTAGAGAAATAATAGCGGCTGCATCGCCCGCTTTCCAGGTCACATGAACACTCGAAAGGCGGACCTTCACGAACGTCACTATTGCGGCGATATTAGCGAAATCCGAACCATCCAAAGAAGACAGAGGACTTGCCATCGGGGTAAGAAGGTAAAGCATATTCGACTGCGGGTGCGTTAGCAATGTCCGAAAAGTTCACGCGAAACGAAGTAATGGCATCTGTGATCGTCGATGCCTCTGCAGCTGACAAGATGCCTTTGATACTGCCCACTTTAATTTCCCATACGCAAAAATATGTGATCGTCCGCGGAACAGGCCCAAATAGTCTATTAGCCGTGATGTCAAGACCTGGCACGGTACGGTTAGCGTTCGAGCCTAACACCGGAGTAGACCATAGCTTACCTTCTATCAAAAGTACACTCTTGACATTCGGTGCTTTCGGCTGCGAGGTATAGAGAACTTTCTCCGGATAATTTGAATCTATATAGCCTGTTATGGTTCCGACATTTAAGGAAAGATCTGAAAGTAATATTAGCTACCAAAAGCAAAACGCAGGGGAAAAAAATACTGACCCATAAAGTAATCGTGCATTCGTAGTTGCAGTTGGAGCTCAGGAATGTGTAGCACAAGACACGGTCCGATACGAACTTCATCCGAACCACTCCGTATTGTGCAAGATCTGTCGTAACCCGGAAGTCCAGCAGGCAAAATCACGCAGCCATGGTCCATTCGCACAAATATGTCCACTTGAAGCATGTTGGCCTAGTGATGGAGGCTTGAGCTGACGATACACAGGGAAACAAGCTAGAAACTGCTTACATGCCCTTTACGATACTTGTCCATGACAGGATCCCCAGGAGGAAGGCCAAGACCCTTTCGTTCCAGATACTCATACAGGGTCGAAAAATGGGTAAAGGATCCGAAGTAGTTGTCTTTGATGATCATGAAATATCGAATCGACCACCCTACAACTTTGTATGCCACATTCCTAATCTATCAAATTTTAACGAGAGAAAAGACGAGCTGCTACAGACTTACCAAAAAGACCAATTTCAACTGTTCGACATTATTTTCTCGGACGTCTGCGAAATATCTGTAAGATCCATCTAGTTGGAGATCCAGGACCCCTATATGGCTGCCGTCCTCAGGAGCGTGCAAAGCATGGGTGTGCCATCGAGGTAAGGACAAAGTAAGAGAAGCATTGGGCGCCTCCACACAGAACGCAATGGTTGTGGCTTCAGGACGAAAAATATCGGATGGGATAGTAGTCACATTCCGTAACGATGGTCCACGAATCGTCAGGATTGCTACATGAAGTTTTAGCTGCTGCTCAATGTAAATAGCCGAGCAGAGGTACCATTTTCCTCTTTGATCAGAGGCTTGTCAATGATATTATGGTCGTTTGCATACAAGTTCAACTCAAAATGATGCATCTCAAGTTGGAATGAATACACCGTCGGAACGAAGCGGAAAAAGTCGCTCGGAGGACCCGAAGCCCAGTCTTTTCCAAGGTCGATAAGCATGGTGATATGATCACGTAGGAGGTACAGAATCGGTTTTCTCAGAGTAACCGCGATATCCCAGGTTCTTGAACCGTTCCACTTCAACGGAGACGGTAGTTCGCACCGTACCTAGAAAGTAGAATAAGCACCGAATAGGATTATTATATAAACAGGAAAAAAAGGACGCACGCGACATGACTCGGAGGTAACGAGTTCTATGTCATTCAAACTAGAGGTGACCACCAGAGTATCAATGTGCACTTCTAACGTTGGTTCATAACCGCGAGAACTTGCGATCATTGGCATCATATAGTTGACAGTAGAGCTGTCTCCTGCAGTAAAGCGGATCACAGCAGGTTCTCTCTTCTTGGGTCGACTGGGGACTTCAGTAAGCCCGTCCCATTGCCAATTCTAAATAATCAGTCAACACCGTAATTTTCCTGCGGGAAGAAAAAAATACCTTGGATGCTTCGCGAAATGGAACATGAAGAGTAGTTGCATCACGAAGTTCGACAAATATTCTCATGTTTGTCCATAGTCGTTGATCTCCAGGTTGTAACCGAAGGGTCTCTTCAGCATCATGGAACGTTGGTGGGAAGAAGACTCGCTGAAGGTGACCCCTGAACAAGCATTTAGAAGCCTCCTCAACCGAGAAGAAAGGATTCGCTCACCGCTGTCTATCTGCCCAGGGTCCATAGCATATGAAACCACCTTTGATCACTAGGTCGATACCCCATTCAGGCCCTATATCACCGTTGCCAATGTCATCCAAACCTCCTTGATCGGGATGTTGAGAGAACGGAGGCACGGTGCCAGCCACGTCTGCATAGTAGCACAATTCGAGGGATGGCGTTTCCAGTATCTTTTGTTCGATAGCATACTCCATAGAAGTAAAGTCAGGCCCGATGGGAGTGTCTTCGTCCACACTCGTGGATTTTGCGCGGGACTGAGGCCGGGAGGAACTTTGCCGCAAAATGAACTTGGCCATAAGCACGTAGAGACGCAATTTCCGCCAGATTTTCCCAAAACGATGGAATGTCATATACGAAGATGATAGACCGAGATTGACGTGTCTGCGTATGATTCAGACAACCAAGAATCCGTTGGGTGCAACAACTCACTGTTGAACGCGATCACTAATCATTTCTCCCATAGCAGGCATGGTGTCACCATATTGCTTGTTTTCCGTATACTGAATGAGAACGTTTTGGAAACGTAGAGTGAGATACTGCTTATACAAATCATACTTCGACCGCGACTGAATGTGAATGGTTAGATAGAAGCCCAGAACGATATCCGAATCAATACGTGCCTGGGATACTCCAAGATTGCCTTCTGCCTTCTGGAATTCCACCACAAGTAAATTGGGTGTCGAGTTGTTGCCGCATATTATCACTCCTTTCGTAGCATCTAGACCGATGGGCAATAATTCCTTAGGGTCTAGGGTAGGAAGTTGGCGCTTGAACCAAGTAAAGGCGTCTTGAAGAAAAGTCGGAGTCCGAAGATGGAGAGCGCCGAGTACTGACGAAGGGGGAGGAATCGGGGTACCGAAATCCGTTTGAAACGACTGGCGGCATTCTGTTGAGCTTCTGCGCGTCTTGCGGTAAGCTGAGCTCTTGGACGCCATTTGAGATATGATGTTCTCGTAGGCAGCTGTACGGTTGTACAGAAACCATTCGAAACCTTGAAATGACACCTGTATGCGACACAACGAGTTCTGGGGTTCTGATTTCTCTGTTCTCAAGTAAAGACATGCAGTTAGAGTATGGTGACCAACACGTACGTTCTTCACTCCCCAGTGCCGAGCTGACTCCATCCTCCAATAATGGCTTCCGTACCCAATATCGCCATACAATTTGACATTTGACGATCTTGACCGTTTGGTTACTTGAATGATACCGAATATCTTTCAAGAGGATCCTTCCGCTCAACAGCGAGAAATGAATAGATCCTAAGCTCCACGTTTGCTACTTGTACGCGTAATGATGCCTAAAGGCGCACCTATTGACACCCATATGCTAGACGCGCCTTGGGACCACGAGAGAAAGCGAATGACGAGGCCAAGGAGCCATGCGACCAGCCGACTCCAGTAGAAGATGTAGATGATAGAGGCAATCCCAATGCAGACGCAGGCAATGAGGACAAGATTATCCAGCATTGCTGTTGCATTCAATGGGACCAGAGGCAGAGGGGCCGAAGCAGACAGCGACAGAGGTGATTTGGTAAGCAACCAAGAATGACCTCAACGACCATGGTCGAAAGACCTCTACGTCGTCTCGCGGTGCACTCGACAACGACCTGCGCAGCACAAGCATCCACGTACGGCAAATGCATTCTGGCAACCTATACAGACGTTCGGAAGGATGTATGTAAAGAGGAGTTTCTCAAATTCGGGCAATGCCTGCGGGACGCGGTGCGTGTGCCTCAATTCTTTTGTTCTCAGCAATATTCAAAGAACAATTAGATGAAACGCAAGTGGTGATATCCGAGTGTATAATAGTACAAGCCCTGCCTACTCGTCAACATGTCCATTGTCAATACTCCCTGGAACTGTCCTAGTTCCAGGAGCTGCTTCCTCATCCCTTCTTTCCTCTAAATCAATTCTGGTTCGGGTCCGCATTGCCCTCATTCTCAATGACCAAGGCGTCAGATTAGGCATGGGTAAACCGTCACGTCTGTTTGTTTGATTATTGGGAGGAGTTTCCCGCAAACGTCTTAGAAATTGAGAGAATGTTATTTCCATGACGTGTGGGCAGGACGTGGATGTCCTGGCTTTCGACGGTTCGGGAGCATCAAATGACTCCGCTGCGCTAGTGGATAATGGCAAGGTCGGCGAATCGGAGGGTGAGGGTATAGGGAGTAGCGTGTCGACTGAATTCGTGTTCTCGATGACATGGATCTCGTACGCGATGAACACCAAGAGCATCTGGAGGCACATAATGAACAAGTCAAGTGAGAGGAGTTGGAGTTTCGACGGCACATAATCTAGACAGAATGTGAGAAACGGTCAAGTGCCCAAACAAGACGTACTGAGTCCAATAAAGTCCAAGATAACTGTCCTCCCCTGGGACGCCCCCTCCGTCGCATGCGGGTAGACACTGAATGCGTTGATGACGGTAATGAGCCCGAGCCAGACGCCCAATGACCGTGGGGTATGTGTATCAAAGTCTCTTGGTCGGACGCACTGCTGCTGCATGAAGTAGCGACAAAATAGAGCCCATATTGACGGCGACAGGAAAAAGGACAACGCATGGAGCTGGTACAACAAAGTGTCAAGCTTGGAACGACAGTAAGACCAGGGAGAAAGCTGGAGACGATGGAATATCGCTTACAGAGGATACAATGTGCATTCGTTGTGCATGGTAGCGCGTTGGCATGACATAAAGCTACTACAGCAAAAAGCGCTGGTACGAAAGGCCTTAACGAAATACAGGGCACAAGACTCACATAGGTATTTCTCGGTTCCCGTCCTTCACGAGTCTGTATGGCTTCCGAGATATTCGAACGAAGATTTTCAGTGCCCTTGCTCTAGAAGCAACTCAGAGCTTTACCCGTCCTGTTCCACTCGCCAGTTCACAGTCAAGGGCGTGGCGGGGAATTGGGAAAAGGGAATGGACATCACGTGCAAGTCATTACCTTGCTGGTAAGCAAGGTCTACCCGACCCGAAACTTCCCACCCATATTTACTCTCGAAATCTGCCAATTGCAAATATACATTTGTCTCTGTTTGCTCACCTCTTCAACCTATCAGCCTCCCTTTCGGTATTCGAAACCTGCCAATATCAAATTCATCTTTCCTGCCAGTCACCTCTCTAGCAAACCGCGAGCTTCTGACAGCGGATTCTCGGCTAATCAATGGAACCCGAAGATTTCATCAAGCAGCTTCAAGACGTGCGGAGGCGACAAGACCAACGACATCAAACTTTTCAGATTCTGTAGCAATACCAGGATCTGTTCGGCACGGTGAATCCTAAGGAGCTGGGATACAGAGAATGACTTTGAAGTTCATTCAACAGTTCAGTAGTGCGTCCCCAACCATGTTCAATTATCACTTTATCTAAAGGCTCCTGCCAGACGAAGCACTCTTCATCTCTGATCTACCTGGAGACAAAACGGAACTAGTCCATTGCCGGTCAGCGGGTTTTGCTATGACCTCCTCGACGCACGGAGCTTTTGTACCTTCCACGACATGAAGGTCGATGTTGAACCATCCAGTCTCCGTCGAAGTGTTCAAATGTAGCAAGTGTAGATGACATGGATCCAGCTAAATGTTATCGTCAACATCCTTTGGCGGAAATCATTAAACAGGTTCAACCAGCTCCTTCCAGTTACCGTGCTGGTCGAATTCTGTTGTTCTTTTTTTCCGGTTAATACCTTGCATAGTGTTGTAGTCGCGACCCTCCTAACTTCCGGTCTGCTAGATGTTGGAATCTCAACTAGAACATAGAAGTGCTTGTCTCGTGAAACTGTATCTTACTCTACCCACCGCTCTCGCTCTCCCAAATACTACTAGGTCATTTATACAGTTTTGTAGTGTGGCCTTAGTAAAGAAATGAACCGAGTTCGGAAATGACTGAAGCATTGAAAACAGGTGTCCCTCCAGCAAGGTCTTTGTCGCCGGCGCCGCCGCGGGCCCTTGTCCTAAAGGAAACTGATTCAAGATTCCGCCCTAATTTCCGCCCAATTGATATAATACAGATGAAGCTAGTATATACAGTGTCATACAAACTTAAAAGGGTATGAATGTCAAGGGGTTGCAATATTGGTCTATTTGGGATTAGAACGAAATGGCGAAGACGAGTCAAACCGCTTACTGTTTGATTTTCTACCAGATCTCTATCCGTCAGCGCTTGCCGACTATTGTCCACGAGGAATGTCGTCAGCGGTGTATCAGAAGTTCGGTAGGTGCTATATGGAACAGGAATCTGCTGCATATTCAGAATAAGCCGGCACTCCTGTGAACGTTTGAGCACCAGATGTGTGTAAAGAAGCAGATACGAACAGCTGCCGAGATAAAGTTGATCAACCATCTGTCACTCGTCAACCAGGAGTAATCGTGAGAGATGGATCACATACGCAAATGTAGGTGTGGGATATGTTTCCGATGCTGTGAAAATAACCAACAAGAGAGAAACAACTATACCCCAATAATGTTGGAATTATTTCAAGTGATTGAGGATGGCTACGTACAGAAAAGTACTCCAAAAGCAAGTGTTCCGTCGCGAATCATGAGGGAGACTAATGGAACACCTCTCCAGTCCCCACGTATATATCGATATATAGAGAAAGCAAGAATGACCACTTGCGAAATCATTGCCGAGACTCTACATGGAGGATTCAGAGATGTTCTTACTAGTATTGCGAATAGAAGGTATACCCGAAATAAATGTAAGACTTCGAAGAGGTCGTAAGCAGGTCGTCGGGATTAAAAATCTCGCTTGGCAAATTGAGCGCAAGGCCAACTATGACCGATGTACTTTCACCAAGAAGAAGAAGAAGGAAAATTCCTCCAATATATCGATTGCGGCTATACAGCGCATAGACTAGATGCCAATCAGGGCATTGCCTAAGTATACACATAGAATGAAACGGACCTCGAGCCATCATAACAATTTCCGCTCCCAGCATCATCAAGTGGAGTACCAGAACCTGACAGATGTACCAGATGCGCAAGGCATTGAGTGGTATGGGAATTGGATCCCTATAAACGACGACAGTGTCGATGGCACGGCCGCATCTGTGACATTTCGTTAGTCGCAATATGATAGCTGGAAGGTATTGAACGTACATTCCAGCCATGAGAGGAAAGTATCGAGCGAAAAGAAACGCCCACTTAATCCAAGAGGTTCTCGGTTTGCTAGAAGGAAAGATATCCAGAGTTTGTCCGGAAATTTTAAGCGAGGAGGCTTACGACCAAATAAAATCCACCTCGCGGTCGAATGTTATTATGAGCTCCCTGCACGACTTTAGCGATCTTTTAGAGCACCTTTGTAAAATCGACTTGCCAAAGAAGAAAAGCGATAGCAGAGGCTGCACCGTGAGCGCGACAAGTCAGCTTTCCCTAGGATCCGTAGCCATTTAATAGGTGACTCACCAGAACCCATGTTGAGATCAACAGTAAAACGCGTCACCGTCATTAAAACTCGATATGTTCCTCGCCCCCCAGGCAAATGTAGAAGGCTTTCAGCGATGGAAATCTGCCTGGGAAGACTAACTAGTATTTATGGTTGAAAAGCCAGTTTGATGAAATGATAGGACCAGATGAGAGTATCGGGAGAGGAAGGAGCGATCTCAGTTCGCATACCTTATGCACACGAAGGGCTTGGCCTTATAATACTTATGGCATGAGAATGAGGTCAAGGGGTTTCCGGACCGTTATTGGAATCCCCAGCCCGGCACGCCATTGGGTGGGTCGTAATTAATATTAATAATAACATACGGCAGGCAGTACCCACTCGCACCCTCTCGCATCAGATGTACGTCCACAGTAGCCAACTCTTCTCCTACGCAGTCGCTTCATGGGCGTATTCCAACGTCGTCTGGACAGTCTGTATTTCCGAATGCTCATTCCCCTGCTGGCTTGGCTGCAGCATATTCTGATGCAACCTTTCGACACGACCAGGACATTGAGAGCTTTGCGTCAACGACTATGTATAGAACGGGGAACAAGGTACACGATCCGCTTACATTAGCGCCTTTTTCGTCCTCATAAAACGTCGCCTGTTGCTGTGCCTAGCAGTGTGTATCCGGGCCGTTTCGAAGTTTGATCACAGAAAGAAAGGTGCGTTAGCCTAGGGCGCCAATGCGCAAGCTGTCGATCATGCGACCTTCGAGCGAACTGTTTCACCCTTCCCATGTAAACTCGTTGTTGGGCCACGAGAACCTGCCCTAAAGGTGAACTTCTTCCATCTCGTCGTCCGACTGAGTCGAGAACTCATTGAGTTTCACCGTGACTTGCCAGCCTCTCTGATTTTTGGACACATCTCACCACAAAGATCAGGATGGCATGGCAGAAATCTCGGAGGAATCTCTCGGGCACGGATAAACTGTTGCTTCGTGAGCCTGTTCAGCGTTTCTTCGTTTATGGCTAACATGAGCGTCATCCAGACAATACCACAGAAGAAGAAAGAAGATGTATCATGTAACTAAGTCCGCAAGCTACCGAAACACAACGCCCTACACCGACAGTCTCCTAGCTGCGCTACACTCTTGCAGGATGATCGTATCTCGGCATTTTTGCTCTGCTAATAGAAAGAGGTTAAGGTTGACCCCCGTTGCAGAGGGATGTGAATGATGCCAACACTCTAATAGTAGAGTATCCAATAATGAACACTTGACAGAACCCTGCTCCGCTGTTAGCGTTCACTATGATTTTCACAAACCCGGGTCTGGGAACGAGGACTCGTCTTCTGCCAGAAAACGTTCTATCTCTAGGTTTGGGATGGCCCTTCATACGGAGTCGGGATCGAAGTCCAATCAGGTGAAAGATATGAAAAATGTCACGTCTCGGTGTTCTCGAAAGCTGCGACCGTCATACCCGTTACCATAGTGGAGTTGGCGTGACTCATTTAACTTTTCTGTTTCTTGTGCACCTGGTCTGATTAAAGACCTTGTGTATGATATATCTAGGTACGGGTATCAGGTCCGAGTGACGCCATATTCATTTTAATTTCACTCCTAACTTCTTACAGGAACGCGCGCGGGCGGCGGGGAAGACATTATTAATGATATCATTGACGCCATATGCTGCCCTTCTTTCCCAGCCAGCCAAGTTCGACCGGCAAGTCTGACCGCCGACTCGGACGCGTTTCGATCGCAACTCTCACGTGTCTTTCTCTAGCTAGCGAGTCCTGGCCTATTGTCCTGACTGATGTGGATTGGTAAAGAGTTTTTCTGCAGCCTTTCTGTAGAGGAACTAAGGTTTTGCGACGGATAGGATTATTGCGACTGGTGAAGGAAAGAAAATCAACAGGCTATCCCAGGTCAGTTTATACGCTGGTAACCTTCCACCTCCCTTACAAGCTTCTCAATGCGAAGTGTTCTCAGTTCAAAACAGTTCCAGGTGGTAGCGTTGGATGGTTTGCCTGCACCTATTCTGATGCACAACAGCCGGGATATGGCACACATCATGATAATTGGAAACCTCAAGTTTGATTTTAATCTTGTTACGTCTTGTTAGATTCAGTATTTGTGGCTTTCGGCGCGACCTTTCCTGTTGTAGCAGTATTTTAAAAAAATTTAGTTGTATACAGAGGTAGAGGTTGAAAAGAAGAAAGTGTCTAATTACGTGCTCTAAGTACTACGCGTACCTGAAAAATCCTAGTATTTTCCTCCATTCCAAGTCTACTCCTCTCCTTCCACATTCCACAGAAGGCGTAGCAGGAAATTTGCAGTGAAAGGTGCAAGCCAACTTAGATGGCACTGATTCGCAGCCCGGTAAACCGGTTTTATGGGATACTCATGAAGCATTACTGTATAAGTATATTGATTCAATTTTCCGAAATCCGCCCAATTGATATAGTACAGATGATGCTAGTATATACAGTGCCATGGTAGACTTAAAAGGGTGTGAATGTCATGGGGTTGTAACGTTCTGTTTAGGATTAGTACGAAGATGGCGAAGATAATTCAGACAGGCCGGCTTACTGTTTGATTTTCCAGATCTGCAGTCGTTGCTAGTCGACTATTGTCCACGAGGAATGTCGTCAGCGGTGTATCAGAAGTCCGGTAAGTACTATTTGGAAGAGGAATCTCCTGCAAATTCAGAATGAGTCGGCACTCCTGTGAATAGAAATGAGTATTAGCTGCATGTGTGAAAAGAGGTAGATACGAACAGCCGCTGAAATGAAGTTGATCAGCCATCTGTCACTCGTCAACTAGGAGTAATTGTTCGAAAGACAGCCCACGTACGCAGATGTGGGTGTGGAATAGGTGAGATCCATTGCCGTATAAATAACCAGCAGACAAGAAACGACTATACCACACTGATGTTAAAATTATTTCAAGTGATTGAGGATGGCTACGTACAGAAAAGTACTCCAAAGGCAAGAGTTCCGTCCCGAATCATGAGGGAGACTAATGGAACGCCTCTCCAGTCCCCACGGATATATCGATATATAGAAAAAGCAAGAATGACCACTTGTGAAATCATTGCCGAGACTCTACATGGAGGATTCAGAAATATTCTTACTAGTATTGCGAATAGAAGACATACCCGAAATAAATGTAAGAGTCCGAGGAGGTTGTTATTAGGTCGCCAGAATCGAAATTTTTGCTTGGCAAATTGAGCGCGAGGCCAACTATGACCGATGTACTTTCACCAACAAGAAGGAGAAGGAACACCCCTCCAATATATCGATTGCGATTATACAACGCATAGACTAGATGAAAATCAGGACTTCTGCCTAAGTATACGCATAGGAAAAGACGGACCTCGAGCCATCATAACAATTTCCGCTCCCAGCATCATCAGATAGAGTACTAGAACCTGACAGATATACCAGATGCGCAAGGCATTGAGCGATATGGGAATTGGATCCTTATACAAGACCAAGGAATCGATAACACGGCCACAACTAGTATGACACTTCATTAGTCGCAGTATGATAGCTGGAGGGTATTGAGCGCACGTTCCGGCCAAGAGAGGAAAGTATCGAGCAAAGAGAAATGCCCACTTAATCCAAGAGGTTCTCGGTTTGCTAAAAGGAAAGACATCCAGGATTTGTCCGGAAATTTTAAGCGAGGAGGCTTACGGCCAAATAAAATCCACCTCACGGTCGAATGTTATCGCGAGTTCCCTGAACGAATTTAACAATCATCTAGGGCACCTTTGTAAAACCGACTTACCAAAGAAGAAATGCGATAGCGGAGGCTGCACGTAAGCGCGACAGTTCAGCTTTCCCTAGGACCTGTAGGTTGTAGCCACTTAATAAGTGACTCACCAGAACCCATGTTAAGATCGACAGTCAAGCGCGTCACCACCATTAACATTCGATATGTTCCTCACCCCCCCAGGCAAATGTAGAAGGTTTCAGCTTGGGATGGAAATCTGCCCGGGGAGATGAACAGTATTTATGTTTGAACGGCCAGTTTGGTGAAGCGATAGGACGAGTTGAGAGTGTCGAGAGATGAAAGGATTGATGTCGGAGTGCACAATTTGCATGCCTTATGTACACTACGAAGGGCTTACTCTTATGGCATGAAAATGAGGAAGTGAAGCCTGAAAGGGATCCAATAGGATCCGTGCGAAGTCGGCTTATTCAAATGTCAGAACGGGCCGTGTCAGCGTCAGGGACGAAATATTTTGCGGCAAAGCACAGGGAATCTGCGAGGGTTTTCTTAGATAGATCTTCACCTGTCTGAACGATACAGTTGCGCAGTACTTACTGTTCTCTCAAGATTGTCTTTGAACTTTGCCAGGACTGGTGGTTGTTGGAAAGAAATCGGAATGTCCCGTGTCGTGTGAAAGATCAATGTTCCGTTTGGCGCTAATTATTTTTCGATGAGATCCTGTTTACAGGGCAAGCAACAGCACGGAATTGATCTCCGGGAATTTCTCCATCACCGTCGCTATAGAGCTGGAAAATGTCCGAGACTAGGTCTTAAGTGGAACTAGTGAGCTAAGCGCTTAAGGTGTAAAAGGTTATCGTTTCAGCTGGTTCCACAACGGCATAGATCATTCTTGGAACGAACAAGAGCGTCTACGCGTCGGCTATTCCCTGCTTTCGAAGGCTGTGCAAGTCTGCGAGAACACCGAAGTCTTGATCCTCATCAACATTGGCCATGCAGCATTAACATCGCCGTTTCACTTGCCGGCATTGTCCACTCTAACTTCCAAGTCATCCATGCCCTTCAGCTATCGGGAGCTCTTCTTCGGTGGGACGCAATTCTGCTGCTGCCTGCCCGTAAGGGCCGGCGTCATCGCCATGTCGCTTTTGGGTATCATCTTGCCTGGAATCCTGACAATTATCTTGTGGTACGAGGTGGCTAGTACGGTTTCTACATTTTCTTTCCCACCCGGTCAGTAACTGAACTTTTGAAAGGCACACCCGACCTGACAAGCGGAGAACGTGCTGGATTTGTTCTGGCCGGCCTATTAGAGACGTTCCTGTGTGTAGTTTCGATCCTCGGGTAAGTCACGTTCACCTGAGATCCGCCTGCCCTTTCATTTTAAATTCCTCAGGTTTGTCGGCGCTATAGTTCGGAAGCAGCTCTTTGTCCGAATCTACGCGTACTTCATTTATGTTCATTTCTTCATCAACGTGGGCGTCGCCGCCTATCTGCTATGGCTCATCACCCATTTCTCTGAAAACGCTGCCACCAAAGCATGTCAAGACACCATAAAGAACACTGGTACACAAGAGCAATGCATTGGCATACTACAGATCGCCAGCGGCGTCTACTTTGTCATAGCAGCATTGATTCTACTCGTTGAGATGTGTCCGTCCATGTGTTCACCTCCGTTGTCCATGTGTTTACTCTTTCTAGATGGTGCCATCATCGTTGCACGTTATCTGAACCAGATCCAAAGGGAGAAACGCACAGCACGAGCTTCTCGAGCGAGTATGGGCTATAAAATATTCCCGGCGCCGCGCTCAGAATACGTGTCTCTTGCCGATACCAGTGGAAGAACGTCCCGGCTCTCAGCACTTTCACCTGAACCATATACGTCGACACGCGAGTTCAATCCCTACGAAGAGTTTGACCCTTACCGAAACCAGTCGAATGCGGGGCCCTCAGTGATACAAGACGTTGATTTATATTCAAACGAGGATGGATTACCCATAGAGGCGGGATATGGAGGTACGTTGTAAGCTTTACTTGGTGCGCGTAGCGTCAATAACTTCGTTTTAGGAGGGACGTGGACCCATTCTGAGATATCCATGGAAGAAAAGGCTAGATTACAACGGTCGACGGTTGATGCTGCGGACCAACAGAGAGACGAGTTTGAAGATGTACATCCGCTGGATAAAGAGCAACAGCGGAACAGAGATTCCAAATCTCCTGCAGGCCCCCTCCCCCCCATGAGAACACGAGACATGGACGATTTGCCAAGATATTCACTTAATGACCCTCCTCGCATTTATGATAGTCCATTGCCACATTAATTGTAACACATACCATCTTTTCTCGCTTAGGGACCCTTCGTCGATACTGATTCTTTTAGTGTACTATGGTTTACCACATCTCGTAGGCCACATGCCTTGTATAATAACAGTTCATGGAGAATGACATTATGAACCAACTATCTGGCAAGTCCGTGCAACCTATCTCAGCGTTTGCACTCCAAGTTCTCGTTTGCTACGGTGGGTGATCCCGCAGAGTGTTAGGTTTTATACCACATTATATAGACTTTATACGGTAGCGTCCCAGTATAATAAAGGCCTATCCTGAGAAGGAGCACCTGATCCCAGAAGTTACCACGCCTGCGCGGTTTGGCGAAGGGATGAAGTTGTAGAGAGTCTCTGAATCTCCCGCGGGAACTGTTGATCCCATGGAGGACTCACTTCCGACTCCCTAAGAGTGCTCTCTTCGTCATCACCAATTGCAGACTCGGAGGGTAAAGAACTATCGACAACCTGGTAGGCGCTTCACCCTGGTCACAGCTAGGCATAGAATGACCCGTCTCATCGTTCAACGTTCAACTTTATCTTGCAGTGCCTCGCAACGACGGTGGAGCGCCATCAGGGATAAGGTTTGGGATTTCAATCAGTGGTTTTCGGGGTGAGTAAATGCGGAAGATGATGATGAATGGGTTGACACAGGCGCTATACATTGTAGATGCGTTAACTTTGAACTAATATGTGCTATATAGTACAGTGAGTGGAGTGGTCTAAAAGGTGAGGTACAGCAGGTTAATAGAATACGATGTAGATCTAACGTAGCTCTGCGTTTGCTTTTGCAGCTGCTTCAGAGGCAACACTAGGGTCCTCAGGATGGTTATCCTGGATGAGTAAAGAGTTTTCTTCACTGCTTGTGCGAATGACAACAGTATCGCCATCCCTGTAGCAAGTCAACGTTACGTTTATCCCCGAGTGGAAGAGAAAATGCACCCACCTGATGGTCCCTCTGAGCAGCTTTTGCGCCAACGGGAATAGCACGTCGGTCCGGACAACCCGGGCAATAGCCCGAGCACCATAAACCTCCGAGTATCCTTGCTTAGCGAGCCACTCCTTTGCATCTTCGTCGACATCCAATGTTATTCTTCGGTGTTTTAGTCTATCGGCGACGTCATTTAGCCGGAGCGACACGACTTGGAGGATTGATTGGCGTGACAATTTATTGAAGACGAGCATCGTGTCCAACCGATTCAGCAGTTCGGGAGGGAAATAGGAAGACGTGCGTTCGAGAACTTCATCTCTAGCTTCTGGTGTGACGACACCATCCTCATTGCAAGAGGTCGAATGAGCAAGAATATCGCTTCCTGGTGTGTACTTTAGTAAGTCGTGAAGACGGCTGCTTATCCACATACCCAAGTTGCTTGTCAGGCAGATGATTGTGTTCTACCGAGCCTTAGCGATGTATTATTGTTTAAGCAGTATATAACTTACTTTGAAATCCACTTTTCTCCCTTGGCTATCCGTGATACTCCCCTCGTCCAAAATTTGGAGTAGAATCATAGCCACATCCTGGACAGGAAACATTAGGTACCGGGTAGCTTCTAGAACATATGTGGAAGCGAGTGCTGACCTTATGGGCCTTCTCCAATTCGTCCAATAAAATAACAGCTGTGGAAATGATTAGAAAGACTTGGCAGTCATGAATAGCCGCTCCTACCATAAGGTTTTCTTCGTACAGCTTCCGTGAGTTGACCTGCATGATGGGAGGTTAATGATATATGACGCCAATAGTGTTTAAATGCGTACCTCCTTCAAACCCAACGTAGCCAGGGGCAGCTCCGATGAGCCTGGATATCGTGTGCCGGTCATGATACTTTTTAATGGTAAACTAATAACGCAATCTTCTACGGCAGGTAGACTTACCTCAGACATATTGATGTTGGTGCTGAAAGGCAAACATAGAATAAAGCGAGTACAGACACAAAGTCAGAACGAACACTTACAGACCACGTTGCTCGTCATTGAATAGAAAACCGGCAAGGGCTTTGCATAGTTCAGTCTAGAATCACGTCGTATGGTCTTCACTATACAGACTGAGAGTTGTCGCAATTTCTTACCTTGCCGACACCAGTAGGTCCCAAGAACAGGAAAGAGGCGACGGGCCGATTAGGAGCCTGCAACCCAGCGCGCGAAATTCGTACGGCATCACTGACAGCATGGACAACGTGATCTTGTCCAACCACCCTTTGTCTCAGCGTTTCTTCCATCTATAAAATTAATGGTGAGCTACAAGTCCCCATTGATACGTCTAAATAAAGAAGACAAACATGCACGAGCTTGTCCCTCTCTCCTTTCAAGAGACTCTGGACTGGGATGCCGGTAGCCTTTGCGACTACCCTGGAGATATCGTTGGACGTGACTCTGTCGTGAAGCATAGCCAACGGCGGCTCCGAGTCGCCATCAGGACGCTCAGCATTGTCATCAGGGAGCTGCCGTTCTAATTCAGGGATGGTGGAGAAACGCAATCGACTGGCAAGTTCATATTGACCCTGTCGTTGCGCCACCTCTAGCTGATGCTTCGCGTTTTCCAGACGCTCTTTAAGATCCTTTATGCGGTCGAGCCTGGCTCTTTCTAAGAAAAACCTTCAATTCAGAAATGACGTTAAGGCTGATTAAAACACGTACCGCTCTTCCATATTAATGTGAGTTGAGATGCCTCTTCACGTTTTGCGGCGAGGTCAGCTTCAACTTTCTGCCTGCGCTCAACGCTGAAGACATCTGACTCGTTTTTCAAGCTTTCCAGCTCAATCTGTAGGGTCATGACGTCTCGATCAAGTGCCTCAAGCTCATCTGGCTTCGATTCTTGAGCAAGGCGAAGGGCCGATGCTGCTTCATCCACAAGGTCAATTGCTTTGTCGGGAAGGAAACGGTCCGAAATGTAACGAGCGGAATATACGGCAGCTATGCAATATATTTATATCAACGAGGATTCCGAGAATGGAGTAATATGCACCTGTGACGAGCGCGGCGTCGGATATCTCAACACCATGGTGAACTTCATACCTCGATTTTAGCCCTCGAAGGATTGATATCGTGGCTTCTACGGTAGGCTCATCGATTTGAACCGGTTGGAACCTTCGCTCAAGAGCCGCATCTTTTCCGATGGTTTTGCGGTATTCGTCACCTAGTCAGACGTCGTGTCAGCACTTACTAATGTGATAAAGAGGACGTACGAGTGGTAGCACCAACAAGCTGTAGACCTCGCGCGAGCGCTGGTTTGATCATTTGGCCAGCGTCGATACTCCCCTCTGCTTTCCCAAGATTGAACAATGTATCTATTATTGGGATTGAGCGGCTTGCTTTGCGTCCAAATCGCGAAGACGTTGTAAGGACTTACGGACTTCGTCAATAAAGCATATGACATTCCTAGCCTGAACCATCGGTTAGCACCATATCATGTTTGATAGGTCGAAGCGCGCCTCGTCTTCGATATCCCGAATGAGGGCTTTGAATTTCTCTTCAAACTGTCCACGGATACCAGAACCGGCCATTATGGCAGAGAGATCAATGGAAAGGACACGCTTGTTTTGTAATGACTAACTTCCCCGTTAGTATGCTTGGCCTTTGTATGTAGTCCAGAACACACCTCCGGCACTTCTTTGGCTACTATTCTGCTCGCAAGACCCTCTAAAATAGCTGTCTTCCCAACGCCAGGAGAGCCGATAAGCTATATAATCATTCAGACTTCGCCTATTAGAATAGCTGCCGATGGATGATTCGTACCACAGGATTAGATTTAGTTCGCCGGGATAGGACTGCATCAGATCGTGAGTTTTCAGGATGTATACAATAAATGAAACCTTACTCTGTATCGTCCTCCGAATCTCTGTATAGTTGCTATTCAAAAAGATCTTCCATAGAAAGCAGGCAATACACACCTTCATCCCTGCCAATGATAGGATCCAATTTCCCATTTTTAGCCAACTCCGTCAGATCCACACTCTATATCACCATATCAATGTTCAAGACGTATGCTATGACTCGAGTGCAAGTACTTACATACTCCTTCAGGGCCTCTCCCTTCTGATGCTGAGGCCCCATGCTGAAACCCGGAAAGCCCCCTCCTCCTCCTCCTGGAGGCTGTGCATAGTAACGAACAAATCCTAACGAAATTGGTGGAAGAGCATTCCGCGCAATGGCCTGTCGAAGAAGAGCATTCCGAATGAAATTTGTGCTCCTTGGTCTGAGTGACCCAACCGTCGGATTTAACGACAAAGCCTTCGATGCATCCTTCGTAGTTATGAGTCGCAGCATTTCCGTAGGAGAAGAGTCAGATTAGTGTAAAGGTGCCATGATATTAGTACGAAAAACAGGATGACGAGAAAGATAGAGAAATTGCTAGAATTTGAAATTTGCCGGCTCACCCGAGGGTTGACAGGGGTCGACGTCATCACATCACGTGGTACTCGTGACCCTTGCAGAACTTCAATTCAACTTGAACTTCTTGAAAAAGTTCCGATGCCCTGGAACGGCAGTCAATCGCGAATACTAATACACTTAGACTGTTCTTGTCGCAAAGGGGCAAAAAATGCGCCTCGCTTGTTCTGAACTCGCCTCCTCTACTCCCTCGTGTCGATATCCGTTCAACAGTCTGTATCCATAACAGTCAGTCGACCTATTTTACCGGGGCTAGTACGTGATGGAGTGGTCATGTTGTCCGATGCCTTGCCTCTATCCACCGATGCTGTATCTCCAAGGGGAACGTTCTTAGTCTGCCTAGTGTATAAAGATGAAGGGTCTCCGAAATCTAGGCATTAATGGCTCAGCCCCTTCCCTCTATCGACGCCGTTTTGAGCACCCTGCCCTTTCGTAATGTGTACAGTACAGGCCTATTCTATTCCTCACCTAAATCTACGACCTCGGATGAATCCCATCCACACGACTCGGTACATCCTTATCCTGTGATCGAAGCCAGAAAACGACGCAAGGCATGGAGTCACGTCTTCGAAAAAGCCATCTTTACTAGTGAGGAAATGTGAGCCAATTCGTCCGTGCTCTTATTATTATGCACACTTGATGTTTATGTGAATCTAGATCCAACGAATCGGCCCCTCGACGCCGTAAAGTCTACGTGTCGAGTCTTGAAGCTCACATTGATGCTTTGCATGACCAGCTCCTTCAGTCCGTATATTTACAAAGGTTGTCGTCATGTAGCTGATGCGCTCTTCTGCCCCCCCCCCCCCACAGAATGGGCTTGTGGCCCGTTTCGACGAAGGAATTGGAACGACACAAGGGGCTGAATTCCAAAACTGCCAAGGTACATTCACTTTTTAGAATGCTGCATATATAGCACTTCATCTTTCTAGAGCATGGTTGCTATGTACCACCACAAAGTCGTGTTGATGCAAATAAAAATTTCTCAGTATGAGAAAATGGTGCGTACCTCAGCGATAACGGCAAGGAAGCTTCAAAGACTAAAGTTTTCTAGAATCAGCATCATGCTCAGCAAAACCTCGCGCTACGGGAGAGTCATTAGGATTGGACAGCTGCTTAAGCTTTTGGACACGTTCCATAATTAATCGCCATCGTCTTGTACTTAAGCATTAAGCAGTAAAATTTGAAAAACATCTTATCGCTTTGATCATCACCATCCATGAGGATTATCGAGAGATGAACTCCTAAGTTAGACCCTTTTTGCTTCTTGCCGCTATCCGGTGCTGTGCTTCGCAATCATTTACCGCTATCCCCTTACTTTGACTTCGATAATATTCACTCTCAGTCCTGAGGCTAGTGACATCCTCCGGACCGGGGTATTCATCAGCTTAAATAATTGCTCATCCCTTTTGTACCTAATTGACATCCTCCACTATCCCCCATCCTCGTTCTCGATAAATCATCATACATCGGCCGATACAAACCTCGATCGCCTTCACAGAAGCTTACCAACCATGACGGTGAATGGAGTATCTTCTGTAAAGACGAAAGTGATTCTTGTGGGAGTGGGGTAAGTAAAAACCTGACTCGTTCTGATCATACTATTTTCACGTCTACTCGGAGTTTAACGTGTCTGACATTTGGTTCGTTCGATGCAGCGGCGCGACATGCTCCGGCAAGACGACACTAGCGAAGCATCTCAAGAGCATCTTACCTGATAGTGTCATTATTCATCAAGATGTGCGACATTTTATCCATGTTGTTTTTTCCCTTCTTATATTACTCATTGATTGTCTAGGATTTCGCTCCAGTACGCTGCCCAGTGTTTTCTGTGGTCCGATTCAATATATCGTCTTTAGCCTCAGGAGCTCGTGCCATATCATCCAACTTACAAAGTGCAAGACTGGGATGCCGCACCAGGTGCAATCGAATGGTCTCGGCTGATCAAGTTTTTGCGCCATGTGAAAGCCTCAGGAGAGATACCAGGCGACCATCGTAGCCACGATCATCTGAACGAACAGAAATTGGTACAGGTAGACGAAGAGATCAAGCAGCGATGGCGGCACGAATTTGAAAAAATTAAGGAGGCGAATGCGGAGGCGGGGGAACGCGTAATCTGGGGTTTGGTGGACGGATTTTTGCTGTACTGGCATCCCGTCAGTCTTTTTTTGCCTGCAAAGATAGCCGTCGCTAACGGCACGTACAGGAAGTTATCGAACAACTGGACGTCCGTATATTCCTCCGCGTACCACATGATGTGTTAAAGGAGAGGCGACATCAGCGACACGGGTACCACACAGCAGGTTAGTATTTCTCATGATGCATTAATGATGTCGGGCTAAATCTTGTCCCCCCTCCTTCACTTCCTGATCCGCAACCTATTTAACCCCGCGCTTACTTTCCTCCTTACATACTTGGCTGCCCTTACGGAGTGCAATCCGATCCAGAGGGCTCGTTATGGCGCGACCCTCCCATGTATTGGGAGCAAATTGTGTGGCCAGCGTATCTTGATGCGCACAAAGATATGTTTTTAAATGGAGATCTAGAACACGGGGAACCCGGGGACAAAGTCAAGGGCGCATTAGTTATCGAGCCGCTAACAAAGAGCATGGGAGAAGTTGTAGAAATATGCTGTCAGGCCTTGAAAGACGCCGAGACCAGGTAGACCACATCACCGTAACCTATACTTTAGAATAATTTTATGGCATCTTGCTACATGTCAACTTGATGTCTTACATCGGCAGGGCGGCTCACCGGACCGGCAAATGCGGAGTAAAAATCACATGCCTTTACATGGTCCGGCTGGGAAAGCCAATCACAAGCCCCGCGTTAACGGTATAAGACCTCTGAACCACGACAAATTCTTCCTCCTCCTCTTCCTCCTCATTTCATTATGTCTGTCATTGTCGTCGGCGGCGGTCTCGCAGGTCTCTCAGCGGCTCACACGCTCCTCGAGCGAGGAGCTAATGTCCTGCTCCTTGACAAGCAAGGGTACGTCATCTACGGTTGACTGTCGCACGTCGTCCTCATTCGCCCTTCAGATTCATGGGCGGAAACTCAACAAAAGCGACTTCTGGTATCAACGGTGCCGGTACACAGACGCAACAAGAAAACGGGATTCCTGACAACGCGAAAATATTCTTCGACGACACCAAGAAATCGGTGAGCTGTCACTGGTGCACTTTTTCGTATTGGGCTCAATAAATATCTTTGTGTTAGGCTCGTGACCTCGCTCGAGATGACCTCATTCGCGTACTCACAGGTCGTTCCGGCGATGCTGTTAATTGGCTGCAAGACAAGTTCGCACTCGATCTGTCCAAGGTTGCTCGCCTTGGTGGTCACAGTCAACCACGAACCCACCGTGGAAGTGCTCAGTTCCCGGGAATGGTGCGTTATCATTGTTGCGAGCGCGGGCGTCCCTGCCTCAATATTTGTAATACCAGGTCATCACTTATGCTCAAATGGAACGCCTCGAGGATCTTGCCGTATCGGATCCCAACCGGGTTAAAATCCTGAAGAAGGCTAGGGTGACCAAGCTCATCAAGGAGGGCGATGCTGTTATTGGTGTTGAGTATACGCACGGCAACGCGACGCATACTGCTTATGGTCCCGTCATCCTGGCCACCGGTGGATATGCGGCCGACTTTTCTTCAGATTCCCTTCTCAAGAAATACCGTCCTGAACTTTGGGACCTTCCAACTACCAATGGCGACCATTGCACTGGTGATGGACAGAAAATGGCAATGGCCGCTGGTGCCAGCGGCATTGATCTGGAGAAGGTTCAAGTCCACCCGACTGGTCTTGTCGATCCAAATGAGCCGGACGCGAAAGTCAAGTTCTTGGCCGCAGAGGCTCTTCGAGGTGTCGGTGGTCTATTGCTAGATAACGAGGGTCAACGTTTTGTCGACGAGCTGCAGCACCGAGACTTCGTCACAGGTAAAATGTGGGAAAACGGCAAGGTGAGTTATAATTACTTCTTCCTTGTACCCTGATGTTGATGGTCCCGCTAGTATCCCATTCGACTGGTTTTGAACGGCCGTGCATCTAAGGACATTGAATGGCATTGCAAGCATTACGTAGGACGAGGCTTGATGAAGCGTTTCGATTCTGGTGATGCCCTCGCGAAGGAATTTGGTCTAGCTCCTGCGGTTCTTAAGAAGACGTTTGAGGACTACAACAAGAGCGTCCGTACTCGAAAGGATCCATTCGGCAAGAAGGTTTGTTTCTGTCGTGGATTTTGTTGAATATGCGCTTATCTGTATTGCAGTTTTTCTCCGGCGAATGGTCTTACGATGACTTCTTTCATGTTGCCATCATGACACCTGTTCTGCATTATACCATGGGTGGTCTCGAGATCGATGATGAATCTCGGGTGGTCTCTGCGAGCGGAAAGCCGATACCTGGTCTCTTCGCTGCTGGTGAAGTCGCTGGAGGTGTTCATGGAGCCAACCGACTTGGAGGATCTTCGCTTCTAGGTTGCGTTGTCTTCGGTCGTGTCTCTGGTGACTCTGCCGCAAAGTATCTGTTGATGCAGGCCAGCGAGGCCGTCGCGAAAGCTGGCGGACGGATCGGTCAACTAGCGGGACAGCTTGGAGGCTCATCAAGCGCAAGTGCCCCGGCATCGACGCCAAGTCCCGAAACAAAGAAGGAAGCAGCTTCTTCATTGGGTGTCAAGGCGAGGTCATTTTCGGCGGAGGAAGTTGCGAAACATAACAAGAAAGACGATATATGGGTAATTGTGGACGGACAGGTGTTAGACGTTACCAGCGTGAGGCCACATTTTTCACGCTTTTCGAGTATCCACTGACAGTCTCCAGTTCCTTCCTGATCATCCTGGAGGTGAGAAGGCAATCCTGTTATATGCTGGCCGGGACGCAACAGAGGAGTTCAACATGCTGCATGATCCCAAGGCAAGAGTTCATTTTTGCGATTTCTCAATGTTTCTAACACGGTCGTGTAGGTTATCCCTCGCTATGCGCCCGATGCTGTAATCGGTACACTCAAGAAGTAAATTGATGATGTCCTGTCCTTGTTTTCATGTCATTTGTAGGATGGATACTTGTATTTTAGTTGTCATGCCGCTTTTTCCGCCCTAATTATTATAAATCAAATTGAAACCTTGGACTATGACGCATTGACATGGGAACAGTAGTACGTCATAGACATCATCATCAGCCATGACCTCAACCCATATAAAGTGAAGACAGCGAAGGTGCTTTCATTCACACTTCCACGAAGAGAAGGGAAATTGCCGGTATCACAAAAATGTATCATCGTTTATCCTATCGAGCTTTGCGCGCCTCGCAAACGGCGGTATCGCCGGTAGCAAGAGCATCCAAGGTAGCATCGTCCCAGTCGCCGAATTTACTGGTTGCTTGACTGATCCTCGATTACAGTCAAACAGATCTTTTGCAACAGCGAAGCAGGACCCGCCAAATGCTGCTGCTCCGAAGTCGAACAATCAAAACTTGATTATCGCGGCGGTCATAGCAGCATGTGCGGGCGGCTACTGGTACTACAGCCATCCCAATGAAGTCGCCAACTTGGAAGCCAAAGCCAAGCGAGATGAGGAGGAATTGAAGAGAAAGGCGAGGGAGCTGGGTCATGCCACATTAGCTCGCACAGAGGATGCTAAAAAGCAGACACAGGTAAGTGTCATAGATCGTTCCGCAGACTCGGTATTAATTAGGATTCCAGGCGTCTCTCGACTCGACCATCCAGGCAGCAGAAGCTAAAGCTCGCCAAGCTTCCGAAGATGCTCAGGCGAAGTACGAATCATACAAGTCTTCAGGACAAAAGTCCCTTTCAGATGCTCGCGGTTCCACAGAGAATTTGTATAATGAAGCACGCGCTACCGGTGAGAAGAAGTATGATGAAGCGAAGGCCGCCGCGGAGAACAAGAAGAATGAGGCGAAGGCTAGTTGGGCCAGCTGGCTGGGATGGGGTAGGAGTAAATCTGAGGAAGTGAAGAAGGATGTAAGGGATGCGGCTGATAAGAACACATGATGAACTTTTTACGCAAGATTAAAAATTGGAAGAGAGGACTCGTGTATGACTAGTGTATTTCGCGGTACATAAATTATGTGTTGCCATATCGATGAAGTCTTCGGAGGCATCACGCACTTCAAAAAATAGCGAGGCGACGGGAGGCCGCATTCGGATCTTGGACGATCCATGTTTTACGTGAACATTGTTCTGCACTCCTTCATACCCACAAAGAGAGATCTTTGTCCATCAATGGGCTGGTTCGTCTAGGCTGAAACCGCTCCAAGTCGACCTAAAAACGCTGAAAGCGGTATACGAGCATCACACGGCATACAAACTAACTTACTCAGGTAATCAATACCTTCCACCATCTTATCGGATGGAAAGTGGGAAAAGTTGGAACATCCCATAAAGTGATAATTCACATTCATTTGCTGGGAGAAAATCTGACCACGCGCTCATCCGTGGTGTCGTATCCGGTGAATGAATTCCGTCGGCAAATAGTCGAGAGAGATGTTTCTCGATATGTATTCCCCGTCGAATATAAGCGCTCGACGGATAGAGCGCTTGTCTAGGCTTTCGGAGCCGTGATGTCTACCTGAAACGAGCATAGTTCAGGTCATTACGGGGTTTTCGGACTCACTAAATAGACGATCCCCGTCAAAAGTAAAGAGACTGGATCTTGTTTACTTCTCGGCACGGAGTCCATGTGGTCACAGTGGGAAAGAGGCAGATGTCTAGCTATGTTTAGTAGTTACTAACTTGAAAAGATGGAGTGAACAAAGACGGATAGATAGATGGTGGCACATCATGAGCAGTGACGTCCTTGATATAAGGTCGGGAGCCGGTGAACTCGAGAAGATCACGCCGATAGTGTGAACATATACAGCAGCAAGAGCGAGGACGCTTAATTCATGACGACGAGCACGGGGGGAACCGGTCCAGAAAAGATCCGTGGCGTGTAATGGAAACATGAATTGAAATCGCCACAGTAGTGAAGAACGCCGACAAAGACGAAAGCAGAAAGTCGGAGGGCGCCCACCCTCTGCCGGCCCTGCAGACAAGAACCCGCCAGAGTGATACGCCGCGGTTCTCATTGCGAGTTGATAGGTCTTCCCTTGGCACTGTTCGACGATAGCCGGCAGCTCGCGACAATATTGAAACATATAGGCAAATGGTTCGGGTCAAGATGTTGATTATTCGCTGCGACTGATGGCGAGGAGAGTAGTAGATGTTCATCTGTAAGTACTGACAGACGATGGCATGTTGTCGGATACAATTTTGTTGCGAGACCAGAACGTTGAAATTTGGTTCCATGTCTCTCGAAATTTGAAATTACGCGCGTCAGTGGCGAGACGTATGATCATTAACTCGGACTACAACTGTCGAATACCTGGGAGCGAGAGAAAAGGGTCCGAGCGAGACTGTCAAAAGAGACCGTCGAGAGGATACCAGAGCCACCTAGTATGCAAAGAAAAAAACGGAGAACAGGTTGACGGAGAAAGGACCGATCGATGGTAACACAAATTTTTGACAGAGGACAGTAGGGCAACCAGATGGATGACCTGACTGTGGCCCTGTTTTTACATGCCTTTCGCAGCATGCTTCCTTGGCTTCCTTTGATCCCGTTCGTCTTCTTTTTCTCTTTCCTTTCTCCGGCTCCCTATCACGTTCTCTCTCTTCTCTTTATGCTGCAGTCATGACCTCCCTCAAGTCCAGTATTTACCCAGAAGGCGATCCATTGGCTGTGGTCACCGCACCGCCGCCCGACGAATCACCGTCAGAACGTGATGAGCGTCTCTCCAATGAAAAGGCCGCTCAGAAAAGATCCGACGCTATAGACGAAGAAATTGCAAGGCAACGTATCGCTGAAAAAAAGGCGCCAAAAGTTGTCAAGGTCCTGCTGCTAGGTGCGTACAACAGAGCCCGCGTCTGATTCCATCGCCTGATTTGTGATCCCAGGGCAAAGTGAATCAGGTATTTCCAGTCTTCTCCATCACTGGGTAAGGCTGACACTCTGCCTTGCCAGGGAAATCCACGACGTTGAAAAGTACCTCGTTTTTTGCTCCGCTATCGCCTAACAGACTCTGACCGCCGCTTTGATCAGATTTTCAATTGATAAATTCCCCAAAGGTCCGTCGTGCCCTTTACCCCCCCCCCCCCCTGCTAAGTAATTAGTACTGACGTCCGTTCAGGCATTCCGTCAAGAACGCGCATCATGGCGAGCAGTAGTTCAGTTGAATGTCGCTCGGTCAATACGCATTATTCTCGACATCATGACTCAGGCCCACGCCCAACAAACTCAGAAGCAGCACCCTGTTGCGTCTTCCAGCATGTCTTCCTTCGAGTCTCTACAAAGACCCGACGTCGTCTATCCGACACTCACTGCAGAACATCTAAAACTCAAAATGCGCTTGAAACCCCTCCTCCAGGTCGAAGAGGCTCTCTTGCGGAGACTCTCGCCGGGAAACACCGTAGAATTCGAAGCTACCCAGCTCACCGTCCCTACATCACTCCCCTACCCTGATCGAAACTACAAGGAGCCTTCGGTGAACTCCGCCGTGCATTGGAAAGGCGCGTTCGGCAGGCTGCTAACCCCGAATGAGCAGCGAACTAGTTTTGACAGTGAACAAGGAATTGATTTCGATGACCCAAAGGACCCTGGACTTGTGCTTCACAATTGCCGTGAAGATATGGTCCATCTATGGAACGATCCGACCGTCAAGGAGCTGCTAAAGGTGCATAAGCTCAGATTGGAGGATTTGTCTGGCTTGTGAGTGGTTTTCAATCGGCATATTCATCTCTCATTGGTGTCTAGTTTCTTGGATTCACTAGACCGCGTTACTGCGTTGAAATACGTTCCCTCAGATGGTAGGTTACGTTGTTCGTCCGACGATCGCTCGAGTCTAAAAACATGTCCTGGCAGATGATATACTACGAGCACGAATAAAAACACTAGGTAGATAGATTCCTTAGACTGATCACCAGAACCGTTGCTGATTTTGTTCTATCAGGTGTCTCCGAACATCGTTTCAGGTTGAAGGCTGGTATGTTGGCTTCTTCGTATCGATCAACCGAAGGCCAACGTTCGAACATACACAGGCAACATGGTCAGCCATGATTGGAGGGTCTTTGATGTAGGAGGAGCTCGATCTTTGGTTCGTAACCTTCTCGTGTGAAGAAAAACATATGACTGATGACTGAATTATGTTTTAGCGAGGTACGGGACCCCAAGCGCCATCGTGTTAAGGTTCCTACTGACATCTGGTAGCCGCGTGGGCACCCTATTTCGATGATATGGACGCGATCATTTTCCTAGCACCTCTCAGTTGTTTCGACCAGGTTCTCGCGGAAGATTCGTCGGTGAATAGATTGGTGCGTCACACTAGCTATTGAATAAATGGAGATAATTACATAGTTCTCTCATTTCTAGGAGGATTCCATGTCCCTTTGGAAATCCATCGTGTCGAACCAGCTTTTGAAAAACACGGACCTCATACTGTTCTTGAACAAGTGTGATATCCTGAAAGCGAAACTAGAGTCGGGAATCAGGTTTGGTACTTGGGTGATATCGTATGGCGATCGACCCAACACGTTCGAAGGCGCTGCAAATTGTAAGTGATCTTACTATTCATTGCTCTTGCAAATGAATAACGAGTATATTCAGATATGAAAAAGAAATTTGGTTCGCGTAACTGGCTTTTAGGCTTTCCGCTTCTTATGATGCGTTTTCTAGCTGGTAGCTTCAAGGCTAATTCTCCCGAGCCCAGGCCTTTTTATTGTCATTTTACTTCCGTCACTGTACGTATCTTCGGTGTTTTCTGCTCGGGCGGCGTTACCTTAACGGCGTCCATTTTTCCGATCTGTAGGACGTGAAATCGACGACACATATACTAGAGAATGGTACGTTTTGTCGACGAAAGTCTTGTCCGTTCGTTTCTTATGTAGTGTCATACAGTGAAGGACACCGTCGTGCGGAAAAATCTACAAGATAGTAATATGGTTTAGTAAACCGCCTACTATACCCGCTGATATTTAGCAGGTCTATTATGACTCCTCCGTATTTCTTGGATGTTTTGTTGCCATAATTTACTACTTCCTCTTCATCTCATGGTCATGTACGTCTGTGTATTTATGTAAATATGTATGTACCCATAGGCACAAGCTACGGCATTAATACCCCTTGCATAATGTCAGATCCGTCTGGGAACCGGATCGCCTACATTCTTCCAAGGATACCGCAGCAACTGAAATCGAAATTCCATGAACAAAATGCACCGGCCAATTGTCACCGTGCCGTCAAGTTGAAGTAGGAGTGTCATGCATACTCAATGACTCGACAACGTCGCCTGTTCCCCTGTCCATCAAAGATGATCTGGAATTCTGAATGTTAAATGCGGAATTGAGCGTGTTTCGATATATTGCCCTCATTTCGTGATGAATCTTCGTCATTACGATATGGACTATGGGGCAGGGAGCCAGGGACAACGAGCGCTAGTTTCCATCGGCAGGCAGTAGTCTCTGAATCTCAGTAAGGATCTTAACCAGTCACAGGTACCAGGTGATAAGGAACTCGACCGCAGTCCGCGGAGGTTTTATGATGAAGCTGATGTATGGAAATACGTTTACGCGTGCGGATGCAAGCAAGAAACGGTCAGATGTCTGCTGTTTTCAATAGAGTCCGACGCGCCAGTGAAGCAGAAGATGTAAGTCTGTAGGTTGTAGGGTTGATGACGACTCGAAGAAGGTAAAACTGAAAGCGACGTCTAATTCGGTAGAGGCGCTCGGGCGGCTCGATAAGAAACATCGATAGGCATCATTGGGAAATGAAAGCGCTGGGATACAAAGGCCACCAGAAAGGGTTATCATGTAGGGATAGAAGTACACAAGCTTGATGTCGCCTGATAATAATGAGCGTAAGCCGGGAGAGCTATTGTTCCATTCTCCATATGTAGTGTGTCCTTGGTTACCGACCCACACGTACAATATATAAGATGGTTAGGGCTGCATAAACCTGCGAGAGCTGTGAAATGAGCTCTCAGGCAGGATCCAGAACCAAAGCAGCAAAACATACTGATGACCTTTATCGACACCATGAAAATTTCCCGCAGATAGTGATATAGGCTGGCACAAGATCCTCGAGTGAGATGCGTTACGGCAAAAGAGCGAAGCGCCCGCAGTTCGATATCAGTGAGCAAGAAAAAACGCGATGCGAGTCGGATGTATGCTCTGTATGCGCCAACTGAATCCGAATTCTGTTTGCAGCCGAGCAGCGATAACAAAAGGGTTGGACTGATTTAAGATATCAGGCTAAGACTAGATCATCAGAAATCGTCGAGAATGGCGCTGAAGGGGCTGTTATTGTCTAAAGACGTTAGCGCTTACACGTCCAGAACAACAGAATAATAGAACAATAAGATGGTGGTGGTATGTAAATACCAGTCTGAGTGGTGGCGGTGCATTCATTACATATGTCCCTTTTCACCAATTTCAGCTGTCTCGATGAGCTCATCCAAGTCGTCTACCAGGATGTCAACCGATTCGTTGTACTCTCTAACGTGTCTAGTAGCGAATGGTCAATTCATCTAGGTCTGACAGACGAAGGACGGTGGTGGTACGGACGGTGGCAAGAGGCGGATGTCACGAAGCTGGTGGTAAGTTGTTCTTCGAGAAGAAGACATCACTTACTTATTAGTCGATCTACAGGGCACCAATCCGTCGGATTTCTTGCTTGAGACGTTCGCGGAGAAACTGGCGGATAGCATCCTCAAGGGTGACCTACATATCACTAATTTCGACGGGGGTAAAGACATCAGCGCAAGTTCCAGTCATTTCTGCCTACTCGATGACTGACGCACCCTCAGTTTACACTTGGACCAGCTACTAAGAAGCCTATGAATATCTCTCTTGAAGAGATGGTCCCTGAAGAATCGGCGATATACGCATGTCGCGTGTTGCTAGATGTGTGGCGTCGTCAATCCTTTCGTCGTGGTTCTGACTCTCATGATCTCCAAGGTTGCTCTACAGGCGCAGAAGCGGAAGTGTCACCTTCATCCCGATGGCCTCGATTTTATTGCGGTGCAGCCACCTGAGCCTTCGGGCAGTACGACTCGAACGCCTCCCAAGTCCAAGCCCGTGCCTAGCCCTGCTAGTCCCAAAGAGAAAGAGGTCAGAGAACCCAAGGCTAAGGCAGGGTCTTCAAATGACAAGAAACGGAAGGAGGCTGAGCTGGTCAAACCTGAATCTAGTAAGTTCCAAGGATTGGCTAACTTTCCGGTCAGCTAAGGCAGGTGTTGCAGAGAAGGCGTTTTCGCCTCGACCTATGAAGCTGCCAGGCGGGTCGCTGGCAAATCCTACCAGGAAAGCTCGTTATTATGTGCCGTATGGATTTGTCAGCGACAATGAAGATTGGGACTCGGATTGAAGGCGTACCCCTTCTCGGACTCTTGTAATGTACTACATAGCATTGTATATGTCTTCAAATTCGGTCCAGCAGAATATATTTTGTAGTACGCCGTCTTAGCGCGCGCTCCCAAGTTTGCATCTAGGCTTGATCTCGGTACCAATCCGAGACGTACAGCAAGTGACACTGTACACAGCTTCTGCACCTTGCTCCACAACGTTACTATGCATTTGCCTCTGTTGTCAGACGAACAGGAAAGGTATGCTGGACAAAAATCTGCATGGCTTCGATACTTATGGATCCCTTAGTCCTGTCATTCATATCAGTGTGTCGTATTCACGAAGCGCCCCCTTCTTGCCTTTAACGTCTATTTAGTTCGCGATGCTCGAGGCCGTACAAATGTTTCTGGTCCAGCTGAAACAATAGACAACGTCCAAGAACCCATCGATCCTACTCACGACTATGCGATAGGCCGCTGCCCAACGCCTGCCCTTGAACTAGCGCTTCTTCTTTCTTCGGCGTGTGATGTTGACCCGCCCAGCCGTTTTGAATATGTTGAACTCTGGCGTTCTATCCTCATTCATTTCTTCCCTGGACACATGGTTATGTCCGATTGGGAGATTCCCTTCTCTTCCGACTATCACCAGTACAATGATGAAGGGCGCTCTTCCAGCTGCCAGACCGTTTCCTTGGCCGTGTTCCCCCCTGACCGAGTGCAGCCCCTTGCAGTGGTGCAGGTATCATCCCAAGTGGACTTTGATAATCCTCACCTACGAGATGCTGCTGCATTGGAATCGTCTCAACTTTTTGATTATCTTGCCCCGTACAGCGAGTACCCACAGATTATGGTGATTGCTGCGATGGGCATGAGCTGGAGAGCCATCAAGAGAAGCGTATTCCTCTCGAGCGACGAGGCGGAGAGTGCATGGTTGAACACGTCGCACCAGAGGGCTGAATCTACCTATGAATGGATGCACAATGTTGTTAGCCAGGTCAGCTGGGATGTACTGGAGGAGCTGGTTGCCTCTGTAAAGCGCTCGTCGTGTGAGTTGATTTAGTTGAAGGGGGGAGTATTGCTATTGCAAAGGCTGCGGCGTGGATATCTGCTGTATTTGTATCCTGCTTGTATCTCGTTATCTACATTTTTTGCACTTTTTCCGGAAGTCGGACCGGTCACCATCGCGCCATTTCGCGATAACATTGCCGGCCGTGTTGGCATCTGACCGCCATCACTTATCGGTTTGTAAGTTTATCAATGCGAAGCAGGTCATCCAGTCATTCTTCCTCAAGTTCTTCTGCCAGCTCGAACGTGGATTCCACGCGTCGTCGCTTCCTGTCTCGTCAGGCTGTCCACAGCATCGGCCTCGCAGTCGTCACTCAAGTTCTTGCCAGAATGTCGTCGTCTCCCGTCAAGCAACACGAGGATCCTGAGCTTCCTGGGCCCTACATTACTGAGTCTACGTCTCTTCTTAATTCGAAGCAGGAGACTCCATGTGAGGCAGACCCAAAAACGCGAGGTGCAGTATGGTCTGCCTTGACTGCGCTCACGGTTGCAGCCTTGGTGGTCTTGTTATTCTTCCAGGATTCTCTTCCAGATGGCTTCGCGCCGTGGCTAGGCACCCTTCCCAAAGATCCAATGCTTGCTGCCCTAAAGATCCTGGAAAAGGCACCCGTTATCGTGAGTCACACTGGTTCTCCATATCACGCCCGTCTGAAACCACACCAAGGATGGACACATCGGTTGGTGATAATGCTACTGTTCCATTTTTCATTAATATTATAAACTTTTCACCAAGACCTTCCGTGGCTCGTACGCATGGAATACGCGAACAACATCTCTGCTGTCGATCTTGAATCCACGATGCCCGGCCATGTGGATATTCCCAGACTTCGACAAGGCAGAGTCGGGGGTTTCTTCTGGTTAGGATTTCCTATTCTTCTTTTCAAGACGTCAAGTTTAACCCTTGGACACAGGTCGGTATTTGTAAACTGTGCGGACCCGGAAGCCGAGGGCCCCGGATTCTTGTCTGCGTCATGGAAAGTCAGGTCTGAGGATCTCTTTATTATTGAACTCCAGGGTTCTCAAATGAGCATCCTTTCTCACTTGCAGGGACACCCTAGAGCAAATTGACTCCGCAAGAATGTCGATCGAGAAATATTCTGATGTAAATTTCTTCTTTCAGAAGATAAAGGAACGACTCAGGTGTTCGCTTGTAGACATTTCAGCTCGCTCTTGGTTCATCAGAAATCAAATCTGCCATAACCAAAGGCAAAATTGCCAGCCTTATCGGTGTCGAAGGGTACGTCGTATCCCCATTCATGCGCCTATGATCTCGCGCTAGTCCTAGTATGCGTCATTGTTTGGAACGAATCGTGTATTCTTCCCGTCCACGATGTCTATTACATCCTCTATCTTCTTTCTGATGTCAGTCACTGACGCTGTTAAAGCGGACATCAACTAGGAAACTCAATCGCTGTTCTCCGGCAATATCATTCTCTGGGCGTTCGATATATGACTTTGACCCATGTCTGTCATAACGCTTTCGCGGACTCTTGCGGATTCTATCCCGGAAAGAAGCCACTACATGGCGGTCTTAGGTATAGCTCTTTCAAATTCTACTCCATGGGCTTCTTGTGACTTGCGTTATTGTATTCCAGTACTCTGGGATATGCGCTCATCGATGAAATGAACCGCCTCGGCGTATTAGTGGATCTTTCACATACTTCGGATGCGACCGCGGCCCAGGCTTTGAACTACTCCAAGGCACCGGTGATATGGTCTCATTCGTCATCAAGAGCTGTACACGATCATGTTAGAAACGTTCCCGACGATGTGTTGAAATTAGTAGGTACTGGGGAAGGACAAAGTGATGCTGTTATCATGGTCAGTAGGGTCCCCTCCTCTATTGCCCATCTTTGGCGCCGTGGCGCTGCTAATCGGTCACCTTCCATAACTCTGCCTGTCTAATTGTCTGATTCATGCTTTCTCCAATCGGTTTAGGTAAACTTTGCGCCCGATTTCGTAGCAGACCCTGGTCAGGCAACCCTACAAGCTGTGGCTAATCACGTTGAGCATATCGCAAGCATTACGGGAAAGCAACAGTACGTTTCGTCGACCCTGAAATACGTGATATTCATAATTGTTTCTCCTTCCAGTGTTGGCATAGGAAGTGATTTCGATGGTATCGGGAGTACTCCCGCAGGGTTGGAGGACGTGTCAACATACCCTGCATTGGTGAGGCCCATTTGACTGCATCACTGACCAAAAATTCTGATGGCGGATGGCTATAGGTAGCGGAATTGTACCGGAGAGGCTGGAAAAAGTACGAACTTGCAGGGTTTACAGGGGGTAATCTACTGCGGATTTTCGAAGGTGCAGAGCAGGTGTCGAATCAGCTGAAAGACTCGGGCATGTCTCCCGTGTATGATATCTATGACAAGAGGAAAGATATACCTGGCAAGTAGTGTTGTGTTGTTCTACCACTAATGAAATGTACTGGACAGTATAGCTCCACGTCTCCGATCCATCTCATGTTCTCATCAGATCTTGGTGATGGGAAATCTCGGTCATTTCCATGAAGGATCCTGGAGACAGGTCTCTGAAGTCAATTACATTGTGCGCTGGCTATGGAAATTATTTCGAACCAGACACAGAGAAGACATGAGGCTCCAAGTCGCATGTAATCTTTCCCATGACCTGATGGACAGCCTTCATCATGAGCTTTTGGCCGTGGCCATTGAGTAGGATGGGAGGTCTAATCAACACCTTTTGATGTTGGTCGTCGGTATCTGGAAAAGCGGTACTTTACAAGGCCGGATACCGTGTCTCAGAGGCCTCTAGACGAAAATGGAATAAAGTGGTCAAGGCAACAGGACAAGGCAAGCGCCCTGGGATGATGATGATGGAATGATGGTGATAGCTTTTTAACGAGAGATTTGGGACAAAGGCTGCCAACCTGTACTCACTTTCTTTTTTTCTTTGGCCAGGCGCCGATAATATACATTACATTGGTCAGCCTTTTTCCAACCCCGAAATCTTCCATGCTCATGTGCTTCTTTGTTTTTTGTAGACGTTTCTGTGATCATCGCGAAATACTCGGACACTTTGCTCACTGCCGAAGTGGAACTTCTGTATGTCAATCAAATTCTTCGAGTGTTTGACGTTTACATTGAATACCTTTGTCGTCACCAGTTTTCTAATAATGTCTACAAGCATCTCTCATTTGTCATTTTTCACCGCGTCGACCACTCCCGTAGCTTCGGGAAGTGAGTCAAACGGTTCTTTAACGGTGGCCATTGTGACAGGTGTAGTGGGAGGTGTATCCACATGTGTTGTAATTGGATTGGTGATTTATTTGCTCGTTCAAAGACGAAGACAAAGGAAACAGGTCCGACAGGCGGGTTCTGACACAGAAAAAGGACCGGCGATCACAAAAGATATCCCACCGCTTCCGGCAGTGTATTACAGCAAAGGGGAATTCTCCTCTTGGTCCACGGAGAGCCTTCCACCTGCGCGTCCCGCGATTAAGGTGATAACAGACCTTTCAACCGGAAAAACACTCCCTAAATCACCGAGCAAACCTACGACGCCGAAGTGGAAACTGAAACGAGTACCCGTGCCGCGACTCTCGCGACTTCCGCCTTCTCCCATGCTGAATCGAGTTCACTCTCGTCTGTCTTTTTCACGATCGAGCAGGTCGAGCAGTCGCCGGACCACGAAAATAGACGCGGTACCCCCGGTTCCAGTTCTTCCTTCTCCCTCGCTACCCCCTACCCCCGTGCCATCCGTACTAGTGTCGGTACCAGCTGGTGCATCCTCGCCTACTAATCCTTTTCCCTCTTCGGCTTTCTCCACACCATCAGTCGCCACTCCCTCAGGCTCGCTTCCACCTACTACGCTCGCCATCCCAACGTCAGCCTTTCCAGATCCAGATGTCCCATCATCAGCGGTTTTCCCACTGTACACCCTTTCGCCTGCGTTTCCATCACCATCATTGTTTTCGTCACCAGTTGGAACTATGCCATCTGCTCATCAGCGCCCTGCCGTATCTTGAGATGACGCCTTTTCTCCGGTTCCCGTCATCCCTTATCATCTTGTCTCGTGGATGCCTCGTAGTCGGTACGCGGGACCGATGACAATGGACTCTTTTTATAGATATCGCTTCATTAAATTATTTAGTGTTAACTTATGAACGGTTCTCATGCTAGCATGTACCGTAAAAATTGTAACTATTGAGCGCTAAAGTTTAGCCTGCTAAATGAATAGCCGCAGTTGCGGCCAGATTCTGTACGAAGTACTAGTGTGGCCGCGGTATGAAGGCCCTGCCGCGGGTGATTCAAGACCATTGTGCGATCAGCGCAAAATGAAGATGTCTACCAGTGAGCATCGGACAGACTCAAGTCTAGAGCAAGCTTGAAAGCAAACGAACGAACCCTACGAGCCTTAGTCCGGACCCGTCTGAAAATCCCCGATCACCCTGATCGGTATGACTCATGTCAACACATCGTGAAAGGCGCCAGTTCAGCAGACAGCTAGTTCAAACAGGTTACAGCGAAGAGAGAAGACCGTTATAGAACTAAAAACGGTGTCAGCTGGCTGTATATGATGGAAGCGTACATATGCTCATGACATCAGCCAGGAAGTTTTCCTCTATCATCAATCTTCATCCATCATTTCGCCCTTTTCCCTGGCTTGTGCAATCCGGGCCTTCATTTTAGTCTTCGCTGATTCTTTCGCTCCTTCCAGTTTCCCTGCCTTAGCCAAGGCGAGAACCAATGCGTGGACGAGACCGAAGTGATTGTGCCTTCGAACACTGCTTTCGAACTAAAAATAATAAAAGGTGAAACCTCGTCTACGATGGAAAAAGAAAATGAACTGACTGCCCAGCGATCCCTTTTAGAGGTCTCGGTAGAGATCTTGACAACAAGTTCTGCGGCTTCAGATTCTAGGCCAGCCGATTGAAGCCTGCTGGAGCTGGGACTGCAGTGACGGAAGAGGATCGTCTCGAACCGCCAGCAGACTGAACTCGAGCTAGGGTAGGGAGTAAATTGTAAACCAAAAAGAGGGTCTATACAAACATACCGAGTTCTCCGGATATGTTGCTATTCTGGCTTCGATCGCGTCCCTGAAATCAGGTTAGCAGGGGGGGGGGAGTTCTTTTCCAGAGGACGCACCGAGCGGCCTTCAGCCACCCTTCGCCCTGGTCTTCGTAATGACCGTGTCGGACTGCATGCGGTTTCAGGCCATCCAATTCATACACGGATCCCATCACTGGGAGGTATACAACGAAGTGGTATGCTTCCTCCGTTCTCTTCGGTAGCCCTAGGCCGTCCAAAGAAATTGCACTGGGAGGTGAGAGAGAATTGTGGGCCTCTCTAAGCCAGTCGGCACTTGTGATGACCATCCCACGCGTCTGAGGGTCCATGCCGGTGGTGAAGTTCATGAGTTCTCTCAGTTGTGAACCCATAGTTAGAGTAGGGATGTTGCCGAGTGCGTTCGAAACTGCCAGCGTGGCACATGCGTTATTTACGACCTGGTGGGCAAAAAATCCAGGGAAACTAGGATCGTATTGGCCTGCCACCGAAGAACTTTCTGAGAGCGATGGGACCCATTTAAAGAGAAATATGAGGGCATGGAGGGGTTGCAAAGAAGCCAAAGATTCAGGGTCAAGAGAGTACAGGTCGTCAACAATCAAGGGAACGCCGAGGGTCTTCAACAGTTCACTGGAGTACAAGCGTGATTATAAGGCAGGCAATTGAACAAAGTGACGCGTCGTACGTGAATACACCCGGATCGGATTCCATTAATTGCCATCCATTAGATTCTTCTTCGTTTGACATTTTGATTATTCTTCGCACGTAGTATAATGATATACCAGAGGATACTAAGAGCGAGAAGCTTGTAGTAGTACTAGAAAGGTAAAAATTTCAATGACGCGTACCGTCCACGTGGAGCGTCTGTTTGTCCAACCTGATCGACCCTGTCACATCCAAACAAAAGGTTCAAGGTGCTCCTCCATGTTCAACGAAGGTGAAGGGTCTTCATCTGACCCCAAAGTTGCCAATAGAGCCAGGTTTGAGGTGATACAAACCTTATATGCTTCGAAGTCGGTGAGCACTGAATAATCTTTTTAGGTCGAACTCGAATTCGTACAATCTCTCGCAAACCCTTTCTATCTACACTCTCTGGCCCAGCAGAATATCCTGGAACAGCCAGCCTTCATTAATTTTCTAGAATACCTCCAGTACTTCCGGGATAAAAACTATGCTAGATTCATACAGTCTGTCAAGACACATCGTTAAAACTACTTCGCTCTTATCTCCATCTTTTCCCGTCTAGCTATCCTCATGCATTGCACCATCTCGAACTGCTTCAGCATGCTCAGTTCCGCGCCGAAATGAAGAAGGACGAATTTTTGAGAGAATATCTGAATCAGAAACAGTTCGACCACTGGAGAACATGGTTCGTTTTCTCCAATCGCGGTTTACAGCATTATTGAAACAGATTTACAGGCGCGATCCGTCGCACACGAACAAAACTAATGATACGTCCCCGGTGGACGGGGCAGAGGGACATGGCATGATGAGTAGTACCTAGGAGCCGGTGCCTCGGCGCTTAATCAATAGTTACGAAACATAATGATGAGAATGTTCTTGAGAACATCGATGCCTGTCCAATCATTCCTCGTATGTACGGAAATGTACGAATTCTTTTTCACTCTGGCGGCGATTGCCATCTTTGGACCGGACCGGGGTAACGAACCTGTGTGACACGCACGCCTATGTTCATTTCATGCCTATACCACCAGGAGCCGATGAATACCCCTTCGAACATCATAGTTCTAATCCATTACAGCCTTTCTTGACACAAGAAGGTGAAGATGAAGATATTACCGAGGAGCCAGTGCATTTGGCGTCCGCAGAGGAAAAGAAACGCCGATGGTGGAGAAACGCGGTATTGAACGTGTTGTTTATTGCATCCTGGTGTGTCTTGAAAAGATTGTAGAATCGCATATATGGCTGAATCCAGCCCTTCTAATGGACCCTTTCCGGACCTCGCAGGTTCTTCTTTGCCACCGTGCTCTCTGTCTACAATAAATGGATGTTTTCAGACAAACACATGAACTTCAAGTTTCCCTTGTTTGTCACAACGCTTCATATGTTTGTGCAATTCGCACTATCTGCGGTTCTTCGAGTCGTTTGGCCACATCACTTCCGTCCAGAAAAGAGTCCGCAGCTCGAAGATTACGGGTGAGTAGGCCTTGCCCACGCTTCGCAGCCTATTGCTTGTTTGTATCACGTATGGCGGACCCCGCGGTTCTTTAATATCGCTATTCCTTTCTGCCGTCAGTTTATCTCCTTCCGTTCAGCCTCACTGAACAGTCTTTTGCGTTTTAGGAAAAAAGTAGTTCCGACGGCTGTAGCCACCAGTCTAGACGTAGGACTGTCCAACTTCTCCCTCAAAACGATCTCATTGTCTTTCTATAGTACGTCCCGTTACCGTTAATTATCGTTTTGACGCCCCTGATTTCTCCACTTTCTAGCCATGTGCAAATCTTCCTCGCTTATATTCGTTCTCCTCTTTGCCTTCTTCTTCAAATTAGAAACGTTTTCTTGGCGCTTGGTCGGAGTTATCTTCCTAATTTGCGCAGGCGTCCTTCTCATGGTTGCGACTGAAACACATTTCGTGCTCCAAGGTTTTCTTTTGGTTATCAGCGCTAGTGCCTTGGGCGGCCTACGCTGGGGCCTCACTCAGCTACTGTTGCGGAATAAGAAACTTGGTTTGGACAACCCTGCCGCGACTATTTTCTGGATGTCACCTACTATGGGAATTTCTTTGGCTGTAATAAGCGCTGTTATAGAAGGATGGGGCGCCGTTATACACAGCGGTTTTTTTGCCACTTTGCCAAAGGCCCTGGAAACGATCTTCTACCTGATGGCCCCCGGTGTCGTCGCATTCTGTATGGTCATGAGTGAATTTTAGTAAGTGACATTGACGGCTCTTAATTTGGACTCTTGATTAAGGGATTGTTTATAGTATCATTCAACGAACGGGCATGGTGCCAATGTCGATCGCTGGAATAGCGAAGGAGGTAACAACGATTACTATCTCGGCGTGGTTCTTTGGCGATGAGCTCACACCGTTGAATATTACCGGTGTAGCGGTCACAGTTTGTGGTACGAGTTTTTCTCCGAACTGTCAGCGCCTTGATCGTTTACGGTTTAGCAAATACCGCTCAGGTATCGTCTTATTCACGTATCATAAGTATCGAAAGTCAATCGACTCGCCGGTGCCATTGGACGCACACGGAAATCCTATATTATCAGATGAAGAATTTCTTGATGGTGATCGTGGACAACACGTTCTGCTTGGTGACTCGCTGCCATTAACAATGACGCGTGGCAGTGGGGAGTTTCACGGCGTGCGCTTATATTTTACGTTTGAGATGCCCGTTACTCACGCAGACCGAAACACAGGACATTTCTTCGGCGAGCTCCCGCCAATTGTTATTCTCCGCCGAAGAGGAAATTGAGACTGACGACGCGACGCTTCCGTCGGCTGCGACAATTCGACCTCGAGCGGACCGACGGGCTGCCAAACGGAGTTGGACACGATGATCTGCAATTGCAATCACTCGAGTCCTCGGAAGAGCAAAAAGCATGGGCTTCATAAGCCTTCATATAGAGGTGGGCAGACAGAGTGAGCATCGGAATTTGGAATAGTAGCTTACGGATTCACCACATAGATGACGCAGATGTAATTTATTCAGGTCCGAAAGAACGAAGGGGGATTGCGTTACATATCGTATACCGAGACGGCCTCTGTGTACCCCCTTGTCCCCATTTGCATGCGGGGCTGTGTTTTAGTGGACCACATACCTTCCGATCCATCAAGCGTGGATGGCAATCAAGATGGGACTTGCACCAACATTATTGAATCCGTGATCGTGGTTCCTGAAGTGTGTTTGCTTCGAGTCTAGACAGAAGTAGGGTAACGACTAAGAAATCCTCGAGCATGGCCACACGTGGGGAGAAATCTGGATATGGAAGACGTACACGAACATGACTACGGAGTATGGAGGTGGATTTGAGGATACGGTGAAGGAAAGGGCACGAGAAAAGTGACTCAGCGATCCAGGGTAAACAACAAATGAGCCGGCTCGGAGGGACAAAAAAAATCTGGGCCTACTATTTTATGTGCAAGATGTGATCACCGCTACGCGCGCCACCTGTTTGGGCGCACACATGGATGTGGGCTCGCTTGAAGATGGTAAGCGAGCAGCAAGTAAAGTGATGGGATGCCAGACATGGTCGGAAATGGAATGATTGGTGATTGGACTGATTACAAGGGATCAAAGAGATTTGTTTTTTTTTTGAGAATGCGATGATTGTGATATTACTGTATTTTGGCATTGGCTTATTACAGGTTGCCACACTTTTGCCACCATTTTGCATTGATGTTGCATGTTTTCAAAGATGAACATGGGTGATGATGTGATGGGTGACGTAAAAATCCACGCTACACACGCTGTAGAAGATCAGCCACTTGGATGGACTGCAGGCTAAGCGACTGGCGCGCGCAGATGGACTGTCTGCAGGATGCCAGCCAGTTTGCTTCGAGCCGAGTCGACTCAGTTCGGGGGACGCGCTGGCTCGGCTGAAATAGTACCGAGTACGCAGGATCTTACCCGCTACGTTCACAGATTTCTGCCGATTTCCTGATCCCAGCTCCTGTCTACTTAGCCCGGCTCGAAGATCCGAGTCGGATTGGGCCAAGCTGCCCTACCGTACGGCGGCTGCCAACGAATGACTGGTAATCTGGATACCGTTTGTGTCGCCGATGCCCGCTGAAACTCTGGATATTTCTGGTACCCTTTGATGCCTTATTTTGCCCTTATTTTCCAGCTATCATAGAATATAAATGAATTCTGTTACACCCGTGACTCTCGCAACTTCGGCCTCGAGGTCCAGGTACTCCATAAAAGCCATCTGAGCCTTACGACTTGTTGGCTCGAAGCTATCCCAAACTATCCCAATGGACGACTCCTTGCAATTCATTATCGAATCCCCTCAAAATGCCCAGGGTCACAAGAAACGCCCGCGTCTTGTAACCTCTTGCGACAATTGGTCTGTCCTGCCCTTCATCTTTCGTCCCCCCCTCACTGCTGACTTGTTTCAAGTCGTTTGAAGAAGATCAAATGTCTCCAGCCTTCCCCAGAGACAAAGTGTGAGGCGTGCAAGACTGCCAAAATCCCGTGTCGGTTTCGCGACCGTGAACGCTACTTTGCAGAACGAAGTCGTGCTATTGCTGGGCCATCCGGGGGGCAAGGCTATGATGAACGGTACGTCGCCACATCATCTCCCAAACACGTTATCTCACGTCGTCCAGGTCGTCCGATTCTTCCCTAGACGCCTTTTCTCTTTCTCCTTCACACTCTTCTTCGCTGAGGGCAAGCGGTGTGGTCCGACCCGATGGCGAGTCAAGGGGACGTTACCCGTCATTCTCCTCTGATCCGCGTCCGTCTCATCAGTAAGCCGAATCCTGTGCGTGACATGTTGCAGCCCGCTCACGGCGCGCTTAGCTCCCCCTCGTCATCAATATCATCTTACTCCCATTCCCGAAGTAACTCCCTGGGTTACAATTACATGTCATCGGACGGGTCGCCCATCTATAACAGCTCGCGTTCACAATCACCCCAGCAAAATTCCGGCGCAGTTGTTCTTTTCGATTCCGACCAACAGCATCCACACCCTACCTTGATGCCTAACTTTATTGGTGTGCTGTTTGAGCGCATGGGCAGCGAGTTCAAGTTCTTTACATATGGTGAAGTTGCGGCAAACTATGGTGCAAGGCGGCTCTCCGCCTTACTGTCCAACTCTATTGCTGCCTTGGCGTCTCAGTATGTCACATTTGAAATCTTCTAAAACCGCGGATCACTTACTGGTTCACAGATACACCACTGTTCCCGAACTTACCGTCCGAGGGCTTCATAATGTCGCCAATGCATACTCTGAACACGCCAAAGTACGTCTATCTTCCGGTGCAATACCCCATATCGACTCAACGAATTCCTAGCAACTTTTGCACCTCATGGGGCACCCTTCTCTTGACACGCTCCACGCGCTGATTCTCTTGTCGTGGTATGAAATGAATAACAGCAGGACGTCGGGTGCGTGACCTATTTGTCGCTTCTAATTTTTTCCTCTCACACATATCTCAGCGTTTCGATCTTATTATCAGATGGCAATGAACATGGCTGTCGATCTGGGTCTCAGCAATCTACCGGTATCGATGTCTGTGGAAGACCAAAAGAAGAAGGATACATGGAATGCTGTATTGCGTCTGCATCACCTCGTAAGTAACAATTGAAGCTGTAAATCCAGGGTTGGAAGCTCAGCATCTTCTGCAGCAATATCCTGACAGACAATCGACATGACACTTGCATAACGCAAAGTGTACAGTACCCAGGCATTAGTCGTGGTTATTCGGTATCCCGTCACGTATGTCGTGGGGGGACATGTTCTTAATCCATTATAGTAGGCTTCTCTCGCAGTAATCATGAGATTATTTTTATACTGGAGAGGACAGCGGCCATAGGCGCACTACCTGCTTTACACAGCCTGGCCTTTGCCTAGTTTGTGCATTCGATTGGTTTGCTGAATGACGACTTGGCGTTGCTATACTTAAGCCTTTCGGAATCATATTTCGGATGTAGCGCCCTGCCCTGGACAACGTATTACAAGATATTCAGGGGTGGAGCGAATATACTGGATGCTGTTATGCGTCCAATTCATATAACTCGAAAAGATCAGCTAACGGATTGTGAAACGAGAGAGCCATCGCCAATTGTGTGGACATTGCGGAAACGTAAGAAATCCTCGCACGGCCGTTGGTGAGGATTCTATTTACTGAAGTGAAGACCTCGATGAGCAGAGAGAATGCTACCTATGTATAGGACACAAACGGTGAAGATCGAAGAAGGTTCGCACTTTTCCATCCGAGCCATCAGGGAAGGCTAATATTACGGCCTTTGGTCCGAAGCGCACGGTTTCCTTTTGGGTCAAGGCTGTCATCTCCCAAGTTCACATCATCTGTCAAACAATTTGCCTCCGATTCAAATGTTGGGCTAGTACTTGAGCCTAGGTGGATACTATCCACCGCCATTCTTTCTGGACGCCATGTCCGTCCCTCTTGACATGGGCGCCGGACTCGAGACTGCAGCGTATTTGCGTGTAGCCTCACTTGCAGTTGCGTTTTACGAGTAAGTGCGATGATCCCTTCCCAGAATGAGCCGCTTCATAGCGCTCTCCTTGATAGCTTTATACAGACGCTTCCCTCCGCGTATCGGTTCTATAAAGAGCAATGGGAAGCTCCGCGACTCTTGTCAGTGCGTTCCGAGCCAAGTTGGACGTGTTCATAGCCTGATCTGCAAACAGGGTGTCTTCACTGCTGTTTTTCCTCATCCAGCAGGTTTCGTGCTAATTCATGAGCGCTGTTATTAATTCTTGCATTCAGATTCACCAGTATCGTCGTGATCATCCTCTCATCTGTTGGATTTTTCTATACCCGATTCACAGACGCGTCGTGCGCCCGTTTTTACGCCCTGCCTTCGATTTTTAAAGGTGGACTTCTAAGTGCGGTACCGAATACTAATTACTAATCCACGTTGCAGTCCTCCAGGCCATGGTCTCCCAAGCAATTCTGGGAATCCGGTGAGTTGATCCCCAGGCAATCGGAAGCCACAACTCAATTGAACTTTGTTTCCAAAGTGCTTACAATCTTTCACGACGATCGAGAAAGATACTGTATACCCTTCTCTTTCTTTATCTAAGTGCATGTGTGGTGTGTTCCTTCAGGATTCCTCTACAACGCGGGCCAGTTCAGTTCAAGGTTCTTTTCAGCTGCAATGGATATCGACTGTCGCTAAAAGAATATGTCAGTATTCATTCCCTGTCTTCTACAAATATGTAACCTTGCTTGTTCAGCATACCGCGACCCGCTATACGTACGCCTAAATTTTTATTCTCCTTGGCCCTTTCTTCTAAATATCCTTTCAGGGGAAGTGAGTGCCTAGCCAACTGATGGTGACTACCTTTCCTAAACTGCGAAATCAAGTTGTCGCGCACTAGTTTCGATGTGGCCTTTTGGGGCCTGGAATCATTACGCGGTAGCCATCACGTACGATGTCGCTACCACGGCAATATCTGTCATATACCTCCTCAAGTTCAAACTCAACTCAACTAGCTCCATGTCAGCATTTCGTTGCTGTGCATCCCACCCTTGTTGACTCTTCCTAAAAGCATGTTAAAGCTGCAGAAAATGTAATCATCTATCTCTGAAGTGACAACTGTGCTAACTCGTGCGGCGTTTTAGGATGCTATACGACGGACTGGGTTACTTCTCAGTTTTGACCGGTATTATAGCCATTATTCCTCCGATAGGAAACTCACCAAATGCTTCCAGGGGTCAACGTCTTGAATTTGGTACTCTATCAAACGAAACAGGATATCCAGGTACGTTCATGATTACGCAGTATTCAAAGTGGCATGTGGATACTAAATTCATAGCTCGTAGCTGGCCGCGTATGTATTACCTTGGCGGTGGGCATCACAAGCCACTGATCATCGTCTAGGACTTCTATCGGCTATTGCGTGACGTGGATTATGTCGCAGCGATTACTGATCCACCTACACGGTGAGTACAATTGGAATAGCCTGCGCAAGTAACCTGACTCATTCCAGACGTATCGCGTGAACGACGCATGGAGACTATCAACACGGAGATGACCATAACACGGGACATCGAGAATGCACGGAGTGTTAGCCATGCATTGCGGTCTCAGTTCCGGCCCAAGAGCGGACTGAGTTTCGAGCTAACTATACCAGACTTTGATATGCTCACTATGGATGAGTACCCAGAAACGCCTGAGGTCCACGTCCGAATTGAGAGGACCGTCACAACGGAACAAGGGATTGCGACCGGTTTCACGCTGGAAGATTATTCCCGTGAGGCGCGTCTGCAACGTAGCAGGCATTGACGGTGTTCAGACGAAGATGGATTTTTATCACTTTAAATTATTGACTAGTAATTAGGTCACGGTCGGCTTTTTATGATTATTTAGGACGCTTTTATATGGAGTTGTCGGGTTTTCTGGGAGTGAGCCGTCAGAAGAACGTCGGACCGAAGAGCCGGCGGAGCCGGTAATTCCGGCGACTAAAAAGTTCCTTTTCCCAACTGCGAATCCGAGCTTCGATCATGAAACCAAACTGCCACGCCGCTCATAATGTTTTTGATACCCAACATAAATTCGGTCCCGGTACCCATCTTCTCCGCCTTGAGTCCTTTTATCCATACACCACGTTTTTCTCATTTTTAGTCACACTTAATTCTTTATTGAATAACCGCATTCGACAATGAGGTACTGCCCGGCCAGTAAGTACGTCTTTGTCTCTCCAGCACAGAAATATTAATATGTGGCGCGTAGTGAATGCATTGCTCCGCATATGGGGATAATAGCACTGTCTCGCCAAGGCATCAGACTACTCAGAACTGGTCATTGAGCCCGGGACAGGATCGCCCTGTCGTCAATGACATTGATCACAGTTCATTGCCGTGCAGGGGGCGACGGCGACGTGGTCGGAGTGGTCGGAGTGGACTCACCTTCCGCTTCAACGTTGACCGTGAAGACTTCCCTTATTCCCGGAGCTGGCCTCCATTTTACCCGATTTCCTGCCTTGAAGGCACGCTATTCCAATAATGATACAGCAACACACTTCTCTTGATGGTCCTAATGTTCTACTAGAAATGCCGTATACGGCTAAGGAGATTCACGGAATATCCGTAAGATTCTGTCCTTTTCATGATTGACATGATCTAACGGTTCTTTAAGGCCCTTATCATTGTCTCCTGCATTTCGCTCGTTGCGGTAGTTGGCCTATTGGCTGTTATCGCGGTGCGGCTTACTCCGCTATACGTGATGTGGTGCTGACGTCCTCCAAGATCTCGGCATTTAGCACCAGGTCATCTCTGGATGAACATTTGTTTGTTAGGACACACATAGCGGCGTATTTCATCTGCTTGCTAGTGTCTGATCTGATTCAGGGTTTGTGATTCGCCACCTTTCCATCGTCTTTTCTGATATTGATGCGCTAGCTATTGCTTCCATTCTGAATGCTGCCTGGGTACAGTCTTCGGGCGTTCATGTTGGACCGCTTTGCACCATTCAAGGTACTTAACATTACCTTATCTCTGATATCGATCATACAGCATCCACTTTTCAGGAGCGCTGAAGCAAATAGCTGACGTTTCAACAGCATTCTGGACGCTAGTAAATTGTTCCATCTTCACGTGAGCGTCTATTGCTCACATGCGTATCTAGACTATCGCAGTTCAAACATTTTTCCTTCTGGTTCTCGACCTGCACTTGAGACAATTCATCTTGTGGATGACCCTTGTTGCAGGCTGGTCTGGCATTTTGACCTTAGTGCTTGCTGGTCCTGCTACCCTGAACGTTCACGAGAGAGGGCCATATTGTTAGTCTATTTCCTTACGAAAAGATGGCTCTTTCTTATGTCTTATTATTAGATGGAATAACAGGCTATTGGTGCTGGATCACAGATGCATATCCTTCAGAACGAATCACGTACGTTCAGAGGTTCCCTTTTCATTCATCAGCGATGCTCAAAAGGATTTTAGACTGGATTATATATTTGTGGGTTCTGCCATGTGATCTAAACTATTGTCTTCATAGCTTTTCTTAGATGTTCATAGCTGCCTTGGGGAGCCTCTTAATATACACGTTCATCTTTCTCCGACTGCGTGGACACATTGAAATGGACGGATGGACACCAAACCGCTTTCGGCTTCGTCCCGTCAAGAGGGTAGGAGATTGGCGAACGACGGATTCAGATAATGAGGCTACCAAGATAGCCAAACGAATGGTTTTGTGAGTATTCGTACGTTATGCTGAACACTTCGCGGACTGAGTCGGGGTTCCCAGATATCCAGTTAGTAACTGTGCATCACACACCGAACCGAACTCTTAGTATGTTTACAGATCGCGTATATAATTATGGTTCTCCCCATAACGGTAACGAGGTTCATGGCCTTCGCCGGGCAAACCGTTACGCTTGAAGCGACGATCTTTAGGTGCGGTGCAGATTCGCAGCTGAAGGCCAGGCACTAATCCGCAGTTACAGTGCTACCCTGTTTCTATTATCGGGAACCGTTAACGTAGTCCTTTTTGCAACGACCCGGCGCATTTTACCCGTTCCGTCTATGAAAAAGAAGAATTTCACTATCTCACTGCCCCGAGTTCTGCAGCCAAGCACGAGAGGTGTTTCCGATCCAGATCCTTATTACACGGAGTCAGAAAGCGCATACCATAGGACACCCCCTGCGTCCCCAGGTCCTTCTTCTTACGTTCCGCCGCCTGTTTCGCCGCTGCGAATTCATCGAAGGAAGACACCGACATCGCCATACGCAGTCACCCAGATGCCCATTCCTGAGCCTGCATCTGTAGAACAAGACGTGTCTTCTTCGCTACCACGATCTCATCCTCCTGATTTACACGTTCCGCAACGGAATGGTATTGAAAGCATGTACAGCTACTACGATGAAGACGACGTCCTCAATAATTACGACGACGTGAGTCTAAACTCCGGCGACACCCCAGCAGTAGAACCCCTGGAACCCAGCTCGGAGAGCGAATACTCAGCACAGAGCCGATGATTCTCGTACCCTCTATGTATCTTAGTCGTCCATGCCCACTATACGTTAATGTTCCACCCATTTCACGTCAATGTTCTAAGTGCATGCGTACAAGCTCAATCCCATGGAAGCTTTCCTTGGAAGATAGTCGTACTCGGGGAAGGGCAGTACTCAAATAACTCCCTCAATTCCGGAGAAGAGGTTAAGTATGAATGGAAGCGGGAAAAGGGATTTCGCGATTTCCTTTTCGCCAGCAAGTCCGAGTGGCATCCGTAAAGGTCTTTTGAGTAGGGAAGATACCCGTTCTGATGCTACATAGAACGTCAAAGGCTCGTGGAATTGTGATAAAACAAAAGTACTCACTTCTCCTTGTCTAGCAAGAGCACTGGCTTCCTCAGCCTGTGGGTCAATACCGATATAGTGAAATTTCTCCCTGGGCCAATGCACTGCAGCACGATGGAGATCCGTAAATCGGGCACGCTTCATTTCATATCCGACAACTGTAATGTGGTCTGGATAGTGGCCAGAGGTACTCGTGAAAGCGTGCAATAGAGAAAAGAAGGTTCTGAAATGAGTCGAGAGCATGATTCTCCGTCGTGGCTCGATGGAAAGGACGTGACGATTCTCCAAACACGTTGGAGTTCAAAGCCAGTCGCAAGTAGGATTCTGCTTCGGTAGTCGTTGAACTGGTTCGCGTTTGTCCACTAAAGCATAAAGTGAATCAGAGAATCTGTGAATCCTCTTGGAACGCACATACCCACTAAAAACAACAAGCGCATGTTCATCTTTCAAGGTAATCTCCGCCCTGAGTGCGATAGGTTAATGGTTAGCTTGCACGTCCGGAACTCAAAAGAGACATGACGACGTACCCACGTGTAATATGTCGGTAGAAAGTATCGACTCGATTTCCTTCTCGTTGGTATGGCTCCAAAACCCAATCATCCACATCTAACCGTGAGGCAGAATTGGCACCCCTCCATATGGCATGTCCTGGCACGATGACCAGATGATTCAGATTCGCAAGCGCCCTGTGCCGTGCGATAGTGGAGACGATACTGTGAGGCAAAGGGGAGTCGGGTGTGGGTGCAGCTGAGAAGTACAAGGAGAGGTTTACAAGGAATGAAATGGCAGAAAATGCTGCCAGTAGAAGCACGGCCAGGTTCGTGACGCGAGCCCGAGTGAGAAGGCTGTCGAGTATCCGTCGACGGGATTTGTCAAGAGATCCCCCTTCTCTACGAAAAGGGCGCCGAGAAAAAGAAACTGGTGTGGGCAACATACAACAACTAAAGACTTCGCTATTAGCAAAACAAAACAAATACGTCGAGAATTCGTTACTTAGTACAATAAAGAATGAAAGGCTCGCCTCCAGTCGTGCTTCGATCACTCGTCACCCAAATGTGGTGGAGAGAAATAACTGCCAAATACGGGCAGTCTTCTCGGGATACGATGTGGGCCGTCATGTGGAAATAATATTTCAATGCTAACCCACTTCAGTCCGTCTTAAATAGACTGCAGAGAAAATAGTACAACAAGATGCAGCCCCCACTATCACTGGTTGTTGAAAAACGCCAACAGTCCCTCTGAATCCTCAGGATACGTCTCTCGCTCAATCTGCCACGCCTGCAACCGCACTTTAATAAGCTCATCCCAAAATACCGTTGCGTCCTGGTTGTTCTGGCTAAGAAACTTCCTAATGTGTTTAAACCACTGCTTCACCAATCTGAACCTGGCTTCCACTTTCATGTTTTCGGGACAGGAAGGCTCAAAGGGTGGCAAGCCTTCTTGGTAAGCGAACAAAGATATTTGGCCGAACCAATAAAATGGTAGAGCTAGCAAAATTGATCAATTGAGGGCAATGAAAAAAAAGCGATCAGAGATACCGTTATCAACGAACGCAGGGTCGTTATTAGGATCACCGGTCTTAGGAACGTCCGGCGAAGCGAGCCAGCTCTGAAGCCAATTGTGCAACGCGTACTGAATTGTGTATATTTCTTTGGCGACTGCGGCTTGATCACTTGTATTGCCTTGCACGGGCATCCGGCTCTCAATACACACATCGAAAAGGTTACGAAGGATGGCGTGGCATAGCACAAAATGACCGAAAGGGGTGATAGCCGTAGGCTGCGACAGCAGCTGCGGATCTGCCTGCAACATTGAATCCAGACACCGCCGCATATTGGGACCCGCTAATCGCATTTGAACAGAACCATACGGCGAAACCGTCTGTAGAACAGCAAACCATTCTTCAGCAGACTTGGCCGTCCAAAGCGCATCTTCTCCTGGAAGGTTAATCAGGTATTCTCCGATGCGATAGGATGGGGCAGTAGCAAAATAGATTGCATGGCAACAATCAAGGAGATACGACTGTGATAAAAGCCTATTATTTATAAGAGTTAACGGTAAGGACTTGGCGACGATGGAAAATGTGACAAACCGTTTCGTCATTTCAAACATAGCCCAATCGCGCCAAGCAGCATCAAGGTTCGAGGAATCTATGTTCCCAGGCTCCCATGCCGCGTTTCGATGGAGGAGTTCAGCACGACGTATCATCTGTGAGGTATTCATGGTCAAACGATGGCGGTATACTCCCACGGACTTTAATTACCTGGACAAGCATACCATGGAATATTGTGGATGAGGAACGCTGGTCAGACTTTTGATGAAACAGTCCGATTGTCTGAAGAAGTAAAACGGCAAGAATTAACTCTGACGTCTCGGCAGAATCCTTCGGACTGGTCGCCTGTTGAGTTGTTAGTCTATATAGCCAAAGAGTGACAATGAGTACAACTCACAAATGCTTGCACCAACGAATCTCTTGCCGTAGCCAGGGTTTGTTCAATAAATGCTCCGGCCTTTTTCGTTTTAACGTAGAGGGCACCACAAGCTTGCATGGCATTAACGAGTAAAGCAGGCTTATTATCGATGGTGAAGGTCGGTGCATGCACGATTGGCATTTGTACCAAAAAAGCGGAATAAAAGAAATAAACTAGGTAACGAGTCAGTTGTAATATTGAATCATTGTACTAGGCACGCACGATAGTGCTGTAATTCAGGTGAAAGTGTATCGATGTTGGCGCTCGAAGCGCCAACGGGAGAAGACCGCACATTGCTTACGGCCGGCTGTACAGGAGTGCCGACAGAGGCGTCCTGAGACAGGAAGCCGATGCTCTTGAAGAAGGGTGTCGGGCCTATGTAATCGGTCGCAAATATGGACTGATCCGGCGTGTTTCCCGTATCCGAGCTCCTTGGGCTGTCCTCGGGGCGTGAGAATGAATTGGGAGATGGAACGCGCGGCATGAAGATATCAGTGAAGAACGGCTCGAAAAAGTCGTTGCTATAGACTGATGCGAAGCCGCTACGGCCCATCTCGTCCGTCTGCGGGGTAGACAAAAGGCCGGAAGCTGGAGCATGTAGATCGTGGCCCTGGGTTGATGCAAATCGCTGAAGAGCGTCCGAGACAGTGTTGCCGGAGGAGGAGCCTTCTATAGGCCCAAGTGTCCGATCTAACGACGACGATAAATCTGCGAGAGATGGGAGGGCGGGAGGAGTCGGGGGAGGATGTGAATTTGTAGGAGAAGTCGATGCCTGAGCCGGCTTGGCTGGCGTTACAGGCAGGAAGACACACTCCTTTCCTCTAGAGACGCACTTGGAGCATGGTTGCTGACGGTCGCATTTTATTTTCGACTCTGTGCAGGCAACACAAGATTTTCTTCTCGAAGGATCCTGCCTATAAGGAAGAACGAACTGAGTACATTGAATAAGGAGAACAGACAAAGAACGCACTCGGTGTTACATCGCTTCTTATGCCGCGCCAGTAGATCGCTGCGAGTGAATTGAGAGCTGCACGACTTTTCGTCTACCGTCAGACAAATGACCAAAGTAAAGGAATGCCATAAGACGTACGTTGCAGCGATGCAGTCGTTCTCCAGTATCTAGACAAAGCGCGTCAATGAACGTGTTCAGGGCAAGGCTGACTGAAGCTTACTCACGAGTGCGGAGGTGTCGATTCAGGTGGGTGGTCCGGGTGAACTTGGCTGGACAATGTGGACAAAGCTTCGTCTGGGGAAGGATAGGGACATTTCCCTTGTGAGACCGCATTTTGGATAGGGATCCATCCTTTTTCCTGAATTCCGCTGGTTGGCTTGCTAAGGGAGCCGGCTCGACTTGGGCCCTTTCAGCTGGCATTATTGAAGCAAGCAAATGCAAGAAACGCGGGCGTCCGAGGTGGGCCTCCACAAGATGTTGTGGTAGGAAAGAGAGTCTTCGAAATAGGGACTAGGTGAAGGAGTAACGAACGCCGGTCTGAGGTTGCAGCGCCGTAAGGGGCGTGTCCCAAAAAGGAGCGGATACTTCCACAATGCACAAAATTCGAAGAATATAAACCGACGTTTTAACGACATCAAACTACATGAAGAGAGCGTCGGCAACGGCAGATATATGCCGAGAGCTGGCGGTGTATAGATCGCAAAGGTAATACTCTATTTCTCAAACTCCCTGGATATCGCCCACCGTACCGCTTCCTCGACATCCTCAGCTTCATGCGTAGGCTTGTGAATTGGAGAACCGTGGATCGGATCATATACGCCAGTGCGGACCAACACAGATGGCCACCCCGCACTGTTGGCACCCGCGATATCTGAACAATAAACTTTCAAACCGCTTCTGTTCACGTATTAAAATGATCCAGACTAACCAGACTCAGGATTATCTGTTCACAGATGTTTCATTTTAGCAAGAAGGCAAAGAACTGATGGGGAAGATGCGCCTCACCTCCAATCATGTACCTATATAATCAAGTTATGAGTAAAGCGTATTATGCTGTCAGGCAGGACCTACATTGTGGGTTTTGTGGAATGGCCATATAGTAAACGTATCTGACTCTCCAGTATGCTTCTGGCATATCGGTAAGTCGCCTCCGTTGGCTTCCCATACTGGACATGAGGATACATCCTGCCGGTCAAAGCCTTGTGGAGGGCAACCGGCATTAGAGATGGGCCGTTGAGAAAGGTTCCAAATTACCTGCCTTGTAAACAGCCTGGAAAGCCTCCTTGAAGGCGCCCTGTCCTAACCGCGGTCTAGGAAAGTCGCATCTCCATATTAAATCAGGATTGCAGAAGACTAGTTCCACAGGTTTAGTCAGCTTGCCATATGGGCCCCCGATGATACCGTTTGATTGTATAACATCACATATGATCTGGACTGTTCAAAAATGGTCACCAGAATATTCGCGCAATGGAATTTACGTCTCCAGATGGACCGCTTACTGTCGAGAGCCCAGTTACGGGGGTCATGGAAAACGAAAATCGCCGATATGGGCGTATTCGAAAAGTCCACAGGCTGAGAATACGCATGATGAATCATTGGGGCAGATGAACAACGATAAATCCTTACTCTTGTACTCTCCTTCTCGGCTGGAGTAAGTTCATAAAAGGGCCATACACTGCCGGAAGGTTACGATCAATTCCTCAAAGAGTAGTGTTCCATGGCGAGCGTACGAAGGGTTCCAAGCTAGGACATCCAGCATTGTATGAGCCTTCTTAAAACCATAGCTGAAATTTGACGCTCAAAAAGTAGCGGAGTGACAACATGAAAATTCACGAACAGCTCGGCAACCTGACGTATTTCATCGCGTCTTCCTCCCAAGACAAGGACGTGCTCATTAGCATACCGGGAAACCTGCTGTTGTAGGATCGTATGCGCTTGTACGCATTGGCTCGGTGTAATCTGCATAGAACGGATCAGATACGCGCCAATATAGTATGGGCATGGGTACGAACTTTGATACCTAGTTTGTCAGATAGGCCCTTGGCACGAGCACTTTCAGAGACCCCGCCTCCATTGGTCAGCTGTAGTCTGCATCAGGCGACCTAGTTCAGCGCGCGATATCATCCCACGAGCTTACGAGAATGAATGGTATTTTTCTAAACTCGGATGCTCAGTCCACCGAGGACTTGACGAAATTTCTGCGGACTCACTTTTTGAATGAATTGTTACCTTCAAGGATTTGCAAAGCTCGGTGTGCTGGGGGGAGTGCATGCGGCCCACGTATCAGGACGCCATCCTTGAAACAGACCCGTTAAAAGACTGATGAGATACTGAGCTCAGATCCCACTATATCAAACGCGAAAGCTAAAGGTGGCGATTCATTGAAACGCCCAACAGAACTGCCTGAGGGAAGACCTTGTAAGTCCTCCAGCAAAGAAGTTGCGACAACGCAATGCGACCTTGGAGATGTCTACGACCAAGGACAGAAGATTTGCTAAGTAAGGGGGAACATCTAAGTCGATGAGCTGGACGACACCGCAAGCAAGATAGTAGCATGAGAGAGTCGGAGTAAAGTGGTTGCAGGAACGGCCGGGCCGATTTCCTTAAAGCCACGTGGCAAGACGCGTCCGTTTCCAAGGAATATCCTTCCGGGACCCAAAGGATTGTAGATATCCGTCTCGCGAAATATTCAGATTGGATATCCTGTGTCGCCAAAGATGGTTCTCTAGGTTCAAAGGCGCGACGAGCGACGGTTCTCGCGGGCCGTTCTCCAACATTCAACTGTCACGTCACGCAGTCGCCCTTCCAACCAACAGCAACCAACTTCAACACTGCAAGCTCGCTTTAAGTATCGACGAAACGTTGGTAGCGTTTCCTACCAGTGCATCCATTTATATCGTCGATACACGGCGAACTGAAGCCTTCTACGTAGGCGGTATCATGGTTCCTAAACATCTTTTCCCTGCTCGTACCGGAGAATCTTCTCCTTCAATCACCCTAGAGAAAGGCGCCTATCGAATGCGAGCACCAGCTCACAGGCCTTTTGGCACCCAGCTGTTCACAAGTACTCCCATTCCTCCAGTCACCACCCGTCATCAACGACGAGCGGGTACATCAAACGGTCGCTGGGTCGCCTTGATCATGCTCTTAGCCTGTGCATCCATCGTCAGCTTTGGCGTCGCGTATCATCTATTTTTAACGAGGTGGGATCTCCTTGGCCACAATCGTTTTCGACACAACGCTGATTCCATTCAAGTCGTCGCATTTAATTCTTCTCTCCACCTACCAGACGCAAACGAGAAATTTCTGGCATATCTTCCCCATAGCGGATTTCACAACCAACGCATAGCGCTAGAGAATGCCTTGACCCTAGCCTACATGTTGAACCGAACACTCATTGTCCCTCCAATTCGCCTTGGCAGTCACCCGATCCGTTATTTTATTTTTGATACCCTGGCGCAGTTCCTTTCTCTCTCTGGGAAGGAAGGTTTGCGTCATTGTGCTCGCCTCCCTCGCCATGTCCCCATACCGCCAGAATGTGCCGATTATCTTGATTACACTCATATACCCTGGGACTGGCTTGTCAATCTTACTGACATTCAGAAACACCAACGTCTGATTCATCGCTGGGACCTGACGAACGGTTGGATCCATGACCGTCTTGGAATCTTGCAAAATGAGACCCATACGCTGAAGGACAACAGCGCATATCACTTTCGCTTCACAGACCGCCCTATAAACGATTCCATGGTGGGCGACAAATACAAAAAGAACATTCATATCCGTGACCTAGCGCTGTATCCGCATAGGCTTCTTCAATTCGGTTCACTCTTTGGTTCAACTCGGCTGCGACTAATGGATCCTGAGAATGTTCATGTACGTGGAAAGGTCCGGCAGAGCATGACCTACGCCTCTCCGGAACTTGTTCATGCGGCAACCCTCATAGAGAGGAGTATTCCTGGAACATATCTTGGTGCCCACATTCGGCTTGGTGACGGTCCATTTAGGAACCGACGACACGAAAATACCCGGCTTCTGTGGTGGCACCTCGTTCATGGGATTCTCAACTACAGCACGGAGGATACTCTTGCATTAGAGTCCATGTTTCTGTCACCCTCTGATCCCGTTGGCAGGCTACAAATTCCTCCTGATTTCGCGAAGCAACAGAGAGTCTCACTACCCCCACCTTCTCCCAATACTGCCTCCCGTTTTCCTTGCCGTGGTATCCGACATACGGCGTCGCGTCTTTTCGCTTTGAATACACCGTTGTATATCGCAACTGATTCTAACGATCCCACCAACGATCCAGCGTTGTCCCTACTTTTGCGCACATTTCCCTGCACTTTCTTCTTGGAAGATTTCCCAGAACAGACCGCTGTATTGGATTCACTGGTTAACGAATACGATGGTATCAAGCTGAAGTCATTCCTATTATCGTTTTTGGATTCGATGGTGGTGGCAAAGGCGTGGCAAGTGGTGGGGACCAACGGAAGCACTTTTAGTCAGTTTGTTCAGGATGCCTTGTGGACCACATATCATGGATTAGACATTGTTCAAAGAGGACGTTGAATTCGTGTTCGTCCATAGGCGCTTATCGCCCCTCCTCACATTCCATACATACCTGCCGATTGTAGCATCAATAATGATTTGATCTCCGGTCGTCCAATTTGTCTTGTCAGACCGGTCTCCCCATGTACGTCGTTTTGACGTCGATATCGAGGCTTTTTCGCTGATATACTCGGCTTTATACCACAGAGTGACATTGCGGGATCTGTATCGCCCTTTGGTTGCACATCGTCGTCAAGCATCAGGCAAAGCAAACGTTGATGATCAACAGCGTCGCTGCGATGCCACCTCCTAGGTTGTTCCATTTGCTTTCGTATTTATAGCGATTGTCCTGGTTTTTGCATTGCTTTCTCCTCTTCCCTCCGGATTTCTTGAATTGCGCCTCCCTGCCAGTTAGCGATGTCGAGTTTCCAGGACCCTGCCTCCAACACTATACGGTCTTTTCCACCGGAGTTGCCTCAGTCACCACGATCTTCTTCAGCTTCTCGTCAGCCCTCTCCTCGCCTGCCACCGTCCCCTCGTTGCCTCGATGGACGAACAGGTATTCAACTTTGCGAGTATCTACTTAACCTCTCATTTATACCTGGTAGGTGAAGACTTGGACAAGTGGTTCACGAAGTTCGAAACAACACTGGTGGGTCGAGATTGTGATTGACTCGACCCATGGCTGAATTTATGTCGCAGGAGAACATGGCTGTGGCCTCTGAAGAACCAAAATTCAAGGAAGAGTTGGGCACTATTGAGCAGTGTTTGTTTTCTGCCGCTGTTATGCTTCAACCCGCTAACACAAATTGCGCAGGGTTCAAGCTATTGTCAGAGAGCGAGCAGACCGCCACTATGTATACACTGCTTCAGAACGCCAACCCTGGCCAATTGCGTTTCTTAGTGGCTGTCCTTCAACAGATGTTTGAAGCCAGTAACCCTTCACTCCGTACGTCGTCCCAGTGATTGATGCCATCCGAACCATGAAACTGACGATATGATGCGTAATTCAAAAGCTGAAACCCCTGCGCATCCAGGTTGGCAGCAACCGTCCCGAAATATGCGCCCCCCGAGTTTGAACTTACCCACTCCTGCCACATCTGGCGCCACTACATTTAACACTCCGGCGACGAGCCGGGATCCAATCAATGGGAGCGTACAGACGTCTACGGCCGAGCAAGGCGCTCAGGAAATCATCGTCAAACCGACTGATGAGAACAGCTGGGCAAGCATGGTTAGCACTCCGAATGATATCATGTTCAAGAAGAGATCGGATGTTTCCCCCAATCCTGGCACGCCAAACTTGTTGAACGGCGGCACTTTCCCGGGTCAACCTGCTGGTTTTAACATGTCCATACTCAGTAGTATGGGATTCTCAAGTGAAGCACAGATGCTTGCTATTCAGTTGATGATGAGCGGTCTGATGCAACCGCAACCAGCTGGAGCAGCGAAAGAGAATACCCCACCACCGTCCCAGCAGCAGCGACAGCAACCTCGATCGCAGTCACCTGCAGGTGCATCGTCAAACTGGAGGGCCTCGAGCACTTCGCGGCTCCCTGGGAGCGCGTTGAGAAGCGCTAAGACCGTGCCGAAGAGTGCTGGCTTGAAGAGCGGTGGTTTAAAAAGTGCCGTATCAGTCAGCAGTGGAAGTGGCGTCACACCGAAGGAGGACGACATCAACCCGCAGCTCTTAGAAGACGTACCCGCGTGGTTGAAGAGCCTGCGCCTGCACAAGTATACGTCCTGTTTCGAGGGCATGAATTGGAGGGATATGGTCGAGTTGAACGAGGCTACCCTTGAAAAGAAGGGTGTGACTGCTTTGGGAGCACGGAGACGGTTGGTAAAGACTTTCGATGCGGTGAAGAAGAAGATGGGCATGGCAAGTCCGACTAGTCTCGGTCCGGCAAGTGCCAGTGCAACCATTGCAACGTCTTCAGCGTCTTTGCCGAGTGCGACTTTACCTGTTGTTCCACACAGTGCCGCCCCATGAGATGTACTGGTTGCATCCTAGTCATTTAAATAATTATTCTCAAGCATCGTGTATTCATACCACTTTTCGTCGTTTCTTTAAATAGCTTTACGTTTACCATGCATCTCAAATGCTGCGATGAACGCCACTCCAGTAGATTGGTCTATTGATATTATTGGTCCAACTGATCCTACCGTTATCTGTCACATGCATTGATAACGAGGGAAAGCATTCTTGCTGCAGGTTGCTTACAACTATCATCAACTATGGCGACGACGATTGCAGTGATCGCCGCAGGCGCTATGGGTTCTGCAGTGTCAAGGAAACTAGTGCAAAAGGGCTGCACCGTCCTGACGAATCTTGAAGGACGTTCGGAATCTACACGTCGAAGGGCACTCGAGGCCGGTATGAAGGAGGCGACGTATAATTCGATTGCCCGGGAGGCCAGTATCATCCTCAGTATCCTGCCGCCAAGCGATGCGTTCTCATTCGCGGAAAGCTTTGTCAAAGAGGCGAACACGGTGTCGTCCAAGGTTCTGTTTGCGGATTGTAATGCCGTGAACCCTGAGACGGTCAAACGTATTTCAGATATATTTTCGGGAACATCCATGGCCTTTGTTGATGCAGGGATCATCGGAGGTCCTCCGAGGGATGATTATGATCCAGTATTCTTCGCCTCCAGTGATGATGCCGAGCAGCTGCGAAAATTTGCGGGGCTCTCGAAATACGGACTGAAAGTTTCGGTCTTGGAGGGGGACGGAGCGGGAGTGGGTGCTGCCAGCGCCTTAAAGATGTCCTATGCGGTAAGATCAACGTCTATTGAGATTCCTTATCCCTTGGAGATGCGGATATATCAACACCCATGCTTATTTATTTCTATCAACAGGGCATTACGAAAGGAATGATAGGCGTGCTGACCACGATGTTTCTTGGTTTGTTATTTTCAGTGCATCGTGTTGATGTCGACCTAATTCCAGACCAGGTGCCCATGCGTCGTCGCCTGCCACAGCGAAAGCTCTCCTCAAGATTCTGCAGGAAACACAACCTAGGGTCGTGGAACACGCGACGCGATCGATACCAGGTATGATCCCCAAGGCGTACCGGTGGGTAGGCGAGATGGAGGAAATTGCAGGGTTCCTTGGACAAGGGGAAGGAGATACATACATGGGAATAGCCAAGGTTTACGAAAGGGTGGAAACGTCGTTGAGAGGAAATAACGCAGATATTGAGGTACTGAAAGGCATGGTGGAGGAAGCGAAGAAGTTGTAATACCTGTACTCGGAAGGAAATGGAGCCAGTTGAATCAAAAGAAACCGAAGGAAATGAAGGCAAGAAGGCAATTAGAAGAATTTGTCGCTGCTTGCCACCCCTGGACCAGGGACCCTTCTACCCCGGTGCCTTTCCCACTATCCCACAAGTCCAGCCTTTTTTTCTTCTTCACTTACCTTGTCCTCCGTCCCGTAACGGCAGCGGTTGCTGATGTCCAGTTCGCAATATTCACAGCAAATACGATGTCCGTGATGACTGGATCCCCTGCACCAGCGATGCCGACCGTTCCACATGAATCTTTTCCTAGGCGAGCGCCATCCTCGTCTATACCGAGCGTTGCCATTTCTCGTCAAGCTTCTACGTCGTCTGCCAAAGGAAAAGTCTCGGAGCGAGTAAATGGTGCCACCACCCCTCAATCACCCACCTTTAAGAGTATGCGACAATCGAGAAGCAGCACTCCGGCCCAGGATGGCGATGATACGACTTGGGGTTCCAATTTCTGGGTGACGCTCGTTGATCCTCAGGTATGTCTGTTGTAGAACTACTATTCGGATGCCGCCCTGATGTCAGCGATCACGTAGACGCAATCCTCAGTTCTATGCATGTCCTGCGACCGGTCAAGTCAGTTGGGACGCGCCTGTTGGCAATTTCGTGTGCGCAGCTATATCATTCAGTCACCAATCCTGGCGTAACGGTATTTCTCCTTCAGATTGCCACCGAGCGCAGAGGGTGAATGGTGGGAGTTGAGTGATGAGAGTCGCGGAGGCTTATCCTACTACTATCAGACGAAAACTGGAGAAACAGTATGGGAAAGACCACCAGGTTTCGTAATCCCTCTGGGTATCATTCAGGCAAGTCATTTTTGACGCTATCAATATATCTTAGTCTGTGGCTGAAACCCTTAACAGAATTCGGCTCTGGGGCGGCGTTTGTCACACCGTCTCTCCAAATCCATGGCTTACGACTCTGCATTACAGTCCCAAACCCTGTCACCAGAAAAACCGGCTTACAGGCGTTCCAACTCTTACGCGAATGGTCAGGACGACATGCCAAACCGAAAGTCCCCACGTTCAATTACCCCCGCCAAAAGTCCGGCTTCTACGAAAACGAAAAGCCCCCCTGCACGACGTTCTCTTTCTAACGACCAATACCACAATACTAATAATCTGAACGGCTCCAGCCGTCTGCATACCCTCGCCCAGCATTTACCCCCGATACCTGCATCTCCTTATACTTCAGATGCGAATTTATCATCCCCAAAGCTCAAAACTTTGACACCTTCCAGCAGTAGTCCCAAACTCAAGGAAGACGCCTTGAGACGCTCGTCTAATAATTCCACTCCAGAATCATCCGTTCGAGCGAGATCAAAATCATCATCATATCTATCTCATCGTCCCCAACTTCCACAGAGCCTCAATGCTGCCGTGGAAATGCTTAGTTCCACTTCTGAAAGTAGCCATACGTCAAATCAACCTTGTTCTCAGACCGGTACCAGTAGCGTACAGGCATCGCCTACAACACTTGACAGTTCTGCAGCTGAAAAATCTGGGAAGCGAGGAGCTCCAAGCCGACCGATCCCGCCGCCACCAGGGGATTCGAAGACGGGACGGAATCCGCCCGTGAGGATTAACGGCAAGGAAATCAGCGGCCCTATTCTAAACTCAGGTCAGTATATCCCTCCAATCGACGATAGTCGCCACTAAACTGATTTTGATTTTGACATGTAGTCGCCACATTGGAAATGAGTCCGGTGAAGAATCGAGCAACAGGCAAGCCTATCCTCATACAGCCCCGCGTCGTGTCGCTCGATGCTGCAACAGCGACTCTAAGTTCTGGGTACGGTATTAGTTGTATTCGAGTGTATAAAATACGAGTGTTGAACGATACCGTAGGAAAAGTTATCCGGTTCTTCCCCACGATCTGGCTTCCGACATCCTACAATTCGCCGAATCTGATTATGCGAAGCAGTATTTTTCCACTCATCGTACAGGGTTCATCTTTCGACGGCGAATTCCTGTCGCACAGATGATGTCTTGGCAGAAGGTGATTGGAAGTCCTATACTCTGATACCGACACTCATGCCTCCTTGTCTAGGCCCCCTTAGCTTCTCCATTGCTGGCCTTGAACCGTACTTTGAATAGAGATGCAGTCAAGATATTTAAAATCATACAGCACATAATGGGTGATAGAGAAGGAAAACCGGTGGGTGTGCGGGTGCCCTCCGATGCTCTTTCGACTGTTTCATCAAGTAACACATCTTCCGCATCTCTGGCTTCGAATACAGCAAGTATTCTAGAGGAGGAGAGATGGATTCTGGGCGAGGGCTTGACCCACGGAGAACTTCGTGACGAAATATATTGTCAACTCATGAAGCAGCTAAGTGGCAATCCCAATACGTTCGTGGGCTTTTTTCTTTTATTGGGTCAATGCCTGACGTCCCATTATCACAGGGAGAGCGTATTCCGAGGATGGCAGTTGATGTGTGTCCTTCTCATAACGTTCCCACCCTCCAAAAACATAGAGACGTATGTGCGGGGATTCATGCAACAGCATCTGTCCAAGCAGGAGGGACGCGTAGACATTATGGCGAAATATTGTCTACGACGGCTGTCTTTCATCTCGAGGAAAGGACCCCGAAGCAAACCACCAAGTACTGCGGAAATTGAAATAGCTTCTGTGCGTAGGAAAAGTCTACTTTTTCCCTTTTTTCTTCATAGCTGATGTCGTGTGTAGGATGCCGCATTTAATCCGTCTACATTCGGCGAATCACTAGATGCCATCATACGATTGCAAGAACGCAATTACCCTCATCAAAAAGTGCCAATCATTCTTCCCTTCCTTGCAGATGGCATTTTGGCGCTTGGGGGTACGAAGTCGGAGGGCATTTTCCGTGTACCTGGCGATAGTGATGCTGTATCTGAGCTCAAGCTACGCATCGATAGAGGGTACTACACACTGGACGGTGTGGATGACCCTCACGTTCTCGCGTCTCTCATGAAGTCCTGGCTTCGAGAGCTTTGTGATCCCCTCGTTCCCGAGGAAATGTACAACGAGTGCATATCGAGTTCCAAGGATCCCGAGGCGTGTATCCATATCGTGCAACGTCTACCAACCGTCAATCGACGTGTTGTACTCTTCGTCATCAGCTTCCTTCAATTGTTCTTAGACGACAGAACACAGTCGTTGACGAAGATGACGCCCGCTAACCTTGCGCTGGTAATGGCGCCAAATCTTCCTCCGCTGCAACTCGGATTCGATGTCTATCGTGTACACCTAATACACAGTTCGTCTTCGCTCCATCTATTTCATCACGTTACTGATTCGTTTTCAGGTATGAACAGATATTCGTGTACAACCTTCTGCTTTACCTTAAGTGCGGTGAGGTAGACATGGATTACATTCCTGCGCATGGACTTGGTGCAATTCCAGCAGTCTCTAGATCGCGATCGTCGAAATCGCGAACTCGACGTAATCGTTACTGACTCCACCCTTCACATTCGTTTTATTGATTTGCTTCTTGACTTCCCCATCTGCAACGGTTTTCTATATTAGTGGTGGATTTAAAACTCCTTGGCTGCTTCTTTCTCTCATTGTTGTTCGTTCCTCGTTGTAAATGTAGCATTTATTTCACTTTCACTCCTTTTACTGTTTCAAGGAAGCCATACGTGGTCATTTCGAATATTTTATACCCAACACAACAAATCATGCGCAGGATCTAATACAGTGCGCAAATATGTACCTTTCCCAGCTAGATGAAATGATGATACTTGTGACGACTACAGATAAACCTTACGTAGCTGCAAATGCGACTAACGTAGGACTGTTTCTTGCTTCTGCAAACCGAATCTACACCAGAACAAACGAGAAGGAATCAATACAATTTCCCTGCCGGGTCGTCCCATTTATCGAATCCCCATTGATCATCGACATCGTCGACCATGGACGAAGACTTCCACTCGTCCCACCTTGGCTCTTTTTCAACCTTCGACCTCTTTTTCTTCGCAGCGGTCAGCTCCTCAATCTTGTTCAACAGATTCCATGACTCGGTGCTATCTCCCAGCGGGTCCTCCTCCATCCACAAGCTCTTTTCACCGACATCACGTCGCACCTCTTCGACCAATTTGCGTGTGCTAGCATCTATACCGACACCGTTGACAGTCATTTCTTGCAGGGCGTCATGGAATCCTTTGAGATCACGGAAACACCGCCATCTGGTCTTAAGGAGTTCGTTGTAAGCCTTGGTCGTGCATCCAAACACATAAGATATGATAGAGAGATTTCGAGTGTAGTCGAAGATGGACAGAGCAAGGTGAGGATCACTGTATTTGTCGCGGAACGTCTGCATGAGGAGGGCAATGAGGTCGGGGTACGCTGGAGATTGAAGCCGGGGGACTTCTTTAATTTCTGAATTTTCCATAGCCAGCCGAGATGCTGCTTCACGTCGCACCGAATCTTCAAACACCTCCCTCATAGCCCAGTCAAGAAGCTGCTGATCCGTGTCGCACATGTCCATCTCCTCCTTTTTCTGGTCCAAAAGATTTTCTTCTTCCGTAGTCCATTTTATCTTTTTTGAGTGTCGTCGAAGCTTGGTGAAGAGACCACCAAGATCGTCGTGTTGTAGATCGACGTCACGCTGCTTTCGCGACTGTTCAGAAACAGCATCAAATATCATGTTGAACATGTCGTTGAAAGCGCTAATTTCCCGGTTTGTCATGGCCTGTCTCCGACCGCGTCTGGGGCCCGATTGGGATACCACTGGAGGCTTGTCCGCAATGTCCTTGAAAACGTGGTCCCAGGCTGAGGATTGCGATTGTGAAAACATGGACTGAAGAGGTCTCATGTTGGACTGTTTGGCCTTCTTCACTATGGAAATCTGTCAGAACAAGTTTGGAGGTAGGAAATTTTACATGCCTAGCAGCCAGCCGTGTACTGGAAAAATTTTCTCCATGCGATATACCGTAGACTGTTGGCAACGAGGATTAGAACATACCGTTAGTATTGGCGGGGCTGTATAGCTATGAATACCAATCTTCAGAAACAAATAAAACACTCTAACCTGGCCATAGAGCCTTGTGTAATGACTTCGACTGATAGCGTAGCATCGTGGTAAAAGCCAAGATCACTTCGAAGGCAAGCTCGGAAGTTGCCGACATCTCTTATCCTACTTCTCCATCTACTCCTCCTTGCCTCTACATGCTCAAAATTTGGAAGGGTAAATGGAAGGCCCAAGACCAAGAAGATGGCGAAATTCAATCTGAATCTGAGCGCGACAGCGACCAGCAGCTTGCGTCGGGTGGCGCCAATGTGCTGTTCGAATTCGACGACTCAGCCATGGCGTCACCCTCACAAAGTCTACTGGATCCTGTTCCGTCGTCTGCCGCTCTTCCTGACTCTGACTCTGAAAGACCTCACAAGCGCAGGAAAACAGAAAATGGGCAGGATAACGGACGAAGAGCGCGTTATCTCACTATATCGGAAACAGGTTCAGTCTATCAACACTCAATTCATTGCTACTAATGAAGTCTACCTGTAGTGCCAGGAGAATATATCCCTTCTCGATGTAGAGAAATCATCGTACTCTACGACAGAGCATTTTCTTCGAACATGACGCAGACGATCATACTGGATGAAGTCACCTCTTTGGATCCATCTGGACGCGTTTTCTCGAAACATCTTGAGGCATCAAGGCAAGTTTTGGAAGAACTTGGTGCATGTGCGTCCGATCTAGTGTGGCGTCGTGCTTTGAGAGACATAGAGACTAGCGTGTCTACATGGGATGACCATGACGACGACGACGCTGCGCCCGACGTGGTACTCGATGTCTCCGTCCGTGACATCATCAAGAATTGGATGTTTGCTATGCCCAATCTGGATATCGGTTCTCGAGGGTTCAATGTTTCCCCAAAGTTCTTGCGACTTGTACAGATACTCAAGGCGTGTGAACCCCTTGACACGGAGTTCCGCGGTTTAGTTTTTGGTGAATTGTTTTTTCCCGTTCTTATTATCGAACAAGAACCAATACCCTATCTAGTCTCCAGCAAGGCTGTTGCGTGGGGTATCATCGACTTGCTCAGAGCCTTGAGGGAGTTTCGGTGTCAGCTATTACAAGGTGATGAGACGCCTGCGGCTCAGGTACACATTCTGATCTTTGGATCATCCTTTATACCAATTCAATCTCCTAGCATGACCTTTTCAACGCCTTCAAGGATGGTACTTGCAATATGATTATCGCAGTGCAGTCGACAGAAGATTTAGACATACCCAAAGCTTCCGTTGTCATTCGGTAAGCCCAAGCAGACGGCCTCTAGCCAACTACTGACATCATAAATAAATAGATTCAGTTTGTCGTGCAGCTACTTGTCACACGCATACACCTACTCTCGAGCTGCTGACTTCGACAGTCATCTTGTGCTCATGGCTGAGCGTGAGAATAACGTCCATCGCCATATTCTATCCTGCCTTGCACGTATCAACAAAAGTATGTTGTCATGGGCGATTCGGACCTCTGATACCTCGTTGCCTCCTTTACTCTTGTCAGATATGATGGCTGTATTCAGCCTTGATAAAGGGTCCGAGATCGAAGACAGCAAGCAACCGTGTATCACTGACGCCACCACCGGTTGCGAAATTCGAGTGCAAAACGCTACTGTTGTTATCTTTCGCCTAGGCGCATATCTTCTAGAGCTAAAACCAGGTCCGGATATAGAGAAACCCCGCCTTGAATATGTCTCTGCTCAGTCGTTGGTCACCTGTCGAGTGCATTTGCCCGGAATGCCCAATCACCTGTCTTGTATCAGTGGGCCACCATCCTACATCAAGGGTATCAGCCAGGCGCCAAGCTTGCTTTGCGGCCTGTGCTAGACTGGCTGAAGCTGGCCTCCTTCCACATAGGTTTTTCCCATTTCCTGAAAATAGACGCTTATGGAAGCCCAAGGATCTCCCACCTGCTACCGACGCTAAAGTGGCGGGGACGCGAATGTACTCGGGGAGCGTGCCGTGCTTTTGGCAGTCTTTCTGTTATTCGCCGGCAAAAGTGTTGTACCCTACAGTCATCTGCGGAGATCACCTCCAGCGGGAAGCGCAACATGCTCCTCTTTTACTCTTGACACGCCGGCCTTTACCTGATATACCTGAACATTAAGCTGTTCTTTCTGGGTATACCGATCGTCGTTCCGTTGCGACGCGGTGCTCCTATGCTCGTGAACGACGAACAGCTAGAACTTCTTCATACATACACAATCAGATTCTTCCGAACAGTTGTTAACAAGCCATATATTTGTGACTCGGGGAAGATGGCATATTTTGTCGCTCCTCTCCAGTCAGACTTCCGCTCTCCAGAACTGGATCCGTCCCTGGCCGTTTGACTTACCTGACCTTGGCTCCAGCTTAGCCTGGAATGCCATAAAATTGGCGTCTGAGAGCCGGTGGACTCCCTTGAAGTACGGAGTAGCGGACATGGTAGAACCGGATGTCCAGGATGCTGCCATCCAGGGCCATATGGAGTTCATTCGTCGTTACGAAGTTGTGAAGGTCAGACGCGACCTGACCCCGCAAAGTATCCATGTAAGCACTATGAACGTCTAAATCCCACATCTGAGTCTTCATTTGTAGCCGAACAACAATTCAATGACTATTCTTGAGTTCGTTCGGTCAAAATACGAAAACCTCCCGGATCTGAAGGACGAGAATCAGTGTATCCTCGAGGTCGTAAAAATCGATCCCTGGCTGCAATACGCTAGTCCTTCGTCTAGACCTCAGTGTGGCACATCTGATTTTTTATGTATGTACTTTCTGTCTTTCCCTCATCACATCGTTCACACCATCGGATTTCCAGATATGATACCAGAACTCTATGCCAAATGCACGTTTCCATTAAGGTGTTTAGTCTCTCGTTAATTCATGTAGCATCCGCATTTAACATAAGCAAGTCTCATTCGCACGGGGTTCCTCCTTCCGTCGATCATGGAAAATATCAACCATATCTTACTCGTCAAAGAGTTGAATGCGAACTTTTTTGGTCTTTCCGTGGCCGAGGACTTACTTCGGATGGCTATCACCGCACCATCAGTGGGCCTCGCTTATGATTATGAGCGTTTAGAACTTTTAGGTGAGTCAGTCGTCAATCCTTCCATACACAACATGACCTCCTGGAAGGTGACTCGTTCTTGAAATATGTCTCATCTCTATATGTTTTCGTAACGGAGCCGGACAGAAGCGAAGGTAACCTACACGCATCAAGAAGAGAGCTCATCAGCAACAATTCTTTGCTTCGCCAAGCTGTTCGCATCGGGCTGCCTTCCTTTATTCAAATGAAACCGTTCAGCATCAAAATCTGGTGTCCACCAAATTTTACCAGGGAATTGAACAACAATACTTCTGCTGATCAGGTACCATCCGCACCTAAGCAGCCAACGGCAGTCCCTAGTCAATCTGCAGGACGTGTCCACTACAATCGCAGCAAAAGGCCGTTCTAGGAAAAGGAAGAAGAAAGCTTGGACTTTGCGGAATGGCGATTCCAACAAATGGCTTGGTGACAAGGTACCATCAGTCTTCTTCTCTAGTCGCTTTGCCTAACATTCAGCTGTTAGACTGTTGCTGATGTTGTCGAGTCTATCATTGGTGCTGCTTACCTCACGGGTGGCAAAGACGTAGCCCTTCGTGTTACAAAGGACCTGGGAGTACCTCTTTTAAGAGTTGAACAGTGGTCAGATTTTGGCCGCACAGCTATGGCACCCTCTTCCAGTGTCACTGCTAAACTCAAACCTGGAACGCTCCAAGCTATCGAGGAAATACTAGAGCACAAGTTTAAACGACCGTACTTGCTGGCGCAAGCCTTGGTTCGTTAACTTTCACTCGCTTCAACTTCGACTCATAATCCCAACTGAGCAGACACATATCACCCATCAAGGCTTTCAGACTTCTTGTTATGAGAGGTTCGAATTTGTCGGGGATGCAGTACTTGACTTCTGTAAGTTATCCCGCAGCTTTCCAGACCATCGAGCTCAAGTGCGTACAGTGGTAGTTCGGCACATCTTTAGTCGTAACCAAGGACTTTCACCTGGCGCACTGACATTGCTGAAGGTATGCCTGTAATACCATATGTTCCCTGTTGCTGTTTTAAAGATCATTGTCCAGGGTGCAATGGTTTCAAATCGCGCGTTAGCTGCCCTTTGTGTGTGCTCGGGCTTACATCAGCACCTGTTATTCCAGTCAGCAGAGCTTGCTCTGAGTATCATCAACTATGAAAAGGAGGTGAAGCGTAAACAATGCGAGGAATACACTGACGCACAAAAGGAGGGCCGAGCACCGGGTCAGTTCTGGTTTGATATTGACCCTCCAAAGGTAAGCCTCGATAATTTTACTTTCATGTGCCATTTAAATAATGGGAAACAGCCTCTATCAGATGTCGTAGAATCTATAATGGGGGCGATGTGCATATCAGATGACTTCCAACCAGATGGTGTAGAAGCCATTTTTATAAATCTTGTCCAACCGTTCTACGACAAGCACATTACACTTCAAACGCTTTCTCATCATCCTACCAAGGTTCTTTTGGAACTCCTTCAAGCGAGCGGTTGTCAAGATTTCGAGATCAACAAGGAAGATGGTGATGGCGGCGTTCAATGTAGCGGTAAGGAAATATTTTTATGTCTAATCAGTTAGCTTGATATGTTGCCGCAGTACTCGTCCATGATATTGTGTTGGCCAGTGCTACCGAGGCCAATCCTATCAGTGCTGCCCGTCTCGCTTCATTGTGGGCCTTGGACGCACTGGAAGGAGATTCTGATTTCTTGGCTCGAACGTGTGATTGTAGGTCAGTGAACAATACAAAAGGTCACACAGGGAGGTACTAGACGCTCTCGAAACTTGGCATCCAATACAGAAAATATATTTGATTTAGTAAAAGATACAGCGCTCTAGTCTCTCGGAGCGGCGCTTACTCGAAGAGGAAGATTTTCACCCTTTTCCACCTCTCCTTCGAGGGTAGGAATCATAACCAAACAAGCTTCTCGGCGAAGGCGTTTGAGGTCCTCTGTAGGTGATAAAACGAAATTGTTGATGATCGCAATCAACAGGGCCTGGACTTCATAAATCGCAAAACGCCAGCCCACGCATGTTCTGACTCCTCCCGCGAAAGTCAGCCTGAAGAAACCTCATGTAACAACAAGCCTCGGGGAATTTAACGTGAGATTCTTACAGGTTTCCATAAACCCCCACGCTAGGTCCCTTCCGATGTTTCTCTGGCTGAAGCCATCGCTCTGGATTAAAAACGTCGGCATCGTTTCCCCATAAGTCTTTGTTTCTATCAAGAGTCGTGGGTGCCTTGAACTTGTGATTAAGAGATGACGGTACCTGTTGTATCCAGCAATAGATGCAAACACTTTCATCCCTTTAGGGACCGGAAGTTTGTCTATGAGTTCATCCGACGTGGTGAGAATGGGCTTTGAGAGTGGAAGAACGTCGTCGTGGGCAGCTCGTCGATAATTGTGATATAACGCCGGGTGAAGTCGCATAGCCTCTTTCATCACAGCAATGGTATAAGTCATGCTTTCGAAGTCCTTTGAGGTAAACTCTGAATCTCCTCGGCTATGAATAGCGTGTTCTACGGCGCGAATTTCATTCCGAAGTCTGTCCTGCACATCTGGATGTCGAGCAAGCTCTAGGAGAATCCAAAGTGTGCTAGTAGCACTCGTTTCGTGTCCAGCGAGTAGCAATGTTCTATGACAAAGATGAACTCGGTGTTAGAAATGCCATGCAAGTAAGACGACCTACCGCATCTGAGCCAGCATCTCCTCGTGAGTCAAAGCGGTAGCTACATCCTCTGAGGCATTGGCTTTCACTTGATACGTGTACAATCTAAGCACAAAGTACTGAGTCACTGAGAAAGACCCACCCAATAGACTCAAGACGTCCTTACTTCCCTTCCCTTGCAGGAGCTCAGAGGACTTCATGTCTATCAGAGCCTGGGTCAATTCCTCGGCGAGTTTCGCAGTGTATCTGGCGTGCGCCATCGGCTTGCTGTTAGAATACTTGGCTCTCAACTGCAAAGCCCATACAGGCAGTATCGTTTGCAAGAAAATGGTTTTCTTGGACGGTGAACCAAGGGTGTCGTTCCTAAGAAGGCACAGATTCAATACACTGGTTGATTGATGCCCGAGATATTCATACATTAGACCAAAGTACGCCTTCATCAGTTCGTTGTCTCTTTGGGCTAGGGCGCCAAATTGATAGTCAAAAGCAGCTGTGATCGGTGTGAGAGAAAGCCCTAGATACCAGATACTTCTGCCTCGTACCTTCTCCGAGAGAATCCATGGTAGCACGAGACAGCCAAGTGGCGACATTCATTTCCACGCTTTGACTGGGTGAACCAGCAAGAATATCAGTCCACTTTGCGACCAGCTAAGTAGAGATATTAGCCTCCTGTGGTCATTCCATTGCATGTTAGTTACCTCGGAGCCAGTACGTTGGAAGATAGGGATAAATGATTTGCATTCCGGGGCTTTTAAAGAACGTTTCAATCAGTTGGCGTCCGCTTCAAGCGCGTTACTATTACTTACCTCCGAATCCCGGAAGCATCACTTTCCTCTGTCGTTTATGAATGTTTCCTGGTAAAGACGTCAAATGAGTGGATAACACAGCAGAAGCTAGCATACCGTCGGCCCATAACAGTCCACGACCCATTAAGACGCGGCTGATCTCAGTTCTTTGAGGCCATTTCAAGAACCCATAGCCTGAAGAACGAAAGCGTACAGCTGTCAACAGATATCCAATTGAAAACGAGCCAATAAAACAAACCCGAGGTGTGGAAAATGTACTGGAGCGCCTTAGGGTCAGATATCAAAAGCCGGTCTTCCTATTTTCGACCCGTCAAGCCGGGCCAATATAATTGCTAATGATGCGGGACGCACGCCGAAGGTCCCTTTGACACGCACTACGTCCCCGTACTGACGTTGCCACTTGAAGTCAGGCTCCCCCGCTTGACTTTGGAATATTTCAGCAAGATTACCTGTGTAAGGACATCATTGTGACTATCCACCGACTCAGCCAGCAAAAACACACACCAAGCACGAAAGATTCGGGCGGCGGGCCAGGAATATGGGAAACAGAGATACGTGTGAAACGCCGATAGAGAGACAACACAGCCAGAAAAGCGAGCAGTCCAAGACCTACAACGTTTACCGGATCCTACATCATATCGCATTGCGTTAAGGTTGTCAGCAAGAAGGGGGATGCGCGCTCACAGCCTCGAGGACAGCGAGAAGGTTGTAGTTCGACATTTGGCAGAGGGAAAAGAGGGAAGGATTTGGATTCTTCCTCAATAACGGCCGCCTTTTTGTAGCACTGAAAGCTTTCTAATAAGGCGCTCATATGACAAGGAAACTCCCTCAGTGGGTGATCCGGTGATCGATTCCGGTGAGATGATAACCGCAAATAGAAGCATGAGGCGCGCTTCGTCGTGAGCTACAGTCACATTATCGGGTGTATGCTCTTCCGACCAGTCCAACCATATCTGTGCATACTAGCCATTACCCCATATTACCCCAGGCCTCTGTAAATGCGGGGTGAAGATACCCGATCAAGAAATCAAATTTGCGATGATTACATGTCAGTCTCATTATGAAGTATCCATGTGCTGGTCCCCCAGCTGTGCTTGTACGAATCTCTGAATACTTGGGAGGGCATCTATAATGAGCTTGATGGTTCGATTTTCATCTGGAAGACAGGTAAGTTATGCGACGAAGCATTGATTTCTTATCTCACTGATCGGGACGACGTTGCCATGGCGTTTTTTTGCTTTAGCCGCGAGCACTTGGTGGTTCACAGGGACTGCAACAAAGGAGTGCTGGAGAGCAGTTTTATTGGCACAGCTGCTTTAATTAAGGTGCGAGTAACTTACCTCTAGGTACCAAGGTATTATCTCATCGGGATGTGTTGGCACCAATGGAACCTTTAGATGCCCCACGACTTGCACGACGCCTTTTACCTTCGTGCTTACGCTACTCCCTTCAACGTGGATCAGTTCGAAGAATGCAGACAAAAATCAAATATACCAACATCTTTGTTGAAGTAGGTCGATCATCGGTTGACAACCTGGTCCATGACCGATAAGAATGACGCGCTGGGCATTTGAAAGCCTGGAAATTTCCATGAAGTCGAATCAGAAGAGAAGTAGCCGGTGGATACTGACTGAACATAGTTATCCCAGAGATATATGACGAGTTCTTTGGCGAGAACATGGGCCGATTTTGACTTCTATGGGACAGGTTAGCGAAAAGTAACGATTGTGTGGTTATGTGCAAGACCTTCACCGGAGCTACAAGAGGCCTAGGATACAGGTTTACGTCAAGTAAAGAGTGTCCTACCCAAAAGGAGTGAAAATTCAGACGAGAACGACTGTTAACCCCTTACCTGCGGACTTTATCCACGAAATTAGCTCTTTTGAGAAATCGACCTTTGGGATATTTAGTATAAGATCAATACCGTCAAGCATAGCGTACCAGGTAGGACCTCTCAAGGTCCAGATTGCATGTAGCAGCATTTTCGAGCTCTGTTTGAACATCACCACTGAACATGTGTAAGATTTATGCTTCACAAATACTTCTTCACGCACAATTCATGCATGAAGAACACCATCGTCGGGTTGTCCAGTATGTCTGGTCTATGGTGGAAATACTTAGGAGTAGAAACGACTCCAGAATGTGAGGCTTACGTGCACATTATTTGCATTCCAAACCGCTCTCCCATTTCTTCATTGACTAAGGGAACGTTCATCATGCGATGATTATTCGACAAGTAATTTTGTCGGTGTAATTTCAGTATTTCTATACCGCTTTAAGAGAGGTAATCAGAGAAGACCTATAGGAGAACTTACCAGGGATAGAAAATGTGCTGATATGGACGTCTGCAGTTCGTTAGAATGAGACAAGCATGAAGAATTGAGAGCTTCACCTTCACGCGGTTCGCAGGCTTTCGGGTTGACATTCTTCCAGTACTTACTCTGCTCTTTGGCCACAAGCCAGACGACCTCAGTAGCTTGCTCGTTGGCAGTCATGGGAGGAAGTTCGTCTGGCGGCTCTCCAGTTATAACCTTAGTGACTGCCAATGCTGAACGTGCCCCCGCCTCGACATTATACCCTCCCTATAGAGCGACAGCGACCGTCAGCAGAGTCTGGCTATCGCCAAGTCGCACACTACCTCAAGAGCGACCACCAAGCGACCACCAGCAAGTCCTGACAGCATATGTGTCATGTGAGCATATCCAGCAGGAGTTATGCAACACTGTCCTAAAGGATCTCCTTCTGCTGCGTCAAAGCCTGCAGAGACTAACAATCTGTGAAGATGGGGTAACGTATATCCACATTTGGCTCCTTACTGATCACTAGTTGGGGTGCAAATTCCATGGCGATGGGCATGACGATATGTTGAAAAGCATGAATGTACTCGGCATCACCCATGCCTTCGCCTGGCCACGGAATATTCACCGAACTAGAAACTCCATGGTATAAAGTGGGATGAAGAAAAGCGAAATAAACTTACAACCCTAGACCGGGGCCTTCACCGCACGATTGAATGTCGCCGAATGGGCCGCACGGATAAAATCCTCCGTTGTCATATCTATGCAGTGACACGTATAAAACGGTGGGGTCATCGTTGAATGCACGCTGAGTTCCATTTCCTGGAAGAAGATAATCAAGATAACATGTAAATGAGATTAATAACTCAATACCATGATGAACATCCCTGAGGATAATAATATTAAAGGTAAGTATATTACACCATTGGAATAAAAATTACCAGTCCAGAATCATCACCCGCTTTACAGCAGTTTGCTGTTGTGTATTTTTGATAGCAACAGCAACATTATTGAAAAAGCAGAATCCCATATGCTGTGTCGGTTCTGCGTGATGGCCTGGTGGCCGGACAATGGCGAAACACTTTTTAATTTCTGAAAGATCGCTGGCAACGGCGAGACAGGCCTCTATTACACCGCCACAACTCAGAAGGGCGGCCCGTGTAGTTCCTTGCATACATAAAGAGATAGCGAGTCATAGTACGCGTGAGTTTCTTGTATTTGCTCGTCGGTGAGGTCTACAGAAGGAAAAATGTCATACGCACTCTGTACAACGCGATTAACACCAAACAAGCCTACCGCGCAGAGCCTGTACACGGTTCCAGTGGTCTTCGCTATGAACAAGTAGCACTTCATTTTTATGTGCAGGCCGGATAGGTATGCGCTTCATTTTGAGGGTACATCCAGCGGCAGTTATAGTTTCCCAGATACGGGTGATGCGCGCTGGCTGTTCATAGTGCTCTTCAAGGAGTGGGCGATGGCAAGTCATTTCCGACGAGTAAATGACTGCGACACGAGGCCGAATGACATCGTCCAATGGAGCAGAGGTAGCACGAACAGCATTGCTGTCGGTTTTCTCCATCGACAACTCGGATGGTGGTCAAAGAAAGTCTTTCGGAAGTCGGCCCGGTACCTTTCAAACCTAACAGAGACAAACTGTTTCCAAAATCCTTTGCCGCGAGTCACATCTTCCGACATCCACCTCCCTCGCCGTTGCAAAGCATCACAACTTTGCTGCTTCTTTCTAGCTTTTGACTTTATACTTTAGGGGCGAAACTTGAGCGCGATATCTTCTTCTGTCGAAGGTTATTCACTCACTGACGGCATTGAATCTTGGACGACACTATGCGGTACTATGAACAAAAATATCCGGAGGTGGACGAGTTGGTGATGGTGCAAGTGAGGCAGATCGCAGAGATGGGTGCCTATGTCAAGCTGGTGCGCCCTACTTTTCCTGCCTCAGATCTCAGAACAGTCCTAATTCAGTCACGATGTTTGTTCTCGTCCGTGATCCTCTCGATATTTCAATTGGAATGCGATGCGTGGCTAGTTGGAGTATGATAACACGGAAGGCATGATCCTCCTCTCAGAATTGTCGCGGAGACGTATCCGTTCCGTTCAAAAGCTCATTCGTGTGGGAAGGAATGAAGTTGTCGTCGTCCTGAGGGTCGATAAGGAAAAAGGCTCGTTACTTCCTGGATTTGTATTTTGCTCCTGTCTTATCCTTTCTATAGGTTACATTGACTTGTCAAAACGTCGTGTATCCTCAGAAGACATCATAAAGTGCGAAGAGAGGTATATGAAATCAAAAACTGTCGCCTCGATCCTGAGGCATGTGGCGTCAAAAATTTCAAGCGTTGACGGCGACGTGGATGCTGAAGCTGTTGTGGACAAGGCTGTAGAAGCCGAAGAGGGAGACGCCTGAAGCCTGAGGATGAGCCAAAGGTCAGTAAGCGAGGCAAAAGGGAGGGTGGCGTAGGGATCGGTGGACCAGGAGAGGAAGAACGGCTGGAAAAGTTATACGAGACTATTGCTTGGCCCTTGGGGAAAGTATTTGGCCATCCCTACGATGCATTCAAGCTCGCTTTGACGTAAGTTCCCACCGTATCTCATCCTCCCATCGATTCACATGTATTCAGTGAGCCTGCAACACTTTCCAACGCGCTACCCAAACCGGTATCGCAAAACACATTGTCTGTTCTCATGTCGACGATTGCGCGACGACTAACGCCGCAACCGATCAAATTGCGAGCCGACATTGAATTGACGTGTTATACCCCGCAGGGAATCGATGCTATCAAGAAGGCGCTCAGGATGGGTGAAAAAGAGAGTACAGAACAAGTGCCCATCAAAGCCAAATTGGTCGCGCCTCCCTTGTATGTGCTGAGTACAAGTGCGGGCGACAAGGTTCGTAATGTGACAGGGACTCGCCTTTTGGAACTGATGTTCATATTCTTTCAGTATGCTGCTGTGGACAGGCTTGAGCGAGCAATCGATAGTATTCAACACACCATTGAGGAGCAAGGAGGCACTTTGGTCGTCAAAATGAGGGTCAGTCTTTTTTTTTGAGTATATGTCCAGATTTTATCTACTTTCTTTTCAGCCGAAAGCTGTCTCGGAGACTGATGAGCAAGACTTGGCGCAACTCATGGCCAAGGCTGGACAAGAGAATGCAGAGGTCTCTGGTGATGAAGATGAAGAAGAATGAAGAAATGTATACTGTGTTGCTACTGCTATCATTGCGATCCATTCTTACTGCGTGTATCACCGGCCAGCCTGTGCCTGTGCTAATCGCTCATCCCACCACCTACTATCAGTTTCCGTCCGAGTTTTCACTTTAGCGGTGCCATCTCCCCTGTTCAGCCATATCCATCTTCAGTGATACATAAGTCAGCAGGACTGAAATGAAATCTGATTACACTTACTTGTATCGTAATGCAGTAGTGACCATAGGACCAAACCTGGCACTAGGGTTATGATTCTCCTCGAACAACCAAATGTCGTCCTTGTCTTGGCAGTTACTGCGAAGACCAACATTAGTAGCGGAACACGGAAGTTCAGAATAGCCAGATACAAATGCAATATGCCGGGGCTCATGAGTATATGCTCTTCGCCGCTTCCTTCTAACGCAAGTTGCCGCCCCAACTGATCTTCTTCTGACATATCTTCCTCCAGTTCGTCTCCGAAAGAGCCTAAAGAAATGCCTAGCTGTTGCCGACAGGTGCTGACATCCCATCGCAATGATAAATGCCTGAACATCATCGGTCTATAGAGCCATATAACGTGAAATATTCCCTGGTCGGCAAAGAATGGGTTGTAGGGATCAAAGGATACCGTTTCATCGGCTACGGGGCTGGGTATTCCGTCGCTTACTCCGCGAGCAAATGGCATTACTGCCAAAGACGAGTGCTGCGTATCTGGCAGGAGGGTTGAAGGCATGAACATGGCGGAAGGATTACGCATGAGGGTAAAGTTCATGAGCATGATACAGCTGCAAATTTGTCCCAGATGAGAGGTAGGGCCTAGTGTGGGAAATGACATGAGCGTGTAGGGTTCGAATTTGTTGAAATCGTTCCACTGCAAAGGCGTATTAGTTTGGAGGGAGTGCAGTAAGATTGCATTGTGGATACGCACGAGCTCTAAAGGGTCTACGAGGAATATCATGTCCGTGTCCATGAATATAATTTTATCGACGTCCACGAGTAACTCGTGCATAAAAACCTTGCTCAGAAGGTTCCATTGCTCTCCTATGCCAGCACGATGGCCCCTGTCGCGGACGCGTTCTGTGGTGATAGGGTAATAGGTCACCTACGAAGGAGATTAAAATATGAGTATAGGGGACACTGAGGTCCTAACTTCAATCGTATACGCTGGTCTTGGAAACAAGGCAAACTTCTTCTCCATGTAGGCAATATTGTCCTCGGTACATATGAGATGGAAATGCAACGGTCTACTTGTGTGCATGATTGCGGATTTTATCGCGACGCTTCCTTCATGCACGACACCCTCACCCATGAGAACGAGGGTGATAGCAATGGGTTCGAGCTGCGCTGGAGGGGGAAGGGAAGGGGGAGAGGGCGGGCTCTCTGTCGTCTCCGGTGTAGCCGATTTCCCAAATGTCGGGGAGAAGGAGACCAAGGCATTGGTGTCAAAGGAGTGTTGAGACCATCTGATAAAGGAGAATATGAGAACAAGGGAAATAGCACAGAGGATATAGATCTTGTATGGAATGGACATGGAAAAGAGAGTGGGTACTATAGATAATGATCCCAAACGAGAACCATTTTAGGTCTGCCGAGCCGCAACAACAGTACAACAGTACCTGGTACCTGTTATATCTGTTCCGCAAGTACTTTTGACCCAAGAGTTTCAAGTTTAGGGTCTTTCTGCTAGGAGCATTGGCATAAGTGCCCAAATGTGATACGGATTTCGGGGAGATGTGAACACAACTGGAGAAGTCTGGCATCATTTAACGGGATAGGAATCGCGGCCTGGAGCGTGTTTCTGGATTTAACACGGTATGGTATTCGGGTCAGCAGCGATATGCTAGATTAAGAAGGGAAGAATACGACTGGGCGTCAGCATGCTGAAAGGGTCGGCATTGGCATTAGAGAAGGCATCCATATTGTACTAGTTGAACAGTTGAAAGCTGGCGAGCTGCCTCGAGCTTTGGAAATGCCTGTACACCCCCTTTGCGTCAAGAAACGAATTCAAACGGAAAATAACACATGCCAGATATTTTCTTCATCTTGGTATAGAATTTGCACCTATATTCCAGAATATTTGCACATATTCTTAAATCGAGGGAAAGCAGGAAGAACGCAGGAGGAAGTTCAGGTCAATGACGATGACAGGTCGCGTCCATGTCACACCACCCAACCACCGCGATCTTCAAATTCTTCCTTCTGTCCATCAACATCCGAATCTGGCGCCCTCTACATCCTCCAATGTCCAGCCATATTCGTCGTCTCTCAGTCGCTTGGAAGCTGTCCAAGCCAGCTCAGCCAGAGCCAATTACAAGCACAGAAACTCCTTCTGAGAACGCCTTACTGCACTTCCTGGAACACACCAAGCGCCATTACTTGTCTGACATTGAGGAGTCGAGGGAAAATGCCAATGAATGGCTTATGGTAATGGGAAATGAAGCAGGGGGTACGTTTGTCTCCGTTCTTCGTTCATTAAGGTCGTCTGACAGTGCTGTGAAGACTTGGACAGTATCGCGAGCTCAATAGGCTATGCATGGCTCAGTTCTCGGTCCACCACTACCGTTCCATACATACAGATCAACAAGGAGGACCTGGCCTTGCGCGCCGAAAATCTGTACGCGTTGCAGCTGGCTGGCATTGACAATCCTCAGGAGCAGCTACTGCTCGCCAATAATCTCGTATCATATACCCCCTTCCCGTCTACGCGGTTCGGTCTTGTCGACCACAACCGCCTTGGCTCTCCATTCGTTTCTGATGCTGCGCGTGTAGAGGTCCGTCATCGACCACCACGAAGACGAGCACCTGTACGAAGACACCGCTGACCCCAGAATTGTCGCTCCGGCAGGCAGTTGCTCTTCTCTTGTCGCCAGTCTTTGTCCGTTCAACCTTCCACGAGAAATTGCTACTCTCCTACTATGTGCCATTCTCATCGATACGAACGGTCTCAAGCCCGGTGGCAAGGCTGTTCAGGCTGATCGTGATGCCGTTCTTCGTCTCCTTCCGCCAGCGCGCCTTGAGCTCCCACCCTCGTTCTCCTCCGCTAACACAGACGGCCTTCATGACATCCCATCCATTATATCCTTGAGCTCCGTGCTTGCCACGAAAAAGGCTGACGTGTCTCATTTGAGCCCACGCGACCTACTTCGGAGAGATTACAAGGAGTATACATATATCCTTCATTGGCACTCAGTCAAACCCACTGTGAAAGCTGGTCTTTCTACAGTACCATTACAACTCAAAGATTGGGGGAGTAAAGGAAAACTATATCGCGAGAGCCATGCGTATATGCAGGACCGTGGATTGCATGTCCTTGGTGTTTTGACGACGTTTAAAAAAGCCAAGAAGACTGGAAAGGAGAAGATGAAACACTGTAGAGAGATGGCATGGATTGTTTTGTCGGACACAGGATTAGAGGAAAGGCTATGGCAGGGCTTAGAGGGGGACCAGGAGATCAGGGTCGAGAAGCACAAGAAGTTTAAGACGGGGAAACTTCCTGGGGATGCGAACGTCAGGGTGTATAAGCAGGGGAACGCGAGCGCAACTCGAAAGGCTACAGCACCGTTACTGAAGCGCATTCTTGAATCGCCTTCATGATTGCTCTAATTCATGACGAGGCATGAAAATTCACTCGTAAGTACCAGACCAGCTCATATCTGCCACACCACTCCAAGCGATGTATAGACAGCATGTTATAAACGTTGAAACATCTGTGTCTGCTACAGCTCTTCGACCATTACAAGTCCTGCCCGGATACATAAGTCTTTTGCATCTCCATCAATTCGTGCCATCTCGGCAATTCGTTTTTGTGTCGCCGGAGCACAGTGTGCGCACAGCTCTTTTACGATGGCGTAGTGATCACGCCGCGTATGATGTGCACTTCGGGTACCTGAGCAACGTAGTGGCACGCTATCGGAAGGCAGGGACGTTGCACTCCTCGAATATTTTAAAGGTTTTAATGGCTCATGTCTGCCTGAACTCCTCTTGGGACGCTCCTTCATTGACAATGGGAAGTCGAGAGGCTCTAGTGGAGAAGTCGCGAAAGAGTGTGGATAATGCCCTCATGCATTTTTGGCGAAGGCGCATGCAATTGAAGCGGCTACTGCTGAAGGTGTAGTCGAGGTAGATCCGTGCTGTAAACGGTGCGGAGGATCCCGCAACATCCGTCATATGAACAGGTCGTGCCAAAGGTCTGCGAGGCGTAGAGATGAGTGCTCTCCAAGTTTAAATATAGCTTCACGAACTCATATATTTTGTACGTATATAGCAACAGGTAACGGATGTCTTGAAAATCTACCCATGGTAGTTGAATTGAGGGAACGCCACCTCTCGTTGGGTTACCCTCTGCAGGCTGAGGAAGGTCAAGCACGTCGTCAAAGAAGCCCCCAAGGCTCTCTCGCAGCTTTTGGCTATGCACTCGGAACAAATACGGGTATTTCTCGAGTACGATGTCTCCGTCTTCGAAGAAGAACCTCTATACTTCAATAAATTGTGATGACTTGGGGTCAGAGTCGGAGAGAGAATTTGGTCTCTGCCGTTTGTTAGGTGGTTGCGAAGTGCCAGTCACCCTCACTATCGTGTGGACCGGGGCCTCGCTGGCGCTCCTTATCGTTGGGGGGATTCTGGGTCGTAGATTCACTGTCGGATATGCCAGCAAGGGCAACTGGCGGGAGTTTGGAGAGATCTCTGGCTATGGTTCTGAGAGAGTGGAGGTAGGAAGGTAAGTTTCGGTATCGTTACAAATTTGTGTTGGCACCTCATAAGTACCTATTGTCCTGCTTGGTTTGTTCGTCCTATTGCCCTTGTTCGGTCCGGTGCACAGCCACTCTAACCAGCAAAAAGAAAATGGTACTTACTCGACTTGCTTTACCATAATCGCCATAAGCCGTTCTTCTATCCTTCAAATAATCGACACGGGAAAGGAGAAATGCCTACATCAAAGGGTCGAGACGAGACGAGGTCGCCTGAAGCCACGTGGCTAGTGCCGGCCAGAGTGATGCGTATACGGCAGTCGGCATCATTTACACCTTGACCTTGTCCACTCCCGTCCATGGAAACTGACCAGCCTCTCCCGTACAAAGACTGCCTTTCTTGCCGCATAATAGGAACGGGAACCCTTACAGGCGTCGGAGGCTATGCTTTGATGCAGTCAAGGGCCACAGCGCCTGGGACACCAGGACAAAAACGGATTATGGCAGGCCTTGGTGTTGGTATGGGCCTCTATCGCACCATTATCATGCAATATATGACTTGTTCCCTTCTGATACAGTTTTCATCATTGCTGGAATTACCAGATGGTTCAAGTACGTGTGCTTTCAGTGTTGAGCATATGTCACCAATTGATTTTGCAGAAATCCACTCGAGCCATCGGTTAAACACTGAAGAAAGCAGGTGGAACTGTTGTTTTTTACACTATGATACAGGGTGGACGCTGTGCGCTCCTTATGAGTGGGTGAACTGGGCCTTACGCTTCTCTGCAAAGGCAGTCATACCTGTGTACATCATTGTAAGCAGCCAATTCTCTGGAACGACGGAAATAGGGAAACGAACCCTCTTTCTGATCCTTTGTAGCAAACAGGCCATGGAATATCCTTCTCTCAAACCTCAGACCCTCCGCAAGGTTCAATTCATAACCTAACGCGTGATGTTAGTTCATCATCAACACATGGAAAAGAAAACAGAAGACATACTGGCGTTGACGACTTCTTTCGCAGCTTGTACGGCAACTTGCCCCTTGCTCGAAATTTCCTTGGCCACCGCAATAGCCTCCTTCACAACTTCTCCTTCGCCCTCGCCAACTACGCGACTGACCATGCCCCATTTCTCTGCCTCTTGCGCTGTGAATGTACGTCCAGTTAGGATCAGTTCCATTGCGCGAGACTTTCCAATGGCGTTTGTAAGACGCTGGCTCCCGCCGCCACCGGGAATAACACCAAGGTTGATTTCTGGCTGGCCGAATTTGGCTGTGGGAGATGCAAGGATGATGTCGCACATCAATGCGAGCTCGCATCCACCACCAAGCTGTTGAGGGTCAGCTCAGTGCAACGATGCATTGTCAAGGGTATGCAGACATACAGCGTATCCACTGACAGCCGCGATGATTGGTTTGCGAATTTTAGTAAGGTCTTGCCAGCTCTCCAGGAAGTTGTTCTTGTATACGTCGGCGTCTGAGGGCACGTTAGTAGACAGGCAATACGCAGTGACAGGAATACATACACTCTTTGTCCTTCATTTCTTTGATGTCTGCGCCAGCTAAGAAACGAAAATGGTCAAAACCGGAATCTCACGAATGTGGGGTAACATAGTACCGGCGAAAGCCCTCTCGGAACCGGTCAAGACAATAGCGCCCACGGAATCGTCATTGTCAGCCTCGAGGATGGCCTTGTTCAGTTCCACAAACAGAGGCGAGCAGAGCGCATTGAGAGCCTTTGGACGGTTCAGGGTGATGAGGGTTACAGCCGGTTCCGGTCTGGAGGTGAGGATGAACTCGTATTGAGAGGAAGACATGAGTCTGACGCTGCCTAGGACGTGGGCTCTCGTTGTGGTGGAAGTGGCTGGTTTGAAGGCAGTTCGAAAGATGGTGGTTGATAAAAGACGGGACATGAGGGTATAAATGATGGTGTGGGTAAGTCCGTAAAGGCAGCGGGTGATCAGGAATGACCGGCAATGATACAGTCGACTTCCGGTCCGGTTTGTACATACTTCACCCGCTCAACTTGACATTCTTTTTTACATATGGTATATTCTAAGTAATTGTTCATGGCAAAGTTGCAGGAATAAACGGTACAATAACAAGTTTCTCTGGATCCCACTGGTAACCAGCTCATCAGCATATATTCCCTTCAAAATCCTGAAAACAAAAACTCACGACGCCAGACGTGTAATAAATGTCAGTCTCCACTAGTTCCTTGGCATCCGCCAACGTCTCGGCCTCGAGTATCATACACGACCCTATAGCTGCCACCTTTCCTGAATCGGGTTGTGACTCTGGGTCGACTAGCAATCCTCCTTCCCCTACAAGACATGGTAAATCATTGACCGCATCAACAAGAATCATACAACCGTTCTCACTTAGGATGCCGTTTTTGAGGAAAACATGTATCCTCTCTAAATGCTGCGGTCTTACTTGGAACCGACGAGCAAGGATCCCTTCTTCTGTTTTGTCAGGCGCATAGACGAGAAATCTCTGGGCTCGGGGAGTTGTAGAAGATATGGATCTGTGCGCAGCGTTGAGCAGGAGGGACCTTGGCGTCCGACGCAAGATGGCTGTTCTAATCATGATGATGGCGGAAATACAAAGGTCCAGACGACCATTAAATTTGATGTAACTTGTCACAATCCCTCACCAGCATAGTGAACATCGACTCGGCTCCGGTAACGAACATTGTTGCATATCCCCCTGGCTTTGCCTTGGTGAAATGCTTTTTCGAGTTAGCAGCAGTCCTTCTGGACCGGTTAGAATACTTTCAGTAAGAATGCTTTCTTACCTTATAGTAAAGAATACACCCTAAGCGCTTCAATGACCGATAAAAGTTTCTAGAAATATAAAGGCGAGTAGTTTAGCATCTACTCTTAGCCAACCAGCTCAGCTTGGCATCTCAAACCCCTACAACGATGCCAAATGCGTAAAGTGTCGTTTCCGACAGTTCATCAGTTCCGACGACTAAGTATAACTTCCCGACTCGGAATGAGAATTAAATCAGGCTGCAACTCTAGGACCACCATTACGTTGTTAATCACTGACTTGATCAACAGAAACGCCATCTGCTCTCACTTGAGACCCCCGACACGCTGGAGGACTCAGTACTCCGGCTCCTTGTGTTGCGATGAGTCGGAGTTGGGCAAGCTATATCGGTCTTGACAGATGTAAAGATCTCGCTTTGAGGGCACGATCTCATGATTGAACAACATTGCCTTTAGTGGTATAGTACAGGTAAAGAGAAGCTGTTTGCAAGGAGCTAGCCTTCCGTTCCGTTCCTCAGCTCGCGTCTCTGGACCTCCGCGTCCCAACCTTGTGGTCCTACTTTGCTCCAAGCCTCAGAACCGCTTTACTTAAATAAGAAAAGAGCAAGTGGCATATACAATCGCTCGACCAAGAGGACTATCCTAGTACTACTATCTGACAGTCGTGTGCTACAAGATGCGGGAAACCCGATAAACGTACATGAAAAGCGAAAAAGAAAGCATAGCATGAAAAAGAAAGCATAGCATACGTTCGGAAGGGGAGTCAACAAAACACTTCAAGAAGCCAAATATTCCCTCAATGTTATTTATCATCCACATCGGTATCCCCACCACAACTTGAAAGCTCCACATTCGTTTCACTGTTGTTTGCAAAAACGGTTCCGGATCCTCCTACTGTGCTACCACCAGCACTGCCACTCGGGCCCGAATTTGTATTGTTGATCGGCGAGCTCTTGAATTTGCCCTTGGTAATCCTAGCCGACGAGCTAGTCCCCTCACGAGCTAACCTACGTTTCCTATCCAACAAAATAGCTTCCAGCGTTGCGGCCGATTGTTTCTCCTGCTCCATAGGTGGGGGCGCCGTAACTACCATGACCGGAGCGCCAAGAACATCTTTCTCTTTCTCCAAAACCGCTTCTTCTGTGGCCGGTTTTGAATTAGGGTTACGATCACGCGGTGGCGCACTCCTGGGTCTTAGGAAGGAGAGGCCTTTCATTGTTGCTAACGATTTGTTCGCTGAGAGCGGAATTGGTTGTGCGAGAGGCATTGGAGCTGCTGGTTCTGCAGTAGGAGGACTTTGATGTATATATGGCTCTCCATGTGCACCTTCAGGATCAAATTCGTCGTAGATCTCTTCTCCAATGAGTTCTTCAAGTACGTCTTCAAGCGTAATAATTCCTAGGGGCATAATAGCGGGGTCGAAGCCTTTAAGGAACTGAAAGACCAAATTGAGTAGGATCAAACATCAAAAGCAGATACACATACCTCTTCCGCTCGTTCTTTGGCTAAAACAGCATCAGCTGGCATGGCCTGCTCCAGAGCGAGCATACTGGTCAATCCCTTCTTGTTTTCTAGATTGCCCAACTCGACGTCCTCATTTAGGTTCTTGCGCTTCTTTCTGCCTCCTTGTCCCTTCTTCCCCGCTTCTTCCGTTGCAAAATCCTTCTCCAAAACACCATCTCCCTTTAAGGTATCTCCTCTCAACGTCTCATCTGCTCCACTGTGGTTATCAACCTCCTCGCCACTCTCCTCACTGCTGTCTCCCATCCCAACTCTCTCCAAAAACCGCCGTGTTAAGCCTCTCTTCCCCGTAACGGCTTTCTTCACGCTCTGAGCTTTCTCCACACTGAATCGGCTCACGATAGCCATATGCGATCGTCCCTCCTGAAACTTGTCTAGGATACCTAACAAAGATTCGTTATTGGGCACGAACATGACGCGGTTCAGCTGAAGCGTCCGTATAGGTATGCACTCTTTCGGGTCAAGCAAAACGCATTGCTTCACAAGGAGGATACCGATGATCTTCTTGACTCTCTGGGACTCGCCCTCGGGAGAGGCAGCAGCCGGAAGGTCTACCTCTTCATACACGGGTACGCGACTATGTCCAGTTTCTACGATTTTAGTCAAAAGGTCGTAATCCAACTGAGCATCGATAGAGAGCATGAAAACGTCGGAAATAGGTGTCATAGCCTAAAGCAGATGAGTACGTTCATGGCGCTGACATGTAGAATGTTACCTGTTTGACATCCTTTTCTTGTAGGTCGAGCGTGGCCCCGATAATGGTCACGGTATCGGATTTAAGGTCTCCGCCGTGGTGGGACTGGGAAGCGTGCATGGCGATGAGTTCTTTCAATTCTAGAATTATCTGGGTCAGTCGAGATTCTGCTGAAGTAACGAGCGACATACCGACTCTGCGGTAGATGATACCGTGATTGGAGCCCAGGACCCAGTCAAGGAGCTTGGCTACAGGCCACGCAACAATGCCCTGGGAGCGGCGAGTGAGCGGAGTGAATCGACGAAGGACGTAAGACCTACCATGACGTAAATTAGACACTTGGTCAGCCCTGCGCCTTTGGCACCAAGATAGAGACCATGGCGAGTAAACAAGGATTGGGGGATGATTTCGGCGAAGCTTTGTGAATTGAGTTGGCGTGCAGCTGATTAGCTGCGACACTCACATGACGATAAGCACAGTGCTGACGGCGACGCTCTGTATCCCACCTCCCAGTACTGGATCGGCAATGACGGGCAGGGTCTCATTGACAATCATGTTGGCTAAGAGTAGCGTGACGAGCAGTAAATGACCATTTTTACGAATAGGCTTTATCTGGTTGGCATACTTGCGCTGCTCGCTATACAATCTTAGTGTGAGAAACAATTAACCGTGACAAGGCTAAGCCACCTACGGCGTGCCACTGATGCTTAGCACATTGAGCTGTGTCTGGTCAAGACTCATATAGCCGAGGGTCAATCCAGCGAAGAGACCTGATAGAAGGACGAGTACTGGGATGAGCACTGCGAAAATGACATCTTCGGTGCTGTGCTTGTCGAATCCGCCGGTATCAGACCGTTTGAGTAAGATATTGGAAGAATCCGAACGGGAAAGATGAAAGGAATGCGACGCAAGTGAAAAGAGCGTGTACACAAGCCTGGACGTCGTTGGTGAAGACAGGGGAGTTGGTGCCATGCAAGTTTGAGCTCAAGCCGCTTACTACACAATGATCGTATGACTTGCCCGTACCGATAATCGGGTACTCCCACACTGCTATACTCCTTCGTCACGTACGACACGAAAGAAACGCGAACCTCCCACTAATGAACGCGAATCAACAGTATATTTTTGCTATTTTACTTGGCTTCTTGGCTTAAGGTACACGCTGACGACTGCCGAGCGAAAATCGCACGCGAGCGTCATCGGCGTCATCGACTTCCGACTACGAAATACATCTACAACCACTGGGTGCCTGACATCCACAAGACGAAACAAACAAATTCCAATCTGATTATCATAACTTATCGTACAAAAACAGATCGAATCGATCACAGCACGCATTCCACTAAAAAAGGGTCTAACATACCTAGATGGACTTGGGAAGCTTCTCCACACAGTCACGGATGACACGGAGCGTCTCCACTTTGTCATAAAGACTGCGATGGCAACTGCTCTCCGGACACTTGGCAGTCCAACATGCCACCGCCTCTGGCCAATCCAACAATCCCGTCTCAATCACAGTATCGCCCAGAGGTCGCTTATCCATCTCCAGGATAATCTTATACTTCAGCTCTCGCCATGTGTGGTAGTCAATAAGACTATGGCAGCTGACACAGGTCGCAGTGCTACCTGCAACGAATGGTGGGTCATTTAATCTCTGTCGCAGCCTACAAACTTTCATCAGTAGATGAGGAAAGAAGACACGGAAGACAGGCGCACCCTTCCCGTCGCGATCGATGAAGTTGCATCAGGTTTAGCAGGGAATCAGTCGATAACCTCTGCAGCAACGGACGGATCGCCGGGTCATACAGATTGTATTGCAGAGTCTGCGTGGATGCATGCTTCGCTTCCGCTTCCCACCCAAACCGACATGCAATGCCATACAGCCGGAACGGCTGGACTGTCAGTGCCGGAGTCATCACCAGCAGCCGGACAATCGATAACGGTCCGGGGGTATCATACTTCTCCACTGCATCGAGAAGCGAGTCTAACTGGTCGTAGCTGTCCACAGGTGGCAGAGATAAACCGCACATCATCCTCAGCAGACATTCTAGGGTATCCTCGTCCTCGTCAAGGTAAAAGACACCCTTGGCCTTTGAAGAAGAAGACGGATCTTGTGGTAAGCTGAACATGGAACGAAAAAAGCCAGAAGTCATCTTGAGGGTATGGGAATAGACTCGGAAGAAAGTGCTGCCTCCTTTGGCAGCAAGCGTCGTGTCACCCTCTGTGAAGAGTGGGTGAAGCTTGAAGCCTTCTGGTTTAGGGTCGGATATGCATAGCACATTAAAGGGCTCTTCGTCTACGAGTGCCATTTGCATGTCCCGCGGTGACGAACCTGAAGTTGAAGATTCTGAAGATTCTGAAGGCGTTCGTCGAACGTTAAACATGATCTGTAGGATACACGTAAATGAGTTGGGAATACAACCACAATAAGAGTTAACAGCTACCTAGAGCTGAATCTGACTACAAAATGTCCGGTGCGAGTCAAGTGCAATGGTGGTTGGGAAATAAGAACGGAAGCTCATATCCGGTGGCTGTGTGTGGCCGCCGGGCCGGAACTCTCGCCGAGCGCTCAGCGCTCAGTACTCAGAGGCCCCGGGAAACTCACGCCAAGGTTTGTCCGGCAAAATAGCCAATTTTGGCCCTCAAATATGCAACAATTTAGGGCTAAAATATGCTAACGCGGACAAGGGTCTTCCGGGCCGACTTTCCGGAGTGCGCCGGTGAGAATTTTCGACGAATATCTGGCAAATCTTTCTCTATTTTGGAAGGTATCTCCTCATTTATAGTCATTTTTGCGGTTTTCGATAGGAGTAGAAGTCGGCAGAACCACTCTGCACAAACAGGGGGTCGACAGGTCCCCTCGTTCATCCCTCCTGATGCCCTCAAATATGCTAAACCCGGACAAAAGTGTCCCTCTTGGACCCCTCAAATATGCTAAATGCGGACAAAGATTTCGCATTTTTGGGGTCTAAAATATGCTAATTTCCGGACAAACCTTGGCGTGAGTTTCCCGGGGCCTGTACTCAGACACACATCGCTTTTTTCTAGTTCCTCATCTAACATGCAATAGATATTGACCAGAAAATGTAGCATGACATTTTTCATTATCAGGTATTCATAAGGTGATTACAAAGTATAGCGGAACTGCATCTCAGCCATCACTATATTTCCGCCACTAAAGAGAACGAAAACTTACATGAGGGTTCTCGAAGTCTGTCATATCCGACTCTCCGTTAATACTTCCTTGCATCTCTCTCTCCTCTGGAGTAAGGCCATCGGATAACATCTCTTTATCCCGCCTTCTGTTTCGAAGAACAAGAGTTGTTCGCCATGCTGTAGTTGAATTCAATTTACTTGAGCACCTAGGTTAAATATCAAGACATACCAACGATGATGAGAAACTCGAGCCCAAAGCAGGCACAGCACCCAATGGTACCGCTCTTATAGGAGGGCTAAAAAACTGATGATTCAGAATAAGAGTGCCTACTTAGAGGGGTGGCAACGAACGGCTTCATTAGACTTGAAAATTTGTGATCCACACATGTTACCAGCACAATATCTGGGAAGTAACCTATGTATCAGAGACGTCGCTCAAAATCAAAAAAAAATTCTCACCCAATGAAGGTGAAGGACGACGTGATCGTTCGCTTGGTGCGCCCAGGGACGTTGGACGGGATGAGTGACCAAGCCAAGAAAAGACCGAGAACGAACGGTGTCTGACTTGGCGGTCAGGAAAATCAGATATTCGGAGTATGAACCCACACGTACCACCATGAAGTACATTCCCCACTTCGTCCACTTGATATTCGATAGATATCAGCGATTAATTCGAGAGTATAATGTAAGGCACACCTTGGTACTCTCGGTGGTTTCGATCAGGGACAAGCCTAATACTCCAATAAATCCAGGGATAGTCCCCAAAGCCATGATAATCAAGCGAAGATTCTTCCACCTGGAGGTAATCTAACAGACGTGTCAGGAGGATACCATTGTAAACGGTCAGGCATACGAACCACACCGACAATCACAAAAATCGTCACACTCAAGACGTTCTTTGGAATAGTGTATAATATAACTCTGTCATTGTCAGATCAGAGGTACCGCTTGGGGAGTCATATAGCAGTGCGCGTACTCAAGAGAAGCTATCATCGGAAATGGAATCAGTAGAGTTCTTTTTCTAAGGAAGTAAACGTACTGAAACCGAAACTTTGGTTGATAAGACTACCGAATGTTTGGAGACCTATATGATAGCGAGAATTCGAGGAGATGAATACCAAGCAACTGCAGAATCCACTAAATGAACAGACCTCCGTTTGGAACCTGGGGAAACCTGAGGGAATCTGTACAAAATCACTAGTTGAGACTTACCGAGACTAGGAAAGCGTTAAATCCCGCAAAATAGAACTGACAAAACTCCAATTTTGTGAACATGAGGATGGAGTGGACAAACGCACGCATGGATCGATCAAACACTCGCGAACTTGGTACCATTTCCACACCCTTGTACCTGTCATGTCATGTCCACTCTGATTTGCCAGGACACGCGTGTTTGCCATCTGTTTCTCCTCCTTCGAGAGCCATGGGACTTCTGTCGGAGTACCCAGGAAATATAGACAAAGACACCCGACTGATATGGTGAGCCCCCCGAGGAACTATAGACGTATCAAGATTAACCTCAATCATTATACAGCAGAGAACCATACATAGGACATGTATCGCCATGCCTCGATATCTGGGCGGCTATATTCAAGTGTTCCGATGCCGTAGAGAATAAGGTCGGCGATGACTGCGAATCCAGCGTTAGCGCTCTTGAAATAAATAAATGAGTAGGATTCCAGGAGAAATGATTAAATGGGAGAGTGACCTGAAAAACGAGTGCTCGTGAAGCATGTTCTCGCCGGGTATACCAGCTTCCTACAATAAGGACAAAGCCCGGACTAATGCAGCATTCAAACATGCCTTGCAAGGCGCGCAGAGTCATAAGATGTGCCCAGTTCTTCGCTACGGAAACAGTCGGTATAACCTCACAAACAGGGCTTGCAGAGGCGTACCGAATCCAATACATAGGACAATCACTCCCCAGCATATCTGCGAAACAAACATTGGTGGAGTCGACATTTGTAAAAACTTATGAGGGCCTCACCATGAAGATCGATCTAAAGAGGTCATTTTCGAATCAGCAACTGAGATCCTACGTGCCGAACCCGAGGTTCTTACAGTGTTGTTCCCATTCTCCATCGTTGAAGTAAGATGTTGGAGGGAAACTCAAAGCACATATAAGCAAGGTAAAACATAGTTGCGAGCCTTAATCCAAGCAGTGAGCCAGATGAGGAAGGAATAGAATAGATAAGACTGACCAAGAATATTGCTGTCCATGAAGCCCGGTGTCTTCACGAAGACCAAACGTTGCCATAATACCTGTGAACGGACGGATGAGTGGTTTATCCCGGATATGAATTATTGATACTCGCTGAAGGAAGTCTTGTCAACTTGCTGAACGCCATCTAACGGAGGAATAATTAGGATCACTCATATGATACGACTGGACTTACAACAAAGCCACATGAGCGGAAGAAGGTATATGTCGATCTTCCGCTTGAGTTTCTTGTACTGTTCCGGGGTGTATTCTTGGACGACAGTGACTGAGGGTACGTCAGCCAAGGAACTCTCGAAGTTTGCGAGTTATGTACCTTCTTTCTCAGCAGAGACTTCATATATGCCAGCCTCTGCATCGCTCTTCGAGTTGTTGTCCCCGAAAGAAGCCTTCTCTTCGAGGGCGGGCGTAGTGGATAGTAATATGTCATTGGCCATGTCGAAGCAAGCGATCACAATAAGGTTTGTGTTCCCTTCATTTATATCATCGCCTTGATAAGAACACTCTCCACAGAGCTTCTCCAAAAGCCTTATCCTGCTGTGCATTCTGCCGGCCTGGCATTCTGCTTATCGGAGTAAAAAGCACCGCAAGCCTGAGTATTCGCGAGGAAGCCATCAGTGATTCGATGAAGAATTTCGATTGAGCTGTGGGTCTGTAAGAAAAGAGCCAAGTTGCGGAAAAGACTAGGTACCAGTATCCATAGACACTAATAGTAGAATCCAGAGTTGGAGCAAACAGACGCGAGGTTACGCAGACCCTCAAAGTACCGTGCGGCGCTACAGTGGTCCAAAATAGAGATACAAGAAGTTTATTTTCCCACGCCCTCGCAGCCTTATCCTATACTCGCCTAGCTTTCAAAGTGCAATCCCTAAGATAGTATTAAGACTAAGAATCAATTTCAGTATCATGACTGCTTCATGGGCCCAGGTAGGCATTCCTGTGACTTGGGGTTGGCTATGAAATACTGAATCTCAAATAACATTACCTTCAAGTGGCCTAGTAGAAGGCGTTTCGTGTAGAAGGTCCGTCGAAAAAAAACACAGTACATCCAAACTTGTAATAATGCGGAAGTATCCGTACGTGGCCTACCAGTACTCTGTAACCTAGTCTTTGCCCTTGCTTCATGTGGTCTCGAGGTCAGTAGCTCAACATCTATTGCTCGGATTCAACTCGGAAAAAAAAAAGTTGGCCGGGGCCAAGGATGCCCAGTTCTTTCACCGTGATAGGCTATGCCATATAATTTTTGACGTCTATATCATATAATGCTTCAAAGCATCTTTGCATCTTTTATTTCGACTTTTATCTGCCGAGTTGTCCATAGTGCGACCAGAGAGTAATTGATATCACGTATATTGTTACCTCGGCCCGGAGAGGTACCGAGATGCATCCAGCTTAGACGCTCTTAGACGTGGATTAGATAGACAGGTTGAATAAATCTTTTTTTATAATGACGGACCTCTGTTATGATCTGCTATGTGTCGATGTAAGCTAGTACCGATTTCAAGCACGTGACCGTATCGTAACTGTCCTAAGAGTAAGACCGTTCGAAGACGGTCAACAAGTTACAACGCGTGGAAGGACGTACACAATTCAAACGGTACTCTGAAGGTGCCTATGAAAACATAAATCGATAAACGATTTAAAAAATTATTGACATACGTCAGATTAAACGTTTGGGTTTTTGGTCAATCATGATGCGAGTCTACATCGCAAGCTCACTATCAGCAATTTTTTCAGCGATGAAGGTCGTATACTATACTGGCCAAAAGATCTCACAACAGGAACGTGCTATGGAGTACGTGGCTTGCACGCCATCTACAGTCCTTGAGAAACTGCAACGTCTTGTCCAACTCTGGCTTCAAGTTCCCCGATCTGGATGATGTTCTCCACGCAGTATTATGTCGTCATGTAGTGTCATTGAGGTCGTCCAATGTAGGATGGAGACTAGAAGCAAATGATAAATCCTAGTATGGCGTCTTTTGGTGTAGCCGATAATGTCAATGCTGACCGTGTCATTCGCGTGTACCCTACAAGGTCGTAGATCTGCACGAATACGAAACAGAAGAAAGAAGACTTTAGAGTTTAGAGCAAAAGTTGAAAAGAGAGTGACATCGACTCGGATGACTAATCGTAGCGGGCCGCATTGGCCTTGTCTCTCAACCGCCACCATCACCGTACTCAACATCGACTGTCCCTGGAAAAAGCTGGCGACCTGTATTCTCTATCGAATATTAGACCTTTTCAATACATGAATAAATCACGACGTTCTTCTCTCTTCACTCGAGCACATCTGATTCTCCACCCCGCGCGCTGCAATCTTTATCCATCATACATATTCCCATGCAACACCTTTTTCTCTAGGGCTAGCAGCTAAAGTGATAGTATATCATGAACAGAGGACTCCGTTGCCTCAACTGTCGTCTAGGCAGGCATCGACATGCTATGCATAGACTGAGGGAGGGCAAGAGCGGCTGAGCAGCCATTCTGGTATGCAGGTAGAACGGTTACGGTCTGGGTATGTATTGTGTGTTCGTAAAGGTTCAAGTGAGACATGCTCATTGCTGACACAGGGATTAGCGTTCCACACAACATGGCAGAAATATACTGTCCATGCGGATTGGCGTCGCAAGCTCTCTCAGCTTAAACTCAATTATATTGTTGATGTGACGTTGGTCTGGAACATTTATCGTTAATTCAGCGCTAGGCCAAGGTTTACTCTCTTTGGCTGCCCACATCTCTCCAACAACCCAGTGACCGCGATAGACCGCATCTGTTCTTGCAACCACGTATGCATCATATAACTTTGCATATGGCGTTTGACTTTTCGAGCCAAGCCAAGCCTAACATCCGAAAATCTTGGATGTTTTTTTTTTTTGAGAACATGCGGTGGCATCGTCTTCGAGAAGCTGTATGCTGTCTACTGTATCAGAGGATATGAGTGTCATCCTTACTGTGGTCCTTGCAGCCAATGCCAAGATAGAGAGAATCGCCGGCGGCTCTCAGGTTCACATTGTTCTCTCTTAGTTGGATTTATGGAGGGTCTGGGAAATAGTGAGTCCAAAACTCAAGCAGACAAGAGATCATCTTCGTGAGTCTCACTTGATAAGTTGCCGCGAAGTGTGCAGCCTACTCATGTGCTTTCTGTAGCATCTACAACGATACCTTGCGCTTGATTGCCTGGGTTTCGCACGGGATATATAGAAGTAACGACATTTGCGTGGAAACATTCGACATTTTCGACATCAGAGCACGAAACATTCTCGCCAGGGTTCCATATCCGCTTTCTGACACATTCATCCGGATTTCTCCATCATCACCTTGGCGTTCTGGCGAGTACAATTGCGCCTTTATCATTGGCCTTCAGAGCCGCATGACCTTCGTCGATTGCTTGCTTGGCTTGGACACCGATATCAACCCGGGATTGTCCAGCAGTTTCAAAAGACAGTTTCAACGGTGAGATATGTGTAAAGCGCTAGGAAGCCGCAACTTGGTCTGCCATAACATCTCTTTCTCAATATCTCTTATGTTTCTTATCGATGCCATTGCAGAACAATGCCAGCTGATTTCCTGCGTTTACGCGTGAACGTACGCGTCATATACGCGTGGAAGGGTCGAGCAATACTCGAGGCCCTGATACAAGGATATGATCAGCCATGATTTTCTCCGATCGTATCTGTGATCTTGTCCCGCGGAGTCTTCCTGGTGCTCCCTCGTTTTCTGGACTTTTTACTCACATTGTCTTCATGCCTGGAGGGCAAGTGGGCATCGTCATTCTTTGGATGCTACAATTCTTCTGGCTCCTGGAATAAATACCCACATGGGCTCAAGCTGAGCGCCGAGTCCTTCATAGATCGTGGCCGCCGATATCTAGGGTGTTCAAAATCGACACATGTACTTGCTGCGGATGATGGAGGGGGTAAGGGAGAGGAACCAATAGCGTTGGTGACATTTACCTGCCCGCATGAAGTTGTCCAAACAATCGAGCATGGGTGCGGTGGGTCGCTGGTTTGCAAGAATGCTTCGAAGCAGTGTTTATCCGTGCATGAACCTACATGGTCAGGAATATAAAAGGGGAGTTATCCAGAGCGAATATATCAGCGACACTAGAAAGTCCTCTCTTCTGGTATCTGTGAAACATGGTTCAGCTCTCTGTCATCTCATCTGTCCTGCTACTCGCTGCCAGCGCCGTCATAGCTCATCCTAGTACTTCTAAGATGAGCCCAGCTGAGCTCCAGCGTCGTGCAGAGTTCCAGACGTTCGCGAGTCGTTCCCTCAGCGGCTGCCAGGACAGTCTCCGTCGTCGAGGCCACTACGAACGCTCCGCTGCTCGTCGCAAGGCTCTTGCCGATGAACTTCGTCGCAAGCGCGGTATCTCTACTCGTAAGACACGCTTTTTGCCCCCTTTCCACTGCTACGTTGCTAATGTGATATCCCCATAGGCACCCCCTACAAGCGTAGCTTGGACAGCGTTTTGGGAACAAGCCACCTGTCCAACCAGACTGGCCTCGAAGCGGAATCTGACCCCTTCGACGGAACTGGGTCCTGCACCCTCGTTCCTGAGGCTACCCAAGGACCGTATTGGGTCGATGGAGAGTACGTCCGCAAGGACATCCACGAAGACCAGGCGGGCCTCTACACCTACGTCGACCTCGAGTTGATCGACTACTCCACCTGCGAGACCGTTGCAGCCGATATCTACGTCGATATTTGGCACTGCAATGCTACCGGTGTCTACTCTGGTGTTGTCGCCAGTGGAAACGGCGATTCAGGCGTCGGCGAGAACTTGGTGAGTGAACAAGCTGACGGATGGTGTTTCTTCAATGATAAAGAACCTTTTTAGAACGCCACTTTCCTGCGTGGTATTCAACCCACCACCGAGGGAGGCTACGTTCAGTTTGAGACTATCTTCCCAGGTTGGTGATACTAACCATTTCTTGTACCCGCCTATTGCTAACTGATCTAACAAGGGCATTACACGGGCCGAACCCCACACATCCACGTCCTCGCTCACGGAGACGGGACGGCTTTCGACAATGGGACGTTCAAGACCAGCATGGACCGCCACGTCGGTGAGCCGTAGTCCATTTTCCTATGCTCCCCCTTCCTGACTTTTTAAAAAAAGGCCAAGTCTACTTTGACCAAGACCTAATTACCGCTGTCGAAGAGACCTCCCCGTACAACACCAACACCCAGTCTTTCACGACCAACGCGCAAGATGGTATTCTAGGACAAGCAGCCGCTGACATTGACCCCGTGCTTTCATATGTTTACCTTGGTGATGATATCACCGACGGTCTTCTTGCGTGAGCATTATTCCTTTCATTTCCCTTGCTGTTTCTAAAAAGTTCGCATTAGTTGGGGATCCATGGGCATAGACCTATCAGCGAGCTACGTCGTCCAGTCGGCTGCTACTCTCACTGAGAACGGCGGTGTAGCCAACGGGGGATTCGGTGGTGGAGGACCGGGTGGGGCTTTCCCTGGGAACGAAACCACTCCTGGGGGGGCCACAACCACGCTGGTATGCACTGTCGTCTCGTAAATTCAATCAAGTAGGAAGATGTTATATAACACTGTTCTTGTTAGTACAAATATTCCTGCATCGGTCGGACCTCTCGGTTTGCATGTAGCTCAACAAAAGAAGCCCATTGGCCGAATATACATGCAAATTTATTTCCCCTATACACTTCATAAACATAATCAAGGAACGGGCGTAGCACCCACGAACGGGAGGATGACGATCTTCTCCGGGTCCCACTAACAGGACATCAGCACCAACACAACTCTTCAGAACCCCAAGCAGCGTACTCACCACTCCAGCAGTATAATACACATCAGCCTTGACCTTTTCCTTCACCCTGTCCCACAACCAAACGTTAGAGTTAATCCTTACAATCCGACGAAAGACCCACTCATCGATATCCTTAGCCTCACAGATAAACGCCGATCCGACCATCTTCTTCGTCTCAGAAGTGAGAGATTCCTCAGAGAGGAGGCGCCCCTCCGATGCCTGCAGATAACGGGGGTTATCAATCCATCCCATCGGCTGATGGTAGGACTCACGAATGAATCCCCCTGAGATATGCTTTCCCCGCATCCTCAAGATGGTTAGAACGCACAGAGAGCCGTCGCTCAAATGTGCCGTCCTCAGTCTTATCAGGACAATAAACAAAGAAAAGGGACCGGGACATGATGGTGTTTGATCAAGCTGATTGCTGATTATAGCATGTAATGTCCTCTAATATAATCCAATGTTATAATTACAATACATTAATTCATTTACACCACGGGTCCGGCTTGTTCACCTTGATGTCGACATCCTTTTCATACAACGCAAAGGCCTTCTTGAACATACCAGCGAGCTTGACAAGCTCCCTCCTTGAACGCCTCCTTGTCCTTCCAGGCGAGTTCGGGGTTGAGAATTTCCCTCGGGACACCCTCGACGCTGGTGGGAATGCTGAGGCCAAAGACGCCAAATTTTTCGTACTCTGCATCCTTGAGAGAGCCGGAATGTATGGCGTTGATGATGGTACGGGTAAACTTGAGAGGGCAACGGGAGCCTGTGCCAAACTTGCCGCCGGTCCAGCCAGTGTTGATGAGCCAGCAGTCGACATTGTGTTTCGACATGCGCTCAGCAAGCATCTCTGCGTAACGACCGGGGTGGAGGACGATAAAGGGAGCGGAATAGCAGGTGGAAAAGGTGGGGATGGGTTCGAGGACACCGTCTTCGGTACCGGGAGTCTTTGAGGTGTAGCCAGCAAGGAAATGGTAAGATGCTTGCTCTGGGGTGAGCTTTGAGACGGGGGGAAGGACACCAAAGGCGTCGCAGGTGAGCATGATGATGTTGGAGGGCTGGCGTTCGACAACACAGGGAATCTTTGCGTTGGGAATGTACTCGATGGGGTAGGCGCAGCGAGTGTTTTCAGGTGATGGAGACGTCGTCATAGTCGGGAACTCGGGAGACGGGGTTGTAGACGACGTTCTCGAGGATGGAGCCGAAACGAATGGCGTTGAAGATTTCTGGTTCCTTTTCGGCCGAGAGGTTGATGCACTTTGCGTAACAGCCGCCTTCGATGTTGAAGACGCCGGTGTCGCTCCATACGTGCTCATCATCACCGATGAGAAGTCGGTTAGGGTCGGCCGAAAGGGTGGTCTTGCCGGTGCCAGAAAGACCGAAAAAGAGAGTGACGTCACCGTGTTCGATGCCGACGTTGGCAGAAGAGTGAAGAGAGAGTTGACCAAACTTGATAGGCTGGAGGTAGTGCATGACTGAGAATACACCCTTTTTCATCTCACCGGCGTACTCGGTACCCAAAATGACCATTTCCATACGCTTAAAGTTGATTTCGACCGAGGTTGTAGAAGACATGCCCTTTGTGAAACGGTTGGCAGGGAACTGGCCGGCATTGTAGATGATAAAGTCGGGTTCGCCAAAGTCTGCGAGTTGTTCCTCGGTGGGACGGATGAGCATGTTATTCTAGGAATGATGAGAAAATGATACGGCAGGCAGGGGTGACGTGATAATACATACCATGAAGAGGGCATGATAGGCGCGGGCACAGATGACCCGGACCTTGATTCGGTACTTGGGATCCCACTGGTGGACGTGAGTAATAGAAGGTAAAAGGGCGGGGATACAAGGACTCACGCCAGCGTAACCGTCAAAGACGTAGACGTTGTCACGAGTGTTGAGGTAATCGATGGCACGTTCTCGGTTGATCTCAAAAGTATCTAAAGGAGGGTGAGAGAGTGAAAGCGGAGAAGAGAAGGGTAACATACGTTCATCCATCTTGATGTTGACTGAACCCCACCAAATATCGTCCTTGGAAGTGTCCTCATAGACAATACGCTTGTCCTTGGGGGAGCGACCGGTCTTTTTTCCGGAAAAGTTGATGAGGGCACCTGAGGAGGAAATGATGGCGCCCTCGTTGCGAATGGCGTCTTCGTAGAGCAGGGCGACGGGAGCATTTCGCTTGATGGAGATGCGGTCCATGTCGAAACCTGCTTGAGAAAAGTAGTCGAGGTCCTGGCCAATTACTAGAGACAATGTTAGCAAAGGCGAGACAACGACGACGAGGAGAAAGAAACATACGAGAACCAAACTGTTCAGAGTCGTGGGCCTGAGCATAGTTCTTGTGGAGGATATGGGGAGTGACATAGGGGGTATGGTGAGGGGCCATTGTTAAACGAGGACGAAGGGTAGTAGGTGAGGGTAGGCGGAAGGGTGCAGATCTTGAGTTTCTGGGATAACAGTGTGCTTTTATAGTGGCCAGCCACTTTTGACGCATCCCTTGAATTTCCCGAGGGATTATAGCCCCTATGGCCAATGACAGGTGGAGGACGCCGCTCGTTGTGAGGCTGTGCTGGACCGGCTACCGTGAATTCCCGACCGGTAGCCCGCCGGATTAATAGAGATCCGCGTTTGGACGACTTGTATTTATGACGGCTCATACATATCCTCCATTCTACTGCCTGCTATCTCCTCAAATCAGTCAATTTCCCTACTATCTACATTGGCTCGACGCCCAACCCAGTGCGTCGCATCCGACAGCACAATGGAGAGCTCACACAGGGCGCGTCCAAGACGAAGAAACAAGCGGACCGTGGGAGATGCAGATGCTAGTGCATGGATTCCCATCCAAGCTTAGTGCGTTGCAGTTTGAGTGGGCATGGCAGCATCCGCATCTGTCGCGACATCTGGAGGATCAAGCGTTCGTGCTCGGGCGGTGTCGACTTGTATCAAGTGTGTGCACAGCATGATTGCCACTGCCACCCTACGACTCGCTTGCACTACGCGTCATTCTATTCACCCCAGAGGCATACAAGGTTTGGCACAAACTACCGCCAAGCGCACTCGAAGCCGCGTACCACCCCGAAGGCGTGTCGACCCTGCCGATCCCATACCTCGCGCCTCTCCCCGCCAAGACCCCCGCCACCACCTGCTCCGTTTGTACGCGCCCATTGGACGGCGATCCACTAACCACCGCCATCTGTACTATGCCAACTTGCAGTGCCTCGTCTCACCTGACCTGTCTCGCCACTAGCTTTGCAGACGGTCGTATGATTCCCCGAGGTGGCCATTGTCCAGGTTGCAAAGAATATGTGTTATGGGGTGACATCATTAAAGCTATGTATACTCCCGGCTCCCCGTCTTGAGCGTATTTCTTCGAACCCCCAATCACATCCCTCCTCTTAATCACCGGGTTGTCCCGTGTCAGACTTAGGCACAACAACCACTCACTACCCGACTTTTCCCGTACCTAAAACTAAACACTTTTCCGTACACGACCACTTGTCGCTGCCTAGATATCCCGAGACTACAAATTCTGTCTTTCATCTTTGCTCCGTCCGTTTTCCTTGGCTCTCTGAGCTTTTAACGCCAGAAACGTTTCGGCCGAGTGTCGTGTCTTCTCTTCGCATGGTTGAATACACGCTCTATCTTTGGATGAGCTTATTATTAGGATCCGCGAAAATAGATAAGTGGCGCCTTCGAACGACAATTACCAGAATGAACCGTTGTCATCTTCGCCTGCTGTCATGACACATCTGCGTGCGCAGTGCAAACTTGCGCTCAAATACCTTGGAAACGCAACACACCTCTCAACCGGCTTCGCGCAGCTACACCAACAGCCGAACTTTATGCGTGAACCCCAAATACCCTACTTGAACAACGCGAGAGCGGCTCCCCGCCTTTACGCTTCCATTTCGCAGAAACCTACCGACCTCGAGGTGTTACGATCAACGGCCTGCGTATCCGATGAGAATATTAATGCTCCACCAATCAGATATTTCTCTTTATGAATCAGTTCCTCAGGAAAATGATCAACCGTGAATATTTGAATGCGCACCCGGGCCGGCTTCCAGTTCATTGATTCCCTCCCGTGTGGTTATTCCCAAACTCTTATCAGCCACCTGGTGGACTACGCAAAAGATCGCTAGGGACTATAGACTTCTGATGCGGGAATTTCAACTCAAGCGTCCGTCTATCTACGGGTATGTGGGAACAGTTCGAAAGAAAAAGTCACCTGCTGATGCTTCTCTCATATGAATCCTCGCAGGCTGGTCATCATCCGGTAAAGGAACAACAAGTTGAAAAGAAACCCGATCAACGAAAGATGCTTTTATCCCACCTCTCTTCCTGACTATCCAACGTATTGATTCTCCGCGCGACACTGGCGGTCGCAGTGACACTTCAAGCCCAGCAGCTATGGGCATTTACTTAACAGTGTAAAGGACAACACGTTGAAACTAGCCTTCCGATGACAACGACTTTCGTCCCCCACTTCTCTTCCTGCGAGAGTGACTCAATTCTCTGCTACGGACATCTGCGGGGCAGCGACAATTCCGTCAAGTCCTCAGCCGATTCGAGCAGTCAAGCCACGTATACAGATCTAGAGCACTGAAGAAGACGGCCAAGTCGCCCCACTGTTAGATAATTAACGACACGTACGGATTGTAGAGGGAGAAGTGCGAAGAGTAGGAGCTGGACTAGTGACGGATAACTTGCAATGGGGACAACATGCGCACGAGGACACTTCTATGCAGATAACACTTCGGCCTCAGCTATCGAGACCCGAATGTAAGTTCCCTGACGGCGCCCATGGTAGAGATCCCAGGTCACCAAGGAGCGGATTACTTGGCTAATAGAGGCATGGTGCGGAAAAGGCACCAAAGACTACAGACAAAGCGAGGACGGGAAGAAAGCGTGGGAAACAAACCCGTCGCGGACTTGGACTGCCCCTGTGGCAAACCATACCACCAGAGGACACGGGCGTGCTCAGGACGCGACACCCGAATCATAAGACTCGGACGATGGGGGGATGTGGAGGGACGAGCACGCCAAGCTACCACGGTTAAAACTTTTTACTAGTTGAAACTTATATGTACCGTCCATACCGATACGCCAGAATTTATTAGAACCCTTAACGGAGGGACTGTCCTCCACCGCCACACCGTGTCGCAATAATAAAATTCAGGATACAAGAAAGAAAAAGGTTCAATCTAACCCGAGTCCGGGTTTCCGGTCCGACTTCCGGTGACGTCTCTTTCTCTTCTACCATCGGGGACCTGAACCGCTTATTTGGCGCCTCAACCCAAGATGTACATATTCGAAACCGCCGTATTCAACGGTACCACTTGTATTCAAAGCAAACGGCCTCGACTCTTTGACCAAATTGCCTGGAGATTCATGTTAGTACTGCTACGGATGCCTCTTCCGAAGATAAGTAATACCAGAGCTTCCCTCACATAGGACTCCCGTAGGCGAGAAATAAACGATACACTCTCATCGAGGAATCCGAATGCACGACACAATTATCCCCATCCAACGATACGTCTCCACAGTCAAATTACCGTACTCCAACTCCATGCATGGTCATATGTCGACGCAAACAACTGCCCAATATCTGACGGCTAGCAAAGAGACGCCAAACCCAATATATCCAGAAGTGTACTGGCCTCCACAAATCCACAGCTCATGTGCCTCTGCCCTTCAAGCTTCAAGTTGCCAAGCGGTAAGGACCAAGAGTTCGCGAAACTGCCATTGGTTCCCTGCAAACTCGTGGCGTTCTTGGACTAGATTGGGTGGCGCACTCCCTGGGAGGCGCTAACTCGTGTACCTCCTATGTACTAGAAATGACGCTTACTCGATCGGAGTGGATGCGCACCTGTGATCTCAGGTGAGGATCTGTGTACTGTGTATCCGATGAAAGCGCTCCATAAGACCCGCCTATCAGATATTCCTTTTTCTCACAACTCGTAAAGATAATCAACATGAATATGCAGATGAAGATACCCGGGTCCCATAATGGAACTACTGATCGACCTTATGAACTCGACCATCCCAATCTTCTATGATTGCTAGGATTAGAATCAATAGGACTTGCATGTGGATTCTGATGCAGGTGACTTTTAGCTCGAACCTTCCATTTTGTAGGAATGCATTTGAACCAATCATTTGTTGAATGCCATGGGCTCTTCTTCCATCCATATCAAGCGCGTGAAGGGTGGTTGCGTAAAGCAGTGTGGAGGGATAATCGCCACAAACCCATCGCACAGTCGAAACGCTAGGTAAACCTACAGGCGTGGCTAGCCTCGGATTAATTGAAGGGCGCCAAACTACGCTACAACCTCGTTACCATGCCAATCCACCAGAGGAAACTTAATCCATGGGATCCACAGTAACCGAATCCGGCTTTCCGGTCCAACTTCCGGTGACGTCTCTTTCTCTTCTACCATCGGGCATGTATTTCTAACACTTCCGAATCCCAATCCAAGGTGGGCATGTTCGAAACGCGGTATCCTAGGCAGAATTCACGGATGCAAAGACCGTACAGGCTCATGCAGTTAGACCCTTCGACCAAATTGCCTGGAAATTCAATTTGGCTACAGATGACGCTTCGTATTTTTAGGGCTTCCGTCACGTAGGACCCTCTGCAGGTGAGAATGAATGAGAGCACCTGCCGTTCTCTCCCTCAAGGAATTCAAACATGCATGTCCTCAGCACATGACACCACTGATCGGTTCATCGACATCTCCACAGTCAAATTATCGCGCTCCAAGCGTCATGTAGACACAACAATTGATGGCTCTGACGTGCGATCTAGTAGGGAATCTAATAAAAGTGGCCGGATCTCACGAGAAGATTCTCTGGTTAAGAGTACGCGAGCAATACGCCACTGAAAGGGACGCAAATATCTCCAGATGTGTACTGGTCTTCACATAATAGTGCCTAGGATGGGGGGCCTGCCTTCCACTTGCCTGTCCAAGTGGTAGGAACCAAGGTGTTATTGGCACCCCTGCAAAACTAGCGGCGCTTCTTGGCATAGACTGGGTGGGTGGCGTTCCTCTTAATGGATCTATATATGCTACTGGCCTAATCCTAGTCATCCGTGGATAAATTAGGCACTAGCTACGAGTAAATGCTTCTGTCCAGGAGTGTATGTTCTGGAGATCTCGCAACGTGGACCTGTATAACGGATCTGCGCACCGGTGACCTAAAACCGAACCTTCTCGACAGACCTTTGGTTATGGGTCTACTCTCACGAGTACCCGACCCCCCGAAACGCGTCGTTTGTTTCTTCCACAAACGAAGTGAATAGTGAGTGACCTTGCCCTAGTATACGGGCTTCAGGGTGGACCTGCTTCGCTTCATCGATACTCCACATTAAAGTAGTGTTCAAATACCTATTTTATTGAGATAAGCTGGGAAGGGAGTGAATTTACGTGAGGGATTTCGTGACGAGAAGAAGGTAGGCAAGGATGGATCATGGTTCTTCATTCCGGGCACATTCCAAACTTACACAACTTGAAGCCACGCCGGGGCACCAACTATCGCCGCCGTGTAATAGTAACCGTTGGCCACTGATGATCAGGAGAATAGCCCGTCTCCTGGATTGCGGTGTTCGCATGACAAGCTCTTATCGCACATACACTTAGGATTGAAGTGTTTCTAGATATGATGTTAAGTGACACGAGGACAAGGCCTTCTTCACTCACAGGATATCTTCGTCTTCTTGTGATCACACAAGCAGATAAATCATATAACGCATAATTCAATTATTTCGCAGACTTCCGTGAACCATCCGATGCATAGTATCCTAAGCGTACAAACAATCCTTCAAAGCTGACTGGCACCGACGCATTGGATTGGTGAGTCGTTTAGTGCTTGCATTCGGCGCATTTGCAGTCGCCGGCAGCGCAGGAGCAACTGGATGAATGGAGTTCAACGACGAACGGTGAAGAGAACGAGCGTTACTCACGCGGTGCAAGCGCACGAAGAGGTCGCGCAGGTCTGGGAGACGGGGACTTGGGTGGTCTATACGAAAAACGAGCCCTAGTCAGCGAGGAGAAGGAAGAAGGGAATAGAGGAGAGCACGCACGGTGTACATGCTTTCTTTCGAGTAGGTTAACTAGGTGTGTTTCCTGGTTAGAGATTAATCCCTCCACTACCCTCCTTATATACGAATTTCTGGGGTTCCTGTGAGATGTCACAAGCCACGCATCGAGGGGGCACATGTCCAGACGTGGCCCGGGTCCATTATGGAATCATAGCGCGGTTGGGTATAGGCTTAGGCTTATCCATCGATTGTGGAATGCAATTCAAAGATATGGATCTTTCCGAAGGGCAAATTGCGGATAAGACGTGTGCTTATAGTAGGTAGTAAGGGTGGGCACTTTTGGGATTAGTGCTTCAACTCGGATCTCAGTTAGAGCCCACATTGAGTGCCGTGCTAGTGCGACGTTTAGGTACTAGTAGGGGGGAAAATGCCGAGGTGTCAGAGTAGAGTATGCGAAGCGGAATTGGGAACATACGGACAAGGTCCCCTACCCAGAGCAGGTGGCCGTGACATACGAATTCGAAAACCGATACGGGTGATCTTTGACGGTGGATGGAAAATTTCGTATTCCTATGGAATTGGTACCGCGAGGCGCTCTAGCCGAGTTGGTAATTGAGCTAGAGGTGGTCAGGCTAGGCGATTTGAAACAGCAATAACGGGGTTCTCACAGGACGAGGTTCCGCTATGACATATGGAGGCGGCGCGGGTGATTTTGTCCAAAGGAACGGATAAAAAACAATGCATCTTTTTAGGGCCGTAGAGCCGGTAGAGTGTGGACGTAATATTCCAGGCGTCTAGACTGGTGCTTGGATTTCTGAGTCTCAACATCGTTGCCCGCGAGCCATCGAAGCGAGAACTTGGAAGGTTGAAGGTTGGGACAGGAGCAAGGCGAGGTAAACGACGTAAGATGTTGGAGCCAGGGGGCCTTTTATGTCCTATTCTAGTGCTATGACTGAGCAGGTACTTAACTTGTAAACACAACGTGGGAAAGTTGAACAAAGTGATATGATGGCGGCATCAAAGCGGCACGGCAATGGGTGCGCTTCTACATTCATTAGCTTTTAGCATACTACAGTTAGCTACAAGATGGTGCGATACGTTTACAATGCACATAAAAAAGAAACTGTTCAGATGACAACAAAAATAGAAAGAAAAAAAAACAATAGGAAGAAAACCGGGCGCCATCAACGCTTCCGCACCTTCGGTTTCGGCTTGGACTTTTTAGAACTCGAGCTGCTGCCCTTGGAAGGGCCGTCAACGATGATCACCTCATCATCGCTCGTTCCTGCCTTCCGTTTAACCCCCTTCCTCATAGTAGAAGACTGACACGCTATCCACGTCAATGATCTCAACGCTTCCGCTCCTCGTCGAGTTTGTGGATCGGTGCAAAGATGAACGGGCAGGGCTTTTCCCAATACGGGACGAAGAAGCCCCGGGAGACGCCACTCGCGCTCCCAGTTCCTGACTCCCGCTCATGCCAGCCTTGCGACCTCCAGTTAATACCATTCCTTCGACCTCGATCTGCAGCCTCGTCTCCCGCCAATCACGTTTGAAAACATTATCAGCGGACAGACCATCCTCAAACATCCTCATGTTTGCCTCTATCCTCTCGTCGTCGTATTTGTCTGTGATAATTCCCTCTCCAGTCATTCGCGCCCCAAACGTGTCCAAAGAGATCGAACCAGAGTTCTTTACCTGATACTTTACTCCATCATCGTTCTCCCGGAACCGCTCCTCGGGAACGGATGGCTCTCCCAGGTTTTCTATCCATTCCCATGGTCGGTTTACCACAGGGGCATCCTGCACAAGTTTGCCTGACGGGTCTCGATGACAGGACGCTAGATCCGCAACGGAGGAGACAGCAGGAAGATGGGGTAATAACGAGCGTAGCTGGGTGAGGTAATGAAAGGGTATATCTGGGGCAAAGTCAGAGGGGTTGATTTCTGGGTAATTAATGAATGGGTCAAAAGCATTCATTTTCGTCGAGGTCGGCGTTTCTGCAAAATTATGTGAGTTAATAAGTGAAACATTAACAGATTGAAAGGAAGCGGCGCATACCATCGATAAGATAGTACAGAGTATCCAAAATGAGTGGATAGGCTATAGGGTCGAAAGTATTTCCCGAAGCAAACAGCTATGACATAAAGGTCAGTTACGCTATTATGAATGTCGCAGAGTGCCGTACCAGGGTAATCCGATACAAACTTGCGCACAATTTGCGACTTAACTCGGTAGTACTAGCTGTCCATGCACCTTCGAAGCTCAAGTCAAACTGCAGGAACCTCGCCAAAAGAACCACCTCTTGGGTGAAGTCTGTCTGATCAACAGTAATCGCATCCGGATTACGAGTGGCTTCTTCGATACTAGCAAACTTGCTACAGAGGGTCGAAAAGAACATGTCCTGGACATCGGAATCAAGAACAGGAAGTTGGGCTGACTCTTGCCGTAGAGGCTCCGCAACGTAGATCAGGATCCTGAATGACTCCCCAGCACGAGCCAGAGAAGTGCCCGTGTCTGAAGATGGGTCCCGAAGGACGTCGGTCAAAAAGCGCAAGCCGTTGTTGATTATCTTTCCAGCCACTGCAGAGCCCACCCCTTGCGTCATTTGCGTAACGAAACAAGCTTCATCAGATGAAAGTGTGTGGTCGAATATGACAGAGGTCAATTTGTCCAGCGTCATACAAGCCGTGTCATAGGCGTGTGACTCTTTGTTGATAGAGCGCTCCATCTGCTTGAGGAAAAACTGCAGCTGGATTGTAGTAGCAGATATCATCCAAGGGCTTAGAAATGAAGACTTTTCGGGCCAACTGGATATTTCGATGTCTACAGAATCGTGCATCAGAGCTTGTCTAGACCAAGGAGCGAATACCTACCTTCATCTGGGGCCTCAGAAAAGATCATGCGTAGAGCAGCCATAGTCCGATCGCCCACTTCGGGGCTTGTGTTCTCCTTAAGCTGCATAGCTTGTTCGAATGCCTCCCGAAGAGCGTCCAAATTACGGAACGTACCCTGTCGAAAGTTGTCATCCTCGTAAAGCGAGTGCCGTATGACCTTGAGCTCTGTCCGTAGATGTTCCGGTATCCTTTCGTTGTTCTCTAAGGATACCAAAACAGGAATATTAGACACCAAAACGGGAAAATGTGGCTCGCAGTAAACATCTTGTTTTCTTGTTTGTAGCCGTTGAACGTCGAAAAGATCGCATGGTGGCATGATTCCAGAACTACCCTCCCCGCGAAGCAACAGCCCTTGAACAAGGTTGTTAGCGGCGGCAAGGAAAACTTCCATCTGTTGTGGCGGCAATTCCACAGATGATGAAGCACATTGCCACGCAGGATAGACGAGGCCGGTCATGATCGTTGTAGTCTTGAGAGCGCCATGAACTACCAGACAAAGTAACAGGAGAGTGACAATATCCCATACGTCTGCCGTCAGATTTACGACCTCACTTTTACCCGGTCCTAGGAACCATCCAAGGACATGGTCATCAAGACCAGTAGGAAGAAGGTGATCTACATGACGGAGAAATGTCGCATATCGTAAGGCACAGCCCCTTCTACCCTCGGTGTCGGGCGCCATGAAAGGAATTTGACGAAGACTCGCAATAGTATTGTCCCAAACTTTCCATGCCCAGTCAAATGACATTCGATACTTTATCCATAGGCCATTAGCGAGAGTGGACTGGGGCATCTTCCTCATAGTCGCCTGCAAGTAAAAGTATCTCTGGCAAGACACTGGGAACTGGTTCAGGATGTCCCACAATGACAGGTTGGAGCGTCTGATGAGCATGAGTACCCTATTAATGGTCATCACGTTCATGCTCCTACTCACCATTGAATAGTATGAGATTTCCGCATTGAGTTGCTCTCGTTCCTGGGCCGAGAGATATCGATTGTCGTCGAGTTCTTTCAGTAGAACAAGTAGAACACGGGTCTGCATGCCCTTACTTTTCCAGATCTGATGGGCAGTCTGTAGACTAGTTACGATTGATCCGACGACATCCATGCACGACCAGAGAGTATGAAAACGGCGGAGTGTGTCGATCGCTGTATTCAGGCTATCGGTCGTGGATGCGTGCTCCAGTAAACAGAGAGTGAGCTACATCAATAGCCATAAGTATGAGCCTTATCAAAGCTTATTTAACATACATTCAAGATTGACCGGAAACATTTTGTCTCAGCCATGAGTTCTACAGCAATGCAGTACGATTTGAGCACATTATCAATCACAGATGTACTGTAGGAAGTTCATTACTGTCATAATATCAAGCCAAATTACATTCAACTTACCTTGAAATGCTTTTTTCCAAAATTGGTAAGAGCCACAGCTTCAATGTGCGTACTTGCTCGTAGAGCGGCGAAGAGATGAAAGTCTGACACCGCTGAAAGAGAGCATCAGGAGACTTCAACAAAGGTTCAGGACCTCCTGGAAGAAATAAGCATCTACTGGTGAGGAAAAGAGGATAAAAGTGCCTTCAAACAGTTGCTGGCATCACTGCTCTGATTTCCTTCCGCATTTGCCGTTCCGTGCCTTCTTCCGGTGTATCTCTCGCACGGACACCATATAAAGTGACCTTCCTTTGGTTCAGTTGCGAAGGTTCCGATAGTGAGATCCAGCGAAGAAACAGACGGTGCCGCGATTCAACAGCCTGTAGTTCCTTAGTTTGTATCCTCTAAATTAACATTGGGACTTACATCTTTGAAGGACATTCCTTGCTCTCCACGAGCAATGAGACGTTGTATATAGCTTCCGTAGGAAAACAATTCGCGTTGTATGAGTTTACCGAATAATAGAGCAACAGCACGAATATTCTTCGGGTCCCCAGCCACTTCCGACGAATCAAGCCAGTTGAACAACTGATCCTGTATAAATTCATCTGGTGATCGGTCCTCCCGTCGCAAAGCTCGCTCGCCAGCACGCTGACGCCAGTTCCTGATTAAAGTGACGGCGGCAAAGGGCCTATGATCGCCAAACTGGAGAGGTGTGACACTCCATGTGAGTAGCATATCTAGTTTGTGCTTTGGATCGTCCAGGATGCTATCCGAAAAGAAAGATATCGAGTTAATATCGGTCGTCCTGGATATTGAATTGAGAAGCTGGGGAGATGTGAAAACGGGGATACATCATCATTCTGAATGCGTACCTTGATGTCCAGTACCGATGAACCAAGACGATCAGAGGCGAGGGGAGGTAGATTGTAAAAGAGCATGGCTTCATTGCGCCGCTGAATATCGGTGACATTCCTTATTAAGTCTTGGTGGATCTCGTTCGGATTTTGATCATCGAAGGTCTGATCCATTATGTTCTCTGTCAAAACAGCTCGCAAAAGGCCAGAATGTGTCGCCCACATCCTTGGACTGACGAAGGCATCAGGCAAGGCTAGACAAAAACGCTAAACGGCTTGTGTTCAACAAGAGCAAAGATGTTTGTTTCACAGAAAGGACCAACCTGAAGTATGGCTTTCAGCAGGCCTTCAGTATCAACCAAAAAATCCCTTGAAGAGGAGGATCCAATCTAAATAGGGCTATCAAAACCGCATCGACGAAGTCAGAAAAGTTTCATTACCTCATATAACTTTGAGACGCATGCTTCCACAAACGGTCGACTCAGAGGTCGACTGCTCATCATCCCTTCAAGATATTCATCTGCTATGCGCGCTATAAAGCCCGCCTGGGCTAAGTTACAGATTCCCATCTGGTAGGACAACCCAAACCAGAAAAGTGCGTCGATCCACCAGTCCCTCCTTATAAAATGCCCTCAAAAGCTTCAGACAGTAAGTGAACCGAGAAATCCAGCGATCCCGAGTAGCCGTGTCCGCCAAAACACCCTTGAACGTTTGTTTGATATTCATTCCGGGGCGTGGCGCACTGGGAAGGGCGATGTCAGCCAATTGTTTCTTCATATAACCGGTTACAACGCCTGCCCATTCCACGCTGTACTGTGTAGGATTGTATGATGGCCTGTTTCGCAGACCCGCCTATGATAAGTAGTAAATCAACAAGTAACTGTCGAAAGGCTGCAACTCACCGTTTCGTTGGCCCCAAACACGCGTAAAAACCAAACCGCTCGAGGTATGGCGACGTTGTTGGAATGGAGGAGATCGAGCAAGTCGTGACCTTTAGCTCCATGGGGAACGCTTTTCCCGAGCTTATTGAGAGGGACGTCCGGATTGGCGAGGTCGGCGAACCAGGCTTGACGTTTAGCGTCATTCAAAGTCACTCGAGAAGGAACACGGAAGGTGGAAAGACTGTCATGATAATAATTGAGGCATGCGTAATGACGACGGCATTTTACTCACGGGATCGATGGTATTTGATGCAATCGTCTAGCAAACACCTCATTCATTAGCTCTTCCAGTTTGGAGATAGTATCCGGTCCATGCAAACTCTCTGTAACAGTGCTTTGAGCGCTGTATGTTTCCATCTGTACACTATGAGAGATGTGACGCCACTACCGTATTTCCAATACGCACCTGCACACTGGGAGGAAGGACGAAGCCATTCTTGATATTGGAATCCGAAAGGATGTCTTCCTCTTGACCTGAATGAGGAGGATAGAAGCCAGGATATCCTTTTGAACAATCAGAGAGAAATGTTACTGTATCTCAATGAAAATACACACCAAGTTCTCCTGCAGTATGAGCCTTTGGAAGCCATGCTGGCGGTTGCGACCTATAGAGCGGTATCGAACTCTGTTCGTGACCTTCTCATCGAAACTATCTTCTGCGGGCAACAAAATGCTCGTCGCCATTCAACGTGATAGAGGGTGCAGCATGGGTAAGCAAAGCAGAGGAGGATTGTGCAATGACGGTACAGGCAAGCCGCAAGTGCCGACGGCTAATTGCACTGGCCAGATTTGGCTGTTCATCACTTTGTCTGTTACGTCCACGACAATGCGGCAATCTGTTGCTCCCAATCGCGTCTCTCAGACAAATTCTGCTGCGGCAACCGCAAGGCTCCTTGAGAAAAAGAAAGAGTTCGATGCGGTCAATGCCCTCACTCGGGCCAGCGCATTATATCTCGAACGTATAGAGGGATTATCGACGGACTTTGACACCATGGCGGATGCGGGAGAAGGTTCGCAAAGGCTATTTTTCTGAGCATACCATTCCTTACACATATTTCAGTATTCGGTGACGTTCTGGTGCAGTGGCCCAAAATGTTCCAGATATTGAATCTTTTTCGTGAGTCCATAAACCAAATGCCATGGTCTTTGGCTTATAATTTGTGTATCAGTGGCATCTCGCGCGGAAGAAAGCGACGGGCAAGCTCAAAGCAGTAGTGATAATAAGGAAATACTAGTTCGGATACCCATCGAAGAATTACAACAAACGGAATCAACAGAGAAAGAAACTACATCTGCGTAAAGACGAGCGGGTAAAGTAGATTCGCTTGCCCTCAATTGCAGTAACTGAATGGACATTTATCATGCAGGTGCAAGGATCACGATTTCACCGCATTCTTTTTCTGTTCTTTCAGCATAGCAATCCGCTGGCAAACATCATCAGGAAATGTGGCTGATGCAAAGAACATGTTCTGACCTGCTTCCTTTCCTCTTTCCTTCGGGCCATTTCTGCTGCTCGTTCCTCCTTAGTCAGGGAGGCAGTCGCGGGAGGACTTCTATTCCAGTCGTCTATTCCTGACGATGACGCTGGCGTGCTTGAACGGTGGACTGGCGATACAGTTATTTGTCTGTTTAACTGCTGGCGACCGAGAACGGGACGTTTGGGGCTTAGTATCTTGGGAGGCTATATAATACAGCTATGATTAACCACCGACGAAAATTAAAACATCTGCGATACGTACTGTATGGATTGCCGTTGACACCGAGTCCGAGGCCAGGAGCTGAAGCTCGAACGGGTTTAGGCTGCACGACTTCAGGTGTTGAAGCAGTTTCAAAGGCGCCTGTTGCATGAATTAGTAACTCAAACCAAATCATGGGACGCTAACGGCGATCTCACTCCAGTCACCATCGTCTGCATTCACGTCGATTAAATCATCGCTACCCCAAGGATTGGATTCCAGGTGTCCATTTTCGGCTTCAGCTTCTTCGGCAAGGTGATCCACAAGTGCTGCAGCGGCTGCACTGGAAGACTTGGTGGCGCCGAGTTGAAGTCCCTTGCCTTTTGATAAAGTCGAGTTGATGGGCCGATTTGAGGTGGGAACAACGGGAGATGACTTGGTGGAATTGACAGCAGACGATGAGGTGACGAAAAGCCCGGGACGAAGATTGCCTATATGATTGTCTTCAGTAGGCGGCAGAGAGACCGGTCGATCGATTCCTGTGCCTCCGATTGTACTTTGCATGTCTGTAGCGGCAAGCTGAGCAGGGTCAAGCTGTTGAAATTGATATTCAAAGAAAGGATAACACGAACTCTTTTGCCTAGCGATGACACGGCCCATCCAGCCAACGCACCGGCAGCACCAGCCGCTGAGTTCACCAAGGTCGTCTCAGAGGGTACAGAAGTGGTAGTACTTCTATCTCCAGGTTCAACTAAAACAGTTTCGGGCTGCTGTCTGTCAGCGAAGAACACCGTGTAACCGTAGAACTGACCATTGTTGCTGCATAAGTCTCTAACTTTTTGACGAAAATCTCCATCGCCTTGAAAGCTTGATCCCGTACCAGTCTTCCACGTACATGAGTATCGTTAGACTCTAATGTGTACCGATAACTTACTTTTCTTTATCCAGCATTGCAGGAGACATATTCGGGATGACTTCAGTGGCCAAATCCTCTACGTCAAAACAGTCTATCGTTGCCATAAAGGCCATCAGCCCAGCAACTCTTGCATGTACAAAGGAATCCTTGAGAGCGCGTGTGAAAGCAGGAACCAGAACCTTTCGCTTCGTATTGTACCCTAAAGTTGGACCAAGACGTCCAATGAGGATGCAAGTGTTTGTCCGTATCGAAGGTTCCGTATCGGTTTGCATTCGGGCAAGATGTCGTAGAAGATCATTATTCAACACGCGGTCACTAAGCTATAGCAAATAAGAACATGTGTTAGGGGATCACATATTACAACGCACTTTGGGAGCAAGAAGGATGACAGACTTGACTGTCGCTTCTCGGATAACGGCAACTGTATCAGAAAACCCAGTTTGCTAGCTCTGAATAAGTACTTTTCGACGTTTCCGCCAGACAATGTAAATGCCTTACCAAATGGGGGAAAATTTTACTATCGACTGTCTTTTTGTCTAGCTTCTCGACATATTCTGGAAGATGATCCAATAATGCCATCCTTGTCCCACGGTCGGGACTGGTAAACAACTTGACCAGAGGTGCGAGCACTAGTGTTGGATAGTCATCCGGAGACACGTTCTTGCTGAACTTCAGCACAAGGGGCAGAATGGTGGCGGCGGATGCCCCACCAAATTCCAGGGCTGAAACTAGAGAAGGTAGTATTCGATGCGTGGCGAATTCGGGAGGGAATGAGGACGATGATTCATTCAGGTTTCTAGGCTTTTTGAGTACAAGATCCTGCTGGGTGTACACATGATTCACCTTAGAAGAGTCGCCTTCTCAGACTCACTACCTAAAGCAAAATTGTCAAGTTCTCCGCAAACTTTGACAAGTCGATTGGTTGCAAAGAAGCCTGAATCCGCCATGCCAACATCAAGAAATCGTTTCGGTGTCCATCGCATTTTACTATTTGGATTCAATAGGTTTTTTACGACAGGAAATACAGCTGTTGGAATAGCACCTCGAGATGCAGCAGTCGGAGGAGGATGGGGCGGGTTCGATGTGGCAGGAGGATGATGCGCCGGGTTAAAGACGGCGTTGACGAGCAAACCAAGGGCATATGCGTCTGCGGCAGCTGAATCCCCTCTCATCTAGACATTAGCTTCGCGGTGGAGCAAGAGAATGGATCGTATTTACTGCTTCAACGCTGACCATCCACTCTTCTTGACTTCTGGCGGTGCCCATACCATGGCATCTGGTAGCAATCCACCCATTGTCTGTATATAGATATTAGACAAGACTTCAATAAACGGGCTGAAATCGTACGTATAGCACAGCGGCATCGTCATTCGGATTGCTCAAGACTTCTAGGCCGCCCAGCTTCCACTCTCCCGAGGGAGAGATAAAGATGGAAGATATCCTCACATTACCATGTGTAGAAGAGCACGAGTCATTGAGAAACGCCAAGGCGACCTATCAAAATGAAAGGCTTGTCACTTGAAAGAATCGAGACAACGTACGGAGATTCGGTGAAGACCCCACAGCAGCCAATCCTCCTTCTCTTGCAGTCCCTTAGTCGACCAAGATTGCAACACAATTTGTAGTGGCCGGACGCGTTCGGTCACGATGTACGTTGTCGAATCTGATTCTACAGCATCGAGAAACTTGAGTACATCGGGATGGCGAGTGGTCCTTAGCTTCCTCAACGCGTTCTTGGCAAGAGGCTCCAGATTTCTCTTCTGGGAAAAGTCGTATTCAAAGACGGATACAGGACTACTATCATCCTACAAAATAAGAAAATGTGACTGAGCACACTCTAAGTAGCACTACACACCCGCTTAGTACCCTCGTACAAGGTGCAAATACCATCCAAAGACGACACTTTCGGGCCCAAGGAGAAGGGCAAGTTGAGCCCTGACTTTTGAACCAAGGTAGAGACGGCAGCAGATCCAAGAGTACGTAGGTAATCCATTCTCCCCTACGTCAGAGGTACCGCAACGAGCAGTAACGGAGTCTTGGTTCAATCGACGGAGGAGGTGAGTCGTGGAGGAAGATGTCAGGGACAAAGAAGGAAGTAGCCAATTATTTAATCGGCCAAATCCGAATCGAGTCTGGGCTACCACATGGCCATCATATTGTTCTTTGCCTTCTCATTTTTCCCTCGAACGTCGTCCGCCCAACATTCTGGAATTGAAGCGTTGCATGGTTCATGAAGCATCTTCATAACAGTCGATAAACGATCTGGTACGGCCACGACCTCTCATGGAGTCAAATATGGTCGCAGATATATCGCCACCAATCAACAATGTCACGCCAGCCTCTAATGGTATCCACAACAACGGCAGCATTGAGCTGAATATCGAGGAACACGAGCGCGAGCTTCCGTTTGTCGATGATGGACAAATACCCTTGGGTGAACTGCTTTCGCGCGTCATGCAAAGCATTTACGCTGAGCTATCAGAATTGGCGGAGACGTGAGTCGTCAATATCGTCGCCCATGCTTGACTTTTGACCTTTTGCAGTATGCCAAACATGTCCGATAGTGCTCGAAAGCGTACCATGGCTGACTGGGTGGTGAAGACGAAGAAGCAGGTGGTCAAACTTTATGCTGTGGCGAAGTGGGCACGAGACGCGGGCACGGTGCAGAAGTGCATGGCACGGTACAACCACATATTGTTGTCGCATGATGCTCAGTATACTTTTTAGAACATTACGGCCTTTCTCATGAATCAGAACCAGCAGTTCGCTGACGTCCTCCGCTCGCTCGAAGCAATACGTGATGCAATGGCCCCTGCACGGTGAATACGATGTTTGACTAGTCATCGTTTACTTATTTGTTGCATGCATTTAGTCTTCGAAATCATGACCTGTTGACCTCTCTGGATGTTCTTACAACTGGATCCTACAGACGCCTTCCTACTATCATTAAGGTTATTTTCATTCCATTGCTGCCACTCATCCTGGAGCCCAACACGTCTGTTTACAGAAAAGCATAATTCCACCACGTCCTTTAACGGACGCGGAAGTTCTGAAGACGCTTACTGATATGGAAGATGTCATGCGCTACCGACTTAGGTTAACGGAGATTATTCCTGTGGAAATGTCGCATTATCGAATATGTAGGTCGTTTTATATGAGATGGAGCGTTTCCTTACATATGTATAGCCAACGGTCGGGTCTATTTTACTGCCCCGAAATTGTTTGAGACGTCTATATGCTTGCGAGGTGCTGAGAAAGATGATGGCTGGTTCTTTGTGCATGTCGAGTTTCTGATAACCGTCGGAGGGGATGCTACTGGGATCCAAGGTGCTTGATCTTTTTTGTTTGCTGTTGCAAAATGACCCAACAGCAAGGACAGAGTTTCCGCGAATACCGACGGGTATAATGAAGCGTCATCTAACAGATGAAGCTGATTCAAGACTTGCCTTCTACCTACCAATGCCAGAACAACCACCAGGTGTTGAGCTCCCTCCCCGACCTGTACTTCCGGAAGGTGTCGTTGATACGCCACTGGTCCGATTGTACAACTTTCTTCGTGAGTGCATCTCCCTAAAATGTCAACAAAGCACTGTTTTAATGGCAATTCGTAGAGATAATGTCTTTATCTTATCAACTGGAAATTCTTTGGTATCAGGTTGGTTCCACGTTTCTTACAGCAATCATCGCTGCCTGAAGTTTATTTCATAGGCTGAAAGAATGCGTTCATCTTGGGTGGGCAGAATTTCTGTCTGTAAATATGACTCCCGATCGTAAGATTATGACTGTGACTTATTGGAGGTAGGCATTGCCTTCTCAGTATCGGAAAAGAGTTCACCTGTGTGTAGGCGAAAGTCCATGCCGAACATAGGTGTACGCCATCGGACCATCAGGATACCAGAAATAGGCGGGAAACTTATCATTGCCATTGTTGAAGCGCGTGGTTCCGTCCAGGCTGGCGGAGGACCCGAGCGCTCCTCGAAAGCACGCGGCCTAGCCGATCTCCAGCGTAAATCGAAACTGGGAGCTAAACAGCCCTCAGATGACGTTGAAGGGCTGCGGTTCAAAGTAACATGGGAACCAGAACAGGGCGCACTGGGGGTGCAGATACCACCAGAAGAGTTGATTCTACCCCCAGAAATGCTTGCAATAGTATGTTCCATGTGATCGCGTAGCACCTGTTCGTTACTAATCCATGTTTTGCAGAACGCTGATGATTTGGATTTCGAATCTCTGTTGCTCAAAGTGATACAGAGACATGTGAATTCAATCATATCTATGATCCAGTTAAACCTACAACGTGGGCCATCCAGAGCAGTATTTGGTGCACCTGGAGTGGTGACTTTGGATGAAGAGGGTAAGCGGAATTCTCAGGCAGGGTTCATTTCTTATCAAAAACCTGCAGATAATGCGCGCGGTCTTCGCGTGAGACTTTGCGCAGACGAGATCGTCATCATAACTATAGATCCTCGGACAGGAAGATTAAATCTTCGGGATACCGGTGATCTTGCGGCAGCAGGGCGTGGACCACGCTTCTTTGCCATATCCGAAAAAATCAACGAGAATCCATCTATGCTGATGGATGCATTGGTCCGACTACGGCTCCAGGTAAGTGAATGGGACATGTCCCGCAAAATGTTTACGTTAACCTCGTCGTAGACGATTGTGGATCTCGCGGAGCAAATGGCTAAATATCTTGGCTTGCAGAGTTTCCGATCGCGGAATTTCCATCCGGAAGGTAGGCATTGGCGTGATTATATTTTCGATCCTTCTCACGATTCATTTGGTTGTAGAGAGACGCAAACTTGGGCCGGCAGCCCGGGGAACACTCTACATTCAACTGGAGCACTTCCCCGATCACTACCTTGTCATCATCATCACGGACGACAACTTTCAGTACGCACTCATAGAATCCAAAGTTCTTCGAGAATCAATGTTTGCAAACTTGATTATGGACGATATTGGTTGGCTAGATTTCGACCGAATACATGGAGAAGATGTCATTCGGCCGGATGTTGAGGTGAGGGCTGGAATGAAGAGGAAAAGGAGCATCGACGATGGTCTTAGCGTGCCACATACGGAGGCAGATCGCAAAGGTTTCAACTTGGATACACAGGTCTTGCGAGAGCTTTATAGCTACTGCTGTGCCCGCGTGGCTTACACCAACATTGAGCGCCAGTTCAAGTTACGGAAAATTCACTTCACCCATGTCACACCCTCCACTTCTGCCAACCCACTCGCTACTGAACTCCAGTCTTCACTCGTGCGCTCGGTTCCATCATTATGCGTTCAATCCAAGCATATTCTCGCGGGAGCACCCGCTGCTGAAGCTGCCATGCCCAATATCCGCGTTATTCCGCTCAACTGGTGGTCAGACTCGGAGTCTGGTAAAGGTGCTCAGGTCGTTACTTGCGTCAAATTGAAGTACGTGTATGTTTCAAAATCTGGTGAAGGCACCAGCTCGATTATTCGTCCCTCGAAACGGATAATTTACGATACCACCGAAGCCATCGTATCTTTCCTCTCGGAGAACGTCAACACCTGCGTAGACGAGTTCCTGGAGGAGTGGGCGCGGGTGAGCAAGATGGTGGTGATTGCGCGAGAGGTGGCTCAATTGAAGGGTCGAAAGGGATGGGAGGATGTCCGGCTGCTCGACTTCGATCTACAAACGGCGGTGTTTGCCTATAAGGGCGACTACACTGTATCGATAACGTGTGAAGATCAGCTGAAACCGACTGGTGGGACGTTCGAGCTACGCTTTGGTCGCATGGGCAATGTGGAAGGCGGCAGAAACCCACATACAGAGGCGGAGCCTTTCTTGCGCACGGTCCTGCATGCGGGAAAGCTTGGGCCCTCCGTGCATCAACTAGTCATGCTCCTGCGGGATACCCTTCCTATCGTCGTAGAGCTCTCTGAGTTTACTGGTGTAGACTCGTTTGCTAAAAGCGCAGGATGGTACCGCGTGCTATATCGATCTCATCATGCCCTCGATTTCCGGTTGATGACTGAACGAAGGGTTGCAATACTTGATGGGTCGCATTCGCTGTTCTCATTTCCATCATCGACCACTTCCGTCAATGACGCTCAGCTAGGGCTCAAGCCGATCCCTAACTTCGCCCAAATAATTAGCGAGCTTCCCGGTCCAGGTAAAAGGCTTGACGTTGGCATTGTTTGTCGGGTGGATGAGGTGAGTGGTCTGGCAAGGGAAGTGCATGATCGTGTTATCAAGCAATTGGAGGGCTCTCGATGAGATATATTTACTGCTTACCATACGATAATGTAATCTGTTTTGTACAGTAGAAATGTACAGGGCGCCACCAGACATTGGCGCGCATTGACCGGTTAAACGCTAACAAGGGTAAATTTAAATTAAGTAATGCTGCAAGATGCTTGAAAGTTATTACATGATGCAAATGATTAAAATAGTTCATAGCGCAGGAACCCGACACTTCTGAATGACCATATAATGCAATCACGTCGGGGGAAAGAAAAGATCCCAAGGTCCTTCTCGTCTTGCCGGAGCCTTGTTCTTGCTACGTGACCTTCCTTCAGGTTCCTTCCTTGGACTACTCTCGCCCTGTGCGGCTGCTACAGTCCGAACAAGAGACTTGATCGCAAATATCTCCACGGGTCGAGTCTTCACCGGTTCGCGACAGGTAGGACAAGAGAATACCGGCCCGCCAGATGCAGCAGTGACCTGCTTGACCAACGCAGAAAGCTGCTGAGGATCAATCTGGGGGTAGAACATCATTTCCCGGAAAAATTGAGGGAGCATAATAGGTTGATTAGGATGATAATGTGGGTGCTGTCGTCGGTGTTGCTCAAGAGTTGTATTGAACCAATCTCGAAGGCATGATTGACAGAAAGTGTGTCCGCATTCGGGAAGACTGGTTGTTCGGGTTAGATATAGTTTCATGGTGGCTCGAAAGACAGACGTACATGAAAGGGGACCACATCTTTAATGTACAAATTTCACAAGTGATGTCGTCTTCTAGTTTAGAAGGATCCTATGATTGGCACGGTCAAGCTTTTGTTGAGGGTGGACAAAGATGCTACGCACAATCGTAGGTCGGCTGCGCGATGGCATAACAGCCTGTAACTTGGATATCTTCAGCGCCTCCTCGAAACACGCTGCTCGTTTCTCCGCCTCGGCCTGTGCTTGTTTAGCCTTCTCTGTCTCCTAAATAAAAAGACATCAGAACAACGTGTCCTACCAGCCTGATGGAGCGAAAAAAGAACCTTCTTCAGTTTCTGGACTAGAGCCTCTAATTCTGACACTTTCGTAGGGCTTCTTCACAGGAGGCGGAGGCTCGTCATCGTCATCCGAAGAAATTTCGATGACATCCACAGGTGCTGCAGGTGGTTTGTTCTTTCGACGTTTGACATGTGGTGATGGAGCAGGTGGGTCGTCGTCGCTGACCAGTGTGACCTCAGATCGCCCGGACTTGGGTAGGGGTGAGGTCCTACGAGTATTTCTTGTTGCTCTGGCGGGTGGCATCGTTGCTCGATATCAAAGAAATGGCGATCCGGGAGTATGTGGGTAGCTGGTTAATCGAAAACAAGAAAATAATGATAGCACGACAAAGGTAAGTAGAAGAAACAGGGCCGACACGACAGGCGTTGCGTAGCAAGTTGAATTATGAAAGAAACTTGAACAAGAAATTAATTCGAACAATTGTACTGGTGCACGTGATCAATACGCCTGGGCCTGCCGGCCGCGATGCCGATCATAGGGTGGCTGTTCAACGAACTCTCTTTCCCTGAATTCTTCTCTGTTCGTGGCGGCCGGTTGGAGTGAAGCTTGAAGGGTATGAGAGATGTACTGAAAATTCTTTGTGGGTGTTGAAATTCACTGGAATATTCGGCATGTAATGACCCGCCCACCACTTATTCGTGGCCTGTAGTACGTACGTAAGTGATAGCTCTCAAGTCTCCATACTTACAGTGGAAGTCGCGTCAGAAGATTCATTGGGATTCGAGACTAAGCAATTGTTCTCACAATGATTTCTTGGCTAGAAGAATACTGAGCGCGAATAGGTCTTGGAAACCACGATGACATTCTCCCACAGAACTGAGAGACGACTTTGAGCAGACGTCGAGACACGGGTTCATCGAGTAGTCAGAGGTTGTTAGCGGGACAGACCAGATGAATGATCGCAAGGAGTGGCCCCACTTCGATTACCGTAATTGCTACACCATGGCGGCCTTTAGTCGGCAACTGCGCAGGTAACATGATACAAATGTGGTCTAGAATAGAAGGATATGGAGACGAGAAGGGCTTCACGGGTTTTAGGTTGGAGGTCATTTTGCAAAAGCAAGGAATGTTGAGTACCCAGGTAATGTCACTTTTGGGGAAGACATTTCGTCAAATTGAGGGATATTGAAAATTATAATGAGCAGAGGACTGGCACGTTCATGGTAAAGACAGGATAAGAACCGAGAAGGGCGGGATGCGATCATCAGCGTGGATACCCCATGACGTGATGATATTCATAAATGCGTCACCGGGCGGCCATATAAGACTAGGCTCACCTGCACCTTGCCTCACTCATACCACCACCATGGCTGACCCTTCCTGGAAAGACGGCATCTTACTCAAGGTCTGTTCCCTCTGTCTCTCGTACATTCCATCCTTAACAAATGACTACAGATTGTCAATGTGCTCGCTTACTTCCTCTTCTTGGGATCCAACATCTACACCATTGCTGCGCCCTCAGACATCTACTTCACTGGCAAGGAAACGTACATTACGCCGGCGCCTTGGGCTTTTTTGATCTGGTACGACGCCTTTTTAGGTTACAAAGTGTTTGTTGCTCATCCCACGTTCGCCTTTAGGTCCCTTATACACCTTCTTCTCCTGGGAACCATCATCTACCAGTTCTTCCCGGGAGGCAAGCAGGTCGTTATCGATGGAATCTCTTGGCGTTTCCCTCTCCTCGGTGTCCTCAATGCCATTTACGTCAACCTCTGGGCAAGCCATCATTACATCGTCGGTGCGTCTCAGTTCCACCTGAACTCCACGTTTAAAATACTAACCAGCATGTTTGTCAGCCTTCATCTTTGCACTCTTCGTATCCTCCGCTGTAACTCACATCTATTACATTGTCAAGAAGCATCATTCGCCCCAGTCCTCGGCTGACGAGGTCTTCGTCCACCTTCCTTTCTCTTTGTACCACGGATGGACCACAGTCTTGGTCATTTTGACCGCCTTTGAAGCTTTCGGTGTCAATGCGCTCGAACGCAAAGCAGGTGTTTGGACCAAAGTCTTTGTATTCCTTGGACTGTAAGTCGTTTCCTTGCTCACACCAACTAGTATTCATTCACCACGCGAAGGTTCTTCTTGGAGGGAACCGCCGCGACATATGCGTTCTCGAGCCCAGAAGGCGATCTCCCAGCATCTGTTGCTATTGCATGGTCATTGTTCGCTATATTTGCTCACCAAACATCGTCGGGTTTCATCCATTGGTCCTCACTCGCGTTCTCGATCTTAGCTCTCGTCTGGGTCGTCAAGGGTGCCGTTGGGCTGTTCGGAAGGTCCAGAAGCGGTGCTGTTAGGCTCGAAGACCCTGAGAGAGCTCCTTTAATTCCTGGATCTACTTAAGTGTGTCGAGTATATTCGGGACAACGCGAGAAAAGGACTTGGCTTGTAGTTGAACAGAATTCTGCATTTTTTCCCTTTCGGTTACTCTTTATCTCTCTGTAACATATATATCCATTTTCATTGAATACTCTATGCCGTGACAAGACAAGTTTATTCGAGGAACTGAAATTACGAATTCAAAAGAATACATTTGTACGCCTCATACGGCATTGTTTTCCTTTCCCTGCCGTCTTGAATGCCGCTGGGATGTGAGTGTAGCTTTCTTGCTCTGAATCATGCGAAATCTGAGTTCCCACTTCAAGGCTCCATTGAAAGCCGTAAACATCAAAGGGCGTCTGCGTTCGTTCGGTGAAGAGTACTTGCGCGCTGGAGATGGAGAAGGCGAAGGCTGAATGTGAATCTTCGGAACTAGACCGACTTTTACATGAGGTTGCAGCATAGGGAAGCGCGTCACAGAAAGCGGTTTCCTGTCGGAAAGAGGCAGCGCGTCTGGATGCGGGCCAACGATTTCTTCTGCAAGATTCCACCAGTCTGCCTCGAGAAACTGAGTGCGCCAGACAGAGAGAGCGGGTGATTGCATGTCTTCTGTTCCATACCAGGACGCAGAGGCTTTGCGGGACAGAGGTGGAGGCAGGGTAGCTTCACGTGACTCGGCTCCTTTATCAAGCAAGCATGTTGGCGGAGAACGAAGAACCGGTTGCATGTCGCGACGGTGTTCGATGTGGTGTGCTTGATTTGGTCTCGATATACTCTTGTGGACCGCAAATGGATATGGATGCACAGACTGCGAATCGCCTGGTTAGAATCATGCAAAAAAGAGCAAAAACGCGAATATTGCTTGCCTCTAAGTCCATTGGCTTTCGTTTTCTTGTACCGCACCCAGCCAGGCGAGCGGTACGGAGAACGAACCATGAAGCAAAGGCGATGGCTGGAACGAGACATGCTAGGATGATAGCCAAGGAGATTTCTGTGTGTTGAGAGCGAGGGTAAAGAGTGGAAGACATAAGGATCGTGAATAGTAGTAGGAGTGAAGATGATGGTAGTAGGGAAGCAAGAGGTGAGCCAAATGTACGCCGACATCTCCGGGTGGAGAGGATACGATCGGCTGTTTGTATCGGTCCTTGGTGGGTCGCGGCCTAAATAAGAGAGAAAACAGACAGGAAACAGACAGGCGAGTAACGATAATCGATGCACAAGTACCACAAGCAGTAGGTGAGGTGGAAAGACAAATTTCAGGCGATTCCGAGTTTCAAAGGCCAGAGGCTCCGTCAGTGTCATTGACCTCAGTCATAGCAGAAGGTTCAAGCTAAGTCAAGAAAGTACGGACTAGTTCAACGTTGCAGATTTGGATCCGGCCCGGAAAGGAAATGCCAAGACTTTCGGGAGGGAAATGCCAAGCACAGACAAACTGTGGATCTTCCCTCAACCCTTGACGTCTGTCAGGGCCGACGCATCCAGCAACGGCCTTGCGAACGGTGTCGACTAGGGGGACACAGGACCGTCATATCTCCAAGGCTACCCAAATACCTCACTCCTCAAGACCTCCATCTCATTTACGACTCTTCACGATTACGATTATCTTCACGACCTTACGATTATTTATCATTATATAACCTCCCACCCTGTCTCTAACAAAATACCTCAAACCCAAACACCATGGCGGACATAGAGAACGGGAGATGCCACAAAAAAGAGGCAGAGAGCGGTCCCTCACTGCTTCAGAATGGCAATCTTGTGTTTCAAGGTGCGCATTCGCTACGGATACTGTACCTGTAACTAACCAAAGAGGACTATCAGCGCACCATGTAGGATGGATTGTCGCAACATCTTTCACTCTTGTTGCAATTGCGACTTCCTTCTGGTTGATTGTCAAGCATCTTCAGTGGTATACTAATGTACGTTTGTCTCAAATGCTACTGCGTCAGTGCTGACTGGTATTATTAGAAACGCGAGCAGCGCTGTCCGTATTCCATTGTATTCGATGCCCTCAGCCCTCTAATTTTCCTCTAGATATCGTCCGCATCCTCCTTCTTGTACCCATCTACGCTGTCATTAGTCTGGCTTCATATTTCTTCTGGGTAAGATTTCTTTCAACCAGTCCTGCATCTCCGCTGAGTGCTTCTCAGAATCACTCCACACCATTACTTCTAGTTCGCGATTGCTACGAGTCCACTGTACTCACCTCGTTCTTCTACCTACTTTTAAACTATCTATCCCCCGACCCGACTGAGCAGAGGGCAATATTCATGAAAGCCGGTCTCTCTCGCGAGGCTGATGCAAAAGCCAGATTGGCCGGGGAGAAGCCGAAGAAATGGGTCTTTCCTCTTGGGTCAGTCAAGTGGAAACCTACTGTAGGCTTCGTTCCTCTATTGGCGCCGCCTTATATTCACCGTTTTACCAGGATGGTTTGTATTTCCTCCAATGGATGAAATGGGGCGTCCTCCAGTACTGTGTTATTCGACCACTGTAGGTTCTACTTCATATTCTATTCAGTCGATGCTTACGGGTGACATAGGACTACTCTCGTCGCCGTCATTTTGGATTACATGGGACTGTACTGTGAAGAATCGTATGGATTAGGTTGGGGCCATGTCTATGTATGTGCTTTCCCTACATGATACATCAACCGAGTTTTAATGCTATCGTAGATTGTCGTCATTGTTTCCCTCTCCGTCACGATTGCCATGTACTGCCTGATTCAGCTGTATATCCCTGTCGCTGAGATGTTAAGGCCCCATCGGCCCCTTCTGAAACTTTTCGCTATCAAGGCCGTCGGTGCGTGTGGCCTGCATGACAGCATTTGCGATGCTAATGCACCATGAATTCTAGTGTTCCTCACGTTCTGGCAAGCAACGTTTTTGTCAGTTTTAACTATGTTTGGTGTCGTAAAGAATGTGAGCCCTCGCTAAGTAAAGTAAAATTCCCTCGCTGACACTCTAAACGCAGACGAAGTACATGACTGCTGCTGACATCAACATCGGTATTGGTGCGCTATTAGAGACTTTTGAGATGATGTGCGTATCATGGTAGTCCTTCTAAGCTCTATACTAAGACATTTTTAGGCTTTTCGGCTTCTTGCATATCCGAGCATTTACATACAAAGACTATCGACCCTTCCACGATCCAGAGTCCAAGGACCCTCCTCCTTCTCGTACTCCAATATTGCGGTCCTTACGTCACGCCATGGATTTCCGTGAAACATTCCGAGAAATATGGCAAGGTTGTGTATATATGTGGGCCAAGATGCGAGGACGTGAGCCCAAACACGATGAAGGCGCTAAGCGAATTGCACATTATGAGAGTGCGTTTGGTAAAGCCCGTAAGTCTCACCTGGACGGACCCAAGAGCGCTTTCATCGACAGGAAACGTACTTCCGGTGCCGAAAAACTGGAAACCCATGCAGCCACATTCCCTGCCGTGCACATTGATGTCGACGAACGCGTTGACATTGGTGGACAACGCCAGTGGCTGGGTCTTGGCAATGATTATGGCTATGGTATTAGCAGGGAACGGAGTGATAGTCTCGAAGTCCAGATCGAACGAGAGCTGGAGCGAAGAGGCTATGGAGATCGCAAGTCGTTTCGAATTCCATTTTAAGTCTTTCGTTCTCAATTCTTGAACAGACATTCCCGGTAGAGGTCACATCAAACCTGCTCCCACTGAGGGCGAGCCTGTAGGAGATCATAGACAGCAACGCTCTTGGTGGCGGTCTGTCTATAATCGGGTATCTCAATCTGGGCAAGACGTTGACGAAGAAGAAGCTCATTTGACCCCTTCAAGACGGACTTCAAAACGCAAGAGCAGGAGGAAGTCCGGAACACGCTCCCGCCAACGTTCCAAGGACGTAGGACGCGGATCGTAGCTTGTTGCATGGTTCCAACAATATCGAGGACCCCCCTCCTCCGAGCTTGATTCCGTAAAAGTCGTGGCCAGGATCAATACTCGTGGAATCAAGACAGTACCTTACTACATCCCTGGAGAGCATGGTACTGCGTATCACGAGGATATACTAGCGCCTTTGTCCGTCTTCGAGGAACACAGGAGTTCTCATGTTCAAAGGAAACAACAAAGACACATGCCATCCCCTGGAACTTCCAAGTCCCACACTAATTCACGTCACAGTGTTCGACAGGAATCAACACTGTTCTACCCCCTCCTCAAAACTAGCACCAAATACCTTCCCCTCATCTCACTCGTTCTGACAGCCTTTTCGGTCGTGTATTTCCTCCTAGCACGGATCATGCAACCTCAGTTAGACATGCGCCCGTCACCGCTACGCCCAACGAAACCAATGCGATGCCAGTGTACGACATTGGTCTTGCAGGCGAGCGAAGCACATTATACGCACAGGTAGATGTCGGTACACATCTACCAGCCAACGTTCCCATGCCAACTGTGGGTATTCCTGTGGAGATTGTGGATCCTACACTCCAACACTCTCCAGTGGAAAACGCAATCCGAGAAGATGATGGAATGACCGGCACTCACAGATCGCATGAACGAGAGTCTGCTATTCATCGACCTAAACTGCATATTGACACTAGTATCAGCGAGGCGGAGCATCCTCTTGCAACGCATACTGATGCTCTCTATACTAGTCCGGACGACATGTCCCCTTCGGAGCAACCTCGGAGCCGAACAGCTCCGCGCCCGACAAGTCCGCCACCTTCTCGAGGCCTTCGCCGTAGTTCTGCACAAGTCTATTCCCCGTCCGAGGTAGCCGCCAGACGTCAGCAACGTCGCACATCTGCGCCATCCCGCCACGCTACGCATTCTCCGCACCATACATACATCCCACAGCCGTCCAATCGGCCATATCCCGACTACAGGTTGCTAGAATACCGACCCACACCCAGCATGAATCCTGGATCGGTCTGCCAGCTTCCTATCGCTCAGCACTATGCAGACGATAATCTGGGTAGTAACATCACACAGCCCTCTGATTCGGGGACTCTAGATGCCGAAAAATATCCAGAGGGCCGGCTAGAGATGCCATTAAGTAATTCACGGTATCCTAGTTTGCCACCTAGGACATCCCGTTCTTTCACCCCTCCAGATCGTGGTGGTGCTACCCAATATCCACCCGGGGATGCCAATATGGTTCGAAATCCTCCTATCCCTCACAAACACAAGTCCCCACTAACAGACCTTGACGATATTTCATGATTGATTACGACCACATATATATTAATGAGAGATGATGAGATATTTAACTTTGTATTGTTGGACTGATGCTTGCACATTATATTCTTATTCAAATTTTATCTCACTTTGTAGTACCTATCCCGCAGGACTATTATGATGGGATACTACTCCATTCCGCATATTCTCAGACCGCTTGAGCCTACTAGCGTTTGTAACTCGGCCCTCAAAGTTCAAACTTAAACGCTGTTAAACATCTGGGGTGATTCAGTCTGTCGTTTAGACACTGTCTTGTATCGATCGGAATTTTATCCTATGAAGTGTCCGACATGATGATACGGTCTCCTCGGTGTTGTCCATAATGGCCGCCGTAATGGTGTTTATCAGATTTTCGTCTGTACGGGGTATCATTCTAAACCGCCAATGGAGGTGCATGTTGCATCGGATGATTCCAAGTTCCGTCTCATCTTTAACAGACTAGATTCCAACCCTCGGGGGTGCTCTATCTTCAACCGGCCCTCTCGGTGCAGGTCACCGAGCACCTACTACAGACGATCTGCTGCTGCGGATTCTGAGTCTAACGGCCAAGGCTTCCTGCTCGTCTCGCAGCAGTGGAAGAAAGGTATTCTCGTAGACAGACGCTACATACACGACTACAGTAGGGACGATCTCGCGACTAAACATCTGCTTTTCTCACTAGCAGCAAATGACGAGGATCATAATGTTTCTATAAGCGTTGGCATAATACATCGTCGACTACGCTTGCCATCTGAAGGTCGTATTACTTGGTAATGAGCATGATGTACTCTTTCCACTTCTGCATATACCCCTTTGTATCGTCAAGGGAAATAACATTCTTATTCACGTCAGAACTTAGAATGATGCACCCTTTCCAGGAAAAGAATCGAAAGAACCTATTAAAAATCAATATACGGATTCGGAACAGTATGTTAGGGAGACGCACGGTGCGGGATCAACTCGATTCAGAGCAGTGAACCATTTACTGATTTCAAACAGCTGCCTTCCCTCTGTGTCAAGATATACTCCTTGTAGCAACGTCTCGCCCTTGCCATCACTAGAGAACTTGTAACACTGATCGGGGGGTATCCTTTACATCCGTGAGTTATTAATTCCGGGGGAGGGTCAGTTTACTTACGCGTTCGCCAGTGCACCGGCCTTCACCCCACCGGCAAGAACCTGGCAGCCTTGGTCCATATAACTCAGGGTAGCAGGGAGTTCTCGCTGTAGCTTGTACTCCTTCCGGATGTGCGAGCATGCTTTGATTAAAGTATCTTTGCTCATAGGCAATAGCGTGCCATCGTCTTCCATGAATATTTTGACAGGAATACGGATAGCAGACACCCCAAGTGCATATCCAGCATACCCATTCCTAGAAGCGTAGGGTTCCTTGAGTCGATCCCGACAATTGGCTAAAGCCTGCGGAGCAATGACGCCTGATGACTGGTCCGGCGTCGGAGGGTTGTCATTGATGACGACCATGGCCAACGCGGCATGCACTAGAGATGCAGTGAGGATTACATGGTACGAAGATGAGTGTAGAATATACCTAGATGAGTTAGAGTGAAGGCGTGGTCCTTCTTTAACTTCTTCAAGGTATCCATCACAGCGTCGGATTCTGTCTTGGAAAGGGTAACTTCCTCCCGCGCACAAATAGGCCATCCAGAATCAGCTTCGCGATATCTGAATCCCCATAGGTTTGGGTTCTATATGAGAGATGTATTTGAATTTGACGCGGAACCTTGGAACAGCGCAACATACCGGAAATGTTGTGCCCATCGCTTCCATCGCCTTCAAGAGAGACTCGTAGTAGGGGTGATTGGCAATCGGCGTCTCTTCAGAGGAAGTAGGAATAGGCTGCGGCTCATGCGATGCCAAAGCGTTCAAAGCCGCTGGTAATAAATTGTCGACCTCCTTCCCCCACGGTAGTGCCTCTGGAACATACGTGGAGGAGCCGAGGATTTTTGCCAGTTGCCCCAAATAACGATTGAAGATGAACTTGAGTGCAGTACCGTCGAAAGGAGCATGATGTGTGTGAAGAAGGAAACCGAGTTTGGAAATAGACTCCGTGTTCTTTGGGATCGCGACATGGAGCCAAGTGGCATCACCGTCGGCTGATGGGACTTTGGCGCCACAAACGAGTTCGCGAAGTGCATCGAGGTCAACAACGTCCTGCATGTCGACGATGCAAGTACGATCAGCCCAAGCTTCGACTAATTCTGGTGTCGCTGCATGATACACGAAGCGAGAAACGTCTTTCTCGTCGACTTCTACGGGTGCTGCAATGGTAGGGATATTGTAGCGAAGCCATTTCCAGGCCTCACGGCATGCTGCAGTGACATCTCTGGTCGGGATGGGGGAAACGTCTAGATATACAGCGAAAAACAGGGTCTGGTAGCCTTTGAAAAGACGGTTCCAGATGTCTTCGACAATTTCTGCACCGGAAAGAATGCGCCTTCTACCTGGAGTGCCGTCGGGGAGAGGCTCCCATTCCGTTTTTGAGAGATCGTATTTTGTGAGAAGGTTAGCCATTGAACTGCAATCTTGGAGATTGGATGGGCAGTTTTCAGCGATGCGAGCGATCTTAAATGAAGAGCTTGTTGCATGATTCCAGAATCGCCCCGACATACACATCAGAAGTTGAAACTCCTGACGATAGAGGGCGCCGGAATCTCGAAAGCAGCGAGCACTAGCGAGCAATCAGATCCTCAGAGTAAGAGCACTGCTCCGTATGCAATACAGTTCTTCTAAGAAAACCGGTCTACCCATTCTGCCCAGAGAATCTGATGTCGGACAGCGTGGGCGCTGGTGGGGGCAAGCCCTCAGCCAACAGGTGTAAGTATCGTTACTATGCATGATCGGGCACAGTTCGGCGAGACGTTCAAATTACATGGCTAGAAAGAGCGGGAAGGGTGTTGTAATAATCAAAAGCAACAGAGGCAGGGAAACAGCCGACCTGTTGCGGAGTCCGGACCGGAGCCGAAACAGCACAATTAGTTTTCAACGTTTCAAGTTCTACTCTCATCAGGAAGGGGGGGTACCAGGCAGCAGAAGTGCCAGACAGAGCTGAAGTCGTTGCCATTATAGCGCGCGGTCTCCTGCACCATCCATACCTCCAAGGGAAGTCTTGTTCCCGCACTAGTAGTAAAGGCTCGGAAGCTCGAAGTCGTTGCCTCAGACCTGCGTGGAATGTGCTTGTGGGCCATGTCATCGTCTCGTCTCGGTGTTATTCCTCCAAATTTAAATGGTCTTTCGGAAATCAATGCCACCAAGAATTGGAACACTTGCACTTCGAAGGATACACCGGTGGAGCACCGGGTCCTCGGATAAGGACTACATACCCAAAACCAAAATGTTTTTGGGATGCATCATACCCTTCAATTACTATACTCACTACTAATATCCTACGGAATCGCGATATCAGCTTATCATAGCATGAACCTGTCATTTATTTCTGCCCTTTACACAAGACGCTCTAGCTACCAGTTCGGTTCACGTAGGAACGACACCGCCCTTAACCATGTTCCAGCCAAGTTCCTCGTACGACCAGTCAAAAACAGTGCCGTCGGGTTGGTGATAACCTAACAGCGACTTGTGCATTCCGGGTTGCAAGTGAATTCCGTCGATCCGACCCATCTGTGCATCAGACAACTTCACGAGCTAACAAAGAAATAATAAGTGAGCATGTTGCCTCGTTTTGAGAGATGTCTGTGTACTTGGATATTCGCGGCCATCCTTTCTTCGCTTTCACTCTTTGGGATCACGATTGTTCCACGTTGGACCGCCCAGCTAAGAAGAACCTGAGCGGCCGTGACGTGCAACTCTTCGGCGATAGCTTTGATGGTGTTGTCGTTCAAAAGGAAAGGGCCTTGTCCTGACGAGGAGCATAGGTAAGAATTGAAACCAGGCGCTTTAGTGTTTTCACAGACCTAGCGGAGAATATGCAGTCAGAGGAATTTTCTTCTCATCGCAATATTTCTTGAGATCCTCTTGGGGGAGACATGGATGACACTCGACTTGATTGGTGACCGGGATGACGGTGCATTGAGGTAGAAGCTGTTCAAGAGTTTTGATAGAAAAGTTTGAGACACCAATACTCTTTACTTTGCCTGAGATACCGTCAGATCGTCCGCGTTATCGACCAAAGAATAACGAAGAGGTTACCAGTGGCGAGGAGCTTCTCCATGTCCTTCCAGGTATCGACAATAGTAGGATGCTCATCAGGCCTGAAAGTGAACGTTTCTCCGTTAGGCCCTTGATTACTTGCTATCAGCGTTTCCATTGATAACGCATCTTTAAGTACAGTACCAGTCTTTGTCGCCTGAGGCCAATGCATGAAGTAGAGATCAATGTAGTCACAGTTGAGGTCGCGAAGAGATTTTTTTAAGGATTCTTGGACATTGCCGTGCATCGACCTTGTTGTCTATTGAAAAGACACGTACGGAACAGGCAGAACACTTACTGTGGGAGCTTAGTAGTTATGTAGATCTCGTTTCGTGGTATGCCTGAATCTCGAATAGCCCTTCCAACCTCCGCTTCGTTCTCTGTAATTTTGAATTAGAAACAGATCTGTACTCTGATAAAAATGTGATCGTGGCTCACGATATCCAGCTGCCTGTGTATTCGACCCATCCGGTAAGTGAATGCGATATGAAAGTCGGGCGGTCCTACCGTATCAAAATGGCGATAGCTAGCCTATATCACGTTTCAATTATTCATCAAGTCCAAAAAATCAAAGATAGATTACCTTGAGAGCTTTCTTGCACATCTCATAGACGCGCTCTCCGCCTCCAAACATTCCCATCCAACACCTATCAAAATATCAGCTGATTGTCACAGATGGCGACATGTACATACCCCATGCCTATAGACGGAATCTTGGTTCCATCGTTAAAATCGACCGATGATATGCAAACCGACATGATGGCAGTCAATAACGATTCAAAATCTTTCCGAGTTGAGAACGGAAAAGGGACGCTTAACCCGGTCCGAATGTGATATGTGATATGATCACGGTATGATAAGACTAAGTATGTACAGTACTAATTGTACAGATGCATCGTTAAAACAACAAGTACGTAAATAACTTGCGAAAGAACTCCGAGGAATAAAGGCCAATATAAATACAAAGTACATGTTCATCGATAGAAGAAAGTGGGTGAACATAAAACATACATAAACATGGACTAGTGCATGGCAGAAGAAATACTTAGAATTTTTCGAGTCCCAGAGATCCCTTCTTCAATCGTACGACGTAACCATCAAGAGTCTCTGACTCGAGGTTGTGAATGCCGTACTCGGCATGGACGACTCGGCGAGCATTGATTTTGTCAAGCACTAGTTTCGAAGTTGGTAGGTCTAGTTCGTTGTCCTTTTCAACCGCAGGGGTAACCTGGAGGAGAGCCCTTTCGAGTAAGCTAGGATGCATAACGGGGGACGTGACGTCAAGTAGTTCCTTGCTAATTTTTCCGCTCTGGTAAAGTTTTTCGTGTTGTTCGGGTGTTGTGGGACTGAAGAGGTTGACACAGAAGTCCAAGGATTTTTGTAGTTCGGTTTCGGAAAGACGAGTTCCCATGTCGGATGCACCCTGAATGACTGTTATACAGTTCGGCTCAATTTGAGGTAGATCGAACGAAGGTAATGCAGCTCACCGGGCCGTAGGAATGCGAATGCTCTATCGAAATTATTTTCATCGACGTCAGAGAGAATGGGCATGTTTTGGGCTCGGATTTGTTTGTAAGCGCTGAGAACAACGAGCTGGAACCTATGAAATATCAGAACACTAAGCTTGTTGATCCGTTGAAGGGGACCCTGACCTTGTATAACTGGTGGCAACACGGTTCGTGTGCCATTCCGCCGCCTCTGTTTCATTAGTGTCACCACGAAAAGAAGCGCATATAGTAGCAGCGGCAGACAGAGCTGAAGTCATGGCCAAGTGGATACCACTCGAGAAGAGTGGATCGATAAATGCTGGTCACTTATTATGAGTCCACGTCAGGTATAAATAAGTAGGATTACCTCCGGCGTCCCCAGCAATTCTGAAGCCATTACCAGCATACGAGGGTGCGGAATAGCTGTAGTCGCTCGCTTTCGCTATAGTTCCTTCCAACAACGTCCCCTTACTGCTTATCAGATCAACGAGATGTGGTGCAAGTGAGATGCCCGCTAAGTAACGTGCAACACTGTCCGAATTCGAATGATCGGGCGCAGAGGCAGAGGGGAATGGCGATGGCGGAATAGGACGCTTGAGCTTCTGATTGTATACCTCCTGGTTCGTCACAATACCGACAGAAGTAGTCCCATTGTTAAGGGGAATGAACCAGGCCCAACCGGATTCGTCTGCATAAAGAAAGGTCTTGAGTATGTGCAAGTATATTCTGTTCGTGAGACAAACCAGTTAAGGCCTCGAACCAAGGAGAACCCTCTCTCTTTGTGCCAGCTCCATAAGTTCCCACATCTTTCCAGTAACCCCAGACGGCAATATTTTTAAGAGACTGGTTGAAATGTCGGTTTTTCATATATTTTGTTGACATGAGGCCCGCTCGTCCGGAAGCATCAACCAAGTATTTGAAGGTGGTTGTCCCGGTATATTTAATTGGTTCAGAAACGACGAGCTCTGGACTTTTGGTGCTGTCTCTAGACGCATTTGGTGAAGCGGGCGGCGAAATGGGAGCTGGGGGCGGTGTATGCGACCAAGTCGCAGATATTGGCCTCGAAGGATCAGTCTGAGAGAAAGCGAGACTGTTGACTCTAGTGAGCTCGTACACAGAGGCGCCGCACGTTCGGGCATGGTTCATTAGAAGAAGGTCAAACTCAGAACGATCCTAAAACGACGTCAACTTCTGCAGCAGGTAAAGGGACTCGGACGTACAACATTCCATGCGTTATTGTTATGTCCAATGGCGACAAAATCGGTGTCTAGGAGAAAGTTAAAGTAAGACTAATGAGCGCACAATACTTTCACTCACATCCTTCCTCAGCATATTGCCTAAATTTGAGAGCGGCGCCCGGCTGAGAGATGTCGAACGTCAAGAAACACCGCATATATACACTGAATATTGACGTACTTTGCGCACGAAGCCATGATTTGCAAGTTTTTCTTCTGCGTCGATGAAGCGCAGATAATGGCGCACCGACGGGATGAGACTCTCTCCGATGTGGTACCTAAGCACACTGCGTGACGGAGTAATCAGCAAAGACAGGGATAATGACCCACCTGGGAAACTTGGACGCCTCGAAAACGGCGACCTCCAGTCCTTCTCGAGCTAGGGCAGCAGCGGCGTAGCTGCCTGCGGGACCACCTACGGAAACATCAGTCACGGAAAGACAGACCAACGAGAAAACAAAGAGACCTCCGATGACGAGGACGTCAACATGCTGCGATAACGCGAAATGTGAGTGAAATGCAAGCTCGTGGTAAGAAAGCATACCTTGGGTGGCAGCTTCACGTTTTGAGCAGGCATTGGGGGAAGAATAGAGACTCACCTGGCAGTTTAACGGTTGTTATATGCCAGGGAGAATGGGCCGGATTCTATGAGTGCCGGAAGGCGACTAGATCATCCAGATGATAGTCAGGTTTGAAGCTGCTCGCACTAGTACGAGTGCCGGTCTAGTTTGGGATTACCTAAGTCTCCTTCGTGCGTGTACCTTGGCTCAGAGCATAATAATATAATGGAAAGCTGCTTTCGAGCAGGTTTATCAGCGACGTAACAATATCTTTTCGTCGGCGAACTTGGATATTGCAGTAAGAAAGAACTCTTCTTTTCAATGGACCGAGTATCCCTGTTGCGAACATACTTCCCAATGACTCAGTTTCCGAGGACATCGACCGAGATTGTACAAGTTAAAGTTGGGATCGAAAGAATGCGAAACAGACTGAAACAGACTGAAAACCCAAAAAACCTAGTCTGATCGGATACGAGCCTTCTGGAGCGTCATCGACGTTCGAAACTACCCATAGCAGAACCGTATGCCGCTTCGACTTCGTTTATCGTCGAAGAACCAAATTGTGTGTAGACTTGAAGAGAAATACAAAGGTAGTTACCCATTTTTTTCAAGAAGCAGGACGCCCCGAAGAGAAAGAACATTTTGCGCAAGGCAGAGAGGCACAGCCAGATTGGATGCAGAAGCATCGGCGCAGACGCCTAAAGCAACGGGGAAAAAAAAAGTCGAAGCTTCGGACAAGAGCCGAGAGAGCTCCGGCCGCGCGAAATTGTGACATGATCGGGGAGCAGGTGGGGCGGGCATGTGAAGGCATGTGATTGTGCTTCAACGCGTCAATTTCCAATTCACTGTTTTCTCCGTCTACACCGAACTATGGATGAGCTCATCACCTATATCAAGGGAAAAGGACACGACACTTGCAGCTGGATAAGGCTGATGGATACCTTCGACAGGTACTCAGTAGGTGGCATCCTTACTTTCTATAGAGTTCAACTCAAATATCTGTCAACTAGGTTTCATGGACCAGCACGTCGTCAATAAATCATTGGAAGCTCAACCAGTTCCTTTAGAGCTCCTTATATTTACTATAGATCAAAGCATCTCCTCCCCGCTATTTGCCATGAATGCTGACGCCTACCCAAATTTGCTCGACTTGATCACTAGTGTAGAGCAGTACCGACGCGCGCTTCTGAAGAAGGCAGAGGACGCTATTGTATGGGATAGAGCCTGTATTGGTATGGGACAGACTGATGAAGCTCTTACAAGTGTGGAGCGTGCGTCATTACATGATATGGTGAATCTGGCAGCGAATCAGAGGGAGCTCTTCATAGCGATCGTGGCGGACCTATGCAAGATGGTAAGCGCCATCTATCATCCTAACATTCATGCTAACGCTCTTCACTGACGTGCAGGATATATTTCACTTGCTCCGGTCCAAAGACCACCTTCTCACCGACGTGATGTTGCGGCTCAGCCAGTACTTCCCATGGCTACCCTCACGCGGCGGTGTACCTATCGACTCCCCTCTTCTTTTCCTCCAATGCAGATCTTGATGAACGCGAATGCAACCTTTTGCTTGAGGCCGGAAAGTCGTGCTGCCAGACTATCGTGAATCTCTCCGAATGGGCCAAGAAACAAGACTCTGATGAGTGCGTTCTTGACATTCTTTTATCTGGTCCCTTCCTGAATTATGATTCTACTCAAAAGTATACGCCCTCTGGTCACGAAGAGCGATGAAGTATCTAATATCATTCCCGAATTCGACAAACCAAGGCTGGTCAGAGCCATCCATCGCTATACGGACACTGTCAATGACATGTATTCGACGCTCCACGAATTCTTCCCACTTACTACCGACAACTGATGCTAATGGACGTTCGCATATTCTGGAGCATTCCTTCTGTATCTCATCGCTATCACGATAATCATTCCAGGTCCATGGATGTTACGGCGGCTCATTTGCTCTTCCCTTTGCGCTTGGCGAGGATCCGGAAGCTCACAAAAGCAAAGTCAGTCCAATTCACGTCAATGATGATTCACAGTAAGTAATTCTCATCGTTTACCTTAAATTTCAGTGAATATGCGTATGCTGTCTTGCTCCACTTGGTGATGCTATGAAGCGGGGCTGCCTTGGGGCTTACGGTGTCCCTTGTCGTAGAGGAATATCCAAACCAAATTGGGATGAAACAGTGCTCCCCGCTCTCGTGTCACTTGTACAAGGGATTAGTCAAACGTAGGGTGTTCAGTAGTCGGTATTCGGGACAACTGCAGTCTTTACTAAGGTGCCAAAGCACGTTGTAGTTTCTGTGAACGCACTAGCCTAACCATTACACATATGAAAGCAACTAGCGTCCAAGGAATCAGATTCGACAGAATAATTAAAAGTATCACAAGTACTAGTCCTGTACTAATAGTAGTCTACCACCACCGGTCATAGGCGTAACGTCTATAAAACTGGGTCTTGCCAGAGATCACGGTCACAGGATGAGCGCCAGCTCCACCTCCTAGTCAAGATCCCACTGTATGCGCCTTGCATACTCTCGGATATTAGAGACGATATTCTCTTCCACCTCGTGGCCTACTCCCGTCGCCACTTTCAATATGATTTCATTCAAACCCGTAGATCCGAGGATATCGACGTGGTCGCTCGTATTTGCTCCACCACGCGGTATCGATGGAACAGGCAGATGCGGTAGCTTAAAAGCAACTATAAGAATGAGAAAGATGAGACGTGATAAAAGCTTACTTCAACTGTAGTGACCTTGATACCAGCCGGATTCCAACGTGGCCGTTTCCACCCTTCAACACACATGGCACCAAGACTGAGAAGACTAACTGTCCCGTCGCCTTCTCCCATTTTGACACCGTTACGGACCTAGATGCCATGTGGCCCAAAACAGCCATGTAAAAAAGACATCAAAGCTTACCTTGGGACTTAAAGTCTCGTTAGTATAATCTGCATCAATCCAACTTTTCCTTGTCAAAGGCATATCTAGCGGGGGTCGTTCGGTTACACATTCACTATCAGCGGGATCTGAGCAGGTCGGGTTCAAGCCATCGACAGAGTTGCCGTCATGTTCGTATGCACCCCTTGCGTACCTGTTCGGGAAAATGAGCAGCAGTTTTGAGATGGAATTATAACTACAAACCAATATGAACGCTTTATAACGTGACAGCAATATTATTTAGTCTGCATATTTATAGTGATAAGTAGCACCGAGTGACACGTACCTCGGTTTCCTTCCCGTGTCCATAAACGCAATACATTTTCATGGACGGTGCATTGGGTAGTCTGGAAGCATGTGTAAATCGGCAGGGTCATTGCGCAAGTCCGAATGACGTACCTAACCTCAAGCGGATTCGACCACTTCGTATGATCGCCATCATTCCGCTTCAAGGTCGCTTCGTCTCTTTCAATCCCAACGGAATAGTTGGTAGCCATCATTTTCTTGCAGGCTCTCAGTACGTTGTTATAAGAGACGCGATATACACACCTGGAAAGTTGCAGGGGTATGTTGCAGGATCCAAGTTCCGGCTTGTTCTGAAGTCATATTTCCTACACCATCGTTCCCCACTGACAGCATCTGGGACTCCCGGAAAGCAACTAACTCTCCATGAGTATGTATTGAGTCGGACTGATCATCTGGCGCGAAGTGAGCATTCCCCCATACCGCATCGCCACCCTACAGGACGTTCAGATACACAAAGAGTATGTCGGCTTCTTGTAGTCACCTTGATCCACATGCTAGCACTTCCAGCCCAAGAGAGGAACAATTTCCTGCGTTCTGCTCGCGAGAAAAACCGCTCGAGCACTGAAATATTAAAGACTTGCTACATGAACGTTGACTATCGCCTCACCATAAGAGCCGGCAGGATTCATTTGTACGGTGTCTTTCATTTCACCGGATAGGAATGCAGCCATCGCCTTTGCCTACAGAGGGTGGAAATTTGAGTATTACTCAGTTAGTAATACTTATCTAACTGCTTACCACGCCCTACAGAATGGCATCAGTAAAAAGAGAAAACTGCGCATAGGATCGTGCTCACAAGATGAGTACCTCCGATGGAAATGTAGGCCTCGATATGATCCTACTCAAACATTAACTTGTACCCGTCACAGAAAGAAACCAAACCAACCTCGACCCAGGTGGGTCCACCTCCGCCGTATGAGGGAGATTCTACCCATTTGAAACTAGAAGAGGATGAGAATCGGTACAGGAGGAGTATCATTCCGAACATACAAGTACTAGATTGTAAACACGGGAATTAGCTGGAGTAGTATGAACGACTAAAACTCATACTAGCATAACCTAAGAGATGGTCAAGGATCAGGAATTTTTGTCGACGAGTAGCGATACCTACCGTGGCGCCCATGGAGTGTGCTGCGATAACGGTCTTCTTCCTCTCCCTCCGCCTAAAGAGAGACGATCGGTGCCGGTATAGCGGGCAAACGAATAGACGCACTTGAAACTCTCTATAACAGACTTGAGTCTTGAAAAATAGCCATCCCTTTCCTCCAGATTATAATAGGATAAGCGCCAGTCGTATGGTGCCAGAAACAGATTATTGGTGTCGTAATTTACGACGGCTAGATTCTCAACAATTTTGGACCTGATACTCTCGGAATGAGCTGGTAAACGAAAATACAGAACTTGTCACGTACCAAATCCAGTATCCTTGAATAAAACTGCTAGCAGCGTCTATACCTTGCGCGGCTCTTATCTTAACATCAGAAGGATCGAGTCCGGTGATTGGATCAAGCATCATTGCCGCTATCCACTTTTCGCGGTTGAATGTAACTTGGCTCAACATATTGAATCCTCCCCACAACTTCTCGCGGAAGAAAGGACGATAGTCTGGAGTAGTAGACCATGATTCTAGTCCCTGTGATTTCGCGTAAAGACAAGGACAGGGAAGAGATGTAGCACGCTTACTGTTGAGATGACGCCGGGAACGAGAATGACGGGATATTCGGCTGACAGTCCTCTTTCTGCCATCTTCTCACCGACCTCGAATTCTCGCCCATCACGATTGAACTTCCATAGCTCGGGAATATTGCTTCGCAGTCGGATCCACTCGGCCTCAACTCGAGAAAAATCGAAGTCTGGGAGTGCTGGGAGAGAAATATCATATTCATCCATGAAGAGTAGCAGTTGAGCCTGCATCCCCTCAATATCCGTTCGATCAATCAAGGAGAAGCCAAAGAGAATGCCAACTATAGGAAGATTGAAGTCTAGTGCGAGCAGAGTGGCAGAAACAACGTACAAAGTATGCCGAGAGAGAACAGAAATCTCCGTGTCGCAAAGAAAGATTGCTTCTGTTGGTACACCAGTGAGACTCGGTCATTACATGAAGACATGAAGACATGCTGTTTTTCCATCCTTCAACTCTTCCAGTTCACCCTTGAGTTTTTTGCTGTCTTCCCGGAGCTGCTCCTCGGTTTGGTCTGAGGTTGATTCATCCGAGGCGGAGTCGCTGTCTTTCCGGGGTCTAGAGCGTTTCGTGAGCACCATGGAATGCTATCGTCGTGGAAGGTGTCAATAAGATGAAGAAGAAGAGTGAAGGAGCCGCCTTTCGAAGGACATTAACGTGACCGTGAATAATGCTCGAAAATAAGCAGAAGTAAATGACGGCAAAATCCGAGATCAATGACGACACCTGTCTTCACCGGCCCGAGTTTCCGGGACCTTTGAGTTTACGGCTTTTCTATTTCCTTAACAACCTTATCATTCCTTGGTTTGATTCCCTGTCTCATGTCACCCTGAAACAACGCGACATACATTTTGGGAGCGCAACTAGAAGACCGAACTAACGAGTTTTGGACGGAGGAAGTTCAATGGCAAGATTGAAGTACCAATTGCCCTAATCGTTCGAGAAGGCCAGTGGCGCAGTATGTTTCTCTGTCATTATGTGTCTGCAAGTCGCAGAGACGAATGGAAGATTCTGTTTTTCAACCCCTGGGGCTCGAAAAAGATCAGCGGAACCGACGGTGCCCCGATGACCGTGAACAGGGATACATCTCTTCGACTAGGCAAGTCACCGTACTTCTGACATCACTGCGAGTTCTGAGTAAGTTTCATCCCTGTCAATGCGAAATCGTCGACTAAGGATGCACAGGAACTTCGAGACGTCTTAAGAGCGCAATCATTTGCCAGAGATGGGGTACTCAGATGAACGGAGAGACTTGTAGGTCAACTTACTTATGTGAAAAGGCTGGTAGCTCGCGTTTTGACCCTGAATAGGCACGACATTAACGCGGACCATGTGCTACGGTTGACGAGACTGACATTCCTCTTGAGGACGATGAGAAGTCCCGGTAATAAACACCGTTCTTCGGATTAGGGTCAATAGTAGAAATAGTCTGATTACAGGTATGTTCGCTACAGTACTTTCGTGTGAATCTGATTTGGCATTATCATGCAATAGATATCTGAGGGCCCCAGAGTGAGGGGACATATACAAAAATAAGTAAGTAGCACACAATACACAGTAACGTAAATCTGAGAGGAGAGTCTGTCGAAGAGGAGATAATTCCTTCGTAAAGCAAAATATGCACAAGATAAAAATGCGACGGCCTAAACGATCTACGTTACGTCGAAGTCTTTGAAGATGATGGGCGGGTCGATGGTGCCGAGCCACTCTTGGCCTTCTTTGAGAGCTCTTCTTGACGCTGCCAGAGCAGCTCAGCCCATAATGGGTGAGGCGGTATGTGACCCACAAGGGCACGAAGCACATCCAACCTAACAAGACATAAGCAGGACGCCCCAAAGGCCGGAAAAGAAGTTCGTACCATCGTGCCTTTTCTTCGTCCGTATCAGCGAAGAATGCGATCTCATCTTCGGGGAAAATCAACCGAAACGAGCGCTCCACCCCGTACATTCCATCATACTCGTCCGCATAGCGACTACGAGCACCAGGACTTAACGCTTTCTCCTTCGGTTGATCATCTTCAACAGCCGTCGCTTTCTTAAGGTCAATGGTCGCAGTAACCCTCTTTGTGACATTGTTGAAAGCCACGAGGTTGGATCCTATAACGCGAAGCTGGCGACGACGCCACGACTGGAAAGGTAAGTCAGAAGATATACGCCAATCAAAGAAAAACGCTTACACTGCAGTCTCCTCCGCTCTGTGTAAGAGTACCTTCAAAGTAAGTAACCTTATGCCAGTTGATATGACGCAAGCCGCGGTGACATTCTTCAAGGCTTTGCGGTAATTGATCAGGCGTGATGCCGGGCAGCGGCGGCAACCTAAAGATCTGTAACACAATTTCTCCGACCTGCAACGTTGAGACCTTGTTGCCTGGCTCTAGACGCTGTCCGATCAACGGGAACGCAGTTTCGAATAGTCTGGTGTCACAACGGTGTGCAACATCTTTGAACGCAATGAAGGCTCGCGCAAGGGTCCCATCCGGCTTCAGATAGCGTGCGAGGTTCTCAGTAAGTCGGAGCGGCATTGGTGCAACAGGTGCCTGCACGGCAGCGGGAGCAGGATGCTTCTGTTTCTCCTTCGGCTTTTTAGGAGTCGAAGAGAAGAAACTGCGCATGCCCGTCTTTGAGGATGTATGCGTGATGACAGGCGGTGAGACCACAGCTTGAGGGGGAGGTGGTGGTACAACGGCATTAAACTGAGCGATAATATGAGGGTCCCGACGAATCTTTAAGGTGAGCGTGAATTCTAGTTTGCTATGTTCAATTCTGCGACAAAGATCAGGCGGGATTCAAATAATAGCATACTCGACCCACAGTTCAAATTCTTGGTTGATAGAACTGTCCGTAGTAAATTTGCACTCGGGCGTTGTGACAAAATGTATGCCGTTGTTCAGAGTGCAGGATACCGCCGTTGGTTCTTTCGGCATCGGCACCCGAATGCCGCGCAATCCCAAGACTAAAGGACATCTGTGAGCAACGATCTACGGGTCTATTGAATTCATACCTTTCACGAATACCTTCCCATACGCTTTCCCTGGTTTCTCTTGGGCCCGGTATTCTTTAATCTGTTTCGCGTACTCGTTCTGGGCACAGCATGAACAATGAGTCAATCTCAGTTCGAAAGACAGCTCACCATATCTGACGGCCGCCGCACTGGCCGCCATGCCTTCCCGGCATTCACATCACCTGGCCCAGCCATATGCGATACCCTATCAGTATCCGACGACGCGTAGATGGTCCCCTCGTGTTGTCGGACATGATATTTCTATAGTAACATCAGTATCACGCGCAAAGACATGGCAAAGAACCTACGCTTTTACTTGGCCCCTCTAACTTTTTCAATTCTTTCTCAATGCTGTCAGCAAGAGGATCGTCAATCGTTGGTGACACGACATCCAGTAGTTTGCCGTCAGCACCGCGCCGCGTATTCCCTCGGATACCCTCGACATCTCCAGTGCTTCGGCTGCGCCTCCTGCTGGGTCTTCCTGTAGTGACTGTGAGGTGTTCGTCTCGCCTTGCCGTACGACTTAAAAATTCTTCCTCCTCCTCCTCTTCTAGCCTCCTCATCTCGCGTCGTTTCTCTAATATCATGGCCTCACGGGAACGTATGTTATCCTTTGGCGGAAGGGGCGGCGGAGGATCGGAACATGCCGAAGACCCGCTGACGCTTCTGCTAATAACTCCACTACCAGGACCATTGACGACCAGTGCGGAGTCTGTGGCAGCTCTTTCCATAAGCCGGGGTTTGACCGGTGAGGCCTCAGTATCGGTTTTCTCCTCGGATGCGCAAGAAGCGTCTCCATCTTCTGTCATCGTAAGGTCTGCTTGTTCAACCTGGTGGCCTGCAACATCGTCCAGCAGCCTATCGAGAGCACTCCGCATATCCATATCAACATCCACAGATGCGACCTGAGTCCTGGCAGTACTTTTCGTTGGTAGATCGCTGCGCGTAGGTGTTAATTCCGACTTCGACGAGAAAGGACTATCAGTCTCATCGAGATCCATATCGTCAATGCCAAGCCCTCCCAATCCAAACTTGCTTCCAAAATCAAACTTCAGCCTCTGCCCATTCTCTGCAGGTTTTAACATCCCAAACTCCTCATGAGCGACCGATGGCTCCTCAATGCCAATGGCACCTACAAGCCTCTTCTCCGCAGTCTGAATGACAGGCTGTTTCTGCACTGGTAGCACTGGCGTCTGTCATCGCAGTCATGATTGAAGTAGTATCACGATCCTTCTCCTCATCTTGTCGTCTGTCATCAGTGGGACTTCTTGAGGAGTTAAGGCTCCCATGAGGGCTATTTGCCGGGTCTGCCGTATCGGAGGATGGCGGATGTGCGACGTCGACAGCCTCATAGACATCCACTGGTTGAGGACTGTCGCCACGCAGAGAGTTATCGGCAGGCTGAGGACTCTCGGTAGCTCCTGAGATATCGGCAGTGGTGATACGCGGACTGTCCGTGAAGCTATGACGAGGGCTATCTAGGGAACGTGGCCTATCACAAGCCCGTGGGCTATTTGCTGGACTCGGACTGCCTGTGTTAAGCTGTCGACTAAGACGCTTTTGAATATCCTCCCTGCTGATGCGAGGTCGTAGGTGGCTGGAGCCAGGAAGTGTTTCAGCGTTGGAAGCAGGATGCACCGTAGGAGACGATGCGCAGGATGCAGGCATGCCTGCCGACGTTGGGATAGGTGGCAAAGGCGACCGTCGTGTTGGACTAGGGGAGAATGCCGAAGGAGAACTTCGCACCGAATCATTAAGTGCGGACTTATATTCTTCGGGTAGTGGCGTCTATACATAATATTACATGAACTTAGGAAGCAAAGAGGTTATATCGGCAACGTACATTGTGGGTTTTCAAAGCTGCCGCCATTGTGCTGATATTGACATCTGATAATGGTAGCGACAAATTGGCTGGATCTTCTTGACTATCGTCGGGAAGAGATGCGTCGTTGAGACTTGGCAGAGCAAATGGATCAGGACCGGACATTCCTGGTTGGGCCGGAGAACCTAAGCGAGTACATCAGTGGGAATTTTAGGAATTCGGTAAGATGTTGTACTACCAGAAAGCTTTAAAAGTGAAGCACGAGGGCTAGAACGATGCTTCGTTGGAGAGGGTGATTCAGGTAGCATCTGTATATCTTCATTGCCACCGTCACTGCGTGTAAAAGAATCGTGTATGGGCGGAGTGGCGGGAGTTCGCTGCGACGGGGTGGCAGGAGACGCTGAAGCAGAACGCACCGGCGGCAAAGAATTGAAGGGGATTGCACGAGGTGGTGTAGCTTCCAGGTGGTGGCGTGCAGCTCTTTCAACATGATGAGAGCGTCCAAAGGGAACTCCGTCTTCGGTGTCAAGATCGGTAGGTATGTCAGCACCGTGGCGCGGCGGAGTACTTGTTTGACGAGATCCAAACATTGCATCAACTAAACCCGTGATACTAGTATCAGGATCTAGCTCTAGCTTTTGCCCAGAGTCAGAAATCTCAATACTTTCGTACGGGTCGTCCGGCTGGTCATCAGCCTCACCGCTACTATTGGGCCCGTGGAAGAAAGGGTCGGCATCTCCCACACCATCGTAATCCTCCTCAAAACCTTCATGGTCGGAATAGTCACTTTCCAGAGCATCATCACTGATGTCCTCTTCTTCGCAGTCAAACTCGACGACATCGCAACGTTCATCGAAGGTGACCGTCTTCCTTCGTTCTCGCCGTCCACTTAGTCGCGGACCATGCAAGCGCCGGGAAACAAGAGACGAGCGAGCAGGGGAAGCAGCACTGGGCAGAGGCACAGGGATTCTGGATGGCGAGGCTGGATATATGGGAGGCGGTTGGAGAACAACAGGTTCCGATTGGCATTCTGGCCCGGCAGGTTCCTCTGGGCTCGACGTGTGCAAGAATGGACTTTTCTTGACTGGCTCCTTGTTGATAAGCCCTTGAAAGGTTTTGGACTGACGTCTCTCTCTCTTCAAAGCAAATGGACGTTCGTTCTCCGTCTCCGACTGGTCGTGCATGGACGTAGGCCTGGGACGTTTTTCTCCAGAGACACGACGAGGTGAAGACGAAAGATTGGGGGGTGCGTTACGGGAAGGTGTCGAAGGAGTAGGGATTTGTGATTTAAAAGGAGATTTGGAAACAAGGTTGTTGTTGCGAAGATGGCGGTAGCTCGACGAAGAACGACGAGCAAGGTCCGGCATCGGTGGTCGGGCGGGAATGTCACGCTTTGAAAAGCGCAGAGGAGACGTCTTTGTTCCGGTTCCGCTGGTGGCATCGGACGGACTCCATCCCATGCCTGAATCCCTCAAAATAGACGATTTCACGGGATCTGGCGAATTTGAGAGCAATTTGTCCCTCAATGGAGACGCTTTGTGTCCGTTCATCGTTTCCTGCTACAACGAGACGGTGGAGAAGAGTAGGAAGGCGATATCGACCTGGGTCGGTGGTTGTTGGGGACAAAGATGACAGTGGCTGCTAAACAAACCTTTGCCCGTGGGAAATATGCCTTGAAGCAGAGCGCGACACAACACGTGATCGAATCAACTGCGGTCCGGAGGGCCGGGACTTCTCCTTTTGGGAAGTGAACGTTGAGGCCCATCACCCATCATCGAAAAGTCAATCATCAATGGCAGCAACGTCACCCGCATCACCGCGACTGTCGGGTTCTGTCTTTTTCTGCATTCTTGTCGCTGGTAACGTACCTCGAAGACCCATGACGAACACCCGCTTTACAACCACAGCTGGCGCGTCATTGGCTATACGACACTGCACCTCTGACTTGTGGCCGGCGTAACGATCCGGGCGGAACTTTTCTGTGCTAACAATGTAATCTCATACTGAAACAAGCTTCGCAGCTTCACCCGCTCCCTTGGCGGAGCCGGACATGTCGGCTGGACAGAACAGCCACATTTATTAGTGCTTTCCTGCGGCCTATATAAGCATACAGTACATGTGTTCGGATTCAGGTGCGATTCTACCCAGGCAGTTTCTGTCTCAGTCAGAAATACTCGTGAGCGGATAAAACACGCGGGCGATGCTTTTATGGGTATCAATATAATGGGCGCTCCTCCTATAGCCCCACCAAATGCTGTGGGCATGTTTCGCTTCTATAATATAGATCCCCCACTGGCTTGTGCCAATCGTTTGATCTGTTCATCATGAGTATCTTTCTGGCAGGTCTTGTTCTCTGTCACATACCAACTTTTGCTCTGTCTGCACTCTACCCACGCGATAATCAACCGCTTCAGCCTATACACATTCCCCTTACGCTCAGCAATCAGCAGTATGTTATTAATGTGGCCATGGTGCGTCCGGCTTTACTGTCACCGCTCGTCAATTCCTTATGCCATATCCTTGTCTCTTAAGTCTTCGGGACCTCAAGTCCAGAATCTGCCTTTTGTATTGTCAACAGCGACAGGCTATACAGTCGTAGCCGGTACATCTTGTGATTCATGTGGTACGGATGTGTATGTGTCCAATACTTCATATCCGGAGAAAAGCTTGACGTCGTCTTTCAGATACAACATCAGTGCTTCCACCTCTGCCCATCAGATACCTCAAAGCCAGGACATATCATTATGGTCTAGTTCCACCAGCGGCTCGCTCATAACAGAGAACTGCAGCCTCAAACAAGGGAATGGGGCGCCATGGAATTATACGAACCAAACAAGTCAGTTTTCCTGATGCCATTTCTGATTCTGTCTTATCGTGGCTTACCCGTAGTCGTTGTGGCGAATCAATCTCAAACGATCGTGCCGTCATCCGGGTTCTCTGGTGTGTTGGGTTTAGGAAGTAATGCCCGTATGAACATCTTCCTTTGTCTCACACAATGTGATCGTTCATTGCCAATGTAGGAGATGGAAACTTCGCGGCAAGTCTTGCAGGCAACTGGCTTTCCCAACACCCAACACGGACAAATTTTACTTATGCATTCGCACTCGACTCACCCGATTCCACGGGTACGAACGGAGGCATGCTTCACCTGCTGGCTCAAGATAGTTCTGCCTTTCGAGGTGACGTAACTTGGAAACCGATGTCGGACTTCAACTCGAGTTCTGCCAATTCGGATTGGTCCGTCAATATGGACGGATGGTCGTTTGAAAGTGGCGATAACGGGAAGATATCGCAGAATGGAGATCTAGTGGCCGTACTGGATCCCTTCTTTCCGACCATACGCTTCCCACAGGCACAAGCACGATCAATATGTGAGTTCTCGCGCAATAGATTTAATGGACAGAATATTAATTTTTGATGCAAGATTCGTCTTTAACCGGAGCTACCATTTATTCAAATTCATCAGATACTATCACTTGGGAGGTTCCATGTGATACGAAGATGTCTTTCACATTTACATTCGGGAACTTCTCTGCAACTCTCGACCAAACATCATTGTTGAGAAAGAGTCAAGGACAATGTATCAGCTACGTAGAAGCATGGACAGACCCCGATGTCGGCGAATATGTCCTTGGGGCGACCTTTATATCAGCCATCTATCTGTGAGACGCGTTTATATTCTATCAGGAGCATTCTCAAACCGTCGTTTTTACAGTATTTTCACTATGTCTGGTGGATCAAGCGGATCCGTCGGTATGGCTTCTCGCACCAATTCTTCCAAGATGTCAGCGGGAACGATTGTCGCCATCGTCATGAGCACATTAGCATTCACCATTGCTCTGGTAGTCTCAATAATGCTGGTCTACCGTTGGTGGCGCAAGCGACAATCGCCTGAATTGTCATATAAAGAAGATCTTAGCCACCATTACATTCCCCGAGTCACGCCATACTTTTCTACTGATCTCACGAGTGAAGCTACCGCACTTATGCCAATACCGCCCCCTACACCACCTCAGAACCACAGGATATCTACCCCGCACTCTTCTAGACCTGAATATCGAAGTCACGCGAGCTCCAGTACTGCCGGGGAGTCATCGCAGTATGCCTATTTCTCCGATTCATCGACGCACGATGAGGCGAATCTGCTTGGGACCCCACCTCCGTATGGGGGTTTACAATATCCCTATCTTCACCAACCAGTTCATGTTGTTTCTGTCAGTCCTCCTACCGATAGAAAAGTTGTACCCCGAGAAAATTCCTAAACAATATAATTCACTCTCGGACTTTTGTCGCTATGTAGCCCTATCTGTCGTCATATCTAAGCAGGAGTAGGTCTCGAAGACACCATGTTTCTGCTCTAATAATATTTGGTGGCAAACAGGTTCGACACTCAGTACGTAGATCCGTCCAGACCTAGTAGAAAGGATGAATAATTTGCTCGAGTTGAAAATGATGCACATTCGAAGACATGGTCAATGACTCCGGTCTAGCGAGCGCCTGATGAAACATATGTCTACTCCGACTGCACTAGGGTTAACGCTTTGCTGAAACTCCCGAGCTGGCCCTCAGACATTCCTTTAATCGCGTGAACTTCTGGCCTTGTAAGTAAAATTCAGGATGATTATCGTGAACATGGTAAATGTTCCTGACCCCTTCAAGTAGGATTGAACTGCGCATTTCGATGAGGAACAGAAAAACCGACTTCCGGTTGACCGGGATCATCGCTGACGTGGCACGTGGGAGATTTATTCGGTCCTTCCTCCTGAGCCGACCTATTACAGGACTGGCAACATGATTCATATGCTGTAGTGTCTTCTCCCGACCGCCATCATCCTCACGCTCTTTTCTCCATGTCGATGCGGCGACAGCGTCTCAAGGCTTTTCTTTTTCCTAGCGTCGTCATCACCGGCGTACTGCTATACTTCGTTTCGCAGTATCACTACCAGATCCGCAACACTATCTCTTATGCGACCCGGCCAATATGGGATACGGCAGATGGTCCTCAGCATGTTATACCTCACTATTATGGTGAAGGTTTGGAGATGGATGAGCATACATGCCAGCTTCATGGTTGGAAGCAACGCCCGGACGCCGAGAATTACCGTGTCTTAGGATGCCATTCTCATGAGTAGTGAGCTGGATTTGTTGGAGATACGGATGAATGAGCTGGACTCTGTTGTTGACCGCTTCTTCATTGTCGAGTCGAATGCTACCTTTACCGGTCTGCCAAAGGAAACCTATTTTGCAAACAACCGTGCGCGATTCTCCAAATTTGACAAGAAGATATCATACCGGTTGTGAGTACTTTGCTCGCTTATAGTTTAAAAGACTTAAACAGTATGGTAGCTTACCCGGATACCCTCTCAAAGAAGGCCAGACAGCATGGAATGTTGAAGCCAAGACTCGCGATACCATGACGGCATTCTTGCGCTCACATATGACCGAGTTTGCACCAACTACAAGGCCACTCGTCATCATGTCCGATGTCGATGAGATACCATCAAGTCATACCCTCCGTCTCCTTAAATCCTGCGATTTCGGTACCTCTATACACCTGCAACTTCGCAGTTACGTGTACAGGTATGGCATGCATTTCTGTGGTTGCCTCACACTTAACTCTACTAGTTTTGAATGGTTCCTCGGTTTCAACAGCTGGCGCGCAAGTGTCAACCTCTGGATGCCCAGCACCTATTACTCCCATCGGAAGAGTGGTGATGTCATGCTCGCTGATTCGGGCTGGCATTGTAGCTATTGCTTCAGAACCATACCTGAATATGTCACCAAAATGACCGGCTTTTCTCATCACGATCGTATTGGTGGCCAGTTGAGTCTCCTGGATCCACAAAGAATACAGGACACCATATGCAAGGGGAAAGACATATTCGGGATGCTTCCGGAAGCATTCAGCGTACGTTTTCTTCACCTTCCAAACATTATTTTTAACCAACGACTATGGTAGTATGTTGATCTGCTGGCCCAGATTAATCCGGAGCCGTAAGTACCATTCCCATCATGTCATGAAAAAAGTCACTGATCATATTCTAGGCAAGTGTCCGCTGTAAACCTTCCGCGGTTCCTGATTGAAGCTGCTGACCGGTTCAAATTCCTTCTCCCGGGCGGGTGCCAGCGTACATCGCAGACAATCGCTGAAGTCGAAGTCGCGGATGCCCTTGATGACTTGGAACGATAAAGAGATAAAGACGATTTCTTGATATACCTATCTACCCACTGTACACCTCTGCACTAATTTATTTAATCTGGCCATGTCTTGTAACATTATTTTGAAGTTGATATCTTGCATCCTTACATAGACTGGAAATATATTCGATTCTGACATGATAATTAGGATACATAGCAAATTTAGCAACAGCACCGTACGAGAAAGGGTGCGACAAATCCAAAGGGTAAATATACGATAAAAGAACGATGTAATAGTGATATGTCAGCGTTAATGTGCATGTAGTCGTGAAAGTCATCATAGATTAATTAATCAGGAACGAGATGTCGCTACTGTGCTCTGGCGTCTTCGTGCAATTTCAAGTGGTTTTAATGAACTATCGATCGAGAAGGCTACAAAGAAATGAGATTGAAGGCATTAGAGAAAGTAGACAGGTTCATACATGAATTGGACTCGTCGACTGAACTGTCTGCAACGAGAGAATCCGAGAAGAGGTCGTCTGATCGCGTAGATGCAATGGGTTTAGGGATCATCGACTTTCTCGCACGCTAGATAACAGTATCAGCAAGTTACCAGAGATGAAGGCAAAACATCTTACTTTGTTGACACCAGCGATATTTACGCCCTCTAGGCTGATGGCGTACTGGGTCTCGTCGAGGTGTAAGAGCTTCTCGGCACACTCCACAATCCATTGCAAACCAACAACGAAAGGTTTATTCTCCAGTTGTCTATCCAATAATCAGCTACCTGACCAGGACTTGAAGCAAAGGCCTTTACCTATACCGATTTAGTGTACCAACCGTCCCGTCCTTGAAGACGAGATGCGTGCACGTGGATCCGAAGTTTTTCATCACCTACCGACAAAATCAAGTTCCAGATTGCATAATATAATATATCGACGTACCTTCGCTCCCAAGCGCTTCAGCATGTCAGTGAAGACATCTCCACAGTCAATACCATTAGAATCTCGTACGTCGACGTAGACCTTAATCCCGGATAAAATGCTCAGACTAGGGTCAGCAGGTTTCTTCGAGCCTGAAACCTTGCGCCCAGAATACGAATAGCTCTTATCGTCACGCCCGACCTCTTCGTCATCGTCGTTCGTGCTCGGGGTCCGTTTGAGGCCGAGTCCGTTGGGTTTCCTTGCGGCTGATGACGACGCATCCGAAGAAGGCGCCGACGGATGAGTACTCGTAGAACTCCGGAGGCCCTCTCTTTTCGGAGGTGTTGCTGGGGGTCCCATATCCCCAGACACATTAGGAGGGGGTGGCGGTGGAATGGATTGGGATAGCATATTGAAGGCCGTCGAAGCCCTTCTCGATGCATTCTTACTCCAACCGTCTGTCTCATCTACAGCTTTCCGTTTACCCTTAACCAAGTGTGCACCAACCAACTCGGACAATTCCATCGCCTCAGGCGTCGATGCAACGACCTTCGACTCCCACATAGATTTGGCACTGCCACTTGTCTGTTCAATGCCGATCATCTGATTCATCAGGTCGCCATCTAAATCGCCACTCCCTTTCACAGGGCTGGCCGGAACAACGGGTAAGGGCGTCTTTTGGCTGACTTTTGGAGCTGTTCTGTACGGAAAGATACCGGGTCTCCCCCTGTGAACACCGCCCGTACCTGACATGAGCCGACCGGGCCTCGGTAGAGCATCTTTCTTGAAGAAATCGGTGACGGATCGTTGCGCGAGTGTTGGCTTGGACGACGATAACGATGCGGTCGTGCTCTTGCTTGAGCTTGCCACGCTCATTTCTGCAGAACCAAAAGTGCTGGAACGGGACAATGTATGCGTACGATGAGAACTTGTAGAGGCCCCTTCATCGTCGGAATTGAATCCGAAACTAGATGTAGGTCGCGAAGGTGGAGGTACAGGCAAGTTTGTCAAGCGCCGAGGATAAATTCGAAAGAGCGGATCCATTAGTTGGTTTCGACGGCATTAAACCTACAGAGAGTAATTCGTAGGTGGACATAAGGCCTATAAAACAAGCGCACCTCCAATAGGCCGCGCGAACATGGACGCTGATCTTCCCAACTTCGTTGGAGAAAGGTTCATAGCGGCTTTGGCTGGCGTTTTTGCTAGACTGGACAGAGTGGGTCTCGCAAAATTATTTGAAGGCCGTGGGGTTTTAGGAACATCAGTTGCATCTGTGACGGGCTGGGCTGATGACTCCGCGGCAGAATCTGACGGTGGATCAGTGAGAGGTGAAGAGGAACGTTCACGATTTGCAGGTTCTGCAGGAACGGACGTATGGGCAGACTTTGAAGGGGATTTGGGAGAGGTCTTAGGACCAAGTAATGATTTCTTGCGCACCCGTGGGTCTACGGTTATAAGCTAAGGTAGTAAGGATCAACAGGTTGACGAACCTTGACTTGCTCTTTCGGCATCTTGTTCTTTCTTCTTCAGAGAAGAACTCCGTGTAACTCGAGGGATTGAAGAAGCTTGAGTTCGCGCCCGTTTCTTTGGCACAGCGAGCCTTGAAGGCCTTGGCATCTCTACAGCAATCCGCCGTTCGTCTGAGACCGCCGTAGGCGGGGGATCCTCGGGATTAGCAGACTTCGACGTAGGGTCTTTAACGACGGCATCAGCCTCAGGATTACTTGCAGCCTTGGTCTCGTCGAACAAACTCTCAAGGTCTGAATTTGTTGCTCCTTCGGTTTCTGCATGAGGTTCTGCAGCACGCTCAACCATCGGCAAAGAAGGTCTGCTTCCTGAGGGACCTGCCTTGCCTTCACCGTCAGCCCGAATATCAGTGTCGGGAATGGCTTCACGTCGTGGCTGGGGTACTTCCTTGGGCCTCATCCTACTCTTCAACGACTGTTTGGGTACAGGCTGCTCCGTGTTCTTGCTTTTGCCAATACTCTTCGATGCAGAGGGGGCCGCTGAGGATGCAGGCGCCTTTCCCTTTCCTTTGACAGTAGTGGATTGAGAAGCGTTCATTATGATGTCAAATGCGCTCTTTTTCCGAGGAACGACTGGGGCATGGGATTTCACATGCGCGCTAGATGTTGGATCTTGCACGAGAGGAGGCATTGATGACGAGGCGTGAGATGGACCCGGAATAGGCATGGAGGGGTCCAAAGCATTCTCTGACGCGTTGGACGACCGTGGGAGACAACCTTGACAAACACCAGTCTCGAGAGGGGGATGCGAGGTAGGCGTGGGTTCAGGATGGACGTTCGTGTTGTTACTCTTGATGGAGACATTAGCGCATGCAGAGAGACTAGATATGTGACACACCACGTTACTATTTTTCTCAAATCCCGAACTCGACGCATTGGGCATCCTGTCCTCCAGGTTGCCATGCAGCTGTGGTGGTAAAATAGGTGTCTCTGGTAGCGGCGTCAGGGGAGACAGCGGTCCCGGGGTGAGCCTCATTCGGGCAGGCGTCTTGTGCGTGTTCACTACCAAACTGTTGGCTGGGTCCTCTTTGAACTGTGACGACTCTGCCACTTCTCCTGCAATTTTTGCCTGTTCAGCAGGATTCAGAGATAATAATACGCCTTGCCCACCATCCTCCTGCTGAGTTTCTTCATCCGGAATAGACTCCATCTTCGTAGGTTGTACCAGGATTGTGAACTTTAGCATTGGTGTCACTTTTCTGGGTGAACGAGGTTTGTTGGGAGAACTGGGTGGATTCCGGAGGTCAATGCTGGGAAACATTGGTGGCACAGAGTGTGCTCTACGGGGTGTAAGGCCTTCCTTACTTGGTGATCCGTCGCCGACACGCTTGGGAGAGTCAAGATTGAGCTGGGCAAAGTGCCGGTTTGGAGAAGATGGCATGTTGACATTCTCGCTGTCGCTATTTCCTACAACACCATCATCCCTCCGAGGACGCTTGAGGGCGGGAAAGTCGGGGAATGACGCGATGTTGGATGAGTGGTGGGTGTCTCGCGACGGTGAAGCCGACCTCTTGACACTCTTGGCTTTAGTCGGGGAAAGCAGAATCTCGTCCTCAGACTCGTCCTCGGCACCCTCGTTCAGCCAAGACGGTATAGGAGGCTCCGACTGATTTCTCAGTGCCGTACGCGCGTCCTTCAATGGTGAACGGCTCAAGGGGAGATGCTGGTAGATGTCGTCGGGGAGAGTAAGCTGAGATCGGGTGCGCTTGTCGCAGAAGATGTCGCCCATGTTGTTGAAAAGTGTCGAGTTAGCATGTAGAGGCCTTGATGACACAGCGAGATGTGAATGCCGTACACCGTACGGTGAATATACGTCTAGAATGACGGCCACGGAGAGCAAGGAAGTAAACTGCTCGCGTGTTGAATCTGATCACGTGGGCATTGGAATTGAAATTGCATGCTAATGCCCAAATAGGTAAGCGGTGGTACCGTCAGCCGCGCCGGGCCAACTTCTTCACAGTGACATAGTCTTGCGATACTGAGATACGAAATCGCGTCCGAAATTGTAAGGTAAGGTCAGGGCAAAATTTGAAGGCAATGTTTACTCTACGCTATCATTAGAATTCGGATTTCTTAACACTCAGTAGCGTAGCATGTAACAATACTACTAACTTTGCAACTGTGTAGATGTAAAAAACATTTGTTTCTTCTGAGAGAAGACATGGCGCCTCGACATAGAAAGTACTTTGCAGGTAAGTTTCGGTTGTGTGTCACGTTCCAATAATCAAGAAACCGGAGAGGTTTCCAGACTTCCCAAATTTCCCAGTGCGTTGGCCTCGCGAATCCTGTTTTATTATCTATGAGGAGCCTGCATCTGTACATGTATATACAAGTAACCAAGAGTTAGTGGCAATGTGTAAATACGTGAATAGTCGACAACAACAGTGTCGGAAGATTTTAAGAGGTCGACGAGGAAACTTCAAGGTGGCTCATCATCTGGACAAGTGTCAAGTTACAGATTGTGGGTGCGATGCAGTCTCGCCTTACTGTACCACCATTGGCAACCTCTACAACCTTCGGAAAACCGGGCCGAATTCCTCTTGACAGTGTGTGTTTGTCCAGTCACAGCGTTACGTGTGGTTCTCAAATGTTCACCACTTTCTCCAGGACATGCCGTCGTGGCTTCACATACCCTACACCCTTTCCAACGAGTTTTTCTTGGTCAAGATGCACTCAAAAGCCCTTAGCAAGGGCAATGTCTATGGAAGGGTCGGTATCTGTAACGTTCGTCACTGCCGGTGAATGTGAGGCGAGGCATTGACATCATCCGGAAGATAGGAACTACCTCGTACACCCTCCAAGATCTATCTTGATAGTCAACAAACTGCGAACACAGCCTGTTATCCTTGCTATTGACGCGCTCCTTGAGTTCGTGTTTCATAGGACTGCTATTGGAAGCCTTTTTGATCAGTTATCGACCAATCAGGCATGTTCAGGCCACATATCCCAGCGTCAGAGTCTTTCATGAAGACAGGTCTGATATACCCCATGGAGCTGAGGTATGGCATCCTGGTGCGCTTCATTCTCTACCCTGTTTTGTTGTCGTCTATAAATTTTTATGCTGTGGCCTCTACTAGGGAAGGCGGAACCAATTGATCTAGTCGTAACCCTTGGGGGCGATGGGACGATCCTGCATGCATCATCACTCTTTAGCGCTGGTGCAGTGCCTCCTGTTCTGAGTTTCTCGATGGGAACTCTGGGGTTTCTCTTACCGTTCCGTTGGTATTTTTAATTCTAAAACGAGTTACTCTGGATTCGAAACCATTACCACCTAGATATTGATGACTTTGCCAAAGCGCTTGAGAGCGTCTTCCAGGGAAAAGCGACTATTTTAAACCGCATGCGTTTGGCGTGTACGTTCTATGACGAGAACCTAGTCAAGAAGAAAAACAACGTGGATGACGGCATCGGTATGTTTATTCCACACCCTGCACAGCTAAATTTCATCAGCATCGCGATGTAGACTGGCAGGTTATGAATGAGATAGCGCTACACAGAGGTTCCAGCCCCCATCTCAACACGATTGATATATTTGTCGATGGCCAACACTTAACTGAAGCAGTTGTAAGTTCATTAACAGTTAGCTATCCAATTGACATACCTCTATCCTAGTCTGATGGACTCATAATATCTACTCCCACGGGATCGACGGCATACTCCTTGTCTGCAGGTGGACCTATTGTACACCCTTCGTTAAGCGCTTTGGTTATGACTCCGATCTGTCCCCGAAGCCTATCATTCCGGCCACTAGTATTCCCTTCCTCGTCCTCGGTCACGTTACGGGTAAGCCTTTGTGGATCTCTTCCGTCTCAGCATTTCTTACTGAACAGCCTTTTCTGACAGATCGGTGATCGTAGCCGAGCGCCCGCAGGTGTATCAATGGATGGTCGGACTTCCCACGTCCTGCAGCCAGGGGAGTCAGTGAATATCCAAGCATCGCCGTATCCTGTCCCTTGCATCAACAGATCTTCGATCTCAGACGAAAAAAGCAATGAGCAACGAAAAGGCGAGGGTGCCGGACCTGGGAAGGAAGACGACTGGGTTCGGGACATCAACAATCTGTTGCAATACAACGCGACTTTTCGAAGCAAGGCATTGTTGAGACACAGCCGCACTTGAGTAGCTCGAGTATTGAAGCTGATCAGTGCTTCCCTCTGTGACTTGACGAGTGGTGGAGTTATCGTAACAATTGTTAGCTACAAAATAAGTATTCGACGAACATACTATATGTGATACAGTGAGCATATACTACAGTGCAAATGAAGGGTATACGACCGGCGAATTGATGTATGGTGTACGAAGTGTATTAAATGAGGTCCTGTACATTATGTTCCGTGAACCACGCAAAAGATCAAAAATGTCGACTGAACCAGGATCTTCGTGACTTTTCCTCGTCATTGAGCGACGGTGTAGGAGATGGCTGGCGAGTGCGTGAATTGGATCGTGAAGCAGGGGCAGAGCGAGACCATCGTGTGTAATCTCCTTCCTTGTTATCAGGAACTTCAAGATACTGTGGTGGCTCGTCCTGTTTTTTGTCCTCCACGATACCAACATCGATAACTTCTCCACGAAGCATCCGCGACACCGTAGATGCCCATGCACTGGCAGAGATGCGTACGCACTTGCGTTCCCCACCGACAGTGGCCTGTGTCGTGAACACTATCTGTTGCCGAGAAATCCCAAGGAGTTCGACGAACTCTTTTTGAGCAACGTCTAGAGCGAGCTGAAAGTCGAAACAGTTAGCTATGTCCATGCAGGTGGTAAGCGAAACGCACCTCGTAGTCTAGCTCCGGTTTTACGTAGACCAAGTTTCCACGAAAACGATAAGTGACGATGTCTGCTGGCGTAGGAGAATTGGTGCGGTAGGATGCCATATAGCAGGATACGTTGGCTACCGGGCTGGCTGATGGGCGAATGGTAATGGACAGGGCAATGTAAGTACACGTTTTAAGTAGGGACAATAATCTGCTAGGGCAGTGTACAGAAGAGATCAGACTACGGGGCTAAAAACTGATGGTACAATGATGCACAGCCATACTTTTACAATTGACGTAACCGTGCTAGTACAGGTTTGTGAACAGCGCCTAGTTCACAGCCAAAACTGACAGCCTAATAAATACACTGCGATGAAAAATTGACAGCGACCGACGGTACAACAAGAAGATTAGAAAAGTTGACAACTACCCACACCCCTCCAACATATAAAGCTATGTCTCCAAGTCTCCCAGCATCGCAAAGAGCCCTACTCCTTTAGCTGTCTTCACAGGAGGGATTCGCGTAGCGGTACCTTTCACCTTTTTGGTTTTCTTCTTACGTTCCTCTACAAAGGCACCCTCTAGACCGAATTCGCACACCGCCAAAAGAGCTGTCGGTATATTGGGAAACGCACTGGTTCCCGACAAATAGGAATGGAAGGCTCTGCCCGAAAATAGGCAGGCCGGAGATGCCACCGCGTCGTGAAGCAAAAGGATGTTCGCTAAATGATCGACGCATTCCATGATGTGGAGAACTTGGGCAACAAGCTGGACATGGCGATCGACAATAGGGGGCATCTGATTAGACTGCGCCGGGACTATGTCACCGTCCCGCGAAAAAGATGCCAAAAAGCAGCGCGCTTCTCGCTGCGTCCAGCGTTCTGATTCCCGATTTTTGTTCTGGTCTGCCGCCCGCTCGCTCAGCACCTTCAATATCCAGCGTAGCACCAGGGCCACTGAGATCTGTGGCGGTGATAGTTGGGCGATGCCAGGAACGTCAGAGTCCAACGCTCGGAGCATGACTGAAAGCCGCTCTTCCTGTGACTGCAAAACCAAAGGTACTGGTGAATCAGCCAGATTGCGCTCAGGAGTAGAGATCGATGCCAGGAGATCTGCGAAGGATGGGACTTCCACAGGCTCGTTAATAAGCTTGCTTCCACGCCGAAAGAATTCATTAACAGCTCGAGGTCGCGGTGTATGTTTTGAATTAGACGCACCCTGATCCATACTGGAAGCGTCAGAACCACGTAGACTCTGTAGTGCACCTCGTAGAGGCGCTAGGAGGTCACCGTCTGCGTCACTATCCATGTCAGAGTCTGACTCAACGACGTCAACTAACTCGTCTTCGTCGTCAGGTTGTTCTACAGGACTTTCTGACTCCGGCTGTTCTTCTGGCAAGCCCAGTGCATCATCCAATATGGCGTATCCCCACATTCGTATTGCCCTCCCCAACAGCGAAACGGTTTGCAAATCTGGACTTTCAAGGAACTGGCGAGGCCAGTAAGTTGACGTTGTCAAGCAATTCATCACAAGTGGGGGAATATGGCCCTTGCGATACGCATCCAGGTATCGAGTTCGAATCTGGATTCGCATTGCCAACTCATCGTTGTCTTCGTCTTCCTCGTCGCTAACATCTCGAGCCGCGACTTCCAGTAGCCTGGAGAATGAAGGAAGGAGAGGACAGGTATCGGGATCATGAAGGGCACATATTCTCGTAGGCCAAAGTCCCTTTTGCCCCTGATGCTCGCCTTCATACTTTGGAATGGCATACTGCAGTGCGCCTTCCGCAATTTTGTCAACAACATCATCAATTTGCCCAGAAGCGATGCTGTAGTTATTTCGCGTCATGAGAGAATTGACCGTTCGGTCAATCAAGTCCATGACACTGCCCACTTGATGTTTCGCTTTCCTTCGATTGGAACTGGGAGCAAGAATAGACTGTATGGTTGCTGCGACACGGTCGATCCGCTGGACCGGCGTGAGTTGCCGTTCAAAGAACATAGCATGCATATTCTGACGTGTCGTCAAGTCATGGTTCGTAAAGTCATTCCCTACAAGGGACCCCAAAAGTGGAAGAAGAGTGACGGGTAATTTGAGATGATCAGCCAGGACAGATGGACTGTACACCGAGAACGATAAAGTCATCTGCGTAGCATTTTCGGGGGGCATGATTCCCTTTCCAAGAGCCGGTGCTGCTTTGGCAGCTCGAGTCCTGCTCTTGGGTTTACGGACTTGTTGAAAATCGTCGTCGTCAACGACATCTGCAACTTGATCAGGAATCAGGGCGGTCCATACCATCTCATCTAGTGGTATATACCCAAGATATCCGTCCGAGTTCAACACCACAAAATCTGAATCGTTCCCGAGGACATATCCACCAAGTCGTCCGGCAAGTTCGACAGGCATAAGGATCACACTCTTCGTCGGCAAAATGTACGTCCAGGGAGCTGGTGGATGCACAAAGTTGCTCAAGTGCATGTAGAGTTGCTAAATAATACAATGGTGGTATGATTTGCGCCTCCTTGAGAAATCGGGGTGATATTCGAGATGCTTGGGAGGTCCGGAAGAAGAGTAATGAGGGTTCAATAATGGATTTGGATGCACGGGAAACAAGCGTGGCATGCTTTAGCTCCGGGTAAGGGCCTATCCAGACAGTCAGTGCAGAACAAAATTGCTGCAGTAGATAATGAACCGACCATCGAAGACAAATGATATCCGGAGGCCAGCACTGATCCATGCTTGTACAACGTCGGTAACAACCTTTACAAACTCGGCATACTCCCCGCCGTAGATCCACGGCAGGTTACATCTCTGATGCAGTACATATATGAGTCTGGAAATGAATGAGCACAGCGTTGGAAAGAAAACGTAGCGCCAATACTGACGACCAGGCGTCCACCACCACGCAAATGGGATTGGGGTCATTTGAGGAGCATTGTACCGTTCGTGAAAGGGCTCGTCTGTTTTCACGAAGGTAGGTCGTCAACCCATGGACACCCATAAGGATGTTACAAGGTACAGAGCAAGCTGTTCAAGTAGGAAAACTGACAAGTAAGCAGAAGCATCTAGCCTTGGTTACATAATGGCAGAGGACCCAGATTCGCGCACCCGTCTTTCGTTCATTGAACTTCATTCTATTCTCTTTACTTCACCCTATGAAGACTTGTGGCCACAGGATTTGCCTGCTGTCTAGAATGCGATGGGGATTGGCTAGAATTTCTTCCGCCTGTTACTCACTGGCTGTTTATTGATGAAACGTGTTTTATTACTCTACTAGGGGCTGTCGATTCGATCCACCGCTAGCACCAACTTAATGACTCTCATTCCTTCAATTCGTCGCTTAGCATTTATGTGCATGATCAACACCACGACCTCTTTATCTGCAGCGACCTGGCGAATCGTTTCTATGGATGCATGTCCTCGGTCAAGGGATTCTTTTGTGTATTTTCTCAACAGTAGCTCTAGCCTCTCTACACGGCTATCAGATCAGGTTACATCGTTATTATCTTTTTATCTATGTCGCAGCATCCACTTCATATATCTAAATCTGTTTAGGCGCCCGCATCCGCGTGTGACCCGGTATCCTGGAAACTTGGAAACGCTGTAGTCGCAGTTTTTTATCACTGGAGAATGCCAGGCTCGAGATACTAGTGTCATGAGAGATAACACATGCAGACCTACGTCCTCCAACTCCCTGGTGATTATCACAGATACAATATCTGAAGTGTATCTCCATCATGCGTCTGTGCCACAGTGAGCCACCTTGTTGCCGTGCCCCCCTTAAGATCCAGGGTTGCAACAAACGTGTTTAAATATCGTTGTCTTCGATTGTAAAGGTGTTAACAGGGGCCTTTTATCACAAACAGCAACTTGTTTTCCTGGCCCGACCATCCTTTTCGTTAACGTGCGTCTATCGTCAGAGAACGCATTACCGGTAGGTCGAACTGTATTACATGAAAGTAGCGACCCAGGCTAGCTGATAAACTGGCTATATGAGATCCTCGCGGAACTCATTACTTTATGATATCGTTCACATGACCATGTGCCGCTGCTCGGTTGCACCGGATTATTGTCAATTCCTTACTGCTAGGAGCCGGTCAAATGCTGTTGTTGCGCGTCTGTACTTTCCCTTGGCATAATGGGTGTGCCGTTCTGGGTGTAGCGGAACTCAAAACAAGTACGAATGCCGACCGGATGCCTTTCTGCTGTAAAATCATCAACCACACTATCAGAGAACTCTATCTTCCCATCTGAATTATCAAGCAATGCTGTTAATCTTCGCTGCACACAAAAACGTGTCTTTGGAACCTTCAAATGCCTCTCAACAGCCTGAAATCCTCGTTGACCTTCTTCCACCATGTCTGCCTTTCACTCGACCCTACGAACGCGTTGCCAAAGGATATTCCGACGACATACTTGTGAATCTATTTCCTCTCCCGATGGCGTCAATCAGGACGGCAACGAAATGCAGAGCAGAGAAACTGCTGTGGCTAAGCGGGTCATCGCAATACCATCGGCGCCTGTTATATCACTGCCAGACCTCCGACCATCATGCACTACGTTAACCTCGACGATTGTCCAGTCAGACGTCGCGGTACCTGAAAGCTCTTGTGCCGATCCATCAACTTTTGTGAATGCTCATTCCGATGTGACCAACATTGAAGATCGGAGTGCTGTCACCGACTCAGTTTTCTCGGGATACCGGGAAGAAATCTTTGAGGAGGCAGTTCCTTCTCGTATGGGCCATCATGACAGAGAATACAACATGTTGGTTATATTCTGTCATTTCGGTTGCTTCGACTGTCAATCGTTAATATCCTTAGTCCGAATGAGCCCTCGACATTCACCATCCCGCCCATGTTCACCGATTTCGAAGGGTAGGCACATTTACTTGAGTGGCAAGGGTATGTTGTACTAATCATCCTCATAGAACTAAAGGCTCAAGTGAAGCCCAGCTACCATCCGGATGGAAGGAATGTACACATTCGGATGGTAAAGTTTATTTTTGGCATGACGGATATGCAAGTGCACTTTAGTTTCTCCCTTGAGATCCCGTCTTGATATCTGTTCAGAGGACCATAACCGAAGAGTGGATATATAACGACGAATTTAGAAATATGGTTACAAAGTGGGCCTCGATACTTAACACTGGCTTTTCCAGGCTTCCGAATTCAGTCAAGGATTGGCATTTGGTCATCAGAATATTGGAATATTCCGAACCGGCTTGGGACGATGATGATTGCTATCGATGCCAATATTATTTCGTCAATCATGACAATGAATCTCTTTTTTGGCTCTCAGAATTCAACATCGACGAGCACCTGACAGCAATTAGAGGACCAGTCAGACTTTCTCAGATTCTCCGTAAGCTACTGACGCTGTTTTCGAATGTCTTCTTAATAGTTCTCTCCATAATTCTAGATTTTCTCCGACAAGAGTATTGGTCCGTTCAACTGGTCTTGCGTTTGATTCGTGCGGCTGACAAGCGCTTTCAAGGCATCACATGTATCTATTTGCTGATACTCATCCTTTATCTGATGAGCAGTGGAAGGTCGCCAATCGCGAGGTTGTCCTTGCGTACGCAGGTTCGGCACCCTTTTACTATCTATACATGGGCTAAGATTCATAACTTTCTCTGGTCAGACGTGACTATGTCGAAAACCTCAACTGTAGCCTACTCTGCTGTAGAGCTGGAAGCCATGATGAAGATTCTGAACCAAGCTGAAAGTAAGTTCCCTTCCGTACTACGTACATTGATATCGACACCTTCGCCTTTTATTAGAAACGGACGCACCAGAAGCCGCAGGTAAGTCAGATTTCATTATACTGCCCACACCGTCTGAAACTCATTTTCAGCCACTATTATGAGAAGCTTACGTGGGTAATTCTTGTTTGAGTTCCTTGAGCTCTCGCTTATTCGTACGAGGAAAGTGGGTACTCAGTTCCTGAATTACCATGGCCAGCGTAGCGCTCGAACAAATCGTGGAGAATCTGTGTTTGGAGATGATCCTGCCCAAGCCAAGTGTACCCTTCTTTTCAAGCTGCTTACTCCGTTCTTGTTTTACGCTCCCATCGTTCATCTCGAGGCACTCAACAAGTATTGGGTCGATGGACTTGCCATAAAGGACCAGTGGATTATTCTCATCGAGAGATGCACTGAGGAATGGAAGAATCATACAGTATTTGTAAATGTGGCCTTCGTTCTAGTACCCGGTTCTTGACTTACGAAGATTTTTTAAGGCCACGATCCTTCTGAATGCAAATGTAGCGTTCTTGGCTATACCATCAGTGGATGAATCTATGCAGAGATACCGTGGCTCCGTGACACAGGTTCTGAGCTCCTTGTCTGTTATTAGCAGTCTAAGCAGCATTCTCGTCGGACTTTTGATGGGACGTTACCACCGCACGAAAATACATTTTACCATCGAAGACATCGTTCGTCAGATTCATGTTGGATCCCGCCCTGAAACTGTGACTGATACATGGACCATAGAATGTCTATTTGATGAAGCACTATAGCGATGATTCGAAGCGGGGATTTGAGTGGTTGGCTATTATCTATAGCATTCCTTATGCTCTCTTGATGTGGTCGTGAGTAGACACCACTTCCTACCCTCTCCGTCAATCTCATCATTGAAACGGTAAGGATGGTAATGTTCCTAGGCGCCTTCTTCTCAATGTGTTGGGAGTCCCCAACTCGATCGGTGCGCATATCCGTGGTTATTGGATTTGCTCTCGCTTTCTCCATTAGTACGCTCTGCATATTTCGCTTTTGGGAGGGTGACCAGTGGACAACTTGGGCATTCGGGAGGCTGAGACGATGTTGGGAGCACCGGCAAGTTGAAGGAGATGAATTATCAGTCTTAGGGCGTATACACCTAAGACTGGCCAGTATATGGCGAAATAAGTGGAAGCGAGGTTCTGATCCGGGCCTGCCAGTGTAATCATATAAGTAAATACGTATTTGTAGTTTTCGTCCAGCATATTATTACTTCTTTTCGCACACATTCTCTACAAGGGAATATTTACGGCCAGGGGCATGGAATACCAATCCGCGCTTTTGAGTAAAATGCTCCACATCGAATTCTCCATATCCAGACGAGCCACTGTTTGTCGAGATGAACGAATGCACATGCCAAAAGGTGTGTCTTACCCTAATCCATAGGGACCAAAGAAACGTTCGCTGTGAAAAGTACTTCCGTTGATGTTTGTAAACCCTTTGGCAATCGTCAGAATTCGGTAATCGCTCGAGAGGAAAACCTAACCTGAACGAATCTTTGGAGCAACACTCATGGCAGATTCCAAGCTTGAAGTCCATAATGCAGCTGAAAGTGTGTAATCGGAATCGTTTGCGAGTTCTACTGCTTCATCGATGGTGTCGCACACAGCAAACGTAGTCACTTCAAAATGCGTCAAAACGCATTGATGCAAATGCTTATGGAGAAAGTGAACTGACCAGGTCCAAACGCTTCCTGTCGCCATAGTGGCTGTTTCGTATCAACGCCACACAAGATATGCGGCTGGACAACTGCACCATCTCTTGCTATGTCCCCGAGAAGAAGCTCCGCTCCTGATTCAACTGCCTGCCGTATGAGACCAACAATGTTCTCTGCAGAGCCTTCAGTGAATAGCGGCGGAAGAGGATTAGTTGACGGATGTCCTGCTGTCAGCTTCTTGCTCATCTGGACCACAGCATTGATAAGGGCTTTGGACACATCTCGTTGCACTATGACTCGTTCTGCAGACATGCAGACTTGACCAGCGTTATCCATCGCTGCATAGACAATGGCTTTGGCTGCTTGCTCAATGTCGGCGTCATTTAGTACCTATCATATTGAACAACTTGATGGAATTCAAAACAGAAGAACATCGTACCACTGTCGGCGATTTACCGCCTAATTCGAAGACGCAAGGTTTCAAGTGTTTCCCTGCTTCTTGTGCTAGAATTCTGCCGACTCTATGACTTCCTGTAAACTAATACGAATAGTCAATGCTGGTTATTAGAAAAATAACATTATACACGTACATTGAGCATTCGTATCTTGGGATTAGCAATAATGTTGGCAGTCACTTCTGGTGACGACTCTTGTGACATTGATACGAAGTTAAGGACACCCTTCGGGAGCCCAGCCTGTACAAAGGCACCTTAATGCTTGCTATGGGCTCACAGATCAAGAATATGACCTCGTGGAATAGTTCAGCGACGAGGGCTTGAGTTCGCGGACTGTATTCGGAACTCTTGAGGATGACCGTATTGCCACAAACAATAGGCACCATAACTGCACGTATACTGAGCACAAATGGAGCATTCCAAGGTGCAATGCCCAAGCTGAAATTCGTAAGCAGAGCGCGAACGAGTAAAGATAGGAAGCCTTTACATGACGCCTACTGGACGGCGCTGGACCATGACGTGACCACCAGCTGCACTTGGGAAAGCTTCCCCTTTCAGTTCTCTAACCATGGTCGCCGCCGAAAGCAAATAGTTTTGAGTGAATGCCCAATTAAAGTAACTCCAATCGGGGGTTGCTGCAGTTTCTGCGGCGATGGCTTCCTGGACCTGGTGCATATACCTTTCCGAAGCGACAATCTGAGCAGCTTTCAAGAAAATATTCTGTCGGACAGAGTAATCGGTGTTCTCCCATGTCAAGAACGCCTGGTACGCAGAGTCGACAACCTCGCGACAGTCCTCTATCGTTGCAGACGCAGATATACCCGATACAGCTCCCGAGTATGGATTTCGTACTTCGAACGTGGATCCAGATTTCGACGGCTTCCACTCGCCATTGACGAAAAGTGGGGTGAAAGGGAGATCCTGTGGAGTGGCCATTGCGGGAGCTATATTTGCACTTTTTCAGCTGAGCTTCTGCTTTATATCAGAATATGGGTGCCAAGAGAGTCTGGTTACCCTGCACTTACCACATGGTAGGGACGGGTTCCGGCACGGATTCGTAAGACTGGACAACGGAATCACCTCTTTCCGAAGGTGATAGACTTAACGGTACGATCTAGCTGTTTGGACATAAGATAGTTGACGTCAGATCACATATGTGGGTACAAACACTCACGAACAGCGTCGTCAGAAGGTAATCATGGGAGTGCGCTGACTAACGTTTGAGGCCGGATGACAAAATGGGTTAATGTAAATGGTCGAATGTGCATTGAAAATGTAAGTGTTACAGCTGAAGTGCTGCGTTGAGTTATTGATACTGTTCACATAGGAATGTTCCTGAGTTCTTCAAGTTTCCAATACTTTTTCATATTCTCTCCTCGTAAATCCAAGACCTGCTCAACGAATGAGTCCATAGCTCTTGCCTTTTGATCATGAGGATCAAGTCACCTCTTGATCTAGGTGAGAAAATAGGACACCCTTGAAATTGTCCAAGCAAGTTCTCATGGTGGTAGGTGAATAAGTACTTGGATCTTGTTTCCACATCGTTATCAGTTTTAAGAGTTCTTCTAGTCCTGCAATGAAGCTTGAGTCACAAATATACCAACCAAACAAAATGAGTACCGTGGTGAATGCTCTGATGTGATTTGATGTGTCCGTCGTCGGCCATGTCCGAGAATTCAGACATTCTCTGTGCCAAGACTGGGAAAATATATTTCTCTTCGATGGTATGATGCATAGTTAAATCTGTACGTTAGTTTTGAAATGTTGCCTTTAGTAATAGATGCATATTCACGCACGTCGCTCAAATTGGTGGGCAGTGTCCAGATACAAAGAAAGTGATAGACCACGCGTATTGAAGGAGCCGTCTGCAAGCTACAAAACGGAATATGACAAATATGAAGAAACAGTTCAGAACAACGGACATCATATAGAGTATTAACTATAGATAAAGATCAGAAGATTGCTGTTGATCTTCAAGTTCTCTGCACGTACATTCAGCTTTAAACCATTCGTGGAAATCGCTCATTTTGTTGCTCAACTGCATGAAATCAGCATGTACCGAGGAGGAAAAAGTTACATGAGCTCACGCTATTCCATCTAGGGTCGTTGTTTGAACTCATCCTGGAAAGCGAGAAGAAAGACTTGGGGAGAGCCCTTCTCATCGTTGTACGGAAGGAGCCGCATTATTTGCCTTGCCGCTTAAGTTCAAACAATCACCATTCACCCACGACGACGACGCGATGAGCGGGGGTGAGGCGGGTTCATCGAGGGACCCATTTCAGCTTGACCGTCTGGCAGAAGAGCTTGTCACTCGGGAGCTGTTACATCCACACGATATCGACAGTGAGGAAGGCAACCACGATCTTCCTGTCTTCGTACCTCTCTCGCACAGCAATCCCTACCTTACTGCCAATGACTTCGACATTGAGCAATTTCTGCTCTCCCGCTCGCACACTTCGCTGCAGGACCTGCGGTCAGAACTGAGAGACTATTTGGCTACGCTGAAGGAAGAACTGGTGAAGCTCATCAACGATGACTATGAGGCCTTCATCAGCCTAAGTACCGATTTGAGGGGCGAGGGTGTCCGCTTGAACAAGCTCAAGGCGCCATTGGGAGGCTTGAGGGTGCAGATTCAAGTACGTCTCTCTCTGACCCTTATGATCACGCATGCACTAACCCACATTAGGATTCCAAAGCGGAACTCCAGCTCGTACAGGACGCCATCAAGCAGAAGCTGGAGAAGCGTGCCATCCTCAGAGAAGAAAAGGTGCGTCTACTGTGTTGCTGCAGCATTATTTACCTAACAATATCCAGGCTCTTCTGCACCTTTTACTCAAAATTTCCGAGTCCGTGACGCGTCTTGAAGGCCTTTTGCTCATCTCATCACCTTCCAATGATGTGTCGGAGCTAGCGAATGATTCAGCAGTCCCACTACACTCAGAAGACGTGAACGACGACAAGTCAGTGAAGTTGTGTGTTGCTTTTATACCGTACTCAATGTCTATGTGAAGAACGCGTGGCAATCAAGCAAAACATCTGCATCGAATAGCTGCGGAGTACACTCAGCTTCTATATCATGCTTCCAAAGCTCGAGCAGACAAGTGTGCTTTTGTGGACGAAGTTCAATGGGTTCGCGCTCCTTGCACCATCCCTCGGAAGCTGCATCTTTACATGTTTGTTCGCAGCGAATTGATAGAATCCAGTCTACATTGTCATCCGACTTGGACCATCACTTCAGTGCAACCCTGATCGCATTTACGGAAAGCACCAAGCTTTTGGAAGTTGACAAAGCGAAGCTGCTGGCAGATTTGACGGAATGTCTTCGCACTTACGACATGCTAGGGCTTTGGGGGGACGCGGAAGACGTCATAAGGCGCGATGTCGTTCGCCGTTTCAGTTAGAAAAGTAAGACCTTCATGTTCTCCAAATTACTTTTCTCAGATCATGACAGACTGTATATGCTGGCGCCCTCGCTGCTCCTCATTCACCTCTTATCCCTCATACCCCTCTCAATTCAACAGCACCTGCATTCTTATCATCAGTTTCCTCACCACCTCGAACACCATATACACCTTTCACTGCTTTCCCATTGAAGAACTCCTCTTTACCGCATTCGTACAGCCTTGACAAGGCTATGTCACCATTCTACCATCTTCTGGAGCAAAGTGACGAACCATTGGCCAAACTATACGATCAAATCTTACGGTTCGTCGAAAGAGATTTATGTAGGATCATGGACATCGCAGATAAAGTTGCGGTCAAATCCTTTTCCGCTGCTAGAGCGGGCACTCCGCAAATGTCTTCATTCGATATCGACAGTGATGAGAAGGGATTCAACATAATGGCAAATGTTGTTTGGGATGAATTCGGGAGGGCCATCATGGACGAGCTGGGCGGAGTCATATTCTCTGCAGGCAAGCCAGATGTCTTTCGAAAGGTGATTCCTTCTTGTCAGCTTTTGCGCACTCATTAATACCACCTCACGTCAGAACCATGAAATAACTCAAGCATTCATACGCTCCCTGGAATTTTTAGCGCCATCCGTACACTCTGTTGAATGCATGAGGGCCCATAATGTATATACTGCCTTTGAACGACGCTGGCAGCTTCCCGTCTACTTTCAGATGCGATGGAAGGAAATCGTCGCCAGATTGGAGGATTCTCTTTCCAATACTCGGATAGAACCGACTTCCGCAAAAGGTATTGCTGTGTAGCCAACAAATTCCCAACCACATCTTATCATGTTCAAGGTAGTGCTCCATTCGTGACAACGCAGGCTGCGGCTATCTGGATGGCCGTCGTTGCGTGTTGGAGTGCCGAGATTTATATTCCGGATTTGAGCTATAGGTTCTGGAGATTAACTTTACAGGTACAATCCAACAAATCATTTCTCTATCTCGCTTTGCTTACTGACGATCACCAGCTGCTAAGCCGATATAAAACGTGGTTGGAACAGAACCTCGCTGGAATGGAGAAAGCACCCGCTGCAGTAGCACCCCCAGTAATTCTACTTCTCTCTATGAAGATGAGGAGCTCAGTTTGATATAGACTTCTGACGTCCCCCCTCGTTCATCAACACCTGTATCTAGCGAGGGTTCATCTGCCGACAGTTCCTCGCATGATGACGCGTCGCTACGCCAATATGCGGCTGCTATCTCTGATATAAAGACTATGCAGTCCTGCATCTTAACCCTTTGGCGCGAACAGATCAGTATGAGGCTTCCTGAACTCTCGGATGACACTCAAGACGACTTGACCGAGTCCGAAGGTATGTCTGACTTATCATAGTTCGTGATTTGTTTGACTCATTCGCCGATGGCCAAGAGGTGCTTCAGCGGTCGCTGTCTTCTCTGACGGCCATGATTCCCTCTATGTCTTCGCGTATCATCTCAATTTTGACAAAACGGTGTTGTGATGCGCTTCTTCCTGTTCGATCCATCCCGTCTCAATTCAGAGCGACGTCAAATAAGCGGATGCCGACGGAGCCAAGTCACTTTGTCTCTTCCATTCTGCGACCTGTCAAGGTTTTCTTTGGTATAGGTACAAGCACTGGCGCTGGAACATCACTAAAGGGCGACTTTTTGCCTTCTGCTTCAGCCGAAGTATTTGAGAACGTTTGTCAAAGGTTGGCTATTTTGATGTTCATATTCCACGTACTCAGCTGGTTCCAGATATGTCCATTATGTAACTGCCATGAAGAAAACCGAGGAATCGCTGCGACGACTCAAACGAGGGAGAAAACCGACATTTTCTCTCTTTGGGAGTTCTACTGCCGGTGCGGATGATGAGGCGAAGGATGAAGAGCGGATTAGAACTCAGATGATTCTTGATGTGGAGGTGTTTGGAAAGGATGCTGAGAGTATTGGCGTCAAATTGGATTCGAGCGAATCATACGGAGTACTATCCACCTTGGTACAAGCAGTAGATAGTAAGTGTGGTCATTTTTTTTTCTTGTCAGAGGACTGACTCGCGTTAACAGGTGAGGTGTCCTAGTGCCTTTGAATTTCGGAGCACAGGGCGCATGGATTTGTTCAGCACCATTTAATATTATATCATTGACCCCGATATCATAACCTTGTTTGTTATGTAAATACGCAATGGAACTATTGGTATGCTTCAAACACGGACGAACGAAATGCAATACGGAGAAACTAGTATCGCCGTCGTTGATACTGATCGCGGCTATCCGCAGGAGGCATCCGCCCTGGTGGGGGGGATAGAGAGCTCCTCCTCCGCCCTTCTGTCTCTCGCCGTCCGTAACTACTGCGTTTCGGTGGCGGAGATACAGACATACGCCTCGAGTCTCGTTGCGGGGAACGGGAACGTGACCTGTATCGAGATCGAGGAGGGGGTGAAGGAGATGGACGACGGCGACTATCTGGAGACGCGCCCCGTCTGTATCCATCAGATCGGCGAAGGAGGGGGGGATAGAGGGGAACGTGCACGACGAGGAGACGGCGAGATGTCACGTCTCCGACGCGGCGGCGGCGTTCTTGAATCTTCAGAAGTGGAACGTCTACGACGAGGAGGAGGTGTAGAACTACGCCGACGCCGACGATCATTCCTTCGAGAATCCACGGAACTCGATGAATCACTCGACGAATCATCGGATGAGCTGTCCGAAGAATCTGAGTCTGAGTCGGACGAATCCGAATCCGAGGATTCCGCTTCGAGCATGGCCCGACGTTGTTCCATGATGAGCTTGGGTGCATTCTAGTGAAAACATAAGCCCCATAACGGCTGATTACGTTTGATAGACAAATACCTTCAAGTACTCTCTCATATCCTCGGTGACGATTCCAAGACCAATACTGGTGAAATAGTTGATAGCGAACCGAGTGTTTTTGGGTACATCAACAGGGAACATCCCCTGGCAAGCATGCTTCACCTCGGGATCCTTGAACCGTTCGGCCAGCGCTTTCAGTCCCATGCTCTCCATCATCTCGTTCATCAATATCTTAACAAAGATACGAGAACTCGACGTCGTATCATCTTCGTTCATCTTGACACACTCGAGAACTGCCCAAGAAATAGAATCGGTGGCCAAAAGATGCCCAAAGAATCGGGCAATGTTACGCAGGCGGTTTGTTTCGTAGCGATGAATCGTGCTGTAGTAATTTCTAAATGCAGTCTCCAGGCAATCGGTCCAAACGCGGTTAAGCTTGCTGAACCGTTCACCAACGTGTCCATAAAACGCCGAATACGACCTTTCTTGAGAGCAACACTCGATGATCATGTTGATCAATTCAATCTGCGACGGTTGATTAAATAACTTCGGAAGTATAAGTGCAAATACTACGAACCTCTTGACCCTCCTCGAGCTGTATCTTCAACAGTTTGTGGACAGCTTCTTCGTATACCAGGGCATTCATGATCGTCAGGTATATTGTCCGGCGAAGATTTACCAAATTTGTTTCCGTGCGATCTTCAATGCCTTCCTTGGTCTCAGCAACTTTACCATTGGTCAGAAAATAGCCAAAGAAAGCGAAATGTGACAACCGACCTTCCTCATCGTCTGATTCATCGCTAGACTCATCTGACCCAGACTCTTCATCATCTTCTCCCAGAATTTCGGCTTTGATCTCTTTATACCGTTCCTCATTTTTGAGATAGTCAGGATCAAACTTGAAGATATCTAAGTGTACTTGAGCAAACACGGGAAGATTCAATGAGAAGTGTACACACTTAGGCCCTCCTGGACTTGCAAGTCTTGCTCCAACTGTATCTCGTGAGTGATTTGCTCGTCTTCTTCAACCAAATCCAAGCCCTCAGGGAGGATAGGATTATCTTTGTACTTGTCCTTTCTGACCTGCATTAATACTTCGATCATGTATTGCACACGTTGACTGATGTTGCCTTCGTTGAGCACTGCACGGAATCGCTCAAATACGGTGGCATTGGCTTTTGGAGAATTTTCTGCGAGGAATGCACCAACTTCACGCATGAAACCAACGGCAATTTCAATCGAATCATCGGTGGGTCGTTCGACAAGAAGAACGATGATTTGGAGAGCAATGATTTCATGAGCAACGGCCTGGTTCACGAGATGTGCAATGAACGTCGTGGTAGAGTGGCAAACGATCTGTAAGCAGTATGATTCATTAAATTGACCAACGAAAGGAAAACGTGGTCGTACCTTGTCATTCCTTTTGAAGGCGCGGCGGAATTGGCTTATAAGCCTAGTGAGGAGTAATTCTCCTACTTGAGGAAGCTTTGTATTGATGATTGCCACGAGTGCAGCGAACACTGGCGTAAAGGGTAAACTGGCAGCTTGGGCCTTCATGATGCTCCTTGCGAACAACCCACGACCACGGATGAGGTTCTCCGCGAACATCTCCGGCACAACCTCCTTGATATTGACGATGTTGACACGATTGACAATACCAGTGATTGATTTTCGAAGGGCATCCCATGAAAGTCGTTGATACTCTGGACTGGCCTTGTCGCTCGAAGCGGCTTCCTGCAGTGCGCGAAGCCGTGCGGGAGGCAGATACACTCCTCCCGAGCGAGATCCAACAAGCTTTGCAAACTCGGCCTTGGCATCAAACTCTTTTTCGTTCCGGTTGTCTTTTGCCTTCTCCGCCTTTTCCAATTCCATGGCAGCAACACGAACAGCTAACTGGCGTTCACGTTCAGCCCGGCGGACAGGGTCAACATCGCTGACTCTAGGAAGGTCCAGTCTTGACCGTGGAGGTGGAGGAGAATTTGACCTTCGCCGAGCTGATGGCGGTTCGTCGTCGCGGTTTTCAGAGGTTGAACGAGACCTAAAGACATTCAGCAAACAGATAAATGCAGGAAATGAGTGAATAGATACCGTTTCCTCTTGGTAGATATGTAGGCCAGAGTCATTCTGCGGTGGAGTCATTACAGCTGCCGACATATTGAACTTTGCTCGTCGACGCTGGTGATCAAGAGATGTTGTGATGTATTTGGCTTCGAGAGCCATCAGTGCACAGCCACCTTCTTTTGACTGGGTTGTGTTACTTAAGTATGATATCGCCCTCCGGATATCGAACTTACCGGGCTACCTATCACTAATCCCGCCCCCCATGGATAAGCTGGAGGCACTTAATTCGATATCAAGAGTAAGTTCAACTTCCTTCTAGACGCGCAGCGCTGTAACATCCTCCCAGCTGAGCGACAATGTCGTTAGGGTCTTAGGGCAGGTTCGTCTAGTAGTGTTTATCACACTCAATACCCTATCTGAATTGGTGTGCAGAATCCCGGAAAGTTCACTCTGCAAGGTGCACTACTTTCCTTCGTGCACCAGCACCATCTTATTCTATACAGGTACTAACACCTACATCATCGGAAAGAGAAACCCGTATGTTCTCGTCGATACAGGGGAAGGCCGTGGAGAATACGTCGCCGTTCTCGAATCCGCTCTCCGTGAGACGGCTATATCTACTAATTCCGACGAACCTCACATTTCCGACATAATACTCTCCCATTGGCACCAGGACCACGTCCGTGGGCTGCCTTCTGTCCTTGTCCTTCTGAAGCGCTTATGGGATGAAAGAAAACATACGGAACCATTCAAGCCCCCTCGTCTACATAAATTTCCCATTTCCGCCGGCATAGTCTCTCCTAAATATCAAGTTCTCTCTTCAGTCATTGACCATTTGCCGGCCGGTTCTTTTACTCCTACTGCTGATGGCAGACCCTTGCATGACCTTATCGACTCTCAACAATTCTTGGATTTTCGTGTTCTGCATACCCCAGGGCACACCGACGACTCTATCTGTTTGTATATTCCTGATGATGAAGCCCTTTATACCGCAGATAGTGTTTTGGGCCAAGGCACAGCGGTTTTCGAGGATCTTTCTCATTACATATCTAGCTTGCAGAAGATGTTGGAATTTGGCGAGGGCACCCAAACTCCATATTCATATCGACGTTTGTACCCTGGGCACGGACCGGTAGTCGAAGAAGGAAAGCAACTGATATCAACCTATATTCGACATCGTGTAGAGCGGGAGGAGCAAATTGTTGCATTACTTCGTACTCCCAATCAGCCATCCTGGACTACATGGTCGCTCGTTTCGAAGATTTATTCGGCATATCCTGAATCTCTCTGGCTCCCTGCAGCTCATAGCGTTGATCTGCATCTGAAGAAGTTGGAGAAGGATGGGGTTGTGAACAGACTGGACGGAGCAGACGAACATACGAGTTGGGGATTGGCTTTGAAGCTCTAGTAAAGACTGCGGCCGTGTGTTAAGATGTAGAGAAGACTATCTTTAATAAATAAAACAAGTATGCCATCGTATTTCCATAGCAATGGCCCAGGAAGTTTCGCGATCGGATGTTCGGACCGTTGATGGCGTATTCGGAACAACGGAAAAGGAAACCTATCCGCACGTGCGGACGAGAAGAGTGCACGGACACAGGCCAGCTCGTTATCGCCCATTGCCACTTTTCCACCCGCCACCAATCATCCCGTAATGGCCCGTGCGATGTCCATGGCTCCCCCGCCCTCTCCCCGGGAGACCAGACGGTCAGGACGTCGCTCAGCACAGTCTGGCTCTACTGGCTCGTCCAAATCTCCAGATTCAGAAACTGTTCCTCGTTCGAAAGACGGGTCGCAGCGTCCATCCCTTTCGACACATAACAGCAGCAGCAGAACCAAGCGCCTCAAGCAGGAAGAGGCAGATGACGCTGTCAATGAGCGAAAGAACGGCCATGCTGGGTCTACAAGCTCGTCAAGCTCGACCCAGGGTGCATCCAATGGTCGCTCGCGACGTAAACCAAAGGACAAGGATAAGGACATCCCCGTAGAGGATTCTGCTGATACCATCACCGAGGAACCCCTACAAGAAGCAGGAGAGGAGGAAGAGGAGCAGGGCATTACACGCTGTGTCTGTGGTAGCACTGGTGCGTCGGTCGTCTCCCTTTTTTGTTTCACATTCTTAGAAACACTGAAAAGGCGAAGATGACCCCGATGCTGGAGAGTTCATGGTCCAATGCGAGACATGCAAAGTTTGGCAGCACGGTCTGTGTATGGGTTACGAATCGGAAGATCAGCTCCAGAACGACGACTACTATTGCGAGCTATGCAGACCCGATCTTCATGCCGACCTCCTCAAGTATGGCTCTTATTCTTCATATATTCTATTCATTTAGCATGTCTCTCAGGAAAAAACCTCGCAAGGTCCGACAATCCTCCACAGCCTCCCACCATACCGTGGTCGGGAATCGTTTGTCCCGCTCAAGGTCTCCTTCCCATACCCTGAAGCAGCAATCCAAACGGCGGAATACCATGAATAGCCGAGATGCTGCATTCGACGAGAATCTGAAGGAGATATTAGAAACAACCGCCGCAGAGGCTGATGCCGTATACGACACCAAAAGTATCCACTCCAACACAAATGAGGACGAGGAGGTGGATGTGGGTACTACAAACCGTAGAAAGCGCAAACGCAAAGAGGACGACGCGTAAGTAGAATATCTCTCCCTTAAAGAGTCACACGCTCATCCGTTTCACGCCTCTTTCAGCCCTCCCAACAAGCGAACGCGATCAACGTCGATAGTATCAGATCGGCGAGCGGCGTCAGTTATTGCGCGGGACGAAACACCTATTCAGAGTGCACCCGTCAAAACACCTGCATTGTCGGCACCCCAACCGAAAGCTCGTGGCAAACGCGGGGGTCGCAAAGCGGCAGCGCATACCGAGCTTGTGGTCAATGAAAACGGAGAAGGTATGATCTCTTCTCGGTTACCCAAAACTATCAGATATTCATCAGTTACCACAGTTGTCGCACCTCCAGCGAAACGGCAGGGTGGTGGTGGCCGGGGGAAAGGCGCGCATGCCAGGAAGATTCAAAATGCATCCACAGCCCCTGCGAGTGCTGCACACGACGGTCGTCGCAACCAGGCCAATGGACCCAATGGTGCTGGTGGGCCGTCTGCCGCCGGGGAGGGCTCACGTGCATACCGCAACTCGCATGCTTATGTCGTATCCCAACAGCCCTTGCTGACTTCATGGGGTTTACCAGATTATCTGGCACATCTAGAGGAGATCTTCCCTACGCCGACGCCTACACCTTTGGATGTACCGTCTAGCGGCGACAACGGGATTGAAATCAATCAGGAGAGAGGTGTGAAGACGAAGTGGCCTGGAAAGAGGATGAGTGTAGGTGACATGAATAAAAGAGTACGGACTCTGGTAGAGTGGGTGGGCAGAGAGCAGGCTAGTGCGCAGGACCGGATGCGCCGTCGCGACGCTCTGGAGAAGGCTCTCAAGGAAGTGCAAGCCGTGGAAGAGAATGTTCAGATACGCGATGAGCCGGTCAAGGATGATGCTTCAATGTTCTTGGATGGGCAGCCACGAACAGAATCGCCTTTACAGCAACGGCCTAACTCGGCAACGCCACAAGTTCCCATCTTGGGGTCGAAAGCATCTTCCATATTTTTCAGTTCTTCATCGTCCGATACGATGAAACAGATGGAAGGACTAATGGAGGAGTTGATTAGATTCCAAGAGCGGTTTGGACGAGGCAGGCACTAGCAGGAAATGCGGTGACAAAAAACTAGTTATTGGTATCGTATTCATGGCTATCGAAACTTGAATGTACAATATTTTATCACGTCTAACAAGTACCTAATTAATTGCATCCGGAGCATATATACAATGGCTTTATTTACATCTGCTATTCCTTTTATTAGCCGGACCGAGTCACTTCCGAAAAATAAACTTTGCTTCCTTCTCCCATGTCGCCCACGGCGACCATCGAGTATTCCTCGGATGTGCCAGAGCCGCAGTTGTATCCTCGCTTGGCAAAGCATCATCTTCTAGCCAACAACACACCAGACTATCTTCGCCTCATACTGACCTCCAAGGTCTACGAAATATTAAAAGAGACTCCCCTCGTTCTCGCGACCAATCTGAGTGCCAAACTGGGAAATCAGATATGGCTAAAACGAGAAGATTTGCAGGAAGTCTTTAGCTTCAAAATTCGCGGCGCATATAATTTTATGGCCAGTCTTAGTGAAGAGGAACGTTGGAAAGGTGTCGTCACATGTAGCGCTGGTTAGTGTGCGTACTACTTGCCAGAATTACGTGTAATCTCTCAATTATTCCTTTTGGTCTGCAGGAAATCATGCCCAAGGTGTTGCACTATCCGGCGCGAAGCTGGGCATACCTTGCACTATCGTCATGCCCCGTGGTACCCCATCCATCAAAGTCCGCAATGTCTCCCGCCTAGGCGCCAAGGTCATCCTACACGGCGTAGATTTCGATGAAGCCAAGGCGGAGTGTGCGAGACTTGCAAAGACTCACGGTCTCGCGTTCGTTCCTCCGTATGACGACCCACTCGTCATTGCAGGACAAGGTACGGTCGGGATGGAGATCCTAAAGCAGGTTCTTGACTCCGAAAATCTGGATGTCATTTTTGGGGCTGTTGGGGGCGGTGGTCTTGTTTCTGGGATCGCCGAGTACGTGAAAAGGATCGGAAGCCCCAAGACCAAGGTTGTCGGAGTCGAAACTGTCGATGGCGATGCCATGGCAAAAAGTCTTGCAAATGGTGACCGCGTCACTCTGCCTGAGGTCGGTCCTTTCAGCGATGGGACGGCTGTTAGAATCGTAGGGAAAGAACCGTTCAGGATATGCAAGGAGCTTCTCGATGGGGTGGTCAAGGTAGACAACGATGAAATATGCGCAGCCATCAAGGATATATTTGAAGGTAGGTGATGTCTGATCCGAAGTAATGATGCGCTATTGACACCGCCGTAGAGACTAGATCTATTACAGAACCCGCCGGTGCTTTGGCTTTGGCTGGTCTAAAGCGGTATATTACACAGAATAATCTCGAAGGCGCACAAAAGCGATTTGTCGCCGTTGTAAGTGGCGCGAACATGAACTTCGACCGACTTCGATTCGTCGCAGAGCGCGCTGAATTGGGAGAAGGACGAGAAGCTCTTATCAGTGTTGATATCCCGGAAAAACCTGGCAGGTAACGTGTTTCATAGTCTAAGTGGGCAGCTACTAATTCTTATCCTCCGCGTAGTTTCATTCGTTTGCATACCCTCATACATCCCCGTGCTGTGACGGAGTTTCTCTACCGGTACAACGCTTATGGCTCCCCTGATCGAGCTCATATAGTGTTCTCGGTCAAGTTGGAGTCTAATAACCGCGCGAAAGAAATTGAGCAGCTGCTCTCAGCTCTTGCAGATGAAGATATGAAAGGATTCGACATTAGTGACAATGAATTCGCGAAAAGCCACGGGCGATATATGATTGGCGGCACGCAGGTCGTACCGAACGAAAGGGTTTTTAGATTCGGTGCGTAATCATGTTCTATTTTATACTGCTTATTGATAAATATCATAGAGTTTCCAGAAAGGCCCAACGCCCTTCGCAATTTCTTGCTAGGCATGCAGCAAGACTGGAATATCAGTCTCTTCCACTATCGTAACCATGGTGCTGGTGAGTCACCCTTGACCATCTACGTCACTAAATACTGAGCCATTGCTGTTCAAAGACTTGGGGAAGGTTTTGGCTGGTATCCAAGTACCACCTTCTGAATACGACGCATTTGACAAGTTCCTGACCAAGCTCAACTACACGTTCGTAGAGGAAACGAATAACCCGGTATATAAGCAATATTTACGTGGTGAAGTATAGTCCAATAGATTTCTCTTGCTTGATCCTGTTGTTTTGGCTGAAAACTCGCGTCGCGCCACACAGAAACGAAGCAAGGGTGATACAATTATTGTATTACAACAACAGCATAAGTTCTAAACGTACGTTGTTACATACATTTCCACTACATTATTGTAAAAGTGAGCTACATATACCGTAAGAAAGGCAAGTCCCACAATTATCATATGAATTGATATGCTAACATCCAACCTGTACGGTCGCGGCTGAAGCGGATAAGCTGCGCAACCTTCCTCCATTCACTAACCAAGAAAATGATTCCTTCAGAGAACTATTCCGACGTTGTTTACTCTTCGAGCGAGTTTTCGTAGGGAGACTGCTTTCCACCAGAGTGGGGGTGGGCGAAGGAGGAGGGGAGACGAGGCATTCGATAGCCTTGATAGCCAAGGCAGTTGTAAGGCCACGGTTGCCTATGCAGATCCCTGAAGACCCATACTTGTACATCCAGCCAATCTCCCAGCCTCCATCTTCACATTGGAGGGGAAGCAAGACTCGGAGGTCTACATCGTCCCTGATCCCGACGTAATCGCACACGAGTATGCGCATGGCCAGGGCGAGCGAATCCCCCTGGACGCCGATTCGCTCTTGTACCCGTTCCTTTAATAGAGGCTTCAGCAGGGCATGCAAATCTGCGTCTCCGGATTTCTGTAGAAGACGCCCCACAAAATACAGGAAACATTCTGCAGTGGCGTAATATCGAGTGCCATCGAGGTATGCGCGATTTAACAGCACCTCGTGTACCCAGGCAAGGGTCTGCTTCAGGTGCGCGCTCCGACCATATGAATAAAACAAGCTAAGCACGTTGACACAGACGATTGGATCGAAACGTGGCCTCGAATGATCATAGTATGTCTATTAAGCTATTAGACACGGATCAACCCAGATCGTCAGGTTTGCGCACTTGAATGATTCCATCCGAATCCATATAATTGAGCGTCTCGTCAATTATTGACTCTATGAGCTCTCGGTCGTGTTTCAGCACTGTAAGACCAAGAGATGTTGTATCGAGGTCACAAGGGAAGTCCTTGGTGGTAAGTTGTCCTTTTCCTAAAATGTGTAAGGACAGGCTGACAGCTGTTGCAGAGCATAGACATACCTTGGAAGAAGTTCCATAACCGTGGATGCTCGACCAAGTTAACTAGTGAGCTATCGGGATTGGTGAGTAACGCGGCAGAAGTATATATGGCGGTCTCACCGATCACCGGTGGCCTCTAAAATGAGGAGCTGCGCAAAGTTCTCTTCTAGGACGATACCTCCATCTGTCCTCGACTCCAATCGTTTGGCGTTGCTAGACAGATACTCTCGTCCGCGTGACACAGGGTCGCTAAGAAGGTTTCTAAGAGCTCTCGTCACTCGCGACCTGTCATCGAAAATGATGCCGTGCAGCCCCAGGGAACGCGCTGTTAACACATTCTCCGGTTTGTCGTCAACGAAAATAGAGGAATGAGGGTCAGCCTTTGTCTCGGCAAGGACGTGTCGGTAGAAACCGAGGTGGGGTTTACGTTCTCCAACAGCTCCGGATGTGAAAACGCGATCGAATAAAGACCAATCTGCTGGCTTCGTCTGAAGAACGTCATAGTCGGGCAAGGATATGTTGGACATAGCGAAAACTCGTAAGCGGCCACGAGAATTGGCTTTCAGTTCTCGAATGAGGGATATCATCTCGTTGTCGGACTGCAGGGAGTCTCGAGCCTGGTCGAAGGCCTTTCGAATTTCGGCAGGGTCCAGGGAGAATTCTACACCGACGCGGTCATAGCAATCCTGCTCTGTGACTTTGCCTCGCTCGTAGTCCATCCACGTCGAAGAGGAGAGGATGTTTCGAAGTGTCTTAGACGAGATACTCGTTTCTGTCTTGGATGACCACGAAAAGAGCACATCACCGATATCGAAGATAATAGTGTCGAAGGAGTGCATAGGAGAGATAATGAGGATAAACGACGAGGCGTGTCTTCGGGTAACCAATGGTATAAATTCACAAATCGGCCTCGGGAAAATATTATTATTGATACTGTTCCTGAAGCACAAGAAAGGACAAGCGCTACCTACAGGCCTCGAGGCCCCGGCCCGATATCGTCTAGTAGCCTCCTTGATGCTCGCTAACCGCTCTGATATTTTGATTCTGATCGCACTAGATCGCACTCCCAACCAACTGGCTCATCGTTGGACAGGAGGTAAAAACTGGAATTAGATCGTAAGTCATCAAACACGCATCATCCTTTCTTTGGTGGCGGCGTGTTTCCTAGAGCACGCGATCGTGATTTACGACAGCCTTATAGTAAATCAGGTAAATCCTAGGTAATCTCATAAAAGGCGATTGTGAATCACGACAAGACGTTAAAGAAAATGATCTGTCGACCTATAGGACATGCAAAATTTCATAAAACTGAGGCTAGACACGGTCAGAACGCCCGCAAGGGGAGCGTATGATTTGCCAGCCTATGTACTCCGATTGCAAGTGCGTACTAGTACTTCATTACCATGCGGGCCTTGCGGCGGTGGAGCTCGCAAAGCGACTCATCAGAAAATTAGGGAGCTTATATAAACATCTTGGTTCCTTCCAAGCACCCAACAAACCCACGGTTTCACTTCGTGTGGGTGTCCTTAGCCACGTATCTTCCCGGCTAGTAGCAGTGCATCATTTGAAAGCAATAATATAACGCGCAGCCGCCTATGAATTTCAATTTCCTGTGATCCGATCTCCGACGGCGGATCCGGCTACTATTTATCATCCTGCCATCGAGATCGGCTCTCTTCGAAATGAGAGTATCTGTCTTTCTTAGAATCCCCTTCAAGCCTTTTCACACCTTCAAGGTATTGAAAGAGTACTGAGCTACTACGGGAATATGTCATGAAGCGGAATTCACCGTGGTGATCAAGGATCAGCGTTCCTGAAGATATCCGGGACCTATAATACTAACATGGCACGCAGCTGCGAGATTTCATCTGAGATACCGCGGGTAAAATCCGCTTGCTGTGCCGACTGTATAACATATGAAAGCCCCAAGGGGGTCCTAGGGCTCAAGCTCAAGTAACGAATATTTCATACTGGGGGGGGGGGGGGGGCTTGGGGGTTCTTTCCGACCGAGTACCTTGGAACCCCATACTAGCTCATCCTTTGGAAAAATCAGACAGAGTCTTTCGACATTGATTCATTGATGCTATTGTTGCAAGAAGTGGAGACTAAAAATACTGTCCTTCTTGAACATTACCTTGAATTTTCCTCCCGACTTCGAGCACCTGAGAGGCTGGCGAGTGTACCACTGTGTACGACGGTGTTAACACCTGGAAAAAGGGGCGCTCTGATAAGCAAGGCTATACTATTCAAGGCCTCAGAAATGATCTTCAACGAAATCGTGTAGTATACAGGCATTACGCCCATAGTACATAGCTACAGCGTACAGAACCTTGATCTGACGTTGCCGCTGCACTTGCTTCGCTCTAGGAAACTCACCTCTCAAGACCTTGACCAATGGCCGAAACATTCAAGATACTTATGTACATGATGTGTTATCCACTGTGATCCAGTATATTCTTCCCCTCCTGCCAAATAGGTGTTCCGCGTGGGTCCAATAATTTACAAAACAATTCCGTGATGCCATGTGTACATTAACTCCATTCGTTCTGTTTTTTTCTCTCCTTTGTTGCGGAGTACAAAGACGAGGTCCCAATCTGTATGCAGCTGCTTTGTTCTTCAAAATATATCCTGCGTCTGTCAGAAGAGAACGATAGGGGGACCCCTTGGACACGCTGTACCTGCGCATCCGCGTCAATAGGCGTCAAGGTAAACCTTGCAGAACTAGGGCACATTGTGTGGCGCGTGTTTAAGTATGAATAATACTGCCGACTGTCCGACGCACACTAACTGCACGCACGGCTTCTTGACTATGATAGGAACGGGTGAAGGAAAGGAAGGATACAGTTATTGGCTTGAATGGTAGATGAGAATCCGACGATGGATAGACAATAATATCCTGTGCAGATTCTAACTACAAAACTCAAGTTTTTCAGCAGGAATTGACGAGAGTGTGCAATAAAACAACTCTTTACATATTAATAGATTTGGGGTATTGCCTTTCAATTGGTTGTAACATGCGACCTCCTAGCTAGCAGGAACAGGGCCTTACTTACCATATAAATACATGACATACCAAGGCGAGAATCTTGGCACGACATGGTGACGATTCTCTGCCTTTCTTTGCCATCTCATCACAGTTCGCCGACAAATAAAAGCAAGCATTCGTGTCAGGTGTAATAAGACTATTGTCTATCGAGCGTAACGAGAGAAGGCAAGTCAACTCCTTACATCGTTCCTTGTGAAATCGATACCGATTGTATCGAGTGTGTAAATATAGTGTACAAAGGTCAATGCACAGTCAGTTTTAGTGAGATACACTGTACTTACATAAGATAAGGACGAACAATCCAATGGACTTTCTGAACAATTTTCTGGATAGTGAGACTGTCCGCGAAAATGAAGAGTGAGGCTGAACCTAACCCAAATGCTCCATGGCTGCAGGTCGCTATCGTGCATACAATTCAACCCGTTAGCTTAAGCATAGTGCGAGATATTGTAGGCGCTTGTTATTGCAGGTGCAGTCATATAGCGATACCATATTATCCGTAGATGTCTTAACGTACGCTGACAATTCTTGTTGTAAGGCCAGAAGGTATGTAGTCATACAACAAAACTTCTCACTGGCAGGGCATAAAGACCAATAACCTAGTCGTACGGAGAATATAATATTCACCTCAAGCAGATCAGTTTAATATCCTTTGGAAGCCTTGAAAGTATACGTCCATTAACGAAGCTATCGAAATACCGATTGGTGCTTGACATACAGCAAATTCCGTCCTTCGATGTCTCCATCTGCGTCTTTAACCCCTGCAAATGTTCATGTCATAAGAATGAAGGGAGATAAGCAAGACTGACGCACGACTGTTTACGGCGGAGGAAACCTTCACCCCCTCGGGTTCATTGACACCATGCAGCTACTAACCACTTGATGTCTCAGATAAATACGATCGAAACAACGCGAGGCTGTTTGCCACTAGGGGTATACCTAGGAAAGCCTAAAGAGCCGGCATCGTTTCTCCACTACGGGTTAGATGATGCGAATTCAGAGTGGGAAAAAGGAAATTATGGAATTATGTCGAAAAAAAAAACAAGAATAGACGACGGATCTTTAGCTGACAAAAGACGTATCCAGCTTATCTGTGAACAGCGTGAAAAGCCAAGATGAAGAAGCCGTCTCGATGAAGATTGAACCACGTGTCACGTGTGCGAGATTGTGGCTGGTGGCGGTCACCGCCGGCGCCCAGACCCTGTAAGTCCACAAGCTGTCAGGGCGACGGGTTCAAAAAAAGTACCCTACTCTCTTGCGGGTATCTTTAGCGCCTACATAGTCGGGTCTCCTAAAATCATGCTATTTGAGGTTGATCTGAACTCGCGTTATCTTCGATTGACAGTGAACACGCGTAGAAAGGACGCCTTCCGACCACGGCGCGGTAATGGAACGTTGTGTACGGGAGGCTGATGACAAGGGGACTTCCACCACTGAGGCAGTGTGCTCGTATGCCTCTACCGTCATATCGATGGGTCAGGATTCCCTTTGACCACACTTAGCCCAAGAAGAGGATTGAACGGCCGTCTGGTAACATTAGCTAAAGCAAACTCCACAAACAGGGATCATGGCAACCGTACCCATAAATACCATGGTTCCCTGCATCCACTATTCCTGCAGCATGTTAATGAGCTAATAGTAGTGTAGTAATGCTCATAGCTGGCTCATCAAGATGGTCTGCAACAGCTTTTGCGAGACGTGAACGTAACTGACGGTCCATCGGTTGCTGACAATTGACTGCAGGAGCTAGCGTCTGGAATGCATCGAAACACATTCCGAAAATATCGTCATCTTGCGGGTTCATATCCGAGGCACTAATACGAATATGAACATTTGGTTATGCACAAGCCTCCATGAAGAGCGGACTGACTGTGAAATTCGTCATCAGGACCTGCTAGCTCATTCATATGGGCCAGGTCCAGCTGATCAAAGATCATCCTTGCGGCAGGACATCTCTTGTGTCGAAGGTGTGACCACATCGCCGTTCCATAGTCATACACGATGTATTTGGGTCAGCAAAGATAGGACAAAAAGATGGAAGCAGAAGACACGATTCCTGAGTGAACGAATGCCGCATACCATCAAGAGATCCACGAGGTCGATGCTGTGTGTGGAGGTTCCAGGCATTGTAAAGCGCGACATGGACAGCTTACACTCCTAAAGCGCTGGTAAAGAGGTTCGGGGGATACGGCCATCAGCCGGAGTTCATCCACTTGACGGTAAATGATACTGCATCAGAGCTCTCAGGCGACCGATATTTTTCGATATTGCAGTGCCCATGACAAGGGGTAATTGAAAAGGTGCGATGTTACGGTGTCCAGTCTCAAAGATGGCGTAAGGTAACCTTTAATATAACTGGAGCTCCAGATCGGACTCTCATTGAGTAGTCAAACGTTCAAGATAACGGTTCACTGGAACAGTTAATTCTGTGGGCGTAGTACAACTTCAGAAACATGGGTAAGCATGCGAATCAAATGACTATGCGAGACGCTTGCCTACACATCTAATGGTGAGGCTCAACCTCAGGTTTCTTTGCCTTCAGGTAAATGTTCTCCGCAATGACATAGCCTGTGAATGCCACGACAGCGATTCCAAACCCTGGGAAGAGATTACGGAGCATGGTTTTTTGAGAAAAGACGGGATGTTTTCGCCAAGATTCAAACTTTGCCCAAGGGTCTCTGTATAGCGGCAGATTCGACATTTCTGGGAGCACAATAAGTGTGACGACAGCGGCGGCAGCAGGGACAAGTGCTCACCTTGTTAGTCGGAATCAACGGGTGAGGGAGGTACTTCCTATTTTGGACGGAGGCAGCGTGACCACTTGAGGGCCGGTTAGTCAAAACTTTGCCAAATTCTCATCAGTGTCCAACTGTCCGCCTCCTTACCTCGTTCTACCATCTTCTCCCTTACCGACGCCTTCCCTTTCTGCTGTATATATCTATTCTCTTACCGTATCACCTAAATATCTACATCGATCATGTCTACCGACTCAGCAATGCTCTCTGACGACAGCCGTCCTGCTACTTCCTCTCCTAACGGCCACGCCAACGGCAAGAAGGGCACAACTGTTGCTGAACAGCTCAGTGATGACGAGGAAATGCCTTTGGTACGAATGATCCACTAGAAATTTATTCAACATTAACTGTTACCACTCTTTGCTTTTGACACTTCATCAGTCCCAAGTGACACGCACGCCCCAGTCCTCTGTGCAACCTCCCAGGCAGAAGCGCAAAAGGGCGGTATACTATGAGTCGTCAAGCGAGGACGATACACCACTCGCCTCTTCCCCGTTGAAACAATCTTCGGCCGTCATACCCATGCCAGGCGCTATAGACGCCACTACCGTACCGGCGCCTCTGGCTAATGGTAAGGGTAAAGGCCGAGCCGTCAAAGAGGAATCGACGGATGGCGAAGCATCTAATGACGCGCCATCCCAGACCGCCAAAGCCAAGACCAACGGACGATCTAAGCGACCGGCCAGGAAGAAAGCTAAGGTCGAGGAGGAAGACGACGAAGCGGCCTCCGACACTAGCAATTCATCCCCACCTGCTAAGAAGAAGTCTGCACCCCGAAAGCGTAAAGCCAAGGAGCAAAGCGAACCAAAGTCTGGAGACGATGCGCCTGCTAAGAAACCTCCCGTTAAGCGCGCAACGAAGAAGGTGAAAAAGGAAGAAGGAGGGGGAGCTGTATCTGAGGGCGATGTGTCAAAGCTAAAGAAGCGCGGTGGGAAGAAGGAAAAGGAAGAGAAAGAGAAAGGTAAGGGCAAGAAGAAGAAGGAGGAAGAGGAGGAAGAGGTATTTAGATGGTGGGAGGTGGGGGCTGGTGATGGTTCCGTAAAGTGGACAGCCCTCGAACACAACGGTGTACTGTTCCCGCCTCCGTATGAACCCTTGCCTCCTGACGTTAAAATGAAGTACGATGGTACGGCTTGACTGTTTTATCAATATTTGTTCATCTTTGACACTCGTGTTCGCTCTAGGAAAGGACGTCGACCTGCCGCCCGCGTCTGAGGAGGTTGCTGGCTTCTACGCTGCCATGATAGAAACCGACCACGCGCAAGATGCAACATTCAACAAGAATTTCTTTGAGGATTGGAAGAAAGTCTTGAAAGCAAACCCTCCTGTTCGTTGCCGTATTCATCTTTGGCACCTCACTCACCTAATATTGTTTGTTTGCCAGCGCGATGGTACAAAGATAGTTTCGTTCGAGCTCTGTGACTTCCGACCAATGTTCCAGTATTTCGAAGCCGAAAAGGCTAAGAAGAAGAGCTTATCGGCGGCAGAGAAGAAAGAGCTGAAGAAGGCCAGGGACGAGATGGAGGCTAAGTACACGACTTGTTTATTGGATGGCCGCAAAGAGAAAGTGGGTAACTTTCGTGTAGAACCTCCGGGCCTATTCAGGGGGCGTGGCGAGCATCCTAAGAAGGGAGCTCTCAAGGTACGAATAAGCAGTTTTGTTGAATATCTTCATTGATATATTGTATAGTTCCGCGTTCGTCCGGAAGATATAACGCTGAACATTGGCAAAGATGCACCCATCCCTGTCCCGAACATGCCAGGAAAATGGAAGGCGATCCAACATGATAATACCGTGACTTGGTTGGCGAATTGGACAGAAAACATCAACAGTACTCACAAGTACGTTTTCTTGGCGGCAGGCAGTTCGCTCAAGGGGCAAAGCGACATGTTGAAATTTGAGAAGGCCCGTGAACTGAAGGTCGGTCAACGTAATGGAACTTATTACCAGATCTGACGATACATGCAGAACCACGTTGACCGAATTCGGCAAAACTATAATGCAGATCTGAGGTCGAAAGTAATGGCTGATCGACAACGCGCGACGGCCATGTATTTTATCGACAAACTTGCGCTTCGTGCGGGTAACGAGAAAGGAGAAGATGAAGCTGATACTGTAGGCTGCTGCTCTCTGCGCTGCGAGCATCTTACCCTGGAATCGCCAAACATCGTCATCTTCGATTTTCTCGGCAAGGATTCGATTCGTTACTATAACCAAGTCCCTGTTGATCCTCAGGTTTTCAAGAACATCAGAATATTCAAGGAGAATAAGGAGGATGAAGACGCCTTATTCGACCGTGTCAACGTAAGGGTATTTTGTTCGTGTTATCTAATGTTTCTGACGGATCTCCACTCAGACTTCTTCCTTGAATAAGCATCTTACAAGTGAAATGAAGGGTCTTACAGCCAAGGTTTTCCGTACTTACAATGCATCTATCACGTTCCAGCAACTTTTGGACGAGAAAGAGGCGGATCTCAAGAATGCAACGTTACAGGAAAAGCTCAATGCCTACAATCATGCCAATCGTCTCGTTGCTATTCTATGTAATCATCAACGTACAGCTCCAAAGACGCACGACCAATCGATGGAAAAGATGAGATATAAGGTGTGTTTCCAGAATGTCCATAGGAAGCTGTCTGACGGTTATTCGCAGTATCGATCACTGAAGTATGAGCGCATGAAAATGCGTCATGCTCTCTTCGCTCTGGATGACAACTACAAGTCGGATGACAAGTATGCTGATGATGAATCAGATATCGACGATGATTGGATCACCACTCACGAAGAAAGTATGAGGGACAAGGACCTCGAAAAGGCCGAGAAGAAGTTCGAAAAGGACAACGAGAAACTCGCCGAGGACGGTAAAGAACCTCATGGTCAGTCGGTGCTCGATAGCAAGATCGAAGCTATCAAGGACGAATACAAGAGACTGGCGAAGGAACGGGGTACGAAGAAGGCGAAGTCGAACAAAACCGCGGAAAAGCTGGAGGAAGCGATCGAAAAACTTGGACAAAGGATTAAGGCTTTTAAGCTTCAGATGGTTGACAGAGACACAAATAAGGAGGTTGCACTGGGCACTAGGTTTGCAGTTTTTATCCCAGACATCGAGTTATTTCTTAACCTCTCCTCACAGTAAAATCAATTACTTAGACCCTAGGTCTGTTTTCGGCTGCCTGTTCCTGTCTTTCTCTCCTGACCAATGATCAGAATAACGGCTGCTTGGTGCAAAACCCACGATGTGCCGATCGAAAAGCTTTTCTCGAAGACCCTTGTCTCAAAGTGTACGTCGGTCTTTTTAGTCCTGTGCATACCTCTCACCGTTCTCAAATCATGATTAGTCCCTTGGGCGCTAGAGGCCGATGCCGACTGGAAATTCTGACGTCTCCTACTTCAATTACTGTGCGATATATTTCAAGGATTAGGACAGGACGCTTGGCGCGGACACTCAATGTTTATTATACACACCACTCTTATTATTTTTTTTATGTCCGTTGCACTGTCTTATATAGAAACACATTTGTAGCCTTTGCCTTTTCTGAATGAGAAATACTCACGAAGGGATTCGATGACTGACAGGTGTAATGCGGAAAGAGTAAGATAACACGTGTTCTTGACAAGTTGTGGGTTCGGTAGAGTATTCGACTTCTGATTCTCTCCATCACTTCTGCCAACACCTCGTCTGTTCACACACAGGACCATTACGATGAGTATATTTGCGTCCAAGACTGCCTTTGACGCACTCGAAGTTGATGTCGGCGAAGAAAGCGAAGAGGAGACCGTGCTGGAGGTACCAGAAGTAACAGTAGATCAAAGGTGCGCGTTCTTACATGGTCCCACCATTTACTACTCACGTCTTTCAGTCCTTCTGAAGTGCCTACTAAATTAACAAAAACCGCGATAAAAAAGGCTGCAAAGCTCGCTCGTCGTGAAGCAAAACAACAGAAGACCTTAGCAAAAAGCAGAGACGCTTCTCCGTCTCCTGCACCACCACAAACTCCGCCACCGGCCGAGGCCACAGCGGTGACGGAGACCCCCTCTGCTCCTCCTTCTAATGTGCCAAAAGAACATCCTATTGTCGAAGAAGTTGTTCCCCCGGAGCGGGCACCACCACCCGCTGTTGTTGAAGTAGAGTCTGAACCCAAAGTCGCGCCACCACCCGCTGTTTCACAAACAAAAGATTCGACACCAGTAAATGGTAGTGCAAAGCTGACGCCTACGGCCGTAGCTGGTACCACCGAACCAGCAGAGCCGCCGCATGTGATTCCGCCCCAAAAAGCCGAGCAACCCCAGCAACCTACAAAACCGGAAGCGGCGGACCCTGAAGCGGCAAAGAAAAGGCAGAATGTCGTGACACGGACGGTGTGGACGCTCATCATGATATTTGGATTCATTGGTACGTAGATTGCACGTTTCACCAAGTCTTGGCTAATTGCACTTCCAGGTCTGTTACTCATGGGTCATGGCTATATGATTCTACTGGTTATGCTTTGCCAGACCCTCGTTTACAGAGAAGTAACAGCCCTGTTTTCGTTGAAGGCATCAGATATCAAAGCGTCTGCTCCATCGGATATAAAGGATCCCTGGAGCAAGACCCTCAACTGGTACTTTTTCGCTGTGACCAATTACTTCCTCTACGGAGAGAGCATCATTTATTACTTCAAGGTTCTTTCGTTGGCTAACTTGTGATTGACTGTTTCTCACCGACATTTCCACAGCATGTGGTTTTCGCCGATGCGCAATTGCTTCCCTTTGCTACAAATCACCGAATGATCAGTTTTATGCTGTACACTATCGGTTTTATGGGATTCGTCATGTCTCTCAAGAAGGGCTATCTCAAGCAGCAATTCGGACTGTTCTGCTGGGTCCATATGACCTTGCTGTTCATTGTCGTTTCGAGGTAGGCTGCACCCCACAATCATCTCTCCACCTTCGCTAATTCTTTCAGCCATTTTATTATGAACAACATCCTTGAAGGACTGATATGGTTCTTTGTTCCCGCGTCATTGGTCATCTGTAACGATGTCTTTGCGTACATCTGGGGCAAAACGTTAGGTCGGACACCGCTTATCTCCTTGTCACCTAAAAAGACTGTCGAGGGCTTCGTCGGCGCGTTTTGGACCACCCTTCTTTTTTCTCTCGTGTGGGGCTCGTTCTTTATGAGGTTCAAGTACATGATATGTCCCGTGCATGACTTGGGCGTCAGCGCTTGGAGTAACGTTACTTGCACACCTAATCCTGTTTTCGTATGGAAGGAATGGCAAATCTGGACCCCCGTTACTAGTATCCTTTCTGCATGTGTGAGTACTTATTTATCTTTTATGGCATCTGTACTCATTGCTTCGACAGTTCGGCATTTCGATTACTAGTATCCCCTACACGTTATATCACTTCCATCTCATGTTCATGTCAATCTTTGCATCCCTCGTTGCGCCGTTTGGAGGATTCTTTGCGTCTGGATTCAAACGTGCTTTTAACATCAAGGATTTTGGCCACAGCATCCCTGGGCATGGTGGTATGACAGATCGCATGGATTGCCAGTACGTATACAACTATTACGGTCAATAGTAGGAAGCTAACTGTGGCGTTAAGGTTTTTGATGGGTGTCTTCATCTATGTTTACTATAGCAGCCTGATCCGTGAACATCATGTCACGGTGGGTTCGGTGCTACAGACGATTGTAAGCGGCCTCACGGTGGGTGAACAGCTGGAGTTGATGGCGGATATGAAGCGATATTTGGAGGGTCAGGGAATACGTGTGCCGTGCTGATTTATATGATAGCGTTCTCTTTGCAAACATGTCGCATACGAATTGCATGCTTTGGTCCGAATAACTGATAAATTGGGTATAGCTAAGGGTATGCTAAACTACGGTCCATCTCCCCATACCTCCAAAAGACATGGCTTTGCGGCCATTAGCATTATTGAACGCCTGAACACTCAGCCCTTTTGCGTCCCTGCCGTCGCACTGTGTGACGTAGTAGAGGGAAAGCTCTCCTCCTCCTCTAGGTATATATACAGTAGCGCTCCAACCCCCTTCTTCGTTTACCTGCATTGGAGTTCGCGTGTTGCCGGGATCGCTGATGAAATAAACATAATTATCTGCATCAGCCCTCGACATGTGCTCACAGAACTTGAATATGTGAAAAGTGGCCCATGCCCCGCTCTGGATGTACTTTTCGGCCGGCTGTAAGAGATATGGGTTAAAGTTCAACTTGTAGAAATCCTGAAAGATGACAGGGCGCTCTGGTTCGAGGATGTACTGCTCCCAGGACACGGGACCACCATCCTCTTCGCTGATAAGCTGGTAGGATGGGTCCTCGGGGTAATGGCGCCTCCCAAACTCTACTGGGGAGGAGCTGAACCACGTGGGGGTGAAGCACTTATTCCAGACTGACCCTTCTAGGGCGCCAGCACCCCAGCAGCAGTCGATGAGCCGCCACTCGCCGTCCATGAGGACACAGTTCCAAGCGTGATTGCTTTGATAAGGAGGAACAGGCGCGTCGGGGCCTGTCGCAGCATACCCAAAGCCCTTCCCGTGACCGGTGACCTTGTAAGACTGCACCCCGACGCGCTCAGCGAGGTACCCAAACAAACCAGCGTACCCTTCGCAGACTGCTAGCCCAGATTGGAAGGTTGCTTGGGCGGTCGCAGGTTGCAAGCTTCCCGGAAAAGAAAGAAACGGTATCGTAGGCGACATTATGGTGCAGCCAAGTGAATATCGCGCGGCACTTTTCGGTCTCGGAGTCGAAGGGGGATGTGAGGTCAATTGCGAGCTGATCGAGGGAGCTGACAGTCTGACGAGGGAACTGGGCGGCATGAGCATCTACGTAAGAGAAGTCATGACACTTGAGGCAGGATGCTTCGAGTTCTGGTTCTGGTACCGGCTCTGGAGGCGGGGTAGGAAGGCGGGCGGGCAGACGTCGTGGAGGCGGCGGCGGGGCTTTGTGGACGGTCAACGGCGGGATGGGCGGTGGAGGCCGACGAATAAGGCGAAGAAAGTCGGGTCCCCGTCGAGCAAGCTCCTCTGACGTCGGATAGAGCGCGCCTCGAGGCACTGGCGAGCTCTGACTGACTTGGCCACGGCCAATTCCCTTGTGGTCAAGCTGCAATCTAGCGATTCTTGCTGCGATTCCCTTTGGTTGCTGGTCATCGTCATCGTCGACGCCGGTGTCGGCCAGCTGTGGAGGAGGAACGCTGCGACGGGGAGGTAAAGGAGGACGAGACATCCAAATCCGATTGTCGGATGTGACAAGCAGGTGACAGAAGGTGACAAACTGCAGGGTCCTCTGCGGGATAACCAATAGCCAGCTTCTGATTCGTTCCTTTCCTACGCTGTCAAGCGTGTCCCCTTAATTCTGGTGTCATTTCTGGCCATTTGCTGCCATCTGCCGCAATTTGCTACCTTACACACTGTACAATACTAAGATGACGAGAAGAGCGAGGCATACTTAGTATATTGGTGCATGGATGAACAAATAAACAGAACGCAATACAGCATGGAGATGGAAGGACTGAGACGGCGTAGCAACCATTGGGGCACAAAAAATGTCTCTTGCGAGCATATCGTTTATGACCTGGGCTTCTCCTGTAGATCGAGGGTACGTTAGAGAGCAAGTTCGGTTGCAGTAAGGGACCCGAGAACCACGCACCTTCTTCTCCTTCCAGAGAGCAAGCAGACCCACGCCAGAGACCTTGACGACCTTGAACCGTACTCCAGGAATATCACCCTTGGCCTTGCCACGGCGACCGAAGCCGGAGATGAGTACTTCGTCAGTTCTCATCCACAAAGTTCAAGCAAGCCGTCATTCTACCGATGATGTGGCACTCGATAAGCACTTGCTCAACGCAAAAGACAACAGAAACATACCGGGACAAAGGCTGTCACCTTCTTTCCGTTCTTAATCAGTTGCACCCGGACACATTTGCGGATAGCAGAGTTGGGTTGCTTGGCCTCGACACCGACCTTCTCGAGGACGATGCCTTTGGCGTGCGATGAGCCACCAGTTGGTGACGTCTTGTAGATGTTTCCTAGCGCGCGCTTTTTGTACGCTTTATCCGCCTAGAGGAAACCCGATATTCCTCAGTGCGCTGCCCAAGAAAATCCCCCTCAGGGAAAAAAAAGACGCACCCAGCGATTTTCGCGGCGGTCATTGCGCAGCTTGCGAGCTGCCTGAAGTCCTCGAGGTTTATTAGCTGTATCATGAAGAAATAAGGATCAGCAAGTTCAGGAGCGACGAGAACGACTTACAGCCCATTCTTGCGGTCGAGGTCGGTGCAGTAGCTGTTAAAGACCCTTATCACGGGAAGAAGCGAAACCTTGTTCCCAACTATCAGTTTTTCAATCTCCGACCGAATCCGGTTGCCGGCCCTATTGCCAATTCCGATTATCCGACATGCTTGATTTGACCTTAATTCAGTTCCATTTCCCCGCCCTTTCCCCGTATTCTTCCCCCTTGCGTCTTATTGCTTCTTCTGGCTCTACTGTCCTGCCATTTTTCTTGGAAATACTGATCTTTCTCCCCCCTCTGCCGTATCTACATATATTACATTTCATTCCAATCATTTCAGCTTCTCAGATGCGCCGCTGCCCTACATGTAGTCGCGTTCGGGTCCAGGGCGGTATTCAGTCACCGTATCCCAAATACACGGTGACCCTTCAATCCCTTGGCTGCCCTTGGATCCTCTTTCCCACTGCCTGCTTGTCTGCGATCTGTCTTCCTGACTTCTTTCTTTCTGCTCGCTCTTTCCAGCCTCCCTTCATCTAGGCCAGACCTGCATGCTTGCATAAGAAAAGGCAGGCCGGCCTACATATATAGTACCCTGTGCTTCTTCCAATGCCTTATCCCCAGTTGCTTGATCCGAGGAAGTATTTCTTCGTGACGTCCACATTGGTTTTCAAACAGTGCGGTCCGTGCAGCTGATCCTCAGTACTGGGAAGATCCCTGACTGAAACACTGATTACTCGGTACACTAGCAAGGGCCCCCTTGCTATCCAATCCCGTACGGCGTATTTGACTGATCTAATTATGCCTTTCAACTTGAATTCAGAATATTGCGTCAAGCCGCCCCCGTTCAACGGTTCCTGCGACCCAATATGTACGTACTCACGAGTACCGCTGCAGTCCTTAACTCCGGTACACTGCAAGACGGCACCAACAAGCATTCATGGAGAAGCCTGGGGTCTCTACAATCCTTCTGTGTGATCGATTTCTCGTTGAGCGGCATGCAAGTGCCCTCATCGATTTAATGCCTTCGCGTCATCACCAAAGTACGTTCTCCCGCTTCTAGGCCTCAGTACTGTACCCTGATTTCGTCAAAGGCTGAACAACTGCCCACTCTGCTATATTTGGGTCATAGTAATCTATCGGTTCGTATCAAACCGTGCCAATGGTTCTGTCCGAAACAGCTACACTACCAGCGGACCATTTCTTGTGCCTGTCTGCATGCATTAAATGTCGATATCTGACTCATTTTCCTCCCGCTGCCAAGTCGACAACCCCCCAAAGTTTTAAACTCCGATACTGCATGTCTGCATAGCTTTCGGTTGCGTATAGCGTGTGGCTTCACAGAAGCACCATTGTTTCCCCCACCGTATTGTTCCGCTTTTCATTGACATTTTATTCGTCAAATGTTCCGAAACCCTGTGAGTATTTTTCGCTGTTCGGTGTCTAGACGCGTCGATATTCATTATCCATTCAACCAGACGAACGACAAAGATCTAAACGCAATCTTCGCGGCAGTGGTCCTGGGAGAGTGGAGGTGGCTTGAGTACAGGTGATGCACAAAGGTGGCGATCTAAAGGTTGTTGCTAATTCGTAATACCGTGCGCTGAAGACGCCTTTCCGTTTGCCTGCGCCGCTTATTTATTTAATAGTCTGTGTGAAACATACGGTAAATCTGCTGCTGTCTCCGAGGCAATTGTTCGCGTTCGACGTATTGCACGTATAAATTGAATATCTCTCTTTGAAACAACTCCGCAAAATCCGGATCCGGTCGCGGTCCGGTATATCGTCGGGCAGAGTCATGTGATGGATAAAAACTTATGCTTCTTCATGCCTCTCACTTCGTAGCCAGGCGTTCACCGCCACTTGCACGAGGCATTTCGACACTGTACAGTGAACTCACCGAGCGTGGTTTTATCTCGCAAGCTACCAGGCCAGTTTTCGTCAAGTTTCTTATCATTTTCTTGCTCACCATCATCTAGGCCTCAGCAGCTCAGCCATGCACTCGAAACTGCATCCCAGACTGTCTACTCGGGTATCGATCCAACGGCATCTGCACTCCACATTGGCCATCTGTTCCCGATGATGTGTTTACTGCATTTCGAACTTCGGAATCACAATACCATACCTCTGGTGCGTTCTTCTGATATTCCACCCAAGGTCATCATCGTAATAAAAAAAATTAGATAGGTGGCGCAACCGGGCTCGTTGGAGATCCTTCTGGCCGCTTGACAGAACGGTCCCCGGCAGATGTGAGGCTTGTGCAGGATAATGTGCTGGCTCTTTCACGCGGCGTAACACGGTTCTTTCGTGGCGCGTTTGAATATGCCGGAAATCGGCCGCAAGGTGGATTCAGGCCTACGAAGAATGAGGTTCTTGTCAAGAGCAACCTTGAATGGTATGAAAACTTTGGTATCCTTGAGTTCTTGCAGCGGGTTGGTGTGAATGCCAGAGTGAATACGATGTTGAATAGAGAGAGGTGGGATACTATCCACCGTATGACAAACTATCCGTGATTCATGATCTTGCAGTGTCCGAGCACGTCTGGAGTCTCACCAAGGCATGTCCTTCACCGAGTTCACGTATCAGCTCCTCCAGGCCTACGATTTCTACTACCTGCACAAACACTACGGATGCACGATCCAGGTCGGCGGCTCTGACCAATGGGGGAACATCATCGCGGGCGTAGAGCTCATCGGTCGTCTTAACCCGCCCTCAGACACAGTTCCCGAGCCCTTTGGTGTGACCACCCCACTGTTGACAACAGCAGCGGGTGATAAATTCGGGAAAAGCGCAGGCAACGCCATCTGGCTAGATCCTACATTGACCAGCGTTTTTGACTTTTATCAGGTGGGGTTCTTGTGTTCGTCAGCGAACATTCTCTGACGTCCGACGTAGTATTTTATCAAGGTCGAAGACGCTGATGTTGAAAAATATCTCAAGTTGTTTACGTTACTGCCACTCTCAGAAATTCACGACGTCGTTGAGACACACAAGGTAACGGTGTTATGGGCGCTCTTCTTGCATCAATCTCACGCCCGCGTAGCTACAGCCCGAGAAACGGAGTGCTCAAAGACGACTGGCGGCCGAGGTGACTGAATTGGTCCATAATAGTTAGTCATCCGCTTTTTGGTCGGACTGAAGCTCATGGTCAGACAGGAGAATCGCTTGTAAAGGCCGAAACTATGTCAAAAATCTTGTTCAGAGAAACTTCTGTTCATGCACGAGATATTGACGCGCAATCTCTAATCAATGCATTTGAGGGAGACCCACGACTTATCTGGTGTGACCAAGAAGAGCTTCATTCAACACCCGTGCTGAAATTGGCCTCGAGACACGGTTTGGCCTCCTCCAATTGTAATTTATCACCTCTGGCTTTTGTATGCTCCGCTAATTCAAATCTTACCAGCCGCTGCTCGTCAATTAATACAGTCAAGAGGACTGTACTTCAATGATCAGGTAGTCCCGGAAATACATTTCACAGCAGCCTCCGAGCACCTTATAGAAGGACGCATCCTCATCCTGAGGGCAGGCAAGGACAAAATCATAGTTCTAGCTTCAAAGTAGATCTGAAACGGGTGCACGATAAGTTATGGAATGTTTTTGGGATTTTATGGTCTATTCAGGCATAAATACTACATATCCTGGTCAAAAGGTGTCAGTTCTAATCGATACGGATGGCGCTGTAGAATCTGCGAATCGCCCAGTATGAGGCCAAGAATCCGATTGTTCCTGGAAACCGTGTCAAATGGCGGCTCTGCCAGACTGGAATTAGACATACCAGTGACAAGGAAGTCCAAAAGGGCGAGTAAGAGCAGGTATCCTAGGTATAAAATCACGCTGGATAAAGAATCCAGAGACAGGCGTGACGCCCAATAAAAAATCCCGTATGCGAGCAACCAGAATGCGCTACCACCTCCTGTTAAAAAGGCTCGCCAGTGCCATCTTCATGTTGTGCAATTGACTTAGAATCGGTTAAACACGTTAATGGTTCTACTCACCGGTAGTCTTCAGCGCAAAGGATGAAGTACGTGAACAGGATTGTAACCGTTGCGGTAGTGAGGGCGACAACGCCTGCAGTAAGCGCTAAAAAGCCGAATGCGTAGTATGCCCGAGAGGCGAACAAGCTTGACAGGACAAAATATAATTCGACGAAGGCAGCGCCTGGAAGACAGGTAAAACTATTTCTGATGTCTTCAAACAGAAGACGACATACCGAAAGGTAGTAAGCCACTAAGTAACGTTGAGGCCTAATGAGGATTCGTAAACCAAGACAAGGGAAGATAACACGGAAGCCGTACCCAAGGGCGAAGATACTTGGGCTGGGGAGGGATTTGACGTGGAATCGGATTTACACGCACAGGATGCTGGATTGCCTAGAAATGCAGCATGATGAGAGGGTAAATGTTATATGACACTCAAGTAGAGACCGACCCCATGCTTAGAACCGAAGTATGCGCCGACAGCTGACAACGGAGCCGAAATCCCAAACCAAAGAAGAACGATGGTTAGCATTGTCCCTATCGGCGCGATGGTATATCAATAACTGATCTAGTTTGGACAGTGAGACTCACCAAAAGGAACAGCACCGGACGATCCAGCCATAAGGAGGAAGAAGTTTAGAAGGAAAACAACGATGAAGATCACCCTATGGATTGCATCAGCAAAATCGCCATGGGTATACAATGTTTCGTACGTGGGCAACACTGTCGCCGTCATGAAGGCGTTTTTTCTTTTGTTCATACCGCCGAGGGACGCGTATACGCGACTGGACACGTAACCGCCAATTCTGAACAAAGTGAGAACATGGACAAAAGCAAAGTGACATAAAATTTACCCGCCAAAAAATGTCCAGCAGATCATCATTACTGTGGCAAGCGAACCACGGTTCGAGGGAGAGAGGAAGCCCAACAATGCAAAGACTACCCATAGGCAAATACTTCAATAAAGGATATTCGGCAATTGAAAGGAGGATACGAACGTAATGTCACGCTAACCATCGCACAGATTTGTGCACCGTTACCCACCATAACTGAAAGGGCCAAAGGAAATCTTGGTGTTCTGAAGACTTCGCCATGAACCAGTTTCCACCCCCAGTCCTCTTGTACGTCCTCCTGTGTTCAATGATCATTATACGGATAGTGCGACAGAAAATATCGGCATACGCTAAGATCAATGGCGTTATATCGGGAAATCTGCAAGTCAAATCAACATTTCTTCCAGAAACATAACGAGATTGAGACGCACATCGCGAGACACCGTCCGAAGCAAGATCATTGATACCATAACACAGAGAAACACCACGATAACTAATGAGTTCACCAGACTGAACCAATGAATGCGAGGATCGAAGATGTGAAGGTAGTTATCCCAGCGCGTCGCCTATACACCATCAGAATACTCGGTAGAAAGGGAAGACGGGAGACTGTTGACCTACCCACGGAGTGTCAGATTCATTCCACGTCACTCGGTAAGTGTATCGAATGCTCTGAGTTTGCGTCTCGCTTAGAATAAGTGGAGAAACATTTTCGGTCTCGCATGTTGACGCAGCTTCTTGAGGTCCTCCGATACTGTGCAACATGTTACCATACAGTAGGTATCTAGATAGGAATTTCCTTGCCTTGCGGGCCAAACAAGGACGCCAACCACACGATAATCATCCGGGCTAGGCTGATGATATCTGACACAGCGTTCAATATTAGTTTTCCATTCAAATGATCGAGGACTTGCCGTAGAACAATCTCATAATGGTTGTTAAGAGCAGGGAAATCAAGGTATGGCCCATCATCATTGCCTAGATTGAAACCCATGTCGAAAAACAAGTCTCCGTTACGCAGATCAACTTTCATTTCCGCAGCAGGGAGACCGTCAATAAGCCAGTTGAGGGCATAATCCTCTCGAATGCGGTCGTTGATAAATTTAGCGTCGTCAGCTGTCACATCGTCCACCAGACATAGAATTCGACACGTTCCGTTGTTCTCAAGCATCCGTATCTGAAGGGATGTAGACCTTATTTCAGGAGAAAATAGGTGATTGAGCGACAAGACACGCACGTCATAAGGGGAATTGAATATCCTGTCGCCAAAAAGGATTGACCCAAGGGATTCCGGTTGCTTTACGGGTCCACCTTCCGGTTCGCAGAATCGGAATTTTGGATTGTAGTAGTCATCTTCAGTATATATGAGCTTTCGACCGCGAATAGTCTTGTAGATGAAGTAGCGCACAATTTATCAAGGATTTCTGGAGTCGACGTAAGTACCAGAGCCACAAAGCAGACTGAACACGCACCAACTTGGCATCGTCATATCCTGCGAGCATCGGCGTGAGTGCATTCACGAAAAGGTCGACTTGCTCGCCACGGTGATAGTCATGAGGCGCTGCGCCGGGCAGGTAGAAAGCATTGGCCCAGGAGAAAGAAAGGGCCGCAAAGGCCAGCACAGTACGCATCGAGGAAGGAACACGACAGACGGAGATACTGTTTACGGTCGCACGAAATCAGGACCGTTGTTTGGCTACAACGTGTCTGGCAAAAGATTTCGTGCTAAATTTGGCACACCTTCCTACCATCATGCAGTTCGAAGTGATCGCCAAATGCCACACGACGCGAGCCCGTGTCGCTCGAATGAAGCTAGCCCGTACGTTCAGCTGCTTAGCATCAGGATGTTATGTAGTTAATTTCTACTCGCAGATGGCGTGACTATGCTACCCACATTCATGCCAGTCGCGACCCAAGCAGCCATTAAAGGACTCACTCCCCAGCAAGTAGAAGCTCTTGGTGTCACCTTAATACTCAATAACACGTATCATCTCAATCTTCGTCCTGGAATGAAAGTATTGAACCAAGCTGGTGGTGCCCATAAATTCCAGGGCTGGTATCGGAACCTCCTTACGGTAAGTATAATTTAATTCGATGAAACATAACCTTTGATAATTGTTGCTCAGGATAGTGGGGGGTTCCAGCTGGTCTCTCTGAGCAAGTTTACGACGATCACTGAAGAAGGAGCACTTTTTCTAAGTCCTTTTACGGGTGAACCGACAATGCTAACGGTCAGTGTTTACACAGCAAGCTTGGGCAGTAGACTGGATATCCTTTGCAGCCAGAGGAAAGTATAGCTATTCAACATTCCATTGGTGCAGATATTATCATGCAGCTGGATGATGTTGGTATGTGTAATGTGTTGTATATGCTGCGATTTATTTTCTCATCAGATTATGCAGTATCCAGTCTGACTACAGGGCCACGCGTAGCGGAGGCCATGGAACGATCCGTCAGATGGTTAGATCGATGTATTAAACGTCATGAAGATTCTGGGAAAAAGTCAACGCAAAACCTTTTCGCAATTGTTCAAGGAGGTCTTGATCATCAGCTCCGAGATCAGTGTCTCAATGCTATGATTGAGAGAAAAAACGACATCGCTGGATATGCTATTGGCGGATTAAGTGGCGGCGAAGAAAAGGGTTCGTGTTTTTTTCTTAACAACCATCGACCTCGTTCTTTATTAACCTGCAGATATCTTTTGGAGAATGTACGAATGCTGAGCTGATTAGATACGGTACACGCACTAAATCTCACATAGTATCAAACAATGCGCGGATAAGCTACCAGAAGATCGTAGGCTCCGTCTTCTTAGGGTGTACTCACGTATTCAAGTTTCTCTAGGGCCACGTTATTCGATGGGAATTGGCTTCGCTGAAGGCAGGAACTTGGACTTTCCTTCATATCTATCAATCCTAATATCATTGTTCTTGTAGATCTACTGGTCTGCGTAGCTCTGGGTGTCGATATGGTCTTTTTGTCTTTACGTGTGTATGCCAAACCGTATCTGATTTACACATCTTTAGGCCGACTGCGTCTTCCCGACAAGAACTGCTCGATTCGGTGTCGCTTTAACACACACGGGCCCGCTCAATCTCAGTGCGTCGCATCTGTACCGCATCAAACCAGATAAACTTACCCATACGGTGCACCAGAACTTAGAAAACACGAAGCTGATATGAAGCCTATCGACGAGTCGTGTCCTTGTCCAACATGCATCGATGGGACTTCACGTGCATTCCTGCATCATATCGTCACACACGAAACTGCTGCTGCACATGGTAGAAAACCCTGCTTGTCTTGCTATCTGTATTCTGATTGATTATAGCGGTGACAATACATAATATCACCTTCCAAGCCCAAGTCATGGGTCGAGCCCGTGATGCCATACTATCGGGAACATTCCCGGATTACCTGAGATCGTTTTTTGCTGGCTATTTTGGTGACAGTGGATATCCCGAGTGGTGCGTCAATGCATTACGCAGCGTAGGGGTGGACTTATTGCAGGATCACCCAACAAAACTAATACCTGGCAGCGGGGCGAAATGGGATTATGCAAATTGACATATTCGATAGATATTATAGATTGTATAAAGCCCTTCATCATCGACGATGCTTTTTTGAATGACTCCCCCGACCATTCTTTGCCCGCCGATTTTCCAGCAATTTTCTATTCTTGCGAACTTGTTCTGCATTCTTGAGTTCACCTTTCACTCTACCAACCGACTTGGTTGCGAATCTCCCGCCGACCTTGTTGCCTTTCTTCCCAGGTGGTAGGCGAGATGAAGTCGTCTCTGGGTCGCCTTCTGCCTTCTTCTTTAACTGCCTGACTTTGCGTTCATAGTCCTTGCTCAGCTTATCAAGGGGTTTGGACACAGTAGCGACCTTGTTGTGCTTGAACTTATGCCCTCTAGGCGCCCGGGAAGTTTCGTTCTCAGTCTCGCCTACCCTCGGAAGATTGACCCGAGCCTTGGCCTTCCACTCGTCAAAACGGCCACTGCGATACGTTGCCGGCAACTTCGTCCCGCTCTCTGTCTTCACCATTTTGACGTTGTCAGCACCAACACCATCTCCCTTTATGAACTTTTTCTTTTTCTTGTCCCAAGTGAGGTTGTTCCGTTTTCGTTGCGCGACACCCTCATCACCGGCAAGGTCAAAGGTAGCGCCCCGTGCTTGTTCGGCAAAGGTAGCGCCGTCCGTGAGTGAATATCTACGGAAAGATGAGAAAACTGCCGTTCGAAAATACAGTTCGCCATACCCTTTCTCTGTTGAAGCATCTTTCTGGTAGTGAGACATGTAGAATTCTTCATCTCGATAACCGGACTTCTTCGCTGCATCGAATACAGCCTAAAGAGAATCAGAACCTTAACTCTGTGCAACAGATGCGGAAAAGACAAACCATAATCTCCTCCTCATCTGCCATCTCGACATTCGTGCTTGTCACCGGGACGTCATCTTCGTCGTCCTCCAGAGCTGTAGACGTTGATGCCAAAGCCCTCTGGGCTGACTTTTGTAGAGCCTTCCTCCGTTCCTTCATCAAGGCGGAGTTGGCCGTATTAGCCTTTCCACCTACCTCGAGAACCGTCTCCGAAGGTCGGAAGGAGTTCACCGTACGCAACATTGCATGACGCGCCTCCTCCTGAGCACGCAACTGGGCTGCGTTGGATCCTCTCAGAAGTACTGGGTGTACGCCACTATCAGAACCAGCAAGCATCCACTTTGGATCCTTGGACATCTCCTTCGCACGTTTGTAACTCGGAGGGCTAGCCTTTCCTTTGCTTCGCTCGTACATCGCGTGACCTCGTTTCATCACCTCCCGTAACGAGGGGAGAGAGTGATTAACATCCTCCAAGGATTTGACATATTCCATATCTTCATCGATCTTCTCTCGCCGGAAGGTGCCCAAAACCAAATTCTCTGTATACACCTGGTCCCCATCTTCCGTTACATCACTTCTTAGCGGACGTCCGAGGAACAAATGTAGATCCAGAAGGTAGGGCAGTTCCGTACTTGTAACAAATGACCATGCCCATCCTTGTCGCCCTGCTCGAGCTGTTCGACCCACTCGATGCACAAAAACTCTGGCGCCCTGGGGGAAATCGTAGTTAACCACGTTTTCGAGCACAGGAATATCAATTCCTCGAGCCGCGACATCGGTAACGACCAAAATACTGGTGCGGCCCTGACGAAATTGCTCCATCTGATAGCTACGAGCAACCTGATCAAGAGAACCATAGATATGGGAAACGGAGTATCCTGCAGTCGTCAGCAAGGTAGTCAGATACTCTACATGATGCTTCGTGGCAGCAAAGATAAGAGTTTGGTGGGGAGCAGTGAACAGCTCCGGGCCGCTTCCCTTTCCCTCTGTGTTTCTTGTCGGAAGCATCGGTGTCATTTTTTGTCCCCATGGTTCCAAACGGTACTTTGATAACATCGCGCAAAAGTTCAAGTAAACATGCGTCTTTTTCAGCGTGTTTGACGGAGAAGAATGCCATTTTTAAATCGGAGCTGATTTTGCTCTCAGCGTCGAGCCGGACGAGCTTTGGGTTCTGCAAGCCGGCCTTTGCGAATTCGACCAGGGATTTGGGCAAAGTGGCAGAAAAAAGGAGTGTCTGCCTGGCCGCTGGCAAACGCTGTAGGATTTCGCTGAGGGCCGTTTCGAATCCCATTTCAAACAGTCGGTCTGCTTCGTCAAAGACGACATATTGTACCGACTTGAGATCCAAGTTCATTTCGACAATGAGATGGAGTAACCGTCCGGGTGTCGCGATTATTCTAGCTGAGTATAAGTAGACAGCTCTAGGTACGGAATCATGATGCTCACACGTCTGGATTATTAGTGATCATTTCAAACTGTTCATCCATCCCTTCTCCACCTACAATCAAGCACCACCGAAGAGACTGGCCGTGCTTCGAGCTAGCAGTATCTTTATTGTCCCCAGCATGGGTGCCTTCTCCAGAATGCCATCCTCGCGCCAGCTCCTTCCCAACTTTCAGAACCTGAAGTGCAAGTTCTCGTGTAGGAAGAAGAATGAGTGCACGAGCTCCAAAAGTTGTCAAATGGCGGCCACCAAGGCGCTGTACGAGGGGAATCATATACGCCAACGATTTTCCGGATCCTGTACGTGCCATTCCGACGAGGTCGCGTGGAGGAGAAGCCAGAAGAGCCGGGATGGAAAGCCGTTGGATGGGAGTTGGTATGCGAAATCCCTGAAGATTCAATGAACGAAGCAGAGAAGGATGAAGGCCTGCATAAAGAGCTGAATACCACGTTCACATTCGAAGTGCATGAAGAACGCACCCATGCTCTGAAAGCTGCCGCCTCCGACCTCGCCTTTTACAAGATTCTTTCCCTTGGCCTTCTTCAGTATCTCAGTACCACTTTTGATGTTCCTCTTGGAAATGGATTCTAGCATCATTTGCTTAAGGCCCTCATCATCGCTGTCTTCTTCCACTCTTGGCTTCTTTGCGGTTAGTGCAGCAGAGATATCAACATCGTCATCTGAGAGCTGTACTTCTGAATATCCATCAGAATTGTCCGAGTTGTCGTCTTGATGTTTTCTCTTGTGCGAGGGCATGGAAGAGAATGCAGTAAATTTTTCAAATTTTTGTGACGAGATCAGAGGTGCGTCACATCACATAATAACGGTCCGCTCGGACCGATACGCCCGTATGCGTTAAAAATCATTCGTTGAATACCAGAGTATATCTATGAAAACCTTTATTGACGAGCTACACCTGTATATATACATGTAGAGACATGAATAAAGTATTCGTTATGCCCTAGCATCTAAATAAATTCTCCCACCTCCTCGAAGATCTCTGCAAGCTAGCCTTAAGCCTCATTGGGGCTGATGTAGAGAGTAACCGACACAAGTGTCACTTCTATCATAGAGTCGTGCATAGTAGATCCTCAATAAGTGCATCAGCTGCGTCTTATCCCGCGACCAGGGATAGCACTAGCACGGCCAGCAACAGATGAGGGACGTCCCGTTGTCGTTTGAACTGCGACTCGACCACGACTCGTTCCGGGAGCTGCTCAACATTCATCAAAGATCAACGATTATGAAGCAAGAGGACGAACCTGCTCTCGTCGCAACGCTAGCACCTCTCATACCGCGCATCGATGCACGCGTACCACGAACTCCGCGAATGCCGCCTCTTGCAACGAGCCGTTCTGCTCTCTCACGTTCAAGACGTTCCTTCTCCTCCAGCTGATGCCGAATCTGGGTTTCCCTCTCCAAACGTTCACGCTCGCGCCGAGCAGCCAGGGCGCGTTCCTCAGCCTCTCGACGTGCTTTTTCTTCGGCTTCCCTCCGTTCTTGCATTATAATCTCCTCATCCTGCATAGAGCTATGGGTATACCAGGGTAGACAGAACAGGAGAGACGTGCTCACCGCGTCGGCACCATGCCATCCATCGTCGAATATAAGACGAGCGAAATCCTCCGTCCGAGATAGCGTCTTGATGTATTTATTCAGTAGTTGATCTGTCTGCGCTAGTTGCTGAGCTATTCGCTGATCATCGCAATGAATGAGCCTGATCTCCCGCTACAGAACTGGAGTACGCACCTCATTAGCAGACCCGGTGTTGTCGAGTGCTTCGTTAAACAAGGACATCGACGCATTCAATTTCTTCAAGATGAAGAGATCGCTTTGAAGCTTATTTTCTCGCGTTCTGTCCGATGCTCGTTTCGACTCTGTCCTCTTCATCTTCTAGAGCCTCTTCTTGTGGTGGTGTCGAAGGAGCGTTGGTCTTTGCCAACGTGACAGTCCGGTCCGACAGCGAGAGCTCAGATACGGATAAGTCGTCGCCACCAGCGCCCGCTGACGAAAGCGGTTCTTCGGCTAACAGTTGTGAGCCGCTTGCTAAGAGCGATAGATCAGAGTTGTCTGAGTGCATTCTTTCAAAGGCAGATGGTGGCGTCACGTAATAAAGTCGCGTTATTTGGCACAGCATTCACATGGTAGCACTTATTTTATTTCTACAGCTTCGATAGGAAAGTATACATGCAAGATTGAACAGCAAAATAAAAGCACAAGATATAGCAACAAAAGAATCAAAATTCATCATTAATCCGGTCCTATCAAAGCACCAAGACTGTAATTCGGAGAAGGGCGACCGAACGGCCTAAAAGGTCATCTATAAGTGAGTATTCACTTTGGCTAAAATGCAAGAGACGGACCTTCTATCTCGAGGAATTGAAGCCGTCCTTGCGAGAGGTGAACGGGGGTCCGCCACGGCATCATACGATGGCCCAACAGTCACTTGAGAAGGAGCCAGGCCCATTGCCGACATTATACTAGCCAGACTATCTATGTCGTCAGGCTGCCTGCATCTCGAAGACTCTGGAGTCTGTGACGAAGGGATCAACGGTCCCTCATAAGGTTCCGGAGTGTGTAGTCGAGGAGATGTGAGAGGGCTCAGTAAATCAGCATTCGACACGGACTGCTCGTCGTCAGAGCTTTCAGGTTCGTCAGGATACGGACGAAGGAAAGAAGGTTCTCCGACTACGACGCGTCTAGTACGGGAAATAACGGGCGTGGTGGAACTCCCTACACCGGGGCTAGTACTTTCACGAGAGGTACTCGAAGAGACGCGTCGGCTCTTCGCCTTGGAAGCGGCGACGTAGAGGCGCACAAATTCATCTGCCTTGGTAGACCTGGTTGGAGGTGCTGGCGAAGCTGGGGCGTCCTTGCTAGACGACAAGCGGGAATGTGGCGCTGCAGCAGACTTGGAGGAGGAAGCTCTCTCACGCGACGCCGGTCTCGCAGGAGAGCTCCCCCCTACAAGCGTTACAGTCTCTGGAGAAGTTACAGTAGCAGTACTTGGCACGGTCTTGCCAGAACTCGTCGCAAATCCTCGTGATGGCTCGGGATTAGCAGATGGACGACGGTTTTTGTCGTTTTGCGAATGACTTCCTCCCATACGCGGTGATCGCGACGACTTGGGTTTGGCACCACCCGGGAGAATTCGTATGTTTCCTTCGTCTCTCGCTTCCTCATATGCCTTCCAGGCATCTTCTTCACAGGTAAAGCTCACATAGTGTGACTCAGAGACGCCAATGACCAGTGGCGCGACAAGTAGCCTGCCAGGGACGTGATTAAATAATAACGCAAAATTAAAGAACTGCACTAACCAGTTATTGAACAATCCGACGTCTCGTCCAGCGGTGACTGCATACCACTTCTTCTTGGCCATATTCTAAGCGGCGGAAAGGATGGGAGAGATAGGCTTAACAGCATTGTGATGGAAATTTGTATCCTCTAATTGGCAGTATTTACGCTAGGGTCATCACTATGTCGGAACCGAAGGCACCAATCAGTACGTATTATGTACTTGGTCACCACAGCATTATACGAATCTAAGAAACACGACAGCAAAGCATGTACTATCTGATGAGCACGTAATAATCCAATACCCCCATGTCCATTACACGGCAATGTAACCTCCACGACTAGATGACCGCCGTGGGCGTACAGAAGAACATAAATGTGAAGCAACATCGCTCAGCATATACGGGACTTCCTGCCAGAAATCGCGGTGCCTTCAGAAGAAAGCAGTTAGATAATATAAAATAGACTAGGAAACCTTGCCGTACGGTATCAGGTCCTTCCCGCTCGCACCGTAGGTGGTGTAATTGTAGTAGGCACCAAGGCCAAAATAGGCCAAGAAAGCGAGCAATAATCTATCGAAAGCGTTAATAATTTGAAAAAAAAGTCGCAATATATGTGATACTGACACTAGGAAGAACCAGCCTAAGCCGCTTCCAACACTTTCTTCTACAGGTCCATCACCGGGACCAGTGCTCCCACCACCACCACCATTATTTTCGCCGAATGAACAGCCAGCAGGAGAACGCCATTCTAACCGAAGCTCTGCCTCGTCGTAAGAAGTGAATGTAGGGTCGGAGTTGGAGGCGTCTGGGTCGCAGAGCAATGTTAGATTGAAAGACTGGGTCACAGAGCCGCTAGTGTACGATGGTCCATGCATAATCACGGACAATCCTTTCGGTGCTGAAGAGGATCAATTATTAGGGCAATGGCTTGTATTGAAGCAAATAACGTACATGATAGCGCCTTGTACGACGGATTCGCCGTCGAGGTCTGCACGATGGGAATCACAGAAATAATCCGGTCATCCGCATCCTCCTTCTCATTTGTCTTGGTCAGACATACTCTTGTATGGCTGGGACACTAGAACGCATGCATCAGAACATAGGATAAGAGGAACGAAGGGATGGTGTACTTGGTCTCGTTCATTCACACCACCCTGCGACGACAACTCACTGCACAAATCCAGCCTAACCGAGTCCACCATCGTTGTCGGCGGCGTATCACGCCTTCGAGAGACGGTATGCTCGCCCCCGAGAGACGTCAAGTCAAATTTGACAGATGGGCTCACGGTAATATGGCAGTCGAGCTCATCGTCCGCTAGCACAGAGGCGATGTGGGTGTGATAGAAGAAGAAAAAGGCAAGGGAGGATAACCACTGTCGCCGGAGTATCATTTTCGAAAAGTAAGAGGAAGAGTAGGCATCTGCTTACGTAGGCAACGTGACGCCTCGTTCAAATCGTCCATCAGGCGCGTTTTATTTTCTATCTTTCAAGTTCGCTTCTGATTTTTCTGTTTATATTTCTCTAGCAATAGAGCCAAAGGAGACAGTGGTTCTACGCAATGCTTGCCATCACGAAATTCAGATCTTTGCTATTCCATTTCGACCTCAGTCAATGATACTGCGCGTCAAGGATATGTATGAACGCACCTCACTGTTGGCATCGATTACGCAGGCAGAAGAGGAGGTTCTACGTCTTCTACCCAAAATTACCCATCTGAAGGATGTCATGGCGGTAGTGGCAGCCTCTCTAGACAAGCTGAAGAAGTACAAAGTGGCGCTCAAAAGTCACATCGCGGCTCAAGGATCCTTGTTATGTTCCCCCATCCGTGCCCTTCCCGCAGAAGTTCTTTGCTGTATATTCAGTTATGCCTGCCATTCCTTCGAGGATAAGACCGGTGATATGCAGACTTTACCTTGCGGCATAGACCAGGACGCGTTGAATATTTCCCAGTATCTTTTGGCGCAAAATCTCCGTATCAATGCCATCCCTATGGACGACCATATCTGTCAATATCGATACAACGCATATAGCGGCTGCAGAGCACTGCCAGTTTATGTCCGCCGCTCACACAGGAAACATCTTCATGTCATACTCGCCCACCTTCCTTTCCGAAAGAGCCAAAAGACACGGAGAAAATACATTCTCTGATCTCTGCATCATTATTGGTTCCACAAAGTTTTCGATTTCGCACGCTCAAAATATTTGGCTGTGATCCGTCTTTCAACGAAATCCTTAGCCTGGATAATCTCTACATGCTTGGCTTATATGACCTGGCGCCTATTCAATGTTATGAGGAATTCATATGGCTAGAGTCTATAGGAAAACTGTACTCCCTCGAGTTGGCGCATTATGCTAGGTCGAGGGGCTTTTGATGTCTAAATGACAGATTTTATGACAGCTTCGACGAATTCGACCCTTCCGAGTCGACGCTTTATGGATTTCAGGTGAATTCACGAACCTATACTCTCTCGACCTTAAAATCGAAGAATCTCTTGGGGACAGAGTTTTTCCGGCGCGACTGTCATCGTGGTCGGCGAGAACTTGGAAATTTAGAGCACCAACAAGAAACGGAGGTAAAAACGCGTTGGTCAACGAAACGCGATTGCGGTCAGGAAGGATGTGGGCTGATACGGTGCTCTTCTCGACCCTATACCAGTATGCACCCCGCCCTGGGTTCCATGAAAAGTTGTAAAAGCGCACTGAGGGACGTAATTGTAATATCGGAGCTCGGGTCCGGCATTCAAAACACAACACATACCATACCGCCATTCGACTCTTCGACGATCTCTCGGCTACTTATTCTCATTTATTCTCCACAACCATAATACAACGGCCCGGATATATGCGCGCTTTTGGACAAGTCGTGAAGCACTACCATTTGTGCAAACTCAGTTGTATGGGCATTGGGCAATGTCTTAGCAATCACAAGGAAAGGAAAATAGAAGAAGTAGTACTAGTCATCAGTGAGCCACACTTTCATTGCGATCTGAATTGCTGATTTCTTGGGCCACTAGCAATTCGGCCAATAATTCCAAGGCTTTCCACTGTTGTCAAGGGGACGCGTCGCAGATAAATCTACCCTTTTCCTCCAACTTAGGATGGTAAACCTTGTATCCTGGACGCCGCACCTTCGGGCTAGGACATCCGTACTTCCTTGCATTATCTTTGGTGTCTGTCAGTGTATAATTTCGATCACATCGAATGTCACATGTCCTGAGCCCGCATTCGTATTCGTTACCTTGCTGAAAAGCAAGGTCAACCCACAGTCATAAAGTTTCCTTTACCGTCGTCTGCCAAAAGCAATTAAGTACAAATAGGTGGCTGTGCTCAATCCAGCAGTCCTCTTCCTACTCTCGCATCTGCCAAAACCAAACAAATACAACGTAGCCGTGCAGCATGTCAAGACTCAGTACTCAGTACTCAGCCGTTTACCATCTCGACTCTATCGCACCTGCAGCACTAGCTTCAAAAAGTCGCCTCGCACATCGAATATTGAACGTTTGAACCTGAACATCTGGGGAATTGCTTAAGAATTGGATCGTGAGCGACTAATACCTTCTCCGTATTTTCCCTTCGCTGATGCTCATGCGTCGCACTTTATAGTCTGTTCCACTTACGAGGACTAGTACTACTCGCTGTGCTGTCCTAGCACAATTAACACTGCATCTGTCCTTCTTGCCATCAACAAGAAGCACACTTTCTAACTTCGTCTCTGGACACTTGCAGAGGGAAAGTCTCCCTTTGGCATCCCATGCTCAATACGCGAGAACATTGTACCCAACAAGATCATTATCACGTATATCAGCCCGCAAGACGAGGATCGGTACAAGCTTGTAAAAGGACCACAAGGTGATAGTCGAGGTACTAAAGGAGCTCGTCCAGGGGGAAAATACAGGAAAAGGCGAGGCAGAGTGGAAACTGAATGCTTTTCTGGCAGAGGGAATAGCCAAGGATGACCAGGACCGCGGAGCTAGGTGTGATCGCCTGGACCACCTATCTCGTAAGCCTATATGGGAATGAGCTCGCCCATCTACTGTTCATGGTCCTGATGAAGCTTTCAGCCGCCATCGATATATTATATTCAGGTTTGCGCATGATGCACGCAGTCCAATATGATACTGGTGAGTACATCTGTTAGTGCTCTACGCCATTGATCCTTATCCGTTCACTAGATTCTGCTATTCTCTCCTCCCACTTGCCACGTATCCACCACACCATGACAAATCGACATCAACCCCGATCCAATGACCCATCCCCACGACCCTCCTTCAGTCGGACATTCCCTTCCGATATTGCGTCATCCCCTACCACTCAACGACGTCTACCTGTTCCCGCTGCGCTGGTCTTTCAATGGCTAGTAACGTGCGTTGTTGGAAAGTAGAAGAGGACGTTGCCTCCTGTCTGGTGCGAGGAGGGAGTGAGTATGCCTGGAGACTGCGCGAAATATGACCCCACCCCATCCTGGTGTGTAGGTGTCCGAGTTTTGGCTGGAGACAATGGATCGTCTTCCGGCAAGCAAGACGTCTGCGCCTAGACGATGTATTCAAAACCGGTGAACACACCCACGGCGAAACTTCGCATAGGGTAGGGACGGCAGGTAGTCTTAGGAGGGACTGGTTTTACCTCGACGCCATGTATCGACGTCCGGCAAGCGAGAGCATGGCGTCGGGGTATTGCTGGGGATACAAGGAGTATAGGGCTAGGGTAAACTGGACATAGTACGCACGTCGCACGATGTCGACTGTCTTCGTTACTGATCGAGATCCTTTGCGTCTAGCTGTTATTGTACACCTCGCACCCCAGCCTCTCCCTGGACGACGACTTTTGCGCGTACATGACGTATCGACATCTGGCGAACGAGCGCACGGCGTCGTGACACCGGTCGGAATTTTGGAATAGATTATGGGTTTGAGTTCGGGGACTCTTATTAGAGATCGTTTGGCACTATGCAGTGTGGATTTTTCAATGTACAAATGATCTGCGAGGTATACGACTGGTATATCGGTGTTCAAAGAAGCAGACGTGCCACGCAAACACTTCGTAACATATTGGTATGACTTACGTAGATCAACCCGACGAGGAATCGTCGCTTTCAGTGTTTCCTTACATGTTTTGAGTCGGGAGCATTGCCAATGAAAAGGTCGACTCGAAAGAGACAGCAATAGGGTTCAAGGACAAGATTCAGCAAGGTCGTACTCGCCTCGGCACGCGGCAGGCACTTGTAAAAGAAGGGTATGTCACGGGTCACAGGAGCCTCATTCGGATAGGTTCTGGGGCTCCAGGCGCCAAAAAAAATCCCAAATTGGGCCACAAATCGTGTAAAATAGCGTAAAATTCTCCGAGAGCGCTTTTTGCGCTGTTTTCAAAGGATCCTGATCCCTTTACGGTCGAGGATCTGCTCATAAAATCAACCTTCGTTCGGGTTCCTATTCGTACTTTTTATGAATGTCACAGTCCCAAATTCCGTATTCGTTCATTCGGCAAGGTCCAGGACCGTCACAGGTCACAAGCCATTCGCTCTGATCGAAATTATACAGTAGTCCGACGGATGCTTTATGGACCATGGCTAAATTCCCTTGCATATCTGATCTCGACCTCGAAATCGAAGATGGGCACTGCAGCTTGCTAAGGACAACACTTTTGACCAGGGCGGCAGAGCTTGTGCTGCCAGAGCTCAGCTCCCTCTATATTACCCGTCATCCCATCGACACGTATGGTTGCAGCGTCAAAGATCCTATCACACAGTTCCTACACAAGATCACTGCTCCCTGCCCAACTTCCCTCGGCTTCTTTTGTAACGACAATACATGGTCGCACACCGGATTTGTTGGTTTCATTACACGATCTAGACTCCAGGCCCGACTCTTACAGCTCCAACTTTGTGGGCCGGCATTCGAGGAGCACGAACTGATGGATACCCTCACCACGTTGATCCGGTTAATAACGCTCGAGATTTGGCTGTATTCGTCTACCTGACAGAAAATCTTCTATCTCGTCTTATTTTTTGTCCATATGAGACGGCTTTATTGCCTTCACTCAAAGGACTCTCGCTTTCGATAGATCATGTCCTGAGTCGCCCAGAGTTGCTTGTGAAAACCATTGCCTCACGTGCACATCCCCAGCAAGAGTTCCATCAAACGCCCGCAGATATTTGACTTGGAATGTCATAATTGTACCCGTGATGGCATCTTATCCCAAGTACGCAAGCTGCAGTCAGAAATGCTATCAGGGGATATTATTTGACTCTGCGGCACTGGGAGTAAGTAGCTGTTACATTTGTGAAGGTGCCTATGATGGTGATTGACATCTTGATAGGAGCTGTCGTGCTGTACTATGACAATGTTCGTTGCAGTAGTTTGAAAAACGATGTAGTGCTATGCATCCTAACAGTATCTATTGGTCTGTCAACAGCCCGCTTTCTCAATCACCTGTGGAAGAACTTGAGACTCATAGACTGCTGTCACAACTCCACGGCTGCCAGTTGCTTCGTAGAATCGTAAAACAAGGCAGTAATATGACTAAGATGTCAAGAGGAAACGAGAAAACAAGGAAAGCACCTAACGCCACCATCGATCTTGAAATGGGGCTCTTAGTCAGCGTGGTAGCTAACCTGGCAGAAGGAACAGGGAGATACGTTAAGATACTAATGTCACTACTCACTGACACCTAAATTTGATGCACTCGAAATCATGGGGCATTAGGGAGAAGCCGAGGTAGGAAAAGAGGGGAACAAACAGAAAGGGTTGAGAGCGGCATCGAAAAGCTTAGGATGTGCGCGACCCGGCCGCGTCGCGCCTACCGTATGACGAGGTATGACGTCTTGAAGGCACGTGAACGATCAAAGGTTTTCGCCCTTCCAACCCCGATTCATGCATCACAAGCAATCTAGCATTATATTCTCGCACTCGGACTCGGTCAAAGAGGATGATGGCAGAGCCATGCAATTACTCTTTTTTTGGTGCCGTATCGCAACGGCCTGAAAAACAAGCCAATCTGTTACTGGGAAAATGTCTGGTGACTCGACGTCCAAGGCTCTGACGGTTGTTTCAGGGCCGGTTTCCGAACTAATATGTGGAGGAATTCCATTTCCCACCAACTTCTTCTCGACTTCTTCGTTTGCATCCTAGTCATGCGTTTCTCTCTACGCACTTGACTCTTGGCTTGTCTTCCTGAGCGGACCGGAATGTCTTATAAAATGTAATCGACACCATGGACTGGGGTACTTACTGCCTGTGAGATGCTGCGCCCTTTCTCCGACGTATGTTTCTTACTCTCGAGTGCCCTCTATGTTGCTGCTGTAGCGCCGGCGGGGCCCTGGGATGCCTTCAATTATGCTCCGAGATCAAAGACTGTCCTTCCTGTCCAAGTCATCGCCAGCATCGGAAATATTCAAGTTACTGTCGAAGACTCCACCAATTCTATGACGCTGGCTAGCCAAGAGTCATACATTACACTGGACTTTTTAAAAGAAGTAACTTCATATTTTGAGCTATGTCTTTATCACTAATCATTTCGAACCGTAGGTCGGTGGCCTACTATCCTTCACTGTTGATGCGGCCAGCGAAAACACATCCTTGGCGTTATCTTTCTCAGAATCTCCCTTATTCATCAGTCCTCATCAATCTGATGACTCTTGCCATGCGAATCCTCTCATGAACGGCGATGGAGCGCAGATACTTTCTCTGCCCTCTCCGTCAGGGAAGGTAACCCAGACGTTAGCGCAGCAGAGAGGCGGTTTTAGATATCTGACAATAGCTACTACCAACGATGATCCTGTGTCCATTTCCGATGTGCTGGTCGATATTACCTTCATGCCTCATTGGAACGATCTCAGAGCGTACTCGGGTTATTTCCTTGCAGAGGATCCAGTGTTCGAGGATCCAAATTTTTTAACTAAATTGTGGTATTCTGGAGCATATACTGTTCAGACGAACACCATCGATCCAAATCAAGCCCGAAGTTGTGTGGCTACTAGCGGTAATTCAGGCTTCAAGTGATTTGCGTATTGTTGACTGACTTGCTGGCTTACTTGAAGGCTGGGATAATAATGGGAATGCAGGACCTGTATCCGGACCTGTCCTTGTCGATGGTGCGAAGCGTGACCGGTAAGTAGAAACCAATCCTGTTAAAATGCAGAATTTGATCGATATGCTCAGAACCGTTTGGCCTGGTAAATGATTATTGTCATCCGAATAGAATTTCCTCGTACTGACAACAAATAGGTGATATGGGAATCTCGACGCATACCCAGCTGGTGTCGACAAATGACCTTCTGGCCACAAAGAACTCTCTCATTGTTATGTTCTCTACTCAAGACCCCTCTACGGGCTCTCTTCAGTATTCCGGTCCACCCATCAATGCTCGCGGGAGCGACACCTACATTTCTTGGTCACTTATCGGTTCACACAGTTACTTCTTGTATACGGGCGATCTCGACTTCATCAGAACAATCTGGGCAAATTACACGTATGCGCTTGATTTCCTACAAAGCCAGGTCGACGCTACTGGTTTGATGAATGTACCTCCTGCATTCGCTAACGATTGGGGAAGAGATGGCGGACAAGGCCATAACTCTGCAGCTAATGCTCTACTTTATAGGGTGCGTACTACACCTTCTGTGGTTTTACGTTGGGCCGAATGTAACGTTGCCATTATTTAGACTTTGATTACAGCTGCAGACCTTGCGTCTCAGCTAGGAGAATCGTCACTTTCGGCTGCCTACCTTGCCAATGCGTCTTCAGTGAAGTCCGCTTTTAATGAAATATTGTGGGACTCGTCGGCTGCCATGTTCCGCGATAACGAGAACACGAGCCTCCATCCCCAGGACGGCAACTCTTTGGCAGTCCTCTACAATGTTACAGCCAATGCCAGTCAGAATGTAGCTATCAGCGAGGGATTGACATCGTTCTGGACACCGATAGGCCCTCTCAGCCCAGAACTGAATGATACCATAATTCCATTCGTAGGCGGATTTGAGGTTAATTTCTCTCTGTCTTTTCTAAGTTAAGGCGCAGCAACTGATCAAATTTCCAATGTCCATGATAGGTCCAAGCACATTTCGTCGCTGGGCAGGGAGAACGGGCGCTGGACCTGCTTCGGCAAGAATGGGGTTACATGTTATATACCAATATATCAGTGCAGTCCACACTTCTGGAGGGCTACACCGCTAATGGTTCGCTGGGGTACGTGCGTTGTACTTTTGATGTGATCAAGAGACTTATAGTTTGAAAACAGCTATCGGAGTGCGGCCGGGTACGACTTAGATCATGCTTATACCAGCCATTCCCACGGCTGGTCTACTGGCCCCACTTCTGCGCTAACGTTCTTTGTACTTGGGTTGACGCTCACAGGTCCACAGGGTTCTAGCTGGTCGGTAGCCCCTGTGCTAAGTGGACTTCAGTCGGCTGAGGGTGGATTCGAAACGTCTTTGGGCTGGTTTGGAGTAAAGTGGAACGTGTCATCAACCAACAACTTTACGCTCGTCATCGAAGCGCCTCTTGGCACCGTAGGCACTGTGAGACTGCCTTCGTCCAGAAATTTCATAGTCGACGGTGACAGTGTATCATCGGCATCAATGATTGATGACCGTCCCTCGTTTCGTCTTGAAGGAGGGATCCATACCCTTATCCAATCCTTGTAGAGGGCGATGCTAGCAGTTTCAAGTAACGTGTAACATCGCTCGATTATTTGTACTTGTGGCTTTTGTATCATGACTCACTGACTGCGCTGTATATAATCGCGTTAAAACAATGGATATACTTGACTCATACATACAAATGGATTTTGGTGGTACAGAAGAGGTAAAGGAGTGTGCAGAAGGTATTGTTCGGATATATTTAAACTGTGGTGTGTGCGGCAGTAGGCAGGTAAGGTTCTGTAGGGCCATTTTCGTCTTGTCGACGCCTTCTCACTGCCGAACGTATATAACGTGAGAAACGGCTGCTGCCCCCAGTACTGTGTGCATGACCGTCTGGGAGATTAGGATGAAATTCTTCATTTCCATCAACATCACCTGGCCTTGACAGCATCGACTCAAGGGCAAGGAAATCTGGAATGAAAAAAGAAATTCGTTTCAGACAGATCAAACGGTAGCCGTGCCGAAATACGAACCTTGTCGACAAATAGGACAAGAACTGGACAATTCCAAAAGCCAGGGATCCACGCATTGCTGATGGAACCGGTGATGGCCTTCACATGGCAATATCCGAACATCGTCATCTTCCTCAAAGTCCACTATGCAGATAGGACATATTTCCCGACCAATAGCAGCAGGCACAGGGACGTCTTCAGAGTTCTGGCCGGGTTGGCCACTACGAGAGTGACCCTCACCTTGACCATCATCGGAGGTGGAGGCTGCGGCGTCGGCGTTGTTTTCTTGAGTTTGCCGTCGCGACGGTCGACGAACAGCTGGCTGCCCAGCTGCGGCATCATCACTCAAGCCTTGCATCTGAATCGCGGCGCTAGTTGGAGCATGGGGGTCGACGGCTTCCGGATCCTTGAAAGCCACGTTTGGACCCCTTGCTTGCGAGCTACCAAACTTGACGATCGGAAACGTGTCTAAGATTGCGCGTGTAAGACCTTGCGTGCGGCTCTGGTACATCTCGCCTCCTCCACGCCTTCGAGGGCCGTATCTCTCGGGGTGTCGGATAGCACGAATCGCCTGGTATACGCATGGCGGTATTAGTAAGCTTCCACTGCGAGGAGGTAGAGGACTTTACACCGGTGACAATAATAACACAGAAGAGAGCGGATACACAACCTGTGATGGCGTATAATACAATCCTGCATCGGTGAGTTAGTGTGTAGCGTATCACCAGTGGAAGCGCTTACATGGCTAAAGCAGTATTAGAAGAACCCCCTTGCTGATCACTGCCTGATCCAGAACTACTACTTGTCGTAGATGTGTCATTATCATCGCCCGTAGCATTATATGCCCGTAAAGTGGCATACAGGAAACCAGATGAGGTTGCGTATCCAGAAGATATAGTCGCGTTCATAATTGCTGCTGAGTCGTTAAGCCTTTGAGAGTCGTAGGTTCCAGATATGCTGTCGTTAGTGGACCCTATTTGACCGAACTGGTATTCGATGAGATGGGCAGAAGTAAGACTTTGAGTGGAGAAAATATCGAAAACTTGGTCAAAGGTTTGTGGATCTGCGTATTCGGGGTTGATTACGCAAGCCGTTGAGTAGAGGGAGTAGAGAAGCTGCATGAAAAGAAGCTTGAGGGTTTAAATTGAGGAAGTGAGCCACGACGCTTACAGCTGCAACAGCACCCTTGTCGCGCGCAAGTGTGAATATATCGATCTCCTGAGAAGCATTCGTAGCGTTGAAGTCACAGGAAACCAGAGCGATCCAAGGAGTCGTCGCTGAAGAAATATTAAAGGTGAAGCCAGGAGACACAAAGCAGTAACTTGCTTGCAGGGGTATTGTTATTAACCGACGTCTCCGAGAAATGCACGAGGGCGCCCTAAATTTTGTGAATCATAGATGAGAACATCTCAAGTGCATCACGCACCTTGCTGATTCCCTGACTGTCGTGACCAACCAACTGATATGACACAGTTTCCCAGTACGATCTACAACTGACTTAGTCCAATTCTGGCTCCGCGGCGAAGTGCACTGACCCATTTGAATACCACTGTAAATGAAGCTTGGAAACATCCGTGATATTGAGTCCACCAGCTATTGCGTCTTGGGTCGAGTTTGTCGGTGAGGCAGGGATATAGGAATAGACTCCTGGCGACAAGATGATCAGAACGGAAATCAGAGTCCACAGATTCCCGGATTTCGTGCGCCGAGCGGTAAGGCATGAATGGACGCCTTGAAAGAGGAGCGATACAACGAGACTCCACAGTGAAAGCATCTCCCAAGGGACGCAGTGGCGAGGAAGACAGGATGGTCGTAGCTGGACGGGTCGTCGACAGCCGTCACCACGTGCATTGCTAGGGTCCTATTTCAAGTAATTGGCCGACTTGCCGTCTCACTTCCATAGTGTCTTAGTCAACTGTCCGTTGTGCCCCCCTAGTACTTGGCGGCGGGCGCAACGACGAAGAATGTTATCAGTATCATGTCAATATCAAACATGATACTTGAGAAGAGCCCTTTTTAATCTGAACAAAACTGCTCAACGGAAATCTGTTTGATGAATTTTGGCGCACAGCTGCGAGAAGACTGCTTTATCTAACCAAAACTACGTCTCTCACAAGGAGTACTTCACCACCTTGAGACCGCTTAAGACCAAGAGCTGTTTTGGTTGCCAGCGGGCCATGCGCCCAATTTTCTTGAACCACAAAGAGAATTTGGACGAATGTCTAATTGACAATGAATGTCCTCGACTATAGAGACGTTCTCAATCGCCGATTTATCCGTGAGAAAGATCTTCTACTTATGATCCGGTAAACAGGACGGACCAACCGAAACGAGGTGAGAAACAATCGAACTTTGCAGCTCATTGACAGATCTTCCAAAGATGATGGTCGTTGATTCAGACCGAGCGTTGGAGCTTCAAGTCGGTGAAATCATAACCCCAAATTCATATATTTTACAGAAGATTTTGGAGAGACAGTCCTTAGAGCAGCTTTCCGGTAGGCTTCGACCCTTGCAATCCCATTTGATGGTCATACACCAGATTGCCACGAAGATAGGTCTTTTCTGCAAGACCACGGAGTCTTTGACCTTCGTACGGTGATATTTTATTCTTGAAGTTGAGCGATTCTTTCGTGACCTGGAGATCTGTCAGTCAAACGGATACAGAGCGGCCTTCTTGAAAGATACATTACCACGAATTCAGTGTTTGGATTCCATATCACAAAGTCACCATCATATCCTACCGTCAATTGACCTTTGGAATGTCCTAAACCCGCATGTTCCGCTGTTCGGTGACTCGTCCACTTGATAATCTGTCCAATCGTAACGCCTCGTTTGGAACTTTCTGTCCAAAGTAAGCTCAGTCCAAGACCAAGCGTACTGATACCTCCCCAGGCGTTCATGATGTCTCCTTCATCGAGCTTCTTTAATTCCACTACGCAAGGACTGTGATCAGACACGACACAATCGATATCTCCTTCTTTTAGGGCATCCCAAAGAAGATCCCTGTTGCTGTCTTCTCGAATCGGAGGGCAACATTTAAACTCGGGATGTCCGTGAAGTATGTCATCGGCTGATAGACAAAGATAATGAAAACAAGTCTCAACAGTAAGTTTTAAGCCAGCCATTCTAGCCGATCGTATTAAAGGGAGAGCCGATGAGGCCGACAGATGGACGATGTGACATCTTAGAGATGGATACTCTTTCTGAAGGGAGGTAATCAAAGAGATAGCATCGAACTCCAATTTTTGAGGACGGGAGCCAAGAAATGTTGAGTATAGTCTCGGAGAAAGATTTGAATGGTCGTCATTGGCGGCTTCGGAATGATCATCAAGTTCAGCGTGGAATAGTAAGACTGTGGGGACGTCCTGTGATTGGCGGTACGTTAGTCTAGAGATAGAGCGGCAAAAATATCGCTCACTTGTAGAACATTCATGGATGCTCTAAGATCAGATTCCGCAACACAAGGGAATTCCTGATAAGGATTAGATTAAAAAATGCAGGGCGTTCAGGGCTGTGTACCCACTTCTACGCCACTTTCGATGAGGAAACACTTGAAACCTTTCACGCCTGCCTCGACCAGAGGTTTGAGGTGTTCCTGACGTGCAAGAGATTTAGTCTGGATCAACTATTCCATATTATATTACCATAAATCGTACCTGATTTCCGGGGATCACTCCGCCCCAGAAGCCGACATCAGTAAAACACTGTCCAAGGGCAGCGGCCTTTTTGGTATCAAGGTCGGCGACAGTAACTGTCGGAGGAATAGAGTTAAGCGGCATGTCTACGACAGTTGTAACCCCTCCCGATGCAGCAGCGCTGGTGCCCGTCCAGAAGCCTTCCCAATCCGTTCTACCAGGTTCATTGAGATGTACGTGAGCACTGGCAGCAAGAACGATTTGATGTTAGGGCAGGTTGGAGACAATCCCATCAGAGGCTTACTCAACAAGCCCTGGGAGGACATATTTATCGCCGGCATCCACCCACTGGATGTTATCCGGAAATGATGTCTTAGTAGCTCTGCCTCGATTGACCTCGGTTATTTTTCCCGTAATTGTATCGACGACGATAGTGGCTGGTTGGGGGGAGTCTGAAGCAGGAAGAAGAACATTTGTACTTGTGCACACAAGGAGATTCGCCATAATGTGGAAGATGATGGGAGATGCAGATCGAACTACGAAACGCCAAATAGGGGCCTGTCCGGATTTAGCACGGTTGTCTCCGTAGTCGTCGAGTCCCATCAATACTATACTCCATCAGTTCCTGCTAGCCAGGTGGCCATATGTTATCTCTGATCCTTCCCATGTATTTCATTAATTTATATTTACAATGTCACGCACACTCCATCAATCAGACAGTTATCCGGGGCTTCTCAGGACACGGCTGCGAGCTGTTGCACTGAGCGCACTGCACTGATGGTATCCCGCATCATTGGATTGAGCTAGCCAATATCATAAATGTGACACTGCTTATATACGCCGTTTGATATATATTCCCCCGACTCTCGAGATTTGGCATCCACCCCATCCTGCCTTTTTCAATGTCTTCCGAACTACAACGAAATTACTGCACTGTTGAACAACCTCAAGCGGTATCTCTACGCCGTCTGCCTAGTCTGCCAACAGCTCGGCAGGCGCGACCCCTCCCTCCTGTACCCCGTCCGCTGGCTTGCAGGCGTTGCAAGACGTGTGTAACGTCCATCGGAGTGTTACTTCCTTTGACCAAAGTATGTATCATGACTCCTGCCCTTAATATTTTCTCTCAACACGTCATAGTAGATCCCTGTTCATGCTCGCGCATTCAGAGGATTCAATGGGAAAGCCTCATTATTTACTGATATGTAAGTAACGTTGCTCCGTTGAAGACTCGCATTTAATATTGATCGTGGGCCCCCCGCAGTCACAATGTCAACCTTTCGCCTCCCGTAATGCATTTGATGAACACCGGCGCCCACACAATGCAGCAGATATCATGCCAGAAGTGTTCAGCATACCTTGGAATGCACGTCGTTCGGGCCCATAGCCATTCAGAACGCTGGAAGGAGGTAAGATCGACGGACTTTTATCATCAGGATACTCTGATAATCTTTTCCAAGGGTCACTATCTCCTGGAACTTGAAAACCTTACCGCCGTTGTGAAACGCCGGAGGATTCACCCACCATCCTCGTCCTCTGACTCTGACGACAGTAGCTGATTTTATGTTCTGTTGGAACTTCCTTTCGCTCTACATTCACGTTTTCGGCAGATACATCTTGAAGTAAATGTGATTACAGGAGAGTCTTCCCATCGAAAAAGATTTATTATTCATTGTATTATATCTTTCAACATTGAATGTACTTGTAAATATATGATAGCACGGTTAGCAAAGGGTGCAGCGCATAGATCATGTCGATAGCAAACCGACGGTACGACGGAAATACCGACATGTCCGAAAAGGCCACTTGGAGCTAGAAGGCGCCAATCCGTTACTTTGCCATTGCGAAGTACAACTTTCGATGCTGTTTAACAACTAGGTTACAGTAGTCATTACGACATGAACGATCTTTACCAAGTTGGATCCCGGCGCAACGTTGACTAAGTGGCAGTGCCACGAGGTACGGCTAACTCCGACCAATTAGATCACGTGATTCGATATTTTATTTCCAAAATGATGATAATAATAGCAACTCGAGAATATCGCAGGGTTATCTGCTGCGTCGAACAGCAACTTACTAAATCCAACTGCCAAGTGCCCGGAAAGCACTCTTCATGACATCGGGCAGGTAGTCAAAATACCCACAATGCCACAGGAGGCTGCCACCGCGACAGTTGCCGCTTCCTTGGACTCGTTGTTGTCGCCCAAGGCCCAGACATTCGACGTCAACATCCGAGAATCTGTGGCGGAATCCGATTTCAACGACGTAGTCCTGGAGGATGATTCTCGATTCTCGACTGTCGCTCTTTCTTCGAGGCGTAGTAGTTCCAGCGCAGGCTCGTCGGTACATACTTTGGACAGTCCTCGACCGCATAGCAATTCATCTACTCTGGAGTCGAGTTTCGAGGCTCCCAAGAAACCTTCTCACAAGAAATCAGCTTCTACAACGACGATACGGTCCAATCATAATCTCACGTTTCTTCTAGCAAAGCTGGAGGAGGATTCCACGAAACGAGGCAGCATCGACGGACAAATCAAACTTCAAGAGGGATTCGTTCGTTTACAAAAGGAGAAGGGAGATCAAACAGAGACTGAAAATAGCAATGACGCTGAGGTTATTGACTGGGGTACGTCCATATCTGATGTGTTTTGGATTTTTGCTGATGGCCAGTACAATAAAATAGATTTTTGGGGCGCTGTCATGTCTGGTGATGAAGATAGTATTCCCTGCATTTGCAACGTCTAACGCGCCCTTAGATTACCAACAATTTGCCTCCGAAGAACCAGAGAGACTTGCACAGGCCATCGCCAAAGGAATTCCTGGAACCCTTCGAGGCATGATGTGGCAGCTTATGTAGATGGATTTATCTATTTTGTGACAGTTGAAGCTAACGGTGAAGATGAAGGGCAGCATCGAAAGATCCTGAGTTAGAGAGCACGTATCTGAAGCTTTTGAAGGAGACAAGTCCGCACGAGAAAGCTATAACCCGCGATTTAGGCAGGTAAGCTCATGCCAAACGCTTACTGACGCATACCTCAAGTTTCAATGGACCAGAACGTTTCCTCATCACGACTTCTTTACCGACGGCGATGGCATTGGGCAGGAGAACTTGTTCAATGTCCTTAAAGCATATTCTCTGTATGTTTAATCAGGGGCGATGTTCGTTGCCGTTCTCGCTTATATATTCTCTTCTAGATATGATTCGCAGGTGGGATATTGCCAAGGGCTTCCCTTCGTAGTCGCCATATTGTTGCTCAATGTCAGTATCTTCACTTTGTTCACAATATAAAATCTAATGTATCATGCAGATGCCGGATGAGGAAGCCTTTTCCCTGCTGGTTCGGCTGATGTATGTTTACGATCTTCGAGGCCACTTCCTTCCGGAGATGCCGAAGCTGCAACTACGTCTGGTAAGATCTGCCTGCTTTACCACGACAGTTGGCACTCATGGTCTCTTATCAGTTTCAGGTCTGTTCGATTTCTTTCAGCAGACGGTACCAGAGGATGAATGGCCCCCTTTTCTCAGTTTGACCGTTTAGTGGAGGAGCTTCTACCTGTTCTTCATATACATTTCCTTCGCCAAGGTGTCAAATCCAGCATGTTCTGTTCACAGTGGTTTTTGACGATGTTCAGCTACCGGTTTGATTTGGAGTTTTCACATCCGAATCTAACTCACTTCCATTGTAGATTCCCATTAGACGTCGTTTTCCGGATATATGACAACTGTCTAGCAAACGGAATCGAGGCTATGTTTGGATTTAGCATCGCCCTACTTCGCAAGAACGAGGACTTACTTCTGGGTCTCAAGTTCGATGAGATCCTGACGTTTCTCAATACAAAGCTCTTTGACAGATACAAGGTTTGAGATCAATGCATATAGATTATAAACTTACTGAGGACACTTCTAGGTGCAGTCTGCTGAATGCGGAGATCTCCACGGAGTCAAATACAATGCAGACGAGTTCGTGAACGAGGCAGTATCACTTCGGATAACGCCATTTCAGTTAGATACGTACGGTCACGAATACGATGACATTATGGTAAGCGCATACCAGTTTTCAGTGCCGTCAGCTCAATATGGGAACAAGCGTGAAGCCAACAAGCATAAAGTCGAGATGGACGAGCTCAGGACAACGAATCGAAATTTGTCCGCCAAAGTGTTGGTATCTCTCTATTTTGATTATTCCCCGTTCTCATTCAAAGATAGCAAAAGCCTTGAAGCAGATTTCGCTCAACTGAGTACTGAGCACGTAGAACTGTTGGTAAGTAGTGTCTTGTGGTCTGCTTGATTTCTTGATGAACCTGTTCAGAACGAGCTTGTAAAAGCAAGATTACAAAATGAAGAAACGGAAAGTGAACTTGTCCGCTATAAACTTTTGTTCGTGGTTTTTTATGTTCAAGCAATGCCTGGCTCATGTTTTTTAGATATGCGGAAGCCATGCACCAAAATGAGGAGGGTCAGTCTTCTAATCGAATATCAAACTCTATAGCGTCCATATTCAGCAGGAGAGGTAGTAGCAATGTTTGAATCGTGTTGAATTCCATGTAATATGCATATATTGTATTGTTAGCACCTGTACGATTGCCGGAGGTTTCGGCCGAAGTCGTTCCATCTACTACCGGAAGCAGCCAAGCGTTTTGTCAAATGCTCCTCTTGCGGCGTCAATGCATAACCCATAGTCAAAGGGCGTTTCATCCTCTTCGTCCTGTCTCCAGGGATATATGGACCGCTCCAGCACGTCTTCGCAGGCGCACCAGTGAGTCCGGTCGTACTACCCAGGGTCGCAGTCGTGAACGGAATTCAACCTGGCTGGTTTATCCTGCAACGATTCTCGTCTTGTCTGGCCTCGGTTATGTAGCATATAACAACTCGAAGCCGTTCAAGCATACAGTACTTGCGATAATACGCTGCGCCAGAGTTGGAGGTACGTGTATTTCGATAAATGGGCGCGAGAATACTCATAGATGTGTTTTAGAGGCTGCTATACTCGGAGCCATTGACTACAAATGGACCTTTGCGGGATCGTATGAAACGGAGGAGGAAAGGATGCAGGCGTATTCGGAGTGCCATACACGAAGCGCAAAGAGAGTATTGAAGGCTCTACTGGCGAATGGAGGTGCGCTCTCTGATCAATCTAATTCGCTTTCCATCGTTGACATCGCAGAAGGTGTATTCATAAAACTGGGACAGCATATGTCGTCTCTTATTATGCTGCCGAGGGAATGGACCAGCATTATGAGGCCTCTGCAGGATCAGTGCCAGCCTACACCGTATGAAAATCTGGAAGGCCTATTTCTCTCGGATATGGGTGCATCCATAGACGAACTGTTCGATGATTTCGACCCAAATCCTATTGGGGTGGCCAGTCTGGCGCAAGTGCACGTCGGGCACCATCACGCTTCTGGTAAACGCGTTGCTGTCAAGGTGCATAACAACGAATATATCTTGAGAGCATCCTCTGACCCATCCATTAGCTGCAACATCCTCACCTAGCAGAGTTTTGTGATATTGATATGGCAATGGTTGAGGTTGCGCTGGGTACATGACTTTCTTCATTCAGGTGCACCACTTATGCCCTTCAACAGGATGGATCAAATACTGGTTTCCCGAATTTGAGTTTACTTGGCTCGGGGTATGGAATAAGCTATCTATTCGATTTCGTGAACTTGAATTATCTTTCTGCAGGAAGAGATGCGAGAGAATCTTCCCAAAGAAATGGATTTCGTCCACGAAGCAACTAACGCGAAGAAGACTGCCAACGATTTCAAAAATATCAGAACTTCTCTTTATATTCCAGAGGTCATTGTTGCAAAAAAGCGAGTGCTCATTATGGAATACATCCAAGGAGCCCGAGGTTCGTGACATCGCTGTGGTCAGGCAGTTATTAACAGCAGAATCATAGTGGACGATCTAGAGTACCTGGCCGACGCCAACATCGATCGTAATAAAGTTGCTTTGGAACTGTCTCGCATATTTAATCAAATGATTTTCATCAATGGCTGGTTTCACGCGGTACGCCTGTGTTCAGTGTTTGCCACTGGGCTAATAATACCACTTGCAGGACCCCCATCTGGGTATGATAAGCCATTTTTGATGCACTAGTATCAAGTTAACTCGGCATTTAGGGAATCTGTTAATTCGTCTGGCACCACAAACATCTAAGTCTCCCTATAATTTTGAAGTCGTACTACTGGATCATGGCTTGTACTTTGACCTTGATACGCCACTTCGTGTCAACTATGGCAAGTTTTGGCTCTCCCTCTTCGCCCCCGCTAGCGAGTCGGCCAATGCTGACCGCCGAAAATACGCTCAGTTAGTTGGGAACGTTGGTCCGGACTTGTATCCTATATTTGAAGCAGCCATAACGGGACGTGCTGGTTTAGAGGGGACTTTCGAAAGCGGTACTTTTGAGCGTGCCTCTGACATGATGAGTATATCTCCGCAAACTGAGGAGGAAGTACAGTTGATACAGAATACGATTATGACGCGAGAAGGGATGTTCGCATCGATTCTGCACGTCCTTAGACATGTCCCAAGGAGAGTACTTATGGTGTTAAAGGTCAATGACTTGTTAAGGTGAGAGGGATTCACATCGTTCTCTGTTTAGAGACCCTACCTCAACAATTTTTAGGAATCTGGATCACTCTTTGATGACGACGCACTCAAATGTATGTGTCATTTCGTTCATGTCGGTCTTTCTCCAACTTTCGCTTCCTAGGTCCGAATATTTTTGATCATGGCCAAGTATTGTATATATGCGGTATGGCAAGACGACCGGCTCCGTGTGATAGACAGCATAAGGGATAGAGGGTTGTTTTCCTTTAGCCTACTCTTCGACTATTTCAGGTGTTGGTGGTATGTAACAGACAATTTCTCTGTCACATTCACTTCATGACATGTCCATCAGGCGATACCAAAAATCATACGCGCAAGTCGTATTGGCCGAATCCATCATGGATATACAGGCCCACTCTGTGATCACGAGGGCTTGGATTCGTGGGTTGTTGACGAAAGGTTTTAGAGGCGCGCATTTAGCTGCAGCTGGTCTCGCATGAAGATGTCAAAAGTAGTATATGCACATTGCTCATCGATCATGATCATGCTTAATTCTATGTTTTTACGAGGTTGAGTACCGTTTCCCTGACTGTTTTAGCGTCCGCTCTTCCTCTCGTCTCCTTCATCACCCAGCCCACGATCTTGTTGATCACATTATGATGTCCAGCCCGGAGAGCCGCAACCTCGTCAGGCAATGCTTCAACAGCTCGCGTACAGACGAATTGAAGATCATCCCCGGAAGAGGAGGACATCGACATGAAGTTTAATTTCACCGCTAATTGTCGGACAGAGGTTTCCGGGGTAATTGACGGGTCGGTCAACATGTGCCGAAGTAACAACTTCCCCGACGGTCTCGTTACACTATTTGATGCAACAAGGTCGATCAATTCACCCAGCTGACGGGGTGTTATGTGTTTCGAGGTAAAAGTTTTATCTAGCATTGAGAGTTGTCCTTGTAAGGAGTGCAATATCCTGTTAGTTGAACATGAATACAAGTGAATTCGAAGTAAGTATCAACATGCCAATTGATGACGTTCTTGGGATCCCTATTTTTATCGGCACAGACCGCTTCAAAGTAGGCCACAGCACTGATATCAGTGTCTTGATGAGATGTTTCATCCAAACTGATATTGTTTTCGCTGTCGTATCCAATATCTCTGCCTGTGTCTAAACCCATGAGGACATCGACATCAATCTGAGTAACGCCAAAAGGCTCATAGGTGTCGACGAGACGCTTGCGTAGGGCATCCGGGAGAGCGGGAAGGTTGTCTTTCATTTCTTGTATTTGGGCCTATCAAGAAGACGGTGAGAGAATGAGCGCCATTGGAATGTCAGTCGTTTACCCTCCGAAACATGAAGAATACCGAGGTTGGGATCAGGCATATAACGGTATTCTGGGGCGTCCTCTTTAGAACGAAGTTTGTACGTGTCCCAACGATAATGATCAAAGCCCCGTGTCTCTTGAGGTACAGTGCAAGACGACATTAAGAGGGTCTTTTGCCTGACAATTTCGCAATCTAGAATGGTCGATAATTGAAGATAGACCGCGTAAGAAGCAACTAACTGATGGCAGCCACCATAAATTTGACACTATTGAGGTTTTTAATTTCGCAGCGAGTGCCAAAGGGTTCACCTGGGCGGTGTATCGAGACATTGACATCACATCGCATAGATCCCTGTTCTAATGTGTGAGCGACGGTAAAATAACAGCCAGTAGACCTACTGTGTCCATGTTCCCATCACTGGCACCAACAGCACGCAAAGTGGCTTGAAGGGCACGCACATACTCCGCGGCCTCGTCTGGCGACTGCAAATCAGGTTCTGTCACGATTTCCAGAAGGCCAGTCCCGGCTCTGTTGAGATCGATGAGGGAGGTTTGTGTTCGAGGGTCGAATATCGACTTGGCGGTATCCTACGATGCCATTGGCGATTAAGCTACAAAGAGAGGGTCTCAGGTCGCACCTGCTCCATTTGTATCTGCTTTATTCTGACCTTTCTCCCCAGCGTTGGCAAAGTAAGATAGCCATCTGTGGCTATTGGTGCGTAGTGCTGCGTTATCTGGTACCCAGATGGCAGGTCCGAATAGAAATAGTGCTTCCTGTCAAATGATGAACGTCGCTGGATATCGCAGTTGAGCGCAAGGGATGCCCTAAGTGCCAGGAGCAGGCATTTGGGGTTGAGTTTGGGTAGGGTACCAGGGAAGGCAGCATCGACGACGTTGAAGGTGGTGTTGGCCGGATGGGTCAACAGCGAGGTCGACGCACTCGAAAATAATTTTTGGCGAGACTTGATTTGTGCATGCGTTTCAATGCCCAGGACGACGTGCCAGCCATCCAGGAGCAGTCGCGACATGAATCAAGAGAACAAGACGGTCATGACAATCAGTGCGAAAGCAAAGGATAATGTACACGGCAAATAATACAAGACAAATACGACTACTTAAAATATTCACTTCTTCACCGTCGCAAAGAGTCGATCAATGGTATCCATACCATCCTTGAGCGTTTTCCACTGGAAAGACTGAGTAAGGTGGCACAGCGTACCCAAGAAAGGGACGGACCTGTTCTAGTGAAAGAGAAATGCCCTTCTTGCCTGGCTTTTCGTCTCCTTCTTGCCCATAGAACTCCCGTATATCGAGCAGTGGCATACCTTTGAAACTTCGGACAGTCGCGCGCTTCTTCTTTCCAAGATCGATGTATTTATCGCCGTCGGATGTCTTGTGCACGACGACTTCAGCATCAGACCGGGAGTCGTTGGGTGTCTTCTGCTATCCAGTAGGCGTGTTGATTTTAGTCAGGTCATATCAGTGGGCAGCGTCACCTTTGGCTTGGATTTGGTTTCAATGGGTTCGTCTTCATCACTCGACTCTTCTGCCTTCTTTGTTTTCTGGAAATCATAAACAACCAGCACGCGTCAGCTTTCAATGGCATGCGCGTACCTTACTACGCGATGACTTGGTTTTTCCCTTCGCCGTAGATGGCGCATCCTCATCACTGAAATGTTCGATATTTTTGGCCTATCTCGCTACTCAGCCACTGCACATCGAAGCAAAGAGACGCGATGTCAAACCTTGGTACGTTTCGGTTTGGGCTCAGAAGCATCGGACGCGTCATCAATGAAAGCTTCGTCCTCACTGGACTCAGCTGCCTTTCGCTTGGCCATTGAGCTTGTGAAGACGATGGAGAAGTTTTTTTTTGAATCTCTTGAGGTTGTAATCGTCAAGTTGCACGGACCAAGAACTTATCGCAGGATCACGTGTTTCGCGCCACCGCGGAGTCGGGCCCGTACCGGGTAGTACCGGCCTGGACCGTCCTGACATTGACAAGTTTCTTCGCGCTGAAATGCGCATGGTCGCTGCGACTAATACCGGATGCCGTAGATGCAATTGCTTACAAGAATCTACATGCAGATAAATACAAACTCCCCACTGTCCTGTCAGATATCCTTTCTGGAATGGAGATCTTTATTGCTGCATGTAAGCAAATACAAGCTCGGAACCTTTCGAGCATTGGGAGATGGTAGAGCCGATGGCTGCAAACGCTGCTACTCACGTCAGTCTTGGGATCAAAAAAAATAAACTGGCTACCGCTTATCGATAAAATTCTGTGCTATATGGAAGTTTGAGACAACGTGAAGAGCGACTCGACCTTTTTTATCTTTAGGAGCGAAAAAAAATTAAACAATGTGTGACGTGTCGTGACACATTAGCATTACAAATATACCCGATTAAGCAGCTGACGCGTGCAAGCCCCGTCTGAGGTTACCCACCGCCTCTTCGAGATCGCTCTGAGTCTCAACATCCTTTCATCACCATCCACCCCAGCCACCCCACACAAATTAACTGTGGCTCCGTGGATCCCACGTCTTCTGTGAACTCTTCGTGAAAATGAAGATTCTTCACAAATCTAAGAGGGCGGTGCCGCCGGTACAGTAAAAATTGTTACTGTATGATACGTTACTCACCGATGCGCGTCTTTTTGTAGCCGCCTCCTGTAGCAGAGCTTATCGCCAAGCTTCAGAACACGCCAAATGAAGAACTTCCCAAAACATTAGGAGACATTGTCGTCTGGAAGTGGCAGCGTTCAGACTTGAACGCTTGGATAAAGGTCTTGAACAAGTTTGACGCCATTCTGGAGGAGTTGATTCGCGATTACACTATCGACATGCTTCAGATATCACCTTTCACGCCAGAGAGCCGCAGTTTACTCGCAGAGATACTGAGGTTTGAGCGCCTATTGCTAGAGAATTCAACAAACCGAAAGATGTTCAATTCTTACGATGTCAGTCGAACTGCTTCCTATTTCCCTTGCACTTTATCTGAATGTACCTTTCAGCGCCTCAACAGTCTCCTTTTTACGTCTGATCTGGATATCCTCATCCTCACTCTCAAGCTGGTGCTGCGACCGTCGCAGCAGTATTCAGCTCAACCATCTGTTTCACAAGCGCTCAATATTTCGACACCACGACTTCAATCACTTGCAAAGCGCTGGCCTCATCTTAGGGAGTATGGAGTAGGCCTTGTCGATCTCTCGGTCGGCAAGGATTCTTCAGATGTTGAAGCCCTTCCCGTGGAGGCCCGGGAAGTACACTTCACATACTACAGGACCGATGCCGGTTCTAGCAGTGAGAAAGTAAAGGGCATGGATACAGATGTTCAAGAAGCATCTAGCTTCGCAGGCGAAGACTGCGCCACCTGGAGCGGTCAGCATTCACATCGATGAGTCAACATTACAGTCCAAACCGGAGATGGAGATTTTGGCCGATGCAATCGAGAATTACTCGGTACCGGATTCCGAGAAATTTGAGCTACTCTGTCGGATCCGTGCTGCTGTGGTACTGATGAAGGGGAAAGAAGATGATAGAGAGAAACTGGTGATCATTCGACTCCTGGCCATAGCCATCTTTGGCCATACACATCCAGAAGCTCAAGCAACATCCTCTATTTTCCTCTACGAACCCGACTTGATTACTCATGTCGCTGAGTTACTCCAAGTTGACAAGGACATCCCAATCGCTGTTCAGACCGCCGCTATATCTGCACTCGACGCGCTCGCGAGATACCGGTCAAAGATCCAGGAGGTTTTGACATCAGTGAATGCTGGGGTCAACCATGGTATCCTGATGGGTCTGTTGCGCAAGACTGTGGCCGATATTGCCAACCCCGAATCATCTGTCCCGAACTCATTCGCGGAAGCCTTGCTGTCTTTCGTGACCTTTATTCGCTTCTCATGCATCCGGAGGCAATATGGTTGTAGGCGCCGGTCTTATCCCTCTCCTTATCCAGATTTTGGAAAACAGGCTTCCGAATCGCCTGTCTGTTTTGTCGAAGACCATGCAGTTGGTTGATAACGTGCTATATAGTTTCACCAATGCTTTCAACCTTTTCTGCACATCGCGCGGTGTTGATGCTCTGGTTGAGAGAATCGAGGTCTGTTGATTTATCTTGTGAAGTTCTATTCTAACCATTATATCACATAGTTTGAGATCTCGTTCAACGTTAAGGAACATGGAGATCATCAGAAGTCTCGCGAAATATACGGATCTCACAGTGCGATTATGAATTACTCCGTCATTTTGTTTCTCTGATCCCGTCTACTTAGGTGAAATACCTGTTGCGCGCGCTGCAGTTCTCAAACATATCCTGCGGTCAATGCATCGCATGATGCAATCCTCAGGAACATCAGAAGGTCTCCGGGGGTTAATTGATACCTCCATTCTGAAATCCATCAAGAAGATAATTGAGTATCGCGGGCTTTTTGGTGCAAGTGTTCTGCCGATAGGTACGTTACTGCGGTCAAATATCATGTCAAGGTATTGAAGGCGTATAGCGATCAATATCATGGCAACCTTTGTGCATAACGAACCAACGTCTCTTGCTGTGATTCAAGAAGCTGGTTTACCAGAGGCTTTCTACAAGGCCATCGAATTAGGCTTGGAGCCGGCCATCGAGGTACGAGTTCATTGTAGAGCTTCATTGCGGTCTGTTAACCACATATATAGGTCATACAAGCCATACCTAATGCAATCGGTGCTCTTTGCCTCAACGAAGTGGGCCAGGCTCAACTCACAGCGAGACCAAGCATTATTCCTTCCATATTCTCCATATTCACCTCTGATCGTCATTTGAAAGTCCTCCTTGAGAAAGAAAATGCTGTTCTCATAGGTACTGCAATCGATGAACTCGTTCGTCATCATCCTATTCTTAAGGGACCAGTCTTCGACTCTCTACGAGCTACGCTGAGCAAAATTGAAGACCTAGGCAATGCCTTTGAACCGCCGGAGGAAGCGAAACAGTGGTATAAGCTACTCGCCGTGCCTACCGTGGAGCCTTCAGACGACGACGTCCCGATGGAGGACGTCCAAACTGCTGCCCAGGCATCTACTTCAGCTACAAGAACGTCAGAGGACAAAAAACATTCCTCTCCAGCCGAAGAAGGTGCACAAAAGGCTCATGATAATCACATTGTGTCATTTATTGACGTCTTGGGTCGTGTAAGTTGTTCCACTACAATTACTGCTGAAGACGCATGTTCACTGAATTCATTGTAGTTCCTCGAAGGTCTTTTCCAGCATACACCACATTGCAGAGACTTCCTTTCCTCTACTGATGGCCTCGCCAGCTTGGGTAGACTGACGGCTCTTCCTTGTCTTCCATACGATTTCGCAAACAGCCTTGCGTCAGATTCTATGGTTCAAGTTATGCGTACGATGACTGAAGTAGCAACAAGCGAGACGCTTCTTCACTTGGCGAAGCTAGTCAAGGAGTCACTAGATTTGACCCAGACCTTCTGGGGTACTTTGGAAGATAAATCTAAACTTCTACAATTTGTTGACCTTACAAGTGAGTCGATGATATTTGTCCATTGACAGTCACATTTATGAAATCTGTACCCAGGTGAAGAAGAAGTAAACGCCAACTATTATTTCCGGAACTTGGTGACGTTGCACGTCCGCATTACGCTTTTGTCAGATGTTTTTGCGACGGCTGGATACGCGCACGGGCGTGCCGCCATCGGCCTTCTCCAGACACTGATGAGTAACAATGCTCCCCGAGTCGTGAAAGATCTTGGAGCACTTCACAGGACCAGCATTTGGGAGAACATTGTCTTGAAAGTCGGTCTTTCTGCAAAAGGCATTGATGTTTTACAAACACCGTCTTTGTCGCCCCTGGAGAGATCTCCTGATCAACTTGCTATCGGCTTACCTGATACGGCCGGACCGGCACCCTCTGCCGCGACAAATGGTACCGTTGATGGTGCACAATCCGGCGCTCCACCTTCTACTACCAAGGAACCCGAGATTCCTAAAGCTGGCAGTCCTAGGGAGCACAATGCAACGGCGCTGAAACATTTGACTCACGGATTACCGAGTTCTCTAGCACCATTTTTCCAAGGTCAGTGTTTAGAATGATTGGACTTTACTATTGACTGATCTCGCTTTGAATAGCTATGGTCAAAATGTTCCATGCTCGAAGGACGCCCGACCCTGCGCAGAAGAAACAAATGGCGGAATCTTCCGCCGTTGTTGCTGACATTCTGTTGAAGCATTTGAATGTCGAGAATCTTGGTTGGTATAATTTTCATGTCGTGGTCCTTTAGAAGCTGAACGCTGTCATAGGCGACAAAACTTCAACCTTTGCGTACTACGCTATCATTCTTGGTCTAATGACGATGCTTCTTGTCGATGGTCTGTGCTTTATCTATTATTTTAATGACCTTGTCTTAATCACCATTACAGAACGTACCACCACAAGCACTTTACATACTGTTCAAGTTCTCGCTTTTTATCGTGCCGGGGGTCTTGAAGCTGTCTTTGAAGTATGTCGATCCTTCACTTCATCTATCGAATCCATTGCGTCGATCAAAGAGGAGGTTCGATCGGAAGCGGAGGCAAGCGAGTTGTCCCATGCCTATGGTGGGCTTAAAGTAGCGCTGCATCTGGTGCATCCCCTCATCTCCTCGAAACCTCTCTTTGATTCTGGACAAACTGCTCTCCTCGTGAGTCGCGATGTCAGGGAAAGTGAACCGGAATATTTCGAGCCCCATAACTTCCTCGTTCGGCTGCGGACCGCCTGTCTGCCATTCTTGCGTGGTATATGGGAAGCACCTTGGCTCATCCAGGCGCCTCTCTTCGTCAGCAGATTTGTGGTCCAGTCAGTCTTGGAGCTCATCAATGGTGACAGTGAGGAGACGAAGGGAGAATCCGAATTGGGCCCTCTCCCCACGGGAATTACGCGTCCCTCAGGACTCGACGAGAATCGTATTCGTCAATTGACTGATATGGGTTTCCCTCGATCGGCGGCCGAACGTGCATTGACGCGTACACACAACAATGTCAATGCTGCAACGGAGCTGCTTCTAGCGCATCCGTTCCCTTTCCCACCTGATCCAGAACCAACTGCACGACCTGCTTCCGCCGAGATACCTGCACCTACGGCTCAATCCGACGATAGCAGCCCAGCGCCGGAGTCGTCTGATGCTGCCTCCACCCCTCTCCCCGAAACGCCAACGGGAAAAACAAACGAGGAGTGGCAAAAGGAGTTGAATGAAGCTAGAGAGCCTTTGAAGGCTGGAATCAGTCGCCAAGCCTTGTTGCTCGTTGATGAGCATCTCTCGCTCATTTTCGACCTGCATGTGGCCTTCATAAGGCCGTCAAGCGTGCATCAACGAAAGGCTGTTCAAGATCTTGTCGACGATATCAAATCGTTCTCTCCATACGCGTATGATGTACAGGAGCAACCACTTGCAAATCGATGCCGACTGCTGGCACTCGTGCTCTGTGAGACGCCTTCGTCGTTAAGCCCCGAACTTCGGACGACATTAATGGACAGTCTCCTGGCTCTGCTACTGTCTAATCCCGTCAGCATTAACCCCGATCACCCATCCATTCCTCGTTGGCTTGCTGCCCATCTACTTGTCACTGAGGCACTGTTCACTCTGGCTGATGAGCCTCGAAGTATCACGGTCCCCAAAGAGGGTGAACCTGTTGTTCCGGAGGGTATCTCGACAGGACCCCCTCTGACGGAAGCCCGGACCATTGTGTTCGATTTCTGCATGCGCCTACTCGCCATTCCTGACCTCCCAAGCGATGAGTTGCTTTCGACACTGCGGCTCCTTGTCCTGCTGACTCGTGACCATACGGTGGCTTCGCACTTCGTGAGCCGTGACGGACTTGATATGCTCTTCCGGAGGCTGCGCGCTTCTGCTGTTAACGGAAGTTCCTCTTATATCGCGACTATTCTTCGCCACCTCGTTGAAGACGTTTCGGTGGTCAATAAGATCATGCATCAATCCATCAAACGATACTTCACTCAACTTCGTGGGCGGCTCTCGGAACCTTCCATGTATGTTCGCAATTGCAGCGCAATGGGGCTTAGGAACTCGGAGCTTTTCATTGAAGCGACGAAGTCTTTGTGTCAACTATCTTCCCCCTACTCCCCCAATCCACATTTGTCCTTGAGGGGTGACGTAGTTGACGATAAGGCTGTGGCCAGTGTTGATGCTGACATGCAAGTGGATGGACATGCTGCTGCACATGCAAAGCCCTCCGACTCTGCTGCCGCAACAGTTCATTTTCTTATTGGGGAACTCATAGCTACGAGCCGAACGACAGTAGAGAAGGAAGAGGCTGAACAAAAGGCGAACGATAGCACAGAGCTCTCAAGTTCGGATGCTAAGGATAAAACACAATACATGTGTTTCCTTATGCAATGTCTGACTGAGTTGCTCTTTTCTTACGATGCCTGCAAGTTTGCCTTCCTGTCTTATTCCTCCAAAAAATCTAGATCCCATGGAAAAGAGGCTGTCAATAAGTCGCGGACAGCGACGCTTAACTTCTTCCTGTCAGACCTCATCGCATATGAGACTATCAATCCTCAGCCAGATGCAGACTGTCGCCAACGGATGCAAGTATGCAATTGGGCCATGTCTGTTTTGGTGGCGTTATGTGTTGATAGTTCATCCACACACGAGCCGAAGGATGTCCCCTCTTCGCTTGTCTCGGTCAGGAAGACCGTCCTCGATGCCATTGGAAAATCTATCAAGGATCTTCCAGCTTCCGACAACTTGGAGGCTCGATATGGCCGACTACTGGCACTGGCCGACCTTTGCCATCGCCTATTGACAGTTCGTTTCAACAACTCCGCTTCAAGGAAACAGCATGATGAAGGACCGACACATATGGCCAAGGTCATGCTCGAGAAGAATTTCGTTTCAACCCTTACGAGCGCCCTTTCAGAAGTTGATCTCAACTACCCCAATGTCCGCGGCCTAGTCATATCCATCTTGCGTCCCTTGGAACACCTGTACGGTTTTGTTCCTATAAGTGAGTTTTCAAATATCTTATTCAACACTTTTCTAGGACCAAAATTGCCATCAAGATGAGCAGAACAACGAGTAAGGGTAGAGATGTTATTGACGAGGTGAAGGCAGAGAGTGTTGTATCTATGGATTCAGATGACTCCGATGGACCTGAAGAGACACGCGAAGAAACTCCAGATCTGTACAGAAACTCTGCGCTGGGTATCTACGGCGGTGTACGTGCCATTTTAAAATCGAGAATGATGATACTGACAAATTAACTTAGGAAATGGAGGATGTGCATTTCAACGGTGAGGATGACATACATGAAGATGACGATGACGATGAAGACGACGACGAAGAGATGGACTTTGCTGACGAAACGGGAAGTGAAGATACATCGAATACCGCTGATGAGGGTGACGACGATGATCTCGAGGAGCAGGTTCCTCATGGTGATGGTTGGGAGCAAGACGAAGATGAGGACGAGGAGGATCTGGTGCACAACGAAGATGAGGACGACAATGACGAGGAAGACGACGATGAAAATGATCGAGGGGATGACATCGAAGGGGCAGAAGGGGACGAGGAAATGATATGGCAGGTAAGCTTATTTCTGTGGTGAGCTCTCATTTGGCATTCTCATTGTCGCTCAGGATATACATGGCGTGAATGCTGATGCTGGTGGCGATGATGGTGACGACGAAGATGAAGTAGCCGGTACGTGACCTAATTCACCCTAATCTCCACGAATTCAACGTTTCTATGTAGGTCCCATCCAAATCATACATGAAGATGATGAAGACGAGCCCGAAATGGTCTCAGATGATGAGGAGTAAGCTAGTATACTTAAGTTCGGTTAACACAACTTTCTCACATTTCTAGTAGATTTGGTCAAGATATGGAACTTGAAGGTCACGACTTCGTAGGAGACATCTTTGGGTTTTCCGACAACATCAATGATGGTGCAGGCGTGTTTGTGCCTCGGCGACATCGAAGTTCAGGTTCGTGTCAGTTATGTGTATCACGTTCTTGCTCTGATTTAACTGATATAGCTGATGACAATGTTCAAGTATTTGGACGCGCGCGCAATGGTGCTGCACCTCCGCCTGAGGCAACTACCCATCCTCTTCTCCTGGACGCGTCGACCGGGAACCGTTCTTTGACTTCGCAATCCCGTCTTTCACGACAGCAACCTCGGATTATCGCGGACGGCAACAACGAGCTGTTGCAAACTATCGAGCAGCTTGTTGGCGGTGGCGCCGTACAGCTCTTCCATCATATCATGACTCGAGGCCGCGGTGGAGGCGGTCCCGAAACCATACGACTGGATGTTCCATCTGGAACTCTAATGAACTTAGACCGAGGTTACCTGCAGCGCCGAGCGGGGCCGGTCATCTCCGCCTCCGTGCGAGTGGAGCGAGGCTCACGACCGAATCAAGGAAATGCTAGGGATCTGGACCCTCTATTGACACTGCAACGGTGGACAGAGGAGGTTAAAATCCTTCACGGCGAATTTGTCGCTGAACGAGTAGGGAAGCTTGCGAACCATATCACTGTGGCACTCCTTCCTGCAGCAATCGAAGCCGCCAAACAGGCTAAGATTCGGGAGGAAGAATTGGCCCGTGAACGAGAAGCACAAGCCAAAGCGGAGGCTGCCGACAAGGAAGCGAAAGAAAAGATGGAGCAGGCCGCGAATGAGGAGGCAGGGAAACAAACGACGCCTCCGCAATCACAGTCCACTTCAGAGGACCTTTTCCAGAGTGTTGCTGTTCCTGTTGTTGGTCAAGAAGACCACCCGATGGATGATGCGAACCCTACCATCGACACGGACACCGAAATGATTGATGGGACCACCCAGGCACCTTCTGCTCCCGAAGGGAACGCAGATCCAGGAGACGCTTCGAGCAGTCAAGTGGAGGCGCCTGCTCGTGTGACTGTTTTGATCAACGGGAGTGTTGTGGACATCACCGATACGGGCATCGATCCTACATTTTTGGAAGCGCTGCCAGATGATATGCGAGAAGAAGTACTCAATCAGCATGTCCGTGATCAGCGCGCCGCCAGAATCGAGAGACCTCCCGATTCCCAAATAAGTGCAGAATTCCTAGACGCGCTACCTCCGGAATTGCGCGCAGAGATTATTCAACAAGAGGCGGTCGAGAGATCGCGACGACGCGCTGAAGGCGCAGAACCGCAGGCAACCGGCCCAGGACCAGTAGATATCGATCCTGCTAGCTTCATTGCCAGCCTGGATCCTACGCTGCGTCAAGCCATTCTATTGGACCAAGACGATGGGTTCATTCAATCGTTGCCGTCGCACATGATTGCGGAAGCTGGTGTGTATCGTGATCACCAACCTCGAAGGTTCCATATAGGAAGCAACTCTTCTCTTCGGCCCACATTAGGTTCCTCCGCGCCTCGAAAGTTTTCGCCGCAGCATGATGCCATCCAGTTACTCGATCGCCAAGGCATAGCGATACTCGTCCGGTTGCTATTCTTCCCGCAGGTCCTCAGAAAGAGTCTTCTGTTTAAAGTGCTCGTAAATCTATGCGAAAATGCCAAAACTCGAACAGAGCTCTTCAATCTTCTCCTGAACATTCTTCAAGATGGGACGGGAGATCTCAGCGCCGTTGACAAGAGCTTTGCGCAGATGTCATTCCGGAATTCAAAACCGCAGAAAGCCCTCGGAAAGCAAAAATCAGGATCCGATTTCGTGACAGCTCTCACCCTCCCTAATGTTCCCAACGAAGCAATTCCCGATCTAATTGCTCAGCGTTGCCTCGATGCTTTGGTATATATCGTGACTGCCAACCAAATGGCATCTCTATTCTTCCTTACTGAACACGAAGTACCGGCAGGGCTTCGAAAGGCAGCCTCGAAGAAAGGGAAAGGAAAAGAGAAACAAATGCCACAGAGTCACTACCCCATTGTGCTCCTCCTCGGCTTACTTGATAGACAGTCTCTTCTTCGTACCCCATCCATCGTAGAATCGGTGGTAAGCCTTCTTGCGACAGTGACGCGACCCCTTAGTAGTATCAAGGAGAACAAGAAGCTTTCTGATTCAGCTGCGGAACCGCAAGTTCAGCCCTCACAGTCTCAACTCTCCGAGACCGTTGAAGGCACTACTGAGGTAACTAATCTAGCCCCTTCTGGCGCTGGAACTAGTGAGGCCATTCCAGAACCATCGACATCTACAGGTATGTGAATTTGCTACGAAGATCGTAGTTTTGCTGAAGTTATTAACCAGGTGTAGGCAAGGACAAGAGTCTTTCCATCGAGGCGGTCGAAGAGAAAATCCTCCTTGCAAACCCCCCACAAATACCTCATGGCGTCCTTCGTTTCATTGTCAACATTCTTACTGTTGGCGAATGTTCTGCTCGAACATTTCAGCAGAGTTTGGCCCTCATTCAGCATCTGTCCAATATACCTGATGCCCGTGATGTGATTGCTCAAGAACTGAAGTCGAAAGCTCAGGAATTCGGACAAAATCTTCTCGCCGACCTCGATGAACTTGTCGCCGCATTGTTGAGTGCTCAGGGCGACGTCATGATCAGCTCCGTCGCATCCAAGTTTTCTGCCCCCTCTTCGACACAAGCGAAGCTTCTTCGCGTTCTCAAGACCATTGACTACATGTATTCTCCCAGGCCATCTGCTGCCAACGAAGGTGGCAATGACACCGAGAAAGTGCAGAGCATCTACGAGTCCTTCCGGTTCGCGCCTCTCTGGAAACGATTGGGAGATTGTTTGGCCGTCATTGAAGAGAAGTCAGATATGGAGCATGTCGCGACCGTTCTTCTGCCTCTCATTGAGGCTTTGATGGTAGTTTGCAAATATGTTGGTCCTAAGGCGTCATCGTCTGGTACTGCTCGAGCACTACGGGCAACATCTTCACCAAAGAGTCCCACTACACCGTCAGAAGCCATGGAAGACCTCTTTGTCACTTTCACTGATGCACACCGCAAAGTGCTCAATGTCATGGTTCGCAATAACCCATCCTTGATGAGTGGCTCTTTCTCCCTTCTTGTCCACAACCCCCGCGTCCTTGACTTCGACAACAAGCGCAACTACTTCTCGCAGCAACTGCACCGTCGTCCTCACACGAGAGATCATCATAGCACGCTACAGCTCAACGTTCGCCGAGCGCGGGTGTTTGAAGACAGTTTCCAGCATCTGCAAAGGAAGACTGGAGACCAAATCAAGTATGGGAAGCTGAGCATCCGGTTCTATGATGAGGAAGGTGTTGATGCCGGAGGCCTTACGCGAGAATGGTTCCAAATTCTCGCTCGCCAGATGTTTGATCCCAACAATGCCCTCTTCCAGCCTTGTGCTGCCGACAAACTTACCTATCAACCTAACAAGAACTCGTGGGTTAACCCAGAGCACCTATCCTTCTTCAAGTTCGTAGGGCGGGTCATTGGGAAAGCTATCTATGATGGCCGATTGCTTGATGCCTACTTCGCAAGGAGTCTATACAGACAGCTTCTCGGCAAGCCGGTAGACTACAAAGATGTTGAGTGGGTGGATCCTGAGTATTACAACTCTCTGTGCTGGATTCTGGAGAATGATCCTACCCTCCTTGAGCTGACATTCAGTGTCGAGGCTGACGAGGTATGTACATTATATCATGCACCTCCTAATTTTTTATTCTGACTTTTCGCAATAGTTCGGCGTTAATCGCATTATTTCTTTGAAGGACGGTGGCGAAAGTATACCGGTGACCCAAGAGAACAAGCGGGAGTTTGTCCAACTCTCCGCTCAATACCGGTTGTATTCTTCCATCAAAGAGCAGATCGAGAACCTCCTGAGCGGCTTCTACGAAATTATTCCAAAGGATCTGGTCACTATAGTACGTTGTAATTGATTTTCGTCAACTCCGATACTGATCGGTGCTTCTAGTTCAACGAGCAAGAGCTAGAGCTTCTGATTTCAGGTACTCCCGACATCGATGTTGATGAATGGAGAGCTGCAACAGAGTACAATGGATACACGAGCTCCGATCCTAACATTGTTTGGTGGTGGCGAGCTCTTAAGTCGTTCAACCGGGACGAGCGTGCAAAGGTCCTCAGCTTCGCAACAGGGACATCAAGAGTTCCGCTTAACGGCTTCAACGATCTGCAAGGGGTCCAAGGGGTCCAAAAGTTCTCAATCCATCGCGCATACGGAGAATCAGACCGGTTACCGCAGGCGCACACATGTAAGCTGGTCGTTTGAGTTGTTTATATTCAGTGCTCTAATTCAACACGACGATAGGCTTTAACCAGATTGATCTTCCGCAATACTCATCGTATGAGATGCTTCGACAACAAGTGCTGCTGGCAATTAGTGAAGGAGGAGAAGGATTCGGATTTGTATAATGTTCACGACTAAGAGAGAGAAATAAAAGCAGATATCATTACTCACCATCCTGTAGCTCATTCATCTCATTGTATATACACACTCGCATTGTTCAATGTAACGCTTTCTATTGACGCTTTCACTTTTTGCACTTTTTGGCGACGGCTGTTACCAATTTTCTTCTCCGGCTCTGCCCTCTCCGGCGGTCGGTTATTACGAATACCGAGTATAACATGTCATACCCCGCTTTGCGTCTTTCATGATAATAAGGCTAATAAGGGATGATACCTGTGACTACGACCTTTCTGTTTCCACACCATGCGAGGGGTGCTAGTCAGTGAACTCGCCCATCCGTCAAAGATTCCGCTCTCTGTTGATGTACCAGAGCCAACGCTCAAGGAGAACGAGGTACTTGTTGATGTGTACAGTGCTGGCCTCAATTTTTTCGATGTAAGAGCTACGTACTCTTCCTGTTACGAATGAATATCAATGTGTTTCTAGATCTTGCAAATGCAAGGAAAGTACCAACGGAAGCCCCCACTGCCGTTCGTGGCTGGTGCTGAGTTTGCTGGGAGAATTGCCAAGAACTCGCCGATTCCAAAGGGATGTCCATATAGACCTGGTGATCGTGTTTTTGGTGCTACACAAGGCGCTTTTGCAGATAAGGTGCGCTTCTTCAAATATATTCGCGGCTGGACTAACCCAGTCGTGGCTCTTAGGCGCCTGTATCTTGGAAGGACATCTTACCTCTGCCGGATGCGCTATCCTACGAACAGGGTGCAGGTACTGTTTATCAGTTCTGTCAGAAGTATCCCATTTAACAAAGCTTCCAGGTCTCTATGTTACGTGGCCTACTAGCTACGAGGCACTGGTAGGCAGAGCACAGTTAAAAGCTGGTACGCTCATAGTCTTATCCGGCGTTTACTCGGAGCTGGTGACATGTTCTGTATTTTCAGGTGAATGGGTTCTCGTCACTGCGGCCGCAGGGGGTGTAGGAATCGTTGCCGTACAGCTTGCGAAAGGTACCTCATACGTCTATCGCCTCGGATGTTAGCCCTGCTGATAACTGTCCAGTCCTCGGTGCCAAAGTCATCGCTGCAGCCGGTTCTCAAGAAAAGCTCGACATTGTAAAACAGTACGGTGGAGCTGATTACACCGTTAACTATACCAATCCGGACTGGCCCAAGGAAGTCCTCAAGATAACAAACGGGCATGGCGTTGATGTCATTTATGATCCAGTCGGACTTATCAAAGGTTGGGCTTATTCGCTAAACTTGACCTCCGGTAGCTCGAGTTCTTTCTTAGACTCTTTGAAATGCATAGCATGGAAAGGGAGAGCATTAGTTATTGGTTTCGCTGCCGGCACCATTGAAAAGGTTTGCTATTTCTGTTTCCAGATGTTACCGCCCTTCGCTTGATATATCGTTAAAGATTCCTATGAATCTTGTCCTTCTAAAGAACGTATCCATCGTGGGAACACATTGGGGTGCCTACACAAGTGCGTTGCTGCCGTTTACATCGTTCTATACGAAATTCACGGGTGAATCACATATAGCACAAGAGCCGAGCCACATTCCTACCGTTTGGAAGGCCGTTCTCGAGTGAGTAAACTACATCTGCTGGTCAACTTCCTTCTAGTGACGAGTGTCAAAAGTTTACTCGCTTCTGGTCGCGTCAGCCCCGTCAATTACACCGAAGTATACACGCTAGAAACCATCCGAGATGGCCTTGCTGCGCTGGAGAACAGGAAGACGTGGGGAAAGGCAATCGTTAGGGTCAAAGATGAAACGGAAAAGGCGAAGTTATGAGCCTTTTTGGCTATTGGCCGTCGTCAGATAATTGTGCAGATGTATGCTCACTTCCATGTGCACCTATCACATCCTCTCGGACGACTTAGTCCTGGTTCACCATAACAAAATAGTTTGTGAATAATATAGTAATGCTACCAATTGATTTCTAGGGTAAGATTATAAACAATATTTACTCTTCTTTTTGCGCATTGAAGCATTTACTCTATCGGTTGAAATCCCATATCCCATAGATCCTGCTGGTACTTTTGTTCTAACAATGTGTCCTGCTCGTCTAGATCAGACTCCTCTTCCAGCTCTTCCATTAACAGCTCTTCGTCCGTGTCAGACGACATAAGTATATCCTCCGAAGACGAACACAAATATGACGATAATCGAATGACTGCTGGGTTCATTTCGCGATACAGAGGTAAGGTCATAGAATCCTCTTGCTCGTCGCATTCAATCGATCCTTCGGATTCACTATCCGAATCTTCTTCCTTGCCGCCTTCACCCTCAACCTTCTCGTCAGCTTCGTTAGACGACTCTGTATCGATGACTGATTCGTTTTCCGCGTCAATTGCATCCTCGTCGCCTCCAAAAGAGCGCATCAAGTTCAATAAATGCGGCATCCCCATCATGTGTAATGCATGTTTTATGTGCTGGGGAAAAACATCCTAGCAAAGGTGATAGGCGCGTTAAACAAATATACACTTATGATACGGAGAATACCAACGTTTCTATCACCTTTCCATACTTTCCTATTGGCTTTGAGAAGATTATCCTGTTCTCGGTAGACGATAGAACGGCGAATGACGTTGGTCGTAAATTCTACGATGATCGCATGCAACAGGCGAAACGTATCAGCTGATATAGTCGTGTTTACTGTGGGGTGATCTGTTGGTTCTTCATACACAGACTTGTACGTCCTTAAAATAAAGCATCAGCACGCGCTATTAAATTCAGTGTCCGAAGGAACATACTTCATGAGCCTGCCTAGTGGAGAGACGTTAAGCAGGCCTAGATCAATCTGGCGCAGAAAAAGTAGCATCCACACCACGCTCCTCAAGCAGCTGCTTGAACTTTGCCGCTTCCATTTTCCCTGAAGCACGACGATGATGAAACTCTGTCTCCGCGGCTCTAACTTCGACTTCTACATCACCCTGTTGCTCCGCACACCTCGTGTTTCCCGGCGTTTGGGTGCTGAGACCGCATGAACCATCCCTTTCCTGCGTGGTTGTCCCATGATCATTATTGCTCAGCTGCCTTTGTGCTTCTTCGTTATCGCAACTTTCTTCCCCAGATTGAATATACTCGTTACTTATCTTCTCTTCCATAGTCTTTTTCTTCGGGAGCATCGACTTTTGCTTTCGGCCAGGGCGAAGCTTTCCAATGTTATGGACCACTTCTCCACCGTTCGCCTCGGCCCGCTTCCGCCTCATGTACAAACGTTTCTGGTATCGCCGTCGAGATTTCGGTGAGAGCTGAGATAGATCTGGAGTAGGTTCGATATCGGGAATTGAGGGAGAGGGTGTCGGCGAAGGGGGCGGTGGCGTGAGCGATGACAACGCGGTGGTTGCAGGCGACTGCTCTGCTACCATGGCCGAAGATTCTGCAATTAGAATGGGGTCAACCGCACGATCACCCGTTTGACTTGTGCCAGCGACAGCTACAGACGTCCCAGGCGACACGGAAGGGGCTGTTTGAACTGGCTTAACCTGTTCCAGAGAAACCGTGTCCCCTGCCAGTTCGATCGTGAAAGTATCTTCGCTATCATCGTCTCGGCTAAGAATGCTGTCTAGGACGGTCAACTGCTTGGGGGTCATGCATTTCAGGGCGTCCAGTCTGGCCCAGGAAGCCTCGTGTGTGCTCTTCCAAGAGTCGAACTCGTCGCGTAAAGGGTGGCGATGGTCTGTATTGTCACCGAATAACCGTGTCTCCTCTTGATGGACGAATTCTTGGTTCGCTCTGCGTTGCGCCGCATTATCCCATGACCCTTCATGTATGCTCAACTGTGCCCCCTCTACCTCTTCCAATCGAATCCAGTCCTCTGAGACTTCCATAGAAATATTAAAATCGCATCGTGATAAGTGATTTTGGTCCTTCGCAGACGCCTCAGCAAGAAGGTCGATATATGCGCATACATCGACAACGGATTTGTGTGGAAGATGCGCTGCAATAAGATCCGGCCGTAGAGTAGAGTATACGGATAATGCATGGAAGAAAATATCCTTCTCCGAGGGGGTCCAATATCCTGTTGGAGGGATATAGTCCGACCCACTTCTGTCTGTCTGTGCTTGTAGCTGAGAGAGATGGTGACGAAACTGGTCAACGTAGAGCATAGAGTTACGAGCGTCGTTATCGGTATCGTCGACGTGGCCTTCGTCGTCCATGGTGGCGAGACATAAGGGAAATGCACTTCGACTGATGGATGCTTGACGCAAATTTTTGGCATGCCCGTTTTGGATTATTAGCTCCTATTTTATAGCTTATGTCAGCCTGTCTCTCGGCCCTGACATGAAGTGCGAAATTTGACAACTCAATATCTACCCCGCGTTTCGGTTATCCACCCGATCTTTTCAGCATGAATGAGTCCGAGGACTTTGGTCGTCTTCACTGCTCCTTCAAAGCTTGTTTTAGGCATAAAATGGACCTGGACGTCTTATTGACATGCCCCACACACCTCCCTCAGTACGATTGTCGTTTAACACATCTCCCTTGCACGAAGTCGCTGGCAGCCCGGGCTCTATGGACTCATTTTGCCTTCGTCGCCTTTGTGTATTTATTTCTCCTTCCTTTCGTGCTCGACCTATCGGTAACATTTGCGACGGCTATCCTGCATTTTGGTAAGCTTTTGCTCCTAATGCTATTACTGTTCGATTATACACATTCTAAATAGATATTTCCGAAAAATAAAAAATCAAGGCCTATAGGTTCGCTGTCGGTTGAATATTCGCACAACGCTTTTCCCAATACCAGCGAGCGAGCTTTCGCAGTTCACCCTTCTTAATTTTACCCGATGGAGTAAGTTCTATAGCGTGTCAGAATCTGGCTAAGCACATCGGCGAAAGACGACCCACCAAACGGCTCGTCACGAAGGATAATCATGACAGGGATTGCATATCTTGGTAAACTGGTTGAACCATGGTAAGCATATACAGCAACATGTCGGAGAAACCTAATCTCACTTTTTCTGGGCTACTGACATCAGCGATGCTTCGGTTACTTGTCCCCGATACGGAGCCTTGATGGAAACCACAACAGCAACCAGCTCCCCCAAGCGTTTGTCAGGAACTCCTACTGCCGCCACCTCTAAAATCCGAGGATCAGTATAGACCGCGTTTTCGATCGACACTGAGGACTACGGAAAGACATATGAGTTTGGCCGGAATAAGGAAAAGAGGAATTTGCAGTACAATTGTCTCTCCGCCTCGTATAATAACGTCTTTAACTAACAAGGTGCGTTAGAACATATCTGCACTGGTCGTTGACATCGTACTTACTGCGATCTTTGACATACAGGAAGCCTTCTTCGTCGATCGACCCAATGTCGCCAGACTTGAGCCATCCGTCCGACGTTAATATTTTACTGGTCGCTTCTGTCTGAACGTCAGGGCCGCGGTTCGAACCAGCATCAACTGACGCACCCGGATCATGCCAATACTCTTTCATGACATTCGGACCTCGGCTGGATTGATGAGCTGTTCAGGCAAAGACGATTTCATACAGGAATGATATTACTCACATCAAAATTTCGCCGACTTGACCGGGAGGCACGGACACTCCAGCTTCATTGATGATCATAATATCATTTACCGGACACGCTCGACCTCTGTAAGTAACCGCAAAACGTTAGTACAATTCAAAACGTTCAACTGACCAAGACTTACGTGCTACTTGGTCGCGTCACGTAGTCTTCACCAGCGTTCTGTTGCCCAACAATTACATAAATTAAATGCCGGTAGTTGACGATTGCAACGACTTACACCAACTGAGATTGAATTGGTTTCTGTTAGGCCATATCCTTGGCTCCTATATATATCTATTAGTGCGTGTTCTGGTGCGTTGGAACTGTCAAATACATTTGGGCGCCAGGGAAGACCTGTCTCGCACGTTCTGTTAAGATTTCCGGGGCAGGGGAACCACCGAAAAATAGTCCCTCTAGTCTGTATCCCGCGAGGGAGCTATCAATGAGGTCGGACACCATAGCCGGAACACTACATCAACATGGTTAGTAGCCGGCGACTAAAAACGCACGACGTCACTTACCCTCCCGCGACACAAACATTCTCGCGGCGTATTAAGCTAGATCGTGTGAGAAAAACGTCACTAACATAAGATGGAGTGTTTACTTAGCAGCTAAAGAACTGTCAATGGACTAGATAGGCACGTCAAGGGTCCCACTCGCCTTCTTCGACTATCCACTTTCGCATCAGCACAATCTTCATCCCTAGCATTGTCGCCATCATCTGGGTTAGAAAAATGAGCACCAAGCGCATGAACCAGAACGACGCGGTGCTAACGGTATAACTGGTTGTTCCTGTGACATGGAACAGTGGTACAGCGATCAGCGCACCCTTTTGCGGGCCGGAAGGTGTTGAATCGAGGTTCTCGCCTCGTCGTAAGGCAGCTCGTCGATTTCCAACCACCGTCTACAACTCCGAAATAAACAACTGTTAGATAGGCGGATTAGACGCCTACATTGAGCGAATTTGTTAGAAACTGTCGTTGCGTGCTTAGCACCCCTTTGGGAAGGCCAGTCGTACCTGTTGACAACGAAGTCAGAAATGGAATTCAAGAAGCAACAAAATGTTACCTGAAGTAAACATGATCGCAGCATTATCTTCGGGATGAATGACCGGGTATCTGTCATCCAGGACGTTCCTCCAATGGCCGACAAAATTATCGACGACGTCGTGGTAGCGCTCCATTCCTTTCCGAAGATATGCATCGCATGATGCATCCAGTACCAGAACACCCGTCACACCTATCTCAGAACACATAGCTGTAAGGACAGGCTCCAGGACAGCAGCCCGCTCCAAGTCGACGAGAAGAAGTCTGCATTGCGTATGAGTGATGCAGTATTTCAGAGGCTCCAGAGGAAGCCACCTAGACACTGAATGAGTGAACATATGTGATGACGGCTGGGGGCATCCTTACGCGTTTACCAGAACCGGGACCGCACCAAGGAGGTCTGGGTGTAAGTGTAAGTAGTGACTTAGTGTGGTAGCGCCAAACAACGCACGGCAAGCCCACCAGTTGATCGTAAACTCCGAGCAGTTTCGAGAACAGATACAGATCCGATCGCCTGTGAAAAAGCCTTCAGGACGTCTTTAGACTATGACTGTGGGCCTACCAACCTTTTCGGATCCCATATGCGCTGTAGTACACGCCAGCAGCCTTTGTGGCGTACTCGTGGACTTGTCCATAAGTGAGCCGCTCCCCTTCGAATACAACATAGGTGTCGTTGTGATATTTTTTGACCGACGATAACCAGAAATCCCGCAGTGACGGTGCTAGATGCTTGTACACGCGCTGTAGCCTTCCGTCGACCAAACGGGTCTCGATCTCATGGGGACTTCTCGGTCCACATAGAATTGCTTCAGCTGAGGGAATATCAGCCACATACACCGCGTCGAAAGTGTACTCACCCTCCGCAAGGGAACGTTTGGGCCAAGACATGGTGATGTACGTAGTCGAGCTCGGGAGGATAACGGAGCGGTCTGGGGGGCAGTGGTGTAACTTTTATAACAAGACCAAGACCTCAACCTGACATTCATGGAACATCCTGAGCATGCCACCCGAGTGATAGTGGTGAGAATAGATCTCCGAGGACTGCGATGTTCCCGCGGTTTTTGTGTTACGCCGAAGCGCTTTAAACGGATTATGGGTCGATCCAGCGTTTCTGATGTTTTCTTGACAAATCATTAAGAAATAGGCGCATTTGGGAAATTTATACGTACTTTTTGAAGATTTGGAGCACATAACCCTTTTATGTTGGAAAATATCCAGGAACCGCAGTGAGCCTGCTCGGAAAAGAGCAGATTTGTCCGGCCATTTAAGTGCAAGCCATTGGCAGCACCCGCTCGCATGGCACCGTCTCGAACGCCTTATACTTGGCTGGGAGCTCACTTGTAAAGTTGCCGGATTTATTGGTCTAGAAATAAAAAAGGTTTAGCTGCTATAGGCGGTGCTAAAAGGGTAATTAAGACGACTAGTACTAAGTACCTGGAATGTGATGTTATGCCCGAACTACCGGACGAAGATGTTTCACACAAAAGTTCTTTCTTATGTCAATGAAATTAGAAAGCACCCACGTTCCAAGGCAAGTGATTCCTCCGCTAGTTCTAATCCAGAGATGTCGCCACGCACAATCTGGGTCCTGAAGATCGACAGTCAACTCCGTGCCTTGAGTCTAGGGTGTCCCAAAATCACGCATCCATGCGGGGCGGTAGTACTAGAAGGCCCATTCGTAGGAATCGGCATATCCGAAAGGTGCTTTTGTCCGCAAGCATATCATTTAGGCAGCGAGCTATTTCACTGTATGTTCTATCTGTAACAAACCACTGAGCATCAAGCAAGGGATGTGGTGAGGGATATCTTTATCAGTCATCCAAGGGCTGGATGGAGTTCTCCGCGGACATAGGACTAACCTCAGTTTCTTCAAATTCAGGGAAGTCCTTTGACATGCCGTCTACCATGAATGTCACAGATGCCTGGTTGTCACCTACCGTTGGAGGTCGAAAGGTGATAATACTGTAAGAATTCATCATCACAGCCCCAAAGAGAAGGCAAGAGTTACCTGAACGCGTGAGTTTCATGGTTTGTTTAGTGGCATCTGCCGTCTATATGATCGTAACTTGAACGTGAGAGTCTCAGTCAACCATCATTGGGAAAATTAGAATGGCGTTAGCCTTTTGGGCCTATATACGAAATATCGAAAAACTCTCAGTGAAGAAAGAGCATACATCCTCGAAGGAGGAATGGATATTTGGATGGATTCACAGTTATTAATCAAGATGTGATCGCTTATTTGGCCTTATTACTTCTAAAGGCCATTGTCCTGGCTTAGTTCTTACCACCATGCAGAGCCAAGACGACCCCGAGCCCACTGTCCGTATCCGCGACCTCAAAAAAGACAAAGCAGACTTTGTTCTCGAAAATGTCGACCTTGCGTGCGCCGCCTTTTTGTGCGCGTATTATCGTGCCTAACTAAGCCTTGATGCTAGTTTTGCTAATTCTCTCCGGAGGGTGATGATGGCAGACATTCCTACCATTGGTGAGAATCAAGTTGCTGTCCTAATGAATTCTTGCTTATTCTGTAATAAGCAATTGATATGGTTGAAGTGGAGGCCAATACATCAGTCTTGCCTGACGAGTTCATTTGCCACAGACTTGGAATGGTGCCCTTGGTCAGCACCAACTGCGATGAGGCGATGAAGTACAACAGGGTGCGTGGCACCAGTCCTATAACTGCTCTATTACAGCTTAATATCGTTCAAGGATTGTACATGCATGTCGTTTTGTGCATACTGTTCAATTCAACTGATATTGGACGTGTCCTGCAATGAAGCCATCACCATGGATATAACAAGCAATCATCTTGACGTAGTAGCCGCACCCACTGATATCTATGCGGCAGATGGCGGCGATGAGCTTACAAAGAGAACGGCTGACTTCGGACATCCTGTTGGGAAAAGTAAGATTGTCCTCCGCTCTAGTTTTTGGGAGCCGACCTTGTGATCTCCCTCTAGATAGACCAGGAGTGCCTCCTGTGCTTATTTGTAAAATACGAAAGGGACAAGCATTGAAGATGAAATGCATTGCAAAAAAGGTCACTTCTTGATCCTTGTGCCGACAGCTACTGACCTTTACAAAAGGGTATCGCTAAAGAACATGCCAAATGGTCACCTTGTTCTGCAGTCTCATTTGAATACGATCCTTATAACAAACTGCGACATACAACACATTGGTTTGAAGTTGACGAAAGAGCCGAATGGCCAGTCAGTGACAACGCGCGCGAAGAAGACCCACCACGCGATGACGAAGTTTTTGATTTCAACGCAAAACCTAGAAAATTCTACTTCGAAGTGGAGACAGATGGAAGTTTGGGTCCTCAGGAGGTTGTCATGAAGGTTTGTACATCATCACTTCCACGACATACTGGTCTCAAAAGTCATCTGGTAGGGCCTCAAGGAACTGCAAACAAAATTGGCCAACCTTATTTTAGGTCTCAAGCATGATACGGAAGTTGACATGATCAATGGCCAAGACCAGCAACTTGCAGTCCCCGCCCAGGCAGCGGACGCTTGGGGAGGAGGTGGTGGTGGTGGCGGCGGGTGGGGTGATTCGGGTGGATGGGGCGGTAGTTCTAGCCCCTCCCGAGGAGGTGCAAGTGCGTGGGGAGGTGCTAGTCCAACTTCCGGGGGCGCTACAAGTGCATGGGGTGGGTCCGGTGGTTGGTCAAGTCCTGAACAGCAATCAAATGGATGGACCGTGTAGTCTGGATCGTTAGAGTTATGTTTGTAATCTATATGTAAGTAGTTATTTCGTAAAAATCCAGAAAGTTCCATATAGATCTCAGTCTCAAAGATACTTAGCAGTGTCCGACTATATCACCTCGGCAAAAGAGTCCGGTCAATTCCAGCTTAACCTCATGAGCGTGGCTTCATCTCGATGAAATCCGCTCCTGCAATATTCACAGCACTAGATGATCCGGAAGTCGGCATAGTCATCGCACTTGGCATACGGACAGCTGAAGAGGCAGTCGGGAGCCCCGAATCGTCAGAGAGTCCTCGGCGAGGACTCGTCATATGAAGCTCATCGGCTTCGCCAAAGACGTCGTCTTCAGCACCTCCAACTAGTAGATCCAAAGATATCAGGATAAGTGACGCCATACGAAAGGAGATGACCGACCTATTAGGTTCGAGCCCGACAAATGCCAACCCCCAACAGGTTCAGCAGGTACGAGCGGCATCTCCGTTGCCTTTTTTCTATTGTCAGCTTCAACTTTCTCCCAAGGAACCTTGGTGTAACGTTTAGTTGCAGGTTCTTTATCTGGATTGCCGGTCGGGCCATAAATGTGCAGGTCTGCCAGGACCGACTTCAATGCACAGATCCATTTGTTTCTGCGTTTGGCTGGAATGGAAATATTTAAGTTCCATCAACCGCGCGTCAAAGGAACTTTTTAACCTTTCAAACCACCCTGCTGGCCGTTGCTTTTGTATTTGATTTCCGCCGAAAGAGTCATCTTTTCTTGATCAGGAAAATCTTTAAACCTTCAGTAAATCCTTATCTTCACAAAACAATCGCAAAAATCGTACCAACGACCGCTACATCAAACACCGGCTGGTAATCACGCCTTTCTCCCTTGACGAAGGCAAGCATTTTCTCTCGGAGTCGTTCCAAATCTTCGAATGACGTTGCGTAGCTGACGTCAAAGGTGAACGTCTCGCTCATCTGATGACAATTCGATTTCCATTAGGCATTTACTTCCGACTGATGAAATTATAAAGACTTACTTGCGGACTACGCCGGATATTTTGTATGAACTAAAGACAGGTGAAAAGGATACGAATTTGAAAAGGTCAAAACATACCAGAGTGTTTAGTACGCTGTTAGGTGCCTGAACATATACTCCGTTCGAGTCCAAAAATATCGTACTCAAGAGGCGGATCTCCTTCACGGTATAGGACGCCTTCTCCAAATCCACACGATCTCCGACATCGAAGGGATGCCGAATAAAGAGGAAGATGATACTTGTGAGAACCTCAGAAAGACTTGATCCAATTAACCAACTCAATCCTAAAAGCCTATTGGTTACGAAGGATTTGACAACGCGGCAAAAAGAACTGACCGAGAACAAATGTTCCAGCGCCAGTGATCAAGGTCGTCAACTGCGCTTCCTGTGGAAGGAAAGAAAGTGAGAAGCTCATGGTCACGAGAACAAACAATTGAGATATACCAAGCAAATCGCAATGATCAAAGCAGCGGCAACGACATAAAGAGACATCAAGATGTTATCTAGACGCCCAACGGCACTGTCCAGGTCCTGCATTGAATGCTCGATGGACAGTTGTTCTCGATGAAAGTCCCTTATCACCTGTCAGGGTCACAATGGCTCGAAGTAAGAAGGACACAAACAAGCAAGCCATCTCAACCTCATCCCTAGATGCATCACCGTTTGAATCTTTATCAAAAAGTGCGAACACTTGATCGGCTTCGTCTGGGGTCGGGAAAAATTGCGCAATATCTTCGACGAAGAGCCAATCGGAGCCAGGCTTGACAAAGGAATAAAAGAGCCGGCGAGCGAGCTAAAATCATACATTTGAGGGAATTGTCGTTATTTTGGATAACGCTTTATCTTGAACATACCAAACGAGACTTGTTGGCTGATTCCAAAGCAGTCTTGACCATTGCTTGTGGAGAGTTTGGCTGGAGCACCGAACTGCCAGGGCATATTAGCCAACCTGATTAGTCTAGAGTGAAAATAGCGCTGGTTCTACCTGCCAGCAATCTCGGACTGAAGGAAAGATTATCAGTATTTATTGCTTGGCAACTCAAGGCACTCACGGCAACATTTCCGAAAGCCGATGTCGTTGTTGTTGCGGCAACCCGCACTCCTTTCATTGCACGTTTAAAAAATTTCCTCGGAGCCGCAATGCCTTTTGAAGTGCTCTCCTTCAGGGTATCTGAACGGCCAGGTATATCTGAAGAATGTCGGTATAAAGTAACGAGAGACCTGACGGCGAATTTTTGGTCAGCGATACGCTCTGTCAGGAGGAAGGATTGAATAAGGTGGTCAACAAGCAAACAAAAATTGTTAGCACTGACCGGCGTAAGACCGTTCATGGAATTTTGCGGCAATCCATTGAATAGCAAATTTCTCAGCCAGCAGCACCGCCGCACAAAGGTATATACCGAACAACAATTTGCCGATAAGGTTGATGATATTGACAGATTTCTCGGAGGCGTCTGAACTCTGACGACTGTCGATAACGGGATTCCAAGTAATCCAATTAGCGAGCGACCAAGCAAACAGGGCGACATATCGATGTAATGCCGATGCCCAATCGATGTATCTTCTTGCAGCCACGGCTACTGCGCCGACGGTCGCACGGATGATAGGTGGTAATAGACGTGAACCAGCCAAAGCGACCCACCACCCGCCCCATACGACACTAAGCCATATACTCCACCAAAGAAGTTTGACACCCCAAACCTACAGTCGTTGATATAGCCTACTCAAGACCGAGTGAAGAAGGAGGAGGACTTACCATGGCATTGGGGAAGGTAGTGAGTTGAAGTATACCTGGGATCCAAAGTATAGCCATGATTGGTAGAATGAACAAGATCCACCTGGAAACGATTGATACATTCAGCAAATAATTGTATAGTTTGGAAACCTAGATTTTCTACCCATTAGAATGGAAACACCGTGCATATTTATGTAGTTACGCACCTTGTTATTGGGCATGTCCCCATCTGCATAAACCAAGTGGCTCTGGCTTGCATTTCTAGAGTCGAATTCTTCGTAGGAATGCTCAAACTTCCTGATACCGTTCAAAATGTCCCAGCTGGACCCTCGGCTGTGCGCCGGAGGCTTAACTGGCTCTGGCATCGAAGGACTGGAGAATCCACCGCTTTCAGCATCGTAACTCTGGGACCTGGCATTGACGTCGAAGGAGTCGTCAACAATATGTACCCGTTTCGGCGCGCCTGCACCGAGAGGAAGAGACGACTGAGAAGGGGAGGCCCCCCGACGCTGTTGGGGGGCAGGGGGGTACATGGAAGATGACGTAGCGGAAAGAGGAATGTTTTGGGCGCTTTCGACGTCGTTGCTATCACCCCTGATATGGGAGTCGGGATGCTCCAAGCTAACCGGGTCGTATCCTGACCGTGCTGGTGACCGTAAAGGGTTCATCCCGTTGCCTTACCTTTCGTTAGCTGCAGGGAAATTTGCCAGTTTTGCGAGCAATTACGGTAGTCCACCAGGGGAATACTTGGGAGCCGAGCTGTTCCTTAACAACAAGGCCGCATTAGGAAACCTTTCCCCTTTTACTTGCATCTCATGATTTCTTCTTTGCGTTCTACCAGCACCAATTGGAATGTTGCAGAATCCAAAGGAGCGCAGCTTTTCTTGGTCAGAATCTTCTACTGCCAGTGGCTGCTCACAGCGATTCTTCCTCTCCACGGTCTGCTCAGAAGGATCAAGGCGGTTTTTCGGCGCTCTGCCAAGTCCAAGCTCTCCTGGATCGCTTCCATGTTTTGATAGGTTTTCGATTCTGCTCGTCCAATTTGTGCTCGTTCATTATTTTATCTTCGAACGAATATTACAGGTGTTTTCCCTTTACAAGGTCATGGTTGCTTACTTTTCGTTTGTACTCTTTCTGACAAGTTCCCCCCAATACATCACAACCCTTTTGGCTATTTTTCCAAGGTTCGGCACTGAGACTTTTATCGAGGTATAACTGCCTGCCTGAGGATCGGCTAAGGAAACCTTGATGACCCAACTCACCTCTAATTTGCGTAAGCGCCCTTTATTACTGGCACCTCTATGATTTATGTCACTTACATGTGAGCGTCAGCAACGTTTATGGGTCGAGAAAGGGAAATGGAGTACCATTGCGACACGTTGAGAATGATGTTATTTTGAACGATCATTATCAAGTGTTTGAGGGACGTGTGCGTGACCGAAATGCATGCACGTATTACTGACCTCTTTCAGAGTCGGAGGATAGTCAATTTCCGGGCCAGCCTGCCCTTTACGCTTGAGCACATCAATCTTTTCGAAGGGAAAGATGGAGGGGACTCGTGTTATGCACTGATACTATTCATCCTATCTTTGCAATGACTTTGACGCCATAACAGACATTTATTAATGGCGCCTTCGCTGCTGCGCCTGTGGCGTTTATCCTGTTACTATTCAGCTTTATCCAAATGCTTTCAGCAATACGTTATCTATAGGCATGCAAATCTAGACAAAGGCGTTTTGCCATGCCAATATCATCCTCGAGGTAAGTCCCGTGGTCCAGGCGACCTACCTACTTCAAATGTGCTAGGAACTACCTCCAACTACACATTTATTCATCCCGAATTTCAAGTCTCTAGCCCTAGCTCGTACCGGGAAGCAAGTATCTTATCAAGATAAAAGACAGAAATAACGACGGGGCTCTTTGTAGCCTGTCGTGCAGCTTGTAGAGAAGCACAACTCAACAGAGAAAAAAATACGTGCATAATGAGTGCGTTCACCATGTGTTCAGTAAGCGTAAAGAAATATCTAGATTACAGTCAAAGATATTCAGGGTCGTATCTAGACCTGCAATCGCTCCGACGGGAACGTCAATATTATATTATATTGATTGTACGGCAGAGAAACCTGGGACATTACCCCGGCGGGATTTAATTCGGCGACCTTCGACATCCCCGTCCTAATTATTCTTCAGGCATTGAGACGAAACACCTTAGAGTCATGTAAAATCACAAAAGGACACCACCTGGTCGCATTTTTACGCCAAGCATTATAAATTTGGCGTCACAAGTACAGCTGTGCCGGCCATGCATTTTATCAACCCATTTATCAAGTTATCTTGGTCCTCGTTGCTAGCTCGCCTCTGCTCGGACGCCTTCCATCCGAAAAAATCCTTCCAATCTCTTCCTGGAGGCTATGGTTTCGATGCCTTTTAACTCCGAGCCCAAAATTAGGTCCTCATTACTGTGGGCGCAAGGTGTGCATATTTTCGGGCTCGCGCTGTCCTATTGGAACACGATCACGATCAATTGGAATGACGTAGTACTAGTGCCTCTTGACGCTCTCGGACTCGGAGCTAGATTTTGACCCGCCAAGACGACTGTCGTCAAGCGCGTCAAGTTTCATCGGTTTTTTTTTTTTTTTGCATATTTCGAGTCTCTGGAGTTCCTGGATACAGCTGTCACGCACCCCCCTTTACATGCCCCCCCCTGCGGCCTGTATTTACCGGAAGTTGTTGCCAAATAACGGATCAGCTGAACGTGCGCAATATCGGCTGGCTGGCAGTGGCTGCAATATCGATATGGATCAGAGTTCCTTGAGTGCTTATCTACACCCGCGTTTCTTTCGTCTCCTAGCTCTGGCATAACAAAGAAACGTACAAATCCAGAGTTTATTACATGTCCAGACCTATGTATTTGTCCATCGACGTATCCTAGACAGCCGCAAAAACCTGCTATCCGGCAGTGAACGTTCTGTTGATTTCTCCGACAGAAAATCTACACCGCGTAATGAAAGAACTGGTTCCGAGGAGGAAGGAGGTGGTGACGATAAGTGATGTCGCTTAGGTTTGAAAATGATAACAATGATGAGCCCAAAAATGATGAGTAAAAGAAGAAAAATGCATTTCCGTCGACCTGTACTTTTCTGGTATCTGGTCAACAAAAGAGATGAGCGATGATCGAATCAGAGAAGAAGACATATGAAAATAAATACCGTGTCGCCGTGTTCAGCTCCTGGACTGCTTCGCTCACATGAGCAGCAGTCTGCTCAATATTGTACTCCACACTGTCTAGTATTGTCCCCTGGTCAATCACCAACACAGAAAGGTCTTTGAACAGCTCCGCCAGAGACGCGATAGAATTTGCGATTTCCGTCAGCTCTCGATCACGGGTCTGGAGGTCGATGCTAGGATTAGCTTGGGTTAGAGAAAGCGACTGCGATCGCGTGTGGGTCTATTAACGATAATGACAGTAGGGGTATGCCATTAATCACGGCCGGAGCAAGCGAGAACCAGGGCCGTAAAGGAGAACAAGCCGACAATGAGGTTTTTTTAGACCAGGGTGCCCGATTAATGTGGAAAAAAGTGACGATGGCGATGGATAATCAACCAGCCAGGGTACAAAGCCAAAATAGTCCATGACCCACAAGGATGCAATGTGATTGTACAATGTCAGTAGGTGTATGGCAAAAGGGACGAGTTTCATGTGATGTTTATAGCGGAGGGAGGTCGGAAGTGAAACAAGACGAGGTTGTTGATTCATTCATTCATGAATATCCGCGCGGTGTAAGATCGGGAGATCATTAAGAACGCAGCAGAAAAAATGGATAATGGAAATGAATGACATCGGAGGATAGAGAACGTACACGAAAACGAAGTAAAACAATGAGAATGAACTCGCGATGAAGAGAAATGAAAACTTACGGCAGCTTCGACATCATCATCGACAGCACTGAGACCTTCAGAACCTCTGAGTGATATCGTTCCTGAGGCGATCAGGAGATCCTGGTTTTTGATCGCATGACCTTGTAGTTCTGCAAAGAAAAAGATCAGTACAAGAAAGCGCTGAAAAGTTAACTCCACGAGGGTCGCGTGATTGAATCGATCACGCAGACTGCGATGAACACAAGATAAAATCGGAACACGGGGAAGCGACGGATTGATGCAAGAGGAGAAAAACGCGGCGAGGACTAACTTTCCATGTATACACGCTGTTTCTTTCGGAATGTGGCGCTCAATTCTTGTACCTTTGCAGCAAGGCCACGCTGGACATTCTTAGACGCCTGGATTTCATACTCTAGAGTCTGGGCCTCGGTTTGTGATGGGGGAAAAGTATGGGATACGGAGACGGCGCCAATGCGTTGAATTAGCGACTGACATTGTCGGAAATTCTTGCAAGGTAACTGGTTCGAAAGATAGGACAACTAGAAGTAACGGAAAAGGCTGACCTTGGTTATATCTGTCGTGGCAGCTTCGATTTCCTGCTCTTCGTGAGACCGGTCCGTAAATCCGGGGAGTACGTGTTTCGCGTGTAACTTTTCGACAGCAGTAACTGTTGGTACACAGCACGCTGAGAATGGACCTGTAACTGAACAAAGTAGGGACTTGCTTTTCGCCTGAGTGTCGGCAAGAATTAGCTGTACTTGTTCGGAGATGTCCACCCTAAGAAGCAGATTAGTGTCCGGAGGCAATGGCGAACAGAGGAAGAAACCATTTCGGAGGCAGATCCATGTCGACTGTGTGGTGGTTGATGAGCTGCTGTTGCTCATCGTCGGTATCAGTCAAATGTGATTCTGGAACGAGAGAAACGGGTCGAAGACGCGCGGGAGTCGCGGTAAGAGAGGAAGAGGCCTGTCCTGGAGCGAGTGGTAGGATTCATGGAAGGAGCTGCCAAAAAAGGAGCGTCACGCTACTCCAAATAATAGAAATAATCCAAAAATGAATATTAAAATCTTAAAAATACCAAACGTGTGACAGGTTGACAAAGTTTGAAATTGTGATTTATTTGATCTCCGCCGGACTTGCCGGATCTCGCATGTCTCGTATAAAGTCCCGTCGATGAGGAGGTCCATCTCATCGCCCCCCACCCCTTGTCCTTTAACGCAATTCTTCCCATCCTCGTTTATCGAAATGTGCAATCTCGAAACGTACGTGCTGTGTCGTGAATGTTGTCAGTCAGCTGACCGTTCTCTTTCCAGCGAAGGCACCAAGCACGGTTGTGGTCACTATATCAAAGTATTATCGACTCCGAAAGTTGACCAAACGCTGCGCTCATCAATGACAATCGTAGACTAGGACAATCCGGAAGATAGATTGTGGCAGCAGTCGATGTATTCATTCAGTTCGACATCCTTCTTCTGACCCCAACCATGATTGTTCGAACTCGGGATGCAATCGTGTACGTGTTGAATACGTTTCGTTGGCGTGTTTCTTACGTGATGGTAGTATTATGGTCCTGACCGTGGAGAGACTGTTACTCGTACCACCGCCGACTACTGTACTCAGTGCGAATATTGGTACAGAGGCCCCGGATCACGGCCCCGTACATAAAGCTTAGGCTTTGCCTGCTGCAATACTCGCCCTTCCATCTAGCCTCTGCTCTAGATTCCTTCCAACATCTTTCCACTGCACCACTGCATCCATGCTCTCTGTACTCTTACATCGCTTTCGTAGTTGATCTATATATTTAGTCTTGTATCAGTACTTTCATATACGTACCACCCCAATCTTCAATTCGCTAGTATTTAATAATGCTCATCTAATCTTCATAATGCATTACGCGCCCAACTACAGTAATTTCTACCACTTGACTGCCAGACCAACTACCTCATTCTCGACTGCTCGATATTGAGTTCGGAACGAGTTCCGCCCAACGTCATTAGCTTCCGACAGAATTCTCGTAATAAGCTCGTCATACACGCTGACAACCGGCCCTATACATCGTGTTTCCACAGGCGCCCACTCTAGAGCCCCATTGGTAACTTCTGGGGGTGGCGACTCTTCCCAGTACACCTCTTCGACTTTCCGGGTCCATTCCTTGTTTCCCCATCGGGGGTTCTGCATCTCGACCCCGGCATCGCTCCAATTTCGCGTGTAGCCTTCATCATCAATGTCTTTCATTATTGTCGACGGTGCCTTCAATTGTCCGCCGCCATTAACACAGCCTCCTGGACACGCCATGACCTCGACATAATCGTATGGTCGTTCTTTTACACCGTTGTTTCCGGCGCCTCTCTTGATCCTGCGGCTCGCAGCTACACCGGCCAGTCTGCCAGCTGCACCCGTCCCCACGCGGACTCCCTTCTCCTTGCCTACCTTCCTGACCACATTTTGCAAATTTCGGAACCCATAGCACCTTGGCTCCTTTGAAAACGACCTGACCAACACCATCCGCTACTTCCGTCCGTAAGATATATTCTTCGTAGTCAGAGTTTCTCATCTGTCTGACGGAGAGAACCAAAGGCATTTCCGACGTCTTCACCACATGGGATATAATCGCCTGGAGATAGGAACCGGAGGACGAGCCTGGGTGGTTGATCAGCTCGGGGAAAGTGTCTTCCGAGACATTCTTTGGATCTGGCGCTGGGGAGACTGGGACATCCAGTTCTCCGGGAACTGATTTAGACAGATCCCAGCCTTTCTCTCGCATCATCAGCTCAAGCTCCCCGGTTGTGATGACACAATCGACATCCCGCGTTGCATACACTTCGTTGTAGAAGTCACTACGGGACGCTTCTAATTTTTTGTCATAACAAGGCATCACAGAAACATGGTATATTTTGTGCGGTCTGGAAATTATAAGAATCAGATAACCGGGGAAAAGCACGGAGTACACACAATTTTCCCCGCTTGCTACCCATCCAATTCTTAACTAGCGTTCCCATGACCTGCTGAGGACTCTTAGTCTGCGCTATGAAAGGAAGCATTTCCGAGTGGGCCTTCTCTGCATAACATATCCAACCAGGACATGCGCTGGCAAGCATCGGCAAGCGTCCATCCGACGCTTCCTGGCTATCACCTATGGAGTCCATGGAGTCCTTGATACGGTGTGTTTCTTGTCGCTCCACGAACTCCATCACATGCTCCCTCAAGGCCAAATGTCTGGCAAATGTTGTATCGAACACGTAGGCGAAACCTAAAACATCCTTGCAAAAGCTGCGAAGTCTTCGCAGGACCTGACGTGGCGATACTCGCGAATGCGTTGAAGATGATTCTGATAATGATGCAGCAAGTGATGCAAGGGATTGAGGGGCAATGGACATCACTGGTGTTATTCGGCCGTCACAGAATTCTGACGAAGGGTTTGATTCAAGGACTTTGAGAACTTCGATATGGGATTGTAGTGTGATCAGAACGGACTCGGCAGAGGTGATGCACCCGCTGGGGTGGTGAAGATGATGAATGGAGAATGCAAAAAGTAGCAATAAAACATACCTGCAGGCTAGGCAGTCATTCAAATTGACCTGAGCTTGTTCCAGCTTTTTCCCTGAGCTCGAGCTTTGGCGAGAACTTGATAATCCATCAGTGGAAACTTCGTAATAGGACCCGCTGGAATCAACTCGGATTTCTGTCTAAAGATGATGAGAATTCGTAAGATTATAATAGAAACAATTTACGGACAGCAGCAGCACCTGCATCTTTCTCAGTCCCTGATATAGAATTGGTCTGTTCGACAGGTTTTATGCACGCCTGAGAAGGGCCAAGAAAATCGTTTAGATCTGTCAATGTCTGCGAAGATAGTAATCATCACTTCTCCCGCAAAGCCGACAAATACAAAAACCTACTAGCGCACCAGAGAATGCCATTAAGATTTTGTGAATATAGGACCAAGATGGAAGTCAATGAGTAAGATCTGAATTCTGAACGGGCCCGAGGTTCGGCCGATCGCTGAATGCCCACGTGGCTTCGTGGTCGCCTACCCGGGTCCTGTCCACCCAGTACCAACTCACGGCTGACATAGCACTTAAAAGCATACTACAATACTACCATCAGTCCCGGAAACATTGGGACACACGACTACCTGGGGAGGTACCGTCTTACAGCATGCTTCACACAAAGTTGCTTGCAAAAGACGCTGGTATTTATTTAATGTGATTCGGCATCGACGCGTCTGTGGCGTGAGTATAAGAGTAACGGATCACTTCATTACTAGTTTTCATCGGCCTCTTTCCCAGCGCAGTACACACACTCCGCAGAAATTTTGAGCGACATAGTCGGTTGGACAACTGACACAGGAGAGAACAGCGGTCGTCGGCATAATTTTGCAGCAGCATGTGGCTGTTAGTCAAATTGAAGGCACTAGTCTGAGACGGGAACGTTCCCCACTGGATCAATGTGCTGCTTTGCCGGTACATTCTCGTGTTCACAGAAGCTGGCTCTGGGCAGGGACCCAATTACCGTGTGCCGGTGTTGCTTTAATGGGCAGCCATGGCCATAACGGTGCAATGTCCGTCGCATCCATCCCATCGGTAAATGGAAGGGCTTGAGCACATATGTGCTACTTCTAGGCACCTCCATGTGTGCTAGAAATCAGTTCAGTCATCATTATGGGAAAATTGGGCCTGCTATTCAGCCCCTAAATCGTCTGCAAATATCTCTGTGCCACTGGGGCCTTAGGCTATCACTCGCTGTGAATTTCAGAAGCGCGCGCGCGCCATAGATCTGGCTCAGAGAAATAATCCTACTCTGCTTCTTTGGGAATCACAGGCGAGACAATTATTTGTCCATCCAAATTATCTGACAGATTTTGTGACCACAGGGAAGTAGTGCTACTATTCATTGAATACGGCAACAATTCATTTCCACCACTAGTTCTTCCATGCCCGGGAGTATTCATGTCGTTCTCCGTGTGTTGGCATGAATCCACAGTCGCGGAACTGGAAATTCATCACGCAGGTGGATCCATCAAGAGGCTTCAGCCTTGCACATCAAAATAGGCCGTGGATCCTATCTGTATCGATTGCGACCAATTTCTCAAAGTAGGCAGGATATTGTCAGCTTTCGTGGTACACCCTGCGCCACCGACCGTCCACAATCTTCCCCTCTATCTTCAGATCGTGGGAGGGTAGTGAGATCTCCCGAACTCCTGTCATATGGCCCTGCAGGAGATATGCGGACCGGCACGCTGTGTCCAGCAATTTCTTCTCTCGTCTCTGTACTCCATTTACCTGATCTTCATCGCTTTGTAATGGGAAGGATAACGGATTGCATAGTAGATACAAAAGAACCATTCCGTTTGCGAAGATCGGAAGGAGGTACAGTCGTTAGTAATAGAGGTCTACCGTTGCGAATATTTTGACTGGGGAACAGAGGTCACCAGGTGTGAGAAGTAGGTACCTGAGAGTGGTACTGAGAATCCTGCAAGCAAGAGTTCGAGTCTAGTCAAGCCATCGCGGGGATTAGAGGAGATTAGACGCCGCGTGTAGAACTGCAGCAGCATGACATGCAGGACAGGGTAAGGATACGACTTCGTCGACAAATACTTTGGTGCCCACTCCTTCTAAATTCAGGGTTCAGGCTGTCCTCCTAATTTCAGACCGGCTGCGTCTCGCTGATACAACTGCAGACGACCCTTCCGGATAACAAGGGCCAAGAGATACCATACCGTGTGAAGCTTGGTGGCCGAGGTGGTCGCCGGTGAATCTTTGCCAATTTGCTGTACAGCCACGCATCAAAAATTTTGTTGAAAACTCCCATGAGTTCGCATGAAGCTGCTCATGATAATATATGTCAACGCCTTTATCGCGATATGCAAGACCAAACGAATTTATACTTTAGTTTCCAGTTCTGCCTTTTAGTTTCGCCGCATATGAGCAGGACTTCATCAAATTGGTTATGATTTACAAACCCGGACGTGATGGCCTCCTAGGTTCCCCCTTTACAATATCTCCGGCTTCACTTTCAAGCGGAAAATCACCATGGCGAGCTCGCTGGTGTCCGTGAGTGTCCGCTCGATGCGGCCCAAATACTGGCGGCGCACTTTAAAGTTATAGGAGGTTCGATCGTCCTTTCCGCATCGTGAAACGGCTCCTATCTTGGATTCCTTATATCCATCCCAACCCGATGATTTTTTACACTCTAGTTCCAAGGTCCCCCCAACCTCGAGTATGGCCAATTCAGCGGGCGTCGCGTATGTTTCTTTTCCCCTTTCATTTCAGGCTGTAAACCATTTATTTACAGCCATGGACCCATGCTCATTGGACTCATGTTCAACTTACTTCTGCTGGGTGTGATTGTGACTCAGGTCTACATCTATCTGACGACATATCAAAAGTGCGCATCCTCTCATATGTTTTCGTTTGGTTTTTGAATCGTGGCTCTTTAGACGAGATAAGATTTGGATGAAAATTCTCGTACGCGTATCTTTTCTCCGGTTGTTAGGTCCCTAATACTCATTTGCTGGGTGGTCAGGTTCTCTTTTTATTCGTGGCCAACGTTGTCAACTCAGTCTTTCTCATGGCCGACACATACATCGCGCTCATCACACATTTTGGTTCGTCTCCACGTCTCCAACTCTCCGCGCAAGTATTCAGATGATTTGCAGACGATATTCCCTACCTAGCCAATGCAACGTGGCGTAAGGCTTTCTCCTTCCGAGATTTATCAGCAAAGAATAATTTCCATCTCCCACAGTCTTTGCTACCGATCCCACATTGACTGGTCTCATTTCTGCAACTGTGCAGTTGTTCTTTGCCTGGCGCGTCAAAGTCCTTACGTCGAATTGGTACCTTGCCATACTTGTCGCTATTTTGGCACTCGCAGGTACCGGGGGAGCCATAGCCGCCACTGCCAAAATCCGCGTCATTCCCGCGTTCACGGACTTCCAGCAATTCCAGTCTGTAGTTATCATCTGGCTCGTGGCGTCATGCGTCGCCGATATCACCATTACTGCAATATTGGTGTCGTATCTGCGGCGGCATAAGACGGGCTTCCAAGGCTCAGATGAACTCGTTGACAGAATTATCAGGGCGACGGTCCAGACCGGATTGATTACCAGTGTGGTTGCTATCCTGGATCTGATTCTCTTCCTCGTGAACTCATCAGGCTTGTGAGTGCTTTCCAATATCCATTCTCTCTTGCATCGACCCTTTGCTATTTAGGCACCTGATATTCAACTTCACCCTCGCAAAACTATATACCAATACCCTTATGAGCTCGCTCAACTCTCGGGCGGGATGGGCCTACTCAAATTCTAGTCCCGGATCTCATTCACAATCTGGTTTGGTTTCTACGTCAGGTGCAAACAGTTCCAGTCGAAGGAAAGGGACGGGTACGACGACGCGCCCAGAAGTATTTGTGCACGTTGAGCAACATGAATTGGGAGATCCACGTCCTAGGAATGGACCAGGCGGAGGAATAGGACCTCCAAGGTTTGTCATAGATCCAATGAGCACCGATGAGGATCTGAGCAAGCGGAGAGAGGACGAGTCAGAGGTTTGGGACACGACGAAGACGGCTGACAGGATTGTTTAGGACCCATTATGGTATTGTATAGAGTAACTACTAATATTATTCCCGCACTTCCAACGATGTAATTTAGAATCATAGTGATGCTGTTGTATGTTTCTGAACGTTGCGGACCACAAACTTCCTGGCTCAGTGAATGTTTTCGAAGTCAAAAAGGTTCTACAGCCAATCGGGCCGTAATCCGACGCTGCGGATTCTACTACTAGCACGTTTTCTTTGACACTCTAAACCGCTATCTATCGCGATTGAAGGTCAATCCCAGGCCTATCGTGAGACGTCTGGATGAACTGTTGGTGGTCGGCATCAGCAACAATGGAGATTAATACATGGTGAGCGAGGCTCGGAGGAAGGTAACCGTATTCCAGCTTTGTTACCTGACGCTTTACACTGCTATGCTATGCCCTGCGGTGCTCTCTCTCATGCCTCACATTGGATTTTGATAGGCTGTAGGTGCGAGGACACGAGGACGCCACTGTCATTTTCTGTCTTCGAGATTCCGGAACCTCGGTCAAGCTTGATTTGCGATAGCCACCCAACCTACTCGCCACTTATCTTGTGGAAAGACCGTTCAGCTATGATAGCTAGCTGAAATCCAGGGGTTTCGTACTTGTCCCCGTTAGTACTCGACTTGCTCTGAACCTGGCTTGCACGTATGTACTGACAGGCTGTACAAAAGTTCTCAATTCGTCTGACTGTTCGCTCGTTTCGTCACCTGCGAATGTCCTGAATTTGTCTGAAAGCCCTGAAGAGAAGCCTATGACATTTTGATGCGTAGCGTTATTGCTCTCGTCTCATCAGCCCAGAGTTCCGAATGCGAAAACATTTGGCAGGAGTTCTCAGTCGGGTTCTCGGCAACATAACGGTGTATTACGGTCGGAAGAAATCAAACACGTTCACGGCGCGGGTAGACTGTCACTTTGTCCCCTTGCAGGCTCATCGGTGCTTTGTGCGTTGCTACATAGCAACGAGGGTATCGATAAAAGGCTTCATTGACCTTGCCTTCTACTCTCTTCCCTACAAGACAGGACTGCTGCCAGAAGATGGATTCTCCTTATTTCAGTGCCTGAAGGATCTCCTTCTCTGCTATAATTCGCTGTTCCTATCTGAATGACCCCACTGATTGCCATATAATAACGAATGCCCTCGGGCGTTGTATTCCCACCTTCTTGCTCTGACGCTCATGGCATCCGCTAGCGGTTCAGTCCGCTCTTCGCCACGCCGACCACACTCTCCTGTCTCCATGTTTGCTCTCGCTGACAATGGTTCTCCAAAGCAACCTAAACCATTAGCCAAAATTGAGAAGAAAACAAAGTCCCCGTCGACACCCTCTCGGAATTCAGATGCAGCCTCAGTCCGATCGGCCGCCCCATCCCTCTCAACGACGGCGAGCCTTTCACCCACTAAATCCATCTCCTCTATTCTCTGGCGCGGTCTTCGGTGTATTCGACGGAAGAAACCACCATCATCTTTGCGGCCTCAAGAAGGTCCACATCGTGAAGATGGCTCCACTAGCAAAGCTTATGCAACTTACGCCGACAAAGCTACACAGACGCCGGTGGATGGTGTACGGGCAGAATTTGAGCTTCAAGTCTCCATTGCTCCACCTCCCCGAGGGCAAACCCCAGAACCGTGGCTAGCTCATGCGCCACCATCCATGAACCCACGCCCCTCTAAACGGAGCCCAAGTATGTCATCGCTTGCGTCTAGAAATCCCCGAGACGACATCCGTCGCTCTATATCAGAAGTCCCTCCCCGACATCTTCTACCACCGGACGCTCCGTTTAACCAATACTCTGCACTCCACCCCATCCCTCCCACCAAGGTCGTTCGACCCTCATCACCGAAATCACCAGTTGCTCCATCACAAGCCACTATTTCATTCAGTCTCCCCACTACGCCGTCTTGTAAGAGAGAGGTTGATATCGATTTCACTATCCCCGAGGCTACTTTCAGTGTGAAGCCAAGGCGACCAGGAAAGATGAAGCGGCCGAAGACTGCACCTCAGCAGCGTTCTTTGGAGGACAAGCATTTGTTCTTCTCCCGTCGTCCAGATACGCCGCTTATCAAGAGTACGGTCTACTTTGATGAAATGGATTTGAAGACGATAAAGGAGAGAAGAGATGATTGGATTGGGGAGTGGAACACACATGACATGCAGGAGGTCATGAGGAAGTTGAGAGATCTACGGTGAACGGATGGTTCCAATTGTTTCAACTTGGCCAATTTCGTTAGAAATATTTACGCTTTGAAGACGCCGCTGGCGGTCTGACGCCTGGGTGGCTACCAGTTTGGCAAAACCCAAAATGACCTATTTGCTGTTACTTAAAATCTGACAATCACTTTTGTAACTTAATATCTTGCCATCTTTTCCTATAGTATTTAGTTAGGTGTGTAGGTGAACGGCTATATATAATACAACATATCTTAAAACTATAAATCTGTCAAAGTCGACTGTCCCTTCTGTCACCGCTTCACCTCTTTCCACAAAGGCGTCAGTGCCTGCGCCACAGTATTCGCAGCTGAGGTTATGGAATCAATACAGAGAAAGCAATAGAAGGAAAGACACTGACCAACTTCTAAACATGACCTCGCAACCTCGTCCACGATACTGTTGAGTGCACCTCTTGACCGCCACCGGTCAGGATGAAATCGTCGATGACTCTTCTCAACGAATTCTCTAAATTCTGCCTGTCGCATGATTGTCTTCGCCTCGGCAAAGAATTTCTCCACTTTGCCCCAATCGATATCCTCGGTAGACAATCTACTGGGCCTCTGTAGCACTGGCCAAGGGACTTTTCTAAACTCGAGAGGATCTGCAGAAAATTTCATCGCATCAAACAGTTCGCTGTACTCTTTGTAACGAGCTATAGCACGGGCAGGCGTCCAGTGTCCTGTGTCCCACCTAGCCTCACGCTGCTGCCACGCGTATTCCAGTTGCTCGGCTGCCTCACGTTCCATCCTTGCAGCGTCCTCGCGTGCATGGGCTTCAGCTTCTCGCAAGCGAGCTTTCTCTGCCCGCTGTTCTGCTATGCGACTTTCTTCAGCCTGTCGCCTAGCTTCCACTTTAGCTCGGTGCGCCTCCTCTTCAGCTTGTTCCCGAAGCTTTCGCGCCTCGGCCGCAGCTTCCCATAATGGTCTGTCAGCTTCCAGGTCCGCCAGTTTTGCACGCGACGCTGCGATGGAGGCTTCCCTCTCAGCGCGTTCGTCCCGTCCCTGGCAGGGACTGCCTTCTTCTGGTATGTCTTCGGGCTCTTCTTCGACTGGTTCTGGATAAGTTTCTGGATAAAAATGACGTTCTGCCAAGAGTATTAGACCCGGTTTATAGGGCATCTGCATGCGTACCTGGAGATAAAGACGCCTGTTTCCGTGCAAGTTCATCATAGATGTCCGGCATAAGTTCACTCTGCCACCGTTGGTTATGCTGATGCATTTGCGCCCGTATTTTCTCCTCCTTTCGCCTTTGCCGCGTTGTCCTATTGTGATCCAAGTGCCGCCTAGCTTCAGCAGGAGAAACAGTACGATTTCGCTTTGTCCACGAGACGTGCTCATAAGTTGCCGTTTGGCGTCGTGCTTGCTCTGAAGATTCAGAGTAATCAGGATCAGGAGGTGTTGTCAACGACTCGAATACGTTTTGGACTGTCCATGCATAGTCAACAAGAGCATTCTTAAGCTGGAAGTACGTGTTTTACCTTTTCTCTTGACCTTTGGAGTCGGAGTAGTTGGTGCTGGAGCATACCCAGTGAAGTCGAAGGGAGGCTGTAGAGGTGATGATAATTTCTCCTCTCGATGAGTATTCTTATCTCGGCGTTCGTTTCTTTTCTTCATCATTTCTTCCCGTCTTGGGACTGCAGATTTTGCTCGTCGAGGGGGAGGAGGTGGCTCATCGTCAATAATCATGTCTTCAACTTCATCTTCTTCTTCAGAAAGAAGGGCATCGTCGGTATTTCTTGGGTGATTTGAAGGCGGGGGCGCGTTGTCAAGGGCGGGAGAAAGGTGGCGTTTACCGTTGGGCTTGTGTGACGGCGGTGAGAGTTTTGGAGGCGCGATAGAAATGATCGTGTAAGCAGGGGGTAGGCATACTCGGCATTCGTAGAAAGGATCCAGCTTGTAAATGTCCCACTGGTCCTGGCTCAGCTGGACGAGTTCACTGTGAAGAAGTCAGATAGCGCAAGCAAAGAGGTATACCGTTCGTTCACTCGCCCACACAAATTCACTACGCGAGGCCATGTTCCCTCGTCCGACACTCCCTCATCCAAATGAGCCCGGGGCACGAATCGCCAGAAGGACTCGCCGGAAGCGTTGGTCTCGATCACGACGCGTTTGGCATTGTACAGTTCTTCCTGCAACGATAGCTTGCGAAAGTCGGGGAGGTCCGCCTGAGATGTCGCAGCGCGAGGATTGAATGATGCGAATGAAATCTGGGACGTGGAATACCGCAAAAGTCGCTGGGGTTGGGTTGGATCCAAGAGGCCTGGTCGACAGCCGCTAAGGCTACGCGGCGACGATGAGGGCACGGCTGGCACCCTGACCATGACGACGACGGGAGCTGTATATGCACTGTGCCGTTGCTGTTTTTCGCGTCTTCAAGCTTCAAGGCCGTGTATTGTTATTACACGATCGACAGCCGGAGTGAAGTTGCTGCACGTGCCTTTGACAAGAACAATAAAAGTAATTACAACGGATGCCCAATTTGGCGAGCTTCTTGTAGCGGAATCATCAGGAATACGTACTTGAGTGAAGCTTGTGAAGTCTAGAAGACGTGAAATTGTCGTTCACTTTTCCCCCTTTCAACAGTAGCAAAATTTATCGCAGGTTGAAAGGCAAAACTTGGACAAAGTTCGGAATTGACAAAGATTTCTAGGGGAAAAATATGGTGGGACGGCGACTTTCAAAGCGCAACTAGGAATATGGAGAGTTGAGCACGAGCTATGGTGTCTCAAGGTGAGTAGCTCCCGTGGAAAACTGGAAAACTGGATTGATTGGCCATCTCCGCTAATAAGCAAGTCCTTGAAGTCTCACTCGGTCCGATCGGTCCGCCGTTCTATTCTCCTCTCTTTGATCTAACCTATATTCCCTTTACGCTCCCTTGTCGTTACTATATTTACAACGAGCTGCCGAGGCAGATTATTTTAAGCTTATTTAGTAAGTACCGCTACTTGACTTCGTACCACCAACACCTACATATCTGATGTTCACAAATATACTTTCGTTCCAGCCATATCTGTCACATTCTTTGCGTCTGTCGACACTATTCCCAACAGGATCAGCAGAGGTGGCCAATCAATCCAGTCCCCCAGTACTCCAACATGAAAGAACGGTGGCACATACTCTATACTTGATATTGAGTGGAAATTGAACGTGAATCTATGCTTGGGAAACCAAGGAGAATGTCGGCTTGGCTATATTACACAAGCAACCCTCCTGGATACCGTCCCATGTGCCATGATGATATCAATTTTAGCGACTGTCCAGCCTCTTTCTTAGTTCCAAGCTTTACAGCTTGAATCTCGTTCACCACCGTCTCGCTGTCTATACCGTCCGAATTCAAACGTCCAGGAGTTCGGAAATGTAGACCGCAGGGTGTAGGTGATCACGCACATGGCCCCATTTTACTTCGTCGCTTCTTGGGCAACCCAAGATTAAAAAATCCAGCTGCACGCCTTGGGTTTCCTATTCGTCCTCTTGCGACTTGAGACAACCGGCAGCTTCTTGGTGAGAATGTCGCCTCCTAGGTTGTACCTCCTGATCGTTTGAACCGGATGTCAATAACCTTCCTCTTTCATCGTCCCTCCCTGGGTGCTATCCAAGTTTTTGGTCTGCTGCAGGAACTCAGAAACTCCACTGGGGCTATTCACAACACTCGTGCACCGCTTTATAATAGGCTGGCCCGACCAGAATTGGAAGATTGGGACCTCTGCTGGAGATGATCCAGTATCCTGGTTCGCCACTACTAGAAGCGCCCTTCGAAGGGATTGTAGCAGCCGTCTGTCTTGAAGATCTTCGAGCAGAGTCTCATTTCAGCCTCGAATATTCCCGCGTTATAACAAGGCTTCCATTTGTCGAAGCACCTTACTTTTCGCGCAGGAGCCCACATTCATGGCTGATGGGAAATACAAGCCGTTCAAGTTCGAAGTTAGCTCGAAGGTTCACATTTCTATCCGGCACAACTGCTCGCCTTTCACCCTTAGAGTGGCCACTTGTGGTGTACGTGATATTAATAACATGCCCTTCCCTAAAATCAATTTACCTTGCCATAGGTTCTGTGGAAAGCTCGCTATGTTTGAGCCTAGAAGGGGCTTCTGCAGCCAATACCAAGTAACCCTCCCACAATACAACACATCTATCTCCAGTTGGTCCGATTTAATCTACCAGGCACTCGAACGACTGCTTCTGGCTGCAGAGTACAGTCCGAGGAACCGCTTAATTCGAAGATAGATATCATGCCGGTGTCAAATCCGAGTGCTGTTAAACTTCTCCCGTGAGCGCTCCGTCAAAGTGGTGCAATTATATACATTGGCGGCAGGTGCTCTAGTTACAGAGACTGTTTAAAAGTATGTCGCTTCACGTCCCGCTTCTCCATGGACAGTGAAGGATTTCGCAAAGACTAAGTATCGGGTCATCGAGTTGCCATCGAGTCGCCATCGAGTCGCCTGTCTCAGCGCTTCAACGTAGGCGCTTGTTTTCAAGCGCCATCAGTTAACGTGTACTGAGTTCCAGTTCTTATCAAGATGTGGAAGCACGCTACAAAATGGATCCATGGAATCGATACCTTAGGACTCGGAGTTGACTTGCAAACTTGTGAAATTGTCGGCAGATCGGACCGAGAAGTCCCTTTTTTGGCTCCACGGGGCGTTCTGAGTCCTGACCGCTTGCCAGTCAACGTTGCAAGCGCTAATTCTCCATGCTCCTTCTCGTTATCGCTGTTTGAAACGTACAAAATCTGCATTGAAAGCGCCCAAAAGAGGTATAAATTCTTCGATTTCGAAAACGGAGCGCCAATACTAACCTACCGCCTAGGATGTCAACCCCACTGACCTCAGACGGTGGTACGCTGCGAAGAATCAAGTCATTGGGAGATCTACCTGGGGGGACGACAAAACGGAACGAAGAATTTTTGCAGACTTTCAAGCGATCCAAGGATGGACATCATGGTCCATCCGACGGAGTAGAGCAGAATGTTGAGCATGAGAATTCGGACAATGGCGCAGGACCTTCCACATTACAGCCGCTATCAAAACGATCGAGTTCGTCTAGCGATATATCTCTGCCAAAGCAGACGGAACTAGTGCAATCAACCCCTGCTGTGTCTTTCAGATTGTCTCAAGACAGAGTCCAACTGCCTGCTCAAGCTCCCCGGCCCGCTTCTACAGCTCCAGCTACTACACAGGCTCATGGGAATCAGCCTGTACGGCAACCAGAGTCGCGTTACCGAAGAATATTGTCATTTTTTGGTTACGGGCGTGGTGCTTCTCGTGAGCGTAGATCTAATGTATCACTGGGATGGAATTGCTGTTGGGGCTTGGCACAGGTGAGTTCATCTTCGTTTCCAGAGAAGCAAGTTGATTAAAGTCTTCGTAGATCGTTGTCATAATCGTTATTCTTGCTCTATCCTCTCATCTTGAAAGTAAGACAATATCGGGAGTCAATCAACTGGACGCGTGTACCCGACCGTTAGGTGTTTGGTCAGGCCTGTGGATCGGTAGAGTCGTTGTAGCATGCATATTATCATATTGGACTTGGCAGCGAGAGCGTTTAACGTAAGTACACACGTTCCATACCGGCGTCTTACTGAATATTTAATTCCAGTGCGGCCATACAAGGGGATAGTGAAGCAGGAAATGTCAGCCAAACACAACTACCTTCCTCAAACTTGAATGCCCAACCATCTACGGGTGTAAACAATGACGCTACTGATGGAGAGACGCCATCGTCGCCACCGTTGCCTCAAACTAGCATTTACAGGAAGTGAGCGCCTCCTTAATGCTGACATGTCTTGAAGCTGGTATTTACTTGATTGTAGGCTGACACTGTTTTCGACCCTCTTCAGCTTCAGTTGGTTCTTGACTGCCCACATCCTGATCTACACTTCTGTTGACTCTTGCCGACTTTCTTCCCCTCTGATCTGGTGGCTCGTTTTTGGAATCCTATGCATCACCTACTTAATGGTCGTAGAGGTCATCATCCTAGGCTTGATAGTATTTTTGATTGCGCCGATACTCTTTGTAAGCACGCTCGCGTACATCGAAGCCTCATTTTTAATGCGTTTCACAGTTGTTTTGGAACATCTTCCTCATGTGTCTTGGGCGCCATCCCCTTCAAAACCCCGGCATGATCAAGCCCGAAATAGGGAAGCTGTCCAAGTCCGTGGTTGACCGAATCCCCCTCGTCATGTACATCCCACCACCTCCGGAACCCTCGTCTTTCCCCATCAAGGTTCCTGAAGCGATATACACCTATCCTCCGTCTCCCCCGGGTTCCAGTAATACCGCTCCATCAAAACGGCGATTTAGATTCCTAAAAATCAAAAAGAAAACAGCCGGTGTACCTCCCAATGAATCGACCACTTCAAGTAAAAGCGAAGGTAAGAAGGCTACGAAGTCCGGTGTTCCTGAGACCTGGGAAGACCACTGGGAGCAGGAAGGATACCCTTTTGTTGTTTTGGAAGGCAATCGTGCTGCGTGCGCCATTTGCTTAATGGACTTTGAAGAGCCAAAACGAGTAGTAAATACGTCGGAGAAAGACAAGGAGCTGTCACTTGAGGCTCCAGACCCGGCTGCATCGGGGCGCTCACCTACGGATGACAAGGCTGTAGATGAGGGGAATGCGGAGTTGAAGTTAGAAGATGCAGGAGATGGTGCGCAACCATTAAGGCTTTTAGCATGTGGACATGTATTCCATGTACGTGCTCATGTTCTTGCCATTTGTGATAGAAACTCACTCATAGTAGCCGACATGTCTGGACCCCTGGTTGACTGACGTCTCTGGTCGTTGTCCTGTTTGCCAAAGAGCCGTAGAACTTCCTGAACCTTCATCGAAAAAGAAGAAGCGGAGCGGTTCATGAAATACGACCTGTATCTGAATGTATCACATATGTACCATCTGTCTTATGAAAGTTATGATTGTGAGGACCTAAGATTTTGTACTACATGTAGAGTACCTATTACACGATCTGAGTTTTATTTCAGGGTCGATGGGCGTTAGCCCTATTTATAGATCTCGAAGGATGTGTTGGTCCTAATGAAGACTAAGTTAGCTGCCGCATTGTTGAACAGAGCAGAAATTTGTAGAAATGTCGGGGATATGGATGATGCCCATGTCTTTAATTTCCAAACTGTCCTCAGGCTACGTTCAAGATACGAGGTAAGATACTAGTGGTCACCTCGACGACACTGCCGCGTCATCAGTCAGTTAAGGTTACAGCTCCAATCGGTTTCTTTGGGCCACGTTAAAATAGAACGTGCTTCCCGTGCTGTAGGCCCAGTCCCCATTCCATTCATTCCCTGTTTCGGGCACGATTATCGGCGCGATCAGACAGACAGGATTGCTTTACACAAGCATTGCACACACTAGCACATAAATGACTATCGTGAGAGACACACGAACAATACAAACACCGCGATCTATAGCGGTGAACATGTTGGGAGTAAGACGAGCAACCGGGAAGCTGTCAAAGCGGCTGAGAACCGGGAAGTAATTTGACGCTAGGATGCGGAACCAGTTATCGGGATCCATGCGCGCACGTGTGAATGTCCGCACAAGCTATGGGAAAATACGGCAGTAACAGCCCACGGCGTCCCATACAAGGAGAAAAGAATGGATAACATGTTAGCAATGTAAAGCAGATGGACAAAAAATCATAAGGCTACATGTTGACATTGAAAGACGTGCAGCTGAATTCGTTCCGGCACTAAGTAATGACAAGTGCTGTACTGATGGAGCCGTTCGTGAGATGAGACTGGGACCTGGAAATGAAGAAGACCTTAAGCGGTTGAACTTAGAGCTGAACTAGTTCATAGAAGGAATCTGCACCGCAAAGGCGTTAGACGGCGTGATCACGGTTAATAAAGGAGTGAGTGTAGAGCAAGTGTTCAAGTTCTCTGAAGAGACAACAATCCACAGTAAACATGGTACGATCCGGAGAAAGGATGGATGCCGACCGCGGACGTCAAGTTGAATTTAGAGTTCTAGCATGATGGTACTTCAATATACTCAGGACTCGCGAATGTGATGGCCCGGTGGAGCGAACTAGGAGGATCGAAAGGAAAGCGATGTGCCGGCGGCACTTATTTGAGGCGGGCGGGTCGGCTAGGGTGGATTTTTTCTCAACACCGACAATCACTGGCTTCAAAGTTCAAACGTTCAAAGTTCAAATTCAAACTTAAACCGGTCTCCATTCAGTCGTGGTTATAATTTTTCTGCAGTGGCCAGCCAGTCAGCAGTCCCATAATTTGGAGGCATGACGATCCAGTATCACAGAATATCATCTACCCGAAGCCTGGCTAAAGACGAACCTGGGGTTATATAGACTCGAAGTATGTATGCCTCTCTATCACAATCCAGATCCTTGTTCTTGGACCTCAGGTGGAGTAGATATGAACAAGGAAGTTGCTAATGATCCTGGCTGAGGCTGGCTCATCAACCAGCGCATCAGTAAACTGAGGAACTCTAATTGGTTCTGGCTCCTCCGTTCTCGCTAACACTCCTCGCTAAAAACCATGAGTTTACCGAGGATAGGCTGAAGTTAACAGAGTTAATGGCTCTCAGGACCGTATTGGTAATTTGGCCGTTGCCTTCGCCTACTATATTGGGTGCGTCAGAAATGTCTATCTTCTCGTCTCGCTCACGTCGTCTCCAAGGGTGTATTGTGGCAGGTCCCTGTTTTCTCTCTTGCAGAGCGGATCATGGTGCGTAAGCTTGCTCTTCTTTCTCTTAATCTTCCTGAACCTATGTGTCCAGGACCCCGACAGCAATCAAAAGTAGCACAGTAAAGGACGAACTTCTGAAACAATCCAATAATAGGATTGCATGGCAAATACATTCAACCAAAGGGTTCATCAATGCTAGCGACATGGCTACTGCCGTTACTGAAAAAGAGTGTTGGGTTGCCGTTACAAATATGGTTTTTTTTTTTGCTTACCTTTTCGTGCCATCCGCTAACACTGCCCTTCCAGTAAATGCAGATGCGAGCGTGCGTCTGAATGCGACACTTTTTTCTGGGGATGGTTCATATAACTTTTCGGAGGCTATAAGAACCATAGCTGTAAAAGCTAGGAATGAAAATGCATAGTAGGAATTTTGATTTGCTCCTATGGCTATACTAACGCTGGCATACAGCTGGACGTTTATAAGGCTATCTATAAATCATCCTGATACAGATTTTGAAAGTTTTAGTCTATATTCCCACCGAAATACAAGGACAGTGGAAATCTTACCGCTCTACTACCGATATCTCCTTCGACGCTAGTCCGACCAATCTTCTACACGCTCGACAATGTCAGGGTTTCGATGCGCCAGTGCACGTACTCCCTTCATTTGAATCTGTAAAGTAACTGACTTCGTCTCTAGAGGTCTGGCTCTTAACGCCTTAATGCCTCTTCTTACTGGTAGATTCATTCAGCTATTTCTTATGCTGTGGATCATTAGTTCAGTGACTTTCTTTTGTGGAGACGAACTCGGTTCGGCTTTGAAGCCGAATTGCTGATTCCTTTGAATATTTTGCCTAGATTATATGCATATGGACACGCGGCCCCATTTACAACATTTCACGGGTTGTCCGGACCGTCGTATTCAGTACCCGAAATGAAGGTTAGCCAGTATCCTTCCTTCGACCATTCCTTCCTCGAAAAAGTCTGGTCCAGCTAGGAAGAATTTCGGTATCTTGGTGGCCTGGATCGCTGTATCGTGCTTGACGATGCCGTTGATTCAGTGATATCGACGTCGAGAACAAGTCCAGTCATGGCGGAAATTACAAGTCGCTTCGAAGCTTGTATGGTCTCGAATTTGTAGACTATAGCAACGCTTTTTTGCGACCCCGTTCCGACTTGTTTCCGCGACGATGACGTCTCTTAGGAGATGGCACTCACTCACCTCGATCATGTTTCATTATCTCTTGTGCAGCCCCTAGTGCGTAAGACAATCCACCACCATCCCCTCAGCCACCTACGGGGATGGGCTTCAGGTTCAGGAAGAGGAAGCTCCAGAGCCTCGACAATCCACCAGCTAGTGATAATGCCCCCTTAACGGTGTGTAAACAAGTCTATGTTACATTATAATATGCCCATGCTGATTGTTTTCTCTTGTACAGACTACTGATGATAATGACACGATAGCCAATGCTCAAGGAATCAAGTACAACCTTGGGCGTAAAGCACGACAGTTTTTCGGATTGTACTGGGCTCTTCGTCATGGCAAAGCAGATGAGGTAGACGCCAGCGCTTCTAGTAATGAATCCGACCCCTGACAACGTACTGAAGCAGAGCTCGTCTTCGTCTACAAGCCCTTCGACTGATAACAGACGAAGGTCTACCGCATTGATTGATATGCTGCAGCCTCGGCCACCCATTCCAGAGATATCACGACCTCTCCGGCGCAGGCACTATCGCGATGATTACAGGCCTCGCCGTAGGGATGATACACCTACGCAGAGCACAAGCACGCTCGAGCATGTTGCGACGCCGCATATTAGCGAGCATCCGCCTCGGTTTGCGTCAGTCGTACGAAGCGCATCTCCGCGATACTCGACGTTTGCTCGAGCCACACACAGTACCATTATATTCGCCCCCAATCCTGTTGTTAACGAAACTTCCCTGGACGCTGCACCACCTGCCTACTCCCGTGTTGATCCCACCCCTTCCAGCTCCCACTTGTAACGAACTCTATTAAATATCTAGACACAGGGTGCTGTATTATTTCGGACTTGTATTCTCATGCCTAGAGATATCACGTATATATATATCTCGCAGATGTAGCACTTTCCTTGTCATCGGTACTTAGTCAATTCAAGATTTCAATTATCACACACCGATTGGCTGGCGGCCTTATATCCTTATAGAGGTATTATTCACACGCTCGAAGACGGGTATTCATCGTCCATGACGCGGTCGGCCCACTGGTTACCAGTTGACCTCTTCGTCACTGTGGTACCCACGAGATAAAATGTCTGTACTACCACGAATATCGCACGCGCTGTCCCGGTCGTTGGCGACTTTGCACCATGGACCCCCAGCTGGGAAAAGGTAAGGGCGCTGCCTTGGTGTCGTGTAGCCTGTACTGACTAAATGCAGTCCCACAGGTGTGTCAATGTCTCGCCCCGTTGGAAAGGTGCCCGTCTGAATGCCACCGAGTAGCTGTTGTCATGTTGAACATGGGCGGGCCGTCGACGGTGAGCTGTTGACTTGCTTGCAGGGACCCCACTTTTCTAACGTCGCGTGCAAGGTGGCTGAGACCCATGATTTTCTAAAGAATCTCTTTTTGGACAACGACCTTATCCCGCTGCCTTTTCAACGGTTCCTTGCACCTGTAATAGCCCGCCGACGGACACCCCAAATTGAGCAACAGTATACGGACATTGGAGGCGGGTCACCTATACTACGATACACTCAGCTGCAAGGCGAAGGATTGGCCTGTCTTTTGGATGAACTGCATCCGGAAACCGCCCCGCATAAAAGTTATGTCGCATTCCGGTATGCGAACCCACTCACGCAGGAGACAGCACGCCAGATGAAGGCCGACGGTGTCAAGCGGGCTATCGCGTTCACACAGTACCCTCAATACAGCTGCAGCACGACCGGGAGCAGTCTGAACGAAATTTTCCGGCGTGGAAAAGCGGCAGAGTTTGGGGACGTGGAATGGAGCGTGATAGACAGGTGGGGGACGCATCCAGGCTTTGTGGAGGTTCGTCCCTTTGAAAAACAAACGTGGTTGATGAATGATCTGATTCCGTGCAGGCAGTGGCGATAAATATCGAAGCCGCCTTGGCAAAATTCCCGGCAGCAACACGCGACAAGACCGTTCTCTTGTTTTCTGCGCACTCGCTACCGATGTCTGTGGTGAACCGAGGGGACCCGTATATCATGGAGGTGTCTGCGACTGTTTCTGCGGTCATGGACAGACTGGGGCACTCTAACCCCTACCGTTTGGTGTGGCAGTCGCAGGTTGGTCCGTCGGCATGGATGGGAATGCAAACGGGCGACGCCTTGAAAGGACTAGCTCGCCTGGGCGAGAAGCAAGTAGTGTTGGTTCCAATTGCATTTACAAGCGACCACATTGAGACATTGTACGAACTCGATTTGGAGTATGCCAAAGAGGCAAGGAAGGTGAGGAAGTCAGTCGACCCTTTCGATTGGTGCCAGGCTCATCTACGGTTACAGCATGGGATCGAAGTGTACCGTGCTGAATCTTTGAATGATTCCCCCGTCTTTATCCGTGCACTAGCTGATATTGCAGCAGAGCATTTGCGTCAAGGTGAACGTGGGCCGACGAGCGTGCAGCTAGGACTGCGATGCCCTGGCTGCACGAATGCGACATGCGGGCAACAAAAAGAGTGGTTCAGGCAGGGGGGACGTTAATTAGCAATGAATATGTAGAATTCCGGAGGTATGACCTGATTAGTAGTAGCGACAGGTAAGAAGTAACGCCGTTTGTACGTGAGTGTGTCAAATGCAGCAATCATCAACTCAGGTCTTTCTTGTACCATACAAATCTGACACAGGCTCTTATTGGCCCGTATTCATTGATTCCTATCTCTACCGTTCCATTTCCGGCCGCCTTCTTGTTCCTTGGACCGATCAGCGAACGAAAACAATATAAAATTGAATTTAAGCCTCGCTGGCTCGAGTGCAGGCCCCCCTCGACATGCCACATTCTACCGTCGTGTCGTCCCCAGGAAAGGTCCTAATCGCGGGCGGATATCTCGTCCTCGATCCTGCCTACTCTGGCATTGTTGTCTCGGCTTCGTCCCGGTTCTACACCGTCATAACGGACGGGCTGCCCAACCAGATCCGTGTTCGATCCCCCCAGTTCGAAGCCGCGACCTGGACATACAATGTCTCCTGGACTCCTTCTGTCCAGGTCGAACAAGCTGCACAACAGTGAGCCAGATATCTTCTTCAATGCCCCCCACCCCAAATTTATCATTCCAGGTCGAGCACCAATAAATTTGTCCATCTTGCTCTAAAAAAGACACTCGCCCTTGTCTCTGAAATCAAGGGGTTGCCTTCCCTGCAGGACTCCTTGGCCAGGGGCCTTGATATCGCCATTGCTGGCGACAATGATTTCTACTCCCAGAGAGCCAAGGTACTGCTCCGTTTGGTCTTTATTATCTGTCTTACTTACTAGACTTTCGGACAGTTGGCGTCACTAGACCTTCCACGAACAATCACCTCCCTAGAACTTATAGAACCATTCGCTGCTACCGGCGTATCATTATCCAATGTCCACAAGACGGGCATGGGCTCCTCCGCGGCACTCATCACATCCCTGGTCTCTGCTCTACTACTTCATCTCGGTGCCATACCTGCATCATCATTCTCAGACGTCAACAGCGACGGCAGACGGCTGGCCCACAATCTCGCACAATACGTACACTGTCTAGCACAGGGCAAGGTCGGCAGTGGGTTCGACGTGTCGTCCGCCGTGTTTGGCAGTCACATCTACACTCGTTTCGCGCCGGGGGTTCTGAATGACTTGATGAGCGACGACTCGGTGTGTCCGCTTCATTTCGGTTGCGAGTACATGTGAACTCATTACATACAGACATCGGCCCACCCCCTCCTGCCTGTCCTGTCGCCTTTCAACGAGGCCTGGAATTATCGAGTACAGCCATTCCAACTCCCTCCGTTGACCCGAATCATGCTGGCCGACGTCGACGCTGGCAGTGATACACCCTCATTGGTGGGTAAGGTCCTTAGATGGAGAAACGAAGACTCCGAACGAGGTCGGTATGTTCTAATCCTCCGATGAACAACAACTAATTATTTTCTGTACAGCCGGCGCGCTGTGGACCGCACTGGATCAGCTAAACCAATCCCTCGCACAGACGCTCATCCAAATCTCAAACCTGTACACGGCCGATCCACAAAGCTACGAGAGTGCCGTCAAATATATCTCATCATTAAATCACTTTCAGGTCTGTTCCGAAAACCTTGGCTTATAACAAATCCGTGCTCATTTGCTCTTTCAGTGGCTCGCAAATCCAGATGCCCCACCAGAGGAAATGCCGGTTATTTCCACATTCTATGCAGCCCACATAATATCTGAGGTAGGCAGAATTAACTTCTCCGAACGGTTAAACACTCTAACGGCATTTTTCAGTCAATTCGAGAAAAGATGCGAGAAATGGGAGCGTTAGCTGATGTTCCAATCGAACCGGAAGAACAGACCCGGCTGCTAGACGCGTGTATATCCCAAGCCGGCGTGATTGGCGGAGGAGTCCCTGGAGGTTAGTGTTTTACCTTCGTTCGTTTCCCCGTCTGAAATTGCGTTAGCCGGTGGCTATGATGCTGTGTGGCTACTTGTCCTCGATCCAGTCGACCCATCGCCCGATCAACCGCCTCGAGTACGTGTGGAGCATGTTTGGGAAACGTACAGCTCCGTTTCGCCGCTATCTGCCGTCGAAAGCTTGGCCAAGGGTACCAGAGTCGAGGTGCTCGAACACATCAAAGGCCTCAAAGAAGCCGTCTCCCAAAAGTCGTAGGCGTAGTGATGATACTGCACGGAATTTTATAATTTACATAATGGTTGTCCGTATAATGTCCAGGTCTAGATACGCAGCACTTCATCCATGCGTTCCGTTTTATGATGGCGCGCGGTTTACATGCAGATTTTCGCGTTGCCTTCCGGAGTCCAGGTCTTGCCCAGCGCTTGAAACAAAGAGATAGCCATCACCGTTACTCCGAATGCCACGCAACAAACAGCAGGCAGCTTTCTTCGGCTATGCCACGGTGATTCGGGGCTTATGAGTTTGAGGTAACAGGCGGCAGGGAAAATGAATGCCAGCGCTGTAGCTGATACGCCGCCGGTAATCTCAAGCATCACCCCAAGGTCACAAGTAACCAGTGCAACTATAAATTCGTTTAGTCATAACGGCTTTGACGGCAAGTAGTGTTTACCTAGCATCGGCATAAATAAAATGCTTGTAGTGAAGAATATATGCCGTTGTTGATTGAAAGGCTCATGAGAAAAGAAATATTGCTCCACGACCTGTAAACTGTCAGTGGAAGAACCTTGGATGAATTCAGGATCCAGACCTCTCGGCAAACAAAAAGTTCTAAAGGTAATGTCGTGAACATATTCAATCCGAAGCAGAAGCGAGCAACATTAATGAGCGTGTCGTTCTGCTCTCACGTCAGTATGAAATAAATATTGAATTGAAGGAGCCTAATCACCGGAGAAAAATTGTTGAGAATGTTCCCTTGTGTCTTGTCTGTGAACACAATATATGCTGAAATTGCCAACGTGCAACATGACACCAGCGATATTAGGGTAGATATGTGGGTCACTTGGGCGAACCGGTCTAGTGTTGGAGTTCGTAGACTGCCGTAAATGAGCAATGAATTGTGATGGCAGACTAGATGAACAATAAGTGAGCGACGGGAAGAACAAAAAGAACACTGCATACCAAATGCAAAGCTGATAACCCCGATGGCCTGGAAAATGCCTGGACCAAGGACGGTGAATCGTTTGGACTGATCACCCTTCAAATCAGGAGTGACCTGTGGGCCCTCGATTAGGACTGAGCCAACGATTATGAGCATCCCGATGAGGGCAAGACCAGATGCTCGCGAGAGTTTATGGATGTCGCGGTATAGCGACAATGGGTAGGATACACAAATAGTACAGAGAGCAATGATAAATTGACGATTCGCAAGTAATGAAAGCACGGGTATCGAACGTAGGTCGGGGAATATTGAGCGGATGACATGAGGTATAGTATCGCCAATGATTATCCCAAAGGCGCACATGCCTGCATAGAATCTCAACAATGTAATATGATGCTGCTACGGTCGACTCACCTCCAAGCGCAAAAGCGAACTGGAAAAAGGAAACGGCCGCTCGTCCGCTTGATCCAAAACAGTGGTTCATGATGTCAATGTAAGAATGACTACCACTGAGTTTTGCATTGATGACGATAAGACGAATGGTCCAGTCTGTTACCGCACATAGTACTACCAGCAGGACAACTCCCGTGAAAAATCCAGCTTGGCTAACGGCGTAAGGAAGACCTGGACGAGACAGTAAGAAACGGTGTAAGGGTTGCCTAACACAAAATAGTACAAGACTAACCGATGATGCCTAGTTCAAAAATCAGATGCAGATCGAGAATGTGAAGAAAAATAAATACCTGCTCCTAATATTGAATTTGCCATGTTGGCTATCGAATCTACCATGCCTCCACCTGCGTTTGCTTTCGCAGCTATATCCTCTAGGTCCAAAGCTGACTCTGATGGGTCCGCCTGTCCAGTAGTAGAAGTATGTAGAGGAATAGCGGTGTCCAGATTTCTCCGAGCGGAAGAGTCCAATAATCCGACGAGCAGTGGCATGCGACGGTCCATATGTCCAGGAGGTGTTCTAACAGTGGCCTCGTCGTCGAGTTCATCAGAATCGAGGTCATATTCTGTGTAAATAGTTTTCGTTTTATTCGTCGAGAACGATAATGTCTGACACGCACACACCTGCCTCTCTGCTCGCAATGGTCGACCTTAAGGGAGGGCCTATGACCTGCACGTCCTCCTGAAAACGTACGACATGCTCAGTCTTTCCTTTATGCGGTGGATTAGACTGAGATTCAACTTGGCCATCGTCTGAGTCATCGTCGTCGATGGCAAAGACTACATCGTCGTCGACCAAGTCGTCTTGTGACCGATTTAGCAGAGGTTGTCGCGCCTCGCCTTCAGTATCACCATCGCCCTTTTTGTTGCGAGATTGACCGAACATTTGGATATCCGTATTATGAGGCAAACATATGGGAAGGACGTGGACGTGGTCGCGGTCGAGAATAAAGTTGCACAGCCAGTCCCGCCAGAAAGGGCATTCGGACCTTGGTTCGTCACAACGTAGTCGTATACCACTTCCTCCATTCCTTCTTCATTGCATTATGTATACCACTATTATTTCCTTATTCTTTCTCGCCTTCTTTTCTTTCACGTTTCTTGTCTACCCAGTGGCTGCCGTGCAACTTTCTCCACGAGAGCTGGCTTCTCAGTATTCTCTCACGACGAGCACGACATTCCCATTTCCAACCGCTACGCAAAGCAGCGATGAGACGGACACATTCATTGCTTCGGAATGGTCATTGAGCAGAGGGCGCTTCCAGGACGATTCCGACAACGTTGCTTTCGTTGGTGATCCATTCACTGCCAACTCTTCCGGTCCTGTTCTCGAGGTCACATATCCAGAAGGCAGTTTCTCGCATGGCACTGGTGGCACTCAATTCTACAATCTTTGGAACGCGTCCAATGGCGGAGTGTTCCAGTCTCTTATGTTGTCCTACGATATAGCGTTTGACAAGGACTTCGACTGGGTAAAAGGCGGCAAGTTACCTGGAGTGCGAGGTGGACCTAACGCTACTGGCTGTAGCGGTGGTAATCAGCCCACAGGTAGCGACTGCTTTAGTGTTAGACTGATGTGGCGACAGGAAGGCGCTGCTGAAGGTACGCGATGTCACTAGAATCCCCAGTCATATTCTAACGCCTTCGGACTTGAAGTATACGCGTATATTCCTACGCCGAACAATCTCTGTAGCGAGCGCAGTATCACCTGCAATGACGATTTTGGCACTAGTATATCCCGCGGAGCCTTTAGTTTTGTGACCGGAGAGTGCGCCTACCGTCACGACACTAGTGTAGAGTAGCTGACTTTCTGCGGCAGATGGAATCAAGTCACTCTTCTCGTGCAGCTCAATGACCCGGCGAGTGTAGCGAACGGAAACCTCAAATTATAGTACGATTCCAGTAACAGTACAAGCCAAACAGTTTCCGATATTAATGAACAGTTATAACGACGTCGAAGTAATCTCTCAAACGGATCTCCAATTTCGAAGCAGCTCGTCTGTTGATGCTGGCGGGATGTATTTTTCGTGAGTGCTATTTTAGCTATCTGCTATCTAAATCATGTGATGAATCGTTGGTCAGGACATTTTTCGGAGGTTGGTGCTGTATTTACATGCTGGCTATTTGAGCTGAACTGATCGTGATTTATTAGGTTCAGATGACAGCTGGGCGACACCGAATACCACCCACACATACTTTCGCAATATTACGATGTGGGGTGGTTCAAACCCGTCCAATTTGACGGGACTTGAAGTTACCAGTGCAGCCAGTAGCTCGTGGATATCACAGCTCTGGACAACTTTAGTCCCTGTATTTTTGACGGTCGGTTCTCTATGCATGTGAGGCACGGACTCTAATATTTCGGAACACGAACTTCATCTTTGTAAAAGGGACAATAAATAGTTAGTAGTACTTAGGAGCACACGGATGTACAATACCAATACAATACATAAGATATACATACCACTGGCATGTTAGAGGTAAATCGATGCCGGAAACGTAGATTAATTGTATGTAGCTTTCTTGGCAGGAGGTCCCGTTGGCGTTTCAAGATTCCCGCTGTTAGTCATATTTGCGAGAGGGCTGGGCAGCGTTGTTGTTGATCCAATATTGGCAGTACCAACAATCACACCACGGATCCAGTCATACTCACCACCCATAATCTGCCTTTGAACGGCCTCGATGGGAATCGAGGCAAGAAGGTTTTGGCCATTTTGACTCCGTGCAAGCCAAGCGCCATGAACCCTCATGGTCTTGGGTTTAGTTATCTGCAAGTAAGGTCCACTCAGCATTCGCCGCCCCAAAAAGACCGAGACGCCTCCCCGTAAGGTCAGTTGGTAATTGTCATGAACCGTTTCCCACGCAACCCTAGAATGCCTGGCATGCACCTCATTCAATTCTTTCTTCACATGCCCGCGCTCAGCATGCGACCCTGTAACAGCATGAACCGCCTTCCCGTTACTAAAAAACTCTCGGAGATTGGTACAAAGAATGCACTGGGACCAAGGGCTACATCCTATGTTGGGCAACTGGAGTAAAATGGCTTCGTCGGGTTTGGGGATCATTATTTTTAGCGCATATATACTAGTCACCTCTGCACAAAAGGTGGAGAATGGCGGGGACGTGATTTGCAGGCCCATTCGAACTGTATGCGCATGCAGATGCTTGATAAAAGGACAAAGTATGGCGTACATGTACTCATTTTGGTCTGCATGGAGGAGCCAGATAGAAAACCCAGGTTAAAAAGCTCCACGACAGAACCCAGGGCTCGATTAGGATCAGACTCGGAAAGACCCACAAGGATGCCGAAGTCAAATGTGGTGATAATCTGTGTGACGCATTGCACTATTATTTCTGCTATATCTTTGCGCTCCGAAGAATCGTCATTCGACAGTGGTAACAGCTTGTTCTGTAAGATACACGCGACGTTTCCCAATTGTTACGACCGCGTCTTCGCTATATAGCCGATGAATGCAGGCGCCATCCTAACGATAATAAGCAAGCTTGACACGATAAAATTCGACTAGCCAACATACAGTTGCTTAAGGAATGCATGACTGGTCTGCCTTAGGGCCAGAAGCAGGGGTTCCGTGTCTGAATCCGTGATTGATTGAGAGTTGTGAAGAAGTTGACGAGCAGCGGTCTCAAAAACGTCCGATAAAGGGCCTGAGAGTTGGGGGTGAGTTGGTGAGTTGGCTCAAGACAGGAACCAGAGCATGATAGGCCTTCCAGCCGCCAGCAGTAGCCGCTATTAGAGGTTTCATCTTCCCAAAGATTTGCTTGCAATGCTCGACTGTATCAGTGTCGATGCATAATTGGACCAGGCTTTTTATGCATGAAGGATTGGCAAAATCGTGCGCTGTAGCACCCATTCGGCCTTTGGGGAGCATGAAGCAAAGATGGAAACAACGGCGACACCGTAACCATATATAAAACAATATGAGATATCGCAGAGTCGAAATCCCCCAGTGACGGTGATACACCCCCCTCGGTGTATAACTTTCTTACGAAGGGCAACCAGAAATCCTGATTGTATGGCTCTTTTGGAGCTGTGGAAGCAAACTATAAAAAACACATCAGCGAAATTTTACAGAAAAACCAGAAGGAACTCACTCGCTTTGGAAGAAATTGATGCTACGATCTTTGATACTTGCTATAAGCCACTTGATGTCGCGATGTTTCAGGGTACGAAGTGAACACAGTATAGTTGCACTATTTTGCGAGCATCAATTGATGATTTCGTCGTCTGAACCTTCTCTTGCCGTTTGTTTCTTTACCAGGGTCATTCGTTTGGAGTTTGTCTGGGCGTATTTAATGGTGTCTACGAAACTGTCATATATTAATGAGATGTCGATGGAAACCATGTACAGGAGAAATACTCACAAATTTTCAATAGGTTTCCAGTCGAAGACCTGATACATGGAAATGGAACCTTCGATGGCCATGAAGTCGATGTTGGTGTGTAGCCGGCATCTTTTTGCTACCAGTAAGAATGTATCAACGTCGTTCCAACGATCAGCTGTCTCTCTGAGAATCCCAACAGCCTTTGATATAGAAAGAACATCTTTTCTACATTTCTCCGGAGTCAGCGTCATCGAGGTCTTCCTCGTAGTCGTCGAACGCATAGTAACGACCCCAGGGATCTCGATTTTGACGCCGTTTAAGGTCATTGCGCTCGTCAATGTGTAGTTAATATCAGTGTGGTACACCCTGAAGCCCAGTTGATTGGCGATATTAAACACAGAAGTCGCAAGCGTCTTCGTCGGCTGTGACACAGGCGGCGAGCATTGTAGGTTTTCCTGCAGTGTCAGGGGCTTTCCATGATTTAAAGACAGTGGTTAAGCCATCTTTTATACCTGCGGGTTAGGGGAAAAGGGTCAAGGTCCTGGAGAGGAGTGTAGGAGCCTGTAATTGAGCGACAGACGATATCCGGACTTCACGGATTCCATGGTGTGGGTAATATTGACGAAGGATCCTACAACGGTTGTCGTCAAGGGAGAATTGGGAAAAGCAATGGCCTGAGCGGAATCGCCATACTGCAAGCAAAGGGGACCCTCCTGTGAACTTTGAAGGCAGAGTGATATCCATAGTTCCAAACATTGAGGGAACTATGGAATCACTGATGAGGTCTTAGTTACATTCTTTAATGTTAGCCTCGAAGACGGAGCTGTCCTGGGTAAGATCACTATGACTGCATGAGAATCGCTGACATAAACGGCATATAGAACTTCTCTCAAGGTGAGTATGCCTCCAGAAGTAGCCTGTCAAACTCGCAATGCGATTTCGAAGGTTCGACACCTATATTTTTGCAAGTCACTGGGAGAACAGATTTCTTAATCCAGGCGTCCCACTCCGGATTATAGAAATGTATCTAAATTGGAGTTCACAATAGGACATTCTGAGGCTTCACCGCTTACGAGGAGATGGTTCATCATCCAGCACCTGCCACTCGGGAGGATCTCGTCGTAGGGCATACAATAAGACTTGATGGCCGCAGGATCTCGTTTACTCAACGGCAAGCCAATCAAGCCTAGCCCGTCAATCTTGAGACAAGGATTCAGGGCATCTTTCATGGAATACACACGAGAAGACGCGAATCCGTGTTCGTTTTTCAGCAGCACGTCCAGCGTCGACTAGCACGTTGACTACAAACATCAGCGCAAACCACAGCAGAGAAGACTGAATACTTACGCGAATGTCGCCAGATTTCCCAATGGAAGGCCATGACCAAAAGGGAAAGATGCAAACGAAAATGTTCCCACGCCTCATGCGCGTCGCCTGACGCGTTTACCCTGTGATCATCGGCCCGGGGTCCATTGTCCAACTCACCCTGATGATATGCCTCCATACGCACTGGAATTCCGTTAACTAGGGCTCGGACGCCGCAGACCTTCATCATTCGTAGGGGCCATATCTTGGTAACTTTTCTGACGGTACTTCAGTCCGGTTTTACCCTTGAAACTGTTTGAAAGTTGATCTAGAAAACAACTAGAAAATCTGATTCGTTGTCGTTTATCCAGGAATCATCCGTTACAGAAGCAACCCGTCCCGTCTACACATCATTCGTCCGACTACCAGGACTTGGCAGAACAGGGCTCAGGCGGGTCCAGGTAAGAACCCGTGAACGGTTTTCGCGTGCTGAAATTAATCTGGCTATTCAACGTATGCATTCTCGCACACGGCCCGTGTAGTCCTTCCAGCGCCGAATTTATGCCTGCTCAAGGCACCCACGAGTGCAGTGGCTTATGACCATCCATACAACTTCATAGGGCGATTTCTGGGCTCCCCAATCGGATAATCTTGTTTCTATGTCATCTATTATCCCGACCCTCACGGTAGGTAAACTCATGTATATAACACCTGAGCACTTGTGTGAAATGCTTACACAAAATGGCCCTCTTGCTAATTTTGTGGCTTCTCCTCGCTCTCGCGCCCCTCTTGCGAGTCCACTCGCTTAATTACTATGGTGCTGACTTCTCTTCCCTGGTCAATTTGGAGAACTCTGGTATTTCCTATTCGGATGGTGGGAGCAAGAAAGCTTTCGAAGATATTCTTGCCGATCATGGGGCCAATATTGCACGGATCCGAATTTGGACTAGTGAAAGCGATTCTGAGTACAGTCTGGATTATGGTCTCTCCTTGGCGCGCAGAGCGGTAGATGCAGGAATGGCTTTGCTGATTGACCTTCACTACAGTGATACATGTAAGTCTTGCTTGAGATGAGCAAGTCAATATGTTTATAGCCTTTGATTTTAAAGGGGCGGATCCCTCAAAACAGGCCATTCCTTCTGCGTGGTCCCAAGATTTAAGTTCTCTGAATACCGAAATATGGCAGTACGTTATTCTTTCTTAAAATTTCATGTTATGTATTTGTCTGAATCGCCGCCTGAAAGATACACATTGGATTTGGTCAACGCATTCACGGATCAGGGAACCCCCATTGATTTCATTCAGGTATGTGGTGCTTACGCTATCCCCTCTTTTTTATAAACGTCAGATTATACTTTTTAGACCGGTAACGAAATCAATGGCGGCTTTTTGTGGCCAACAGGACAAGTTTCGAAAAATGGTTACGAGCCTCTGTCTGAGCTTTTGCACTCTGCAGTTAATGCTGTCCGTCAAGCATCACCATCGACAAAAACAGTCATTCATCTCGCGAATGGATGGGACCAGGACAGCGTATTATACTTCTACGAATACGTCCTTGACTTCCAGGGTAATCTGGAGCTCGATGACATTGATGTCATGGCCTTCTCGATGTATCCTTTCTATGATTCGGGCGCCACACTATCTGCCTTGCAGTCTAGTCTTAAACAAGTCGTCTCTACATACGGCAAGGTGAGCCCAAACTGCACCTTTCAGAATACTTCTCTGACCCTTACAGGACGTGATGATCGTCGAGACCGACTGGCCAGTCCAATGCTCTGGAGTTACGTTGACTGAAAGCATTGCTGTATCTGTGAAAGGGCAGGAAACCTGGGTTGGTCACAGAAGTTCTATTTGACACACTGTTCTCATCGATTGGTAAACAGATGTCCGACCTTGAGAGCATTATAGATGGACTTTCTGGTGGCCACGGAATAGGTCTTTTTTACTGGGAACCGGGCTGGATCGGTAACGCAGGTGAGAAAAGCAATTTCAACGACTGATTTTTCTGGATTGAAAATTTTGAATTTTCCCTCACAGGCCTTGGCTCTAGCTGTGCGGTATGTGTTTTATGCAAATTTCGGACAAGCAGTCATTGATGACAACATCAAGGATAACCTTCTAGTAGATAGTTCAGGTAAAACGCGGGATTCAATTGATATATTCGCCAGCTAGGCGTATACTGTATGTATATAACGTTGGTTGTTTCGAGTCGGCCCGGCCGGCAACAACCGAAGTTCCTTTGAGATTGTTCCTCTTGCGCTCACTGTTTCCTGTACAATTCTGCCAAAGGCCCAGCTTTCGATTCTGTTTCAATCATCAAAAATAAGGTTTTGTGGGTGTTGTCAAGGTATTGATGATTGTATTGATTGGTATGTCAATGGACGTATAAGGCTGTGACTGCGGGGCGGTTAACGCGTGGGCTTCTCCTCTCCAAATCCACCATGAGCGACTCTAATAACGACGATACAAGTAAAAAAGGAGAGGAAAGAGAGGTGACAGACCCTGTTACCCACCTGCCACTTCTTATCCATGACAACACGTCGTTTGAACTCCACCAAGTATCGTATCCCTCCAGCAATTCACCAGTCGGACAGATGGATGCTGTGGTGAGGAACGAGCTGCGGCATCGACGATGGCAGTATTCGGATTCCCAGGGCAAGCGCAAGTCTCGCGCCTTCATGACCAGTGCTGTTGCCGCGGGCGCTGGAGGTGCGGCGTCACTGGCACTGTCGTGGATATTCCGGACCTTCGTTAGCTCCTCAGAGGTATTGAACCTAGTTTTGGGAGGTGCTACATGTTGTGTCATAGGCCTCGTTGCTGGCGGCGCAGTTCTTCATTATGGTGGGCAAGAAGAAGAGCAGTCGTCCATTGACGACGACGATGATCGTACTAGGGTATGTCACTCGTTTAAGTTTGTTCATGGAAGTATACATTAAAGTTTTGGTTAGCCTGAGCCACTCGCCGGCCCCGAGACTGCAGCATGGCTCAATTCCTTCCTGGCATCGCTATGGCCAATCGTTAACCCCGCACTTTTTACCTCTGTATCCGACATGCTCGAAGACGCTCTTCAAGCGACGCTTCCTAAGCTAGTCCACGGCGTTCGTGTTGCCGACATCGGGCAAGGCACCGAGCCCCTTCGTATCCTCGGCGTTCGCTCTTTGAGTGCCAACGAGACAAGTGGCACAAAACCAGAAGACGGGGATTTTGTCAATCTCGAGCTTGCTGTCGCGTACAAAGCGCGATCTGTTGGCCAAGATGCTGGACTTACTGGTCGTTCGCGTAATGCCCACCTTCTTATGGAGTTTTATCTATCCGGAGGGATAGTTTTGCCCGTGTGGGTTGAGCTTACTGGGCTTGTTGCCAAGATGCGTTTGAGAGTGCAACTAATGCCGAACCCACCTTTTCTATCACTAATGACGTTAACGCTGCTGGGACAGCCGAAGGTCGAAATACATTGTACTCCGCTGGCGCAGAACTTCCTAAACATCATGGACATTCCCGGATTATCGGGCTGGTTGCAAAGTGCCATCGATATGGCTGTCGGACAGTATGTCGCGCCAAGGAGCCTGAACCTAGATCTCAAAACGCTACTGACCGGAAAAGAAAAGATGGACACTGATGCTATTGGGGCGGTCATCGTCACCTTGAAGAGCGCGCAAGGCTTCAGGAATGGGGACGAAGGCAAGTTCTGGCTGTCTAAAAAGCAGAAGCAAGGAGATCCATACGTGTCAGTTGGCTGGGGCAAGTGGGGCAAACCCTTCTGCTCCACCAGGTTGGTGTTTGAGATTCTTCCATAGGAATCCTTCTCATAATGTTACATCTAGAATAATTGAAAACGAATCCAGACCTGTCTGGGAAGAAACTATGATGTTACTTGTTACACCCGCCGAAATTCATGCTCGGGAGAGACTCAGGCTACAGCTTTGGGATTCCGGTCGGTCTTTGGTTTTTTTGCAACAACTTTCCGTTACTGATCCTATTCCAGATAGATTCTCAGCGGACGATATCCTTGGGACAGTCGAGATTTCGTTGCACGACATTATCGAAACTTCGAATCAGTCGAGGTCGCGCCAGGATGATCTGGTCGCCTCTGACGGGTCGAAATGGCCTGGGGTATTGCACTGGTCTGTCGGATACTTCTCGAAGACGGTTCTGGAGCATCATTCCTAAGGATGTGGCTGCGACTACCGAAACGGTTATCCAAGAAGATGAAAATGCGCATGCGGCCATGCCGGAAAGGGATACTCAGAGTGCAGAGATGAGGGAGCAAAAACAGAAGGATCTGAAGGAGAAAGAAGATGAAATTATAGCAAGCACCAAGCCATCTGATGAATGGCTTAGTGGTATATTGTCTGTGAGTATTGAGCAGATCACTGAATTAGGGGTTCAGAAGGTGAGGGACGCTGGCGAGCTAGAAAAGGAAGGATAGCGATCTTCCTAGTCCGTATTGCACTGTTATTGTCAACCATCAACGGATGTACAAGACGCGGACAAAGATGAAGACCAAGAAACCATACGTAAGTGTGTATAGCTTCTTGCCGACTGTTGCTAAATAAGTTTTCCAGTTCAATGCGAGTACTGAGCGCTTTATCAAAAACTGGTTCGATGCCACAGTTATCATTGCTGCTCGCGACGCTCGGGTTCATGAAACCGATCCTCTACTGGGAGTCGTTGTTCTTCCGCTGCAGAAGATTTTCAAGCATCGATCACAAGTAACGGACTCTTTCCCTCTTGTTGGAGGAATTGGATACGGGCGAGTACGGCTCTCCTTGGCATTCCGCAGTGTGCAAGCCAAACTTCCTCGCGAGCTTTTAGGATGGGATTTATGCACGTTGGAGATTCAGCCTAGCGTCAAAACCTCCGCTAATTTCCCGGCTGATCTTGCTTCATGCAAGCTGATTGTTCAGACCCCGTATGGACGTCGAAAAATGTACCCACATCCTGATGGTGGCTGGAAAACGAAAATCGAGAGCCGCTCCGTGCGTTTGGCGGTCAAGAATCGTTACGCGTCCTGTCTCCTCGTCCAGTTCCAGAAACGTGCATTGGGACCTGATGTTATTCCGGCGTTCTCGACGCTTTGGCTGAAAGACATTCCCGACGGGGAAGAGCTTGCCGTGACGCTTACCGTGAGGAAGAACGTAAACGACGCACTTACACGGGCGCGATTCAACGCCACAACCGATATTGGAGAGCCGATAGGAAGCATTGATGTGAAGGTGAAGCTATGGCCGGGCTTGAGCGGCTATCATCAGTACATGGCTGACAAAGATGCCTCCCTGGCGGAGGTAATGGAGGTTCTGGATTGTGCGGAAGAGTCGCATGATGATATCCAACGGGATGTCTTGTACGAGTCTGATTCCTCGGTGTCATCAGTCTCGAGCACGTCTGGGTCGTCGGATGGTACTATTGATGGTGTAAAAAATCAGTTCAAGGACTATCGAAAGAGGAAAGGAGAACTACACCGGAAGCATCGTGGGCTGATGCAATGGAAGGGTGTTAGGAATATCGCTTGGCTTGGACGCAGTGTCGAGAACAAAGCAGACAAGTTGGAGCACAAGCTTAAAGGGAAACTGAAGCACCAGCAGAAAGAGATGGGGATAGAGAGAGAGGTTTGAGCCGACGATTCACTTGGAATCTAACACATTGGATGGACACTACTTACCACACTGTATTCATAGCAACTCAGACTGTATTTATCACTTCATCGCGTGACAGTCACATAGTTCTCCTTCGTCTTCAACTACTACGACCACCACCAAGCACCGAGTATCCAACTTGTTCATGATTTGGGAATTCTCTTACCCAGACGATTTTGGCTCAACCGGTACAGATACGTCAGCCTCGACGCCCTCGTCTTACTGCGACTCCGAGGACGAGGGCGAGGTCACTCATCTGCCCCGCCATAAGAATACCTTCATCGACGAAACTTCGCGCTTTCTCTCCAACAAATATACCTATTCCCGCCCTGATAGACGTCGACATCGTTCTTCCTTGCTGACTCAGGATAGCGAGCACAATGGTCGCGGTGAGGATTTGATGAATTCTGAGTCCTCGCCCAGCAGCGATGGCGGATCTTCCTACGAACCTCATTCTCCTTCAGCATCACCTCCTGCTCAAAGGCTACTGCCGAAGAAACGCAAACGGCGAGCTACCGTTTCTGCCGGATTCTCAGCCAACTTCGAACCCAATTCCAAGACTGCGTCAAAATGCGCAACCGATTCGCCTGGGCCGAAATCAAATGGCAGAGATAAACGTGAACGGCGAGCGACTGTATCCTCTCAGTTCCTCTATCCTCAAACCTCTGGCTCCACATCAGTTTCTTCGATTTCTACTCGTCCTATCATGCCGCCGCGGGGTCTAGTCCATTGGAAATACCCTGACAGTCCTGAAGAACGAACCTCGAAACGAAGCCATCTCGAACCTCACCCAACAAAAGGACATTCACGGGAAAATCTGGCATTCGCAGAAAGGCCTCCACGAAGTCCTGCTCTTAGATCGAAACGAGTCGCGCTTACGTCCTCGGATTTACGGTCCGATCCTACACATCAACCATTTCTACACAATGAACGAATACATATCAAAACAGAGCCTCAAGAGATATCTCTCTCTAGCCTGATGTCACGCAATCGCAGTGCTACTATCGCTTCCGAGTTCCATGTCTATCCTGGAGAGATTCCTTTACAGACTCGCGGACGCAATGTTCCCAGCACGTCTTTTGACGATGAAACTTTGGCTTCATCTGAAACTATGCCATCTATTCCTTTCGGCGTCAGAGCTTCGAAAACCCGGCTTGCGGATTCAAGTCGCCGTTATATCTGTACATTCGAAGGCTGCGGAAAGTGCTTCGTTCGGGGAGAACATCTGAAGAGACACGTCAAGGGCGTTCATCTTTGCGAGAGGCGTAAGATCTTTACTTTTTCTTATGATGTGTGTCCTTCACATTTACGTGTAGCTTTCCGCTGTCCGCATGATGGATGCAAGAAGGCATTCACACGAGGAGATAATCTGAAACAGCACATTCTTGTATGTTACAGTCGTCCAGGACCAAGTATAAAGATAGAAGAGATGTAGATGTAGATTTATTACTATTTCTTGTCTATCCAACTTGGGATATCCGGAGAAAAAAAAGAAAGAAAGCGCAAAAGGGAAATGATAAGAGATAAGATAAGATGACGCAACGCGAAATGCGACGCGTACCGCTTTTCGCTGCGTTTTACAACCTTGGCGTCTACTCTCATCTCCTTCATTTACGATGATGTCCATTGAGGATATGATACCACACCTATACCACGAGAAGCAGGAGGACGGTTCTCTCCTCTGTGCTCAGCATGCTCTCAATTCCCTATTACGTGCGTCTATCGTTTTGGTTGCACTTCATCTGACCCGAAAATTTCAACGTTTTTTAGAGGGCAGCTACGTGAGTAGATGCTTGTATTGTTCACTTTTGTTCTCAACGAGTGCTAGTTCACTGCTCCTGATCTCGCAGAGATTGCCCGTCGACTAGATGCAGAGGAAGCCAGCTACGATGATGACTTGAACACAGAAAGTGCCAGTACGAATATGGACGATACGGGTACGTTCGGGTTTCCTTATCTTGGAGAATCACCTCATATCAAAAATCTGTAGGCTTCTTCTCAGTACAAGTGCTAGATACAGCACTCAAAGTATGGGGTCTTGAGTAAGGGTGAGCTCTCTTGGGGCTTTCAACGCATATTCACTTCTGTTCAGCCTTGTTGGATGGCGAGGAGAAGCCATGAGATCCTTATCAAGACACGCCATAGTACGCCACCCCCCCCCCCTTCGAAGTTCCCATCTGACACAAGATACAGCACCCAACTGGCGTTTATTCTGAATTACCAGCAGCATTGGTACACGCTCCGTCGGTTTGGACCGGCTTCCCCCGTCCTAGCTGAAGATTCTGGGATTGGGCATTGGTTCGATCTGAATTCTCTTCTCCCTGAGCCCCGGTGGATTAGTAAAACCTACCTAGGGATGGTACTACAGCAGGCAGAGGCTGATGGTCAGTAACTCCTTCCATCACAGTTGCATTCCTACTAAGTGAGATGATATTTTTAGGCTACTCGGTCTTTGTAGTGACCCAGACAGACCCTTCTGCTCCTCTAGGCCTCCCTCGCGTAGATGCAGACGATCTCGCAACTATCGTCTCTGAGTCTGGCGTTTCCGGTCGGCCATCCTCAAGTTCTTTCACGACAGGAACTTCTCATTCCACTGCTGCCGGGAGTCACGATTTTGAAGGATTGGAGGATGAGGATTATGAGCTTCAAGCCGCTTTGCAGGCTTCACTGATGGCCGGATCGTCTTCTGATTACCCTATGATGAATTTCGATCCTCCCGCTCTAACGAGATCCAATATGCCGCCTCCTAGGGGCTCTTGGTCGCCTATTGAACACAGTTCGGGTGACCAAACACCGACAGACACTCCTCTGGACCCCGTAGCTGCTAGCATGGCACGCAATCAACAGCTTCTTCAACGAATGACAGCTGAACAGCAGTATGCTCAACGAGAATTATGGGGCGAAGGGCGCACGGGACGCCAGGAAAACAGCGATGACGAGGATCTGAGACGCGCCATTGCTGAGAGCGAAGCAATGGCCAGGGCAGAGGGCCATGGACGATCAGAGGACGAGGAAGTCGAAGATGATATCGAGGATCGCGCATCTTCAGCAATTCTTCCGAACTTCGGTCAGCCAACATTGCTTAGCAGAGGAAGTGGGGATAGAGTGTATGACGATGATGACGCAGAATTACAGGCGGCCTTGAAGGAATCTCTGGCTCAAGTTCCCGACAACTGGGTTGCGCCTGACGCATTCCAAACGCCATCTCCACGTCCGCCGGCACCGATGACAGCACCGACAACAATCAACCCACCTCAGTCATCATCGTCTGCTTTGACCGATATGCAGGATGTCGAATCTACGCCGTCTGATGATGGGAATTCGACTGTCGCATCTTCTGAGCCGGCTGAAGCGCCTTCCCAAGAAGCTGTCAGCCTCGAAGAAATGCGAAGACGAAGACTTGCAAAATTTGGAGGTTAAAGATGTAATGTATCTCATATCGAAGCTCGTTGTACTGGCCCGTAAGTTGATCTTAAACCATCTTTTCGCACCGCGAAGTACCACGTTTGTTCATTGAGAAGATCTTGCAAGGAGTGCGGCAATCAAGGAATCTTGCCCGGCATTTTAAAACAACTTGAAGGTGATTTCCGGTCTTTCCCTTGATATATGTTTTGTTGGCTTGGTTCACTTTGTATTTTTGGAGCAACGCAGGGTATCATCTACAGCGCCTCATGTTCAACGTTTTGATAGAACGACCTCGTACAATTCACTGTGCCCGGCAAGATGGTGGCTTGATCACTGAACCGTCCCAGTACACTGCCCCATTGATACCATAACAGAGACGGTGCGCGGGATCCGAGGTTCCCATAACTCACTCGGTCAATATTAGTTTCAGAATTTCGGTACCCGCCGTCACCATATAGTGAGTAAATCGGAGGACGCTGTGATGGGCTCAGTTCGAATTAAGGATACTCGTGGCACCGCGTTCGGCGCTTATCATACAGGCTCCCAACTTCTACCTGTTCTTCTCAACTCGTGTGGTAACTCGATCAGTTACAGTGACATGATGCAGAGATGCTTCGATCCCAGTCACATAGGCGTGTACTTATGAATGCCATCCACAAAAGTATATGGGGTGGATCTATCCATCAAGACCTTCTTTCCAGTCGCCCCATCCTCGCAGCAGCATGAACTCACTGCCGTATCAACTAAAGCCTCTCGTTTCTACGACACTGGGCGTATCGACTCTTACTCTGATATTCGTCTTGGTCGCTCTCATAAACGCGGGCGTTCGTCCCATTCTTTGGATCCTCCCAGCTTCATACGCCCTCACTTTTCCTTACTATGTTGTCATGCTTTTAGCAACACACTTTGAGCTCCGCGGCTCATCACGGCTCTTCTCAATATACAGCATCATTATCGCCTTTGCCTCTGCCTTGTTGTGGACATCATGCAGTGTCTGTCTCTTGGTCATAACTATCATGGAGGGAAAAGAAGATATCAAAATCGACAGGCTGGGGAAAGATACATGGCTTTTAATTATCCCTTGTATTTCCTGCCCAATTCCGACATCCCTTATGTGGATAATCGCAGAAGTCATGCGAAGGGAGAGGAAAAAGATATTATATGCAATGAAGTGGCGGCCAGTTGCTCCCCAGTCTTCTCAAACATGGAGGTTCGTCGTATCCGATCCCCCTCCTCTGCAAGATTTGACTTAGCTATTGTCTTTAGTGTGTCCTTGTCTAGTGTCAGCAGGATTTGACGCATTCCGATCTTTTACAATACTCAACAACGGATAGTCCATGTACTTTTGTCATTTATTTCTCATATTAACAATTGTAGTTATCTTGATCGACCTTTGGATATTTTCGCCGCATTCAATTGGACCTCTTTAACACCGTGTCATCGCAACGATACCTGCTCATTTATATATACACCTAGCTACGCCAGTTACGCATTATCATGTCACTCCATCCTTAGCGGAATTAACCATGTACCTCTAAATCTGATTCGTGACTCTCATCATCTTGGACACTAGACTTGGAAAGGGGCTTCTCCGCACTGGGTGCATCGGACGCCACCACATTCTCGGTTTCAGTAATCGCGTCCTGTGGTAAATCAGAAGGGGAGCCCTTCTTGGCATTTTTCTCACTCTCCTCCTCGTGGTGCACTGAAGAAACAGTTGAAGAAAACGATTCCGTCAGAGAACTGACTGTTGTAACTGCCATATCAAGGACTGCTTCCACTCGTTTTCGCAGCGATTCATTTGAACTGGTGACGGTCTGACAAATAGACAGTTAGTTTCCCATCGCTGATCCCGTGCACCGGAACCACAAAATAAAACGCACCATGGAAACTAAACTTATTCGCGCATCTGCCTCGTCAAGTTGAACAAGTAGTGATGGTTCGTTACTATGCCCTTCCGGTTCCGATTCTTCATCAAGCTCTTCTGGCATATGTAGCTCCACTTCTCCAAAGTGGGCTTCCAAGAACATGATGAGACGTTGAATACGTTTCATAGATGCAGTGTCATCATCTGGGCTTGGATCTGCATGTGGGTGCTCGTGAGGGTCTGGATGAGAGTGGGAATGTCCGTGGGACGTCACTGTGACAGAAACGCAGACCATAAACGTGAGAAATTGTAGTCCATAATTATTGATCTCGCTTACGTTTGACAGAAGCGGGACTCTTATCAATTCCTGTTATGAGTGCAAGAGTCGAATCGGCAAGCATGTCGTTACTCGCACTAGAATCCCACTCGAGAGTCAGTTCATGTTCTTGAGTTAGTTTCACATCTACAGCACCCATGACCTACAACGTCATACATTAGCGTCGAAGAACGCCAGAGCGAGAAATACAGGACTCACCCGCATGGTGGGGACACCATCTTTGTCCAACCCTTCCTCTACGTGCCCATACATCCCTTCAAGATGCCACCTTACTAGTCCCCAACCCACCCCTAGAGCAATCTTCTGCCTTTGCGTGACGGTACAGGTAGAAAGTCCCGCAAAGTCCCGTAAATCTCGCGGGTCCAAGAGGGTGTATGAATAATCTTTTGCGACTAGAAGACCTGACAAGATGTCGTTCGTTTGCGGCGCAGCATCTGCCAAGGTGCCGATGGCCTGGACAAGTGGCGTTCTGGTCAAAGAGATGGTATATAAATTTATATGTATTACATACCTTTGCTACACGTTCACCTCGGAAAGAAAGGTTTAGTGTTTCCAAATTACGAGGGGTGTGTATTTTGACATCTTCTTCTCGCTCTTTGTACCGCGAGGTCATTGCCGCCCGTAAACGACCCATGGCCGTCTGTTCACCATGAACCAGAACCTACAGGAAAGGTCACTAAGTCATCAACTAGAATACTGAAGACTTTACTGACCACATGCTGCGCTTTGACTAGTTCTATGAACTCTGAGTTTTGAGAGTAGTCGACATGAGCACTGAAGGATATGTAATCCACCGATATTTTCCGGGGAATCATGCCGCCTTTGATTGATTCGAACTCATCCGGTTCCGTCATAATGTCCTATAGATGGGGAAAGCCGTGGATGAGTGTGATGCCTCAAGCTCAGAAAGAGAGTCGACAGAAATAAATTCAATTCTTGCTCTTGTAATGTACACACGCAACGAAATCTTGAATAAACGACCATCTCCAGATTCACTCACCCTAGCAAGAGTTCCCTCGATAGAGTATCCCGTTATGATCAACCCATTCCGCGAGTCTGGAGCCCAGAGTTCGAAGAGTTCTCGACTTGGTCCGGACTGCATGAATCCGGGACTAGCAAGTACCACGCACGGAGGGCCTTCAGCAATCTTTTTCTCCCAGCCACGAGGTTGAGGAAGGTTTGAGATGTGTCTGACGAAAAGTCAGCAACAGACAAGCTGAAAGAAAGTTGGAAGCATACTTGAAAACGAAAGGATTATCGCGCTTGGCAAACCTAGATCGGATATGAGAGTTCATTGTATGGATGTAAGTTTGGTAGACGGCCATCGACTTTCGAGCTAGACCAGAAGCATAATATATAGGTACGTTGTGCAAATCAGGATGTTTCTTCCAGTACTCGTCGAGGATGAGCAGAAGTTCTTGTGCACGGCCTAACGCGAAGGAAGGAAGCAAAACATGACCACCTCGCCGAATGATAGAGTGCACAAGGTTAGTAAATCGAAGCTCCTTTTCAGGCCTGCTGTCTAGACTTTGAACGCCATAGGTACTCTCAACGATCAAAACGTCCGGATGTATGGGAGGAACTTCAGCCTTTACTAGGTGGCGATCTTCTTCTCGAGAGTAGTCACCTGTATACAAGATACGAAGGCCAGCAATGTCAATGAGGAACATGCAGGCACCCAAGACATGGCCGGCGTGGTAAGGCGTGAAGGTGACGCCCGGGCAAGGTGTTATGACTTGATGAGCAGAGATGGGAATGATGGAGGCGAACGACATGGACATATCTAATGGAGAGAAAAGGGCATCCGAGGAAGTAGAGCTGATGAAAAGGGTAAGAATTAAGACCAAGCAGCCCGAGGAACAGACGTACCTCATGCGTACGAAATCCTGCATCATGAACTTGTGGAGGGCCTTCGTTGGATGAGTCATGTACACTTTTCCTTTGCCATCTCTGAAATTGGTCTACTGGAAGATAAATACATCAATCAACAGCGAATTGAAAGACGAAACGCGCCTTTTCTGTGATGTAGGTAAGCGCTGCAGCATGGTCGAGGTGAAAACTGTCCGAAAAGATGTTACAAACACGCCCAAGTCGAACGAAATGAGATGCACTGACTGAGTTATCAGAAGGGCATCGACCGTGCTCCAGTCGAGTTCATCAATAAATGGTAGCGACGCAATTCCACTGTACGCAGGGTGGACGCCTGCGTCACAGACAATAGTCCTGCCGCGATATTGCAAGACGCAGCACGACCGTCCGACTTCTTGGCCTGCACCTAGCAGTGTTACACTCAATGTCGGTACATCAGACATGATGGAAGAATGAAAGACGGAGGTACTATTTAACAAGACAGGGCTAGTATTTTGAATCGAAGAGTCAGCCAAACAAAAATACGCATCTCCTTACGTAAGTCATATTACCTACTTTTTAACCTTGCTGGGTGCCGGCAACCTTTTGGACTTTCAGATTAATGCCAACTTGCGGTATAACACTCGAGGAATAGATATTGACAACAGCAGGTAGTAAACGCAAACAACAACGAAAGCAAGAGCAAGATCCAAAAAGTACACAAATCACCATCCAACCTCCCCTGATTGGTACGGTTGGATTGTTACACCCGCCTCACCGGCCACCTTTCGTAGGATATATCGTTCTAAATGGTATATTTCGTATGACTCAGCCGCAAGTTTCATGGCTTGTATATGATGGGGCCGTGAATTTGCTGCAATAGCGTGTTTCCGGCTTTGCCAAATGCAGGTCGCAAGGTTCATTCCCGTCTCCTGGTTGGGTATCCCGTACCAATAAAGTATTAACTAAATTTTTGAGTGAGTAGACGCTGTGATTTAAAAAAACGGGGGACCCACACCACCGTTCCGAATGGCCTCATCATGAGCTTTTTTGTCGGCATCGTAAAGAGCTGCAAATTACTAAGTAAAAGGAATGTGCTAGAAAAATGTATGACACGTACAACCGCCATCGCTGCCTGGTTTTCGTTTGCTCCTGAAAACGACGCAATACCACTCTCGTTCTTCGTCTTTCGGGAGTCGCAAAGTAGACCAGTTGAAAGCTTCCGCGTACGGGGTCGCGGCGTAATTAGAGACTATGGGTCGGAAATGATGCAGAGCTTTGTGAAGAGAAAGAGACGCAGGATCAATGTCAGGGAGACGTGTTTCTGTGACAAGAGGGGGTGTGTCGGAGGGTATGGGGGGTGGTAGTTCTAGCCGCTCAGGTAGGGAGGAGAGAAGGGGAGGTAGATAGAGCACAGGCGACTGTGGTGACGTGAGGCTTTTGTCGTCAAAAGTAGGGAATGTGTGAGGGTCTTTTGTAGTTTCTTCGGCCCCATGAAGTGCCAGGGTTAGTGGAGGCGAGCGCTGCAGCGCCTCTGACGGATGAGGTGGATGGGCAAATGTAAGGCTCATAATAGGATGTAGGGAGAAAAGGAGCGCTGAACGAGATTTTATACGTTTACGGGTTTGCGGGGTATGGTGCGAGTTTTGCAAAGTTTGCGACGTGTCAGACTCCTGAGGCAACAATTGCGCGATCTCAACGAAAAATTTCGGCCCATTCAATTGAAAAGGAAGGCTAATTCTTGGGACCGTCCGGGACAGCGGACGAAGAGAAAGACCGTAGCAAGCATCACATCTGCGTTCCAATCGACGGTTCCAGTTTAGAGCTCAGTGAGGTCACTTCAGGTTGACTCCAAGATAAACCTTAGTACTAATGCACTAGAAGCGTAATTTTCCTCGGCAGTAGAAAATTGCAGGTGAAGCCAGTGTTCATGAAGGCAGACATATTATGAAGGTACTGAGGCAGAAGGAGCCAACTCGGAACTGTCCAGTGTCAAGAACCAAGGCGCGATGGTGCGGGCATGGCGGGCCGATTGAGCGTTACAGTTACAGTGTGACTTTGTCACACGTCATCTCAGGAAATGGCCACCAAGAAGGCGGCTGAATCGACGCTCTACCATCTCAGCCCCAAGGGATTTTGGAAGAAATTTCGCAAGTCGAGCACTTATTTTCTCTAATTTTCTTGCTGACAAGGAAATAGGTGATGCGGTGGTTGTGAATCCCGAAATATCCACCGGTCTGCCCTTGTCCGAACTCAACCGATACCCTCCACCAGCATCCAGGCCAGAGAAATACTCAAGCCCGGCTAGCAGAGGCGCATATCCTACTCATTTCTATAGGAATTAACAGCTGACGACCTCGTGTAGCCTCTGACATTGCTGAGAACCCATACTGGAAGCGGGATGTCCGACGTGCATATCCCCAGCTGTCGGTCATGACACAGACAGAGCTTTCCACGCTGCTCATCGAGCACTCTACTCCACAAGCGTATGTCACGCTCTATTCCTCTGAGAGCAACGACGGCTGACAGGTCATGGATAGCGTTGCAGCACCCGTCGAGGGCGAGCAGGCTGTAGCAGCACCAAAGCCCGCCATGGACCTTTCTACGGCCATTGCGATGATTACAGCGACGAAGAGGGTTTTCTCAGAGTCTAACCTGCCTCCCAGCCTTCCTATTCCTCACAAACGTTGGAGGCCAGTGCGGTCGCCTGATGCCCCCCACCCGCCGTATTCCTATTTCCCAATGTTATTGTACAAATAGATGGCTGCTATATGTAGCTGGTAGGCATGCAATACAATAATTACCGAAGAAAAGGCATCTGAGTCGTTGAAGCCGCGGCTAAGCAACTGTAAATAATCATGTCATCTGTACCACTACCACCACCCAGTGCAGCGGCTGGCTCATCTCGGGCTGTCCAAGCAGCCGCCTTCGCAGACGACCCACGGTACAATTTACCTATTTCGCAACCAACCTTGGTGCTCAATACACTCCCACAGGATCTACTTTTCGAAAGAAAGCAACAAGTGGCATTTTGAACAGGACGACGGAACAGAGTTGGAATACGATGCCGCCAAAGGCTCCTGGGTTGCCATGGTCAGCCTTGAAGCTGCACCAGTATGCTTGCCACTGACAACCTGCAGCTCGACGAAGACCTGGTGAAACAGCAACAAGCCGCCTATTCCGTCTCTGGCGTTGATGAAGAGGCCAGTCGCGTCATTTTTCGGTTTTGACCTGACCCAACCCCGAGCTGTGTCCCCTACCACAGACGCCTGCTGCACCAGTCCTTGCGCGCGAGAACAAGAAACGGAAGGAACCCGACTATACCTCTTCGACATCGAATGCCGAGATTTCGATCAAGCGGGGCAGACATGACAAGAAGGACAAGCCTCCAACTGAGCGCCCATCCAAAAATACAGCCGTATATGTTAGCGGACTGCCCCCCGACACAGAGTTTGACGAGCTTGTGCAGTGTTTCTCCAAGTGCGGTGTCCTGGAGGAAGCCGATGACGGGGAACCCAAGGTGAAGATGTACGCACGGGAGGATGGCTCGTTCAGTGGTGATGCTTTGGTGGTATACTTCAAGGAGGACTCTGTCTCACTCGCGCTGAGCATCCTTGATGAGTCTGAACTTCGGCTAGGCAACGCGTCCAGCGTTATGCGATTGTCTAAGGCTGATTTCTCGCACAAAAATTCCGGTGGCGGAACTCATACGGAGGCGAAACCACGCAAGACCGTTGATAGGAAGAAGGCTTCCCAGCGGATAGGAAAAATGCAAAAGTATGTATTATGTTTTCTGCAGTCGCGGATCAGGACTCAGGTATTACAGAAAACTACAAGAATGGGTTGACGAGGATGGATTCGGGCCTGCGATACAGCCTGAAGACTCCTCCCATGCTATCAACAAGAACAGCCGAGTGGTAGTCTTGAAACATATGTTCACGTTAAAAGACTTGGAAGATGACGTTTCCCTCCTCCTTGACCTAAAGGAAGAAGTCCGGGAGGAGTGCTCGTCACTGGGCGAGGTGACAAATGTTGTTCTCTATGATGCGAGTATACTTTATTGTGTCGCTTGTAAGATTTCCTAATGCACTTTGCAGAAAGAGAAGGAAGGTGTCATCACTGTCAAATTCCGCGACCCACTTAGCGCACAGGCTTGTGTGATAGTAGGGGGACAAGAGTTTTTAGTCATGTGTTTAGCTGACGTATTTCACAGAAAATGAACGGAAGATTTTTCGACGGAAGGCGGGTGGAGGCTTCTTTGTACAATGGCAAGCAAAGATTCCAGCGCAATGGAACAGGCGATGAACTCGAGGGCGAAAGCGCCGAAGCAGAGAAGAAACGACTGGACGACTTTGCCCAGTGGCTGCTGACCGAAGGGGATTGATGATGATCTACATTGTGTTGAGGCTAAAATCCGTGTACATTACTACATTCAGTGTTATCTGCTTGGGGAGCTAATACATGGTATTCTAAAGTTACCAACAAGGACATAACGGTTTCTTGGTTATAGTTTCAAGACGCTGCACGAAGTATGAGCTAGTCAGTTTGATGAACGTAGTTCGGACTCACTTCAACGACGACCGTTCTCTTGACAGCGGGCTCAGAAGGTTGTAACCAATCGATGCGCCGTCCAACTTGGCTTGCCCACCTACTATGCTCCACTTGAGGTGTCGACATGGACATCGCTACAAGATCATCCTCCGTCATAGAACTCGCCATTGATGGAACCTCATGTACGGTCGCCAGTGGACTTCCGGGGGCAGAGAACGGGGACGTAGGGGCACCCCCTGGAACAGACTGCGACGATGAAGCCAACGGTCCGGATGCCTGACCACGCGCCGGAATACGGATAGGTTTTGTCGAAGATTCCCCGACATCCATCTCCTCAGTGTCTTCCTCTTCGGCGTTCAGTCGTTGTAGACTGGCTTCGACTGCGTCTAGCCGCTCTAAGTGTTCTAATACAGTAACGCCAGTTGTTCCGGGATGTACTCTCTGGAACTTTGCGGCGAAAGGGACGGGTCGAGGAACACCAGAGGCATCTGATATTGTTCGCTGAACGGGAGGAGGAAAATCATCGGAGCTTTGACTACGGGCACGTCTCGGGAGAGGAACACTGTTGATGGATAGCTTCGGTGATGCAGCGACAGGGCTGTTCGTATCGTCCAAGTCTGCTTCAGTGAGTTCAAGTTGATCGTCCCAGACTAAGGCCTTAGTACGTCTTGTCAGTTCCAAGGGACCTGGAACTGGTGAACGACTGTGTCAGCATCTACTAAGGCTTGCTCACCTTCGTCCTAAGGGACAACAATGAATATTAACTCAAGCGCCAATAATGGATAGCTGAGGACGCACCGAATGCTTTAGAGACTGGACAATGTTCCATGCCTGGCCTAAATAATAGCTGAGTTGTGAGATGATCAGTCTACATATTCACTCACCCTTTATGACAGCTAATTGTCGCTAATGAAAAAAAAGGACGTCAACAAAACTAGCAACGCCATTGCCCACCCATAAAGTTTGACTGTCCCGAACGTCTTCTACTACGACGCCGGTGATCCAGTACAACCCTATGGGCAGCAAGCAGTCCTATGAAATCGACGTACAGCAAACATTTTAGGGTGAAAATCGGGGTCAACAGCAAACAGTTTCTCTAATTCGAAAGTTGTTTCTTCCCACCATAACTTCGATGTTAGCATAGGCAAGAAGTGATTCCGCGTCTCTTCACTGAATGGCTTTCCTATGACACTGACTGGTAGGTAGAGCCAACCGTAAGCATAACTACGCCAGCCCTGCGGATGCTCGTGAGGGAAGGACAAAGAGTTATCGATCGCCGCGATGTGAATGTGAGGGTAGCGAGTGTAATCAGTTCCGGAAGCTGCTGTGGAAGAGGCCGCTCCTATGGAGATAGAGGGATAAGACCGCGGTGTCTCCATTTGCGGCACTTTCGGTGAACGCCTGAGTTCGCTCATCAACGGCATATCCAGCGTAGCAGAACGCGACGGGGCGACATCGACTAATGACTTCTCGTGGTTGCTATCACAGTATTTAATCATGTAATTGTCAGCACCCCGATCGGTATTGAGCATGAGATAATCTGCAATATTTTCAGAGTTGAAGAACAGGATGCCTTCACAAGATCTTACCCAAAATCACGAGTCTTATAAGAAACCGTTGAGCAACCTGACCAAGTATATGCTAACAAAAATACTGACTTTTCTAATTCCTGTCGGAAACTCTGCTGTAGCGCCGGTGTCCAATAAAATGGCGTTTGGGGGTCGGCCTCCGTAGCATCGAACAGGCGTTCCTCTTCGTAGTCTTCATAGACATCTTCAGGGTCACCGGTCTTTCCACAGATTACCTTGACCGCACTGAGTAAACGCTTGGAAAAGCTACCTTGCCGATGAGTAGAATCATCAAAAGTATCTGCAATGGCACGACCTGGCCACGGATACTTTCGCAAAAATTCTGACGCATCTTGGTAGCCATGTAGGAAATACTGCAGGCTGCCTATTTTGTCCGGTAGTGGTTTTCCCTTTTTTGCTGCATTTCTGTCTAACCAGTCATAGAAAAATGACTGTAAGCAACGTGTGAGCAGGGCATATGGCATGTGAGAAGGGTTACGTACGGAGCTGGATAGTGACACGAGCTTAGTGGGAGGTACAATGTGAAGATTCAGACGTTCGTCCAGCAACGATGCCGCTGCTTCAGAGATATAGCTGTAAATATGTAAGAACACGTCGCAAAGCATCAAGTATCAAAGACCTCAGGTTGGGTATAAGACATGCGCGACCAAATGGTATTATAAATCTGAACTGCCGGTGAAGCCATTTTGTGGTCTATTCTCAAACGTTCAGGAGGAGAGCCAGCACTATCTACATGCGAACATACCTTGGGATTCAATCGTCCGTATGGTTCTTCATCTTTAGGTTTGAACACGCTGAAGAATTTGATCAGCTAACAACACGAGGCCGAACAATATCATAAGTTTCATAACGCACGCAACGGTATGTACTCGGCCATTCTCCATCTTGGCTCGTGCGAAATATGAGCCTGATGATCCCTTCGTGATCATCTTGGGATGAACCCCTTCTGAAATAGCGGACTTGACGGATTTCACTAATCTAGTGCATATGTTCGTTAGCGGGACACGGTCCTCAGACTTCGAGACACTCACGCCTCAAACTCAGCTGCTGTCATAGGAGGCTTGTGATCCAAAGTTTTGACCTGTAGCTTGTATGAGCTATTGAGATGGTACCGGTTCGAAAAAGCTCACTACTCCGGCGGAAGGATCATCGACAAAGATGGTAGGTTCGAAGACGCTGCGCCATATTTGCTTCTTAGCGTGTTCCTTGACCGTTTTCTTCCTCTTTACTCGCTGCGCAATAGATTCTGTCCACCTTCGAGAATTATAGCTCGATGAAGCGCCAGACAAGTTTCAGACACGCACCTTTTGAATGCCGTGTCCAGCTTGGAGAGATCTATGCTCCCTGACCGGGAAGCTCGACGGCGTCCACTAGCTCGTGAGGTCGGCAGCTGAGTGCCTTCACCGATGTCGTCTTCATCATCTACGGTCTGTGCTAAAGGTTGGTATCCAGCTCGGTTGGACATCAAGATGGACAAGAAAGAGCGACGGTGACGACCGTGCCGACCATTAAGGGCTAGTGGCTGTGCGATCGCTGACAGGGGTAATTTGGAACACGTCATCGCGCTTAAGAATTTCAAGGCGGGGTATTGCCGTCCAAATGGCCTTAATTTTTCATCTTCCTTCTATCATGAGGGAAGTAGCTCATGGGACCATGTTGATAAGCAGTGGGTATACCATGGATATTATATATTCCGGCTCTTGTTGTTCTTTACGTCCATGGCTGCAGCAGTGTCTTCAAACGAGAAATTCACAGTTGTCGAGAAAGATGATGTAGAAACTGCCAGTGCTAATGAGGTACTCTGACTGTTAAATTCTTTGGCAACTGCTGACAATTTATATTGCAAGGATGCCCCCGAAATCGATATCTTGGCTAACAACAAACTGGTCTGGAAGACGGACTTGCGCATAGTTCCTCTGTCAGCGTTCATATATTTACTATGCAACATCGATAGATCGAACATCGGTACAATTTCTACTGGAATACGTGACTATTTCAAGGCTCATATCTTGTCTAGGTAATGCCAAAATTATGAACAAGGAAGAAGGACACGATCTTTTGGCCGAGACTAACCTTACCAGCTACCAATACACGTTGGTTTTCTCTGACTTCCTCACTCAGTTTGCTCATGACCATTCAGGATCGCCCTCACAGTATTCTTCCTGGCATACGCCTTCTTTGAAGTGCCGTCGAATATTTTGTTGAAACGATTACGGCCTAGTGTGAGGGACAAAATATAGAATTTCCCTTGATGCAACTGATCGGCTTCCAGAGATGGATTGCAACCCTCATGTTTATCTGGGGTGTTATCACCATTGGTTTGGGCGGAGTCACCAATCACAGTACTCTGACTATTGTTCGGTTCCTGCTTGGTGCATTCGAAGCCGGTAGGGACCCTAGCGGAGTTTTTGTCCTGCCCAGCTGACGCCTCGTCTGCAGGCTTGTTCCCTGGTCTAGTGTATTATGTGACGTTCTGGTACAGACCAGAAGAACGATCTCTCCGTGTCGCCCTTATTCTAGCTTCCGCCACATTGGCAGGAGCCTTTGGTGGCGCGATAGCCTATGGGATCGCGCATATGGAAGGAAGCAATGGCCTGTCTGCTTGGAGATGGTTATTTATCTTGGAGGGAATTCCATCCGCAGTTCTGGCTTTCCCAATCTGGTATCTCCTCCCTGACTATCCGGAAACAGCGTCTTGGTTGTCACCAGAGGAGAAAGCACTTTCTGCAGTGCGTCTCAAAGACAGCTCAAAGGCCTCTGGTCGGGGCCTATCTTGGCGGGATGTCACCTTGACTTTGATGGACTGGCGCTTATGGATCCATTTTCTGGTTAGTGCTAGCGTTCTGAACAAAGAAGAGTAGTCCTGACTCTAGGAAAGGTATATTTCGGAATTTCAGCCCCATTTTCTAGCATGTCGCTCTTTGCGCCTACCATTGTATCTTGTCTAGGCTACACATCTCTGCGTGCCCAACTGATGACCTGTACCACCTTACGGCGTGTCTTGGGTGTTTTCGATCTTCATCGGATATGTCGCAGACCGGCTAAATCGGTAGGCTCTGCAGCGCACCCTAGTATCCAAAATGTTCTAAGGCTTCCACATCTAGCCGTGGTCATTTTCTCTGCAACATTTGCTGCTATTGGAGCTGTAGGATTTATTGCTTCAGCCACACTTCCAGCAGACGCGTACAAGGTAAATACATACTCTGTCCTATCAGTACATCTTAAACTTAAGGCTTGCCTACAGAGTCGATACGGCATGCTCATTATTGCATGTGCTGGTGCCTTCTCATGTATATCGCCTTTGTTGGGATGGCTGTCCTGCAACATGCGTTCCACTGCCACAACAGGGCTTGCTGTGGCGTTGAATATCTCGTTTGGTGCTCCCGGGCAAATTGTCGGGGTTTGGATCTATAAGAGCGAGGAAGCCTCAAAGGGTTATCCAACGGGGCATTGGACGAATGCTGCGCTATTGATTTTTGTATCGGCAGGTTGCATTGGGCTGCACCTGTTGTATAAGTCGAGGAATCATATAATTAGGGAGAACAACTCCCAAGAGATGTTATGGAAGCTCTAGAACGTGACCATGGTGATCCGACTTTAGTGCATGTATGTACGGACACTTTACGCGTGTATCTAGAAATGAACGCCTTTATGACACCAACCTTTGCCTGCAGCTACAGTCGCTCTCAAATATTCTAGCCAATTGTCCGGCTTCCACTGATGCGGGTAATCAATAAAAACATCCTCAGTGCCGTACCAATTCTTGACGTTAAGTCTTCAGGGAGCTTTGTGTAACCAGGGTTGTGCAGAGAGTGGTGGCTATTTGTAGCTGCATTTTGGAACTCGTCGAGCGAGAGGATATGCTCGTCCTTGACACGAAAGGCAGTGCGTGCCTCGTCGCAGGAGTGATGTTTGGAATAACAACAAGGTTCATTGCTAAGAACACAGGAATTGGACATCCTTTACAACACCTGCGTGTGGAGGGGCATCACGATAACCCAGCGCCGTCAGGAGTGATACTAACAGGCGGACACGGCATTGTTGACTACCAGTATCTCGCTCTAGAAAGGAGATTTACCAGCTGTTTGCATACAGCTTGACAGTAGCATGTGTTTTGCACGAGAAAAGAGAGTAATTTGGACTTGGTCATAAACCATGGTTTACGGACTTGGAGACGCGTTTATGGCTGGCTTTATGGCGATTTCGGCGATCTCGGAGGCCCTTGTGTGTGTTTGAAGTCCCCAAAACACGGTTTTATGACGAAGTCCGAGCCTTCTTCCATCATCCACAAAACGCCCCTGACTGTCAAGCTGTATGCAAACAGCTGTAAGTCCAAGTCTTGGACAGAGGTGATTCAAAGTCATACATTTTACATTGTGAGCACACTTGAAAGCGTACCGGACTGTTCGCATTCGGAGCAGTTCTGTCAGCAGTGGAATGAATGAAAATTTGCATCTATCCTCGAAATTACCCACAGAGCATGACCGGAGCTGATACCTGCCCATATACGTTTAAATAGTTGCAAAGCAGAGAACAAATAATTTTAACTGACTTCAGATAGGGGGGGAGCTGCTGCGAGGTTTTTGTTCTAGCGGCATGATAATGTTGGAACTTGGTGCAAATTTGAAAGTAGTCGCGGAGAGAGAGGACGACTTTTTCGGGCCGGATACCGGCAACTGAATCCGAATTTTCTTTCTTGACCAAGTTCTGTGTGCCACACTGCACCACACCATGAGGTATCCATGTTCTGTAGGCGGCTGGATTTCTTCGTAGTCAGATCCCTGCAGATCCGGGATTCATTCTCGACATTCATACCTGCGAGTACCCGCTTATTTTCCGTCTCGCAGACTCGAAGGCGGGTATTCAGACCTTCCGTTGGACAGACTGCCGTTGTCAATTACCTGAAGACTCACAATGTCATGGTCTCTGCCCGTCCGGGTGCAGGAAAAACGGCGACTGCAGAGGCTGTAGTGCAGGCCAATCCCTATACCCCAATAACCGTTATCACATACTCGAAGCGGCTGCAAGTGGATACTAAAAAACGCTTGCGAAGATACCCCCTCGTCGATGTCTTCACTTTTCATGGGCTGGCATCGCGCTTCTTTGGATCTCTCATCCACAATGATACCCTTTTGGCTAACATACGCAGGTCAGCGATACCTCCGACATGGATTGACATTCCACGATATGAGATTGTCATTTTGGACGAACTGCAGGATCTTACGGAGGACTTGTATTGGCTTACTTGCGCGTTTATCACCTTTTTAACGCGAGTCAGTGGTCGAGCCCCTCAGCTCCTCGTGTTAGGCGATCCACGGCAGGCCATTTACGACTTCCGCGGGGCCGACCAACGCTACCTAGAGCTATCGTCAGATACTCTATCTGCCGTATCACCATATGAATGGAGGAGTGCTCAACTCAGTCAGAGTTTTCGTCTCTCATGCGAAACGGCCAATTTCGTTAACAATGCGTTTCTTGGCGGAGAACCTTACATACAAGGTTCTCATACAGGTCCCAAACCGCTGTACATACACGGCGATCTTTATCGCACTGCAGAAATCCTAGAATATATCTATCCACTCATTCGAAAATACGGACACAAAAACACCGCTATCCTAGCACCGTCCCTTCGCACCAACGGAATCGTCAAACGCATCATCAACACACTATGGGAACAGTACAAAATCCCAGCTGCGCATGCGATATCTGATGACTTGATGGGGCTCGATGACGATGTCACCCGTGGAAAGATTATTCCATCCACCTATCACCAATTCAAGGGGAGCGAGCGCGACCTTGTCATTGTGCTGGGAGCTGACAACTCATATTTTCGTCTTATGGCCCGCGCCCTACGCAATGATCGTTGTCCAAATGCAACTTTTGTTGCCCTCACTCGCGCCAGAAAGCAGCTCGTGGTCCTCCACAGTCACGAAGACCCCCAGATGCCATTCGTCGATTGGGCGGCTATTGAGAGTGGTGCAGATGTCATCAACCTAGAGGATGAACCACTCAAGGCGCAAAACAAACCGGGATGCCCTCCCCAATTGGGGTTACATTTACCGCGTATCGTCCCTGCCACGGACGCGGCAAGACATGTCCGGGAGGAAGCTCTTGACAGCATTGTTCGCCCCCTCGACATTAGGAAGGTCCAGCCAGCTCTCCCTCCCCTCCACTGCATTGATGCGCCTGATAAAGTGCGTACAGACGCCGTGAAGAACCATTGGGAGCCTGTGAGCGACCTCAATGGCCTCACCGTCACTCTTGATTTCGAATATTGGCTGACAGGAAAGGTGGTTGCATTCATGAACGACAAGCAGATGGAGCGTCTCCCGGAAAAGAAATCACTGGAGGACGACACCTATCGTGCCATATGGCTGTCGAAGGAGGCCACACATTATGACGCGATTACTTCGGGTTTCAGATCTCGCTGGCATCAGATGCAGTATAACGGTCACAAATTTGATTGGATGGTTCCCCACCTTACGGTGTCCACTGAACGTCTTTCGAAGCAATTCTCGGAGTACAATCGTTCCGAGCTTGCCAGAGACCTTGCCATGGAGGTGTCGCTAAAACTGGACCTGAGCATTGACAGTGAGAAAACGGTCCTGACAGGCAGGGCAGATATGATTCATTCGAGGAATCAAGGCCGGGATGTGACGACGATTTGGGAAGTCAAGTTCGTAACAGCGTTCTCCCACGAACATGTCGTTCAGACAGTTATCTATGGATACTTGTGGGCCATGAATCATCAAAATGAACCATTTCCTCGCCTCGTTCTTTACAACGTAAAAAATGACGAGAAATGGGAAATCCGCACGACTCTTGACCAGGCAAAGCAGGTCATTGTAGAGGTTTTACGGACGAAGTTCACTTCCAATGGGCAAATACCTACCGATGTATTTTTGAAAGGTTGTGCAAATGTTCGCGAGGAAGTGGCGCAGCTATGGACAGAGGGCGAGCACGTAGGTTAAGGAGATAGTTTTGTTACAAGATTTAATTTAGTAGTAATCGATGGGGTTTATGAATCATCACCGTCAGCGAGCGCCCACATGTAGTAAACCGCTGTTTTTATGAGATAATGAGCAAATGAAGAGCAAATGGGATGAAGGCATACCAAGACTTCTATACGGCTTCCAAGATTCTGTAAGGCCTTCCATTTCTGCAGGAGTAAGCAAGGCACCCCTTCGCTAGTTATCAGCAATCGTGTTCGAGGGTGAGCACTGGATACGACGTACTTGATCTTTTTCTTCCCATCAAGACGGGCTTTCAATGCGGTTACAGCGAGTCCCTCAGGTAGAGGCTCTGGTACAAATGAGGTATCTTGTACTTTGTGAAGAGTCCTATTGATTGACGGGGTGAACGCGGGAGGCAGAGCGGGTGTTTCCGTATCGGTCTTCTTGGGAGTGGATGGTAAACCTCCCGGTGGGGCTGAAGAAACATCAGGGGTCAACGGTCTTTCTATATCCGTCACAGAGGTAGTTTTGTCGTTTTCCTCTTCGGTCTTGGAGTTCTTTTTCTTCTTAGCTTTAGATGAGCTACCCGCGTCTTTCTTATCAGATATCGCATAGTTATACGTGGAAGAATGCAGGGACAGGAACCACCGTATCACTCCACGCTGGACGCCCAGGTCACCTATACATCCTCATTAATAAACGCTAACATGCTCAATGACACGGTCCTCACCAACGGGTAAAATGTTGGGTCGTCGAAGAGAGAAAATTGCGAACATGTCAACTAAAAAGAGAGAAGTCATGAACTCGAGCTTCAAGATTGACAAAATGCGTTTTACCTGTCCACTATGATGGAGGAAATACCGCTCAGTTAAGTCATAGGATGTAACAAGGAAATCGAACATACTTTTCCAACACCTTTGACCGCAATTAACAATTCTAATAGCTCCTCGTCAGTGGCTTTTATTAGCTTTTCGGTTGACAGACGCCCATCCGCGAATCTACTTGCGAGATCTTGAACTAGATGACAGCAGTGTCTGGATTACCTCGGGTCGAGACCGCCAAAAGGAAAGACGAACCATATTCACCCTTGCGTCCACTAAGACCTGCGGAACGAAGGAGGGAAGGATCCGTAGCAGCCACCTGCTCAGGGCTTGGGAAAAAGGATGTCGCAGAGTTGTCGCTGTCAACAGTTACCTCAAATACTGGAATGCTTTATCGAGAACTGCACAAACGTGTAATCCGCGACATTCTCGGGAAGAGAAGAGTCATATATCCGTTTGAACTTGTGATTGATAGAGCGGGCAGCTTTCCAGGATATCTGTTGCGCTCTATGGAGTATCAGAGCGCTGAAGGATCAGGGCTGGATAGTAAAGGTACATTATGGAAGTTGCGAGAGATCTGTACAATGCTATAATGAGATTTTCCCCGAGCAAAGCAGTTAGAAGTTAAAGTACCTAAATGGGTGTACTTGTTCAAGTACCTCGAAAGGTGTGCATTTCAGCTTGCCAAAAATGTCTTCGAATCTGGGATCTGCGCTGATGAGGTGCTGTTTCGCATCCTCAAAAGAGAACGAGAGCTGTGCTGGTATCAAGACCGGCGCCGCACCGGAGCTTGGTGGTGGTACGACTGGGGGTATCTGCTGCTCTAGTACAGCTTCTTGTGCCGTCTTGGGTTTCTTGGCCTTGTCCTTGGTTGATGCGGGCGCTTTGCGTTTCGTTGCCGCCTGTACGGTCTCTGAGGGCGCACTATTGGCTAGAGAACGCGTCGAGGAACGCGTCGTTGCAGGCATTATGAATCTGGACGAGGAAAACCGAACAAGTTTCAACATACAAATTCAGGAATATCACGTCCATTTTATATCTACCGGTACCGCTTACAGCGGAATCGATGAGTCATTGCTCCCCTAAAAGCCGCAATTCACCGCCCGTGGATATAAGTGGCTGTGCTCAAGTAAAGCTCCGTTGCATACCACCACCATTCGTCGTTTTCTTCCCTCCCCCCTCCGCAAATATTCTTCTATCAGTTCCCCTATATCTCATTTAACTATGGCATCCAGTAAGGCTCCCTGAATCGAGTCTGTGTATTTACTAACGAGATTCATTACTCCAGAGTACATCGTCATGTTCAAGGACAATGTCTCTGAAGACCAGATCAAAGAGTACGCTGCACAGGTGAACAGCGGGGGTATGTCCGAGTCCCTTATAGCACTATTGTTCCACATCAAGTACTCACTCTAACTTATAGGTGGAGAAGTAACCCAAATCTATGGCCTCATACCCGTACGTATCAAAGACCATCTATCCTTCGGATCCTGAGGCTCTTTTCCAGGGCTTTGCCGCAAAGATCACGGATGACCAGTTGCAACAATTCCAGTCCCTTCAAGGCGACATCGTCGCGTCCATCGGTGTGTTCAATTCACCTACGTTGTTCCATCCAAGACTCAATCATGATGCATGATGTCAGAACCTGACCAGATTGTCACTACCCAGTAAATATACTCGCTACTATATATGCTTAGCTATCCTTGTACCATCTAACGGACTTCATATTAAATAAATGTTGTAAACATCGTGCTTAACTTTGGCTCTGCTCTTGGAGCATCAACTCGTGCAAATATAAGTCATGCCAAGTCCATTCTCGATAATAAAATTATGCTACTACTATAAAGTGATGAATAATTGAATCCCCTGCATACTTAAAGACGTGAAACAATAAACCTAGGTATGTACGCGAATAAACGCTATGCGGTGGTATCAAATTGTCACTGACATTCATAATCGTACTAAAATCGTGATCATTGCTCATAATAGGTCATGAGAGATGGAAGGAAAGTCATTGAAAGTCATTCACAAATGCATCTTATACCATAGGTGTGACCAGCGCAGCAGGGGACGCACGAGGAGCGATGGATTCAGGAGAAGGAGATGACGCGGTGACCATGACTTTCGGGACCAGATGTGCTACTGCCGTCTTGGGCTTCTCGGGCGTATCAGCAGCTGTGGGCGTGACAATGGGCAGAGGAACGGGCGTTGCGGGAGGTTCCTGGCTCGGTGGGCTAGGAGATACCGGCGTAACGGGACCTGTATCTGACTCGTCTTGCTCCTGTGATTCTGAATCCTCCTGCGATGATGTTTCTGCCGAGGATATTAGACCTACGGGTGGCGGGTTGAAATCCCACGACCGTGGCACCTATATAGATAAGTGAGAGGGATAGCAAACACAGGGCAGAAGACTTACCATGGCTGCAGGCATGATCCTATACGTTGCGTTAGTGAGTATGACGATGGATAGGCCCGTGAACGCACCAAGTTGCAGCGCAGACAACTCCGCGACCTTTATCCTGTTCCTTGATGGCGTTGAATTCAAAGTCGACGAATTGAGAGATGTATCGAACAAAAGGCAGGATCTCCCGCGCGCCGTTGTTGACCAACGCCAAAGCAGACATAAAATTGACAATGGCATTAGATATTGAGCGGACGTTCTGAGTTGTTGTGAAGAGTTGAGTAGCAAATATGAACGGGCCAAAAGACTTACGCCTAGATAAGCCAACGTTGGAGGTGGAAGTGCGACCTCAAGGCCCCACCAGTCTAAAACGATTGAGAAGAATAATGGACGCAAGGGGAAATAAACATGTACAAGTCAAGACAGACATCCTGTCAGTGGGAGGATACACGCCTTGGGAATAACGGTAAGCTAGAGCCTTTTGGAAGCGTTCGATTACACACCTGTATGATCAGGAAGTACTGCTTTGCCTGTTGCATATCCTAGAGCCATCAGCTGCGGTGTTATCTGCTGTATACCGTTGAGAACCGTCTCAGCAGTGGGAACTGCTCCAGCCAAGAGACCCTCCCCATCACCTGGTTGACCCAACCCAAGGTCGGGAGACCGGATGAGATCGACGATATGCATTTCGTCAAACATTTGAGATAGCTTGTCGGCTGATGCCGCGGCTACGCTGAACTCGCCGAACGTCTGTTCCTCTGACACCCCGGCGTCGGAATTGATGTGAGCAAAGTGAAGTTCATGTTCTTGCTCATCAGTGTTGGCAAGGCAGACAGCACGTATAGGGCCCTTCTTCCGACGCGGCGGTGGCGAAACCTGGGATGCCAGGTCCTCAACTGAGAGGTCACGGAGATGCGCGATGACCTTGTTGGCAGTCTTGGGCTTCATAAGCTCAGACTTGACCTGACTTACTAGAGGCTTGGCTGGAGAGCTCTTGACTGATCTGCCACCTTGTCCGACGATGAGAGCGCGTACGACCTCCGCCGACTGTTTGGCCCGTTTGTCTGACCTCGCCTTGGACGACAAGAGGAAGTGCTTAGACAGTGCCGCCGACGAGGCATTAACCTTCTTCTCGTGTTCCTCCGCAGCCGACAGCGACCGTTTGTGGTCGGTATGATTACGCCGGCGTCGCGCAAACGGATGGAATGATAAGTGACGCTGCTTCGTCCGAGGGGGTGCCGTCTCTTCCATCGGGAAAGGCGTTATCTCAACTGTCAGCTCCTCGCTCGACATCACATGGGCCGATACGGACTGCTGGTTACACAACTGGTATTCGGAATTCGGACTGATGGACAGAGGTCCTGCCGGTGAATCGACTTGGGGGCCCGGCTGTGACGACTCTGGTTCATCGGCGACGACGACGGCGTGCGACTTTGATGAGTAGTGGAAGGAAGTGAGAAATCCCATGGTGTTGGAGACGACGAGGACGACGGTAGGGAGGAGGTCCATCCGGCCCAAGGGCCCTTTTGATGCTTCTGGGAAGAAGGACCGTGGGAATGTTTTCGTCCGCCGACATCATTCGGAATAAGAAAATTGCTCAGCACTGCATAATGTTTGCTCATGGAACCCCATGGCATGACGGTCTCACGTCTGTTCCCCTCAAATAGAGAAATTCGGAAAACGTCCATGATTCACTTCCCTTGCCTACCTTTCTGTGTCCCCCCCTTGGGAAGCTGCCTCCGCTAAATTAGTCTCCATGACGTCTGATACATATCATCCTAATAAGACCTTCAAGGACGTTGTTAGGTTCGTCTGCTTTACCGATGTAGCGTCGCGCAAATCGCTCATTCACAACTTTTTCACAGGCACTTTGCTCCAGCATGGTTTGCCGTCATCATGGGCACAGGCGCTATCAGCACCCTGTTCCATGCGTTCCCCTACGGCACTGGTTCCCAGGGATTGAGAATAATGACACTCATATTCTTTTTCCTCAATTTATGCCTTTTCATCACCTTCTGCGCCATCTCCCTCGTCCGTTATATCACGTTCCCCGACATCTGGGGTATCATGATCCGGCATCCTGTCCAGAGTCTTTTCACCGGTACTTTCCCAATGGGTGCTATCACAATTCTGAACATCGCTGTCAGCCTCATCCACGACGACTACGGTTTTGGCGGTAAGCCATTCTTGTACGTCCTATGGGCCTTCTGGTGGTTGGACGTGATAAGCTCCTTCCTTTGTTGCTTTGGTGTCATGCACTTCATGTGGGTCTGCCATGAACTACTGCCTCCGATCATTGTATTGACGCGTTCCATAGGATAACGGCCCAGAAACACTCGTTGGAATCTATGACATCCGTTTGGCTCTTACCCGTAGTCACATTGATTGTCGCTTCGTCAGGCGGCTGGAGTGATAGCTCCCTCGCTATATAAGTATTCAGTGAACCATGCGGTTATCACCGCTACGTTCTCTATATTCATGGTCTCCATCGGACTCTCCATTGCCTTGATGATGTTGACGGTGTACCTGCTGCGCCTCGTTGTTCCATGGCCTCCCAGCCGGCGCGGGAATAACATCGGTGTTTCTACCCCTCGGTCCTACGGGGCAAGCAGGATACTCTATCCTTCTTCTTGGACAATTCTTCAAATCCGTATTACCTCTTAACTACGGCGATTCCGAATTATTGAATGATGCGGCGACTGGTGCCACGATACATGTTATCTGCACCATCATTTCCTTGATTCTGTGGTCCCTTGCATCCATGTGGTTATTCTTCGCCGTCCTAGGTGTACAGAACGTCCTCCGTCAAACACGAATTCCCTTCAAGGTACAAGTCTGGGGCATCATTTTCCCGAACGTAAGCCGCCCATCTTCCCGATGTTCCTGACATTGACTCCGAGTTTACAGGGTGTATACGCTAACCTTACTCTGAGTCTCGCCAGCACTTTCGACTCGCCGTTCTTCCGCGTTTGGGGTTCGATTTACTCTGTTGCGACGTTGATTGTCTGGTGCTTAGTTGCATCCCGCACGGTTATGTTGGCATGGAACAAGCAGATATTTGAGGCCCCGTGTTTGGGTGATATAGATATGGCTCAAAAGAACAAGTGCAAAGAGACGGAACTGCAGGCAATCAACCCTGTCTGCGCTAACGGAAATAGTACCGATACTGTACATTTAACGTGACTTGCTTAATCACCTCTTAGATAGAATGAGAAATTTTTTGTATTCATATGTAAGAGGTCGTGACTTGTTTGTTGAATTCGGAGTGCGGCTTGTACGGAGTGGCATGAGAAAAACGACGATTTCCGAATTCGGCGTGCTGCCAACGCTGCGCATGGCTCTTGTCATCTGCGCTCATGATCCCACCAAGACTGCAACCCTCTCTGCCCTGGGCCCACCTTTGAACTATTTTCTATCTTCCATCATTCTGCTGCCACACTAAGTTCCCAAGGTTGTACGGTGAATCCGAATTCTGTGTTCTGGACCTATCCCATTACTGGTCGTCAATTCGGAAATCGGCTGGAGCATTCGGACTGTATTATCGGAATCTTCGTCTCCTGTGCGCTCCTGAAGGGTATAAAAGTAGCAACGTTGAATCTCAACCCAGTCATGCAATTTGCCAAGGTTGCCTTTTCTCGTACAGGTCCAACGCGCCTTCGTTCCTCTGCAAGGCCGTTTCTTTCTTCGTCCAGAGCCTTGCTTTCCGCCCGAGCCTCCTCGAACGTCCTCTAGTTCTCATTCCATCCCTCGTCCTAGTAGAAATATCTTGTCTCGTCGAACAATGACCACCACTTCCGCAACTGAACCTTGGACGTACGTCATCGACGAGAAGGGGAACGCAGAGGTCAACTGCTTCTTCGAACCCCATACATCCACATGGTAGGCCAAGTCTCTTGCCTCGTCGGAGCATCCTGACCTGCGTTCTAGGCAGTATTTAATCTCGGATCCTACAACCTCACAAGCCGTCCTTGTTGATACCGTCCTAGACTACGATCCTGCTTCCGGAACAGTTACCACCAAGTCGGCTGACAGGTTGCTTGCATTTATAGAGAAGAAGAACTTGAATATTTTGCGTATCTTGCACGTATCAACTCTTTGTAATTATTCATACTCCTCATGGTCCATACAGGGAAACACATGCGCACGCAGACCATCTCACTGCCGCTCAATATCTCAAATCCAAGCTCCCAGGAGACGTGCCCGTATGCATCAGGTTCTCGTATCACGCAGGTTCAATCAAATTTTGCTCCAGTCTACGGGCTGGAACGGAACGCGTTTGAGAAGACCTTCGATGTTCTCTTGAAGGATGACGAGGAGTTCCCTGTCGGAAACCTCACCTGCCGCGTTATCCATCTCCCTGGTCACACTCCGGATCACATCGGATACGTGGTTGGAAAGGCCGTTTTTACTGGGGATTCCATCTTTCTTGTGCGTGTTCTGCACTTCCAATATCTCTTATCCCAGGATTCTGATCGTGTTGCCATAATGATCAGCCTGATGTAGGTTCTGCAAGAGTCGATTTTCCTGGTGGTGATGCGAAACAGCTATATGCCGTGAGTGCGATGGTCTTTCGCCTATGGACATTCTTAAACATATCATTAAATGCAGTCCATGAATCGCCTTCTGTCCCTACCCGAAGACTACAAGTTGTTTGTCGGCCATGACTACCCGAGTGGGCGTAACTACGACTGCGTCACTACAGTGGGTGAACAACGGAAGCTCAATAAGCACGGGAAGGTGGGCACGACTGAAGAGGCTTTCATCGACTTCCGTAAAAAGAGGGACGACACTCTCGGCGCTCCCAGGCTTCTTCATCCATCGCTGCAAGTCAATATACGTGCTGGCAAACTTCCTCCGGCGGACGCAGAGGGGCGTGTGTGGATGAAGATTCCTGTGAGGTCCTCTATTGGTATCTAATGTCTGTTATCTGTTGTGTCATGCTATCACGTACGCGAGTAATTGCACTTTTTCTTCAGCGCTAACGCGGCATCGTGGCAACAAAACAAGCCGAGGAAGTGCTTGGCAAACTGTAAATAAGCGCCTTCCTTTATTCTCGAACGAACTAGACGTTCGACGGGCATGGCGTAGACGACTGCTTCAGAGATATTTGCTGAGCTTTCATCACGTGTCACGTCAAGGGGCCTCGCCAAGCGCTGGCTTGGGCGCCAAAGATCAGTCAGACGCCCAGAAAGAGTATCGTTGGTATGCACAACACATGCTTTTTCCATCACGCAGAAAATTTTCAAGGTCTTGTTTACAGGTGGAATAGTCAACGCAAAGTGGAATACGCCGAAAGATTCCGCGATCAACTCGGACAATCTGTTCAAGTTAGTTTAAGTTAGTCGTGAAGAGATGTTTGTGCATGCCATGAGTTTTCAGTCGCGCAAAAGTAGAGATCAAAATTTCTAGGAGAGGTGGGCTTGGTTGGGGACGTGCGGCACGCAGAGGCAAAGGCTGTAACATCTTGTTAGTAAAAATCGCATCGATTTTTGCGCGCAGATAAGAAACTTCTGTTTCCTGCTTCCATTTCTTTCCAATTCGCTGTCAAGCCCGTGACAGAGGAGGGCTCAAACCGATACAACAGCAGCGCAAGAGTCTAAGATACGTCCGGAAACCTGCAAGCTAAAACGGTGAGCTTTGTTGACTTGATTCACGTAAATTCGGATTATTGTAGAGACCGAGAGGTCACCTGCAAAACCTCCAAACTTGAAACGCCTTTATTTTTAGCGATCATGAGATAATATTTGATAGAGCCAGAATCCAGCGTTGTATTTTGACGATGGTACACCAGCAGCAGAACCCAGGGCTTCTGTTGGCGTGAGCATTCGTATAACGTGACCGTGAACTTTGCAGTAGCAGTAATTTGAATTTTCGATGTTCGGGCTTGGAGCGCCATCGATATCACCAGGTGACTACCCAACTTTAGCGCGCGCCTAGTACTTGATTAGCGCTCAGAAAAATCTCAAATTTCTAGCATTTCCGCGTGGGTACTTAAAGGATTTGGAGCACAAGTTGCAAGTCACTGGCACCTGGTTCAAATTTTACTCCCCTAGTCTTCCGATTCTAAAACTCGAACCCTACATTTTACTGTACAGATATGCCTTGCCGCCCTGCGAAAGGGGAGGCAGACTCTCGTAAAGTCCTCGACGACAAACGAATTAAAGCTGGTCACCAAGTATCTCCCAGATATCGCCTAGTAGCATTAGGCGCCGTCTTGCTTGCAACTCTTGGTTTTTTGCTCCGAAACCGATTCTCTTTGGAGATGGGCCAGTCGTATGCACTGTGCTCGACCAATGGAAAACAAATCCATCTGGTCGATGAGCAAAATTCCCGAGTGGAGTGCTTGGTGGTACACGGCTCATATATACAAGACGTTGGAGACTTAGGTATGCATTCCTGCTATTTTGGGACGTCTTCCGCTTACCTCCACCTAGCGGATATCCAACAGCGTTGGAGCTACAACCAAGAGAAGGCTTTTACCAATCTACTATGCGAAACCTGGGTACATCATTGTGCCGGGAATGTCAGGTTCGTTGCGTTTCACTCTTGAAACAGATCCTGGTGTTTTACAGCCCGCAAGATTCTCATGCGCACATTCTTGAGTACGGCGCTAGCAGACTTATCCCTCTCGAGCAAGGTCAAACTATCAAGGGTGAGTTGCACAGACTGCGCAGTTCCTATAGTGTTCATCGATTTTCGACCCAGAGGTCGTCACGTCTGTCAGAGATTACATAGTATCGGATCCTGATATTTTTAATAACAAGTCGAAAGTAGTGCAGGGATGGGGATGGGACCATACTGTGTGGCCCGAAGGCCGTTGGCCGAATGCCGTATGTTATGTTGCCTTTGCATCTGCGTCTCCAAGTTCGCTTACGATACAAAAGGATGATTTGGATGCAGACCCTATCGTCCACGGGCGGCCCGTAATTTTGCAAAGCAAGGACGGACATGCAATCTGGGTCTCTCGAGCCACTTTGAATGACAATGGTCCTTATCCCGAACATGTTGAGGGCGGCGTGATTGAGACAGATTCAGATGGAAATCCCAATGGCAAGTAAAAGTCTTTCACAGTAACTCCTTTGATTAATGTTATGTTTTCATGCAGGAGTGTTCCTTGACAATGCACAAGATCTCATTCATAAACCTGAAGCCACTGACGCTGACCTTAATGGGCTTTTTACTATCACTGTTCGAGATGCTCTCGCTAGTGGATTAACTTCAATTCACGACTGCAGCACTTGCTCCACAGTCTTTAGCATTCTTCAAAAGGTAAGCTCTACTACTTATTCATTTCGCTTTCCTCCATGTATGAGCCACAGGCGAGCGGAAGAGGGAACACTGCTGGTACGTTGGACGATACGAAAAATCTGGTATATCTTCGTTTTGCTATCTGACACTATAGATTCGAATCTATGGGATGACTTATTTTAATGAAAGCGGCGAGTATTGGGGAGATCGTATCGCCCCATTGGTTAACGCCGGGAATGGACGGCTTCACTGCAGAAGCGTGAAGATGTTCGCTGATGGTGCGCACGAACACTCCACTTTCATCAATGAAAGCCTTCTGAACCGAAGCACCTAGGCGCTCTCAGAACTGGAGGTGCCGCAGTAAGTGCACATTAGTTCTGATCTGTGTGTTGCGGCTGACCATCACGTTCCCAGCTTTATGAACCGTATACTGACAATCCTAGCACGAATGGTGTTATGCGAATGCCGCCTGAATTGATCAACAGAGTTATTCCCCGATTTCTTCAAGACGGATGGCAAGTCGTGCGTGCACTCGTATTTTAGTAGTTCTCTTGATGGTTGGCTAAATCCAGTTTTGAATGGAGAATGTCCCATGCCATAGGCGATCGTGCCAACGGCATTGTTTTAGACGCCTTTGAGAAAGCGTTATCTGATGTCGACGTTGCTACTCTACGGCCACGGTTGGAACACGGCCAGCTGCTAACTGAAGCCGACATGAAGCGAGTAGGAGAACTGGGAGGTAGGAAACAACGCTTCTTCCACACGGTGATTAAATTAAAGCCTATTTTTAGTTATTGCCAGTGTGCAGCCAACGCATGTGTACGCCTATTGGTTGGTTTGTGTCCACTACCAGTTAATTGGTCTTCTCCATAGTATCGACGATATGTGGTACGCTGAGGAGCGCCTGGGGCCGGAGCGCGTCAAAGGACTGTACGCGTTTCGCAGTCTTCTCGACAACAAGGCAAAAATTACGTTGGGTTCAGACGCCCCAGTGGAAGGCATAAATCCTTTAGCAGGTTTCTACGCCGCCATCACGCGTCTCTCAGCAGATGGAACATCACCTCACGGACCTGATGGCTGGTTTGTGTGCGATAACCTTACTTGAAGATTAGAAACTTACATTCTGTCGTCACAGGTTCCCAAAACAGCGTTTAACCAGACGGGAAGCGCTCAGAGGTAAGATCAAGGAATTGACAATGGGCTGCATATTCACCTTGTATATCCTGAAGGGATGACTATCGACCCTGCTTATGCCTCTTTTACCGAAACGACTTTAGGTTCACTGGTGCCCGGGAAAAGAGCTGACTTTGTAATTCTTTCTCAAGATATCATGTCTGTGGCGGTGGATAAGATCCTGGAGACCAAAGTAGTGGCGACGGTGTTGGATGGACTTGCCTGTCTATGGTTCTCTTCTGTAGCTCGGATATGTTTATACCTACCGGAACGTGTGCATCCGCCTGGGTTTCGGTTTCGGCACCCTGGGGGATGCATCGGCCTCCGGTAACAACATCGATTCTTAGTCTTTGGACGAAACATTCGGTTCTCTTCGGGGAGGGTTATATCCAATTAGGAGGTATCAGTAACAATTCGTTACAAGTCCCATTATCTTGACCAAATATGAGCTGCTGCAAGTCTTTACTCTTGTATGACGATAGCGCCAACACCAGTCACACGTCCCGACCGCCCAAACCCAGAACCACATTTTTCTCCACGCCGCAGGGCTCGAACGAGCTCAAAACGGACATTCATCTCGTTTCTTAGACACCTAGATTACAAGATACATATACCCCACATCGAGTACTTGCAACCACGCAGAAGTTTCCTACAATAGAATACATACGCTCATGTACAATAGTAGTTTAGCCTAGCGACCCCCTTCTTAGTGACCCACAGTAGCAATACAACATATGCAGTGTAGCATGGACCCCATAAATGGGGTCCGAGGCACTGCAATGGATTTTAATCATCATACTCTTGTATGAAAGTCCTTTATTTGTTCAGAGTGTGTAAGTACCTACTACTCTCTTGCTATACTTTGAAATGTGAATGCAAAAGTCCCATATGAGTCCGCTAGTACCGTAGTTTATGTCCATTATGCCCTCCAGTCCAAAAGTCCATGCTGCCTTGCCACTTGAAATCACAAGCCACAAACTGTACGCGTCCACTTGAGTTGCTGTGGCCTGTACCGACCCATACTCAACCGCATGCCCGTTCGTTAAATCGTTCAACGCAGCCTCTGAGGTGTAAAATCCCGACACCGCATGGTCAATCGCTAGCACGTTAATTGTGCGCCCATTGTATGTCAATTGCCAGCAGGACCCACAGCTCGCGCTGTTCCACCCTGCGATGGAGTCGGATGACGCGATATAAGGGAAGTTAGGAAGGGAGCCGTATGTGGTATATCCCTTGGTCAGAAGACCGTTGCTGCCATCCGAGCAAGCAACATTAGCGAGTGAGTTGCTGCCATTGCCGTAGCCATTATCATAGCCAACGGTCACGGCGAGGGCGTAAGAAGGGATGAGGACGAGAGCGAGCGTGGAGAAAAACTTCATGGTCGTGATTTAATGAGGGTTCTTTGGCTGCTTTAGCTGGGCAGGTAGGAGTGAAGAAATACTACCACCTCATCCTCCAGCTTTTATACCTTTATGCAAGTGAAACAAAGGAGTCCGTGTAACTGAAGGCATTCGCAGAACGGACGAAAATGTCCGTCTACTCCATGTGAAGGCAATGCATTTACGCGGGTAAAGAACCTCAAACATGTCCCGTGTCTCCGATGTAATGGAGCGTCGCAAGTAGAACGGATTTTTTACGACAAGCGGCTTTCGAGAACGTCCTCCAAGCTCAAGATAGGTCCAGATTTACTGAGCTCTTGAATCGTCATCGGCTGCAGCATAAGAAATAACCTCGGATCAAAGAAAGAAGATGGAGCGGCAGGTGAGGCGTATCCGACACGCATAAATTGGTTAATTAATGTTTGATAATAGCACACAGCTCATCGGAAATTTGTCAGGCGCCTTGAAAAATGATAATAAATATTGCGAAGTACATTGGGTAGCTGCGATGTCGGATGGAAATTTTGATGAGGGGAAGGCCGAGACAATGAAACAATCATTGTTGTTCCTCGCCGCCATATCCCTCATCGTCCTGGATATCATCCTTCCCGGCTTCGGTGACGATGTCAATGACTTCCTCCTCTTCCTCCGCACTCACACACTTGCCTTCCCACATTGCCTTCCACCCTCGTTCAACTCTAGCCGCCTCAGCCTCTACCATTGACACGACACACTTCCGACGTTCGCGAATTTCCAGCTCTCCCCAGCTCTCCACGGCATCCAATTGAACGAGCAAACGGTTTAGCGCCTCGTTGTAAGCGTGTAAAGGTGTATTGCGGTTCGTATAAGCGAGCTTTGGTGGCGTCAACTTCGGCTCCGAAGAACCGTTAGTAGAAACGGATACCACCTCGCCATCGAGTTCAAAATCGAGGTGAGACGGCCATGCAAAGGTAGTCTTCAGTCCTTCGAACCTTTTCTGGATCGTCTCAATGGTGTCAAGAGATTTTTGGACTAGATCGACCTCATTAGACTCTCTAGAGGGCTCGTCCAATGACTGCTCAGTTGGGAGAGGGGGATGAGTGTCGTTGGGACGGGGAGGGGCTTCGGGGAATTGGGCTTTGAGAACCAGAGGGGTGGGGGGACGAAGGGGCATTATCTGCATCTGTGGGTGGCGATACGTTGACTGGCTCAGGTCGCGGTACTTTGGGAGGTGATGGAGACCGTATAGGGATAGAGTGCTTTGAAGTACTCGTTGTTATAGGCGTCGTCTACAATAATGAATTAGCCTGGAGTCAATGATTCAACTGTTGATAGATATCTACCTGCTTTCTGGTTTCATATGGATTCAGATAACGGCCAAATTCATAGTCATACGCATCTTCGTCATCATTATCAGCATTGACAGTATCGGCGTCATATGTGTCGACCAAGTACTGTCTCGCACGCTCACTCCGCCGTTGGGCGAGAAGGCGCTGCCGTTGAAGTTCTCGCTCGCGTTCGATAGCTTGGACACGAGCGTTGTGCTGCTGCTCTTCGGCTACACGAGAGGCGTAGGGAGATGGGTAATGGCTAAGAGGGGAATAGCCAGAGTGGCCATAAGGGTAGTAATTTGAAGAGTAGGGCGAGCTACGATAGAAGGGATTTGCGCTGAACATGCTTCAAAACAAGTTGAGATTAGATGCAATTCAGATTGAACGAGGATTATATACCATCCTCAATGATGTCATTTCATGATCTTTCTAGAGCTTCGAATCAAGGAGGAAAGCGGAGAAAAAATGGGAACGTGCTGGAAGATGCTAGAAAATGCCAAGTGTTCATTGCTTATTCAGGCGAGAGCTTGCCGGATTGTTCCGAATCTAAAAATAGGCTTCTTTCACATTTCCAAACTACGACTCGCACTATCTATAACTATAGGGTTACTAATTCAGTTCCATCAAAAATTCTTCAATTGTTTGCCATCTGAGAGATAGAACATTGAAGGAACAAGCGACAAATTAGTCCTATGGATCTGCATATATTTCGTGGAATAAGCGCTGTTTGGCTTTCTCACCTCGGAGGAAATGCAGCTAATAGTTCCGGAGCAGGGATGTCAAGATATGCTCATGAGAATACACCTAAGCTAGTACTGAGATCTACATGTGCTATGCGGTTATCTTCATCACCAGAGAGAGTACTACTGGTAACCAGGGCCCGGGAAGGATAAACTTTATAATAATCCTAGGTAATCGGTGATGTAGAATAAGTGTACGGGCAAATGGACAGCATTGAACACAGCGCTCACAGCTGAAAGCCCAACTACAGTAGTTTAGGAGAAGCAATGTCGGAAAAATATGATACAATGGGTTCTATGATTGATGTCTATTGCAGTTTTTCTTTGAGCTATCATGCTAGAGTTACCAACACCTTTGGTAATACATACCCGTGGCAAGCGCATCAGTGACGTTGCTGCATTTTCGCCACCACTCGTCCACTAGGCACAGCTGTCGGGTTCTCAGTGTACCCCACAAAATCTACCGGAGACTCTCAGATGTCATGTCCAGCTAAAATCATGAGGTTCTCCAAAGGAACCTGGCAGTTACCTGGGCAGGCCCTTATATGATTTCCTTAAAGCACATACATAAACGTGTCTGGTGGATCCAGAGTATCGACTTGAATGCTAGCTACTATTGTGTCGTGAAGCGCATCGTCCAGGAAGCTTTGATTCTGGTACAGCTCTGACTTCCATAGCAAATCATTGCTGCTTCTATAGACCCAAAAATCCGTACAGAGGGTCGGAAATGGGTGGTTGACTAGCGTCTGTCTTTTAAATAAAGCGATTGTAGATCTGCGATCATGATCTTGCGCTTTAGGAGAAGCTCTCTCGATCAAGGGGCACATCGATTCCATGGATGCAATTGGGTGGTGAGTCAAAATCTGCCGTGGTAAAATTGGTAGAAGGATTCTAATAATCTGAGAAATTGTTATCGTGGGATGGGAAGCACCCGTTTCCAGAGGGACGATTGTTGTTGCACTGGCAGGCACAATTTAATTGGCTGTTCCGCGGTCAGGGTCCGTTGATGTTGACGTTTGTTTGGCAAGTTGGCATGGTTGGTTTTGTTGAACGATTCCGGGTCGGTCTACACCGCGCTGCACCTCCTTCCTATTCCTCCACTTCTGCGATATCTTCAACTCCATTTTTCTCCCTTTTTCCTTCTCTGCCCTTTTACTGCCATTATATTGCTCGCTTCTACCCTTGAGCAGTAACTGCTAGCCAATTTTTTCAACGAAACGCACCAATCAAATCATTCCCTCGATAACACATTTCTACAATTACCATGTCTGCAAAGGGCTCAAAGAGCTCCGGGGATGTACTAGGGTCTATGTTACTTCGTTCTTCTACACCAGGTACGAGCACACTGTATCGTTTGACAACGGAATGTTCACATACAAATTACCTTAGGTCCGAATGAGAAAGGTGAAGAAGTGCACTCCAGATTACTTTGCTTAATCTCACACTATTGACAGTCCTAGACTATCTTGAGGGTATGTCCAGGGATGAGGTTGACAATGATCCTCCGCGTTCTCTTGTGGACGACGAGGAATACCAACACCGGTCCCGCGACGCCAGCAGAGTCCAGTCTCCCTCCAAGAGTCATCATAGTGACGCCCTCCACGAACTAGCTAACTCTCATGTCAGCTATGGACAAAACAATCATGAAGAAGATGATGGGGACATCGCTTCGGATATTCAAGAGAGATCGCAAAACGGTGAAGAGATTCTCCACATCGTATGTAACCTTGTTTTCCGCAGTACATAATGCCCTTCAACACCGCCTCCAGCCCGGCCCTCAAGATCCACCTGGGCCTCGTTATGAATCTTACGACTCTGGCCCATCCTTTGGTAACATGGGACCAATGCCAGAAGAATATTCTGCCAATCCAGCTGCCGTGTTCAGCACCTGGAATGTGAGCTACCTGACCCTGATTTTTAAATTTGCCTCATTATCTTTCATAGCCTCAATGGGAGCAAGGTCCGCCAAAACCTGCTGTTCCATGGAATCTTAATACAAATGGCGGTGTGACACCAGGTCAGCCATACAAGGTCCCTCTACCAGAGTCCGTTACTTCTCCCAGGGCTGCATCAATTGCGATTGGCGTCGAATCGCCATCTAGCAAAAGTACGCGTAACCGCATCGCCCAATCAGGAGCCTCTACCTCTCCCAAAGCGGTCCCGAACGTAAGTTTTGTTAACTTCTTGCCTTCCCGCTCAGTAACACTTTCCCATCAGTCTCCGAGGTCCACAGCCAGACCTGATCCAACGGCAGCTGAGTATAGACCACTGTCACCCCAGTCCACCCAGTCTCGTGTGACGGGTAGAACGCGGCCCACAGAGAAGGGCACCGTTTATCCGTCCCTTCCTGAAAGCAGGGTTGGCGAGGAGGATATGCCTTTAAGTCCAGTGTCTCCGACTCGAACGAAACCTCCATCAAAGGCTGCATTCCGTCAGCCCTTCGGACTCACAATCCCAATACAAAGCACGGTCCGCTGCCAAAAGTCGCAGAGAAGGATCTAAGGTCAATGGATCAGAGACTGGAGGGGAGACAGCACCTCGTGTTAATGGCAAAGGTGTGATAAGATAATTGTTATGCTAGCTCCGATATTTATCTCGATCTTAGGGCGATCCCCACCAAACGGGTCTTCCGCATCTCACCAATCAAGGCCGTTCTCGCCGTATAGACACGCTGCAACTACCGAAGATCTCCTACACGCCGTGGTCCGAGGTCGTGTCGTAACCATTCCGGAAGAGTCTACGAAGGAACCTTCGTATCATTCGAGAGCCCCCACTGCTCCCCCTTCTGAGGTCCCTGCGCAGCTCAGTGGCGAAGTCGAAAGCATCCAGTAAACACACCAAGACTGCTTCCGTTGCAGCATCACAACCTGACCAAAGGAGAGACGCGGACGCCACTCCCACACCATCGCGTCCCAATTCACCCGGTGCTTTGAACCATGAAGAGACTGAGGTCATGAAAGCGGCATTAGCTTCCGTTGCACAAACGCCGCGAACATCATACTATGAAGCGTCTGTTCTGGAGCCAGATGTTGCAAATTCTCACTTCCACGACAAAGATCTTTGCGTCTTGTTTCAGTTCTTGAACGACGGCTCAACCCCGGAAGTGGTGAGGAAAGTGATGCGAAAGGCTGTTCGGAAGAGGGTTAAAGACCTAGGCATGAAACACGACAACGAGGTTTGTTCAAATTGACATTCCGTGCGTGGTGGATACTGACTGTTTGCAGTCAATCAGGCAGCTACAGAAGAACCATCAAGGTCACGGTTTCGGCGGGACTCAAGAGGGAGATAGTGAGGTAAGCATAAGTGCTCTTTCTGTTACTTCTGTAGTCGAACTATATGGCAGGAACCGCCGAGATGGGCCGCAGATCTCAAGCGAGAAATAGTTCTTATGCAGCAACGCATTGAAAGCCTTGGACCAAAGATAGAGAACCTTCGAGCTCCTCCATCGCTGGAACCAGAAGGCGAGGAAGAGGAATACGGTCAGACCCCAGTCACGCAGACAGTCAATATCCTCACGCAGCCGACGGGGACCATGGCGGATTCGACGTATCAACCTCACACAGAGGTAGTCGTGGACGAGGACGAGGACAACGAACATGGCAACCTCCCCGAGCAAGAATACGAGGAGCCCGCTCGTCGCTTCCCGCATCTTGATGGTGAAGCTAATGATTACTACAACAACGATCGCGACGATTCTCCTGGCCAACAGTTCCTTGTCGAGGAGCTCTACAAGCTTAGGCAGAAGCCGGCTGGTAGCCAGTCAGGTCTTTCGCATCACAGTTGGGAACTTCATCAAGACGACGATCAGTACGATGATGAAGATAATCAGCAAGCGGCTGCTCCAACCATTCCTGGCTCTGACACCGGCTATGATAACGAAGCCCCTCTTCCACCTATCCCTGCTCAGAGCAGTCGGAGTGTCGTCACAACACCTCAACCTACGTATGGTGATGACAATTACAGCAGTACGGATAACGGCCTCCTTCCATGGCAGAAGATTCACCAGCGCCTCCTAAGCTGGGCCATAGTTTGGCCGCTTAGTGAATTCGATGGAGCCCTGGCGAGTACAATGAGGGGTCGTCAGGTCAACGAGGTTGCTATGAGCATCTGGTCTACACAGACGTATAAGCGATATGTTCGATCACGATTAACGGATAATCCTCAGATGCCTGTCGACCGTCTGTTTGTGCCGCCGAACATGGCTGATGCAATCAACAATGCTGTCTTCCACGGGCGGCACGGGGATGCTTGTGGGATGCTGCGAGATCTGTGGACACCGTTTGGTTTGCAGGGTATGCCACGCTTGTTAGTGGTCCTAGCTAAGCACAGATCAGACGAAAACCATTGGGTTGTCCATAGGTAGGCTCTCAACTTTTTTTTGTCGATGTATACCAGTGCTCATGACATTAGATTCTCTCTTCCTGAGGGCCTTTTGACGACTTACGACTCATATCCTGAGAAGACCCTCCCCGATGGCAGGGTATGTGTTTGTGTCATGTATCATTTCATTGTTCTGACCTTTTACTCAATCAGCCTTTGGGGTGGTGGTTCGCAATTCGTGTAGCATGGCCTACAGCCCTCTATCCTAATCCCGACCACCTCATCCAGAAGATGGTCCGTCTTCACCGGCCAATGCAACGAAGCGTGGACAACTCTGTCGCTGCTGGAGGCATATGGCGCAATGTCCTGATGGGTTCACGGCCTGAGAGAAGTCTTGACCTGGAGCGCCTAAGGGATTTGATCAACACGGAGGTCAAGAACCTTCGCCAGAGGAAGCAAGTTGGTAAATTGGCCATATCTCCTCCGCAGCCTGCGTGGGAGGATATGAATTAATGCTGCTGTGATGGCTGGATGTATATATAAATTGTCTGTGCCCATTCATTCATTTTTTTTTTCGTCTTTCACTGTGTGGTATATTGTATATATATACGCTGGGCTGCGCCGATTTTAAAACTAGTTGGTACAGGGTGATTGCTTATGTTACTTATGATCTTCACGCCGAACTGTCTTCCCTTTAGGTACGAATACATTCCTGAATGAGCAATCATCGTAGATACATTGCCTCGACTATGGAAATTATAAAGTTTTACTTACAGTTGTAAGCTTCACAATCCGGAACTAAGCACTGCTGACAGATCATCGACGGTAGCTTGTACCTGTCGGGAAGCGGGCTGTACGGCAGCGCAGTCGGGTCGTATAAGCTAGATAACGGTTCAACACCGTGACTGCATGAAGAGGGGAAAAGGAGAAATACACACACTGGTGTAGAGGGTCTGTGCCTCGTTATCCAGCTTTTCCCTCATGTCGGCGTTTTGGAACTTGTGTGAAGACTTCTGCTTCTTCTTGAACGCTTTTTTTACAGCGTCCTGCTTTCCCTTTATCTTTGAAGTAGAGGAGCGCTTGCCATGCTTGCCAGCCATGGAAGCGGAAGGAAAAATATTTTTCCACGTGCAAAAAGGAATTCGCAATTCGGGTGTTTGGTCTGGCTTTCAATTCTCTCCATGTCTTCAAAACGCGGTCGCAAGCGAAATGACAATCTACCACCCAATCGTGCCAGAGATGTCCAACGGGCCTTTCGAGAACGACGAGCAGCTCATTTACAGGTAGGTATATTGCCCTTTCATTGACGATGGAAGTACTCACTGGTGTTCCGAAATTTGCCTAGGCAATGGAACAAAGAGTGGCTGAGCTCGAGGTTGAGAATGACTGCCTGCGACGGGCACTCAATTTGCCACCAGCAAGTCGGTCACCACTAGGCAGAGGCCCAACTGGCAAGGACATGCCCAAGGCGTATGCACCCGATGCATCGTCAGGCGATACCAGCACTGCCTTACCCCACCCCAGCCGGGATTCCTCGTCGAGTTCGCGGGGCTCGACTCGCGCCAGCTCGCTGTCTCCTGGCACTCTCACCTTACCGCGCTCAGTTTCCGACATCGATGGCGGGCCATGGGATACATCGATGGTCATGGAGGAGCAGCACTCAGACGTTCCCAGTTCCTCTGCCTCGTCGTCTTACCCCATTCCTTCCATTCCTTCCCAGTCATCATCTCGCAGCACCATGCCTGGGAACACATACATGCCCACCCAAAGCGGCTTTTCGCAATCTTCAGACCGGATGTCCTCATCGTATTCCAACAATTCAGGCTTCGTTATGCGTGATGAATCCGATCTCAAGATTCGCGATCCACGCTCCTGAATGGACTAGCCACCTTCATCCATATGTCTTCTTTCTCCGAAGCTCGTTGATCATCATATCCGAGCTTTTCGCTTTACCCATGCCTGCCCCGCGTGCCTCTACACAGTGCCTGGTATTTGCAGCTGTGTTTCCCATCTAGAGATGCTGCGATGTCTATATTGCTTGTCGTGAAGTGGAACTTTGCGCGCAGCACTTCCTTCTACCCTTATGCCATTGCAATTGATTGGGGCAAGGCAATTGCGAAGAAGACACATGTTGTACTCAATCTACCACTCAAATTCTTGTAGCACCAAAGGACTCTTTTCGTGACAATATGACGGACAAGGACCCTGTGCTTTGTCGACCTCGAATTCAGTATCCCTACTCAAATAAACCAAAATATCTATGTCATGTAATTGCAATATTTATCCGTGCAATAGATACGCCTCCGCGTATTCGTCGAACGACACTCTTCCTCAAACTTAGCCTAGGATAATTTCGACAAAATTCTATGGGTCCCATCTTTTAATAGTTTGATGTCGACGAGCAAGAGCGGACTCGCCAACAGTTCGACAACCTTATCTTACGGCTTGATCGATTCTTCATCACAGCTTATCATACTACATGTAAGCAAACAGTTCGGTCATTAGCATTTTCTATCAGATTTCGATCTTATTCGGGTACGTGTCTAATTTTGAACTCTTCGTATCAAAATCCCTTCTTCAACAGCTTCCGTCTTCATGAATTCGTAGAGCAGCGACCATGGCCTTATTTGACTTGCGATTCGTAGGTCATCCAGCAAGTGGGAACATATACTCTTTACACCTGATGATGATCCGACGAACAAAGACTCTGCTAGAAACCGTGCAACACAAAAGGATGTCAGGTAGCCGCTACCAAAATTTATCTCCCCCACCAGACGTGAAAACTCAGCAAGCTGTTCCTGTTCTATTTCCAGCGCCGCCGCTGCGCCCCGTGAATGTAGTAGACAATCACCCACGTCCTACTCACGGTGAACTACTTTATGCTCATATGTGAGATTCGAAAGGTGCTTTTCTACTGAGGAAATGTACTAATCCCAGTCCACCAGTCATTTCCAGTCATCGGTATCCAGTCGACAAACGCCCCCTGAATCCAAATTCAACCTTAGGACCTTTATCAACCTCTTTCATCCACTACTGGTTAGTGGTCAGCTCGAAGCAATGTCATAGACTAAAACTTACAGCAACGACAACGTCACATCCCCATGCACCCGCGCTTTGATGGATATATCCACGGCCAAGTTGAGATCTAGTCTCAGCTTCAGCGCGTCCGTTTGGCTTGTTCCAGGCTCAGGAACATCTGGACCAATGACTTGCTCAATATCATCAATGGCTGAGATAGGTCCGGTCGTGGTATCCGCCTTTTCGGAGTGTGCGACCGGGGTCCTCGTTTCTGGTCAGAACGCGGCTGACGCCATCACGATCCTGACGACGAGCTGATCCGTCCTGAGGACGCCTCATCGGCTTGAGGAGAAGGAAACTGCCGCATAGGCTGAGAAGGAGCTTGTCCTTCCTGAGTTTTGGGAGAACGGGACTGAGGTTCAGAAAGTGCAGGCGGGGACTCCATGATGTGTGGACAATGGTGCTACCTACTGACATTAAATGCCATTCTTCATGCCCCACAAGGCTCCACACGACATCAGTTTTGGCGTCAGATTGGCGTAAGGGCGTACTTGCTTAGAAAAACAATTCTAATGGTCAGGAATAAGATGTTGCGGGGCTTCGTCTGGCGATACAGTGGTATACCAGAACATGTTTCCTCCAGATCTTTTTCAGGTCGCGGTTGAGGATACCAACGCAAGGCTTTCGGGCAGGAGCGTTATGGTTTTCAAAAAGCACCAGGTCATACCTAGATAACCGGTCAGGGTCCCAAGTACTCATGATGACACTTGATTCGTAAAGGGTGCACCAACACTCCATTGTACTCTCCACCACCAAGCCTTATTGAAAAGTAAGTCCAAAAATGTTGACATTTCCACTGAGCTAAGGCTCCAATTCCTTCATAGTATACAGCATATTTTACACAGCTTGAAGCGAGTGTCCGATCCAAGGCCATCGTGGAGCTCTTTTCTTTTCCCAAAAACGTCCGGATAAACGAGCTAACTCAGCCAAGTTCCTGCGTCGTGCTCCCAGTAGTTTGTAATCGAGGAATCTGTCAAGGATGGCAAAGCTTGGTTGTGTGCGGTACGGCAAAGCAGAGTTCCGCAATAACCGGTCATTGTGACCTTTTTCATGCAGCATGGATTTTTGCAGTTCGCACAGTTAAAGTTCAGGGCGACCACCTGGCAGGTATCATATTTCAGGTCCGTCAATAATATTTCGTCTCAGGCAAGCCGACCCCTTCTTCTATAGATCCTTACGGCCCTAAGACCTCGAATTTTCTAGCTTAGGAGGAGAGATTGTATGCGATGCAAGAGCCTCGAGTCTAGACCCCACCCAGCTTGATGTGGGCTAGTAAACACTGAAGCGCTCCTATCAGTACTGGTGGGGGCCATAATATAAGCTGTGGAAAGCGACCTGGGAGACGATGCCTAATGTTTGCTTCAAATGATTTCCGAACTCGTTCTTCACCTCGGTGACAAACAGAATATGAAGTTGTTTAGTTTACAATTGTCCTAGGGCTCACAGTATTAACTCATTGACAGCAGTAAGGAGACTTGTACCTATCTGTACCGGTCAAACCGTAAGTAGGAAGAAATGATTCAAAAGTCATTGACTTGACGTTGAAAACAACTTGACACATATGATGTTGACACTATGCCATGTGGTTCGAGCGGGGCCGAGCCTGGATGTCGAGAATATTCAGGTTTGTGAACTTTCTCTGGGTGAGATACGATTGATCTGCTTTCACACCCCGGCGCATTACAGCGGGGTGCCAGAACGTCCGGGCCAGGGATAAACTCAGGGCAAGATCTTGAGGCATTTTCATTGGCACAGTGAAGTCGAATATACGACATTTCCCCATTTACCCGTGAAATATCATCAAAGTAACAGGACTACAGCATGAGAGCAGGTCCACGAGACTCATGATCATGAAACTATCCTTCGAACTCTCCTCACGATCTTTGAAAAAGCGCTGGGGCCGTAGTGCATCATTTCCGACGCCGGGAGTGCAGATGATGTTCGAATATCTTCACAGAGTGGCATTCTTTCGCTCTGTGTTCTTGCTTGAATGATGAAAGGCGTTGCCAGTTAATGAAAGTAAACATGATGACAAGCGCAGCATTGATTATTCGACCGCAAGATTTTATTTATCACGTTGAACCAGACCTTAGCGTCTATTCCTAGGGTCGGAATTTGAACACCGGACAGATCTAATATATTGTTGGTCGCTATGGACAAGCCAAAATCAAGATGGGATCCTGGACAGAGCCACATGCTAAGGGGTGGAAGCATATGTGCCCCAAGTCAGCCCAAGTTCCGTACCATCATAAGGCTCCGAAGTTTCAAGCGTCCACCCGCAACGCACATGCATCACAATAAAGACACTAGGAGATTTTCTAATGACTCCATATCATTATCCCGACGGCACGGCGCATCCGATTACGTACCTTACGGGCGGGCGAAAGGAACAACGTGTATATACCAGTAATGGGAACAATGAACGTCATACATCATGCTTCATCACCCCCACGACTCGATCGAATCAGCCGAAGACTGGGACCCCAACACGTCGCCCGATTCGTCGATATTTGAGGTAGAAATTTCGTTACTGGTTTTTGAAGATACCTTGTCCAATCTTTCAATCAAAGATAATTCCTACGATGGCCAGATCAGGGAAAACGAGATTACGTTAGTTCAATAAGGGCTCACTTTGTCTTCAACAACATTTGTTACACCGATGGAAGAGGATCTAGAGCGTTGAAGGGGAGAAAGATAGATACCGGGAGCAGGAGCAAAGGCAGGCATGCGTTCCTCTTTCGAGAGAATTTGACGTTTGTCCTCTATTGCTGCTGCAGGGGATGTGGGTGGTGGTCCTGACGTTTGGTGTGCTTCGGAAGGAAGGGCAAAGCGGAAGGGACCCGGAGATGAACCGTAGTGACGAGGTGTAGACGTCTGAGGATGAGACGGCGCCTCCGCAGTTAACTTGTTGACGTTGCCAGCACGTCCCCTGGCTGATGTAGGCTGACCGAGTCGTTCAATTACTCCCGTTTCCTGTCCGCCTTCGCTCAGATGGTCCGCGGGAGATTCGGATGGAACAAAGAAAGTTTGTAGCCCAGCAGTTCTGCTTCTATCATAAGGCTTCCATTGGAAATCCAACTCGGTGCATTCCACGTCGTACTTGATCTCAGAAACAGGGTCAGAAGAACTTGAACTTTCAGCAGGCGAATCGAAGTGAACTGGGCGAGAGATCAAATAACCGGGTCCCGGCGTAGAGAATATGTTTTGGAACCGGGACATATCTGTTCCTTCTCTTCGGTGAAAGCAAATATGAGAAATCGGAGCTTCGTCCTGCTTTACTTCATCCGATGAATAATCAGCAATGGGGATATCCGAGCATGGGGTAAGCATTTGTTGAGAATACGGTGAAGCAAGGTGGTTATGCGAAAGTTGAGAAGCACTTGTTGGTGTATCCCTGAAATAGGCGTATTCTGAGTTGATATTGAAGTTGTCGGGCAAATCAGCAAGGGGCAGGTCTGACGAGTCAATTTGGAATAGCTGAGAGTGTGATGAGGGGTCAGATGAGTGATAAGAACGTGGTCTTGAAGCATCACGACAAGACGAGTCAGGATATTGTTGGGGACGGTGGTGGCGGTGACAATGTTAACGTTCTTGCTACAAACGGTGAAGGGTGAGGGTGAGAAACTTGTGAAGCGGGACCAGGCCTCGTAAATGGGATGAAAGATAGCGATTGTAGGTTGCTAAGTTGAGTCAGTTTCGGCGAAACTTTGGATCTGTCAGAACAAGGAAGAGCAGTAGCACGAAGTTGAAGTTCCGTTCCGTCAGCTTCAAGGGCACTGAACGCAAACGGGCTCTCTTCGTCAGAGAGATATACCGGATTACAGTCATTTGGATCTTTCAAAGAAGACGACATGGGTTGTTCCATAGAAGAAGGTAAAAGTAGACGCAATGGATGTGTCTCGTCTAGTGATAGGAACGCGTCGGATAGCCAGCTAGGTAATGCTTCAAAGGATCGATGATTGCTGGAGTTCTAGCAAACATCGGGTAAGGATGTCATCTAGTATAACGAAGATTGGCAAGAACCTCTCGATAAAGCAAGGAACTATCTTGGTCTTCGCCCTGAGACACCGTTCCCTGCCTCATTTTTATGACAGAAAAATCCTTCCCTAGCCTTCCAGATTGGAGGGTATCATATACATCCAGAGGTGTGGTGGGCATCACATAGCTGCTGTTGGAAGATGAACCAGCTGAACGCGTCCGGTCGCGCCTAGCAGGAGAACGACACGCGACATTCACGGTGTCCATCATGCGGTCAAATCGTGAATTGAGGCCCGTTCGTTGTCGCTTCGGTGCAGGTGTAATATCTGAAGCCATTGAAGCGTTCGTTACACTGAAGCTGATACAACGCACCCTGTATATGCGCGAAAAGAGACGAGAACGTAGACTTGGAACTGGAAATACGGTCAGAGTGTAACTGTATCATTGAATAGAAACATACCTTGGTTCGCCGAGATCTGCCTCTGAAAACTTGCGTGAGCGTGCAGGCATGCTTTCCAACGGTATCCAGCAGATGAAGAGCGTCGTGGTTGTATTTACGAGAGAAGGGTGATAAGGCGATTGCCGATTATACTGTCAATTTAGTATTCGGTCACCGCATTCACTTCAATCAACAAAGGTCTTCTCAAAATCATACCATGAACGGGTATCCTACGCTTTCCTTATTGCCACTGAACGCGTGCCGACCTCAGCAGTGACATGTCGCGAATTCGAACGAGAGCAATGACTCAGAAAGCGACATTCCATGAAACTGCCACAAGCGCAGCATCTACGCCAGTATCCAAGGGCTGACAGACTGTTGCTTCCAGTCCTTTAGTCACAGACGATGGTCGACATGTAAGCACAGTCTTATCATCGGATTCGTAATAGTAATCTAATTTCTGCCTCCGCTTTATCATCAGCCGGCTGATAACAGCGCAAAATAACTTCTCTCCTTCCAACTGCAAGGATGGAGTCGTGGCATCTCTTTGGGGAAGGCAAGGCCGGCCGTAGTGAAATACCCCTCCCTGCATCGTCTTCATTGGAGACTCGGAGGTCGAGGAAACCTCGCGTAGTCTTCCTTTGCTGCTTCTTGGGTCTTCTGGCATGGACCAGCCTATGTCATCGACATCAGCCACCGGATCCATGGGCTATCATTCAGCAAACACGCAATCCTGCATATCTCATCGAGGCAGAACATGGCGCTGTTGCGTCGGAGCACAAGCGTTGCTCTGACATTGGGGTCGACGTTCTCAAAGACGGGGGCAATGCCGTAGACGCGGTCATTAGTGTGACTTTCTGTGTTGGGGTTGTCAATATGTTCTCGTATGTCACAAGTACAGCACTTCTCCTTGATAATTCTTCTTAAGGCCGATTCAGGTCTGGTATCGGCGGAGGCGGCTTCATGACCGTTCGCATCCCACCTAAAGATGCCAATTCTTCTTCACAAGTGTTCAATATTGACTTCCGAGAAATGGCTCCTGCGCTGTCGAACTCGTCCATGTTCCCGGCCGGATCAAATTCCTCAAGATTTGGAGGCCTGTCGGTCGCCGTGCCAGGAGAAGTTCGTGGGCTGGAAGAGGCGCACAACAGATGGGGGTCACTTCCATGGAACAGGCTTGTGCAACCCAGCGTCAACTTGGCCGCCGGTTGGCAGGTCGATAAGGAGTTGGGACGTAGAATTCCGGTGCGGAATGAATATTCTGACGTTCGCACTCTTTTGCCACTGACATGTTTATAGTGGTTTGCTGATTTGATGCTGGGAAACCCGGATTGGCGTGATATTTTTGCTCCGAATGGAGTGCTTCTGAAAGAAGGAGAAATAATCAGAAGAACAAACTACTCCAGGACCCTTGCGACAATCGCTAGTGAAGGTGCCAATGCCTTCTACAAGGTATGTTTAGATGTGCCCTCTCCTGTAGCTTGCACTTAACCTCATGCTAGGGCCCTATTGCAGATGCACTTGTTCAGAAGATCGCCTCCACTGGTGGCATCCTGTCCCATGCGGATCTCGAAAGGTACAAAGTGAAAGTGACGCGAGCTCTCCAAGGGACTTATGAAGGTCGGAAAATATACACCACCCACGCACCTACCTCGGGACCTGGTGAGGATGAATACTGCTCTTCTCCACCAAGGCGTCTAACAAGGTCCTCAGCTCTACTTCATATGCTTAATCTGATAGAAAAGTATGTCTTAGAGAAACGAAATGGTGTCAACACGCATAGATTAGTTGAGGCAATGAAATTCGGGTTTGCAGCACGGTCGGTAGCACCTACAGCAAGTTTCTGCAGCGTCTAATATCCTTTTAGTACTAGAATATGCGACCCCGATTTTCAAAATAATACCGACGTCATAGATTCTATATCCACTAAAGCGTTTGCAAACATCATTTTCCCCAATATCACGGATGTGAGGCGTCCTTCCACTACTCATGTCGTTGCACTCATACAGTATTCAGGGACATACACACCCACCTGATTACTATAACCCTGAATATGATGTCTTGACAGATCATGGAACGGTGAGTACCCGCGACACTGCAAACAATACCAACAGACCAATTTGTGAATATCAGAGCCATACATCTATAGTTGACAAAAACGGCATGGCAGTGTCGCTAACGTCCACTGTAAACCTTCTTTTTGGGTCAGAGGTTCTTGACCCAGTGACCGGTGTCATTCTGAACGACGAAGTACGGCGTTACTCCATTTGTCAACGTTTTGCTCACTCAGCACATTAGATGGATGACTTCAGTGTTCCTGGGACGCCTAATGGATTCGGCTTATGGCCTTCACCGTGTATGTCGAGTTCCTATTGTGTTCTGTCCTCCTGATGCGTGATTACAAAGATAACTATCCTGAGCCTGGAAAGCGTCCCCTGTCGTCGACATCGCCAACGATCATTGAGAATGCCGATGGGTCGTTCTACCTGAGCATTGGTGGATCTGGAGGATCTCGAATCTTTCCAGCTGTCTTCCAAGTGATACTGAATCTTGACTGGGGCTTGAATCTCGGCGAGGCTATTGAATTCGGACGACTTCACGATCAATTATATCCCCTTTTTCTGGATGCCGACAATGTGTATCCCAGTGACATCCTGGATGACTTAAGAAGTAGAGGACACAATGTTACTGGTATAGTCATATTGGACATGCCCGGAATCTACATCATTGACTTTGGATAGTTGCCGATGTAAATCGCGTCGCCTCTGTTGTACAAGGTGTTATGATAAAGGATGGGAAGATTTTTGGTAAGCTCTTTATCCAACTCACAGTTTATATCAATATCTTATACCTGAGTCCGAAGCTGCGAGTGATTCCCGTAAAAATGGTATAGCAGCAGGATATTGATGATACGGACGCTTATGTGATACCAATGGATCTCATTTTGCAAGTACGGAAATGTGTCCACAGGTTATCTAGATAATCTTTCCGTGGCTTGAAAGCCAGAGCCCTGCATCCAAACCGGGTCCTGAGAGCAATCACTTCAGGGACTTGCGACTGCCTGCCTGGGACCAGCTAGGCCTAATAACGGATGGTAACGTCATGTGGTTTGTCGCATCTGACTCTATGCCTTACTGCCCTGGCGCGTCGGATGTGAGCTGGGCAAGTGATGGGCATGCCTCGGACTTGGGTGATCATTCATTTGACTATGTGAAATGTTTGGCAAGTTTGGAACTATACACCGATATCGACACCGTGGCTAGGTCTTTCGCTGCCAGCTGCTCAAGGGTTCACTTTCATCAAGTGTTCATCAGCAGGACGTCTGATTCGGATGATTTTCGCCTATACTTTTTATCACGCGTCGATTCATTGTCCTCTGTGGTCGCCCGTTCATATCAATTTTTTTCTAAGACGGCACTACTTCGCTGAAGTATGCTGCCGCATTGATCGCGAAATTTATCCAGCTGGCGCCTTGGTATATATATTCCACTACGGGAAGAGTGTGTTGGCTTGAAAGATGCATCTGCTCGCTTTTCTGTCTCTGAGTACATTCCTGTGCTCTGCGTTCGCTGCTGTTCCTGAGTGGGGCCAATGTGGCGGCATTGGATGGACAGGACAGACCAGTTCGTAACTTACCAGTGCTTCAGAATACTAATCATGGACTAATTCCACAATGGCAGCTTGCGTTAGTGGTACAGTATGCACAGTTCTCAATGACTATTATTCTCAATGTGTGCCTGGAACAGCCACAACAACCGCCGCTCCCACGACTGCTACATCAACAACCATTTCTTCCACTTCTCGCACAACTGCTACGTCGACCACAGCTTCCGCACCATCTTCTACTGGCTTTGTAACTACCTCTGGCACAGAGTTCCGCCTCAACGGTGCCAAATTCACTATCTTCGGGTAAGACGTTTTCATCGCCATGTTGTGATCAGTGTGATGTTCTAATGAATATTTTGACAGCGCCAACTCATACTGGGTCGGGTTGATGGGCTATAGCACTACAGATATGAATAAAGCCTTCGCAGACATCGCGGCTACAGGTGCCACTGTCGTCCGCACATGGTAAGCTTTCGTGAAGAATATTGCAGTGTTCTTATCTCAACGAGTGTATTTCTAGGGGCTTCAATGAGGTAACGAGTCCTAACGGGATTTATTACCAGAGTTGGTCCGGAAGTACACCAACTATCAACACAGGTTCTACGGGTCTTCAAAACTTTGGTACGTTCAAAGCGTGGTCCCAGATAAAGAGAATCTAACCCGTGGTCTTCTTAGATGCCGTCGTCGCTGCTGCTGCTGCACATGGCTTGAGGCTTATTGTTGCCTTGTCTGTGTTTTTTTACTCTATAATGAGAATTTCATGTTGATTCTGTTTGTCAGAACGAACAACTGGTAAAGATTTGACATCATATAGCCATTTCATACTATGACGGCGCATCTTAGGTCCGACTATGGCGGAATGGATGTATACGTTAACCAAATTGTCGGGTCTGGCTCTGCGCACGATTTATTCTATACCGACTGTGAGGTCATAGTAAGTGATCTCGGAATTTCTACTTGCTAACGTCGTCGATTGAACATGAATCTGTAGTCTGCTTACATGAACTACGTCAAGACCTTCGTCTCGCGCTATGTGAACGATCCTACTATTTTAGGTTGGGAGCTTGCAAATGAACCTAGATGCAAGGGGAGTACCGGGTACGTTTATTATGGAAGTCGAACGTTCTAGAATTCTGGTCGCTGAACACCTATGTTGCGAGTAGGACGACCTCTGGATCATGCACTACAACGACTATCACAAAATGGGCCGCGGCAATTTCAGCGTACATCAAGTCGATCGATCCCAACCATCTTGTCGGGATAGGAGATGAAGGGTTCTACAATGAACCTAGCGCACCAACATATCCATATCAGTACGCGAATTACTCTCCCACGTAAGCTAAACTAATACTTTTGGATTCAGAGGTAGCGAAGGTATCGATTTTGATGCAAATTTGGCCATTGGTAGCATTGATTTCGGTACATTCCATGTGCGTACCTTTATCGAGAAAATATCTGAGTTCTCCTGCTCAAATGCTGCCTTTCTAGTCCTATCCTGTATGTTCACTGCCTCTAACAGTTCGCTAAGACTCGAGCTTATACGATTGCAGATCAGCTGGGGTCAAACCACTGATCCTCAGGGATGGGGTACACAATGGATCGCTGATCATGCAACGTCAATGACAGCTGCGGGAAAGCCCGTAATCTTAGAGGAGTTTGGAGTCACCACCAATCAAGCTACTGTTTATGGCGCCTGGTATCAGGAAGTTGTCTCTTCGGGTCTTACTGGCGCTCTTATCTGGTAAGAGACGGTCTCCTTTACGTTGTTGGAGAAATTTTAATTTCTCTGCAGGCAAGCTGGTTCTTATTTATCATCGTACGTTCTTGCGTCAAATTTTCCCATGGAATTATTCGGGCTAAAGTCTAGCACAGCGGAGCTACTCCGGACGACGGATATGCAATTTATCCTGATGATCCTGTATATTCCCTGGAAACCTCCTATGCGGTTACATTGAAAGCGCGGGCGTAGGATAGGGTACAGAATAATTTTTGCTCCGATGTGGTACTGTAGCCGAGCGGCTTGACTATGTAATGAATAAAAATAGCACTGTTGTCACGATCGATCAACACCTCCTTGAACCTGACACATCAACTTTCTTCCGCTCTTCCACGATATCCGTACTTTGAAAGGGCGTATAGAAGGCATAACATGACACGGATGAAAGATATTGACTGGGACTTGCTGTCGTCATATGCTGGGCTATTGACGTTAGCGAGTACGTCTATATACCTGGGCTCTTTGGGCTCTCTACCTGTACGTGTTGCAAAAAAACTTAGCGGACGAGGCTTATAAATATCTCGGCCTTGTAGAATACAAAGGGGAATGGGGCTGATGAAAGTGACGAGGACGAAGATGTCGAGAGGGTGTCCTCGGAGGATGCTTGGTTGTTCCCGCTAGTAAGCCTTTACCCGCATTTTCGACGGCTGTAGCTGAAATGCAAGATGGAAGATTGGATCTGTGACCCTTTTTGCCTTGTATATGATCATTCAATACTTTGGAAAGGAGTGGATCAACTGGCTTCTTGGGATGTATTTCTCCGTCGCTGGGATGGGATCTGTTTGGAAGGTTGGCTTCACTATTGAGCGCGAGCTCTACGTACTCAATCTGAGTTTTTTTTAGTCATCGATCTCTTTGTACGTCTTCGCAGTGGGAAGAGATCGATGGAAGAAGTATGGAAAGCACACTTTTACAATCTATAAAGATACCAACAGTAGGTCTTCGAACAGGGCTCTCCATTCTATCTTCTCTGACTCAAGATTCTTCTGCAGAAATTCTAACTCTTTCTTGGCGTACACCCACATTATACTTGCTTCCTCTATCCATCATACCCTCGGCACTTTATACGTTCTCGGCTACGAGTCGGAAGTCTGTTCTGCTTACGGATATATTGTCACTCTCCTTTTCCCACAACGCACTATCTCTGCTTAAAATCGACTCGTTCAAGACAGGCTCAATACTCCTAACCGGCCTCTTCTTCTATGACATATGGTGGGTTTTCGGGACTAGAGTGGTGAGTTTAATGATTTCCCGACCCAATGCCTGCCCCTGGTGTTCTAATTGTTCCGTTTGTCCAGATGGTCGAAGTAGCGACCACGCTTGACATTCCTATCAAGCTGCTATGGCCCAAATCTATGGTCTTCTCGGACTTGCGGGGTTTTACGATGCTTGGGTTAGGTGATGTTGTCATCCCTGGTGCATTCATAGCTCTGGCGCTGCGTTACGACTACCATCGTTTCTCCAGACAGTCCCACAGCGGAACCCGGTTCTCCAGACCTTACTTTCATGCTTCCCTATCCGCTTACGTAACTGGCTTGGTAACGACGATGTCAGTGATGCACTTTTTCGGCAAGGCGCAACCCGCGCTGTTGTATCTAAGTCCTGCGTGTATCCTGTCTTTTGTGATGACAGCCCTCTGCCGCGGTGAGCTTTCTGATGCGTGGGACTGGAGTGACACACCACCGCCGGCTTCGCAAGACCAAGACGCTGGGGATCATATGGAAGAGAAAGCTGTGGAAGGCGGAAGTTCCGAATCGAAGGACTAGGGGGTCTACGAATACTTACCTTCGCAGACTTGGGTCGAGTGGAGCGGTTCATAGGCTAATAGTAATTGTTGAATTCTGTGCACACGGGCGTCGACACGAAGTGATCAGGGCCGTATTGATTCGGGTGCCTCGGGTGTGAATGATCGATGTCTTTTTTTCACTTTTCGTTCTCCCCCCTGACGAACCACATGCTGCGTAGTGGATGTGAGTGCTTAAAGTCATCATTTGGACATACCATTGGTTCGCAGATATAGATTTCCGATGGTTGACTATGTGCACATGGGGAAGGAATGGAGAACACCTTGTTACTTCATTCTGCCCTGACTTCAACTACTCACTTTTCAAGATGATTTTTCGTACTTGAACTTTACTTCTCCTGCCTAATCGGGAACTAAACGGAAGAGCCCTCGGAAGGTAAATCCGTTTTGCAACGTCCTTGTGCTTGGTCATGAGGACCCCGAAGCCGGGTGAACGGGGATAGTGGGGTCTGGTGGTGAGCAAAAGTGCAGGAAGATGGGGGGAGAAATAGGAAGAAAGGAAATCAGTGCACAGATATAAAAGGTCTTTATATACTGCACGATAAGGAATAAGGGGCTGTGTGTACTTGCACAGATAACCATGATAACAGTTGTCGTCGAGGTATTATCTTAGATTCGCACGTGTGGGTTTGTCTTGACGCGAGACGGGACCGGTGCGTCTATGTCTTATTATTATATAGCGCATTCGCTAACAGATCACCTCCAATTATTGACGCCGCTCCCATGGGGTTTCATGCACATGGCTCGTGAATTATGGCACTGTTGATATACACGAGTGCCACAACTTGATAATCCTCATCAAGTGAGGTGTCAGCTTGTATTTGGTCTTAGTAAATGCCTCTCACGACAATCCAAGAAGAAAGGAAACTCTTATACCTGAGGAAAGCGTGAGGAAGGGTCCGAGCGACTACCGCGGCTAGTATCAAGGGTCCAGGGCTGGGCTAACGCCCTTGCAAGGAATAAATATGTCCCAGAATTACAGACGATGGAGAATTAGTAGAACATATAAATGCTGGAAGCACAGCCCAGGGAAGACTTTGACTTATACAAACAGAGAAGCGTTAACCCTTATGTGAGAACGAAGCAGAGGAACGTTTGTCATTGAATCATAAATGCTCGAATGATGGCGGCCCGATGGAAAATGGGAATAGAGAACCTGTTGTTAGGAGCGTACGTATGCCGGGGGATAGAAGGGCTGCAGGCGCCCTAATCTGATAGCATGACAGAGGGAGCAGTCGTCAGAGTGTAAAGTGAGTGCGCTGCATCTTGCTGAGATCTTGAATGTTAGATCTCGGGCGCTTCCGAGATGGTGGCTGTCAACAGGAACAAACTGGCAGAAAGAACGCTCGGAGCTTGCATCAAAAAACGAAAGTTTGTAATTCACTAGGATTCACTTCATTCGATTCCAAAAATTTCTTATATGTATCCAAGGCCTGCAAGGTGTCAGAGGCAATGTCATGTTGAAACACCATTTGAAAGGAAATGATTTTCAGAGAAAAGCCCAGATGTGCCTGAGGGCGGAAGCGGATATAAAAGTTATGTTTCCTCTGCAAATCATGTTGAGGGAATATGACAAGGAACCTACTGTAATTGGACGAGTTTCCGGCTCAAATATCGGAACAAAGATGAAATTCGGCATATTGTGTCCGAACCCGGATCGGAAACTGACTGAAAGCGGAATATGATAATCGAGGTGTCCCGGGTCCGCATGCTACGGACCGCTGTGTGTAAACATTGGTATAGCCAGTCACTAGCTATTTCCAGTCGAGGCTATTTGGAGTTGCTCTTTTCCCTGGTTCCTCCTTGCCATCGTTGACGAAGCCGCCCCTCCACTCGCCGCCGCCGCCGTCGTCAACACTGTCGAAGTCGTCGTCTCCGGTGCTGTCTCTGCCTGGTATCTATTACGTCCGTACGTCCGAACGTCACTTTGGCCTCGGCCGCTACCGTTCTGGTTGGTTTCATGCTTTTCACTGTTCCGGACGGCACAGACGCTCATTCTGCGCAGGAACTAGCATCGACAGGACCGTTGCTACCACCAATGCGAGGCTTCATGGACGCATCATTCTCCCGGTCATGGTCGCCGGCCAGTCGGCCTACCGTGAATACCTCCATATCCAACGGCCATCCATCTCTATCGACTTCATCCGAGAACAGTCCGCATCTTGGGTCAATGCCGCCGTCGGCCCAGTCGTCACCATGGGCACCTAATGCGCCTCTTGCTCAAACCCAGTCTTCCTCCCATTTCCTGCTCTCTTCCAGTCCGCGCAATTCACTCAATTCTGAACAGAGCAACCCAGTCAATTCCTTACCGCCAGAGTGGAGCAATATCTTTTCTGCTCCGCTCAATCCAGCAGTTTTTGCGACGCTGGCCGCGAACGGCGTCCTGGGCCCTGTGTCCCCGCCTCTTCCAGGCCATTCAGCAAGTTTGCCCACGAACCCTTTCCATGCCAACTTTCCTCCTCCAAACTCGAGACCACGGCTCCCTAACATTGATGTGACGGGCCAGCCAAGCGCCACAGGTCAGTGGTCTGAGGTGTCTGTCTCTTATACTTCCCCCTCCAACATGTCTTCCCGACCGTCTCTCCCACGCTCAGCCTCTTCTCTGAGCAACGTCGCTGCTAAATCCAAGGCATCTACAAGCGTTGGTACATCTTCGAAACTGTCGCGACCGACCGACACTGTCCCCAGGCATCCCAACTTCACTGACGAACGTCGTCGTGCGGCCGGCCGAAACGTCCTAGTTAACGCAATTCCTATAGGTCGTACAGATGGCGGTCCCATATCCTCCAATTTTGATTCAGCGCCCAATGGTCGGTCAGGTGCACTTAATTCGCCGCTGGATTACTCTGTAGGACTTGCATTTCCAGGTGAGCGTTCAAATACGAGACTTCCCCCCTCCCTATGGATGTCTCCGGCTTCCACCGCCCCAGTAACCTCTACGATGCATGATTCGCTAAATCGTCCCCCAATATCTGCTGCCACAGACACTTCAACTTCAAGCCGGTCGGCATTCCCTCAGTCACCCATCTCACCCGCCTCTCCGTCTGATTCTAAATCCACCTTCTTCTCAGACATTCTCTCAGATGGGATATTTGGGCCACAGGGTACATCGCAGGCAGCTAGCCCTTTCACCTCACCTCCAATGTCTGGTTCACCGGATTTACTTCCTTCCAGCATACCAGATCAAGATCCTGAGCAGTTAGCCAAAGAAGACCCCCTCGCGACTCAAGTCTGGAAAATGTATGCGCGAACGAAAGCAACTTTGCCTCATGCGCAGCGGATGGAGAACCTCACTTGGCGGATGATGGCGCTGGCCTTGAAGAAGAAGAAGGAAGAGGAAGACAGGGAGAAGCAGAGTCCTATATCGGTTAAGACTGAAGTGACGTCTCCATCTGAGCTTGGACAACATGCGTCCTCGGAAACTCCTTCCGGAGAGACTCCCCAGACCAAGGAGCCTGATGAGCGTGGACGCAGAATAGATAAAGGAAAAGCCAAAGTTCGAGTCGTAGGCTTCGACGGGGCCAATCAGGATGGTGAAGAACAAGAGTGGGTTCCATTTTGTCTCTGGTTCCGAATTGCATTTTAAAGTTATCTAATTAGTGTCGTTCCTATGGACTGGAGATCAATAAGCCGATCCAGATCTCGGATATCCATGGACTGGCGACCAAGCAGTCGTTCACGTTCGCGGCCGCCTGAATCTGCGGACACGTTCGAAGGCATGATGATGGCACCATTCGAGTCTCGTTTTGCGTTTCCAACAATAGGTCATGGATCATTACCTGATTCGTTCAAGGTACCCTCTTCAAAGCCCACAGGAGCATCAATGCTCTCGGCTACACGACGTAGTCCCCCCCAGAGGAGCACTGAACTTCCTTCTGTTTACGAAGAACATGCGGATGCAGATTCGCGGTATTTGAACAATCTTAACTTCAATCACCCCATGTCGAGCTTTGATTCTCCTGCCTTTGGCCCTTCTTCCCTCCCATCCTTTGGCCTTCATGGCCTTCCCCGTCTTCCCTCTGGTAACTCTCCGGAGCCTTCTTTCCCTCGACACGTTCGCAAGACGAGCTTTGATCACACGGTATCCAAAGACAACATCCTCTCTGGTTTGAAAGGCCGTCATCAAGTCAATGGAAAGCCTCTCTCTCCAGATAGCTTAGCAGGCACGAAACGCCCTGCGGATGCGCCCCATGCCGAAAGCATGCTTCGTGCTGATCCTTCCGACGTCGAGGGAACTCTATTACCCAACTCCCACTCGCTAGCGCAAGAGGGCTCCGCGAACGACAATTTCGAAAGCTCCAGTCCGTTTCCTACCTCCTCATTCCATTTCTCATTCCCACCTTACGACGGTATGTTCGATATCCCGGGTGCCGGAGCTTCGGGGGATATCACTCCCATGCTCCCTTCTGCCGACGGAAGCAATACAGGTGAAGGTCAATACCATCGCTCCACAAGGTCTTCTATTAGTGGAGCGCCATTCCACCCTAGCTCTGTTGGCTCTGCGGGAGAAGGCCTTTCGACTTCATCTGCCCTGGCTGACAAGTTTGGTCAGTTGAATGCGAATAACGACGATTCGACCCTGGACTATCAGCTAATGCGATTGGTGTATCCTACTTTAGACCAATCCGGATCTATGTCTCAGAGTCCTTACACCCACGTAGATCCAACGCAGATTCTTAATGTCGGAGATGGATATCCAGCATTCCATGCTAGCCCTTCCAGTGATGGCTGGGGTGGCGGGGTTGGCTCGAGTTCGAACGCTTCCCCCGAGCCTTATAATGCGTCGAATGCATCCACACCGCCTTCAGCGGAGGGTGTTGCGGAGGGAATGCGAGGTACCGGTAGGAAGTACATTTCTCTGAAGGGAAGTGACCACCAGAGGAAGAAGTCATTGCCTGGCGCTGTAACATCACCGAAGCTAGGATTGCGATCATCGACTAGCACACCTGATCTTTCGGACAACCGAGATGGGGCTAATGGGAAAGGTGGAGATGGCGACACTCCGACGCTATGTACAAATTGCCAGACAACTAATACGCCATTATGGCGGAGGGACCCTGAAGGGCAACCGCTTTGTGCGTTCTTTCGCCATTCTTGTGTTTTTCCTCCTCTGACCGTACTAACGACTATCTGTGTTTCCTAGGTAATGCTTGTGGCCTATTTTATGTAAGTTCCAGCGATTCATGTGGGTTCTGGCACTAACGCCCTCTCAGAAACTCCATGGTGTTGTACGACCGCTCTCGTTGAAGACGGATGTAATTAAGAAGAGGTCCGTCTTCCATCGTCGTTTTCCAGACAGTTTTCTCATTGCTCATTCAAAGGAATCGAGCATCAGGTGCACCTAGTAGTAGCTCACGAAAAGGTACAGGTCTGACGAAGATTGCATCTTCTACGACACGACCGCGGTCATCTTCGAATGCAGCGGCATCTGGGATGAGTGCGGCTTCACGGGTAACGCCCAATCGAGCAAACTCATCTGGAGGAAGTTCGCTAGCAATGAAACGACAGCGACGGACTTCTACTAGCATGCAGACCTCGACGTCCCGTAAGGGAGACTGACGAGCATCCAATTTCTTGCGCTTATATCTACTACTTTCCTTTTCATTGACTCCACTCTCTCAAGTGTTTGTTTGCGACTACGCATGAATTAGTGCATGTTGAATTCTAGATGTACTAGTAGTATCTTGCATATATGCTACCATCTCATGCTGACTTACCTATATATGTATACACATGGGTATATAGATGCCATAAATGTTCCAACAAGTCGGAGAGAGGATATACAATTTCAAGATTGAGTTCAGTAATTTAACTGTAATTATGATTGGCAGCGGCAACCAAGGTAACGGCGTGACGCCAAACGTCTGTACGCCTCTGTACGCTCATCGTACCGTACCCCGCTCATCAGACTGCAGTCACGAAATTGCAGCAGAGCTCTCATATACCACAATCCCTACCAGCCTTCTTTTTGTTGTTCACGCTGGCTTCCATTTTTCGTCAATATGCGGCGCCTTCGCGCACGATGTCACCCTCGACCGCATTTTCGAATGGGCTGCAGCCAGTGGGCCCTGATATGACGGCTTCCAGGGAGAAACGAGTGTCGCGTACTGACCTCGACTTTGAACAGGCGTTGCGTGCAGAAGGCACTTTTATGCTTAAGGAAGGTCTCGACGTTAATGCTCTTGGCGTCGAAAGCCCTGGCCCTGCAACCAGAACGTTTCATTCACCGCGCCCACCTCCCAAGCCTACACAACCGGCGACGCCAACCATCGTGCCACCTACGCCATCCCCTGTGGCAGGTCCGTCATCTTCTATCAGGGTCGTCAGCCCACCATCATCGTCGTCGCTGTCCTCGGGCGACATTTTCTTCGATAGTAACGACGTCGACCACCAAGTCAAGCGTCGCTCTATGTATCGATCACCGGGGACCTCAAGCAGCCCTGATTTGGCGACACTACTGCGGAAGACCAAAGAGAAGAGTGGCGGTACACCGAATACCCAGCATAAACTAGAGAAACGACGCGAATGTGGTCCCCCTCTACCTGATCGGGGCGGTAATGGTCGCCAACGCTCTTCGACTGCCCTTCCTCCTGGACAGTCCTCACCAACAGCAAATTCTGTCAAGAAAAACAAGCTACATCGTGCGTCGCCGGCAGAGAGTAGTTCTATGGATTGGATCATGGCCCAAATGGCGGGGGGATCTTCACCGAAAGTGAGTGATTCAAGACCTTCCACTTTCGCATCTAAGTCATTTCTGCAGCCACCAAAGTCGTCTGTACGGGCCAAGACGAGCGCATTTTTGGGCAAGGTGCTGGGGGGTACAGGAACTGTAAGAGAACGATCTGTACGACTTTACTTGGCGTTAGTATTGTTTCTCTTACTGACTACTTGGCTAGAAGACGGACGCCAGCTCGCCCAGCAGTTCATCATCGCTGTTTCAACCCCTGACGCCTCCTGTGCCGCCGATACCGTCTGAGTATCAGCGCTCAACGCCTGTGGGTTCCCCTATAGCGGACGTTTTTACATCATCACCTAAAGAGTCTGCACCTGCACCCTCCCCATCTCCAACTTCTAAACCTCTGCCCCCTATTATGGGTCAGCCGGTGGACCTCGATGACGATCAGTCTATGGTCCTCGTCGAACGAGTGACTCAGACGCCATCACCCGAAAAGACTCAAAGCAAGGGAACATCATTTAGCAAACGCCGAAGTATGAGCGTTAGCGATGTAGAGTTGAAGAGATCTGTAACAGCACCACCTGAACAATCTCCCATACCCAAGACACCAGAAACAAAACGAGGCACAGGCGCAGATGACCCTTCTTATAACGGGATTTTGAATGATTTCAAAGGTGAACTTTCTCAGCTGGAATCCACTTCTAATTCGTTGGATCTTCGTGATCCATCAACTCCTGCCCGTCGAGCTGCATATTTGAGATCGAAGACTGACGGTCTCGTTTCTTCTGGTCGTTCAGAAACATCAACGCTAACTAAGCATGCTTCGTTAACTGCGCCCACGTTGACCCTCCAATTGGATGAGTCGGAAGAAAGCAAAACGAATTTGTTGTCTCCGTCTCCCATTGTTCCACCGCGCACATCTTCTCTACAAATGCCTGCTCGTTCAGGTATAGGTCCAACTTCGTACAACTCGCCGCGAGGACGCGGTTCGAGCCCACTCCGAGGAACTCCTGGATCTCGAGGCTTGCGTGGTATGCATCGTTCAACGGCTTCGAGTTCTGAGCCTTCCTTGATACCTGATGGGGATGGTACTCGCATAAGTAAGTTACACAGACTGCGCCCTTTTTCGTAATTTGACTTACAAGGTACAGTTTCTCGCCCGCCAGCCAATTCGCAGCAAGACTTGACCGTCTATGATCTCTCTCTTTCTCGCTACCCTTCTTCAAGCCACTCTCCTGCTCGGGGAGACGACCCGATCGACATCGAAAGCAGAGCTAAGGATCTAGCCTCTCGGTGTTGGCATGAAGATGAAGATTTTTTGGCCAAAGAAAAAATCGCGGAATGGCTTGGTGGCATGTAAGTCGTCATCATGCCTTGAAATGAAGTCAGAATGAGATAACGTAATTTGTCCAGTGGTCGGATCAACAAGCTTGCGCTGCAAAATTACGTCGACTTCTTTAATTTTGCGGGTCTTCGCCTCGACATCGCCTTCAGGTGCGTATATCACGTTTCAAAATTGCATCATACTAATCATTGAGTAGACAATTTTGTTCAAAATTATATCTGAAGGGCGAAACACAGCAGGTCGATCGAATTCTAGAAGAGTTCAGCAGGCGTTACTGGGATTGCAACCCGGGCGGAGTTTATGGAAGCGCCAGTACGTCACGAATTGTTTCATGGTGACTATACTCTACTAAATTTTATAAAGATATTGTCCATGCCGTCTCTTATTCTTTGCTGCTGTTGAATACTGACTTACATGTCGCTGATTTGACTACGCGCATGTCAAGAAATCAGTTTGTGCGAAATACCCTCACTGCAGTTCAAACACAATTGCAGCCAAATACCACTGCTCACGAGTCGTCCCCTGACTTGGTTAACGAAGATAGCAATCAAAGTATACGTGGGGCGTCCTCTGAACATACCGATAAATATCGTTCCAAACGGAGTGATAGTATAACAAGTTGGAATAGCGTATCCCGAGATACTGTACTATCGTCCCCTGCTTTCTCCGTCGCCAGTACGCAGGTAACAACGCCCGGGGAGTCGTCCAATGACATTAATGCGCAGGACGTCAAGCTTCCCACTCCTATCACAATGTATGGACGCGACTGGGAAGCTGATATGGAAAGCTTACTCAAGGTAACAAGAGCGTCTTTTGATTTGACTGGAATTGGTTTACCAGAGGTTTTTGCACAGGAAATGTATAACGCCATCAAGAACAATCAAATTTTGCAGCCACTTAGTGGCCGGTCTTCGATGTCATCTCTGAGTCCAGGATCTACGATGCTACGAAATCGTAGCTTACGTGGTGGCCAATCTGATCGACTAACGACCCTTAAACGGGGAAGCATACGCGGTCTACAGTCGATCTTAAACCACAATGGGGTTAGTCCATACAGCAGTAACAGTAGCATTGATGGTCGTGTTAGCCCCTCCCCTAGTTTTGCAACATCTGCTCACGAGGTAAAAATTTCCGACCTCCCCTCTTTGAGCCGATGTTGACAATTTTGCAGGGGATATATGGATCCAGTTCGTCCTTCTTACAGCCCACATTAGGGTTTGCTCACAACTTGTCGCATACTATCATCCGGGAGGCAAAAGAAGACGACGACAGAAGTATACACAGCGAACGCTCGGATTCCACGACTATCAGTATATCTGATGAGGAACTGGCTCTTCTTGGGGCGCCCTGGGCTAAGGAAGGCATGTTATGCCGAAAGCAATATTGGGAATCTACCGGAAGGCGGGCAAAGGATAAAAGCTGGTTAGACGTATTTGTCGTCATTCAACGGGGAACGCTCAACATGTTCACGTTTGGCGAAAACGGACCAGCAGGGTCGGGGGTCTTTGGAGGAGGTAATTGGCTGGTGAGTTTTGGATTCACCTCGCCGCTTCGTGCTATTCATACCCTATTGAAGGCCAGTGCCAACCCTGTTGGTAGCGTGCATCTCACACATTCTTTGGCCCACGCTCTCCCCCCGCCTGGATACAACCGAAACCGGCCTTACTGTATGGTTTTAACGCTGTCTGACGGTGGCGTGTACTTTTTCCAAGCAGGTACGGAGGAGTTGGTCAACGAATGGGTCTCTACGTGCAATTATTGGGCGGCTCGAACAAGTAAGGAGCCACTTGCCGGAGGTGTGTCCAATATGGAATATGGTTGGAACCGCGTGACAGATCCCATACATGACCGATCTCACTCCGATACGGAGTCTACGAAAGACGACTCTATGAGTGTCATGAGCGGCCGAAGCTCTCATAGCAGATTTGGCGCTTGGCGTGATGGAGCCTCTACGGTCCGAGCTTCTCGTTCACCCTGGACCGACCGCGTTTATATCAACGAGTGGAAAGCGCCACTGCCACCAACCGTATCAAGTGAACATGACGAGGAGACGCAGATGGAGGCCTTGAAAAAGCATGTAGAATCCATGAAGAAGGACTTGAAAAAGCATAATGAGCTGCGAGAGCCTATGCTTGCTTTGGTGAGTGGCCTATGACTGTGCTGTTGAGTGGATACTTATCGGCGTTTTTACAGTATCAAGCACGGTCAACGAGTGTGGTCAAGGCACAGAGTAATTGGGAAAAGAAGTCCAAATACCTGCTGACAGAAATAGTGAAGTACGATTTGTACATCGATTCACTACAGGCTGCTATGTCACTCAGGCTTAAAAAAAGGGGAGAGAAAGGTATGTCGATTTAGGTTACCTCGTTCATGCAAAGGATCTCACATATTGATTCACACAGCCTTAGAGCGAGCGTTAAATGGTGTAGAGGAGTCAGGCTCCAAAAAATGGAAGAGGCCTGAAGGAACAATCCAGGAGGACGACGAACCCAGTACTCCTGGGCCTGAATATTTCACGTCTAAATCTCATCGTAGAGAAACGGCAGAAGGAGGAGCTGGCGACGACTGATGGTTAGATATGCTTTATGTATGCGCGTACCTTTCGTGTTTTGATTTCTTCATTGCTACCTATACCGTACTGATACCATCTAGATATATATCTGTTTCTCTTTTTACGGGTTTATTTGTTGTAATTATTGTTAGTTATTTGATAGTTTTACCGTTATGCACTGATGTGTGTGTGTGTGTGTGTGTGGGCAGCGCTATCAGTATATGGAATAAGAAAGTGCCCTTATCGGCAAAGGATTGCACGATTGTCATACAGTACATAGGTGCCGCGAGGCAGAACTCGGAAGAGATCTGGACCAGAAGACCCAGTACACACTTTTGATATGTATATCCTCCCATGAGGCCTTCATCTAGGCTGTGGTACGACATTGTGCGGCCTTGAAAACAAAGAGTGGAACCAGGGCTCACAGAACTTTACAGATGGACCTGACGACATATCGGTATACAACTTCGGAAGATAGTTGAAGCATAGCTATTTCACTTAATAGGCCGAAAGAATGCCAAGGCAATACGAAGTCAATATTCAATGATTCTCAGTGACCTTGTCGCGTTGAAGCAACATAGTGTGAAATTTTTTCTGTGTCATGTTGTTTTTCTGAGGAACGTGGAGGTCTTAATATGATCAATTGGACAGAAATTATTTATATAAATGACAAAATAAATAGCGGCAAGTACTTTACCCTGAATCCATATCGAGCATTTTCCGGCCGAAACGCTCGTATCCTACCTCTTCCCTCTTTCCTGTTCCCTTGACTTTCCTCGTCTTCAATCTGGCACACCCTTGACGAAGACGACATGTCTTCGCCCTCCCTCTCAACCAGGCCTTCAGCATCTTCCAACCAAGCCACAAGTACCAGCAGTAGCAATAGTAGTATGTTTCACTTCACTTTGTCTCTCGCCGTTCGTGTTGACGCCTTCATACCTTTGTAGGCGTCGAAGAACCACTTTACCAAGTCAAGCTTTTGTCGGCTCTTCGTAGTGGTAATTATATGTCTCGTCTTCTCATGACACTCGACACTGACTGATGACTTGCAGGCGACCCGGCATTAATACATCCATTTCTCACTGAGATTGGCAAGGACAAACGGAAGTCAACTGAGCAAAACCTCGACACGGGTGCAGCGGCGTTGCATCTCGCGGTGAGATGCGCTTCAGGTGTGTTGCCGCTATTGTACGGGAATCGCAAGTCAGCTTACCTGTCGTAGTTGCGACCGTAGCATTATTATTGTCACATCGAGCAATTTCTCCAAACGGTGTTCACCCTCCAGGTTCTGGAACAACTGCTTTGCATTTAGCATCATCATTAGGGCGTGTTGACATCGTCAATCTTCTGTTGGAGCAGGAGGGTATAAATGACAGCCTCACAGACGCTAATGGGAAAACCTGTATAGACGTGGCGAAAGGACGTGATGTTATTCGCGTCATTGAAGGTTAGTTAGTTTATGCTCTTTTCTTGGGCGACTTGACGAGCGGTTTGCAGATTCGCGCGCATTTCTTAATGCATCTTATCGTTCGCTCTTGCACAGCTATATAATGTCTCCTCTTTCTACTCCGCTTTCTTCGGCACTTCTTAGACTACTCGAATCTCCTCGGGTGCGCTTTGTGAACCTTTCCTACCTTGATGATGACTCCGGCGTGTCACTGCTCCACGAGGCCGCAAGGCGCAAGGATCTACGCCTCATTGAGCTGGCTGTCAGATCTGGGGCAGATGTCTTTGTACGGAATCGGCGAGGAAAGATGGCATATGAAGGAACCGGAAAAGATGATCGCGTTCGCGTGTTTCTACGGCAGTGTATGTTTGTTTTCTGTATCAGGAGAAGCGAGGTCTGATTGTAACGTGCAGTCGCTAATCATGATAGCAGCTTAATTCAGGCTCCCTCGTCCGCCCAATCTCCTGTTTTGAAAGGCTATCTCAATAAGTACACGAATGTTGCAAAAGGCTACAATACTCGTTGGTTTATCTTGGAAAATGGGGTTTTGTCGTGTATGTAATTTGCCGTATCTTGATCTCCCTTGCCTTAACCCTTCGCATGTAGACTATCGCCACCAAGAAGATGAAAGCGTCGCTAGTCGCGGCTCCATATCGATGAAGACCGCTATACTCAAAATATCCACAACCGACCGCCTGCGTTTTGAGGTGCATTCTACCCCTTCCCGTGGGCACCAATCGGGTGTTCAGAAGTGGTACATGAAAGCGAACCATCCTGTGGAAGCATCCCGCTGGACACAGTCGATATCTAAGAGCATCGAGTGGCACAAACATGACAATGAAGGTCGAAGGAGCGGCGAGAGCGATGCCAATGGCATAATTCCAAAGTCTGTGACGGTTTCTTCATTGCATTCTCATTCCCATTCCCGGAACGAGAGCACCAAACAAGGCAACTGGAGCGAGGGCGAGTCCCAGTCTGTGGCAAGCTCTCACAGGGGAAGATACCATTCTCAAACGAATGATCGAGGTGACGAAGAACTGGACAACGACGAGTCTTCTGCTTCGGAGTCCATCACAAAGACAGTACCCTTCGACTCCAGTTTTGAGTTGCACGGCAACTCAACATCAGCACAGATGGAGTTGACGTCACAGCTGCTGTCTAATCTCGTTCTTCCCTCTGATGTATCTCAACAGACTAACGATTTACGAAGCGCCTTGAAGGAGTCCTTTTCCATGGTGCAAGGCATGCTAGATGAATACATACAAATGGTCAAAGTCCGAGAAGAATGGTTCCGAAAACAGCTACAGAAGGAGCGAGACAAATCGACTTTGTGGGAAGAGAGTTTTGCTACTGTTGTTAAAGAAGGGGAGAATCTCGAGAAGGAACTACGTATCCGAAGCAGAAGGCGCGGCAGCCGCTTCTTCGACGCGGCCGAGGTACCTGGAACAGTAAAACAACGCCAGTCTTTCCTTGCTCCCTATCCACCCGTTATCGAAGAAAGTCCCAAACCTGCATCAGAACTTTCTCAGCTATTTTTGCAGCATAAAGAGACGGTCGAAATTTCACGCCCAACGGATTTACCTCTGCGATCGGAAAGCGATGGCTCTGCTGTCCCTGCAGTAACGACGGAGGCCGAAAGCGCGTTAGACACTGATGATGAGGACGAATTTTTTGATGCCATCGAACCATACAATATACCCAACCTGATAATACCGGAGTCTCTCGCCAGTCCAACACATTCAGAATTGTCCCTGCCTGTCGACCTAACTGCGCCCTACGCTGGATACAGAAATCTTCGTACTTCGCTTAACTTGATGGATGAGCGTCCGAACACAAGTCTTTGGTCTGTACTCAAACACAGCATCGGGAAGGACTTGACCAGAATCAGTTTCCCCGTCTTCTTTAACGAACCAACAAGTATGTTACAACGGATGGTATGTCCTTATAATGCTGTTTCTACTATCTTCGCTAACATCCCGGTTGGATGATGTAGGCGGAAGACATGGAATTTTCAGAGTGCCGTGAGTACACAATCAGTCTGCGATACTCTGGGGCACACTAAATCTCAGACTGCAGTTGATACTGCTGCCCGGGAGCAAGATCCGTTATTGCGAATTGCCTATGTAGCGGCTTTTGCCATGTCAAACTACTCTTCCACCATCGGTCGGATTGCTAAACCTTTCAATCCTATGCTTGTGAGTTTACACCATTGATACATTTCATGGCGCTAAATGTGTACAGAGCGAGACGTTCGAGTATGTACGATTCGACAAAGAGTATCGATATATATCCGAACAAGTAAGCCATCATCCACCTATCTCTGCGTGCTATTCGGAGTCTCCATATTGGCATTACTATGGCGAGGTATTTGCCCTGTTTCGATATTAGGACCAAATAAATGACGAGGTGTTTGAAATCAGGTCGATGCTCAGAACAAGTTCATGGGGAAGTCGTTCGAGATTAGGCCGACTGGTGTTGCGCATGCTGAACTAGCTTTGCCGTCGGAACTTGGAATCGGATATCCGAAGGCAAGGGGTGAGACGCAGGCCGGTAAGGTCCTGGAACATTACAGCTGGAAAAAGGTCACCACAAACGTATCTGGGTTCATTCTGGGATCGCCTACGATCGATCACTACGGCGAAATGAATGTGAGCGGCATTTAGATTCATATACATGCCATTCAAATGCATCTGTTTCAATAGGTCATCAATCATCGAACTAATGACCGCTGTATACTGACGTTCAAACCCCGAGGTTGGCGCGGAAGGGATGCCTATGAGATTTCTGGACACGTCATCGATTCGAAAGGCATAACAAGATATAGTATTGCTGGTAGATGGAACGAGAACCTACTCGCGTGGAAAGCAGGTGGGACCAGAGTTTTGCAGCCCGATGGTTCTGTTGGTGGTCCCAATTCTCCTGCCGCTAGTCGAGAACACATTCTGTTATGGAGAAACTCTGAAAAACCTGCCGGATCTCCATTCAACTTGACACCATTCGCCATAAGTCTCAATGACTGTCCAGAAGACACGCTGAAACCGTTTTTGTGCCCGACAGACTGTCGACTGCGAGTTGATCAGCGAGCATTTGAGCTTGGGAAATATGAGCTCGCTAATCAGCTAAAATCGGACCAGGAGGATAGGCAGAGGGCTACCCGGAAGGCCAGGGACGAAGGCAAGCTGCCTCCGCACCAGCCTAGGTGGTTCACGGCGACTACGGATGGAGACACTGGTGAAAGAGTTTGGGCGCCTTCGATGTTGGGTGATAATTTGGAATATTGGGCTCAGAGGGAGAGGGTTTGGAAAGAGAAACACAACGGCGGGGAGGGACAGTGGCACAACGTGGAATCTATCTTTATAGAAGAGCCGGACTTTCTCTAATGGACATGGGTATCGTAGTTTATTGTAATTAATATGTGGAATAATTCGGTATTACTGGCAGGGGACTGGATGGGCAAACGGTTTTCGGATGAACTACGCTGGGCTGTGGCGAAAAGTTGTAGGCTATCATAGCTGGCAAGCAAACCTTGTCTCCGATGACTTTGATAGACGTTGCGTCAGAAGGGAAACGTTCATTTTTTATTGTGTGCGCAGAGGTGTGTAGTCAGAAGGAAGCTAGACAAAAGGCTATGTTCAGAGCGGTGAACGTTTGAACGCTGACACTCGTCGGTCCCGCATTGGCTCCAAACTTGAGTTTGAAAAGCAGGAGTATCAGTAACTTGCTAGCCAGGCTAACTGACCAAGTTCTGAAGTTTAGGAAGAGACCTCGTTAAAATACTTATATGGAAAAACTGTTTGCCTTCAAAGGGTACCCAAACAAACCTCGACTAAGCGGATTCCTCGACGCGACACTCACTGGCAGCTCCAATCATTCCAAGGCGGCGGCCTCGGGATAAAAAATTCTTAACCGTTTACCTTGAATTCTCTACGTTGACGCGTGGCGTAGGCAGATAACAATTAGAGAGCACTTTTGCAGCATACCCCTGTCCTAAAAAGGAAAAGGCTTATTGTCTGCTTCTCTATTGTCTGTCGGTGCACGTGATGACCAAAGCCCATTGTCTGCTACCCTGTTCGACAAGACAAAAGAAAATGGCGAGGCGACTTTGTATCCTCCGTCCTTTCCCTTATACCACTATCAATGCGTCGCCCGACGTCGCTGACGGTCGACACCGTCGCGTCCCATGAGCTGGCTTATGAGCTCGATCCGTCGCCGCGCGCCTCTATCTATTCTGACGACGATGTCAAGCATGATTTCGACGACTCGCCAACCACTTCTACCTACGAGAAGCCTGTCCCAGCATCCCCCATTACCAACCTCACTGCTAAGCCACCACCTCCGCCTTCTCTTCGAACACTGTTCTCTCTTATATCACCTCGCCGCCGCTTTTGTCTCCTTTTCCCGGCTATCATTTCCTCGTTCATCTCGGGCGGCATTGCCCCGTTTATGACGGTCGCCATCGGTCAGGTTTTCAATGCATTTGCCACCTATCCAGCGTCGAACCCTTCTCAGGAAGCCAAGGATACCCTCATGCACAGCGTCGGGATAGGTTCGCTCGAGCTGATTGGCCTAGCCATAGGTTCATTGGCTTTGGGAAGTCTTACTTCTGGCCTGTGGATCTCTACAGGTGAACACAATGTCATGAATCTTCGGAAGCATGTCTATTCGGCCGTCACGTCGAAGAACATGACATGGTTTGACACGAAGATGGGTTCAGAAGGCACTGTTCAGTGTACGGATAACGAACAAGGTCCAGTTGGGGCCGGAGGGCTCATGGCTAAATTCACCAGGTAAGTATACTCTGGGTATGGGTTTATGTGGATACTTATCATTACTTAGGGAAACAGACGAAGTTCGTATGGCTTCATCTCTTGCCTCAGGAAGAATCATCCAGTATACAACCACCTGTGTCACATGCCTTGTTCTCGCATTTTCACGTTCCTGGGCACTCACCCTCGTCATCCTCGCCTCTGTCCCCGCTCTGGTTTTAGTACAAGCCTTCTCCCAGGCAGTAGCCGGTCCTCTCCTTTCTATCGAACGATCCCAAGAATCCGTCGCAGCCACGCTTATTGACCGCGCTGTGTCTGCAATTGCTACTGTCAAAGCATTCAATGCAGCATCTCAGGAACGCGACTCTCTAAGCACTGTTCTCGACCGCGTCAAAGTTGCCGACAAAAAACTCGTTGCAGTCTGGGGTCTTACGTCAGGCCTGTCGCAATTCGTCATGATGTCCATGTTCGTGCAAGCCTTTTGGTTTGGGTCGAAGCTAGTCAAGCAAGGCAAAGTGGAACCAGGGGATGTTATGGCCGTATTTTGGGCTTGCCTCATCGCGACAAGTAATTTGCAGATGTGCATTCCCCAGTTCATCACGTTGACGAAGGGAAAATTTGCCATGGTGGCCTTACTCGCGCTTGCTGACTCGGAAGAGACCGGTGCTCTGACTCCCGTATCTCCATCGTATCATTCCCGTGCATCGATCTTTTGTGGCCGCCCAGTAAGGTCGACACATTTGCGCGGAATCATACCGTCCAAGTGTCATGGCGAGATAGCACTCCATAACGTCACCTTCGCGTATCCCTCCCGACCTTCCGTACCGGTCCTGCGAGACGCCTCTATCTATCTTCCCGCTTCAGAAACCACTTTTGTTGTAGGGGGCTCTGGATCCGGAAAGTCGACCATTGCGTCACTTCTCCTTCGGTTGTATAAGCCTCGGAGCGGGCAGATAGAACTCGACGACCAAGATATCGCCTACTTGGATGACAACTGGACGACTGAACACATATCTGTCATTTCCCAAAACTGTATCCTATTTGACATGAGTGTTCATGATAATGTTGCCATGGGACTTGCCGGAAGTGAAACTGGGAGAAAGCCTGAACACGCGACGAGGGCAGAAGTCGTGCAGGCTTGCCAAGCCGCTATGATTCACGATTTCATCCGCGATTTACCCGACGGATATGAGACGAAGCTGGGCAATGGAGGTGCGAACTTGAGCGGTGGTCAGAAGCAAAGGCTGGCTATTGCGCGAGCACGATTAAGGAATCCTTCTGTGTTAATTCTCGGTGAGCTTTTACCGAACATTCAAATTCTGTCGTGTTCTTATTTTTATTACCAGATGAAGCTACTTCTGCCTTGGATCCTACTTCTCGTGTTCTGGTGTTCGAGGCTATCAAGCAATGGCGGGAAAACCGAACCACCATTGTCATCACTCACGATCTGTCGCAGATCACGTCGAAGGACTTCGTTTATGTCTTGAAGAATGGCACCGTCATCGAGCAAGGCTATCGCGCTGACCTTGAGCGATCTGAAGGTGAATTCAAGGCAATGATGGGCTCCCAAGCAGTTGCAGATGTGTCAACAGTCGACGATGAAGAGAGCCAAGAATCGGTAACAACGGAGGAGGATGAGGAAAAAGACCCTGTCTCTCAACCTTTCTCGTACGTTCCAACTACCCTGGTGCCGAATAGTGCCATCCTTGGTCACTGGATGTTCGACGTGGTGGCGGACTTGACGTCGAAAGGTAGCGGACCCACACCTTTCCGACCCGCTGTTGTTCGGTCTCGAGAGTCTCAACGACTTAGCCGCTTTGTTCCTGCCGACGCATTCACAGCCCAACACTCAGAGAGACGACGACGACCTTCCAGCGTGATGGTTATCCCTGCATTTCCGCCACCCCCTTCTCAGACTCTCACTACCCATACGCGCCGATACAGCCTTCAATTCACACCAACCTCGCCAGCATTCTCTCACCATTCCGCAACTTCTTTGTTGATCAAGAAGGATAATTGTGCTGTGACGAGACGGAGGTCGACTAGACCTTCTCGCATGAACCGACGCAGGGCGACCCTTGCCGACATGCACGAGTTACCGGATCCGGTCGTAGATATCAAGGTGGAGAAGAATTTGTTTTCATCATCTGAAAAGAGTCTACAACTGGCTCCCGACAATGAGCGACCCCATTCTTTTTTGGCTTTAATGAGGGACGTCTATCCGACTATACCCTACAAGCCGCTCGTCGTGTTTGGTCTGATCATTTGCTTGCTGAGCGGCACTGTCACCCCCATTTTCTCCTTCGTCCTTTCTCGACTTTTCTTTGAGGTTTCTAACGGAGCCCAAAACACCTCTGTCATCAATACCTTCGGTGCCATCGTTCTCAGCATCGCGGCTGTGGACGGTCTTCTCATGGGTTTAAAGTACTTTATCATGGAGACCTGTTCTATGATCTGGATTACGAGCATACGAAACAACGCCTTCCGCACCATCTTGAAGCAGGACAAAAAGTGGTTTGACAAGTCCGAAAACAGTGCTGCTCGTATCGTGCAAGTTTTGATGAAGGATGGTGACGACGCGCGGACTCTTATTGCTATCGTCATCGCACAGTTTGTCGTGGTCAGTGCCATGCTCACTGTAGGGTTTTTATGGGCGTTGGTGCGTGGGTGGCAGATGACGCTTGCCGGGTGTGCTATTGCCCCTGTCTTTGCTGGAGCGATGGCCCTTCAAGCCAAACTCGTCGCGAACTGCGAGTTACGCAATAAACGGGCCCGAGAAGACGTTTCGAAAGGTTACTACGAGGTAAATTGTTTGACATCAGGTCTAGAATTGAACACGTATCTGACTTCTCTGATAAAGGCTATCACTAATATTCGCGGCATTCGGGCGATGGCGTTCGAAGGCGTGTTTCGTAGGAGCTTTGATACCGCCGCGGAGCGCGCACTTTCTACGGGCGTAAGGGGCGCTTTTGTGGAAGGATGTACGCATGGTGTGGCGAGTGGTCTGATCTATTTGGCCGAAGCCCTCCTCTTCTACGTTGGGGCTGTCCTCATAGTGAAGGGTATCTACACCTATCTGCAAATGCTAGAGGTGCTCAACATGGTTGTGTTCACGGTCTCGATTGGTTCCCAGTTGATGGCTTTCAGTAGGTCATAAACTTACTCACATTGAAAATAGTCTGACGTACTTTTGCAGCGGAGAAAATTGCGAAAGCTACCCATGCGACCCGTGATTTCAATCAGCTATGGAGTCTTTCTACCGATACAGACGAATCCCGCGGCATCTTGCGACCGTCCTTGGATGGCACAGTCAGTTTTAACAACGTTGGCTTTGCTTATCCTGAGCGTCCCGATGTTCCAGTACTCAAAGGCATCAATATGAAAATCCGGGACGGTGAGTGCGTTGCCGTCGTGGGTGCCTCAGGCTCGGGCAAATCAACCATTGCTGCTCTTCTACAGCGGCTCTACGAACCGAAATCGGGTACAATATGGACTGGCTTGGACGAGCTTCGTTCCACGGACGTTGAATACTTGCGAGAGCACATCTCCGTCGTCAGCCAGAATCCCAACCTCTTCGACGCCACCATCTCCGAGAACATCGCATATGGAAACAAATCGCTTTCGGACCATGATATCCGTGTCGCTGCACGGGCGGCTCATGTCCATGATTTCATCATGTCGCTTCCTCATGGATATGAGACGATGGTTGGTGAGAATGCTTCCCTCATATCAGGGGGGCAGGCACAACGCTTGCAGATCGCACGAGCGCTCGCGAGACCTTCAAAAATCCTCATCCTTGATGAATGCACATCGTCCTTGGATCCTGCCAATCAAGCCGCGGTGCTCGAAACTATACGGCATGCCAAAATTGGTCGCACGACGGTTATGATCACCCATAAGCTCCCCGTTATGAAGACATGTGATCGTATATTGGTCATCGATGATGGCAGGATTGCAGAACAGGGTACTTTTGAGCAGCTCATGGAGCGCAAAGGTGTCTTCACGTCGCTAGTCAGTGGCGGTGGAATCGTCTGCGAGTGATACCTCTCCTTTCTTCCTCTCCTTTTCCCTCTTTCTTTCTTTCTTTCTTTCTTTCTTTCTGCTGCCACTGTATCGCATCATTTTCTCATTCACTAATCATGAAACGGAACTTGAAAGAGTATGACTCCACTCACCACACTGTATATTACTTCACGCAGACGATTTCTTTGTATTCCTAAGTTATGATCAGTACGAATACATTAGACATTTACTTACATGGGCGTGTGACTTCGAAAAGAAATGCAATTACTATTTTTTTTCCCAATATCTCATCGAAGAGTACTTAGCGCTTAGCGTTCGTCACCTTGTTTAATCACAACCTGTCTTTAGCTGTATTGGACACTGACCACCGGCATTTTACTGATCTCAAATTGAGTTCGCAGTTGCTGACAAGCAATATATAGGATTGAAAGTACACGACTCAAGAAAACCTGACGAAGCAACATAATATGCGGGAAAAGTCGTACAACAGTGTCAGAAGAGAAGAATAAAATGAACCGATAACAATGCAAGGCCAGGCACAGATGATATGGAATAAAGACTGGATGGATGATACAGCAACGGATACACAAGAGAAAGGGGGACTGTTGTTACAGAGAAATGATAGGAGAAAATGAACCATGATGATATACGACGAACGGGGGGAATCATTGCTTTCCTTTGAAGGTTTGCATCAACGACTTCAATCCACCGAAGCGTCTACTCGAAGGAGGTGACTTCGCCACCGTATCGCTACGTGAGAATCCCATCCTTGTTAGTTTGTTCGCACTTGCGAGATGACGAGCCTGTTCGCGTTTTGCCTTTGGTACGGAAGACGGGAGAAGGGGATGGGGAGCAGTAGAGACTCGGAACAATCCAGGTCCAAGCTCAGTATCGGTGTCAGCGCCTTCAAAAGAGCTGACGCTACTGAGTTGTTCCCGGTTACGAGGTGTGATGTTGGCGAGTGGTATGGGCTGTTTGTACATGGATCCAGCAGGCAATCGCGCGGGTGACGCATTAGACGAGAAGGCTTCTGCAGCTGAAGCAGATCGAGATGTATGGTGCTTCACTCTGGAACCTTCAAGACTGTGCGTAGAGGTAGGGATGCCTGAAATTTACAATTCAAAAGACGAATCACGGGATAGCTAGATACTAAACTCACTTTCGTTTGAAGATGTACCATCGCTGGTATGTGGGCGCCGGAATCTGGACCGTACAGGTGCCGGGGCCAGGCCGCCTTCCATACTACGTTGTCGATTCACGAAAGATCTGGATTTCACGGTGCTAGTACTCAAGAATCCTTCTTCGCCGACGGCAGATGCTTGTCCGCTCTCAGTCTTTTGCTCTCTTAATCTTCTCTCCAAAGCTAGGCTCTCCCCATACGCAGCCAACCTTGCACTCAATGGCATCTTGGAAGCCGTATCATGGTCTTCCTCTTGCACCATCTCCAATATATCTCGCTGAGCTCGTTGGACGAGTGCCTCGGCCTGCGCATGCGACGATATGGAACTAAGGTCGATCTCTAATGGTGAGCAAGCCCTACGTTCCAGGATATCGAGGCCAGGCGAGTTACGATCATCTAGAGAGCCATCGAATTCATTGGTGAATTCGACACTCTGCGGCTCGTCGACGAAAACCTTCAGCTCTCCCTCTGAACCCGCTTCCAGGTAGTCTAAGGGAGGCGTAGCCGTTGTGCTACCCCCGCTGCCACTCGTCGTATCGCTCACGCTCAAATTGGGATTAGTGCTCGTGCTGCTGACAGAGTCACCTCTATCGCGACCATCTTCAGATGAACGTTTGGCGACCTCTTCCAACGGATCAGGTGGCGGGCGGTTGATACTGAACGGGAACTCTGCACTAGATATAGAGGAGCCGGATGCCGTCGAGCCATCGCGTGGCCTTGTGTGGATCTCAGACTTCAGTGAAGGGTGGTCGTACGTTCGACCGTAATCTTGCTCATCGTCATCTAATTGTGGAGAGAGATTCGGAAAGTCGGCGACGGTAGGGGGTGCAGAGTCAGGAGTAGATTCTTTGGGTTTATCGTGTGAGGACGCTGAACTGCCTGGTCGTACGGGTATATCTCCGACTCTGTCGACAAATCTGACCAGAGAGTTCGTGCTGTTGCTCCCACGCAATGACGGACTTCCTTCCCTGCCGTTACTCGATGAAGAGTCAAAACGGAGGGCTCTAAGACTCGAAGGGAGGCCAGGGCTTTGCCCTGAGGACGGACTGCGGTTGTGTGCTCGCAAGATACTAGGTCTCGTTGCCTTTCCTTGTGTGCTGGGAGGCCGATCCTCTGATCCAGTAACAGCCACGACATCGTCATCAAAGATTGTGCCACTTCGATTGGCTGAGCCTGAACGCTGTCTTGTATGACCAAGCTGCGACGACGCCCTGGTGCGCAATATAGATGCTGGACTTCCCGATACCTCACCTGAACTAGTTTCGAAGGTGAGGCCCAAGCCCGACGGTTCATAACGATTAGTGCTGCTCGCTGAACCGGCACGATCTCTGGACATGGTTTGCTGGTGATGCGCTAGTGCATTGTGTAGATCAACTGCGGACGGAGCAGGAAGCTGGGGACTGAGGGAAGGCGAACCTCGTTGGTGAGTCTGTGTTATTGAAGGACGAGTGAGGGAGGCATCACTTCCCATGCGAAAACGGCGGTCATTGACAGAGAAAGGTGAGCCTGATGTGGATAGATCACCGCCAGAAGGCGACGAAGACGGGGGCACAGACCTTAGGCCACTCGTGGTCGAACCCGAGGTTGCAGCCAGATTTGAGATTGATCCCAGGGAAGCCGGCTGTGATGGTATGCGTTCAAATGACGATGTAGACTCCCCTCCTTGTGTCTTCTTGAATATATTCATCAAAGAATACTTGGTGCCCAGCCTCTTGCCGCTTCTCGGCGAATTAGCTTCTGAGCTCTCTGCCCCCGTGCCGGCGGAACGAGGACGCCGAGGGCTGGGCGGCCCCTTGCTTGGTGTTGGAGATTTGTGGCGTCGCGGAGAACCAGAAGGATGCGACTGATGTATGTATGGCAGTGATGGACGTCGAGAGCCAGGTTCGATGGGACTGGGACTGGGACTGTAGCGGCGTCCACCATCAAATGAATGAGAGTATTCTCCAGGTTGTATGGGAGAAGGGGGCATTGATGAAGAATCAGGCGTATGCTTGTGATATGCATCGGACAGTCCCGAAGAAGAGACTTTGAGCATGCTAAGTGCGGTGTCCATAGAACGCTTCACGTTGATACGTCTGCGAGAGCTTGCGGGAGCGTCAATGTCGGTACCAAAGGAACCCTGTCTATCCCGTCCCGACCGACTGCTCTCGGCGACACTATCAAAAGCAGGGGCCTCGCGCTCCAAAAGATCTTTATCTTTATTTTGTACCCATGTCTTCAGAACCTCGGCACACTCCAACCAGCCATTTTGACGTGCAAGCATTTCTGCGGTGACACCGTGTTTATCGCAGCGGTCAGGGTGAGCGCCTTTGAGCAACAAGGCGGTAACAATGTTGGTATTGCCGTTAGCAGCTGCGAAATGGAGAGGCGTTGAGCCAGAGGTACCGACGATTGGAGCGGAGGCATCTCGATTTTTCTCATTTGAATATCGGCGCGGTAGTCTGATTGGCATAGAGGGGTCACTGAACGGAGACTAAAGCAAGATTACAGATCACATACCTTGGGGCATTAACATCTGCACCATGTTCGATCAAAAGCTTGACGACCTGCTCATTTCCTCCAGCACATGCAGCGTGAAGCGGAAGAACGCCATCGAGAACGGAGTTGATGGGCTGCCCACGAGCTAGAGCGTACTCCACAAGGCCCATGTTGCCCGTTGCCGCGGCCGAATGCAAGTCGAAGCTGGGAACTGGAAGGAGACGACATGGTGAGCAACAAGACAAAGGTGAAACACAGAGGAGGAAGACTTGCATTCTGTAATGACATTGTACTTTGCTTCAAGGCGCATATTGGCATTGGCGCGCAGAGGGACGGGAATCGGGACAGGCATCGTCGAGGACAGCGACGAGGATGGTGGTGGTAGACGGCGCTAAGAGGATATATGCGTTGTAGGTTGAAATGATGGGTGATGACGGTTGTGACAGCTTGAACAAGTCGTGGACGCCGTGCTGGACAGCGAGCAGAGGACGATTGACGACGTCGAGGACGAGATGGAGGAGGGAACGAAGAAAGGAAGGGTGGATTCCGATATCACATCTCCGTGCACGTCGTCGACGATAAGATCTGGGTGAGCCGTAAATGAATGCACTTCCAAGAATGGCCCGAGAAGGTCTCACTCCCAAAATGGCTATCCTTCCTCGCTTACCCATTCCTGGTTATTCCCCCCTCCGTAACATTACATCCATATGTCCTCTTTTTCTATTTCTTCCATCGCCTGGAGACAGACCGGATGCAGTCACACTCAACCCGAATAATTCTTCTTCTCCCGGTCCTTTTTTCTATATAATAAAATAAAATACTTCCATGTCCGTTCCGGCACAGTATCAGTATCACCCGTTTTCAGCTTCTCTCTGGAGTGTTCCCTTGATGCCCTGGGTTCCCTTGATTTCCTATTCCCGTATGCGCCTGGTGGTTTTGAAACCGATACGGTGATACTGGGTCACTCGGCCACGCTTTTCATTCGTATTTCTCACTGCACGGCTTCTCTGTTCCTCCTCTGGCAACAAAACTACGGCCCACCTTGCCATGTGTTTCCAGGCTATGTCGAGCGCAGTAACGCCATGCTGATTACCTCGTGGCACTGTCCTGCACTGCACTACCCGTACCTCGCTCCAGTAACCATCTACTGGCATAACAACTTGTAACGTGCAATGGGTCCATCGACAGTTCCTCCATACTTACCACTCAATAAATATCAATTGTTCCCTCACCCCTACGATCCAACCGGATTCCGAGGTCCCCGTCTATTCACCTCAGCTGGGTTCATCCAAGAGGATCATCATGTTTCCCCCCAAGCCGATCTTTGTCGGCGTTCAAAGTACGGCGAACATCGCAAGCATTTGGCCCTGCCAGTTCCGGATTATCAGCGACAACAACATACCGGCTATCAACGACAACATTTTCAGGTAAATATAATACTTATGGCACCAGTTTTATTTATTGTTCGTCAGTAATCTATGCGTCGAGTAAGAGGGTATCGCTGTCACTCTTGACGTTTATCGACTTGGTGCCTTACATTCCACACGGTATTCACTTCCCGGACAAATCAAACACCGGGTTTCCTCACGTCTTAACCTCACTTGCTTTGCGTCCTCCATTTTATTGTTAACTGTTTCAAATCATAAATGGCGTGCATGGTCTATTGGCCTCGCCCAACGTAGCCCTAACCTTTTCCCCTGCTCCTCCGGCTGCGACCTCTAATGTTTTGTGGCGCAACATTTCCCATCCAAGCAAAACCTCGTGATCGCTCAAGTGTAAATAGTTCATGCTCTTGGCCGCTTAACCTTATTATTTGAAAATGCAACACTCTCTGTCAGACGGTCTCCCTGTGCTTTTCAGATAGCTCATGAGCGTTAGTCTTGGCCTGACGTCAGGTCAAATAGAGCTCTCGAGCGGCCGCGAAAAGTTAAGGGCTGTACTTTAATGTAATGCCGCTCAAACATGCCACAATTCCGCTCTGTGTTAATGTGTTCCTGGATTCAGCAGATCAGTAACACGGTAAGTACCCCACTGGTACTGAGCCTCTGGTGATCAAGCAAGGCACTCCCTCCATGTGACAACATTGGCGTCGGGAAATAGTATGCAGGGTGGCGCCTACAGCCGACCGGTACATAGGGCGCCGGGCTCGTTTCTCGAGGATCAGATGCTCAAAGGCTATAGAGATGAGAGCCGAGATGGGTGATTGGTTGTTCTAATAATTTGCCTTCAAATACAACAATTATGATGTCTATAGTATACAAACCCTAGAAAAGACTAATAAGCACTTTAATATATTGATAGGGACCCAACGACATACTTTGAACATTCCACAATTAGACGTCCAACAGCCGTTTCCCTTCTTGCCATACGGCAAAGCTTACCGCTGTCATTGGCACGATTTTTAAATAGCCTATACTCAGTCCCACATAGAATCCCCGCCACCCACTAGTCCTCCAGATTGAGGACATCGTCTCTCCCCACCGAAGCCAACGATCCGGCCGAGTGACCCCGCCTACTTGCATTCGTCTCCGTATGACTTCCAGTGGATAGGAAACCGTTTGTGCCACCGCTCCCGAGACGGCGCCTACAGCTAGGTCAGCAACTGGTGTAGCCTTCTTCGACGAGGTTTGTGGAACGAATGCGGCGCGCAAGTATCCCCAGCAGAGGAAGGTCATGCCTGCATAGGGTATCATGCCGACGATAGTTGCGGTAAAGCCGCGATAAAACTTGAGTATGGGGAAACGAGTAAAGAGAGTTCTTGTGGGGCTGATGACGGCCGTGGTTTTTGGTATTGACGCGGTTTCATAATACATGTGATGCACTGCTTGGATGAAGGAGGGGCGAATCCGTTGTATAGGTTGTGAGGGTGGGTCTGTTTGGAAAGCCATGCGAACACGGGTAACCTCTAAAGGGTATGTAAAGAAAACGGATATTAACCCTTTCCAAGATGCGTTAATAAACAAGGTTCAAAAAAGCAAACTGGATGCAAAAAAACCTGATATGGCCCCGGCTGAAAATCTACGAAAGTTGGTCTCGTCTCGTCTCGTCGGCATTAAGAGCTACGCATGGATAGTTTGTTTCAGGCATATCGGCGAAGAATGATGGACCAACTCACGTTGTGTATCTGCTCGTACGCCATGAATTTGATGGCAGCATAAGGAAAAACGCGCAATAGGGTGGCCGAATGGCCTTGAAATAGACCTCGTACACCGGAATCATGGAATATCCTAGTGCCTGCACGATACGCCCCACTCCAGGAACCTAGAAACAAGATATTAAAATAGGCGGGAAACAGCTATCCCGCCTACTCACCTGCATACTGCTGGAAGTCAGGATTGGACGCTTGGAAAAGGATCTTCACTCTGTCAAGAGGCGCCACCACGGTCTTTGCCTGTCACGAATAGAGATAAGAACGAAAGATCAGAACCCGCAATGAGCACATACGACGCAACCCGCAATCCCACCGGCAAGACCAGACCGGAGGACATAGTCAATGTTCTTTGAATCTCGCTGACCGGAGACATTTGAACTCATTTGCACAGGGCGCAAGGTGCATATGTATGAGCAGGACAAGACTGGGGAATGCACGACTAGGCGACCAAGGCGCTCCCTAACGCTGGGCAATTTTGCCAATGGACGGAAAGGGTTGGGGTATAGTAGATCCGGTAGTTGCCGACCGATTGCGAAGCCACGGAATTTCGTCCACGCGACCTGGGGGTGGCGTCGTGGCTGACCACTCCAATGGTTTATTGGAATCGCGAGGCTCAGAACAGCGAAATGAGCAAGAGAAAGGGAGTATATGTCCGTTGCAAACGAGATGGTGTATACTATGTGAGTACGGTCCTTTTATACGACAATTCTAGCTAAGAGCCGCGGGTATAAGCAACGAATACATACAACTACTAATGAGAGAACAACGAGACGTTAACAAGCGGCGACTGCAAAGACGAGCGTCTCGACAGCTAATACACGCCCAGTGTAACTCAATACATGTCGAACAGTATGTAAACTGAGTTCGAAATGATCAGCGCCGTCGCTTTGTGACAATGTGAGCTCGAATATCAAACATGGTTGACTTCGGGTTATCCTTCAAGCGCATTTCAGCCTTAACAGTGCCATAGAAAATGTTGTTTGAATAACAGTACGGTATTGTGCTCGTTTTGATCATCTTAGGGATTACCTATACTGATTCTCTTTGCCTTTCCGAGTCGAATGCTTGATTCATCAAGCTTTAATAGATCAGTGAGTTCAGTTTGACTTTCTAGAGACTTCGAGCAAGGAACGGATGTATATGATATTGCTCAAATGTTCACAGACGATTATATATGTAGCTTAAAACATCCGGTGACGAGAAAAAAATCAGCAAACATATTCCTTCAAGTAACTAGCTTCCGAATAATAGATATAATCTTCCCAAAAGACGAGGAGATAGATAACTGGAGCATCATTCCGAACTGAATATAGGTATGTGAAGTCACTCGAGTCTTGATAAGGCGTGTATAATTACATTTGTGATGTTGAAATGAATACCGACAATGTATATGCTCCCATAAACTAGTTGCGGGGCAAAGAAGTGTTGAGACAAGCGGTAATTCTTCAGCCGCTCACCCGGATACAGCAGAGAACCCTCGCAAACAGGCGAGGGTTGTCGTCGTTCATCTACCTATTTATCTACTCGCCATGTACACTAATAGAAGTAACAGGATGTAATAAACAAGTCCTTGACTGACTGACCCTGACAACCGATGATCCCGACGTCAGCCACGCTGTGATGCGCGACAATTGAAACTCCAACAAGAAGGTGCTCAACGGGCACAAACCGTTAAGAAGCTGCAAGGTACTACCAGTCCGATTTGTCTTGTCCAGGAACCTGAAGAAGCCTCTACATTAGATACTGCTACGGAGAGAACGAAGAAGAAGGATCGCACTAATGGATATTTAAAAAGAATGTGCTGGAAACGGTTCAAAGAACAATAATAGATGGAGACCCAAAGGTGATGTACGTTTCCACAACGAACAGCGTACCGTATAGTACGCCATGAAAACTACAGCAACAGTTCAGAGCCTTTCCAAAATGGCCAGTAGAGGAACGCAAAAATTCAAAAGATAAGATGTGAACGCTAAGACATGCGAATCCTTGGGAGGTCCCACAAATATACTGATGAATAGGCCAGGTGACACGGTGAAGATGGCCTCTAAGGCGTCCCATAAGGAATATCTGTGAGTTCGAGGGAACGATACGTAGTCACATGTCCCGAAGGAGTGAGAATACTGACCCACTGGAGATAGCGGGAAAAGTACCTTTCCTTTCCTCGGCCGCGTCTTTTCTTAGATAACCAGATATATAAACGCAAAAGCCAAGAAGGACCATAAAACGTAGAGATATGTTCCGGTGGTTTGTCAGACCAATCGAGAGCGCGACGGGAGACATATAAGGTTCAATCGATACCGCTGGCATATTAGCGGGCGCTGGGAAACAATGGGTATACCGGAAGAACTTAGAACCCTGCACCTAAAAGTTCTGATCACGATCACGACATGCACTTTACAGCCCGCTCGGCCCCTCCGGTCTAGGTCTAATAATCGAAATTGCCGAGAGGTTCCCCTTCCAGTGCACAGCTAAGTGCATTCATTACAGCGACAACCAGATGTTAGGGGGACGCGTCCACACAAGACATCAAGCTCAAGGACGAGGTGTTAATGTGCAACAAGTAAGCGGCCACGCCGGCGTCGTTCTTTAAACGTTTTCTTCAGTCTGAACCGGCTGAATCGGACATTCCTGATGACGATTGCGATCACTTCTCAGACTGCGTAAGGGGTACGTACTAGTTCAAGTAGGACTGCACTGTATTCGCACAACAGTAAAATACATGGTACACCAGATCAAGAGATGTGACATAGCGTGAGGACTTCATAAACATAATCTGCCATGATTCGATGCGTTTCCTTGGATGGGTGCCTAAGAAATACCGTCAATGCCACAGCATCTAAACATGTTCACAAACCATACCCGGGAATCCAATAGAAATGATGATCAGGATCATCGCACCATCCGTTCTTATCGCAGTTCTCGTAGCACTCTGTACACTGGTCCGTACTTGCGTATCCGAACGCCTCATATCCTGGGGTTGCTCCGAGAACACCGTCCCATATGCGACCGAAATCAACGTAGGCTATATCTAGATGCTTGTAGCCGACATGAAAATCATATAAGCCGTCGTAAATGATTTGTTTGAAGCGTTCGCCCCGAACAGCATGTTCTCCTTGCCCATAGACATCCGATATCATGAATAAACGTCCGTTGATAGGCGGGCTTGAAAGCCTGTTTATTTGTTCCAACAATGCTTCGGCCGCGTCATCCAAGTGGTCACCAGTCGACTAAGAATCCAATTAAGTACAAGGGGTTTTCACCAACCCTGGGGCTTACCCTTTGAGTCGCCAAAGTCACTATCAATGATAGTCAGATAAAGAATACCAATGAGCTGGAAGCGCGAGTAAAGCTACACACTTGATGCCAAAAAAGAGGCTATAAAGTGTGCTTTCTGGGTCCAAGTCATGATCTTGATTGAGAAATGTTGACACTGGCAAACCAGTTCAACAAATGACGCATTTGAACAAGTTAACATTTTTACTCTGTCCTATGAAATCAACTTTGCGGGGGTTACTGGGCCAAATGGATAAGTCGATACACGCCCCCCATTGCTTAGACGTAAATCAGAAACGATTTGAATTTTTTAAAGATAAAAAAAACCCGCATTCTTACCGCGTAGCTCAAAAGAACTGCTCCACTGTTGTCAGCGAGTCCTTCAATCCACACTGGTCCGTTTGCCGATCGTCCGCCAGCTAGAACACTTGGCGGGATGAGAACAGCAGGTTCAAGAGGAAGAACCGTCGTCGTTTCCGCCATCAGTGTAGGAATCCTAGTTCGGTCATCAGAATACCAGGTTTAGGGGTGCAATATAGAGATTACACGAACGCCGAATGAAATAATCGTCTTAATTGCACCGATATTAATGCCGGTGTTGACGTCGGATACAACCCCAGGAAGAAGGCCGCAACGCGGTGATACAGCGAGACGAACATCATTTCCGGGTTCATTCATCAGAATGGGGCCATCCGAGAAAGTCGATGCGATACCAAGGAGAGCAACGAGATAGTAATAGAGCTTTCCAATCAGGCCAGACAGTTGAGATATCCAGATGCATGGGGCCGAAGGACACCGTTGATGAATCCCGTGCTCGTATATGGCAGTTAATATCGCTTCAGTGCCCATCTTTGTATCTGGTAACGAAACACTTAGAAGGGTCCCCGGAGTTGGTCGTTTCGACGTTAACCGATTTTGATCAGATTAAAATAATAGCCGGTCAGTAAGAGCCCTCAAGGCACCTATTAATAGAGATTTCAACGTTGTGATGGAAGTAGGAAGAAGAGATTAACCCTACCTACACTTGTCTTATGGATTTCCACGTCAAATTCACGGGAGTTTGAGAGTACATGTGTTGAAGAAAACCGGCTAAGGCAGACACAATCAATCTGAAAACACAGCCACCGGCTAATTTTTGAAAAACCGTCGTCATTGTAAGGAATGTAAACTAGTACTTCTTCAATTCGTAGATATGGATCCTTAGGCTACCTGACATTCCGTCAGAACATCATGGACATAGTCCGCCATAATCCGCATGGTCTCGTTAGATGGATGCCTGGAAAATTCCCCTTAGTCGCATGAAAAAGGTGATGAAAACATCACTTACCCTGAAATCCAGTAGAAATAGTGCGCCGGATCCAAGCACCACCCATTGGCGTCACAGTTCTCGGAGCAGTCGACACAATCGTTAGTACTCGTGTATCCAAATGCCTCATATCCTGGAGTCGTTCCAAGAACGCCATCCCAGATCCGAGAGAAATCCACATACGCCACATTTAACTTATCAGAACCGATGTGAAAATCGCTTAGACCGTTATAGATGGTTTGCTTGAAGGCTTCCCCAGATGGCGTGTGCGTGCCTCGGCCGTAAACATCTAGAACCATGAACGAGCGGCCATTGGTAGGAGCACTGGACAAAATCTTAATCTGGTCGAGGAGCACTTGTGCAGCCTCTTGCATGTGATCACCATCAACTGCATAGCGAGTCATTATCAGCACCGGAGAAAAATGAAAGAACACGCGCTTAAGGAGGCAATATAGTCACTATGAGCTAGGGTCAGTTGGTGATGCACGGCGAAACTGAGGAAAGACCAACTTGATGCCAAAAAAGATACTGTACAGAGTGGTGTCTGGATCCAACACATTCGACTGATTGAGGAATATTGACACTACAGGAGGATTAACAGTCGCGCACAAAATAAGAAAAAAGACCCGAACTCTGCCCAAGGAAGTCGACCTTGCGAGGATTACTCGGCCAGAGCGCAAGGTCGATGCACGCCCCGGATTGCTTGATTTGAAGGTGTCAGGCAGGTTGCCACGAGACGTTCGTCGAGGTTCTTACAGCATAATCCATCAGTTTCGCCCCGGTAGCATTCGCGACCCATTCGATCCACACAGGACCGTCTGTGGATCTCCCCCCTGCGAGCACGCTTGGTGGAATGATCACAGCTGGGGCAAGAGGCAGAGCCGTCGTTGACGCCGCCGTCCGTGTAGGAGTCCTAAGGCAGAGTCATTATCCAATCCTCATCAAATGAATACTTTCACCGAACCCCAAATGAAACAACGGTCTTGAAGTGATAAGGATTCACTCCAGCGTTAATATCAGAGACGTTGCCATTGAGGGTGCCACAACGAGGCCCAACAGCGAGATGAATGCCATCGTTACGGTCTCGCTTCAGAGAAAGACACTGAGAAAGCCCGAGGATGGTAACAAGATAGCACAAAGACCTCTTCATAATGCTGAAGAGCTGGGGTACCAGGACACAGAAGAGAGAAGAGCACCAGTGGTCCTGAACCCCATCTTGAATGGCTTCTGGATTTATAGGAAAATACATCGTGTACGGTCAGGAATCAAGAAGAAACGGTTACGGGCTTCCTGTGCCAGCATGAACCACGGTCCGCCACCAGAGCTGATCACTTTGGACTTCTACTGGCGGTGGCAGCCTTGAAGTCGTGATCATGATCGGAAGCTACAGCCGACACGCCGCGGAGCTGGATTTTCGATCTCCGATCACTGGCATTTAAAGGGGCTTCTTTATGAATGCTCTCAAGCAAGTATCAAAGAGATACCTTTTCAAGCTTGAAGCGCCTCGCAAGCCTAGCATTGCAGTCATGGAAAATCATATGGGTGCTGTAGTTCTCGAATCGGATACCGAGGTCGTCTATGTGGAATATGACAATCCCTTTCAGCTTCCACCACCGCCCTCCGATGAATGGACTCGCTTTGTTTGCATAAGTGATACCCATTCACATACCTTTGACGTTCCGTGGGGAGACGTTCTCATCCATAGTGGTGACCTCACCAATACAGGCACCCTGAGGGAATTCGAGAAGACCATGGAGTGGCTCAGGTCTTTGCCTCACAAAACAAAGGTGTAAGTGCCGTTCGATTGTTCTTATTGTCCCCTATCACTCAAACCATGGAAGTATTATCGCAGGAAACCATGATCTTAGTCTTGACCGGCATGATGACTGGTATGATAAGAATTATAAGGGTTGGCACACAAAGCCGGAAGTAGGTTACTATCACCCTCGTGCCAATTCCCCAATCTCATTCCTTCAGAACCTCGAACCCATCTCAGAGCTTCTCAAAGGTCCTAAAGCAAAGAATGCAGGGATTGTCTATCTACAAGATGAGTCGCATACTTTCCAAGTAAAAGAAGGCGGAAGAACCTGGAGCGTCTATGGATCTCCTGTCAGCTGTTTACTTTCTTTCAACGTGATTTCGTATCTCAGATATCATTCCAGTGGTCTCCAGAGTTTTGCGATTGGGCCTTCAACTATGATCGACGAGATGGAAAACGTGAACTCCGCTTCACCTTCGCGTCTAGCAACTGACGTACTTTTTCTAGGCTTGATATCGCAGTTTCCTAAGACTGACATCCTGCATGAGTTTTATTTCTTTTTTATGATTTGTTGTATTTACTATGTTTACAGACTCACGCATGGACCTCCTTTGGGGATCTTCGATCTCACGAACAGCTGCATTCGTGCAGGCTGCCGGGACCTCACTAATCGATTGCCTTACCTTCGACCTAGGATTCACCTCTTTGGCCATATACACGAAGGGCATGGTGCATACGTGCATGAGTGGCTTGCAGGATCTATCGAGACACCCGAGGTTCAACCTGAGAACGACTTGGATGGAGACTACATTGACGATGCTGACGATTACATGGATGACGGTGTGGATCTTCCGGAACCATGCAGTCTTTCGCAAGGTGGGGATCGTACGGTATTTGTCAATGCTGCAAACTGGCCCATGGGGAGGCGTGCCTGGGGACCAAAGGGAAGAACTCCTTTTGGAGGACCTGGGTTTAGACCGATAGTGGTGGATTTGAAAGACTAGAGGACACATGTACCTGATATTGTATCCTATGCATTAGCACCAATTTAGGATGGAAATACCAAGCGGGGAAATTTAATCTTTACCTGACACTAAACACTGTGGACAGCCCCTATCGCCTTCGGACCGGTCACTCCGTGGACCGAATAAGCCGATGGGAGACGCTTTGGCTTTTCCTCACCATGTATTCATGTCTACGTACTTTCTCTCCTGTCTGCCTAGACATCGGTCTCGAGCCATAGATCTTCCTCGGTGTATTTCAACTGCAACGGGCCGGAAGAGAACAATTGGACACGGTCAAAACCTGTCTGCTCGGTATGCACGCTTAGAAAAATCGCTTCGTGAGAAACAAGCGTTACAAGGAGATCTAGACGAACTATCAAGTTCATCACTTACCGTACCAGAGGAAGCTAGGAAGAAGAAGAGGCAGCAGAACACGTTCAAAGGCTTAGTTATACCAGAGCTACCGAGAGCTCCCGAATCAGATGGTGCGTGCGTCCTACAGGCCTTGTGTCGTGTCTAATCTACATTCATTCAGAGTGCTGTATGTCAGGTTGTGCTGTCTGTGTGTACGACCTTTACGAGGAATCCATGAAGGCGTACAAGGAGAATGTAGCTACATTACGAAACGCACTCGTCAGTATGGGAGTTCCCGAGAACGAGTGGCCTGCGAGCGTCAAGTCCCCTACCGAGAAGGTAGAGAGGAAGAGCAACGTGGTGTTGAGTGTGTTTGAAGAGATGGAAAGAGCGTTAAAGGAAAAGCAGAAATCCTCAGCTCCTTCTCGTCAGTTCGTGTCTTTCTTTCTTCCATTGGCTCGTCTGTTGACGTATCCCATAGGACCTCCTAGTATGACTGCGCGTGCATCTCCATTTGCATCCCGTTCAGCGAAGAATACCATGACTTCTGATGTTGTTGAAGGTATCAGATGGGTACTGTTCAGCAACAGGTAGAGAAACCTTGGTCAGGTCTAGGATGGGGTGCTTGCGTTCAGACTTGAGGTGAGTAGAACGTACGAAGAGGGTGACGGGGGTTGTAAACATTGTGGAGAAATACTAGAACGGCTGTCGATGGTTGTAACTTGTGGCCATCTTTCGCGAGGCAGCCAATCTTCAACAAAGAACATGCGTCAGGTTTATGCGATACATTGTCAAGGTACTTATATTCATGGCACCATATCAGACTGTAGAGATATTACAATATAGAGATATGGAGAACTTACTCCACAACCTGTCTTTGACTGGAAAGTTAGTTTGTCACACATGTGACACCTCCTACGTCCTTCACGTCCTTCACGTCCTTCAGTCATGTCGTCGTCGAGCACGGCGCTGAAGACATTCTCTCTAACGAATAGCATTCTTGAGATATCGCCCCAGGATGCCATATACAAGTTTGATGCAGACGAAGCCAAGCGCATTGACCAGGAGTCGCCCTGGTCGAAAGAGTACGCTTACCTTCCCTGTGATATCGATGTTTCATTAAGCGGCATACAGCCCTCATTTCTTCAAATCATGCAAGATTTCGGCTGTAGCATTAATAAAAATGGCATGCTTTCCGCTTTCTGATCCATCTATCGCTGCTGAGAGACCTTGCAGGTCATACATGCGCGCTCTGGTGTGCCACACGAAATTATGGGGCTGATGCAAGGCAAAGTTGTCGGAAACTCTATTGTCATTATGGATTCCTTTGCGCTGCCAGTGCAAGGCACAGAAACGCGTGTCAATGCCGCTAACGAAGCTAATGAGTACATGGTGGAGTATATGGAGGGCAGCAACAAGGTGGGTACCGACTCAGATCAGTGATTACCCTCCCCTTACACTGAAACAGGCTCAGAGACCCGAACATGCCATTGGGTGGTATCATTCCCATCCAGGTTATGGATGTTGGCTCTCGGGTATCGACGTCAATACCCAGATGAACAACCAAAAGTACCAAGATCCTTTCGTTGCTGTCGTCGTAAGTCTGGTGATCATATCGCCGATGTTTATCTTATAATATTATATGGTAGATTGACCCGAACCGAACAATATCTGCTGGCAAAGTGGACATCGGTGCGTTCCGCACGTATCCCGAAAACTACAAACCCCCAAGCACCGGCTCCTCTGAATATCAATCGATCCCTCTGAGCAAGATCGAAGATTTCGGCGTACATGCAAACCAATACTACCAGATAGACGTGGAAATATTCAAGTCGACATTAGATAATGAGTTGCTGGGATTGTTGTGGAACAAATACTGGGTGAATACGTTGAGCCAGAGCCCTTTGATCTCGGTATGAGCTTCGCCATGTTCTAAATGATAGTTCTGGACCTCTGTTCAACAGAATCGGGCATATGCTGTCTCACAATTGTCGGACCTGCACCAGAAGTTGTCTAAAGTGCAAACATCTGTCACCAATACACGCGCGCCCATCCCCATCCTGCAAGATAAGGAGGGAAGTGCAAGCAAGGTGAGTTATCTTCTTGCCTGGCTACCAAACTTGATTGACACTATCGCAGAAAGAGAAAGAAGAGAAGAAGAAAGAAGATAACCAGCTCGCCAAGAGTGTCAAAGACAGGTACGAACGTTTCATGTTGAAAGGTCAGTAAGCTGATTTATCGGCTACAGCACGAAGATTGCTGTCGAGGCTCAGCATGGATTGATTGCACAAGTGATTAAAGACGTTATATTTTCCATGAGACCAAAGGGTGGAGATGCTTCAACAGCTCAGCTATCTGATGTCACAGATACAGCAATGTCAATCGGTTGATACTTTTTCGATGACACTATTCTCGTGCTCGCATTGTATTTTTAGTTTTTTGCACTCGAAAGATCTAAACGGACGCTGTTCCAGAAAAAGGCGTGAATTTGAGAATCTTATGCATAGCTATTTCGTTACTGTGAACTATAAATCTTCAAGGATTCGCTTCCTAGCAACATTCCTTGCCCCCTTCACTTTGAGAGCCTCCAGCACCCATATCACGACCAGAGATGAAATATCCTACGAATGTAGAGACCTATAAGAATGTCAGTTCCCTGTCATGATGGTGATCTGCAAAGTTGCTCACAAATATAACGAAGATAATACCACCGTTGTAGTACATAGCCAATAACATGAGCAGATATCCAGCGCCAAATTGAACCGTGTGGAAGATACTGCGAATCAGTTGTTGGGTGTGAGTTGGTCTATTTTAAAGATGAGCGACGGACAAAGTGAAAGACAGTAATGTACGCACTGGAATTCTCCATTACTATTGCCAAAGCGCGTGATACCACCGAGTCCCTTCAATCCTTTAACACTGTCGTGTGTGTTCGTTTCAACATCAGCTCGAGAGCTATTCCATTCCATCATGATCCTACGATCGTACTCCCTGGAGAGACGGCGGAAGGCTTCAAGGACAACGACCCAAGTGAAGATGGCGATAAGACTGCCAACGTAGGCACCTGCGGTCGTGTTTTTTTGAATGGTTTCAAATTAACGGTCAAATGGGCCCTTACCAACAGTCCTGATGTGCCACTGTTTCGAAAGGAAACAAGCATCCACGGTATACCAGTTCCACAGCATAGAAATTTTGCATGATGCCCCGGAAGACGATGAAGAGCTTGAACCCATATCCATATTGGCGAAGAGTGGCTGAGAGCAGGTACGAGTACGCACGATGTGGCACAAGAAAAGTGAAAGATCAAAACACCCTATTTATTGCTTTGGAGTTTACATTCTACAGAAGCGCCCGGTTGATTCTGGGTACAAAACCCGCGATTGCATCGGAGTCAGGCGCACATTTGTCGGCTGAATTGGCAAGACTTTAGATGCCAAGCTGTCTGATTTATATCCTAATATTTTGCCCAGCAGTCGAATCAGTCTGGAAACAGTCGTAATTAGGCGATATATAGACATCTAGACCGCAGCGGCGATGATGAGCGGCTAAAAGAATAGCCGATGTGTCAATAAGAATGATGGAGAGGGCGACATCCACGATGAGAGGGGCCAATAGTCCAAGCCAGAGAGGTCTAGCAACGAAGATTTACTCCGAATGGCTACGGAAAGCCGATGAGACGGTGTTCCGCGTTGATGGAAAGGGGTGCGACGATGTGGACCATATGGAAGGGCGGCCGTAGCCCTTTGCACGACATGAGGATAAGGAATAGGTCAAGCTGGCCAGGGATGAGCGAGCTAGCACGATATCGACGCATAGGAGGGACGCACCTGGGGCCATGATATGCTCATACACGATGAGGCTTCGATATTCCTCTTGCGTCGGTAAGAAGGAGCGTACGAAGTGATACAATCCAGCAAGGGCCATAGATCTAGAAGCTCTTGCGCGGTGGAAACCCGCAGTAAGTACTACAGAGATGGTCCAAGATGAGCATCGTAGCCATGTGAGAAACAAAGAAAAATGAAGGGAAGGGAAGGAAGATGACGGGAGGGAGGATGAAAGAGGAGGGAACGGGGGAAAGGTACAAGCATAAATGCCTCTATCCACCTTTATATAGCCTAGCAGCTTGCACGGCAAAAGCCGGCGGCCGAGGCGTTTCCGCCTCGCTTGTTTTTGCGATTTGCTGTTCAAAGAATTGCATCATCCGGCAAATCGACACAGCTCTGATCCTTTTCTGGACAACATCCTGGCAAAATAAAAATGGTCCCAAAAACATGTGATCCGTCGCGTCTGAGGATTACTCAGACTCTCGTGGAGCCTCGGTCTTTTATTCCTATTCTAATGTCAAAACCGAAATCCGACGTCAAGGTTCTCAAAGGCCAAGAAGGTCCTATCTTTGTGGAATATCTAGACTGGCAGGCTGACTGTACCTTTCTCAGCCGAAGACAAGGTCCTCGAATATGTCAAACGCGTAAAATGTCTCGCTTTGTCACCATTCGTGTCAATGTTAAACCGTGTCTTTCGAAGATGAATCGACCTTATGGTGCTGTGGATGTTGCCGCAAACCTCAAAGGGGCCGTTCCGAAGGCCGCTACGCAGAAGATTCTAGTGAGTTTGGCGGAGAAGGGTGAGCTAGTGCAGAAGACATATGGTACGAGCGGTTCCATCCTTCTTATCCCAGAACACTGTATTAGACCCTCTTACAGGAAAAACCACGTTCTTCGTAGCAAATCAGGCCAAACTCGATACGGTGCCAGCAGAGAAAATCGCCCTTTTTGAGGAAGAATACAAACGTATCGATGACGAAAATAAGTTGCTGTTATCTGAAATTAAATCCGCTAATAACGGTAAGCCTGATTCGCGCATATATGCCGGTTCCGGTCTTCATTTCTGCTGTCAACAGAGCTATCAAAGATCAAGAACACGCCCTCTGACGCAGAACTACACACTCAGATTGTTGAACTCATGCAAGTGGTGAGGTTTTACACTAATCGCCTCTCAGTCTGCACATCTTCGTGGCTGGACTGCGGTACTAACTGTAAATCGCTGATGCGTAGGTAGCGAAGAAGCAAGCTATACTTCAACCTTTACGATCCGGTAGCCCCCTAGTGTCCGCCGAAGACCTCGCTCTAGTAGATGCAGAGTGGATCAAATGGCGAACAGAATGGGTACGCCGACGCAAAATTTTCACCAAGTGAGTTGAGTGCTAGCTCCATAGCCGCGATTCTGATGATTGGGATAGCTTCTGGCAGCTTACGACGGACGCACTTGCCCCCCAGGATGCAACGGAACTCTCGGAAGATCTTGGTATTGAACTAGATGCGCCTGAACACGCTGCGCTGGAACGCAGCACGTTATGTCAAAATACGAATATCAAAAACACACTGAAGAGGAAGCGATAGTGGTTACGTGAAAGTGTGGGTGTGCTGTGCTATTCAAACTTTGCTTCCTCTGCCGAGTCTGGTTCGCTCTGCTTCGACTATACTTATCTGGAACTTGTGCTCGGATCTGTGCTGCGGTTGTACTGTATTAATAAAACATTCTGTTTGAAGACCGCAGAGAACCCAGTAAGGAGGGTGGATGCTGGATAAGTGAGCAGGGACGAGTAAGGACACAGTAAGGTACACGGGCCGTAATGGCGATGTCGTAATCAGTGTGGTGATCACCTTCTGAGAATAACAAGGCCAACACGGTCAAGGTTGTCACCGACAGAGGCTGTGAATCCAGTCTTGACTTGCTTCTTCCTCAAACATTTTGCGTTATCCGCATTCATAAGGCCTCAAGCCAGCCTCCTTGTCCCATTCATCCCTTTCTTTATCTTTTTTCTACCTTGTCTTTTTCTCCTTCTTACTTCCATGACCTCCCAAAATCCTGTACGTATCCACTTCCATTCCCGCTCTTTGCGTCCCAGCCTTTTCTTCTTCTCCTTTTCTCCTCTTCGACCTTGCTGACCCTTCTGCATCCTCTAGATACGCAGGAAACTTGTCATCGTCGGCGACGGCACGTAATCGCAGCAGCTGCGCCCACACCGCCCTAAACGTTTCTCTTCCAGGTGCTTGTGGAAAGACTTCGCTTTTATGTTCTTTTGCTCTGGGGGAGTTTCCGAAAGAATATGTATGTGTCGCTCGACTTTCCTTGTCCAAAGTGCTTACAGGTCTCACTAGCAACCAAGTGGGTCCTCTGACATCATCATTCGTTGTGCTCTGCTCATTGATATTCCCCAGCCGTATTCGACAACTATGTTGCTGAGATTAGGCTTGACGAGAAACCCGTTCAGCTGGCACTCTGGGATACTGCGTGCGTGTCTTTCTTTTTCTCAAGCACAAACACCTGACCTGTGCAACAGTGGACAAGAAGAATACGAAGTGCGATGCTTCGCTCTTACTCGCTCACCCGCATGCTCACAATTACCTAGCGTTTACGGCCAATGTCATATTCCAAGTCACACGTTATCCTGATTGCTTTCGCCCTGGATACTCCGGACTCACTCGAGAACGTGGAAACCAAGGTTAGTTAAGGCCGAAGACCTTGGTCCGTGTTAACTGACAACGATCCTGCTACCAGTGGATAGAGGAAGTGCGGTCTATATGTGGTCCGACCATTCCTGTCATATTGGTGGGATGCAAAGCCGACCTCCGCCCATCCCCGGACCAGCCAAGTCCACCAGGTAACTCTCGCACCTGGGTCACCAGAGAGCAGGGCGAGCGAGTCGCACATGCCATCGGTGCTCGTGCGTACAAGGAATGCTCAGCTCTCAAGATTGAGGGTGTCGACGATGTATTCGAGACCGCCACTCGAGCCAGTATGCTAATGAGGGACGGCGTGCCAACTAATGGTCACGCCGGGACTACGGAAGGTCGGCATCATAGGCGAAGGAGCAGCGGCAAGGGTGTGGACAAGGAGACGTCCAAGAGCTGGACCTGCTGCGTGGTGTGTTAAATTGTTATGACCGCAGTCCACAATCGTGGGTGTTCTACGTCTATGTCATATGTCTCCTTATAATGTCGGGATTCCACATAACTGTAGCGGACTTTAGGATGTGGTCGACCCCCAGACGAGATTGGATGTTTCTTCTTGCTTTACTTACTTTTTACCCTCATATATAGTACCTTTTTTCACCTTTTTAGATCACTATTGTTGCGCATCATGACCACATCACTAACTTTTTGCATCGTTTCTGTTCTGACTTACCATCTCGCTTTCACTAAGAAAGGACACTCTTCAACCCCGTTGTAAGAATACGTAAGAACAAATATTATTAGTTAGCAAACTCTCGTACTCGTTTAGAAGCATCATTTACCTCTTAGAACTCAACTACAGAACTACAGGAAGTACAGGCCACTGATCGTCACTAGGACCGCGGTATTTAATAAACGATTAACGCAAGACATTAATGAAACCCTAGATCTCGTTTCGGCATTAACCAGTCATTCGAGTGGGAGTACGATCTGTGCAGGGCCAATGAATGGTGTCGGGTCAAATTCAAACAACTTGAAGTCCCTCTGCCAACCATCTGTTCGAGTCTGGCTTCTCTGCAAGCCGGACGGCCTTCCTTTCCTCGTATATTCCATCACGGAGAGGCGATACCTCGGCGATTTCAAGTTCCATCGATATCATGAAAGATGGGCTCGATATCATTTGCTCTTTACTCGGGACAACAGAAGGACACGACTGACGGGATTTGCTCAGTCCCGATGCAGCAAGGTTCTATGAAAGATTCACCGCATTTTGCCTTGTTCGCAATGTTCCACCCAAGATGATGGTTTCCAAGTATGACAAACCGGAGGCGATGTTTTATTGGTTCTGTAATTACTATTGCGGACCATGCTAATGATACCTTCTAGAGTTGATCATCAGATCGAAGCGTGTATGGGCTCCTTGCGCTTGTTGGCGGTGCATTGTGAATGATCCTGCTGATGGAGATACTTAGTCGTGTCGTGTGTTACTAGCAGCATTCTGTCCCACGTTGCTCGCCCACTGGCCTAGGTTATCGCTATGTCCGATCTTGCAGAGCTTCCTTACGCAGTTCCCCACAAAACTCTGGGCGTTCTCTTAGTCGCACTCGCGGTTTCAAGCTCGTGAGGAGGTTTTCTTACGCCAGGCCCAAGCACTTTTGACCTTTTTGTAGGATATATGGGGTAACCTGTGCGCAGACGGTTCAATACTGCCGTCGGTATTCAAGATCGGATTCAACGATCCTGAAGGTTGCTGTAAGTTCCCAAGTTTCAAAGTTTGTCCTGACACTTAGTTGTTTAATAAAACGAGGTTGCTGTTGTGTGGTACGCGTTAATGAACGTATTAAACAAAGGTCCTAGCGTTTACCAATGAACTGGCTTTTTAGGGGACTAGAGACTCTGAACCAAGGTCTGACAATGTTCTCAGAGTATTACTATCTAGTGAGGAATCGGGGGAGCCTGGAGGCCCTGTCATATACCGAATGGTGAGTGGTTCTATGTTACTTCCGGTTCCTCATGCATCTTGCATCATAGGTCGCTAGCTGTGAGTCTTCTGCACACTCGTGAGGACGTTCTAAACATATAGTATTTCAGATACTTCCTGGGACCAACGTAAATGAGCCAGAGCCGACATTTAGACATTTATGCTTACCTTGAACCGTTTCAATAGGGATTGGCAGCGTCCATCATCCAATTGTATGTATTCTTGTTTTTCTCTCCGGCAATAGCTGCTTAAGCGCACACTTAAATAGCTTTTTCGCCTACCGAGTGTATATAAGTGCAGCCTCTCTTTTTGTATACACGTTCGCATAAAGCTGACACCTATTGTGTAGTGAGCGATAGGAATTGGTATTTTGCAGGCTCAGTGGTACGGATGTCCTCCTGTCGGGTTATTCTTAGTGCTTACGGTTCACATACAGTGCGCCATGTCGGTGGCCCAATTCGGTACGTCGAATCTATCTGATCCATGTATCGAATACTCAGCTATCTTTGTGTCCAGCTGTGGCATTTGGTGCGTATTTTGCCTTCTTTAATGGTCCGAAGGGTTACAACGGGCCTTCTCTGTTCAGTTGTGATGGTACAAACGTCAGTGGTCTGCAAGTTGTCCTTACATGCTTAACTTACCACCCACGTCTTAGCCTACGATTCCCCGCTGTCGTTGTCTATTATAGATTCGATGTATGTATTTTCCCATAGTATTTTCGTGTATAAAGCTAATTTGACTGACGATTTAAACAGCATCTCGTTCCTCCAGCCTTTGCGATCACGGCTGCCACTGACGTTTTCATCACCGTCAGTCTATGTTACTATCTACAAATTCGTAAATCTGGACTTGGAAGGTAGGTTTGATGAACATTCAAGCACATTCAACGTATTGATAGTTTCATCAACTTTCATGATCATCAGGACGGACAGTGTTGTGAATCGTCTGATACTCCTAACAATAAACAATGGCATTCTTTCAAGGTAGGCCTTTTTAGAGTCTAGTCCAGAGCATCAATGTTTGATACAGATTTGAATACAGTGTAATAGCGTTGACCGCTTTCGTGTGTCAGCTTGCTGCATCGGGCACGATGCTCCCTTTTGCAATGTGTTTCCTTCTTGGAAAAGGTATGGTTCGTTTCCCTGGTTTCAGGAATATAGACATTCATATCGCTCACGTCGACAGCCTACACGAATACTCTCCTGTCCAGGTCTGTGCATGCTTCTTTAGAGATGGGCACTACTAACAATCTCCCCCTAGCTTGAACTCGAGATCAAGCACGAGGGAACGCTTGTCACGACTAATACCTATGGAAACACTGCCGCGCGATCAACAACGTTTTTCCCGTGACAAGGTTTGAGCCCTGTTCTCTACCATCCTGGCAAAGTTAACTCTATGTTTTCCCGCAGACCTCGTTCGAACGCAACACAGATCAAGGATCTATGGAGCCCATTCAGTCCGGGTCCACTTCCCAGTATTTGACGACGAAAAACTGCGGGTCCAATTACTCTATATTTAATGGTCTTTATATAACGAAAGAGGTGGAGACCTTCACTAGATAATGTCGTATCAATGTATCTATTGTTATTTATTTATTGCTATTTCGAAAAATGATGATTGTACATAAAATCAAGTGAATTTCTGCGAGGCCTTTGAAACGCTTTGAAGAAGTAACTTGGGAGGCTTGCTGATTCTCACGCGCATAGCAAACAAAATACGGTCCTAGCAAGAGTTGCTATATTGACCAGACTGGTAAGTAGTGCACGGTCGTTATGTCTTGAGTTCCCAGCTAACACCACACCCGCATCCACTTCCTTTAGCATGCGGGTTTTCTGCCACTCTGAAACTGCTTCCAATAAGTTCAGTCGCAAAGTCGATTGTGGATCCATTGAGAAGGGTCAGCGAGACAGCATCCACTAGTATATTAGAGGGTGAGATTGTGGGATGGGAGAATAGGCTGGAAAGCGAATGTCAGAATAGATGAAAGGAGAAATACAAGGACCACTAACTAATCATCTGGGGACTGGTGTTTTGCCAAATCCATCCTGTATTGATAGCCATGGCAACCACCAGATTCTACAGCTATTCGAAGGGCAGCTTCTGGATTCCCTTCACGTTTAGCGATTGCACGCAATTTCTGGTAGATATTAGAAGGAACTCTCGCCTCAAAGGAAAAGAAACATACCTCCGCTGCCCGGTCCGTTACGACAATCCGTATATCATTGTCTGCGGGGAGCTCGACATCTATCTCTTCTTCTTCGAGATATTCCTTCGATGGTGTAGACAACAGCTTTGTAGGCTGCGAAGGTGGCAGCTCAGCAAAGGCAGCGCGACGGCATTGAGTCGAAGAAAAAGACCGCGTTGGTAGTAGGATGGATGGCCTATATGCTGGTGGTCGAGCGAGACGACGGGACGCGAGCTTGAGGCAGCTAGATGCGGATCGAAACGACATGGATGCTTTCCAAGCAAGGGCGGTGGCTGTGTGGGCTACATCTATTTGCACGTGACTAGTTGGAGCCTTCTCTTTTCGGAAATCCGACTCTCGTTTCGTTCTGTTCCCCATGTCCGCCCAAAAAGTTTCCTTCACTGTTCGCCGACCGACACCTGTATCCAGAGCATCCTCTGGCGCAGAATCCGATTCTTCCTTTAAGATTCCTTCCCTACCACATCATAAACTCTCCCGTCATCTAAATGACTCGTCTCCCGGTAGCCCACTGGCTCGCAGTGCCAATTCCTCTCCAAGACCAGTGTCTGGATACTATGACGGGCAGCCGGATTCCAGTGATGAGGAGGATGAAGAGCAGGATGAGTTGGTGACTGCATTTGATAGATTTGGTGCTCAGCGGTGTGTTTTTTCCTCATCCGTGCCACCGCAGAGATGTAAACTCACATCAGTCGGCCTCTACAGAGTCAATAAACCCAAGAAAGTTCATCAAGGACCGCTTGTCATACCTGCCTTGAAGAACAAAGACTGGCGGGAGCTTGCCCGCAAGCGGCGTAGTGCAAACCAATACGTTCCTTCCTCTGGTCAAGCACGCACGGGCGCTGATGGCAGCGTTGGTGGCATGGGGACCAGAGATAGTATAAATTCGGGCCCCGTTCTATCTGGATTGCAGATGAGGAATAAGGTAGTCAAAGTCGAACAAGGCGCCGTTCAGGAAATGGAAGTTCAGACAGAGGACGTTCAAATGGAGGAGACGGAGGACCAGAAAGCGCTGCGCGCTATCCTTGCCGGGGACACTGAAGGAATAGACGGCCCCCAGATTGACATTATCCCAACTCCCATATCAGAGGACGATGCCTATAAACAGGATATTGATGAGCTCCCGGATCCTGCAACCCTCGCCGACTACAATCGGGTGCCCGTCTCCCAGTTTGGAGCAGCAATGTTGAGAGGTATGGGATGGAAGGAGGGTACGGCAGCCACGAGAAAGGGAGGGAAAGGGATGGTGGAACCCTATTTACCCGAGGCTCGCCCTGCACTTTTAGGCATCGGCGCAAAAGAGCAGGAGGTCTACGATGACGGATCTGGGAAAAGGAATGGCAACAAACGTCCAGACCGCAGATATGTCCCCGTCGTGAAGATGTCCAAGGACGAGAATGGCGAAAAACGCAGAGAGCGCTCTGTGTCACCCAGGCGTGGCTACGATTCGTCAAGGTCATCGAGAAGAAACTCTCCAGACCGGTACGATGACAGATGGAGTAGCAAACCGAGTCGGCGGGATGATGACTATGACCGTGAGAGCAGAAGAAGAGACAAGGAGCGAGACCGCGACTACGACAGACGGGACCGACGACGGGATGATAGAGATAGAGATAGACGGCGTGAGCGTTCTTAGGGCAGGGTTGCAGGCAATGGTATTTGCTCTGTATCATTATCTACGCAGGTGTACTATCCTTTGATACAACTTTGGTATATTTCTGCAAGAAAGAAAAAAAAAAACCGAAAAAGCTTGACCGGTTTTATCGCGCCGCTGACATCCGGAAGACCGGGCCGCATCTCTACCATGAACACTAGTACTCATCCTGAGGCGAATTCGCGTCATCGCTCCGCGTTGATACCCGTGAGATTTTCACGGACCTTCATCTCTCCATTTCACCAATCATGACAGGCAAGTCCTTGCAGGATGCTCGTCGCGACTACGGGACCATTAATCGGTCAAGCGCAGACAATGCAGAGCCTGTAGAAGAGAACAGGCGACGACTTCATCGTGAGCTGTCAGCAAGACAGGTTCAGATGATTGCAATTGCGGGGACAATTGGAACAGGTCTCTTTTTAGGCAAGTAAATAGACTCACTATCCTCTGGTACAATTCGTTGAGCGTTGTACAGGTACCGGACGTTCTCTGGCACAAGGTGGCCCAGCAAGTATTCTGATATGCTACGGTATAATCGGATTCATCGTCTACGTGACTCTCCTTCTACTTGGAGAGATGGCCACTCAGTATCCTATTGCCGGCTCATTCAACACATATGCAACGAGATTCGTTTCTCCGTCTTATGGATTTGCACTCTCTTGGAATTACTGGTTCAATGATGCAGTCTCTGTTGCGTCCGACTTGACTGCTGCACAATTGGTCCTCGAATATTGGACTGACTGGCACCCGTGGGTTATCAGTCTTTTGTTTTGGGTGTTCCTCGTGGCTGTCAATTCGGCTCACGTTCGGGCATATGGAGAGTTGGGTGCGTGTTTTGCGGCATATACACATTTTTTCCCACAAAGCCCTCGTTCTAGAGTATTGGTTGTCATCACTTAAAGTCCTGACCGTTGTTGTATTCATTATCCTGGGCATTTTGGTCAACGTTGGGGTCAACGAAGATCACAGGTACATTGGATCTAGTAATTGGAGAATACCCGGTGCTCCTTTTGTAGGGGGATTTGGAGGGTTTGCAAAGGTATTTGTGACAGCTAGCTTTGCTTGTAAGCAGTACATTCCCGCTGTTCGTTAACGAAAACAATAATCTCAATTTAGATGGTGGAACCGAAAGCTTGGGAATTACCGCCGGAGAGACGAAGAATCCCTCCAAGAACATGCCCAAGGTTGTTAAATTCGTGTTTTGGCGGTAGGTCTTCCCTGTGTTCGAAGGATTGTGTGCTCACAAGCCCGCGAAGGATATTGCTTTTCTATATTTTGAGCGTATTCCTTATTGGTTTAAACGGTCAGCGAGAGAATACTTGTGTCGCATCTCGTTAAGTTGACTGGTCTGTGCAGTTCCTTGGGACTACCCAAATCTGTCCAATAAAACAACGACGACCTCTCCTTTCACGATTGTATTCCAATATGCTGGCTCCAGTATGTTCTACGTCATCTCACATCGCAGTCATTCTGACTCTATGATCAGAGGTGGCTGCATCGTTCATGAACACTGTAATACTTTCTTCCGTTTTGTCGGCGGGGAATCATGCACTGTTTGCCGGAAGCAGAGTTCTTTATGGTGTGGTTTCGATGTTCTCTTCGCTGTAGACATCCTAATGGAGTCGGTTTCTTGAATAGGGCTTTCCGTAACTGTGCCTCCGCAAGCGCCGAAGATATTCTCCTGGACGACCCGTCAAGGAGTGCCTATACCAGCGCTGATGTTGACTAGTAGCATAAGCATTCTTTGTTTTGGCAGCAGTTTCATTGGAAGCGGTCAGCTGTGGGGATGGCTTCAGAACATTGTCGGCGTGTCCAATCAGGTATAGGTTGCTTGCCTTTCGTGGCTGTAGCGCCTGACATTGATATCATCATAGATCGCTTGGCTATCCATAGGTCTAGCCAGCTGGAGATTTAGAAAGGCTTGGATATACCAAGGACGCTCGCTGGACGAACTCAAGTTCCGGCCGGCATGGACTTGGCCGTGGGGTCCACCATTTGTTGTACGTGTACCTCTTACTTTATTTATTGCCGGTGTAATTCATTGCGTCTAACCAGGTTATTACGGTAACCGCGCTCATCCTCAGTCGGTTTTAACCTACATTTGAATTACTCTGACGCTCACGTCATACATAGTTCAGGGCTGGTCGTCGATAATTCCAACCTTCAGCGTGGTGGATTTCTTTTCTCTGTATATTGAGATTCCTGTTATGGTCGTTATGTACTCGGCATGGCTCTCTTTCAGGCGCCGCAACTGCACGAAGACTGCTGCTGAGACGGAAGCATCGACAAAGGCACCTTGGTCTGACATTGTTGATATGAAGACGGTTGATCTTACTACTGATGAGTATGTGGAGCATCAAGTAGAGGACGCAGAGGCCGAGCGCCAAACGATCTTACGGCGGCTGTATTATTGGTTTGCATAATGTTACCCTTCCTAGAGTGTACTATATACCATGTTGTATATGCTACTATACATCCTGCTCTCCTATGTTTAAGCGCGCTTACTGAGTCCAAATTCTCTAGAATTGCTTATGCGTTAACGTTAGGTCTAGTGATGAACGACCGCGCAACAGGCTGTTTATTGATAGAATATGTCCCAAGCAGAATCATGAAACTTCAAGCTTCTCAATTGCGCCGCAAGCATTAGTGTTCGACGAGAAGAGCAAGATAGTGACTCCCCAGAATTAACGGTCAATCTCACGGGCACCTGCGCAGGCATCACATTCGGCTACGAGACCAACGAGAGTCGAACGATGCTTCCATAGTTAGTACACAATCGAAGGAACCCGAAAGGTTTCCACCAAAAATAGTAAGAAGCATAGAAAAGGTAACTAAAGATTTGATTTCGATGAGAGAAACAACCGGGGATTTTGTTAGAGAGTCCTCTTTAGAAAACAGAAGCAGACGCCAGAACGCTTAATATCTCCGGTCATCGTACCTTCCACGGTCACGGTCATAATCCCTGTCTCTGTCTCGACCACCGTATCTCTCTCGGTCGTACCTGTCTCTGTCATAGTCGCGGCGGTAATCGTCGTATCGCCCGCGTCTGTCACGTCTGTCGTAGTCGTAGTCCCTGGCATACCGACTATCATAGGGTCGAGGGTCGTATGGGCGGTCCGCAGCGTAGCCGCCTGATATACCATTAGAATAAATGTATTTTTGTTCACAGGCAGAACACGAACCTCGATCACCGCCACGTTTACCGGGGCCATAGTACTTTCCTGGAGTGGGAGTACGTGCACGACCACGACGGGCCTATATTTCATGTCAGTATCACAATCGGAGCAGCCGAGAAGGGGAGCACCTTTTCGATGATCAACGTTTTTCCCATCAGCTCTGTCCCGTTTAACGCAGTGATGGCTGCTTCTGCCTCTTCAGATGTCTCCATTGTGACAAAACCAAAGCCTCGAGACTCCCGAGTGTGGGGGTCGTACATTACAGAGGCCTTCTTGACCTATGACCCAAGTCAGGACCAGTACATAGTGGTAACGTGGCGTATGCGCACCCTCCCAATTTTTGCAAAGGCCGTCTCAAGTTCTCTCATGTCCACTTTAAGGCTCAACCCCGCAACATGAAGATTGTTGCCCGGATTTTGGCCTCCATCAGAGCGGCTGTGAGCCCAAATGTTAATAGGCGCTGTAAGCCACTCGAATTCAAAACTCACCCACGACCAGGACTTCGGCTGCGACTTCTTCGAGGAGCATCTCCACTCCTTTCAGCTGGGTAATCATCCCCAGAGCCCGTTCCATTGGTCATATTCACATCGGTGGAAGGAATGTTGATTGCGGGTTGTGCTGGAGCGATGTCTTGAGACTGCCAGGCTGAGGGAACAAAAGGGTGACAAAAAGCAGAAAAGTTAGGGTTGGTCGATTATCTCATGGCGGCAAGAGTACTGAAGAGCGAAATGGAAAATGTATGTCGCTTGTTCGCCTTTGTTTCGCCAGCAAGAGACAGAGAGAAAAGTTGCTGTCGCTAGCAGGAATGGCGACAGTAAAGGCGGAATAGAGAGTTGGTCGTCGTTTGTGATGCTGAAGACGTACCGTCATCCATGTCTGAATCGTCTTGGAGGTTGTCGTGAGCGTTGCGGTTGTCGTCGAGGTTACTGAACAAGTGATGCTGTTGCTTTGTTTGGCAGCAGCCTGCGAACTACCACCGCTATTCGTTTGCTTCTCATGCGTTGTTCATGGCTTCCATGCAATTATTATACGACGGTAAGGCTCGCAAATTCTACGTCTGCCCTGTCTCTAATTCTTCTTCTTTCTTTCAGCTTGCCGAAAATGGTTCACAATCGGTAGTCTTGCCGTCTTTCCAATAACTTTCCTTGTCAATGCACCTTTTGGTCGTTTTGCTGAGAATGCTGGAATCAATATCGTCAAATTCGACGGTATGTGATGTTTGTTAATTTTTGTGAACTTATTCCAATATTATCGTAGGGATAAAATCATGGATGGTCATGGAGATCGTATCTCCCATATGCTTCGCATATTCCTACTACAAGTCACCCTTAGGGTCGATGACCGGCTTCACAGTCCAACAGCATGTCCTCGCTGGTCTCTTTCTGATTCATTATCTCAACCGCGCCATTTTATCGCCTCTCCGTACGCCTTCGCGGTCCAAAACTGATATCGTTGTGCCTCTCTCTGGCATCACTTTCAATCTTCTCAACGGCTCTCTGATGGGCGCATACCTCTCCTCCTACTCTGCACGCACCTTCCTTTCGAATGCGTTTTCCGCACCTACCTTCTATGTAGGTGTCTTCTTGTGGACCATAGGTTTCGTTGGAAACATTGTTCATGACGAAATCCTTCTCAACATTCGCCGAAAGGCCAAAAACAAGGGCAAGGCGTCGTCTCATAGTTCAAAGGCTGGCGAACACTACGCCATCCCTTACGGGTTGTTATATGAATATGTTTCCTTTCCGAATTATTTCTGCGAGTGGGTAGAGTGGTTTGGATTTGCGCTGGCCGCCTCTCCGTTTCCAACCGTGACCTTGGCAACATTCTCTTTGCAATCCCTTTCCACGATTTTCTCCTCTGCATCCCAGTTTGCGCCAACATTAACGCCTCCATGGATTTTCTTGATCAACGAATTCGTCTTGATGTTTCCTCGAGCTTACAAAGGACACTTGTGGTATAAACAGAGATTCGGAGAAGCATTTCCTCAGGAGAGAAAAATAGTTATACCATTTTTGCTTTGATTCTCATGAAAGGACTTTGCATTGAGGGTAGACTCCTCCTTGCTTCGATGCCACAGTTATACTCATGTTTCCATTACTACGCAAAACCTTGTCATTCGGTTGTAAATTTATTTGAAGTTATACCCTGTCCGCCAGCACCTGTGGATTCCATCCGCCTTCCAACCCTCGCTAAAGCATAAAACATAGCCAACCCAGTCCGATCATGACTCTTCCCCTCCACCAAGCCTTGCGTTACATGCATTGGTGTCAGCAACCTTCGTTCACCTGGAGCTTGGTGCTGAAAACGAGATGACATCTGAAGACCTCCTAGCACTAACTTCGCGATGAAACGTTCAGTGGCCAAGGCAAGAACGCCATAAGGAGCCAGTGTCTGTATGACTTCCGACGCATCTCGACCAAGAGCGTCGATAGGGAAAATCGACGAACTGCGTCCGTCAGGCAGAAAGGTTGGCAGGTTCAAAACCCGTATGACCTCTTTGATAGAGAGAAGCATATTTGGGTCAGATGCTCTGACGACCTGAGCATCATTCAAATTTTGTTCATCACGCGTACGAGTGAGGAGACCGAGAGAAAGTGACTGCGGGGTGGCCAAGATTCTGTCCAAATCGACGATAGGCATCCTGGTTGCTCGCCATTCACTCGGTGTGATATTACAAGCAAAAGAACCGTCGCGACTGTTACTGCTTATGTGAACGCGAGCACCCAGTCCACAAGCGGTGCACCATCGTTCTGCATGAAGCTTATCAGGAGTCGGGGGTTGTGGTTTGGCTGCTAAGGACGATTCGGTCCTTAGGAAAAGGCCCTCGTTCTCCAGCCAACAGAAGACATCTGCGGTTGATAATCTGTCGAGTTCAAGTTCTCTATGAGTCTCTTTCACCAGCTCAGTATAGGCTTCCCGGATGGCAGAGGCACGGCCCCACTACAGCGGAGGCATAGTGAGAACCATTGATGCTGAACCAGCGGCTCTTGAAACAACTTACCTCAATCGCTTTGCGTCGACCCAAAATCAGTTCATGGAATTCGTCAGGGGAGGCTACGAGCATGTAAGGAACCGTAGGCGTTCGTTTTGCAACCACGTCTACGAAGTTATGAGACAATGAAAAATAAACCAGGGAATTCTTTTTTACCTTCCAGCGTCATGGGGAACTTAGGCAATAGCCTTCGGAGAACTACCGGATAACCAACTTCGGCGGAAGGAGCCGTTTTATGTGGCTTCGCTGCCTCACCGATGTTCTTGGGGAGTGTTGAAGGGCCTATGGTAACCACGCTCGTCAGATTGTCAGGGATAGCGGGATTTCCAGGATCGACGCCGATTTCCCGCTGCCAATGTTCCTTGGCATTAACTGCGACGTAGTTCGTCTTCGCAGGCAAAAATACAGTTTCCTTGTCAAGCTCGATATCAACAACTTGTTGTTCTCCCTCTACCGGCAGTTTGGAGGATCGCTGAGCAAGCTGGCGGATGGAGTCAATACGTGAAGAAGGGGCTGAAAAAGAGACTAACATCGACCCAGTGTTCAAGGATGAACTTCTGGCCATCTAGATTCTGTCCTCGGGCGTGACTGAAGAGCAGTTCGATTTTCGCCAAGAAGGGTCTGGCAGCTGCACCCATGACGAGGAAGGGGGGATGGGCTACACTTAAAGGAGGGAAAGCGTGATAGTCGGATAAGGAAGTCACAGTGATGCGGTTCAATACAGTCGTGATATCGATGCTCTAGAGAACTGTCAGTACCATCTGGATATAATATTACGGAACGCACGTATGAAGGTGCCTCGACAGATAGCATCCATTTATGTGTATATTTGGCTTCCTCTGGTCGCATTCCTGTGTATATTTATCAATGAAGAACGTTGTTAAAATGCTAGGAAGAGAGTACGGACCAAGAAGCAAACTGCGATCCATGACAATCACACGGGCCGCAATATGGAACCTACTAGAGCTTGGCTGCACACCGGGAATTGATGAATGACCCACAACATCGGGTACAACGACTTTCGCTTCATCGACAGCTGCGGGAGCCTGGATAGCTTCTTCCCCAGGAGGTTCTAGTTTCGCTGAACTTCTATGCGTCCAGGGCATGTGCCACCTCGGACGCTTGGTATCAAGACCATCAATATCAACATCTTCATCTTCATTCCAAGTATGTATTTCCCTTCTCTTGACCTCTTTTCCTAAGACAGATGCAAGCGCGAAGCTCTTGGCATGAACACCCAATGTCTGGCGAATATGATTAGCAGCCTCCGGGACTGAAGCAGGTTCGTCAACGTCCATGGCATCTACCACCGGCAACGGCAAAGGTTCCTCCACTGCTCTCTCAAATAACCCTCGCACGCCGAGAAGAGTGAGGGTTACTTCCGTCCCATCACTCAGATCAAGATCGTCCCGCGGAACGGAGCAAGCGCGAACACAGTCTTCATGGTTTCCCCATTCAAGCTGGTGAGTGATTCGAGCATGATTATACAGGCCTTGTATCGACGAGAATTGCGTCCGCTGGCACCCAGGACACGTCAAGATATTGGTTTGATTGTTGGCGCGAGTGTAAAGAAATTTGGCTTTTTGCCGAAAACGCGTTGCTCTGCTCTCTCGTGGGAGTCCACGATCCTTGCGCCCATGAGCTACAACCGAGGGAATAGGAGGAGCAGGCGACACTGGGGGGATCGTTTCATGGTCCAAAAACAATTTTGAAGGTTCTTCAATCGCAGAAAGGGCATCTAGAGCCGCCGCCTCAAACGTTGCAGAATCATTCTCAGAGTTTCCTCCTGATAAATGTTAGGCTTTTCACAGCAGGAAGGAAAAAAATTCTTACCTTTTAAGAGAGATTCTTGCAGAGACGTCGCCCATGCAATTCTCGACTCCACCGTTTGAGCAAGTCGATTCCTGAGGTCAATTTCTAGCTGAATTTCCGGTAACAGGATCTCCCGTAAGTGTTGCTCATCCGCCTCGTTGCTTTCGGGTGCTTGAAATTTCTCTGAAAACATGATTCTGCATCATGCAACGGTCACAAGCTTGAAGGAAAAGTGAACGTTGAAGTAGAGAATTATTTAATGGGTGCGTTGCCGCCAGCGGCATGATGCCGTGGTGCCGACGTACTTGCATCGCGGCATTTCCTTTGGTATCCACTGAGATATGCTTATTGACCACACCGCTCATAGTGGGACGGACATGCGAAAAAGAACGAAAAGGAAGGGGAAGGAACCATATCGTGCCGAATAGCAATGAAAAGGCGACCGTACAAAGCCTAAATCAGACATACACCGAGGTGTCTAATCATTCTCAGGGGTTCTCCTGCTATATTTCAAGATTTTCCCGCAGAATTGGAAGAAAGCTTTTACAAAATAAAAAGATTGCTACATAAATACTGAAACACGAGACGTACAACATCTCTCCTTGTGGCTAACATGATCCAACCCCGATTTCCTGCAGTGGCTAGATTTTACAAGAACGCCTTTTGATACTGCTTCAGCAGGTACCGACTTTCATTATATTAATTCCTTGAGGTGTTCATCATGCGTCATTCATGACACCGGCAGAAGACGCAAAAGAGCCATCAGCAGATGCAGTAGCCGACCCATTGGCTTCACCACTACCACTGGCTCCGCCTTCTCCACCAAATCCGCCTTGGCCACCGAAGGCGCCCGGTCCTCCACCAAAGCCGCTGCCAGACATATCACTTGGGAAAGAACCGTCGGCGCTCATAGAAGCAGTGGGAAAAGAACCTGAACCTTCACCCGTCCCGACGTCGCCACTGGATCCATCAGTGGGGAAGGAGGCGGGGGCACTGTTAGTAGTAGTAACTTGGGAGACACCGGTAGGAGGAGTGTCCGAGCTTCCACTGACACCCCCAGAGGAAATTGACGAATCTGAGGACGCAGTTGTAGTAGCAATCGAGGAATCACCGGATCCAGCGGCGGTAGATGAGGCAGCACTGGATGCACGCCGGTTCAACCTCTCCCAGATACTACGTCGGGGGACGCGCCGGACCATTAAGGACGAAAGGGACGACGATGAAGAAACTGTGGCAGAAACAGAGTACGAAGTTGTGGAAGCAGCCACGCTAGCGGTGATCGTGGCGACAGTACCCGACTCGGTGATATCAGCTTGACTAGGACTACCAGACTCGCCTGTAGGTACGGTGCCCTCGCTGCTGTCCGTGGGGAATGCAGCTTCACTGGCATTGGAGAATGAGCTCTCACTACCGCCAATTCCACCGATTCCGCCGGTACCACCGCCACAGGTACATCCACCCGAACCGCTTGGGAAAGGACCCTCAGCGCTGCCGGAACCACTCGGAAGTGCTACTGCGGCAGTCGAGAGATCGTCAATATCGCTGGGAAATGCGCTATCAGATACATCTGTGCGAAGAGAAGCAGCGCTTCCAGATACAGCTGTCGGGAAAGTGCTTCCACTGGCGCCACCATAGCCATCGCCACCGAAACCACCACCGCACATACATCCGTCGGCGCTACCACTTGGGAAAGAACCGTCAGTGCCGAAAGTACTGCTAGGAACATCGGTCGGCAAAGAGCCTGCGCTCTCGCTGGCAGATTCTCCAGGTACTTCGGTTTGCGTTGAATTTGCCTCAGAGCTCGAAGTACTAGCAGTGGGTATAGATGAGGCAGAAGTAGCTGTGGACGCCGTAGCGCTCTCTGACTGACGTTTGAATTGGAAGAAGCGCTTCACTGATGATTCAGAATGGGACGTCGCCGAGGACGCAGAACCTGACGCGGTAGCAGTGGCATTGACACTCCCCGCATCGTCCATAGGGAAAGCGCCAGAAGTCTCGTTTGTAAAGGAGCCATTTCCAAAGCCGAAACCTCCAGATTCACCGCCAAAGCCACCTTCGCCAGCTTCACCACTGGGAAGCAAGCCATCGGCGCTAGAAGACGCTGTGGGGAAAGAAGAAACCTGGCTTTCCGACCCTCCACTAGGGAAAGCCTCGCCAGATGATTGATTGCCTCCGGGAAAATCAGTTGGCTGTGACACAGAGGCGCTTCCACCTGAAGGACCTCCCGAAACAGCTGTTGAGAACAGGCTGAAGGTTGCACTGGGTTCACTAACACCGGTGCCTTCGCTGCCACTGGATGGAATGGCAGACGACTCGGTGGGGATGGCAGAAACATCGTTGCTCGCAGATACCGCAACAGAAACAGAGCTTGCAACACCGGTCGCGGTAGAGATTCTGCTCGACGTGGTGCTGACAGCAGCATTTCGCACCGACGTACCACTCACGGACTCGGACGAAGAAGAAGATGATGATGATGATGAAGAGCCGTCGGAAACCATGGCGGGTATGGTAATGCTGTCGATTGTCCAAGTCTTCCCGTCATCGGAGGTGATCATATCCGAAGCCTCAACACCATCTCCCATGGACAACGTTGATGAAAAATCAGGGTCTGCTTCAAGAAGTGTGATTGTGGTGTTCGTATAGTACTGAACAGAAAGAAATGAACAAAGCAAATAAAGCTGCAATTCAAGGCTACACACCTGAGGAGAGGTGGTACCAGTACAGTCTTGTTGACATTCGGTACCAGTTCCCCAGCCGCCGTTGTACAGCGGACCGTCAGCTAACTGATAATTAACGCCAAACTTTTCTCCAAAGAAGCGAGACACATACAACTCGTGAGAGTCGAAATGACTTCGCCATTGAGAGTGACAGTTTGTTCCCAAGTGATATCATCGTCGGCAAGCTGTATGAATGTGTTAGTACGTGAAATGTTCTCAACATTGAGGGAAATCTAACCTTGTAGTGAATAGTTATAGATGCGTCTGCGTCAATGGGCACCATGTCACCGTTCAATTGGGTGGTGACACCGTCGACAACGCTATAAAAAACGAGGATCAGTACCTCAGGCCTCAACTTTCATGGAACACTAAGAAGCATACCCATAATAACTCGCCATAGCACACCATTGATCTTGAGAAGCACCACAGCTTATACGCGCAAGTGAGCAGCGGGCAGAGAAAAGACAGAAGGTGTCACTTACTAGCTATTTTGATCCGCAGTTTGATCTGTACCAGCCTGGATCAAACCACTGGTACTATTGCTGATGCCTGCAAGATGGTAAGAATCACCCTATATTGGAATGACGGGTCTGCCCAACCTGGCCAAAGAAAGAGATAACTAGCAACTAATCAGCATACCACATAGGTAATACCAGTTGCTTGAAACGTACTTCTCGGCATCGGAAGGAGGCGTTCCGGGAGTAAAAGTCGTTATAGCTTCAATTATAGCTGAGTTAGTGGGACCCAATGAATAGGCGGGACCCCATGAATCCCCTTTGGCAGTCAACGCCAGCGTCAACGGAATGAGAGCCAAAGAGAACATGTTCATCTTCAGGTGATCGTAAAATAACGTCAAGTATCAGGGAAAGTGGATAGAAAAGAAGGAAAAACAAGAGCGAACAGAGGAGAGAGTGTGAGTAAGGATAGGATTGAGGGACTTGAGATGCATACCTGCAGACAACTAGACTTTATATGCACCCCGCAGTACTCCGCAAGGTGGCCGCCGTTCAATATACATTCACCCAATGAATATCCGTGCGTCATGACGACGCTTGAAATGTGGGCCCCGATTCTATGGCGAACCTCGCCTGACACCTAGCAAACGGCGTTATCAAGTGTATTGAAGGGGCAAAGATGCCTCAAGACTGCTGGTGCTCGTTCTTGACGATGGGTCGCGTATAAAGCACGCATTTTTGGTAGCTATGACCAAAGGAGGGCTCGCAAAAACTGACTTGAGTTACAAAGCCACGGACAAGCCTCGGCGGCCATGAGTATGCTGAGCTTGATGAAAAGGTCACGATGAGCAAGGATATCCTGGAGACGAGACAACGGGGTTGCTGCGCAACTCTCCAATATTGAGTCGGGAAGGAAAGAAAGAAAGTCTGCGATCCCTGCGGTAGTCCAGGCGGTTGTATGCAAATCAGATCCGTTTGTTTGGTCACCTTTGCTTGCGTTGATAAATCCGGCGCCTCTTTTCATGTTTCCTGCTCGTGCTTTTCTTGCCTCTGGCAGAACGGTATGTTCCGCAAAACCTGCCCAACCTTCACCAGTAATGGGATGTTTAGCACCTTCAGCGCCAATGTTTTCGTGAGCCGCCTTTGTATCCCGCCTTGAGGCGCATTTCGACGCAGCAAATACCGCCAAGAAGACCGTTGCCAAATGCCCAAATGCTCGCCGAGATGCATCGAAGAAAGAACAGGAGCTTGTTGATGTATTCTTCTGCGGTCGTGAGTTGCTGCAATTCCTGTCTGCACTGAGGCATGACCTACGTCGAAGATAGTAGTTGCACTGGGTGTGACATATGCCTCTGTCCCTTTGTACAGGATGTTCTGCGCTGCTACAGGTTTCGCTGGGACTCCCAATGTCAGCGGGCGCTTTGAACCAGAAAGACTGGTTCCCGTCGAGGATTCACCGCGAATCAAGGTTCATTTCAACGCAGACAAGTCCGAGCAGCTACCTTGGACGTTCAAACCAATGCAAAAGATCGTGAATGTCCTTCCGGGCGAATCTAGCTTGGCCTTCTACGTAGCGAAGAACAATTCGAAAGAAGATATCATTGGCATCGCGACATATAATGTTACCCCAGATCGAGTGAGTTGCATTTCATTCCCTAGAAATTGCGCAGCTGACATCTACGGAAGGTCGCTCCGTATTTCTCCAAAGTTGAATGCTTCTGTTTCGAGGAACAGCGTCTTTTAGCTGGAGAGGAGGTTGACATGCCTATTCTTTTCTTCATTGACAAGGATATCCTAGATGATCCTTCATGTCGAGATGTTCGAGATGTTGTCTTATCATATACATTCTTCAGGTGAGATACCTTGTTCATTCTACTGAAATCTTTCTTATAAACGATTACAGGGCGAGAAGGAACAAATTTGGCCATCTAGAACCTGATGCCCAGGAAGATGTTCTTCAAAAGTCTCTGGGCTTTGGCGAATATGAACATGCACCAAAGGCTGAATCTCGCGAATAAACTCGTTCTTTGTTTTATATACGTTTCTTGGATAATTGCAAACGCGTGATTAATGCGTCTTTGTACTGTAAAACGTGAAAAATCAAGTGAAAACTGAAATTGAAAACTAGAGCTGGAACGGCAGTCGGTCCGGTTCTGTCCGTTTGACCCTGTTAGACACCAAAGCCTTTGTTTCCTCCTACTTACATTTCTCGAATTTCTACATCCATCTGTGGGCTGCTATGGATGCCGGACCCAGCATGTCGCGCCTTACAGTGACGAATGGCGACGCTAGGCCTATCGAACAAACTTCTGGCCCAATCCGATCTTCGAGTCCTAAAGGCCCTCGCGCGTCATCTGTTCCGCTCGTTCCTTCCGAGTTAACTGTCGGTGTCGTCTATTCAACCGAAATGACCAGCCACTTTTCACTTCAGGACCATCCAGAGCAGCCTGCTCGTATTGCTCATATCTGGAATACCCTCATTGCTAATAAATGCAACGCAAAGATGAAATGGCTCCCCATTCGTCCAGTTCATAAGCAAGAAGCTCTGCTAGTTCATAGCGAGGATCATTGGGACAAAGTACAGGCCATTCAATGTAAGCGCAGTATATGTTAATTGCTTGTATATAGGCAGAGATCTGAATGAATAACCATACTTTATTTAGATATGACCCCCCAACAGATCATTGACTCGGAGGCTTATTACGAAACGCTTTCTTTATATGTCATGCAAGGAACTACAAGATCTGCTCTTCTCAGCTGTGGTGGTGTCATAGAAGCATGCCTGGCAGTGGCCACTCCAGATTCGTCATTGAAAAAGGCCCTCGCGATAGTTCGACCCCCAGGTCACCATGCTGAACCAAACGAGCATATGGGCTTCTGTTTCTTCAACAATGTATCTGTTGCCGCCCGTGTTGTACAGGAACGCTTGAAATTAAAGCGAATACTCATATTAGATTGGTAAGTCTTAAACTAGCGTCGTCGAGCTATCTGTAATAGGGTGTTGCCAGGGATGTTCACCATGGTGCGCGATTTGTATGGATGGAAGAACATGAACTCGTTTTGATTGTCAAGCAGGCAATGGAACTCAAAAGGCCTTCAACAATGACCCTAGTGTTCTATACATATCATTACACCGCTATGAAGATGGTCGATTCTACCCATGCAGTACGTTTGGTGGCATGCAGTCATGTGGAGAGGGAGCAGGACTCGGATTGTAAGCCCTTTCAATACCGTTTTCTTCGCCTCTCATTCCTGTTAGCTCTGTGAATATACCTTGGCCTGAGAAAGGGATGAAAGATGCCGACTACATACACGCCTTCCAGAAGATTGTGATGCCAATAGCCATGGAATTTGCGCCTCAACTTGTGATCAGTGAGCTCCAAGCACCGTCATTCAACTCTTATATACTTATATGGTCGCCTCAGTCTCCGCCGGATTTGATGCTGCAGAAGGCGACGAGTTGGGCGAGTGCCATGTCAGCCCAGCTGGTTACGCACATATGACCCATATGTTGTCAGGGTTAGCAAGTGGAAAGGTTGTCGTCGCTCTAGAGGTATGTATCTTGTTTCTAAAATACTGTGGGGTCTACTCTCTGACAATCCCAGGGAGGTTATAACATAAATGCAATTGCGAAATCAGCACTCGCAGTGACGCAAGTCCTCCTGGGTGAAGCACCACCGGAACTGCCCCCTATGACGGCGGGTGAGTCTGCGACAGAAACAGTATGGCTCGTAGCCAAAGAGCAGAGTAAGTACTGGAAAAGTGTGAATCCCAAAGCTTGTGAACCCCGAAAAGGTCCTCCCTTCTGTCATTTTCAGTCTTGCAACATTAACGTGCGAACATAGACGTTGAATCCGCTACTTTCTCGATACCCGGTAAGCCAGATGCACCATTCAAGATTATAGACTCGACTGAAGGCCTTCCATAGAAATATTGAAGGCGCATCGCCAACACTACCTATTTACCAATTATGACATGATGCAGATCCCTTTACTTTCTGACTACCTCGATGGCCGGTTTTCAAATCAAATCATGTGCACGTAGGTGGTTATGTAATGTGTTCGATGTCTATCCATTAACACAATTTTCAGACCAGACTTATTGGACAACAAGACCATGGTCATCTTCATACACGAATTGTAAGACTTGGCAATTTTCTCATCTCCGTGCCTTATATAACAATTCTAGTGGAAACCTACGGACGGAGCTGGAGTCATCCGCAACATGCAACCTAGAATTGGAACGATCGTACTTGGTGCGACTTGGCAGCGTGTGTAGTTCTAATATTAATAGTCTATCAGGTCGATTTTTCGAAAGACTTCATAGCGTGGGTCAAAAAGCAAAGATATTCTTTGCTCGATATCAATCAGTTCCCAAAGCCCTTTGCGGCGCCTACTAGAGTAAGTGAAATTATGTCTAACACTCTGGCCAGACTCACCGTAGTTCTAGCGCTCGCAAGCACCAAAGGACCCCACAAAAGAGGTGTTGGTGTATCTGTGGGATAACTATGTCCAGTATGTCACCCACAATTACAATCAGATATGATGCTCACAGTCACGACAAGACTTTCGAACGCAGAGAGAGTCGTCCTGGTCGGACATGGACCTGGTTGCCAATCAATGATAGATCTCGTTGATCACAGATGTAAAACCTCATCCATTTCTGGGAATTATTTTTACTAGATACTGATGTCTCCCAGGGATGTTAGGAAACAAACTGATAAAGGCTATCGTACAAGTTGTGGGGAATTCCAAAGTTCCAACGGTTCCGAAGTCTGAAGAATTCAAAGCATGGTATTCAAAGGTTACTTTTGCTTTGTACTTCCATGTAGTCCTTCGCCTGATTTGTGTAATAGCACTCTCTCGTAGCCGTTCCTTCAAGTCACCCTGTATATGGTAACACCTCTCAAGGAAAAAAGGATGTGCGTCGACATGGCAATGTCATAGCCCTTGGTATATGAGATCAATTTGCCCAGAATTTCTACTTGACTAACGTTTTTTTTTCAGATGAAACACAGCCCATAAAGCTGATCATGGAAGCTCTTCCGGCTATTCAGGATTATGTTCAGAAGGAATTAGCTCGGTATCCACTTAAAAATGCAACCGCTCGGACGAATAATGTTGTGCAATAGTCCTCCTCCTTATTGTTCTCTTCTGTTATAGAAGTCTGTCATCTGGGTTATATACCTTAATATCCCTTCCGTAGATCGCGCAAAGCGCGGGCAATCATACTATTTGACTTTGCCCGTGTGGATACATCATACTGTAAAGGTAGGTGGTGGGTGCGCAGTTTACCTGGACCGGCTTTCTATTTTCCTTCTCTATATTAGCGGGATTCAAATCGACGCCGTATTTTGGATGTAGTCATCTCTACCTTACGAAGTGAGGACCATCGACAGAAACATCTGGATCCGGGACAAGCAGAATTTCCTCACCGTGATGTTACACCAGGACTGCTCCAGAAAAGAAGGAAATCTATGTAGATGCTAGTAGTGTACAAGTATCACATCGCACCTTGGAAAAAGGATCTACCAGTATCCATCGAATAAGTATTACACCAAGATGTCGATATATCTAGAGTTTTCACGGCTGTCCGTGTCAAACCCTAGAGTGTCCAATGACATAGCGAATGGGAGAACTTGAACGTAAAAGACCAAAGCGAGAAAACGACTACCACCCGTAAGTTCTTGAAAATAATCTGTGTAGAAGCTGTCTAAGCCATCGATAGCCGGGATGCATGTAATACGTAGCCGGAGAGGTATTCCAAGTCCAGCCGTCTACGTCTTCTATTCCTTGTAGAATCCAAGGATGTCGCTATTCCAAGAATGAATACTCGCAGAGGAACTGGAATTATAATTAAAGCCTACTTTCAATTCCACGATGCTGATCCTCTTCCTTGGATCTTTCTGCAGCATTTGATCAAGGAGACCAATTACGCTTGCAGTGTGAGGAGGATGCCATCTACCACCTGTGGGCACCACATCAGCACCCATTGTCTCGTCGACCTCCCATTCATTGTCAAGAATAAGCTTGTTCAGCACATATTGGTTATGGGATGTGTGCCGCTTCTGGGTAGGATGAAACGGAAAGTGGCCAAAGAGAAAGCAATACAATGTCACAGCGAGACACCATACATCGACACTTTTGGTCACAGGTGGGCGAGTTGTTGGTGTCTCGGAGCACGGCTCTATAGTGTCGGAAGATGTAGCCGGAGAAGGAGTATCTCTGGGCAGCCAGATGACTTCTGGTGCGTAGAAGAATCCCGTCCCGCGCATTTTCAAGAGGTCTTGGTCCTTGAAAAACGCACAATTTCTCAAGGGATCCAATTGAGCCCTCGTATGAGGACGGGAAACTTGGCTAAAGTTGCTGCTATAGTGTGAAATACCGTAGTCGATAATTTTGACGTATGACCGATCCTGCGACCAGACCAAATTCGCAGGTTTGATATCCCTGTGAATGATACCATGGTAATGGACTGCAAGAACGTTGAGTTTAAAAGAAGGAGTGAAGGGACGACTTGCACTAACGATATTCCAGCCCTAGCACGACGTCCCGAATAATTCGACGACTTTGTTCAATGGTCAACGTCGGCTTTCCTTGGCATTCCCATTGGATCTGGCCCCCGCAAAGATATTCCATGGCTAAGAGGGATAATATAATCAAATACAAGCCAGGCATAGATGATCGACAATTACCTATGAAGACCGAATCCTGTGAAGGGTCGTCGATGACCTCCAACAACTGGACGTGACTTGCATGGCGGCATGACCTGAGGATGGATATCTCTTTCTGGACACTCTGCTCAGAGCTGGGTGGATCGTTCTTTCGAGCTGCCACGTAGCTCTTCTTGAACATCTTTGACTTGTCCTGAATGCTAAGTCGCTTGACGGCTTTTACAACCTAGTCGCAGGGTTATACGACTGAGACGGTTCTTTCTAGAGAACATACCACATCGCGGCCTTCCACATTACTATCCCGACAGAGCATTATCGTTGAACTTCCATGCTTCGTATGAAGCACCCTGCGCTGTACGTACTGATTGATTTTCTTGTCTGGGTTCGTCGTCACCAAGGACGTGGCCGGTATTCGCTCAGGCTCGTAAACCATTAAAGGTCTGAGGATTGAACGCGACGACAATGTACACCAGCAAGTATGTACATAAAACGGGAAGAAGGAGAAAGCAAAGGGAGATAGTTTTTGGTGTTCCACTTGTAGCGACAGCAATGGACGGAAGCAGAAAGGACTACCGAAGTAGCACCATAACGCGTGGCCCTAGATCTGCGTAATTCAAATTCATACACATCTAATCTAATCGCCTCCCAACATCAATCACGTATGGATCTGTTCATCAATCCGCGCAACGAATTCATAAATGTCGCCGAGCTGACCGGTGAGAATGCAGTTGCTTCTTCTGCCTTAAAAAAAGGCCATCCATGGCACACCAAAGGCTAACAAGACTTGTGCGGAAGTTGTATAAGCGTGTTGCCCTGGTGTCAACCAGCGTATCGTATCTTGACAGGTCCCATACGATTCCCAAGAGCTGCATTAACAGAAGGGTAAGTTGGCGCAAATTAGCTGACGCGCGAACCACCTTTCAGTTCCTCCTCCTCCTCACGCTGTTCATAGTCGAGAACCAGACGCTTCAAATGCTGTTGTTCTACCTTATCCTGTAGCTGAGCGGACCGAGTATGGACAGCCAGGGCAGACTCAGATGGCACTGCTAGTTGCCGAGTCTGGAAAGTGATAAGTGATAAACAACTTGTACGGGTTACAAATTAGCATAGCGTACCTGTTGCTTGTTCCCGCGCTTCGTGAGGACTGTGAATTTCATCATGTCTGGGCCGTCGACATCAGACGCTTCTTCAGGTTCTTCGCGCCGCTTTCGTACTGCTGGCAACACCGAAGACTCCCATAGCGCGAGTGCTGTCTTCTTGTCAACTTTCCGAGATTCTGACGGAGAATCTATAACCATCTTGGCTAGCTCTCTTGCGAATTCTGCATCAGCTTCTTCGGAGGGACCGAGGTTTTCCTGCATAGTACCGCTCCCGGAGAGAACAACTTCTTGCTCTGGAGAAGGTGGCCGTTCGCCATCCTACACACGATAGATAAGTCCCTTGCGGAATACACGCACTTCATTGCTGCTTACCAATGAATCTTGAGCTACGACATCACCCTCATCCTCATCATCTTTCTCATCCTCATCGACACGTTCATCTTCGTCGCTACTGTCGTTGCCACCTTCATCTGCTTCGATCTCGTCATCCACTAGGGAAGAACAAAACCGTTCGCATCAGTTATGCGACGCCATTACATAAAGAAACTTACGATCAGCTGCCTGGAATGAGCCCAGCATGTTGTCAACAGCAACGGCGGCTTCTTCAATTGTTTTGGCCAGTTCGAACTTGGGTCTTATAGCCTTCGCAGGGATTCAGGATAAAACGACGTGCACTGCTCAACAGTAAACTCACGTCAAGAGAATCTAACAACATGAAATCAACATCCATAGGGAGACTCTGCTTGCAATGAATATAAAACTAAACGATGCGGCTATCAGAGATGAAGAGGTGAAATTGGCTTTGACCTACTTGGAACATCGTTAAAAAGCTGTCGAGTTTCTTTTTCTGTGTTCCACGATCGAAACACATCCCACATGTGTCTAGAAGGACGCAGACAAGGCGTACTCGGAAGAAGTCATCAGGCATGTCCAGTGGACAGAATTGATTCGGTAGAGCTCTCCCATCAGCTATATGAACCATATCAGAAGGGCCGAACAATGTGAGTGTGTGCATTGTACGTACGGTGTCCAAAGGTAATCAATGACCACAAAACGTCAAACACTATGCTGGAACTCAGAAGCCGATAGATGTATAACTCCCCCAGATATTTGACAGTTGCAACCCTTCTTTGATTGGTGCTGTAAATGTTTTGTTCCAGTCCTCTTCTGATGTCTTCCAAAATTTGGTCAACAACGGATATGGGGAAGTCGGGGTGATATCTTTGCAAGTCGTACGTTAACATAGCCAATAGGCTGATGTTGCCGTACTTGATCTTCCATGGCTTTGTGAAAACCTTGAACAGAACGCGTCGTACATCCTCGTCGTCCCAGTCCAGTTTTCGAATCAACTTAAGCACTTTGTCAATCGTTCTTTTGGCGAGAACATCGTAGATCAAGTGTCGAATGAACAGCTCCATTGGTGGCCGGACCTTTTCCTGTCGAGGCGCACGCTCAGGAGGGTTACACTGATTACCAAAGATCAACCTTCCAGTGTAAAACACACGGTTATATGTCGCACCTGATAGTAAGCATTCTCCAGAAGAAGTAACTGACGCTGATCGAAGTGTTGCAAGCTTTGCTTTCGTCGCATCAGTTCTAGCTGTCCATATGCATCTCAGAATTGATAACAGAAGGTTCAACTTTCCACAAACCATAGTACCAAATCGTTCTCGTGTTTCTTCACTTCGCAACAGGTATCGACCACACCCTTCAAGGAGTAAAGCAATGTTGTCCACGTTCGTTCCCGAGAAGTCATCCAAGCAAACTTTGAACATATGTAGAACGAGGTGTGTCGGAACTACGCCGAACTTAGTCAAGTTGGATATGAATACGATATTCTGGATCCAGCTCGTGAGGCTTATGCTTTAACTGAATTTGAGATGACACACCTTGATTCTGACTTCCGAAAACTCCTTCACGACATTTTTCTTCCTTTGAAGGTATCGGAACTCCTCATCCAGCTATACGAATGACTATGCAGCGGTTAGACTAAGAGTTCAGTGACACTTACGATAGAAATCAAGTCCGATCCGATATCTGGCATATATCGATTGAGGGTGGCGACAAGGCGCGAGTAATGCGGTAGAAGGTCAGTGCGACTTTTGGACACTTGACTCAAGAACTAGGACATAACAGCGTTAAAACGGAACCGAAAAAAAGACATTGAACTTCACCTTGACGAGTCTCTTACGAGCAGCCTTGGAATTCAAAAAAGCAAAGTCAATGGCAGCTTGGTCGATTAGCTCGCGATTAGTGGCATCGGGAAGCCGAATCAAAAGTGCAGTTAGAAGTTGTGAAGGACCTTGTGGTGCTTGCGAAGACAGGGGTGGGGTAGTGGCCCTCGGAGTCCCTGGTACCGGTGTCGGGGCCCTTAAAAAATGCTGAGTGTTTAGTCCGCGGAAAGAGACAACATATCCGTACTCATCCTCGTCCTCGTCCTGTGAAGCCGCAGGTAGTCCACCTTCTGCGAGCTTCTCAAGCTCTTCTTCCAACTTCTTGATGTATTCCCTATCCTGTTCGTGCCTTTCATTCTGCTTCTCTTTGCTTTCCTCGCTCTCCTGATCTTTGCCTTCACCCTCGTCCACGCCAAGGAGGCTTTTTGGAACGAAGTCTTTAAGATCCTGGACATCTTCGAAGAACCGTCTCTCCTCTTCATCTTCCCATTTTCCTCCCGCGGCGTTGATGACATCGCCGTCATCGTTCGAAAATGAGCTCGTGCTATTCGTCCCAATCAAGATCGAGTCCGATTTCTGTGACGCAGTAGGTAATGGTGGCATGGGTAGGTATAGAAGCTCAGACAATCTAAAGGTAGGTTATTGAGATATATGTATGCTGCAACTAGACCACTTACGATTGGCAGCTGGCTAACAGCTTTTCATAGCCTTTCGTCATTTTTTCATATGCCTGCTGACGATCCTCAAATATTTCTCCGGAGCGGATGTATGCTTCATGATTACGGCGATCTTGTTCTTGCAGTCGCTATCCAGTGAATATATGTAAGTTCATGATCACCGGTGAATTTTCAAGCACTGACTTTGTGCTCGATGACTAGCTTTTTTGAAACACTTTCAAAATAACCCTCACACATGCGTTTGAAACGATCGCGAATGTCCTGTTCGACGAAAAACCCAATGTCGTCATCCAGAGCGGGAAAGGCCATTGTATCTACCGCTTGTGTGGCGGACAACGTTCCGGGTTCCGAATTTACAGAAACCTGTTTAACTATGGCAGGAGTAACACCAAGAAATGGATGAGAATAACTTTTGAGGAACGTAGTTAGTAGGGGAAGTGAAGAGAGACTCGGGTCGTTGGACAGCTAGAACCAGGTTTGATCAGTCATTCTAGAATATTGTGATATAAAGTACTTGCCAGTTCCTTCATGACTTTCATAATCCATTCGCCGCCACTTCGACTAGGGGCATCTTTGATGACGCCAACCAATGCCAGTTCGGAGCACACTCGCAGAACAGGTCTTTGCCTTGTCACCCGAGATGTGTCTTCCTTTTCTCTCTGCTCTGGGGGAATGTTGGACAAACTTGCTCGAGATGGGCTACTGAGAGCAGATGCTAAGGATGGGACGAGTACTGCCGCAAACGAAGAGGGAAATCGGCGGTGAAGTGCAGATATGACCTAACAATATGAGGAAATGGTATCTCAGCAGGAGAATTCGTGCGGTTTACCTCAACAGCGCTCCACACGTCCTTCTCTGTCTTACACCTCGAAATGCCTTCTACAGTAGCGCCAGCGATTTCGTCAACGTACTTTTCGAGTGACAGAGAGTCAATGTCCTTGAGGATCTGGTCACGATTGTCAGAGGCCACAGACTGTCGTATGCGTTTAATTAGAGCAGTGTGGCGCTTCAATGAAGAATCGAGTTTCGATGATTCTGTTCGAATGGAATGAATATCTCCTGAAGCACGAGCAACAGTTAATGACGCACCTTTCGGAACGGGATTCGTGTTGAGCTTCTTGAGAGCTGCGCGTTTCACATCACGAGATTTCTCGTCGTCCTGTTTTGAAGGTGACTGGACGACATTGCCGGATTCCATGAATTGCGAATGTGGAGAAGTACTGGTGCTGTCGCCCGAGCGCTTATTAGGTATCTGCTCAAGTCATGCTTCTCGTTACCTAAGCACTCCTTCATATGAGCGACGACGACGGTTTCTTCGATGACAACTTTTTCTGCGCCGACGAGACCCTCGCTGCGCTCGATAGTGTCGTAGCAGAATATGCCGCTCGTGTGCCACCACCAACGACTGGGAAACCAGATAATCTCGAGGTGTCAGAACCACTGCCAAAAAGACAGAGATTGGACAATGTCCAGGAAACTCGCGTTTCCGATGCTCGAATAGCCACAGACGACCTCCCAGAAATATCTGTGTCTGGTGTTGGCATGTATGGTCTTCCGCCTGGAGTTTTTCGTGACTCCGACGCGACTTGGAACGTCATTCGCCATTCCACAGGTACCGCGTCTATCGTTAATGAGCAGATAAAGAGTGGTCCAAGTGGGAGCATGCATGCCGATACTAACATTACAATGATAGATGTAACGAAGCGGAATGTTCACCTACCTCGGAGCAATGGCAGCCGTCCGTCGTCTCGTGTACCGCAATCTGGACCTGTTCAGAGGGGTAGAAATAGACATCCTTCTCCTCAATTGCATCAGCTACAGGCTTCTGGCTCTAACATTCCATCTTCTGGCCTGGCTCCTCCTCAAATCTCGACAACAAATGCTGTAGAAGCCAGAGTGCAAGACTTGCTGACGAAGTTGAAAGAGGTTTGCTATATTACATCTTTCTTGTCTTCTATTCATTTAGTACTGATTATCTCACAGTCAGAAGATGAAAGAAGGAGGATCCAACTCGCACTTGAAGAGGCTAAGAAAGCACGCTTTTCAAAGGAGGGAGAAGTAACGATTCTGCGCCAAACCATCGAAAAGGTATTATCATCCATTTCCGGTTCTGAATTTCCCATTCATTAACTGTATTCAAGACCGCCAAAGATTACGCCGCTCAAATATCAAGACTCAAGGCTGACAAGGAAGAAGCAGATGCCAGGCAGGTGCAAATGCAACGAGATCGAAAGGACGAGATGGAGAGACTGAAGACTGAATTTATATTCAAGGTATTCATTTTCCATAGTCTCTTTCAGACCATTATATACATGTGTTTCTTCAGCAACAAGAAGCGGAGGCATCACGAAGACCATCGTCTGTGCGATCCAAAAGAGCAGTAAAGGAGGTCTATTCTCAAGCACTACCAATGTCCCTTCAAATGCAAGGGTGGAATCCCAGCCGTAGCTCCCAGGCTGGGCCTAGTACTCCGCGTCGTCCCAAGATTGCGCGGAATCTTCTGAAGACTCCCGAAAAACCTCAGAAACTGCTTGACTTTCAGAATGCCTTCATGCCCAGCCCCCCATTACTACCACGAAATAATACAAGAGAGAGCACAAATTCTTCAAGTCAAATATTAATGCATAGCCAGGCTATCAATTCTCCGATTTCTAGCTCTTCTAGAAGGAATAGGGTTGAGGCTGATTCTGATGTTAATATGGACGACGACTTCAAAGCTGACTCGGATGAAGCGGTTCCAAGCAGTGATGATGTATTTAATGACGACGGAAATACGATAACGATAGAAGACCAAACTGAGGTCTTCGACCTGGAACCATTCGACTGGAAAGCAGAAGTGGGTCCTTCTAGCCACCAAATATAACCAGGCTGATTTTGCGCTTGTTCCAGCTGTTCCGAATATTACTGACTCATACATCATCATCATCTCATCAACCGACACTACTTTCGCTGACAGAAGCACCTATTGTAACAGCCACTCACTCTAATAGTCAATATAGTGAAGTCGTCTCAAACATCCTTGCCATCGTAGGCATGTCGAGAATTCACGATTACCCCACAGCAGCCATAGCTGTGTCGCCGTGTCTGGTTTCCATGGCGTCTGTTTTGGCTACGCTAGATATCGTGAGCTATTCTCCGATGCCTTTGTCGCATACCTATCTAAGAACTTCTGACAGACTTCACATTTAATTGGAATGCTAGATCTACTAGTATCACTCATCCATTCATTGCCGTCATTTTCCTCCATACTACTGTCACAGACCGATTCCAATGGCGATTCTCGCATTATGGTTTTACTCTCCAGCATCATCCATACCCATTTACAGCCCTCGAAGGATGCGGCCTACCCAAAGCTACTTGCGAAGGAAACGTTAGACTTACTAGAAGTCTTATGTTGGAATGTTGCAACCACAGACATTGACAAGTGAGAATCGTCTATTCTAGCCTATGTCTGATCCTCATCTCGTCCAGACTCGGCTATATATGCCAGAATCGAGACGTATTCGCCGTCCTCCTTCATAATCACCAACCAAATTGGGTTTTATCCCAAGTGACTCACTTCCTTATTCGTCTCATGACATGTAAGTGTGTTGTCCTATGAAACATTTTCTCTCTGGAGACGGTAATCTAGATCCTCAACTTTGTCATTACATACTCGCCTTTCCGACGTCCGAGTCGGAACAACCTGTCGCGTCCGAGACTACCAAATATCCTGTGCTCGATCGGTTATGCTCCTTCCTCATTGATATCAATCGCCAAGATGATGAGGTGCGTGTTACTTCGTGTTCCTAGAACACGATGAACATTCCAAAACATAAGTGCCTGTCCATGAAAACACATATCCTCATCTTCTTCGCTTTGGTGTCAATCGCTGATGCTAAGGCATTTGCTGTTCTGACCAGCTCAGTGGTCTTGGTGCCTTCATTGGTTATATGTCTTCATATGCTGACGACGCCACTATGGGAGGAAGATGAAAAGTACACTTCGTCTGCGGACCTCACATTGACGTGCGTGCATGCAATTCTATTGTCCATTTTACCACACTTAACGGATCAATAGGGTTGTTCGATTGATGAATCACACGCTGTATCTTCTTCATAACATCGTTAGCAGCGACCCGACAGCTATGAACTTGCGGCAAAAACTTCTTCGCGCTCCACCTCGGCATTTCAATGGCATCATGCATATGTTCACTCTCACATTTGGACGGCTAAGTTATTCACCCCTGCCAGACTGGATGCCAGTGCCTGCCCAGCTCGAGTTGAACATCATGTCAGGTATGTCATATGGTCCTATGATTGGGTGCGACTCTGACGAGACACCTTAGAAATGGCTAGGGATATGGTAGAACTTGTCCTAGATCAACCGGAAGATGAGGCTGTTTGGACAGCGCTCCAAGACACAGATCTCGATGAGGGCAATGTGACAAACGAAGACGATATGGAAGAAGAACTCATGGGACAATGAGAATATCTGCGGTCTACGTGGCGTCTTTCAATTTCATTTGTCGCGGAAAGCCATAAACGAACACTAACCTGTCGACAGAAGGTCTTCACCCATTGCATCCTCCTCTTTGCAATTTTGGAATTCGGCGGGTCTAGAATAGCCTGTTTTTTAATAGCTATATCGCACGCTTCAGAATGATATTTTGATGTTAGACGACGGCGGATCTTCATCTAAAGCAGCGATGTTAATGTGTGCAGAAGAAATCGAAGAAAGTATTACAATAGCTGGAGGAACCACTGTTGCGTCTGGCGCATTGCTCATCGACACGTTGACATGTCCAATTCTGCCTTGTTGTTCCAGCCAGATCTGCCACAGGCATACATCCCAGTCCAAGGAGCGTGAACTCGCGACAAAGAAACGATCGGCGCACCACACAGGATAATTTTTAGGTAGAACAAGAGGCGAGAAAGAAGCCAGAGGGAAGGTTATCTCTTTAGCGATCGTCACAATAGCCAGTGTTTGCGAGCGGTGAAGGAGATGTTCCGACACAGAATGGTACAACCTAGCAGAAGGAGTTACAGTTGAAATTTCTGCAGGGACTATCATGACGGTGTCAGTAGGTGCAAAGAGTCTGCCGATGTTAAGGAAAACGTTAGGTGACAAAGATGCTTGGATATTCGCTTGGAAAACATGAACAGAGAAATAAGCCAACGAGGGAAGTGTCTTGATCGCAGCTAAGCGGCGCAGAAGGTTTTGATAAGCAGGGGAAGAAGGTGCAGAATTCGTTGTTATGACGAGTGACACCGGTCCTGTTTCGGGTAAGACGGAAATAAAAACATAAATGACTGGATATTACCACGCCAATACCGAGCCCAGTTGACCAGCGACCCAAGATCTATCGAATCGTTTGTCCAAAGACAGGCTGTAGGACCTTTGAGACTACTGGAGATCTCTGAAAACACAACGAAAGGTTCGAGTCCGGACTGCATTGGATGATGGGAGGCGATACGCGAGATTCGTTGTGCTGCAGAAAGGTGCCATGGTTCTATGATAAGCGTGCTCAGGATATGAAAAGTAGATGAAGGTCACTAACGCACCAACAAAATCCGCCGTCAGTGGTGTGTTCAATGGCCTAACCCAGAAGCAATACAATGAGGCCGAAATGAAAAGCAGGCTGAAGCAGGCATAGATGAGGAATGTCAACCGAAGATAAGCATTGTTTGTCAACTGCCAAGACCAGATTGAGTGAATCTCCGTCATTAATCCATCGTGAAAGGCGAGATAGATGGCGAGACGCCTGGAACGTCGAGGCAATGTTGGCGAGTCGAAAGAGCTGTCGTTGGTCGTGTGTTGAGGCAGATCCAGGGCGAGGTGGGCACGAAGACGTTTTTTAGATACTGAGGTCGATAGATGGCTCTGTATGCTGCCAGAGGCGGAAAGGGAAGGCAAATCCATTTCTTCAGAGCTCATCGACATCGTTGCAGGAATAGGCCCCGGGAAGCTCCCGCCAAGGTTTGTCCGGATTTTAGCATATTTTAGGCCCAAAAAAAGCGAAATCTTTGTCCGTAGATAGCATATTTCAGACCCAAAATTTGAAACCCTTGTCCGTAGTTAGCATATTTTAGGGCCTCTGGGGCCTGGAGGATGATGATGATGAAGGTCTGGATTGGTGACCCGCAACACGCCTCGTAGTGGGCGAAGACGCAGGGGTACAGTACTCTACTGCTATGTATGACTGTACCGCTACTCGTTGTAATACTAATCTACTTGTCAACTCTATGGTATGTAAAACTCTCGGGTAAAATTCTATGTAGCTTCGTGTGTTTTAGGTGTCTATTCTTCGTTGCGAAAATCATTGTCTAGGGAAAAGAGATAGGGAATAAATACAAATAGAAAAAGAATAAAGGAAAAGAAACAATGGGGGGGCCCGGTAGCGCTGCGATGTAGTGTTCTATCCATCATCCTCTTCTTCATGCGGCTCTGGTTCATCTTCCCAGAGCGGCATTCCCACCTCTCGCCTTTGAGTTCCGGTCTTTGTAAAGGCTCCAGACTCCGCTAGGAACCTTGTGACCGCTTCGATGCCCTCTGTCGTGCCCAAAAGGTCGCACATCACTAGATTCTGTGATCCTTCGCGTAGGATCTGTCGATGGTCGTTGTATCGTGGGCAGGATCGTATGATGTGATCTCGCGTTTGTAGTCGCTCGCCGCATTCGCAGTCCGTCGCCTCTGGGATGTTAAACAGTTCGTAGAACTCGCCCATGTGGGCGTGCCCTGTTCTACACTGTACGAGCCTTCCGAACACCTCGCGTGGTGTCTCCTTGAACCTCTGGGTTGGTTTTAGCTGTGGTTTGAGTCGGTTTGCGAGTCCAAAGCGGCCAGTAGGGCTTGTCCTTTCCCACTCCTGTACCCATTTCTTCTGCACTCGTTCTCGCATCCTTCTCCTTGCGTTTGCATATGTGCGCTGTCCCATGTCGAACATTGTACATGCCTCCTTCGCCAAAGCGTCCGCTTTTTCGTTTCCAGGTATGTCCTGGTGGCCGGGTGCCCATGCTACCTCCAGCGATGTTTCTTCGTCCTCTTCCAAGAGCTCCGTGGCTATCTTGAAAAACACTGTTGCATGCTGTTGACCTGGTCCCCGTTTGGGACGTATAATGGAGTCAACTGCAGAGGAGTTATCGGCAAAGAAATGAATGTGACGTACGCTTGGGTGGGCTGCACGACCAGCGGAATCCTGTAGTGTGGAGAAGCACATAGCGAAGACGTATTGGGAATCTGAAGGGGAAGTATGAAAGTGACACTGAAATTTCATCCATAAAATTCCAGGCGAATGACGCCGCTCTAATTTGGCCGGCGGTGCTTTCCGGCACGGACGGACCGGCAAAAGCCTTGTCCGAGTTAGCATATTTAGGCGCCAATCCTCGCCAATCTTTGCATATTTGAGGCCAAAAATTAGGGTTTTTGCCGGACAAACCTTGGCGGGAGCTTCCCGGGGCCTGCAGGAATACGATCGCAGGTTAGGGTTAGATTTGAAATTGCAGACATCCGATTCGGATTAGCATTGGATCAAAATGACCGCCCCCCGCAACTAACCGATGTTTCTCAATCAGCTTGGCAACGCGCTCCTTCCAGCAGACTTTATTCCGACCTGGCCATGTAATGATGATCAACATGCACCTTCACCCATTGTCCAGATTTTATCCATTTGTATTTCTCGATGGCAGATGGCAACATGTCCTTGCATGTGTGAATGACAGCAAATTCGCACAAACGATTTTTTGCTTCATTTTATTGGATTATGGCGTCAGTTGACTTCCAGAATGCTTGGGATAGGGTTTTCCTTCATCCTTTCCTTCCGCTGATTGGATTCTCCCTAGATTGATATTCCATCATATAACCGGTGACCATCTCAACAGTGTGATTACAACGGTATGAGCCTTCGCAGCCACAGCACATGATTCGCCATGTCAGGGCTGTGGACCCGGCCGTTCCTTATTGGGACCTGGCGCCGGTAACACCACCACCACCACCACCACCATCCAACTTAGGTGGTAGTGAAGCACTAAGGATCGCTCGACAACCATGTCGATCACGAAGTGCAATGTGATCGTCTATGATCGGACGTATTACTTTGACGAACCATCATACCCTCAATCCGGACTTCTACGCTTACGAACGTTTGCAAGTCTAACTCGTACAGCGGTGTATGTCGGGCCGTCGCCTGATGCTGATATTCCTTGCTGGTGCATGTGCATCATTGATTTCTACTGCGCCGTGCCAAGGTCTAGCTGGACCCTAAAAATGGCAGTCGGTAGGAAGCTCAATAGCTTTAAAAACTCGACTCAGTAGCCTTTCTCAACCAACATTTTCAACATGGAATCTCCCAACATTTTCACCGCTGGCCTCCGGTTTCTTCACCACATCCTTCTCGCTGCTCTCGGGCGTTACTTTTTGGTAGCGACCCAGCCCGTTCGTTCTACCAAAGATTTGAAGCAGGAGGTATCTGAAAAGATATCCGACTCTCTTATCTCTGATCACTGTTTCGGTCCAAGGGTCGATGCGAGATTCAACTGTGTTCATCATGTCTTCGAGTCTACTGCCTTGTCTAACAGTGACCAAGTCGCTGTGGTGGACCATCTCGGAAATTCCATGTCGTACAGCCAACTCGATCACCTCTCTTTACGTCTTGCTTCATATCTGACGTCTCGCGGGGTCCGCCCGGGGTCTTTTGTCGGTCTCGTTGTACAACGATCAATTCCCCAGGTGGTCGCTATCCTTGGCGTTCTTCGCGCTGGTGCAGCGTATATTCCTTTGGATGGTGACATCATACGGGACGACACGCTTCAAGGGATCATGGCAGATGCTGGTCCTTCATACGTTCTCGTCTCTAAAGGATGTATCTCTCGTGCGGATCTTCTGAGTCATCCATATGGGTGCTTGGAAGATGTTCTCGATTCCATGAAAGACTCCGACACCGACTTTATCCAAGATCAATCTAAGGGCTCCGACACCGCGTATATTATCTTCACGTCTGGTATGAAAGTCTTTTATATCTTGCTCAGATTCTTATCAAGGCTGTAGGTACTACCGGCAAACCCAAAGGTGTCATGGTCAGCCACTCCAATGTCGTCAACCGTACGTTCATGCTGTAATCCATAATTTGACCACACATTAACAACTCCTCTTCCAGTTCTTTCTAATGCACCGAGAAATCTTCATATTGAACCGGGAGTCAAGGTCGCCCAACTCTTGAATATTGGCTTCGACATGTGCGCGTGGGAAATTCTCGGCTGCTTAATGAATGGGGGAACTCTGTATTTGCGTGGACCCCGCCGTGCAGATTGGATAAAAGTCTTGAAAACGGTGGATGTCGTCGTCGCTACCCCAACTATTCTACTCCCACATGACCCTAAGGATTTCCCCAATGTCCGCGTGGTCGCTACGGCAGGGGAGCCTTGCCCGCAGTCATTGGCCGACAAGTGGGCCTCGCAAGCGACGTTCTACAATTCATGTGGTCCGACAGAGGTATTTATTTTTCCAAGTCTCATACCTCTCTTCGACTCACTTGGTATGCTTTTAAGATCACTATTGTTAACACGATGCACAAGCACGTTCCCAATACTCCTCTTTCCATCGGAAGACTGACTGCAAACAACACAGTCTATATTTTGGACGAATACTTGCAGTCCGTACCCTTTGGGACTCCTGGAGTTATGTGGGCCGGAGGAAAAGGTGTCTCTAAAGGATATCTTGGACTGGATGATCTGACTGCAAAGAGATTTCTACCGGATCCTTACCTCAACGATGGCAGGTATGTAAGGCTTCCTTTGCCGTGTCGTTTTTTTAAAGTCTTTCCAGTCGAATGTATAACACTGGAGATATCGGTAAGTGGAGAGAAGATGGTTCGCTGGATCATCTAGGACGTGCCGACGACCAAGTCAAGATTAAAGTACGCTGGTGTCTATTCCAGAGTGCTTGTATCTGACTAATGGTTTGGTAGGGTTTTCGCGTTGAACTTGACGGCGTTAGCGCAGCAATGCAGTCTTGTCCTGGAGTCACGGGAGCATGCGCACTGCTGGTAGAGGACGAACTTGTCGGATTCTACACACCTTCCGAACTCGCAATGGACGGTGTACGAGACGCCGTCACTCGAATTCTTCCATGGTATTCTGTGCCTACGAAGTTTATATCGATTCCGTCCCTGCCTTTGACCAAGTGCGTTTCCTAGTAGCTACATGCAACGTTGCGCTGACTTTTGTCTTATGAAGAAGCGGGAAAACAGACAAAGGAGAGCTTAGGAGCATTGCTATCCAGCAAATCTTCGGTTGAACCGACTTCGCTTTCTATCATACCACTATCTATTCTCCAAAACGCGTCGTTATAAACGGAACATTGTATGTACAGTACTCCGATCTTAATCAAGCCTCAGGCAAGGCATTCTCATCAGTTCTCATCCTCCTCTCTTTCGTTTTAATTGCATTAGCTATCGGGTACTTCTGTACAGTCGGCTATCATATTGCCGGTGATTGATGGCAGGGCGAAGATGTTCTCACGTTTATCTTACACACCAATCGTTCTAATCCTGGTGCTGCAATGTTTTCTAGGCGAGCTGCCCGCGCATCGTGCATCTCCATTATAAAACGTCCGAAAGGCAGTGGAAGTCCGTTGATCCGAGCCTACAGTGGACAATCTGTTGGAGTACTTATCGCTGGCACTAGTGCAGCACCTCCGTGGCCACTGGCGAAGATGCTTACTACTTGGTGCACGCCAACCTTTGTTAGCAACCCATCTGGTCAGTGTCCCGGCCGAGGCGGAGTACTCGCGCCGTATCATGGAATCGAGCAAGGCGGCGTATTGGGACTTGTTACGCATACGTTCGATGATCTAAGTATGGGCGACACTCTAACACGTAAGAAGGGGACTTTGTCCAGGAATCAACCGTTTACTTAACCAAAACGACGTTTCCTCTTCATTTCTGCTTCCCCGGTCATCATGTCACAAGTACGCGGCATATGTTTGCAACGTGTTCAGCTATCGATCCCTCGATGCCTTTCATGCATGCTTAATCCATGCTGCGCTTGTTTCGAACACTCGCCTCGATGACGCCTCCAGGCAGGCTCGCGCAAAGATATTAAAGCGATACTTCTGTCTTCTCGTCGCAGTGTCCTCCCTACATTCCTAGTCGCTCCTTTCTCTCGTTCCCGCCGGACTCTCTACTCTTTCAACGATCCTCTGCTCTTTGAGAAGAGCAGAGCATTATGAGCTCGTCTACGAAGTCTGTATTCCGTTCCCGCATGGGAAAGGCCGTGCGCCGCACGTCCTCCATTCTATCACTATCACGTCCCGGTACGCCTTCTGGGTCAGATACCAGCTCCGTCAAAAATGTCGAAGCACGGTCTGCGGTTGTGCCTACGCCGGACCCTGCAGTACATGAGGCCCCAAGCCCTATAGCAGAGTCACCAGCGAGAGAAGCTGCCGCAGTGGCAAGTGATACTCCCCAGCCTACAGGTCCTTCTCCTCTAGCTCAAACTATCGTTACCGATTCACCTGCTCTCACTGCAGAACCTGAAAGCATGCACGATCACAGAAGCGTGGAGGCGTCCAAGTCCGTGGAGGAAACACGGACTTTGACCTCCGAAGGCAAGGCCGATGAGGCCGTTCAGCAGAACGGAACTGCTGCTCAGGAGGCACCAGTGGCCGCGTCTCAAGTCGAGGAACAGCCTCATGCAGAGTCGAAAGGAGAACGTTCTTCACTAATGAGCGAGTCCATTCCCGCTACTCTAGAGGCCGAACCTGCCACGGCCCCTCCGCCATCGCCTCCACCTCCACCGGCTCGTGAAATGGAAGGTGTCTCGTCGTATTTCGGAATTCCTACGCAATCAGAACCAGAACCGGTTCTTGCCACCAGCGTCGTGCCGGAAGAATCGATTCCATCTGTGCCGGCACCCCAGCCTCGAGACGTTCAGGCCGAAAGCACCCCCCTCTCTGACGTTCATGAAGAACCGGTGAAAGAAGCAGTAAAAATGCCTTCTCCCGTGCTAGCCACTGCGACCTTACCTTCATATGATGCCGACTTGTCTCAAGAGGCTTGGAGAGATACCCGCCATTCGTCTGTGGCACAGTCATTGGCCGGAACGATACGCAGTGAACACGTCGCCGACCGTGGATCTCAATACGAGGGAACGACTGGGCAGTCAGTAAATCACCTCTTCTCTTTCGTCGTATACTTACACACTGCAGAATGACGATGCCGACGGAGGATCCATTCGCTGATCCTATCCCTGCGATAAACGTTTCGCATGAGGACATTTCTATGCCCGAGCAAGTGGTGCTTCCACCCTTTTTTTCCCAAGCTAATGTACCTTTCGAAATCAGGCCGCAGCATGAAGAAGCACCAGTACCTCAAGGCGACCAGTCCATAGTCGTGATGCCGCTCCCGCCCATGCAGGATGTGATACCATCAAGGTATGTGGTTACATTGTCAGCATTGTACAATAAACTCAAAAACTACAGATCTATCCGCGCTACTTCATCGACACAAAGCCTTGGTAACAGCAGTCATCATTTCGAACCGGAGACAGAGTATGATCTCTATTGATGTTTATGACACAGGCATAGCTAATTTTCCACCCGAACAGTGAAACGCGTCCTTTACTTCCGCAGGTACCTTTCCCCAGGTCACCCTCGTACCTTCAGTCTCAACACCAGACTCGAGTCAACGTTTCTCCCCAGTCCGCATTGCCCTCGTCTTCGTTTTGGCCTTTGCCAGCACCGTCAACTGCCCCCAAACTGAACCAGCTGGGTTGGATCGAGTTCTCTCTTCCAGACTCTACGGTGTACTATGTTCATCCTACCCTGCGAGTGACAACCGATATAGAGTTGCGGAACAGCAAGAAGCTAGATCTGGTCACATTCTACTTTGAAAACTACAAAAACGAACTTGCTCCACCCAGTGGAATGGAGCTGTGGCTAAGGGAAAGCGCTCGGAAGAAGAAGCGTGATCCTCCTCTTATGGGTTGGTGGATTGATCATAAGAGTCGAAAGCGTGTCGCCAGGGCTTCCGAGGAGGGGTCCCTCAAAACCGGGACGAAAAGATGACGACGGTGTGTCTAAACTTGACGATTCGGAGGCTGGGAACATAAACTCATTAACTTGTAGCTTTGGATACAGAATATCGGTACTGGGCGTTCATGGAAGCACATCCTGCGCACAACCCACTTCCTCCAAATGCACACGAGGAAGCTATGAATGCTCTTACATGGGCATTGACAGGTGATTGCTTATTTTCAAAACTGTTCCTGGATATTGTTCAACGCAATTGCTTTAATCCAGATCGCCTGCTTCCTTCTCAGCAAACAACCTCGGCGCCTTTCAGTCAAAATGAGTACCAAGAGCTCACTTCTTTACTTCGTGGGGGTACGTTCCACTGCCTAGAGTATGGTATATCTCTGAAGCTCTTCCCAGAAATTACGACCGAGAACGGAATGCAAATTACCCGGATCGTCTCTAGAATTCATCTTCGCATGAGTGAGTATCAAATACTTAAGCGCCCATGGACCAATACTGACTTGTTCTTTGTCCGTAGTTCATTGGCGTCAATTGAATTTCCGTCCCAACAAGCCTCTTCCTCGTGATGCGCGCGGCGACTCTTTACGTCTGCCTGCACGTCGTAATCAGCTAGGCCGCGCTTTGGTCGACTTTTGTATCTCCTGCCTGTGTCCTCGGCATTCCATATATCTTTACAACCGTTCGCATCATCGGGGAATGGACGAAGAAGGCGGTATTCGAGGTGCTGCTCCAATGCTGGTGATCGGTGCCTGCACTTGTCTTGTGGTAAGCTTACTCTCTCTTCTTCTCAGCTTCAATCTCTCAGATTTTCTTTGTTGGCAGGCTTGCGATTGTTCTGAGTGCATCGGTGACTTTCCTTTCCTTACCTGGGTTGGATAATGTCGCACGGATTTGTGGGGCTTATCACCGTGCTCTTTTCTGCTTTTTCTTTGACTTCAACTGTCATTGCCATATTCAAATACAAGAGTGACGCAGAGAGGGCTGTATCCTTTATAGGTGGCGAAGGGCTGATGGTCATTTCTGTAAGTTGCAATTGTATTTTCCTCGACAGTTTGACTCATTCGGCGTTTTTATAAAGCGACGGCATATTTTATACTCGTTGCCTCTGGTGTTCTTGGCCTATGCGATTATCGGTTTCGTTGCGGGCATCGTGCTTTATTCCTTTAGAGGAGCATCCATTACCGGTTCACCCATGATAGAACACCACTTCCAGGAATACACACGATGGACGGTGGTGGGATTCCTTGGTGGTCTTCTAGGTATCTTGACGACATCTATTGTTCTGATGAAGCAGTGAAATCCTCTGTACATGTACTAGCTGTATCTATTTGAAGTTCGGTTACTTATTGATGATGCCAGCGTCATCGGCGGCCATGGCATTTTCTTTCTGTTTGCTCTATTTTCTAGATCCCATCGGCGGTCAAAAGCCATCATCAATGCATCATTTCAGATATATTTATTTCACTTTATATGATTATCTCATTGAGAGTGCGGTGACAGTTCTTTATCTGGAGGTCACTGATCCTTCAAAGTTGGCATCTTTTCATTTTTGATTCACTGCCCTTACACTATACTTGTTCTGTTAATTCCGTTGATACAACAATCAACACACGTCGTTGAGTTATGGCCGCACTTCCATAAGATGGCACTGTTTATCGCCGTGATCTCCAGTGAAAGACCTGTATTTACTATGCTTCTGTATGGGCGTCCGCACTGCTTTGGATCTTCGATATCGGCTCACTGTAAGGTAGGCGCTGCTCCTTGATTCTTCGCGGTCACGGCATGGTCATACTGTCAGCGTATTAGAGCATCTCCAAACGGGGAACGTTTCTCATGTATGTCTGAAAATACGTCCTACAGGATGATAGTTGTCGCGTTACGAAACTTTCAAGATCTTATCCGCGTTTTTCTCCGACAGTAGTTTCGAGAATGTACCTAGGAAGCCTCTGGTTTTAGTGGACATGGTGCGCAGAAGCCATCAGACAGATAAATCATTCAAAGAATCACCTTTTGCCCGTGCGAATCAACAAACATCTTTCAAATTTGTTGGCCGGCCCCGCTGTGTCACAGATCAGTTACGAGGCCGGCAATTCTCATATGTACTGCTCTGGGACATCTGTGGGGTCCAGGGGTTACCGGATGTCTCCTTATTAACGGGAAAGTATTACTATATAGTTGCGGTAGATGCATGTAAGTTGTCATCGGATATGGAGGTGAGAGATCGGACAGTGCAGTAAAGCTCTTTTCGAACATATGGAAAGAAATCTGACAGCTATTCGGTTTGCCTTTTCATATGACGCTTTATCTAGCTCAGGGCCTTCATTCGGCAGTGAAAGTAAACGTGTCACCTTCAGACTAGAATGTCGGATTGCGCCTGTTCAATAAGTAGCGACGATGTCGAATAAAGTGGTTTACCAAGACGACAACTCGCCAGCCAATATTCAGACGATTGATGGATAACAACGCGTCAAATAAGCTGCGAGCATCCTGACTGCTGCAGTAAGTTTTCTTGAGGATAGAGGGCATTAACATGAGTGGGTAACAGCCTGTGAACCTCGCGGAAACAGCGAGGCAAGCAAGAGGCAAAGAAGGGAAGGGGGCCAACTTACACCTCAATTGATTCCGCGCCCCTGAATGTTGGGTCCATATATGGAAGCCACGTGGTTCCACATTTTCAGGCCCCTTGTAATTGCAGTCGCTCCTGGTCGCGGTCGCTCTTCTCACCCAACCGTCAACGTTTCTACTTCAATCTCGTTTTCCGTCCATATACCCGGCACTTTTTCATTCTGGATTCGGTGAATTGGAGCTTAACCCAGGTCTGTTCTTGATAGGGCTTGTGTTCCTCTGACTCGCCTATATTGATCAAAGCGCTCCCTTGCAGCTTTCCAACGACTCCTGGGCATCCAATGGAAAACGAAAATGCAGCTGTTCCGGATCCAAGAGAGCAGCGGAAGCTTGCGGTCGCCAAACTGAAACGCGCAGCATCACTGCCGCGGATGGAAGGCGGGCGACGTCCTCGAATGCATACAGAGGCCGTCAGCGAGGGAGAGAAGGTGCAGGATAGCAGAGACCAGACACCAGATATTGATACGCCGCCGCCTGAGGTCATAGAGCCAGAGGCGCCGCCAGTTGAAGTGGACGCGCAAATCCAGGAACCGCCAGTAGAAGAGAATATCGAGACAGAAGAAGCAGAAGAGGTCACCGCCGCTCGTCCTTCATCACGTTCGGGCCGTCGTTCACGTTCACGACGGCGGTCTTCACGGGGCTCCAAAGATTTGAAGGCAATGAAAGCTAGAAATATGCAGACCCCAACGCCTACTCATGGCGATTCTTCTCCGGAACTTGGTACAATAGGATTAAGTCCTGTCGATGCCCCGGCGATACCTCCTTCTCCAATACCGTTTGCCAGTCCTTTGTTGCGAACGCGTCTGCTCAGGTCGCCTACTCCAAATGACAGACCGAGTGCGCCACCTACACCGCTTCTACCATCTCTGGAAGACATTCAGCGGAGGGGACTCCAGCAGCTGCAACGGTCGCATAGCGCCATCGGCAGACAGACAGCAATGCACAAACTTACGGGGGGCACCGATGTTTACGATCCTTCCTTGTCTCCTTCTCCGACACCACCTCCATTATCGGCAAAACTTCGTCGTAACCTAACAGTTACTGGAGACGAACGTCTTACTAACGAGCGTACCCTTGTGCGCAAACAGCTGCTTGATGTGCTGGCTCCAAGATTCACTAAAGAAGCGGATGCCGAGGCAATTAGCGGCGAAGATCGTTCAGCGGCTACACCTTCACCTACAAGCAAACGTAGGCGGCGTAGAAAGCGTTCCTCGACGAATACCCCCGTCCCTAATGCTGGTGTTTCTGACTCCGAGTACCTCACAACTTCTACGAATACTCCCATTCCTCCACCGACCCCACTACCGCCCACACTGCCTCCTACACCATTACCTCAAACCCCTCAGCCGCATCTAGACATATTGCCTGATGTCAGGGCAAGGTCCACAACTCCAAATCATTTCCCCAGTAGTAGCGCAAGCCCGGAACAGACGAGGACATCCCCTCTCCTTGCTCTCGAAGAAGAACCTCGGACAGAACAGGATCGACCAGAGCCAGCAAGGAGGAGAAGTGTTGTCGTTGAAGAGGAAGAGGATGAACGATCACCAATGTTGTTCCAGTATCCGGGTCTTCCCCCAAGCCCACCCGAACGGACACCAATCAACGGATCTCCTTTACGAGTTCCACATAGTTCCGACGTACCATCGACTGTATCAACAGAATCCGCCCACACAGGGGTTGCCGGTGTACCTGTCTATCTCAGCCACAGGACACCGTCGAAGCGAGACACGTTTACAAGCAGTCCCTACCCAACGCCTAGCCAGGACAGAGTTCGACGTGAAGATGACGAGGAAGAGGTCCTGTATCCTGCCGATACATATCGTCTCCGAGTACCCTATGACGATGGTTATGGTCGTGAAATCAGTTGGATTGCTTCTCCAGGTCAGTGTGGTACATTCTCGAACATAACGGTACTCATCTCACCTAGTTCCAGAGATCCGCATGCCAATTGATGATGACGACGACGACATAGATAGAGAGGAAGATGATGAGTTGGACTTTGAGGATCGTCCACCGTCAAGGACCTCTGTACCAATTTTGCAGCAGGACGCCTATGATTCATCCCCTCGCGCTTCTTCAGATTCACAAAATGTGGTCATTGAGTCCGAAACGTCGCCAGACACAACTCCGTCCCAGGCTCCACCCTCGCCACCTTCGTCAATGGCTGCTCTCTCTACTTCCCTGACGCGAGCGAGCGATGAGTCTATTTCCGCCCAAGCATTTCCATTGAGGCTGTCTGTGGCATCGCCCGTGCAAGGAGAACGTTCACCTCTCAGCACAGACTTCATGGATTTGGATGATCGAATAGTGGGTACTGATGCATCAAAACGCAGCGGTGGAGATTCGGCCTCAACCAGCACTTGGGAAAAGATCAAAAGCTTTACCAGGTCTGGCTCCAGTAGCGGACGTCGTTCACGGACCAATAGTCTTGGAGCACGGGAACGACGGGATCATACTGATTCAAGTATTAGCCGTGAGAGCGGTGCGAGTCTTAACAGTGGCAGGCTGGATAAGCACGATGGGAGTACATTTGCCTTGCAGCAGTCCCAAGTTATGCAGTCACCTCCTGCTTCGGCTTCTGTGCCTTTACTGACAGGCCCTTCCGTGTCGCCTGTTCCTCTTGCTTCGGGGCTTGACTATCCTCAGTATCAAAGCTCCAAGTTGTTTCCATTCCCAGGAATGAGGAAGCTGGAAGAACAGCGTCGAGCTAAAGGCAGGATCAGTGGCTCTTCATCCACGCCAGATGTCAGTATTCTAGGTAGCGGGGTTGAAGAAGAACAAGTCCCCATGTCAGCCAAATCTTTGAATGCACTCCAAGGTGGTGAACTAAATGTCGACCACAGGATTGGACATCAAACGTCTGATACGGCTATGCGATACCGATACCTCAATCCACCTCCCATTGCGTCCTCGTCGAGTCAACAGGATTATATCAACATTCCTTCTGCCGGATCTAGCACATCAAAGCTACCTATGACGCTGCCGGCTGTACGGAAATGGCTGAACACCAAAAGGTCAAAGTTTTCATCCCCATCGTCTCCTCCTGGGGATGGTGCATCAAAGAAGGCCTCTTTCTCTGATTTACTCCGCATTAGGAAAGACAATGAGATAGGAACCGACCACGAAGAGTCGCTTACCAGTGTAACTACAAGCACTCTTGTTGGTAAGCCGTCACCGACCCTCCCTGCTGCGTCTGCGTCTCCTCGGGAGGTTTCGTCCTCTTCTCCATCGCCTCGGATGGGAGACGCAGAAAGTGAAGAAACCCCGAAGGCGAAGAAGGTTGTTCCTGCATCAGAAACAAGTGACGAATTGTCCCCCATTTCTCCGCCGGTACTCTCACATAGTAGTAGCAACATCATTTCTTCGCCTCCTGATCCACTGTCTCCAACTCCTGACCCTTCATCTTCGTTGAGTGAGTATCCGGCTCATTCTATATCTTCGACATCCTCCATATCATCGTCCCACTACTCCTCAGCCGACGCTTCTGGACCACAAGGACCCATTGTCTTGGAACAATTGGATGAGAATTTGGCCCGAGGTTCACGAAGTCCAATGTGGGCCGCTGCTATCGAAGAGCCTGCTCGCAAACTCCTTATATCATCCCCTGTTCTACAGGTGGTGAACGCCAATACAGTTAAGGATCGCTTCCTCTTCCTGTTCAATGACATTCTTGTCATTGCAAAGCCAGTCATCCAGGATGAAGACATTGACAGGCCTACCGTTGACAAGACCTTTACGGTGAAGAGTGTCGTTATGTTGCAACAACTCCGGTTCAGCGGCGATCGGACAGAAACGCAATCGAAGTCTGGCTATGCTGTACCTCCCAGGAACCCCATTCTTCGGACATTCATACACCAGTTCAACAAGGACCCCGACCAGGCGATCGCTAATCTATTTTCCAAATCGGGAATACCCGACGACCCTGTTTTCCTGGGTCAGTTGCTTTTCAGAACGATGGAGCTTGACCGGAAACAGCTTGGCGAATATTTGTCGCGTAGGACATCGAAATTTGTGCTGAAAAGCTTCCTCGATAGCTTTGGGTTTGTTGGTTTGAGGCTGGATAGGGCACTTCGCGCGTTCCTTTTCTCCATAAATGTCGCGTCTAGATCCGGTCTTGACTACCTTGCCGACGCATTCGCGATTCGGTGGTACGAGGCCAACGCTGCCATCGTCGCATACGACAGAGATCTCGCGCAAAGCTTTGTCCGTGCAATCATTCAAATGAATGATATCGTACATGGAGGAATCTCGCAAGAACCTTGCCCTACAGGACCTTCCCGCCAACAAGTCAGCTGCCGCGAGTTCATCGAGGCCTTTCGACGCGTTGATATTCGTTGTCTCGTATCTGATGAGGTTCTGAGACAAGTTTTTGATGCGACAATGCGGGAACACCTTTCCATGGCTCGTCCGTCGGGTTCGTTGGACTCCACGATCAACATCAAGCGCCCACTACCAGCACGCTTGACGTACAGGCGACAATCTGAGCCTGTCGTTCTTCGTCTACCTCAAGCCGACCCCAACTTGAGCCTTCATCTTTACGGAGAAGGGTTGGTCTTTGACCCACCCGTCTTGACCTTTGCCAGATCGTCCGAGGCCTCTTTTCGTATAACGGGTGTCTCGCTTGGACCCAAGACGATGCTCATGTGTCGGTCAGGTGCGAACGCGTTGAGATACAGCGGTCTCCCGCTTAGCAATACCGTCATTGTGGAGAGAGCGTTCATGCGTAATACGTTCCAGGTTGCCTTTAGAAACCACCATGGACTCAAGAGGCGGTATATGTTCAGTGTGGACGACCCGGTGATAAAGCACCAATGGGTCGCAGAGTTACGCAGACGGTGTGATGATGCCTCATCTACACAGACGTCGGGGACGGGGACGTTTCACTGGGCGACGGAAGTGATGGCGTTCAGAGTGTTACAGGAGACGTTGGTGGGGCCTGCGGCTGGTCCTGTTGCCAAGATTCACAAGGCGATGGAAAAGCTGAGCGGGACAAGGAAGACCAAGCTGGATAGCATGCATGTCAGATCCAAGTCGCGTAGTCAGGTGTATCATCGACATGGAGCCGGCAGAAATGAGTTGGACCTTTCTAGCGGACAGATTAGCACCGATCCAACAGAGGGAGATATTAGTGGAGATGATCATCCCGTGTGGACGGGTCGTGATTTGGAGATGCAGTGTTTGCAGAATAGTTCCATTGCGTTGGTGCTGTCGTATTTGCAGGTGGGAGCACCTGCTCCAGGGGTATCATAGCAGTGACGTGAGGAGACGTTTTCTTTGTGAGTGTTCTAACCTTGGGAAAGATGAAACGGGATGCTAATGCGCATTGGTTAGACTTTAATTAGTTGCTCGTTCTCACCATCTGTCCCAAGCTTTGTACGTTTTCTTTGATGTCTCCGCTCAGTATTATCGCTTTGCATGAATTTCTGTCTTTCGAATTCTTTGGTTGTCTCTTTCTTTTACTATTATTGATTTGGTTATGGCCTTTGTTAATCTCTATGACTTTGCTTCTAACTAGGTATACAATTGTGTTGTACGCGGCATTATCAACATGTGGAATTCTGTGCTGATCTTAAATAAAGTAATCTATAATAGACGTCATGATGAAAAAGTATGGAAACGAATTGACATGAGGCAGGCGCGCCACAGATGGAATGAATTCGATGAGAAGATTGAGATCCAAGTTCTATATGCCGAAGGGCGGGTCGCACCGTCAGGACAATCTAGACTACGCAGTCAATTAAGTTGGGGATACATATATAGCGAATCCTTATGCTTGATTTGAAAAGTGTCGCGACGCTCACCATGGCGAATGAAACAAAGGGCCCAATTGAACTATTCCGGAAGAAAGTGGTGGAGTTTACTGGTATTTGCCAATGCCAATACGGTTGATCAACAGGACTCAACCTAGACCTTTTGCCTCCATCCCTTTTCACATCCTATCTTTTTCTTGCCTCTATATTATTTAAATGCCCCGATAGCCCCCCTTCATATGGCTCGTGTATATGCAAGCGTCAACGCCACCCTGGGGAAGGGGTGGTATGATTACGGTCGGTCTGCCCTGCACTGCCCAGACATAACAGCACTGAAGGTGACTCGCTAGATAATTCCACGATTGAGTGGTCGCCGCCCGACCGGTATGAGATTGTGAGACGGATGGGTGGTGGAAAGTACTCCGAGGTCCACCTTTGCGCTTTGCTCGCTGTTCCCCAGCCTCAACGTTTCTCTCAGGTCTTCGAGGGCATCGATACAGCAAACAACGACGTCTGTGTCATCAAGGTGCTCAAGCCCGTTGCGAAAACAAAAGTGAAGCGGGAAATCAAGGTGCTCAGGAACCTCTCTGGTGGTCCGAATGTCGTAGGGTTGATAGACGTCGTGCGAGATCGTGCGTTACCTAACCTTTTTTGCACTCATATGAGTCACTGATGCGGTGGCACCAGCGTCGGGGAAATACCACAGTTTAATCATGGAATATGTGGAGAATGTTGATTGGAAGGTGCTCATTGGACGCCTGGTAGAAGCGGACATCAAACTATACATGTTCCAAATGCTCAAAGTACGTGTCGCAACTCTTTGTTTCTGACTGCCTTTAGTGATGATCACGGTGGACTACAGGCCCTGGATTTTGTACACTCGCATGGAATCATGCACCGAGACGTCAAGCCGGGGAACGTTATGATAGATCATCTAAATCGCAAGGTCAGTTCTCGCCTTTACTCGTTGAAACAGACAATGAACCGACATCTGCCCGCAGCTGCGCCTCATTGACTGGGGCCTCGCGGAGTTCTATCACCCCGGTACAGATTACCACATTCGGGTCGGCTCACGCTACTATAAATCACCCGAATTGCTCGTGGGCTATCGCAAGTACGATTACAGCCTCGACCTTTGGAGTCTCGGATGCATGTTTGCATCGATGACCTTCCGGAGAGAACATTTTTGGCGCGGCTCGGACAACAGCGATCAGCTGCTCAGGATACTAAAGACGCTTGGGACGGACAAGTTTGATCTGTACCTGCAGAAGTATGATATAAACTTTGAGACGGAGAATGACGCGCTATTAGCGAGGTCGGTGCATGCCTTTTCTGTTGAAACTGATGAGCTGACGTAGACCGCAGTTACACGAAGCGAGGCTGGACGGAGTATGTGACAAGCGAGACGCAGCACCTTGCGTCTGTGGAGGCGTTGGATCTATTGGATAAACTTCTACGATACGATCATGCTGAACGCCTAACCGCGCATGAGGCCCAAGCCCATGTGTACTTTAGTGAGTCTTTGGTTCGCCTTCTAGTTGACTCGCGTCTTACTCGTGCTGTGGCAGATTCCGTCAGATTGGAGGCTCTTTCGACCAAGGGTGAGCATGTGAGTGATTCAGGCTTCTGTTCGACATGATAGAGCCCCAAGCTGTGTTATTTATTGAGTTTGATTTTATTCATTATTGCCATTGGGACATAATAGCTGCAGCATGTGTACTATTCATACATTGTTATCGATACAAGTACTGCACATTAGGTGTCATTCGAAGCAGGCGAAGATCAAAGCAACGGAGATGATAAACCCCGTGGGCAAAGAATAATATCTGACAACAATAAGCGAGCAATGAAATGACCCCGCTATCTCACGGCGTCATATAGAAGTACGTGTGTACCATCGGAAAATCTATAGCTGTCTGGTGAATAGGCAAGCAATGTACATCGCTCCCACCCCTTATCATGTCGGCAACAGCAAGGCGCGCATGAGGTAGGCATGCAGTTTCAAGGCGCTGAGATTGAAAGAGAATATATTGCCAGACCCCATGCCTGATCATCCATCCATCCAAACAGCCCGACCATGGCAGACCAACGGAAACACCGCCCTTACACCAGCTCGAAGAGGAGGACCGAGCCATGGCAGCCAATGGTGGAGACGTACATCTGGGTAGAGGAGCAACGGTGGGCGACGGCGCAGTGGGTGTTTGAGCAGCAGATGAGGACGATATACGGCGCCAGTGTCGATGATAAATATAGGGCCAAAGCAGAGAGACGCCGGGCAGACGAGAATCGACAGACCGTCGAGGAGATAGCTAGCAGAATCGCAGGGAAACGGAGTCGCAGGATTCAGGACAAAGGAGAAACCGTCAAAGATAACGTGGACAGACTACCAGACGCGATGGCAGGCCATCCACTCATCATCTTCATCGTCGCCGTTATCGTTCTCCTCCATCCCATGGCCACAGAAAGTCCAGCCAGCCTCACCATCCGACATCTCTCCTACTGCTATCGCCAGCTTCATATTCGCATACCCCGGCACGCAATCGCGCAAGGAGCGTATTCGCAGTGCCCAGTTGACGTGGCATCCAGACCGATTTCAGAGGCTATTAGGCAGAGTTGCAAAGGAGGAAAGGGAGAAGGTCGTGGAAGGAGCGGGAATCGTCGCGCGGGCGCTGAATGATTTGAAATAGGGACTATTTACATATGTTTAGTTTCGAGGCATTTTGCTTAGTACTCCGGCCGAATTTGTTGCTCAGTAATTTATCATCATCGCCATGTTCCGTCTAACGCGTCTGCCTCTTCGTCGTTGTCTTCATACCGCCGCAGCCCCTCGGACACGCCAACTCTCACGGGCAGGTATTGCTCTTGGCGCGTCGGCCGTTGCTACCTATTTCGCATGGCGGACCACTCATTCACCTCTTGCTCTCGATGCGCCAGCTGGTGAGCCTATCTTGTGTACCCCAAAAAACGTTTATTTAGCGATCCTTTAGCTGCTGCGGTGATACCGGAAGAGGAAGAAAAACCACCAACACCCACCGTAGAAGAGCCGCAGAGTGAGAGTAGTGGAGGCGGCGGAGGTGCTTACAACCCAGAAACCGGCGAAATAAACTGGGACTGCCCATGTCTCGGTGGAATGGCGCATGGGCCTTGTGGGCAAGAATTCCGTGACGCTTTTTCGTGCTTTGTGCACTCTGAAGATGAGCCGAAGGGCATCAACTGCGTTGAAAAGTTCCAGGCGATGCAAACCTGTTTCCGGGCTCATCCTGATGTATATGGACCAGGTATCTCTTTATTATTCTTCCCCGTGGCTAGCTCTAATACTCCTTAGACATCATGGAAGATGATGAAGACGAGACGCCTGCCCCAGCATCCGCCGATGCACCATCACCTGTTGCCCCGGCAGAATCTCAATCTGAACAGCAGCCTCAAAAGAAAAGCAGCAAATTATCTGCACCCCCGTCATAATGCGCTCTCTTAGACTTCACCTCACCACTCAGTTGGATAGCCATAATTAATACACATTTCACAAGCAAAACAATACGCAAATACTACAAGAAAGGCTCAGTCCATCCTAAATCTCTTCTCGATAACGTCTGGACCATCACTTCTCCTTGACCATCTTATATCCATTCGTAGAGAACAATTTTGACCGCAAGAAAGGAGTGATATCGAAGATGTCGTGCTCCTTGGCCTACAAACAGTTGTCAGCTCATATGAATTACGGGAAGGGACCTCCTCTCACCCGTTCTTCCAAGTCCGTGAGCTTGACAGTGACGACCTCTGGCTGCTGGTGGCGCAATGACTGGAGGAACCGCACCTTGTCCTTCACAAGTTGACCCAACAAGAAAGCCAAGAGCTCTTCATGATCTCGCGACTGGGTAAGGTATTTTCTAAAGCCCTGCATCAAACCGTCAGCACCTCGGAGAGCTACGAGAGGAAAAGTCGGCTTACTCTCTGCAAAGTCTTCTTAATGCTCATCTTCTGCGCACTAACAAAGCTATTCACAGCGACCTCGATGGCTAAATCAATGTCGTCCGCCCTAACGTACTCTCGGAGAGCCATCTTTGCGCTCGCCTCTGCCATTCGTATCATGCTCTCCAAATGCCGAACAGTGATTGGGTAGGAACCGGTAGCCATCGACTCCCGACGCAGGTCCGCAAACAGCTTAGACAGTTTCTCTTGGTCCACGTCGAACAACTTCGGGCGTATCTTTTCTCTTGCGTACATAATGTACTTGCGGAGCACGTCCTGGGGTATGATCTTTAAATGAAATCCAATCAACCTCTGAAAGATTATAAAATGTAGAATTACCCACGTCTTCGTCCAGAGTTGTTCCCACATCCATCTCATCCAGCTCTTTCTCAAATTTGGGATGGCTCCTCAAATGACTCCCCACCACGAACCTTGCCAGCAGCTCGTCCATAACAGGGTCAACGTTGTCCTTCACAACACATAGAACATCGAACCGAGACAGAATCGGTTCTGTCAGCTCTACGTTCTGCTGGAATGGAATCGTCGGGTTATATCGCCCGCGTATAGGGTTGGCAGCAGCGATGATTGCGCAACGCGCCTGCAACGTTGTCACTATTCCTGCTTTCGCGATGGAGATAGATTGCTGCTCCATGGCCTCGTGGATGGATGTCCGATCTGCATCGTTCATTTTGTCAAACTCGTCGATAAGACATGTTCCTTTATCCGCCAACACCAAGGCCCCGCCCTCCAGTGTCCATTCTCTGGTTACCGGATCCTTGCGTACGCTCGCTGTGAGACCAACAGCAGATGCACCCTGGCCTGTTGCAAACACACTCCGGTGCGCTGTTTTCTCCACGTATTTGAGGAATTGCGATTTCGCAGTACCTGGATCGCCGAGTAGGAGAACGTTGATGTCACCACGAATTCGTAGTTTGTGGTTGATATCTTTCGATACACCCCCGAAAAGGGAGAGGGCAATGGCTGTCTTGATGTCTTCGTGTCCATATATACTGGGAGCAATGGACTTTATGATCCGCTTGCGGATCCGTTCATCACGAGCAAGGGCGCGCATGGCACGCTCATCCTCTTCAGTGAGTCGGAATGCGGCGAAGAGATCTTCTTTTTTGTTCACGTGGTTGGCCTCGATGACAGTGGAGAAGACGGGGAATCCATTACGGGAATTGAGGGATGCATCGAAGTTGTTGCGGTAGATACCGGTGACCTCCTACGAAGAGAGCTGAGGAAAATTGAGGGCGGAAAGAATACGGAGTAGACGTACGATCTCCTCGCCTGGTTTGGCGCTGTCAATGAGATCCCACAGAAGGACAATTTCACGATGACGAGGAAGACGACCGGCTGGTACAGATCCAGGGGATTCTTGTAATGTCATACGCTGATAGTTTCTGTATACCGTCTACGATGACGTTTAAGACGCTTTTCTTTTTGTAAAATATCGATACAATACACTTGCCTGTTCGGAGTTGACCTGGAATGGTCCCTTGCTCTCGCAGGCTGCACAGTAGCTAACCTTGACCTCCGTCGTCGCATCTTGGTAAAACGGCCCTAGGACGGCTCCGCATTTTCGACAGTCAAATTTGACATACTTGAGTTGTGGGAATACACCGCTTCTACGGGTGACAACGCCAGAAATGCGAACAAGGTTGCTCAGATTTGATCGACGAAGGTCGCGAAGAGAGGAGCTCAATGGGAGATCGGCGATACGGACATGCACCTCGGAGTGGATGCGTTCATAGGCTGGATAGTATACGAGGATGGCAACAAGGGCAACTTCATCGAAGATATTGAGCATGGAGGCGGGTGAATTAGTGAGGAAGTAGGCCAGGATAGGCTTAGAATTAGCCAGATGGAGGTATGAAACTTCAAGAGATTCGGCATTGGCTGAGTGCTAATCAGGAGGCTGAGTGAGAGAATTGAGAGGTAGGACGTACTTTCTCCTAGGTTACGAATGCGCGCGCCGTAGACCGATGAACCGCTTTCGTCGACATATGTCATGAGGAAATGGCGGAAATGGCGAATGATTGACCGTCTAACACGTTCGTTGGCGATCCATTCGACAATAGATTTGGCTTTGATATCGCTCAGCTGCTCGACAGGTAGTTCCTGTGACTAAAGTGAGAAATGATAGGTCAGATAGAGGGAGAAAAGAACTCACATCCTCGATACCATCCATATCATCTGCGTCCCTTCGCTCGTCGTACACTCGTCGCGTGCGTCTCTTCATTCTAGACACGCCAAGGTCATCCTCTGACTCGTCTTCGGCATCCATATCATCATCTAGAAGGAAGTCTGGGACACGGCTTCGTTGCGCTGCGCGTGTTCCCTTCTTTCCAGCGCGTTCCTTGCGGTCTCTTTGCGCCATCGCTAACTCGGCTTTCCGGCGCGCCTCTGCAGATATCTCATCAAGGTCTTCGTCGTCATCGATGCCTGCATCTGAATATTTATCCAGGAGCTCATTTGCAGCGTAATCTCTGCGATTTGTGGGTCAGTACGCGATCAGACGCGTGGAAGAGTGTGATAGCTTACTCCTCGAGGTTGTCAGCGAAAAGATCTTCTCCTTCATCATCATCACCCTCGTCATCTTCTACGTCTCTAACGGCATCCCTATCATCAAGACTATCGTCGGTGTCTGAGAATGGCGCAGGTGGGGAGGAAGGGGGCAGAGACGACTGCGAAAGACGACGCTGGGGCGTTGCCTGTATCGGTGGCGACGATGCAGGATCAGCAGATGGTTCGCGTCTTCGTTTCGCGCGTCGAGGGGTCTGATTTTGAGACTAGAATATGTCAGAGAATTCTGACATGTACATTAAATGAGCAGCTTACCATGATGGAGATGAGAAAGAGGCAAAAGACAACGCGACGCGCTTTCCATTTAGCGGAGTCTCAATCGTGAATTTCCCACGTTTTTCCCCCATTTCTCTGCTTAACTCGGCAAATTAATTGCTATTGTACGTATCTAGTACTATCTACCAGTAACGTGATAGCTATATCAGGCGGACCAAATCATGTGGGGACTCTACTACGACGATGCCTCCCAACGTCGCCAACAGTGCTGCAGCCAAGAAAGCCGCCGCCAAGAAGGCCAAAAGAAAAGTGTCCCAGCGGGCTAATAATGGTAAGTTCTCTGACAATATTTTCGTCAGAATACAACCACTGATGAACGATATTGTAGCCAATCAAGTAGAAGCCGCATCGTCCCAGATCGATGAAGGTGACCCAATGATACCATTATCCTACGGTGTTGTGAAAGACACAGGTTCGCTGCTCCGATTTATCTTTGCTCTATATTCACATTCGGATACCAGCTCTTCCTGAGGAATACGGCGACACAAAATTCATGATTTTGGAAAGTGACCCCGACAAGACATGGAATAAAGACGACTTTGATGGGTTGCTAATTACTACTCAGCCTCCTATAAACATGGACACTACCCTCGCTGATTTCCCGGGTGGCTGGACGGAATGCATCATTTCCGCTCCACTGAAAAGCACCATTCTTGCAACCCCAGGCTATCCTCTTACCATCAAGCAGCCAGACACACGGGCGCATCGCATCTCTCCATCTCCGGGGAAAGGCCTAGGAATGTTCGCGACGCGCAAATTAGCTGCAGGCGCGCTCATACTTTCTGAAAGAGCTCTGTTAATAACGCCTGCTACCCGGGGAATAAAGCTGGATCTTTCGGGCAAGTACCCCGTAGAACAAGCCAAACAAGCGATGCTCTTTGACTGGGAAAAATACCTTGAGCATGCTTTCAATCGTATGCCTAAAGAGTATCAGACGGCTTTCATGGCGCTGCACAACAGTCATACTCAGGACGGAAGTGGCCCGCTCACGGGAATCCTTCGAACAAATGGCTATGGCCTTAACGGTTTGCACGATGAAGGTTTGTACAATAACATAAATAATTCTATCATATTTCCTGATCGTCTTACAGGGCGCCCTGGTCTGAAGGGAGCTTACTCGGGCGTCTTCAATGAACTGTCCCGCCTTAATCATAGGTCAGATCGAACACAGTTTGAGTCTACACGGGCCTTGACTTCATTCCGTCTGCAGTTGTCGTCCAAATACGGATCGTACATTCGACATGGCGTCTTTTGCCATGGAGATTCGTGCTGCCCGCGATATTGAGGAAGGCGAGGAATTGACGACGTACTACTCGGATTTACTCGTCTCGACTGCCACGAGGCAGAAACATCTCGAACCCTACGGTGTACGCTGTGATTGTGAATCTTGCTCTTATGCTAGCGTATCCGATGACCGTCGAAGGGAGATTGCAATGAAATGTCAAAAAGATGTCCTTGCGGACCGATTGCACCGATGGTGCATGGATCCAGGTCTATCTGACGACTTCACACTTCGGGAGGGTGAAAGGCTGCTGAAGCTCGTGGAGGATGAGGGCCTTGAAGTAGAAACCAGCTACAGCGAAGTTCTGTTTCATTTGATCATGGTTCATTCAGCGCTGGGGAACAGTGAAGAAGCAAATCAGTATACGACTAGGTGGACGAAGGCACACATCTCCAGAGGGCGCTCTTTCAAAGATCTGTTTGAGGAGATCGTGACGCTGAAGCGAGGCCTTGACACTGTTTTAAATTGTCGTGGAGAAGGTAGTGGGAACGTCGACAGAGCGACAGAGAAATTGAGAGAGATGAGGGTCTGAGCTTTTGAAGATAGTCTTCCTACTTTCCTTCGCGTCTTTGTTCTGATAAGTAACTTGGAATGAGAGCATTCGTCTTCGCAATGTACCGATCAAGGAGTAGTAGTAGTCGCACTGGCAAAAGGTCCCTATGATCAAGTACTTAAAAAGTTCCTGCTGGATGACGTCATAAGACTTGGCTCCTTCAAAATGGCGAACTCAAGTCTAGGGACCACTACCAGTGCGAGTACCCCGACGCCTCCAATCATTGTACCAAGTCTGGGAAATAACATAATTCTCAATCCTTTACAGGTGAAAGGCGTGCTCATTCATCGAACTGGACAGCGGTCTTACACTTTTTACAGCGCGGCAATCCTGTTCTTGAATGCATTCGAAACGTCGGCAAAGAGTATGGAGACATTGTCGCAGATTACCAGGTTGGAAAGACTACAGGAGTTCTGTTCCTCAGGTACGCGACACTATATCTTCGGTGCTACTGTTTGAAGTAATTCCTCAGTCTGAAATACCATCGACTTCATCCTGAATATATCCATACTCGCATCGAAAAGTTGGGCCATTCTTATAATTTGAGGATCTTGTTAATCCTCTCCGATATTGCGAGCATTTTCTCCGTTGATAAGGACTCGGAAAGCTGATTCGGCTGCCTAGAGCGAGCACAGAGACCCAATACGAGAGTTGACAAAGGCTAGTCGACTTTACCATTTCGGTGACGACATCCAAGATTTACTTGCAGGAAACAGACCTGTCTCATTAACAACATCACTATCATTGTGGCCTTTTCGTACGCTCGTCTTGTATCCTGTCTGTCACTATATTCCTCATGAATTCAGGTTTGAGGAGGCTGGTCATTATCTTTCAACGTTCAAGCAATTCGAACACAAGTCCCCAGATCTCATCAAAGAACGCGCCGACAAAAACTACATTTCCATGCTACGGACATCACTGACGAGTATCAGCAAAGTCAACAAAACGGATGTTGAGACGCTTCGTTCATCATTCGGCGTATGGTTCCCCTCTTGCAGTCATCCGGCACACAATTCACCTTCATGCTGCAGAGCTTTGCCAACATCGCGAAGGCTGGAAACCGCTCAGCTTCAAAATTTACCTGGATTCGGACAAGTCAAAGCCAGGAACATCAAAAATGCATTTGAGAAGCCGTTTAGGAACAACGCTACCACCTCGCTTGCCGTGCTCTCTACCATGAAGGAGCAAGAATCTGATGCCCAGCCCACTACTAACAACTCGAGCTCGAAGGGTAAAGAGAAAGCAGCGATACCAACATCTCCCCCCGTTCGACCTCCGAGATCACCTAGTCCGGTGTGGGATATAGAGCTAGACCTTACTCCTCCACCTTCACCCGAGGCACGCTGGGCCTAGGCAAGCTGAGGCCTGAGAATGGTGCAGCTCAGAATTGGGTTGTAGATTTAGATACATTATGAATGTATTGATTGATATTCACTTGATTACAGACTTGATAAAACATCCAGCGGAAATCGAAATATCTACACGACTATAAAAGACTGAGCTAAGCTATGATAATGCAAGTTTCTTTGGTGAAAGTCTATACAGGCTTCTTGAAATATTGATGGATCTGCTTATTCCTTAGGTCGGTGGCAGATTTAATCTGATACGCCAGTCGCAGGGACAATTTTTTGAGAGACAGTTTAGTACGGGTACGATCTAGGTGCGCCGCACGCGTATCGTCTAGGGAAAGTCCTGTGTGAACAAGCTAGGCGAGCCGCAGATAGCTAGATACGTACCTATCTGTGAGTGCACGCCCTCGATGGCCAGCCGAACACCTTGCAAACCCGTGTAAGATTTATCAGATTTGCTAGGGCTGCCAATAGGCGGAGGGTTTTTCATTTCTTGGGCGACATAGCCGTCGATATTTGAAAGGGCAACTGCTAATAACTCAGTCCAAAAGCCCATGTCGACGTAGTCTGTCTCGTCGCAAATGTTGAAAACTCCAGACGTCAAAATCGCATCGATGATCTCCGTGAGAGGGGGAAGATCTGAGTACATGTCCTATCAGAGGCGAATGTGTCAGGCCCGTAGTGTCGATGAAGTACAGCAGATTCTTACCGACGATATACTTTCTGTTCCAGTGAGAACACAATGAGCAATGTTTCTTGCAATCCGTTGCGCACGTCCAGTTCCCGCCGAAATAAAGGATATCATATGTGCTTTATTGATAGGTGTCAGATCGAGGGCATGCTTGGCGACTTTGCTACAGATACGACTTTCCTATGTAGATGTTAGTGAAGTATAGAGGGTAAGATACTGGCAGCGTACAATTGACTTAGATATGTCGTCCCCTGGAGCGATTGAATGACACAAAGTGTCGACTGCTTTGACAACATCCAGCAGTATCTCGCTTGAGCTCGATGTATCAAGTGCAATCAATAGAAGGATCATAAGGATATCTGGGATTTCGTTCGTAACCAGTCGTCCCGATCTAGTTCAGTGGCGTGTGAGCATTTCAGAAATAGCGGTTGCAAGAGAACATACCTTGCACTCATAGTCACTAATGCCACCATGCGATATAAAGTCTCTTCTTTGCTCGGAGGTGGACTGGCCGCCTCAGATGGCTGTGCCCAACCAACTGATTCAATAACAGAGGGCTTAGCGCCGAGGTGGATGATGGCGGAAAGCATTGAGTCAAACGACACTCCGCAAGCTCGACAATCGGGCATGTTCCATATGTTGATGAGAGCTGAAAATGCTGAAAATGATACAGAACTTTCGTGAAAGCACAGTGCTAAAAGAAGTGATTAGAGAATTCAGAAAGAAGTAAACCAGCCAGAATATTGTACCTAAATGGCACAAGGTACGGAATGACAGCAGGATTTTTCTGCGAATCGAGGTTGAGGAAGATTCCAGATTGCAACAGTAACGCAGCCTGCGTAGTATCTGGCATGGATTCATTCAGTGCCAACAGAAAGATAAAAGAGAACTGACTCTGCTTGGCGATGGCATCCCCGAATAGCTTCAAGGCAGGCGTGTCTTCTTCGTTGAACGGAAGTAGACCCGACTGCCAATCCATCGCGGTGTCTTTGGGTTCATCCCACAAGGGCACACCCAAATACTTCTGTTGCATTCTGATGTTTTCGATCTCGCGCTTGTCGCCCTCCAGAATCCCCAAGACAGCCTTTCCACGCTTCTCTCCTAGTAACCTTTGTCCTCCTTCCTGATCGAACGACAGGTCGCCGACATCTAATAAATCTGTTGAAGGCCCATTCAAAACATCGTCCTGGTTTCGTATCGCGTCTAATGCCAGATTCTCGGCGGCCAAAGAACTTTCCGCGACGACATCACCACTAGCAAGAGCATTTTCTGCGCGAAGAAGCCCAGCGGCACCCCCTCCACTGCTTTCGCCGCGTTTTTTCTCCCTCAGAAGAGCGTCTATCGGGTTAACTGACTTCCTTTTAGGCGCCTTCGTCACGAGTGTGACAAGCCCTCTAGCGGGGACGGTACGTGTCCGTTTCGAGGCACGAGGAGGAGAAACTGAATCGTGACGTGAGCTAGAGGGTGAAACTTTATTTCGAAGACTACGCCTTGGCCTTTCAGAGGGACTAGGGTCTCGTTGTACCCTATATATTTTGTTTTCAAAATAGTTCCCGGAGGTATTGAGACAACGTACGCTTTGCCTTTTCCCTTGCCAAAGAGCTGAGTGGGCAAGACATCATCATCATCACTGCTGCTGTCAAGGTCTTCATTGAACTCGGGAACGGACGACGTCTCAGGGCTGGATAAAGCCTTTTGCCAAGCTTTCTCTTTGATTGCAGCGATGAGTTTTGCGGTTCTAGCCATAGTCGGTGACTCTATGGCAGCAGATGCAGAAGAAACATCGGTTGGCGGCGGTGTGTGCTGCTGAAAAACGGGTGGTGTGGCAGGACGAGAGGCAAAGGGGCTCTCGGCAGGAGTGAACATGGGTGACGATGCATCCTCACTATCGGCTACGACATCCTCAACTGGAACAGGAGATGCGGTACCATGACGCCATTGATTCACGTCCGGCTTTGCGATGTTCGCGTCGCGCTGAGGACGGAATTCGGATGTCATTTCCTCCTCATCTGACAGGCTCCCAGGGACGACGTCGGTGTTGGCGTCTGGAGAAGAGAAGCGAAGCCGCTTTCTATCGGTCTGGGGCGGGTCTTCAGGGGCTATGCTGGCCGAAATGTTCATTGGAGGACGAACAGAAGAACGTGGAATGTAAACAACGGCATCGTTTGTTGTCGAATCGGCACCCGAGTCATCCAGGTCGAACTTTGCCTTGCGTTTGGTCGCAGCTCTCTGGCTGGGCGATAAGGGTGTTGGGCTCTTGGCGCTGTTTACCGACCTCCCTACATGTATATCCGGAGTCCTAAAGCGCTGTCGAGTCGACACAGAGGGCGAGAGAAGCGACTTTGATGATTTAGCTGCGTTTTGTACACTCCCACGCGACGACAAGGGCTCTCTCGTTGACGCGCCGACCCTACCAGTTAAAGTCGACATACTACCGCCAGCGGGAGTGACTGGCGTGGCAAGCTGAGTTGATTTGAGCTTTTGCCTCCGTCCTTGTGGCTGATCTGCTTGCCCTACTCTGGCTGGAGCCCATAGACGCGGTGGTGGACTGCTGCTTCGGCTGCGAGGCCGAAGCAGCCTTGGGAAAGAAGAAGTCCGTGATGGGTTTGCCAGGATTGGGTGGCGTCTTTTTAGATGCCCGGACCATGCTGGATGAGTGTGGTACGAGCTGACTGTTAGGGTGAAAGACGCGTCTTATTTCACAAATGAGTGAGAAAATTGAAGGTTTCCATCACGTGGTCGTGTAGCCCCCCGACACCGTGTGACTTAAGTTCTTGATTTATCTGACTCCCGAAATAAATTATCCCGGTCCGACCTCCGACCTTGATGGGCGAGGCAGCCAACACTAGCCGCCCAAAACTTGTCTTTATAGGCCAATGTTGTCGGAATTTTAGGTTTCGCAGTAGGTAGACTAGTGGCTGGTAAAGCCAGACTAATGAACTTGTATTCACTGGCTCCTACAGAGCCAATATTTATACTACGAAAGTATCTAGAGAGTTCTACGAAAAGCATCCATAAACAGTATCTATCTGACTAAAGCTCACCCGGCATCACGCCGGCTTGAACCTTCCATCATCTTGCGACATCTCCAACAAATGCCATGCCACCCAGACTCAGTGCTAAATCTTTCGTTTCTCATGTGCATAATCCAACAATTCAATATTCAAAGTTCTTCGAAAGAGCGCAGGTTTGACGAGGAACGAACTGAACGACTCAGATGATGGATCTTCATTTTCTGCACTTCCTAATCTGGGAGAAAGCATGAAAAAGAAAATATTAGTTGTCACCAAAATGTCACACAAGTAACACGCACGACCCAGAGGCACCCTCAATAAAATCTCATTTTCCGCATCCAGGGCAACAGTGTACGACATCGTGCAAAAAAACATCGCACTCTGAGCAAAACTCGTTTCGACATTCCGGACACCGATACCTACCCACCGCACTCATGCCTTCTGCAGTAGAAGAAAGAGCTGTCGTTGGAAAAGCTCGCGCACATGCGTGGCATGTCGGCGATGGACCTGCTTCTTGTAAAGATTTTCTAATAAAGTTTATACATCAGAATTTGGTGCGAAAAACAGTGGAGACACTCACACAGCATCGAACGGCTTAACGGGGAACAGGTGGTGGTAACTCCGAGCTAGATGCGGAGAACTCACAATCATCAATCCACAAACATCGCAGTCAGTGGGCACGTCGCAGACTTTGGCCAGACACCGAGGACAGATGTACCCCTCGCTCTTGAGATCTGAATGGCAGACACACAGGCTTGGCGGTGATGCGTCCGGGAGACGTGTCGGGAATCCCATCATCATCAAATCCGCAGCAGGATTAGTCGAGCCTGTACGAGTAGAAGCTTGCTGTGCGGGAGGAGGTATAAGTTCGAATAAAAGGTCTTTGAAGTGTCCCTCGTTCATCGCGACACCAAATTGACCTATTAAATATAAACGAGGAAGGACGCTGTAAATTTAGTTCTCTTACCGCCTGTTTTGTCACAGAGATCTCTGCATATCTTCATCTCTGCTGCGAGTGCAACGACGGAAATTCTTATTTTGTTTCTTACGCAGGAGTCTAACGTGTCATGGATGTTTCCAGGATCGCAAGTAGTCAGAGAACCAAATATGATGAGAATTTCGCGCGAAGAGTGCGTGGGCAGGTGGCTGGTAGGATTTAGCATACATAAAACGCAAATTGAAACGTCGCACATACTTCATGCTATTCCGCGCCATTTCAATGGCATTCTGCAAGCTCGGTTCTCCCGTTGGTAAGAGTTTATGTCTATCCGATATTGTTTTGAGAACTTCCTGGGGGTTTCCTAGAGAGAAGGGGAATCACCTCACCAACACCAGCCCAAAAACGAGAGAAGTTACCAGACATTTCACATATTCGTTCTCCTAAGCCTGAACGCATGCCCACGATGCCTATCTGCCCCAACGGATTCTGGTCGAACCACTCCAAGATGAATTCCCGAGCATACTGGAGGGTCAAGGTAAACCGCGTCGGTCGCATGTCCCGGTCGAGCATAGAAGCAGAGAGGTCCAATAAAAGAACAAGATGTCGAATGATTGACCGCCGTATTGCTGCAGCAGGCGCCTGTAATCTTAGAGCAGTGTTAAACCAAGTACTTTCTGACAACCTGGTGGCTGGTACCTCCTCCGTCGACCTCTAGTCATCCAATCTTCGACGGCACTTTGCAGGCTCCCAGCTTCATCTTCTCGGACAGTGTCCCATGAACGCGTATAAGACGCCTCCCAGGTGTATGCTTGCTGTCTTCATGTTCAAGTCAAATTTCATACACGAAAAAGGGACGACCTACGACATCCTTTGCTTTTCCTTTTCCTTTGTCATCCCGTTTTCGTTTATCAGTGGCCTTTCCCTTTCCCCTCCCTTTGGAAACGTTGTAGGCGTCATCGCCTAAAGATATATCAGAGTCCGAGCCCGCATCCATAAAGTCATTGTCACGGGGAGGCATGGTGGTAGCATGCAGAAACAATTCAAGGCCTTTCCATTTTGGTACGCTCACCTAACGAGCCATTGGACCGCGCATCAAGTTCAAGTACTCATTCAACGCTTAGGAAATGACTAGGCTGGACATAACATTAGGCGGAAATACCAAAGAACACCGGGTAGATGTGAGAAAATTCGTGATATAGTACAGTATTGAATCTAAAAATTATGATCGTTATGTAGTAGTAACTATCGCAAATTGCCTGCAGACGTCCATGCCCCAAACTCCTCGGAATCATCTTTAAATGAGTTGTCGTTATGAGTGCTTTGCCGGGGAGTATCAACGGGATGTCGTTGAGTATCGACATCACCCTCCGAGTCGGAGTCTCTATCAGCATCTTCGGATTCCTGAGTTTTTCATCAATCCTACACCCTCTTCCCCTGGTACGTGCGGCTTCACTATCCGTGGTGCATCGCTCGTATTACGCTGAAGATTCAAAGGGTGTTGATGATGGTCGATGTCCTCATCCTCAATTTCTTCGGCGTCACTGGCATCCCCTACCGTCCATAGAACCTGCTCTTCATCGTCGTTCTGATGATGGTCATCGGCCTCCCCGGTAAGACTAACCTTACTCGTGCTTGCTCTCTTCAACTTTCTGCCGCGCGGATTAGACGAAACCACAACTGCAGATGCGGACCCCAAGGCCTTGGAACCAGGCTCGGGTTTTTTATGTGTCAAGAGCACGACCCCCGAGATGAGGATGAGGATAGAGACGAATATGAGAAATAGTGTCCAAGACTGATACGAGTCAACCTCATTATTGAATATCTGAACAGGACGAAGATGAGCAAGGGGCAGCATGAAACATAGATTGTGTTCACCAAGGAATCAAGGAACCTGGAATGTAAAGTAAGGTTAACAAAGAAGCATGCGTAGAGTTAGATATACGAACCCAGTAGCAGTGTATACGCCAGTAAAACACGGGCACGACCAACGTGGAGTCAGTAAACCTTCAGTCCGCGGTTCAAGCAAACAATCTGAAGGACAGCAGGTAATCACTAGCAGGACAATAGTGAAAATGGGTGCGACATGGCCGAACTGATTGCCCGGGTTCTGGTGTGACAAAGATCCAGAGAGAAGTTTTACCCTAAGATTGGAACGATACAATCAAAAGGTATTTTGATTCGAAAACGACTGGACTTACGTTGCTTTAGCGAATACCAAAGTACCTCCCGCCAATCCACCACCACAGCATGCCCAACCAATTCCAAGAGTCCAAGGCGATTGTCTTGTCGTCTTTGGGGGCGGTCCATAAGCTCAAGCCAATCCGTGACATGCAGCTGCAGAAATGCCCAGACTCTTCTAGCAGTAGACACAAGACTTGAATCCTGACCGCCACCGGTGATGACGGGATTGTCACTGTCACCGACGATGTGCCCTCTGTTCCCCAGCAGCTCATCCAGCTTGGAGGTAAAATAAAGAAGTAAAATCAAGGCAAAGGACATTACGAAGAAGAAACTGAGCCATCCTCCTCGTCTCCATAACTGAGTGAGATGTTCAACATCGGTCTCGGTCGCAAGACCACTGTTGATGGATCCAAATGCAACGATACCAACGACACCAATGATAACGACGATAGTGCCCTGTGTTTCGCCATCAGATGGGCGAGAGGAAGTAGGAAAGATGAAACTCACATATATGTCTGTGCTCGTCACTGGAGTACCAACGAGGAATCGAGCGAAGAGAAAATTGAAGACGAGTGAGGTAGAACCAAGCGGAGCAACATATTCTGGATCATGCTGTGTAAAGATGGAGTAAAAGTGGTAGGTAAAATGCAGTTACCAGCTCGCATGTATTCCAACGCAAGAGTACTGCCAATTAATTGCGACAAACTTTGGAACTGTCAATCACAGATCACCCTGGTGACAAGGAATAGACTTACATGTATAACAACATGCCAAGAAGCCATAGCGGCCTTAACCAATCCTTTCTTCGCGACGCTTTCGGTATGGCCTGCGTTCGCACCTGGTAAACAGATGAAGCGTTAAGAGAGAAATACAAGAGCCCCAGATAGGTGCACAATGTCCACGAACATGGTCCAACTTTGTTAAATTCAGTCCAGCCGCGTTCAAGACTGAAGCCAGAAGAATAATCGCGAGACCGATGATGAATGCTACAACTGGGCTGGCATGATGGGCAGGAACCGGGTCAGATACGGGGATCGTTGGGGACTCTTCGTCCATGCAATAGGATAAAGAGACTTGTAAGGTCGTATGAAGGGAAGAAAAGAAATGGTACAGATAGTAATCAGAGGAGAAAGGCAATGGCGTGTTTGTTTGTATTGCGCAACGGCCGTCATGACATGAGCATGCTGACGTACACAATATGAGGTTACTCTCGTCATCGCCTCAGCGTAAAGAGTCGAGCGCACAGATGATAACCAGGGATGGTTCTGTTCATGGATCCTTCTGGACCGCTGTACCATGGAATTCTGCCCTATCAATTGATGTCAATCATCGAATGAATGACCACACCTATCATCTTCGACTGGAGATTCCAATAAAGGACATACCAGCCAAGCAAACTGGAAAGGTATGTATTTTTTTTGTTGAAAATAACAAAATGAGAGGGCCGATCCTACTTTTGAGCAACTTGGGAACGCCAAGACGCGTTCTTTGCTTGTGTTGGGCATTCGGCGCTCATGATCATCTGACCGGAATTTCCTTCGCTTCTCTTGAGATTCTTCATTCAAGTGCGCATGTGTGATCCATAATAAGTTCTCATGGTCCTTCCCACAGGTCAACGGCCGGCGCACTGTATTCACATCATGGTACATACTTCGACGACTCCGACTTGGAGACTATACTCAATTGTAATTGCCTGCCTTGCAGTACAATTGGTTGCTTGCTAGTCGGATCTTGTTCTTCGGATGTTACGACTCACAGATCTCATTTCTCCTGAATTTTCAACCGTGTTCTTACTCCGGACGCCTTTTGAAACCCCAAAAGTCATAACCTGGCAGCCCGGCAGGATCTTGGAACCAATAACATGGATGAGTCAAGTATTCTGGTCTCGCGAGAAATTCTTAACAGAAACCAAAGTTTCCTGCCATCTTTCCTGGTGTACATATCTCCGGGAATTTCAGCTTGAGAATGAATCGTTTGGACATGAGTTGGGTGCTGTACCCAAATGCGACCCCCCATGTTTACCGAGGGTTTTCACCCTTTATGTTATAGGTGTCTGTTTTTATGTTATCTCTGCTCAATTGTGGCTGTCTGACATGCTTTCAAATCATCACGGTCCGTGAAATCACCTCTGCGAACAGTTCCTCGATCTTCGCCGGATCTCATCCGGTCTTAGCGTATAAATCATGTCCCAACCATCCAAGTCGAGTTTACCACCATCTACTCCAATGCCTGCTCCAGTTTTTGACGATATCAACTCCGAAACAAAGTCTGGTAAAGGCGTTGGTGGTATTTCAGGGGCCCACCGCACGCCCAGCCTGCTCGCCAAGTTCTTGGACTCGCACAAAGAACTCAAGAGCTACAGGTAAATAGCTTTTTTTGTAAAGGCGATTTCTCAACTAACAACGTCCATAGGAATGGTCGCCCGGTGAAAGTAGATGGCCACACACTGTCTATCGCAGCTGTCACAGCTGCTGCACGATACAACGCCACAGTGACCTTCGACAGTTCACCCCAAGTTAGAGCCAACGTTATGAAGAGTCGTGCTGTCATCGCCGACAAGGTCGACAATGGAACGAGCGTATATGGAGTTTCTACTGGATTTGGTGGAAGCGGTATGTCATTCAGCTCGCGGCTACACTTGTCATACTAACGTACTTTGCAGCGGACACTCGAACCGACCAACCTCTCAAGCTGGGACAGGCATTGCTACAACACCAACATACTGGAGTATTACCGAGTTCAAATAAGACGCTTGACGTTCTCCCACTACTCGACCCTATGGCTTCCACTAGCATGCCCGAGTCGTGGGTTCGGTAAGTCTGACAGAAGTTACGCAAAACGCGATACTAATTTTAGACAACACAGTGGCGCGATGCTAGTGAGGATGAACTCGTTGATACGTGGCCATTCGGGAGTTCGGTACTTTGTCTTCGTCCTCCATAGCTGGTCCCCGTCTCACGAGATACAGGTGGGAGCTGCTTGAAAAGATAAACGAGCTTCTTCGCGCAAACATCACTCCCGTGGTACCTCTCCGCTCTAGCATCTCGGCATCCGGCGGTATGCCATTCCAATTTGGAGACTTCAATTTAACTCACCCTCTTAACGCAGATTTGTCTCCGCTATCTTATATCGCTGGAACATTAAGTAAGGGATGATACGGTAACACTGATCAAGATGTGGCTGACATATTGGCCAATCACAGTTGCGAACCCCTCCATTCGCGTATTTGATGGCCCCAAGAAGTTTGGTGCACGCAAGATGGTCAGCTCGAAAGATGCGCTCTCTTCGCACGGTATTCAGCCAATCAGCCTGGTCTCTAAAGAAGGATTGGGGATCTTGAACGGAACCGCTTTTTCTGCTTCAGTTGCTTCCCTTGCCCTCAATGATGCCGTTCATCTGGCACTCTTAGCCCAAATATGCACTGCACTCGGTACCGAGGCCCTTAGTGGAACCCTCGGAAATTACGATCCATTCATTCACGCTACTGCACGGCCGCACCCCGGTCAAGTAAGTCTTGTTGTCTAACGCGTTTTACCACGCGTTTTGACGCGTCTACTAGGTTGAGTCGGCAAGCCACATATGGAACCTCCTACAGGGATCGAAATTAGCTAACACACACGAGGAGGAGGTATCCATCACTCAGGACAAGTACTCGCTCCGCCAAGACCGATATCCTCTTAGGACCGCACCTCAATTCCTCGGACCCCAAATTGAGGACATCTTGTCTGCCTTGTCTACGGTGATTCAGGAATGCAACTCGAGTAGGTGCATTCCGCAAAGCGATTTCGGTCAACTGACAAGTCTTCCAAGCAACCGACAACCCTCTCATAGACTGGGGAAACCGGTGAAGTCCACCATGGCGGTAACTTCCAGGCCATGGCTGTCTCCAATGCAATGGAAAAGACCAGGCTAGCACTTCATCATATCGGGAGACTACTCTTTGCTCAAAGCACCGAACTCGTAAATCCGGCCATGAACCACGGTTTACCTCCCTCTCTGGCTGCGTCGGATCCATCTTTGAACTACCATGGTAAAGGCGTTGATATCGCAACCGCCGCGTATGTTGCGGAGCTCGGATACCTAGCCAGTCCCGTTACAACCCACATTCCGTCGGCTGAGATGCATAATCAAGCTGTCAAGTAAGCTCCTCGGTCTGCGTTCCATATCACAGAAATTGGAGTTAAATTGTTGTTATCTTCAGTTCGTTGGCGTTAATTTCGGCTCGTGCAACTGTCAATGCTTTGGAGGTTTTGACTATGCTTATGTCCTCCTATCTCTACCTGTTGTGTCAAGGTAAGCCAGATATATCGCTCTTGCGCAAGCTCTGGATTGCATATTGATTTATCTTAGCTGTTGACCTTCGAGCTTTACGAAGAGAGTTCAATACGAGACTTCGAGCAATCCTCTCAGAAGAGCTATCAGCTATCCTGGGATCTCAACTTTCCTCTCAAGAAATCAACATCTCCGTTTCTTCCATGTGGGAAGTGGTTCAGAACACCTTGGATAAGACGAGCACCATGGATGCAGTTGATCAAATGAGAGAAGTCGCAACGGCATGTATCCCTGCACTGATCGAAACCGTTTCACGTTCGAATGCTGCCAGTAATGCCCTCTCATCCATATCCCAATTCCGTACAAACGTGTCCTCTAAGGCTACCAAGCTTATGAGTGAGCTTCGCTCTAGTTACCTTTCGGGCGGGCGGGGAGCGGCACCTGCTAGCCTTTACTTGGGTAAGACGCGGGCGGTGTATGAATACATCCGTATCAGCCTTGGCGTCAGGATGCATGGAGCAGAAAACTTCGGCAGTTTCCCCAACGGTCTAGGTGTCGACGACGTTACCATTGGTCAGAATATTACCGCTATATTTGAGGTTTGTCACAATAAACGTTCTCAATTGTTTACTAATCTAACCCGTGAATTTCAGGCTATTCGAGATGGAAAATTCCAAGACACTGTCGCTGATTTATTCGAAGCTTTGCCTCGCGCCAAGTTATAAATCAATACCTATACACACTCTAGAATTTCGTGCTTACACTTTGCACATCAGAACAATTTTACGGATTAGATACCTCATCACACCTAAATAGTTCATCACTGTACGCAGAATATCAAGCTCGAATGTAAAATACATATACCGCGAAAATAAAGATATACAAGATAAGTCTCGAGATCAAGTGGGTTCTAAGTATCGACAGGATTGAACTTGACTCTTACTTCTGCTACTTCCTTTCTTGCTTGCATCAGAGTTTGTGATATCTTTTCCTCTAGGGAGGCAGTTTGAAGGACGCTGAGGGAGCTGGGTACATCAGCAATGAGGTCGACGTAAACTAATGAACCGGCATGTCTAGCACGAAGGTGGCGCACTGCCAATAGGGCAGGTGACGATGAGGGCTCCAGGAGTGGATTAAGCGTATGCTTGAGAGAATGTCGGGTCTTCGCGGAAACACTAGCGTCCGTAAGGTCCGACCATGAACCCGCAAGAAGGCTCAAACCTTGTCTAAGAATGACAATGGATACAAGGAGACCTGTACAGAAATAACGGTCATTGGGGTACCAGTCGTGTGGTAACTTTGACGGTACTCACCTCCAATAGGATCTAACGGCAGAGCGGGAAACCACCAAGTTCCCAGAATGGCGAACAACGCTACTAAACTCGAGTAGGCGTCGCTCCGATGGTGGTAGGCATTGGCCAGAAGAACTGGGCTATGTTCTTCGTCTGCCACCTTTTTGGTCAGTCTGTACATCCACTCTTTGACGCATATACTGAGTGCAGCGAACCATGCCGCGTTTGGATCTACCGCATGGACGTGATCATGATGCATCAAGACTTCAGGTACTGGCACTACAAAAGTAACATTGTTCAGCACTTCCTGCAGAGCGCCAGTGGGCATGGTCGACGCGGTTTCTGCAAGAGCAGTTATCAGAAGGTGGTACGAATGAAACCCGATGCCAAGGGCGCCTCCAATCAGAAGGAGCGACATCGTCGACGCGCCGAGCGTTTCGAACTTTGCAAAGCCATAAGGGTACCGTTCTGATGGTGGTCTTCGCGAAAGTCTCCAGCACACGAGCGTGACAAAGTCTCCGAGCATATCTACGTGATGTCAGCAAAAAAGACGCGATGGAACGGAAGGGACGCACCGCTGAGAGAATGTCCTGCGTCTGCCAAGAGGGAAGCAGAGTGCAGGTACCAACCGGCGACGCCCTTGATTAGAGTAAGACCAATATTGGATCCCAGTCCCATGAGTGTTACTCGACTCCCTCTGTCGCCTGTAGGAATACAGAACTCAGTAAAGCAACCACGGTGGAATAACAAGAGACGCACCTTTTCCCTCGAGCGCAGCTATGATGCTCTCAGCATCGCCGTGGCCTTCATGTGAATGAGAGTGACCGAATATTGAGTGAGAGTGTGAGTGGGAATGACCGTGCTCGTCGTCGGACGAGTTGTGGGCACTGTCGGAGCTGGAAGCAGACTTCTTGTCGCTGGCCTTGGAAGAATGCTGACGACGCTGGGCCATGGTGGAAGATACGGAAAAAGAGTGAAAGTGAAAAGGAGGTTTTTCCGAGAAATGAAGGGATTTATAGCTGCGCGAACTGGACACGTTGAACTTTCTCAGGTGAACTGATGGCGGCGAAAGTCGCAGTCGCTGAGAGCAGCAGACCAAGGACGGCGACAGCGACGACGAGGGGGGCAGTAGGAGACGATAGGCTGTGGGCCAACGCTTGGGTACTGTTGGCATCACTTTACCGTATACCTCGACAGGCTTGATGCGGTCCCCACTGCCAGTTCGTCAAGAAATTCTGATCCTGGCACTGACTGCCTGGCGATCTCTGTACGAAGCGGAGTGCCGCAGTCGCAAATATTACAGATCACGATTGTCGTCTGCTTCTCCAAAATTTCTTACAAAAATATGTCGTGCTATAGGCTCATCGATATTTGTAACTGCGATAGCCATTCTAATCGAATTTACAATTCTCCGCTCGGATACAGACTCTGTAATACTCCGACTACTTTGTCATACACTCCCTGCTCTTTGCCCCCGAGCGCTAGCTCGGCAATTTTTTCTACATCCTCCTTTGGTACCTTGTATTCTTCCAGACTCGATTTCAGACCAAGTGAGGTCACCAACCTGTGTGCATATAAATTTCTGAAAGAAATATCCAGGCATATTTGCAAGCTCACTCTTGTATAAGTCGTGAAAGTAGCAGCACATCCTGATCCAGATTGCCCGTCGTTTGGCGCCTGTAAGTAGAACAGCGCCTTGGAAAGCGCCTCCTTTGTTTTCTTGCGATTCTATTTCCGCCCTCAGCGCCACGACTGGTGAGAGAAGTGATGCACTATTTTCATTAATTTCGCGCCGCCCGCGGACATAACCATAGTAATTATATTAGTCGCACTCACCGATGTGATACCATGCGGGATTCCGTAAGTCGCTCCCAACCTGTGGCCTAGAGCATGCGACAACCCCAACGGACTGAACCAGGAATCAGGTTTTTCCGATACACGATCAGCTCCAAACTAACCTGTACCGTTCCTAGCTTCAATGGCCACAGACTCATCCACGACGCGATTTGAAGCTTTTGGCGGACCACAACATCCTGTGGGTTAGCTTTCGATACCGGGAGATATGTGAAAAGGTCCGCAATTCGCTGCGTAACATAACACCTTGACGGGATGAGGGCGTTTCGTTTCTATACAAGTTTTCTTTGAATATGATGAGTACGCCATTTTCCATGACACATCCTTTCACGTACCAACGGCATGGTCAAGGCGCACGAATGCCTGTTGACAACCTAGGTTGAAAATGATTAAATTGGTAAATGTAACGCGACAGTTGAGGAATGTACCATAACCGCTCTGGTGTCGGTAAAGTCAGTTCGGCATCTAGTATGACTCCCGCGGGCGCAAGTTTTTGGGACGTTACCCCAACTTTATGACCCTGATCATTTGTAAAGCCCGCACCGATCTGGATATTCAACTTGGTAAGATCGATTGTACGAATTGAACGACGCTTACTGTGTATTCTGCAGCGCTTAAAGTTGTCGGAATGGCTATCTGAAGGAGTGTAGGGCCACCAGTTTCTTCCTGGTTGTAGTGGAGGATAGCCTTTGCGGCGTCGATTGGTGATCCCCCTCCGACAGAGACAATAACATCGCACTCGTAATCACGAAAAACCTTGACACCGCGTCGTATACCCGCAACGGGAGCGTGCTCTCCAATCTCGTAGAAGGTGGCACCGTAGGCTCCATTGTCCTTAAGGATTGCTTCAATTTTTTTCACCACATCTGTCTAAGGACAGTGCGTCAAGATATATCAGCATCAGGAAAGCAACCGAGACTCGCCTTGTTGACGAGACTCTTCGTGGTCACTATTAGTGCCTTGCGCACCCCCAGCGTCGAAAGAAGGGCCGGTAGCGCGGTGGATACAGACCCAGGGCCGTAGAATACTCCAGATAGCGTATCAGTATAGCCATAAAAGCCTTGCAAAGAGCTGGGAGCCATTAGTAAGAAGCGAGAGAAAAATCTCTTTGCGTCTAGTTATATATATCCCCCTGGAGCAGTGAAATCCATGGCTGTATGCTGATTTCGTGATGGAGAATGCCCAATAAAGTATCCGAGATCGGCCAGAGATTAGTCACTGCAAGCGAAGAGATACCCAAAAGTACATCATGAATTCCACGCAGACTGCATTTGGTCTTCTGGCATGTTGCGACTCGGAGAAAAGCCTGTCGTGCTGCGTGTCCGACTCCCTCCACCAGTGCTAGCGAACACCAGAACAATGTTTATCCGCTCTATGTCACCTTCGCCGACATGGAAAGCGGGTCAAGGGGTCTCGGAGGAGCAGTCGTCGTGGAGAAAGGCCATTGATGGACCACGCAAGTCGTGGAACCTGGAGGAGATACCGTCAACGTTAGTGTCATGGTTTTACTCGGTGCCACTGCCACATCATAATATACTTACTGTTTGCAGAGACGTATACAAACTGCTGACCTCCGCCATTGTCCCTCGTCCTATTGCTCTCACATCGTCCTTATCACCAGATGGCGTACTCAATCTGGCACCATTTAGCTACTTCTCCATGGTTCGTATCATTTGTCCAGACTTCATCGATCACATACCAATATATTCTAGGTATCTTCCAACCCTCCGATGCTCAGCATCTCATTTAGTTTATCGTCAAGACGAAAGAAAGACACCCGGGAGAATGTCCTAGCTACCAAGGAATTCACTGTCAACATAATCAGCCAAGCTTTTGTCGAGGCAGCCAACATCACTTCGGTAGAGTCATCTGAAGCTGATGAATGGGTTCTCAGTGGGTTAATCTATGGAACCGAGTGTGAGTTTTTTTTGGCTAGATTATCTTTAGCAGTTGATAAATTGCCCACAGACGCAGGTCAAGCCGGCACGAGTGAAAGAGAGCGCATTCTCCATGGAGTGCGAGGTGCGGTTAAACTTTGAATGATACTTGGTATAAATTGATGGTTTCATACTTCAGCTTTATTCCTATCAGGACATCACGCCTGTCGGGGCCACTGAGCCGACGGCGACTGTTGTGCTGGGATTGATACGATATGCCCACGCCATGGAATCGGTTCTGGATAGCGATGGCACTAGAGTTGACCCCGATAAATTGCAAGTGGTCGCTCGCATGGGAGGCGAGACGTACAGCAAAGTCGTGGAGGGATTTGATATTGCTCGCCCAAAGTGGAAGGATCTCAATGCGGTGTACCTTGATTTGTTGGGGAAGAAGAAAGATAGATAACCACCGACGATATGATACAGTTCCTGCATGAACCCTATGTGGAAATCCAGTCTGCAATCTCTCTGAGCGCATTACTTCTCTCTGGCTCCTGCCAGGAAAATAGAATATAATCATGAGACCCTCCTTCAGCTTCAAAATACCTTAGTTTCGAGCCTAAATCCTTTTGCATTCGGTCTCTTAGCAGATGTATTTGAGGTACAAGGTTCTCAGCACCCCCCGCGACAATGAATGTCGGCGGGAATCCCTTGAAGTGAATGCTGAGCGCCGGATTACGGGACGCGGGCGATATGTATGGATTAATTTCTGCTGCGCCCCACCCATTGGGCCCTAAGAAAGCCCGTTTAGCGTCGTCAATGCCATGGGGTTCGGGATCATAGTCGACGTGTAGCTTCAGGGTGCTTGGTGATAACGGCACGTCATGGGATAACCCAACATCGCACCAAGGAGAGAGAAGTAGCAATGAAGACGGCACGGGGAGATTTGTCCTGTTTGAGACAAGATATCGTGTGAGGGCAAGAGCGAGATTCCCTCCAGCCGAGTCTCCCTCGACGATAATGTCAATGGGAGATATGTGAAGGGTGTTGACCAGGTAATGGTACCCCGATAGCGCATCGAACAGTGCAGCAGGGAATGCATTTTCATGGATCGTTGAAAGACGATATTCGATGGCGAATGCACGAGTGACAGACGGGCAGCTTTTGAGAATGGTGGCTGGAATGGTAGCCAGAAGGCTCGATGGGTGTGCAGTGCCTTCATAGTATCCTCCACCATGTAGCGAATACAGAACCTTCTCCCCTCTCTTCGCCGGCGACAATGATGAGTTTGCTGGTATCCAATACCCTGGTATGCGAACTGGAACTGCCCTCGACGCGGAGGCGAGCATCCGTAGCTCGTCAGAAATTTCCGACGACGGCAATGGCTCGACCCAGACGCCGCCTGAGTTGGGCACGAGTTTTCTATGGCTGGGTTCCTCCCATGGCAAGATAGGGCCTGTTTTCGCGGTGATATATACAAGTTGTCGGAGGAGTTGAACGAGCACCGTTCGCGAGACGCTCCATGACTGCCGCGGGCGTCGTATCATGGAGAGAACAATCCATATTGGTAGACGAATGGCGAGAGTAACCGCTAACTGGTATAGCAGGTAGATGAACTTCCATGGATGCCGAGTATATATGCTGTCTGACAGTGACATTGTGGTGGTGGTATAAAAGGAACAAGTGCTCGCAAATTCCCGTATGGGGTATTTTCTACTTAGAGCCGTGCTTGGACTGGGTTTGCCAACCATTCTGCAACGGCCTTGTATGTTTCCCTCCGCTCAGGTTCCCACTCAGTAAAGGCAACGTAGTCGTGTATGCCTTCGGCAGCCTCGTAGTATCCCATTTTATTCTCCCCAAGATCCCTGACCATCCTTTCTTTGAGCGTCCGTATTACGCCCAGTAACACTTCTGCTCCCCCAGCCACGATGAACGTCCTCGGGAATCCCTTGAAGTCGACCTTCATTCGAGGGTCGATGGAGGCTGGTGACATGTACGGGTTCACTGATATGGCGTCTTTACCGTTTTGGCCGCAGAACATTTTCCTTGCATAGTCTGACTCTGCCATTCCACCGATATAGTCTGTCATTGAGTTTTTCGCAGCGATGGATCCCAGGGTGAAGTGTGATGTGCCTATATCTGCCCACGGCGAGAACAAAACCAGCGCAGATGGCGGTGGGGGCACTGGTAAACCCTCAGCATTATTCTGAGACTCGACAAGATATCTTGTCAATGCCAAAGCTAAATTCCCGCCAGCGGAATCACCCTCGATGATGATATCTGTGGGCAAGAAGCCGATATCATTTACAAGATACACATATGCGGCTAGCGCATCCAACAGAGCTGCTGGGAAAGCACCAGCCGAGGTCTTTGATAACCGATACTCCACACAAAAAAGACGCTGTACTGATGCGACGTTTTTCAGCAGTCCTTTCGCGATGGTAGCAGTGGGGTCATCGGGATGAGCAGAATAACGGATATATGCTCCTCCATGGAAGGACAAGACGACCTTTTCACCGGCAGTAGGCGAGGAACCAAACTCAATATTGGATCCCTTTCTATGGACCCAGTATCCGGGAATACGCGTAGGCAACACTTTCGAGACATCTGCCATAGACTTCAAGCTCTTGGTCATGAATTTGTTGGCCGGAGGAATCCAAACGCCTTCTATTCCAACACCTGGGGTGATGGCAAGGTGATTTGGAGTGACGTAGATAGGACCGGTCCTACGTGAAGCCAATATGTCAACCGTTCGTTATGCGTAAGCCTAAATAACACACTGAGAAGTGATATACATAAAATGTCGAAACAGTCGAAGAAATAGGACGCGCTTCAACGGCCATGTTGGCCTTGGGCGGAGGGATCTACCGGAAATCAGACAGAATACCGGCAACACAGCGAGACAGACGAACTTTGGCACAGCAAGAAAGAACCAGATGGGCAAGCGAAAGAAAATGGTCGTAAACAGCTGGTAGGCCAGATAAATTTGTTTCGCTGGTTGTCCAGAATAGCTGTATAATGCCGCTGGTTGGTCCTTGGACATGGTGGGAAAAGGATGACAAGGATTTCCGGCCGTCGGGTGGTGTGATGTCGGAGACTTTGACGAACTTTCTAATGTTGTCTTATTTACTCATTATCGATACATTGATGTCGAATTACCGAGAGAATTGCGGGGCTACGTGTAAGTCCCAAATGCGGAGGATTTACTATTTGGATGTGATTCAAACAGGGCCCGATGACAAGCAGATCCAAGTAGATCCGCAAAATTTGGAAACCATTTGTTACAAGCCACTGTGCCAACAATTACACTTCTTGTTTATCTTCGCGCTACACTTTCCTCATTTCTGATTTCTTGCAATGTCCATGAAAGCTGTACGTTCAATTCGAATCTTTCTTCATCTTGTATTAAGCGTTTTTATCTTGTCTTAGATCGTGAAATGTGAAGCTATTCTGTTTCATCCTGGCGTTTTGGTTCTCATTGGTTTTTTCTGCATCAGCCGTCATTTCTGGCGATTCCCTTGTACTTCGTGGTCGTCCCGGGCCTCAGGGACAGCCTCCAAAAGAAAGGTGTGTTTCCCTTTGTCGTGTGATGTCGACGTGTCTTGTGACGCCGTACAGGATTCTCCATCTTGCAGACGTAGGAGCACCTCGTATGGGCTCCTCCACTAGGGAGGATGAGGTACGGTGCCACTCTTGTTGCCATGTGAACGTGCCAATTCATCGTCCCTCAGCCTTGGGCGTTCGAGTCTCGCGAGTTCCTACGAGCCCTTGCCGTAGGAAAGGAAATCTCATTCACGTCTACACACTCTTTACCGCCCAACGACGATATGCCACGCGATTTTGGCACAGCTGAGATTGGCGGACTCGACGTCGCATCAGAACTACTCAGAAACGGATGGGCTAAAGTTAAAGAAATCAAACGCGAACCTACTGACGAGGACGCGCGCAAACGCGAGCTTGAAAACGAGGCAAAATCAGCTGGCAAAGGGCTATGGAATCCGCATGGTCCCAAGGTGTGTATAGCACGCAATTTCGGATCATCAGTCACAGATATCTCCACAGGCCCGCGCGGTCCATCACACAATGCCTACCGACTCTCAAAGCTTTGTTTCTGAATGGAAAGGGAAATCATTGGACGGTACAATGAATATTCTTGGCCAATCTATCCTATCAAACTCACTCACTTTTTCTAGCTATTGTGGAACAAGTCCGGGATGGAACTACTCTACGGACGCGTCTGCTGATGCCCGATGGAGAACATCAGATCGTCAACATCGCCTTGGCCGGCGTTCGTAGTTCCCGCGTTGCAAGTAAACCAGGAGAAATTTCAGAGCCATGGGGAGAAGAAGTGGGTTATATCACAACTTTGTCATGTACCCTCCTGTGGTTTTTATTGATGAATATATGTCTGGGCAGGCCAAGTTTTTCACTGAGTCTCGCCTTCTTCAACGTCCTGTACGTGTTCAAATATTGTCTCTACCGACATCAACTGCAACACCATTCCAAATTGGTGCCACTGGCAGTGCCCCCGCAACAGCCAGCATTTTTATTGGCCAAGGTTCGTTCAAAAGCGCCAAGTCCTCATGCTGCAATGCTTATGTCTATGTTCAGTTCTACATCCAGCCGGAAACGTCGCAGAATTTCTAGTCGCAGCGGGGCTGGCACGCATTGTTGACTGGCACGCCGGCATGTTGTCGAGTAGCGGTGGAATGGAACGGCTGCGCGCAGCTGAGAAAGTCGCAAAAGAAAAACGTGCATGTCTGTACGCAGTCGCAGCACCTTCTACGTCGAAAAATAACGCCGGCGCTGCGAACGGGAATAACCGAGTATTTGAAGCCACCGTAATCCGAGTCTGGAACGGAGACCAAGTATCGGTCGTTGAGAAGGATACCGGCAAAGAACGGAAACTCCAGTTAAGCTCGACAAGAGGGCCAAAGTAAATTTCTGTTGCTCAGAAAAACTTCGCGTTTATTCATTCCTTTATTCCAGACTTGCGGATCCCAAACAAGCCACCTATGCCCAGGAAGCTAAAGAGTTTTTGCGTAAGAAGCTTATTGGCAAAAATGTTCGCGTCACGATCGATTTTGTCCGCCCTCGCGAGGGTGAATATGACGAACGTGAATGCGCCACCGTTCGATATGGCAACCAAAACGTGTATGTCGTTCTCTCGATACGACTTTTATCGTTGTTGACCAGTTTTCTGTCAGAAACGTAGCAGAACAACTGGTAGAGAAGGGGTATGCCAGCGTCGTACGTCATAAAAGAGACGACGAAGATCGATCATCGGACTACGATAAGTTAATGGCAGCTGAACAGACGTATGTAGATTTCGTTCTTTCATTTATGTCTGCTTCTCTGAATTCCTTTTCAGAGCATCTGCTGAAGCACGAGGTATACACTCTGGGAAAGACATTCCTCCTCCCAAGCAGCCGCTGAATATATCCGAGGTACCCCAAGCTTTTCGATGTACAGTGACCCACCATGACCATCCCCTTAGACCCATTCCCGTGCCAACCAATTCCTCAACGGCTTCAAGAGATTGGGTCGTATACCCGCGGTTGTTGATTATGTTGCCGCGGGGTCGCGTTTCAAGTATGATGTCTATTTACCGTGATGCCTTCTTCTGAACAGTGGAACAGGATCTTCCTTCCCAAGGACAACCAGACCCTGACTTTGGTCCTTGGTGGTGCGTCTCGCCGACTTTCCGTATGACCGATCAACGCCGACTATTTATCAGGTATTCGTGCACCCCGAACTGCACGGAACGCGTCAGAAAAAAGCGAACCGTATGGCACCGAAGCCTTCGAATTTGCGACACGTAGATACATGCAACGCGACGTTGAATTCGAGGTGGATACCATCGATAAATCCGGTGGTTTCATTGGTTCCCTGTATTTGAACAAGACGGAAAATGCCGCTATTACACTCGTAAGAGAAGGGTTGGCTACTGTCCATTCATTTTCTGCGGAGGGTTTACCATGGGCACGGCACTTGTATGACGCTGAGGTTCGTCGGTCCCTTGTGATACTCTCCATTTCCTACTCATGTCTCCCGTTTCCAGGCTGAGGCAAAGGCGGCAAAACGTAATGTAGGTTCTGCCTCCTGTTAGTCTATTGATGCACTAAATACCCCCTTTTTTTCTTGTAGCTATGGAAGGATTACGACGAAGCTGCACAGCAAGAAGCAGAGGCTGTCGTTGAGGACGACGGATCAGAAGCTCTGAAGACCCAGTACCAGGATGTCATCGTTAGTGATATTCGGACAAAGAATGGCTTTGGCTTTTCTGTGCAGATTCTCAGTTCCGAAGGTTTGATCTCTCCTTGTGCTTGGTACTCTTGGTGCTAAAACATAACGCGGTAGGTATCGCGTCGTTGCGTGAACTCATGCGAGACTTTTCCGCCTACCATCAGACCGCAACCGTCGTACCCGCTGGGTTCGTTCCGAAAGGTGGCGACCTAGTCTCAGCCAAGTTTTCGGATGGCTCATGGTACCGCGCAAAAATCCGCCGAGCTTCGCCAATAAAGAAGGAAGCAGAGTTGACCTTCATCGATTACGGAAACCAGGACACGGTATCCTTTGCTAACATCAGACCTCTTGATGCTCGGTTCCGCAACTTGCCAGGTCAGGCGCACGAGGCGCGACTCAGGTCAGCGTCTTCACTTTCCACTTTGCCCTTATTGACATTCATCACTGTTGTTCATTAGTTTCGTGAAACTCGTCGACTCCAATAGTGATTATTACACGGAGGCGATTGATCGCTTCCGCGCCCTATGTGAAGGTCGCAAGTTGGTTGCCAATGTCGATCAGCAAGAAGGCGCGCTCCTTCATCTCCGACTCATAGATCCCTTGGATCCCGCTTCTGCCCAAGACCCCTTGTCATGCATCAATGCGGATCTTCTACGCGATGGACTAGCCACGATAGACCGCAAATGCCGATACTTGCAATCATATCCACACCTCCTCAAGAAGCTTCAATCTTCCGTTCAGGAAGCCAAACGTGAGCGTCTTGGCATGTTCGAATTTGGGGACGTCGAGGAAGACGACGAGTAAGGGCCGTCGTGTTGATTATTTTTTACCATCAGTAAATCAAAGGTTTTACCATGCTTTCAAGCATTCTCGATAACTTGAGCATTGTTACTGATTCAGCCTGCCTGAAGCTGGTCTCTGCAAAATTCAAAAGGTGCTAGATAATGCAGCCACTACAGTGCTCAAATCAGTGGACTATCTCATCAACTTTGGAGCGGTTGATACAGAATCCCTGGTCAACATAAGTCATTACTGGTGTACAGAATGGGGAAAAACCGCGCTTACGGGAGTTACCCATGTCTTACACCCACAGCAAACCCCAGCCCAGTCAAAGTTACCAAGTTTCGCACCACATTTCTTGTTGGGGCATACAATCTTTCCAGCCAATTCTCCGCTCTCCAGGAACGGCTCCATCCATTTCATCTGTCAGGTTGACGTTAAGAAAGGAATACCGGTATGTTCTAACCACCAACTTACAGGTTCCACAAAGTACCCTGAGCATTTGGGATTCATGAGTATAGGCGGGCTGATTGTGGTATTCGATCTAGCAGTATTTGCCTGAATCGGGGTCATCCCCATCGCGATGGGGGTGCGCAACGCAGCCAGCTTCGGGTTAGCATATAGCTGTGCTGCCAGGTCACCGGGACTCGAGAACTGCGTAGTATCGGCTCCGGGGGTCCCATTTTGAGACGCAGAAGGCGGTTGCCCCGGTTCCGTGTCAGAGGGTGACATTGCGATGACCGCATCAGAAAGACGGCGCCCCAGCAAGGTTGCAGCATCTATGGACGGGACTCCTGCATTGTTTGTAGGTGTGAGGTCCGTTTTCGGTATAGCGGACAGATCTATGTCATCATCATCCTCGGTTTCAAGAGCAGACATGGAGAGCGAGTCCAGAAGAGTCCTCGACAGATTGGTAAAAGGCCGTTTTCGGGTTTCTCCTCCTCCAGATACACGGCGCTGCGGGGAAGAAGTACTGGGTTTCGCGGTGTTGTCACCGTCATCCTCGGTGGGGTCATCCGTTTCTAGCGCTGACATTGAGAGTGAGTCACCAAGTCCGCCGAAAGTCAATTGTGATGGTCGTCTAGGACGGACATCACTATTGGTACCAAGTGTTGATCGCGAATGGCCGGTGGACGAATGTCGAGAAAGTGATTGGTTAGTTGATGATCGTCGCGAACCAGCTGGATGTTTGAGATGCTGGTGTTGCGGGACCAAGCTGACCGTGGTCTAGCATATGTTCTCTGGCTGCCAGCTCCTGCCTGATTCGATAGGGGATGCTGGACAACTACTATACATACGAAAGGTTCTTACCTGCACATTTTGCAGCGTATACGCCGGCGCGGTCCTCTCGGGGTGGCGGGCGTCGAGTCAGATGGTGTACGGGGAAATTTTGCGAACATGTCAGTAGGCGGTAGAGTCCCATCACCGTCTAGGTAAAATCACAGTTAGAGCCGGGGCGAGCGACATCAATAAGTATCCCTTACTCATTACTTCCTCTACCGCTCGTTCCATATAGAACATTCGGGTCGACTTGTCCTTGCGGGATATCCTGAATGAAGCTTTGTGGAATAGATCCAGCTGGACTAGGAATCCGGGGTTGGGGCTATCGGTGATGAGCACTGAAGCACACAACGGCATCATGGGAAAACGAGCAAAACACACTCAATATTCGGTCGCGACTTCCTAATGAGGATCCAACGCAGCCTCTGGCGTTAAATGACGGGTATACATGAGGTACGCCGCCACAAGCGTGACACTCCGGCCTAGAAAAACATCCAGCCATCCAATCCCACAGATTTATTAACAGCAACCAGTCACTCACTCATTCCAGCCTGGCAATGTACCAACACGCTCCGGCCCTTGTCCAGCTCAGCCTGGATGAAGGTTATCGAAGGGAGAAAATGAATCATGATGTCTGCCTCTTCCGTATCGTCAAGTAAAATTTGATGCCGAACAAAAGTCTAAGCTTCATGTTAGAAAAAACCGAGTTGGAATTTGGGCGTGGTAACCCGCAACACGCACCTCGTGTATAGTTATTCGGCCGCGCATCGCAGAAAGAATACTGAATATGTGGTTTTGCTTCAAGAGCTCGACATTAAGAGCGCTGGGAAGGTCTCCTACCCAGAGGCCGGGAATGATTTCGTCCATGATGGTGAGAGAATAGCTTAATCCTAAAAAAAATTACGGGTGCCACTGGAAGTGCTGATTGATAGATAGTGATGCCTGGTGAACAACGGTTGCCAACGTGAATGGTAGATAGGATGTCGGATATTGAGGTAAATCAAAAGAGAGAGGAAGAGGCTGAGCTGTAGTATGTAGCCGCGGCCTTGCCTAGCCCTGCGTTCTGACATCATCAACATTTCACGTGGACGGAACTGACAAAAAAGTACAACTAAGTAAAACATTCAAGCATCTCCTTCAAACACCTCTCTAACTACCGTTTCCCAAATTGCTACCGGCTTGTTGACACTACCAGATCGTTTCACATGCAGCCAAAAGAAAGAAAGAAAAAATACAAGGACCTACATGGCTTCGGTTAGCGGCAGGTTGAGATCCGCGGGATGACCCTGCCACTCTGTTTAAATCAAAATCAACTTCAAGTTGCGGCCGTCAGGAAGACGAAGACAAACATACCCTCTGGTTCCTCGGGGTCATCTATTCCAAATCCAAGTCTCCATGTGATCCCTTGCACGGTATTCGTGAGTCTATCATAATGCCGTCAATCTCAGAACACAACCCTCCAAGGAAAACCTACAGGTCTGGCGGGGCGAGTGTATGGTTCTTCAGATGCGTTGTCTGGCATCGATGAGTTTTTTTGCTTTTTTTAAAGATTACTACGGAAGGTCCACCTCACCTTGATCTCGGTATCGATGGTCGAAAAATCTGTAGACTGACCACCAACGGTTCCACAATATTCTTGAGGCGTGTCCTTCTTTCCACCAACGACGACCGTTTTGACGCCATCGAGCTTGGACATTGTTATCTAGCGCAAAATTCATTTTCCCGTGGGAACGCTATAAAAAGAGAGAAAAAGACTTACGCTGAAAAGTGAGCAGGAACTTGCGCATCTACTCAAGGCGTCACATATATAATTCAAGACAGACAACCTGTACACTCGCCTCCCATTCGACACAATCACAACCTCACTAAGCTTGAACAAAGGCTCCGCAGGAGGCTCTTCACTGAACGGCTGACACTCTTGTCCCAGCCTGAATAGACAATCATCACTAGCCTGCAAACAAGAACAACAGCGAGCCCAAGTACCAACCTAGGACTGAACGCATCAGCATGCCCATTAATATTCAGATTGACTATTGGATGAAGCCAGTGATAGTCAGCCGGGAACGGTACATGCGAGGCATTCGTCCATTACTGAGGGCTATAAGAAAGCAGCTCCTCAGGATCAGCACCGTCCAAGATCTTTTTGACGATCAACTGGGCTAGAGGCCCCGCGCGAGTTTTACTATCCAGGCCTGCCTGAGGCTCGGTGGATTCCTTGGGTCCTATGATCTTCGGCTGGTGGTCAGCTATCAGAGTGTTCCACGGAAGGGCGGGTACGTTACAATCCGGTGAAGCCACTGTGAGGACGTTAGTAGTCAGCTACCCGATATGTAAAGTAATACTCACATGTGCAATACAGATATATCCTGGGCAGGAACATGAACATAGTGAGTCTTGTGTGTCATAAAAGATAACATACCACCGCCGTTATTCGTCTGCATGAGTCATAAGTAAAGACTACGGATTACACGCGAAAGATACAAACCACGTCTACCACTAAGCGCTTAGCTCCCAATGACTTGAGGCCATTCAGACCCGACAGCAGGCTAGATTGGAACGTCGAGAAACTCTGAGCAGCGAAACTTCCAAGAGCAAGCACCCCTGTGACTTTATCATCGAGTAGATAAAACTGCGCCACACTATAGCTCTCGTTCAGCGCGGGTGGGATAGGTTGCAGCTCCTCTGGCAACTTGATATCGGTGGGGGGTATAGCGTCCACGATCACATTCATCGGGTGTCTTCGCGCGTCTCTAGGATCCACAGGAGGCTGCTGCTGAAAGTAAGCTATCGGTCTCTCACCGGCACCATCCAAACCATCAGCATAAACATCATAGCCATTAGTGTGTTTCCCCGCAAAGCAGTTGTTCGCTCGATAAGATTCGAAATCGGTGAAATTCTTCGAGTTGGAGCCAAAACGAGACCTATACGGGATCTACGTGACATTATGTGAATAAAGACGCGTCGTCATCGTGGAGGGAAGCCTTTTATTACTGTGACAGTATCGATTGATGTGCTATTCACGCGCTGGATCGTCAGCTCGACAGCATCTACGAGTGGATGCGTCTGTTGGGCAAAGTTGCCCATCACGTACTCCCAGCCGTCGCGACCGCGGTGGTACGAGGCGAAGAAACTAACGACATGAGCCAAGAAGTGAATGATAATTAATACTTGATGCACGCACGAATTCTGACGGGTCCCGAGTGATTGATAGCTTCCGGTAACTTGTGCATTGGCGTTGACAGCTATGAATGGATCTTGGCCATCAATAAGGAGGACTCGAGCCCCAGAGAGCTAAATACCAATTGAGTGGCGGAGAATGGCGGGTAAGGAGATGAAAGGGGACTGACGGACTGGAGCTTCCCTTTGAGTGTCCCAGGTAAACGTTTCTGCCAATACTCGATCTCGTCCCCGAATTCTGCCGAGGCGACGGAGAAGGCCTCTGGGGCTATATGGACGTGTTGGGCGCCCGTGTCGTCGGAAAGAAGCACAGAGGGGTGTCGGGAGGTAGGATACGTAGAGTGCTGTACCGAGTGAGCCTCGGATAGTCTACTATTAGATGAAGGGAACTGACAGTCGTAGCAGTAATTCAACACGACACAGTGTCCGTCATTGACGCGTTTAAAAGTCCGGAAGAGGTCGAGATGGAGGTCAAACTCGGAAGGATGATGATCCTGTTGGCTGATCCTGTCGAGGTCGACATGGAGGTCTTCGTGCACGTCGTGTTGGAAGGGCTTTGGTGCTTGGATCTGGTAGTTTACAGAGGTATGGAATGCGAGGGTCTTGTTCAGGACCTCGATGGTCTACAAGGATGTAAGAAACCTTTGGTTGAATACTTGTCGTGTGAGCGTACATTGGCCTTGAGAACTGGGTCGACGGGAGCCAGGGATATACAAGCTCGGGCCTGGATTGGGGTGACCCATTTCTTGCCAGCGATTGCTGCACAGGCATCCTTTGGAGGTCTTGCTGCGATAAGATTAGCTAGGAGTAATGGAGCCAGCCAGACCATGGCAGCCAGCAAGTCAGATGTTCGGACCGGATAACCGGCAAGTGTCTGTCAGTGTTGTCAGCCACGAAGTGTCGGGTCTGTTGCTATGTGCGCGGAAATGACTCTTACGTAGAGCAGGTCAAGGTTACCGTCTACCCCCATAAGTCCAGGCGAACGGCGCCATGTCCATTCGACTCGTCACCTTTGACGCTCTCTTCACACTAATAAATCTACGAGAACCTGTCCACGTCCAATATACACGCGCATTCAAGCCTTACCTTGGCGAGCTTAACCCCGACGCTGTGAAATCTTCTTTCAAAACAGGCAAGTTGTCTCTACCGTAGTTGGCTGTCATAACAAGGATACAGCACTGGCGGCACTGCAGAAGGAACGACCGGCATATGACAAGGGCAGCAACTCGTGGTGGTCAGAAGTAATACGCAGGACGGCATTGGGCGCAAAGGCTGATTCTGCTGGTAGAGTCGTCTGTTGATAATGGCATGGCAGCTTACTGTCAGCAGCCCTGGACAAGTCTTTGCAGGATATTGTACACGCGCTTATGCACCGGTTCAGCTCAAGAGAAGGATACAAGGCGTACGACGATGCTATTCCCCTTGGTTCGTCTGTATTATGGCTGTTGTATATAATCTCACATTATCTCAGTCGAAGAGCTGCATTCTCGTGGCATCCGAACAGCTGTGATAAGCAACTCGGATTCACGGACTCGTATGTGTTTAGCTTGGTGATATTCTCTGCTGACATGTGGGCAGGGTCTGTGCTCAAAGACCTCGGGTTTCCCAACTATCTGGATCCGATTATTCTGAGCGAGGAAGAGGGTATTGAGAAGCCATCCAAGGAAATCTTTATTCGAGCGTTGGACGCTGTTAATCGAAAGACGAATCCTCCTATAAAGTTGAAGGAATGCCTTCACGTTGGAGACGAGCTTGAATGGTGAGAGAAATTTTATGGATGAGGCGATCTCTGACAGAAGAGTACAGTGACTACTACGGCGGGCGTGATGCTGGAATGGAAAGCTTGTTGGTTCGAGGGGAGGAATTGAATCAAGTTCTGGCATGGATAGATCGTCGTAAATAAGTGTAGAAACGTAAAAATTTACACGACCGACCTCCACGGGTTCGGTCAAGTCTCGGTCTACAGAATCTGATCGCCTGGGTGGATGAGACTACGGCCTTTTGCGGCGACGTCTTCGATTTTCTGGCCTTGCCTGAGTACTGTCCAACGAATGACTAGGGGGTCCTGACGGAGGACACGGTTGAGGGAGCGAAGGGTACGAGGTGAAGTGTCAAAGTGAAGTGACCAGTAGCTGTAGCGAAATCTTAGAGAAAAGAATAGGAAAAAAAGGATTGATACGAACTCTCCGAGTTTGTGGGCGACGCTGTGGCGGTGCATACGATGTGGCAGGACATGTGTACCCCAGGATTCGATTTTTCGTACGACTCCACCGGCATTCATAATATGGCTGGCTGTCTGGGATACAAGTGCTTTTATCCTAGCCTACAATACTGTGAGTTGGGGTTAGGGTTGAATAGGAAAACATACATATTCCTGGTTATGGGCAGCAATGCAAACCATTTGGTAGAGCGGCATGGCAAGAAGAAAGGCACGTACGATCACATGACCTGGATAAATTGGCTTTCGACTTCCATCCTCGGAGTCAAGTTGGTATTACTCTCTTGACTATCTGGGAAATTCCGATGGAGTGGCGTAAAGGCGCCTCATGTCCGACGTTGGAAGGCAACATGCATGAGGACTGGCGGCAGTGACGTGTACGGGACGAAAATCGCTGGGAAAGGGAGCTGATTAGGCTATTCAGTACGTTGTTTCGCTTGTCTTTTCCGTTAATTTTCTTGCATTTTGAAATTTTTAGCGGGAAGACATGGAGGGACTTGACGACGGCGTTTCCGAAGACCGCGAATCGATTGCCTGACGTGAATTAGATGCAATCAACAATTCTTCTATTCTCGTTTCAGATCTGTCGTCTTTATTACCTTCTTCCTTATATCCAGCAACCACCCAACGCCTTTTTTTTGTTTGCTTTCTCTTCAATGGCGAACCGTAAACGCGAACACCCACCTCGTCTTCAACATTCTCCATCTTTACCCAATATCTGGTATGTTTTATTTACTGCTAAAGAAAAACAAATTTTAATCCTTTTCCTAGGTTCCCGCCCCATTCAGGACCGCTTCCTCCAAAGTTGAATGCTATTCCCCGGGACAACCTCCATCTTCCCGCCACTCCGCCGGCACTCGCGACCTCCTTCTCACTTCCCCGGCCCGCCGACACCCCAAAGGCAAAGCTTGCGCGCCCCCATGTCCACAGTAAGCTGCTTACCCCGCCCCTCACTCCGTCGTCCAGCATCCGCACCGCCGACTCGCTCGACGACGCGACCACCGTCAGTCAACGCGCTAATCCCGACGCGACTCGTTTCCTTCTGGTAAGTTATCACCATCCTGCAGCCTCCTAGTATAACTAACACGCCTCAGATCAGCAACATTTCGCGTACAGTAAAGACAGAAACTCTCAGTCACCTTTTCTCTTCCTATCTTTCTGCAGAAACTCTTGGCCGGCTACCAGGTTCCTCTTCCGAGAACCGTCCCCCAGCCAACGAACGCCAGTCCTCGACGTTTAAAAACGTGCCAATCACCGACTCTCCGATCAAAGGCGTGTTTGTTCGTTATGTACAGTCCCAAGGCATCGTCGTCCTTGCCTTTTTCGATGTCAGATATGCTCAAGCTGCTCACACCCTTCTCGCAACTCGTTCCACAGATCTCCTCGATATTTGTGCCGATGACGCCTGGTTTCGGTGTCGCTATCTCACACCAAACCAGACCGTTCAGCTGACCGGGGACTCCAAGTTCCTCAAGGCTGCTAGTGCTGCCTTTTACATCTCTGTCCAAGGTATAGAAGAGCAGGATGAGTCAGACAATTCTTCCCGGAAACGTCCCGTCAACGTTGACACCCTCTTGCAACTGCTTGAGTCCTTTGGCACTATTCGTACTGTCAATGTCGTCGACTCGCTCAACGATGACTTGGTATGCTTTCTGACTTTATTACCCACCGCCTCATCTCACCCTTCTTCAGTGCTTCAAAAATTATCACATCGAGTACTGCGACTTTCGCGATGCTGATGCTGCCTATGCCGCATTGGACGGCCAAATCCTCTTTGGCATGAAGCTTCAAGTATTTGGCCGCGAAGAGTCTCGATCAGAAGGCACTGATGGTCCTGTTCCGTTTCCAAGTGGCGAAGACTCGACGGGTACCTTGCTGCACTTTGGACGGAGATCCCAGACCCGCGAACGTTTCGTCTTTCCGCCGCCTATTAACACCCAGGCCAAGCCTGACGACGAAGATGACGACCGCACTCTTGTCTGGTCGTCCGGTTCGCCTACCTTTTTCTACACTTCCCCTCCGTCCGATGATTTATCCGAGCATTCGGCAACCAAGGACACCGGCCCGTCACTTCCTGACAGCGAGCCAGGCCCGTTCTACGCCGCCCACCCCGAGTTTTATTATGACGGTCCGCCTATGCCGTATCCCGCCCCATACCCTTACCCGCCCACGTCCCCCGGCCCGATGTACCCCACTTCCCCAGTCCTGGGCTTCGGGCCCCCATACGACGACCCCCACCGCCTTGCAGCAGCTATGAACGGCCTCTCCTGGGGCCCTCCTCCCGCCGCTTTCGGTCCCCACCCTCCAGAATTTTGGCGTCCTGGTCCCAGTTTCTTCCAGAACCCTGTTCCAGAAGGACCAGCTTACCCCACCGATGTGGCCCCGGAGCCGCCCCTCCCATCAAGGAACCGATCACTCCATAAAGCAAATCCCGGTGCTGCAAAGGACGAGCAGCAAGGAGCTCGCAACCAGCTCGACCTCGCCCTCATCGAGAACGGTGGTGATACTCGCACGACCGTCATGATCAAAAATATTCCCAATAAAATGTCAGATAGAGATCTCATGTCGTTTATCGACAAGGTCTGCCCGAGGAGGATTGACTTTATGTATCTCAGGATGGATTTCAAAAATGGTATATCTGCTTTTCGGCTTCCATCAACTTTCTCACTCACGTTTACTCAGGATGCAACGTCGGATACGCCTTTGTCAACTTTATACAAGTCGAAGATCTATTATTATTCGCCAAGAAGCGCCTGGGACAAAAATGGCACGCACCGCGATTACTCCCTTCTCACTCTCTACTGATTTAGCCCCAACAGGAACATGTTCTCCAGCGAAAAAGTGCTCCAGATGAGCTACGCAAACTATCAGTACGTTTCTATTCCCTCACTAACATGATGTGTTCTGATCCTCGCGTAGAGGGAAAGAAGCCCTTGTTGAGAAATTCAAAAATTCGTGCATCATGGATGAGCAAGAGGCGTGGCAGCCAAAAATATTCTACTCTGCGGGCCCGGACCAGGGCTTGCCGGAGCCGTTCCCCGCCCCGACGCATATGAAGCGCAAGGAGAGGAGTCTGCACAATCGAGGCACGCTCTTTGCTACTGCCGACAGTGGGAGGGGCGCTGTGAGGCAGGATCACCGTCCAAAAGTCCCACTGACGAAAAGAATTGGCGCCCATCGGTGATCCGACAAATATTTATGTGTTCGTGGTGTTAAAATGTTGTGTTTAATAGTTGCTTTCGTATATGTGTGTGTTTTTTTCCCTGTGCTTAATCAAATGTATCAAGTTCATCCTTACGAAATTCTCGATCACTCGATCTTGCCAATTATACGCGTCGACGGAGGAAATAGTTGGACACGGCGCCCGAGCCGTTCCTATTTATACCCCAGCATCTTCTGACCATAACATGCACCATGTTTGGGCTCTCCATTACGCACTATACGGAGTCAGTGGGAGAGAAGACTACTTATAACTATTTCTGTCCAAAGCATGTGAACCGAATTCTTTCCCTCACTTGCTACCATGGACGCCTCTCCTACATTGAGCCCTGCCCAAGTCGCGATGTACATGGTCGAGAGCGGCGTCGCAAAGCACAGAGATCGGTATGAGAACATCTTCTTCAAAGCCGTACGTCGCTCGATCCTCTTTGTAACCCATGGTAAGGCTGATGTCCAGCGTGGCAGGTCCTCGCGGGCGTGATGCTCTCCTTTGGCGGCCTCTTGTCTGAAATCATCTCCGGCGGAGCGAGTGCACTCACTGTGTCAGATCCTGGAATCGTGAAGATCCTGGGTGGGTTTGTCTTTCCAGTCGGTTTGGTCATGTAAGTACTAGGCGCTGTAGTGAGGCGTGGACTTTCACCTTGGCTCTCTCCTCGCAGGATCGTGCTTCAGGGCCTCGAACTACTCACGAGCAACATGATGGTAAGTCATTTTCTACCCTACGCCAGTGACCAACACTCTCGGTCTCCGCTAGATATTTCCCATGGCTATCATCAAAGGCGCTATCCCATGGTGGAGTCTTCCCATCAACTTTGTCCTTGGTAAGTATTACATTCCGGCCATTGAGTTTCTCCCTCATGATGACGTCCCTGTAGTGACCTTTGGGAACCTCGTCGGGAGCCTCTTCTTCGGTGCCATCCTAGTTAAATGTACGCACTACACACACTCTCACCGTATCCATCCTCGACTACGTGGTTGGCTCACATAAAATTGTAGACAGCGGGATCGTATCCGATGATCCTTACTCATCCTATATCCAGACGTTCGCAATGTAAGATTAATCCACTCCAAACCCCGTGATAGTGTTAAACTTAACTACTACCCACTAGCCGCAAAGCTGTCGAACCCCATTGGCATCAGATATTTTTGCGAGGGATCGGTTGCAACTGGCTCGTATGCGTCGCGGTTTGGGTAAACGTGTTATCATCCTTCTCCCCGTGGGGTTTTCTCACTAGAGCCGCAGCAAGCCGCCGGAGCTAGGGACACCATATCAAAGGTGGGGTTGCTCAATTGAATTTGGCCTATCTAACCTGCCGTGATTTGCAGATAGTCGCCATTTGGATTCCCATATGGGTGGGTCCAGGAGTTAAAGAAAGGACGAACTTGTGCGCATTAATGATTCTGATAGGTTTTCGTCGCATGTTCGTTTGATCACGGTGAGTCGGGGTTATTTATCGATAAGCGTCAATGTTCATCCTGAGTAGTGGTTGCCAACATGTTCTCGGTGCCTCTTGGGATCATGTTCGGTGCAAATGTGAGTTTTTTGAGTAATTCAGCTAGGTTATTTTTGTTCACGTACCTGTTGAAGCTCACCGCTGCGGAGTACATTCGCAAGTAAATTTTGATGCTTCTCACCGGACATGCGACGTGTTCTGATTGTTCACGTAGATCCTTAATTGCCGCCTATCTTGGAAACATCGTGGGTGCTCTGCTAGTCGCGCTCCCAGCGACGTTATTTTACCTGAAGGATTACGATGCGGGTGGATTGAGAGCAGCCGAGAAAGGAGATTCCATGTCTGCGATCCGGGAGAACAGTACGGACAACGTTGATAATAAACGCATTTGATCGTTGTCGTGCGTACGTATGGATATTCTTGTCTCGTCGAATCTATGGTTACTACTTCAATATATACTTTCGTAAATTCCTGCGGGAAGTCGTCGCCCATATGAAGACAGTAAGAAGTTCACAGACACACGCATGGTCCAGCCCTCGAAGAGTGTGTCGTGGCGGCTTCTGAAAATAGCTATTCGACGTTCTTACACAACTCTAAAAATTTCTTGATCATAAGGATTCTGGTTCCTGAAGTCACAGCCAAAGAACGAACGGCCAATCACCAATCACCAATTTCTATTGCATGCCATGTTCACCACGAATATGATAAGATGCTCTCCGTGGGGAAGAACCCTGGAATCTCTATATCAATAATGCCCTGGTTCAGCATCTTCAGGTTCTCGTTGGCGTATGGCGGATAACGAACTGCGAGGAATGGTTCCATACTAAAGAGACGATGATTTCAAATGAAAAGTAATCTGCGTATTGGGTAATGCACCCCAATGGCATGTCAAATGGATGAACGTGAATGAATAAAAGCCTCGAATCCATAGCGAGTGGTCTGGCGGCCGTCTGTTCTCAAGCTCGTCATCTCAGAAGCAGGTATAGATGGCGAAAAGGCAACGAACGGCCTGATTCACCGATACCCCCAATCCAAGAGTAATTCGTGGGCTGGTGAAAGGGGATGAGCAGACAATAGGATCTACACATACGTGCTATATCAGCCAACTGAATGAGTATGTCATTGCAAATGGTGTTACCAGTCGTGGTATCATCCTGGACTGGATGTCGATCAGTAGTCTGAGGGACCCACTGCCAGTCAGGATTCAACATGCTCGATGATTTGACATCATCGACTCCAGTGAACGCATACGGTACCAAGGGATAATATCTTCCTGAAAAATGAGTGGCAGAAAGGGTCAGCTGGTGTAGGAAGTTCACCCGTTGAATATAAAATCATTGTATGCGAATTCAAACGTACCAACTTCGATCATAGGGAATGTTACAACCATCCATCACAGCATCATCAGCCCTGACGCCGACAAGGACTGTATGTTCAATTTTCAACCTATCGGGGGCGCTAGAGGTATAGCATAGCATATCAATTGCTCCAAATGTTTTAGCGTGTGACGGCCGTTATGACGATTCGAAACACCGGATATCTGTTGTAACTTCTAGAGGGAAGTTTGCATTTATTAACACATCAGAAGAGTCACGGCATTCGGGTAAACTTGGTGTATCAAGGCATTGATGTGAGAAGATCAGTTGGACCGTGCAAGAAGAGTCACTTGACAGTGCAATCAGCAACCCTGGCTCTGGCAAGTGTAGATAAACAGAGAACCTTCAAGTCGAGACGAACCGGTGACATTTTAATGCCGTAAAATGGCCCTGCCCGAGCATCTTCAGAGAAGGGTTCATATTATTTGCCCTTGAACCTCACTTTCTCAGGCAGGTACCAAGAAATCCCATCAGAAGAACTGCGGCAGCAGCACCAAGATACTAAAATTTTGATTAAAGGACATGGGGACATGGTGTCCCATGCGTTCGGAGAGAAAGCATCGAAATGACCTGGCTCTCTTGATTTGCGAATGCCGCAAGTGTTCAACGGTCGGAGTACTATGGGATCGATTCAACTTTCGAGACTCGAGTAGGGTCAGAGTCGACGAGATACAGGCTTTGATGGCTCCAGGTGATCAGTTACTATTCCGCGTTGTGTATTTCCTTGGACTCCTGCCATGGGAGCCTGGAAGAGCCTCGCTGAATTGTGAAGTTCGTACCAAGTGTCGCCGTAGTTGTCAAGATCCATCGATACATAGGTGTGGTACGAGGCGAGACGATACGAGAACTGTGTTGTCATACGGGCAAAAACGTGAAGAAAGGTTGGAGAATGGAGAATCTTCTTGAGTGCTTGTTGAGTGCTTGAATTTAAGTGTCCGGGCCGGAGAAGGCTCGCCACTTTGTATCATTGCTTCAAGCTCCGATGTCAATCCTTGTCCTCTCTTGACAGTCAACGTCAACCACGAAGTACGTATCACGAACTGACTCGTCTCTCTCGCAAAATAAACGCCAAACTCAGTATATTCATTGGATAGGCTGTCTGCTCCCCGCTTGACAAGCTTGAACTTTTGAATATTTTATCGTGTTTATTGCACGTTATTCGATGTTGGCCAGCCCAGCGACCCTAGCCCTTCTGACACTTTCACTGCATGGTGACATCCTCTGCAATTTCCCTGCCCTGCCCCAATTTCCGCTAGCCCCGCGATATATACACCTGCCTACTAAGCATCTGACTCAGCATTCCCCGTTCGTCTCGCTATATAGCCTCCTGACCAGGCTTACTCGACGGTCTTGAGATTATATCATATACATTATGTCTTCCCAGGTCTAATTTCCCCAACTCCCACATATCAATGTCTCCCATTCGTATTGGTTTTATCGGTCTTTCAGCACAAGGTTGGGCATCAACTACGCTTGCCCCGCCTCTGCTTGAAGAGCCGCTATCGTCCCAGTACCAGCTCACTGCAGTCTCTACTTCAAACCCAGCTTCTGCTGAAGCTACTGCAGCGAAATACACGTCTCTTTCAGGCAACCCAATCAAACCATACCATGGTTCTCCGGAACACATTGTATCCGATCCAAACGTGGATCTCGTAGCCGTGTCCGTAAAGGTGACCCATCATCTCGAAAACGCATTAAAAGTTATAGATGGAGGAAAGGACCTCTTCTTGGAGTGGCCTGCTGGGAATGGTCTGAAGGAAACATCAGCACTAGCTAGTGCTGCGAAGGAAAAGGGCGTCAGAACTATTGTAGGATTGCAGGGAAGAATGGATCCTGTCTTTCGAAAGGTAATATTGATGCCCTTTGTGCTCCTACTGGCAGTACTAACTATCGCTCTATGTAGGTGAAAGCTATTATTGACTCTGGAGAGATAGGTCGAATTTTGTCGACGTCCTTGGTCAGCTTCAGTGTCTATCTACACTTGACCTGTCTAATAGCTGTCATAGACTACAAGGACGTTTCCAGGATTCAATATGTGGGGTCCTTACGTGTCGAGTACCATGGCGTTCTACGGTGTGAACTCGAATGGGGGTACACTTCTCGATACCGGAGGCGGCCATATCTTGGATACACTGACCTACGTACTCGGACCCGTTGCCAACGTTTCGGCAACGCTGAGTACTCAGTACCCTATTGCTGAAGTCGTTGACGAGAACGGGAAGCCAACCGGCGAAACCATCGGACAAGATGCCGCCTCTCAGGTGGCCATTTCTGGAGTCTTGACCAATGGGGCCGTCATGAGTGTTCACATGCGCGGTGGGTTGAAGACAAAAGCGGATGGAAAAGCGGGTACACCACTGCTCTGGGTCATAGACGGTGAGAAAGGAAGCATCCGAATGGAGAGCGACAACCCTATGGCTTCTGCGGTATCGTTGATGACTCCTACCGCGCTATATGTGAATGGAGAAGAGGTCAAGGTTGAAGGAAACGGTCTGACCAATGTACGGAGGGCTTGGGAGGCCTATGCAAAGGGAGAAGGTTATGCAGATTTGGAGGCGGCTCTCAAGACAAAAACTCTGATTGACGCCATTCAGCGCAGTGCGAAGGAAGGGCGTAGAGTCGATCTGTAATTGTCTACTTTTTAAATACTCATCATAAAGACAAGTTGAAGAATAATCTTCAAGTTGTACCGAACGAAATATATACGTCCTACCGGCAGCTAGTTGACCGTATGGCTTAAGGAAGGGCGGGTAACTTGAAGCGCAAATTGATGACCGGAAGGGATCCGGATTTATCGGTCCGGAAACGCTGTAGCCAAGCATAGCCAATGGATCTTGAAGCGGAGCTTGGAACGTGTTTCTTGCAATCCTGAATTTCGACGCGTTTCCAGTCCGCCAAAAATGTCGTCCAGTATCGAGCTCATTAATCCAAAGGCAGAGAGCGTGCGGCGTGCAGCAGCGCTCCAGGTATACTCCCTTCCAATTCTCAACGAAAACCCTTTGGCTCAACTAGGATAGGTCAACACCAATGGAGCGATGGGTCTTGCAAATGTGGTCAAGGGGAACTTGGGTGCGTCGATTATCCATGCGAAGTTCTCAGGGAAGCTCAGATGTATATGTTAGGCCCAAGAGGCACCTTGAAGATGCTCGTCGATGGCGCCGGACAGATAAAGATGACCAAGGACGGAAAGGTTCTTTTGTCCGAGATGCAAATCCAAAATCCCACTGCCGCTATGATTGCACGGACTGCTGTTGCTCAAGACGATCAAGTAGGAGACGGAACGACATCCGTAGTTTTATTGGTGGGAGAGTTGCTGAAGCAAGCCGATCGATACATATCTGAAGGCGTGCATCCCACTGTCATTGCCGAGGGATTCGACTTGGCAAAAAAAGAGGCTTTATCAGTGCGTAACCATATCTATGGTGACAATCTTGTTGCTGAAGTGGATGTAACAGTTCTTGGACACCTTCAAACAACCCTCAAAACTAGATCGTGCTACTTTGATTAGTGTCGCGAATACGTCTTTGGCAACAAAATTGAATAGCGCCATGGCTAAGCAGCTAGCTGCAGATGTCGTTGATGCCGTCCTTACTATACGTCCACCACCACCTCCGACGGGTACTTTGTTCCACCTTGTCATCAATTTTAGAGACTTATTCATCCATACAGACGCCAAGGATCAATGGCGCGATCCCATAGACTTGCACATGGTTGAAATAATGAAAATGCAGCACCGGACCGCCTCAGAAACGCAATTGATTCGCGGGCTTGTTCTCGACCACGGCGCCCGTCATCCTGATATGCCCAAACGCGTTGAAAACGCTTTCGTTCTAACCCTCAACGTCAGTTTGGAGTATGAAAAGACGTACGTCCTCTTCAACTGAATTTGTAGTACCGTCGTCTAAACATAGTAACAGCGAGGTGAATTCGGGTTTCTTCTACTCCTCCGCGGAACAGCGCGAGAAGCTCGTTGAATCAGAGAGGCGGTTTGTGGATGCTAAGGTGAAAAAAATTGTGGAGCTCAAGAACCTTGTGTGCGACCAAGCGACAGACAGTAAAGAGAAGAAGAAAAACTTTGTTGTTATCAACCAAAAGGGTATTGATCCTCTCAGTCTTGATATTCTTGCCAAGAATGGTATCCTTGCTCTACGAAGAGCGAAGAGGCGAAATATGGAGCGGTATATATTTCTCTGCATTCGCTATGTTCAGAGTATACTGACCTTTTTTTTGCTTAGGCTGCAGCTCATCTGTGGTGGTGTCGCCCAGAACTCTGTGGACGACCTCGAACCGTCTATTCTGGGTTGGGCTGGTCTAGTATACGAGCATACTTTGGGAGAGGAGAAATTCACCTTTGTCGAGGAAGTCAAAGCACCCAAGTCTGTGACGCTTCTGATTAAAGGCCCCAATGCGCACACCATACAACAGATACAAGATGCTCTCCGCGATGGTCTCAGAGCTGTCAAGAATGCACTCGAAGACGAGGCCCTCATACCCGGAGCTGGAGCGTTTGAAGTTGCTTGCTCGGCGCATTTGAGTGGACCAGTGAAGAAATCGGCAAAAGGCCGCGCGAAGATGGGTGTCCAGGCATTCGCCGATGCCCTATTGATTATACCCAAAACGTTGGCTGCAAACGGTGGATTCGACGTCCAGGATGTAGTCGTGGCGCTACAGGTAAGTGGATTGCTGTTTACCGATTTTGCCGATTTCACTACTCAATGCACTTCTAGGAGGAGCAAGCCGAGGGTAACACTGTTGGTATTGATCTGCAATCAGGCGAGCCGTTCGATCCTACTGTAGAAGGTATATGGGACAATTACCGGGTGAAGAGACAAATGCTCCACTCGTGGTAAGTTGGTTATACAATCTTCCACGGAAGATGTGTTGATGCTGTTTCTTGCAGCTCTGTGATTGCCGTCAATCTATTGTCTACAGACGAGATCTTACGAGCTGGGCGAAGCTCACTTAAGCCTGATGGTCAACAGTAGCTTGAAAATGTCTAGTTATATCATTGCTATAAGTGCCATGGGTCTGATTCGCCAAGGCACACTGAATACAACAAGAAAAAATAGAGTAGTATGTATACTAGCCAAGTTACAATAATGTTATGCTGCAAAATGTCCTGCATGAAGAATATGTTGACAGAATAAAAACTAATGACGGGAATCGATAGCAACGCGACAACACGGTCCAAAACGTAAATAAAACGACTACTCGCCCGAGTCGGAGCAAGAATCCCAGCCAGCATTAATAAAGTGAGGCGGTCTGTGGGGAATGTCGCATTTAAATGAGGATAACCGTCCGACCAGTCTATTTGTTGATTTCATCGGAGATGGAATGGCAGTGTATATGTGCTGAAGTCGACCAAAACCATCGATGTCAGATATCTGATTTGGGTCACAGGCCTAAACCATCCGCTCGTTAGTCCAAGAACGATCTCAGATAACATCCGTTATCGACGTACCCCTTCCTTCATCCACCCTGTATTCAACCTCTCCCCACGAGGTTGGTCACCATTAGTGGAGGAAGACGAAGACAAAGCATCTGGTTCCACAGCATCCCTGATTCTCCCCTCCGTTGAAGGTTTCGAGAAGGTTAAAGATAATTTACGCCTGGCAAAGTTTCCGGGCGTAGGTTTGAAGGTCAGCGCAACTGATGAAGGCGTTGAGGGCCAAGTCACGCTCACGCGGACATCAGGCTCTGGAGAAAAATGATCATCCGGGGTAACAGGACCTTTATCACTTTCTTCGGACGACTCGCTGGCAGCACCTGGACTCCACCCTGTTTTCAATTTCGACATGGCAAAGGTCTGAGGACTTGGATTTGCCACGAAAGAACCACTCGACATGCCAACAGGCTTGAGGTTGCGCTCGCGTTTCTTCTTCTTGACTGCGTGTTCATCATCGTCGTCATCATCGTCACGAGAGCGCTTCGATCCTTCATCATCCGACAACGAAACCGCATCGTGCTCCCGCTCTAGTCTTAATTTCATTTTTTCTCGTTCATTTGCTCGTTCAGCTCTGGATAAAACGGGAATAGGCACGGACTGATGCTGTCGGCGACGGGGGCTGCCTTTCATGCCGGGCTTTCTATCAAAACGGCCATTGCAATTCCGAGGTTGATCTTTGAAGGGCGCAGGTGGAACCCGCAGAGCATCATCGTCTTCTGGTTCCTGCTTCACGATCGCGCTGACAGACAAGCTACGCCTACGTGGCCTGCCCCTACGCCGCTTCTCGGTGGCACCAGCACTTGCACTCACTACGCGTTTATGAACACCGCTGAGCGGCGCGCGACCGCGAGAACGAGCGTTGGAAACAGACCGCGACTTGGCCGACCTTTGGTCTAATTTCTGGCGCTTAGATGGATGGTCATCCTCCGGGGAACGGCGTTTTCGACCTCTGGGAGAAACCGAAGCGGCTACTGCGAGCTTGCGATCCAAAACAGAAAGAGCCTTATGAGTTACGCGGCGGGAAGGTGTGGAATCAAGAGGCGAGGCTTCCCGTGGGGTTGCAACGGACACAGAAGCTGATCCTGGTAGAGGGAGACGACGCGGCCATGGCTGACCATAAATGGCAAAATGGCGCATACATCTAAGATAAGCATGAGTCCTGGAAGATTTGAGCGAATTTATTTGCGATATACCTGGGACAATCTTGCTTATTCTTCTTCTTCTTCGATATCTCCAACCCCAAGCCCCAGACAACCTTTGAATCGACAGATATAACCGGCAAAATATTGTGGCAGGTAGCACACAATGGAAGGGGTTTCCCGTCAGCATCTCTTGGCACCTCAGGTAACTTTGGGAGTTCCTTCAGAATGTCGTTGGAACTTGCCACGGGAGCGGGACGCGTACGCAAGATTCGTGGCTCACTGTCCTCTTTCTTAACTTTAACTCGCTCCTTGAGCGAGGCCTTTTCTCTGCCCTTGCTACCGCGGGAAGGCGTCGACAAAGGGGTTGAAGACTCCTTTTCTTTGCCCTTCCCAGATGAAGCAGAACGCGTCTCGCGCTTGTCGACCGTCGACATAGGTGTCTTGGATGCGATAGACGGACTAGACGAATTGCTGCCGGGCTGTTCTTGCGCTTCTCGCGCCTTCTGACGTCGAGTCGAAATAATGGATCGGTACGGAGTTGACTTGGATGATTGTGGCGTGGTCGGTGGCGGGGGCGCAGAGTCTTCTACTGATGTAAGAGAACTGAGAGAGGACAAGGACCGCGAAGGTGTTAGAGGAGAAGTTGGGATTGAAGACAGAGAAGACAGCCGCTCGTCGCTGGTCCCTCCTGAAGTCAGAGAGGTGAGGTCAGACTCGCTTTCGATTTCGGCCGTCATCTCTATCTCGGCTTCATCTGGAATGTTCTTCGCATCGGCAGCAAGTACGGCGTCGTCTCCTTCTTCATCACTTTCGTCTGATTCATCCTGTTGGCGAGAAATGGCATATACACCCCGGCGAGTGCGCCTTTCGTTCAGATTTACATCCACGGGAGCATCTTCTTCGCCGTTTTCAGGCATATCGCGTTCATCGATATCAGAGTCAGAATCAGAAGCAGGGTCATCGTCGTCCTGATCAGGGGCATATCCTCCTCTGCCCTTCTTTTCGCATGTCTCGCATAGACAATGCTTGTTCCGCCGGCCGACTAAACAGATGAGTGAAAAAAGATCACGAGCGCAGTCAAGTGGACGTACAGTAACTATCCCCATAATGTGCTGTTATCTCCTCCCCAATGGCTATTGGCCGTAGAGTACGAAACGTGATGTACCTTCCCTCACGAAAAAGTTCACAATTATTATCACAATCATGCTGAAAACATAACGTCAATTATTGAACAGCCAGGGATGGGAGGTTTGACCCACATTGACAAATCGGGCCGGCCCCAAAAACAGATGGTTCTTCTTCATAGACTTCGAATGAATGACGCTAAAGTCTCGCCGAATATCTGAGTTCACGAGGTCGGTGCGCTTGAGCTCTCGATCTTCTTCCTCGCTAAGGTTGGCCATGGAGCCCTTTAGTTCAGTTATTACGGTGCCAGTGGGGAGATTGCGTGTCGCTAGGATACAGAGCTCGGACTTGCCGGTCCTGTGCGAGTAGCGGGAGGTATGAGATATCTCGATGGAGCCTGAAGGATGATAGAGCTCGAAATATCGTGATGCATGGCTACAGGTGGGTTGTACTGAGTGAGATGGCAAGAGTGAGAAAAAAGTGGTACACACGTGGCAAACGCGTTCCTTTGGTGCTTGCTGTAGCCCTCAGATTCGAAGTAATAACGGATGGGTCCCAAGCTGCAGAACGGGGCGCGGTGAATGACAGGTAACCGAGACAGGAGCGAAAAAAAACGAACAGGAGTAGTTCATCGACCGCCTGGCGTGTGGCGACTTGAACAGGCCCCTTTACAGCAACGAGCTAGAACACGGAAAGGAAACAAAAACGCGTGAAAAGACCGTTCAAGAGATAAAATGAAGATTCAGCACGCACGCGTCGCACAATCTTCAACAGTTGCTGAGCATCGCACTTGGGCAGCCTACGTGATGAATCCATTTTGTGCACGAGTAAGGGTACTGCGCCTGTGCCGAGCTTCTCGACGAGGAGATGGCTGAGGAAGTCGTCGTCCTTGGACAAGTCGCTCATATTCATGACTTTAACAGGGTGCCAGGAACGTGAGTCTTTCGACGACCCATGAGCAGGAGAGGCGGCAGGCGCCATGAGCGATAAATGGCGCTCGAAGCTCGACGGACGACGGGCAAGGACGGGACTTGCTGCAGCGACGATGATTTGTGGCCAAGAGACCAGAGGAAGAGCAGATTTAACCTGTACTGTAACGCCGTCACGCTGTATTTACATAAACTCCGACTCCTTGTCGCCTTTGTTTCCCGAAGGTCCGTTATTATACTGCCTTGTCTCGGATCCTCACAGACCTCACCGGTACCCTTATTGTACTTGGATTTTGTCCCACATCCCTCCTTTGTTTTTTCTCCTTTTTTTCTCCTTTTTTTGTCGATTTACTGGCCTTTTCTCGGGACGAGGGCAACGGAAACAATCATCGCATGGACCCTGCCTCCGTGATTGCTTCAGTACCTGTTCCGCCACATCCGGCTTATCGCAGCGCTAGACCACTCCAGCTGTATTCCTTTGGTAACGTTTCACTCGGACATCTATGATGTGGCTGTTTCATGACACGTAGCTTGTAAACCGACATTGCATTCTTGTTTCTACATCATATAATTACTACAGAACCCGACCATCACATGCATACATTCAGAGGCCACCACGAAGACGGAGAACTGCGTCAAAAATCAGCTACAACCCAATGGCGAGCAGCGGGGGAGAATGTTACCGAGATGAAGAGTAGACTCCTTCTGGATGTTATAGTCCGAAAGAGTACGACCGTCCTCCAACTGTTTCCCGGCAAAGATCAGACGTTGCTGGTCAGGCGGGATACCCTCCTTGTCCTGGATCTTCGCCTTGACGTTGTCAATCGTGTCAGACGACTCAACCTCCAACGTAATAGTCTTTCCGGTTAGCGTCTTCACGAAGATCTGCATACCACCGCGAAGACGGAGCACTAAATGGAGTGTCGACTCCTTCTGAATGTTATAGTCGGAGAGTGTGCGACCATCTTCGAGCTGCTTGCCAGCGAAGATAAGACGTTGCTGATCAGGCGGGATCCCTTCCTTGTCCTGGATCTTCGCCTTCACGTTATCGATGGTGTCGGAAGATTCAACTTCTAACGTAATAGTCTTCCCAGTCAACGTCTTGACAAAAATCTGCATACCACCACGTAGACGCAAGACTGACAGATCGGTGTTAGGCGGCAAAGGAACAATACATAAGAACATGCATACCCAGGTGAAGAGTCGACTCTTTCTGAATGTTGTAGTCGGACAAAGTCCTACCATCCTCAAGCTGCTTGCCAGCGAAGATCAGACGCTGTTGGTCCGGAGGAATGCCCTCCTTGTCTTGGATCTTAGCCTTGACGTTGTCAATGGTGTCAGACGATTCGACCTCCAGAGTGATGGTCTTGCCGGTCAAGGTCTTGACAAATATTTGCATACCACCACGCAGACGCAGGACTAAGAAACGCAAACAGATCCATCAGCCGCAGCAACTTCGAGAATAGGGGCCAAACGTACCGAGATGAAGGGTAGACTCTTTCTGGATGTTGTAGTCGGACAAGGTACGACCATCTTCCAACTGCTTGCCGGCAAAGATCAAGCGCTGTTGATCAGGAGGAATACCCTCCTTGTCTTGGATCTTGGCCTTGACATTGTCGATGGTATCGGATGACTCAACCTCAAGAGTGATGGTCTTGCCAGTCAAGGTCTTGACGAAGATCTGCATACCACCGCGCAGACGCAAGACGAGGTGCAGGGTCGACTCCTTCTGGATATTGTAATCAGAAAGGGTTCTGCCGTCCTCCAATTGCTTTCCAGCAAAGATCAAACGCTGTTGGTCAGGAGGGATGCTGTTAAGCACATGAGAACGCGCTTCAAGGCGGGGGAGAGAGAAGGATGATACTGACCCTTCCTTGTCTTGAATCTTGGCTTTGACGTTGTCGATGGTGTCGGAAGATTCAACCTCAAGGGTGATGGTCTTTCCGGTGAGAGTCTTCACAAAGATTTGCATTCTGAGAAGAAATTAGTATTTGGGGCGAACGACCAATGAATCGGGAGCCTACATGCTGCTGAGGATGTGGAACTAAGAGAGATGGTAGTGGTTGCAAACAGAGTTGTTGAGTGAGTTATCAGCGGGTGGCTGTCCTTATCAACGTGACAATTGCTGAGTCACTACTATCACAGCCACACGCAGCCTAGAACTTTCGATTCTTTAACTTGGGTCCAAGTCCTTCATCTCTTCGAAAGCATTGCGTTCACAGGCTCGCCGTGACTTGAGCTTGACCTAGGATCGCGGACCAATGTTTACGTTCATCTGCTTCCCAAGTCCCCCAGAATTTCCGGGTCTTTTATCATAGCCGAAGCCGACTCACACGGATTCTTACTTACTGGCGCTAGTCCTGACTACACCCATCATCCGTGACGCATGGCTATGAGCAATGTTCCAGGCGCTTTACAATCGCTACCCTTTTCCTATCTACGAAAGATTGCGCAATACAACCTGGGAGCAATTTTGGGTACGATATGTTTCCGACGATGCCGATGCCGAGGAGCCCCACTTCATACCGCGGAACTCACGTCCATGGAGATGGTTTATCCTTTGAAAATATGATATATACAAACTCTGAAGACGATACTTGAGCCTAAGACCTAAAGTCAAATTCTCTCCAATTACTTTAACTATTTATCTCACCACGAAGATTCTCTTCAAGTTGCTTGTGAAAAACTCCCTGGGATCCACCATCTTGCTACCCACAGTTTCCGTGGTTTCTGATGCACGTCACTTCGTTCTGGCGTTCGCTGTGTATGATCTGATGAGGCAATATATTGTTCGAAGCTCACAACGCGGTCACCTGGTACAGTCAACTTTTATGCTGATGCCAGTGCAACTATTTTCCATTCCACCAGTATACCTGAATTAAAAGAGCGTCATACTCATACAAAGCTATTTGGCATAGAAGAGCTCCATCTGAACAATTAAATAAACGATGCTGGATGGTATCAATGTACAGTGAAGCCAGACGCAGAGCCGAAGATGGATCGAGAGTAAGATAAAGATAAACAAACAAAGCAATAAGAATATTATCGTTTCTTCTGGATGTCATTGTCATAAGCGCGTAATACTGGTCCATATGCAAATGTCGGCTAGTGAATTTCACGCTCACCGATCAAGTGGGAGCCGCTTCACCGCAGGGATACCTTGGTAGCGAGCACGAACATCTTCTTTCACACCAGGGATCTCTCCTTGTCTCGTGAGATGGTGCCAATAAAGCACGTCCCCAGGCTTGAGCATACAAGGCAAAGATGTCTCCGTTTGCTCTGACGGTAGTCCGTACGGGAAAGAAGGTGATACGAGTGGGGGTGGGATAGAATCATCGGAGCTATCCGATTCAGCAGAAGCAGGACGTAAAATCGAAGGAGATTGAGAAGGGACAGGTCCAAAGGGGTATGGACGTTCGGAATGAGGAAGTGGACGGGGAGCATGCGGTGAAAATTCATGGCTATGATCGGCGGAATGACTATGTTGCTCTGCGAAAGGGAATGTTCCATGGATAGGGGAGGTAGTCGTGGAGGATACAGGAGAAGGATCTGCAGGCGGTGGTGTCGGAAGATATTCTGACCTATGTGCAGGAGAAGACTGATAATGAGGATTGAACAAACGAGAATGCATAGTTTGGGGATGGTGAGGAGGGTATACAAGCGAAGTAATGGGTGGGACAGGAGGATATGAGTGCTCATAGGGCACAACACCGGGCTCGTCCAGAATGTAATGGCGTTCTGTGCCAATGATCTCGCTAGAATGAAATACGAAACGGTGACCATTCGTTGCGCGATTGGAAGAAGTGATGGAAGAAGTGCATCGATTACACTGGGTAAAAAGCGATGACTTTCAAAGTCGAATAGGAACAGGCAAATACTTACGGGGATGACAATCATATAACCGACAATCGCACCACAGCCATGGCAGCATAAAGTCTGGGTAAGACATTCGCATGTACGCTGAGACGAGTTTGAAGATGACAGACGGCACGAAGGCGGTCGAAGTGCCTCAGGGCTTGACGTGTATGCAGAACAGTTGACCGGTAGGGCATCAGAAGAGTATAGGGCGACATTCGGACGAAGTAGCAGCACCGCCTAGAAGAAAATGGGTGAGACAGTTGCTGAAATGCTTTAGGGGGCAGTGTATGCGACATACCTTCATGCCCCGGTTTGTCAGGAAAGTACCGCATGACTTGCAGTCCAAGATCCAGACTTTATGGGCCATAGGAGCAGGAGGCAGCACGGAAGGGTACGGATTTGAAGGAAATATGTGAAGCTGTTGGTTCTGCCATACCTGCTGGGCTAACATATGAGAATGGTCGTAGAGAGCACGAGGAATGGATTGCTCGAGATGATCATGATGACTGGGTAGAGGATAAGGACGAGTAGTACTCGACGAGAACAATGAAGGCGGCGGCGCAGGCATTGGGACCAGGTATCCGCGGATAAGGCAGCAGACGGCGAGACCGAGGATGTAAGAAGCTTAGTGGTGGTATAAGTAGAGGACAAGCCCGAAATTATTATTATTTCTCCTAGGTTATATTTAGAAAATTGCATCATCCCATCAGTCCCATCATTTTTCTTCGCTTATTTCCGGTGTCACCTTCAGTCTCTGCTTCCAACATGGCCTCCAATTTGGCCGTGCTCACTCAATCTCACACCGTCGTCGCTGCAAAGAAACGAGCAAAGCGAGAACAGATAAAGGAAATCATATTTGACGACAATGCAAGAAGGTAGCGCTGTCCTTCAATCAGACCAACGCAGTCTTCATTTTTCTCTAGGGAGTTTCTGACCGGCTTCCACAAACGCAAGCTAGCAAAAGCAGAAGCGGCGCGTAAGAAAGCGGCGGAGCGGGAGAAACAGCAACGACAAGAGGTCCGGCGCGAGGTACGCCCAGTGGTTACTCCTGCCAGGACCCCATCTCATCCCCAAGTAGCAACGTCGAATGCTCAGGGAACGCGCGGCGGAGAACGCAGCACAGGTTGAAAGCGCTTATGGTGCAATAATTGGTGAGAACCCGTGAATAGCTGATCCGTTGTTCTACCTGCTTACCTTTACCGAAGGTCCATACATTAACGAAAACGAGGAAGAAGAATGGCATGGTATAGCCGAGCTTTCAGACAAGCAAAAGGGCAAGCAAAAGGAACAGGAATACGAGGATGAGAGGCATCTTGCCACTGTTGCTGTCGTTGAAGACTTTGACCCTGATACATTAATCCATGGCCCACCGAAGCCGGCTCCGTCAGTGCCCTCGGAGTTGCCGCCGACGACAGTTCCTCGGACCAAGCCTCTTTCAAAATCAAAAGTCAAATCAAAGGTACGGTACCAAACGAAGGGCGCGCGACGGGTGGAACAGACAAAACAACATGCCAGAAGACGAGAAAAGGCTGAGCTGGCTGGCGGAAAGGCTGCGCGACGTGGTAAGGGCAGTAAAGGGAACAGGCGTTAGGCCTACGGTCCGGCGGGATCTGTTACTATTTCTGTCACGTTTCTGTCACGCTATTGCAAATGTATTGCTTTCCTTGACTGCTCCACGATGAACTCGTTGTATACCTCGGGCGTTCGCCAGACAAGTTCAATACAGGCTGACCTTGAGCGCCTAAGAAATGGAGATACTTCTGCCTCACTGCTGGGTGCGTTACTGCTGCTACGGCGACGACGACAATTGTGCTGAAGAACACGCGCCTTTTTGTTTCCATTAGGGCAGATATCAGCTTCATTGGCGGCGATGCACAGAACCATTGACGACTATGACTCGATGGCAAAGCGTGAGATAATCAAAGCAAAGCAGGAAAAGGCACAAATGTACGTTAGTATACGTGGTACTGCTGGTACTAGCTTTCTATATTCAACCTTATTCAACTCGTTCTGCTCTAGGCGAGTCCAAAAATTCAGAACCGACTATTCAGAACTTCGTACTCAATTTGACCGCCTGAAAGCCGAGGCCGTTGCTCAAGTACGTACGGCAGTCCTTCTCTATCCTCGACCCTTGCTTACTGGCTTCTAGAGAGAAGCTGACCAGCGCGCTGAATTGATATCCTCCTCTGGAACCCCTTCTTCTCCTTCCGATGCTCGACGGCGCTTTCAAAACACTCCGAGCACGTCGCAGTTGCATCCGGGCCTTCGTCCAGATTCCCAGGTATCTGAATCGCCCTTTCGAAGTGTAACGCCACAGCCCGGATTTGGCTCACGGGAGCAGCACGCTTTGGATGAGCACACCTTCATACAGAATACGGAAAATCGTTTGGACGAGTTCCTTGCGCAGGGAAGGGAGGTCCTCGACAACCTCGTGGACCAACGGAACATGCTTAAAGGCACACAGCGGAGATTGCTGGACGCAGCCAATACTCTTGGGCTTAGCAGAGATGTTATCGGATGGATTGAGAGACGAAGGTAAGTCTCATTCGACTGCGTGGGATCCTCATTGACAGGTATTTCAAAAGTACGCAAGATATGTATATCTTCTTAGCTGGTGCCGTGTTTACCTTCTTCTGCTTCTATCTTATATGGAGATATCTTGGTTAATGTTGATTTAGATGTACGTTTCATCCTTCTTTTGCTAGATATGGCTCATGTAAAGCCCAGATCCTACCCGTGGACACTATTTATGTACAGCATACTTGTTCGGATTACTGGTTATTTCACTCAACTGCTTCGATGCCAGCTGAAAATATCGGAATATCGATTTACATCAGCCGGTCTTCAACGTATCCTTTGAATTACTGCCTTCAACCTACTGCCCAGATAACCAGTGGCTGTACCGCTGTGTATGTTTACTCTATGTAGAAACGCGCTTTCCACGCACAAAGGTCCAATAGCTGAGATGGTCATCTTTTCGTTTGTGACTGCAGTTCTCCCGACTACGCCCCTCCACCTGGCTACGGTCTCGTGTAACGTGGCTAATATCCTACGGTTCAAAGTACCGCATCGATCCCTTGCTTTGCTACACACAAATTGCATTCGGACCTGTTCGTGTACACCCTTCATGCCAACGCCAAGCTATCTCGTTCGTTTCGACTAGGAAGTTCCTCGCAACTTGCTTTATTTTCCGGTTACGAGCCATTCTACTGCGGCGGGGGCCTGTTCACTGCCTTCATTCCCTCAGCGGTCAACCTTGCCTGATCTCACTGCCTGGATTCGCCGAGGTGGGTCAATGTCGGGACAGCCTGGTTGCGAGGTCGTCGCTGTGCCAACTGCGACGGTGTAATGAGCGTAGCCTTGGCTAGCCGCAAAATTATACTGGGAGAAAGTTACGAGACTGCGATGCAGATGCGAGTTTTTTCCATCATATACGGAATATCACGATATGCAACAACCTACTCACAGGCAGATCAGATCCATGGCCAATGCACCTGGACACCAAAAGTTGGACATTGTAACCGACTGTTCGAACCCAACAGGTTCCAAGCCCGCTGTGAAACGAGTAGGGAACGCAACGCAACTAGGGAACGCTTTTGGATGTATCGAAAGTTTGGGACATCTTTGGCGTAAACTGATATACGTATGTTTTTTTGTTACATGGCTCAGCCCTGCTCAGCGAAGTCTCTCCGTCGTATCTAGCCAGGCTCACGAGACCGGTTCTCAACTCCACTAGCGGACTTTTTTCGAGGAGTCCGGTTTCCTGGTCAACCCGTCGGTTAACAACGTGCTTTTGCTGCGGAAACTTATTCCATAATCTACAGTCGTTGTCAGAGGTCTATTTACCAACTCTCAAAAATTACTCGGTGCTAGATGACGCAGAAATATCTGCTATCCAGGCAAGAAGCCAGACTTCTACACATCAATGTTCATGGCTGCTGCTTAATATGTTGCACGAGTTAGTGCTCTGAACGCCTCTATTTCTAGGAGCGCGCCATCTTGAGTCGCGTCGCGCTCGATCTAGAATCCTCTCTGCTCGCGGTGCTTGGGCTTGGCACGTCTTGGCTTGCACGACAGAGACCTGCAACGGAATATCTCTTTCTGATCAGCCCATGCTTTTAGGGCTATCTGCATGACGTAGAGCTCCCAATGGGCGCCGAGTCTGCAGCGTATAAAACTGTGAAGGTCGACACTGAAGTTATCAAAAACATTTTCCGACTTGCCTGGTCTCGCAGTCTACTCACTTCACTCATTGTCTTGCACTTTCCTTGATAAATCTCTCTCGTTCCGCTACTACCATGATCTTTTCCACCACCGTCTTTCTTTCTTTGTTGGCTGTCGCCAGTGCCAGGCCCAAGCCCCGCGCAGCAAGCTGTACTTTCCCCGAGCCCGCTACAAGTACTAGTCTTTCTGAACCTATGACAATTGCGGCGGGTGACTCTTTTGATGTTCGTGACTCTACGTTTTTTTTTTTTGGCGCAAGGCTTATTATTTTCTAGGGTGATAATGTCAGATATGACCGAGGGACCGAGTGTGGTGGTCAATCCGAAGGTGGTGACAGCGACGCCGTTTTTCTTCTTGAAGAAGGTGCAACCCTCTCGAACGTCGTCATTGTAAGTCGCGTCAGTCGGGGCCTGCAGCTCTTCGTTGAGGTTTCTTTCTTAGGGTTCAGACCAAGGGGAAGGAATCCACTGCTTGGGCTCCTGCACTCTGACTAACGGTGAATATTGAATTTCTTTTTCCCAATGAGAATACTAAATTCTGATTCCTATACAGTTTGGTTCGGTAAGGCCTGAGAGATATGCCAGGATAGCATGCGCTGATATTTTATTATAATACAGAGGCTGTTTGTGAAGTCAGTTCTTATTCCCAACTCTATTCCGATATTCATCATAATCCTTTACATCACAGGATGCTATTACCATCAAGCAGGAATCCGGAACTTCTTACATTAATGGCGGTGGAGCGAAAGGTGCCGATGACAAAGTAATTCAGCACAATGGAGGTCAGCGGGAATGCATTGTATCCCTTGCTTTTGCTAACATCCACGATGCTCAGGTGGAACTGTGTCCATTGATAGTTTCTGTGTAGGCCTGTCCCCTTATCGATTGTGACTTCCGCTGACACTACGGCAGGTGCAAGATTTCGGCAAATTGTACCGAAGCTGCGGCAACTGCGATGAGTACGTCGTTATCCATTCAGATTTAGTGGCGAGCACAACTGACATATGATGCAGCATGTACGAAAGGGTGAGATCGCTATTTACGATGGCTCTCGTGCTCCTCTAATCGGTTTTCTAGCATGTTGTTCTGTCCAACATTATTGCAGAATCCGGGTCAGTTCTGGCAGGCATCAACTCCAACGTGAGTGCCATAAGTACTGTCTTTAAGCATCGCTCACTTTTGTTTTCCAGTACGGTGATACCGCGACTTTCGACACCGAGTACGTCCACTTTATTCTAATTTTTATTGTTATCCCTCTAATCATCGCTGTATAGCTCCATTGATGCTAGTGATGTGGACAGTTGGTGCAACACCTACGAGGGAAACGACACTGGTGACGAACCCGAAGAACTCACAGAGAACGAGGCCAACGACTACTGCGTGTTCTGATTGGGTCCTGACGCCTGGGTGGACGCTTGAATCGCTTTCGTACCGTTCCTGTACTTCAGGTTGCCCGGTGCAGCCTGTTCAAGTAGGTACCATGAATGCATATGATGTCGGTTCGAGTATACATGTGTCTCGAATACAGGCTGAATGATCGCGCCAGCATAAAATGTTTTTCCGTACTAAACTAATCAAGCGTCCCATATTTCGCTCCGTTCTAATAATACATGTTTGTTTTATAACGTTAATAAGAGGATGCAAACAAGCGTGCATCGTGCTCCTTGTCGCCCATGACCTCTATTGTGATGCCCACACCAGCAGGGACGCAGCCCTCTCCCATTGCAGCCTCGAGTGCTACTTTGGATGCAAATCCAGAGCAGTGCATAGGAAGGATATATGTAGGTGAGGGCTTCAACTGTTCAGAGAGGAAATGTACAGTAGGCTCTATGCGAGGAACGAGATCCGGTGTAGCCAGATGTAAGCCGCCGACGATCTACGAAGCAGTGACATAGTAAGCTCTTATCTGATAGTTTCAAAGCACGGGTACGGCACCATATGAATTGGACGAGAGAACGTATCGACCGCATGCTTGATCACGTTCACAATTCCAGCATGAGAGCAGCTTCAGAGAAGATAGTCAGCGTACTCCAGCGCGAAGCTAGATAAACCCGTACGCGCTAAAGATGACCAGTCCTTTCCCAACAACATCAATTGCCGCATATCTTTCGTCCATTATATGCTTGAAAACATTTAGCTGTTCAATCACCAGAACGAGGGTTACTCACTGGCTCTTCTGTCCATTGTCCGTCCTTCCATCTCATCCCACCGAGGATTCCTTTGATAAATAATGAATGGCCAGCAAGAACTATCAGACCTGAATATCCCACCTTGTTCAAATGGGGTGATGCGGGGAATCTCACCGCTGACATAGACCGTATTTCCAGCAACAACATGCGCCTCGGCATGCGCTTCGACCAAACCCCCAGCCTCCTCAATCAACTCAAAAGTAGGATCGGGTGGTAGGGCACCTATTACTTTATCGTACTTGGGTCCAGGAGCTATACCACGAGCAAAGGGCCTGTCAGGATGTACATCTACAGCGCAGGGTGCCTGAGTCGACGCCACACCCGAAGTCCTGTGCTTGAGAAAGGACAGTAGACCCCCCGAATGGTCGCTGTGCCAATGAGAGAATGATAACCCTCTCGACTTGATCAGCAGGCACATGCATCGCTGAGACATTGCGAACGAGAGAAGTAGAATCTGGGCCAGTATCAAAGAGCGTCAAGTGGGTTTTCCCAGTTTCCGGAGACTCGGTGTTCTGTTGACCGTGTTAAGATCGAGGGGGGATTTTATACTGAAGGTGCTTACAATGAGAGCCGAAAATCCATGGGCTCCTACGGAGAAAGTGTCAATAAAACACTGAAGATCAGTGCTCTGGTTAGACAGTTACCGCAGCAAAACTGATTGAAATCTAGGACTGGGACTCCAGTAACCTTGTCAACTTCTGGACTATGATACCGGACATGCTGCGGTAGTTCATGAGTGAAACCGGGAGGGAGCTTGGTAAACCTTCATGCATTCATGCACGGTTCACTCTTCTCGTCAGCAACCTGTGTTTAGAAATGAACGATCATACGAACCATTCAATGTTGTTATCAACAAGAAATGTGATAGTCAGTTTATTGACTTTGCGTAACGAAGTTTCTGGCATGACAACGGCTCTTAAGTTTGGGATGTTGTCAAGTTTCTGGAGGCATATAGCCCTATTTGGCTTAGATGATTAATCGCGAAGGCGAATTTGTACACCTAGTAAGTACAAAACGGTGTACTCTACTCATATGAAGTGTAAAAGAGCAATCCCGAGCAGGCTGTTGCGATGGACCAGAATCGCACAAAGGAAGAAGAAAAGAACAAGTTGACCCAGATATGGATTGAAGCATGAAAATTCATATTAAAAACACAATGATGAAGCAATTGGAATATGTCCTCTAGGAACGTTGGCTACAAGAAAGACGTTAAGCGAGAGACATATCAAACTGAGCGAGACTCACGCCATGCCACCGTATCCCATGTTAGCACCAGACTCAGCCAGTTTTCTTTGCCTAAACGCCTTAACAGTCGGATGCTGGTTAGCTACGGGAGGAACCGATACAATGAAGAGCGTTGCGCACCTTGCGATACTTGGTCCGCTCATATGTGACCAAACCAACCACTATGAGCGCAATGACTGAAATACCCGCAAATACACCAAGACCGATGGGAAGAACAGACAAGTCCTTTCCCGGGAGAGTAAAAGCGGTTGTCTGTGTTTCTGACGATTCTGCAGCTGCAGCAGATGCAGAGGATGCAGTATCCGATGCTATTGTTGCTGAAGCTGCCGCTAAACTCGTACCGGCAGAGGCCTTGGTATGCTTTTAGCAATGCAGTGAAGGAAACCGATGAGATCTCACCGCGGTAGATGTAGCACTCGACGAATCCACCGACACAGAAGTGAATCCCTGGAATTATGGCAAGTCAGATTTCGAACATCTGAGAACTCGAATGCGCACATTGACAGAGATTGCGCCACCAGCCGATGCTGAGGCTGAGGCTGAAGAGGTTGCTGAACTACTTGCGGCTGTAGCTGTGGCGGTGTCTGAACTGGTAGTGGCGCTTGTGTCGAGAGTAGCCGAAGAAAAGCCCTGAGCATGACAAGTTGGCAGGAGAATGATCATCGGATTGATAGACTTACATTGACCGACAGAGCCCCACCCCCAACTGCCGACTGCGTTGTGGACGCTGCGTCAGTTACAGTCAGTGTCGAAGAAGTATCTGTTGATGATGCCGTAGCTGCAGTGTTCACAGTGGTCGAAGTATCAGTGGCAGATGCGACAGATGATGCACCACTACTCCCAGAAGAGCCGTTATTCTGGGAATTGATGGACTCTGTGCAGCTCTCGACCTCCAAGAATGCATCCTGGCCATTGGCGTCAGTGGTCGGGGTGAGGGTAATTGTGCATGTCTGCGTCATTAGGCCCGCAGTACTGGGACATTGTAAATTGGAAGCAGCGAAGACTGGGCAAGTGTACGTACGTCTGATATTCATTAACCACCTGAACCGTGGTAGTACCATTTCCATTTAACTGACGGGCTACGGGTACTGCATTGACAGAGACCAAGGCAAGGAGAGGCGAAAGAAAGAGCAAGATAAGGAAAGGCAGCATGACGAGGAGTGACGAAGAGGGCTTTTGAAAAAAAACGTAGAGCCCGGTTCCAGCGGTTTCTCGACGGTGAAGAGAACGACGAGCGTCCTAAAGAATATAAAAAGATAGGAAGTGCCCGCTGGGCGAAGGCGATGAGGAGAGAAAGAGAGAAACGGTGATTACTCGGCAACCGCCGTCCCCTCGCTTAGCAACAGTTGGCCCATAATTCCCACGGGATAGCGGCTTTGATGGTCCATAAAGATAAACGCAATCATACCGGGGCCTGGCCTGACCTGCTGGTAACATATGAACCATCACAGTTCTAAATACACCGGCTTGTAAACTACCTGATTAAGCTCACCGCATTCCACCCTCAACCGCTTTGTACACCTTTCCGTCTCTCTCCCGCCTGCGACCTCGTTGCCAACCTAAGACCGTTCCAATGACCGTCGCCACCGTTTGTGCACCATACTGCTCGAAAAGAAGAGAAACACAAATATTGACAACCACCGCCATCAGTAACACCATCCTAGCACGCGCGGGTAGCACCATCAGTGTCAACCAGTCCGTCAAGACAGCCGGTGGAAACAATAACACGAGTAAGTTGAACGCAGAGAGGACTCCTATAGCCAGCATTAAAAGAACTAGAGAGACATTAGCAGGCGGCCTCACTTGAAAAAAAAAACGTTACTGACCATTCGTCGACATAGCCTTTCTGTAAGGTGGCCCTATGCTGAAGACAGCAGCCACCAAGATATATTGGAAGCATGACACCAAAAACAAAACAGAGTTCTCAAAATTCCTTGACTTTAGCTGGTTGTTGTCTTGCGAAGGTTCGTCCTCCCGTGGAGGTGTGTACCTGCCATATATTGAGTGTGGCTTCAATGACATGTCTGGATACACCTCACCATTCCTGACCACGAACCCACATGTAAGCCCAGATTTGCACGACACATGCGATTACAATCTGCCCAATGATGCTGCTGAGAACCTTTTTAGATACAAGGCTTGCTGTTGGCCGTTTCGGATGGATACGAGGATAGGGGAGAGTACGACCCACTGAAAAGAGGTGATGAGAAGTCATTAATGGCTAGAATTAGGAATAGAGCTGTACACACTTGTGACGGCAACGGGGATTATGATGAAGAGATCGATGTAAAGGAACTTAAGGACATCAGGATCATGATCCATACCAAAATGTGACGCACATACCTGAAAGTCGCCCAAAGATGACGCGAACGAGTATAGCAGGGTCACTGTAGTGAATTGGATCATCGAGTACAATGCCCTACCTCTCATTAGGCTTTCACCATATCCCAAGAAAAAAAAAGACCCTCACATGTATTTAAAGCAGCTGAAACTCGTAACAAGGGCGGCTCTACCCTCTTTGATGAGCTCAATGACACAGCCGATGTCCAGAGTGCTCGCAGTGAATGGTGCGGCCACGCTAGCTTCTGCCTCTGAAAGCGATATACCTACATCAGCTGCCTTCAAGGCAGCACAGTCATTGGCGCCGTCCCCACACATCAGTACAGTATACCCGAGTGCTTGCAACCGCTCTACTACCTCATTTTTCTCATCTGGAGACATGCGCGCAAAGATCTGGGTCTTCACCAGCATCTAAAAAATATGTTAGGCAACTCGGTAGAAAATGGCAAATGGTCACTCACCCGCTGTAGCGTTTCAAGCGGCGCAGGTTGATCATCCACCGAAAGACATCACCCGTCACGACAAGTGCATAGTCATGATAGTCGATTTCAACTGCTTCAACGGTATGATGAGCGAGTGGAAGCAGGGGTTTCAAGCTATACGAATCGAGCATCCAGGAAGGATCATCCGTGCACGGCCATTGGAGTCTGGATTCCGGTGTTGATGTGTTCCCTGCCAGACTCCACATAAGCTTTAGTAAAGGAAAAGTTGACAGAATAACTACCTCGAACGAACACAGGGTAAAAGATATGAGCTGCCTGATTGATCAGACCGCACTCCCTGGCTACACTGGCTGCGGTCAAGGGGTTGTCTCCGGTGATCATACGACAGGCAAGATGCGCGGAACGCAAGGCGTGGATTGCAGGACCAGTTCCAGGTTTGATCTTATTCTCAAATATGACCAAGCCCAGGAAACGAAGACCACTTTCGGCTTGTTCTCTGTGGATAGAAACATCGGTTCAGTAGAAATGTCAACGTTGCAAGACTCTTACCGTTTCATTCTCTGGGCTTTCAACCACGATAGACCCTCGATACTCTTGCCTGCTATGGCTATGACCCGGTAGCCACGTTTTGTATAGTAAGATAACAAATCGTCATAATCTTCCGGAACTAGGGAGAGTGTTACGACAACACAATCACTTGTTTGGGGAGGACGCACAAGAATCTTTGTCGCATATATCGCCCATAACCTCTGGTGCACCTTTGACATATATTTCCATGCTGCTGCTCTTGAGCCTCTTCACGATAACACTCATTCGTCGAAGGCTGGAGACGAATTCAAATGTTCTAATTACGCCCAACTCCAAAAAATGAGCATGCTAACATTCATTTTCAGTCGTATCGAACTCGTCCGAAAGCCAATTCACTGACCTTCGTGCCTCCTTTCAGAGCGTCTTCTAATCGAAATTGGGCACTTCCCGGAGGGCGCACAACGATTTGAACCAAGGCAGCTTGTTCCATGATTGTGCCAGATTTTGATTTGATAACACCAGTGCCAGAAACCCGCCCTTCTTCTAGAGTCCATTTAGTGAACGAGAACATCTTCATGTCGAGGGGATCGCCAAGAGGTTCACCATCCACCATTTTCAGCGAATGGCAGGTCGCGAGAGCATGCAAGAACGTGGCTTTGTCCTTCCCCAGCGGACATGTCGTGGACGTCATCGAGTAATTCACCGAATCTTTGACTGTTGCGATCAAGAGCTCTTACACCCAGAATATCCAACCCATCCTCGGTTAGTGTGCCTGTCTTGTCAAAACAGCAGACATTAATCTTCCCAGCAACGTTGACTCTACTTGGTGATATGCAATATATTCCTAGTTTTTGTAGTCTTCCAATGGCAAAGCTGGTACCGATGGACAGTGTTGCAGGTAGGGCGGGCGGAACTACGACAGTAATGAGATCCAGCGCGCGTATGATGATCGTCTGCCATTTTAGCTACACCAAGTTAGTCCAAGTAGCGCTGAAAATGAGAGATAAGGCTCCTTACTCCAATTCGAATGAACTGTACAGCACTGGCGCTGAATCCCAGAAGCGCAATTCCCGCTAAAACAAAGATAAAGCGAACAGAGTCCCGGTAGAACTTGAATCCAATTGGTTTGGGGAAGAGCATGGAGCGGATAAGTGCACCCTTTGTGGTGTTAAAGCCTCGATTATGGTTATTGACTCAATCATAGGATAACAGGCATAAGGTTCACCTGTCCTAGCGACCATGGCGAGCGCAGGTCGTCCGGGTCCTGCATCGGAACCTAGGGCTCCACGAATTCTAATCACGCGTGTTCCCCCATACATGTAAGTCTTTGGATTCTCTGGCTGATTTTGTTTCCAATTCAGGAGGTCCTCGTCTTTGACTGGTATTTTGCTGACTGGAACACTCTCGCCGGTAAGCATGCTCTCGTTGACGATTGCATCGCCCGACAGAAGAAACATATCGGCCGGGATTATTGTGAAATCAGAACTGGAGAGGTTGACAATGTCTCCTGGGACAAGGTTGCTCGAATCCCGTTCTGTCCCTTGATAGCAATATAGTCAATGTGGTAATCCGAGAAAGGCACAGTAGTGACGTACAGATTCCACTGACCAGAGTATCCATCTTACACGATAGTCGGGACATTTCTCGCATCCTTGCAATCGTCTGAGATAGTTATTATTGTCCTGCTTCGGATATAGGATGAGATAACGACGTACCTTCTTGGTCTCTATAAGCGTTGTTGTTACGCTTATGACGGAGATCAGGGCAATACAAAATGCATAATAGTAATAGTCATCCAACGACCAAAGAACGATACTAGCAATTTGGAAGACATAGAAGGGGTGAATCACCTTAAAATGGACATTAAATTAACGCAGCAGCGGATAGAGATAGACGTACTTCCTCCACTAATAAAGCTAAGGTAGATTTACCTTCGATGTCGATGGCGTTGGGACCGAATAATGTAAGGCGCTGTTTGCGGACGTCATCCTGTAGACCGTTCTGAATAGATGCGACACCGTCCAAAGATGTATCCCGCCAATCCCTGTATAAATTTTCAGCATTTATGCCAGAGTAACATGGAAGTTAGACGACCTTACTACACCGAAAAGTCCTGTTCTAGGGTCCAAAGCGAACCGCGAATAGCGGTAATCCAAAATAGACTAGTTTGCGCAACAAACTGTCTTCCCCTGCGTCTGGTCCGTCGGCAGTCTTCGAAGACGAGTCTATTATGGATGTTGGGTCTAGGGGCGCTGAGAATACCGTGGACAGAGGATACGGGTATTTGATAGCGTGGATAGGGAAGATGGCGATATCTCTATAGGCTGACTAACACTGAATTCACATACGGACCATAACGACAAACGAATTGATAGCTTACCTCTACAACAACGAACCCGTTGTTCGCATCAATAAACGCCTTCTCGTGTGCACACCATCGCAGCCAAAGTACAGGAAACCAGTGGCCTAAGAGAGCTAGGATGTCAAGCGAGAGGACACATCCTATACGCCAGGCCCATTGACGCCAGGGAATCGTCTCATACCCAATTAAGCGTATAGTACTGTCTTCATCAGGGATGTGAATCGTCTGCCGACTCGGAGGTCCTGGCGGTGGAGGTTGGAGTAAAGCAAAAGGTATCTCCATGTCAATTCGTGATTCACCAGCGAATATCTGGTCCGAAGCGAGCAAGGGGAGACCTTGGGACACGCCAGGCGATGGTGGCTCTGAATCATATTCCATACTCACGGACACCGAAATGTTATCAGGCAGAGTATTCGCAAGGGAATCGTCATCCTCTGAGTCTTCCTCCCCTGAAGAGTATCCCCAGCGTTCTTCTTCATCGTCTTCAGTATCCACAGCATAGTCAGAGCCTGCATCTGATCGTCTGCTGCGACGCGAACGTCTGCTCAGGGAACGCGAAGACCGTCGGGAGAGAGCTGGAGGCCGCAATTGGTCTGGTGACGAAGCCCGGCCAAAGAGGTTCGCAATGTTTTCGAAGACGCTCGGTTTAAGAGTAGGAGAAATCGCTCTCGTTCGACGGCCTTCCCACGACATAGTGCTGCGATTGCCTTCGTCGGACCCGTCCTCTATGCTCTGTCGCGATACCTCACTGTCTCTTCGCGATACCTTGTGCCGGCCCGAGACTCGCGAGTCCTGGCTGAGTCGACGGCTGCGAGAGTATCCTTCGCTGCTACGTCTTCCGAGATCTCCATAAGACATCCTTGATACGCTGCTTGGGTTGACAAAGTCGCTGTGGCCAGGGCCAGAGAATATAGCACCTTCACCATCCTCGCCGTATATGGCACTGTGCTGGGAATCCCGCCGGGCCCGCCTGCTGCTGGACACGGCTTCCTCGATATCGACGGTTGACGCTCCCTCAGTGTAGTCATAGGAGGAAGTGGCCTTTGAAGGCCCCGCAACAGGTGCCATTTCGAAAAAGGCGTCAGAGAGCTGACTGAGATGTGCAAGGGAATCAATGATCGGAGTTCCAATTGGTTCAAAGGTGTTATTACAAATTATTTATTATCAGTCTACCTTATTGCTACCGCCACCAGGAATCCAATGTCGATACTAAATTATGCACTACCAGATGACCGCCCGTCAACATCCATGGCCACACCAGCCTGAGGCCCTCTCGATTTCGTATATTCTTGATCGATTTCTCTCAGCAACCGTAAGAATCGCTTGATAGGCTTTGCATTGTATACCGGTTCAGTCTCGTCGTCCATCATTTTCTTTACGCGATCATCCTGAGTGCGGCTACCGTCAGGCCCGTAAAGCTCTAATAATTTTAGAGTCTCTGTACAATCCGACGCCCACTTCTCAGGTGATGGTTCTGGGTCCATTTGCAAAGCACGGATAATATGTTTCTGCGTAGCTTGATTAGCTTCCAGCGAATTCAACGGATTTTACACATACCCTCTCAATCTTATATTGATGCTTCTGGTTCTTGAAAGGCACCCGCTCACCTTCATATCTGTCGAATAGCCGTTGCGCAAATCGATACTGGTTCAAAACAGTAGTAACAGTTTGAGGTAAGGACCGCCATTGAAACATCGCCTTCCAATCCCTGTCGAGCTGCAACAAAGGATCCACCCTCTTGCAGATCTTATCAAATACATCTACTGCTTCATCATCACTGTCGGGCGACTCGTAATCCCATTCACGTCCATATTTGTCACTGGGTGTAACAAACATCGGATCTTTCTGAGTTGTTGCGTAGCTCTTCATTTTTTTGGGAGGAACACTTCCGACTGAAGGATGGTAACTGTTAGGTCCAAATGGAGGCGGATGACCGAAAGAAGGATGATAACTGTTAGGACCATAAGGTGACGGTGCGGGAGGACGAGGTGCTCTCGGGCCGGGCGATATAGGGCGTGGCGGCGGATAAGATGACACACTATGAGGCGACATTGGAGGATATGATGATCGAGGGGAGGGAGGAGAGGGAGGATATGATGATCTGTGAGAAGGCGAAGGTGGCGGAGGGTATGATGATCTGTGAGGTGGCGACATTGAAGGTGGCGGTGGTTGTGAGTGTCTGTAATCGTAATCGTAGTCACCAACAGGAGAGTGGCGCCGTTTCTTCGAGTATTCTGATCGTCTGCTGTAGTCTCCGCTAGAACTACCGTAGGGGTGTGAAGAATGAGAAGATGAAGAAGGTATTGGATAACGATGCTGGGCTCGGTCGTATTCATGCCGGTGCTCATAATCCCGTCGATGGTCGTGAGAACGCCGCTGGTGCTCGTATTCCCTCCGTTGAGCAAGTTCATGTTCTCTCCGCTGAACTAGTTCATGCTCCCTTTGCTGGACAAGGTCAGGCTCTCGCCGCTGCGCCTGGTCAAGATCGGGAGATGGGCTTCTCAGCTCTCGAGGTATTAGAGGTTGTGCTGGAATTTGTCCAGGCGTTGGGCCCTAAAGGATGTAAGCAGCATGCGGTGCAATGTGAAGAACGCAAACCTGTTCAACAACAATGTCTATGGTTCGCTGGTTCGTTATGCTCAGGTTAGACGATATCGTCTCATCGACATTATCTGCAGACACGCGTAAAAAGAACTGTCGATATCTTCCACGCAAGGTATACACCTTGGCAGGGCCTGTAACACAGCCCATCAGATGATATATGCAGCTGAAAACTGGCGGATCGAATACCATCGATTCTTGATGGGCCCGACTGGAGTTTATCGCACTACGAATAGATACCAGTGAATAAAGCTTCAAACTTACAATTCAATGCGACATACGATGTCCTTTGCATCAGCCCAAAAGCCATCGTCTGGAGTGTCAGCCATTTTCAAAGGTACCTTTACTTCAGCAAGCTGACGATCAACAATCCCACTCCGAATATCCGAGATTAGGAGTGTAACCATACGAGGCAGATTTCGAGGAGCCTTTGAAGCGAGGTCTGTTACATACATCTTGTTATAGATCGAACGAAAACTTGTGACAACCGAAACAAACCAGTACTTGTAGAGGCCTCAAGTAGCAGACCCCTGTAAAATTCCATTGTGCTGGGCATGAAGCGGAGAGTGTGCAGGGGCGGAAGCAAGTGTGGCGTCACTGCCAGCTGGAGAACCTCGCTGAGCATTTACGAACTGGCCGAAGCCTAACGGGTCTTTATCATAGTCTCTTCGGTAATGAGGTCTCGATGCACCAGATAAAGATGGCCGGGAAGAGGTCAAAGCTGGGGGCGCAGAAGGGCCAGAATTGAAATTCGGTAATGTCGAATTCGTCGGTGGGACAGCGTTTGGGGAGGGTGACGTCGACGTCATAGCTGTTGAAGTCCCATTTGTCTGGACCGCCGATGATGATGTCGGTGATTTGGAAGTTGATTTTGTGCTTTCTCCGAGACTAGATTGTGTATTAGGGGAGCCTTGGGCATTGGCGCCTGACGCCAAATTCCTTTCTTTATAAGGAACAGCCCGATAGATTGACGAATAAGGGCCATTTCCCTGCTGCATTGGCGGCGCGGTAGACGCCGTAGGGTCATACGATTTGATTCGAAATCGTCCAACCTGGTCCGGATAACTGTCGCTATGTTTAGTCTTCTTGCTTCGCGTCTTACGTTTAGGTGCTTCTGGCTGAGTGACCACTTGACCCGGAAGAAATGATGTAGCAGGTCGTGGTGCTTCCGTAGGTTCATATGTATCGATATTTGCAGGCGTTATTGTGGTGAATGCGACTGCCTGCCTGATTATCGGCCGCTCAGGAGGAGGAGGGGTATCATCATCAGGAAGCGGGGGGATTTCGAGGTCACCATCGTCAGAGGTCGGACTGAAGGAACGTTTCTGCGCCTGCTAGAGGATAAGAGGACATCGTGATAAGAAAACAAGGCAAGCTTACGGGTCGTGGTGATGATTCCCTGCTGCTTCTGTAGGATATGTGGTGAGTATTTCGAACAGTGTCGAGCAGACCGCTTACGAAGAATCGTCCTCCCTGCGACGACCAAATCCAACATCGTTAATGTTGCCAGTCCTGGTCATGGCTCTTCACAGCCCTACAGTGACAGATGAGCGTTACGGATGAGGAAGTCGAATCAGGGTAGGCCCATCAGGGTCACATAGCTCCGGCAGCTTGCCGATGCACGTGGACGCGATTAGACGCGCATTGAACGCGCCAATAATAAATATTCGAAACAGTAATGCAAACGACTTCGCAAATTAGGAATAAATATCGAAAAAAAAGTACACGCAGCTACACATCACAGCCAGAAATACATTTTACAGACCCTTTAAGCAGTTCCGCTACCATACACTTGCTTCGCAGTACCGAAAAATACGGCGTCGACAGCTTCTTGCTCAACACCCAACTCGGCCAACGATTCCCGAGAAATTGCATACCAATCCCCAGCACCAGTCAAGCCCTTTACGCCAACTAAGGAGGAACCGAAGATGATACGTTGATACCCAAAGGCCTCCATAACCGGACCAACTATCAAGAGCTTCAGCCTCAGGTCTGGAGCCTACGCAAGAAAGGACATACGATACATCTTGATTCTGCGTTTCCATTCCTTTTTCATCTTGGAGTCAGTCGGTTCTTGCGGCGACAGAGCGGAAGGGGTAGCAGGTATATGACTGTCCCAGGTTGGAGGCAAATACTTGATGAAGACCTGGGGGATGAGCGACAAGGCTGCGATCCTTGCTTGGAAGGCCTTGTATGTAGGATGGCTCATCAACTTCACAATTGGAAGATCAAGATTGTCTGGGGGTGGAAGTAGGTTTGCTGTCCATAGGTTAGCATGCAATAAACTGAATCGATAATGTCATGCGTACAGAGAATGATAGGTGGTACCACAGACAAGCCATCGATCGCCTTGGAGAGCAAGTCCTCCAAGTTCTCAAAAAGAGCATCAGTGAGAGGCGCCACTATAGCAATATCAACAGGTTTTCCCTGTTGCAGAGCCCATCTCAAGCTCTCGACGCCGCTGGCCGTAGGCTTGGTGAAGCTGGTATGAAGCGATACAGGCGATGTAAATTGAGGTAGCGAATGCTCGGCTGAGTCTAAGCTGAAAGGAAAGGAAACGGCGACGATAGAGGTAACTGATTTGGCAGATTCAGAGCTAGATTGAGTAGTGAGACTGTGCACAAAGAAAGGAGCAAAAGACATACATTTCGACGGCGTTTTGAGCCTGGCTAGGAGAAAGAGACAGCACAATGCCAACTGTCCGGCCGCCTAGAACATCCCCTGCTTCAAACTTCCACTTGCTCAAATCAGCCGTACCATTAGCGACGGCAACTGCTGCATCTATCACGCTTTCTGGATGTACCGTACTTGGACTGGGAGGCAAAGGAAACTTGTCGGACGTGCCGGAGTTCGGTGGAGTGAAAGCTGATAGAGGCAACCTCGGTAGGTTTTTAGGGCCTTTGCGACGGAGACCAACGCCAGGAGAAGGTGGAGTAGGTGGAAGAGCAGTGGCCATGGCGAACTGGAAGGCAAGGGAACTGGAAGGGTGGCGGTCAACGTTGAACGTTGATGTAGCCACTTTCAATGGTTGCTACTCTTCCTCCTGATCGATATCATCACTGCCTCGATCATATTTTTAGAGAAGAACCGTCTTATTGACACTGAGATGGCTACCGTTCAGTTCCCTTTGTTCGACATGCAGACGTGGACTGTCGAGCTTATATCTCCAGGTACTCCAGAGGAACAGATTTATCGTATTTTCGCCGACTACACCCGACCGTCGTTTCAGCTTGATTCAGTTCATCATCATCCGAACACCCCGAGAGATCCAAAGATTACAACGATCATATATCAGCATGCTGCAGCAGACGCTCAAAGATTCAAAACCGCATGCACAGTTTTCTAGTTCCACACTTGGCGATGATGTATGTAGGATCTTTGATAGTTCCTCGATGATTACTGATTATCGAACTTCATTGTATGTTAGAGGCCCATTGCATCAAGTCTGTATCTTTTGGGGAGCGGGCTGGCGATAGCACACTGAACCGCCGCTAGTATGTTAATGATTCAGATGTCCAACATTAGCTGGGTGCACTGTTTTCTCGCCAGCTCGTGTCATACGCTACGGTTTCGCCGCTAGCGATGCTCGCCGTTACAGGCTGGATCCCGCGGGTACCTTAGGTCCCATCGTATCCAGTCGACCAGAATTTGTCCAACGTATCACCGTTCTTTTTCCAATTTTTGACAACGCGACCATCCTTGATCCCTATCTGGTGCTTGTAGAACGATCTTACTTTTAGCGCCGTGGACTTACAGGCTAGGTACAAGAAGCGGCTGCAGTTTGAATATCTAGCATATGCACCTACACCCCATGACGAGTACCTTGCCAGGTAGAATTCCAACCGGTGCGTTTACAACAAGCCCTAGTAATCTTTTTCTGATCTATCAACTCGCAGTCCATCAATGCATCAGCTGATCCAATGTACCAACGTCGACTCCGTCTTGTGAAGTTTAATTACACGTTACTCATCACTCAATAGAGAGTGACGCGAAGATAGGCTTGTGCTAGTATCCGGATGATAGACAGATGCGGCCCATCTTCGAGTCCAATCATCCTGTTGGTAACAAACATCAATCGAGTGTACTTCGACCTTCATATATCAACGCACCCAGTGGCCATATCCGTTCATCTCTTCTGCCAGGAATTTATCAAATGCCTCAAGCGCGCTCCTGCGTTCTTCGTTGCGTCCTTGTTCACGACCTTCGTGCAGACCTTCACGTCTACCGATCCGAATACCCTCTTTCATTGCCGAAGCCTTTGCTTCTTTAAAGCCCTCCGCATACCCAGCACTCCAAAGCTTGTTTTGTTCTTCACCTAGTCTTTTCATCATACCGATCTTCACTCCTTCTTCCCAGCCTTTTCTTCTAGCTTCAAGGCTGCTAAGCGCCGTCTTCAATTCACGCGCTTCAGACCTCGCCTTCGAAGCAGAGCGCTCGGCCTCAGCACACCGTTTCTCCAATTGAGCAATGTGCACCTGAAGGCGGTTCAAGGCAGACTCGGTGTTTTCTAACTGCAACTTGTACCTTGCAGCGTCGCTTTGTGACTCTATTGCACTCGTATCCGCTTCGCTTCGACCCTTCTCCGCTGAAGCCGGTTTTTGCAAACCATTCTTTAGCCAGCACCTCGGCATATTCGGCCCGCGCTACCGCTTCGTCTGCCCTGCAGGTTTCATGCTTTAGGCAATCAGCTGTAGCCTGAAGGATGAACCCGAGATGTGCAGTTATACGTTCTCGGTCGCCGTAGCCGACGGCGCTTAAATCCGTACCCGAAGGATGTTTACGGTGGCCCTTTGGGGGTTTGCTGTATAGATGGGAAGAGGGTGATCTGAGTGTGTCGCGCTCCAGAAACCGAATCAGGACTGACGGGGAATTGGTAGCATCCCGAATTAGCTTAATCATTTCTTCTGTGGGAAGGCTACCCACGCCCTTGTCAGGCACTTCACATGTCTGGTGGATGATAACTTGGACTCACTCTCTTTTGTCGAAGCTCGGAAGTCTGCATTGAGGCAGATCTCTGTGAGTCTACTAGCTCAGTTGGCATGACTGTCATAAGTTGAGAGCAGTATGTCTGCGCTCAACTTTTCACTGCCAGGAAGTAGGGCATGCAAATAACACGTGTGCGTTGACCATGACTCGGTTGCTCTACTGCGGAAGAAGCTAGTACGCTTTCATGCCAGGTCCGAATTCATACCGGACGCATTTCTCGTCCCTTGGAAGAAGCTTGCAATGAAACTTTGTAGAGTTTCGAGCTATAGCAAAACTCCGGTTTCGGAAAGAGTCGCGGCACCCGGTCGATAAATGGGCGAACCTGAGGTGCATATTTCCCTCAGTACCGGTCTTACCGCGCCGCAATACAATATCATTTTGGAACGCGCAATGGTTTTCAGGAAAGGCCGCAAAAATCAAGGGGCCAATTTATTTTACGCACAGAAGTCCAGGCTTTCATCGAGCGGTTTCGATAGGCCACCGGAACTCGTAGCGTACGCGATTGGAAAGGAACAACAAGTGTTCGATGACCTAGGTATCACTGATGAGCTCAAGAAGGCCAGCTGGATCTGCGTCGTCATTCAATTGTAATACTATGGGAATTCACAACCGTTATTAAGGATGGGCATTCAGTAAGTTGGTGCAACTTTCAATAAAAAGCTGGAACTGATGGCCGGGCAAATAGAACTCGGGAATCATTGTAATTCCAGTCCACGAGACCGTATACAGTTGCCAGTGCGCATGCGTTTACTCCTAGGGTCCGCAATTATCTCAGACAGATTTCACAGGGAAATTGCACTGTCGGAAGTGTAGTTAATCAATCAATCAACCATTCTTGGCGATGTAACTCTGTTTTGCAACTTCCCCACATGATCGCAACATACCAAGTATATCTTTCGCAGGTAATTCCGACCCGCGACATTGACCCGTGGCCATTCGCTACGTGCGCTGGATCAGTTCGTCTCTGATGCACATCAGCTTGCACATGCTTCACTTCGCTGTGACAATACCGGATAATCTATTCACAGGCGCTAGATGGTTCGGTGCTGTACTATATAAATTGTAGGACCTCAGTACATGGCGGCCCAACAACCACCGATGTGTTGGGTGTCTGTTCTCCATCCCCTCGTTCGTGTTGGTATCAAGATGCGCACGTCGTTGCTGTTTCTGTTGGTTTCGACTCTGGGCACAAGCTATACTGCGGCTTCGGGACCAGTCCGTCGTAGCGTTACTGCGTTATCCGCCACTGAACTTGCCTCGTTCGCGCCGTTCACGCAATTTGCCAGGGCGGCATATTGTGGATCAGATGCTTTGAAGGACTGGAGTTGCGGGGGTACGTCTTGTGCTTCTTGTTTATACTCTTGCTGACGGTTGCCTTCAGAGGCTTGTGATGCTGTGTCCGACTTCGAACCTACCCTTGTAGGTGGTAATGGAAATGATGTCCAATACTGTTAGTAGTCTCCCCCCCATCCTACATCGTTAGGTTGACATATGTTCGTCTAGTCTTCGTTGGGTACTGGCCATCCGAGGATGCCATAGTTGTAGGGCATGAAGGCACCGACCCAACCCAGTTGTGAGATTGTTTACCTTCATCGAAGTTCTAGTGTTTTATTCGTGATTTTTTACTTTAGTGAGTCTGTATTGACAGACATCGACGCCCTCCAGGACAACCTAGATGCAGATCTTTTCCCTGGTGTCTCCAGTGATGTTTATGTGCATGGCGGTTTCAGGGATGCACAGGCCGAGACAGCCAGCGAAATTCTGGCTGAAGTTCAGTCGCTCATCGCATCCAAGGGAACCAGCAATTTAATTTTTGTTGGACATTCACTGGGTGGCGCTCTGGCCGAACTTGACGGCCTTTTCTTCGCTCTGAATATACCCTCTGCGACTATCAAGGTTAGGACTTACGGAACGCCACGTACGTATACTGCTGGCATACGCAGCATTAACATCTCAGCTTTCATTCATTCTGAAAATTCTTAGGTGTCGGGAACGCGGCCTTTGCAGAGCTGATCGATTCTAAAGTAGGGACTCCGTTCTGGTTTGGGGCCTGTTGCCGACCTTTGCTGACTGGATCTACAGACGCCGGACTTCAAGCGGATTAACAACAAGCATGGTGCGCATTGTAATACATTCATTTTACAATGCCGGTCCTGATCGAATTCAGATCTCATCCCTATACTGCCTGGCAGAGGCCTCGGGTATTCCCACCCTGAAGGCGAGATTCATATTCTCGCACCAGGTTCAGCTGTTGCTTGTCCGGGTGGGTCAAAGTTCCTTGCAAATCTTATCTATATGATTGACGAAACCATGACCATAGGTAACGATGATGCGACTGACTCTCAATGCCAAATCGAAACGGTTCCAAACATTTTTGCGGGAAATATAATCGATCACCTTGGTCCTTACGAGGGCATTTATATTGGCACAATATTTTGTTATTAACTTCAGGTCTCCGAACTCAAGTCAAAGGCTTTAGCTTCTTTTGTTGTCGACAGCTAGTCGTTTGAATTACCTACCTTATTTCTTAAATGGATATTTATGATAACAAGTCTGATGACACCGAGGTGACGGGAAAGCCCTACAGTCGCAGCATCATTCGTGTCTGATAATCTAGAACAGCGGTATATTAATTAGTACCGTAATTTCCTCAGCAGAACACGAATGCTGCAATTGCGCGCCTGCGGAGGACAGGTATACTGAAGGCCAGCCGATGTCATCGTAGTCAGGCGAGATCTGTGGTAAAAAAAAAATTCCATTTGTCTTATAGAGCATATAAAAGACCAGGACCAACTGTTATTAGAAGTATCAGCCTGGAACAGGGTGAACTCAAAGCAGTCGATACACCTATACAGGACCCAGGTTCCTTCGGGACAAAAAGCTGTTATTGTATTGGACCTCGAAACAGGAACATACATAAAGTTCAAAATACAAGGCAAATGTTAACTCGTCGAAAACGGTGCTGCATGGTCGCCAGTCCTCAATTCATGGTCTGGCTTCTTCCATTCCCATGGTATGTACTGCGTTGACAACTTTCTTTCAAGCCACGAACAAACAGTACAGATGGGAAGGAAGAACGTCAGACAATGATGAGTCTCGACGCCCATACGAGACGTTTCGGGGCCGTCAGGAAGCTCCAACACTAATAGAGCACATCATTAACGTTAGGCCTCTAGTACAAGAGATACAGAAAATAGAGGGCGACAGACTTTGGCAAAAAAAGAGAAAGGAAGGGGTATTACGATAACAAAAGATGGCAGCCCGCCTTTTATACTGCAACAAGCGGCTCCATTTATGGAATTTCATTGACACGTCCCATGGTTCGGAAACCTGCGCGAATTGCGTGTCCAGATTATCAAGATCAATCATCAGGGAAAACGGAAAAGGCAAATGGAGGCAAATGGAGGGCACTGCGCCCAGGGAGGTCCTGACCGCAAAGGAGGCGGCGGTGGCCACTGAGGCTGAGCTGATGAGATGAACACGGTAGGTGCCCAGCCGTATTGAACTGGTATTTGTTAGAGTACGCATCAATTGGCCGTTACATTGTTGTGAGAAACAGGGGTTCAGAATCATAAATTCTACTGGTCTTGTTTCTTCGCAGTGAGACAGTTGTTCGAGGGATGATGGTGCTGTTGATCCGACTAGCAGCCGACTTCCTGGCCTCTTGCGAAATTGGTAAATCTTGCAATTCCAGGTCCCAGCTGAATATATTTGTACCAATCTCTTTGGTTTCGTGGTCGCGTTACCGCCTGCATTGTGAATTCAGCTCCTGAGATATATGTACGGAATGTTGACTGACATTTTTACCACTTCGGACCTTCACAATTTGCATTGCTCATGCCTGAGAGATATGTTGGGCAACGAATCAGCACGGACCAGTCACGACCCCTGCAAAATATGCTTCCGTCTTGCTTCCGCTATGATATAATTTAGTTCCGTGGCGGCCGATTGGTAATTTATTCCCCTGACTTGTATATTGCGCCTTTTGCACAGCACCGAAGTATACTAGAGTATACTGTTCTCTTGGAGTGGGCTTACAGGGGTTCTTGATGAATACTGATCTTATAGGACTTTCAAATAAAGAAGGATTTACCTTTATCTATGCTGCAAGACGGAGGCAAGAATTTTGTAAAGACAGCATGACTGCCCCACGCAACGCACACCCGCATAGAAAGCCGACGTCTTGACGGCATAAACGCCGCCTGACCAATAATTTATCGCTGTGCCTCGAGTCTTTCAAGTGCGAAACAACACCGTTAGGCGACCCTCAGAGTCCGATATCTCATCCAGGACACCATAAATTCTCGTTCAAACGAATGCAACTGCGATTTGTGAACTATTATTAAATGGTATAAACGACGGTTATTCGTGACGACCATACTTTTATGAACTATTTTACCATCCACCTGCAATCTACTTAATGTTGACAAGCTTGCATTCTGAAAAAAGCCGTTCAGCACAAGTAAACAAGGAATGGAATATCACAAACCAAAGATGAGCGTCGCATTTCCTGGAATGCCAGATACGCCCTTTTTGCCATACCCCAAAGCAGGTGGAATAGTAAGTACACGTTCTCCTCCAGCCTGCATTCCGACAAGTCCTTGATCCCACCCTGTCCGGCTGTTGAGGCATTGAACACGTACTACATAAAGAAACATACCTTTAATGACCTCGCCTGCACCAAGGCGGAAGGAGAACTAACGAAATATCAATGAATGGACATCATGAAGGCAACGAAATCAACAAACGGGTTTTCCTTTGGTGTTCGAGTCGAAAACTTTGCCGTTGGTAAGTTTACCGATGTATCTCATCTGAACAGTATTGCCTTTCTTCGCTTGTGGTCCCGTTCCAACTTTTGAGTCTTTGATCTTCAGACCCCCCGGTAGCTCTTTCTCAGCTAACGTCTTGCCGGTAGTTTCAGACTTTTCTTTCTTGTCCTTTTTGCTAGGTTTGTCAGATTTATCGGCAGGAGCATCGGCTTCGACAACGACGGGTTTCCCATCTTCGCCTTTTTGCTTCTTGGCTTTCTTTTTTTCAGCCTTGGAGAGCTTTGAGCTGTCAATATCCATGTCGGTTGACTGGCGAGGCCGCTTTAGAGACTTTTCTGTAGCATCATCATGTACTTCTTCAAATCGACTAAGATAATCTGTGAGTATAACTATACGGTAGACAAAAGGTTATCAAAAAGTACCTTGCGTCACTTTCATATTCTTCTGGCTCAATTTCGACATCAGAGCTGACGTCTCTGAGGTCAAAAGCCTCCTCCTCATCGCCTATCGAGGAGTCTGAGTCCGAGTCGAATGGTCGCTGGTCTGAGAGTCGACATCAGTATAGCCACAAGAATTACATTTCTTGAGTATATACCGATGATGTGCCCGCTCACATATATCGTACTTTCAAAGACACATTAGTTGACGATAATGCATAATAAACCCAGTAACGCACTTTTCGCCGGTAGTCTCAAATTTGTACGAGCTACCCTCATTGAGCACAATATCGGTCACCACCTGTTCGACCTGGGAGGAATACTTCAGTCTGAATTACGCAAATGGTAGTTCGCATGGGTACCTTTCCTACAGACAACGAGCATAACACGGTAGTGATGTTTTCCTCCGAATCATCGTCGTCATCTTCATCATAGGCGAGATTTGGGTATGTCAGCTTGACCGTGCTCCTGCTTGACTTGCTGGGTGCTTCCGAGTCGTCACCGATTGCAATGTTGGTGACCGTTCTGTCACTGTGGGCTTCGATAATTTCAGGCTTTCCAGGCGTGAGCTTGATGCTCCTACATAGAAGAGTGAGTATAGAAAGCACTGAAAAGATTAACGTACCATAGCGCAAGAGTGATGGCCATTTTGCAGAGACAAATGAAAGGACAGTACTGAGCGAGTCTGGTTGAGCAAGATTTTAAAAAATCACGATCGAAGGTTTCAAGCGCCGACCGAAATACCCTAGCCGTGACCGTGATCGTCGACTCAACGGTCAAGACTCAGATCATGGTACGCATTATTCCACCTTTTCGTTGGCCATGCTCAGCATTCTTCTCAGTCGAACGCTCTTAGACCGTATCTTGCCGCCGTTAGGTCTACTTTGACAGCGGCTTTGACTCTGGAAAGCTTTTCATCGCAGGTGCGTCGAGCAAATTGCCGGGGGTCCTGACCTCAAATTGCTATCTAGGTCGTCGAACGACACAACAAACCCGAAGTAGAAGCCTCGTCAGTATCACTGCCTTGCCATAGCTTTCCTACTGACTCTTTACTGTACAGGGGATCGAAGGAGGTTCTTCTCAACCCTCTGATCATTTCAAGAAACGAAAATGAGCGCGTCCTAATCGAACCATCAATCAACTCCATTCGTTTGAGTATCAAGATCAAGCAGGCAGATGAAATAGAGCGCATACTATGCCACAAGTTTACTCGCTTCATGATGCAGAGGGCAGAGAGTTTCATTGTACTGCGGCGAAAGCCTGTACAGGTGAGCACCGTACAATATGTATCTTTCAATTCATCCATATCTTCTTTTTAGGGATACGACATCTCTTTCTTAATCACCAACACCCATTCCGAGACCATGCTGAAGCACAAGATCGTCGACTTCATCATTGAGTACATCAGACATTTGTTACCCCTCATCAGCTGCTCAATCCACCCCAGGTTTATGAAAGAAGTGGACCGAGAAATCAGTGATATGAAGCTCAGCTTAAATGCAAGGGCTCGGATTGTCGCAGAGTCGTATCTTACCGCGGTGAGATTCCTTCCACTTTCCTGCATCTGTCACCTCATCGAAGTCCATACAGATTAGTACATAATTGTATTTTCTCTCAGATTATTCATGAATGTACTATTACGCTGGAGGACATCGCAACATACGCAACGGATCATACCGCATCCCTGTTTAATACGACTGCTTAGACCTGACAATCATGGATTGGGAGATATTCCTCGCGTGAATCTGCTTTCATCTCAGCAAATGAAATGGATAGCTCAAATCTGTAATTTACGCTCAAGTTTCCCTTTGACTTTATCCCTCCATTCCCATTCCAAGATGCTATAGCAGGCCACATCGCAATAGTCCCCCCTTTCTGTCCTCCAGCATTCTCTCTTTTCCTCCTCCAGCTTCACGTCTGCAACTTTATCTAGCCATCCCCTCATAGTAACATTGAATGACGCCGTTTGAAACGTTGCCCGATGCAAGCCTTGTTCTTCAAAGACGTAGACCAACAAAGTGTAGAGTACATCCGTTGCGACGCCTGTTCCAAACAGCACGGGACATATCGCGATCCCGATTTCGCACGATTTATTTGCCTCCTCCAAGTTGAAATAGCCAGCTATTCCTCCGAACTCCCACTGTCCTTTGTCGTCCCTAACGTGGATATGAAAGTCCCTAATACTAGGAATCTCTGACCGTGTTTCCCGGCGTCGGCGCATTTCCTGAGCCGAAACACTCTGAGGGAAGATGGGAAGATAACGCAGGAACTCTGGATGAGAGCGTAGCTGGGCGGCTACCTCATCTTCTGAAGGATGAGGAGGGCTGAGCTTTATGCGACCAGTAACCGAGGTCAGGACAATGTTGTGGCTAGGCATTGAGAGACCTGATTATTCGTGTACGTAAGCATGCTACCAACAAAACGCATAAGACGGAGATAAGTAATTTCATAAACTTTAGCTAGGTCTGTGCCTGCTGGTTCCTGATGCCGAAAAGTTCAATTATCTCTGCCTCAGGTTAGTTGCGATATATTGTGGTAGCCAGGAGTATATGCACCTTGTAAACGAGCTTCCTTCCTTTGGAGGGGCGTTTCAGTCCTCTTAGTACCCGAGAATGCTTGTTTTATCAGCGCCTTCTTCTTCTCTTGTATATCGAGCACCTATGCATGAGGAACGTCAGAGTTCTGTAGAATGCCATGCGAGTTACCCACCTTCGACTCGACGGTATTTTCAGCGATAAGCTGATAGACGTGGACATTTTTCTTTTGTCCGATACGATTCACCCTGTCGATCGCTTGACTCTCGATTCCTTCCTGCGAACAATTAATAGTCTATCGACTAACAGAGTCCAAGACATATCCTTACTTGCCACCAGCTGAGAAAAGCGTGAGTAAGTCGCATGCGAAGGCTATTATTTGACTTACGGATCCATACTAGTCGGGTTAAAACGTTTATTAATTATGTTCGAAGTAATAACAGAAGAACAAGCTCACAGGAAGACGTTATTAGCAACTGTTTGATGCTGTTAGAGGTCATGGAAAGTAGTCACATAAATCCACGAACCCGTTAAATTCAAGCCGAGAGCACCCTAGAAAGTGTTATATGGCCGCCCGAAAGATATACATGGACTCAAGCGTACCGCTTTCAACGATAGCAGCATGACTTTAGGATTGCTTCCCTCACCCAGAATGTCGCGATCTACAGAAACTCTGGCCTTAGCTTTCCCTTTACCCTTTTTCTTGCGGGATGATTCATCGTCAGAAACAATGAAATCGTCCATGTCATCATCTCGCGACATCGGCACAAAGTCGCTGTCTTGATCATCTACGGCATCTTCATCAGAATCCTCTACAACGATCCGCTGCTTCCTTCGTCGCCCGTGATGCAATTCCTCGTTTGGAGGCGGAGCCAAGGCTTCTGAGACCGGTACAGAAAACCGTGTCAACACTTCTTGCCTCTTCTTTGCTGACATACGGCCATCAAACCGCACGTACGCGATACTGATAGTACATTCAGCCCAAGTCACAATCTCAGAGACAAAGATTTACCCCTTCATATCCAATGTCTCAGCGACCTTGAAACCTTGGTCAGCAGCGCTAACAACTATTCAGAGTGTATGTATACCTTGTCCAAGAACGATGTGAACTGAGAAAAGACCAAGGATTTTTCAGAATGAGGCATAAGCGTAAGGAGTTGTATAAGTTGTTCGATCTTTGCCGAAGAACCAGTCTGGAAGGCATCTTCTTCGTCGTCTTCAGGTCCTGGCAGCTGCGTCAGTTCAGTAGGCGGCGGGGGTTCAATCACGTCATTCCACGAAAGAGTGCGGCGATCCTAGATGCATATATTGAAAGCAGAATGACGCGGTATAGGGTACAACCATACCATAGGACATTTTGCCTGCCTCGATAGAATTTCAGTGAGGCTACGACGTTTATAGGATAAGAAATAGCTCGAGTAGCAACGAGGAAATGCATACCACGGAAGGCAGAACACATGCGCGCAGCTTGTTATTCGGGTATTGTTATTCTCAGGGACAGTGAAACAGATCGGGCATTCCTGGGAATCCTCAATCGCTTGCAGGACCAATTCCTGCAATCTCGCCTTATCCTTTGGCGTCAGTTTTATCTGAGGAACGGAGTCCAATCCTGAGTCATCACTGTCGACGGCAGACCTCAGCTGATCCAGATAATTACGAGGAACGAGACCTGGGTGCAAAGCGATCTGCCGCATACGAGTAAGCATACTTAGAACGTTGGATTGCATCTGTCAAATAATATATATGTCAGAACACTGCAGTTATATCATAGAGAGTAAGCGAACCGAGTTTGCCTCTCCTCTAGCAATAAACCTTTCTAAACGTTGCTGCGAGAGGTTTTCAATCTCGTCATACAATTCCTATGAAACAGTTAACCTATGTCATACTTTGATGATGGTATCCTTACTCTAGCGTCATGGTGAAGAGTGACAGGTACCAACGTCATCTCAACCTAGAAGGGCAAGAGATTCAGTAGCAACTTCTCCTACTTGAGCATTCTTACTGAAGGTAGAGGTACTAGAGGCTTTCCAGTACTGTCCTGCATCTGCGGGGATAGTCAGTTATTGGACTATGTTAAGCAGTTTTAGCTCGTACCTCTTTCGTACGTCTGATGCAGACGTGGGACATCAAAGCCTAAGTGTACGTTGAGATGAGAATACTACCATCATACAGTGTATATTTTCGCACAACTCACTCGTAGTAGTTCAACTCCGGACGGAAGGCCATCCTTCAAAGGACGAAGCAGCAGCCGTTTGAAGAAGTCCTCTTGATCTAGCGGCCCACAAATTCGAAGGAAAGTCAGAATGGAGCCGAGATCCTGATACACAGAACATCAAACACGAGTCAACCAAGGTTCTACTTTCGGCGTACCTTGGGCGAATTAATCTGAAAAATTATGAGTTTAGCGATTCTTGAGAACTGTTAATAGAAAAGCGAACTATGGGAGTGCCTGTTAACACCCATCTACGGTCTCCGCTAAGACCGCATACCGCCTTTGCCATCTTTGTTTTGGGATTGCGAATACTGTGGCCTTCATCGAGAATAATTCTCTATGACAGTGATAAGCAACTGTCAAACTGGGTAGCAGGACGTGAGGGCACCTTCCACTGTACTTCAAAAAGCGATTTCCCTATCTTTCTCTTCTTCTTGCTGGGACCGTCGCTTGGGGAAGTACCGTTGTGCTCCGAAGCAACAGTTTGGTACGTGGTAAGAACGATGTCATACCCAGCCAGCTCTTCTGGGCTCATAGACCGATTCGAACCGTAATAAACGCATACTGTCAGAGCGCCAGGAGCGCAATGATCTTGAATCTGCTTTTCCCAATTAGAAAGTACAGAAAGCGGGACCACTGCCGTAGTCAGAGATATAATTCGCCGGAGATACACCGCCGCTCACCGATTAGAGTGCTTATTGAAAAATGGGCTGGGTGGTCGTCCTTAGTGGCTAGAATCAAAGCAATCATAGTCAACGTCTTCCCCTGAGGTCGGGAGATCATATGAGAAGACTGTAGTGTTTCAGTGGCCGAGTTGCTTACCAAACCCTGTCGGAATAGGTCATTGCGAGGATACAAGAGGTGATAATGCACTATACCATAGCATCCGCGAAGAGTGCGCCTTTTCCGAGAATGGGGGGGCTTGTTTGAGGCGTTTTTGTGGCCACTTCGAACGAGGTGTTAGCCTATATGCATCAGGACGCACAACAGAAGGATACCATTATAATAATAAGTCTGCTCATTAACAGGTGAACACTAAAGGATACTTCACGACCATTTGGAGTTGTGCACACCTTATTCCCGTCCTTCCTTAATTGCCAAAACTGGACAGGCTTATCAATTTCTTTCTTGGGAATAACTGGATACTCTCGCTCGATACACCATTGCAATCCCTGGCACTGTGAAAGATAGGATGAAACATATTTTTTGTGTTGTGTGGAAGACACAAACTTGATGTTTCATCAAATCGACTACCAAGTTCCCTTGTTCGATTCCAGGAGGGGAGGGATGCAACGGTAACTTCAATATATCTTCGGTTGAGCAGACGGAGTCTAGAAGGGAGCTTCGACGTCCTTCATCATCAACTTTCTCAAGACTGTTAAGAATCTGGCGCAATTCGGCAGCCTTTTGCAGTGCTTCCTGTTGCTTCCTGGCAGCTTCTGTCTGGGGGGGTTTGGTACCCGGAGCACGAGATGATCCCGCCATTGGGGCGACTGAGCTTTGATTAGACGGTACCCCCTTCCGGGAACCAAACCCACGTTGACCGGGTGTCGACCACGTAAGAAGTGGTTCAAGTGTATCACACTTATTGGAAGCACCGTAGATTTTGAGGCTCCTGGATGTGAAATCAGCACTATTGATCACCACGGTTCCTTTGCACACCAACATATTCAGCGTATACCCTCTAAATCCACTTACTGTTTGCACGATTAGTCAGAGTATCAGTCGGACGTATGGCACTCTCACAGTTTCCGTCATGAATCACCCCTTCACAAGTAATCAGGTTGCGATCAAGAAGAGGTGCCAGCTTGGCAGCTAAGGCTCTAGGAATATGTCCTACTTGAACCCTCCCAATGTTCAATACTTTCACTGCGTTTCTGTGAGAATAAAGTGTGTAAGACTAATATGGTTCATGCCTGGATGAAACATACGCGTCATAGGCATTATTCAAGTCCCTCTGAATAATAACCTCCTCGCCGGGACCAACAAGACCTTGATTAAGGTCAGTAAGAGCAGAGCAGATATAGGCACAGCAGACCTTTGTAGTATTGTAATCCGACAACGTTCGTTCGCATCGTGGAGTACAGTTCATCCGCAGCTTCTTCTTCTGGTATTTCATCTACGGCGGGGATTTCTTCCACAGGCTTCAATGACGAAGGACGCGTCGATATGGTAGGTCCCTGAGACGATGGTGTGGGTCCCTGGGCCTCTTGCGGAGCCTTCCTCTTCTTCTGACTGGGAACGCTGGTTGCGGATGCATTGGAGTTTCGAGTGCCTGACGATGGTGCCGGTCTCTGGGATTGAGAGGCCTGCTCCTGCAGGGCCTTCCTCTTCTTCTGACTGGGAACGCTGGACACAGATGCATTGATGGGAGTGGAGTTTACAGTCCGTGCAGATGGAGGGATATCCGCAGGATCGACGCGTCTTTCTAATACGGCCTTGCGAATCCTGTGCTGGTCATCCGACCTGAAGAGAGGGTCAAGTAAAACGACACTCTGAGAAGGTTTGGCCCACCTTAATCTCTGAATCCATGGATATCGTCCAGATTTGCTGAGGCAAGTTGACCGAGAATGGATGGCGTGACGCAGCCCCTATGATTCGTATTCAGGGAGAGTGTGCCACATATGAAAAAAGTACAGACCAGTGGCGCCATTCTACTTGGTCGCCATGTTCGTTGGCTATTGCACGTCCATACCGTAGTGTGCCAGTTGTCATAGGCGTGCCCTGTGAGAACTGGTATCAATAACACGTCCTCAAGACAAGGGAATATCAGAAACCTGGCACGGCAAAGGGCCGTTACATTTCGCACGAGTCGATTTGCTGTACTAGATAGCAGTTAGAGACGCTATTAAAAAGCATACAGAGTAACACGCTCACGCCAAAATAGTGAGGCGCACTCATGATGGACGCAAAAATTCAGAAAAAGGGGTGGATATATTTCAAATTAGCAGTAATGAGGACTAGTCACGTGCGTCGTGTCAATGTGCCTGGCAGACACGACCAAACATGCACTTCCTAATCGTTCCTCACCCACGACGCGCCAGACGATACTGGACGCCAATATGAGTCACTCGTCCAGAGGTATGACGCCACGTAACCTTTTATTCCTAGTGTTGGCTTTAACAGCTTGGTAGAATCTCTGGTTTACGATCCTGATCAAGATGCAGAAGAAAAACGCGCCGTCCGCAAGGACTACAGATCTCTTACAAGAAATATGGAAGGTGCAACTCTTGAGGCATCATGTCTGTGCTACCTGTACTGAAATACGCGTCTTTAGAGTATCAGTCTAACCTTGCCAGCCTGAGTATAGAACAGATTGAGAAGGACGTCGGCAAGGCAGACAAGTTGTTCGACAAAGGTACGCGGTGCATATCAAGTCGCAGTTAGCATATTTCTTACGAGAAAGCCTTTTTGTAGTGAAGGGCCCTCAGGAAGCTACTCTTGATTCCGCTTTCTTGCTGATGGCCTCAAATCTGGGAGCCCAGAAAGCACGAGCTATGAAGTCCGGAGCAGGAGCCTTCGATGTCGACGAATTTGTTTCAAAACTCATCACCTTCATGGGTGGGCGCAAGTTCGGAGATCAGATTCCAGACGACGATTCTGAGATGGACGCGGCGGAGGATGATCCCGACAGTGTTCTCGATTGGGATAGGATTGGCCGAAAAGCCCTCGCGAAGAGTTGCAGGGTTCCTGCCCTTAGTTTTATGTCAGTCCTTCTTCCTGCTCCAAGGACAAATTGTAACGGCACGTTTCAAGGCTTGGGCCACTTTCTATCGAGGCCAAAAAGCGGGCGCCTGTCAGGCGCGCCAGATTGGAAAAGAATAAAGAAGAACAACGGAAGCCCCAGGAACTGAAGGAAGAAGATATTGCGCGATCTGAGAATGAGACAACCAAAAATGTGGCACTTGTGAGTGGAGTGTACCATTTCTTTGTTTCTGAATTGACATATGTGTAGTTGGAAGCTCTGTTGGGCGAAGTCAGCCCTATCAACTTATTCCGATTCGTCATCAATCCCCATGACTTCGCCCAGTCGGTGGAAAATATATTTCACCTATCATTTTTGATTCGGGATGGCAAAGTCGCACTGGATACGGAGGCTGACGGTGAACCCATAATTTGTAAGGTTCATTATTCAGCACATAGTTTTTATTCATCTTTTGATCGCAGACTTGTGTGCGCAACCTTCCGATGAGGACTATGAGAATGGCTTGCGAAAACATCAAATTGTATTAGAATTCGACGAGGCCACATGGAAGGTCAGCTTTTATTCGCTACCGCAAATGATCGTCTATCTGATGGCCGAGGACACACAGCGAGCAATAGGTGTTTTTGATATAAAGGAGCCCACGATTCCTCAGAGACCTGCTGCTCGGACACGACTTGGAGATAAGTGGTATGGTTGATCGTCGCCGCGTGCCGCCTTCACTTATGTATATAGGCTCATTCACGACTAATTTTCCTATCTTATATTTACTATCCTATGCAGTGGGCGGTACCTTGTACAATTAATAGATTTATTTTCGACCGAGGGAGATGCCGGTTAAGTAGACGTCATACTGTCTTTATCGGCAGATGACTGATCGTATTGATTTTTGTACTCAACCTTCGTTAGTTCATTTTTCTTAGCCAGTTCATTCCCCCGTATTATTGCGGAAATGAGTATTATTGATCTGCCACCGGAGCTGGTGTTGAAGATCCTATTGCATGCATCTGTGGCGGAGATACTCAATTTCACGCGTGTAAGTGAGCATAACTCTTGACCTAGGTCTTAATCTGATGGTTATTCCTCTAGACATGCTCATATCTCAGAGGAATTTCACTATGCAACAGACAGATATGGAAAAATGCTCGCGACAGCCACATCATTCCCCTCCCCCCGGGAAACACTTTGGATACCGTTGACTTGTCACTTTGTCCCTTCTATGCGTCACGAGCAATCTCCTTGTCTGTCAAATGGAAGTCTTTCACCTCTGTTCCTCCTCTGAAATATTCGGAGGCGCAACAACTCTACCACCTACCTTCCTGGGAACCATGGATACCTCAAGGCCCAGTGACCATATCGCCCACAGTATGCTACATCCTTCCGGGAGGTCGGTACGTCCTCCTTGGACGGCTCAGCGAAATGAGAGATGTTCCTACCAATGTCGGTATCTACGACCTGAAGACCGCTTATGGCCATCTGCTGGATTATCCAGGGCGCTTGGACTCCCTTGACTGGGTCAGCACCGACAATGGTGCACATATCACAATAAGCATACTCCTGACAGTCACTGAGCGTGGCCGAACCGGGACCGACGTAGTGCACAGGTATGTCGATGTTTCGCTGTTATAAGGAGATAAGCTAATGTACTCCCCAGGCATTTGAAAATATTCTCTATTGACTGTTCGACTGCCTTGAGCCACGATGACTCTTCTCCCAAAATTGTACAGACTGGAGATATTCGTCTGCCTCCGGGAAGCTTCGCTAGATCTGTCATTTTGAGGGATTCCGTAGCCTGCCTTCATGGGGGCAGTGAGCTCTTCTTTGTTGATGTCAATCTCAAGTCAGGCATCTGCATATCACCTCGCCCGCAACGATCAAACAGTACACCTAATGTCTCTTCAACTGACGTGGTTTGTCCAGTCTCGCACTGCAAGTTATAAACGCTAAATTTTGAATACTAGAATTTTGACATCGACGATATTTTCCTCCATCCACGTCGTCAGTGTGTGCTGCTTCTGACATCCCGTCGGGTCTTCACCCAAGATTTGTCATGGAATGCCTCTCTTTTTCTGGAGGTTTACGATACATCATCTCTGGAAATGCCGGTTGTTGAAGGGGAGTGGACTTTTCGGACCTTGAAAACCACAACAATTGCTTCCCTCAACCTCGTGGACATTCTGTGGAAAGATCATCAGATGATCCGACTCATTGATTCCAACATCACTGCCTTCGAGGTGTTCTCTCGGGTCGTTGAACGAAACGAGAACGAATACGATGAAGTAGACGATGAAATCAAGCTTAAACTCTACACCTATCTCATTGATGAGGAAAGCTGGTCATTAGTCTCTGACAAACCCAGTATATCCATACTAGCCGAGGGAACCTTCACGTATCGGCTTATCATTTCGAAAGTTCCCTCAGGTCAGTCTGCCATGTTCATGAACTTGTATGCGGAGAAGCATCGGGTATATATCCTCTATTCTCTGGCAATGGGAGATGGTCCCATCGATGATCTGAGAAGCCTGCAATTCCCTGACGGCATTCGCTTGACGTCGTCAGCATTGGCCTTTGACGATGTTTCTGGGACATTGGTTACCTATTCAAGAGGTCAGTTGCTGAGTATTCAGTATTAATCTGAAAAGGTTCGGTCTTGAGTGCCGTAGGAAATGAGTTCTTCGATATTCCTTTTCAAACTAGCTAGCTAACTATATATTCGAAAGATACTATGACGAAGGGGACAGCGTAGTTACTATACACATAAAGAATTTCCTAGTTCCATAGCATAGCATAAATAATCTCCATGTGCGTCATTATGATAATAGTGATGAGTCGATGCCGAGAGGTAACATTGTTGTATTGCTGAGAGCAACTTTTTGCCACGACTTCGTTTGAAGCTTAATGGTCAATCAGACAAAGATAACAAGGACGATGTACTCGTACGCACATGCTCGAGAGCTTCATCCACAGACAAAAGGTTCATATGGTCTGGTATATTGTTTTCGTTCTGTCAATTGGAGTTAATAGGGAAAGTTAACAATCAAGACATAGAAATACTGACGAATCTTGCTTCATCTAGATCTCGGAAGTGTAAACGAAGATCCAAGGGGATTTGAGAAGGGAGGATCAAGACGTGGACTGTCGGTTGATAAGGGCGATCATCAGCAACCAGTTTCGCTAACGACTACATGGAGGAACCTGGTCAGTAATACGAATTTTCCATAAAAGGACTATCACACACTTGAGCGACAGAGATTGCCAGCCTGATGTTTTGTCTTTGTGTGCGTGCATCTTGTCCGACCAGCACAAAAAGTTCCCAGACGCAATCAACTACAAACACCGAAGTTTTCGAGGACTGCTGTGTGAAGAAGGATATTCTCGTAACCTATACGTAGATCAGATAAGCCGTTAAATAAACGATACAAAATACATTACCGCATCTTCACCGCGGGTCGCATTGACATGCCAGATCCTAGGATCGATATGAGAAGCGGAGCTCCTCCACTTCCAGTAGTCAGCTTGAGCGTAGTCATCCTCTCCGAGTATCATCCAAAACATATCGTCGTCATCGCCTTCACCATTGGAAAGCTCTACTACATTCAATCCCAGGGTATTCGCGTACTGCATTGCTGCCTGGCGCTCTCTAGCGAGTGAACCGCAACCATGCCAAACATAGATAGTTTCAAGAACTGATACGCAATAGCTAAATCCAGAACACAGATTTCTGATACTCTTTTGTGATTGAATTAAGTAGACACAGAACTGGTTGAAAAAAGACGACGTACCAGATCAAGTTCATCAATAATAATCCCATCGCCGTTCTGACGGACAACATGCATGGTGGTATTCTCTGCAGTCCAATGAGTCCTGCTTCCCTGAACAACAATCAGGCATTGGGATCCAATTACTTGAGAATAGCTTACTTGTCTGATAGCTAATTGATTTTCCAGTACTCGCAGAAGCTCTGTGGGCTCTGCATATTGAGGAACAACGATCTGCATAGACATCAATGAAGCAGTAGCATTATGAGATGAAGACCTACGTAGTGAGATCCATACCGAGCAGCAAGCTCCTTCAGTTTCTGTTCTTCTTTTTCTTTGAGCTGACTTGCTTTTCCCTGCCAAGCCCAAACTGTTGTCGATGCAAGCCCACTTGACTTGGATTTCGAACGATGAACAACCGCAAGGACCTCAGTATCGTAAAATACATTGATATCTTGAGTTATGGTTGTCGCAGAACCACCCGATATGATCAAAACGTCGACGGATATGGTGTTAACGCTTCCGTCCTGGCGGGTTGGTGGTGATTTCGCGACCATTCGACCAATGTCAACATGGGGGAGAGGCTCGTCAGTATAGTCTGGGTCGAAATTCGAAAGGATTCAGTTCGAGAACGAGTATTCACGTACGAAGCTGTACAATATCATCTGGCATATCGGATTGGCGCGACTTGTCTTCGTTGTTGACATGGGCATCAAGTCTTCCTTCCAACCCTACAACTTCTTCAACAACACCGCGTGAAAGAGTTCCCGCAGGTGAAGAAACTGGTGTCGCTTCCTCTTTCAAAGGTGGCATTGCAATGGCTGAGTATCTTTCATAACTTGATTTACGCTTCTCTACTGGAGAAATGGGTTGAGGACCCAGCCTCGAGTGCGGACTCGATGAAGAGCGTTCATATATCTCGGCGGGGAGAGGAGACACTGGCGTTTCGGATCTAGCAACGGAAGTACTCTCGCTGAAGGCTTGAGCGACATCCATAACCGTAGGCCTATTTCCAGAAACAGGAATGCGTGAATGTCGAGAGGGTCCTGGTGAATTGGGGCTGCTGGGTGACAGTGAAGGAATCGGGACAGTGGTTAATGCAGGTCCTAAACGCGTCATATCTTCATTGGGGGAACAGGGTGATGGAAGGCTTGGATTAACATCGATGCTGACTTCTGTAGGTGTCAGGCCAGGTAAAGCTTTACGGCCCACCATCCTTTTGACAGGCTCTGGTGTTGAAGGGGTACGAGAGGCAGCTTTGACGCCAATGACGGCGTCGCTGGTCCAGCGATCTGTGACCCGCGAGCCATTAGTAAAGCGTTCGGTTAGTGAAAGGGGATGCCCTTTGGTCTCGGGTGATGGACCGGGTACATCTAATCCCGACTTGTCGATGGGCCACGGAGACGCACTGGTTGCTGCAACTGCAGAATTTGCACTAGATGGTACTTCTGTAAGACTCGAAGGCTCTTCAACTAATACCCTAGGTTCTGATGATTTGGCTTTGCGCGGTTTCTTCGCTCTTTCTTTCGTTGGCTGTGAACCAAAAAGAATAGAATGTGCAATGCGTGAATTATAGAGTGAATAGTGAAGATCCACGTGAACATAAAACAAGTAAAACAGATAGAAAAGTAAACACCGTAAGCAACACCCGACGCAATCATTACCAAAATGAACGCACATGAACCAGAGGCTTGCTGGACAACACTGGCACCTCCTTGCTTCCGGTACGATGCACTCCAAGTTCATCGACGGTGGGAAAAGGAACGGACTTGTCATCCGTTGAGGAAGGTTGAAATATCATCATGGTAGTGGCAGATCCTACTCCTGGCGTGCCTAAACCAGGTGTTCCTTTCCGAGAAAGGTCAACTCGTGAAGGAGAAGCCGCAGAGGTACGTAGAGAAGGAAGAGAAGGCACAGATCTGAGTTCCTTAGATTCGGATCCTCCTGTCGTTGTCTCTGTAGGACCCACCGTACGTGCTTTCCGCATGGGAGGAGCTTGGGGTGACGTGGAGGGCGACGTTGCTCTTATGTTCTCAGGCTGCCACCGGTCAAGAACTGACGCCTTCCGCCCACTTCCTGTGCGGTGAGCCTCGAGAGGTGGGGGAGAGCTAGGACCTTCGAGGTGTTGACTGGCCTTCACCATGTTCTGCACGAAACCCCGCCCTTGCAGCCTACTTATGCTTGGAGTAGGATCCTTCGGAGCAGGTGCCTTTAAGAATGCAGGGGACGGACTCGAAGATGTGGGTATCTGTGGGCCCAACGACGAACGAGGTGCCGGCTGGATGGGCCGGGCCAATGACGGCACGGCAACCGAGACGGCCCTCGCGGAAGGGGAAGAGGGCGTGGAGAGTCGGCCTGTTGAATATGGGCGGGGTGGAGGAGAAGTTGGTATCTGTGACGGAGTACTCGACGATTTCTGTGGCATCGGTGCGCTGGAGGACGGAGCAGAAGAGATGGAGCTCAAAGATGCACGAGCTCTTGCGACGTGAGAGGGGCCAGAGGGCGTACTCATTGTACGGTCCCGACTTCCAGTCTTCTGTGGGGACACAGGCCTCTCCCGTTCCTGCATCTTCTCCACCTGGAACTTCACGTTATTGGTGGAACGAGACGATGTACTTGTCGTGCGATCTCGACTCCCAGTCTTCTGGGGCGACACGGAACGTTCTCTTTCTTGAGTCTGTTCCAACTTGAATTTCACACTAGCGGGAGGTTGAGACGGCGTGCTGACTGTACGTACTCGCATGGCAGATTTCTGGGGTGACACAGAACGCTCCCTTTCCTGTGGGTGCTCTACTTGATACTTCACAGCATTTGCAGGACGAGATGGTGTGCTTATCGTACGGTCTCGGCCCCCGGTCTTTTGAGGGGATATAGAACGTTCCCTTTCATTGACATAGGATGCCGCAGATGGGGTGCTGGGCCTTCGCGCTCGCGTGTCACTAGGGGCGACAGCTCGCTGTGAACTCTTCCCACCGTGCACCATACCAGGCATGGCGACTCCGCCACTTCCAAACACTGGATGGGGGGCATCGATCTTAGTCCGTTGTTCAAACTGCGCCGGGTCGTGTGCATCCTGTTGGGGCGCATGTTTATTGAGCCTAGGACCAGTGGCCCGTCCACCCATAAAAGCAGCCAAAGAAACCGGCTCGGCTCTGTGGCCAGAAGAAGGAAATGACTGTTTGGATGAAGAGGCAGAGTGAACGGGTTCCTGATGAATTGGTGAGGTTCCACCGCCCGTGAGTTTGCGTAGAGCAGCAACCTGACCCTGCTGGCGCTCGGTAATCGATTTCGCATCATCAACGTCAGAGGGAGTGTTGTCCTTCAGAGATGTGATACAGTCCTGATTCTTGGCTAGATGGAAGATTGAGCTCATTATCGTCATCCAACAAGAAAGGAAGTACCCAAATCCGTGCTATTATGACGACTGCCATAGCCAGTACCCCTACTTCTTCGTTGCCTTGCTAGCCGTGACGCAGCAATTTCCTGCTCGAGCTTCCTCTGTTCCGCCTCTTCATCTGCATCTACTTGCTGCTGCATGGCCTTGATTTTGCTCGCCCATTCCGCTAATCCGTCTTCTGGCTTGGGCATGTCGCCAGAGCGAAACCGCGATATATTTGAGGTCGAGGTCATCAACGTGTATGTGCGAGCGAGAAATCCAGGTGGTGGTGAGGCGTGGTGATTCCGGTGAACCTTCCTTGCGGCACGTGGTAAATTTCAAAAACTATAGTATAACCTTTACGGCTTGCTTACGGCCACTAGCTAAAATTCAATTGTCCGGGCTGAATAACTTATTTCGACTTAAAAAAACACAACGTTGTAACTAACCTAGCAATATAAACGTAGTAGCAACCCCCACCAACATCAGCGCCCCACCTAATCCCTGGGAGACTCCCGAGTTTGCTTGCTCAGTAGCTGTGAACACACCACTAACAGCGGTCTGCGACACGTTTTCCGCGACACTGCCATCTATAAAAAATATGCCTACAGTGAGCTGTTGATCTGCATGAAGGATATCTTGGTACCAACCGATAAACGAAGCTCCACAGACTTGAGCAGCGTCACTATCAATACGCGAGACGACGTCAGGAAAAGCATCTCTAGCCAGTGTAAATCCCTCCTTAATGCAACTCGTGCATGCTAGGTTTTCCACACCCGACTGTATGAGCTTTTGCGCGTCATCAGTGATATTGAAGAAGCTCAGGTCGTTAAGCGTGAGGGTTCCAATCACAGTTTCGAGATCCGACAAGATTTTTGTCGCACAATATTCGTTGGAGGAAGTACTAGGCAAAGGTTGTCAGATTATTCCGAGACGATGCGTTATTTCAAAGGGAACGTACTCAAACAAACAAGCGATGTTTCTCGCAGTTGGATAAGTCTGTTTCACGGCGTTGAGGACGATGTCTTTTACATCCAACGGTGCTCCAACAGTAGCGAGCTCCTGGCTACATCCTGTAGTGACGTTTGTCACCATTGCCTCGATTGATGAGTTCGTGCATGACCCTTGAGAGCAGAGGCCCGAGAGCCAGTTGTTTATGGTATTGGGTATCGATCTCTCTGTGCCAACAACAAAAGAGAGGAGCGCCGACGGGTTCATACATGCGGAGTCGGGAGATGTCAGCAAGGCTTTCAACGAATCCGTGCAGTTTGACGTTAGTGACAACCTACAGTACAAATATATCAAGCTCATCGCTTCCCCTTGATATTCAAAAGAGTGCTTACGATTGAGCAGTAACCATCCCAGCACCGACAACGGCAAGAAAAACAAAGTTTGTACGACCAAGCATACTGAGTAGAAAGCAATGAAGGTGGCAAAGAAAAAGAGGGCGAAACCGCTGAAGAATAAATGGCAAAATCAAAGAGCGAATCGCAAGAGGTGAAATAAAAAAGAAAGACTGGCTGTCCCAGGGCATCTCGGGCTATTTTATATGTCGATGCCGCGTGCCTTCTAACCACTTCCCAACGTTTCGGTTTGATGATTGTGTGTTAGCCTAACAACAAATATGCCACGGACAAATCAGAGGCGATGCTGGTTGCCTGCTAGCGACTATGATCAGCCAATGACATTACTAGGCTGGAGTGCCAGTGCCACTGAAGAGGGGGAAGTTGACCATTAGTGATATTCGCTCCAGGTCAATGCTCCCATTCAAGGCGATGTGCGACGCCAATACTTGTGACTGCGGTGGCCCATTGCTGATCTAATCAGCCAAACAAACATCTTTATATAAAAACCTCAGTACAAAGGTTCACGAAATTGATTAGGATCTCTTGCGCATCGCATCCCCTTTCCCGCACTTACGCAAGCGTCGCCATAAGGATAGCAATGCTTGTGCTTATTGTCAAAACAATTTGCAGAGCGTGTGTCGGAGCTCCATTGTTCTGATTGGATGCCGAGCCATCCTGAGCAGTTTCAGTGATCCCAGAAGGAGAAGAGCCGTCTGGAGAAAATTCAAATGCTGTTCGTGAGAATCAAGGTAAAACGATGCGCTCACCAGTGAAACTCTCTCCGCATTGACTTTGGATAGATTCCGTTCCGTTGTCGGCCAGGCCGGGGTCTGCCTCTTTCAAGATATTGTAAGCCGCTTTCGCACAATTCGAGCAAGTAACATTGCTCGGGAGGCTACTGAGTCCGGATTGTGCTCCAATCAAGGAAACAATGCGATTGACACTGAGGGTGCCGACAGAGCTCTCGATACCTCTGAGCGTTTCGGTGACGCAATATGTATCGGAACTATTCTCAAGTAGTCAGCGGCAAGATGTATATCAGACATGAAATACTTGCTCTTGTAAACAGAGTATCCTTCGGACGGTGGGATACGCTTCCTGAGCCGTCACAACATTTTGCTCGGTCTGACTGGTGTCCAAACCAATGGTAGTCAACTCTGTGCTGCAACCCGAAGTAAGGTTCCCTACTACGGCAGCAATGGTATCGTTGCTACAAGATCCAACCGCGCAAATACTGGATACCCATGTATTGACGGGGTCTACGATCGAGGTGTCTGCGTTCCCGAACAGAGGAATCAGCGATGATAGGCTGAGGCAGATTGAAGCCTCTGGATCCGCAGAGACTACGGACAACGCAGAAACACAGCTTGAGGATAGTCTGATGATGCGCGCAAAAGCCATTGAGATCGACATTCTGACACTAATGGGATGGAAATTTCGACTCACTGTGCTGATACAAGGGTGGCTCCCAGCACAGCGGAAGCAGAAAATACAGCTAAAAAAGAGAACATGGAGGTGCTGTCCAACGTCGACCGTGCTTCGACATCAGCGATTGTTCCTTTTATGCATAAGCCGCATCTTCATGTGGCTATGGGCGTGTGAGTGTAGCAGTTGCAGCGCTAAAAAGGATCAGAAAAGCCGTGAAAGGCAACCAAGCAGCTTGAGGACGGGCCAAGGAATGAATACTCGGGTGGTAGCCTAAGTATACGAAGAGCGCAGCAATAAATGAGCAGTCATCGGACCCTATTCAAAGTGGGTCAAGACTTAATTGAGCATCATGATGGCGAGTACCAAAGATTTTTTGCCGGCGGCATATACCGGACGTGCTCTTCCCTTCAAGCCATCGAAATACCAGGTGACAGTTGCAGTATGTCTGCTGCCTGTACGGCTACATCGTCGCTTACTTTGCCTATAGCGTTGCATTCAGTACCGGGGATGTCTTTCATCCAGCCGGAACCGTCAAGTGATCTCCAGAATATCCCTTCACGGAACGCCCTAGCGCGTTCAACGACCCTTGCAAAGAGGCAGAGACGTCGCAGCGAGGCTTCGACCGCTCCCTTGACTTCTTCAACGAATATACCCAGTCCTGATAGCTTTGATACCAGTGGACCGCTCTACGCGACGGATGGCGCGTCACAATCCAAGATCCTTCAACCAATACGTGAAAGGACTACGTCTGCTTGTCAAAATGCTATACCGCCTCTCTCCTTCCATATATCTTCCCAGCAAGATCCTGTGTTTATCGCCTTTTCGTCGTCCCTCTCTATGAACACCAAACTAGCCAATACTTGCATTACGATGTCGCTCTGTGGCCAAGTCTTTACCTACAACTTGCAATGCCTGGAGTCTGATCCAAGGGAAATCATCGAGCTGCTGAAAGTTACCGCTAGCGACAAGGGCAACTGGGTACTTGTCGGTGCCTACTACCGACGTATGGGGAACCCGGTAGCGGCTATTACAGTGATGACCACCATGTTAGAAGGTATTCGCCATGGTGTTCGTAAACTTTGACGCGTTACTAATCTGTTTCTCATATCTTTAGAAATGTCCAAAAATCAGGTTCCCGACGCCGATCTCAAGCCTGCATTCCTCTTCCTTGCCAGCTGCGAACTTGAACTCAGGAAACGGATAAAACAAGAGGATGCCGTTAGTGCTGCTCAACATTCTCAGAACGCCCAGAAGTGGCTGCAGAAGGTGTATGGCACCTCCTCAGACACCAGCGATGAGATGGTAGAATCGGGCAAGCCGCCCGTACCCGTTGCACGCCAAGCAGTATCTCAGTCCCAATCGAAGCCACTTTCTCTACCGAAGAATATGAAGAACAAATCTTATAATAATTCCCTGTCCGATCCTCGCCAACACGCGAAATTGCCTCCGAGACCACCAGGCCCTCATCAGAAAATCTTGGAACGAGAAATCGACTCTCTCAGAGACCGGCAGGCCATGCAGGCCAGTATTCTTTCCGAAGTTCGCTCCTGTAAGCGACAATTGGAAGATGATATCATCTATGAGCGGGACACTCGACGGCGTATGGAACGAGAGCTTGATGCCCTTCGAAGGGAAAGGGATTCAGCAAGACGGATCCGAAGCGTATGCTGTGGAACAGATGCTAAAGGAAACAGACGCTCGACGAAGAATGGAAGAGATCGTGGACAGGGAGAGGCAGCTGAGGAGGGAAACTGAAGGAAGGTTATACATCTCAGGGCACAGCAACTCGAATCTTGCCCTGGACGGATAACGGGTGTAAGTATATCTGTCCATTTCACTTTTGCATTTTTATAGACTTCACGATTCGAACTTTGCATAACAAGCATTTAATCAGTACTGTAGCATTCTGTAGAGCATTGACACCAATCCTGTATACGCACTTGTAACTTGTACCACTGATTGCCGAAAATACCTAGCGTTGACTAGACACTGTCCCAGACCAACCCCAATCCAGAAACTGTACAGTTTGCGGCAGGTTCCGAAAGGCGCAAACTTTAATGTTGCAACTAAGTGCAAACAAAGTCGTGACGCCTGAACCGCGAATTTGGTGTTATTCGACCTCAAAAGTTTCGCCGACCTCCTCAAGACCTGCTCTCTTTGAAAATGGCGGCCACCACCCTACCCAAGGAAATCTCCAAACTCGGCTCAGAGGTCAAACTTTTCGGAAAGTGGGATGCTCAAGAGTGCGTTGTTATATTCTACACTGGATCTGGAACTATTGGCCAACAATTCGTTCATCTGTAGTGTCGAAGTCAAGGATATCTCCCTGACGGATTACATTCAAGTCCGCCATGCCGTCTACCTTCCTCATACTGCTGGACGATACGCCAAAAAGCAATTCAAGAAGGCTCAAATGCCTATTGTTGAGCGATTGGTGGACAGGTGTGCTGCTAGGAATCTGATGTTATGAGGATACGTCTAACACTGGTATTAGTTTGATGATGAACGGTCGCAACAACGGCAAAAAAGTCATGGCCGTCCGAATTGTCGCTCATGCATTTGAGATCATCCACCTTCTTACGGACCAGAACCCCATCCAGGTATGTCTGACTATTTTAGTCGGGTACAACTTTCTTAATGCCTTTAAAGGTTCTCGTCGATGCTATTGTCAACACTGGTCCTCGCGAGGACTCAACTCGTATCGGTTCCCAGGGTACCGTACGTCGCCAGGCCGTTGATGTGTCCCCTCTGCGACGGGTGAACCAAGCCATCTCCCTTCTCACTATTGGCGTATGCTATATTATTTTTCAGTGTCCCTTCTCTGAGATCTAACCTAAAATGCAGACGCGTGAATCTGCTTTCCGCAACGTCAAGTCTATTGCGGAATGCTTGGCCGATGAACTTATCAATGCAGGCCAAGGGTTCCTCAAACTCATACGCCATCAAGGTACTTAGTTTCATTGCACGCGATTATCTGAACTCCGCTCAATCAAAGCATATGATCAGAAAAAGGATGAGCTTGAACGTGTCGCCAAATCCAATCGGTGAAAGTTTTGCTGGTACGGGCTTCAGTTTTTCACCGCCGCTGTGGAGAGGGACGGGAGCTTCTGGGAAGGAGATAGAAAATCGAGGTCGGATTGGTGTGGGCCGTTTCTATTGCATTTTTCCATCTCAATCCTATGACATTTATTGCTGCTCCATGCGCTCTAAGTTGACCTATTCGTCGCTTTAAATGAATTCAATGAGTAACGGACTTTTGCGGCCCTTACGATTCTTTTTCGTTATGCGCGTACCACAACATTGGGCGAGGTCCTTGACATGCGCATTTTCGGAACATTTTCGGACAGGAAGCCCGTTTCGAGATGAATGATGAACGGGTGGAGACGAGAACCGCCTAAATGGATGAGCCTAGGCAGCAACTAGACAGTGCCATCCATCGAGTCCCGTCCTCATGACAAACTGAAGGATGTTTAGAAACAGCGGAGCTAACCCCCCTACGAAAGCCAGCGGCCAATCTGCATTGCCTTGTACAGAATATTTAATGAAACATTGTGCAGCCCATCAAAACAATAGTGCCAGAAAATAGATCAACACAGAAAACAGCCGAGAAAAACACGACAAACAGTTAATAAAGCGCTCCGAGAAAGGATAATAACTTGAATATTACAACGAGAAACTTGGTATAAGTAGTGAAGAGATAAACGAAGTTGTAAGGGTTTTAAACATCTCCACACCGGTATCTGAGAAACCTCCAAAGACGGTGGAACGGAAGGGGTAGTGGGTAATGAACAAATGCCAGCAAGGAGAGATGCAGAGTGGTGTTAGACGATGGTCGATGGTATACAATGGTGAGGACGTAGAAAAGATATGCTTGTGTCTAGTGATACAGTCTGTGGAAAACGCGATAACATCAAAAGTAGGATGGAGGTGTCCAAGAACCGCACTTCGCACGTTACATTACGGGGGTGGCAAAAGTCCGGACTGGAGCGGCAAATGGTGAAACGAGCGCAAAATCGCAAACACAGCGAAAGTGATGGCGCGGTGTCGGTCGTCTCCCAAGCCCGAGGGAATAACGCACTGTCTATTTGTCGGAGGAATGCAATCCGGCAATTTTGGAGAGGTAGTCATCGCGAAATGTGACAGAGAAAATGCAAGGTAATCCGAATTCCAGTTTTGAGTCTTGATGAGATTCCAGTGAAAACGCCGTGAATGCAAGACAGGTCAGGGTAGCGATGTGACTAGCGCAGGTATACAGCTGCTACCGCGACATGGACGGAGTATGGCCGTGGGGCGTTGAACCGGGACGAGATCCTGCTTTGCCGGCTTTGTTCCCGCCCTCTATCGAATCCTCCGGTCTGGGCTTTGGTACAACACCAGCCAAACCCTTGTACCCATACGGTCTGCCGAACTCCCTCAACATTGCTTGCCCCATTAGACATACCCACCCAAGGCCCTCTCCGCTAAGAGACTGCCCTGGCCAATAAAGTTCACCTTCGTCATCCTCGATGTCGGGCTCGTGCTCATCCGAAAAGGAGAGTGTAGAAAAGACCATCCGAGCGAATGTTTTGGGAAAATGGCGAGCAATTATAGGGAGTGTGAGAGTTTGCTCAGCCATCTTTAGAGAGCCTACAGCCGTACTTATGTTTGAGAAGTGATCTTTCAGTGAGCCAATCAAATGTGTTCCCATCGGTACCGTCACGCTGTTCGCCGCGGTTGCTACATGTGCCGGTATCTGGCCGTTATGATAACGAGAGGGCATAATTCGAGGATGTGGCGCAGGCGCGACCACAACTGGTGCAGGTGGTGGCGCTGCTGAGGCGATAGAAGAAGATCGGCCGTTGGGATTGGGGGTACCATCGTCCCGATTAGTAGGCGTAGAGTTTGCACTGTTTGCAGGTGCTATGCTCGCCGGCGAAGGTAACATTTGAGGGGTACCTTGTTTCTGCGTGGTGACCCCGAGTAGAGATGGGTTGGCACCCTTGGGCATACTCTCTGCTTGGTTAATGGCGCTCTCAACTTCTTTCCTAGCAACGTCGACGGCCTGGGCCAGCTCTTGATCAAGCTGCCGGGGCGAATACGCCACTTTACGTGCGTTAATGAAGCCTTCAATCATGAAGCTATGAACCGCGTCAAGAACCGGGGAGGTTGAGCAGGAGATCGTTGGAGCTTACATTAGTCCGAGAAGAGCCTTTTCTCCATCATTTGAAGCTTCTTCGGTTTGCCACTTTTGCTTGCACCAACTCAAAAAAGCCGTAATGGTGGTCCAGGAATCCACAATGCAGCTACGTTTGTTGTAATCTTTATTCCATAAGGAATAGGTGAAACAGATGAGGGCATCCACAAGTTCGAGTCTTGCGATGAGACCGCCATATTTGTGGTAAGGGGAATTAAGCGGCGGAGGATTGGGGAGCGGTCGATATTCTCTATGTGATGAAGGATATGTAGACCAGAAACGTGCGTCGCCAGAATACTTGAGTTGGCGGCCGGCACTGTGGTATTTGTCGTGTAATTGGTCGAAGTGCCTTGTGGTTGGCCTGCCCCGTTTGGGTCGGCGAACCGGCATGAAACTTGAGACGACATTAAGAGCCTCGGTAGAGGAAGGCGGTGGCGGCGGAGGCAAAGGGAGATCCTCACGCACTTCGCCATCTTCACACGGTTCCGAGCGGGCGGCGGGGTCGACTGGAGGCAAGGGGTTGGATGGACGATTCACCGCTGGTGGCTGGGTCGAGTTCGCGGTGCGAGGTAGTTGAGGATAGGAGCGGCTGGACACTGAGCTCATTCTAGGACGTTTCGACGGCTCTTGGGCGAGCGACGGGTCTGGCTTGCGCTTAGAGCCTGGAGCGGGCGATGACGCCCGGGAAGCTGGTGGCGACGGTGGCAGTGTAGGCGCTAACGGCGTAGCCAGGTCTCCAATCCCCTGCAGCGAAAAGAAGAGAAGATCAGTCTGCAGCCTCTCCAGAGGAAAGTTAACCGACCTCGAGGTACCGTAGCAGTTGCTGTTTCGACCATCTACTGCAATGTCTATCAGATATCTCTTAGCAGGATGAAGCCAGGTTGTATACCGTTTCCGCGAGTGAGGGCGCTGCGAAGTAGAGGCAGAGTGCGCCATGGTGGTAAAAAGCAGAGTGAAGGATCGCTTGAAGGCCGGTGAGCCAGCAGTTCCAAGTTTAGTGTGACGATGTCACGGCTTAGTCGGCTTAGTCACGTTCTACTTTTGGATTAGCAAATTGGGGTCGCTTTTGTCTGAGAGCAGCCGGTGAGTTCTGTGACGGGAAATGAACCTCTAAAAGTAATAATCAGTCCATATAAATGAAGCGAAATTCCCGCTGGTCTTTCTGTCCTCCCTCTCTGTCTCATCTCATCTTCCAGGAAAATGGCCGCCGGTTGCCGCATCGTGGCAGATCCTGGCGTCGTCGTCGTTCCGCCGTTGTAATTTATTATTGTGTTGCACGAGGTCTTGTAAGTCGCTTTTTGATTCGAAACATCATCAACCGACCATTATACATGCCACGACCGTCGTGCGACCATCCTGTGCTCGTTACTGTCTGTTTCACAAAAGGGGGAAATCTAATCTTATCACTGTTTCGATCAGGAACCGGTGCCGGAGGCACAGGTGAATCCCTTTTCCGTTCTATGCAGGGCGAATCTTAATCAGGTTCCAGTAGGATTCACCCGTTTCACCCCAGCAAGCACAAGTGCATAGTGGAAAACTCGAGTCTTCCAGCTGGACCCTTTCTTTCCGACCATTCTCAGCCATTCTGCCGAGTCGACCTTTCCATTCAAATGAATGTTCCATTTGGTGCACCACATGAACATCGAATATGGAGATACGGTTCACCGATTTAGCCATCACCTGACAATTCGGATCACCGCAATTCTGGCCTCCTGGATGTTACCCACCCCATTCCTTTACACGGACAGCCTTTCTCAGACCGACGGAGGCTGCCTCGAACGTTGCCCTAATGGTGTGGAGGGGGCAGGACATCGGTCCAGTCTTCCCATGATCCTTGATCGACGGCCCGGAAACAGTATGGAAACACTATTTCTTCCTTGTGCTTGCCCTCCCTGCTCCCGACGTGTCTCCGAATAGTAACAGGTCAACAAGCTTTATATCATATCTGACGTCCCGTTCGCTCTGTGATTCCCCGAGTCTTGCGCTCTCTAGTCTTGTTGCGGTACTCCGTTCACCGTAGCCGATGTTCTCGGTCGAAAGTGCAGACGCTAGACCATCTCTGGCATCATATCCGTCTGGGCCCTTTTTTGGGTCCTATCAACATGTTTGTTACTTAATAACGTCCACTGACCTCTACTCTTCCATAGGCAATCACAACCCAGAGTACCGTCGCTGGAGTGCTTGACTTATGCTCACCGCAGAATTATGACAGTTCTGCCAAGTTATTTTGAGTCCGCCACGTGAAATTGCAGACTCACACCAGGTTCAAATATGTGTCCCGTTACACGGAACTGTCTCAATAAATGATGCTGAATGCCGGAAAAATACATGGATATTCCGGGAACCTGGCATACGGCTATCGGGCCCCACAGTTGTACAACTTCCAAGGTTCCGAGTGAAACTGTACAATTGATGGCCGTCTGCCATCTGAAGCCTTGACTGCGCAAGATGTATTTCTTTTGATTTTGAGTATACCTTAAAGGCAGACTGAGATGTTCAGTGACAGACATGCCCCTTGCCAAGCCTACAGGCACCGACGAACGGAATCAAAAGTTACGATCACGTGACCATCATAATTGATTCATTTGACGACGCGTCGACGCGTTTCTCTGTTCCAAGTCCATCATTGCAAGGCCGGAACAAAAAGAGGTTCGGAATTCCATTACAACATGTAGAGATATAACAAAGGTTGTACAGATACAAAATACAGGACAGGAATACATGACGAAAGCAGAGCGAGAAAACACTTGGACAGTAAAACGTCACGAACCAGCTAATTAGGTGTATAGTAATGTTGAAAAAACAAGAAAATCCTTTCCGTTCCGTGCTCTTAGATATGATAAAAATGTGTAGGGAGATGCCGCGGACGCTGGAAAAAAGTAAGTGAAGGTCCAGGAAAATCATTTCCGACTACCTCGAACTTCTCGGGCACATGATGCCTTCGAGTTCGTATTCTTCCGTCCCATCTTGACCTGCTCAATCTTTTCAGTCGTATACGGAGAGGGTTTGCTCGTGCGCGCCTGTTGCGTAGCTGAACGACCTTTAGACCGTGTAATCCGGGACGGTACAAACTCTTCCTGGAGATCTGCTTTCACAGGTTCCTCCGTCGCCATGTCTTTGACATTCAGAGACTCAGGCGTCTCGGTAGCTGTTCTGGTGGACGCAACGGACAAAGACCTGTCAGATGCGATGAGGGTCTCAGATGAGATTTGGGAGTTTGATCGGTTTCGAAAGCGAGAGATCGATGAGGAAATAGTGCGAGGGACGGGAGATGGTGACTGCGATAATACTGAAGATGAAGAAGATGAAGTAGATGATGTTGAGACTGATTCTATGGCTGGTACTGGTTTAGCACTGCGACTCTGGCGAGTGCTCGGTCGCTGCGAGGCAGGAGGAGTTTCAAAGATAGATTCGGCAGTCTTTAGTGGACCTGAAGCTTGCAATGTGGTAGAGGAATGGGTTTCTGCTGTATCAGGGGGTGTCACCGCCTTGCGCTGGGCAGACCATCGCGTCTGCATCCTCGGTCGCTTCGTCACTGCTGCCCCTTCGAGATTGACGTCGGCATCTGCAACACCTGAGATGGATTCAATCAGAGGTTCGCGGTGGCGTTTGCGAGTTTGAGGTCCTGAGGGTGCAGTAGCCTGCTTCTGCGCCAGCTGGGAATACCACAGCTTAGAACGGATCACTTCATGCCAACCCTTGGAATGCCAAAGGTACAAAGTAAACATGTCTGGTAGGGCTCCAAAGTATCTAATGAGAGGAGGATTCTTTGCATCTAGAGGAAGAAATGAAGTGATAGTTGCATAACACGCCACACGACTCACTTATGACCCGGTGTGTCAATTCAAGGGTAGCATCGACCTGCTTGCTTCCCCAGAGTAGCCAATGAGCTGGATGTGTAGGCCTGCCGAAGACTGCAAGGGCTACAAGGGCGCGCAAGGTGGTATCTTGAAGCTCCTGCGGCAGCGTCCAACTCGTCTCCGCCAACTTGAGACAGTGCTGAACGAGAGGAAACTCTACAGAGAGAACGTGGTGCTGGCCACTCTTCCAAAGGCCTGGGATATGGGTTGGTTCGTATATGGGGAGTGTATATGATGTGGTGCTGGACGATTGAGAGGGTGCAGAAGTGACAGGCGACATCGACGACATCGTCGGCTTCATCGTACTGCTGGGAGAAGAGGGAGGTTCCTCGGTCGTGATAGGCAAGGGCTCTGAACGAGCAAAGGAGATAGCGAATTTGGTGGTTGATGAAACTGAGAAGGACATGGGGGAGGAGATATCGAAGGTGGAGGGTACCCGGCTGGAGGCAGCGAGCATGATGAACGGAAGAAACAAAGACAATGTGACGCTGCAAAGGCAATGAGACGACGTGAAGGGATGGAGGGTGGCCAGGATGGCGGTGGAGGAAGAAGAAAGTTGAGCCAAGTCAAGGCAGGTGGCGGGGCTATATACCTTTTGGCTTACCGGGCTTGCGGGCTGTATATTGGGCCACGAGGTTTCCTTTTCGGGCACACATCAAAGGCGAAAGACAGAACAAGCACCCCTGGTCTTTGTTTCGTTTGCTCGTTGCCAATGCATTGGAATGATTGCCTTTGTGCTTTGTCTACAGTGGCCTTTGTGGTAGACGGGGCCGACAATAATATTCAAGAAGAATGGTCTTGGTACCCGACGTCCGGGATACAGCATCTCAGATCTGCTTCGATCTCCAGATAATTCAAAGTGCATGTCATTAAATTGTCAGAAAAATCAACGGCAAGCTGAAGCACAGAAACAGCCAGTAAAATTCTTTTCATTATTCTGTGGTACGTGGACAGAGGCGTACTTCGTAATCGCGTGCTCAAGCATTCACGTTCTCGGCCAAAGCTAAGGCTTCGATAGACTTATTCCATATCTCCAAATCAAGGTCCCCCGCCTTTGTTGCAAGTATTGCGCGAAGAAACAAGTGGGGATCAAGAGCTGGCGCGGGAGCAAATGACGGAATCGTCGGTATCGGCATTTCCTCCTGCAAGTCTGTCAGCACGACTATCGCTTAACTTTGCAGCGAACGTACATCACTCTTTTCCAGATGCCCTATCACCATAATTACCCCCAGTCGCTCTCGAACCCATTGACCCGACCAGTGGTCGACACAGAGCGACACATCCACTAGGACGGCAGCGTCACGGTCCAGGAGGATACCAAGTCCTGTGACAGGATCATACGATAGTAATCTCAAGCATCATCAGCTGCAAACTATTTATTACAGGTGTGGTCTACTCACTTGCCCGCCAGACGCAGTTTTCGGCCCACAAGTCTCTCTTCAACAGCCGCCAATTGAGTCGGGGTCGCGGTATCTGGATAAGAGGACATCTCAATATCCAATCAAAATGAAATACATCTGCGAGCGATTTGAACACAATGCCGCGTTCTTGATGCGTTTTACGAAAACGATATTGCTTGAGTAGCGTCGATATTGTTCAGGTCTGGATGATGTTTCGGCCGTGTGCGAGCCGCGGATCCTTTATTCAAATAAGTGATAGATCTAATACAACAGATACTTATATATAAAAAGAGATAGGTATGCAACAAAATTTGAATGGTTAGTTAAGAGGAGAAGTGTTGCATTTACACGTCAAATCTTCGAACAATGATCCCGTCAGGACCAGAAGTAACCACCCTTCGTTCATCAAATACTAACGTTCTCTTGCCACACTCTGGTGGCGACGATTCTGGATCACATACTTTTGCACTAGTGTCCGCCTCTAAATCCCAGACCCACACACTGCCATTCAAACCAAGGCTGACACATCTACCATCAGCCAGAGCTAAAGACGACACTGGGCCTATTTGTCCATGCAGATTCCGCGCGAACGTCAACTTTGGCGGGCTGGATGCGACTGAAGACATCGAAGGTAGTGATAAGCGATATAATTGCAGAGTTGTAGGTGAGTGCATGGGAGACGCAATGTGAGGAGCAGCAGTGAACGGGTGGTTGTTAGGTGATAAGTCTGAGACGCCATCAGCAGGAGCCAGGACTACCCATTTACCATCAGTCTGTGTATCTGCTATAGATGATACCTTCCGGCTCCATTGCTCCCGGATGGAGCGAAGTTTACGCTCGTCGATCCATCCTGAGGGTATATCAAACGACCGAGTCGTTCGCGTAGACACAACTGTCATAGGCTCGGTATCAAGGGCCAGAGCCGATGAACGTGAGATATCAGACGTCGAATATCTGTGTCCCGAGATGACGACTTCTGTGGCGCCAACAGACCAATGAGCCGGGTATACTGGTATGGCATAAGCCATGACCAGCTTATATGTTGACGGTGAGGGGGTAGATAAAACCAGAGACGTAGGTGGAAAGGAAGTGAACGACGTGAGCGTCTGAGTATGGATTACGGTATCATTCGAAAGGTCATAGATGGAAAGAGAAAAATCTTGTGATAGGGAGATGAGTAGTGGATGGTGGTACACAGCTTGGATAATTGGGCAAGTCCGCGTCGTACGTGTAGCAGGGACATAGGTTAGCTTGGTTACTGATCCAACAAGATGTGTGGGGTGAATATGGTATATTGTGAATTCTCCAGTCGAGAGAAAAGCAGCAAGATGCACCCGACCTGACAAGGGAGATGATTGGTCCAGACAGAGTGCCGTAATTCTGTTCGGTACGCTGCTACGAGAGGATCTGCAGAACAAGGTGTGAGTGACACCTGAAGCTGCTCTGAGGTGAATTTCTGGGGTCAGAGACTCTCGTGACGATGCAATGATGGTCAGAGGCCCTGCCAATAGTATATGTGTCCGCTCGTCATGAGAATAGTTGGCCTCCAAGTGAGATGAGGAGGGAAGGACAGGAATGTCGCTAAACTGCTCCACTAAACACCGGCCTTGGTAGGTTGATGTAAATCCAGACTTTGCATCGATGTGCGAGACCTTGCATACCTGTTCGCCAGTTGGAGCTTATGCGAAACATCCATTTCCAGTCCTTCAGGTCGTCTATCTTGGCTCGACCGGGCAAAGATCTGACTTCGCGACCGTCAGCCCTGCCGATAAAGCCCCTGGCGCCGCGCAGACGTGGACGGCCATAGACGCGGAGGTAGAGAATCCTCCATAACTCATTGTCTGCGGCAAGTCTGCACCAAGTTCTGCTGGTGGACTGGGTAGCGCAAAGATCGACCCAGGAAAGATGGGAAAAGATGCAGAGAATGAGTTCGTCGTATAGGGCAGTTTCGAATGTCAGCCTGGGCTTCGAAGAGGGATATGAATTTTCAGAATTTATACCGCGGAGACACTTGGACGGCGGCAGAGGTGCAGGTGAGAGACGGTGTTTGGTCATGGTGGTAAGAGGCAAAGTCACATCCGTCATGAGTCTAGCTTGTACTATAGCTCCCAATGGCTCCCTCTCGAGGCTCTCAAGCTCCTCAGGCTCTGGCACGGACACTCCACGTTACCCTCGATAGCCATAAGGGACCCGTCAACGTCGCTCGCTACGCAAAAGGCAGCGCGAAATACATTCTTACTGGCGGCCAAGACCGTACAGTCCGACTCTGGAACGCCAATCTGGGGACAGAAATAAAAGCTTTCACCTCCCATGGTTACGAAGTTCTATCCATTACAGTGTCTGTGTCACTTCGTTCAGCTCAAATGTTTTGTTGTCTGAACGGTATGTAACAGCGCTCACGACAATGCAAAGTTCGCTTCCTCCGGTGGGGACCGCTCGGTATTCGTATGGGATGTTGCTACTGGAGTGACTACTCGAAGGCTAGCCGGGCATATGGGCAAGATTCATGTCGTCGAATTCAATGAGGATGCGAGCGTCGTTGCTGGCGGTTCGTTCTTCGCAGACTGTATGCTATGATGATTAATATTCATCTCCTTGTACAGGATCCTTTGACTCTACAGTGCGCTTGTGGGACCTGAGGGCGCAATCTCGTCGAGCCATTCAAGTTCTGGAGGAGGCTAAAGATGCGGTTCAAACAATTTCCATCGACTCAACCACTATCACTACTGGATCTGTCGATGGACATGTTCGAACTTACGACTTGCGTAAGGGAGAACTACGCTCTGATTTCATAGGCCGTAAGCATCGTGTCTACTGATATACGCTAATTCTTAGACCGTTGCAGAACCTGTAACATCGGTCGTAGCTACGCAAGACGGCCAAACACTTCTCGTAACGACATTGGATTCACATCTGCGGCTGATGGATATGACCTCAGGGAAAATGCTGAACGACTTTACTGGGCACACCAATGTGTCATATCGCTGTCGTGGATGCTTTGGACATGGCGAGGCTTCTGTGATATGCGGAGACGAGAAAGGAATGGTGTGGGCATGGGATCTTGTAGATGTTCGTCTGACTCTGCAAGATTGCGACTATCGAGCTCACATGTTCCCAGGCAAAACTCCTCCAACCGAATCCTCCTCCGAAAGTGCACGAGAAGGTCATTACGTGGACTGAACATCATCCAAGCGGCGAGGGGGAAATGATTACAGCCAGCGCTGATGGAACGTGTAAGGTATGGCGCCATCCGGAGTGAGGTCGGTTCTTGGGACCTTGGAGGTTCACGACCACCGCCAGTAGCAGTATAACAGTGCAAAAGTGCAAATAGTATAGCACACTCTATAACATACACTAGCATGAAAAACCGAATCGTAAGTACTTGCATCTAGAACTGGCACTACCGTTTGGCTTGCGCCTGAGCTTCTGCAAGAATCTGAGAATCAGTAGTGTGGCCGGTAAAAGATATATCGAACCTCGTCGTGTCGCATCTTCAAGCAATTGGGTATCAACATTTTCCCCTGGAAGCTGCACATAACGAACGACAGAGCCACGTATAAAACAGTTTTTCACTGCCATCTGCAAGCAGCGCGTCAAAATTGAGAGCATAGCGTCCGAAGAGCGACACACCATGTGTGGATGTCTAGCTGGATCCAAGACCTGAATGTTATCCAAACGAATGTTTAAAAACCTAAGTCGCTGTTCCTCATTGTCTGAACTTCCGACACGAGGGAGACGCACTGGTCAACAGATTTGAGTACACCAGTTATTGAGAGATCATTCTTGAGCTCGACGGTGACTTGCTGGTCGGTCAAGGTCTTGAATACAGAGAAAATGAGCTGTTTTCTGGTCAGCAGGAAGGATCGTTGTGCCAGTAGAGACACTTGCCATTGTTGTGGAGGAAATACAAAGACAAGTCAGTGAGATAAGATCAGATCTATTTGCGGTATGTAATCTGTCTTAGTCGCTTACGACCAACGTTGATCTCTAGATTTATCCTTGGCGCCATATTGGACAGTTAATATGGCACCGGGAGTCTATTCACAGCTATCCAACCAAGAGAAGATTGATATACGACGGATCCGTGGTCAGGTAGGTTGGCCGTTTTCAGAACCGAGGTTGACCTCGAAATTTCGTGACTCAGGCTGCTGACCATGAATCTTCTAGCTGTCTTGTGCTGAATGTCGTAGGTGCGAAGTTCTCGGTCGCCAATGCGGTCCTGATTTACTCACACTTGCTAGACTAAAACTAAAATGCGATAAACATGTCCCTTGTGCCTCGTGCGGTAAGCGACCTCAACATCAGTTCAGAGAGCCGACGCTCAAATATTTCCCTTCCAGTTCGCAGGGGTTGTGAATCAATATGCCCAACAGGTCCATCTCATGCTGCGTACTACATAAGCCGGGCTCACGTTTTATTCCAGGAACACTGTCAAATTGTTCCGGGAAAAAGTACGTCCGTCTCAACCATCTACTACTAGTACACGACACTAAGCACCAAAAACAGATTGGTCATATCCGAAACTGGTACACTACATCAGAAAGTAGAAGAAATGGGGCAACGGATACAAGAATTAGAGGAGGCATTGCGCGATTTTCAGGCTTCAACTTCAACAGAACCGCATCCGCTTTTGCGGCAAGAACTGCTGGTAATTAAATATCCGCCCGGAATGGCTCTTCCTTCTACGCAGACCCCAGATAATACAACTATGGAATTATCGGACGCTCTGGGCACGCTCACTATAGGCGATCATGGAGACGCTAAGTACTTTGGCCACTCCGCGGGCACAGAGGTATGCTGAATCCCCTTCCGTAAACGTAGTTTTGACCACATGCCTTAGAGCTTGTTGTTAGCAAGTCATTCTTTCGAGGTACACTAAAGCACACGTTAACTGTTATGTTGTAGGCTGGTGCTGAAATGCAGGGTAGCTCCATAGACAACTCTGTACGAGTGATTCACCGGCTGTCACCCAATTTTCCTCTGGACAATTCATCCGGATGGGACATCGAACAATCCCTAGAAATACTTTACGGCTTTCTTCCTTCAAAACATCGTGCTTGGAGCTTGTGTGAAACTTTCCATGAGCATGGCATCGCGGGGAACCTAATCATGGAGCGAAGTGAAATTATTGCTGAGCTCCTTACTCCAATCTATCGGTATCTGGGAGATGGAAAGCAACATCGCCAAGGGAAACCCCCGCCTTTGTCTTGCCATAAACTGGCTGTCTTATTCTTGGTATTCGGGTTGGGTGCCCTGGTTGATTTAACTCTTCCGCCGTATAACACTGAGGCTGATAATTACTTTGACCTTGGTTGTGCTGCGCTGAACCTCCACCACATATTCAAGAACCCCGAGATGGCAACTGTACAGGCTGTTTCGCTCATGGCTGTGTACGTTTCGCATGGCGGCCGGAGATTTTCCGTGGATGGAGCCTGGACTTTAACTTCTATGGCTGCCAAGTTGGCACAAAGCGTTAGCGTTTTTCTTGTCGATTGAAATTCCACTGACGTTTGTCCTCAAAGCTCGGTCTTCGTAAGTTGTCGTTCCCAGTAGAGCCATGCTTCTGATCGTGTTTCTGAAGATCGGGAAAGTTCACAATGGACAATGGATGCGAAGACGCTAAACAAAAGGAGAAAAATATTTTGGGAGGTTTTCTACATAGACACCTTCATGAGTCTAACTCTTGGGCGCCCTCCGTCAATTCGCCTCAGTTACGTCAACTGCCAATTCCCGATAGACGACGAAGAGACTCTTGATAATGATGGCAACCGCTTACCGGGATGTGGGTTTATCTCGTCTTCTAGTTTCGAGCTACCTTTCAATCGCAGTATTCAACAGATAGTCGATATAGATATGACTTTACAAAAAAGGTAGCACTATTGCTCTTCAATCGTTGCATCCAGCTCATATTTTGGCCAGATCGTCGCCAAAGTTGTCGAACTTGTCCTTGGTGCAAAACCGCCGTCCTATCAGACCATTCTTGAATTGGACAAAGAGTTCCGCCAAATGCGCCTTCCACATCATATCAGTGCAAAAAAAAACCGAAAATTGGAAGAGCTGTCTACACCTTCTGAATATATGCGTGGACACTTTCTTTCGCGGTTACGAGCAATGAGTAAGTTGTGTGAACTTTGTATTCCGGCTGTCCTCATCTTTTGGGTCAGCTGGACTGTATATACATCGGCCGTTCTTTGTTCAGGCCATACTGGGCCATCCTGCAGATCCGTTGTGCAGTCCATTCGCGGCGTCGTATCTTGCCGCCTACCGGTGCGCTTCCGGCATCATCCAGTTCAATGTCAAGCACTTTGCAAAATTTCCGTTGTTATTGATGCGCTGGTGGACTATCTGGAGTGGATGTAAGTCTCGTTTTTCCGTTCGGTAGACCTTACTGATCCCCCGTCGTAGTATTTTCCGCCGCTGTATGTTTCTTCGTTAGACTTGCCGGCTGTGCTCTGCTTACCGTAACTCCCGCAGGTTGTTGTAGCAACTATAGCCACAAGAGCCCCACCCTCACCGATGGCATCAAAGGCATTCGCTGATCTAGGCCTGGTCGTTGATTTGTTTGAGAAAGGTGCTCTTCATTCAGTGCGAGCACGCAGCGGTCTGGTATAGTCAATCTATTCTATTCATTCCTTCATTTTTCTAATCAATTTTACAGACAATACTTCGACCGCTACGCGATAAAGCAGTTTCTATCTTTTCTCAGAGACAAGATCCCAGTGCCTCCAATTTTCCAGATGACTCTAATGAGTCTAATGCTGCTGCCGACCTCGAATTAGAAATATTTGGTGGACACACCAAAGTTATCGTTAGCAAAATGCTTTCACAAAGGCGCACATTCAAGGCAGCCGAGCCACCCACATCTATGATGGATTCCACACCAGATCCGAGTTCGATGCCGGACGAGTCGCTTGTCGATTATGTGATCTCACATATAGGCGATCATACGCTTTACCAATCTGACGATATTCCATCTGCGACATACACGTCTAACCCATTTAGTTCCATCCCTACAACGTACAATGACCCTCTTCAGGACCCCTCATTCGAGAGCATGGATTTCTCCATGCATCCAACACCACCGTTCTTTCAGCAGCAGGAGCAAGTCGATAACCCGACTATGTCGTCTTTTTTATCCATGAATCCGGATAACACAAGCGACTCATCGCTTATGCAGCTGTTGGACTTCATGCCCCCTTTCGACAACACTCAATCCGATGCACGGATGTCTGATGAGCATAATGACTGGTCCTCTTTCATGCCAGAGCCACCTACGATGGATGTTCCAACACCGAACTTTTATGATATGTAGAGGCAGGTCATAGTGTTATATTGCATTCATACATTCATTGTTGTGTATTATCATCCATTATTTTACTTCAATAGCAGCATTTATAGAACCGTTGTTCTTGTAAAGTCAGCTGCTGAGGGTGTCGGTTTACGAAAGCCGCTGTGACTTGAAGTACATTTGTCAACGGACGAAATAAAGATCGTGTCCATGTGCATAACCCGGTGTTCTGTACCGATAAGCGTGTTCTACCCATGCAACGACCAAGAGTTTGGGAAGAAACACCGAGTGACTACCGGTACCGTTAACCAGGTCGGCCCCGTTGACCGCCGCCGGGGAGTAACTTCAATTTGATCCGGCAAAATTCGTTAGTCAACTACCTCCCACTCCTCCCTCCCTCCCTTCTTCGCTTTCCCTTGCAGCAACATTCGACTGGCATGGATATCTCGTGAGCATACATGTCTAGTATTCTTTATTCCTCGCCGACGTTTCACTCTTCAGCTCGATTCTCCAGGGCGGGTACCACCATCCACTGCCTCGATCATGGCAAGGCCGGCGCCAGCTCACAAAGTCGATGCTCATGTATCCCATCTTCATAACGGATGACCCGGATGCGAGCGAAGTTATTGAGAGTCTACCGGGACAGAAGCGATGGGGAGTAAACAAACTGGAGGAATTCCTGGGGCCATTGGTCAAGAAAGGTCTCCAGAGCGTGATTCTCTTCGGAGTACCGATGAAATGTATCAAGGTGCGCTTTGTTTATTCATACATATACCAGTTCTCATGGTTACTATAGGATGGAAGGGGAACACCAGCAGATGATCCAACTGGACCCGTCATTCTTGCCATCAAAAAACTTCGCGAACTGTTTCCCTCTCTTTACATCGCCTGCGACGTCTGTCTATGCGAGTATACGAGCCACGGTCACTGTGGTCTGCTCCACGATGATGGTACCATCAACACCGCCCCTTCTGTGGACCGTATTGCCGAGGTCGCCGTCAACTACGCAAAAGCCGGCGCCCACTGCGTAGCGCCCAGTGACATGATGGACGGCCGTATCAAGGGCATAAAACAAGGTCTCATTGACGCCGGACTAGGGAACAAGTGCACTCTGATGGCCTACTCCGCCAAATTCGCCAGCGCATTGTACGGTCCTTTCCGGTGGGCATGATATTCAAAGTCGCGTCAGACCCTGGTCTAACGCGCCCTTAGAGACGCCGCAGGCAGCGCACCTTCTTTTGGAGATCGAAAATGCTACCAGCTACCACCGTCTGCCCGAGGACTTGCCCGACGAGCTATCGTGAGACACAAAACTATTCTCTCCTAGTCATTCATTGACCATGGTATAGCAACGCGACGCTACGGAGGGTGCCGACATTATAATGGTTAAACCAGCTCTTCCGTACCTCGATATCATTGCCGATGCCGCTCAACTTGCCCCAGACCATCCCCTGGCTTGCTACCAGGTAAGTGGAGAGTTTGCGATGGTCGTCGCTGGGGCAAATGCCGGAGTATATGACCTCCGAACGATGGCCTTTGAATCCGTGGATAGTATGATTCGTGCTGGTGCGTACTTGACGGTGCTCAGTGACTACACGGTATTGATGACCTGCCTCTCCAGGTGCAACACTTATTTTAACTTACTTTACACCTGAGTTTTTGGACTGGCTGGAAAATTAGAAGAGAATGATTGTGATATTTTTTAAAAAACGTTGTTTGTAGAAATGTAGTGAGTATAATACCAAAATTGATTTCGTTGTACCGGGTTTTCGGTCCGGAATCCGAACTCCGGATCATGCGACGTGGTTCTCCTTCTACGATTACCGTCATCATGGCAGACATACGGATATCAGCCTTCATTGCGGTAACGTCCGTCGTTTTCCTAGCGACCGCATATTCTGTCATCCTATGGACACCTATATCGACACCTCGGATCCTCTACTTTCTCATCTTCCTCACCCCTTGGGCCAGTCCATCTATTGGGCAACCAAGTCCAACTTTTTGAACGTGTATTTTATCAAGTACGCTTGGGGATGGACGTCTGCTGCGTTTCTTTTTTTGTGGGCTACCAGCAGCCCAGACACGAGGACAGCTTCCCGGATGCTCAAATGGGTTACCGAGACGGCGGCATGGCTCGTGTTCACCAGCTGGTTTTTCGGGCCCGCCCTGCTAGATCGTGCCATTCTTGCGTCTGGCGGCGACTGTTTCAGTTTCGCTTCCTTCTGGCGAGACAATGACGGTCCCTCATGACTTTTGCTTCACCAAGTCGACTTTGACATCTGCCGAGACCCACCTATTCTCTGCGTCATTCGTTGCCCCTCCAGGGTGGGAAGGGAAGCCGAGATTGAGGAAGGGCCATGATGTTTCTGGCCACATCTTTCTCCTAACCATGTCCGTCCTTTTCCTGGCCGACCAACTTCGCCCATCCCTTCGTCATTCGTTTGCCCACTGGTCTACAATACACAAATGCGCCGTCGCGGCAAACATAGCCCTAATTGCGACATGGCTTTTCGCTAGTGCTACAACGAGTGTTTATTTCCACTCGCCTTTTGAGAAATTTACGGGATGTGGTATGTCTTCAGGTCTTTGACGCCCTCTGTGCTGACATATTGGCTAGTACTTGGCGTAATAACATTTGGTATCACCCAAATACCATCTCTGATGAAGGCGAATACGGTGCGCACGGAAAAGCTGCATTCGAGTTAGACTGTTCAATCGTAGTATTAGAAGGACGACTAGCGCAGTGGATACCAGCAATAATGTCTATAGATTCGTTATCAATGCCCGCATTCGCCGTACAAATAGTGCGCAAGTTCTCTATCTGATCAAAAAGTCCACCAAGATACCAATGTCCAAAATAACAGCGAAGGCCATATAATACTAAGGGCGTCCGCGAACGTACTCAACAATACACCCCTTCGCGAAAGAAAAGCGTCTGAATTCCGTCCTTCAACTAACAATGCCAGGATGCCACGGAATCTACCCCAAGATAGCGTAGGCAAACGGATAGTTATCCGTCTCCGCCTTCCAAGCAAAACAAAAGTCCATGACCATGACCAGCGGGGTGTATGATGAGAGAAAGGTTTTGAGCTCGACGGTGATTCGAACTCGGAAGAGGTATGGTAATCAGCGGTAGCGACAGAGTGCTCCGGAGACCACTCGTCATGCATGAGGCGAGTATCTCTTGTAGCGTATTGTACAGGGAACATCGGATCCTCTTCTTCTCTATCCTGCGGATAGTATAATGGAGAATGCAAAGGCGTTCCCTGTGGATCAGGATGTGACGCGGTGCGAAAAGTTGGCCCAGCGGCAGAAGTAGGTGTCCTTAGCGCGGAAGGCAGAGAGCCCGTAGGACTTATAGGAATCCAAGCGTGTGATGGCGACGGGCTAGCAGGATGCGTTCCGGCTGATATTGAAATTGGAGGTAGGTGCAGCTTCATTCGACGTCGTCTAGCCACATTGAAAACAACAAGTCCGATGAAACTGAGGAGTATCAGAGGGAGATAGACATGGCTGTATATACCATTCTGATCAGGAAGAGTGCATGAGGCGTCTGCATACGATGATTTATTCTTTGATAAAGCGACTGAGGGATCGGAAAGGGAGAGTAACTGAAATCCTGGATATTCAATATGCCTTGCCATGGAAAAGGATTTAATGGTGATTTCTGGGATATCATTTTTATGTTCGGCTTCGCGATCTGGAGAAGGGAGTTTATGCTTGTAGTCGCAATAATCACGATTGTCTCCGCTATTCGAGCAGTTAGATTGGGAACTTTCTACTGATGAGGCGAACAACTGACCTGTAGACAACGATAGGCTGTAAGGTCTTTAGTAGGAAAGAAGTAGTTTGCTTTCCAAAAGTGTTTTGATAGCCATGACCGGCTCCTCTACGAATAGAACCCTTTTCTCTTAGAGGACCGCAGGATGCGGAGTCCGGTCGGGCCAGCGGAATATGCGTGAATAACACGACGGGGCTGGAATCTAAAGCACACACTTGAGCATCTGTAATTGTCGCCAAGAACTACTACTCTACCTATAACGACAGACTTGACGAATTCCAGCGGGCCTTCGGGAACGGGGTCCCAACGATCATACGGGATGCCTTCAGCGGACCGTTGGTAGTCTTCATCTACCAAACCAGGAGCATCAAGAAACAAGAATTGATGACCCCGTATGGTTGCTTGGTGATTGAAAGGTCCAAATGTCATAAAGTAGTTCTGCCGGACCTTCTTAGACAGCGCGCGGGAAACGCCCATGCTGTAGGTGCAACCATCAGTCACTGGTGCGAAAGAGCTGACAGAATGAATTTACGCACCCGACGTCGTTATTCCCAGGCACATAATGAACTGCAATTGAGCTGTCGAGAGAGAACACAGACCGAAACTTGTCAAAATATTGTTTGTACCTGCAAGCGCGTTCGGTTAGATGAGAATGACAAGATTTAATGAAGAAGCTCACTCTTTCTCTGATCGAACATGCTTTCCACTAGCAAGCATGTCACCGAGGAATATAACTATGTCGGGCTTGAAATGGGCAGCTACGTTCCAGTTCTTCTTTAGGTTCAAGTCGAATATAAGTTGGCGAAGAGAGCCTAACCACGAGGTCTCTTCATAGAATATCGATGGGTGCCTAACCTGAGGATCAGATATTATCATGACATGGGTGGGTCTCTCCTTGGAACGCGCCTTGGAAACAAAATCAGTAGAATGGAATGGTTGAACTATGCTGAATACCGACCAGTGAAGAGTCAGGCCATCTGCAGGAGGCCAAACTCCAAAAGTAAACTCCAAAGTCGCCCCAGAAAATAACAATCGCCCAGAAAAGCCTCAAGCCATTGACGAGAACTGGGCGTGTCAAACGCAGGTGGGTCGAAGACCTGAGCTGTCTGCGTTCCTTGAGACCCATTAGCTATCCGAGACTTTCTACGCTGTCTCCTACCGCCAGCTGTACGGCGAGTATTGTGGGATAGCACCAATAAAGTGGACAAGGTACGCCGGAAAATCGTTCAGCTCGACAACGTGTCTTCGAGTTGTCAAAAGAAATACCGGCCATTTGATCCTGTTTGGCACTTCTTGTCTTCTCACCGGCTATCACCCTAATTATAGCAATCCTTAACGAACGTTATTGTTACCGTTCGGATTCTGTTCCTTTGTTCGACCAGGTTAGGACAATAATCGAAGGATATGCGCCTCCTGTTTCGATATGATATGAGATTCCTCGTATTTCCTTCCTGCTACTCATGACTGCCAAATTCTTCAATTTTATGCGCCGCAAGATAGAGGCCCAGCCCACAGCGTTGACTGCCGACGGTGATTTCTCTGATGTCGACTACCCCCGTGGCCCCATTTCTCCCGTTGACATGCGCTCTGTCCATGTCGCCAGCGAGGCGGACAGTAATGATGCTCTGGATCACTGGGAACCCGAACTTGCACAAGAATCGAATCGTAATTTCCTAGAGCCAGTCGTGTTTACATCCACCTCTATGAGGATACCGCCATTTCTAATGGAGACAGACCGATTGCCAACGGAGACCGCTCCATCGCCTCCGAGTTCTCATCCTTTGCCGACGTCAGACCAAGGCCAGGCCGCGCTCAAACCGCCACCATTAGAGTCAAGGCCGCTTTCGATTCGCGATCGGGTCCCCGTCTCGTCTAAGCGACAACTCCATTCCCAAGAATGCATACCACCAGTAACGTTCAATGACAGACGTTACACGTTCAAATACGAACTCGGTTCAGGACTGTACTCTCGCGTACTATATGCCAACAGAACGAAATCCCACGGAGATCCAAAACCCGTAGCGGTCAAGGTCTTCCATAAGAGCAGGCTCTCATCCGATGGACAAACAGTGCATAAACTAAAATCGGAACGCGTTGTCGATGAAAGAAACATCCTGGAACAAATCACTCGCGAGCGTCTACCTTTCCTGGGGAAAATATCTGCATCTTTTCAAGATGAAAATTTTGTTTATCTGGTCATGGTGAATAATTTGTCTACCTGCCATATTTGTTTATGCTTCAACTGACATCACCCAGCCATTATGTATGGAATCACTTCAAAACAGGCTGAATGATTTGTGTAAAAGAGACCTCCCAATGCAACGGGATCAGCTTCTACTATATGCCGCGGAGCTCGTATGTTTGTCTTCATCTTCTTCGTTTTCGTCTCTAACTCTCCCCTCGTAGCTGATTGCATTAGAGGGGCTGCATGGCCTAGGGTACTACCATTTGGACATAAAACCTGCGAACATCATGATATCCGGGACGGGTCATATACAGTTAGTCGACTTTGGCATTAGCATGCCTGCCAGCAACGCTCTTGGCCATATCTACTACGACGAAATCGTAGGCACCCAGGACTGGATGGCTCCTGAAATTATGACGACGCGGCCGTTCTCCGGGTCTGCTGCCGATATATGGTGTTATGGTCTCGTATTATTCTCTATGTTCCAGTGCCCTCACAACGTGCGTTGGTTGTATTATATTCTTGTAAGTTGACCTAACTCGTGGTTTACTAGATCATCTTCCATAACGACCCACGTCATCGGATAGACATATGCCAGAAAATAACACCGGCTGCAAGAGATCTAGTCTTCTCACGTGTAGGTTGCTCTTGATACTATAATGTGGGCGAAGCTGCTTAACTATTTCTTGAAGCTTCTTGTACAAACACCCAAAGACCGATACAGTCTTCAGCAAATAAAAACCCATAAATTTTTTGAGGACGTGTGAGTAACGATATTCCAACTGTCCTTGATTGGCAATTGAGACAGATCTTCAGAGATTTCACGCTCATCAAAGAGAAGAGAATATACCGTAGGTTCTACATTCTCACTGCATGCGCCCCTTCTGATTCTTAACTGTCAATGTAGCACTATACCGACCAAGGAAAGTGAGAAGGAGGGTCAACAGGCCTTTTGTACCAGTCCCAAACTTAACGATGTCGGTCGATCCACCGCTACTAGCAGCTGGTATACCTTATGCTGATAGATAATAATTGTACACTCCCAAGAATAGTTCGTTTTATGTAGAATCCATATTGTAATCATGATTGTAAAGATTCGTGGCACATCCCATTCAAACTAATCAACAGCCATTTACTCCCAATCGCTATCACCATCATCAGACGAATCAATAGCTTTCTTACCACTAGTCTTCGTTTCGCTTGCATTGCCCGATGATAGAAGATCATAGCTCTCTTCGCTGCTCTCTCTGGGACTCGTCGTTGCAGGTGTATGTGTCTGTGAAGGCGGTACAGAAGTGTTCGCCACAAGTAGTTGCCCTTTGGGGTGTATCGTACCCTCAGAGGACTGTAGGGCATCTGCTTTCGCAGCGCCACTTGGAGCCTCATCGTCGTCGTCATCTTCCCAGCTGAAATCATCTTCGTTGTCCATCGACCCTGGAGAATTAGAACTGGTAAAGAAGTCGATACCTATGGGATCTGAATGTCGCTTACTTCGAATCAAGGCCTGTCGTTTCTTTTCTTCGCGTGCAATTTGATGCGCACGGAAGAAGAACCTTGTCCAGAACGTTTCTCTTGTCATTTCTGACGGCACTGAACGATGGAGCGGCGTCAAGAGAAATGTGGATACTGGAATGAGTGTTGACTTGCCTAAAGTATCTTCATTAGCCTTTAACCCTGCACCGTCGACCGGATCTTGGAGAGCGGCAGTGATCTTGTCCTTCCATTCTTCGTTATCAATGCCACGCTCCTTGCTGCTGACATCGGAAGCAAGCCACTGAGCATACTCCTCCTTCGAACCTTGATCAACGTCTGGGTCGCGTCTGATAATTTCGGAGTCGTGCTTGAGTCTCTTGAGAAGAGCTTCGGCTCTGGTAGCAACGGCACGCTGACTAGTTGCCTTCCCCTTCCCCTTGTCGGCGCTGCTGCCGCTAGTTTCTGAAGGATCTGCTGGAAGCATCCACATATCTGACCCATCCCATATTAGACCGCTGCTATTCGACTCCTCTGGAGGAATGACTTTAACAGGCATCCCTTAGCACGTCACTGGCCTCCTTGATGGCCTCTTTGAGCAAGGCCTCGCTCTTGTGTACATACTCCTCCGCTTGAGACCGTGTGACGCCTTGAACTCGCTGGAACTCGTTGGAGAGAGTCGCCCGTAGCTGGACAAAGTCAATGTTCTCGGAGGCATGCTTCAATGATTCTGGGATATGGTCCTGTACTGTCGCAACGATGCTGGGAGGAAGAGCTGCCTGCATGCGAGAGAATAGATTCTGAGAGGAAGTGGACGACGATGCAGGCTGTTCACGATCTATCGGCGTAGAGGCTGACGGCGTCGTCTCTGATTCGCCTTCGGTTGGTGATTCAGTCTCGACTGTGCTTGGCTCGGTACTGGTAAACTTGTTCAGCTCCTTCTGCGCCTGGGTGACGACTTGTGAGAAATCTTTCTTCGCCGTCTCGATGGCAGTCTGACTCTGCCGGATGTGGTTCAAGTTGAGCAATGGTAGAGAACAGCGAGAGTACCTGTTTCCGAAATCCACCCCAGAAACGATTCAGCTGGCCGATGACCTGAGTGACTTCTTCATTGAGGCTCTGTTCGGGCTGCCTAGGTGGTGGCGTGCTGGTCCCTGCAGCAGAAATATCGTATGGGTCAAGGAAGTTCATTATGGTTGTGGTCAGGGTGTCATTTCACATTCGTTACGATAATATCATGTGACGTAAGGGAGAATACAGGGTATAATTATTCCAAAAGTTGTATCTAACTTTCAAGCTCAAGCAGCAACAGCAACACGTTGCGGCTCAACCATTGTTCCAAGCCGAGCAGGCTTTATATCATGACCGAAGGCTGTCTCCTGAAATTGCATCTTGTGCGCGCGGCACTCGGTAACGAAGTCGGTAAACATCTGATAGAATGTCAGGATAGACGTTGTGTCTGAGAGGAAAGAAGTACCTCGATTGTATCCAAAGGTCCCCCAGCACTTTCGGGATGGAACTGTACGCCCCACACCTTTTTACCGGATTCCTTGGTTGACTTGATCCCTTCGACTGAAGAATCATTGCAGTTGATGAAGAATGGCTCCCAGCCCTGAGGGAAAGGATCCTGTAGCTTGAGAGCGTACTGATGATTTTGGCTGTTGAGGGGAGTTAGCAAGGATTAGTAATGATCGTGACAACGAAGCGAACCTAGTAACATAAACTCTCCCTGCCTTGATAGATCCCGCTGAGGCCAAGGCAAGCACAGGTTGATTGTGCCCACGATTGCCAAATGTCATCCTGTAAGCATCCAAACCAGCTGCCATCCCGATGACTTGGTGACCCATACAGATACCGAAAACTGGTTTATCCCATTCCTGAAGCGTCTTTCGAAGCTTCAACGCCTGCTTCCATACAATGTGCAGGATCACCTGGTCCATTTGTCAAAAATAATCCGTCGTACTGATCCCGGACAGCGTTGAAATCGTAGTTCCAAGGAAGAACAGTGACGGCAGCATCACGGCGTACCAATGAACGCAAGATGTTGGCCTTGGCGCCAAAATCTAGGACTGCAATTTTGATAGAGCCGGTGGGGTTGAGGACATAGGGAGTTTTCGTCGAGATCTGGTCGACCAGATTCTCGGCCGTCGGGTCCCAGTATTCTTCAGCGGTTGGAGGGGGGAGGGATACGTCGGGCCCAACGGCAAGTCTGCCCAAGGTTGTGCCTTGGTCACGAAGCAGCCGCGTAATGGCACGGGTGTCGATACCGGTGATGCCGGGAACGTCGTAACGTTTGCACCACGACGCAAGGGATTCCACGGCAGAGTGGTGAGAAAATTGTTCAGCAACATCTCCGACTACAATAGCGGAGCATTGTATTCCCTTGGACTCGAGCACCACACCAACATCTCGAGAGTCAGACGGCGCAGTGTTATCGGGAACACCATAGTTTCCGATGAGGGGGGTGGTAAAGACGAGTATCTGTCCTCGATAGGAGGGGTCTGTCATGGACTCAGTGTCTAAAGAAATGCATAGTGAATAACCATCCGAACCAAATGAGATGAAAAAACACACAAGAAGTAATGGAGGTGGAGAAGACAGTCTCCCCAAAAACACTCCTAGGAGCGCCAAAAGAACGTCCATGGAATGATTGTCCTGTTTTAAGATGAATTGACGCGGGTATTGTCGATATAGGCCCGACTTGAGTAGCAAAACCTCGATGAAGTCGAGGGAGATGGAGAATGTATCGAGACAGCATGACGGCGGATGTTTCAATGCGCCAAAAGAGAAAATACGAGGTCGCTCAAATAACTGAAAAGCAAGTTAGGATATGAAAACAAGAACTGAATCGGCCTTACTCGTCGCGCGTGTTCTGCGTGAAGAGCATCAACTGGAGAGAGATGCAATACTCAGTGGTAGTCTATGTGTAACCAACTTCTGGACGTGAGACGAAATTTTTATGATGCGGCTGCTGACAAAGCTGCCCCATGTGATTGGAAGTGACTCGTTTATAGCGTCAGAAGAATTCATGTGTTTTATTATGCGATGTCCTTTATGTAACAAGTAGAGATATACATGCTCCGCTGAAGTCAAGAAACATATTACTTTGCTCCCGCTCGACGCGATTGAGGGATATGAGACGTCTTTTCGTCACCACTGTCATTATCTTCATCCGAAGAATCAGATTCATCCTCTGGCCCGTTGCCGTACAAGTCCTGCAACGTTGGACGAGAAAAGTCCGCTTTTTGCCATCCCGGTGTTTGGCTCGAAAAGAAACTCCTCTGGCTTCCGATGTCTGTCAGTCTACGAAAAGAGCTGGCAGTTACATCTGGTCCTGATTTTACGGTTGCCTCAACCTCATCCTCGTCGTCTGAATCATTGGCGTCGACTTGATCGTCGGTACCAGCTTGGTACTGAGAGTAGGGAAATGGACGTTGACTCTCCGAGGGAAGGAACAGAGGATCATCAGTTGGTTGGGAGTCATGTAAGTCTGATGAGTCAGCCGTTTGTCGCTTTGTTACCTGCGGAGCTAGACGACGATCATTGGGAGTACTCGATGTGAGTTCATCCTGATTCATTGAAACAAGTTCGTCATAATTCAAAGACGAATCGGCATCAGTATTGGGGGAAGAGGTTTTGAGTATCTCCCACGTGTCCAAGGACTGCCGGCGCGGCTGAGGGGAAACAGGCTTTGGGGCATTGTCGAGATCAATAGGCTTCAGCAAGGCTGGAGGATGCGTGGAAGGCAACTGAGATACGATTTTGGGATCAACTTCCTCTGAAACACCGCCCAATTTCCCTTTTTGTGAGAGCATTAGTGGTCGCAGACGGGACTGCTGAGGAGAAAGTGATGCGCTCTTCCCTTTCATCCTCTTGAGCAAACCATTGGGGCGAGAAGGCGACCCTACACGGGCTTGAAGTGTCTGTTGTGGCTCATCAAAAGATTCTATGGGTGAATCAGGCTCGGGCTCAGTCGGGGGCTTGCGAGGCGTATGAGATTCTTCTCCAGGTGTATCGGGTACAGGAGCACCATCTACGGGATGATCACCATCTCCCACATGCTGTTTAGAGTCTTTCGAGGTGATATCTTTCAAATCAGTGGCGGAAGACCTCATGGATGGGGAAGTGCTTGAACGTTCCTTTGAGGTAGAAGATGCTAACAAAGGAACAGAGGCGGGCCGGTCTGTTACGGGAACTGCGTCGGGGACGTCCTCATCCTCGATTTCATCTTCCGATGAGGATGCATCTGCGGCAGCAAAGCTACGATACTTCGGCTGCATTTCTTCCTCTTCTTCGAGTTCTCCGACGTCGTCGTCTTCATCTCCACTCGCCGCGACGACTGAAAGAATTTGGCTAACATCCAGGCGGCCACGTTTGGGGCCTCTGATCAAAGCCGTGAGCTCTTCGTCATCTTCAGAAATTATGGCGTTCAAGGGAACACCTCTGCTGGAGCTGCCCTCGTCAGGGGAAGCTACCACTTTTACGATCACTGTTCTTCGGCCCAGGTGCGGACTTTCTCTTTCCCACAGATGCGGGGCTGGTAACAGGACCGAAAACATCGATCTCAGCGGGGGACGCTGTCGATGAGCTATGTCCCTCTAGAAGGGCACGCGAAGGAGCGCCAGAATGACCATTGACATGAGGCGTTTTTGTCAACTGGCGACTCTGCTTTCCCTGTTTGGATGTCAAAGAAGATGAGGTTTGGGGTTCTGGGGCAGGGACTGTGATCGTGGATGGCCCGCCCACAATAATGGGTGATGGTGCCTTCGAAGCAGTTTCTGAGAGGCCGACATCAGTAGCTACTGCATCATCAACTGTAGCTTGTTTTCTTCGCAACGAATTTTGGGCAATGACAGCTCTGATCGTGGCTTGGGCGGCCTCTAACTCCTCAGTTGTTGAAGCCTTCTTCGAAGTCTCTGTTGTGGCTAGAATCAAGATGTGCGCGTGAAAACCGCCGAGAAACATTACCATCAGGCTGTTTCGTCTTTTTTGTTCTGATACGATTACCTGGTCGACGCTCTTAGCCACATACTCCGATAGCTAATGAAAACTTATATACGCACTATTCGTTGAATCTCCGTCGGCTTTAGTTATTTCTGTAGAGCGCTTCTTAGCATTCTTACTTGAAAGGGCTGCTTGATTGGATACTTCGTGATCTAATTCTTGACCTAAATTCGTGTTTCAGTGACGACGCATAATGTCAAAAGTTAGATACTTACCTGAACGAAAAAATTTGTCATAGGCATTTGCTACGGTTTCTTCGGATTCGCCTTCATTAGAAAGGAGATTTTTCTGCACCTTCTTCTTCTTTTCCTTCTTTCCGGCGGCGGAGAGGGATTCTGAAATAAGGACCTCTGGCGCGAGACCGCCATTCTTTTTATTTGGAACACGCGATGGCTTTCCTGCGGAGGATTTAGATGTCTCCGGATTGTCCGGGTCGGCTGACGGAGATACACTGTGAAGAGACTCTGCCTCCATTGCTTTTTTCTTATCTGTCTTCTTCTTCTTGGAAACTTGTGCATCCGACGCTTCAGGAGGCCTGTCCTTTTCAGCCTCTTCCGTCCGATCCGGTATTGTATCATTAACTGATTTTTTCCCGCCCTTCTTCTTGGGTTTTGCAGATTTGGTACTGGGGTGGAGGTCACCAGAAGTAGCGACATAGCTCTCTTTGTTTAACTGCCCGGATAAATTTTGGGTGGCGTCCACTATGGTCGGGCCCTTAGAGGTGGAATCCCCGACTTTCTTCTTTTTTTTCGGGGCTGATACAGAAGCCGAGTCCTTGGGAGGGCCGAGTACGTCTGTACCGTTGATCGAATCTGAAGGGCCTGCTGGTATAGGACTTCTTTTTAGTTTTTTCCGTTTCGGACTAGCTGGAACATCAGCGGCGGGTGCTGGGTCGAGCGCAATATTGCTTTCTGGGTTGGCCTTCAAATTCGAGTTCTCTTCGTCGACCGCACTGCGTTTTCGCTTGCCTCGTTCTTCAAGCGTGGAGCCCGTATGTTCAACTTGGCGGATTTTCTTGCTTGTGGAACCTGTTTTTGAGATGGATGCTCTTCGTTTCCGAGAATGAGCAGAGGAGGTATCGTCAGAAGAGGAATTGATAGGTGGGAACTGTGCAGTCGTCTTGGTGGATTCATCATTGCGTGTCTGCGGAGAGTTAGTTGGAGGCAGAAATAACGAGCTGTGATCTCTTCACCTCATCAGTCGCGTCTCCTACTGTTACACGGACAACCAAGGATGCCATGGACTTCGCTAGCAGCTGAAATGCATTGAAATCGTCATCTGTCGCGAGCAGAATTAAAGTACTAACTTCAGCTTCGAACAGAATGCTCACCGTCTTCTAAGGCTATACAATATTCTCCTTGTAGGTGGTCTAGGTGAATAGGCGAGGCCAAAGATAGACCCAGCTTTTTGCGAACAGCATCTTTCATGTCCTGAAGTGAATTCTCTGCAACAACGCGAGAAGTATGTTAAGTTGATTGCTGAATATGGGGAAGCAAGCGCGAGAAGTCAGCTTACCAACAAAGATACGGTTGAATGTCCTAGTGGGTGAATGAAAAGTAATGACAGAGCGTAGCTCGTTTCCTCCGTTCGGTGCCATGATGCACGAAGCAGTGAAAAGTCCGAAAGAATTGAATTGTGGAAGAGTCGCGTCGCCTCGCGTGTGCCCGGACCTCAGGCAAGCAACAACAAATAACGCCCTTTCAATTACCACCATGGCCGGGGCACATCGTACGTGGAATTTCTGTTCACGAATGCATTGTTCTGAAGCTCGTTTATCTCAGCGTCTGGATTCAATCCCCACCTTCCGGGCTTCAAGTATAATTTTCTTGCCAAAGCACTAGGAGCAACTATGTGGTTCTTCATTTTCTATCGCGCGAGGTGCGTATTCAACGTCCCCGTATATTTGACTGCGCTGTTAATGACTTTACAGGAAGGATGGGAGTGCAAAACTACTGGTGGGAAATGAATCTGTATTCTTTGTTCTTGGATTGAATATTGTCAGGGCAATCATCCATTCCTTGAGCATGGTGACCATGGAGCGCATGGCGAGCATCACTGACGCCACAGAATTGTGGAGAATGGAGTCCTGGCCTCATGTATGGGCGAAGTACGGAAAGAAATATCACTACCAATGTCGCTGGAAGTCTATTGAGCGACGTAGAATGAATGAATTACTGTCCAAGGCAGCTGAGAGATTACTAAGAATAAGAGCTCTGAGAGCTGGCATGTCAGATGCAATATTGGCTCACGTCAGACAAGCACCCACTCCTGTCTCCCACCACCATCATCGTATGAGACTCATTGTCAGAAACCGGCTCGCAGTGAGTACTCTACGAGCCCTCTGGATAATCATCATCCTATGGTTCGAGCTCGGCACTTTTTACTATGCTGCTGGCCGATGCGCATGGCCTGATGTTGATTTCGTCGTCAGTACACCCTTTCGTTCTCTGCTTCACCAACTGAAATTTTTGTCCAGGGTTCGAAGGATTCTACCAAACATGTTCTAATCGTTGCCGACCCACAAATTCTGGACCACCGTTCTTACCCCGGTCGTTCCGCGTTCTTGACGTTTCTCTCAAGGCTGTTTACGGATTTGAATCTGCGAAAAAGTTGGCGGGCGGCTGCATCAAAGAAACCTGATGCTGTGGTGTTTCTGGGCGATATGATGGATGGGGGGCGGTTTGAGATGTCGGATTCTGAGTAAGCGTTTTTCATTTCCTGTACAGCGAGGACCATTTACCCCCAGTGTTCCTTAGATATGAGGATTATTTCCGCAGATTTATGCATATTTTTGACATGAAAGATGACTTACCAGCTTATTTCATTCCGGGAAACCACGACACAGGGTAGGCTAAGGAATATGGCATATACCATTGTCCATTCTCATTCTGTATTTTAGGTTAGGCATTTCAGCGACATTTTCCCATGATGCTCGTTCTCGATACATCTCCCACTTTGGCCCACTGAATAGCCAACTTTCTATCGCCAATCACACGTTAGTGTTGCTCGATGCACCAACGCTCGTGGAAGAAGATTATCGGAGGAATGGACGCGGCCAGTCCTTTGACGACTGGAAAGCTGCCCCTGATGGTCCTATCCAATTCGCAAAGTCTTTTGCTGCCGGTAAGTTGTCTGCCTGCCTCGATAGGCCTAGTCTCATGCTGCTACAGGCCAGCACACGCAACCTGTCATTCTATTTAGTCACATTCCTATGTCAAGACCTGACGGCTCTAACTGTGGTCCCCTTCGGGAAAGGGGTACCATTCGCCGTGGAGTTGGACTTGGATATCAGAACACGCTCGGAAAACAGACGAGCACCTTTCTCTTGGACAGCTTTCGCCCAACGCTGATCTTCAGGTTAGACATTTCTACTTAATATATATAACAAATTTTCCATTAACAGTCCCTCTGTAGCGGCGACGATCACGACTATTGCGAGTACCATCACGAGTTTCGGCTAGATGGTCAGTTGCGGCATGTAAAGGAGATCACCGTAAAGTCTTTTTCTATGGCGATGGGTGTACGAAGACCTGGTTTCCAGCTACTATCCCTCGTACCTCCTAGCGAGGTCTCGAAAGCCAGCCACGCCGACAAGCCCTGCTTGTTACCTGACCAAATTGGCATTTATCTTAACATCTACGTTCCTTTGATCATACTTTCGCTTCTTTCGCTACTGTTGGTGAACCTTTCCCGCACACGACGCCTACCGTCATGGATGGCATCCAAGCCTTCCATGACGACTAATCAAAATTTCCGTGTCGGCAAGGCGTCATCGCCGTTCTTCAAAACGCTTCGGTCGAGATTTGATGTCGACAAAGACAAAGACTCTGCGTATCAAAGTGATCGGCACAACCCGTCCTTACCGTTACCAGCTTCGTCCAATCCTGGACGGCGACGTCACATAAAATGGAAATACGCGTGTTGCTCGTTTGCGGCACCTCTACGTGTCGGAGCTAGTAAACAAAGAGGTTTTATCGGCGGCTTCTTACGAGACATCAGGGATGTGGCTATGTTTCCGCTCTCCATATTCGTGATCATCGCTTGGATATTCTCTTAAGCGACGAGTGCCAAGTACTGGGCTTTCAGAGGAATGTAACGGACCATTGCATGTATATACGCCCTTTCAATCTTACGCATACGTGTTGCTGACACTCAGCCTTACAGTATCGCCGTCGTCGACCAAACCTGGCACTGATACGTTCTAAAATACTTGTGACACGTGAATGCGACCTTCGCTACGAGTTCAAGTCTCGAGATCATGATGTTACCATATGCCCCCACGCCATTCCGAGATCAAAGGTCGTCGTTGATAAAAGGGCTTCTCCATACTGAACTTCGCACGCTGTGACTGACTATGAGCCAAAACCTGCCCACCTATACAGCCTTCGCGACCTGCTCCGTCATACTCTGCTTCACCATTGCCTAACGAAGAGACCTTGGAATCTACACCGCGTACGCCGGGCCAGCCGCCTGACCTTGGGAGCATTGTGAGAAGATGGAATTCACTTACGCTCATCTTGAAGGATCAAGACCTATCAGAACGACAGCCTTCATACGGGAAGAATTCAATAATCAATGGAGAGCTGGGAGTTTCAGGGGAAAAGATGTTCAGTGTATCGGTCAAGGTACAAATGATACTTGTGTGTTCCAATGTTTTATTGACGTGTCGATCCAGCTGGAGGGTCGCTTAACGCTCTCTATTGCAGACGCAGGATCCAGTATTATCACGCTCATCTCCGAAAAGTATATCCTGTGGAAACGAAATGAAAGCTCTTCACCTCGTTGCCCCAATGTAATTCCATTTTCAATAGTTTTCCCTGCGACGTTCGAAGACAACAATCGAACGCGCAAATTGCCTCCGTCCTATGAGGCACTTTTCTATGGCACCTCCGCGCTATGTGTCAAATGCATGTACACGTTGAACATAACTATCATCAAGAAACGTCCGCGATTCTCGCTTTGGAAACCTAACAAGACGTGAGTAAGATTTTGCCTGTATTAGAAAATCTACCGACATTAGAACTGGTTAAGATATCGGGTCCAGGTCAACTATCGACCTCGTGCACGGCCTAATCGACCAGTTGTCCGGTCTCCGTCAATCTTTTCCGTGCTCAAGAATGTTCCTGAAGAATGGCATCAAGTTATAACGGCGATGCGATTCCGACCATCGTCTGGCCTGGATCCGATACAATGTCACGTAAGCTACCGAAAGTTCTGTCGGGATACCGTCTATTAATGCATACTTGCAGTTTTTGATACCTTCTGTGCAAACATTCGGTCTCTCAGACACCATTCCCATCCACATACAGCTTATTGGGACACTAAAATCTCTCCGTCATTTTTTGCCTCCTAGCCAACTTGTCGGCTACGGACCCTCAGAAAATAAACGATGGAGTAGATCAAAGACTGCGCGAGGGCCAATAGTCCGTGTGTCGTTGATTCGGCAAACATCAGTCACCGTTAGTGGAAAAACGTCGTGGCGGAATCTCAATCTGGGAGACGGGAAAGTGTGGGCGAAACCTCCACTGGCGTCTCCAACTGGATATGTTCTAGACGGAGACCCCGATAGAGAAGTAACTGCAGACTGGGAGGGAGAAGTGCGATGCCGATCAGATGTTAAAACGTCGGGCTTTAATATCGGAAGTGTAACTGTACAGGTTCGTATGCCATTTCCCCTTGGCTCCCCTTAACCTTGAAATTTTACAAGTGTGCCTCTAGGACTATATTCTTTTCATCTTAACACCGCCAGACGAGCGCGGATGCCCCCTGCAACCACTCCAACATACACATCCAATCAAGCTGGTGACAGACACCTGGATGGAAGCAGGTACTCATCCGCAGGACATTTGAACTAGGGGTCTCGGGGTCAAAGGGGAGCACGTATGCTGTACATACAATATTAGTAGGAATGTTTGTTCCGACAGAAGGCCGTTATCAGATGCCCCTCTGTAACACCTGTATACAAGCTGTGCAGTACACATGTCAAGGAGAATTCTAGGATACGATTCAGGTAATAGGCCCGATAGGAAACATAGGGAACAGGAGGATATATAGCGATTGCGGATCGGGCACGTTTGTGTGCAACGACGAATCAGTTTCCACGTCGACGAAGTTCCGGAGAAACGTTGCGCTTTTAAGCGACAAACATCCACCACGCCCTCACTCTTAACTGCACTTGCATCTCCTGGCTACAGACGGTCTTGGTGTGAGCCCATAGAGGAAGACTTAGTGCCAGAGCGGGAATACGACCTCGATCTACAAAAGCGTCATCACAGGCCTCGTGCTCCGCTGACAAGAACCACGTCTGCTCCTCAACTTATATCCACCACCACCACTGTCCCCATACAAATAAACAGCCTCAGGTCCGCCTTTTCTTCCTCACCTTTTCCCTTCTTCCTCATTTCTGCTCTAGCCAAATGGCGAACCTCATGCCCAGAAGCGACTCCTTCAATGCCCGTGTTCGCGGCACCAGTCACATCGATTTCAAGACTGCCACGACCGGCGTCGCTGCAAAGGCGATGCGCAACGAAATCAGCCATCTCGTTGCCACCGTTGACGACCCAGCGACGAAAAAGGTACGTATCGTTGCATCTGTCGGTGTCGTCGTTGCTCATCTCCACCTCATAGGCTTTCGACACGGAGATGCAATCCTTTTTCTTCCTCTTTACACGATATCTCGCTGAGCGGGCAAAGAGCCAAGATCTGTATGTCGTGTTCCCCTGTCTTTTGGCATCATCAGCTCACCCGTCTCCAGTCAATGGGATCGCATCAAATCTCCAGCCGAGGACCAAATTGTTCCGTACAATAACCTTCCTGCGCCCAAGGACACCAAGAACCTCAACAAGCTCGCCGTACTCAAGGTCAATGGCGGTCTTGGTACTTCCATGGGTATGCAGAAAATGCCGTCTCCGGTTCTCGCCGTTGCTGACGTGGTCATCTAGGTATGACTGGTGCCAAAAGTGCGCTCGAAGTCAAGAACGACATGACTTTCCTCGACCTCACCGTTCGTCAAATTGAGCACCTTAACACCACTAGTCGTGTCGATGTTCCTCTCATTCTCATGACGTCATTCAACACCCATGAGGACACTCTTCGCATCATTAAGAAGTATGCCAACCAGCAGCTTCGCATTACGACCTTCAACCAGTCAAGATATCCCCGCATTCTCAAGGAGACCCTTCTTCCCTGCCCTAAGCGCGCGGATGATGACAAGAAGAACTGGTACCCTCCTGGTCACGGTGACTTGTACAACGCTCTGCTCCACTCTGGGGTCCTCGACCAATTACTGGCGGAGGGTAAGGAATACCTCTTCGTGTCCAACTCGGACAACTTGGGTGCCGTGTAAGTCTTGTTTCCGCTACTTTTGAGTTATAGCTTACATGTATGCGCATATATAGCGTCGACGAACACATCTTGCAACATATGATTGATACACAGGCCGAGTTTTTGATGGAGGTCACGGATAAGACCAAGGCCGATGTCAAGGTTAGTTCTCTTACACACGCCAATATTTTGAGACTCATCCAAGGGAAAAAATAGGGTGGAACCCTGATTGACTACGAAGGGTCCATGAGACTCCTTGAAATTGCTCAGGTTCCTTCAGAGCATGTTGAAGACTTCAAGTCCGGTAGGTTGTTACTGGAACTGATATTTTCTAATCTAACACTATTGTATAGTCCGGAAATTCAAGATTTTCAACACCAACAACTTGTGGATCAACCTCAAGGGTATGCGTCTTTGATTCATTGGGAAACATGTTAAACCAATCATACCTGCAGCCCTGAAGCGTGTCATGGAGACCGAGGGAATGGAACTTGAAATCATCATCAACCCCAAGATGACTGACGATGGCCAAGCAGTCGTTCAAGTAATTTACTGTTCCTTTCTTCTGGTTACGTGTCTGACGGCATTGTATCAGCTTGAGACGGCCGCAGGTGCAGCCATCAAGCACTTCAAGAATGCTCACGGTATCAATGTTCCTCGAAAGCGCTTTTTGCCTGTGAAGAGTTGCTCCGACCTTCTCCTCATTAAGAGTGACATCTACTCCTTGGAGCACGGTCAGCTCGTTATCAACGAGCAACGGATGTTCGAGACGACTCCTGTTATCAAACTGGGAGATCACTTCAAGAAGGTTGGTTTTACATATCGCCACTCGAACCCAATCGCAGCTCATTCAGCATCAACAAAATAGATCCAGCAATTCCAGAAGCGATTCAAAAAGATTCCCAAGATCATCGAGTTGGATCATTTGACTGTCACTGGTGATGTGTACTTCGGACGAAACGTCACTCTTCGTGGAACTGTGATTGGTGAGTAGATAATGTGTACTTAGTGATTCGAACTCAACGTCGTCCATCTTCCAGTTGTTGCCAACGAGGGTCAGCGGATTGATATTCCTGATGGCTGTATCCTCGAAAATAGTAAGCCCATGCCAGGCATCATTTTATTTGATTTGCTAACATGTACGTCCAGGGCTCCTCTCGGGTAACTTGAACATGATTGTAAGTTTCATCCTTCTGTCATGCATCAAGCGTCGCTCACCTGTCCATTCGATCCTCAGGAGCTATAATTTCTTGCAATGGTTTGCGTATACCCCAGACGGAAGATTAAAAGATTACTACTTTAATGAACTCCATAGATACAGCGAGAAGAAAGCGGACACTTACAAGATACCACGGCTTTTAGCTTTAGTTTTTACATTCCTTACATTTCGTCCTTTTTTCTGGGGTTTATCGCCGCCACTATCATTCATTGGTCAGGTCGAGGGGAAGCAGGATTCACTCTTTAGTAGTAGATACGACAGAATTAACGACTTTTCCCCCCTTTAACTGGTCCACCCCATTAATATACAGGCCAAATAGGTGTCTGTTAAGGCCTTTTCAAATTCCCACTCAGCCACCTGCATTGATGTACAGGCTTGCGAAACCTGTAGTGTATGGGAGGTTCAACCTTTCAACAAGTCCTGGATTTTGAGGCAAAGATGTGTGACAGACGTTATCGCATTCTTACAAATCAGCTAGCCAGTACGTTTGCGTGAAGGAGCGTATTGTATTGTGATATAGGCAAGCAAATAAATTTCATACAGTAGGACATGGCATACGGTGCATGAGATAGTCACAACACATCCCTCCCTCACAGATGCTAGGATAAAAGACCAAAGAATAACCTAAGCAGCATGCGCGTGCTTTTGCTTGCCTGTCCTGATCTTCCTGAGGTAAAACTGATTACAAACAGTGAGTACGCGTGTGAGCAGAGAAAAAGAGAACTACCTCGAGTTCCCTGCCCTCCAGAATGTAGCCATCGGCACGGCCAGATTGTCCTGGTCGGCTAGAGATAGCAGCATACAGACGACCAGCTGCGAATTGAGACTCCAGAAGAGGATCAACCTTCGCATCTAGGGCAAAATGAGGACAGTTATATAGGAAATATGCGCGAGTGACTTGCCTTTCTTCCTCTCTTCCAATACACGCTTGACGTGGTTTGACAATTTTTTGGGCTCCGCATCCTCTGCGGCAGGCTGAGATTTGCCCTTCTTGGTCACAGGCTGAGCATACTATAGGACTAAGATGTGAGGGGTAGAACTACTAGTACAGCTTAACACGTACGTGGGCCTCGTACCACTGGCGGAAGGGCGTAGCATCGACCTGGATAATGGCACTCTTAACGAGGGTATTCGTTCGCACAAGTTCATTATTCGAGGCATTGTACGTCTGCCCAATGTCAGAGAAAAACGGTAACCAATTATTCAAACACATACAACACCAATGATCCTAGTCTTCCGTGTAACCTGCTCAGAAGCCCAAGCAAAGTTGCCACTATCAAGGCGAAGGGCACGGTACTTGAGGTTTCCACCACGGACACGGACGGTATGGATGCGCTTGGCTCCAAGCTTGGTGTTAGCGGGCTGACGACCGAGCTCGAACTTTCTCTTTTTGCGGTAGTGGGCACGCTGGGCTCCCGAAGCGGAACGCTTGTGTCTTGATGAGCGCGAGATACCTAGGATACATATCAGAAAAACCGTAGGCAAAGAAGCTAAGCAACGGGAAAATGGACGCACCCATGTCTTGAGGTCGGAAGGATGGCGAGTTTCTGTGGATTCTTTGGGTACACTCAGAATAAGGTTTACTTTTTTGGAACTCCGATGGAAATATCCGTCGCACGTGAACACTATCACGTGCTCTTTCAAGATTAGATTCTAATTTTAATGTTCCTACTATGCGACGCGGCGGCTCTAGGGTGCGTCAAGTTTGTGAAACGAGGACATGCATAGTGCACACCTGCTTCCTGGCAATCAACAAATGCGACGTCCTTGCGGTATAGGCGTGTCCTCATGCGATAATCCTGCTATAAATGTCTGCCAGGCTATAGGTACCCTCTTTCCCTTCGTGCATTCTCAGCAGCTGTTTACTATGTCACCCTTCTTCAAGTATTCCCCTCGCCGCTTTCGCAGGCGCAATTATAATACCAATGCGCCTTCTGGACCGAAGACTCTGACAATGTCAGGAGAGGTTCAAAGGCTCGTAGATACTATCCCGGACCCTTACAGAAAGAAGGTTTGTCAACGTCATATCCTCATGAACAGAACTCTAACGAGTATTTGCGCATAGGAGTTTGGCTCTGAAATGAATTCATTTCTTCACCTCTTCTCGAGATATCAGCAAGAACGTAACAAGTGTCCAGAATTGTTAGTCACCTATATTTCATAGTTAATGCAATCTTCGTCGACGCGAGTGCTTTAGGAATTGGAACCTCATCAAAGTTCCCGATGTCGTCCAGTTGGACGACCTTGAACTCGCTGTCAATTCGGCTGATTTGAATCAGCTTGCCATTTTGAAAGTCAATGGCGGTTTAGGTACATCTATGGGTAAGCATTTTTCAAGAGTGTTCACATTGGACTTGTTTTGATATTGCATTGTACAGGCATGACGGGAGCAAAGAGCGCGTTAACCGTCAAGGATGACTTGACATTCCTCGACTTGACGATTATGCAAGTCAGGCACCTGAACGAAATACATCGTGCTGACGTTCCACTGCTTCTGATGACATCTTTCAATACCGAAGACGATACCTTGCGAATTGTCAGGAACTACGCCAATCAGAACGTTCGCATTACGACATTCAACCAGTCCAGATATCCCCGGATCGTTCAGGACACTCTCCTGCCCTCTCCCAGGCGCGCGGACGACGACAGGAAAAACTGGTACCCCCCAGGTCACGGAGATCTATACAATGCTCTACTTCACTCTGGCGTACTAGATCAACTTCTGGAGGACGGGAAAGAGTACCTTTTTGTATCCAACTCTGACAACTTAGGCGCAACGTATGTCGGCTCCTCTTGCAATCTGAATATACGTTGTTTATTCACCGTTATCTAGGGTCGACACACGAATCATACAGTATATGATCGATAAGAAAATCGAGTTTCTCATGGAGGTGACGGACAAGACAAAGGCCGATATACAGGTATGTTATCTTCGAGCTATCAAGTATTCTGTCAGTCTGACTTTCCAAGGGTGGTACTCTGGTAGATATCAATGGATCCCTCTGCCTACTTGAATTAGGCCAGGTACCACCTCAGCATATAGAGGATTTCCAATCCGGTACGAAGTATCATTCTTACCATCTTCACTCTATTTACCTCTCTACAGTGCGTAAGTTTGGCATCCTCAACACGAACAATCTGTGGATAAATCTTCGGGGTATGTCACTGATGTTTATGAAGGCTGATAACTATTTAATTCCCTACTCTAGCTTTGAAGAGGATTATGGACAAGGATGGCATGGACTTGGACATCATTGTTACCCCGAAGGCTACTAGTGATGGTCAGTCCGTAATTCAGGTATGTTAGCACTACTCTACGGATCCAACAGTCTTGCTCACATTTGTGTTGGTAGCTCGAAACTGCTGCAGGAGCTGCAATCAAGTATTTCGAGAATGCACAAGCAGTCAAAGTTCCTAGAAGTCGTTTCTTGCCTGTTAAGAATTGTTCCGATCTCCTTCTCATCAAAAGCGAGATCTACAATATTCAGAATGGTCAAATAGTGCTGGACTCGAATAGAATGTTTAATACGACTCCCGTTATCAAGCTAGGCGACCATTTTAAGAACGTCAGTCGTTGATTGCATCATTATCTATTCTTCCACCGTGCTGACACATCCATAGATCCACGAGTTCCAGAGACGGTTCAAACAAATTCCCAGTATCGTCGACCTAGATCATTTGACAGTTGCAGGAGATGTCTATTTTGGTCGAAGCGTCACACTTCGGGGAACTGTCATCGGTTGGTTCTCTGTTCATCGCTAACCAAGGACACAAGACGCTGATCGTAACTCATAGTCATTGCAAAAGATGGTCAGAGGATTGACATTCCTGATGGGACCGTACTTGAGAACAGTGAGTACCATTACTTGAGGCGTATTCGGACACAGATACTGATGCACTGTTTATAAGGGCTAGTGTCAGGCAATTTACTGAGTATCGTGAGTACCGAACCGATAAGCGTTCTTGTCATTAGAAGTTAATGGCTATTGCAGGAGCTTTGAAGTTTGGCATGCGTAGCGGCGCCCCTCTAAGGCAAACGTCTTTCTCTCGAATATGTCGTTCTGGGATGTTCCGTTGTTTCCATTTTATGCTGTTTTAATTATGTGCAGAAGTCGACCGAAATTAAGTGTTACCGCCGGTCGGGCATACATTGCTATGCCCGGTTTGACCTTCAGAGTTACAAGAAGTTCAGATGATAGGACAGTCATCAACATTGAATCATCCGACTTTACAGGACAAGCTCCATTATGATTGTAGTCGCGAACAGGTATTGCACCAATGGTGCAGTATCTTTGGGTTTCGATCAGGTTACTTCGATCCCCTTTTGCTTTTTTTTTTTCCCGTCATGATATCAGAGAATACTAGAGTGCTAAGGCGCCCTCAACATCGTCGAATCATTGCTAGATGGTTATAGTATCCATGGTATCACCCTTTGAACCAGGAAGCCATTGATGCTTCTTATCCCAAAAGATGCTTTCCTTAGGCTGTCCGGCCAATCTTAAACCCCTTTCACATGTTGATGACATCTCAGCGCGAGCCATAGAGAAGTCTCCGTATCAAGGCCTCAGTGTCATCAAAAGAGCGTACCTCGAGCGAGTACCGCCGTATTCATCCCAACATAGAATATGTCTTCGATGCCCGTTCGTACTCTACACTTCATTCCCTGGTGACAGCGACCTGTATGATGTTGTAACCGGTCCCTTACAATGTCGGTACGCCTTAGTAAAAGCTGTCCTTATCCCGGCCGCCGAATATACTGTCAATATACTCCCGCCGACTCGTTCTCGGGGTCTTGAGTACTCACGGTTGTTGTGTCGTCCCCTTGATTCACAGCGACGTAATGCATAGGGCCAATCAAAATGAGCGCTGCCGCAGTGACATTTTGAAGACCAGTGCCACGTCCTCGTTTGGGGAGAGGAATATTGGAGGAAGCGCCGTTAAGTATTGATGGGGATCATCAATCGACAAAGAGATGTGACGTTGGTTGCGCTCTCCTGCCTAATTGCCCGAGAATCATCAACTGAGTACTTGCATATCACCCAGCTACGTCGGCGAGTTCACGATCATGTGACCCTTGTTGAACAAAAGTCTGGAACTAGTCTGGACCGTCGGTCCCTCATAGACCTTTGCTGTTTTACGACACGCCCCACGCCTGTTTCTCTATATCTTCAGTACCATGATGTAAATTACTGGGCGAATTCCTTTCCCCCCACCTATTGAGACCTGGTTGGCCTATGCTTCGTCGGCGAAAAGCCCTCTTTCCCTTTTTGTACTTCGCTTTACCCTTTCCATCGTATCGCTCTTTCGTCATATCAATGCGCTGAGGGGCAAAAGAGGAGCGCTCTCCGGGGATTGGACGGAAACGCTTGTCGGGTTTCTGTTTATCTTGTTTCTCGTGGTACGTCCGTTTATTTGTTCGTTTATTTGTCTGATATCTTGACGTCGAACTCAGGAACTTCTGTTCTGTGACTCACAGCTGCTGGCTGCAGCAGACATCGGCTTTGTATTTTTCTCCACCCCAAAACGGGCTGCGACATTTGCAACACATGGATTAAAACTTTAATCTTTTTGTCCTTCATATTCAACGGCTAGCGCATTCTACAAGACGTTATATTGCCTTTCGTCTACGTCGGTACCGGGGGCGATTTCGGATATTTCATTTGAACCCGATCCTTGATATCGATATAGCCCCTTGTCGAAATTTACGATCTACCGGCACCGATGAGGACGATGTTGGTGGTTCATGCCGTTCTGATACTTTTCTCTCTTTCTCACCATCGACATCCCTTCGACCGGGCATCCGAATAAATCGCACCCTCGTGAAGCGAGCGCTCTCACGAGGAATTTGAATGGAAAGCGCGGTTAGCTTTGACTTCATCATGTCATTGACTCATTCGGCTACAAATGTCAGCGTCAAATCCATGACGTTGGTCTCTCAGGATGACCGAGCGGACGATGGTAGGAGCTGAGAATGGAAGCGGGAAAGAGCTGCTTTCGCTTGAGGTGACCAGAGTGCAATGCCGTATTCAATACAGAAGTCCCAAGTTCTTTGGACCCAAGCGAGAGTGTATTGAAGTCCATTTGGGTAGGGTGTTACGGCAGGCACACCGGAGTGTTGATCTCTAGTACTCCTGGGGAAACAGGTATGGACTTATCTTTTGATGGTGATTGTAAGGGTGATCAATTTCGTTTTACACCAGGGCATACCCGAATTCCTAATATGCATTGGGGACATAATCCCTGTATACATTGCGCCTACAAGTCCAGTCCTTTCTCGTTAGCACGCTAATCAATATCATCATCGCAGGAACCCGGTCAAGAATAAACCTGAACAAGAGGAGATTGGTGCGGTTAGCCATCAAGGTACGATTTGGGGGAGGCGATAGCTATGAAACTCGTACTATAGACTGAAGATATCGAAGTGGACTGAGGGCAATCATCGGTAAGTGCCTTTTTTGTGTCGTGCTGTCCTCGGTTCGTTGATGTGTTGTTTTTCCGGTGATCTTGATGAATGTTAGGTGCCGGTTAGGGAAGAAGGAATTTGGTGCCAAGTCAGAGGTGCAATATGACATTGATATGCTGTGAAGGACCATGAAGAAGCTCACATGGACGGATTCGTGTGGTGAAATCAGCGCATTTCTCATGTGGGCACGGGCGTGGATTCCACAAGTCGACGGAGCTGGGATTTGGAAGATGCATCGTAGATGTGAGTAACGTAAGATTGCTGCAAATCGGCTGCTAATATCTGATGTAGAGTAACATACGAATTTGCAGGGATTCCCAAAGGCGGAAACATCGTGCTCGATCTGAAGCTAGCGAACGATGGTAGTTCCGATGGGTTCACGATCGGTGAGTCCGGAATGGCGTCTGGGGCCACGACCCTTGGTGACCTGGGACCTGTCTGACCAAATGCCCTCGAGCGGGAAGGGGATAACACCATATTTGGCGACAGAGGAACTGCAGGGCAAGGTAGCGGAAGTGTTTTGGTATGTCCCGCGGTCCCAACGGTATTTGTTTTTTCTCACGTCACGTACGACACGCACAGTTTTGGCATGACGATGTTGGAAACGGCTTCGAATATTGTAGTAGTACCTGAGGAGTGGGTAAACACGCGCCGTCTTGTAAAGGACGTTGAAACTGACTTTATGGCATGACAGAGGGACTTGGCATCGGGGATTTCCTGGTTTTCGCTAGTACAGTAATGTCCGAGCGGATGACGGACGGATCCGGCAGGGCGTATGCAGCGTATCGGCATGCAAGGGATCTAAGCTATTTATTGTTACCCCGTGGCCGGCCAAAGAAGAAGATGGAATTGTTGGGCAAGGCAATAGAAGGGGGGTTCTTCCTTGTTCGCGGGATCCCCATTGGCGAGCAGCTGGGACACAGGATTTGAAATGGTGGCGTAACGAACACTGGGGCATGTGTGTATGTCGAAGAGCGCGAAGACAGCTTGCGTTGGGTATTCTTCTTGGACATACGGGTAGACGGACAGAAGAGGAATGACGGTGCTAGGACTGGTAGCCTGGGCAGTTGGGCTTGCTATTCTTTGCTGGGTACGTTACTTTGGTACGTGTCGTTCTCAGTAGGTAATGCCGGCTACTTAGTACTGGGCGCTTCATCGATGAATTTGATGAGGATACGGCATCTGATGGTTTGCCATCGTACACATAGAGAACGAGCGGCACAGAGACGACGGCGACGAACATGACAACCAAGGTGCGTAACAACGTTGCTGGTAACAAATGCAGAGAACTGTAGCCGCTGAGTAGCATAGAGAACGGATACGCCAGGAAGCAGCAGCCAGCCCTTGAATTTCTTGAATTCCTATTTCTTTGATTTCCTAGACCACGTTGGCTGGCAGATTCTTTTGATTTCGTGGTACTTTCCTCTTTGACGGCTCCATCGTCGACTAAACCTAAAATGGTTGGCGCGCTTGTGACACATTTTCTCAGCGGGTTCCTGGCAACGGCCGGGAGCAATACGGGATCTGAGGGTAATCTCTTGCGATACGAACAGATACTGCCATTGCAGCGTGGACAGCGTGACTGACGAGTCACGGAGGTCGCTTAACCCGAGTAAACAGTTTGTGATTGCTGATTTCGATTATTTCGATTATTTCGATTATCTCAAATCTCAAATCTTGTTCAAATCTTTGTTCCCTTCTCTTGGCCTGTCTTCTTCCCTTTCTTATCCTGCCTCTTAATCCCTTTCTTTTTTTTTCAAACATGCTCCCTCCCGTTCCCATTGCAAAGTCCCACTCTCTTTCCACCACATCCCAGTCTCTTGCTTATCCACCACCCCCTACCGACATCCGTTTCCCGTCCATGGCTGCACCGCCAATGGACCCTTCTGCAGTCGACTTTCGCGCTTTCTATCCATATACTCCCAACGAGGTCAAGCATCGTAAACGCACAACTAGCGACCAGCTCAAGATTCTCGAGGGTATCTTCAAGCGCGACACTAAGCCCAATGCTGCCCTACGCAATGAACTGGCGGCCAGGTTGGATATGACCCCAAGAGGCGTCCAAGTACGTCTTTGTTTTTTCACTCCTACCTCTTTTTTTCTCATTTTGAGCCTAGGTTTGGTTCCAAAATCGGTACGCGTCGTCCTTTGCCATTTCCGTTACTTGTCTAACACGCAGTGTAGTCGCGCAAAAGAGAAGACGAAAGCTGGCAAGGCTGCCAACAGAGCAGCAGCAGCAGTATCAGGCGACAACCAGAACAACGACCTAACCTCTTCGCCCTCTGATCCAGATGGCATTTCTGATTCTCAGCTCCCATCCTATCTTCGCGACATAGCAGGGCTAGGTGGCTCCCATGAGTCCAGCCCGGTCGCGCCGTCTCCACCAAGGCTGCATGTCTTCACCGAAGCTGACTCTTCAACAAGTTCGTCATGGCAGAGCTCGCCAATCGTCACTCCAGAGGACCCTGCTTTCCTCGGCCAGCTTGGCGACCCGAATGATGCCCATCGTTTCCGGCGGGGCTCACTTCCCGTTGACATGGTACCTCATTCAGATCACTCATCCCAGGGACCTCCCCTTGTAGGTCATCTCGATCCCTTTGCTCGTCGCCTATCTGTCGATGCCAGTCTGCATCGTCTCGCTTCTAACCCATACGCCCATTTGGCCAGAACAAAAAACACAACTGGCCACGGGTCTCGTCTCGCTTCACATTCTAACAGTCGTCATCCATTGAACCGTGTCTCTGGCATTCCTTACCCTCGACCTGAACTCCCACACATAGCCTCCGCCCCGTCGAATGGTAGTTTCCATGGCCGTCATGTATCTGCTGATTCCCGAGGTTTCCATTATACATCACAGGGCATCCCTGTCCCGTCATTCCATGCCGCCCGTGCTTCTCTACCTGATAGTCATTTGTACGCGTTCTCGTCACGCATGTCTGCTTCCACCATACCCGGTCCCCTTCCGTCTCCAGACTTTTCCTTCGGTGTCGCTAGTACATCTTCACCGTCTCTGACACCTCCATCGTCAGCTGATAGCGAGCGAAGTTCTCCAGACCCCAATCGGAGCTTCACCTTTCAAAGCGAAGACTCTGAGGATGACCGCACGTCATCCTACGAGGCCCTGTCCCGGTTTGGTTCTATCGCCTCAGTTGCCACGAGCGATACGAGCAATGCCAGCGTATATTATTCTGACTGCATGGAACAGGACATTCCCCCAAATGCTAGTCGGAGGGAATCGGGGTAAGTGCCGTCCTTCGCTAGCATGAAACTTTTTGGCTGATGACGCCATGCCTAGGTCTTCCAACCACTTCCTTGGTATGATGTCCAATTTGGATGTCAGTGGGCTTCAGGGTAACTCTGAAGTCCAGGGGAGCCCTATGGATAAGTTCTCACCGCCAGGTGACGGGTCTGGCGCCGCTGCCACTCAAGATCGTTCGGATGGTGATGATGTGGCAACAAGCACATACCCATCACCATCCTCGACAGTCTCGCCCGGAAGCACTCCGTCTCTAGTCAACGAGGGCACATCTTCAAATCTGCCACTCTCTCGTTCAAGTGAGCTGGCGTATGCGTTGCACAATCATCGACGTGTGGGTGTCTTAGCTACGACTGAGAATTCTATCTGATTCGTTGCCTCTCTTAGGCCACAGATGGCTCGATCGCTGATGACACATCCCAATCTGCGTCAAATGTTGGTGGGCACCAGTTCGTGTATGGCGTCTCGGATCCCGCATTTCAACCATCAACGTCTTCGAGCCAGGTTACCGACAGTTTCCGGTTTGATACCTCAGAACATTCACTGTCGGCAGATTGTAACTACACTATGAACTATCCGGACGTGTATGCCGTCGACGCCGGATTCCCTTCTCACAACACACACGTCGAGGGTGGTGAAATGAACAACAATGCGATAGCGTTTAATCATTCTCAAGAAATGTACGGGTCATATGGCCCTGCCACCAACTCGACGCCCCTCGAAAATCCACCTCGTCATACCGCTGAATTCCCTGTCACATATTCATCATGATCCAATTACCCTTTCCTATCTTACAATCCTTCGTATTTGCTGTCCGCGATGACTTGCCTCTTGGATCTGTTCTATCATACAAACGCTCACTCGTCTATTGTTCCGTCCTTTCGCTGGCACTTTTGTGGTTTTGGGTATTTTAACGATATGTAGTTGTAATTTATCGCAGGCCTTATGGACCTTTCTGTTATCTATTCGTTGTTTTCGTCGCTCGTTCCGTAGTGTAAACCTTGCAGTACATAAACCATCTATGATACCACTCACAGTAATGTGCTGTTGCTCTGACAATATAAATGTGCTACTATCACCTCGTTACGGGAGCGGCGGACATGCGCCGTGCCGGATGCACTTGATCCACGAGGCAAGCGACGACCGACGACAGCGCAACACGTTGTAAGCGCATGAAGGGATAACAAATGTTGGGCATTTCGGTCTCAAAATTGAAAATAACCCACTGTATCCGATATTGCAGATCCGTCGTGCCCCCAGAATGATGACCCTCAAAAACTCGGGGTGGGTCAGCGGGTATGCCGCGGTGTCGGACGGGAGAAACATGTAATTTTCTGCGTACGGCTTACGAGGATTATGTTGTTGGAGATGTAACCTTCTCTCCGAGAAGAAGCGAGCTTTGAATTGAGAAGTAGTGAGCACGTAAAATGATGTTATGTGACCAATGCTGCACCTGCTTTGGCGTAGCAGTCGACGGCTACGATACCAAATACATCCAACCTGCATTTCCGATCATTCACGGAACGAAGGCAAGTCAAGCCCGACATGTCACTGAAATTGACAACAATTATACGTAGTGCCCCTTGTTGGGAGAGACGATATCCTCCCACGGCGCAGCAGCCCGTCGTCGAGGTCCAAGTCTGATTGGAAGCCCCAAGGAGCCTTTTGTATCTTCCTTCCTATTCGTTTAACGCCCCAGCCAATACACAGCCCGTGAATTGCTGAGAGAGTACCCCCGTTTCATTGGCGGTTCATCCGACGCTGCGGGCAGGCCAGTGGCGATAGAAGCTTGTTGTCTTGTTCTGTCCCAGTGCTTCAGTGCTCAATTGCCTCATTAGATCACCAAGGTTCCCCAGCTTAAAGTTCAAATATTTCTGCGAACACACGGATCTTGCGCTTGAGCCGACTAACTTAGATGCGCTATCAACATTTTGCTTTTACTCTGTCTTATGACATTTTCTATCCGTGGATTTCGTCCGAACCATTCGATTGGCTGGCGTTGCCCTTTGATGGAACGAGAATATAGCGCCCATAATATAGTATCCACCCCCGAGTCCGATGTGCAGCCGAATAGTACGACGCGCCTTCGCGTTTTCGACAATAATGCACTCGCATCAATATTGCCAGGCTGTACGGCTCATCTCGGCCATAGCATGTGGTCATTGGTGAACGTCTTGCCATTGGTCACGATGTGTGTGTTGTAATTGGCCAAGACCGCAGGCCTTCAAAATCAGCTTGTTTTAGCGAGCAAAGCGATTCGCTAGTTGATGGAGGACATTCGGGGGATATGATTGGTTGCAGATAGATGATTAGACATTTGTATTTCTCCCAGCGTCCTATTACGGAGCGTCGACAGGATTCCAACTGACTGCACCGTCCTTTCCGCGGTCCAGTGAATCTAGGGCCGATATTTCTTCTCCCGTTAATTCAAAGTCATAGAGGTTCGCGTTCGAGCGAATACGCTCTGGAGTTGCACTCTTCGGAAGAGGAACAAATCTTTGGAGAGAGGAAGATATGAGTGCGGTACTGGGACTGGAGATGAGCATAAATGCTACCCTTTCTGTAGGGACCAGCGAAGCAGAATATGTGCAGGGTCCCGATTATACTGAGAGGGCAATTCAGAAAACATATGGCTACGAATAGGGAGGCGGCAAACTTTGGAGGCAATGCTGATTATTACAGGGTCGTCCATTCTACCTCTAACAATGGGACAGTAAGCTTGCACTACAATGGCATTTTCCTTGCAATAGGCGACAATTTCCTTTTGTTGGCAGAACGGATGAAGCTGTAGAGCGAATGCCAATCAACCACTGGCATAGCGCAGGGGACAAATCAAGACATCTACCTCGATCTGATTGACGGCGGGCATTTTGAATCCCGCCGTCCTTATTTCCTCCAGGTGCTTGACACCACTGAGTACAAGACACAATTAATCACAGCGATGAGAAGTAGCGGCGAGACTTGCTAGTTAGAGACACCGACAGTATGGAGCTTTCCTGCCTGTTTACATTCCTGAAGGGCCTTGTATGTAGCAAGACGACGTTCAGTGCCAGAAAAGGGATCGTGAATTAGAAACAAGTCGAGATAGTCTAAATTGCCGTTCGCATTAATTGTTGATAAGAAACTGTTGTATGACGAACCAACTCCAAACTTTTGTAGAGATTCATCGACACCTTTCAAGGTGCTGTCATATCCGTGTGTCTTTGACACACACTTTGAAGCTACAGAATATGACAGTCGATATTAGGATATACATGATTAGAAGGAAGACATACTTAGAAAGACGTCTTCCCGCTTCAAACCGCTTGCGCGAAAAGCCGCACCGACATCGGCCTCATTCCTGTATACCTGAGCAGAGTCAACATGTCTTGAAGGCATCAATGGGGTGGTACAGGATGCGTTGAAGGCAAAGCACCTGTAGCCAGCTTTAAATGCCTCTAGAACCGAAGGGGTCGCATTGTAGTTCTGATAGACGCCAAAGCCAAGAAGGGGCATGGAGTAACCTGTATTGACATGGGAAACAGAACTCCAATGCAGCACGACAAACGCACCAGAAGATAGCTGGACATTGGAGCTGAGGGTCAGCTTAGCCATTGTGTCGTATTGAACTTAGTAATTGTAATTGCAAACGCGGTGTGATGTGACGTCAGGAATGCGCCCCACTTCAAACAGAGGACAACAAGGGTGCAGCAATCCGCAACGTCGGGTTTCTTACCGTGACCACCACAGCCTTGGTCCTGCACCATGTCCACCATGTCCTTACTCGCCAACCCGCCCCCTACGGTTCCCATCCCGCCCAGCTTGCGCGCTAAAATGGCCGCCGTCGCCAATGCTAATGCCAATGCCCAGAACCGTCCCGCCGTCGCCAATCCCCGTTCCATTTCGGAGCCCCAAGTTCCACGAGGTCACTCTACTGCTGCTCGAGGGCGGGCCAGACCAAAGCCGAATATGTTCCTCAGCGACTTTGATCCTATTCATTTTGGTGGTGGTCCTCAGGCAGCTGGCCTAAGGGCGCCCATTCCCAATGGCCCTCGGCTACATGCTCCAGTTGGCACTCCATTTTCCGCCTTTTCGAGAATGCTGTGCGTTCCTGTTTATCCATTTATTTTCTTCAATACATATTTTGTTTCACAGCGATGCATCAGGTGCTTTGAACGTCGGTGGTACCCAAATACATGCTTCCGGTGTTATTTTCTCGAACGGAAGATCGTATTCTATGGCTATGAAAGACCTCCAGATCGAGGAAGAACTCGGGCGGGGAAATTACGGGACTGTGCGGCGCGCCATTCACAAGCCAACCAAATTACAGATGGCTATGAAGGTTTGTTTCCCCATATGCGTTACGGCTCAGCTCATGCGCCTGTGCGTGTAGGAAATCCGTCTAGAACTAGATCTCAACAAGCTGGAATCCATAGTTCGAGAGCTTGAAATTCTACAGTCCGCATCTGCACCTAACATCGTCGAGTTTCATGGTGCCTTTACGGTCGAGAGCTGTGTCTACTATCTTATGGAATATATGGATGCCGGTAGTCTCGATCAACTTACCGCTTTTGAAGCTGGCGAGACCTACACAGTCGGTAACGAGACCGTTGTGTGGGAACGGGTACCGGAAGATGTCTTGGCTCGCATAGCCGGGAGTATGGTTCGCGGTTTGAAGTTCTTGAAGGACGAAAGAGAGGTCATGCATCGTGGTAAGCCCCATACCTATTCCCTGCTTGCTTATATTCAATGCCTGGCAAGATGTCAAGCCGACGAATGTGCTGGTCAATGTAAAAGGTCAAGTCAAACTTTGTGACTTTGGCGTGTCAAAACAGCTGGAAAAGTCGCTGGCCAAAACAAACATCGGCTGTCAGAGCTATATGGCGGTAGGCGTTCAGCGCAACCGTGTGTTCTATCATTTATTTATTCAATGCATAGCCCGAGCGCATTCACGGCGAAACTAGGGGTAACTTGGGAGCATATACTGTGGCCGCCGATGTCTGGTCTTTAGGTCTCTCGGTTATCGAAATTTCCCTGGGAAAGTACCCATATCCTCAAGAATCGTATCAGAATGTCTTTGCTCAGGTATGTTCTTCGGCTGTTTCTAGATGACTTCGGCGTCCAATCCCTTGTCAATTAGTTACACTACATTATCAACGGCGACATACCTACTCTTCCCGATGGATATAGCGATGTTGCGTGTGGCTGGGTGGCAAGATGTCTAGAACGGAGTCCAAAGCGTAGAGCGGCGTACACGGAACTTCTGGAGCACGAATTTCTCAAGGATGAGGACAAGAAGGATGTAGATGTCGCCCAGTGGGTTGCTAGGGCAATCAAATTTAGAGACACCAAGCGTGCATCGAGGCGGTCCGCGCCGGGTGAAGCTTCGACACACTGATGCACACTCAAGGAGCTAGGGGGAATGGGGGAAACAAAGAACAGTCGAGGAGGTTCACACTGCATATGTCTCCATGGTCTCAGGCATCACGTCAGGACGAGTACATCATCGCAAGAAGTCTACATTGGACGAGGAACTTCGTTGATCGATGGGGTTGTGCCGGCTGTTTGCAAGACAGGAATCGCGTCCGCTGCCTAATTTCTGTATACCTATATTCATTTATCATTCCTGGGTATTTGTCGTCCTATTCGTGGTGACCTCTGTTTCAAGTCTTTACACCTTCTCTGGATCTCGCTTATAGCCTTTTTCTTGGGAGGTGGGGTCTAGAAGTGAGCTGGATATCTCACCGTGTTTATAGCGACTTCGTGTTATCGTGGTCTTATCATTTCACAGGACATTGTACACTATCGACTGGCGCTTAATCTAGCATATGCATCATTTTAACTGTCTGTCTCATTTCACAATACTCAATACGACATAGTAGGAATCTCCACCCCGTGCTTCTCGCAGACATGAGGAGTCATCCTCTTGATTCCTACCCGAACTTAGCCATTGTTCAACGTTTAGCAATGGCATCGCCACATCTCCAGATCAGTTGACATCATCATTCTTCAACAGAGAAATTGACGCTTTCGCAGTGGTGTCATTGAAGGAGTTGAATACCTTCCGATTCGGCTGCTTGTCATGCCGCTCAATTGTTCTTTCCATTCTTTCGCCTGTGCCTTCTACTGACCTTTCCCGATCTGCAAAGTCATTGTAGCGGAGCGAAAGTTACGCTTCTCGATTATCACTATGATAGGCTGCTACGCTATCCCGAAATGACCTGTCAAGACCCGGCAGGCCTCGATTGCCAAGAATCGCATTGTTGAGGGACGAGACCCAGAATGGATGTTCTCTCCCGTCAATATGAAGTCGCTCTGTACTACCACCGCTTTCATGACAGAAAAATCAGCGTCCACGAGGTGTTATAGCGGAGATGGCCATATTACAATTCGATAATACATACAAAAAATAAGCAATATAGTTATAAATAACTGTCTGCGCATGTATCATGGTTCTGAAAGCTGGAAAGCTTTGTTGTCCCATTCAACCTCTTGCTTCAGCGCGCCGGTGAGCACGAGCTCTTGGGTGTAGATAGGGAACTGCTGAGCGATAGGTCTCCAGATAGATATATCTTCAGCGCAAGAGATTATATGACGATTCGAACTACTTTTTAGGACTCTGATTGTCGGCGTTTGGGTCGATACCTGTAAAGAAACGTCAAGATGATCCAAATAGTAGGAAGGTCTGTCAAACCTGGCCACCAAAAGCAGTAATAACATTCTTCAACAGTTTATGATCCACGGATACCTTTGCGGTTACATAGAAGACCATTTTTTCGAACAACTGGCCCTTCAGTGTCTTCGCTTTCGCTACAGCATGCGAAAGTTGGAAATCGTACTTGCGCTCATTGGTCTGGTCTTGTAGTAGAAAATCATTCTCGGCTATGTCAAGCAATGAGGACAATTAACAGCAGCGAATATGGCAACGCATCGCAGCAACTCACGAAGTAGTCTGTTGGAAGCTACAGATTCTGTTGCCCACTCAGGGGACAGAATCCAAGGTGAAACTGCCAGAGCGCAAAGGAATTTTTCCGTTCGCACGACGTGTGGTGCAAGGAGATGAGTGCATTCGGATGGTCGAGTCGTTAACTTGACTCCAAGCTTTATTAGATGCTATGGACCTATGTCAAACAATTGACGCCAAATGATATGAAAAGTACCAGCCTTGAGGACGTCGTCAGACAAAGGTACCTGAGTTGTCATGAGCTTCACAACTTTGGATGCTTTCTGCGAGGAATTGGCGCTGAAAAAGCAATTTAGTCCGCTCATAATTTGCCAGAAAAAAGGCTTACTTATGTGCGCTTTGAGATGCCTTTTTCTTTCCTTTCGTATTTGCGACTGGCTTCTGATCCAGCTCCTCAACCAGCTTGTTGGCGTAAAGTGTACCTCCTGAAGTCTCGTCATTGTCATTGTCGCTATCGTTGTTATTGGGGACGGGACGTTTGGTTTTTTGTGGTCTGATGCGTCGTACAGGGCGCGTGGCGTCATCTTCCTCGTTTCCTGATTCATCTGACCTAGCCTTGCCCTTGTCCGAACCAGTAGATAGTCTTCCTTTCTTTTTGGGTCGAGAATCATTCTCGTGGTCACTGTCGCTGAGTGTGCCGGATGTTCGTTTCCTCCTGTTTGACGTGTCATTGCCGATGCTTTTCCTTGGCCTGCGTCGCATCTCCTGCTGGAAATTAACAACGTCTGGCATGACGGTATCTTTCAGTCGCTGAGATGCTTTTGCAGCAGCGCTTCTTTTCATTCTAGGCGACATCTCCGGTACAGCGGAAAGAGGTGAACTATTCTTCGGAGATGGGGCGGCTGGCTTCGGCTTTGAACCCGAAGCCAGAGTACCTCTTCGCTCCTCCGCAGTGATGTGAAGACTTGTGTCATGACCCAAAGGTGTGCGTGCATTCTGGCTGGGCGCAGTATTGATAACAGCGGACCTGGGCGTGATTGTCATTGGAGGCATCAGAACGGACACCACTCTTTTCAGAGGAGTTAAAGTCGGTGCTGTTTTAGTTCGTGGTCGTGCCTCGACCGTTGACGCGGTAGGTCCCGACCGAGTGGATCTACGACGACCGTCGTGGATAGAAGCGGTTTGCATGGAAACCTCTGGCTCATCGCCGGTTTCGATGGTTGTTGGATTCGAGACACCCATTGAATTGTTTTTCCTGCGTGCCCGAGTAGCCTTCTGCGGAGTCGATTTAGAGGGACCACTCTTCTGCACTTCTGCATTGTCAACGGTTATTTCTAGAGGCGATTGCTTCCGCTTCTTGATCCTCTTCATCTGAGGTTCAGGACTGTCACTGATGTCTAGAACTTCATCAACAATACCGACGTTTCTGTGACTTGGTATTGGTACTGCGTTGTTTTCGACTCCTCGGTGATCAGCAGTTGGCTTATTGTTCATATCCGGCTTGGTCAAAGACGAGCTGTCCGCTTTGCGCGGGGATGGGTGTAATTTTGACTCATGCTCCAGCCTGTCTCCTCGATTCGGTTTCCGAAGAATTGCAGGGGCGTCGTTCATTGAGACGTCTCCGTCCGCGTCGGGTATAGGCAGGTTGACAAATTCGGCAACTTCTGTTGCATCCATGGCGCCGTTCTCCGTCCCAATGGGTAACCTCTGCAACGCTTGGAGATATTCTCGATCTTCCATCTCCTCGCGTTCCAATTCCGCCAAATCTTCAACGGCCCTTCCCACACCTCTTCCACCTAAGAGCTGGGAAAAGTCCATGTTGGGTGCAAACCCGATGTACTTTTCCAATCCCACAGTTAAATTTCTCCATTTGATAAAACAATCTTCCAGCCAAGTGTGATTCACAACCGGTATAGACCAGGCTTGAGCTTTCGTGACTTTAACCCCCGTTTGGCTATTTGAATGGAACCGTTAAGAGCCGCAAGACGGTATAGGGTAGTATCGACCTACTACGCTGCAATGACCACAGTGTTAGCACCCGACATGTTGGCTGTGAAGGATGCACCCATGGCATCTATCAGCTTCTTGAGATAATCCCGTGTTTCGCCAGTATAGTTGGTAATAGTGATGATCTTAGTATAAGATCAGAATATGTACCAACGTCACCACAATAAATACTTACATGGGATGAAAATCCTTCAACAGGCTTTCTAGGAATGGGATAATGGAGTAGTTGATCCACCGGTCTGGAAAGGGTACCGGTCGCTTGGACATTAAAAAGCCAAGCGAGTGTGCCAATTGTCTTGCCAGTTCGCGCGGCCTAAAACCATCTTTAGAGGGAAGGTGTACATAATAATTAAAACCAACTGACCTTGAAATATGCTTTCCCGCTGCGAAACCTTGTAATATAAACGTCGCAAAATTCCACGTTTGTCCAGCTCTTCCTCTTCATCCCCATCGCCATTCTTATATCGGTAATCCAGGATAGTCCCTTGAGCCATACGTATACTTTTTTCAACGGCCTCGCGTCTACCCTCGCTCAATTCTAGACAAGTACTTAGCAAGACGCGTCGTCCTTCCCACACGTTTTTAACAGGAATTCCAGAGAGATCGGAGTCTGGTCTCAAAAGAGCTGTCTTGTACAGCACTTTCTTGTCTGGATCCAACTTGCGCAGCTTCTTTGCATCATCCAAATTGCTCTGTTGCGTGTCCTTGAGATACGGTGGATCTGGCCATTGATAAATCGCGACATCAAGACTTCCCATTCCAAGCCGAATGACATCGTCGAACCAATGAGGAAGAATAATGTTGATACGAGTGACCTCTTGATACTGCATCGCAGTTTTGTACTTGTCGGACGAACGCGAGACAGCGAACATATGTGTAACGTCTCGTGTCAATCCTAGTCGCCATTGGCCACCCAGTGCTGTGATTCCGGCGGACAACGTTTCTGCGTCTGCTGCTGACAGCTGAAAAGGCCTGGAAGTCAAATAGGGAGAGAGTACAGTAGATATATGCACGCACATCGGCAGAGCATGCAACGACACCAGAGAATAGAAAAGCGGGATCTGGCGAGTAATATGCCGTTCTATGACCATTATTAGATAATTCGTGAAGAAGGGGAGTTGATGCCTACCGTTGGAGCTTTCCCATCGTCAGTGAGCGGTCGACCCATAGATCCTACGCGACAAAGCTCAATATTGAATAAATAACTTGCTTTACTTATGAATCACACGCACCTTTACAACAGCTACAGTGTCGTCAACGTCCTGCCAGCACTCAAAGCGATTGGTGTCGGTAATGATGTGGGTGGCTTCCTTCATAGAATCGACAGCGACCGCACCATTCTGATTAAGACCAAGTCGTAGTTCCGCTGCACGATCTTCTGGAAACGATGAAGGCAGAAAATATTTGATGTCTTGGAATAGCGACATGAACGTTGTGGCCAAGGCGCGCCGGGCCCTCAACGTCGCGATTGTCACAGTCTCGTGACTCATACAATTATTGAAACAATTATTTTGCTGAGATCGGCATTTGCCGGCTACAACTAATAATTGAATAAGTAGAATTTTCTGCGGAGTCATCTTGATTCTATCCGATATTGTGACGATCCTCTCCTTGGACGAACGGGAAGAACACCGTTCTTCGACATCAAGGATGGCATTTCCACTTCATGACAGTCAGTTTACTTCTTTAACATCTGACTGGAAACTGTACCGACAAGATTCTCCAGTCTCTGCACAATTTGATTTTCCAAAGGAGGAGGAGAAGGTTTTGGCCTTTTGGAAAGAAATAGACGCGTTTCGTACAAGCATGAAGCTTTCCGAAGGTAAACCGGTGTTTTCATTCTACGACGGTCCTCCTTTTGCGACCGGTCTACCCCATTACGGTCATCTCCTCGCTGGCACCATCAAAGTGAGCTCTCCGTCGCATGCATACTTGCATCTTTACCTTTGTAATTCCAGGACATCGTCACACGACATGCTCATGCCAGCGGCTATCATGTTCCTCGTCGGTTCGGCTGGGATACGCATGGTCTTCCTGTCGAGCACGAGATCGATAAACGCCTCAATATCACTGGAAAGGCTGATGTCCTGGAGCTTGGGATTGATAAATACAACGCTGAGTGTCGAAGCATCGTTATGCGCTACTCCTCAGAGTGGAGAAGCACTGTGGAACGAATGGGACGATGGATCGATTTTGATAATGACTACAAGACACTGAATATCTCGTTCATGGAGTCGGTTTGGTGGGCTTTTAGCGAACTTTTCAAGAAAGAGATGGTCTATCGTGGTCTAAGAGTCATGCCTTATTCAACTGGTCTCACGACACCTTTGTCCAACTTTGAAGCAGGCTTAGATTATAGAGATGTAAACGATCCTGCAGGCAAGTTATCTTCTTTTCCGTGAAAAAACGCTTTCTAAGATAGCAAGGACAGTCACTGTCGCATTCCCCCTCGTGGATGATCCTAGCACATCGCTTTTGGCATGGACCACCACTCCATGGACATTGCCATCTAATCTTGCGCTATGCGTCCACCCTGATTTCACCTACATCAAAATCCATGATCAGGCCAGAGATCAAAATTTCATACTTTTCGAAGGCCTCTTGTCCACACTTTACAAAGATCCCAAGAAAGCCAAATTCAAGAAGATTGGACAATTCCTTGGCGCGGATATGAAAGGATGGAGATATGTACCATTGTTTGAGTACTTCACTGAAAAGGTAGCGTATTTATTTACCCGGTACTAGCTGACTGATGTATTCAACTCCTTCAGTTTGAAGATAAAGCTTTCAGAGTGGTGGTGGACACCTATGTTACTGCAGCAGACGGCACCGGCATTGTTCATCAGGCCCCCGCTTTCGGTGAAGACGACCACCGTATTGCTGTAGCTCACGACGTTATTCGTCCTGATGAGATGCCACCTTGCCCGGTTGACGATGCCGGAAGGTTCACAAAAGAGGTCCCTGACTTTGCCGGTGATCACGTCAAGGTAGAGACATATGTTCTTGTGTGGAATGAGTCTCACCAAATTACGCAGGCCGCAGATAGCAAAAGTCCAAAAGATTCTCAAGGCAAAAGGTCGACTCATAGTACAGTCAACGATCAAGCACTCTTATCCCTTCTGCTGGCGGTGCGTATCCCTCTTTTCTAAGACAACTCCTCTGTTTCCTAAAATGACTTGTAGGTCGGGGACGCCCCTGATTTATCGTGCAGTGCCTGCGTGGTTCGTTCGTGTAACGCCCATTGTTGATGACCTCGTGAAGAATAACCAAGAAACTCTATGGTCTGTCTTGTGTCCTGGCGTCTTTTTTTTCGCTTGTTGAACTTGGTTGCAGGGTTCCGCAAAGTGTCGGGGATGGCAGATTTGGAAACTGGATAGCCAACGCTCGCGATTGGAATATATCCCGAAATCGTTATTGGGGAACACCCATCCCCCTATGGGCTAGTGATGATCTGGAATGAGGTTTGTCCATCTCCATGTCATGATGCTATGCTGACCTTGTTCCAGATTGTGTGTGTAGGGTCTATTGAAGAGCTCGAAAGGCTATCCGGCAGGACCGGGATCAAAGATCTGCATAGAGAGAGCATTGACGATATCACCATCCCGTCATTTCAAGGAAAGGGTGTACTGAAGCGCATTGAAGAAGTATTTGACTGCTGGTTTGAGTCTGGCAGGTGCGTTGTATCGTCTACTTGGCAAAGATTGCGTATCTGAACTTGTGCTAGTATGCCCTATGCCCAGCTCCATTACCCTTTTGAAAATCAGGAGCTTTTCGAGAAAAGCTTCCCCGCCCATTTTGTTTCCGAAGGCATTGATCAGACACGGGGTTGGTTCTACACTCTTCTTGTGCTCTCAACACATCTCTTTGGGCGCGCGCCGTGGAAGAATCTGATTGTAACTGGTCTTGTGCTTGCAGCGTAAGTCGAAATTTTTTTCTTTTCCCTGTAACGATCATTTCACGGCAACTGGATAGTGATGGGAAGAAAATGAGCAAGAGTTTGAGAAATTATCCTGATCCCAGGTATCATCATTGATAAATACGGAGCAGATGCCACGCGGTAAGTGGAATATATAAAGTATTGCGCGTGACTTGATGCTTAACATTGGGCAGGATGTTCTTGGTCAACTCGCCAATTGTGAGAGGCGACAACCTCAGATTCCGTGAAGAGGGAGTCCGTGAAGTCATCTCCCGAGTCCTACTTCCATGGCTCAATTCATTCCGATTCTTCCTCGGTCAAGTTGCATTACTGAAGAAGGCCAGCGGTGTCGACTTCATGTACAATGCGCAGGCACCGTTGCCGAATAATGTTATGGATCGCTGGATCCTTGCACGTTGCCAGTCCTTGATCAAATTGGTGACCGAAGAAATGGCCGCCTACCGGCTATACACCATCATCCCTCGCCTGCTTGATCTGGTCGATGAGCTCACAAATTGGTATATCCGTTTCAATCGGAAACGCCTGAAAGGCGAGAATGGTGTTGAAGACACGTTAGCTGCCCTTAATACATTGTTTGAAACTCTTTTCACTCTCTGTCGAACCATGGTATGTGAGCACACAGTTTTCTTGGTCGTCGCTTATGTGCAACGCTCCTAGTCATCGTATACGCCATTTTTGACGGAGAATATATATCAATCCCTCCGCAACTTCATTCCAGTGGATCCCTGCTGCAGGAGATACTCGCTCGATCCATTTCGTTGGCTTCCCTAAAATCAAAGAGGAATACTTTGATGCCGAAATTGAAAGACAGGTCAGACGTATGCAATCAGTCATTGAGTTGACTCGGAACATTCGAGAGAAGAACAATCTCTCGTTAAAGGTACGCTGTCTGAAAGTTGCCACAAAACTTATCTTACGCTCTCTTAGACGCCATTGAAGGAACTGCTTGTGTTCCATCCCGAAGCGCAATATCACGCCGATGTGAAACCACTACAAGATTATATCCAATCTGAACTCAATGTGCGCGACGTTATCTTCAGTTCTGACGAGTCGTTGTCAGGCGTACGATACCGCGCAGTTGCCGATTGGCCTGTCTTGGGACGCAAGCTCCGAAAGGATCTTGGTCGAGTGAAGAATGCATTGCCAGACGTTTCGAGTGGTGCTGTCAAGGAGTACCTCACCACAGGCACTCTTTTGGTTGACGGCATTGAACTGGTGACTGGTGACCTGACCGTACAACGATATCTGGAGCTTCCATCCAGCGCTCAGGGCCAATACGGAACGCACACCGATAATGATGTTGTTGTGAGGCTTGACATACAGGTTCATGCCGATCTGCAGGGCGAGTGGTTGGCTCGAGAGTTTACTAACCGAGTTCAGAAGCTGCGAAAAAAAGCAGGTCTACAAGCAACGGATGATGTGGATATCTTCTACCTCTTCTCCGAGGGTTCTGGATCGGAGATCATAGCTGCTTTGCGTGAACACACGGACCTGATCAAGCGGACCGTAGGCAGCGCACCGGTAGAGAGGAAAGGAGAAGACCTGATTGGCGAAGTGCTCATCGAGGAAGCGCAAGAGGTGGCGGACGTGAAATTTGTGTTGTACTTGGTCAAGTAGATGTACCTAGTAGCGAAAGAAAACTTGTATTACAATAGAATTAAGTGGGGATATATAGTAGGAATAGTATCGCGGGAGTAACACCGACTCGAGAAGAAGCTATTTCTTAGTCGTACCGAAGCCTCCAAAACCCATCATCTCCATCAAGTCATTGTCCTGACCTTCTGATACCTCCTTGGCAAGCTCCAGACGTGCCTTTTCTTTCTCTGCTTTCTTTTGCGCTTTCTTTCCTTCCCGTAGAGCTAACTCCTTCGCCCTGACTTCAGCCAGCCTCTGATCAAAGTCAAATGCCTTTGCTGACACAGAATCCTTCGTTCTTTCTCGCAGAAGGGCTATGCGGGCTCGAACTTGTTCCAGCGTAGAACGTTCTAGCTTTGTGGTTTGCCCGATTGCCCGTAAGTCTGGAAGGTAAACTTAGTGATGCTATGGGTCGCTACAGATATGTTTCACTGACGAGCTCTGCTGTTGACGTGGTCGAGATAACTTGTTGTATCTTTATATGTTCGATTACATGTCTCACAATAGAATCCAGGCTGGCCGGGACCTCGTCCTCCTGGATTCTGTACAACCATCGTTTTATTGAGATTTTTGTCGAGTTCCAAGGATCCTTCTCGTTGTTTCATCAGCTCGGTTGGTTTTGGGAGGTCATCACGACGAGCTGTTTTCCGTGGTCTCTTGCCTGCGATCGTAGTCAGGATAATGTCACATTGTACTCAAAGGCCGACGGCCGTACCTTTCTTCATTCGTTCTTCATTGTCCTGCATGCGCTCTTTCTCTTCTAAATCGCGCTTCCGTGCCTTTTCTGCATATTCTTCCTTGTCCCATTTTTTCCTGAAGTCTGTATCTGACGCTTTCGCTGCCATGATGGTGTAGAGATTGATTACGTTGGCCTGATGACAGTTAAAACGTTAACGCGTGACGTGCTTGCCAAAACGGGAAAAAGGACATTTCTGTTGAACGCCGGCATGTTTCCCTGGAATAAAGGTTCGACACGGTACTAAAGCACACATACTACTCTGCAAGATTCCAGGGCATTCGTGTTTCCTTTATACACGTAGAGGGCATTTCGAGCCGATGCCTGGTCATGTCTTTGCAGGAACCCTTATGGCGAGTAAAGAGTAAGGGGTGGTCTATCTTTTCTCTTGACGTCGACCTAATTGCTCCCCTACAGCACGCCCGTGCCCGTTTTATCGGAAAGGAAATTGCATCTTTTCGGCCAACTGTAACTTTCTCCACATCGAAAATGAATGGGGCCCCCACGAAACTACCCTGGTCGCGCCAGAATCCTACCCGTCCCAGATTCTGCCGCACAAGGTCACCCCAGGCAAAAACATCGACCAACTACCGACCAGGACCTCACACCATCCTACACAGATTTCTGGGCTACTCGATGTTTTGCAGGACGTCATTGAGGACGCTTCCAGTGATATTTTGATGGCGGTTTCAAATAAACAAACGGAGAATCCGGGAGGAGCCTCTGATTTGGTCGAGCCCGTAACGTATGGACATGGTGATATTTTTCCCGGTCCTGTTACGGCCGTTCCTCTTACCTCCAATAGCACCGATGTTTGCTCTGAGCTTGACGTTAACGACACCATCCACCCGGTTCGTTCTCTTTCCTTAGAGGAGGCAACTTCCTACATGCCCTTTCCCCATCCTTCTCCCCATATCCCTGTTTTTTCACATACAGAAATTCACCTGCCCGACACGCCTAATCTTCTCTCCCCAGTCAATCTTCCCGACCTCCAACTGAAAACGTTCTTCCGCGACTATCACGACTCTTCCATCCGCGATGAACATATTTCCGACAGTTGGTCTACACCTATGCCCCTTGCTATGTCTCCCCCCATCAGCCCCGCTCCTACGTCCACTTTTGACCTGCTATCGTCCCCATTTCGTTCTCCCTCATCACGCATCATGTCCCCAAATTTCGCTTCGCTCTTTCATCGGCTACACCCGATCTCCCCGGCTCCTCATAATGATCGCGGTAACCTTGATGCCCCAGACCTTAGTCTAGACGCATTGGACTCTCCTGTGTCTGATGGTCCAGATATGTCAGGTTCTAACGCCCTTGACGTGCAACTATGCGATGTTGCAAGGTCTCTGCAGTCTGAGGACGTATTTGGATCTCCCATCATTCAGCTAGAGCCAAGCGCAGTGGGATGTGCCAGTCCTGATCAATATGACAATTCAAATGAAGAACAGTCAGGTGTCATATGGTCTGCGCATGATCGCGACATTTCCGCTTTGTCGGCATCTCCAATTCACGATGTTATAGAAACGTTCTCGTCAGCAATTGGAACTGAACTATTGGATGAAGACCTGAACGAGGACAATGTCTCTGATAGCAGTCCAACCGCTCGACTGGCCTATTTGGACGGACCCACCGTTCTAACCAGTCAGGACGATACGGTCACTGCGCTGTACAGCTCTTATTCAGATTTAGATTCATCGAACAGGAAAATAGCGAGTAGTACGAGGTCTCCCGAGCAAATTTCATCGAAGGACTCGTCCCCTTTGAACTCAGCGGTTGCCTCCGTGCCTTTGAGAAGTCGAGTTTTCACACCACCACCTCGAGATTTACGCAGACGATCCAGTAATGGTATGAGCTCGCCACTGTCGTCACCCCCCACGTTGCTGGATTCTCTGTCACAGCATCACGCTACGTTCAGAACGTTATCGATATTCGATCCACACCTCTCAGTTCGCAGCCTATCGTCAGAGGCAAGTGCACCACCAATGCCGACGTCAGATAATATATCCTCAGCCCGACAGACCGCAATCCTACGAACGCCTTCAAATCCAGTAGAATCCCCTGTGTCCTTGTCTCCTATACCATCATCGTCCTCTTCTCGTTATGAAGGCGAAACTGGGGATCCTAAATTGCCGAGCTGCGGGAGATCGTCATATGAGGGGGAGTCTCAAGTGCCTTCCTCAACCAAGGTCCCCTTTGGATTCAGAAAATCCTTTGTGTTGGTCAGTTGTGTTCTACATTGCCGGAAACGTAATCTAATATATAATTTGTATAGGGTGGGTCCCGAAACTCATCTCTGATAATGAATAGAATGTCAAGAGTCGCTTCGTCGAGAGACTTGGAGACTGATTCGTTACGACAACAGTCACCGAAATTGCTCTCCACTGAGCTTGACCGCAGTGGCCTTAAACCTCTCAGATTAGTGCGTACTGTAAGATATAACAAAAATAGCGCTTGAACCACTTTCCTAGTCCACTATATTAACCGCTAAATCTGCATCTGCATCTCCGTCTCGGTCAACATTTATTACAGGTTCGGACACATTAATTAGTTCAAGAAGCTGTACACTGACAACAGGACAGGAAATTCACATCGTACATCGTTAACATCTACAATTGTATCATCGAACTCTTCATCTTCAAACAACATTTTGGTATTATCACACTATTATTGACCCGGGCCATGTGTCATTCTCAATAGGCGTTTACAGCTTTCAGATCCCTCGCATTCATCGGAACACAATCATAATTTAATACCTCGCATAACATCGTTATTATCCACACACAGTATCACCAATTCCTCTACGCCTGAACCAAAGTCGGCCCCTCTGATTCACCCTGATGGTTGGATGGATGATTCACATTCTTCCCAGGGGAGAAGGAGCCATTGTCGTATCTCGAGTAGGCTTTCTGAACCCCCTCTGAGTCCTCAGTCCTTCCAAGGAGTCAACACAAACGAGCCGCAGGTCCACGACACTGACGATTATACCATTCAACGATCAATACCTATATGTACACCTACACTTCCTATGCCGCTATCATCTCGCCCTCTTTCATCTTCTCTCACGACCCCTAAACCTTCACTTATGTTTGCCATTGCCAGTGACGATGTTCAACAAGTCCGTCAAGTGCTGGAATGTGGCGAAGCTAGCCCAAATGACAACGCGGGACCTCAATCGGCTTTGGCCTTTGCTATTACGAACAATCAGCTGTCGCAAAGGTTAGAGATCGTAAAGACTTTGCTAGCCTTCGGCGCCGATACTTCTTCGCTTCATAAGGAGCTTGAGACAACCCATGGAGCTGATGCTAAATCGTCGGCCTCTGCCTTGGATCAAATGGATGCGGCCACTCGGTACAGTTTGCTATCCCGTTCGTACCAACTCATTAATATTCACAATATCACCAGGTATTACATTTCCAGGACAGATGCGGTCCTTACACGTAGTTCTTCTACGCTGATACAGCGTTCTTCGTTCCGACCACTGGCTCGCATTCGTTTCGGGGTCGTCGGCCAAGATCGAGCCCTTGAACAGTTGTTCAGGGTCTTGAGCATACACAATAATCAAAAAGCGACAGTGCCCATTGTGATACTTTTGTGCGGTGAGCCGTTTTCCTCTGCCGTGTTAAGAAGGTTGACTTATGATCATTATTCAGGTCCTAGCGGGCACGGGAAAAGTCTTTTGGCGCAGAAATGTTGTTCTTCGTTTCCCTCCATATCAACAAGTATTAATTACCTCGCATCTAGTTGGACCCCTTCTTGACGTTCCAACTCACACCGTTAATATGACAACGCTACGATCCGCTCATGACTTGTGGCAATCTTATTCGATAAGCCCTTATCAGGTCTGTGATACAACTTTGCACCCGTACAGCTGGATGAACATTTACCAAGGACGGCTCTCCTTGCACACTGGTAGAATTTCTGATAAACAACGAAGGCAAACGATGTGTCGTTGTGCTTGACGTAACACCTTCCCGCTCAAGCTCCACATTCTTCTGCTGATAATTGATTTTAGGAGATAGAGAAGACCCAGAATCCCAGCGTTCTCTGGTCTCTGCTCCTCCCGTGGGAACTCGGTATGTACGTCCTATACAGTCGTGCTTCCTCATCATAAATGTGTTGCAGGCCGATGTTCTTTCGAGGCTAACACCATGAACATCGACGTTCACAATACTATATGGCTTGGAACATCAAATATTGGCCAGGACCTTGTCTTCGAATATCATGAATCATTGAAGCATCCTGAAAAGGTTATGTCTCGGGAAGAGTATGTCAAGTTGATGTCCCTCTTGCGACCTCGTGTCTCAGAACGCCTTGGTGTATGTCGCGTCTGTTGATTTGGGAGTCTATACTGACACTATTCAGTCGTCCATCCTTTCTCGGGTTACAACCATATTACCCTTTGTCCCTTTTACGTTGGATGAGACCAGGGCTATTGCTTCGGAGGCATTGCAGTCAATATCGGGAGATGTCATGAAAGACATGCCTTCCCAGGTCCTCACCTCCGTAATCGAGGGTGCTGTCTTAGGATCTATTCCGTCCGAGGGTGCACGATCTCTATACCGCGCGGTGTCAAATCTGTTGGTAGATGCCATGGATCTAGTTTAATATATCTGAACGCTGAAGCGGGTTGTGATTGCAAGTGCGGTTTCCCTTCAAGCCCACCCGGAGTCATGTTGAGCATTTGCGGATCAAGCACATGCTTTCGATGCTTGGTGAAATCTAGCCAAATTCCGGTTATATTCCGTCAAAAAGCATGTTCTGTACAGAAAATGACCATGATTTCTTGTTCTCACTTTGATGTCGACGGCACGGGCCTGCCATTCTTCAACTTCGCGTGCGACACTGCTAAAAACTGTGCTCGTCGGTATTTTCCGAATTATCTCTTTGAATGATTCTTTTTGCATGGCGCCGTTCGCTATCGTATTCAGTGCGGTATCTTTCGTTGTCGTCGATGCACTCAACAGCTCTATGCGCTTCTAATGGAACAATTGTTGTGAGGAGTATTAGACCTCGCGCCGAAAACATCCGTCTTGTGGAAGTATCGCAACATGGGGATGACAGGCGCGTCCAAGGTCATTCAGCTTTACCTGCAGTAGGCGTCGGTTACTAGTACAAATTCTCCGCAAGAATTTTCCAATTCCAAGTTCCCCGACAGTGCCACGTGGCCGTTACCGTCTTTCCCTTTACTGCTGCAGTTCATGCTGCGGGTATCTATCTTTTACCTTCCAGCTTGGATTCACGTTCGCCAACGAGAATGAACGATGCAAGACTCGACGACGAAATCAATTGGGCTGTTTCCTTTCCTCTCCCTTTCCGCGTCATGGTCTTGGTCGGCCTGGGCATTTCAGGATGGGCAACGAACCTCCATGGCCTCATAATCTTTGGCGTGGACGCCGTCAATACGATGGAGCTCCGTGTGGATCCCAGCCAGCAGCCGATTTCGCTGCGAATAGCGGGCATGCACCTCAAGACACCTTCATCAATTTATGGCCCAGTCTATCGCCTCGCCTTGGCGTACTTTTCCTGGTGCTTCACGACGTGGGCATTGTTCCGTTACTTCACATACAGGAACGTCGTTTTGACCGATGTTTTTGCGTACATACCCGGAGTGTCAACTCTCGTCATTCTGTTTGTCCTCGTATGTCCTTTTAACATCTTCTACAAACGAGAGCGAGACAAGTTTCTGTTGTACGTGTCCTGCACTTTCACTGGCCCCGTGCGCCGTTAAATCGCCTCAGGTCTATTCGGCGATGCATTTTCTCCTCGATGGATAGTCCTGTGCATTTCACAGATGTCGTGTTCGCGGATGTCTTTACTTCGTTTGCTAAGGTCTTGGGCGATGTCTGGTTATGCATGCGCATGCTGGCTCCAGGAAACAGTGTTTTAGTTCCGCCAAGAGAAGATGGTTGGCTTCGATGGGTTATGCCTGCAATTATGAGGTGGGTAGTGTCCTATCCATCATTTCTATGGCAATTCTCCAACAGTTTCCAGCCTTCCGTATCTAGTACGTTTTCGACAATGCATAATTGAGTATCAGTCCCCTACAAACAACAGCCATCGGCCTCTCTACAATGCAGTGAAATATGCAACGTCTTTCCCCGTCATTTTTTTGTCGGCAGCTCAACGAATAGTAGTGACGGAACTCAGGCAAGAAAAGGGTGATGAGGTCATGCAAGCCGCCTGGCATGGTGAGCATCCACTTTTTCGGCTATGGTAGGTCTTTCTATAGACTGAATATTTACATTGTGACATGTCTATCTTAGGCTTCTCTTTGCTGCCATCAATTCTCTATATTCTTTTTGGTGGGATATCACCAACGATTGGGGTTTAGATTTGCTCAAACTGAAAGCCATGGGCGATGCTCATAACCGACGATATCCCCCTCGCCGTTTGGTACTTGCACACCTACATTCAGGCACACCCCTTATGGCATCAGACGTCCGGTCACCTGCGGAACCACAATCGCATCATAGTTCTAGTCAGCCTTATCCTTACGGACTTCGCGCAACGATATTGTATCCCTTACCCGTATACCCTCTTCTAATATTCCTCAATCTTGTACTTCGATTAACGTGGTCGATCAAGTTGTCAAGCCACCTACACTCAAAAAGCGACGGGAGCATTACTATATTTTGCTTGGAGATTGCGGAGATCATTCGTAGATGGATGTGGGTATTCATTCGGGTCGAATGGGAAACTATTAAAAAGTCGGAGCGGGACGTTGATGGCGAAGGCGACTACGAGCTGGTACAAACTCCGGAGGTCGAGGATTTGACGTGACCTTGGACAATAGAGTGCATGTAAATCACGTATTGCATTCGTGAGGCATCCCTTTTAAAACATATACTAGGCGCTGATCGGCCAACAGTAATACTAATAGACGATAGTTTAAGAATCGGGATAAAGTCCGAGTGTCCCCGCCACGATAAGTGCCATGATGTGAATCGCTTCATACTTATACTTTTGTACTTTATGCCTGCAATACAGCTGCGCAGCCATGTGACGTCTCATACTGCCAAGTCCGCAAAGAATTTCAGTATCGGGTAGCCCAGAGTAGCAAAGGATTCTCTTCTGCGGGACAAAACGGGTATATCTGCCACCCCTCAGCTTTATTGATCAACCGGTTACGTTCTCTTGACGGAAGAAATGGACATGGAAATGGAGATGACCGGTAGGCTAATTTCACTCTCTCCACGTGGACTCTTAAACTGTTAAACTATCCGACTCGATGTGGATTTCATCCGGGGTCAGTCGTCACCGTCATCTGACGATGGATTAAACTTGTCCCGTCTCGTGCTTACCGTGACCTGTGAACACCTATATAAACAGAGATTAGTGGGTGTTAACGTTCATTACAGCTCCCTTTCCCGAAACATCCTTCTCATAGCATCCAACTCATCATGAAGGTCGCGTCTCGTCCATCCATGTATACAGCATGTTCGCTGACAGCAAGTTTGTAGGTTCTTGCCATCTTGTACCACGGTTATGCGGCGGCTGAGGCTGAAAGCCGCCTCTTGGGCACCGTCGAAAACAAGGTAATCCAGCTCCTCCGCGTCTTTTTGTAAGACCGAATATTCTTCACTAGCTTGGAATTGAAGAGTGGTTGACGTCTCAGGGCCATGAATTCATTGGTGAGCATCCCGCAATACTCCTGCAAAATATAGTAACTCATCTCCCATTCAGTATGTTGCAACCGAAAACAGATTAGTCTATGTGTTCATATTTGAATCACCGTTCGCAGGTCTCTAGCAGCAAAGAGGGACCTGATAGCGACTTCCAGAAGCATATCGTAGACGTGCGTGTCCGGTCTATATGTGTATTATTTCGTCTCATCCACTTCCAAGGCCGAAGTCTTGATTACTACACCGTTCCACCCGGGATATCTGACCAGGGATCTGATCGAAAAGGTACGCCGAATAATGGTTACAGTTCTATTGAACTAAAAAGACTTCCAGGCTAAGAACCTCAAGATCTGCATTACGGCTGGTGTTGGCTCCGACCATATTGATCTCAACGCTGCTGTTGACTATAAGATTCAAGTTTTGGAAGTGAGAATGATCTTGACGTAAAATGGAATTCATACTGATAGACATACCAGGTGTCTGGATCCAATGTGGTGTCAGTAGCAGAACATGTTATCATGAGCATTCTCCTGCTCGTTCGCAACTTCGTACCGGCTCATGAAGTGAAATACTTTTTTGCCCGTTTATGCCTACAATCAGCTCATGTCAAATTTAGATGATTGAACGTGGAGATTGGCAGGTATCCGATATCGCTCGAAACGCCTTCGACCTAGAAGGAAAAGTGGTGGGCACTATTGGTGCTGGAAGAATTGGTTACAGGGTTCTTCAAAGGCTTGTTCCCTTCGACCCTAAGGAACTATTGTACTACGACTATGCTCCCCTCCCGGCTGGTCAGTAGTCTGATAGTCGTGCTCGATTCGATGCTAAATCATTTCACAGCTGCTGCTGAAAAGGTCAAAGCCCGCCGTGTTGAAGATTTGAAGGTATTCCAGTGCTTTTACTCACCTCCGTAACACGTCATTCACCTGTCTCTCCACCGTAGGATTTCGTTTCCCAAGTAAGTTTATAGGTCACACGATGTCGTGAGAAGTTGCTGAGTCTGTTCCTGTTCAGTGCGATGTTATTACCGTCAACTGTCCCCTGCACGAGGGTACCAAGGGTCTGATTAACGACGATTTGTTGAGTCATTTCAAGAACGGCGCTTGGCTAGTCAACACCGCTCGTGGTGCCATTTGCGACAAGGATGCTGTCGCCAGGGCATTGAAGAGCGGCAAGCTTGCAGGCTACTCAGGTGCGTGTCCTTTCCACGCTTATTCCATCGGTCACTGAAAGGCCCACACCAGGTGATGTCTGGAATGTCCAACCGGCCCCAAAGGATCACGTCTGGCGCACCATGAAGAACCCCTTGGGAGGGGGAAACGGCATGGTTCCTCACTATTCCGGCACTACTCTCGACGCTCAAGCTCGCTACGCTTCGGGAACAAAGAGTATCCTAGAAAACTATCTCAACAACAAGCCACAGGAGCCTCAGAATATCATCGTCGGGCTCGGAAAATATGAGACCAAGGCTTGTACGTGTGCTTTTCATAACCTGCTATTTGTCGAATGTTAACTTGGATTCAGATGGTCAGCGTTAATTCTGACATGCAATGCTAGTTCTTGTTTTCGTGCTAACACATGTACTTCTGTTTACCAATACGCTTTGAATTGACCAGTTGACATCACACAAATGACGAAGTGAGATACATGTTAGGATACAGTGAGCTATAGATACAAGTGCAAGTCAGATACTGTAAATTAAGTGGTAAATAAGTTAAACTGGGAAGACGCATGTGTCATGGACTAGCTAATCTTCTTGCTTATTTCTCTCTGCCATCCGGGCAGTGACCAACTTCTCCAACTTGGCAGCGGCCTTCTGGTATATGCTCTCGGGCGGGTTGTACGCCCTACAATTTTCCCATATCAAGTTAGCGTCAGCAACAAAGTCATCCACAGATCCGTATTGATGGGTCTCCAGTTTGTGTTCCATCGTCTTGAAGTCTGTGGCGTAATAAGCTACTGATTTGCCAATCGAGGTAAGAAAAGACAGACCCATTGGATTCGTGATGACGTCGTAATAATCTGGCACGTCTTCACGTTTCACTGGTTCTAGGAAAGGCCAGGCCATTCCGTGTTCTTGTAGCTCCCGCAACAAATGCTCCATGAAACCATGATCTGCACTTCTAGGTGTAACACGCAACGGCCTGAAAGATAATCTCAGTTTACGAGGGAGAAATACTGCATGGATCGACGCACTGCATCATCATTTCCGGAGTCCACCCACACTCTCCTGTAATGAAGCGTGTTGGAAGGAGTAGTTGATATAGAAGAGCAATACTCACTGAGGCCCGGAACATCGCTAGGGTCAACGGTGACTTCATCGGTACCTACTTGGAATTGCGGCAGACCGGGATGGATGATATGCGACCTGGACATCTCGCGGATTTTCGAGATGACGGCTTCCTGTTGTTGGGTGATGATAGAAACTTTGTCAAGGTAGTCCACCTTGCGAAGCATTGTGCATTGCATGATAGTTCCGCCCTCGTAGTCTTTGATGTAACCGGCCCATATTGAACGATCTAAAGTGATCTCCTTGGAAAAACCTTGTTTTTCGAAGTAGCCGACGGCGTAGTTGTCCGCATAAGTCAGAAAGTACATCATGTTTGGATACGTCTTGCGAATGTGAGCTTTGAAGTGATCCATAAGCATGCCTCCATAGCCCTGTGGACAGATAAGAAGGAGAAATTCGGATAATGTTGTGCGTACTTTGACTTGATCCACCGACGCGGTTGCAAAGAAAACAATTTCGGCGAATCCTCGATGAGGAAAGGGCCGATAGCAAATTCCGCCAACGACTTTGTAGCCGCGCTTGATGATTGCGAGTGCCTTTGAATTCCCATCATAGACTAGTCTTGCGATATATTCGCGAGGCATCTTCGGCAGCTGCTTCTGAAATAAAGTCTTGAGCCCGGTGAGAATGACATACGATCGAGGATGTTTGTCATTCTCCACAGATGTGATTTGAATTACTCCTTTTCGAAGTTCGATAGCGGCCATCTTTTCTGTACGAACGACGGGCTTCGAGACTTGAGTGAACATCAACACACAACAGGAAGAAAACCTTACTTCATTAGGAGAAGAAGCATCCACTGGGACACCCGTGGCTAGGCGTGTTATCTGCTCATCGCCAAGTTTGTCTTCCACCTTGACCCGTGCGGAATGCCCATTTATTCCATTCACACCTTTACTCTTATGACCCTTTCGTGGAACACCATTGGTTTTGCCTTTGGGAACTTTCCCTGGGCCTTTCTTCCCACTTTTCTGACCAGTTTTCCGGGTTGATTTTTCCGGTCTCGACCCCATCCTCGAATTCATTCGCGCGGCTAGAGGTTTGTCCTCTTCATCGTCATCGTCATCGTCATCCGCTTCGCTGAGGGAGGAAAGAGAGAGACGACGCCTCTTCGTAGGAGGGGAACCATCTGAGGTTCGTGAATAACCTAGTAACCAGATTGGTCAGGGTATTGGGGAATACAATGTTCTGTGCACATACCAAGAGGTTGAGAAGGTGCAACAGCGGACACTGGAAGTCTCATTTGTTTTCTGAGCGAAGCGATATCGTCGTCGATGTAATCGAAGTCCAGAAGCTTGCCTGCATCCTGTGGTGGCAGAACTTAGCGACTAAGAAACATGATTCTAAGGCTGAGACGGACCTAGATTCCTCGGTGAGACAAGCCCATCGGAGCAACGATGAATACAGACCTTCAAGAGCTCATCCAGACGAACAGCAACCCTGCTCCTTCTCAAGAACTCCTCGACACCAATGCCGATCTCCGTGGCATCATGTTCTTTCAGCCCGTGCCCGCATCCACAAAACTCGAGATATGGAGGTGTTGCATCTTCATCGTCAGATCCATATTGCCCAAGATCTCCAATGGAAAATGTAGGTTGGACCTCGTCGTCAAAGACGACCTCATCGTCGGGGTCTGGATGAAGGCCGGTACATGCACAGTGAGTACATGGAGAATGTCGAGCGATTTTAAGTGATAATTGAGCGGTGCTCAAGTCGCTAAGGACATGAGAGACCGGATAAGCATATTTCATGGCCGAATGCAACCAGTGTCACTGTGCACGATGAGGTGACCGTCGTCCGAGCGCGAACACGTGCCGACGGCGACTCGACTTACAATACCATCACAGGCACCTCCCACGTCGCCCAACGACTTGGGAATTATGCTTTTCTAAGGTTCCTTTAGGCAGCCTGATATGTTTTTCTCTCTCTCGGGGCTCGTGGTACTACTCTTCTTCTCTATACTTCTGGAGACGGCTGCATGGATAAATTATGACGCTGACGGTACAGCAACAATGACCCATTATGAACTTCCAGAGAATTACGTTGCATCCTGCGGTTGCACGCCTTCAAGTACTCACTATCCGACTGCTGCCCTTTCTCAGATGGCATACGGAAGCAGCACTGCGTATGGTCCGTAGTCTGCTTATTTTTAGCATCTTTTCTCTGATGCTCTAATAGGTCCTGGTTGTGGAAAATGCTTCAATTTAACTTTGCTAAATTCTTGGACATCGACTCCTCCATTCTACCCTTCTGTTATAAAGCATATCGTTGTTAAAGTAACAGATCTGTGCCCCCTTAGCGGCGACGGCTGGTGTTCTGCTACTGAATCGAAGCCAAACCCGTCCGTCATTTCTGTGGTTCAGGCTTTCTCTTATATACCTTTCTACCTAGCTCGGGGCAATACTTGAATTTTGATCTGGCCTATCCATCTGATGCCATTCCAGACAACTTTTTCCCGTCGAATGCATCGCTGTATGGTTATACTGTACGTTGCACGTTTGTCGGTGTCTGTTCGAGTGAAATTTTCGATTTATGCAGGATTTTGGGGTCTGGAATATCAGCTACCAGACGGTTTCGTGTGAAAATTGGGCTGGTTGGGACAATGCAGCTGCATTGGGGAGTGTAGCATATCTAGGAAGCGAAAGTGTTTGCTGTCCTGACAATCCTACGGTACAACCAGTGATAATCTACTCGAATGCGGCCGCTGACGAGCTCTGCAGGGAAATGCTAATGACACTTGTCCATCATATTCTGATAACAATGGCATTCCGCAAGTGGTTTCCGTTGTCGCACTAGGAATTTTCTAATGCGGTTCAATAGGCCTGATACCACGACAAACTCAAGTCCGCAAATCGCCGGAGCTATACCCTCCATTCTTATACTTGTATCTATTCTTCTGTGCTGTTACGCAGGGTAACATAATTATTGTTACTTATATCTACATGATATCCTTATACAACATTCTTCACTATACCAATCAAATTAGTCTGCCTGACTAACGGGAGAAACTATTCCACGCGCCTGTGAGCGAGAAGTAACTGCCACGGTGGGAGATAATAGGTATATGCCCTTACTTTTCTATGTCTTCGTCCCCTACTTTCCTGTACAGGCCACGCTCCTTCCGTGATATTACACGACGAAGCCATTGGAACGTTCGCATCCAGGCGAGGAGAGCGCCAACAATGCCAACAAACAGCAGTCCAAGAATGATGTTCCTCAAGGTCGTAGATGCCGCTTCAGCCTCGAGGGGGATTGAGGCCTCGACAGATTCAGTTGCCATTGGTGTTGAGACTGAGCTTGTTCCGGTTATTAAATAGTCGTCAGCCGCAGCGTCTGTTGTTGGCTGAGGGACCGGGGATTCCTAGCAAGCAACAAAGATTTATTTTTATGATATCTCTTATACCACAAATAAAGCAATCAGAGCTCAGCATGAAGAGGTACCTGGTTTCCTTCTTCGTCGGTCACGGCCTCCACTTCGAGCTACAACAATATACATATTAGGGCAGAAAGGACAAGGCAACAGGAGACATACCTCTCCGGAATCAGCAATCACGACATCGACGACGGGTTTGTCTCGGTTCTTGGCAACATTTTCTAGAACAATATTAAGAGGAATTCAGGATGCGCAGCCTGAGAGTGTACCAATTTGGTGTACAATGTCCATGCCTTCTAGAACCTTTCCGAAAACGACCTGGAGGAGGTTTAGAGATGAATTGTGATATAAACGATCAGGTACTGACGTGCTTGCCATCCAACCAGCTGGTGACCACGGTGCAGATGAACTATGACAGAGCCTCCATTACAACGAATGGACAAACGTGAATAAAGAATAGTGCTTACGAATTGAGACCCTAAGGAAAGTCTAAGTACTGTTTGTATGCAGTATGAGAAGGGAGATGATCTCACCGTTCGTGTCTTTACCGGCGTTGGCCATGGACAGAGTCCCAGGACCAGTATGACGGAGTTTGCTACAACAAGTTAATCATCATAGAAACAGCTTTCTTACTTCGAGAATACCTACAAATTCTCATCGGCGAAACGGTCACCATAGATAGACTGCATGGAAGTCAGACTGTGATCAACAGCAAAATGTGATGAACATGCCTTTCCACCGGTTCCATCACCTTTGGCTAATATGGAGCTTAAGAGACGAACAAAGCCATAAAAGCAGGATAGACGTACTAAAGTCACCACCTTGAATCCTAGGAAAACATTAGACGTAAAGCAGGAAACATATGGACTGACAAACTTACATGAAATCCTTGATGACTCGGTGGAACTTGGAACCCTTATATCCGAATCCAAGTTCATTACCGTTCTTGTCCTTGCCAGTGGCGAGAGCTCGGAAGTTTTCAACAGTTTTGGGAACGGTCTGCAGCGCTCATGATTAATATCCCACTAAACACGATGAACGGTCGCATACACCGCCGTACAAGCCCATGACGACTATAGACGGGAAATTAAGCAAAATCAGGTTCGGTATGAGTAGGGCGACATACCTCGTCCAAGGTTCTCGTCGCCATGCTTGATGTCAAAGTAAACCTTGTGCGTTATTTTAGGTCCCTTGGCAGCATCAACTGACTGGGTGCAGAAAAACGCGGTGACAGTGAAGAAGAAAAGGACCAAGGAGAGTCGACGAAAGATCATTGTGGTGGAGGAAAAGGAGGACGTGTCCTTTCTGAGCTCGGCTACCGCGACCCGTGGGAATATTTCCCACATGATATCATTTTTTCTTGCCGAAGAGTCCTGAATTATCATGGACGACGACCTTGTCCTCAACCTTGCCTCCGACGATTCTACTCCTAATGGTAAAGGGAAAAGCAGCGCGAGGAAAGGTGGACGTTGGACAGAAAGGTCATTATTTTATGCTCCTCCCAATACTTGATTTGTTCATCTTGCCTGGATAGATTGAAGGCGAAAAGAGTAGCCAAGCGGAAGGCTCGACCAGGAGACCTGGAGAGTGTCAATGTACAACCAGAGGTGGCTGAAGAACGACCCTCGAAACGACCACGGACAGCTGCTGTTGCTCCTTCAAATCATGATCGGCCCGCTGCTCCTTCTCGTCCCAGCACTCAAATCATCTCTTCCCTTTTCTCTTACAATCCGACGGTCAATATCCCAGATAAACCGAAAATACCCAAGTCCCTCGCTCGTCCCAGCAATGCCCCCCTGACAGACTCTTCTTCTTTCGCAGGGCTTGGTGTGGATCCACTGCTAGTCACGCACCTGTCAAATAAGATGGACATTTCAAAACCGACCTCTATACAACGTGCGACCCTCACCGCTATGCTTTCTTCCTCAGGCGCAGACAAGGATATATTCATCCAGTCACAAACCGGGTCCGGAAAGACGTTATCCTTTCTCATTCCCATAATCCAAGACCTGTTGCCGCTGAGTAGTCTCTCGTATATTGACCGGTCAATTGGTACCCTGGCTATCATAATAGCGCCAACGAGAGAGCTCGCAAAACAGATATCGGATGTATTAGAAGCACTACTCAAAATGCGTCTACGCCCAGAAGACGAGTCTGCCAGTGACGCGTCTTCAACACGCCTAACACGCTGGCTTGTATCCGGTTTACTCACAGGAGGTGCCACGCGTACTCATGAAAAAGCTCGTCTGCGCAAGGGACTCCCCATCATTGTATCAACACCTGGTCGACTCTTGGATCATTTGCAAAACAGTGCGTCCTTCAACGTTGGAAAATGTCGTTGGTTGGTACTGGATGAAGCAGATCGCCTGATGGAACTAGGGTTTGAGGAAACCATTACGGGCATTCTGAACGGCCTAAACGGCAGGAGAAATCTGGCTATCCAAGCCGCACAGGAAGGAGTTGGAAGAGATGTCGGTGGTTGGAATTGGGAACGTCGCAGGCGGACTGTGCTTTGTTCTGCAACTATACGAGAGGATGTTCAAAAGTTGGCTGGGGTAGCCCTCGTCGAACCTTTGATGATCAAGGGATTCGAAACGGACCCACAGAGCAAGTCTGCAACGTCCAAGAACACTCCACCTGAAGCAGCTTCTGGTCCAGAGCAGTTCACTCCCCCTTCCCAGCTGTCGCAGAAATATGTCGTTGTTCCTTTGAAACTGCGGCTGGTGGTTTTGGTCGCCCTCTTACGCACCCTCATTGCTCAGTCCCAACGCGGAAATAAAGTGGTCGTTTTCTTTAGTTGCACAGATTCGGTGGACTTCCACTGGCAGCTTCTTGGCGGTTCGATGATGCAGGGTGATGTGTCGCAGGAAGACGGTTCTGATGATGATTCTGATGACCAAAATGAAGCAGATGCTGAGAAAGAGGATAAACAGATTATTGAAGTCCAGTCTCCACTCCTACCAGACACATCCATATATCGACTTCATGGATCATTGGCCACGCGCCCACGTCTAGCGTCTTTACGCGGATTCTCGAACTCTGGGAAATTGAAATCATCTACGCATTCCTCCATTCTTTTTTGCACCTCCGTGGCTTCCCGTGGGCTTGATCTCCCTCTAGTACGAGCGGTAGTGCAATACGACCTGCCCACGGAGGGAGGGGAGACCGAGTACGTCCATCGAGTCGGCCGTACAGCCAGAGCTGGGAAAGGCGGTGAGGCTTGGAGTATAGTCGCACCTAGCGAAGCTGAATGGATCAAGTGGATAGAAGGAAAGATGAACAGCGACGATAAACAAGGGAAGGTATCGTTGGAAGGCACTTCTGTGGATACCTTACTGCAAAGCGGGTTCGGCGGTAAAGGGAGCGAATCTGAAGGTCGCGCTACTGATGTACAGTTGTCTTTTGAACGATGGGTTCTCAGCAAGAAAGATGTACGCTTTCTTTGTCCTCTCAGAGAAATACTTACTAACGGATAGTAGAATATCTCCCTCGCTCGCAAGGCCTTTTTGTCGCATATGAGGGCATACGCTACCCATCCTTCATCGGAGAAACATATATTCCATGTACGGCATCTTCATATCGGACATCTGGCCAAGGCATTTGCCCTGCGAGATGCGCCCAAAACTATAACTGGTAGCGGCCAATCACAAGGTAAAAAGTCAGGCGGAAAGAAGGGTATTCGTGACGCCCGTCATAAAGACATTGAATCGCGCATGACCGAAGTTGTCCGCTCCCAGGGCCGCTTATCCAAGAAGGGGGGTGTCATGAACAGAAGTGGGACATCTGAATTCCAGATCGCTGGGGGGGATGCACTCGAGAAGCTGGTGAACCGGATGGGATCATGATATCAGTTGCAGGTTGGGCGATGTTAAAATCATGTACTTGCAGTGCCTCTAGTCGATTTTTTTGCGCGGCCCTCACAATCCGGATCAACTGCAGCTGTGGTTGAGGCAGTGTGGTTGAGTAAACTTACGCAGCGCCCAAGGATCTTCCGACGAGTAATATCTTTCAGGAGTAGATCCGTAGCGCCGAGGTTAAATTCTTAATATATACACAGGCGGACGCAATGATAAATGACGTACGGGCCCTTTCTCATCTCCTATGACCAGACATCGAAGAAATCCTGTAAGTATGTCAAGTATTGTCGAGAAGATTGAGGGCGTCGTCCGCAGCAGCAAGACTAGGTCACCTGGTGATGAGCACTCATTCGACGTTCGGTATGTGGATATCAACATCCAGGTAAGTATGTCGTGATAATGCTTTTACACATTTATCTAATTTGCTCACCAAGTTCATCGGGGCCTCTGGCCTACCGAAAATGGATGTAGTTGGTAGCGCCGACCCGTATTTTGTGGCAAAAATTGATGACCGTATCACATTTGTGTATGTTGGCTTGGACCGATTCATGTCTCTCACTCCCTGACCTAATCTGCAGTTCTACTGTAATCACGAATACTTTGGCGCCAGTATGGAACGAGGTTTGGCGGGTAAAGAATGTCCCTGTTACCGCCGATCTTCTAGTCGAAGTTTTCGACAAGGACGATGGTGCACCTCACGACGACTACATTGGAAAGTTCAAAACTACCATAACTGCTGGGGCAAAGGAGGCTGAAATTGAAGGGCCTCTTCTCAGACGCAATAGGGGTACATTCTGGCTCAAGGTATGGCATCCCGGTTCCTTTCATATGTATCCTGAATCTCATCTAACATTGTCCGTCAGATTGACTCCGAGCCGTCGGAGAGCGACCAGGAGTACCTATATCTCTTTGATGGCCCTATACGCTACTCTCGTCACTTTTCTCCTACTGTCGGTATTCTGACAAACCTGGACAATAACGCGCGCCGCTATTCCACTTGGAAGGTTTTCATTGTCGGGATTCCATTGTTCTTCAAGGATACCCATCAGCATTGGAATGTCAATTACAAAGCTGCACAGAGTATATTCCAGGGACCAGCATCCATTGCGGTGCGGTCGACCATCCAAGCAAGTCATCGTATGCTCTACGCTCGCAAGACGACCAACGGCTTCGGCCTCCTGGAGAACCCTGGAGATTTTATAAAACTCCTACACGGGGTCGCCGATAGTCGTCATATTGGTCCTACCTCTCGTAACGACTTTGCCCATCGGGTAAAACCTGCTGTATACACCTACATCATTTCCGCCGACGATGATTCGTTCCGTTTCTCGGAGACTGGAGCCGCGTTTTTCGTCGACTTTGCATCGAAACATGCGCTGCATAGTAATTGTGCCGAGATGGTACGGTACAGCGGCGAGTTCCATCCAAGGCCTGCCGGGGGATGGGACAATTTCAACGATGATATCCTCGACGATCAAGTCCAGTGGGAGTTAGTCATTGACAACAACTCTGGAACGTACTCTCCTGATCCCAAGATGCTTCCTGTCTTGAAAGAATTGCTGGAATATAACTTTCCAGATGTAGCGGTGTTTGCTTTATCTCATGAAGATCCAGAGCTTGCTAAGAGCCGGGAAGCTTGTAGGGCATACGCCTTGAAATATCGAGGAATCCGGAAGGAAGAGCTTCAGCCCCACTTGGCAGAAGGCGAGGTTACTCTGTCACACCAAGCTGCAGTTCAGTGTGGTGGCGTAGATGGAGGTGTCCAATAGCTTTTTTTAAAAGTATGTGCTGGTATTATTTGGCTGTGATATTCTATTATCGGTATGCTATACAATTATCGATGTACTCATATTATTCTAGAGGAGTTGGTGCACAGGGATTGTCACAAAGCTACATTTATTGTAATATAGCCTCTTCCACCGATGAAGTGTCCACTTGGAACTGGACGTGCTATCAAAACCGGTGCGATGGTTTAGGAATGCATTGGCAACAGATAGGGTGGCGTAACAGGACAACAGCGACGCATGTAAAGGTACTTCGGAGAAGGCAGGCTACGCAGGGAAAGAGAATGGCCACCTTGATTGCAACAATTGTGAACAAGGAACGCAGACGGGAAAAAAGTTTTCACATACAGAACGCCACTTCTTACATGTCTCGAATAATGACAGAAATGCCAGGTTCTTCAGATCTTGCCCCTTGAGGCCTTAGCTGCCTTGAACTTTAAGGCAGTTGCTACCCATCCAATCATATCAACATCCTTGCTCTTCTCCTCTGCAAGAAAAGGATGAGCCAGTAGTTCGGCATAGTTCGCCCGTTCGTCTGGGTTGGTGACCAAACATCTTGAAACCCACGCTCGGGCGACCGAGCTGTATCTCTCCGGTAGTGCAGGCACATCACCGTTGATCAAGGCAGTCATCTAACACAGATTACACTAATCAGAAATTTTTCAAGAGGGAGACTAATAACTTACATAGGCCATAGCACTTCCTCTGCTGTCGACTGGATAAGGATATTTACCCATAGCTATCTCGAGCGTTGAAAGCCCCAGTGACCACACATCAGAAGATACACCGTAGGCGACATTTCCGGGCTGGAGGCCACTCTCAATTCGTTCAGGCTACATGTTATCGATAAATTGAAAGAGTGATGCAAGAAGTCGCCCGCACTTACAGCCATGTAGGTCTGACAGCCCACTACGGTCAAAGCGAGTGACTTCTGCAACTGACCAGACACGCCAAAGTCACACAACTTGATTTCCCCCTTGGTATTAGCCAATATGTTGGTAGGCTTCACGTCTACGAGCGTGATTTAATGAGAGAAACGCCATTTATACGCAAGGGATTCGTACCACGGTGGATAACCTCCAGTTCGTCTTTCAGGAACTTCAAACCGCGAACCGTGCTACCCACGATCCGGGCTAGAACCTCTTCGGGAAGACCCTCCCATGTCAATGACTCGCCCGATAGCTCGAATCGCTCATCGATATCAAAAGCGGTAAGCGTATCAAGACTGCCGGCATCCATGTATTCGACGCAGTAATGCACGCATCCTTCGTCGTAGAAGGCGCCAAAGAAACCAATAATGGAAGGGGCAACGGCGCGATGAAGAATCTCCAGTTCCATTTCGATCGTCTTGAACTTTGCGGATTCGAGTTCGACGCGAATTTGCTGCAATGAGACAGGTCACTTGATGGAGCGACAGCGATATGAATAGGACATACCTTCATGGCCATCTCAACGTTGGTTGGCATGTGGAGCACCCGCTTCACAGTTCCATAGTTTCCTCTACCGAGCTCTTCTAACTGTTCGAAGTCTTCCATACGAACGGCGAAGGAGGCACCATTGACAAAGTTAACACCTGAGGCATTTATGCTCGCCTTGCCCTTGAAGTTGATACTACCAGAAGCATCGCTATGTGGACGACGATGAGAAAGTAATGGAGAGCCTGGGGAAGATATGACCTACACGATATGAGAGAAGCTGGAGAAGGACGTCTGAAAGGCGGGGACTCCAGACTTGGAAGGGCTGCCAAGGACGGGCTTGCCAGCGCGCTTAAGGCCCTGGGATGGTGGGCGAGCTAGTCCCACCATGGACGATAATAAGTTAGTCTCAAGACCCTCAAAGGCGGCAACGCATAGCCGGGGCCCGTACTTTCAAACTCCGCTAAGCCAATGTCTCCTCCCACTCCCACAGACGTTCCCAACACACCGCCCGTCATCACCCCAGGTGGCACCTATTCTATCCAGGTATTGTGTCTTCTTTGATATCTTGATTTCTCTATTATTCTGATTGTGAACAGACCGTTTCTGTAGGCTGCAAGATATACATTCGTCGCACTGACTCCGACGGCAATCCCGAAGAGCGTCTAGCTGAAATTCTTTCCATTCGCGACAAACCAGTCAATCCCTATGCCCGCAGCACCAGAGCCAGCCAGAGTAGTGATGCAGAAGTGAAACCAGAGGATCAGTGGGAGTTCTTTGTTCATTGGGATGCTTTCAATAAACGCCTCGACGATTGGGTTCCGGGCTCTCGTCTTGTTTTGAGCAGGGATCTCGAGTGGCCTCGTCCAAAGACACCTGCGGGAAAGAAGAATACTACTGCCAAGAAGGCTCCTGGCAAGGCCCCTCGCGCTCAAAGTTTGCTGAAGAAAGCCACCACAAATGCAGCCATCGCCACATCGCCACCAACACCAACCTTATCTTCCCATATTCCAGAATTCACAGCTTCCCCCTCTCCGGCCCCATCACCGTCGCCATCCTATCTCAAACGGAAGACCCCACATGATGAGGAGGAAGAGGAAGAAGAGGACCCAGAAGATCTTGATGCAGATGCGGATGGGGACATGGATGTCGACGGAGAAGCCGACCTCGAGACGTTCGACCTTAGCATGACCGAGTCCATGCCGTCCGAAAACCTCACTGCAACCTCTACATTCAGCAAAGAGCAGGAGATTGAAAAGTTACGCACCTCAGGCTCCATGACTCAATCCATTTCCGAAATTGCTCGTGTCAAAAATCTCAACCGTCTGCAGATTGGGAAACATGAAGTCGATGCATGGTATTTCAGCCCTTATCCGAAGGAATATGCCCATCTTCCTATTCTCTACATCTGCGAGTTCTGTTTGTCATTCTATCCCTCTCCCATGATGCTCTCCAGACACAGGTTGAGGTGCACTATGCTTCATCCTCCTGGCAACGAAATATACCGTCATGAAGACATTTCCTTCTATGAGATAGATGGGAAACGCCAATTGACCTGGTGTCGGAACCTCAGCTTGCTGTCAAAGTGCTTCCTTGATCAGTGAGTGTATGGTCAATTTCTTACATCAATTCTAACGTCACCGTAGCAAAACATTGTATTACGACGTGACGCCTTTCATGTACTACGTCATGGTCAGTTCTCCTTGGTATTTGTGTATGCAACTCTTGAACGACTTCTAGGTTCAACGAGACTCTACCGGCTGCCATGTCATTGGCTACTTTTCCAAGGAAAAGGAATCGGCGGAAAGCTACAATGTTGCCTGTATCCTGACGCTGCCGCAACACCAGCGCCATGGGTATGGTAAACTTCTCATTGAGTTTTCGTATGAACTCAGCAAGAAAGAAGGAAAGCTAGGTAGTCCGGAAAAGCCTTTGAGTGACCTAGGCTTGTTGGGATATCGAGCGTACTGGGCAGAAACCATCATCGAACTCTTGCTGAACAATACAGACGGCGAATTGAGTATCGACGACATAGCGCAGAAGACGTCCATCACACATGCCGACGTGCAAAACACGTAGGCATTTCACAATCTTAATAGTACCAATTGGCTGACTATTTCTTAGATGCGTAACCTTACAATTGTTCAGGCACTACAAGGGCCAGAATATGATATGCCTGACAAACTCAGTTCTAGAACGACACGAGAAGGCGCGCAGTAAACGACGAAGGCGAATTCATCCCGAGTGTCTCAAGTGGAAACCACCAACGTTCACACGAGATCAGCTTCGGTTCGGATGGTAGAGGAACATGTTTATGCGCATATGTACCATATTGTACGACTCCCCTTGTATTTCGTAGATTATTCCAACACCATCATTCCTTGACCTCCGTCTGGTTCTGTCGTCTCCTCAAATGTAGTTCATCTCCTCCGACATCCCCAATGAGGGCTTTAGTACCTTCCTCAGGCAATTGCCGTCGAGTGATTGTAGGAGATGCGGCTCTGGAGACAACTGGAGACAACCCATCAACCCCAGACAACTTATTTTCGTCCGACGTGAAATAGGCATGAGGTGATGATGTATCAAGTGAGTCGAGCGGGGTGACATCGTCGACGTTCATGGCGGGGATGTTGAGGCCGGCTGATGCAGAATCGCTGGTGGAAGCTTTGACGACATCAACGATACCAAGGGTGCGAGCAACACCGTATGACGCGAGATCCTACAGTGTTGTGAGCACGAAAGCAGTAGACAGTGAAGAACTCAGACATACGAGCAGAGTAATGACTACTATGGGAGATACAAGGAATATGGCGACAATGCGAAAGCCATAGGCAATGCGAGCGACCCACGAGTTTGGGGAGTAGTACCAGAGGTATTCGAGGTATAGGTCCCAAATGAGACGAGGGAGGGAAGAAGGGTCCATGGCGCTGGCAATACTGGGAACGAAGGTGGCGTTCGTCGCAGCAATGGATTCCAAAACTAGAGCAGAGGACGGGACTTGAAGCATTTACTGTGAAGGGACTGGCAAAGGAGTCGACTCGTCACCGTACTCCGTGCCACCTCTTTGCTCCTTGTTAGGTTCAAATCGGGAAACACACGGCATTACCGGAGGCTGTTGACAAACACGTGCCATATGCAAGACTACTGTGATACAGTTCTAATGTCTATATTGTGCATACATGCAACACGTACGGCTAAGCCAGTGTCATTTAGATTACCCAAAGTCCACAAGAATACATACAGAAACAGATCCAGCAAAAATGAAGAGAAAAACAGCAACTTAACACAAAGCAAGATAGTACCATGATATCAAAGAGCAGGGACGCGAAGAGATGGGATAAATAAAAGTATCACGGATACATTGTGGAGGAGGGGAACACGACACCATCCGCCCGGATGAGAATAATTGGGCGGCGCTTACCGCCAGAGGATGAACCGTCCGGAGGAAGACATCCAAGAACTTCTGTGCACCGGACCTCGACATATGGTGATGGATCCGCACCAAAGTATACGCCCACCGGATCTGCCTTGGAAAAGTTTTCGCCATACAGCGTCAACATCTTCGACTGGTGGGGGTTCGGCTTTGACAGCACAGCACGAGAAGACGGGCAATTCGTTTTGGGAGCTTCTGATGCACGATCAGGAGGAAGATATTTTACCACACCCGGGAATGGAGTGACTGGCTTGGACGGAACGGGGAACGAACCCGTCTGCGGCGCATGCTGATTGTCGAACAAAACGGGCGGTACATAAAAGTTGTAACGGACCTGGTCTGTTCGTTTTTGTTCATCATCAGTGCCAGACTAAGAATGACCTAAGTAAAAACTTACCCGTGCCTACAATGGTCCAGACGCTGGTTTCGCCGATATCGACCTGCCACAACGCCCCGGACCCTCCTCCGGCATCGCTTGACGACCCGCGACGCGTAGAGGACGTCATAGAACCGGCGGAACTTGGTCGCCGACGGTTCTTTCCGCCAACGTTCCGAGAAGTTGCGCCTGCGCTTGATGTTGATCGCTTCTTCTTCACACGCCCGCCGTCATTCGAGACAAGGTCAGACGCTGAGGATGGAGAGCCAGGTGCACTATCTACTGGGCTGAAATAATCACCCCCAGTAGAATTCAATGGGGAGCCGGGCATCGTTGGCGAGCTTGCACCGTTGCCCGCATTCCATTGTCGGCCATCAATGGGTCGGTAGGTGTTCACCTTCTCGCCCATACAGGATAGGAATGCGCCAGATACACCTGGTGAACCAGGTGCTGGAGCTCCTTTGCTGTTGTCATATACCTCAAACGCAATTTTATGCAATTGAGAGACAGGGTCACCGCAAACTTCTCCTGGAGCACAATAGTGATCAGCAACGCCTTTCGCGCCGTCCTGGAGACCGCCCCCGACGACAGTGGTTTGATGATCCACCTTCCGGATTATCAAGACGGGGCTCACTACACCAGACGTTAGGCACTGCAGGACAACTGTCTGGTTGTAATATATCGGTATTTGTGATCCGTTATTAGTAAACGGGATAGCATTTGGAGGAGGCGATGGATAGTCTGGCTGAGGAGGAGGCGGCGGCGGCGCGTCAATCCCACCGGCAGGCTTATTCACGTCCACAATGTACATAACAAAAGGATCTATGCCGCTTTCCATATTAGAAATATCAGAACGTAGTCAGCTCAAAAGACTCACCCCAGCTAGCTGTTCGGGCTATGAAAGAAGGCGAGCTGGCTCTGGTTCTCTGGTCTAGGCCCATGAGAGGTGCACCGTCTGAACCCTTGAACGAAGATCCTGAGCCGGACACACACAAATACTTTGTGGAAACGGTTTGTGATCGCAACCGATGGAACAGAGATATCGTCGATCCGTGATTAATACAAACTAAACGAGTATAAGCCCGCTGAGTGGAAAGAGTATAGAGAACTACATACGCTCGAGATTCTTAGCGCTTTGTCGCTTTTTGCTGGGTTTACTGATGACTTTGATAGGGCGACTGGGGAAAGTACCGATCACCCGTTCGGGCTCCTCTTCGGTCGCTGGAGATGTTATCTTAACCAGCGCTTCGACCTTCTTTTTCTTCTCGTCGACATCGGAAATGAAGAGCTGTTTGCCAACACAGCGTCCAATGTATGTTGTTCCAGTCGGTGGGTCGTTCACATCGAAAGACTTCCCGGAAGAACCCGTCCACTCGACAGTACCTTCCTGAGGCGACGGCTCGCCTGAGATCGATATTACAACTCGCGGAGGCGACAGCTTTGACTCGTCTCCGCGACGGACGACATCAGTCCACCAGGAATTTCCAATCATTATCGCCGTCGGTGGCGGGCATAAAAATCTATGAGTACCCTGTTAGCTACGTTTGTGCCACGATATATAGTAAACACCTTTTCTCCGTTCCATAAGATTTTTGAGCGACTTTGCTTGACATGACGATTACGGTTCGTTCTCCAAATGCCAGTCGATTGGGCGTTCGTACATATTGATCAAGGTATGGGCTGAGAGTGGTGCTTTAGAAACCGCGTCTAGCATGAAGAGGAAGGCTTACCGAATGAAGGTCTGCAGATCGTTAGACACTCCCATCATAGGATGGTTCCGAAGACCAACTCTGGCCAATTGTTCATCCACGCTAGACATACGGAGCGCCATATCATTCGAGGCCGCACTTCCTCCCATATATGAAGGAACGTCCTCGAATGATACACCATTATCGGGCCTAAAGCTGTGCGTCACCTGAGGAGGCACCGTGCGCAGAATGTCTGGGCTACGGCTGGAGGTGATGTGTGGCGGGACGCCAGAAGCAGACGAATGACCGGATTGATAGGGACGAAGTCTCTCCTGAAAGTGCTGCATCGCAGAGGATGAGAACGAAAGGCTATTGCTGACGCCCCCCATCACATAATCGTCAGGAAGGTCTGATTGGTAGCTGCTGGGTAAAATGCCGGGAATACGACGCTCAGCGCCATTAAAATCATGGAAGCCTTGAGAACCATATTCCTTCAAGCCCGCAGAGGGAGGAAATCCAGGAGGATGTACAGGATCATTTGGGGTCAGTGGAGAGATCTTTCCACTACTGTAAGACGAGGGTAGGCTGTTGATCATATCGTAACTGTTACCGTTGGATCCAGTGAAAGGCACAGAATCATTGAAAGTCTGCTGAGAATAAGCTCCATCCCCATTCATTCCGTAGCCTTGACCAATTGAAGAATTGGAAGACGCGTTTCGGCGGTAATGAGAGCCGAACGCACCGTTCGACGAAGAGTTACCAAAGAGTTCATAACTACTATGTTCCTGGACTGATATGAGTGCTAATACATGCTTAAATCCAAAAGACAACATACTGGTTCAATGTTATTCGGCGAGAAAGATGAGTCCAGCTCCTGAGGCGAAAATATAGGCTGATGATGGTTGGGGGAAACGAAATCCATGGATAACTTTAAGTTTCTGCGTCGATTCAAGGGAAAACGAGACGCGCCCGAAGGTGGATTGAGTATATCAGCAAGATCCCAGCGAGAGATGTCGGATGGGGGAGGGAGTGGACGAGGTGCAAGAGAAAGCTGCAAAAGAGAGGATGAGTGTCAGGAAGAGAAAGTAATCGAAGTGGTAGAATGTGCGGGGTTGTCACTGACAAATTCTGATCGGCGTTCGGCATTTTCCGAACCAAGCCAGGCTGAAGCCATCCAAACCAGTTTGTACGTTGTCCCTTGCTGTTCCTTGAAATTGAACCAATACGTGCCTCTGTGTTGGCTTCTGGATATTGCAATAGGTAGGAGATCCACAGTCAAGGAGAGTGGTGTATCTATTCTCACTCCCCCCTCCTTTGGCCTTTATACAACTGCTAAGCTGTATCGGCATGGCCGGGAGATCTCGTTCCGTATTAGAGATCCCGTGTGCGACTTTGAAATGTCTTTTTAGGATTCGTTACCGCCATGCGCAATCAGCCATCGTGTCCTTCTCGCGTGTTCTCCAGCCTCGGTTTACCGGTTCTTTCTAGTATTAACGTATTCCACCGCTCCGAATTTGAGTCGTGTGTCCCGATTGGCTCTAGTTTAGCATCCCCCAGCGCCTTGTGGTATTCCGTATCGGCGGACATGCTTCTGATCTAGGTTGTGATCTCGCGGCACTCGAGAATGTCCTCGGTTTCTGCCGCTGGACGGCCTTTTCTGATCTGCTTGGTCACTGTAGTAAATGTCTCCGGACCCGACATATCACTCTTCACTTCATTCGACTTGTTCGTCTCCTCACTGTGGCTGAATTTCGCCGTCAGCTCTCCTACTCGTCACTCATTAAGACTCCGCGTCGCTTCTCTGTTTCCATCCAGCGGATGCTTTAATCGACGATGCGGTATTTTATTGGTCTATGTTGAACCAGTAATATTCTTCCAACTTACGTTATCTGCTCCTCTGATAGGTACAATTCAATGCTATTGAAAATGGGGTCTCCCTTGCTACGGTTCATCCACTACATAGCACTCCAGCTTCCCCAGTTCAGATCGACATGAACACTTCTTGTGCCTTACACGTCCTCTGAAATCTGAAAATATGACTGGAATGTTCTTCCTTATTATGGCCTTTTCTTCTTACAGGGCTCTTCTCGGGCCGCTCCGAATGCCTTAGTGGCATCACGATCTTCCAACCATATGGTTTTTTTTTCTTCGGGAACTCGGCCAAACTGCCGTCGCTCAGTACAAACTAATTCAATCAAGACACTGACGGACGTTTTATCAGACACATCTAAAGATCTCTTCTCTGGCAGCCCTGGATTTCTGAGAAGCGCTTGGAGCGCAACGGGCAGGGCAGACTCGACAGAAACTCGAGATCGGTGTCAATAGTACTGGGTGAATGCGTCATAGGCTATCCCAGATTTCGGACGAGAAAAGCGTTTCAGACCACGGTCGCGCTTCCCTCCCAGTTGCTCCAGTCAAGTAGCAGTGGCGCTATTGACTTTAACGTTAATCAATCGAATTTTTATCAGGCGTTGAGAAAGTTATTAGCAACTTCTTACATTGCAGGGGGAATGATGGATACCGCTAGGCAGTGAGTGATTGACAAAATGATTCAAAGGGTAAAAATTTCTGACCGGGGACTGTACCAACTGCAGCGTCATCGTTTGGGAAAAGACAGCGTGGACAGAACTGTCGAGATGCTAGGCGCAGTCAAGGGTATACGTCGACGTGAGCGCCAGTCGTTTCCATCAACATCACCTAATAGACGGATTCGAAAGCCAGACCACATTCAATCACCGTTCAAACTGTGAAAGAAGGCAACGCATACCCGGACTCCTTAGAAATTCCGGACCCCTAAGGCGGCCAAGCCATAAAGTAGCGATGCTCTTAAAACCATGTAAATGCCGTGACGGGCTAGTTTACTGATGTAAAATGAAGATACCCCTGAGAAGGATGGGCGTGAACGTATCTAAGAAGCGAAAGCTAGAAGCAATCACGCACTAGAGTTATTATGATTCTGAATACCACTGATTTAGCAAGTCTCCGAATCCGGACGATTGATATCGAATGTAGATTAAATTGGTGCAAGTGAGACTGCTGGATCACGAAAACACATACGAGCCGGCGGCGAACTCGGCCTTGGATATATATACGAGATTAGGGGAGAACGATGCAGGGTTAACTTCAGCGAAGCATGGATTGAATAGCTCTAATATTCATTTTATGTTATTGTCCATAACATGGTCATCCCAGCCATCAGCTGAGGTGGAGCGGGGCTCGGTAGTGAAATAATTCAATCATTATCTGAAATTCTAAGAGAGAGCCGTCTAGCATTTCCCTTGAGTAGTTCGGATTCGACGGCATCACGTACTTCACCAATAGCTCACATTCTAGAAATATTCCTCTATGGCCACCATTGACATATGCATGGCCTAGCTATGGCCGACCACACTCCTTTACCGACGTCCTTTTCACGCCCCTCTGGTTCTACATCATCTAGCTGGTTCATGCAAAAAGACTGAAAAGGTAGTGCACTCCTTTCTCTTGCGGGTACTTAGATGGAAGATGCAGAACGGCATGTTGAGATGTCCGGTGAGTCAGAAAGACGCGATCACGACGCACTCGTCTGAATTTGAAAACAGAGTCGGCCTGTGATCTTTACCAGCACAAGTGAGAACCTTGTTTAGCTATCGTCTTAACGAACACAGAACGACATTCGCTCACACGTTGAGGTTCTTTATATGTCTTCCTTTATTCAATTATCGTCTAGGCAAACGAGGAAGCGATCGACCTTGAACATGCCAATGTTGCAATTCTTGTCCAATCAGCAAAGCGAGGGAGGATGAACTTGGGCAGCGACTATCATTGAGGACAAGCATGGAAAACCACGAGAACGGTCATTTCAGTCGTATTTGCGTTGTTGCAACATTTCTTAACTCGATTTACAAGCATCGGCCATTTTCTCTATGCACTTTCTGAATCCCGTTCGTTTCAGTTGCCTGTCTACTGACGCGTCTTGCCGCAACAAGGTCTATGTAGTCGTAAGAAAAATCAAGTGGGACGAATAAAAAGTAGGTAAGCAATACGAATAAGTCCTTATCCTTCAACCGTATCGGACAATCCTCAGTGTCAGAAACCTCGAACGTGCAGCTAATTAGTACACACCCCGACAGTTTCGGTGACGTCAGGGTAACCCGGGCGCTGGTCACGTATGGCAGACCTTTAGGGGAACGTGGGGGCTACTTAAGTAGGAGTATTGGATCGTCTAGGTACCGAAATCTCGAGGAGTTAAATATTAACTCATAATACCAACAAGTGACGCTGGAGGTGTGTCCTCGCTATCCTAAGAGAACGACGCCGGTAACTCTCTAAGAAAACTTCAAAATCGAATGAAAATCAAGGAAGTGAAACAAACGCGCCCTATCACGGCACCGGTATCGACCCGAGTCTTGCCATCTGCGCCGTAAGAATTTACCATCGCACTCGGAGAAAACTTGCGTTCCAACTCCCCTCTCGTCTTGACTCTGTTCGGCACGCGGGAAAATTCAGGAGGTACAGGGATAGCGTCAATCTCCTTCGGAGAGTAGGCTCGACCGCTGAGATCCGCAAAGCAACAGACGAATTTGTGTGTTTGGCCCTTGGAGTCATCGTAGCGGACGATGCTGGCTGGCCTGCTTGTTTCCGATTCGACGACGCGGAGTAGAGACTTGACTGCGTCTCTAGGATCATTAGAGGATTGATAGATGTCTAAAGCATCATCTTCGAGCTCGTAGCCGACAAAGACGACGGGGAACCCGCCCATGATTTTAACTTGAAGCTTGAACGTGGAAGTCAAGGACAAAGGTGCATTGCGGGTGGCGGTGCGGGTCATAGCGCTAGCGTCTCTGCTCAAAATGTGAAAAAACCTGGGAGTGTACTCCGAGTATACGTTGCCCTCGGGGTCCTTTATCATCAGGTATTGTTCCGACGTTAAGAATGCATGCTATGAAATCGTGATCCTGTGTAACAATATACTAAGCAATACTATCTTTGTCAACGGTCCGTTCACAAGGTTACCTTTGGTAACAGCCAAACGACTGTATAGGAAGCGACTAGAAAGGCAGGGAGGACGAGAGGTAGGATAGCCCCAAGTAATAGTGTTCTCTTATTGGATGGCACCCAGACCTGGAAAAATATTCACGGAAATCGCGACATATATAGTTGCCGTTGGCTGCGAGCCGTCGTGTAATAAGCCTCCCACACCACGCCATGATAATACATCGTGTGGGGTAGCGCGCTCGCCATGTTTTAATAAGATTCATTACCAGATGATGAATTGGTCCCAAGGACAAATATAAAACACGGAAATCCATAGCCAACCCTCTAATATGCCGCCCATTCTTCCTCATCATTGAACTTGTTCCGCGACTTACTGGGTCCCGAAATGTAAGCAGAAATTAACGGATGTGAGCCCTTAATACATACGCTGCACAGCAGACTTATTTCCGATAATGCCATCTCCTCATGACCCAAATTATGAACCAAGCGCCTGTGTTTTCTATAGTCGGAGTACCTGGCGCTCATATGTTGTTTATGGGGCGATAAGCGCAGTTTAGTATGACCTGAACTTGAGGTTGTCGCTTCGGAGAGTCCAAGCTTGTGTTTCTCGAACCCGTGGGACTCAGGTGACTCGCGTAACAAAAGAACTTGTTAGATCTGGACCTAAAGAAATGACAGAGCAGAGCCAGGTAGATTTCCTTCAGCAAAGTGAGTATTCCTCGTGTCAGCAGTAAGGCAAGGGCTGGCAAAGAGGCGTGACGATACTGTGACAATTCAACTTTGGTGGCTCGATGTGGCGATAGCAATTCGACCTGGACCTCCACATACCCGTCTTCAGGTCTTCAACCACAGACCTGCTGTATTGTTGCATTTCTATGTCCTGCTATCCTTTAGGTCTGTCTTTTCTCTGGAGATGATAATTAGTCTTATTGGCTCTTACAGATACCTAGACCGTTACCGAATCGTCATCCTATAGGTCGCTCTCCCTTCGCTGCTGGGATATACGATGACGGGGTCGTCGTATCGTCTCGAAACACCGCGTTCTCGGCAGCATCCGGACCCTTTGCATTTTGAACACTCGTCATTTACCCCATCTTCGGTCATTAGCAGCCATCAACACTCACCGAAGTCGCCACCACTCCTTTACGAATTGCCTTCTCCTACATCCATGTCGCCACCTACGAGCCCCAAGTCCAAGGGACGCCTCATCTCACCAACTTCCCCCTCATTTCCCGGTCGTTCAAGAACACCCAGGAGCGGCAGGCCGACCCCACCGCCGGTCCGTCGAAATCGTTCAGTCACCCCGCTGGGAGTCGTTCAGAGTGACTTGGAAAGGTTCGCCGACCAATGTCGGGCCTGGTGCGTATGGAAGAGACTCCCTTTAGGCAAAACTAACAGTTCCATCATTTATCAAGGTATTTCAATCAAGACGATAAGGCCGGACATCTGATGACCCAGACTCTGGCGACTATAGCTCCGTCTCAGCGTGCATCTTACGCAAGGTTACAAGCGTCCACGCGCGCAGCCTACCATCGTTCCGTAACTGCAAGAAGGCACGCCGAATTCGAGGCTCACTTGAGTGCGACACTGCCTGGTGGGTCCTTGTTGCCCCACTCCCGAGCGAATCCAAGCAGTCCCGCTGCACAGAAAGGTATTTACTGTGATCCCAAATCCTTACGACGCGACGATTGAGTACATGCACTATTTTCAGAACGTCTCGATCGATTTCAGCGCTTTCTGCGAACATGGTGTACATTGGGGATGCCAGGACCGCAACCTTTCTTTTACGGATGTCAGTCTTTTCTTATTTTATGGTACTGTAATGATGACACTCAGATCATGTCTCTCCTTCAGTATGGGCATTAATGCGATTGCAAACTATACCAGAGAATATCGGAGGTGCAGGTTGCAATAGAATAGACTGGGAGATCGATGATGCTGTGTTTAAAGAGACAGCGTAGGTTTCTCCCCAGCCTCTTTTGATTGTCCAGCTCAACCGTGCCTTTCTAGTGGGAAAGATTTTATGCTTGAAGCAATAGATGTTCTGAAAGGAGTGAGTTATACATAAAACCATCCGCGTACATATCACTCATATTTTTTAAGGTGCTAGCATTTGAAGAAACGTCTTCATCCAAAAGAGCATCTTCCGCCGTTACCGATGAGCTCGCATCGCATGGCATTGCACATTCGCGCTCCCAATCTCAGCCTCTCTCATCTCAAAGCCCCATGCATATAGTAAAAGGCGCGACGCCTAAACGTCCACGGGCTCCTAGTGATCCCTTTCTGGATACACCGGCACTTTCACGTTCTGTTGGATCATCATTATCACAATCATCTGACACCAACTCGACATTACTTACAACTCTGATTTCTGATAAAGTAGACGACCCTCCAAGTCCTCTTTCTGCCTACGAGGAAGAGTATGTGTCGCCGACGGCTCGAGGCAGATCTGCACAGGATGATCTGTCTGAAGAGTTCTTGCGTGTCTGGACATCGCCCGATCTCCCAAATTCTGAGTACCGCGACCTACTCAAGTCGTTCCCTTCTTTTCTGACTCGACGACCTTTGCCTCGGTTTCCGACACCGTCCAAGTTACATGCAACTGATTTGGAGGAAGGTTTTGTGGATACGCTAGACGCCAAACAAATCCGCTTCGGAACCGGTTGCATGTGGATTGGCGCTAAGCAGCGCAGTGATGGCTGGCAGGGCAGTTGGTGGTCAAGATTTATATCGTGGTGGAAAGAGACATTTTGCTAGATGCATCATGCCTTTCGCTTCGTTCTGATTTTTTCCCGCTGCGCTTGGACTATATGTACCCTTCATGCATCTTTCGCAGTTAAGTATCTTGTTTCAATGTTTGCATTTCTCGCACCATCTACAGGAAGTACATTTGCACACCGCCTATCATATCTCACTGTCTATGGTGATTCGGGACATACTACAATTCATGTATTCGTACTGTCATACTAGTTCAGTTGTTGACACCTCGTTCCCGATACTGATCTGAGCCAGTCCGGTCCTAAATTTGCCTGCCGCTTTGCGGCACCCGCCACAGGCACCCCTGCTATATTTATTTTTCTGAGGTCGTACTAACAACCCATGATTGATTCTAGTAAGATCACTCAAGTCATTCGATATGCAAGGACACTTGGTTGTGTTTTGAGCGAATCCCCAATAATATTTCTAGTCTTCGACACCATACTGTATAACCAAAGCATAGTCACGACTGCTATCTTGGTCAAGACTCAAGTTGGCTGCCGCTGCCCCAAGTTGGAATGGATATGGTAACTGTCACGGCTCCCCGTCAAGTTCCTAGTGCCACGCACTGCGCTTCTCTCATATTCAGAAGTCTATTCTAATAGATATGATGCATTTCTTCATCAGATCCTGGAGCGCTCTGTAAGCAAGATATCGGCTGGACCTTCATGCCAAGTCTTGGTCTCATGCCTCTGATGCAATGAGCATCTATTTCTATGCATGGAAGCTTGATCAAGGACCAAGAGGTACCAGTGGTTGAGTCCGAAAGGGTTACACGTGAGGATCTGCCTTCACACAGAATCGACCTCGATCGGGTCAGGCTAAAGAGACTCATTGCCGGCTTTATCCCGCGGTCAGGTCCATGAGTTCCGTGAGTCTCATCCATTCGTGCCTTGACCGTGGAGCTAAGTACGTCGTGATGCGATAAACGCACGAGTTACTATCGAACTGTCGGCCGCGGCAGTTTCTCTTGGCGCGAGAAAGAAGGGGAAAGGGAATGTATTGAACATAGGCACTCTGCCAACTGGTCCGGGTGCAAAGTGTTAAACTGAACGAAGACAGCCGAGGCGAGATGGAATTCATTGCTGTCAGAGACCGAATGTCGCCCGGTTCCGAGCCTACCAATGATGCAAATTACTTGCATGTCCGATTCTGATCCCGTCGTTGCGTAACTTCACTTAACACTAGACTGTGGCGTTACTTCGCGATAGTTCGGATGAAGCCTAGGCAACACAGACTGAGAGCAACACAACAGGTCGGAACCGATGGCTTTCAAATTCGCATGCGCACCTGTGCGAATAATAGATGGTAGTGATTCATTTCATAGTGCGAATAGACCGATCATGATTGCAATCAATTGGCAAATCTAACTGAGTAATGGGATTCGTTCTCGGGATTATAGTGTAGTCTTGGCATGAGCACTTGTGGATATTGTTTCGACACCTTCATGTCTATTTAAGTTGCTCTTTTCCTTTTCCTACGGCCTTCGGCTACCGGGTACCTACCCTTTGAAGGATCAATGTTCAGTAGTCCACGGTAGCCCTCGCCTGCTCGTGGGGACTGGAGAAATTATGGATGGGTCATTCAGCGATATAGTTGCTCCGTCCTCTGCGCATTGCATGGAATAACCATGTGGCAATATCGGCGCAATTGTAGCGCAAGCAGAAGGATTGCATGCAGGTGGATCAGTAGGCACTCGCAAACATCTATGGGCCACAATAATCTGACCGTTTAGTTGTTCAAAAATTATCCGCTTTCACTGGTACTATCTTACAAGGTCAGAGCGAGAAAAAAATTGGCACAATTACAACGAAAGCTGGTAGTCGATATGCCAGAAAAGTCATCGGGCGTCGCGGCCACCAGGTGACCTCGAATCTTGAGAGTATTGGAGTAGCGCAGCGTTGAGAGCCCTAACGGTGGTTTTGTGGCTGTCGAATAAGCGTATAAGCGCACATACATACATAAAAGTCTTGTGAGAAGCTTACTCTGCAACGTCATTCTGAACACTAATGTAAATACATTAGCCGTGGATATCGCGAGGTACCGGTGGTGAGATACACACACCTTTGGAAACTTTCATTCAACCTAAACCTGGACCTGAGACCACGCGCTACGGACCATACATCGGAATCAAAAGCGTACCGTTTGTTCTCAGACTCCAAGTACTCGATCTTTCTTGATCTGGCGTCTCGCTCCTTCTCGGCGGCTGTTTTTTGCCTTTCAAGAGTGCGAATTTGAGACTGGAGTACTTTGAGCTCGTTTATAATTAGATCAAGTGTGGTTGACGGAGTGTAGGTACCCGTCTGAGAAGGAGAGCCATTGTGCTGGAAAATGGTCAAGTGGCAGCAAATGGCCTCGAGAAAAATTACATGCAAATGGTTTTGGGGCCCGTGATGTACTGGGAGGCGTAGGCAATCCAGACTCTTCCTCTTCGCCCTTCAACATGCGGACGGGATTAAGGGTGTACTCCGCCTCAGGCTGAGACAGAGGCTGGGAAGACGAGAATGGATCAGCGGTGCTTTGGGAAGAGCTTTGGGTACTAGTTTGAGTAGACTGTGTTGGTCCATCATCCAAACGCGGGCGCTTTTCTTGGCAAGGCGTATTCGGGTCTGAGGTCGAACGTTTCAGAGGGGTCGATGAAGTTGGCTGAGAGTCGGGTGAGACCAGAGTGTCTTCCCAAGCTGGTCGTTGCCAGTCAGTTAAACTGGCTTTACTAAAAACAACAAAACTCACCAAAGAATTTGCAAGAGCTAGGGTCACCATTGGACTTGGGGCAACGAAGGAAGGCGCTGGGGACATTGAATAAGCATGCTAATGGTACCTTAAACGTGATTATGGCTGTACCGTCCCGGATTATTTGGGGTATGAGAAACCAAGCGTTGAGCAGGAACATTTCAGTGACATGTTACATTGACGTTACTGCTGGTCCTAACCATGGGTGACTGAGGTGTGAAGAACATGACGGTAAGAGAAGGGTTAGATATAGTTACCAAATATGGATTGATATGACTGATCCGACCCCTCCGGAGCATTCAAGAAATGATTCGTATTCAAAAACTACACTTCAAACGTTACACAGCCAATAACCGTTCAACCGATATCATGATTGATAACTTTAGTTAAAGTCCTGACCGTATTCTTCAAGCTGAAAACCGTCATGAGCATTCAGATGATACTGATTGAGAGTGCTCTTACTCTTCAATGTCCTTTTCATACTTCTGAAGAGACTCCTTTAACCTGAATTGGATGTCAACATAGGAGTTGGGGTGAGTCAATATGAGCATACATTCTGTTTTCAGTCTCTAATTCATCGACCAGGTTGGCTGTTGCTTTTGAAGCGGACTTTTGCCCTTCAAGACTACGAATTTCTTCAGCAAGCCTTGAAAAGTCATTGGAGATTGAAGCCAAGAGGCTGGATGGAGTGATGCGGGAACGGGAAGGCGATGGCGGCGCTTCGCGTGTCATTTTCCTCGGCAATGAACTTGGTGGGGTTTGGAGTCCATCTTCCATATCGTACTCTTGCTTTACAGGATTGAGGGTGTATTCGCTTGTAGATGCGAAGTTGGAATGTGAGGCGCCAGCAAACACATCATCTTGTCCGACGAGAGCCTGCGTGATATCGTTGATTCGCTTCTTCTTGCTCGTCGGGGTAGATGGGAATCTGGCAGGAGATTGAGGGCTATCATCAATCCGTGGTCGCTTGTGTATAGACGGAGATTCCAACAGGGAGTCGGAAAGGTTGCGTTTCAATGGAGAACTAGGAGGACTAGAAGGTAACGATGGTTTGACGACTTCGTCATCCCAAGCTGGAATCTGTTAGTGGCCTGTACAGCTAGAATATCTGCGGCATTGCCTACCAAAGAAGTTGCATTGATTGGGGTCGTCCCGACTCTTTGCGCAGCGATAAAAGTCGCTGCAGGCATGAGTTTGTCGTCATAAGATGAGAATGTTGATTGCCTACCGGCCGGGATTCTTGACGCTGTGCGAAGTATAATGAGCTGCATGAACGCCGCCGTGGCAGTTGCAGAGAATATTTCCGTGAGCATCAACCTTGACAAAGACTTGGGACATGGTGGTGGCGTGTGAACAACGTGAACGATGGCTCTTGCCAGAAACAACGTCGCCGTCGACGATCACGAGAACCCGCTATGTAAATGTGGACTTCGAGCAAGGGTCATCACCTCCCGTGGTATAACTCATCCTGACCGCGACTATTACCGTTGTCCAAAGGAACGAAACGACCCTACTCTCTGTCGTTTGTTTGGTGAGCTCGTTTGGTTTTGGGTCGTTGACTGAATTTTGAATTGCAAGATATATCCATGGTTAGTCTGGGTGGATGAAGCGATCATGCCAACGCTCAAACGAAACTTAGCTACCGACGCTGAGCAAGAATCGCCTTCAAAGCGAACACGGACGGCTCTACCACCCACCACTCCAATCAAGAAACCTTATTCCAACTTTCCTTCAACCCCTGCTAGTAAGCAGAAGCGTATTGAAGATATTAAGAGTGGTCTTACGTCCCCGACAACTCCAACTACGGACAGCAAGAAGAACAGGCTCGAGCAGAACGAGCGCGACGGTGACGTTTTTTCATCACCATCGTCATCGTTGCGGCAAAGGGAATATGTGCTGCCACCTGTGAAGCAGGAGGGAGACGATGAGGCACCTGTTGTCCGTCCTTCGACCTTATCTTTCAACGTATAAACCTGATTCGAAATCTTCCTTAGCCTCAGGCTAATTTGCCCACGCCCGGCTCAATACAAACGAGCCTCGTAGACGCCACCGAGTCAATTCTAAATGACATGACCGTACTTAGGGACGAGGTCGCAACGATATGGAGACTCAAAGTAGCTGCAGAGCGTGGTAGGGATGCCAAAGCGAGGAGAATTGAGCAACTCGAGGCAAGGGTTCGTGAGCTCGAAACAGAAAACGAGAGGTATGTATGTCTTTTCTCTGTTTTGTGTTGTAACTTCTCATATCTCGAAGGCTGAAAAATCGAGCCTGATTTATATAGTGTTGAAGAAGGCTAATATTTGTACCCGATTATTCAATTTCAGTTCCTTTGATCTAAACCACTATGTCGCTCCTCATCCTTTCAGCCTCTGCCGTCTCTCAAGTAACCTCAACTTTCTCTGCTAATGATCTCCGGTCTCTGATGGCAAACGTATTTGCCATCGTCTCGTCGTCTTCGGATCCAGCGTATACTCCTCCTCGTATTGGAATACCCACGGAGCGTCACCATGCGTTGTTTATGCCTGCACGCATACCCGACCTAGGAACCGCGATAAAGATCGTGTCCGTACCTCGTGAAGGCGGTGGTGGTTTACCCGCAAGCACTTTGGTGCTAGATAAGGAATCAGGCGCAGTCAAAGCCGTGATCAATGCGCGGGAGCTAACTGCATTGAGGAATGCGGCAGGCTCTCTTCTATCGACGACATTGGTGGGAATGTCCGAACCTCGAGTTCTGGTCGCGTTTGGGGCTGGCACACAGGTTGAGAAACACATTGAGTTGCATGTGAAGGCGTTACCCACAATCAAGCGTTGTGTCATCGTCAATCGCATTATGAATAGCAGATTGCAGGGTTTGATGGCCAGATTAGCTACAACTTGTCCCGGTGTCGAGTTGGAAGCTGCTCCACAAGATCGTGTCAAGGATCTTCTGGCGTTAGCAGATATTATTGTCACAGCTACACCCGCTCTTGAACCGCTCTTCCCCTCGAATTGGGTGAGAAGCGGAACACACGTTGTGCTTATTGGGAGCTACAAAAAGGAAATGCACGAGGTTGATCGCGCCTTGATAGAAAGGGCATTTAAAGGCGTTCTGCTGGTGGACTCTAGAGAAGCATGTTATGCAGAAGCTGGGGAGTTGGAAGAAGGCGATCCGGTTGTCGAGATAGGCGAGGTCAAGCAACGGAGGAGGGATAACTACGTTGATGACTTTGATGGGCCCGTCACCATGTTCAAGTCTGTTGGTGTCGGGCTTCAGGATGTTGCTATCGCTTGCGCTGTTGTTGAAAGAGCTCAAAGCCTAGGCATTGGCCTTGTGGTGGAAGGGTATGATTGATTGTTGTCATAAGATACGGGGAGACAATTATATTGAGGTATTGACAGCTACTACAACAGATAGTACTGCTAATTGCGGCTGCCGTCTGGTTATCCGCGGCTTTCACAGTCAAGGCAACAAAGTCCGAACACCCACAAAGTCACCGCCGCCACTTGATAGCAATTATACGTCGACGTCTCAAGTTTGTATACCTCTCTATTGCATCGTTGCCAGTTGTGGGGCAACGCTATTGCCCCAAATAGCTTCTATATCGATACGCCATGCTGCGCAGATTCATTTGGCTACCTGATATTAAGCGAACGATGGATACAACGCTTCCGATATACCCGATACAAACGAACATACGGGTTTCCCAAAATTGTAACAGCCCAAAAGGAGGTTCCGCTGGGTAAGATTCGCTGATGCACCTTATTTGCCATGTTCCGACAGCGAACGGCATAGTGTATTCGCGGTTCTATTCAACGGTACCATTGAATGGATGGTTGGAAGGTTCTCTGGTGCAGGCGTGACCCTCATTGAGAATTTCCATTCAAAGCCGGTGTCGAAGAACATATATCCGAGGCTAGTGAGCTGCTCGCGGACTAAAGAATTAAAAGGAAAGCATACGAGATCTGATTATCTCCCAACCTGCACGCGTCGTACAATCAAGAGACTTGCTCCGTCGCTTACATATGGACGAAGAGGCATCATTCTTTCGCCGAAAGTCCCAATTATACCCACAATTGCAAACAATCCATCAGTATAGTACGCTACCTGACAGCATCGGCTTGAAGATGAGGAAGTTGCCTAACCCGTCCCCTGATAAAGAGTTAACGTACGATGAACTGTCGCTTAGTCAAACCGCTGGAAAGCTAAGAAGGATGTACGGAAAAGTTCCGAAGTTGAATCAGTCGAACCTTGGACGGCCTAGCAGTCACCCGGGTCGATATGGCCTAGATATCACCACTGTGTGAACAGTCCGGAGTCTCCAAAGTTAAGATAACGTTTAGCGGTGCCCGGATTCGACATCGACTTCATCAGCCGGTGCGGGAGGAGCCGTCTTGAGCATACGTATATGACCAGGTGAAAGAGGGGGGAACGGGTAGGACTGGTGTCATGAGGCACACCCGACGCTGTTGTCGCGTACTAGATAACCGTATTTGTTCTGTTATATGGGGCAACAACAACAGCGTGATATTCTCCCCACGTATTCACTGCGTTCAAGAGGAGTTAGTTTCCTCGGGACAAAACATGGTGCCTGTCCATGTGTGTGGACGGTGTTTTTGTAGGAGAGCTTGAAGAAAAACGTAGCCTGCGTGGATTTATGATGACCCAGCGAACTGTGCAGTACTAATACCGCTAGGAACAGTAAACAGCATGATCAGGAGTTCCAAAGAATGGTATTCAGAGCGCGATTCGCGCCATTGGCGGAACATACAAAGTTCCGTTGTATCCTATTGTATAATATCATTATTAAGACCTGGGGAAATGACGCAAATTAACGCACATGACGAATAGTAGGACCGACTCGGGAGTGACTCATGAGTGGAAAAAAACCCAAGACCAAGGAACATGACTCCGCCTAGGAAAATACCTTATATCGGGATTCGGAACCTGTGTGAGGGGAAATTGAAGACCGCTGCTGCGCCCGATCCATGTCGTTGTTGGTGTAGTTTAGACTGCGTCAAAGTGCGGAATTTCGAACTTTCTATCGACTCCGGCTACTTGGTTGGAGATAAAACGCAATCCTATGCAATCCTAGCGTCTGGCTTGAAAGACAATGCACCGAAAATCGTACCTATATAATATATCCGGACGCCGATGAGCAAAGGTCGCAGGTGATATTTCACACAAGGCCTTGAAATTTAAAACGCGTTTTGGCCGTGTTGTCAATATTTTCCTTGGCGATGCTGCCTTGGCAATCCAAATCGATTGTTACTTGAGAAGAGCGAGGTCAAAGTAACGCTTGGCCCTATCACCTGAAAATTAGGTGACGTCAGTGCTAGTGGGTCGCTGGGAAGCACTGGAATCGTCTGAAAATGATATGTATTCGGCAAAAGAAAGTTAGAAAGACCGTAGATATACTTACACGGTTATCAAGATCGATACCCGCGCATCGGTTTCAGCGTTCCGCGACATTCGTAGTGCCTGGTCCCTAAGTCCAAGGTAGAATTTGTGTTTCTCGAAAACGCATCGCTCAAGCACCAGCGGCAGGCCTTGCAACACGACGATGCCACGTAAGGCTGTATCTAGATCCAGCTTGGTGAAAAAAGTAGCAGGCAGGCGGCATAAATTTGCCATGACAGTGCCTTCTGTTTGAGGGCCAGGTCGAAATACTACACAAACATCGGGCAAAAAGGGCTTAGCAAGGGTGCTTGCAACTGTTCGCCTGGATGACGGAACAAGGTGGCAATTAGATGGAAGGGTCGAATAGTAATCGGAGAAGTAGTACAGGGTAAGCAATCGGGAGCAGTGGACGCGGACTTTTCTTGCTCTGAGCCAATTCAGTTAACGTGTTACCGTACTGCATTGCCAGTACGACAGGAAGATATAGTACTCAAACACTGGAGTACCACCGGAAAACGGGATGGAAGATCGGGATACCAATTTGGGCGATGCACGATACCAGGGTTACATCTGTGACATTGGAGCGTTTTGAACATTGAACGTTGACAGCAAGATGATCTCTGTGGAAACTAAATACGTGGGACCTTCCGATGGCTCAGAAACTGGGTTGGTCGTGCAGATAACAAAACTGGTGGATTCGTACATGGTATGGGTCGGGACTACAGGAAAAGAAAACGAGACAGTAGCGGGACGGCTCTGCAAGGACTGGGCGTACGCGATGCCAGCAAGAAAGGTCAGCGATTAAAAATTCATTGAAGGGATAAATATTAAGAGGAACAAAGATTGGAGGAGAATCGAGTGGAACGAGCCTTTTTCGGAGTAGTAACTGGGACGTAGCATTATCGATGGCACAAAGAATAGGTGAGGAAAGAGTGAATTATTACGAAGAAAAAGTACTGATAATAGAACAGCGAAACGAACGGGTAAAGCGATCCATCTGTCTGTTGACATTGAAGAAAAGAAAGCGGTTGAAGTGGAAAGGGTGTTGAAGGAGATGCTGAGTTAAATAAATACTTGGGTGCTGCGTGATTAGCGTGACATGTGTATCAGAGTGACGACGACCTGGATTGCTCATCGCACGCCGTCGTTTCGTTGTCGTTTATTGTACAGTAACGGTTGCTGTCCGCTGGACGATGTCCGAGGCAGAACTGGCGTACATGATGACGGACCCAAACGAGGGCTTTGACTTACCACGGTGGCAGACCCACATCGATCCGCTTTCGTCGTCTGCACAGGCCGCCCATTCCGCCTACTACGCTAATCCGCCTCCACCACCGCCCCAGCGTATAACCCAGCGACTTTCTCAGCTTGCCGACGAGCCGAGCACCGGCACGTACCTTCAGACAAGCCACAGTCCCGCCAGCGTCGCCCGAAGCTCCTCTCTTAACAGTGTCCGCCCTCGCCGCCACCAAGACGACCACTACGACGCCGCCCAGCCGAGCTCGGCTGCTCAAGCCGGTCCCTACTTTCCCTCCCTTCAGTATCAGCCGTCATCGCTTGGCCAGACCGCCCAGCCCGCCTCATCCGGCTCCGACTCGTACAGTGACCTCTACTACTCCCCCGACTCCAAGCGCCAGCCGAGTTCTCGCACCGGCAGGTCTCCACTTCGCACCCCGAACTCGCTTCTCGACCCGTACGCGGCCCAACAGGCGCAGTACTCGCCGAGCTCGGCGTATCCTTACACTCATTCCCGTACCCATTCACAGCAGGTCAAGACGGAGCCCTTGTCGCCCTCTACAGCTTCAAACCACGTTTATTCACCGACCTATCCAATGGACGCGACAAGTCCACAGCCGCCTCACATCAAGCCGGCGATATCCAATCCCCCAACACCCCTCTCCTACCCCACCTCTCCTTCTTACTACCACCACGACCCAATGCCCGTTGACCCGCCCCCCAAGCGTCGCGCCACCGGTTTCCGTCGCGTCCGTGGTTCTAATGACCTTCATCCCCGGACAGACGCTCCCATTGTAGGTCGAAGAATGGGCGGCGATGGCGCATATCTCTCTCCTCTGCGCCAGCTTACGACCAACATCCTTGATACTTATCGTATCTGTAACCCTCAATTCCGATACGAATCAACACACAATCCCCGTCGGGTTCTCACCAAGCCCAGCAAGCCTGCCCATAATGAGGGCTACGACAATGACGACTATGATTATATCTTGTATGTCAATGACTGGCTAGGGACGGAAGATGGCCACAAGTGCGTGTCATCTTTATTTGTTCTTTTTCAACATACTCATCCTCTTTAGATATCTCATCCTCGATATTCTCGGTCAGGGCACTTTTGGCCAGGTCGTCAAATGTCAAAACATGAAGACCCATGAAATCGTCGCCGTCAAGGTTGTTAAAAACAAGCCGGCTTACTTTAATCAGAGCATGATGGAGGTTACCATCCTCGAACTCTTGAATAAAAGCTGTGATCCCGATGATCAGCATCACATCCTTCGTCTCCGGGACTCTTTCATCCACCGTAATCACCTCTGTCTCGTATTCGAACTCCTGTCCTCCAACCTCTACGAACTTATCAAGCAGAACCAGTTCCAGGGTCTTAGTACCCAGCTTGTTAAAGTGTTTATGGCCCAGCTTCTCGATGCCATGACCGTCCTCAAGGACGCCCGCCTCATCCATTGTGATCTTAAACCGGAGAATATCCTTCTAAAGTCACTGCAATCACCACAGATCAAGGTCATTGATTTCGGCTCAGCATGTCATGAGCGCCAGACTGTATATACATACATTCAATCGCGCTTTTACCGCTCGCCAGAGGTCCTCTTGGGCATGTCTTACACCGCTTCTATCGACATGTGGTCTCTCGGATGCATTGCTGTTGAACTTTTTCTCGGCCTTCCTCTCTTTCCTGGCACAAGCGAGTATAACCAGCTTACGCGCATCGTCGAAATGCTTGGCATGCCCCCACTTAGTATGCTTAATACGGGAAAGCAGACACAACAGTTCTTCGATGTGTACGAGGTGTGGAATCCTCATCTCAATGCCAACGAGAAAAAGTACAGACTCAAGACCATTGAACAATACTCCCGGGAACACAACACAAACGAGCAACCAGGAAAGCAGTATTTTAAAGCTACGACGTTACCGGACATCATCAATACTGCACCTATGCCGTCAAGCAAGTCAGGCGGGAGGGGACAAGAAGTGGAGAAAGGTTCGTCTAAATTGACAACCATCTCTTTGAAAGGATTTGATTGTTCCTCCAGAATTGAATAATCGCGCATCGTTCATCAATTTCTGTCAAGGCTTGTTGGATCTGAATCCAGTGACACGATGGACACCTCAACAAGCCAGGCTGCATCCATTTATCACAGGAGAGAAATACACGAAACCGTTTGTAGTGAGTGCTCTCATCCTATGTCTATGTAACCTTACCAACCAATCTCAGCCCGATGGCCTCAACCAAGCACACCAACCAGTCCCATCGGGTGTGTCGGATCCGAAACGACCGTATGGTGGACTGGTACCTTCACAGCCCAAGGGTTCGAGGGCTTATCAGGATGCCGCAACATACAATCATCATTTGGCGCAGCATCAGGTGTACACGGCGCAGGCGCAGTCCCAAGCTGCAAATACGTTCCGTAATCCGTATATGAATCAGCAACAGCCGTCTCAGCCGCCACAGCCTCAGCAATCCACTACATCTTATGCCAATCAGACGGAACCACCTGCCCCAGGATTCCCACAGACGCAGCAATATTCCACTGCACCTCCTCCAGGCGGACATCGGTTATCGCATCAAAACTCTACGGGTCAGTTGAACAATAGTAATAGCGTGCAGTCTTATACGACATCTTTGACCTCCTCCTCGTCCGGAGGTCACTTGAACCCGAATGTCCCTTCGAACGCCTATTATCCTGCCCGTGGACGGGCAAATACCATTAACCAGATGGATTCGGTTCCACCGGCGTTGGCAAGGTTACAGCATATGAATCAAGATGTCATCGCCGGTCGGAACGCGCTGACGCCCGTGTTGAATCGGGACGATGCCATGCGGGAATGGGAAAGAAGGCAACAAGCAGGAGGGAAGCAACCTGCACAGACTTATCCCCAGCTCGAGTTTTTGCAGCAGCAGGCCGAACTTGCAGCCGCGTCAGGTATTTCAAGTTGGAATGCGGGTGGTGCTGTCGCGAATCGGTACCAACAGCCACCAACGAGCAAGCTTGCTCATTCGTATCATCCATCGCAACATGATGAAGACAACGGGAGCACTAGACGGGATGCCGTGATGTCGAATGTACGGAGCGCTGCGAGAGGAGACGTGTATGGTGCGGCAGGGGTAATATCCAGTCCACCGCAAACATACACGAGTAGCGGGACGACGTCGGGCAACCGGTACGCCGCTACTTATCAGCCCTCACAGCAGGGCACGGTATTCGATTCGGTGGATCGGCGGACAGACATCGGAAATATGTTTGTGCCAATGCAACCAGACCCATATGCTGGCGGTGGTGTGAGGCACCCCAGCCAAGCGGTTCCGCCGTCCTTTTATGGCGCAGGAGTCGTGTCTGCTGGCCAGCCTGGCAGAAATCCGTTTGGGCAGGGAGAAGCTAAGGATGTAAGAAGAGGTAATGGAATGGACGCTTGGCCCAGATGATTTAGCGATTTCTTCCTGCCTTCTTGCTAGCAACATATTGACACAACTTACAAATTTGCAGCTTCTCATTTTTTCTACCCCTTGATATTTCTGCAATCTCTGCACTTACACACATTTTACACCTGATTCTTTGCTGCACAATTCAATTGGCTGCGCCTCATTATCATGAGACTATCGAGGTTCTTTACCTTCAACTTGTATAAACATGGGATGATTGGCTCTATTTCTAAGTGAGGGCGTTGAAGATTTCTTCGACTTCCCATGCACCACCCCAGTACTTGACTTGACATTTTAGACCGAGTTTTTCACCCTCTTTGGCAATACGCCTCTGAAGACCGCGGAAGCTTCGGCATAGTACCATATCTTGGCTGCAAGAACGTCAGGGATGCACATGGCCGAAGGAGAAGCATACCTTCGCAATCTCAGGGTGGGACAGAAGTCGTTGGAACCATCGCCGACATATATGATCTGGTCATACGCGGGAGCATGTCGAGCGAGGAACGCGTCCAATTCTTCACCTGTTTTTGGTGTGAAAAACATCAAACTTCCACGAGAGGGAACAGGTACCTTTGCACATGTTCGGACTGCAGCCAACCATACAGTTATGCTGTGGACCATGAGGATCGATTCTGCGTCGAAGATTGAGGAGACCCGATGGTTCCCATTCTGCTCGGTTGGTTATAATTTCTTCAAAGGCAGGAAGAAGGCCGTTTTTCTTGGTAATGTATGTTAAACCCTAGGAGGCGGGGGATTGAACGCTATTGTACCTCCAGGATGGTAGTGATGAAGATATTGTTGGCGTTAGAAAGGCAGAGAAAAGTGGTATTGCCCTCTTCCTTTAGACGTTTGATGCCGCGAACCATACCAGGGTGCTAGAGGAAGTGCAAAGATGAACTGAGAGATCGATAAAAAAGTGAAGGCGGACGTACAAAAGGCATGATCCTAAGGGCATCCTCAATCTGTTCTCTGGTTATTCCACGAGCATGGGCCTCGCGTAGCGATTGAGAACTTGAGAAGATAGATCAGTCCGATGGGGGAAAAAAAGATGGTGACAGTGGAATTTACACTAAGTCTGTCCACTGAATGTCGTCCTTAAGGGTCTTCATTTTGCGGCGGAGATCTGGAGCCAAAACCTCAAATATCCATCGGTCAGAATCCTGGTCAGCCATGGACCAGTCGAAGTCGAATACGATGAGGCGTCGCATGAGGCAAAAATGGTGGTGGTGGTGGAGAGGGATACTTATATCGGCTTACCTAACCTTAATGGACCTTGACCGTCGACCACAGGGTATACGCATATAGGGTATATGCCTACCTCAGTCTGCACGGCAAAGGCATCCTACAAGAAACTGCCCGGTACCCTACAGCTCACCGATACTCATCTCCAGTGGACACAGGACGGAAAATCGGCGCCCTCAGTGCGAGTTCCCAATGCAGAAGCCGCTTGTCTGTCTTTTTCACCTTAATACTGGCTGCTGCTGATGACCGCTTCTAGCTCTATTCTGCAGCAAGGCTGGCGCAGCCCAAGTACGCATGAAACTGGCCCTCGTGGGTGACGACACCGGCCACAATTTCACCTTCACGTCGCCCCAGCCAGTGGCGCTTAATGAACGCGAAAAGTTCAAGACAGAGTTGACCACCATCATTGGAAGGAACAAAGGCGCGCCCGACAGTGCACCCAGGCTTCCTGTTTCTGCATACACCCATTCCACGTCGACCCCGGTGGCAAACGCGTCTTCGATAAAACCATTGGTTTCACCGTCCAAACCGTCAACGTCAAGAGCCGCTTCTGTTTCGAGCAATGAAAACAGAGCAACACCCATTCTCACAGGAAGTGACCCCGCGCAAGATTTCAGGCTTCGAAAGACAATTCTTCTCGGTAATCCCGAATTGGGGGCATTACACAGGGAGCTAGTCATCGGCGGACAGATTACTGAGGCAGAATTTTGGGAAGGGAGAGAGGTATGCACTTCCCGTAGTTTTTGCCGTCTTCGTTTAAACTCATTCGACGACAGCATCTTGTCCTGGCTCAAGCAGCAGCAGAGAGCCAACGAAAGGGCAAGCCCGGACAGTTGGTAGATCCCCGCCCAGAAACAGTCGAGGGCGGCGAAGTCAAAATTCGCATAACCCCTCAATTGGTCCATGACATCTTTGACGAATACCCTGTTGTAGCAAAGGCATATAGTGACACTGTTCCTGACAAAGTACGGCAAATCTCTTGCTTGGTTGCTGACGAACCCTGTCCTCATCTGAGTGAATGAAGTTATCCGAAGAGCAATTTTGGAAGAGGTACTTCCAGTCAAAGCTCTTCAATGCCCACCGTGCTTCTATTCGCTCTTCGGCAACACAACACGTAGTAAAAGCAGACCCGATTTTTGATAAATACCTCGAAAAGGACGATGATGGTGCGTATTGGATCAAATTATGCCTTTTCCTCTTTGTTTCATCTTTCCTCAGAGCTGGAACCTAGACGACAGCTAACGGACCAAGTGGAGCTATATGTCGATTTGGCAGCTACGCGTGAAGACCATGAAGAGGTGCTCTCGTTGGTATACTGTGTATCATTCATAGATTGACTTGCGGTAGACAGGGAACAGTAAAGACATCACGATGCAAGCTGGTCGACAGCGTGGTGCTTTACCTTTGATACGAAAATTCAACGAGCATTCGGAGCGATTACTGAATGCTGCTCTGTAAGTTATTTATATCCTTCTTTCATTGCTTTGCTGACAATCTCTGAAGTGGCGAAGGTCCCCCAACAAAGCGCCGTCGCGTTGAGGTACACACTCCCCTCGATACTTTTAGAATGTTTCTAATACGTTCATTACGATGCAGGACGACGCCCAGATCGATCTCGATGACTTGCATGATCAGGAAGCCTCAACCGGCATAATTCTTGAGATGCAAGACAGACAACGATATTTCGAGGGCAGAAAGGCGGCTAATAGTGACGGCGCCAGGAAGGTTTGTATACTGACAACAGAAAGATTTTCCCATCGCTCACTTGTAATGTCAATGTCTGCCAAAGAATATCCATTTTGGTTCTATCATTCGAGAGGCCAAAAACAACATTAGCCAATGGGAGACGGACCTTGCTCAGGTACGTTCTAACTTGGTACTTCGAACGATCTAATCCTGGTTGGGCGCGCGCTTTATATAGTTGAAACTGGAGCGGAAGCCCGGCGATGCAGCTCTTCTATCCATGACACAAAACGTTGCGGCCCGTTTAGACGTGAGGTCTAAAACAAGTACGTTCTTATTGTCATTTCAAGATTTGTAGCCTATTGAATACCTTGACAGATGATCTTCCCGACGGATTTTTCCGCCAAATGACATCCTGTCAGACAGCAGCCAATGAGTTTCTGCGGCAGTTTTGGTCTGCGACATATCCTTCTGGATATGACCTATCGATCGCCGTCACTCCAGCACAGAAAGCAGCAAAAGCAACGAAAATGATCGGATATTTATCCAAAACACACGAGAAAGTGGAAGCTATTGTGCGAGCCGCTCAGCAGCAAGGATTAGATGCTAATAGGATAGAAGTTGTGCGTTTTGTTTGTCTCTTCATTATGACTACGAGAATGACCGAGTCTATGTGAGGCCATGAAACCCGTTTTGACAGCCGTTGACCGCGCACTTACTTTCCATCGCAATAAAAAGGTCTCTCGTGGATCCTGAGGACAGTCGTTACTGCATCCACCATCATGTACTGATACATCTTGCATAGCTATCCCATAAATACGTGTCCATTATAATACAACCATGTAATTACATATCAAGACCCATAGGGTCCTGGTTGCTTTTGTAAATGCGTGCCCGATGTCGTTGTGCATTCGTATGTAGTATACATCACAAGAAGGTGCAGACCCAGGCTGTAGAGGATGAAGAAAGCCCGCGCACGGCGGTTACTCAGCATAGCCCGGGTAATCGTGAGAACACCGCGTTCGACAGCATTGAGGTTTTGGTACGCCCGGGTCGCTTCCTGTAGCGGCTTGTCATAAACTTGGAGCAACAATGATGATGGATGGATAGCCACATACCCGACCCCGAAATGCCTCAAATGGATTCATAGCCTCTTCGTACCGGGCTCTATATTTCCCTAGATCATCAGAAGAATTATTTGCAGGCGTAGGAAGTGGGTCCAGCTGCGAAGTCACTGGGCGAGACCCGGCCTCCTCTCGATAGCTTTGCATATATCGCACTTTCTCATAGAGTTTAAGGTTATCAGCCTGTAGGTTCTTTACCTCTGAACGAAGATCGGAGATAATTTGGAACTGTCTGCGTAGTTCCTAGAGGCATGTTCAATTTAAAGTTAAAAAATGCCGATGAGCATGCACATGCTCACCTCCTCAAGCTCGGCGTTCCGCTGACGGAATCTATCTCGCTGACTAGTCACAATGGGCAAAATGGAGGTATCTGCAGAGGATGTAAATGGTATAGGCGTCGTACGGACAGACACCTTAAATACCGTGTAAGCATATAAAAAAATGAACGGAGTAATAGTTAGTTCTCACCGCCTTTCGTCCGAGATCCAGCCCCGTCAGAACATCAGATGATTCTGGAGGAGTAATGTCGCCATTGCTTCTGTGTTTGTTCATAGACAACAGATCATTCTCTAGCTTCTCATTTAATGCCTTCTGCTTCTCCAGGTCGGCACCAGTAGAGCTGAGCTGGTCTTGAGCAGCTTGTAATGAATTCTCCAGTTCGCTATGAAGGATCTAGACAATAAAAATGGGCATGAAGTTCTACTATAGAAGGAAGGGCGTACTCGGAATTTCGTTAACTCCTCAAGAAGACGCTTATTCTTGGTCGCAAGAAGGGCCTCCAAAGATTTGCCTTGCTGCGCGTTCGTCTTATCTGCATTAGGATTGGGTAGTTGTAGGCCCACTTCGTACCCATCAATTTGGTCGCCGTCCTCGTCGATATCTTCGTCGAAACCGGCAAACTCTACATACTGCAGGGACATACATGAAACAGACCTTAAGAGATACTGTAATGACTGTACCTTCATGATATCCAGCTCGCGTTTGATCTCGTCGTAATCATTGTATTGCTTCAACCGGTTTCTGAGAGTATCAATTTCCGAAGCCTGCGGACAGATGATGAAGCGAAATGGTTGATGAGTTGGAAAACAATAATACCTTCTTCTGCATCTCCTTGGCAAAGTCATCGCTTGTCTTCTTGATGTGTGCCTCAAGCTCCGAGGCGGCGGCTTTTTGTAATTCCAGTGTTTGGGATGTGCGTTCCAATTCAGCTTCATACTCTGTCACTTGAGCCTGAAGAGACTTTGCGCTGTAAAACAGTATGGTCAGAGAAGTCAATGCCAATGCGACTGTCGTACCGGTCAGACGTGTCACTCCCGCTGCGCAAAACCTCAATCTCCGCGCGAAGTATCTCCTACGTGTCTGTTTTAACGATGAAACAAGCTGCTAGTAGCTGCATATGCACATTACGCCTTTCTACTGTCGCAACGCGACTGTTTGCACGTTCGAGGTCTGCTACCATCATATCGACCTCAGCGAACTTGGCTACTACTTCTTGATCTAGCATTTGGACATAAGCGTTGGAAATAGGGCACATGTTAGAGTATTTACCCTGCCTGGTACTGTGGTCTAAAAGTTTCGCTTGGTTAGTGTCATTGGACATTCGTAGGTCTCGGAGTTGCGCCGTGGTTAGTGAGATCTGTCGGTGAAGGTCTTGTTCCCTGTAAAACGATATTACTCATCGCTGGTAAGGCTGATAGCAGAAAGATATCTACCTTTCTTCATAATTCCTTAGTTTCTCGTCATAAGTTGCGTTGAGTTCGTTCTCCTTCCGAGATACACGATCATTAATTAGGTCCTCCATCTAGCAAACGCATTGAGCACCCTAGGAATATGTACACGTTATTCAGAGACACTCACTGTCTGCTCTAGTTGTTCCACTTTCGCTTCAGCTTTCTTTTTGGCAGTTTCGATGCTGGCAGTCTCATTGACGCGACGCTTTAGGTCTGCGTTCTCGTCATGTAGACGACGCAACTCTGTCTCCAGCTCGCGGGCTTCGGCAACCTTGACGGTCTGGTCCTGGGTGATAGGGTTAACTGAGTTGCCCTCAAAATTCGAGTGTTTCATACTACGGCGGCCTCAAGGAGAGGATATGGGTCTGGAGCTTCGGCCAGAACTTTGTAGACATTTAGAAATGCATTTTCAGAGGCTTTCGAGCGCTTTGTGAGATTATCTATCTCGGTTTGATAAGCTAATAATGAGTTTGAGATTGTGGCTGGTAAACGGAGGCAACGTCATGGTAACCTTTGAGCAAGCCTTTAAACGCGGTCAGTTTCCCTTCATCCGGTATTTTTTTGAACTCTAAGTAGTGGCTGTCAGACGTCAATGAGAAAAGTCGGAAATGAGATACCTTTGGTTTTGTCTGCAAGGGCTTTACGACCAACAACGCTCTCTTTCTGGTTGTCTACGAGTTCTATGCCCTGCGCATCTAGAGATTTCTGAAGTTCCGAGAGGTTTATATCTTGAGAATTCAAAGCGTTTAGAACAATGAATTGCCAGAAAGTGATAAAAGTACCTCTCCAAGTTGCAAGGGCACCCGAGAAGTTATGCTCTGTTGAGCTCATGGCGAATGTGCAAGAATGGACGAGCACGTGATGCGAAGGAAAATCGGAAAATACAGAGTTACGCATTTATTTTTTGGTCTCATCGTGTCTGGTTGATGCAGAGTGTCCTGCGACAGTTTGGGTGGCGCAGTCCAGCGCAGTACGTTCTTCGACGAACCCGATATTCTCTCTGCAGCCGTGCATATTCCGGAGCGCCCTTCGTTCCTCCAGCCCAGCTGGTAGAGCAGCCAAGGGTCAAACTAACGATAGACGCCAATGGGGTACCAAACTGGAATGGAGCGACGACTGAAGAGGTGAATGATGCTATTTCAGACGATGCAATGAAGGAAATACTGCTTGATCCCGACATTCGTGGAAAGGGAAAACTTGCGCCGGAATCTCCGTCTTTCTACACCGGTCGCGCTCCATACTACGATACCATGACCTCCCTTCAAATGGCCCTGGGCCAAATACGGGCAACCCTCAAGACCCTCCAGCTTCTTCCTTTGCCTCCATTCGCCCGCGCCAGTCTTCTGCCTATGCCTCCGTTGTGGAAGAATCTCGAGGAGATGTCTTCCGAGGTCGGTATGAAGCTCAACACCACTCGCTATCGCCGTCTTCTTGTGGTTCTGAATGAGCTGCATGAATGTCTTCGTATAGCTACTACCGCAGGCCATACCGAATTCGCAGACATGATCGAACAGGTCGTGGCCATGTTTGAACGTGGGGAGAGCCAGAAGGAAGAGTATATGTCTCGTGGAAAGAGGACAATAGCCGAATTGGATCAGTTCGGTCGTTCATATACACTGGGCAGACGAAAAACCAGTTCTGCTCGTGTATGGATCATTCCTGTTCAGAACGCTCAACCAGCACCTGAACCTGAACAGGAAACGATGGCGGAGACCCCAGAGGCCATTTCTGATGCAGAACTCCACGACATATTCAGCGGTCTATCTTCACAGGAGCCGTCTCCACCATCAGAGACCGACACGGGTTCGTCTCCGCTGTCAAGTGTCCTTGACGAGACCTCTGAAGTGCAAGAGGCGGACAATTTAATCCGGCCATCTTTCGGGTCTAGCTTGGATAGTCTTTTGCATACCCCATCCGATTCATCTTCGTCGCAGGTATCTCCCGTTGACCAGGCCGATCCCATACTTCAGAGCGACCCCATTCCCGAGAGTATTGGCGATTCTTCTTCACTTCCTAACGGCGACCAGGATGCCACTCATGGCGGCTCAGATATCAGTGTCCAGACGTCGCGGCGTTCCCAGCGAATAACTTCCACCGTTAAACCTGTTGATGTGCCAACTACGACAATACTTGTCAATAATCTCCCATTATCACAATACTTTCCAAAAGTTGTCGACCGGGAACGCGTCGTATATCCCCTGAAAGTGGCAGGTGTTCTCGGAAAATTCAATGTCTTCACGATAGCGCGTGGGGGTGGTTCCACCGGACAAACTGGTGCCATTGCCCATGGCATCGCAAAAGGACTGCTGGCTCACGACCAAAAACTACTCACAGTTTTGCGCAAAGGTGAATTAATCTGTTCCTCTCTACACGTCCCAAACTCATGATGTCCAGCCAATCTAATTAAGCGCGACCCCCGTATGGTGGAGAGAAAAAAGACCGGTCTTGCCAAGGCAAGGAAGAGGGTGGGTGTTCTTTCTGCGTCGTCCATTTCCTACTCAACGTGGTTTGCAGTATACCTGGGTCAAACGGTAGTCTTGAGGCTTGGCTTGATATTACAAATTCACTCCAGACATGCACAACGCGTGAGATAGGATGTATTTACTAAAAATAATAAACATACAATAATGGTTGGAACATACATAAGATAATATGAAGTGAGTAATAACAAAATAAACATCATCATTGGAAATATATCTGCAAAACATCGTTTTGTCCGAAAGCCAGATTACAGGAAGGACATTTGCGTTGTCGCGTAGATAGTCGGGCATCTATGCAGTCTTTACAGAATGCTACAACGAAATTGTCATCATTCTGCGATCTTGAAAAGAGGAACAACATACTGTGCATGCATTTACTGAGAACAATCGTGCGCATTGATTGCTTACAAGTCGAGCATTTCAGAAGAGACTGTTGAACCATGAATAGACGTGTCCAAGTGAAAGCCTGAAAACCATACCATAGCCTCATCTAGTTGAACTTGTAGCTCTGAATCTTTGACGGGTTTAGTTGCCGTCGCCGCAACGACCATCTTCTGCTTCGTCAATTGCCGCTCGTGGTCCTTCTTAAGATGAGCTATATTTTCATCTTGTCTGCGCAACTCGGTCCTCTTGGACTCCAATTGACTCTCCAGGTCTGCGACATGTTGTCGAATCTGTACGAGAGATATTAGTCGCGATACGGAACTGACAACTCAGTGAGACATACATCGACGAGACTCTGCTCAACAGCTTGGGTAGTATTGCGGAGCCTGTGATTATCTAACTCCATGTCCCTCAGTTTCGACGCGGTAGCCCGGAAATCTACAAGATAGCACTCCGATTCTTGTTTGCACGCTGACTGTAATGCGAAGTCGTGGTTAGACAAAGTCATTGAAAAACTTCGGTTTCACTGACTATCTGTTGCTGCAGATTCTGCTCCGTTTCCTTATATCGCTCCTGGATCTTTTCATGCTTATCAATGACCCTCTGCAAAGCTTTGCGCTCGCCCTCTATTGCTTCCTTCTCTCGAACCGCTTGATAGTACTTGTTTTCAGATTTGGCACGCTGAAACTGAAGATTAGTATGCAGATTGTCGATGCAATCCAACTTACGTCAAGTCCACTTTTCACTAAGCGATCCTCTAAACTTGACAGGTCGAATACCTTATTCTTGAGTTGACGATCTAGGCCCTCCCATGCAATAGACAGTTTGTCCAATTCGGCATACAGAGAAGTTTCAGCCTACATCATATGTGAGCGTCAATGAAATATATATTAGCCGAGGAAAAAGAAGGCTACCTCAGCATGCTGCGATTGTTGCAAACGAAGGGCGTGCGTTTCTTCTTCTTTTTGTCTTAAACGCTCCATCAAAGCAGAGGATTCGGCGGAAACCGACGTATCACCATACACCGAGTGGTATTTCTGTAATTCTACCCGCGCCTGAGACAGCTGCCGCAAAGTATCGGCATGAGCTGCAACAGCATCGGCACGGTCAGTTTCATATGCCGACATTGCTTGACGACACGCTGCTAATTCCTCTTCAGCAGCACTGGATATTTTATTTTCAGTTCGCCACCTCTCGGAAGTATTTCAAAGATACATACGTGAGGCGTTCCTGGAGAGCCTGGGTATACTTGAGATCAGATTGGTCTCCAAGGAGGAACGTCATGATATCCTCGTTGCCTGTCGAAGCCGCAAGTCGGGCGTGAGAGAGCTTGAGTTGGGTTTTCAAGATCTCAATGAAGTCCTGATGATAAATGAGGGACATGCGAAGAGAACCAAAAGAGGAAACTTGCGTGGCGATTGTCAGCCAAAGCTTTGTACTGTTCGAGAGATGCTATTTTTGTGGCATCCTTCTGTTTCCGCTCGTTCAGTTCCGCTTGTTGCTGGTCACGAATCTCTCGAAGTCGAGAAATGTCAGTGTCTTTGCGAGTAATCATAGCTCTCAATTCCTGTATTTGTTGACTAAAATCGGTCTGGAACATCAAATTACTGGACGCCGATACAAATAGGCCAAAAGGACACACTGGTATTGCATCCTCAGCGGTAATGCGTGCCTCCGTTGCTAATGCTAGCTCCTCCTTCAAGTTAGCGATGTCAGACTGCAGCTCAGTGTTGCAGAACCGTAGATGAGATATCTTCTCGATCGCAGCCTTGAAATGTGGGGTTTCTGACAACAGCTCCAAGGTCGGTGATTTAATCTGCGAAATGCATCAAACAAAAAATAAGGCACGAAAATAACTTGAGGTACTTGGCAAGTTAAGTCGAAATTTTCTTTTCTCAGCTCCGTCACTTGGCGTTCTAAGTCAGTGATGCGTCTATCCCGTTCCTCGGCCATAGTTTGCCAGTAAGAAGGTTTATCGTCCGCTGATATATCTATATTTCCGTTGACATGTCCGCCGGAATCAGTGGTATGCTGTTCGTGAATTAAAAGGGCATCTTAGAACTCAAAACGCGGGAAATACCAATTAACCAGGCCACTCACTATGGGAGACGATATTTTATCAGAGGATGCGCCTTTATCATCATGTGTAGTCTCGGCAGATAGCGGGTGGCTAGCGAGAACCGACTTGCTCTTGAGCCGTTCACAGCGATTTTCCGCCGCGTTAAGTTGTTCCCGGTAGGTTTCCGTCAGAGCTTCACTATCCTGCAATTTTTTACGAATAAGATCGAGTTGAGACCTAAGAGCAGCACACTACTTACACATGTCAGCTCCCATTGACCATCAACTGCAAACACCACCCACCTCTGTTTGAGTGTTTTGCCACTTTAGATACGTCTCATTGGTAAGCAAGTTGGGGTCGGTGATTCCTCCCGTGTTGACCAGTCGGGAGACGAGGGCGAAAGTTACATTCCGGTAATTGTCAAAGTTGATTTGTAACTGTTGGGCATCTTCATCTTCAAAATACGCGGTGAGGTCAAACACCTCTGTCGCACACAACTATATGAGTATGAAGAATAGTGAAATGAAGAAAGAAGTGACCTTCCACGCTATTAATCGTTGAAGGAAATTCTTCTGGTTTTGTAAGTAGCCGAATAGCATCCACAAGCTGAGCCGTACGTGGAAGAGTTAATGAAATACAAGTAAATTAGAATATAACTCATACCTGCGACCAACACGCCGAAATAGCAGCCAACCCACTTTCACAGGTATTCTTCTTTCGCTCCAGTTCCACAACTCTGTTTTGACTGCGTTCGTATTCACGAAAATAATGTTTCATCCTACGATATATGGCCTCCTTGCGAAAGATCTGGCATGAGAAGATGAGATACATGCTATTTCAGAATGTAGAGAAAAGCGTGATACCTCAAGTTTGTCACCGTCTGTTGATTCTGGTGGTTCCGAAGTGCCATTAACCATAGGTTCCCCATTCTCGTCGGACAAGATGCGCTTCTTGGTGACTGGGTTGTCTTCCTCACTGCTGAGGGATCGCTTTTTGGAAGCCATTAGGGTGAATGGTGAACGACAATTTGGCTTGCAATTGTCGGACCAATTAGATTTCAAACTCCGCCAGCGGATTATTAAAATTGTGGCTGAGGGTTATTTTCCAGCTCTGGCACGGGCAGGGCAGCACAGCTTGGACATGTCACAGTCTATACGATAGATTATGATGGAAAGGGAAAAGAAAGTGTAATAACAGGATCAATGTTTAAAAGGATTCAACGCGGCCACAGAAATGATGGAGTATGCTCACGTTTTTCCGGCATCGACGGCAAAGTATTTGAAGCGTGGAGAGTAGCCAAACAATGCATCAACTAAGTTTCTCCGCACGGAGACCTTGTCAGCGTACTAAGTTCGTGCCCAAAACCATGGCTTCTTCGTCCGGTATGCATATTTCATTTCCATGAATGTTCCATCACTCATCATCTTAGCCGTTGGAAAGCTTTCACGAGAAGAGTTTCGTCGTCAGAAAGATTTAGATGCGGCTCGAAAAGCCGGTACAGCGCCTGCCGCTTTGGATGAAGAGGGGAAACCTATCAATCCCCATATTCCTCGTATGCAACTTGATCTTACTGCATTACTGGTGTCTCACTCGTCATTTAGAATACATCTCCCAAGTACCATGGTATCTAGACACCGGAGCTCCAACTCTCAAACATCAGCGTCGACAAGAGAGCGACAGTTCGGAGACAAAACTTGATGCTTGGTATGATCGTGGTGCCAAGGCAGGACCTGCAGCTAAGAAGTATCGTAAAGGCGCATGCGAGAACTGTGGGGCTATGACCCATAACAAGCGGGACTGCCTTGAACGACCCAGGAAGAAGGGCGCCAAGTTTACCAACAAAGATATTCAGGCAGACGAGGTCATACAAGAAGTCTCTGTTGGATATGCTGCAAAGCGGGACCGGTGGAATGGATACGACGTCGCCGATCACAAACAGGTGTACGAAGAATATGCCGCTATCGAAGCTGCACGGCAAAAATTGCGCGAGGAGGAGATCGACAACCAAACAACGACCGACCTAGCTGCAGTTCGGAGGGTGGCAAAAGCAGGCAAAGCTGAAAACCAACAGGGCGACCCCGATTTTGGTTCAAGCGATGAGGAAGACGGTGATGAAGACAAATATGCAGATGCTGCCGACGCCGTAGGACAAAAGTTGGATGCCAAAACACGTATCACTGTTCGCAATCTACGTATTCGAGAAGATACTGCCAAATACCTCGTCAATCTCGATCCTTCAAGCGCCTACTATGACCCGAAAACGCGTTCCATGCGTGATGCACCTTTACAAAACGTGCCGCCTGAAGAGGTGCGTCTCACAAAAGACTCTGCTCCCTCTCTCTCCTGATATATGAACATAGGCCAAATTTGCCGGGGACAACTTTTTGCGTTATTCTGGAGATGCTCCTGACGTCCAGCAGCTGCAGCTTTTTGCATGGCAGGCTGCGGCACGAGGAAATGATGTGCACCTGAATGCTAATCCCACGCAGGGAGAGCTGTTGCATTCAGAGTTTAAGAAACGCAAGGAAGAACTCAAAGAGACCTCCAAGGTTAGCATCCTGGCAAAGTACGGAGGAGAAGAGTATCTGCAGGCTGCGCCACAAGAACTACGGCAAGGTCAAACAGAGAACTATGTGGAATATTCTCGTACTGGGCAGGTGATAAAAGGTCGTGAGCGTGCAAAAGCTAGGTCTAAATATCCGGAAGATGGTATGTTAACAACTTTTATATGGACTAAACGGACGTGCTAAGCCGCTCCTAGTTCTGATCAATAACCACACCGCCGTTTGGGGCTCTTGGTACGATGCAACAACCGGCACCTGGGGGTATGCGTGCTGTCACTCAACACTTCACATCTCCTACTGCTCTGGTCAGGCGGGCATTGATGCTGCTAAAGGCTCGAGTGCCCAGAATCTCTTGTCGTCACATCCTAAATCCAGCGATCCACCCTCGTCTATCCCTGATCGCCCTGCATCCAAAGAGGTGATACAGCAAAATTACGACAAGAAAAGGATAGGAGAGGGGGACATCAAACTGGACAAAGATCGCCTTATGCAGGCCATGAGGGATGAGAAGAAACGGAAAAAGGGAGACGACGATGACCGCGATGGACCCGGGAAGAAGTCAAAGAGCAGCTGGGAGGGTGGTAGTCATGATGTGACAGAGGAAGAGCTTGGTATGTATCATATGTTTCTATACCAAAGACGAAGGAGTTCTAAATCAATCCGCAGAGGCGTATCGGATGCACAGGCGAATAACAGAGGACCCTATGGCGGGTTATGTCGACGCAGAGGATTGAGTCTGTTATATTGTATGTTATCATTTCGCTTCTATATAGCTTGGCAAGTTATGTATGCTTTTATGGCGATCACCCATATGTTGTGATTACGGCCAGTTTCATCGCATTTGTGTCCCTTTGCGAAATTTGATCGTCGCATACCATGCCTTTGGTTCTTTGATGAAGCTGAATGTCGCAAAGATGTGCTTAAGTGGCGGATCCATCACCAATACGGTAACAAAATATAAATTGAAAGCAAAGATCGACGTGCTACAGATCTATTTACTCTAAACAAAGGAGCGAAAGGTATATGTAAAAGTATTCGTGCGGCGGTCAAAGTCTCAGAGTGACTAGGTCATCCCCCTCTAGTTCTACAATTTCGCAATCGTCGGTACTGCCGTTGCCAATCTGCGTCTCCACACAGGTGAAATCCACCTCTTGGCCTCCAAGTACGGTCATTGGTTGATGCCACACTGCGGTATCATACACGATGCCCTGTCCGGGTCGTGCCAAGAAAGCTCTCAAAGTCTTCATATCCGGTTTATCACCTCCATTTGCAACAACGACTAGGTATCCGGTTCCGTTGGTGGAGCCCATTGGAATGAACGCCTGATTTGTATATCGATGTCGTTCCATCACGTTCACGGTGATCTCTCCATTGTGCACATTTACCGGTTTGCAGCGATAGACGGACAAACCGGTAGTGGCACCCAAGGTGGTTGGGTATTGATTCTCCAGCAGGGCCAACTTGTGGAACTTTGTTGCTGTGCCGGCATTCGCAGGGGTGACTTTTATACCCTTGGGAACAGCCGCATGATCTTGGTAGGCCTGGACTACCTTGCCAAAGGGCGCAAATGCTTCGGGGGTTAGGGGCAGGACTGGAACTGTGGAGGTGGGGGTGGCTGTGTTACTGGGGTTTGGGGTTGACATTGCGGGGACGGAAGGCGAACGGGACCCCATAACCCTCACCCGCTTTATACCCCCATCTGGATGGATGGTCACGCGGACATGAGTATATGCTTGCCCCTCGACGTTCTCGAGCTGGAAATAGTGTTGCCTGTGGGGTCCAAGTTTTGTTCTTGGCAGGATTAGTGTCCATTCCTTTGAATCCAACGAGGCATGTGCTTCGCAACTCTCCGGGAAGTTCCCTTTGAAATGCGCCGTATCAATCTCCATGTATTGAAGATATCCTGGGATGCCCCTAATAATAAATATGAATCCGTCATTTACAATCACGTCGAGTATTGGAAAAAGCATATCATACAGCTTGATAGTGGCCCAATCCTTGTGTCCTTTTTCTCGACTGCGTTTTGTTTCCCACCCATCGCCCATGTCCTTACCTCTCCCAGGAAGGACGAGATTAGAGCCTACACCAAAGTGCTGGTCGCTTGTTTCAACGACTGAGCCCCCTGCAAAGACATGAGCGAGGTCAAAAACATGTGTCGGATCTTGCGGTATCACGGGTACAACGTGCCCGTAGACCCTGAATCGCGCAATGCCACCATCTGGATACATTTTAAGCTTGACGAAATTGACAGGTTCTGACCGAGGAATGGGGAGCAGATGGTGCGCATTTGGTCCCAGGTCAACGGGCGCCAAGAGCTCTTTCCACTGTGCAACAGTAAATCTCGGTAAGTAAAGTACAAAAGTGCATATCAACAATATCAATTACCCTAGAATCATCTTTGGATGGAAATTCGTCCGCATCACCGCGGAAGGCATCAACCGACGCCCTGGGTGCCTCATTGCCATTAAAGTGCGACGTATCAATGTCAAAACCCACAATTGAGCCTGTGGTACCGAGTTGTATAATGCACCAATCATGGTCGGGATTGTGCCTCCTGGATTCCCAGCCACTGTAGAGAGCGCCGTTGGGTCCAAACTGACCCTTGAGGCTGATTGCCGGCTCTACAAGTAGCAATTGATAAGCCTCTGCAAAGAACTCATCAGAAACACTGAGGACACGGCCACCGATGGCAACGGAAGATAATTCAGTAGCGTCGAAGGACATCGAATTGGAGGGGGGAGGAAGACTGAAGGCACTGATAACCTTTGGGAAAAGGAGGAAGGTGCGGTCCGATCCAAGTTAGTATGTACTAAAATAGAAAGTCGGAATTTTACTTGGCCGTGTTTTGCCGGATGAAAATCGGCCCGTGAATCGGATCGAAAGGGGACAAATATGAGGCCTCTGCGTCCAGGAACTCTGTCAGTGTCATCCTCCCCCTTCGTCTTGCACCATGATTCCAATTGCTCCTGCACCACCGGCTCCCTCTGTACCGTCCTTTATCAACCCTTCTCAAATCGATGTCAACGACGACAAGTCCAGACGGGCTCCGAAACGAAAGCGCACTGACACCCCCGACGAGTCGGGCACAGATGTGCCAGCTCGCAACACTCCACGGCATGGTCCCAAGAAGAAAAAGGCTAACAGGGCATGTTTCCATTGCCAAAAAGCCCACTTGACCTGTGATGATAGTGTGTATCTTTCTCTGCTTCATTTTTTTGGGCCCATTCATTTAATTTGTCCACATCTGCAGCACGTCCTTGTCAACGTTGTACAAAACGTGGTATCGCCAACAGCTGCACAGAGGGTCACCGCAAAAAAGCCAAATATCTGCTCGACGACGACGAGTTGAATGAGCTACGACGGAGCAAGGGCCCGGCGACGGACAAAACAGTGGATGCACCGGTCGAGGAGATCACAGAACCTGTTTTTGCACCAACCTTTGACGCCAATTTTCCGTTCGGCTCAGAGGCTGCCAACCTCGAGTATTCAATTTTGTCAGCGATACTTGGTAACCCGTCCCCGCCGGACTCGGCAAATACTCCGCCCCCCGACTTTTGGCCGTCGGTGCCGTATAATCCGCCCTTTGTAACATACCCGTATCAGTCTGCCGATGAAACGGCACCTCCCCCGCCCCCCTCATCCGCCCCAGACCCTGAGCCGCCCTCGGCACAGGAGCCGCCGGCTCTGCATCCGCTCGCACCACGCTATCCTCTCGATTCCCGTCCACGCTCACCGCCCTTGCACCTCCCTGACACTCATGACCAGCCGACATCCAACCTGCAAACAATTAACGACCGCATCACTAAACCGTACGATTATACCGAAGGCTATCATTTTTTGATGAAACACTTGCCCACTCGCTTCGAGAAGAATGATATACTCCGCATCGTCCGTGCCCTCGCCATCTTCCGCCCGTCCCTTATCGCCCTGCAGATGCCTTTGTCTCTTGACGACGAGGTCTTCGTGGAAAAATGCTTCCAGAGATCACTACTCGTAAGCCTTTGTATTTTCTACACGCTTTGTTCTTTCTAACACTTCCCAGGAACTCGACAAGCTCATGTCCTTCTCCGGAACACCAACCGTTGTTTGGCGACGTACCGGTGAAATTTGTCTTGTTGCACCCGAATTTTGCATGCTCACCGAATGGGCCATGGAGGATCTTGTCGGTCCTGGCAAAAGAAAATACATTTACGAGGTGACGCCGTAAAATTTCCTTTTCCTCCCCTCGGCACCCTAACCTCGCTTAGCTCTTCGAGAACCAATCCGTCGTCGAATACTGGGAAAATTTTGCTTCCCACGCCTTTGAGAACACGACACAGTCAGTTTATTCTCATTGTGTACTGCTCAAGCCCTCCGGTGCCCCTGTCCCCTCCACTTTTTGTTTTAGCATCCGGAGAGATCTATTCGACCTACCAAGCGTCGTAATTGGTGCGTTATCGCACGCATTTTCAATGCCATACCTGACAAATTACTCAAGGACAATGGCTTCCTCTTCTCTAACGTATCTTTATTCTTTTTTTCCCGGCGTGTTCTCTTTCATTGTCCCTATACCTCCTGTATTTCATTACGCATAGCATCCACCAAAATAGCATCAGGATTTAAATCGCATATAAATAAAAACCGGTCTAACAGAACCTGCATTCTGATTCGAAAGCTGCTACACTGTGTCCTGTACTGCAGCGTACTCGCTCTCTACACCCGGCTCAATGAAACTAGCGTGCCCAAGAATCAACACCCCGGAAGCTCCAACCAACCAGAAAAAGGTCATTACTGGCGACGCGAGCCAGAGGAGTGGTAGGCCGATAACGAACAGGCCTGTATACAGGTGCTTTTGGGTCACGGTATGCTCGCCAAATTGTACAGGTTCAGGAGCTATTGGTTTTTCAGTCAAAGCTAAATAAGAATGAAAAGTATGCCGCACCCCACTTGTTGATTACGGCAAACCCTCCGACAAGGAAACCCAACGCGATAAGTAGAAGAGGATTGCTAATGAGTGCATACACCGCCAGGACAGCAATGATTAACCCGTAGTTTCCTGTTATGTACAATGAGTTTTCTTGTCATTCTTATGTTCCGAGCAGTGCAAACCTGAGAAGTACCGCGTGTTGTATGACACCCTCTACGCTGAATTAGAGGGATATCAACTGAGCAGCAAAAGCACATACAGATGTCGCCTGGTTCAAGTCTGCAGGCCTGGATATACGGTGATAGTCAAAAAACTCGCTCGGTGGGCGAATTGCTGAGAGACGGGTTTCCTGATTCAGGCAAAATATACTCAGTGTTACCGGGATAAAACAGAAAGGCGACATACGCGAAAAGCTTTGACAGCGTCTGAGACTCGCAACACTGCGTCCATGATAAATGAATATCGAGAGAAGGAAAGAAAAAGCTGCTGTGTAGATGGTGGTGAAAAGTAAAGGTGTACGTGGTGGCACAGCCTCATACTACAGTGCCTACAACATTCATCATCGCTGCGCCGCAGGCACGTCCAGACGCCGTTCTTAGGTGTCCTTGCTCTCACTACTGTACAGAACGCTATGATTCGCCGCCCGCCTACTCTCATCCGTATGTCTGACCTCGACGTGCAGGACGTTCGCGACATGGTCGCCCAACAAAAACAAGACTCTGATACTAGAAACGCCTTTGTCAATAAAATTGCGCAGACTTATCAGGGCCCTCCTCCCGGTCTTGAGCGTGACAAGGAGCTTTTGGAACATTTTCAGACTGCTTCGGCGTGGCAGGCTGCCAAAGAGGATAGGGAGAGACGACTGGGCATGAGCAACGGTGCGCATTTTTGTGTTGTGTCCGATAAACAGCTAATTAGAACGCTGCAACAGACAACGGAGCCAGTACATCTCGAACCTGATGTATCTGTAATACGGAGCGCGAGAGCCCACTGTTTGCGAGCGCAGCATACCCAGAAAGCTACTTTGATTCTATCTTATGGAGACCTTGTTGAACCCAGGATATTCTTAAGACCAGCTAAATGACGTTAAAATCCCAGCCTCCTTTTTCTTTGTGGTCACCACCAACATGCGAGACAAAGCATTTCCCCGAGATAAGGCCTCCAATTCCTTGGCCTATGATTGCCCAGCAAATATCATATTTCCGAATGACTTGGATTAGCCACAAGACGAGGCGAGGAACCAGGGAGGTCGTGGAGGCTGTTTCTTGGTAGATGCATATGTTCCTTCAGAGGCAAAGCATTGTCGACCAACGACACGGAATGTCAATCGTCGCGCCAATTTAGAGACTACACCTTCGACCTCTGCATGAACAGTGTCCGCCCTTGTGTTTCAGTTAGCCAAATGAAGTGATAAATGGTGATAGTTGGTAGAGTACTATTCATGTCGATGATACTAAATTCCAGCAGCCGTCAAGGACAGTCGACATTTGCCTTCAGCGGTAGTCTACGGCCGAGAGTGGGAGTCAATTCATAGGCAGGAATTGCTAGTAGCTTTCGAGCGCGTTCTGTCCTACTTAAAAGTGGGGCGGCAGTATACGTATTCAATTTTCACCTATTGAAAGCAACACAGGTCTTTTTCGTGTAACAAGTCCGTATATCCTCAAATCCTCTACACGTGCACGTTCATAAACTTTTCTCGGAAACCTAACGCGGCGGGAGGTCAAAGATTATATGCTTCAAATGAAGTTAAACACATGCCTTGAAGATCTTTCTGGTCACACAAGACTGCCAGATCCAACCTCTGGAGATGCAGACACGCAGTCTTCAAACTGTCCCATAATGCACGACTCATTATACCTCGCTTGTCATTGAGCTTTTCGTTATCCGGAGCCGCGTCTGCATCCTGTAGCGCCAGCGCATCCAAGATATGTTGCGCTGCTTCCTCGTATCGCTGCAAGGCCAACGGTTGTCAACAAGGATGCTCAACTAGAAATATCAACTCACCCTCAGACTGATGCACGAAATCCCTAAATTATACCTGTACAAAACAAAAAGGAGTCAACAAAAAGGATTCAACGTGCCCACAGAGAAGGCAACCTGGCTCGAATATATGTAGGGTTCATTTCAAGGGCCCGGTAGTAATACTGCAATGCATCTTCGGCGTGACCACTATTGGCCATGGTTGCTCCAACACGATTGTAAAGAAGCCAATCCTGCATATAAAAAGTTAACGAAATACCAAATGAGAAATGATGGTGATTTACATCTGGCCTGATCGCCAACGCTGTACGAAAACAATCCTGTGCCTTGGTGTAATCCTACATGCACATTTAATACCTGATTTTCGTGAGAAGAACCATCCTTACCTCACTGCTGTTGAACAACACAGCAAGAGCAATCTGCACGTCTGCATCAATCCCTCCAGCATCGTTGCCAAGACGTGCCATGCCCATCAAGCATTCTACCAAACTCTGGCATACATCGGGTGTCCACTCATCCACCTTTGGCGGAATCTCTCCTCGCAATGACGCATATTTAGGATTGGGATTTCGTTTTACCCATTCCCACACTGCGCCGTAGGTTCCGCTACGATTCCCATCATTCGTCTGTGAAATCGCAAGGGCCAACCAACTTTCGATGTGTTCCGGATCCAATTCAACAGCTCTACCGAGCGCCTGCAAAGCCTTTTGTTCTCTCTCGTTCTCTTGCTGCTTCACACCCAGTTCATACCAGGCCCTAGCATTTGTGATATCTCTTTGTACGGCTGCTTCGAGTTCTAGCACGCTCTGACACGCATAGAGATGAATGAGTCTTTGCGGGCATGGCACGAAAAGTGTAGCTTACTTCGAAGACGGATAGACGCTCGTCGGAATGTATCGCGTGGTTCCTCGTTCTTGTCGAGTCTCCAACAAGATATGGATTGTTTCCCTGGAACTGGTAGTTATTCAACGGCTTGATCGCTGACGCTTCGGTCTCCAGCCGATCCCAATCACTCTGCAAACGATCCCAAGCTGAGTTGGCGGTGACTTGATCGGGTTTCGTCGCTTCCACGTCACTCCAGAACTGAGAGTATTCCGCGTTTTCTTGTTTGAAATAGGCGTCATTGTCATTCAGTTGGTCAATGACATTCAGATTTTCCTTGGTACGAGAAGCGAAAGTAGTTTGAGTCACGGGTGGAAGTTCAACGGCTTTGCCCTTTCCTTTCAAACTCGCGGACGGTGTGGAATAGGTCGTCCGAGCATAGCTTCCGTCGTTCTCTACCATCTGATTCCCGTCGACAACAATGGTTCGATCCCTCAATTGTCTCATCAATCCCATGAACTGACTATTCTGAAACTTGGGATTATTTTCACCCTGGACGGTTTCCAGGAGCATTCCAGCTGTTCGCGCCAACTCGTCCTGCTCTCCCTGAATTTGACGGGATTGGTCCTCTTGTTTATGAAGTAGTTGCTCCTGCGACTCGAATTCGTTGTCCCAAGACACGCCTATACCGATGGAATAAGGTGATCCAAAGGTCGCAAGTGAGAATCACTTACGGGTATCATGCATAACCGATGGTGGGTTTGAGATATTCTTCGGTATTTGAGGGAGGAAAACCGGTCTTTGAGATGGTCCGTATGCGGCTACATTATTCCAAGGTGGTGAATCTATATGGCATTAACACAAAATAAATGAAAAAAATGAAATGTACAATACAGTGTAAACGAGGTGTCGACGAGCTTTGCGAGGGGCTGACTGCTGCAACCCGGTCGTGTGACGATGAACTCACAGAAGGTTGCTGGAGCATGAAATCTGCAGCCCAGCCAGACAACGCATTTGGCTGTGGATAATGATCCTGTTGTGCATTTAGAGCAGGGAGGGAAGAACCAAGGGCAGAAAAATCGAATGCACGACTGGCGGTGAGCGGTTGAGGTGAGCCCGCGGAGAAGAAGCGGGCAGCGTCTTGATCGACAACGGATGGACCTGCTTGCTGAGTGCGAAATGTCTGTGCATTATTGAGCATCGGAAATGGTATATACGATACAATACTCACCTGTCTGGAAGGCCCAGCACGTCCTACACCAAACTGATCCTAATAATTCACAAATTAGCTAGATGACATGGCCGAAACAGAACAGTATACCTGCTGCACGCCTCGGTCCTGGTCAAAGCGTTTCGAAAGACCCTGTAGTGGGTTTACTGGCCCACATTCTGCTCCGCCGACAAGTAACGGTAGCGACATGCTTGTCGTATACTTGCCCGATGATGGTGATGGTCCGATGACACAGCTTACGGTCTTGGAATATCCAGTTTGCCGGTTGCCGGTTTCGGTGTGCAAAAGACATAATGATTAAAATTGATATTACAATTTACAACCCTAACCCTAAGCTACTATTGCTTCTTCATTGCTAGCGCGTTTTGCATCATGTATTCGTCTACATTCTGCGCCGCCATCGGAGCGTACTGTTTAAATCAGTTAGTCTTCGATACCTGCATGCTGCTTAACTGGTCTGCTTACAGTGTCTCTGCGAGATTATGGTCAGTCAAGAAACCAAACCAACAATGAGATGGAAGGGACATACATTCAACGCGTCCAATCTGCTGAAAGTCTTCTTGCAGCCTTGACAGACATTCGCTTGTGCCTTGGCGGTATGGAGTGCCTGATGACGTCTAGTGGCGGCGATGAGAAGTTTTGACAAAATACTGCGAGTATCGGGGACGTACTTGCAGTCATGTTGACGGGCAAAACCCTTCTGGCAACCGGGCCACTGGCATACATATGGCCTCTCTTCGGTATGAGACCTTAGGTGACCTATAAACGGTGTAAGGGTAAATGATCAAACGCGAACAAGTACGATTAACCTCTGAGGTTGAAGCGACGAGTGAAAGTGCTCCCACAACCAGGTACTGGGCATTGAAAATGAGCTTCGTTTCTGCGCCTGTTCGCACTGGCAAGCTGGGTAGCAGAAGTCGTGACTTGCTGTTTCTCAACTTGAAGAATAGGTGGAAGGCGGGGCACGCCGCTGGCAGATGGATAGTGATTGGCACCGACGCCACCCTGGCTAGAGCTGGCCTCAGGGCTCTGGGAGGAACGAGCCGGACGGGACGACGACGCCTCTGAATCTTTCTCGGGATGTTCGGAGGGATGAGCGTCATCAGATGGAGGGACATTGTCTTGAGGCACGGTAGTTGTCGACTGAACGGCGAATGCAACAGAATTGGGAGCTGCGATGTAGGTGTAAGTGCGAGGACCATTCGGCTCCGTGGCAGGGCCGTCTGTGGGAATCAGAGCGCCATCGCCTTGGCCATATATGTTCTGAACAGGATACTGCTGTCTGCTGATAGCATCCAGGGTGATGGCTGCTGCGTGTTGTTGGAGATGGTGTTTCTGAATTCGTGGAGGTTGTGAAGACTCAGAAGCGCTGTTGGCTGCTGGCGTCGTCATGGGTAAGGGCCAAGTGGGTATGGGTGTTCCTCGCACGCCTGATGTTGCCTCTGCGGACATGCCTGCTATCAAATTCAAGGCCCGAAACAATCCCGAAAAGCTGCTGCTGATGTTCGTTGATACTCCTCTGCAGCCTTTGTTCACAGGTAATTGGTCCTGTTCACGAGTAAGTTGACCGTTCTACACACAAAATGATGACTGACCGATGTTGGAAAGGACAGGACAAGTACGGTGTATGGTGTTGGCAAAGGGTAAGGAAGAAGCCCCTTTGCCGATCTGCTGCACAGCCCATGCACAGCAATGCGTCTAAATTCGGCATCTCCAATCATCCCTCTATGCTGTGCAATTGCGATAAGTGCTGTGCTGCTAAAGATGGGATTCTACTGGCAGATACTACATTTTACTGAGCGTTGGCTGTATGCAAAATAATACAACATCTGCAACAATACCATTACTGGGAACTTGGAACAATAAATACTGTCCTCCGGCGACCGACGTTTCATGACAATTATCTAATGAGTAAGACAAATAAATATTGACATCATCTCGAACTGAGATGTGAATCCAATAAGCGCCGGCGACGCATCAACTCGGTCTCACTAATAGTTTGACCCGTTTGTTTCGGTCCACTTGATTTCTGCACGTCCTGATTCACAGGCGAATGATAGCCGTCAACGAGTCCCAGCATTATCATGCAGTCACGGTCGGGGTCAAGAAGGGTTTCCCCTTCAGAAGAGATATCTGTTTCCGATGGTGAAATCGCACCGTTCCCGTTAGACTGAGGGGTTTCATGGTCTACAGATTTCTTGTCGCGTGGAGGGCTTGTTGGCGATATACGTCCCTGGTATTTCTTCGGAACGAATGTGATGCCAGTATCGTCAGTCTCTGTTTCCGAAGTAAAAGGACTAGTTGGCCGTTGGTCAGGCGCCGTCTTGTCAACATCATTAACATGGCCGAATCGTCCAAATGCTTGATAAATCCATTCAGCTAGTTCTTCAATGACCTAGAAGAAGAATTTAGTTGTATGGACAAGAATACACATGAAAGCTTACAGCGATAGCCTCAGGCATGATTAGAGGCATCTGAAGATAACCATGGGACCACTCGGAGAAGATCACTATTTGAGCCCAATCATCCTCAGTTCCCCGCGCAAGCTGGTCTCTTTCCTTTCTCATGGCAAGCCTACGACTGCCATCCAGTGGCACGTCTGCGACACTCATCCGAAGGGACTCTCCAACTTTGGGCCTGTGACCGGAAAGCGCCATGTCAAGTTCGATTTTACGCGCTCGTTTTGCCTCTCTGATGCGGCCAGCGAAGACAACAGTATCGTCCACAAACGGGTCCTTTTCTCCGCACTGCATCAACAAGGGAGGAAATTGGGCGAGAAGGTGACTAGGTGTAAGTATCGGTGAAATTCGATAGTCGGTCGCGAAATCCGGATTGTGATTCGGACCAATATACAGAATAGCCATTGCACGCATCTGGCAACATGAATTAGTATGGGTGGGTGACGATTTCGTTCAAGCCTACCATTGTAGGAGAGATAATCCTATCGGTAAAGTAGCTGGTCCTACTTGCCATCGTCAGACGGGTACCTGTGGACCGTTTCGACTCTTGTGATACGTGTGATGCTTTGTGATCTGCGGCGGAAACGGCAGCAGATAGCTCCTCCTGTCGTTCGGTATGCAACGCGGTAGCTATTGGTGCCGTTGGGGGAACAGTAGCAGAGTTACGCTTCACATTGTTCGGGGATAGCTTTTTATCCACTTTGCACAAAAAATCGTCTTCTTCATCACTTGAGGACCAGTTTCCATCAGTGGCGCTTGTTCGAGGTCGTAAGAACGACTTTCGTGCTATTGACACGCGTGTGGAAACTGGTGAGTGGGCTCTCTCCTTTGACCGAGGTCCAGTTTCATCGTTACCACCAGCAAAACCAAGCATGTAAGTATCTTTCCAGCTGCTTCGCCGCTTAAGACGCATCGGACAAGGAACACCAGGTCTATTATCTCCAACCACACTGAGAGGATTCTATAGAGCAGTTAGATGTATAGGACACATATCATCAAAGCTAACGTACGGCATTTTCTTTCAAGCCATTGTAGTCTTCAGGTAAGTTCTGCGGTCCTGGAAGATCCCCAGGTGGTTCTTCGGATCTCAAAATGCGAAGATTATCTGGTGTCATCCATGAAGTAAAATTAAAGTCAAGCGCAGCATAGCTAAGGGCCATGGCATGCGGTTTTGGAAGTGCTAGAGTGTTGTGCGGCTGTTCAAGAATCTTTAAAACAACGTTGACCGCAATACAAGCACCACTTAGGAACACAAGTGAGTGGTCAGGCAAGTCCGGCGATGAGATATGCACTTACGCAGAATCCCCAGTAACGATGATCTTCAAGTTGTGGCCGGACATGCCGATGATTCTACCGCCTAAGCAGGTGATGCTTCATGTATGATTCATGATATCGATTGAAGCTTACCAGATTCAACAAGCAGCCTGTAAAGGTCGAAGGCCTCGTCTATGGCGAAAGGGTACGGATCTAGAAAAAGGAACGAGTCAATATGTATGATAATGTAGGTCGTGGATTTCAGAAGTACATTCTGGCGCCTTCCCATAGTCAAGGGACAGAACAGGTTTTCCTGTTGACCTGGCCCACATCCGTAGACGGTCTTCGTGATGCTCGGGATTCATGGCCACAAACCCTCCCCCCGGTATATCCAGAACCAAGTCAGACGACTGGCCTAGACTTTCCTCTGTAGAGGCAAAGAAAAGATACACAGTGATGGGTCGCTGGCAAGGAGACGTTTTAGGCCTCGCTAACAAAATCTTTCGGCGGATGGTGACGTGAGGAAGAGGCGCAAGCGACCGTATCTACAACCGTATAAGAGGATTGTGGGTTTTTGGCATGTAAAAGGATGGCTTGCCCAAGGATTGGTAGTCTTTTCCCAGGTAGCCCGTAACATCTCGACAGTGGGCACAGCTCTGAATCGTCGTAGCTGATGGGAAATCAGTTGTAACAATATTATTTGGGTAGCTGAAGCTAACCTTCTCATCCGCCTCATTAGGATATAACATATAGTAACCTGAGAACAATACAGAACAAAGATCCCGCAACCACTTGGGTCGTATTGACATGGCTGTTGCAAATCCTGCATCCAAACCAGTGATAATCCATGTTGCGCGATAATAGGACGGAGAATACTGCCATAGTGTCAATTCAAAGTAGCATGGGAGATATTATGAGACGGACAAGGTTAGCTAGAGGCTCTGGCGCTATTGGATAGCACGTATCAGAAGCTGCAATACAATGAATGACAAACTCCTCACATTGAAGCCCAAGTATCTTATCAAAGTTTCGTATAGCATATATAGCTGTTAACGTGCTGACAATAAGTTGCCACGGAGTGAAACGTCCTACGCGATGTTAGGCTCCCACAATACTTGGAGGATGGAAGTGACAGTCTCACTGAGATATCTGTTCAGACGACTAAGCCAAAGGACCCGAGGCGGACCCGAGTTTCCTTGAAGAATGCGCCATAGCCAAAATAAGACGACGAGAAAGACCTGGGCCAGGGTCGCGGTTACCATCATTTCAAAGCGACGGGAGGAAACATTATTTGCTCACCTGCCTTCTCTTCCAGGAGGGATTGGGACGGCCTACAAGGTGGTCGATCATGATACTGCAGAGCCAGAATTAGGGTCTGCTAGCTCGGGAGAGGCAAGCAGCAGTGGCGTGGAACCCTCTGACCTTGCAGAATATAATCATGGTGCATTTGCATGTGATTTCTCACCACAAGAACTTCCGATCTTAATAAAGCCAAATAATCGGCGCGACGGCGCCCAGTCCAGGCTCCATTCTCTCGAACTGCCCCTCACCGCATGACTTTGTGAAGAATTCAATCAGATTAAATGACGGGGAAATACATTATAGTTCACGGTGGAGCTGGCTATCACAGGGAATCTTCTGAATCTTCAGTCAAACGCGCCCTCCGACGGTGTGTGGTTCCATTCAGAAATATCCATGGTCACTTCTGACGCGAACTCAGGGCGAGCAAAAGAGCCTATTGCTCTAGTACAGCGATCGAACTTGTCGAAAACGCTATATCCATACTTGAGGACGATCCATACCTGAATGCAGGTCCTTATCTCTCCGTAGTCTTCATTCATATGCAATTTTGATCACTTCAAGCAAGGCTTTGGATCAAATCTGACGCTCCAGGGTACTGTTGAATGCGATGCAAGCATAATGGATGGTGCAAGGAAAGCATTTGGAAGCGCCGGTGCCATCGCAGGTATAAACGTCGAACGTACAGTGACGCCCTCCTCATAATTGCTACTAGGTATCAAAAATCCTATTCGATTAGCGCGTTCGGTGCTAGAATATTCTCAAATTTCCGACCCTCTCGGACGTATTCCACCTTTGTCTGCATTCCCTTGCTCGTGACAGCATCACGAAGACTCACTATCGTGCAGAATGCTTGTTTCTCCGGGCGCCAATTTATTTGCCGAGCGTCATCTCGACAAGCGTTATATTGTGGATCCCACCTCCCTCGCAAGTCAACAAGCTGTTGAGAATTGGAAACATTGGACTACAAATCTACACCAGGCTACACAAGGACTAGATGTCGTCGACCGCGAAAAACTGCACGATGTTCAGGACACTGTCGGTGCCATCGCCTGGTGCGGTCCTTCAGATATTGCGGCTGGTGTTTCAAGGTCAGCTGTTGTTCGTCTCTCACTTCCGATGCCATTCAGGACAACGCTTACAGTGGCGGTTTATTGCTGAAACATTCTGGGAGGATCGGTGAGGTGAGTTGTTAGACGTACATAATCCTGACTTTGTCTATTTTTCTCTTACAGGCAGCCATTTATGGTGCCGGATGTTGGGCACAACGAGACGAGGCGGTCGGCATAGACGGGAGGATGCTAAATCGATATATAGCGTGCAGCGTTTCAGGTATTGCCGACCTTATTGCCTTATTGTCGCTATTCACTCCCGTTTTCAGGTGCCGGTGAAAATATAATTAAGTCATCGTTAGCCAAGCTTATTGGTCAAACCGCTGGCGAAGCTCTTTCTTCTGATCAAGATATACATAGCGTGCTAGAAAGGGTGTTAACGATAGATCTGTATGGTATGGTTTTTCTTACTGCACCATTGAATATTTAGGTGAGCTCATGCTGTCGCAGACACATGCAAAGAAACTTTGGAACAAAACCCGAAAGCGGGGATAATCTTGCTAACAGTTGAAGATGAGGGAAATACCAGTAGTGGCATGTTTTGTATTTCTTTCAGAAGTGTTATGCCTAATACTATTAGTAGTGCGACTATGGTGTGCTTTCACAACGGCGAGTATGGCCATCGCTTACATTTCGCCGTCCAACCCCAATCCAAAGGTAGAGCCTGATTACCGTGAAAACATGTGTGCAACTGATCGTTGATAGAGCCTCGTGCTTCGACGGCCCCATGGGAAGGATGCATGTAGTAAACGTCCTTTGGTATTCATCACGGCTTTGTCGCTATGAAGGGGTAATACGGCTCTTAACCAGAGCCTAGTCTGGCACCGTTAGACCCGTTGCTGCTACCTTGTCCAATAGAGGCGCTGTGGGGTAATTGATACGACGTGGTATCCCCATTGCGGGCCGAGGCGGAAGGAGCGGCAGAACCTGTACGGCTCGGAGTTGGCGGCTGGCTGGAAGAGGGCGTGCGCTGGACCGAGCCATTGGATTGCGCCAAGAGAGGCTTTGCTGCATTTAGTCGCTGCAGTGTTTTGATCGGGAATTTCGTTCTACCGAGGTTAATAAATGTCTCCGTAAAGATGGAGAATTACTAGCGCTTACCGGCAGGTTGAACACACCGGGACTGGTTGACAAAATACTAGAAGCGACATCAGACGTAACGCTGAAAGGAAGGCAGAAAGGTAACGTACTAGACAGGCACACCGAACACACAAAACCGATGTCGATTATATTCTTATGACAGAAGCAGGCTGCACGGAAGTCAATTCTATCTTGTGTGGGGACGGAGAGCACCTTTCGAATAGAGGGCGGAGAGAGAAACGACATCTGGAGTCTTGGTGAGACTGCATACTGTGTAACAAGCCATATACATTGGACTAACGATCAAGTATTGAAGAAGCGCGTCTCGTCGTTCCAGGGCTATGTAAGAACCTCCGGTCAAGTGTGCAGCCTGTTGTAAAAACACGGAGTCTGGACCGTATATCTGGCAAGCATCAACGGCCACCTTCTACGACTGATGAGCCGACCAAGGAGAAGAAGGGTGAGCATAACCATACCAGTTTTTGGGCCGAGAAGATGGCATTCATAATGGGAATGTAAGACGTAGTGAGATCCGGAGATACGGACAAGATGAGGATCCGGGGGTCGGTGGAACTGGCAGCATCGAGGGGTTGAGATGTGTTGTCGGACGATATGGTGGATGCAAGGGCAACCCTGTTAACGTCTAGAACATACAAGGTTTAGTTTGGTCAAGGGTTAGCGTGGTAGCCTTACAACAAAGGGCCTTAGTCAACGCTCCGACCAGACCACAAGGCGCTAGTGGGATGTGAGAAGAGGCGCGAGGTAAACGCACATGGCGTACCTTCCTCTTCGTCGTCCATGAGCATATCTAGCTCTTCTCTGGTTCTCCGTACTATAGCCGAATCGATGACTTTGAACGCTAGATATGAGTTGGAGTCCATTTGCATGGTGGTGTCAGATTCCTGGTCAATTGAAGAATAGAGCATGACACTAAAGAACATGAGCAGTTGAATAGAGGATGATGGAGGATGTCAACCTCTTGCCGGGAAGGGCGCCAAAGACAGCAAGAGTGTTCTCATGCTTGGAAGCTAAGTGGGCGTTAAGGAAGACAAGTAGCTGGGAAAGAAAAGAGTTGAGAGCCAAGGGGTAAGCGTTAGAGGAGAGACCGGAAAGATGCCATTGAGTCGGGGACAAGTCTACGACGACGGACAGATGGGAACCAGTGGAATCATCCATGCACAAAGGAAAGACCGGATTTGGAAAGAGGCGGACCGACGGCAGGCATTAAATTATAATTAATTTTTGCCGGCTAAATAAATAAAGAGGAAAGTATCGCATCGATCTTGATCTACCCTTCCCCAACGTTGACAACGAGGGCCATCATACATGGACCTCTCTCCACCCCATATGACCATCAGATCTGTCGCCGAGTGCTTTACGCCTTCTCCCGTATGCTGCACACGGCGAGATCCGCGACTCGGTTGCACCTTTCGTCATTGTTGCCAGTGATGCCCACGCCGTCAGCGGGTCGACTAACCCCTGCGACCCGATTCGACTTGCTTTACGGGATATGCAGTGACTGCGGACAGGCAAGGGTAGGAAACGTACCCGAAGAGCGAAATTTAGGTTGAGGGGACGGAAGCATCGCTGGATCGCTCATTACACGGCGGCCAGTGGTGCAGAGTGCGGATTGAACGGAGTGGCGGATGGAAGACAGGGTGAAGGGTCTCTGGCCTGCTGACTGACGGTTACATTTGGGGCAGACAGAGACCAAAGTCGGCATCGACGGCGACGATGAACTCGAACAATTATTTCGGCAGAACAGGCTCAATCCTATAGGCTGGACGGGGTGAATCACGGCGCCAAAGGAGACAATTTCCGCAGACGGTAACCACATCTGGAGCACTGATAAGGTGTGATCTGATGAGGGCAGCGAAGATATTCTTTATGTCGAACGAGTAGAACGGTAGAATATGCAGTATGTACAATGTAGGAGCATTATTTCCAACAGAAGCTGCGCAGGCAGAAACAGAGGAGAAATATAGAATTACAGGGGAGGACAACAAAGAGTAACATCATTTCGAGCTCAGCGGACGAATTGGGCATCAAAGGAGCCACATCGTCGACAGGGCTTCCGGGGACGGCCGAGACCGTGACCACGGCGTCGCTACCATCGATGCGTGCGAAAACCGTTCGTTGGCGATGCCTGACGCCCAGGTCAGCCCCCTCTTCGTCATCCCCCATCACCATCACCCTCCCTCCCCCATGTCCGCCCTCCACATCGACTATGACAGTGACGACATGCGTGTCGACTCCGACGACCAGTCTCGCCTCCACGACGCTGACGCTGATGCCGACGCTGATTCCGACGACGAGGCCACCGCTATGGACCTCGTAGCCGACGCTGTCCCCCATGTCCCTAGCCTCTATTCTCACCCTGTATGTCTTTCCTCGCTTGTTCATCGTCCTGCCACCGGCTTACGGCCCCTTTCTCCCTCAGGGTGATGGGGACTCTGTTCGTCGCCTTTATTCTCTCTTGCTTCCTCTGTGCTCAACTAATCTTTCTCCCTTTAGGGCTATGAAGATGAAGTCGAAGAGGAAGAGGAAGAAGATGACGACGAGGACGGCACCTACGCTGACGAAGAGTACGCGAAGAAGAAAGTACCACGAAAAAAGAAACGTTCTTCCGTCCCTGCCGCCACAAAACCACGTAGTATGTCTCGCCCTTGTCTCTATCTACCGCCTATTAACTTTCGTTAGTCCCTGCTCGCCATACCTCGCCCTCCGATTCTGGTTCCGATTACGGTGCTCGTTCCAAGAAGAAGAGGAAGTCGCGCTCATCGGCCGATGAAGTGCGCGTTTCCAGTCGTGGCAACAAGGTCCCAAATTACGTCGACGATGTACAAGACTTTGAAAAGTTTGACGAGGAAGACCACGACAATGGCTACTATGCAAACAACAGTGTCCAGTATCAGGAAGAGGACGAGATAGAACTAGTTCTGAGTCACTGTCGTGACGAAGGCCGAGAAAACGACCTCGAGGATCTATGGTTTGACAACATTGTACGTTAGTCAAGATAACAGTTTCTCGATCTCGACTAATCTTCTGACTTAGCGCTTCCATATCAAATGGAAAAACTTTTCACATTTACACAATACCGATGAGACGTATGAGTTTTTGAAGCGTTTCAAGGGTCTCAAGCGTGTCGACAATTATATCAAGGGGTACAAGGTATGGCAAGCCCGACTACAAGCGCCAGGATTATCTCGTGAAGATCAGGTAGAGTCCATTTTGGCTTATCACACTCGTGTCTTTGATCTCTGATTCAAATACAGGAAGCCCTCTTGTTAGAGAAGGAACGGGAAAAAGAGGACCTAGAAACTTTCCGCACAGTTGAACGAATCATTACCCATCGGGAAGGCGCAGAGGGCGAGGTGGAGTACTTTTGCAAGTGGACCAACCTCAACTATAGCTCCTGCACGTGGGAATTACAGAAGGACGTCAACCCCATTGCCAAAGAACAGATTCAAGCCTATCGACGTCGCGAAGCGGAAGCTAAATTTCCGTACAAGAGCGTCTCCTATGCTAGGAACGGTCGCCCTACTTTTCAACCCATGGACAAGTCTCCGGATTATATATCAGAGACCGGCTGTGAGTTGAAGGACTTCCAGCTGACTGGCCTTAATTGGCTCGCCTACTTGTGGAGCCAAGGACAAAATGGTATCCTTGCCGATGAAATGGGACTTGGAAAGGTACGGTGCCTACCTATAAATCTAATAAACCGCTCAGCGTTCCTCTAGACCGTGCAGTCCGTCTCATTTCTCTCCTACCTTTTTCATGAAATGCACCAATATGGTCCATTTCTTGTGGTTGTTCCACTGTCGACCATCACAGCCTGGCAAATGCAGTTTTCTCTGTGGGCGCCGGATATCAATGTCATCACATACATTGGAAATACCACCGCTCGCGAAGTTATTCGCACCTATGAGTTCGGAACATCAAATAAACGTCTCAAGATGAATGTATTACTAACGACCTATGAACTGACGTTGAAAGACGTCAAGCAGTTGGGTGAGATCAAGTGGCAGGCGCTCGTTGTCGATGAGGTATTTTATTACTTGATTCACTCTTCGTTCGTTATTTCATCATGCTTGCTTTTGCTTTTAGGCTCATCGTTTGAAGAATTCGGCCAGTTTGTTGTACGAATCCCTTCAGGCCTTTTCCGCTGCATCAAAACTGCTTATCACCGGCACTCCTTTGCAAAACAACGTCAAAGGTTCGTCATCTATGGTTCTCTCATATTCGTTGCTTACCGTTGTCGCAGAACTCATGGCCTTGATGCACTTTTTAATGCCTGAAAAATGTGGGTTCTGTGCCATTTATCTCTTCTATATTTTTTAATTTTTGCGGATGTAGTCGCTCTGAGCGACGAATTTGACTTGAATGATGCGGATCACGAGTCAAGGATCCAGGAGCTGCATAAGCAGCTAGAATCTTTCATGCTGCGAAGATTGAAGCGAGATGTCCTAAAGTCTCTGCCGTCCAAAAGCGAACGCATACTGCGAGTAGAAATGAGTGCCCTCCAAACCCATTTCTACAAGAACATCTTGACGAAGGTTACAATTTCTTAGCTCATTTCCTAACTTAGTTCTCAAAGTCTGTCACAGAACTTCCAAGGTCTGGTTAAAAGTGCCAATGGAAACAACAACATTAGTTTGTTAAACATAGGTGCTTCTGTTCTTACTTTCTCGCGGACACCACGCTTATATTACCATGATAGCCATGGAGCTCAAGAAGGCAGCTAATCATCCTTATCTATTCGATGGAGCGGAAGTTCGTACAGATAACGATGAGGAGACGTTGAAAGGTCTTGTGATGAACAGCGGCAAGATGGTGCTGCTGGACAAACTTCTCGCTCGTCTTCGGCAAGACGGGCATCGAGTATTGATTTTCAGTCAAATGGTCAGAATGCTGGATATCCTGAGCGATTATATGAGCCTTCGAGGGTATCTTCATCAGCGCTTAGATGGAATGGTGTCTTCTGAAGCCCGGAAAAAGTCGATCGATCACTTTAACGCTCCCGGTTCGCAGGATTTCGCTTTCCTACTGTCAACCCGTGCCGGTGGGCTCGGAATCAACTTGGAGACTGCAGATACTGTTGTGATATTTGATGTGAGTATCTCGTTAAACAACACCTTTCCCAGAAACCTTACTTTTTACAGAGTGACTGGAATCCTCAGAATGATCTTCAGGCCATGGCTCGTGCCCATCGAATTGGACAGAAATCGCACGTTAGCGTTTACCGCTTCGTCAGTAAGGACACCATGGAAGAAGATGTGTTAGAACGTGCCAAAAAGAAAATGGTTCTTGAATACGCTAGTAAGACATTATAACCTTCTCTAAACGACCAGTTGTCTAAATTCCCCTCAGTAATCAACCAGATGGACACCAGTCAAGCACATCTCAGTTCTAAGGCCAATCAACTCCGGGATTCCTCGAAACCAGAAAACTTGAGCAAGGACGAACTGACAGCAGTACTGAAATACGGGGCCCAAAAAATGTAAGGTACACTGCTTCCCTTCCATGACTTGTTTCTCATGAAACGCCTAGGTTTGACAAAGACGACTCTCAGCAAAGCCAAAAACTGGATGAAATGGATCTTGATGATATACTGAATCGTGCGGAGGACCACGAAACAATGGAAGGCGGCGACGGAGGAGCATCACTTGGTGGTGAAGGATTTTTGTCACAATTCGCGGCCGTGAGCGACGTGAAGAACGACATGAATTGGGAGGATATCATACCTCTGGATGAACGGCAGAAATTCGAGAAGGAGGAGGATAGTCGTAAGGCTGAGGAGCTTGCAGCCGAGGAGTCGCGGGATCGAAAACGTACTCATGCTCAAGTTTCTTACGAGGGCATGGACGTGGACCATCCTCCTTCCACATCGGCGCCCAAGAAGCCCAAAAATCCAGGACCGACGCGGAAGTCTGCCAGTCAAAAGGCGATGGAATTGAAGGAGAGAGATGTACGAGTGTTGATCAGGAGTTTGCAACGATGGGGGGATATACGGCAACGATACGACGTTATAGTGAGTTAGTTCGTCTTCAATCCCTGCTTGTACTCAACGAGTATCCTTAGGTTACCGAAGCGAAACTTGCAGATAAGAACAAGGGCATGATGCTAGATGTAGCTGATGATATCATCGCTATATGCGCGCAAGCTGTTAAAGACAGTGAAGAGCAGAAGCGCCATCGAATAGACGCCGGCGAAACACTGACTAATGCTCAGAAGAGCAAAGCGGTGTTAGTGACTTGCCGCGGTGTAGGCAATATCAACGCTGAAACGGTTCTGTCCCGTCATCGCGATCTACGGACTCTCTACGACATTCTTTCGGAACTTCCAGACCCTTACAAGTGGTCAATCCCAGTTGACAACATCAGACCGACACTTAATTGGTCTGGTCGGTGGGGTCCTCAAGATGATTCAATGCTTCTCGTTGGTGCATACCTTTACGGCTTTGGGAATTGGGAAACGATGGCGAAGGATGAGAAATTGGGTCTCGAAGGCAAATTCTTCCTTGAAGAGGGGAAGAAAGGGGAAGACGCTGCGAGCCGCCCGATCCCAAATGCCATCCATCTTGTACGGCGCGGCGACTATCTACTCGGCATTCTTCGCGAACACGACGAGAAGATACGTTCCTATGAGAGCACTATACGCACCAAAGTCAAATCTTCAGCGTCACCTCCCCCAATAGCTTCGACCTCCCATGGCCTCAAGCGTCGTGCGGAAAGCGAAGCCGTGGCGTCGGTCGACGATAACAGCTCGAGGAAACGCAAACGTCGGCCAACACCAACTTTCACAGATTCAGAGTCCTCAGATGAATGGTCAGTTCTTTGTATATTGATCATAGCCTCAACTAATATCAAACTGTGCAGTCCATCCATGGACGAAGCTGCAACCAAAGAAGAATTACGGCCGGTCAAGAAGCAACTGGTGAGTAGCCTCAGTTGCATTACTTGCTGCAATCCTCACAGTGCTACAGAAACAGCTCAAATTGTCTGGAGAGGACATGCCTCGCGACAACAAAGTTGCAATTCTGAAAGATTCCCTTGCCGCAATTGGACGTCGAATCGAGACCGTCTTGAACAACAAGGATGCCGCTGGCGAGGACCGGGAACGGTGGCGGCGGCATCTGTGGACGTGAGTTCGATGTATATCCACTTCTTAGACGAAGCTAACCACACCCTTAGATTCGTGACACTTTTCTGGCCCAAGAAAGTCAAGGCGTCGAAATTGGAAGAAATACATGCGAAGATGGTCATGAAGGAAGGTGCACCAAGAGCGGGATCAGAATCAAGTTCTTCCAAGAAGCCTCGAACAAGTAATACTGTATCGAAAGCGAATGGCTCCAGCGCCTCTAGGACTAATGGTAAATCCCATCGATAGCATTACTATATGTATGTTGCCCTCCTTCGTTTCTTCGATTCACCTTACACCTCGATCCACCTTACACCTATTATATATATATCCTCTCCGCGCTGTCCTCCTGCAACCTTGTACTATCCATTGTAGAAACTCTGATGCCTTGGAAACCGTATCTCGTCATGAAAAACAATGAGAACCCGATAGTTAGTCGGGCGACTGGTTAACTTGAAGGATCAGGGTGAATTTACACCAGAGGCCGCCTATATGGCGACCTGCCCTGATGCAAGGTCCGGCGCAGATACGGTGGATGGTCTTGAGAGCTAAGGACTGGCATTGACACTAGTGCTGTACTTGGATGTTGACCTAACCCACCTTTTATCGCACATTCACACGAATACCGGATTTCGATTGTGCGATATCAACACTGACAATGGGAAGCTCTGGATTTCCGCTTGTCCGTTGCGGGGGCCTTTCGGAGGTCGAGGCATGAGGTTCTTGTTCGTCAATTGTTTGCAAACGAGTACGGGTCAGAGTCGCTAAACAGACATCAGCTATACAAACCTTTCAAACAAAGACGCACGCACATTCTATTAGCTTCGTATCAGCCTCGCGATGGAAGCTCTTCATAAGCGTAGAATAACGCTTTACTTGCCAGCTAAGCTGTGACGCAAGAGCCGTGTTACCCTGCTCAATGGCCCATTTCTTTTCCTCCTTAAAACGACGGCGTTCGCTGTCAGCCAGAGAAGCTCGAGTGCGCAACGCCGCGACTTCGCGATCCAAGGGACTCATTGAGCCTCTGGGACCAATCATCTCCGAATTGGAATCGACGGAAGTTATGTCGGACGTGGTGCGTCTGGATGTGTGATGGCGTTGGGGATCTCGCTCGGTGGTTCTGCGACGATGACGTGAAGAACGCTCCCGGTCGCGATCCTGGGTCGTGTGGCCATTTGCAAGTGTAGAATGAATCTTCTTGCTACGTTTTTCTTTTGGCTTGTCGAAGACTCCTGACAGTATTTCTGTACAGATGAGTCCAAGCGCGACACCGACCAGGGTAACAATGGGCTTCGTAATATCCTGGGTGAACGAAAATTCGACAAAAACCTTTGCAGCGATGCCAAAGGCGACTGGGATGCCGAGGTTATGCTCCTTGAAGGCGTACCAAAGCGCAACGCCCTGCCAAACGCCCACCAAAATAGAGGCCTGCAACGACGGCTCATCCGAGCGCGTGAATTGGTCCAGTAGAATGCGAGCACCTATACCAAGAAGGAGAGCAGGTGCCGTCGAGACCGTCATAACAGGCGTTCACCATCGACCGCCACGAGTGTAATGAGCAAAATTTGGCATACTGAGGGTTGCCTCGAGGCAATTTCGATGATAGGCCGGCAACACGTGGAATTTTACGTAAACGCCTCACTTTTTGGTTCAACAATACAACTCGTTGTTTGCCCGCTTCTATCACATCGACACTTCACAGAACGACCGGGGCTCGAAACTGGCCAGTAAACTTCTCAGTGGGAATGCGGTGGGATCCGACCGACTTATATTGATCTAACGGCTGAATGCAGGAAACCTTGTTTGTTGAGTCGATTCTCAAATTCTGAGAGAATATCGTCTTTAAGAGGGACATTCTAGTATGGTCCTGGGAACCGTCTTTGCTATGCTATTGGTAACCGAGCGCATGTGACCAAAGGGTCTTCTGCTGATGTTGTTAGGACATGCTCGTGGGCCGCTTCCGTTTCTTGACCTCATCGTATTACTATTCTGTGCTTTGCTTCTATATATTATCCGGCGCACGATAACATAGAATGGGGAGCTCTGAGGTTCATTTGTTTCTCAGGCTGTAGACCATCGATTCCATTCGTCAGAAATGGCTTAGGTCTCCTCAGGGACATCGACCGAGACAAAATACTCTTCCCACATATATCTCCTACTCGAATACGTTCCCTAACAGTATGGAAACTAAATAACATTGCATCCGTTTTCACATTGATCCGACATAGCTTTTTCGCGAGTATAACGCGAACTTAGTGCGTGCGTGCTTCCTTGCAACGTCGTTAGCTCATAACTCATAACCTTTCCTTAGGTACTGTATGTGGAATTGATACCCACTCCCCTAGTAGGTATATAACGCTGTCAGTTGCAGTAGCGACACTTGAAAACTTGACAACATGTGGAACGACGATATAGACACGGTATACCGTCCTGCATGGACCTTCGCCAATGCTTGCTCATGTGGTCAATAATATTACAACTGGGTGCAGTCTCTTTTCTTCCAAGTAGTATGCCATCGTGACCTTCGGTTCTCGGGAAACAAATCTGAGGAAGAAGCACATAACTTTGCGCGACCTCTTCGTTGCTGCTTGTGTTCAGCATGCCATGTGCATCCAATCATCCAGCTGACAGCTGCTCTTTGTGAGAAAAAGGCTTATAGCACACATGGGATCATACCTTCTTCCCTTTTATACCGTTCCCTCAACTGGTCTCATGAGCTCAACTTGCGGTCCCATGTAATATCTGTGACTTTCTGGCAACAAGCCGCTTCTAAAGCGAATAGTCATGGGGGTTCATTGGCTTTCGCAGCTGATATTCACGATTCGCGATCCTGATGCCCGATCAGTATGTCTATCGACTATATAAAATGTTCCAAATTACTCCACATGGGCAGCAAACATTCACAATGGTCCGAATTCCCACTGGGCTAGTTCTTTTCCTTTCTGTCGTCACTGCGAGCTCTGCACTTATTACCAAGCGCACTGTTGCACAAGTGGAGGCTGATATTGCCAACATTGCAACCCAGGTCAACGCGCTCGACAGTTCCATCAAGGCCTTCCCGGACACCGGAGGAAGCCTGATCAGTGCTCTCGTAGGATACCTTCCTATGTCATTGAATTACCGCTGACACTCTCATCGTTTAGGCCATCCACAGTAGTGCAACGTCATTGATTAGTACTCTTCAGACTGCGACTACCGACACTACTGTATGACCGGATGTTGACATCCAAGAAGGAAATTGACTAACCTTTAAATATCTGCAGGCGACTGATGCTTTTAGTGAATCTGACGGTGCTACCATCCTCGCGGCCGTTGAGGGCTTTGAGCCAACCATTCTTGATGCTCTTACCGCCATCGTTGAGAAACAGCCTGCCTTTCAAGGTTCGTCGATCTGGGTTCTCAAAGCGTTGGACGACGAAGATTAATCACTATATTCTGGTCAACAGCTCTCCCCATTGGTGGGATTCCTGCCTTGGTGCTCCAAGACCTTCAGAACCTCGACTCCGGAACTACAGCGTTCTCAAATGCGTTAATTGCCAAGTCCCCAGTACGAGTAGCTGCTATAATATATCGCTTTGCAGTTGAGATGACCCTATCGACAGGCTGACCTCTTAGACCAAGCCAATGAGATCAAAACGACGATCGCGGATGCATTTGACACTGCCATTTCCGCGTATTCAGGCTGAAAGGAGGGGAGCAGGATTTCGAAATATATTGGACACGAAATTGCGTTATTTCCTATTGACTTCCGCTGTAGTAACCATTGCCATGGGCGAGAGTTCAGATCTTGTGTTGCATATTACCCTTTTCTATTGTCACTGATTGATGCATATAAACGCTTGATAAAATGGGATCTGAGCGAGTTAAGAAGCGCCTTGGGAAGAGAGTACAATGAGATGCGAACAGCTTTCCCAAAAACGGTTGGCAAACGTACGTATTAGCGTCATGGTTTCTTTACTCCACGCATTCTGTTCACTTCTTTCCATACCTTGTCCTGGATTCCCCCGCCATCCTCTGAGTCGATGCATGTGCGCCACCGCTCGAGATCATCAAACTCGATATTGATTGCCCGCACAATATTGGAGAGGTATCCCAAATCAGAACTTAGTTGTGCAGAACCTGCTTGTGAGAGCATAGGAATGGCAGGGAGAACCTCCTTCGTCAGATGAGTCAGCAGCGTCCGACTGAGCGACGATAGCCACGCAGACGACACCAGCTCTGGGCTCGGTCCTTGTGCTAAGGGCTTGGATATGCTCTGCCGCCGTGCATGCCCTACGTACACCGGCTGAGGTTCCAAAGGTATCTCAGGTTCATCGATATGCGGGAGTGTATGCAAAGAGAAGGAAAGAGCGTCATCATCAACATACACCTCGAATAACTGAGGAAGGTTGAGTAAGTTATCCGCAACACGCTGTACTGTCTCGCTGGGAGACAAAGAAAAGGATGGAACTTGGAGTTCATTGACTTTTTGTGACTTTCCATTTCCTGGCGCGTTCCACAAAGGAAGGGACGCATATCCGGACAAAGGCTTCATGAGGGGGGAGAGAATAGTGCGCTGAAGATATTCTTGGCACGTTCTAGCAAGTTGATACACTGCCGCGCGCGCTTCAACCAAAAGAGGATCGGTAGGGCGAGATTCCAGAAGGGTATGAAGATCAGGAGAATGAAGAGTGGACTGTTCCAATAGTTGACTTCGGTTTGAACCAAATGCGGTTGGATCTTCGCGCGATAGGCGAAGAGTCGTGGATATCTGGGTGAGGCTAGCACGAAGCTTATTCTCAAAAGACAACATTCGCTCAAAGACGCTTCGAGCGGAAGATAGAAGATGAAGGTAGTGTTGGAACTCAGCCCAATCCTGCGGTGTGTAATCTAGCCCAGATAGGCCTTCTCCGGCAGAATTATATGTAGAAGAAGAGGGAGAGGACGTTTTACGAAGATCGTTAGTCCGCATATCAACGAAAGACTTGAAGAAACCATCCAACGCTTGTACAAGCCCCACTGCACCATATCCATGTGTGAAAGACACACAGCGTGTGACACTTTCTTCAGCGGCACCGAACACATCCACGGCTCGCTCACGTAGAAGACGTGCATCATCCGGATTTGCATCACCGCGCGCGCCGTCGTTCTTGGTAATATAACGGAGATTGTCATCGAGGAAGCGCCTCTCAAGAGAAGCATATTCAACCTGAAAATCGAGGAAAGGTTGGAAGAGCTCTTGCTCCCACTCAAGGAGACTGGACAGCTTGGTAATGCTCTGTGTGGAGGAAGAAGTGCGGGCTGGGGTGTTGCGCCAAGACATGGACATCCGCATTGAACGTCGGCGCTTGTGGGCTGCAGGTTGGGACGTCGGTGACTCGGAGGTTTCTATGGAAGTCGTAGAGTGCTTAATCTTTTCTGTTACTTTCTCTGCAGCAACAGCGAAATCCTCCGTCATTTTGAATAAAGAAATAAGAATTTTGAGAACAGAATCGCCATGATGACTGAATAATGAGGTAAGCCGTTGAGCGAACGTGGGCTGGAGAGCAGACAGAACTGAAGATATAAGTGCCGAGAGCGAGACGGCTGGGTCAGGGAAAATGAATGACATAGAGGCGCATTCGAGATTTAGGAGGGATAGAAGATATTCGTAGAATTTGGGAAGGAATTCGACAAGCGTTTGTGTGCCCTCGCCATCGCAATCCAGCAATCGTGCATTCTGCCAGAGTGCTACCACTTCTGCCCTCCGAGAACCGTTGTAATAGTTGCGAAATTCGTGTTCGCGTTGGATATCTGAAAAGATGGAGAAATAACTCTTGCACGCCGCTAGGTCATGGACGTTAATCGCGGCCACTAAGGCAGAACTGAGGGACGCTTCCAGCTGGTTCTGCAAATTGACCATGAGAGCGCGACGAGGGTCATAATCTGGAGTATTTTGAAAGACGACCATGCTGCGACTGGCTTCCGAAAGCCGAGCAGCTGCTTTGGCATAATTGTTGTCCGAAAGAAGTGATGTAACTTCGATTTCCAGGGTGCTCCAGCTCTCCGCCTCCCGCAGGACCTCACGCGCCAATTCCATGTGACTTTTCATGGTATCCAAAACATGGAGTTTATTGAGGGCGTCCTGGGTAGATAGAGGAACTGCCGCCTTCGCCCGGGAGCGAACACGAAGGAGGCCGCTTTGGAGGGTGAGCGCACCATCTTTCATGAAATGAAGGTCGTAAGTGAGTCTGGGTACAGCGCGAGAGACGTCGCGAACGGTTCTCTCCAGCTGGGACGACGTGTCTTCCGAGGCAATGTCGAGAGATGCCAGGAGCTGCGTAATGTGTTGGTCGAGTTCAGCGAGGTCGACGACGTCATCCTCTCTGTCCTCAGAGGTTGGAAGCGTATCGTTGATCCATGAAATGACATCGTCGTATTCGGACAAGGCATCCAATGCTTGAACACTAGATGACGAAGCTGCAGTCATGGTCGGGACTATGGCATATATATATCACAGATACAAACAACGACCCGGGCCAGTGAACCGGAATTTCCAATTGACCAACTACCAACCCAGTTCATACTTAGGAAATGGTACCACTACAACCCCATCGTCTGGTTCTCCCATGCTCTCCCAGCAAGTTCCACATAATATGCAGGGGCTTTCCCCCAATCGCAGATCACCTACAATAGACCAAATTGCGGGTATTCTGTAGCATGCTCGACACAAATCTAGAGATATCGGCGTCAGCTGCAAAGTGAAAGGATATCCAGACGTTGGATCTGAGACATTCTTCAGTCTATGTGGGTGTTACTTAGACCGAACTGGAGAAAGAGAACGGAAGCATGCCTGATTTGATCAACTACGAAAAAGTGTTCGCAATTTCCTTGATGCAAAATCCAATACGGTTCGTTGATACGAAGAGAAAGAGAGCTCAGGATAATATCGTGCATGGACTCCGACGCCTTAGTCAGTGAGCGGTGTTTCAATGAGTGCGTTGCGAGATGCTGGAGCATTTTGCTAGGACACGAATGATATGGATCATCACGCCGACAAATAGACAGGAAGAACGTACTCGGCATAATCAATTTCATCCATACCGTCACCATAAAGAACATCACCGATGCATACCACATAACCAGAACTTGCTTTGGCGGCTTGAGTACTCTGATCCCTGGGTCTATGCGACACTATTTCCTTGGGAAGGTCGTTCGACGCGCAAGGCATCATCTCGATGATATCACCCAATGCCTGCGAAGAGAGAAGTGCGTGCTGAGATGTCCGCATGGTGGTACTGGATCCCTTAGTGTATATTGTGACGGTAATGATTGCACAACCCTCATCGGCCAAAGAGGCGCTATCATTCGAGTCGGAAGGTTTCTGGTATAAATAAGGCTATTAACGATATATTCCATGAGGCATTGCACGAACACGTTTGTTAAGGGCATTCTGATCTGAATTCTTGGGCGGCCTTACGAAAAGAGAAGCTTCTGGACAAAGACTGACAGCAAATCAGAGTCACACTGAACTGTGATTGACAAACTTACGGGTAGCTGGAGAGATGAATAGTCTGAAGTGCCTTGTTCCACTCAAGTATTGCCGACGAATCTTCCTCATCACTGTCCATAGCATTCTGAGTTTTGCGACGAGTTTTGGTTGTGCTTTGGGTAGCATATAAAGCATCTACAGTAGAATTATGCTTCTTGAGGATATATGCAGATAACTCTGGATTGTCCCAGACTTTCCCGACAGCATCACGAATATCGCTTACACTGGAGAGTACATGAGTGACAAGAACCAAAAATGGGAGTAAAACACGCCTGAAATCGTCCGTACCCGCACTACTAACAAAATCGTGCTGAGGAATGTTGAAAGAGGCAAACTCCGCTATAGGTATGGGTTCTGAAGGTGGCCCAAAGTGAAATTCGAGATTGCGAGCTAGCCTCGCGGTCGCAGTCATGGTCCGTGCGTGAGAATAGTCTCGTTACGTCATCGATCAGACGTGGGAATTTCGAAATTTCGATTTTCAAAAATGTAAACAACAAAATGTCTTGATCAAAATTAGTCGAAAGAGAGGGATACAGTAGGAGAGCTATTCGACACAATGATAGCCGCCCAATATTCACCTTTTTCACTTCCGGAGACCGCCATTGTCAATGCCAAGTTCTGCAACTCCCGAAAGTGCTATTGAGGTGCTTCCAGCGCCATAGTAATGGCAACATGGCAACATAACATCTCCTCCTGGCTCATAACAATACTATCTCTGGCAGCCTTTCTATTTATGATTGCAGACAATGAGTATTTAAGTGATCCGTGGGATTAGTAGTGCAAATATCGCTAGTTGTTTTGTTGTAATTATATGGCATAACTGTCATTGATAACTTATCGTCGGTCAATCGTAACGGAACGGAATTGTTCGAATCGTGAAGAGTAGAATATTATTACAGATACAGCGTTATGTGATAGTTACAATCTAAAAGTAAGTAGGTTCCAAGTTTGTAATGTATGTATTCCACTCTGCCCAGCTAGAAATAATTTCAGATAACAGCATCGTCTGCGAGATACTAAGACTCACTCGAATCCTGCCGGAGCTCCAGTCCACATGTTGATGGTATTGTTTCCTACCTCTTCCAACAACCCGAAGTCTGAATATGTAGAGGACCCTGAAAACGACGTCTCCGGATGACTGGAGGCCTGGAAGTTGAAAGCATCGCCAACTTGAATGGCTCCAACTTGGTTAGCGGACGGTGTCAGATTTTCGTCGAAGTATTGTTGAGTACCTTCGATAACAATTACTAACGTTTATGTCACAGGCAGCGTATATACTTACCAGATATTTGTGCGCTGAACGAGCTCGTCGGTATTGGTTCGTACGAGTCCCACGCCCGAACAGCAGGAGCAGGTCCGGTTAGATAAACAGATATATCGTTCTCCCGTGCTCGCTTTTTAGACGTGGAATCTTCCTCAAGTGACGCATTGCCAACAGTCGAGATCCCATTAAGCATATCCCTTTTGGCTTGTAAGTAATCGGACAGTGAGGTGTTTTGATTAGCGAATAAATCTCACCATAGGCGACCAGCAATATTCCACCTATGGAAACGTCAGCTCGCTCACTGTTGATGGCATGAACAGCTACCTTTCAGAGGCGTATTTCAAACTTGCCTTGCACTTCTCGACATCAGCTAGCTCTTTTTGTAGATTCAAAGAAAGGCCAGCGCGTTTACCGCTCCAGATGTTCATAGACAGAACAACTCCCGAAACGAAAGCTCCCATCTGAGATTAAGAGTCAGCGATACACAAAGACGGGATGAGAATCACGGACTATAATGTGCGGTATAACTGTACCGTTTGTAGTACAGTGAACATCGACCACGTGGCTGCATGATCTAGCGGCATTCGTGCAGATGGCGAGAGATGGAAAAGACAGAGGAGAGTCTGTATGTAGAAAAGGCCGATGTATCTGTATCTGCAGCATGTAATACATGCAGTACAAAGCCGCGGATTGGAACAAAAAGGTAGAATCTTTACGGTGCGGATCCCACCGAACTAATATATGTTGTCAACGACCTCGTCCGGTAGCAAATATTCACGAAGGCGTACGATGATCAGGGATGGAGTCAACCCATGCGTTCAGAGAAGAATCCAAGTCTGCGACAAGACGTTGCTCCCAATCCTTCCCAGTAAGCCCTAGCATGGCACGAGACTTTTTGATGGAATAAAGAGTCCTAAGCACAAAAGCTAAAATCTCGCACAACTTGAGATGCAAACGGAAATATGTTATTTTTGAAGGTGTGTTTGGGGGCTGGTGAAAATGAACTCTTCCGTTGGGTTCGATTTCCCAATATTCGTCGTCGCATTCGACCGGGGTTTCCAGGTCAAAACTGCAAGGAAGACTGTAAATACTAGAAACACAGTCATTGAACTGACACACTCTTCATCTCGTATTATGGATGGTCGCCCGAGGAATAGACTGATGAGCCTATCAAGGGTGATAAGAGCCCTGTTATTTGACGAATGCCTATCAGTGTTTGCTATCGACAATGAGGCGGACGGACCAGAATGCCCTTTTCTTCAGCTCATCTTCGACGGTCAGCTGATGCCCTTCCGGCTTACGTCTATGCAGACCTATCTCGACCGCGAAGCGCATTCCAATTCCAACCATAGTCCAACCGAACTGAGGGACCGAGGTACCAAGAGAGTATATCACTCCCATCTTCGTAGCAGAGTTAATAAACATACAAGCGTCAGAGATAAAACAGACTTGCAGCGTAATATTGCAGTTCGTACAACGACGGCGACTCGTATATGGCGTTTTTGACGATACGTACTTGCTCAAAGAACTTCCAACCAGATGAAAGTTTTGCGTTCGGATCTGAGTAAACTCTTGGATCGTTAGAATATCTGGAAGCAATAGCAAGAACGAGTAGCAATGCAGCGCCAAAATTGTGATCCCGCAAGTGAAGACCTTCGGCAACATTTTTGTCGAATGTAGGTCGATGCAGCATGGGAAAAATAATGTTGATCGTGTTGAAGTAGATATCAACGAGTGAAAGTATTAGATCATCGTCTGGGAACACATAATGAGGGGTTTCTAGTTCTGCGGTTTCGCGCTCCCACTAACATCGTCAACAGCTCGAAACTAGCTTTGCCAATAAAGGAGACTGCTCACTGGTTGGAGTTCAAAGTACTGATGATAGTCTGGCACAGAGAGGGAGGCTTCGTTACCCATAAATTCAGTTTTTATGGACATGGCGCTTTTGACGAGCGAAAAGCTGCTCGAAGGGCCAAAATACCTGTCGCCAAATGTGTGTAAGGACATCCGTTTCATGTGCTCGAGTAGCTCAATGTGCGGAAGGTCATCTTCTGCGCTATCCGATGGCTCGGACAGTTGACGGGGACTTGATGATTCGCCCCTGCTGTATTGTAGTGATGGCGGGCTGTGTTGTGGTTGCACCGGAGAATATTCCCGAAAAGCTTCATCCTCTGGTAACACAACCTCCGGCTTGAGCTGGGATTTCTTAAAAACGGCGGTAGATATATGAAGCATGTGCGCAGTACTTACCTCCTTCAACATCTCCTCGAGCTTGTTGACGCGTTGTTCAAGTTCCTCTACATAGCTACTTGAAGGAGGATGAGAATTAGAACGGGGAGATAGACATTAGAGCTACTTTGTTTTCGGGCCACGCTTCTGCAGAGAATGAGTTGAGCTGCAGCATAGACAGGTATAGCGGAGAAGCCTACCTTGACAGGATCGGTGTGCATGCATTTTGAATCGAATGCGATGCAGTTTGAACAGCGACCGCTTGGCATGGTCGCACTATCACCTGGGACATGGATGAAGCGGCTGGAACTGAGATGAAGCGAATACCAGGCCTACACTTGACTGGGAGGGATATGTCAGTTACGCCCCTAGAGACGGTAAAAGTGTGAAATACTTTTCTTCTTGCGACATATATCGCAAGCGCCAGGAAGGCGACGTTTCTTTGCAGCAACGGTAGAAGCGTCGTCGGTATATTCGCTTTCGGGCATGAGGAGGCAAGAGGGATACTTTAATTACTCTTGTGCGTTGTTTGAGATGCCGTCTGATATATGTTCCTCGGCAACGCAACGGCTATGAAATCATGTCCGCGTGACCTCCCAAGCGCGTCTTTCCGGCTATTACCGGAGGTCAATTCGACCGTATTTCAAGCCGAATCTGGGGCAACCCAACTCTTCCTGCTACCATCACAGGACTGGCCTACAAATGCTCAACCGTGCCTCCAGCCGCTCCCTGCTCCGTAAATTCCCCCGCCAAATCCCTCTTGCCTCCAGTTTCTCTACCCTCAATACCTCCAAACGTCCTTCTCTTACTCCCTTTGCTTCTCCCTCTATTCGCGCCCGAAACATGTCTGCTAGCCACGGTGGCGAGTCTACCCTCAGGCCTGAGCCAGACAAGGTCCTCCAAGACATCGCCGATTATGTTCACAACTTTCAAATTGACCCCACGGGGTTGGCGATGAAGACCGCGTCCCTTTGTTTGATTGACACCATTGGTTGCGGTCTCGAGGCGTTGAGGTTCCCTGAATGCACGAAGCTGCTTGGCCCCGTCGTTGAAGGCACAGTCGTTCCTAACGGTACGTTTCTATCCTTTCTGTTCTCCCTCAACTTCCCCCTCAAACCCCCATTCGGCACAGGCACCAAAGTACCCGGAACCAGCTATCAGTTGGACCCCATTCGGGGCGCTTTCAACATAGGCACCATTATTCGGTGGCTTGATTTTAATGACTGCTTCTTAGCTGCTGAATGTGTGTATCTTAAGGACTTATCTCTGAGCTTCTTTGCTTGACTATTGCCTTCCAGGGGGTCATCCTTCTGACAATCTTGGTGCAATTCTTGCTGTCGCTGACCACCTCGCTCGTCAAGGACAGTCTTTTGCTGTCAAGGACCTGCTTGAAGGCATGATCAAGGCTCATGAAATACAGGGAGGTCTTGCCCTCCTCAATTCGTTCAACAGGGTCGGCTTGGACCACGTTGTTCTCGTCAAAGTCGCCTCCACTGCAGTGGTGTCCAAGATGCTTGGACTCAATCGCGATCAGACGATCGATGCCATCTCACAAGCTTGGGTTGATGGTCAATCACTTCGCACCTATCGCCATGCTCCCAACACTGGACCTCGTAAATCCTGGGCTGCTGGTGATGCTTGCTCACGCGCTGTCAACCTAGCCCTTCTTGTCAAGAAGGGCGAGAAGGGTCTCCCGTCTGTTCTTACTGCCAAGACGTGGGGTTTCTATGATGTTCTATTCAAGGTAATGCCATTGAAGCTGGACATACTAAAAGATCTAATTCTTCATCATACAGGGCAAGCCTTTTGAGTTCCAGATTCCCTTCTCTTCCTACATCATGGAAAACGTCCTCTTCAAGATCTCTTATCCTGCTGAATTCCACGCTCAGACTGCCGTCGAGGCCGCTTACATTGTCCACGCAAAACTGAAAGAACTCGGAAAGACTGCAGAGGACATCAAGAGCGTCAGAATCCGAACCCAGGAAGCTGCCATCAGGATTATTGACAAGAAGGGCCCACTCGACAACTTTGCTGACCGAGAGTAAGTGGCTATATTGGAGTACCTGGCTTTGTTTAACACTCCCGCAGTCACGCTATCAACTATATGGTGGCGTATCCTTTGATTTTCGGTGAACTCACTTCGGAAAGCTAGTACGCATGTTTCTTGTCTATCTGAATGACTTTTTTAATTCGCATCCCTTCTAGCACTGACGCCTCTGCCGCTGACCCACGCATCGATGCTCTTCGCGCCAAAATCTACTGCGTTGAAGATAAGCGTTTCAGTGTCGAATATCATGAACCCTCCAAGCGGTCTATCGGTAATGCCCTCCTTGTGGAATTGAACGACGGCACTGTATTGGATGAGGTCGAGGTTGAATACCCCGTCGGACACAAGAGGCGTCGGGATGAGGGTACTCCCCTTTTGATTGAAAAGTTCACCAGGTACTTGATCCTCTTTTATTTATTGCTTCGTCGTATTCACGATTATTACAAAGGCATATCTCTCATCACTATGATGTGGCGCACCAGAAAAAGTCAGTATCTATGGCTGTGCTTGATATTGTTTGCGCTAACACGAATTGTAGGATTTTGGACATAGTTACCGGCGACTCTGCTCCTTTCTGGAACCTCCCAGTTGACAAGTTTACCGACCTTTTCGTCAAGCCTTAGAAGTCTCCAGTCACAAGTCACTGTGATTACTTCAGGCGAAGTAAACCCCGCTGTCGTTGTCGTGTATCAAAGCTACAGAGTGGCAAATCATTGAGGATAACAGAGTTACATCCCGTACAAAACATATAAAGCTACATTTGACCAGTTCATGATGTTTGAATATCTGTACTACTAACAAAGCGAGTCGGAAACATCAAAGCGAAAAAAGAGAAGGAAAGTCTAATTCACAAACTTCTTGCTTTTGTTCCTTCCCTTTTTGACTACCGTTTCCTCCGTCCCATTTTCCTTGTCGCCTCTAAAGACATGTCTGCTCTTTCGGTGATCTGTTGAGCTGTTAAATGCCGGTGCGAATCGCTGCTTTGCACCCAGAACAGACGGATCAGAACGAGGACCCGATCTTCCAGCTTTTTGGGGGCTGGGTGATCTATCAACTTTACGGCGCAAGGGTGCTGTCGGCGACGAGTGCGAGTTGATATCTCTTAACATAGAAGAAAAAGGCGTAGCCGGTTCCAGGAATCCTTCTACGTCTTCTTCTGGAACGGCTGAGAGTCGGCGTTGAATGAGACGCGCTAGAGGGATTGAGCGCGGCTGTCGGGATATAGTGCGGAAGTGATTCTGAAATTCGGGCGAAGTAGGAGAAGGAGGCATGGAAGTATTGCGACTGGGCTTGGAAGCATATGCAGATGGTGTTGGCGGCAGCGGGCTGTTGGGAGGTGGCCCAGGAGGGGGCGGGGACATCTCAAAGAAACCTTGGGAGTCCCGGGAATACATAGGTCTATGAATTGTCGGTCGAGACGAACGCACGGGAAAAACGGGAGGATCGTCGATGAAAATATCAGGGTTATTCATGCGCTCGATAACAAACCTCCGCAGCTCTGCATCCGGGTTCCTGACCTCAAGAACAGGTCTCTGGAACCGATCGAATGGCATAGGAGGGTCATAATCATTGTAAAGTATGTCATTGGAGTTCGCAGAGAAGTAGGGAGACCATTGTGGTTCAGAAGAATTTGGTGGAGTAGGTAGGGCGCATTGCAGTTGCTTGACACGGTACTGATGAGCGATATCAATGGCAGACATACGAGGTCCAGTCGGAATAATGACTTGCGAAGTTAATTGCGGGTTTGTGCGGGATTCAACGAAGATGCGAGGGCCAGACTGAGGAAGAATCGAATTGATATGAGAGAAAGAGGAGGCAGAGTTATATGAATGCTTTGTGTCTTTTGCGGCAGAATTCGCCGGCCACTGAATTCCAAGCCCAATGAGGCGGTCGTCGGCGGCTGAACAGTCCTGCAGAGTCTCTGAGAAAGATGCCCTTGTTGACTCGAAGTTCGAGTGTCGTTCGTATCTTGAATTGCTGTGGCTTGTGCGTAGATTGTGTCGATTTGAAACAAAGGACGAATTGACCTGTTGGGACTGCAACGTAGACACATTATGTTTCGAAGGAGCCAGAGTCGAAAGAATGGGCAAAGACTGAGAGTCGTGTCGCACAGTATGTTGAGGCACTTGAGTTTTAAGCCGCTGTGATTGCGTGAGATTTGAAGGAAGATAGGCAGACTTTCTTTCTTCGTCGTTAGACGGATGCGGTCGAGGATCACTAGCAAGAGCAGCATCGGTACCAAGTCCCCAGATCATTCGAGACATATCCTCTCCTTCCACGATAGTGCCTTCCGCACCACTAGCCATACACGGTTAGCGATAAAAATGAATCATTTCCGGCTACTCACGATGGGCAACGAGCGTAGGGCAATGAGAGTGGACCGTGTAATGCTGGTATCGGTCTGGGAGGAGAGTTTGTCCACGTTAACCATCCTAGAGAAAAGTTGTGAGTGTATATAATGACACGGTGAAAGAAATTTGACCTTCGTTTTCTTCAAAGGTGGGCTGCGACTCAGATTTTTGGTGTAGAAAAGATACGGGAACTTGTACATCGTTCCCGATGATCATGATAGATTCAGGAGAAGAAGGAGGAGAAGGTGTTCGCGGAAGACCAGAGTAGCGCAGTCTACGCGTTCGAATGTGTTGCAAGCTGTTTTCTGAAGAAAGGTGAGTGCCGGAGGTATCGGTAGAGATCGAGGTGTCAAAGCATTCGGAGGAAAAGGAATCTTCCTTTGGGGCAGAGGTTTTGGAACACTCAGTAAGAGATACAACGCGAGTACCAGATCCGCCAAGGTCTACCCTGCTTGGAGGGGAAGTTTCTGGCAGAGATACAACGCGATCAGTGCCAGTTGGTGCGCGAGAAGGACCATTGAAAGGTAAACGAGGCTTGTGGAGGCGGCGCCCGACTGGATAAAAGTCCGGCGATGAGGGTGCATCATTTCGGTCGATATATGCGCTTAGTTCTGCTGGAGATATAGCAACTGCACTGGAAGGTGAAGAGGCCGGTGAAGACGGCAAAGGAACGGCAGAGTCCGTTTGAACGGCACGGTCGACATACTCTCTGTCGCCAGCCATCAGCGTAGAAAAGGGTTATCAACGTTGCTGCCAAGTGCTGCAGAACTTGATGGCAGGAGAAAGCAATGGAGGCTCGTTCGGCGGAAACTGAAAAGGCAAGAGGAGGTCAGCAAATAAGGGCAAATATCGAAACGCGTCACGAATCACGATCGGCGGACCTGTCCGAGGACACGTGTTGGCACTTAAGACTTTCACCCAAGATCATCTAAGATCAACGATCTCAAAGCGACATTCGCTGGTGGTAACGTACAGATATGCATGCGTCAAACTGATATATGAAAATTCTCCTGAGATCTGTGCAATAAGTATATCGCCTGACCCTGACACCCTTTACTCTGTTACCGCGGTGAGTGCCAAGTGAGCACCCATCTGCATCATATATTGATTCACTCATTCCAGTTCCACCAATTATCACAAAGCGTTATAGATGTACAGTGCTATATCTCGCAATTGTCTGATCCGAATCTTCGTAATGTACGTAGGGGGCATTCTATCAACGCATGGAGACCATGACCGACTCGCGCTCTGCGGCGTGCTCAGTCTGTCTCTTGTAATCTAGTGATATCAGATACGATACAACGGGCTTCTCCTTCAAAGCTCTTTGAGGGCTTATAAGCTCCAAGCCCACATCTTTCTTCGTCAGTCTCTCATGTCTACCCTCCTACCTCTACTGCTACTCACTGCCGGACTACTAGTCTCACCGGTCCTTTCCCAATCACTCTCCTTGACATCTAACTCTGGCGTTTGCGAAACGACAGATGGTGTGTCCCAGGTGTCGGGATACATAAACATATCCGACGATACCGACGACGCATTCTGGTTCTGGTTCTTTGAAGCTCGAGACGATCCAGACACCAAACCTTTGACCCTATGGCTAAACGGTGGGCCAGGATGTTCAGCTATGATTGGACTATTCCAAGGTAAATGCTGCACTGGCTCGTGCTTTTCACTTGACTTGAAGCCACGAGCGCTCATTGGTTTTCACAGAAAACGGTCCATGCACAGTCAACGATAAAGCGGAGACCGTTTATAATCCTTATAGCTGGAATAACTTCAGCAACAGTAAGTTTTATATTTACACAATTGCTCTTTCTTTTCGTGATGTTTTGTTATGCAGTGATCTATATTGACCAACCTTTTGGAGCCGGATTTTCCAGAGGATCCACTTTGGTTAATTCGACAGATGAAGCAGCGGACTTCATGTGGCAAGCGTTCCAGATCTTATTTGATCATAACAAATTCAGCAAGTTCAAGGGCAGAGAGTATGGTTCTGATCCGTGTGCCTCCTGCCGATCTAACACAATTCTGGTTCACAGATTTATCATTGCAACAGAGTCCTATGGTGCTCGCTTTGGGCCGGTCTTCACACAATACTTCCATTCACAAAATGCCAAAATTGAGAGCGGCGAGATCAATGGGACTCAAATAGAAGTTTCAAAATTGCTCATCAATAAGTGAGTGCTCGTGGGTTTACGGTTCTTCCTCTGGTTCTTATATATTTTCGTCGGAAGTGGTAAACACGATCCTGTGATCCAGATGCGAGCATCAGTCGATTATGCAAGGCATGCTCCGTCCTATGGCCGCCTCGTCAATACCTCCGTCATAATGGATGTGACAACGGCCTACAATGAAACATGTCTACCCGCTCTACAAGATTGTTATGATGATGGCGATGATGACACTTGTCATGATGCTATTGTTTCCTGCGTACGCTGATTCCTAGATGATAACCCCGTCACATAATAATGTCCTTCCCAGACTCACGACGTATTCAATCCCACGGTTGGAGACAGAGATCCTAATGATTTGCGACAAAATTCCTCGACCCCTGCAGACGAAGTCGTTCCCTCTACATTCTACCTCGATTATCTTGACGACGACAACGTACTCGATATGATCGGCGCTCAAGGGGCGTACGATCAATGCGATGATAGTGTCAAGTCCCGCTTTTCTCGCAGTGGAGAAACAGGGCGTTCTTTCCTGTCTAATCTAGCGGAAATTGCAAGCGAGAGAAAGGTCAAGCTTCTGATCTGGGTGAGTATTGAACCAGTGTCATGAAAACTGAAACTAAATCCTTCCAGGCTGGAGACGCAGATATGAAGTAAGTTTGTGCAACACAGCCCAAGCTTTGTCTGATGTTTTTTTTTCAGAGCTAACTGGCTGGGTGTTCACGAGTGCATTGCTTCGATGGATTGGCCTGGTCGTTCTGCATTCAATGAGACATCGCTGTCGGCATTGACTATCAATGGCCAGACTGTCGGTCAATATAAAACTGTTGCCGACACCAATTTAACATTCGTGTATGTCGTCACTATCATCATTGCTCCTCCCGTTCTTACGTACTACACTTAGCCGAGTCTATGAAGCTGGGCATTCCATGCCAGCATATCAACCTGAGGTTGCACAGACTGTCTTTGCCAGATTTTTGAAGGGAGACGTCAACGCTGAGGCCTGAGGACTAGATAAGATGAACATGATGGTGCTTTCTCCCTCTTGGACCATTTGCATTATCTATAGCAATTACTTAAGCTACCCAACGAACTCTGTATTATCATTATATATCGGTACAAATATGGCCCCGAGTACGGATTCAAAATCGCTAAGGAGCATCGAAATCCTGCATTGCAATCATGCCGCAGCCTTCTTGGTGAAAAAAGTCGACAGCTTAGCCATCCCTTTCACGTTCGCTTTCTTAAGCTTCTCCACTCCATGAGATCCCTTTGCGTTTTTGCGTTTCTTGTCACCATTAGTTTCTTTCGGGGTTTGAGTTCCCTTTCCGGACTTGGTCGTCGTCGCCAAGCTTTCCTCCTCTAGCTGCTTCATGAAGGCGTTAAGGTCCGTGAAACTGGAACTTTGTGTCAATTATAGCAGGACAAGGCAACAATAGGATTACTCGTAGGATGCAACCAGAGACGCAGACTCGAGAGGCGGTAGATATTGACAGATGAGATCACAGGCGATTTTTGTCTTGGCCGCTGGATGTGACCTGAGTTTCAAAGGACACACTTTTCGAATCGACTTGGGACAGACCTGCGAGCAACATTTCCCTTCCATCATCTAAAAGCCCATCTTTGGCTAAATTTCTTGTGATGCTTCGAGACATCTCAATCACCGGGAAAGATGACATGTGGTCTACCTTCTTGCGGACATAGTCTACAACCTTGGTGGATGAAAATCTGTAAACCATAATGTCGGAGGCCACTTCTGTCCAACGAACATCCACGTCAGAGTGTCAACACAACAAAGGGAACAGTAAACTCCCCTTTCATTTCACAGACACGTCGAAGAGCCGTCCTAGTACAATCCATCTCCACAAAAGACGTGATATCGGCGACTGAAATAAGATCGTTCGACTTTACGGATAGTTTGGATATCGCGTCTTCGAACATGTCGTCAGCGGGACGAAAGTTACCAGCAGTCCCATCGGTCTAGAATCCCAGTGAGAACCAGAAAAACAGAATCATCGACCAACCTACAGCCAACGTAAATTTCAGAATCGGTATCAATAAGAACGCTGGGTCGATGGGCGTCAGGATTAGCAGCTTCCCGTCTGGCGTGTTTTTATGAGCAAAAATACCTTACGTACTAAGCGACCTCTTGCCTGATATGATTTCCTCGCCCAAGGTCCACGAACGAGCGTTTATAGGCGAAACGCCTTGCATTTCGAGGATTTGTGTTGTCTGCGATGGTCGGTTGTAGGGGAGAAAAAGACAAGGCAGTCCTGAGAAGTCGAATGAGAAAAAAAACTGGAGAAAGTGTGCTAAAGATACCAACCAGTTCTTGGATGTAGTAGACGAACGAAACGGGTCGGAGGGAGTAGGCTGCCATCTGGGCTGCCAAGAGCTATAGCTTGTAGTATATCTGCCACGTGGCTATTAATGAGTAACCAATAAGAATTCAAAGGCCTTGCCTGCGGGAAGGACACCAATATGCGTTGCCATCGTACTTGCAGGAGGACTTGGGGTGTGACAGTGAAGAATGAGATCACAACAGGTGAACGCGACGCGTTGTTTTGTGTTGTTTTGCCTCGCTTACTCTTTGTTTGCTCGTCTTCACCACGACATCTAGAATATTCAGCGTGAGACTTAGAAAAGTTCCCAATGCTCAGCATGACTGCGCAAAGTGCCAGTAATATCTAGTAAGGTATACACGAATATAGGTCTAGAATACATTTTTGCCAACATTTTACTATGGGTCATCGGCATGTGCAAATGGATCGCGATGTGCAAATCTTGCTTTGCAGCACGTTCTGGCTACTTATTGGCTTCGGTTTTTTTTCTGACAACTGAACAAAATTGTATAATTAATAGTGCGCAATGATTTTATTTGTGGGTTTAGAGGAAGCCGTGCTGTATCGAAATTTGCACATCGTGATCCGTTTGCACATGCCGACTACCCACAGTATTTATATTAGCGAGTTTGTTTCTAGTAGCAGGACAATACCTATAATTCACGTTAGGCAAGAGAAGAGTGAATATAAGTGCCAAAAAAGACTTACTGTGAACGATCTCGGGTACGCTTTGTGATACGAGATCCACCGTCAAATCCGCTCCCGATGGCGTCTCGTATTCCTGATCTACACCAGGGAAGCCAACAATTTCTCCACGACGTGCTCTGGCATAAACACCTCTCCTGTCAGTCTTTTCGCAATGCTCGAGAGGAGTGGCGACGTGAATCAAGAAGAAATTGCCACCGGCACCACCAGAATGTATGATGGTGTCTTTGGCTGCCTGTCTGGTATGCTCTTGGGGAGCGATAGGTGCGACAACCACAGCGGCACCGGCTCGAGCCAACTCTGCAGCAACGAAGGCGATTCTCTCGGTATTTTCGTGTCTCTGGGCTTCAGTGAACCCCATTTCTAAGGAACTGGAATTAGCAGAAGCTACAACACCCTAAAATGTACGGGGCGAACCTGATGACCCTTCCTGCTTCACATTTTCACCCAAAAGTAGAGAAACACTACGGCCACCCTGTTCATTCAGTGATACTTGCAAGGCTTTGGCGATCTTGTTCTTGCCAGAATTATGGAGCCCCGTCAAAAATATAACAAATCCTTGCTGATTTCGGGGAGGGTAGCTTTCCCGCAATGTCTTGACGACGGCACTGGTATACCATTAGCAGAGATACGGCGAAAGAAGTAGGGAAATTCACTCACTCATAACTGAACCAGTCAGGAATTGGCGCACCAGTTTTAAGGCGTCTGCGAAGTTCAGTGCCTGAAATATCGAGGGTTTGAACACCTTTTGGAACTTCATCGGCTGGTTGGTATTCATCTGTCGAGGGCAAGTATGTCATTTGCTGGAACGGCACCATTTCTATCTGGAGTTCTTCGTGGTACTTTGTGACGAGATCCTGAGCGTCGTAAGGTCCATAGAAGTCCTTTCCTTGTGAGTTCTTTCCAGGTCCAGCATGATCACGTCCGACAATGAAATGTGTTGCACCAAAATTTTTACGGATGATTGCGTGCCATACGGCTTCCCGAGGGCCAGCCATTCGCATTGCCTGTCCGATCGTAAGCAAGAAGCATGCCACTTGGACAGGAACACATACAAGAGGGAGTAAGGCAAGGTGGCCCATTCCATTTGGATACTTCGCCATAATGGCTTCGTACACCCGAACTCTGGTATAGTGATCGACATCCCCAGGCTTCGTCAAACCGACGACAGGGTGAATCAAGACGTTCTAATATAAATGAGTTATAGAAGCCATCGTTATAGCTAAAATAAAGCTCGTACCGCTTGTCTTTGTCGGGCGGCGCGTACAGTGAGCTCTCGGTGTGCGCGATGCATCGGATTACGAGTCTGGAAAGCCACTACTTTCCTCCAAGACAGTTTTTTGAAATGAGAACGCAACTCGGCAGGGGTGACTGCATGAAGAATCGTCAATAGAAAATCTATGCAATGCACATGGGGGCATACATCGCAGGGCAACATAGTCGAAATGTGCGGGGGCCTGAATCGCTTGGAGTTTTCCACCGATGTAGAAATCCTGCACGCGTCTTCGAAGGTAGCTGACTGATGGATGAGCAGGATCGTCAGCGCCAAAGACTTGTACTGCCTCCTTGACGCGATCGGGTTTATAAATGTCCTCAACTATCGTTCGTGTCAGGCCAAGATAAACCCTGGAAAAGCGAGACAGACCTGTAATGATTGCGAGGGGTTCTTCGTCTCGAGGATCCCGTAGACAAAGCCTAGCACCAGGCTGAATGGACAGACGGTTAATGACTTCACCGGACACATCTAAAGTAACGGGTATCGGGAACAAGACTCCGCTTGCCAAGCGAAGTGTGTCGACAACACTATCAAAATGTTATCAGTCCATCAACAAAGTGATACGCAGAAATTCACCTTTGGTAGTCTTTTTCGGTCATGAAACCCTCTAGAGGACTGAAGCCTCCATTGGTGATGAGCTCTAAGTCACATAATTGTCGCTTGGAAAGGAAATTGTCGGTGTCACAAAATGATAGATAGACGATCTGCTACCTCGGTGAGCACTAGCTCAGGTAATGTTTCTGCCTCTTCTTTTAGTTGATGGGAAATAACAGCATCTCTGGCGACGAGATCCTTAGATAGGGTATGTCAGACGCAGGAACGCAGAGATAAGGAGAGTTATGCTCACTTTAAGAACACCACCGTGAGGAGTATTGGACATGACTGGCTGTTCTTATCGCGACAGAAGTAGGATGGGATACTGAAAGTATGAGCTGTCAACGCAGAGATCGATGGCATTGCAATTTTTGCTTATAACCACCATAATGCTCAGAATCACGCAATCGCAGAGAAACTCGATTGTCTCTTAGCAAGCCAGCGCCGTCACATCCGCGATTCGCCGGCGATTACCCTATAGCAGTAGTGGCATAAGTTTCTTGGGGTATAGGACAAAGATGAATACACTGTGGACCATTAAGGGCAGCCCATGTGAACATGCAATGTGCATGCTTTGTAATACGTATCAAAGCAAAGCTTCTGTCCAAAAAATATATGTACTGCTATTATATGTAGTAGATTGCCCGAGATAAAATACAAGTGGAATATATGCAGATGTCTGTTATTACACATAACTCCTAGTCATGACGCCCCTTCCGATGGACCTGCGAGGTGCAAGTGCACGGGACTTAATGACGACACAACCTGAACTCGACCGTCTCTCGGCTTCCAATTGGTCGGTCTCTGACCCCACCCTATCCATCCTCGGACTCTATTAGAGCTGGTTTGATCGTATTCACACATCCTGGACCGATTCTCGCCGGCGGGATCCCAGGAAGAATCTATCCGGCTCTCCTTGACGGCAACGTTAGCGAGCTTGGTTTGCACATCGAATAAACCTATGTATTTAGAGTCGAGGGTGACGTTCGATTCTGCCTGAGTGTTTTGTACATGGAGGTCTAGTGGAACGGGCGGGGTGGAGGAGTCGTGGGAAACATCCAGTGTGAGCGGGCCATTGAAGGTTTGGACCCTGCCGATGAAATTTAAAGGTTCATTATATCGATTTGGCGCTAGAAGTACGACACTAGCATCAATTTCACTGCGAAATGCTCAGCCTACGTTAAAACAGAGACGAGAGGAACAAACCTGTTTCCCGTATCCAAAGAGAAGAATGTAGGATGATGGCGATCTTTATCTTGCACTAGCGTTATGTTTGCATAGATAGGACTGAGAAAGGGTCCAAGGTATGAGCAAATATTCACGAGCCAGAAAATTTACTTACCCTCCAACAGTGTCAAGCTTGAGGTTTTCGGATGCATTAAATGTGCCACTTATAGATGCCAGAGCATTTTTAACGGCTATCTTTGGTGCTTGCATAAACTAAGGCAGACTTAACGCTCTTCCAAGACACATGTGTAGGATCGACTCACATCGCAAATAATACCCATGGATGCTCCCTCGATGCTGACCTTGCTAAACGAAATATTGTCACCAAAATCTCCGAAGACTTGAGTGAACATGGGAAGGTAGGTTGCCAGGTAATCAATATTAATTGCGGAAGACGTTTGAGGGAAAAGAAGGGTGATGGCAACAGATAAAGAAGCAGCATCATCCAAATGGTTGGGAACCTAATGACGTTCGTTTGAGTAAATGTAAGTTGGCCAAAAGGGGGCAGACACACATAAAGAGAAACCCCTCTGTCGCTTCCTGTATCAGAAAAACATACATGCGTTCTCTGACGAAGATTAAGACTTGAGGATTGCAAAGAAACAAGAAGGAGGACGACATCCGCTGACGAGTCTGGGTTGATATCCACTGTAAGATTTCCAGCAATGCCAGCGGCGTCAACCGCTTTGATAGAAACATTAGAGCGAATGGAAATTGAGCCGGAAGGTAATAGGGTATGAGAAGTACTGTGCAAGCAGTGTTAGAAACTGCATCTCTGTTGAGTTAGAAACGCACCTGGCAGAAAATAACGAGTGTAATGGATCGTCCTCTATTGTGTCCCATGTATTACACCCCACTGTCTCTAACGACAGGACAGCATTGTTGCCGAGGCTTTGAGGAGATATGGAGTCATCATTGGGCCATGGTCCTGGAGGACCTCTATGTTTCTTGGAAAGTCGCTGCAAGAAAATGAAGGAAGGGAGTGGAATGATCCGGGAGCAGACGTACCGTCACTATCAAGGGAACGCCAATCACGACAGAAAGAACAACATAGATGACAAGGGCATATAATGTAGCACGCCAAAAGCGAGCGTCGACTCTGCTGTGAAGGGACTTGCGGGTAGGAGTGAGGTTGTGTTGTGCTTGGGATGTTTCGTAGTCTGGTAGAGGCGATGAAGAGCGACCGACGGCTCTGTCTGGAAAGCGCAAAGTCGGACCAGCGACGGAAGAATCAAGTTTAGCCTGCTGGTCAGCTTCTTCAAGGATGATCATAGCTGGATGCGGCTCATGGAAAGACGACCGCGACGATGGGCTTGCGAACGCTGGGCAGTGCTTGGAGGCAACGCTTCTTCCCGTGGATGACTAATGCGCAGTGATCCTTCAGCCTTGATGCACCCCTGAGCCTGTAATTTCTTGTGGCCGGCAAATCCTACATACTATTATTTCTTAATAAAATTATATCCCTACAGTTCTACATACTGCCCGGGTCCGTGTTCTTTGCCAGATGGCGAGAACACTGAAGAAATTGCACGCAGACCTCGCATCCAGAACCGCAGCAGCGCTCCGACACACTTCGCCGTGCTTTCCTTACATACCCTAAATAGTGACGTGAACCGCATGCGGATTTCGTCAAGCACGGAGCCTTTCCATTCGTGGCCAATCCCTGGCGACGGTCGTGGCTGCAAAGTCGGTCAGGTGTGTAAGCCGATGCTTCCAATATATTACTCACTTGATGAGGCACATTCTCGACTTCCCGAATGATATCCTCCTGCGACTCCGTGTGACTAATATCTCGCCACATACCCCGGAAGATATTGGCAGCGTTCAGGCTTTCACTGAAACGATGCAGGGTGTTTATCAAGGCTACAACCTCCGATCGTTGAAGCAAATTCGAATTTGTGTCCGGACTTGAGACTATGTAAGCAGATGAAGAGCCATTTGAGATAGAAAAGACGAACTCGAGTGCCCTATCATCCATTTCGAAGAGGATCTTAAGGGCCGTGGCTACGCCGGTTGTTTGGACTTTACCCCATAGCCGACACTTATCACAGCCAATACAATCCATAATGCGGGTCACATTCCGGAAATGAGTTTTGAATTCCTCTCTTACGATCTGATCGTGCCCAATTGGTTACTGATATATAGACAAAGTGATAATCAGGACTCACATTGGCGTTGTCACCCTGGAAGAGAACGGATTCGTCAAATTTTCCAGCGCGTTGGGCTATAGAGAGAACGTTGGACAATTTCGCTTTCGTTTCCAGGTCATCTTCATGATTTCCCGTAGAGCAGTAATCATAAGCCGAAAGATAGGGCCCAAGTCTGGCTACTGCGCGGAGGAGAAGGACAGTATTGAAGTATATGTACTGTAACCTCTCCGGGTAAGCGGCGACCCGGTTCACGAAACATTGGAGATTGGGAGCCTAGGACATAATTTGAACATGCAGAATGAGCAAAAGCGAAAAAGCGTACCCATTCACCAGTAGTTTGATTAAGATACTCCAGACAGATATGAGTCGAAATAGATGCATGTAGGCCTCGTGTGTGTGTCAGTGCGATGTATAATGGTTCGATAATAATGTTTACCAGACACGATTTTGTAATATACCCTCTTTTCCAAACACTGGTTGTCACTGCCTTCATTAAGCTGGCTTGCGAGAGTATCTGGAACGGAAGCAGATGGCTTTCCTGGTTTGATGGCAGATTCAGAAAGACCAAAACAGTTCTCTCGATAAATAGCGCCCCACACGCCCCCTGCTCCTGCACCAGAATATCCGGTATAACGCTCGGGTATCAGTGAAAGATCGTAGTATTCCCCTTCTGACAACAGATATAGATGATTAGAAACCAACGTGATGTGCATATCCTCACCTGTGTTGTCATCTAGAAAACAATAATCTGAATCACGGTGATAGCAGCCAGGTAGTGAATGAAGCTACGCAATGCATCGTTAGCGCGCTATGGATGTGACAAGCTCAGCGACAACATACATCCTCTACAGGTGGGGCTTTGCTTAGGGCGGTTGCCCTCCACTTCTCTGGTATCTGGCTCTTGAATATGCTATTAGAGATGAGGAAGGCCACAAACAACCGAGAAACTAACCTCGTCTACAGAAGTGATAGCACAACCCGGATCACTACACAGACCATAGTCATCCCAGAACGGACAGTCGCGATACAAGTCTGCCTGGTATATCGTTAAGAGCCGACTTTTGCTGGATTTCATAGACCTTACCTGGAAATATTTGAAGAATGGTGTGGCCACTAAGTCGTGAAGATTCGCAAACAAATCCTCATTTACACTTTCGACTGTTTCATAGTCGCATGAAGTTGTGTCTATGGGGCCGGTCGGCTTTTCCGCGGAATGAGGAAATGGTTACAGGAGCTGGATAAACATGACATACAGATGCATTCTCGCAGGACGTCTCCTTCACGGGTTGGTATTCAAGAACGTCGTGGACATTCTGACCCTTGGCGCTCTTTGTCAGGCCTTCGGATAGGATAGAGCTTGCGGTCGTGGTTGCAGGCAAGAAAGCTTGCAGTATAAGAGCGATACGAAGAGCACGGCAAAGACGGTTCATTGGAGATGATACAGCGCCGGCGCAGACGAGGTAGCTGGTGGTAAGATACAATCCTAGGTGACGCCGGAGAAAAGGATAGTTTGTGGCAAATGTGCTGGACGTCACATCTTCAGTTCCACGTAGGAGACGAGAACCACGTGGTCTGTTCTCGATCAGCCTCGAGCTCGGCGACTCAGTCAGCAAGTAACTTAGACTCGACATAGCATCTTTGCATAGGCCATCAAACCTGTCCTCTAGGTCTTAGGCGCGTAGTATTTAGTACCATTATGACTGCATATGTAGCAGGTATCTGTATATCTATCTATACTTACCTCCCATGCCGTACGTACCTTTCACGTAGAATGTAATACAGCAATATTTCAGACAGTCTGGAGTTCAGCTTCATCGAATGATTGCCGTTGAATAAATTGTATACGGTCTGCCAGCATAGACCCTGCAAGCCACGTCAGGCCTTCAGGACTCGGGTGCAAAAAGTCGCACGGTGCTGAGAATCAATCTTTTCCTCACACCATCACTTTCCGACAGTCGTTGCTTGGCTGTATTACTGGCGCACGAGTTAACTGCTCGTCGCCTTGGTCTTTTTCCGTCAAAGGCTTTTCGTTCTTCGGACACCCGTAATGGCCCTCTCTGCCGCTGACCTCCAGGTATGTGACCCTTCTGTCTTCGGAATTTTTTGTTTCATTCTATCCTTATCCTTAGAGGAGGCACGAGCTCGAAGGCACCCCGGACCCATTCCCTTCTCTTGTAGAGTCGCCAGCTAGGCCCAGGACTCAGGCTCCTGTTACTCAGGTGGACACCAATTCCCAGACGGCCTTTCCCTCTCTTGCGTCCGCAACGCCCCAAGCTGCTCCTGCCCCAAAGTCAGCCTGGGGCACCGACGCTGGTCCTCGCATCAAGCCCAGTGTCGCTAGGCAGCCCGTCTTCACTGACTCATTCACCCTCGCCGCTATCGAGTTGACTGCTTCCGGGAGAGATCAAAAGCCTCCGACTCTTGGTGAGGTCATGAAGCAGGTTATGACCAAGTACAAGGTTAAGCTGGATGCGTCTCGCAATGAGCGTACTCGTCAGACCACATTTCACATCAAGGCCGACACTCAGAAGGAACTTGATAAGGCCAAGAGAAGTCTTCTTGCTCTTCTCAGTCCGGTGGTATGCCTTGTCTATTAACCGGTCGTCCTGCGTTCATCTTTTCTGGTTCCAGATTACACGTGTCATTCAAGCTCCAGTTTCGACCATCGCTAGCATTATCGGGCCTAAGGGTACGAACAAACATTATCCACATCGGCTAGCAACTCATATATGTGTCAAGGTGCGACGCTGAAACAAATCCGCGATCAAACGAGTGTGAGGGTCGACATACCCCGCAGAGACACACTTGCCCTTCCAAATGGCAGTGGACATGTTAACGGCAGTTCGTCAGGCAAAGCCACTCCCTCTCAGGACGATGAAGAGGAGGAGCTTCTAGTCCCGGTTACTCTGGTTGGCCCTCAGCCCTTGGCTTACGAGGCAGAGGCTCTTTTGAAAGAGATCATATCGTCAAAGACCTCGAAGACTACCCAGCGCGTTCGCGATATCCCCGCTCATATCCTCCCATTTGTCATCGCTCGGAAGGCTCAGTTTGAGGCTGCGGCAGAGGGAGAGGAAATCAGGTTGACGCTGAATACTGTGGATCGCGAAATTGCCGTCAATGGTGATCGTGAAGCCGTCGGACGTGTTATCGAAACGATTAGGGCTACTATCGATACCTTCAAAGCTGCGTTGACTTCTCTGAAGATGTCTTTACCCAAACGACAGCACCGGTTACTTAGCGGCCCAGCGGCCCAAGAGGTGATGTCGAGAAGCAAGTGCGCTGTGATCGTGGCAAAACCGGATGAACCCAGTGACGAAATTATTGTCTGGGGACATCCCAATGATCTAGCAGGCGGTCTTACGGCAGTCATGGAGCAGGCAAACTCGAAATACATTCACGAATTCCCGCTCCCCGGACCCATTGCTACATCACGACAACTTTTAGCGTATATGACGCGTATCAACTACCCAAAGACGCTCATGACAGCCAATCCGGATGTCTCGGTCTATACACCGTCCCTGGCTGCCATTGACAAAGCTACGTCTCTAACGATTGACCTTGTCGGTGACAAGTCTGCTGTTGATGTAGTCGTCAGGCAAGTTTCGGAACTGATTGGAAAGCTCATCGGCGCTACTCTTGAAGTCAATATCGATTGGCTTGTCCACCGTATCATAATGGGAAAAAATGCTAAGAAGTACGACCATCCTCGTTTTTAGGAGATCTACTAAGCACTCTATAGAATCAAGCAGTTCCATGATGTCCACAACGTTTCGGTATATTTCCCTAGCGAGGCGATGGAGCAGTCCTCGGTTCTCTTGGTATACGATCCGTTATCGCCATCGGCATCACCTTCTCCGGACGAGAAAAGGAAGCATTTGGACGATGTTGCCAAGGAACTACTGAAGATGGCAAAAGATGCGGCTGATGTCAAGAGTGAAGTCGTTTCAGTAGCTAAACGTTGGCACGAATCCGTCGTGGGTGAAGGCGGCACCACTCTTAATGCGTACGTGTTTAAGCTTCCAATCCCCGTCGTGACAGTCATTTGATCTGCTTATACTCAGTATTATTGGGGAGGACAAGGCACTCTCTATTAAGGTCGGTGCTGATGCTGCTGATCCGTCTGGCGAAGATGTCATCCTTGTCCGTGGAGCAAGCGCTGACGTCGACCGAGCCGTCAAGGAGATTCTGAAGATTGTCGAAGATGCCAAGAACGACGAGATCGTGAACAGTTATGTATGCGCATCATAATACCAGCACCTTAGCTCAGCCTGACGTTGTGTCTAGTCTACCGAATTTGACATTGACAGGGAGTTTGTTGGGCGCATCGTTGGTGCTCAAGGTGCCGGCGTTAACAAGCTCCGCGACCAGCTTGGTGTCAAAGTGGATGTTTCGGACGATGATGAGAAGGAGAAAGAGGGCAGCAAGAAAAAGAAGGGCGTCCATCACAAGTCCAGGGTCACTGTGAGTATCGCTCCCTTGGGCATATCGCATGAACCTTATATGTCTTTGAAGATCACTGGCAGAAAGGAAAATGTTGAGGAGGCGAAGAAACGGATTCTCACACAGTTGGAGCGCATTGTGAGTGTACTCTTCTTTGATCTCGAATACAATATAACGTCCATGTCCAGGCCGACGAAACTTCGGAAGTGCTCAAGATTCCGAGCCAATACCATTCTTCATTGATTGGTGCAAGTGGTAAATATGCCATTCGACTCGAGGAGAAGTACTCTGTCAAGATCACCTTCCCTCGTCAACATGCCGAGAATGGGGAAGCTAAGACCCGCGAACAATTGAAGTCGGATGAAGTTCTTGTAAAAGGCGGCAAGAAAGGTGTTGCTGGTGCCAAGGCTGAATTGCTCGAAGTATGTTCAGCACCATCTTTGTGCACATAATGCTTATTTTTACAGGCCCTCGAATTTGAGAAGGAATCGAACAACGTTCTCAAGTTTACTGTACCTACTCGTTCAGTTGCTCGGATCCTTGGACGCGGAGGCGCATCCATCAATGAGATCAAGGATAATACTGAGGCTCAGATCGATGTCGACAAGGCTTCCGAGGATTCCTCTGTCACCAACATCACCGTCAGAGGGACCAAGAAGGCCGTAGCTGACGCTAAGGCCTCTATTTTGGCTATTGCCGACCAGATTGCCGAGGAATGCAATGCCACTGTCGTCGTAGAAAGCAGGTTCCATCGTACCCTTATCGGTAGTGGTGGCCAAGGCCTCAAAGAATTAGTTGCTCGTTGCGGTGGTCCCTCAGACCCCAAGGTTCTAGCTGGTCTCATCAGATTGTGAGAGTGTATCCTTCACTCCTGGTAAGCAACTCTTTCGGGCCGGGCCAAAGCCAGCGGAGGTAGGTGGATAAGTGAAAATTTGACAAAAGTCTTTTGGCCACAGCAAAATGAATCGGCATTTCTTTTAATGGTAAAGCCGACGGATTTGGCTGTGGTCAAAAGACCATCCAAATTTCATCTCCATCCGAAACCCTTCTCTTGCTTTTGACCGGCGCGAAGCAGTCACCTGCCAGGAGTGTTTCCAGCCGAAGAAATCGTACTGAAATGAAGTTGAATAGCCCTCGGCAAGGCGAACCTTCTGACGAAGTTCGCCTTCGTGGTGAGCAGAAGTTGGTTAACAAGGTCAAGGCCGAACTGGAAAAGGCCGTCGCCGCTCTACGGGACCGCGTTGTTTTGGCCGTCGACATTCCAGCTATCCAGCACCGTGCTCTTATTGGCCGTGGGGGTCAAAATCTAAACGAGATGCAGAACAAGCATAACGTACAGATCCAGTTCCCCGGTTCTCGCTCATATGGACAATTCGGCGAACCTGAGAATGCATCAGAGTTTGCCGATGCAGATCCTGGAAATCTCGTCAAAGTTTCTGGTTCACGCGCAGCCTGTGAAAAGGCTGTTGAGGAGCTGAAGGTAAATTCTGTTTATTCTCGTCGTAGTCAGGATACTCATAAACTTTCAAGACATTGGTGAAACCTGCTGTTCCTGAGGGAGTGACCGATATTGTGGATGTTCCTCTCAAGTATCATCATGTCATCTCGCAGCAAGGTCAATTCTTCCGGACTTTACGCGCGGTCGGGGTACAGGTTGATCAGTCTGTTCAACCCCAGCAATCCGCTGTGCCCAGTCGTCCGTCCCCGGCTGATGCAGATGCAGCTAATGCTCGGATCGATGCGGACGCGGATGCAGAAGAAGCTACTTCTGATGTTGTCTGGGAGGTTGTTCCCAACTATCAGAACGTCGAGGAGGGTGACTCAGCTTGGACCCTCAAAGCCCGGGATCAAGCTGCGTTGGACAAAGCACGTCAGCTCATCACCGATGCTGTGAATGCTGCTGCGCAAATGACCTCCGTTGGATTCCTCACTTTACCTGATCGCTCCCTGTTCCCAAGAATCGTTGGGTCGAAAGGCGCAAATGTCGCACGTCTTCGCAATGAAACTGGTGCCGATATTACTGTTAGCAGAGAAAACAGTACGATTGTCATTATGGGTGAGTCTGAATGTCAATATCGTCTTATAACTACTAACATTCATATTTCAGGTTCTGAAAATGACATAGTCGCCGCTAAAGATGCAATTCTGAAAATGTCGTCGACAGGTCGATCGCAACGTCGACACTCTTGATCTCTCTACATTACTGGATATTTAATTGGCATGTAGTTATGACGTTGGAACATTATTCATGAAGAATCAGCTGTGATTAAAACTACTGCGCTATTTGTCACTATACATCCTCCAAAGGTACACCGTCCACGCCGTCCGCACCGTCTGAATCATCCAGTGGTACACCATCGAGATCATCGTCAACGGTGGGCCGGGGTGACTTGTCCGCATCGTCTACTATAGGTTCACCATCAACGTCGTCCATTGGTTCACCATCGATAGCATCCATCGGCTCGCCATCAACATCCTCATCTGTTCCATGGGCACCCTCGCTGTCCAGGTCCATCGGCTCACCGTCCTGGTCTGTGTCTCCTTTTACCGCATCAGCGGACGCGAGGTGGAAAGTACTTGTTTTGAATTTAGAACTGAAGGAGGGCCCAACATCCTGAGTTTCGCCTTTGTTTGCAGATGGCATCGATGCTAGTTTGGCAGCACCTTCCAGCCGGGATCTAAGCTCCCCAGTGTATTCGGCGGGGAATACGATCCAGTCATCCCAGATATCGAGCACCGTAGTGATCTGTTTTTTAAATGTCTCTGCAGTGATTCTCCCTGGAAAGGAATGATAGATGTTGGCGAGATGGTCAAAAACAATTCCTAGCCTAGACTGAAATTCTTGTCGAAATTTCCAGGCGCTGGGCACGGAGGATGCAGAGTTGTGTAGGATGTCACATATCAAATACAAACGCGCGACCTTTCGAGGCACCGGGGTACTGTCAACGAGTAAGGAGGCAATGATAATGTCGGCAACCTAAGTCGGCTATAGTTAATAGAGGCCATCGAGGTGATAAATCACCCTAACTAACCTCATGCGCCGCTTCTGCGTGTTCAAGGCTAAATGCCATACAGCGGGCAATTTCACCTCGTTTGCCTGATAACGCTCGGAGCATTGCTTCGAATCGCTTTCGCGCAAGCTTGCCGAGCACAGTTTTGCGTACTCTCTCACGTTCTGAATCTTCTGCGGAATCGGTCGAGTAAATTGAGTTGTATCCCTGTATAAATGTATTGATTTAGGCGTCAGACTAAACTCTGCCACTAGGATGCCCCGTACGTCGTCAATGAATTCAGGTGACATTTCACGCTGATCTTGCATTAAATCGAGGTAGTATCCATGACGTCGATGCTAAAAAGAAGACTTTAAATAGGCAGTGTAGATAATAATTCCTATAAGACTTACTTCTGGACGAAGGAAAGCATACTTTGGATTGTTTTGCTCCCGCAGACGAAGATTTTTTTCATACTCAACCCCTTGACCTTTGATCTCAGCGACAACTGCCCGTATGAACGTATCAGTCACAACTTCACTCTCATCTATATGACCGCGATAGGATGGGCTATTCGAACGACGCCGAGGTGATAGACTACGTGAACGTGAATGTCGCGTACGGCTGTAGGAACGCCTTCGACGAGGAGATCTAGATCGGCTGCGGTTCCATGATGAACTTCGCGACCGCCGAGAAGACCTATCCCGAATATCTGCTCCGCGACCTCTTTCCTTTGAGCGACTTCGACTTCGAGTTTTGCGCAGATTTGAGACTAAATATAAGAAAGACGGTGAGATAGGGCCCCATTTAGCGAGTTAGATATACACTTTCCATACATCGGCTTCGCCGCAACAGGTACAGCTTTGCTCCAACCCACTCTCAGAATGGAGCCACCCCAGTCAAACCCATCAAGCTCACGCAAAGCTTCCTCCGCATCCTTTCGTTTCATAAATGATACAAAGCCACTTAGCCCACTGTTTTTGGTTCGCCTAGTCGCCGTCATATCGGCACCTGGACCGACAGTAGCGTCGGTCCGGGGCCACATTATTTTGACCTGAGAAGACACACGATAAGGCATAGGACGATGCGAGCACACTATACCATACCGATCCTACAGGTCCAATGCGCGCAAAGAAGACGCCTAGACTTTGTTCGGTAACATGAGGCGGCAAATTTGCCACGAAAACATTCGACGTCTGTGTGACGACAGAATTCAGAAAATGACAGAATTCAACAAATGTAGATACCTGTGGGTCTCCTCTATCTTTACTCCCGCTCTGTCCGTCGTAAGCTGCTTTGCCCTTAGCAATGATTTGTCTCTCAATCACTTGAGACGCACCTGCTAGAGCAGTGACAGACCGACCATGTCCGTGAGCTAGTAGATCGTCAGAATTGCTGGCAACCCTCGATAACACAATTGTAAATGACCATGACGAGAATATCTAGCTTCGCGTTCGGCTTGTTCTCTATCTTGGAATGAGTATGGCATTTTGACGGAGTGTAGACAGCATTGACCTTTTAATTTCTTCAAGAAAAGAATCCATTGCACGTTTGCCTTTGGGCTTAGGAGGAGCTGAGTTTGGCGGTGAAGGAGACTGAAGATAATGAAAACCCCATTCCACCAGAAAGCAATGATGAATCTGACCCTGTCCCTTCCATGAGATTTCCGTTCTGACGAGGCTGCTGTGTGGCCATATGCAGGCCCTAAATCTGCCGCCGTTCCTGCCTTGACGAAGTTTGAGCGAGTCTTCCTGTCGTCGCCCTCAAACACATCCAAAAATTCAGCATAGGCTTTGGCGGCATTGGCTGCTTCTTCTCGTTTCTTTGCCTCTGCGGCCTCTTGTTCTTTCTCCCTGCGTGATTTCTTCAGCTTTCCGGAGGTGTACTGCGTCACTTTTGCATCATCGACTGTCTTCGACTATGTTTTGTTGGTAAGCGGGAAACAGAAGAAAAATGGCCCTATGCATCGCACTGGGAATGAAGACTCGTCTTCTTCATTGTCGAAAAAATGGGACAAATTAGAGGAGGCTAGCTTGGACTTGGTCTTGTCCATGATGAAGCCAGGAGGAGGAACGTGGGAATGTGGTGTTGTTTGCCTCGGATCGTCGCGTGCTGTCACCGTCACACCGCGTCGCCATTAACATACACTTTGGTTTCTTTCTCCATCGCCAGTCGGTTTGACATTAGATGGCGGTATGTTCCTTCTTGCCGCATTGTGCTCACACTCTTACTGCCGTGTTGTAGTCCTTATCTACTGGCGCTCCCATGGACGAGGACATTCTCAGCGACGTCGTTCCAAGCAACATTGTTTCGCGCCAGGTAAGTCGAGCGCGCCTTTGGCAAGTCCGTTGATGATGACGTTGTGTAGCCTAGCCAAGGCGTGGAGAGCGAGTATGATGGTGATGCAATTGCCGAACAGGGAGAAGGAAATGTGGTATGTTGCTGTATTGTCTCCCCGACTTTTCTAAACGAGTTTAGAGCACCCAGTTGGACAGCAAGAGTAACAGGAAGCAAAGAAAAGCAGACGCAGAAGTTAAACTGCAGGCCCAGCGTAAGGAAATGGACAAAGCGAAGGCAAGTTATACTCCCATACCCACCTTCATTCTCTCAAGGGATAATATAGATTTCGGACGCCGTGAAACGATACACGTATCTCTTAGGGCAAACGGAGCTTTTCAAGCACTTCGTGGATATCAAGGTAAAACAATTACGCGTTGACTGTGAATGCTTCTTTACTGTATCTCCAGAGAGCACGCGATCCAGAATATGCTGCAATGTTGGATGCACAGCCCAAGCCGAAAGGACGAGGTCGCAAGAAGGTCGCGTGAGTCTTTGTTTAACATCTCCTGTTCTCAGCTCACAATTTATTTGCTTCAAGTGACGATACCCGCCACCGTCGATCCGAAAAGGAGGAGGACGAAGAACTATTAAAGGACGGAGAGGCCGCTGTTGATGGGAATGACCAGCCCTTTGTGTTCGAAGAGTCCCCCAGCTGTGAGTTTATTGTATGTCTGAGAAGCTGGGCACCTAACCCCTTGACCAGTCATCAATGGCACCATGCGCGGATATCAGTTGCAAGGTCTCAATTGGATGGTATCTTTACACCACAATGGCTTAAATGGTATACTGGCAGATGAAATGGTGATTGTCTATCGTCCCGTGTTCGTCTTTTCGTTTCTTTACTTTGCCGTTAGGGTCTTGGGAAAACACTACAGACCATCTCCTTCCTATCCTATCTCAAGCATTACCGCGACATCTCCGGCCCTCATTTGGTTGTTGTTCCTAAGTCTACATTACAAAACTGGCAACGTGAATTCGAGCAATGGACTCCCGATGTCAAGGCTGTTGTCCTCACCGGCACCAAGGAGGAGCGGAGTAATATCATCGCAAACTGTCTAATCCCACAGGATTTCGAGGTTTGCATCACTTCATATGAAATTTGTCTCATCGAGAAGTCGGCGCTGAAGAAATTCTCCTTCGAATATATTGTCATCGACGAGGCGCATAGGATCAAGAACGTAGACTCCATCTTGTCACAGATCGTCCGAGCATTCACGTCTCGCGGGAGAATGCTGATTACTGGAACCCCCTTACAGAACAACTTGAAGGAGTTGTTTGCTCTCCTAAATTTCATTTGTCCCGAGATTTTCGTCAACTACGAAGACCTCGACAGTTTTTTACATAAGGATTCAGACAGTACCGATGAGGAGGAAGAGAAAAGCAAGCGGGTCGTCGAAGCTCTACATAAAATTCTGCGGCCCTTCTTGCTGAGACGCGTTAAATCTGACGTGGAGAAGAATCTTCTCCCTAGTAAGTTCTTTGTTGTCCTCTGTCATTCGACACTGATTGTCTTTTTAGAAAAGGAGATCAATATCTACGTAGGCCTCACGGAAATGCAGCGCAAATGGTACAGGTCTGTCCTAGAAAAGGACATCGAAGCTGTGAACGGTATGCCTACTATTGAACTTTTTTTCGGTCACTTACATAGATATTATAGGACTTACTGGCAAGAAAGAAGGCAAGACCAGACTAATGAACATGGTCATGCAGGTTGGCAGTTTTAATTATCTCGCCTAGCACCAGACACTCATTGTCTCTCAGCTGCGGAAAGTGACATGTCATCCTTACCTTTTCGACGGTGCTGTAAGATTCATACCTTTTGCTTTACAGTCATAAAGTTAATATAGATGTCTGGCACAGGAACCAGGCCCTCCTTATACGACCGATGAACACCTGATACAAAATTCCGGTAAAATGGTCATTCTTGATAAACTACTGGCATCTATGAGGGCTAAGGGCTCTCGTGTCCTGATATTCAGTCAAATGAGTCGTGTGTTGGACATATTGGAGGATTACTGTCACTTCAGGCAATATCGTAAGCACATCTTTCTCGTACAGAGAAGTCTCATTTGACGTATTTCGAACCAGAGTATTGTCGCATTGACGGAAATACGGCTCATGATGATCGGGTGGTAGCCATTGACGAGTACAATAAACCGGGCAGCGAGAAATTTATATTCTTGCTGACTACTCGCGCTGGGGGCCTTGGTATCAACTTAACCACCGCGGACATCGTCGTTCTTTACGACAGTGACTGGTATGACACACGTCTCTACGCCTGTGGAGTTGATCCCATTGTTATGCTTTAGGAATCCTCAGGCCGATCTCCAAGCCATGGACCGAGCACATCGTATTGGCCAAACCAAACAGGTCTACGTTTTTCGTTTTATCACTGAAGGTAGCGTCGAAGAAAGAATGTTAGAGCGTGCGGCTCAGAAACTGCGATTGGATCAGCTTGTCATTCAACAGGGCCGCTCACAGCAGACCAAGGGTATGTTTCTGCTATCCTTCACAAGTCCGACTCGGTATGATTCAGGGTACCCGCAGCTGCTAATAAGGATGAATTGTTGGAAATGATTGCCCACGGAGCTGAGAAGATCATAAATTCAACTGGGTCCGACGAGTAAGCGTATCATCTAAATATATGTTTGGCATCTTGACCGGAATTCGTCGCTTAGGGCACTTTTCACCGAAGACATCGATGCCATTATCCAGCGTGGTGAAGAGCGTACCGTGGAGTTGAATAGTAAATATGAGGGTTTAAATTTCGAAGATCTCAGTAACTTCAAATCCGAGGCTTCTGTTCAGCAATGGGAAGGCGAGGATTTCCGCAGCGGGGTAAGGATTCTGATCAAAATGTTAGTTTGTGGGCGCTGATGGGTATTTCAACAGCAGCGAAAGAATTTGGGTCTTAGCTTGCTTTCTTCTCTTTCCAAACGGGAACGTAAATCAAACTACTCAGTCGACAATTACTTCAAGGACACGCTTCGGGCAGGAGCGGCAAAACCTGACAAAGGACCAAAACTTCCCCGTGCCCCCAAGCAGATTGCAATGTGCGTCTCGTCACTGTGGCTAGTTCTCCAAATATTTGCTTACGTCTCCGTTCTGGTATTTAGCCAAGATTTCCAATTCTTCCCGCCCCAATTAGCCGAACTGCAAGAACGAGAATTGGCTGTCCATAAGGTACGAGGTGTTTTTGTTGATGAAGCAGCTACCTAATCTGTACTTTCAGCGACTGAATGGTATCGGCGCGACTTTGAGAGAGCCATCGGGACCAGAGGATACTCCTCAGAAGCTGGAGGAGGAGAGACAAGCAGCGCAGGAATTTATCGATACAGGTATGATTTTCAATGCTATCATAGCACATAAAGCAACAGCTGAACACTTGTATCATAGCCGAACCTCTTACCGAAACCGAAATTGCACAGAAAGAAGCTTATGCTGCTCAGGGTTTCCAATATTGGGGTCGACGTGAATACCAACAGTTCATCAAAGCACTGGAAAATTATGGCTGGTACGTTTAACCTCGGCCCTCTTTCTACGCTCCAATGATACATGAACCGATGTAGGGGTCAGCCGCCTGAAGTGTATGCCAACGACATCCAAGATAAAACTCCTGAGGAGACTGCCAAGTACTACAAAGTCTTCGAAAAGAAATGGAAGACTCTTCCTGGTACGTGGGTTTTGCATCAAAAACCCTTTGCCTATCACTCATTTTCTGTGATTGTAAGATTATGAACGAATCCATGCCCGTATCGTTGAAGGTGAAAGCAAAAGATCTAAACGCGATGCGCTTGAAACACTACTGGATAACAAAATGAAAACTGTCAGATATCCTATGCAGGAACTGGAAATCATCTACCCCCAGGCCAAAGGGAGAGTGTACAGTGAAGAAGAAGACCGGTATCTTCTCTTTCGACTATGGCACTACGGTATGCGATCGGACGACGTATACGAGAAGATCAAAAAGGACATCACGGAATTTCCGGTGTTTCGCTTTGATTGGTTCCTCAAGAGCCGGTCACCGCAAGAGCTACAAAGGCGGTGTCATACCCTTCTAGGGTTGATTGAAAAGGAGGCGGAGACAAATCAACTGCTACAACCAAAGGGGAAGGTGAGTTAACATGATGCTTGGATGAATGCAAATTCTCATCAAGCTGTAGAAACGAGGGATCGACCAGGTGCACAGATCAGATAAGAAGGAAGCGAAGAGTACCAAGAGGCCAGCGAAGAAGAGAAGGGCATAGACACCGCCTTTCCTGTATTCATTTGTAATTTATTTTGCTTTCTTGTCGTTATCCAAATTCTCCTTCCCTCCAGCTTGAAAGCGCCGAAGGTTCAACGTGGTATAAGATGGACACAATTATTATCGTCTCTAACCACTACATCATCAGACTCCCGAGACCTCCTTGGACATAAGCCATAGGTTTCATTGCAGGATGTGGACTGGCATCAAACTGGAAATAGTTTTGAGCACCCGACGAATCGATCCGAATCTTGAAAATGATGAGTCAACGATGTCGAACAGCCAGACATGCAAAACATACAAATGCCCCCTTGTTGCCAGCCTGATCCACGTAATTTGGCGCAGAGAAAACCTGTAGGCAAGATCAAACGATGTCCGTACTAACTGCTCCATGATGGTACTTACCGTCGTACATAATCCCTCATGTTCAATTTCGTATCCGTCTAGGTTCAACCCGGCGTCAACGAGAGATCAAACCCCCCTGCGACTAAAAATTTACCTTGGCGTACTTCATGGCTACGGATAATACCCGTGACTAGACCATCTTTAGCAAGCGCCCTTGCACAGATGCTGAGGTCTGATACATACCTTTATTGAACTGACACCATCTTCTTGTTACATCAGGACCAAATGCTATACCGACACCCTGAAGCTAGCCTTTTACGATGAGTTCGGAGGAGGTAGGACATTGGACCTTACACGTTTACTAGGCCCGCGGCCAGGCATGACTTGAGGGTCAGTCCATAGAAGCTAAAAGCCGGATTTAATTCGATTTGATGGACGTCCATTCGAGATCTCCCTCACCTCGCCTATTCAAAAGCAGGGATCAATATCACAATCAGGGTAGCAACAATGCGGAAAGAACGAACACATTAACCCTTCCTGACCAGGCTGTCGCCCGATACGGTCGATTTTTTTGACATCCTCTAGGGAAACATCATCTTTACTGAACAGCCCCCCATGCACGACAAAGTAGCGTTTTCTCCCGTCATCCGTCAAGATCGAGGCATCCTTCTTCGCAGGCGGCTTACTTGCACTGAGTAACGTTGCCAAGGGCACTAACACAAGGTCACATAAAGATATCCCTGGGACGAAAAACATGCACTCACGGGCAGTAAACGCATGTGCGAAAAGCTAGACGCCATCAATTCGACTACATGCAACGGAAGCAGAAAGAATTTCCCTAACCTTATACGACTGTTCGCCGTGTTTGTGTTTAGCCTCGCCTTCAAACCCATACGTGCGGTTCATCTCTTTTGCTTCATGGTTTCCTCTGTTGATGAACATGTATTTCGGGTATAACCCTAAACGTACTCACGTTAGCTCACAAGATGAAATGATGAAGGGCCTATACTCACACTTGTACGCAAATGCTGTTAATATAACCTCTATTGACCATGATCCCCGATCGACAAGGTCTCCATTCATGAGGACGTAGTGTTTCTCACTCGGTTCTCCCGTCATCGAATACAGATGAAGCATATCGTAAAACTGGCCTGCAAACCCAATCAAAACCGAGACGATGAAACCAACTAAGGAAGGTTCAACTAACCGTGAACATCGCCAATAACGTCACAGGTTACACCGTCTTCCAGGGTTACTTCTACCATTGTCGATTCGGCCTGGAAGTGATCGTAGGCGCCTATGATGATCTCCCAGACGTACCGTTTCGGTAGGGTTTTGCCGTTTTTGAACCACTCTATCATATCTTTGATAAATCGGTGCGTGATACCGTACTTGCCGTCCGTCAATGGGAGTTTTGGACCGCTATACGTCGCCTCGACATCGCATCCACCTGAATCATCAAATATCAGTAATCAAACACAAAGCACGCCCCCATCTGCAAGACGAACCCTCAGCAATGATTTCGTAGCATCTCTCAATGGGGTTCTTCTCCCCTTCGACCTCGATGGCCTGACATCCCCCCACATCAGCAACAGCCAACCAACACCCATCCAGCGTGCCCAACGCACCTTTTCAAACTCGATCTTCCTTATAAGCTTCCGCGTAGACGCCATCTGGGCACGGACGGTTTCATTTTTGGGTTCCAGAGCGATGACTTTGCGGAAATCGGGGACGGCTTTTTGGGGCTGGAGGATTTGCAGGTAGCATGTTGCTCGTCTAAGGGTTCATGGTTGTTCTTTGGCAATTGTTTCAGTGTTGCCAGTCCCTTACCTGTAGTACGCTTTTGCGTATTTGGGATCCAGCAGGATGGCATGGGCTACATAATGGTGAGGTCAGTGTGTTACGCCCTCAGGGTAAGTCACAGAACCACCTACAGGCATCCGTCAACGCGTACCCAAACTCTTCGAGTTTCATCCTAGTATAGGCCCTATTACACCACAACGTCGGTTCCTGAGGGTTCTTGTCGATAGCCTCCGTGTACAGACGAGCAGCAGTGGTGAAATCATGGCCTTGAGTTTTGAACGAAACGAAACAAGCAACAAAAAAATTAATGAAAAGAAAGGTTTTTTCATTTCCGCACGTCGTTCAAATGATCAGCTGCACACGGGTGGAACGGAAGAAAGTTGACGGACTGGTGAAGGCTTTGTCGGCCTGGGCTTTGAGATCGGCAGCCAGGGCCTTGTCGGCGTCTGAGACTTCTTCGTCGGAGAGCTTCAGGGAAGCTATGCGAGGCGACGGCGCAGACGACGGCGGCGTCGAGGCGGAGGTTGAAGGAGACGAGGGTCCAGATGATGGAGTCGAAGTACTGCTCATAGTCTAACAGGTCGAGACCTTCTCACGCTTCTTGCCGCATTTGAACTTGTGAATTTTCGTCAAACAGCAACAATAATGTTAGAAAAAATAAGTATAGCTATGTACTACCATGGTTGCACTTGTCCAGATTAAAGTACTTTCCCAGACGGTGATTCGGGTCATAGGCGTTTACGTTCTGAAGGAACCCGTTCGCGAGCTGTTGAAGACTGGAGAAATGCTCGTCAGAGTACATACGAATTCGTAAGTACGCAACGCACTAATCAAGGTTATTCTGGCACCGGCAGCAAGGACCATCTGCAGCAGCGGTCGCATCGGCCTGCGGATATCGTCAACCTGGCTCTTAGGTAAATAGGACTAAAAATGACTTGCATAGGTCATTCCCTTGAACCAACCGTTATAGTTCCCACAGGTAAGAAGGAAATCACCATTATTAGCGGCGAGCCGCTCCGCAAAGTACTTGAAGCCAGCCGAAATGTTGTAATCCTTTAAAAGCGATCCGTTAGCTGAACCGAGATAATTATAAAGGACATCAAGTCTCTTACGGGATCATAACAATTTCCATTCGGCGCATCATAGCACTTGTCCGGAGTCAACTGCATAAGCCCCGCCTCGCCCGCCCCACCAGTAGTAGACGGATTACATGTAGACTGCCAACCGTGACTCGCGTGAACAACCGAAACGCGACCGACCAACCAACCGACATACCTCTTGCAAAGCAAAAGATGCCATGAGTATCGCCGGAACCCCAAACACCTGAGCATATTTCTCAAAGATCGGGACAAACTGCTCGCAGGCTCTGAACGGACTGCCGGGTTTCTTTATAGCCTCCTTCAAGTCCGCCATACGAGAAACCACTTGGTCCATCGGTATATAAGGAGGCGACCACCCAGTAATACTATCAATACCACAGTTGAAGTAGTCGATGCATCCCATCTTGCCCGAGGTAGCCGTAGTCCATTCTAAGGGAACGTCAACACTCCCAGTCCCGAACTGCAATGAAGATTGACATACCAGTTGCACCACTCGGACCACAGACGCTTGAACTATTAACATGAACAACATCATTCTGCACACTTAGCGGTTTCTGGTTCTACAACCAACCAAGCAAAAATCACAACTGCAGGACGAAATCAATGGGAAGCGTACCCTATGTTTCCGGACCGCGCAGCGGGGCTTTTCCGCGGAAGGAATGCTGCGGGCGTGCCGAGAGTGCCGACGGGAGGATAACAAATCGCCGTGAGAATTTGCGAAAGAAAGAAGGACAGAGAGGAAAAGAATGGATTTCATGGCGATGTAGGCTGAGCGTTGTGGGCGTAGGAGGTCAAGCTGTAGGACCTTGGCTGCCTTGGCCTTTCCCCTGTATGAAGTTGAACGTCACATTTCTCGTGACGCGCAAAACGTCAAGTCGATCCCGATCGTCACCCGCTAGCACAAGCTTTTGAGTCCCGCAAAATACTTGAGATTTTCAATTCCTACGTACCAATTCAATATACACCATGGATGAAAAAGAAAACATACAGAAAAAGCATACAATGGCACACAAGCATCGCACGGGTTTAAGAGGAGAGAGGAAAACGCATGTATGGCAGACATATATAAACACGAGAGAATAAAAGGGGTAAAAGTACAAAAGAAAAAGACGAGGTGAGACATTGAGAACCTCTAAAAAGCTATTGCGAACACAACGTATGCGCACTCCAAGGGTATATCGGACCCGGATCGCCAAGTTTTGTACTACAAAATTCAATAAACGGAACCGACTCATGGTCATATCCAAGTCCATCTGGGGCCTTGTCCCAAGACTCAACACTGCAGGTCGAATCATGGAACGAGCCCGACATATTGTCGTCCAAAAAGGTCGACATCTGGATCGTCCTATCCCCAGACGAAGTCGAAGACGACGACGAGGGAGAGTACGTGAGGCCTGGTGTGGGCGGACTCGTATAATTTGATGCCATATTCTTATAACGGCCCAGTTAGTAATGGACATTTAGTGGTCAGAAAAAGAACAGAGCTCACCTGACTAGTAAGAGAATGGACGGGAAACGGATTATTGACGTCGACTTGGATATCATACGAGGTCGAAGCATGCGAGCTATCCAGAAGATGCATTTGGCACTCGACCAATCGAGTGCCAAATGCATCTGCCGGGAGCGTCGAGCAGCGCTTCAATCCCCGTTGTTTCGCAGTCGGGGTCAACGTTTGCTCACTCAAGAATGGGGGCGGAGAGAGTGTGAGATTACTCTCGCTCCGACACCTTACGACAGGCCGGGTGGCGGGGGTAGGCTCAGCGATAGGTGTCTTGCCTACCCAGAGACGCCAGCCCAGGGCATCGCCCAAGGCGCGTTCGCACCGGCTGATCTCTCTCGGCTGCAGCCCAGAGAGTTTGGCCCATGCGCGATTGGAGTAGCATTTATCCTGCATAAACTTGGACGCTAAGATGAGCGAGGCGAGAAAGGCCCGCCGGGGGCACAGGAGTGGAGACGGCATGGGTGGTGAGGGAAGCAAATCGGGTTTGTGTCCATCGTTATCAGCAGGCGGTGTGTCGGTTGACATCTTATCGGTACCCTCCATGGACATCTTTATGGTATCCATCACGTCGCTCCCCGGATCAACAAGGGTGTCGAGACTCAGGCCGAGCTCGAGCTCGAGCTCGGCCTGAGTCGCGGGGGTTATCCTGTCAGCCAATTCCGGCTCTCCCCTCGGGCCTTGGCCTGCTTTTTCTAGCTGGACGAGCTCGAGGACGTTGGGCCGGATAGCGGCAAGATAACATAATGCGGTTTGTAATACGCTTCCAGAAGTCTTGGAGCGACGGAGGACTTCGTGTACGAAAGCCTTTGAGAGGCATAAGAGTCTTGTTGGGCCCGTCCTGCTGAGCGGATGGGTATTCTTCCGAAGGCTCGTAAGTTGGTGTTACGGGAGAAGGAAGCTGCTGTGTGTTTCGCTTGGAAATGTTTGTGGGTGGTGGTGGTGGGATTGATAGAGTGGGATGCATGACCAGAACAGTAAGATCGCTGTTGGATATAGCACGAGAAGCAATATAAACTTGTGGAATATCTTGTGGGCGCCATATATCGCATAGGGCCTTTACAGCTTGGTCTGGCGCCTGGATCAGAAAAAAAAAAAGAAAGAGGCGACCTGTAAGAGACTAACCGACTAGTCCTAGGGCATACTTTGTCTTTGGATTGGTTGCGGTGGTTATGGCGATTGTGGTTGGTGGGTGGCGTGGGCGGTCTAGATCTGATTGGAGCGGGGGAGTCGGGGGAGTGGAGGGCGGCGAACGAGGAGTGGAAGCGGAAGACGGAATCGAAGCATACGGCTGCCAACGAACCCTGGTGCGAGTAGCAGGTGGGGCCCGATGGGCGAGAGAATGAATCGAGGAATGCATAGACCGGCGCCAAAATTGATAGAGATATTGAGTTGGGAAAAAGTAAAAGAAATGATGGAAAATTGTGGTTATTGGGATGAGATGGGTTGATACTGATACTGCAAGTTGAAAGAGAGGTAAGCTAGAATGAGCTGGGAATTCAGATGGAAGTAGAGTAGACATTAGGTGGGGAAGCAATTAAGGTACGGTCAGAAACAGAGTCGAAGGCGAGAGTGGGCATTGAAGTGAGGATTGGTTGGTTCGGGGTGCAATAACGGGGTACTTGAGAGGCGAACATCGTGACTATATAGTCAGAGGCGGATGTCCAAGTCCTGAGTAGACTAGGACGATCCGATGACAAAGTCTTGTCGAAGAACGATAAGACTTTGTGCTGCTAGCGTCGGAAGGAAAGACTTGGAAACTTTGGAGGATGGAGCACTTGGGATATGAAGAAAAGCGGTAGCAGCGATGGCGAGGAGTCGGTCGGTCTGGCAGCGCCCCTTTCCTTTTTCCACGCCATCTGACTCAATGACACTGCCACCAACATAGTCACATGATGCTTATTGACTCGAAAGTGGTTTGCGACCCGGATCATCGGATTGGGCAACATTAACAATGTTCCTTCCATGAGGCGACGAGTCACTTGGCGCTCCATTTCTTTAGAAATTGACTGCGTGTAGCGATGAACGGCGCCGACGCGTTCGTGGGACCAACCCAGTGCATATTCGGCATTTGCAAGGCCGCAGTATGCACAGGATTCATTTACAGTCATAATTACGGGCAGTCATCATCGGCCGGAATTACCGACGAACCGCCATTAGTAGTGTAAAGCGGACACTAAAAAGCAAGGTACGGGCCCGTCAGTAATATCAAGTTACATACTATAGTACACCTTGTATATTAGTACAAAATTACTCGTTGAAGAATTCCAACGCAGTATCTTTAGTTTGAATAGCACGCCAAGGTAGTGGCTTGGCCATCAGCATTCTTGTTTCCTTCATCAGTAAAGAGGGAATGGAACATGACGTCGTCCGCAGAGCCTCCAGGGGGATCGTGAATGCTACGCAATCATCAAGCAAAGAAGAACATGAAAGAGGAGGACGACGCACCGGACATGAATGTAACCCTCTCCTTCATCATCGTTGATGGCAGGAAGGCGAATCTTTCCCAGAATGATGGTGCCATAGGAGGTGGGTGCACTGCGAATAAGGACAAGATCTTCCTGTAGAGGGGTCAGACAGCGCTGAAGAGCCACAAGCTAGACGCACTTCTAAGTTAAAGGCCACCAAGTCATCATCGCTGACGCCATGGGCCCTGGACCACATCTTGGGCTCATGCTTGTCCCAGTCCTTGCGAGACTTGAGAATCTCAAACTTGATGCGACCAAGAACCTTGCCAAAAGCTTGGAAGGCATTGGGATGGGGCGGGTGAGGGTCATTGAATACGAGTTCTTCGGCAGATGCTGGGGCAGAGTTAACCAAGTCAAGCGGCGATATGGGGGGGGAGACGAGCTTACCCATGATGGCGGTTATAGTGACTGATCGAAGAAGCAACTCTTTTAAGATACTGGCACATAATGTGACACTACATCTTCCTCTCAGCACAGCTACTCCAAGCCGTGGCATCCTTGCCTGTCGTCGCAGAGAACGGAGATCAGCTCAGCTTTGGCGCGTTGTGCAGTCCGTCATTTTATGCCAGTGCAATATCGTACAGAACCTCTCATGTACAGGCGCCCACTCTACAGCATCGATATCGCGCTACCTCGACCCCGTTGTTCTCTCGCAGGTCATCGTCGGCATCACATGATCAAGGTATACTTGGCCACGCACCCGGCCTCCTAGTGTGTCCGCCACGGGATGGTTGGCGCCCTCAGATCCGGCATTCCCGCGTGAAGGCATCGCCCAGTGTTGGGCCCGTGGTACGCGTCTTCTTTTCTTCCACGCGCGGTCCTACTCTCCGTAGATTCACCTGAGCACATGCAATACTATACACATTCCCTTCTCCCCATTCTTACGTGTCGTCGCAGTCTTGTTGACTATCCAGTAACCAGGAAGACGACAGCTGCTCATCGACAGAGTGGTGCTCTTCTTGGAGCCGTGGTTCAGAATGGTCTTTGATCGATAGCGATGCTTGTGAATCCGGGAATCCCGAGGATACCTCTATCCAAAAATAGGCCATCATACACACATGTGAAGAACCCAATAAATGTGCTTCTCTCTACCTCGGACGTTTCTCGATGTTCTCCATCTTTCTGTCCCTTCTTCTCTGCGGAGTTGCCTACGGTCGCACCATTACCCTCACCAGTCGAGCTTTGGAGCCACAAAATGTTCCTCTTGACGATTTCTTCAGAGGCACAGATCTACAGCAAGTCTTCCCTTTTACGCCTAACCCCCTCTCTCTGACTCTTCCCCAGATGGTTTGGGAACATCTCAGGTAGATTAAACACCACCATCCACGTTTTCCTTTGACTGAATCTGTCAAGTCGGGACGCCTCCACAGGAAATAACCGTAAGCTTCCATAAATATACTCTTATCTCCTTGCGCACCTACCTCTCAGGTCGTCTTTGACACTGGCAGTCGAACACTTGAATTTGCTAGTAAGTGTTCATCCAATGTGCACTTCCACCTAGTCTGAGCGTAAACAGGTACCCTCTGTCCGTCCTGCAACCAAGTAAAGTTCGACCCTTCCCTCAGCTCCACCTTTGTCGACGGTGGAAGGACCACCAGCATCACCTTTTCCACCGGTGTCGGCGTCGACCCCGTCGTGGGTGCCAACTACAAACTCACCCTCCGAAGCGCGACAGACACCGTATCCGTCGCCGGATTTCAAGTCCCAAATGTTGATCTGTTCCTCATCACAGACCAGACCCCTGCTTTTTCCATTGATCCGTTCAGTGGCATTCAAGGCATGGGTGCACAGGCTACCGGTCTCTTTGCCGGTTTGGTAGCCCAAGGACTTCCGTGTTTGTTCACACACACTCTCTCACACAAGACATTTGCCTAACTTTTTTCATCAGCACTGTTCAGCTTGTATTTGACACCACAAGCAGTTGGGAACGCGGAATTGACTCTGGGTGGAATCGACGAAACGAAATTTCAAGGTAGATTATACGCTCGCCGTTTAGATTATGCTCAATTCTCTTTAGGTGATCTCGTCTTTGCCTCCCTCCCTGCAGCTCAAACCGGTGTCTGGCGACTGCCGTCACCGGGAATCTCTGTGAACGGCCAAACAACTGCACTGCTGAGCACGACGCGAAACATCATCTTCGACAGTGGAACTAGCAACGTGCTCTTCTCTACCGACACCACCGAGGTATGCTAGCCTAACCAAGAATGTGACATCTGCTAATCTGATTACCAAGGCCATCTACGCGTTCATTTCCCCCGACATTGTTCCCCACGCGTCCGAGCCCGGCACCTACGGCATCGCATGTGATAAGATCCCCTCCCTCGCTGCCGCCATCTCCATCGCGTTCACCGCTCAAGACGGGCACGTGTTCGAACTCACCATTCCGTCTTCCGAGCTCAGTGTCGGTCCCTTTGCCGATGACCCGACCGTGTGCCAGACCCTCATAAACGCCTTTGACGGTCTGGATCTTGTGGGTGGGAGTCTCCTCAAGCATTGGTACAGTGTCTGGGACATTGGTGACCAAAGGATGGGTTTTGCAGAGGTTATTTAAATTGTTCAATTCTAGCAAACAAAGCGGTGTGTTTATGGACAGCAGAGTGATGATAATATATAAGTAAAATATATACAATTGTCATTGGTATCGATGGTGTTGGCCTACCATGTGTCTCTCGTGGGCTGAATGATACTAGGATACTGTCAATATCCAAACGAGAGAGCAAGTAAAAGATACACGCACATACGATTCAACTGGAGGCATGAGACTAGAGGGCGTACTCCACTGAGCAACAGGCATCTGACGAGTGTGGCCGTGACCAGCAGGGCGGTACTGCATCGACGCATAAGCATCCTGTTGCTGCTCATACCGGGGGTAACAACTCATATCCTGTGTCATTCCCCCCATCTCCGGCGCGTACCCAGACCTCACGCTAAATAAACAAAGCATTCAGTACCAAGGTACGCGAAACCCAAAACCAAAACCCAAACGCACCATTGCCGACGTACGTGTTCTGATTCTGGGGACATCACCGGGGGTAGCTGCAAGTATGGATCGCTACGAGGATATATATCATTGTTAGCAACTTACTCGACTCAAGGCCGCGGAGTAAAAAAACACTGACTTGTGGCGTCTTGAGGCGAGGGGGGGTAACCCGACGTCTATCACCGTGCGCCGCGGAGGAGTCGGGTCCCGAGTCGGCGGTGTTGTAGAGTCTTCGGATACGGACGAGCTCGCTGTTGATGGTCGCCCGTCAAACGAGTCCTTCCTCCCCGGCTGTTTCTTCCGTGGAGGCACGCCGTCTGGCCATGTGCACTGAAAGGAAGAATAATTATTATGAATAATGATAACTCCATCTTGACGAGCAAAAGAACCGTACATCCCGTTGCCCATGTGTGCAGCGCATGCAGTTTGGTTTCGTCTCGTCACACTGAGGATGGACGTATGAATGAGACTTGCTTGGAAGCTCAACTCAACTGGGCTACAAAACACACCTTGATCTTCTTCACGCGACATGTCATACAACCCGTCTTGCTACGGGTGTATTTCGGCCGTTTGCGCTGAGCCTGGGCATCTGTGAGTGGTGGCGAGTGTGGCGGGTAGTATTGTTGAGGAGGCGGGGGGAGATAGTTCTGTGCTGAGCTACAAGAGCCATGTCAAAACCAACACAGATATCCGACAGAGAAAAGGGGACATACAAAGACATAATGGGGTGCTAATAGTAGTACCAAGACGAAGCATCGTAGTCAAGTTTTTATAAAACGAGCTGGGTCTGCCCTGGGCTGTCACGGCCTAGCCGGGGTGATCACCGAGATCTAAGGGTCGGCGCTCGTGTGACGGAGGATAAACGCGCCATACACCATGCAACCCATTATTTCTGATATGTCTCCCCCCCTACTTCATGACGGAAAGAGTGAGGCATTTCGGCTTCTTTTCTGTCAGGGCACACCATGTACCGTGCACCGTGCTGGCTCGGAAAAGTCCCAACGGTAACATTATGGCTTCGAAGAAGGTCGATCATAGCCCTCCAAGTGATGCGCATTCTCTCTTGTCGGGCTAACCCGATCAATTTCAAATTCCGTTTTCATTCCGGTTATTATTCACACACGCATATTCTACTCTCCCTTTATTTTAACCCTTTTATTTGCTTTTATTGGTATCGCAAGTGAACGAAACAGTTCCAGCTACACCCAGGGTCGTAATCTCCACACACCGCGGCATTCAACTCGGACAGATCATCCGTGGAATGGTCACACGCATCGGGTCATTAATGACATTTCTCGACCTCTATATGTCGTAAATTCCTTTCGCATGCAAATCATGCACATTTTGACGTGTAAAGGTGTACCCTCCGTACATAATAGTCATCCAGAGTCAACCGTCCAACGCTCCAGACCAACAGCTCAAAACCGCGGCATGTCCACGGACCTCATCGCTCTACAAATCCACCGAGGGGTTTCAACTCCGGATATCGTGCTTTTTTTTTTGTTTTACCCCCGAGGACACAGTCGTATTCTCTGTCGCCGCCGTTCAAACGTAAAATCCATCAACGTCGAGCACCCCACAGCAATGCAACACTACTTTCCAATCCGTTCTATCAACGCAGTAATCGCCGGACGAATGACTCAGGTTCTGCGCAACGGAGCATAGATTTTATCGGAGACTAACCTGCCCGATCAGAAACTTTTGGAACAAAATATCCAATTGTTGTGCGATGTGGGTCCGGACAGACTCGGACCCAAATCCCGCCTCTTCCAAAATTTCAATACTACGGCGCCGCTCAGGTACAAAGAGCGCATCATCGTCATCTATTTCCCCAATTCTACCCTCGCCGCTCATAGGATCCGCACTTTCCACCCTCCCAACCCTGCTTTTTTACGGACAATCGCGCCAGAACCACTCCCTTACTATCAACGACCTACCAATCGACCCTTGATCCTACACGGAGAGGTTGCATGTTTCGCGTGGTAACACTGGCACCGAGGCTGTTCAAAGTCAACTAATTCTCTGAAAATTCTTCTGAATTTGTGTAATAACATTAACCATGATGCAAAACGTTCCTTTATGGCCGCATGGTGAAGAACCTCTTTCGAGGGTTGAGATGGACACGACTCCCCGGGTGCGAACTTTGCCGTCTCCGGTGGGAGGGTCTCCATTTACCTTGACACTAGCCCTCATCGAAATTAGGGCCTATCCGTCTACGCGTAACTTTATTGTTTTACAGTTCGTCTGCCGGCTTCGAGATCGTCGATCCTGATAGGATCTGCTCGTTTAAACGTTCGCGGAATACTGACGCGCTTTCACTTGGTTCCCGGGCTCACTTGCGTCCTCCTATACTTACGGCCACCCATATACCCTTTCCATGTGCTACAGTGGGGCAGTGATGATGTCAGAACCCTTTTACTAGAAAAGAATTTTTCTCGAACGATATTCACGGACATTTTTTTGGCTACGCTCAATATCCGTCTTTCTAATCGCCGGTCTTGAATGCGTCATAAGGCCTCGTGGGCTTGGTTCGAGAGGCCCTTTCTCCCCTAGTTCACCTTGAATTCCAAATATTTTTGGCTACGTCAACTCGAACAGGCTCTACAAGTCCCGAGCTGTTTTATTGACTCGGTCATATACTATTGATCATTATTCGCCGGAAGACGAGGGTCGTATGGAACCAGCCACTCAAAGTGCTCCTTGGCTGTGCAGAAAATTAAAACTAGAAACTTTTGCAGTATATGCTATGTAATGACACAGGAACAGAGATATTGGAAACAATTGCGTGGCTAGGGAGTTTGTATCTACGGACGGGCAGTGCATCAGCAAGTAAACAGAAAACGACGAGTTGACGTGTAAGTGTACAGTTACATAGAACCCTTGTTGTGGCCATACAACATGGCCTAAGAAAGAAGACAGAGATTATAGACGACGAGATGCAGGATGTATTGATCGACGCTTGACTATGAGACAAACCAAAGAGTCCGAAAACAGATATCCAAATGGATTACACTTGAAAGACAGCTCATCAGAAAGCCCAAGAAAAAGGTCTTGGTCAACTTACAGTCCGATATTACGTTGACGATATGTTGGGAGAAGAATCTAAACCTCCAGGTGATCCCCCGGAAGAATCCGTTCGTTGGCTAGAAGAAGGCCGCGAATTTGTCCTTTTTTTAACGGTGAGTTTGTTGCTCATCATCATCATCATAGCGAAGGAACTAAACTGATCTCGGGACCGCCGGCTCGACTTTGGCCATCCCCAAACTTGTCGGATCCATCGGGCCATGTGCACTTCTTGCTTCATGACACCAACGATCCAAGGATGTTCCAACATATCTTGGGGTTTTGGTCTTGCCATCGCGTCAACCGTCAACCTTGGGTCAGACAGTTTGAGATCATGTCAAAACGTGATATTTGGTGTACGTACGTTTCCTTGATGAAATCCTTCATGTCATCACTCCACTGCAGACCACCCCCGTCTTCCAAACGAGGGGGCTAGCAAGAATATATATGAGAATATAAACTTGATAGTACGAAAATGACTCACTTCGCCTGTAGTGATATACATCATCAGTTCAATCGGTGGTAGGTCGTTAGGGAAAGGGAATCGATTTTGAACCAGCTCTAATAACGAGATGCCCGTCGACCAAACATCGGATCGTATGGTGTATTCATGGCCACAAATTCGTTCGGGCTAAAAAATCAGTGATCAACGGGATGAACGTGATAACTATAGCAACCACTTACCGCCATGTACATACTCGTACCAGTAAACGTACCAGCCATTGAATCTATCAACTCTCCGGAGACACCGAAATCGCAAAGTTTGACAATGCCCTCCCGGGAGAGAAGAATATTCGACGGCTTTATGTCTCTGTGAATTGTCTTCTTCCTGTGCAGATAGGCAAGCCCTTGCAAAACCTAAGTGATTTCTATTACTGAGATTCAATACGTGAGCCGCGAATACGCACCCCTTCGGCGATACGTCCCGCTATTTTCTCCCCCACGACAGCGTCTCTCTCTTTGATCCGCTTGCCAATGGCTTCGAGACTGCCGCCCTCGCAGAGCTCCATGAGTATCTTGACCTCGCTGGAAGACGGAGAAATATATGCCCCGTGGAAAAGAATGATGTTGATGTGTTCTGTAGATGATATGATGGATAGCTCGCGTAATAATTGCTTCATGGGCGCCCCCCTGGTGGTTATGGTCTTACGAGCCATAATCTTACCGGTTCTTTTGTCTCTAACTTTATGAACTGCGCCCCCAGCGCCCTCGCCAAGGGAGGCGATCTGCTCAAGAACATCATCGGACCAAGGCAGAGATGGGGACTTTTGTGTAGGAATAGCATCATCCTCAGGCTGAAAATCAGATGCTGAGGAAGAGGTTGTTCTGATCGTAAGATCAGTTAGTAATGTGCGGACTTCGTCAATGGGCTCGGAGGGTTTCTGTGTAAGAGCGGGTCTAGTGGTGTCGATAGAAGGGGGACGGATAGTCATGTCATCGGGGGGATTAAGTGCCTTTGTGCTGCTATTAACACGGGGGCCGCCATAGTAATCGTAAACAGGCGAATCGCCAGAGGTACTATTGTCGGAACCATTCGATGCTGGGATGGAGACCTTAATAACGGGTTTTGGCTTTGGGATAACGAGACGGGGCGGCGAAAGAGTATCTGGCATTCTAGCCTTTCGAATATTGAGAGGCGCTGTTTCCGGAAGATTTACTGGGGGAGCTGGAGATGCAGAACGAAAGCTGCGTGGCCCCATTGGGCGAGAGTGAGTCTGCATGATGGTCGCAAGGGAAGCGAGGCAATATGAAAGGTGTCCTAGTCGTGCCCAGATCGATGACGCTGGTGAAATAATACGAGTACAGCCGCCGTTATAACGGTATCAGTTTGAATGAGACGGACAATGGACAACGCTTGGATTTGGATACGCGCCCAGACCCATGTCAGATCTGTATGCCTCTGTTTGCTTTTCACGCTGTCGCCTTTCTGCTTCGTCTCCATCATGCCACTGTCTGTTGCCCTAGATCATCCCGGGTTCGTACTCTGCCCTTTCTCAGTACATCCCATTAATACTGTCTTACAGCGTTCATCCCCAAACATTGATCGGAAAAGTTCTAATTCGGGCTCGACGTTCGCCTCTACATCCAACTCTTACTCTTGATTTTCGTGATAACACCGCCTTCCAAATCCTCGTCGATGGGTATAACCCGGCCCACCCTGGCCTGCCGAAGCAACTCGAATTTGACCCTCTATTTGACAATATTCTTGCTAAAGGTGAAGCCTTGGACCTGACTGTTGTCGATTGCGCCTTCGTCACTTTGTCAGACAAGGCTTTCGAGCGGAAACTCAATCCTGACGGCGATCGGCGCCTGCAGGATGATCTAAGATGGGATCAAAAACATCTCGGACTCGCTTTTAAATTCTCTGAAGAGAAACCCCGGTGGCATTGTGTTTGGGCAATGCTTGAGGACCACGATAAAGAACAGGGGACGTGTATATTCCGTAGCTATGGGGACGTTTATCTTCAACGTCTGCACCGCTCCCCGCGAAAGCCCAGGAAAAGACTAAGCCTGGCATAATTCTTCCCAGGTGACGGAACCTGATACAGTACCGGCCTGTAAGTCTTGACTCAGTCTATATATTTCTAGTCAACGTAACAATTTGATAGATGCATCTTCCCTATCCCCTTACAGACCTACATTTGCATACCCACACTGACTGTATTTCTTGCATCGACTCTTGTGTTGTAACTTGTCATACTACTAGCTACCGCTGCCGCTGTGTTGTTAGCATCTATCTTTTGCTTTGTCATATTCACTATCTGTATTTATACTTCATCTCTATTTCCGGTGTCAAGCTAGATGAGAATCTATATCTGATTTGGTCGTTGGGCGACTTTGCGCTGGAACCAAATGTCGCAGCACGTCTGGGTGGCGACCATACCTATCTGTTTTTCTCCTTGATGTTACGGTCGGGTACGGCGGTCGAGTCATCCGCAAAGGATTTATTTGGTGATCGATGCATATACATGTGTATTGAAGGTAAGAGACATGATATCAATCAAACTTGCAATACAATATGCAGACCACACACGATGTCGCTGACGATCCGGTGGGGCTGATAAGACACTGCCCGCTGGCTATCAAAAGATACGAGGCCTTTTAAGATAGTTTTGAAACACCTTTCACCTAATGGACGTATCTCTTTGCTACCAGGTATGATACAAGGCACACAGGTGATGATGGGGCCTAATGATGGGTGCGAAAATCTCGGAAGTGTAACTAGGAAATTTGGTCACACAAGATGCGACCTTTAAACCTTGCCTAAATGATTTCCGTGAAATGCCAATGATTCACTGATCTTCTGAAATAGCTGCTAGACTCCGGAGGGAATCGTAAGCAGCAGCCCATGCCGCTCATTCTAAGATCAATAATGGCTCCGAACTATGTCTCCCATCATGACTGCGGCCCGGCATTCAATAAGAGTGTCAGTAAGCTTGTCTACGTTTCCATGGGCGGTGACATATGGTCTGTTAAGAGAAACAACATGGTGGCGTACCTCTACGACGAACTCCTTGAAAAGCGCTCAAGATCATGAATGTGAACCCCGGCGCGCCGACGCGCTCAATTGAAGGTCCGACCAGGGGGGATCGGAGATGAAATTGATCGAAGCGGCAACAGCCGGCAGACCAACTTGCTGTTTTACCATCATAGTCCATGTCCGTCGCAACACCAAATTCTCGTATTTCATTCGCCTCCTTGTCCCCGAACAACTTGGGCACGGTCAGGAAACTGAACTCTGTGTTGTTTCCCATCAAATACTCGGAGAAATTCTACAGCGACATATTAAATCCTGATTACGAGGAATTTTGTAAACTTGGTTAGTTTTTTCCCTGGTCCGATTGGTCTGCATTGTGTCCGGTATTGGAAACGTTAACTAAGCCTTTTAGTGTATTATAATGACGTCCCGGGTTCGTTACCGTTTGGGCTACCTGTAAATGGTGCTGTTGAAGCTGACTCTATACAGTCGGCACAATCTGCTGTCGTTTGGAAACCAAAGGAGATCAGACACTCCTCTATCTCATGACGATGGGTATTCTTGCAGTGAGTTATTCCGGTGCCTCATCATGTATGCTAAGTCATTGACGGAAACAGCCCTATCGTTCAAGGAAGCTGGGCTCTGAGAGTCTCGACCTCGTCCTTCGCGCCGCATCGTCTCATCACCAACCGAAAATCGATAAAATATATCTTCATGTCCAAATATCTAACGGTGATGCCAAGAGGTTCTACGAGCAACATGGTTTCCAGGAAGTTGGGATTCACAAAGACTATTACAAAAAAATTGCCCCTCATGATGCTTGGATTCTTGAAAAGACGATCTCAGCGACTTAATACAAAGTCTTAGCTCTGAGATTCTAAAGTCTCGATATTTCGTATGTTAACGGTGACTATTAGTACAGAAAATTTGATACATTATTGTTTCCAGGCCTCGAGTAGCTGAAATGCCGCCGGTTTCACCTAACAGATGGCTTTACGTAGGAGAACTGCCGATGAATTAGAGCGCTGTGTAGCATCCTTCCCACTGTCTTCTAATTTATATCATGTTGTCGTCGAATGTGCCGCATTTTTTGACAAGCTGGTGAAAATCTGAGCTAGTGCATCCAAAAGCCGATGAAGGACCAAACCTGATGACGTTTCAACGCGTCCTTTCTCGTAAAGGTTTTCCCGCAACCGCCATTGCAAGTGTAGGGTTTCGAACCCGAATGGGTCTTTTCGTGGCGTTTCAAATCGTGCTGTCGATGGAACGATAGGGAGCACATGTCACAGCCAAATGCGCGGGGGAGAGACATGGCATATTCGGAGGAATAGGGAGGCGACGAGGACATGGGCATATCGTATGAAGGAGAATGAACCATCATGGGATCCTGAGACTGCCCGTAATGAGGTTGTCCGTAAGACTGGGGGTACGGAGAATATACCGGAGAATGAGGAGGATATGAAGAGTTAACATGATGGTGAGAATAACCATGGGACGAGTGAGTCGGTGATTGTGGTGGTGGTGATACCTGGCTGGAATGATATTCATGCGAACTTCGTCCCATAGGAACCGGCGGGGAGTGATCAGGCACTGTGGGGTAACTCGATCGGTGGTGGCTTAAGCCATTTGCGCCAGTGGGTTGGACGTAGGACTGATTTGGAGAAGAATAATGTCCACCGGAATGCGGATATGATGCATCAGGACGCCGGCTGACGCCACCAAGAGGAAGGTTATAATCCTGAGGCGCAGGAGCGTAGGATGTCGAAGGATATCCGCTCATATTGCTCGAAGAATACTCTCCGTCAGGCCTCTGCTCAGCTGAATGGCCGGTATTGTGTCCACGGTAGTAAGGATAGTCACCCATGGTCGACAGAAAGAGAGCGTGCAAACTTGGGCGTTGATAGAACTGTTTATGGGTTTCCAAAGGATGCGCGACGACTAGTTAGGAAAGAGGGTAACAGAGGCAGATTTAGAGACAGGACTGCCAAGTTGACGCGTTCATTGGTGCCTGATGATCTGGTAAAAGCTCCCAGGAGCAGAACAAATTGCGCGTGTTGGTCGGTCATCCTAAAGAAAGTTAGTCTGTTGTTTCTGCGCAGCCGATGCCTGTATGTTGTAAAGCGTGACCAGGTGCGTTTTGGACAACAAATAACATTATCTAAGGAGGAGTCTAAGATCAGGGAGGGAAAACAGGGAACTAGCCCCTCATCTCAGATCCGTTGGAGTTGTCACGTCGATAAAAAATCAAGGCACTGCCTTTGCTGTTGAGTGTCGCGCGTTACCCTGCGACTTGTCGCTGGTAATAGCTTCCTGTTAAGGCGTAGTGACCACCGCGATATCGCTCATCAGCATGGGATCATATGAGATTACTGTCCAACTGTGTCGGAGATGGCCACGGACTTGAACTCAGAACAGGCAGCTCAGAGGTTCAGGCCTTAGGTGGCTCCTCATGTTGCGGTTAATTGCGAAATGACAGGCCATAATGTGATTCGGACTGATCATGTCAACGGCGAACGCTGAAACCACCGTTGTAATGTATAGAAAACTTTGGGCTTGTAAATTAAGGTCGATAGTGCTACAATGCTTACCTAGGTCCGAGCTAGGTCCGTAAACAAATAAACTTGCGGTTCCAAATGTTGAGTTGCTGAAAAAAAGTCGACGTGCAACCGGCGATTTCCTATAAATAGGAAGTTTATCACGTGACCTTTTGGTTTCATCAACATCAGTGCCATCATCGCCGTTCAAGTTGTTCAACCCTAGTCCTCTATTAGTAGAAAAGGTTTAGATCAGGCCAAATCTGTTTAGGCCCCCCGACTAAGGGTCCTCTTCTTCATCAAACTTGGCGTTCAATTCCAGTCAATTCCTCATCACTTATACCGAATGGTTGACAGAATTTCATCCAGGCAACACCCAATACACAGACATACTAGGAATGCAAGATGCGCATAAACTGACCAGTCACGCTGTTTATTGAGCAGGCGATAGCCCGAGACCGTCGCAATGCACGGAATAATTGCTTTAGAAGCTCAGGTACCAACTAGTGCAGTTCTACTAACAAAACTGCCGACTTCATCATCGCTTTGCACCAAACGGAATAAGTTATTCAGTTCGTACGTTTGGATATACGCCGGATTCGGTCGTTCACGTCCGTCATCACTTAATAAATGCACTAGTCGATTCGTTTCCCATCACTTTTCCTGCTGTCCATCTTCTGTCAAGTATTCTTGTCCTACATTTTCTTCTACTGGAGTTCAATCAATGCTTTCTGGTCGGCTGCAAAAGATCTCATAAATCAACTTGACACGTGCACCTGGCGCTCCAAAGGTACTTTCGTTGTCTACGTAGTCTTAGTCAAACTCAAGAGTAAGCTAGGAAACCGCGCCTTCCCGCGCTCTGTTATCCCAGACAAGAGGTGGTCGAACCGAGGTATTGCCAGGTAGCGTTTTTCAAATATATTGAGAATGGCAGATTCAAAGTGCCAAACGCAATGCGTGTTTTAGATGTTTCGATTTGTTCCTATGCGCTTTCAATATTTAACCTCAGCACCAAGAACAGTGCCCTCCCACCATAGCCTGAAGACTCCATGGGGATGTAGTCATCGTATTTACGATGCCGCCGCACAATATCTATCGGAGATGGTATGTACCTCTTGCTTCCAGCATCATCATTCTACTACGGTTCCAGACTGGGCCATCCACTCTTCAATGGATTTTCCAAGGCAGAACCTTCCAGGTTCACTCCATCGGGCACGTACCCGACACTCACTGAAGATCAGCATGTAAGATGTTCCCATGGTCAACACTTCTCCCCATATATTGACATACATTGTAGGTTTTTCTCGAAGTAAATTTTTATGATCTAGCTTGCTGCTAATCTGCAGCATGACGGAGCCAATCAGCTGGATTGAGCGGGTTTTCATAGTCGTGGCGGGGAATAGAACTGCCTCCACTCACCCTCCGCTGTCCTGTGCGCCCGAATGAGCCCGACATGCCGAGAAGACCGTGCAGGTTTGCCCTAGTTTGGCCTACGTCAAGCCTGCGCGCCACTATGTTCCTGTTCTGCGAGGCTGCTGAGAAGTTTCTTCGGCATGGTAACGGTCGGGGAGTGCAATGTTCCGATGCTTACTAGTGCTAGTCTGACTTACAACAGGGTATATCCAGCAGAGGCGCCCACATGGGAGTATGAGAATTTGGGATGTTATCTGTAACTCAAACAGGATGAAATTATAACCCTGTTCGCGAGCCGCATAGTAAATACTTCGAAGTCACTTCCCAGGTGACGGTCCGAGGCGTCCCGGAATTCTCGGCGATTGCCAGATCGGAGTCGCAACTTGATTATAATAGATACGCCACATCAGCGAAGATAAGATAAACGATGCGATTCACCTTGTTGCTCTTATATACCGTTAGCGCTTTGGCAGCATTTCATGAGTCCATTGAAGATGCAGGTACGAGGAAATCAGCCTAGCATCGCTTACAGCTCACTGATAATCTGTTCCTTAGCGCGCATAGCGCGAAGACTTGTGGATGCATCTCCTCTTTCTGTTGGAACCATGGCTACCGTCTTTCCATCTGACGATCCATTACTTCCCGGTCAATCATGTTTTGAAAGGAAACCCTTCCGGCCTGATACAACTCTCCTCTAGGTTACCCCTTTTCCTTGCAGGAGTATTATGCCAGGTAAAAGAAAATACCTCTTGTTTTGCGTAGACTCGGAGGTGTCTTGATGAACAACACCGAAACAGCTGCCTTACCAATGGATCGCTCACCCTTCTATTCCTCCCTATATCCCGCCACAGTCGGAACATATTAGCCTCGCCTTCACATCTGGTTTCTATATCAATCACCTCGGAGTTACCTGCGGCCCATAAACCCCGCGTGTCATTGCTGGGGAATGTGACAATCTTCACCGATACTGAAAGTGTTGACAATTTGACGGAAATCAAGAAGTGCTACCTGGAGAAACATCCTGACGCCAAGAGATGGTTACCAGGTGATGACGAAGGGGCACATCTTGTGAGTTCATTAAAGCTGACTGATGTACTAATCTCATTGTTGTTGGGCACAGTCTTATTGGGCTAGATTCGATCCTGAAGTATGCAGCGTAAAATCTGTCATGATGAAGTACTGACGGTTCAACAGTGCGTCTATTTTGTCGGCGGCTTTGGCGGGTCCGTCTCATATTACCATATTCTTGTATTGAGAGACATTGCTGAGTTTACGCTAGGCGACATTATATCGGTTTCATACCCATGGATCTCTATCAGAACGCGATTCCTTTGCACGGTTCGGCTGTTACTTACTCGTCCGAATACGTGTTCCAGAAACAGGAATCGTAGTAGGCCAGGGAGGGTAATAGTGGGATCGGAAGCGCAACTAAAGCGCAGGCCTTGCTTTACAATTAACATGGTCTAACAGTTAACTATCTATGCCGCAAATACAACAAATTTTAGGGACTCAATAGATTGAAAATCGATCGCTGGTAAGTACCTAAGTGAGTCTGGTCAATCACGCGTATGACGTCACGCGTTAGCGATTCAAATTCAACCGACTACTGCCAGCAACACCGTGACTGTCTGGAAGCTGCTCTCCTCAGAGTATTTCCCTCTTTTCCGGCTCCTGCATGAAAAGTGACCAGTCAGATGCGTATATGTATGGGTTGCATACTCTTGGTCCAAATGCCTCATTCGCATTTCACATTTCGCAAGGGGTAAATCAGGCTATGAAAGTATTCGCGGCAACTGACTGGTTGACCCATCTCCTCCGAAATATAGGGAAGACTACATATTATCCCAAATTCTGCGCTGAGGACAGTTTCTTTTATATAACTGGTACAGTGACTACACTAATGCTGATATTCCAGAGCAGGGACATCCTGGGACATCCCGCCGGCCCCTGATCTAAAAAATACAAATCAACATCGCTTCCAGGGCAGTCCCTGGCATCGTGGCCAGGCGTCCAGAGGCGTCCTTACTCCAATGCTGCGTACGGTGTCTGGTCCTGGGGTTCCGATTTACCGGTGACAGATCAGTCACCCTTTCTTGTTTCGACTATCACTTTCAGCCCTATCTTCTCATCGTCAAGCGTTTTCTGTCACATCTGGGTGTAAATGACTACACGAAACCTTAAACTCGGCCAAGGTCGGTAATACTACGAAAATGGGAAACGTACAAGAATCGTTAGATGATTTGTCTGGACGCTACTGGCACGCTGCCATTAATAACTATATTCTTGGACAAAAATATGGTTTTCCCGCGAACTTCAAATCGGTTACGTGGACTGATGTGATCTCGAATGGTTGAGATCACCATAATTATGAATGTTGGCCTGATAATGCGTGAGTACTGCTTGTCATCTTGATCTGCGTTTACATGAGTTTTTTCTTAGCTTTTGCAATCAAACACTTGGAAGTAGTGACAAAATGGTCTCCCCTCATGGAAATATACATTCGCAGATCGTCGTAAGATGATCTATTCCACTTTTCTTCGGAGCCCGCTTAGAATTTTCATCATTCTAAGTTGAACCGAGCTGCGAAATCCGAAAAGAAAGGTTATTGGATTGTCCTCGTAGATTGAAATAATCGAAACATGAATCGATCATCACTACTCAAGTCTGTGAAATACCATGGATTACCGACCCTCCTATGATACCTTGGTTTCTCGGGACGCAAAACCTGAAACTCACGACCACGTGCTTCCGTTGCAGCATTGCCGAGATCTTCAGGCTCAAGAACCCAAAGTGTAAGTGGTGGACTGAGCTAGCAGGTTAATTCCCTGTTCCCCTCGCTTGCCCCTTCATGCACATAAAGACAGTGCATATCAGCGATGAACAAGAATGCGGTACATGCGTGGTTAGAAAGTTCACATTTGGTCGGCTGTGCGGTAACTCCAATCACCCCACTTGGCTACTGCGAAGCGGGCTTGGATACCGTGGTCAAAATATCTTGACCTGCACCGACTGGGGAATCAGGCACTACGGTGTGACACAGTACCTGTAATAAATTGTTTCCTTTATTGAATTTCACCACCTCCCTCTCTTCCTTCCCTCCCGTTTCCATCTCCATGTCGTATTCATCTGGCAAGGAGAGGCATTCAAGGGAACGTCCTACTCTCCCGCCTATCCGCGATCTCTTTGGAGGTGAGCCTCTAGCTCTTCTGAAGATCCACTTTTAATCGTAGAAATAGACGAGTTATCTCGATCCGCGAAAGCTCCTCACGACTCACCTCCGTTGACCTTGGCCCGTCTTAGTATGAGTGATGATGATCACGAAGTTCCCCCTCGTACTTCGAGCTATCCAGGTTCCGGGGCACCGTACAATGCTGGTCGCAACTCCATGGTATGTCACGTTGCTGTATAATAGCCTTCTCATACCTGAGGGTCCTCTACAGTTTCAGTCATCTGCTCAATACGTCCCTCCTGCGTCACGACCTTATCATGACCCGCCAACGACATTTTACAATCATCAGCAATCGAGTTCAACGTCCTCGTACACGACGCCTGCATTTTCCAAAACTAGATCCTCTGACAGTATTTACGGCAATCAGCCTGGAAGGCCATCTCTTGGGGCTCGTTCATCATCTCACATGAGTTCCTCAACATCAACTGCCTCTCCGAACAGGTTTCCCGTTCATCGCAACACCGTCCCGCAAATGGATTATCCCCACAGTTACGGGATGCGGTTTTCCGACTCTCGACGTGACGATTTCAGTCGACAACCAGCAGAAGATAGGCTTCTAGCCGATCGCCATCCTTCTGGCGAGAATCCGGCAACTCGATATCCTTTCGATCAACGTCCGTCGGCTAACACTTATCCGTCATCGGATTTCCCTTCTCGCGCACCGGGTAATGCTCATCCCCCACGTCCGTGGGCAATCTCGACCTCAGTGGACAGAAGCAGGGCCGATGACGATGATCCTACGCCGACAGCTCGATACCGTGATGTAGGACCCTCATTTGGACGCCCACCTGAAAGAGATGATGAACTAATGAGTGCGTCTGCTTCGAAGTACGAATGCACCTATTGTGGTAAGGGCTTTAACCGCCCTAGTAGTCTCAAAGTATGTTTTGATGCCTCTCGACTCCTGGGTATGTGCTAAAATTGCGTTCTTCTAGATCCACATTAACAGTCATACGGGAGAAAAACGTATGTACTACTTGTTGCCGGTGCTATCACTCATGTTCTAACTCTCCCTTCGTAAGCATTTGTCTGCCCCGTTGAAAGCTGTGGAAGGAGCTTCAGCGTCCTTAGCAATATGCGTAGACACGCTCGCGTCCACACTCAGACTCCCTCGAGACAGCAGGAGCTCTCCAGTGACGAAAGTAGCGAAATAATATCACCGCCTCAGTCAGCGTCATCGCAGTCCTCCGGCGCGCTATCGGTGGCTCCCTCCCAATCGCACTGGCAGCATCGTCGGGACAGCAGTGCATCTGCATCAAGCACAAGTTCCCGGAGAAGTCGCAGCGTCTCGTCTGATGATTTCGATGAAACCGATGATCAGTTGCGACCAGAGAAACGAACTCGTCGTCACCTCAAATAAAATGATGTTCGACGTACCGTACACTTATTTGCTTTTGGGTTTGGGGGCTATTCGCTAGATTTCGCTCCACGACTTAATCATTTTATGCATCCTCTCCATCTGCATCATACTATTTATTATTTGACTCACAAGTACAGTCTCACTCATCGCTAGTAGCCATCATTTATTGCACCTATTTATTCGAGGTTCGCTTGGTTTGCCACGCCGCTCCTTCCAGTTATTTATTGCCAAATTCAAACGTCCTCGTCCCTTGTATTATAGGCATTAGACTACCTGTATCATTCATATCACTATCATTACATCCATCGCATTCATAAGTTCGTTCATTTCACGATCGTGAAGATTACAGGATAAGGAAAAAAGATAAACACATCTATATATATTATGATAGATTAATGATGCCGTCCAGTTCGTGGGGAAGGGGTATAATCATTAGTAGTTAGAAAGCGGCAGGTAGTAGGAATGCCGGTGGAAACAGATTACATGGAAATGGCGCGACCCCTCCCAACCGTTTGCTGAGGCAAAGTCGACCGCCCTCTGGTAGGCTCTTGGCCGTATGTGTCTGGTTGTGGGTAGAAGGCCTTGTCCGCTCTGACGTAGCTGATAGCCCGAGGACTCTTGTGAGTGAATCCAGCAAAGGCAAGGGCCTTCCGTACGTCCAAGATTTCGGCCCCGTGAACTTCATGTCGGAGCAATGGATCACGAGTAGCATCAGCAGGTGCACCATTAGCAGGTTCAAGCGGCTGAAACAATCACCATTGATATGGGTACAACGATCTACGATTGTGTAGCGTACCTCGGCAGGAATATCATCCTCGAAGTGACGGGTATCTTCAGGATACCGAAGCTCGGGAAGATATGGTGCTTGATAGCGATGGATGTTTGCCCAATCAATTCCCCGGAACCAGGGATGGGCCTACAAGGGACATAAGGATTGTTTCGCGGTGACAACGACGGAAATTACTTTGATGTGATCCGCTCCGTCAACATCTCCACTTACTGACATGAAGCCACTTCGCCTGGCCTGGACAACGAGCGAGTTGGGTCTCGAAACCGACGCCGATGCTTGCGACCCCAGACGGTCCTCGGGTTCGCAAAGCAACTGCGTCATCAAGTCTACTCCCTCACGAGATACGCGGGGTCGTGACGGAAAGCGCAGAGTCTGTTTCCAATTTAAAATCTTCTGTCTGGTGATATGACGCTAGAAAAGGCGTTAGGTAGTGCCATCTATCGATGAGCTCGATCATACCGAGTTGCTAACGAACGGGGGTCGGCTGGGACGTGACATCTAAGAATATCGGTCCAACGGTATGAAGCCGCTCACGCACCCATAAAGACATTCGTACATGATAACGCCAAGGCTCCACCAGTCACAGGAGTAAGAATAACCGTGCCCGCGAATCACCTCAGGAGACACTGAAGCATATAACGCCGGTCAAGTCCCGTACCATCAAGGCGAAAAGCGATCTTACTGTACGAGTTCGTACCACAGCTAGATTGCTATTGTTACAGAAAGTTGATTGAGGGATAAGGAAATGAACGTACACAGAATATGCCAGCTAAGGGGGGGAGGGCTTAGTTGTGCAAGGGGACATAATTTTACAAGATACCTTTCTCCGATTTTTCTCTCTCCATGTGAAGAGTCCACCTTCACCTTCTCCTCCCATCAGGAGTTCTACATCCTTGCGATTCATGCGTTTCGTCTTTCGCCCATCAGCAATTCCATTAGTATCCTCCAAATCAATCCCGTGTTTGTGTAGTAGATGTAAACGTTGTTGTTCATAATCTGAAAAGAAGATAAGGATGAGTCAGAACTTGCTAAAGCAGACTAAACGTACAAGAAGTGTCGTGGGCCCAATGGAGATCTGTGCTAAATTTTGGGGGTATTAGCAGAAGGACGCTACTTGACGATATCTGACTGACGCTAAACCAAAATCGCTTAATTTGATATGACCTTCGGGATCGAACAAAAAATTCTGGCAATGAAGTATCGAATGAATGACAAGACCTGGATAAGTAAGGACATACGTCTGGCTTGATATCACGGTGGATGAATCCGTGTTTATGACACGATTCAATAGCTAGAACCATCTGGAGTAAAATACATCGTTAGCTGATAATGGGATTAAGAAGGTGCCGGGGAACTTTCTTCGGCAACATAAAATCGAGTGAATTCTTCCTCGAATATGTCTCTTTCAATCAATAGGTTAAGAAGATCACCACCCCCCATATACTCCAAAACCTAGAGCGGCCATAACAAGGGTGAAGCCGGAAGATTGACGTGCAAAACGTTGAAATGAAAGAAAGAAGTTCAGTGAACAGTCACCTGAGTCAGCCGTGGCAACTTTGTCGAATGAATAACATACAAGATACAGATTATCACGATCTTGGAAGCTATAGTGGAGTCTGACGATCCATTCCGCGCCTCCGGGAGAAGCAACCAAGGAAGCAGACTTGAGTATGTCACGCTCAGCGCGGACATGACCCTCCTGTCCTTTGCGTAACATATCTGTCTTCCGCAGCTAAAGAAGAATCAGCCAACGGCTCAGTAAAAGAGAGCACGAAACAATTTTGAAACCTGTTTCATGGCGTATAGCTGGCCTGTGGACCGTTCTTTGACAAGAGACACCACTCCAAAAGCGCCTGTTGACAAAAAGAAGGACATGGTAAACACAGGCGACACTGGGACAAAAAAAAATTGACCGTGTCCAATTGTCTTCAGTATTGTGAACGCCGTGACGTCGACTTTTTGTCTCTTCTCTCGCAAGTAATCAGTCTCATTCTGACGCCAGCGAGCACGCAAATTTTCCTTCTGAGCGCTGCCGAGTTGCATGTCCATCATGTCTCTCTCCATAGCCAATCGTCTCTGTTCTCGAGAAGGTGTATGACGAAACAACGGAAAATAGAGATTCTCAAAATAGATGCGAGCAGAGACGGCTTTTTCCAAAGTTGCCAAAGACGGCGTGATGGGTTTAGGCACTGGCGGTGTCTCGGGAAGGTCTTTCACCGGAAGAAGGTCATGTTCGTGCTGTTCCTCAAGATGTGTAACAAGATCGCCTCCCCAGCGGATTGTGGAGTTCCCAGGACGCCCAGGAAGGCCTTCAGCCGGAGACACAGAAACATTCTCTCGTGCCGCAGTGGTCAGGGTTGAGGTGGTCGTTGTACTCATGCCGTTGACGACGCGAAGAGGGCCAAGAGCACCGGCGTCGATTATTTTGCTAGTGCTCTGAGATGGTTGCACAGGGCTGACTACCTCGTTGACGGGCCGCACATCGTTGTTGTAGCGGATTCGATTCTTAATGGGGTTTGCCCAGCGGGGATCTAGGATACGTTGCATTAGAATTTGATTGCATTTTGGTGTGTAGAGAGCACGGAAGCCTGACCTCCCAGCTTGCCTAGTCCGTCAGGGCCCCACCGAGTCAGCAGAGCCTCGGCCTGATCAGCATCTGAGGCGTGTACGAGGTGGCTGTAACATAGAGATGAGTGTTGATACGGCAATATCGGTCGAGCGTGACATACACAAAGCCCGTTGGACGCGACACCATATCCTTGCTAATTCTGCGGCCCTTCTTGGGTGATACTGGGGGACTTTGGACGGGCTTGTTTGCCGGCATAGGACCAGAACCTATGTGCTCGTATCGCGGCCCCGCTACCACTGGCTCGGGGGCCTGAGCCATCCACTGTTGCAACAATCGGGACGGTGACGACGGGGTGGGTATCATAGACAAGAGATCATAGAAGCCCTTGTGAAGCAGGGTTCCTCCCGGTAGAGTGGTAGTAGGTTCACCGTATGTATCAGGATTATAGTAGGGCGAATAATAGGGGTTTCCTGGGGGATACATGTCGGTTGGCCTGGAGAGGGTATACTGATTATACTTGAATCCCAATGGCGGCGCTGGCGGCGTCGGTAGGGGACGTCGAGATGCCATTGGGATTGGCAAGGCCGTAGCAGAAAGAGTGCTCTGACGATTGTCGGAGAGACGCCAAAGCAGTCCCGATATGGAGATCCAGTTTCCACGTGGCTTTTCTGATTACCTACTATACCGTCGCGATGACCTACCAGTCACCCCCTCATGTTCGTTTCAAAAAAACACATTTTTCAGAGGGCAACTAGGTTCGTCACCGTTTCGCTACCGATCTTCGCTCGCGCTTTGGGCATCAAGCCTCGCTTGTTTCCGTTGCCTCGTATCTCTTCTTTGGGCTCACCAGTATCTTGGCTACGGCATGCCCTGCTTCATTCTGCACCGCTGCTTGTATCCTCAGTTTCCTGCCCCTTGGACTCGATCTCTTTCATTTGTATGTAACGCGAACTAGCTCCGATCATTTGATCTTGGTCGTATTGTCATCATCGGGGCGAAGCCACGGCTTGCGGACGGTCCAAGCCCTTTTTCCGGTCTGCCATCACGGCATGCCACACACAGAATAATAATACGTACGGCAATCCACTTCTTACGAGCGGTCCTTTAGGTGCAAATCTACGATGGGAACTTGATATATCAGTTTTGGCAATGATTTTTGAGATAAAATCCCTCTCACTTCAGCCGACACCCACGCTGATTTCATTTCCCTGTTCTGACATATATGTAACCTACAATTCGTGCTGCCGGGGCGTGTTCTTTCGGTGTTACTAGGTATACCTGCCCACAGCTTGTCTACGGCCTATTATTTTTTAGAGCTCCGTTCCATTATCCCCTCCGAACCTTGATCGTCCAACTGCGCCTTCTACAATAAGCTGTGAGAGTACTTTGTTCCATACCTCTCGCCCTCAACGTCGTTGAAACCACTTGTTTCTTTACACACACTGGACCTGGATCTGCACCTTCCAGCGCGTGTTCTTTCCCCTAGCCCAACTACGCCTCGCCTCGTGTAATTGGCCTTTCTTGTACATGTCTCCCTCGTTGTCTGGTTCCTGATTTATTTACATTCTCGCATCGCCTCTGGTCGCTCACAGCGGCCTGCGTAGACACGCGTGTTTTTTCGTATATAACTCGGGGTCATCCTCGCTTTTTGCCACAGTAATATCGCCGACTTTCTCTTCTTCTAAACTATCCTTCATATTATCTACTTATGTCGAATCCCAAAGAGGATCGTTATTATGGCAGGTCAAGGAGTCCCCCTGTGGGAGACTCTCAAGGCGGCGGCTTTTTCCAGACGGGTCAGGGTGGGCGAACTGTGCTACCTCCTCTTTCTTCTGCATTTCCAACCTCACGTTTTCCAGGTCTGTGTCTATGAGTGTTCAAATCTTCAACAGAAATTTATTGTCTGATTTTGATTAGTTCCCGTGGCGTATTCTAACCAGTATCCTCAACAACGTTCTTCTCCAGGAAGATACGATTATACCTCCCAGTACTCGAGCCAGTGGCAACCAAATAGTGGAGGTGAGTCTTTGAATTCTTTCTAGAGCTTGTACTAAAAACGAACACTCAGCGTCTTCATTTGACTATTATGAAACCCAAGATAATCGATACGGTGCTCAACATACATATCCGGTGTATTCATCTCGGACTTCTCCCATGATCCCAGATACAGCAGTCGATTCCAGGAAATTACCCCCCCTTAATACTTCTCCACATGGCTATCCCTCAGCGTCTTCGACGATGCACGGTGGCAGTCATATTCGGTCACCGACAGCATCCTATCCGGCTGCCTACAACGGTTATCCGACGAATGCATCCGGCTCCTACGGATACGCCATGTCGATGGCTGATTCATCTAACATTCCGATGAGTTCTCATTCTCATACAGCCATGACTGACATGCGCTCGTCCTCTCCCTATGGGCGAAATTTATCTCATGTTCCACCGTCCTCATACACTCCGCCACCGGTATCTCCTACCTCCGCTGATGACTCGCCAACCATCAAGAAAAAACGAAAACGTGCTGATGCCGCACAACTCAAAATTCTCAACGAGACCTACGCCCGCACTGCTTTCCCGTCAACGGAAGAGCGCCTTGCGTTGGCTAAATTATTGGATATGTCTGCGAGAAGCGTCCAGATTTGGTACTCGTGTTATTTTGGCTACGATCATCGCCCTTTGACTTACCAGCCCTTGAATTTTACAGGTTCCAAAATAAAAGACAGTCGATGAGGCAAACCAGGCAGTCATCATCAAGTACCCACCAGTCTTTTTCTATGGCGTCTCAGGGCGATCCCCTAGTTGATGACATGGCACATCTGTCCACTGGTGGCTACGAAGGCAACGCATCCATGTCGGGCACGTCGTATATGTCTCGTTCTCCTCCACCGGACGCCCATGGCTCCTCTTCACTCACGTCGTCTCATCGTCGTGCTCGAAGCCAAGAGACCGCAGTCGCTGATCAGAGGCAAATGTGGCCGCGTGGTTATTGAGTAGTCATAATTATCCTCAGCTTTCTTTTTCAAGACGTCATATTTCTTCTCCCCGGGCCCATAATATTGTTACATCCGCTCCCTTGGCACCCAAGTCTATCTTCTCGCCGCAATCCTAATCTATGAATCCGGTTTTTAATAATTACCTATTCATTAATATTCCACCGACAGGATGTCATCGCCCAATGACTTCTTTCTCGATAGGACCACCTTATTTTACCTTATATATGTACCTAAGATATCATTGAATGATCGAGTGCTGGAGCACTACACACACCCGCCTGTCCATTACTACTAGGGTTTCCAACCTCTTTGAGTCCGCGGCGGCAACTTCCACTTTAAACAGAGCGACAGATGGAGATCTGATCCATCTGCTACGAATCTCGATTCTCAAAGATGTACTGATTTGCTCCAAATTTGTTTTCAAAAAAAAGAAAAAGAAAAGTAAGACACTGAAAAAATTAACTCCGTAAATATGGTTGCCATTTCTTATATCAGTTTAGAGATACCCACTAACCACAAGTTGTGAGGCGGGAAAGTTGGCGAACCACTGCACACCTCGGCCCTGATTTGTCAGCCGGCGTGAGTGGTGGTGCAACAGCTGCCCTGCAACAGTAACCTGTGTCACACAAACTTCGTGGACAATGAGATCCGAGGATTAATAGACATCGATAGGCCTCTGGACTCGCTCGCGTCCACGTCCACGGTCATGTAAGATGATCATCTATAAGAGTACTATGGGATTCGAAATATCTATAATAGGAACCAGTAAATATTATGCGTCGCTATCAGTGTCCTCCGGCTTCGGTCCACCATGCGTCAGCCAATGCAATTTTCGAAGTCTCCTTCGCTCTTCCTGAGCTTTAACTTGGTTACGAGTCAATTTCTTCTTCTTCTTGACTGGCGTTGCTTTTCCGCTACCTGCATCCTCAGCGCCGCTCCCGGCGGGTGTTCCAGCAGCAGAAGCAGCCGGAGTTTGATGTCTGGACCTGACCGGTGTGCTAGTTCCACTTCCTTTCTTATCGAGGAAAGCATCTTCAACAATAGCAGCTTTTCCCTGCTGAGTCATACGACCGGCATCGACGTTCCATATTTCTGGGCCTGTCATCAGGGAATCAGCGTGTTTCGATGATATCTAGCACGAAATGAACTGACAAAGGGCGGAGACGAACTCGTGGTTATGAGAAATGATAACCTGTAATAGTTCAGGTTACGATACAGCAACAAAAACTCCGCACTTACTACAGCACCCGCCCAATCTCTAATCGCTACAGCCAGCCCACCTAGCGCTTCACGATCCAAGAAATTACTCGGTTCGTCCAAGATACATATCTGATGTGCAGCATATCAAAAGGCTGTACCAAAAAGTAAGTATCTGCACATACCTGTGGGTTATTCCAGAGGCATGCTGCGATCACTAATTTAATCTTTTGCCCTGATCATCGGTAAGCAACTTGCAGCATGTTGCTACTAGAAACCAAACGCCTTACCTCCAGATAGACCAGAGATCTCATTATATTGGGCAATGTCCCCATCCAATCCGATATCTTCCAAGTGCTTGCGTACCAGATGCGCGGCAGTATCACGAGTACCAGCACCTTCTCGTGAAGACTCTAGGTCGTCGAATTGTTGAATAAGTTTAGTAAAGCCTTTGTTGATCAAGTCGTCACGCGGAACCCAGGTATTAAATCTGTGATCCAAACCACGCCACTTAATTTCATACTGGAAAGACTTCTTCAGCTTTTGTCGACCCATGATAAGCTGTCCATGAAGGAGTGAGAATCACGCCACTCAGATACGGGAAGTGAACAACATACCTCTAGTTTGCGCTTAGATCCATCCTTTCCAACCCACTCTGTGTCAAAGACTCGTTTTTCTTCATCGGTCAGGACTCGAGTGGTTTTCTCCAATAGTTCACCTGAAACACATCAGGTCATGAAAGAAAGGTAAAGAATCGGCCATACGGTCATGCCCATCTTGGAAGCGCCATTGAATGTAGCCGATCGGAGTTTTTTCCAGGTGACGTTCTGCATTGTGGTTAGAAAGCCTTACAATGATGCCACAGCCACGATCATGATCACCTATGTGGTGGGTTGCATGTTGTGACACATAACCAACCCGAAGAGCCGGGTGTTTGTACACAGTTCCTTCTTGAGGTACAGTCTCGCCCTGGACCAGCTGTCAGACTTCATGAAATTCATATTTGAGTGAATAGACCAGACCGTTAAGAGTTTGATTAACGTCGACTTCCCAGCACCGTTAGGACCGACGATACCAACACGACTATATGGCAGTAAGGTAGAGTGAGCAGCAGCAAGAAAACACACTAACCTTGATAAGGAGAGCGCACAGCTTACGTTGTAGAGACTGGGAGAGCTACGTCCTGGATATGTAAATGTGCAGTTGACCATCTTCAATATCGCTCGAGTATTGCTCCGTACACCCATCAAAGAACCAGGTGGCGGGAAGGAGAATTTGACAGAAGTGGCTGCTAGAGTGTAATAAGACTTGGCTTCGGGATGTTGCTCGACAAATGTTGAGAGGTTTCCAGGGTAATAAACAAGCTAAGAATGCAGTAAGTACAATTCATAAGGCCCACCAATTACAGGCGTACCTTCTTGCTTTCGTAGTGTATGATATCTGTGGTCACATTATCCAGAAAACTGTAGAAGTCTTTTCAAAAGACGTCGATGATCTGGAAAACGGAAGTACATACCCAGAATCATGACTGACAATTAGACAAGTGACCTTGTCGTGTGCTATAAGGTATTTCTCCAGCCATAGAACAGAGGCACGATCCAACTGATAAAGAGTAAATCAAGGGGACACACAGAATAATAGGCACCAACATGATTAGTAGGCTGAGGAAGAGGATATCAGGACAGTTTGAGAAAGTTTGATAGCTGAAGTAGTCACCTCATCCAACAGCAATAAGTCAGCATTATATAGCATCGCCCTTGCAAGTTCGAGCTTCATTTTCCACCCTCCCGAGAGTCCGCCCACGGTGTCAGATTGTCTGGCATCGTCAAAACCCACTTCTAATAACTGATCCCGTATTTTGGACCGAGGAATATCCGCCAATGCTTTGTCTTCAACACGATGTCAGAATCAAGTCCATATAAACAAGAAAAAAGGCCAAACCTGCCGCAATAAAATCAAGCACAGACAACGAACCGTCCTCTCCTTGTAAAGAGTGTTCAACCATGACACAGCGGAGCTGGTCCTGCGGAGGGAAGTTCTCGACTTTACCGTCCCGAAGCTGCCTCATGAGGGTTGATTTTCCAGACCCGTTGGTCCCGAGAATACCATAACGTCTTCCCCTGACAAGACGGAGGGTGGTATGAGAAAGCAACAGTAAAGCACCATACGCGAGAGAGAAAAGGGTGTCACATAAGACTTCGCCTTCTTCGTCTCCAGTCTGAACTACAGCATATTTGGACTGATGTATGATATGTGAGTTAACAAGAATAGACGCATTTCATAGACTAACCTTCTCTATGGCATAGAAATGTTCCGACACAGCATCGGCGAAGGCGGAGGCCTTCTCCATATTCAGCCACGGAGTCATATACACGCCGATACAACGATTCCAGGCGGCCTTGTCCTTGAATCGGCGATCGTAAACCAAGCCGGCCACCAGTGATGCAACGAAGTTGAGAGAGTGGCCCAAAAGCGTCGAATTGGGGACAAAAGGTCCGTTGGGAGCAGAGGACGAGCTTCGAAGTTCTTCGGGTAGAAGGCTAAGTAGAGCTGCAAGGGCCGTGGCCGTCTCTCCTTCAATATCGCGGTGATGAGACGGAGGTCCTTCGGCAGAAGCTCCGGACTTAAGCAGCGTTTGTAGCGCAGCTTCGCCAAAAGCGCGAACCTGACATTGATAAGTTCTAATGTAGACGGGCTCCGCTGAACCAGACGTACCTCAGGAAACGCTGCTCCTTTGGCGATCTTCTCAGTTCCCTCCACAAGGGGACTGAGATACAGCGCAGCAACTTGTGGGTCTCGAACGAGTTTCACCAAATTTTCAATAACGACAACGGTACGTCGTTGAACCTCCATACTTCGGTCGTTCAAGGCCCGGATCAAGAGAGGGACCAACACAGCTAAAGCTGGTGCTGTCACTTCGGCGACAAACGTGGTTGACGACAGAGCTTTGATGCATGCTGGTACTGAATCGGGGGTTGACATACACTTGACAAGGACGGGAATGTGGGGAGCGAGATCTGGATTTGCCAGAGTTGTGCACAAAGCTGTGGCACATTTAATTGCGGCGGAAGACACCTATAATATCGTCATTATCAAACCAAAGGGTAGCCTTTGAAATCGACGTGCCTCCTGCTTTGTGTCATGCATAGCATTTTCGACCTTTGGCAATACGGTTCCCAACTCAGCAGCTACAGCATCCCGCGCCGAAGCAACGAATGATCGCAGTGCATCCAGAGCTCCAACCTTTGTCCTCCACTTGCCATTTTCTAAGATGGCGGTCAATACCCCGTACAACTGCGGTACAGCTTCTGGTGGAAATAGCTTTAAGAGTGTCTTGACGGCAGAGGCGGCGGCGGATCGAACAACGTCGCCTTTATCCATGTAAAGATCGAATATAATCGGAAGAGATGGGATAAGGAGAGGTGTGACTCCTGCACCAAGGACAGTTGCTAAAGATTGGAAGGCAATTGCTGCAGATTCTCGTTCATAGCCCGATTTTTTATTGGTAGCGAAACCATTTAGAGTTTGTAGGACGTGGTGGTCTCTGATGGTAAAGATCAAGAAGGATAAGGGTAACTACAGAGACGATGTTATAAAAGCTTACTCTAGAGACTGTAGACCATGTTTTGCGACCTCCCGAGCTATTCTATCAGCAGCACCCTTGGCATCTAAGAGATATTGAGGATGAATTAGAGAATACAGCTGCTATCACGACAAACCTGGTGCAGTGGGTGCAGAACGGAGGTTGTCTATAAGAGGAGTAAATGGATTCTCGAGAGACGCTGGCATCGCTACAGGAGACATGGGGTGATTGACGTGGTAGAGCGAGTATATGTCGTGAAAATTACAGAGAGATCGTTGACAGAATACAATATGATGAGGGTATTAGAGGAGTGGTCGTACAAGTCTAAGGACCCGTCAATTTGATGGGTCGGGCTAACGAGTGCGCCTCGACAATGCAGGCTCGAGTGAAGAGAAGCAATTTTTTGATGGCTCAATAATTTTCTGCACACGTGCACCGGTGGGAATCAAGTTGCCGGCGAAATTCCATATAGCGCGCCGTGACAATATTAAATACAAAAAGTCGACACTAAAGAAAGCAGTACGTCTGAGCTAAATCGATCAAAATCTATAGAGTGGCTTATATCCCTTCGTCTGGATAATCCACCTTATCATAAAGTCGTAAAGTCTCATTCCAGTCCCTCTTTCTTCTTCTTCTGATTGAGAAATACCGCCTCCCGCTATCCCAAGAGCTTCCAACGCTCCCTTTTTCCTTGCCGCCTGTTTTGGCGAAGTATGTTTCGGGGTTTGGCGGTAATTCAAGAGAAATTGCTAAGGACATGACCCTTCCGTGCAATTGCGTGCTGATCTCCTTCATCGCCAACAAGGTTGGCTTTCCTACCCAAAGCAAACGAAACAGAGCAGCAAAAGCACGGAATGACGATATGGAATCTTCCAGCCATCGCAATGATATCCACATCAAGCCTGGAACCGCAAAGAACGAGAAAATCGCTATAGGAAGCGTCATCAAGACAACAGACAGCCAAACCAGAAGCCCGGAAATTAATCCGTATACTAGCTTATACTGCGCAATCTCGTCCCAAGTGTCGAAGATTGGGCCGGTTTTTTTGAACTCGTGGACGGCGTAAAATGTAGTTAAGAAGATCGGAGTCCACAGGAGCAGGCCGGGAAAGGACAATGAAAGGAGTAGCAAGGCCCAGGAAAATCGTATTATCATACGATACAAGATGATATGCCGGGGAAGCGGTCGTTTAATACGATCATCTTTGATGCCCCAATGAGACAATCTGTCCTGATACGACTAGAACATAGAGAATTGGAAGTCAACGCTGACTGTCAGAGTAAAAGGTTGCCTCACCTTCAAGTCATTGAGAAGCTGCAGAAGTTCCACATTGTCTTGTTCCTGATCTGCACTGCCTTCGGTCGCTCCGGAATCTGCAGACTTGAACGTTTCCAAAAAAGTCCGCGCTACGCGAACATGATCACCGAGGCTCATGTGAGTACCAAGGGGGGCGTAAATTCGGGCAGCAAGTTTGCTTGTCCTGATAAGGTTCCAAGACGGGGAGTCAAAAGTTCCAGAGCTGATTTGGCGATGTATATTCGAGGTCACAGAACGGATATGAGTGTAGTCGACAGGTTCTAAAAGCTCTGGACTGTCCTGTTGGGAGTTCAGACTACCTCTGTGGTGAGAATGGAACGCTGAGCTAACCTTGGGACTGAACTTCATTGCAGGATGAAACGTCACCAGAACATCGGAACGGAAATGTTGGCGGTGCCTGTAGGCAAGTCAGAGAAGAAAATCCAGAATCGTCAAGTCTGTGGACGAACATGTACGTGATAGAGCAGTTCAACACGTAGACTTCAAAATCAGGCTGGTCGCGATGTTTGGTGAGTACGGTCGATACTAAACGCGCAACTTGTAATGAAATATGTCAATTGGGTGCGTGTTATACGTAACTAGTTTCGTACCTCCAGTCTTGAGCGGGGCGATGCTCGGGTGATATCTGTGCTCTCGATCGAACAACGTCAACGTTTGAAAACGACGATCTCACCTACTCATACCCTCAGGAAACAAGCAAACTGCGTCGCCAGCTTCTAATGCCTATGATGTACGGTTATTTCTGATGTTTGAGAGAAAGGGAGGTGCGATTCACCTCCACCAGTTTCAGCATGGCTTGAGTATTGTCTGTGTCGCCCTCAGGAAAATCCTTTCGTCTTTTGATGGGAACTGTACCGGCAGCTTCGATGAGCCAGCTGGTGAAGGTGCGACGGCCAAATTGGGTGGACTTGGCCGTGAGCCGCAGCATATTGCGAACCTATGAACTGACATTAATGACATGAAGCGCTGACGCTGTAATAAAGCTTTGCACGCTTGGATGGATGGATGTCACCAGTAGCCTAAACAAATTGAAAGACGGTTCGGCTCCAGAGAGGTTGGAAAGCTTACAGTGCATCGGTAAGTGAGTTGCTGTGATTGGCGCAGACAATGCTGAACCAAATCAATCAATAGTCTCTGCTAGTGATCTCGATTCTCGCCTTACCATGGCTTTCCAGTTCTAGGAATGTAGTTCGTATTCTCGATGACAATTGTCCCGTAAAATATTTTGAGCACAAATCGGAAAAGAAACCTGGAGTATGATAAGTACCTGACCTTGTATTTGCCAGCATACGGTACCTGATCAGTGTGTATGCCCAAGGAGTGACTGGTTCATCACGCATAGTTGATCGCAGGTGCTGGCTAATCGGAATGAAAATTCAAACCACCGAATGGCAGTCGATGACGTGAGATTATTCATCGTTGTGGGTCCACATTGGTGCAGTCTCCAGCCCACCTGTCGGCCGAAAGGTCCGAACCACGAATAAGGGGCGATAATGGCCTTGCAAACAATATCCTTCACAGATTAAGATAAATGACAAGTGTGTTATAGCAATGAGAATACCTAAAGGAAAGCATCCACATATCGTTACTTATTCTCAATTATTCTCGACTCGCGAGAGGGCGGAGATCCCGGACCGGCAGGACGTCACACTTGGTGTGACATTTTTTTTGCTGTTGCACGCCCCTCGTGCGTCATTCCTCAAGCTGCAACTCATTTCTTCTTCCAAGATGCAACGGGCACTTGAGAAAATACGACCACACACGTTATCATCACTTCCCCACCAGAAGACACCCGCCACTCTCTTACTTGCACTGGAATCCACTATCGAGGAGCAGAAGACAGAACGGACACCAACAGCGTACTTCGCCCTACTTTTGACAACGCTGGATGGGAACATTCAAAAACAAAATGTTGAAATGGGCGAGGGGGATATTCTTCCAGCTCTGCTATATCTACTAGCAACAATTGCCCCATTTGTGTCGCAACCGGTGCTTCGATCCAACCTACCAACTGTTTTATCCTTAACTGCACCATTATTTCCCTCCCTCCTCATTCATGCACCACCTCTTCGATCTCAATTGTCGCTATATCATGCAATATTTACGTCCCTTGATCGCTCTCAGCTCGAGCTAAGGGATGTTCGTCAAGCATTTGCGTCTATATTGCAACTTTGTCTTGACCCTCGCCCTAAAGTTCGTAAAAGGGCATCTGACCTTGTAAAGGATGTCCTCGCGTCGCCTCCCGCACCCTTACTGCAGCACCCTTACGCAGACCGTGTTGCAGAATGGGTCACGGCAGTCCTTGTCGACGTCAATCAAGGTCCACTCTCTCGATCCAAGCAAGGGAAGTCTAGCCCGGGTGCAGAACAGGCTATACATCTATTGGCATTTCTACGCCCAATTCTCTCATATCTTCCACCGTCCGTAAGTAAGACATATTTTCATTAGGGCAATCTCACCTAGATTACTTTTCCAGTCCTTGCCCCCGATATCCACCTTAATTCTATCCTTACCCCGGCTCGGAAACTCATTTCTTTCTCAAGCTGCGTATTCAGTATTGTCAGATCTTTGTTCCTTGAATATGGAAGATGATCATTCACATACGACCACTTCAATCCCTGATATTCTCAAGGCAATCCTTTCTTTCCCACCTTCACGTTCAGATGCATCTTTGTCTTCCACTTGGATCCATCTCATTGGAGAAGCGATGCTAGTGTATCGACGAACAAATCCAAGCGAATGTTCTACCGAAGTCGGAAAGGCGTGGAAGACAATATGGGTGTTTTTAGAATCGTCAGATCCTGCAATAAGAAAAGAATCCTCGCATGCACTTGGAGTCCTCTCACGATGTTTCAGCCTATCCATGATACAAGCGGCTGTCTCGGACAGCGAAAAGGCCGTCGTTGCCAAGGCCATCTCCCAGATTTCCAAAGCGCTCGAGTCGTTGACGTATAATCGCGCGGTTCCGGACCTATTAGCTCTAACCTCTTCCTTGATCGAAAATCTGTACTCTATTGAAGGTAGCACGCCGGCGCTGGTGCAGGAGCTGTGCGATCCTCTTATTAGACGGATTGGCCAACTCAGGACGCAGAAAGGCTTCGAATACCGAGAGTCTGCTGATTCGACATTGGGTACTGCAGTACGAGCTTTGGGACCACAAGTGCTGTTGAGCATCCTTCCTCTGAACCTGGAACCCAAAGATAGGTTAGTTGTCCTCGTTTATGTTAGTTCGGAAAGCATTCTCATGTTCTGTGTTTCTAGAGACGCAGGTCATGAGCCGCGAGCTTATCTTCTACCTTTATTGGCACAGCCTCATCCATCGCCACTCTCTCATTTCGTGGACTATTTCGTTCCTCTCAGCGAACGGATGTTCGATTTAGAGCAGAAAGCCGAAACGGAAGGGCGGCAGTCTGAGAGCAAAGTCTGGCATGTACTTGTGGCGCAGACGTGGGCAGGATTTGCGGGGTACTGCCACGGTACACCAGACTTGGAGCAGGTAATTCCCTGGACTGCTGCTGGAACTATCACTGACATGTCCAAAATACAGTCGTTAACACAGGCCTTCTCGCAACTTCTCTCGCAGCTCCTGTACAGTCAAGTAGAGCTTAGGCCCGCTGTCTTGAAAGGATTGAGAACCATGGTGGATTCGAATCGTGCTATCGCGGCGTCGACTGAAGGTGCAGTGAACCCGAATCGTATCACTGCGGAGTTGGCAAGCCGTAACATCGAATTTCTGCGAACACAAGCGGAGAGTTGGCTTGCCGTCTTCTTCAATGTCTTTGGCAGTATTGGCAGGGATAGTCGCAGCTCTGTTGGAGACGTCATTGCCTCTTGGGTTTCCATTGCTGGAGAATCGGTATGTCGTTTTCCTCAATTTTACGTCTTTCCTAATCTCAAAGACACCAGAACATAGCCAATGCGTATGCTAAAGTCCTTGAAATGTTCAAGACAAATTTGCGTCAACCATCCAATGGCTCCAGTGACGGCAACATGGTCATAATTACTCAAGATCTTCTAATCATGATTTTGTCCCACCTTTCTGCAGCCGACGCTAATGCTCTGTTCACGCTTTGTTTGTCAGAAGAAGTTTTGTGTTCGAAAGACAACGGAGTGCAAAAACGAGGCTACAAAATCTTATCTAGACTTGTTGAATGTAGCAACATCTCGATAGACACCGAATCCGTGATTCGTCAATTAGGAGAGTACACTGATGGTCTTGTTCCGGCTGCGAAGAAGGTGTGGCGTATCCGATCTTGGTCATTCTCACAATAGCTGACGATAAACAGGACCGATTCGCTCTTTTAGCTTCTTTAGTACCTTCAATCTCGCCCTCCGCTATGCACCTCATTCCATCCTTGATACCCGAAGCAGTCCTTGGGACAAAAGAACCTTCTGATAAAGCCAGAAACGCTGCATTCGATCTTATCATCGCTATGGGTAGAAAGATGAGTGAAGGTGGTGTAGTCAAACGCAACATGGTTGATGGCATGGACGAGGATTCACAGGAAGATGGTATGCTTTCTGTGGTTTGTCTCACGCAGAGCGCCTAACACGATTATTAGCCACTGCGAGCATTGAAGAGTTCATGATGATGATATCGGGCGGGCTTGCGGGTGCAACGCCTCACATGATCAGTGCAACTGTAACTGCATTGTCGCGTCTGGTGTTCGAGTTCAAAGGTGTGCGCTCTTCTACGTCGCCCTTATTTTCTAATCAAATTCCTAGATGCTATTTCGACACAAATGCACACCGAAATATTCACCACCCTCCTTGTGTTCCTCACTTCTGCGAATCGAGAGATTGTCAAATCAATTCTCGGCTTCGTCAAACTCGCTATCCACTCGCTTCCCGTTGAAATTATCCGGCCACATCTGAACGTTCTTGTTCCTGGTCTGCTGGGTTGGTCGCATGATCACAAGAACCATTTCAAGGCCAAGGTTCGCCATATTTTTGAGCGAATGCTGAGAAGATTCACTTGGGAAGAAGTACACTCATGTGCTGGCGAAGACGAAGCTGCAAAAGTTATAATCAATATCAAGAAGCGGAAGGAGCGCGCCAAACGCAAGAAAGCCAATAAAGAGGAGAGTGACAACGAAGTATGTAGATTCATCATTCAACGTTGTTTGCGTTAGCTGATATCTTCGTCAGGCTCCTGTTAAAGCCACAACCGGTGATGCTTTCGAAGATGTCTTATACGGTAGTGAAAGCGAGCTTGAGGATAGTGATGATGAACAAGAACCGTCGAAGCCAACCAACCCTCGGAACCAACGGAAATTCGAAGGATCACGTTTGCGGATGGACAACGACGAGCCCATGGATCTACTCCAAGGGACGGCGTCTCGGGTGACAAGTCTGTGTTTCTACTTCTCATACCTTACTATACTGACCTTTTCCAACAGATGCACAATCAAGTCGCCGTCGAAAGCCTGGGCAAGAAGCCTCACAATTCAAGACGGATGACGATACAGGAAAAATGATCATTGATGACTCGGACAACGATGAGGCAGGCGACACAAAGATAGATATCGCTGGTGAAGCCTATCGCGAGAGTGTTACGTCGGTAGATGGTTTCAAGCGAGGAGCCAACGGCCGGGTCAAGTTCAACAAGGACACCAAAAAACGAAGACGAGAGGATGGTGCTGCCGATGAGGACGTCGAGATGGGTGATGGCGACATCTCCGCCAAAGTTCAGAAATCCAAACGGAAGAGTGATGATAAACTCGGTCATGAATTTAAAGCGAAGGTATGGAGTTTCACTCTGCAGATTTTGCGTTACTGACTGGAATTACAGAGAGCGGGTGGGGACGTAAAAAAGGGTGCTTTGGATCCGCATGCATATTTGACTCTTTCCCAAGCATCAAAACGAGGGGGGCGGAAGGGCCAGCCGCGGATGGGTATAACAGGAAAACGCTGATTTTGGAAGATATGGTATTCTTCCTGGCATCTAGAGACGGTATGATACGATATACTGTACATCTTTGACTCGTGTAAGATGATTGAAGGGTACAACGGTACAATTTATGCTCTCGTGTACGAGAAATTCTTGAACTTCATCCATACAATGTCTGGTCATGCGGCGTCCCAAATAGGCCTTGATTCCAGCTACTGGGTTGCTTCCATTCCCCGATATTAGACTCTATCCCGACGACTTTTGCAGTTACGACAGCTAGCATATGTGCATCCGCTCTGTTGTCACCTTCCCAGACAAAGTGAAGTAATGCCACTGTTGGAATTGTCCATTCACGGGGTAAAGATGCTAGAGTCCGACGCGTCAAGCCACCTCCTGGAATAAATGGAATGTTCGGCTCGTCATTCTCGCTCTGTGGCCGTTGCGGAACAGGAGATGAATATTTTGGTATCTTTAGATCGTGAAATGAGAATGAAGGGGAGTTTTGAGGTTGGATATAATAGATTGGTGTCCTATTCAACGTTAACGTTTAGAAAGTCGGGGCATCTAGTCTGTACATACATCATCTGTGCATCAGTCCTGTTCGAAAGGTCAACGCCGGAGAGAAGAATAACAGACGAGACTCCGGATTCCTTGAAGAAATTGAGCAAAGCGTCGACGAACTCTTGTTTTCGTGACTAGTCTCGATGAGTTCTGGTTTCGACACCAGAAAGAGAGGGGACTCACTTTGAGTGTTGGAGACCGTTGCTGGAGGACAAGCAGATCTACACCATCCCTGCCATATACTTGGGAATTCAGCTATTTAGCTCTGATGTCTTGGACAACACAGATGAATGAACTCACATTCGAATGGAGTGCTTATACCCTCGTCACCATCGTCCTTTCCACCTACTGTGGGAATAAAAAAGGAAGGATCAAATGCCCCCAAGGAATGGAGAGAGAGTGAAGCGATGAGAAGGTCGGCAGCGAGCTGAGAGACGTTGGCAGTGGATACGATAGGCTGAATATACCTGTGAGAAGATTTTGCAGAGTAATAAAGGGAGTACAGACAACGATGAGAGTCTTGTTAAGTTTTGCGTTTGCTGCGGTGGGATTGTAGAAAGGCATGACCAGTCAGTCAGTGGAGAAGACAGAACGCGTGTCGATCGATCGCTCCATCTGAATTAGCATCTGTTACTTTTCTGCCTTACAAGGCACTCACCATCACTGATACGTTCTCACACGGAAAACGATAAGTATGGCATGGTGGGATGACTGAGTAGTTATCTTCCCGCCACTTAGAAATGCCCAAGTTCAGAGTTGCGATATGGTCTGTCAAATTGATTGTCGCTTCACGAATAACGTCTCATCTTGCATTCTCAGTGGTGGAGGCATAAGTGGATTGTGCCTCGCGGTCCTACTCTGTCGGGATCCTAGTATTCAAGTCGACGTGTATGAGAGCTCCAGTCGATTCGCTGAAATCGGTGCTGTCCGTCTGTTCTTCCTCACTGTCTGGTGGACCAGGATCGCTTGCTGATACTTCACACCATAAGGGAGTGATGATATGGTCGCGGACATGGAAAATCTTCGAATCCATTGGGTTGGCAGAAGACTTTTCCCGTATTGCACATTCTCCTCCTGACGGGTCAATTGGTAGGGAACGGTTCTATGTGGAGAACATGTGCTAGGCTGATTTTTGCAGGCGTTGGCTTTGACTACAGACGATCTGACCAGGCTGAAGAAGGGTTCCGATTTCACCTCGTCGAGATGGCATGTGAGATTTTCATGTTCCTCCAATAATTTTCTTTGCTCTGACAGGCCTCCCAGACGGATGCATTCGTTTTCACCGTGCTGATTTCCTCGACGTCCTGGTCAATCATTTGCCTCCTGGAGTAGCACACTTCGGTAAACGACTAGTCGCCTATTCTGAGGATTCTGGGGCAGAAACCATAACGCTGAACTTTGTTGACGGAACTACGGAGACTTGTGACTTGCTTGTAGGCTGCGATGGCATAAAGTCCACCGTCCGCAAACAAATGTTTGCTGAAGAAGGTGGACATGAACCTGTATTCACAGGGACGATTGCGTACAGAGGCCTCATTCCTGTGCCAGCTCTTTGTTCTAATGGCGTGGTTCATCGTACCGTCTCTACACCAATGATGGTGATTCCTTCATCCTATCATTGAATTATATTCTCATGCCTCTTTGTAGTATTGTGGTAAAAACAAGGTACAGGTGATTAGCTGTATATGCGTTCTTCACCGACATGTTGCAGCATGCCGTCAGCTACTCGATTTCACAAGGATCCATTGTCAATGTCGTCGCGCTTAGGTCTGATCCTGAGAGAGAGGGTTCCACCTATCCCGACTCTACGTGGGTGACAGAATGTTCTCAACAAGAGCTTCTCGATTGCTATTCTGGCTGGGAGCCGGAGGTCACTGAGATGCTTCAGGTCAGCGTGCATCACTGTGTATTCTTTCTCGGACTAACAGAGTAATAGCTTATTGAAACCCCCACGCGTTGGGCGTTGCATCATCTACGTCCTTTACCTCGCTTTGTCAACAGAAGGGTAGTTTTAGTTGGGGATGCGGTGCGTGCGGTCGGACACATACCAAGGACATTGTTCTGATCTGGTAGGCTGCTTGAAGGCCCACGCAATGTCGCCCCACCAAGGGGCTGGTGCTGGTGAAGCTATTGAGGGACTTTCTGTCTTTTATGTTGTCCGTATATTCTGATACGGTCTCTTAGGATGCTTTCGTTCTTGCTCATCTGCTCAGAAAATCTACGTCATCAACGCTTCATCTTGCATGCGAGGCTTATCAACATGTCCGACTACCGCTTGCTAACCGGGTCCTCCGTGGGTCCTATGAATCTGGAAGAATGTACGAATTCACTAGCAAGTTCGGGGATGACTATCCTAGACTCGGACCTGCTATAGAGAAACAGTGGGCTTGGATAGATGAGACGGACCCAGCAGAGGATTTGCAAAGGGCAGCTGAATATTATGAGTCATTGTTGTCTGATACATGAATTTACTGCTTCAGCTTCTCGACGAGCTGAGGTATCACTTCGAACAAATCGGCCACAAGTCCGACGTCAGCAACCTGGAAAATCGGCGCATCGGGGTCCTAAAAGTGATTGACAGAGGAGTTAGTCAGTATGAAATTGCAAGACAACGTGAAATGGACCTTGTTCACGGCAACAATAAGTTTTGAGTCCTTCATCCCAGCCAGATGTTGAATGGCACCGGAGATCCCGAACGCCATGTAAAGCTCTGGCGCAACAACCTTGCCTGTCTGGCCCACTTGCAACGAGTTGTCTGCGTAACCCGCATCCACAGCGGCGCGAGAAGCACCGACAGCAGCACCCAGGACGTCAGCCAACGGATAAAGCGTGGCCTGGAACGTTTCAGCGTTCTTCAAAGGACGTCCACCAGAAACGACTCGACTCGCGACACCGAGGTCTGGACGATCGGACTTGGTCAGGGAGGTATTGACGTGTTCAGTGGGAGAATCTGAAACAGCTACGGGGTCCACTTCTTGTACGTCTACACTTGCACTGTCGTCCGACGGGGCTGCGGCAAAAGAAGTCCCTCGGACTGTAAAGAATTTGATGGGTATTGACGAAGGCGCCTTGACGGTAGCAATAGCGTTTCCGGCGTAGATGGGACGAGTAAAGGTGGTACTGTTTGAGGCAGCATCGTGTTCAAGGGAAGTGATATCAGAAACTGCAGGAACATCGAGCTGAGCAGCTACGCGGGGCAGCAATGACTTGGCGAAGGACGACGTGGCTGAGACGACATGAGTGTATGGCGTGTTTTCCAGCACTGCGGTAAGGAGGGGCGAGACTGTCTCTGGTACTGGTGCTGAATAAAGCTCGGATGTCGAGTGCAGCAGCCCTGTAAGGCCTTTGAGTCTACATCTCTTTGTTTAGCATACAGTGGACAGAATCTTGGCGTATGAAACACACTTTTTTGCCTTTTCCACCACGGACGTCCCGTCGGGACCTGATATGACGAGACCAGTAACTTGACCACCTAAGTGGGTCGCGGCGGTGAGGGCAGATAGTGAACCCGAGTCCAGGACACCTGCACGATGCTCAAGTAAAACAAGGGCATGCGGCGAAGCTGGAGTTGCGTATGCACGGACCAGAGGGCGATATGCACAACGCACGGCTCCGAGTCGCAACATGGTGGGTAAAGGCAAAGAACTTGAGAGTTGGCCCGAGTCGGCTTTCATCGGACCGGTGCTTTCGGTTTCTATATTCGGAGCGGGGCAGGTAATCACAAGCTCCGCTTACTGAGTCTACCCCATTCTCTCACGGCGGCGGTCTGCTTAGGCATATCACTTCACCGTCACTCCATCAGTTCTCTTTTCCAACTATCTCTTCTTCTGCCTACCATGTCCTTCCAGTCGCTCATTTCTGGCTCTGAATGCGCTGCGCCTGCAAATCCACTCAACCAGGTCCTGAAGCATACAGACGGTGATCGCAGTCTGCAACAGGTGCGTTTACTCGAGTCTTGATCATCGATACATTCATTTAATGGAACTTTATCTTAGGATCGTCTTGCTGGTCCATCGTCATCAAGAGTGAGCAGATATCTGTCCTGCAATGGGCTCCAAATTGATCAATTCTAGCTTCAATTTCTCCCTACAACGTCAGCTCCCGCTGCCAGTGAACAAGATCTTGCCCTTGCTCGCCAGTTCTTCGAAGCAAATGGTGCTGGTCCGGCGTTACGACCCGCTTTCTCCGCCCCCGGACCTGCTTTGGCTGGTCCAGCTGCACCAGAATTCAATGAAGCATGGGTAGCAGAGCAACAGGCACGCATGCGACATTTTGAATCCCAGAAAGTTCAGAGTTCTTGGGCGATGGAATTTGGGTCATCAAAGTTCCTTCCGCAGGGTCCGTCTGCCCCAAGCATTGCTGGACCACAAGAACGTAGGTCAATCTACTTTTTGTTCTACAATTTCACTAACGAAAGCAGTGCAACAAAATCCGTCATATGGGCATTCATTGGGGATGTATTCTCCGCAAATGACGGGAATGTATGGCATGGGCATGGGCATGAATATGTACCAAGGCCCTAATTCAAGTTACGTGGTGGACCAGGGCAAAGGGAAGGCAAGGAGTCGAGATGCCGACTTTGATGCAGCTTTTGAGCAGGCTGCCTCTCTCGTGCCCACCCAGGCGACCGAAGCTAGGATTGTCGAAGTTGAAGATGTTTCCGATTTGAACGAGGCTTTAGAGCAAGTACATCTGGAACCGACCCAAGCAGAGCCCGGAAATGATTTCAGAAAGTATGTGAACAGCACTTGCTTTTTGTTGCTTGTACAGTAATACCAATCTCATTTTAGGGTATGGGACCATCTTCAAAATTCTGATCTTCCACCGCCGAAAGAAGATTTAGCCAAATGGGAAGCTGAATTCAATCAGCTAATGAATTCACAACGAGAAGGCGACCTTGATTATGACTTTAATAAAGTTATAGAGAATACATGGCAACAGGGACTGGAAAACGATCGGCAAGAGAACGTAGGGCCTGAACCAATCAAGTTCGATAGTGAAGGGATCCCTATCTTAGGCGACTACATATTTGGTATGAAAAATTATCTTCGATATCGTTTGATGACCCGAAATCCTTTGTAGAACCTAACAACAAATATCTAACATCGACATCGACCAGCTCACCCTTAGCAGAGGCGAAAGCGCTGCTGGAACGGAATGGCTCTTTATCAGAGGCAGCTCTTCTCCTAGAAGCCGCTATCCAGAAAGGGGACCTTGGCGAGGGCGGTTACGAGACATGGATATTGCTAGGGGAAACTCGTAACATGGATGAGCGTGAAGAAGCTGGCATGCGCGCATTGATGGAAGGAGTAAAGAGGGCTGAGGCTGCTGGTGCTGCCGGTGCTGGAATGCTGGTAATGTTGTGGCTTCATAGACTTGATTGTCACTCATTCAATATACAGTCCCTCGCGATATCTTTTACGAACGAATCGTACGAAAGGGCTGCCCATACCATGCTCCTTCGTTGGATAACTGCTCGATACCCTTCTCATCACGTCCCTCAGGATACATTCCGAGCCACACAACACACTGCGTGGGATGCTAACAGTCGAATAACGGAAGTCTTCCTGGATCTCGCCCGAACGCAGCACAACCAAGGTGCAATGGAAGCAGAAGTACAAATTGCCCTGGGCGTTTTGTTTTATTCTACAAATGACTACGATAGGGCAAAAGATTGTTTCCAATCGGCGCTTTCCCTGAGACCACAGGACTACCTGTTGTGGAACAGACTAGGGTCGTCATTATCCAACGGGAACAAACCAGAGGAGGCTTTGGGTGCCTATAGAGAGGCTTTGCAGCTAAGGCCTACGTATACACGGGCAATATACAATGTGGGAGTGGCCTGTGAGTGTCAATTACACGGTATATTATACATTCACTCATAATTACCCCAAGGTTTGAACATTGGTACACACAAAGAAGCTGCTGAACATTTCCTGAGCGCCTTATCGATGCAAGAGCAGAGCGCCGGAGAGACCAGTGATCAGTTGTGGTTTACGCTTCGCAGGGCTTTGATGTCAATGGCAAGCACCATCCCCAGACCTGTTATATTATCTGATCTCCTGATATTCACTTAGGACCGCGCAGACCTTGCGGACCGGGCCAAAGCTGGGACGAGCCTTGAGTCTTTCCGCAAAGAGGGTTTCGATTTCTAGTGTCGTAATGTCAGTGTGCAGTCTACAATGTAAAAACATGCGAGTTCAAGTTCCGAAATGCGTCCACCTTGATTGGTCGTGGCGGTCCGAAGGTCCACACGTGAGGCTATCACGAGAACTCAAGTGGGTGTACTTAAATACGGAATCTATTTTCGAAACGATATTCTGCTCTTTCCGCTCTGCGCACTCGCATTATGTCTGTCGAAATGTCAAACTTTTAGCTCCTTTCATGAGGTATCGGTAGCTGATTATCTTGCAGCCATACCATTCCGAAAGCTTCGACAGCCGAAGCGAAGATAAACAGAATTTCATGTGCTGTAACTCAAGTAAGTAAGCATCTTATACTCCATCTGTAGCTATAAATCTCGCACAGGATAAGGTAAAAGATCGTCGCATGAAACATCTCAAGACTTTGAGCATTGGTGTCGAATGTAGGCTAGAGGCGGAGCGCAAGCTATGCGTAAGTCTTAAATCCAATGCTTATGTACGAGATGTGCTTATATGCGGGCCAGTTTACGCCATCGGATTGACGGAGGATGACATGAATAAGCCGCAAGTATGGGCATTCTAAATCGATGGTCATCCAAAGACCAAACGCACTGACAATGACATATCATTAGATCGGAATTTCCCCAATATGGTGGGAAGGTACGTATTTCTCGTAATAGTACTGTCAGTACCCGGCCAATGACATCACGTCAATAGGGAATCCATGCAACTCCCATCTTGTATGTTATTTTCGTTCTTAAACAAGTATCCTGAACTGAATCAGAATTCCATAGCTGAACCTTGCAAAACATGTCAAAGTGGGATGCCAAGATGAAGGGTTTGTCGGACTGATATTCAACACCATTGGCGTGAGGTAGGGAGGATTTTTTCTTGTTTTTAGGTTCTGAACTTTGAACACAGTGATGGGATGACGATGGGCACCGACGGTATTATTTTTGATATTGACAGCAATTCACTAAGAGGACCAAATGCTGACTCTGCGTGTTATCAGGCATGCGATATTCGTATGTCCTCTTTATCTCGTGCATCAGTTATGATTTATAACCGGAAACTAGCCTTCCTAGTCGTGACATTATTGCCGACTCAATCGAAGCCGTACTTGACTCTTTCTATTTTCAAAACCGATGTCCGGCACTAATTCTCTGGGCTTCTGATAGGTCGTTATGGTGTGTATGACTTGTTTGTTCATGGAGAAAAGCTGAACCCAGAAAGGCGCAACACTATGACGGGAACATATCCATTCCAGGATGTGACAAGAATATGCCAGGTTGTCTAATGGCTGCTGTGCGTCACAACAGACCAACAGTCATCGTTTATGGTGGTACAATTCAGGCGGGAACGCGACATGTAGGTTCGTGTCTTGTTTCCCGTTTCCGTGTGTATGTCCCAGCGCTCAGTTGTGTTTAGATTGTCCTTCCATGGGATATAAGAAAGGTGGTACCGTCAACATCTCGGACGCTTTTGAGTCCTACGGTACGTGGTCCCTAAGCTGAACTGAGATGGAGAGTTTACGATCTTGATTAGGGGCTTTTTCTGTTGGTCAAATCAGTGACGAGGAGCGATTTGATGTCGTTCGTCATGCCTGTCCTGGCGCAGGTGCTTGTGGTGGAATGTATACGTACGTCGTTAAAGAATCGCTATGTTGACACTGTCTTCACTGCAACTTTCTGTAGCGCTAACACTATGAGCTCCGCGTTAGAGGTTCTTGGCATGTCTTTGCCATACTCTTCGAGCACGCCTGCTGTTTATCCTGGTGAGTAGTTTCTCGTTTGTCGCAAGCGATATGACACACTCTGCTGTAGAGAAAGTGCAGGAGTGTACCAAGGCAGCGAAGTATCTGAAGAAGCTGCTGGAACATGATGTCAAACCTAGGCATGTTACTTCAAGGCGTCGGCTAGCTTGATATTTATACTGGTAATCAGGGACATTTTGACTCGCCAATCTTTCTTGAATGCCATCGTTATGGTCAATATACTTGGCGGCTCGACGAATGCAGTGAGCTCGCTCTGTTCCACGCGAAGTAACACGGTACTAATAACGGCAGGTTCTTCATTTCTTAGCTATGGCTAGAGCAGCAGATATTGAGGTACTCTCGTCACCAGTAACCTCTGCTTCGAAGTTGACATTCGCCTCATTGTAGCTAACAGTGGATGACTTCCAAGCGATTTCTGACAAGACTCCATACATCGCAGATCTAAAGTAAGAATTTTACTCGGCACGGTGGCATACTAATTTCCGTAGGCCGTCCGGCAAGTATTACATGGAGGATGTTCACCGGGTCGGAGGCATTCCTGCGATTCTCAAGTATCTGCTCAACCATACCGATCTGATCGACGGATCACAACTAACAGTGACCGGGAAGACTCTCGCACAAAACCTGGAAGACGTTCAAGAGCTTTCTTTCGATAACCAGGATGTCATCAAGAAACTTGACAATCCTATCAAGAAGACTGGTCATCTTACGATCCTCCGAGGCAACCTTGCACCCGGGACGGCCGTTGCAAAACTCACTGGAAAAGAAGGCCTACGTTTCGAGGTATGTGGCACCCTCCCCTCCTTTGGAATTATGCACACCATCCGATAGGGCACGGCCAAATGCTTTGATAGGCAGGTTTCCTGTTCATCTAGCTAGTGTCTTCTTTACTAAGCTTTGACGATAGCCTTGATGGATTCTTCCCCGCCTTGGAAACTGGCGAGATCAAGCCGGGTATGGTGTTAATCTTCAGGTATCAGGGTCCCAAAGGTGGGTGTCAGCGAGCTTCGTGGTCCATCTTGAAATGACGTGATTTTCTCTACAGGCGCGCCGGGAATGCCAGAGGTGTGTCTCTAGTATTTTTTTTTGCTGCATTTGTTAAAGGGCTTAATAGATGCTGGGTATGAAGCTTGTCTTTTAGTTCGCCGATTTTCTTTGACATTGACGAACAAAGGGCCAACCGCTGCCCTTGCGGGGGCCGGTCTAAGTACAAGCACTGCTTTGATTACCGACGGAAGATTCTCTGGTAGGTGCTGCGCAATTCTAGGTCTAAAAACCGTCAATGATGTTTCGTAGGAGCGAGTCGAGGCTTTATCATAGGCCATGTTGTTCCAGAGGCTCGTCTCGGAGGACCTATTGCTCTGGTCAAAGACGGAGATCCAATTATCATCGACTCTGAGAAGAGAACGATTGATTGGTTAGTCGATGAGGAAGAGCAGGAGAGGCGCAAGAAAGAATGGGATGCTTCGGACAAGAAGGAGCTGAATGTGAAGAGAGGAATTCTATTCCGATACGCGAGGGATGTTGCGGTAAGTCAGGTCGCCAACAGAATCCATTTTCATAACTGATGTCCTCATAGCCCGCCAATGTGGGAGCATATTGCGACTGAGAAGTGAGATAGGAAGCAAGGCATAACTTCATTAAAAGAATACAATAAAATGATATCACTGTCCCAAAGCCATCTATGATTATGAGATGAATGCTCGCTCTGATAGTAAGTAAGAACTCACAACGGGGTGTCGTCAACAATCTGAGTCTCTAGCCTGCTCTCGCTCGTCATCACGAAGGAGAGGCCGATCCTGAGCCACAACTGCAACATCAGAACGAGAGTGAGCCGGGTTTAAACGCTCTAATTCTGAGGATTTCTCCCGCTCGGGGAAAGCGTGCTCGCCTGGCTTCCGTATTCCGATGAGGACCGCAGGGTCAGGGGGTATGACAATCGGTTCTTCTGGCTCCTTTGGCTTCTTGTGGACTTTAGGGGCAGCAAGACCGGCCTCTACAGCACGTTTCTCTTTCTTTTTCTTTGACCTTTTTATGAAATATACGGTGAAACCAATGATCCAAGCTATACCCATAAGACCGCCGCAGATACTGCCTGCAATAATGGGTGTTTTGGCCTTTTGTCTGTGGTGACAACATCAATAGCTGGAAATGATAATAGAGGGGAGAGTTCTACCCATGCAGAGAAGCGGCTTCAGATGACGATTCATCGCGTATGAAATGGAAGGTACGGGTAGCAACTAGGAGAGACGGGTGATGAGCATCCTTGGGGTCGAGAAAAGGACACACGGACTATCAAGGGCGGGCATAGCTTGTTAGGGAATGGAGGGTAGTAGTTGTTTGTAGACAAAAAGAAATCTATAGGATCATGGAAGTAGCACGTTAAGTACAGACTTGGCCACGGTGGGTGGCAGCGGCAAGTTGCAACACAGGTAATTGTTTGTATGACGTTATTTGATATCCAAATTTAGACGCTTGCATCAATCCCCAACTTGAAGTTTAGAATTCGTTGTCATCTCCAGAAATGCGAGCATCGCGTCTGCAGGCACAACCAGTTAACATTCGAGAAATACGTATCCGTACGTAGGCTCAGCATTCATTCCTGGCACATTTTTAGCGAGAAACCCGGTGTGTCAACCACAATAGTCTACGGTGATCCTCGGAGACCCTGGAACGGGCTATCCCGTATTATGGCCTGTACGTGATATCACTTATGCTGTTCCAAAGTTCTTTATACCCCTAGTAGAGGAAAACTGTATAGCAGTCCAAATTCAACGATACTAATAATGCGTGATGCCGTCTACTCTCGAGCCTCGTAAAGCTCCATACAGTCGAACATGGCAATTCATGGCTTACAATAGGTAGAGCAAAACTGCCGGGATGTAACCCGGACATGGTTTAAACGTATCAATGAGCTCCGAGAATACCCCTGAAGCCTTTGTGGTTTTCGACGCTCAACTACGAAAGTTATCAGAACTATGAGTGATCTAAAGCAAACAATGGTCATTCGCCTCCGGAAGATGTACTATATACAGAAGTCTTTAGTTACTACGTTCGCGGAAAATATATCTAGCAGCGCCCTAAGCGCGATAGAGGTATCAGAGATGTGTACCGGCATCTCCTGGTTCTAGTGAAGTGCCTGCAACTTGAAGATCATGAACACTTTCTAGTCCAACCCCTCTGAGAATCTTCCCAGCCCCTTCGCTCTTCACCGCTTCCAATTCTCTCTCACTCTTCACCAAAAGCATCCCGGCGTAACCAAGGGCGTTGACGCTCAGTTTATCGCCAGTTTCTTGAAGCACAAAGTTCTCTTCTCGTCGGGGTATAACATGCAGATGTTCCAGGGTAATAATCACATTGTAGGAGGGCTTCCCAGCAGGATAATCGGGCGCATGTCTGATGGTGGAAATCGCTAGATCTAGGAGCGAAAGGAACGCTGAAGACAATACATGCTCGATCTTATCCCTGGGCATGGACGAAAAACGTTGAGGAAAGCGGAAGACGTGGTTCGCATAGGGTAATGATGTCAAAGAGAAGGGCTTGTCTATCATAATATTTTATGGGTATCTTCTCTCATTAAGATAACGAATTTACTAACCTGGCGCCTCCAGTGTCACGGCTCTTGCTAAAGCTTCGATCGGAGGACCATCTTCATTCTCGATGGCGATGATCTGAATATGTTTGTGAGGTTGACTGGCACCGCTCAGGTTTCCACCTATATATGCCCCCATCTTATTTAACTCGTGGATTTCCAAAAGCTAAATAGAAGACCTTACAGTTGTAAAATGCGAACATATTCTGTCGCGTTTTATATGCTGCCGTAAGAAGCGCGTACGCTTGTACGAGATCATCCGGAACGAGGGGCAAGGTCTGGGGCTTGAATTCTAGAGAGGTTTTAGATTATCATGCTTTAGGCAGTTCAACGAAGGAGGCGACCTTTAGTGACTAGTAAGAAGTGGCCCGGAAGTATAGAATATTTGTTCATCTGCGAAAGAACTATCAGATTGTCAAGTTTCATAGCAACGAGCGACTCACCAACACAACGTACTCCTCCTCTTGATCCTCATTTCTCAGATAACCAACAAATAGATTAGGATTATACGGTGGTTTGAATGGATCAGGGCACTCGTCCGAATCATTGGGGATCGAATCTGCGGTATGGAAGTCGGGCGATGGAAGCTGTGGTTTCTTCTGCAGAGCAGGACACAAGCGGATCTCGTACTAGCAGAGTGGTCGAACAAATTCTCGGTACTTTGAACTTGGGTGACACACCTCCACACCTCCCTCTGGGTGTTTATGGATGGTGGATGGGAAGAACAGGAGATCTCCCGAGTTCACCGCATTGTCGAAGCTGGATGGTATCTTCGCGATTATCTCAGTGGGAAGCATTGGCTTAAAGGAGGAGTAGAAAGATGAATGCGGTGGCAGTCGGGTACTAAGGAGCAGGGCCGACGATGCCGTAGAGTAAAAGTGAAAGGGCCTGTTGATCACGCTATGGATATCCAAATCCATTGCAACACCTTACAAAGTACAAACAAGGGAAAAACGGATATAGGTAAAGATGGGGAGAGTAATTTGTCTAACTAAACGGCAGCAGAATGCCCAACCAGTAGGCCCCTCCTCCTGCCCAATGAACCGGAGACGATGGTAGCGAATAATCAGGCCACTCCACCCTTTCCTCTATTCTGCTTCGCTTCTTCCATTTGCTCTCCAAGCATTTGAGCACGAGTATAACAAAACACAGCTATGAGAGACCATAAGCTAGCATTTGTGCCCTGGCAACAAGTCACTGCGTGAGTCGAGCTTCATGAAAGCAGTGGCAGCATACCTGATAGAACAGGACCGTCAAGAAGGACTGGAACAGCAACAAGACGATCCTGAAGACGAAGCTCCGATAGATAGCCAGAGCCTTGAACTGCGGGAGCGGGAATTCCACGACTATCAAGAAAGCACCAATAATCATGGTGAAAATCTGAATGACCGGCGCCTTGACAATGAGACTGATGAATACTGCAGCACCCGGTGCAGGCCTTGAGACCTAGATGAGAAAACATTCAATTCGCAGAGGATCGCCACGTACTGGACTCCTCCTGGATCCCTGATAATGCCTCCAACAAAGTCCCAAAAGAATTTCCTGAAGAATAACCCAAAGAATGCGGACCACACAGCGTCTGAGGATACGTCAGAAGGTTGATTACACGGTAACTGAAATGACTTGCAAATGCTAGCAGAGATAGAGATAAAACGAGCAAGGTCATGCCAGATGAGATTCCCCATTCTTGAAATGATTTGCTTCAAGAGTCTACTTGAGTGAGTCGGACAGGGAGAGCTTGTGGCAAATATTTGAAGAGCAATGAAGACTAGCTTCAAGAGCAGAAGGAGGGATAATTGCTGAAAAGAAAGTGAAAGTGCAAAAGGAGCGCAGCTCGAAAATGAGAAAGGACTGAAGAAAGACGAAGGGACAAGACTACTGGTGGTTGGCGACGGACTCGGATTGGCAGGTGTCGGAATTTGAATTTCGGAAACCGCCATATGGCAGTTGCCACCATGATCCCGGACCTCCCACGTCGCGTGCGTCTAGCTTTTCCTAGGCTCTGCTAGGCTCTTTTTCCCGGATCTTTTGGCTCACATTGGTACATTGGCATAGAAATCTATCGCGATTGTCTCATATGCTCGATAAATAAGTAGCCATTAAGGGCTTCACATAATTCATTAAAATGGCTGGGGATGGTCTCTCGGTCTCATCGGATCAAAACTTTTCAAGGTCTTGGGAATCTGCGTGATACAATCAGTCAAAGCATCGCTACGAACAACTATCACGCACGGCTTGCAATCCGGCACCAAACCGGTTTGGTGGTTGAGGCGTCTTCAACGTCGGTACTGTTCGAATTATTGGAGTCGTGGACGTTACAGAGGCCATGCTCGGGGCTCTGGTGTGACCTGCCGACATGTGGTCCCAACCACCAGTGCCACCACTGTAGTAACTGGGCGCAATGGAGAGCCGTGATTGATAACGAGGGGCGCGAAGAGGCTCAAGTCGGAGCGGCGTGTTATCATCGTCCCTCGCAGTTTCAAACATCTCCGGCCTTTGCATAGGAAGGTCCGGTGTGCTTGGAGAGACGGTATCATCCCTGGGTCTTGCCAAGTGCTTGCGACGGTACAGAAGGAAAAAAAGGGCTGCAAGGAGCGCCATTCCACACACGCCACCAAGAACCGCGCCAACAATTGCCCTAGTTCCAACGCTCTTTCTGTCTGGTAGAGAGGCACCGCTTGACCTATAAAGAGTATTGATTCAGGACAAACGTGCCAGAAGAGATTACGAACAAAGACGATGCAACAGGCTGACGGGCCCCATTGACAGCCTCACCGTCGCTGTTAGTTCCGTTAGAAGAGTAAACGATAATGGCATCGATGTCGATAAACGGTCCAGTATTTGGTTCCTGGTCCGCAGAGACGGTGAGCGTATGATTCTCTGGTCCAAGACCGTTAAAAGAGTACTGGAAGAGTAGCGTTAGCGCATTATATTAGGGAGAACTAAGAGTTCCCTACCAAAAGAACCTGCAGACTTGACATGAGCAATTGCATTGACTAAAGAATCTAATATCCTATGTACCTGGGAGTGCAGCGAAGATACAACACCATTCGATCCACCAGAAAATGTGGTCTCCCGCCCATCTAACGAAACTCGAATGTTTGCGTGATCCGGTGAGACGGTACCATAGAGTGCAACTGCATCCCCCGCGAAATAAATCGATGCACTAGCATCCGTAACGTTGGTAAAACTAAAAATAGTGTGAAATTCTGGGCGGTCGGGTTAAAAAAAACAGACAAACTGTAAGGTTCCGTTCATGAAAGTGGGTTTGTTGTTGACTATCCAATCAGAGTCTGAAGGGAGGTAAGAAATGTGGGAGTCACTATCATCGTATACAGTCGTGATGAGCTCAGAGCTAAGTGAAGGATAAGTATCACACGAGAATAAATATTAATTCCTTGCGTACCCAGATCCTATCTGACATTCAATAATAGCATAATCGATATCGATGGCCGGGCCAATGTTGGTGATAACGGCGGTATGATTGCCGTCAGGTAAACCAGAGATAGTCGCTAACAGTTGTGTACTCGAAGCTTGGATATCGCTAGCATTTCCTTTGGAAAGGCCTTGTCCGTCCAGAGATACAGTATAAGTCCCGTAAGTAGGTCTATGTCCACCATAAATGGTTAGACCGGTACCTGGAGCGTATATAAGTAAAGGCTCGGAGCAGATGAAGGCATCCATATGTGCCGTGAAAAGATATCGTAGCTGTTGCGCCCTCCGTAGAGGTGGTGTGCAAAGACATGCCAGAGTAGTTCTGTTAAATTATGTATGTCAGAAAAGGGTTTCAACAGATGGAAGCAAACTTGCAAATAGAAGAGAATCATCATTTGGGGAGTCGGTCCAAGCACCCGCAGGGTCGTAAAAAATCAAAGGCGAACCGTCCTCGACTGCAGCCAAATAAGAAACACGACTTGAGTGTATGAACCAGAGGCATACCTGTCAAATTTAAAGAAGCCATCAAGGCTCGAGGCAGAAAAAGTCGAAGCCCAGAAGAAAGGAGGGGAAGGAAGGAAGGAGGAAGCGCTCAGCAATGGCGCTCGGTGGGTTCAAGAAGCCTGTCCGACTCCGACTCAGTCCGAGCATGGCTGGGTGCCTTGTGGGTCGTACAGATGAAATGATACGAGTGGAACATCTGCCATGAGGGATGAACTGATGTGAGCAGCAAGTACCATCGAAACTCAGTTGATCGACAAGTTCACAGGGCGGCAGTGCCCATCAAGATTCAAGTGCAAGCCTGAAGTTGTTAATGATCGGTGAAGCATATGACCACCGGTGGCTGTGGATCCTGTATGTAAGTAGAAGGTTAGACGTCACGTTTCAGTTGTTGTCCAGGGTACGGAAGCAATAAACAAAGTGAATACAAAGGACTTGTCAATGTTAAAACGTTAACCAAAAGACCAGTGCACAAAAGAGAGTTGCTAGGCGAAGATCATTGGCCACTTCCGAGTCAGGGGCGAAACACGAGCAAACAGTAATACAAAACTCTAATTTCAAGTGTTGCTTCTGTGCCCTTTACCTTCACGTAGATATGCCACCCAAAACGAAATCTGCCAAGGTCACGACCGCCAAAACTTCTGCCTCACGAGATCTGGTATCTCTGGGTCCGAGGCATCTCACAGAGAGGCGCGGAAAACGCGGCGAAGATGGTCTTGCCAAGGAGAGACCTACCACTACTCGAGCCCTAGTTCTGCGGAACGGGAAAAATGGCGCGAGAGGAACCGGGGAAGTGATGGTCACATCGAGGTTGACTGGAAGGGAGAAGCTGGATTTACTCGCTGGTATGTCTATGCATATTGGCCTGTGCGCACCGCGCGTCTCATCATGTGAATCTAGAGGACCTCATAAAAAGATCCAAACAAGCAGTGATGACCCCGTTCAGATTAGAGACATGCCTCAAGATCGCAGAGTCCCAGTTCAGTAGTACGTTCTTGTTCTCATCAAATGGCATCGTGTTAGTTGATCTATATTAATAGGCTATTTGGATGATATCACCAATCTCAAGGATCCCGACCTGTTCCACTCACTTATTGAAGCAGAACTGAAGGCTCGTACCCTTACGAAAAAGAAACCAGAGGAAGCGATGAGGGATCCGGCGTTCATTGCTTCGACTATTGCTATCAGGTGAGTTCGCAATTTGCTAGTGTTCACGTCAATACCTACGTCATTCCATAGAATACACAATGCTTACTTGCTTGCTTCTGCCTGGAAAATTGTCGCGGATAATTTATTTGACTTACAACTCGCTGGTGTCACGGATGACACGATTGTCTACAAACTACACGACGAAGAATTTCGATCGCAATATTTGGTCTTGTACGACATGGTCAATATCATTGTTAAGCTTTGCCAGGACAAGTTCTCAGTGCTCGCAGCTACTTCGCGTATGTTTCACTTGATGTGTTCCGTGTAGACGACACACTCAGCATCTATTACAGCTCATTATGCCCGTTACTTCAAGGAGAAGGATGGCACTACTGAGACTGAGTTTGATCGATCCGGGTTGAGAGATGCTTGTCGTTCATTCCTCGACTCTATCATAATTGAGTTGTGCTTTCGAGAAGCACCGTATCCGAAGGCAATTCTGTACCAGATTCTACACGATGCCGTTGAAGAAGCCCCCAAAGAGGCCAAACGATTCCCTCAGTCCATGTGGGACTCCGCGGGGGACCTTTCAGTATGTCACCTATATCGAAATCTGCTGCTGTCTTGACATATTTATCAGGAAATAGTGCGACTCCAAGATATGCTCGAAGCGCCTTTGCTTGGCCCGAATGAGGACACTTGGAGGAGCACAAACCGCAAGGCACCCAAGGCATACATGCAATGGGCAAACGCTGAAATCATGTCTGACAAGGCTTCGGATAAGTGGGAAACGTTGGAGCCTCTTGTCCACCCTCTTGCTAAGCTACAGAACCCCACTGCACTAAGGAATGTGTGGAAGCAAATTCAACAGGCATGTGTATCTGGTTGCGCTTACTGTCTCCCACCTGACTTTCGAATTAGAATTATATGTTGGTGTGCAACAAAGATCCTGACGGTATTTGGGGATTAACCGATGCACTCTCAAAGTCCACCCCGTCGTGGCACTCGTACCATCACCTATCCAATATCGCGGAGGAATCAGATGAGGAATCAGACAGGATGCCTAAGCTGGCCGGCTCAAGGAAGAAAATGTTAGCCATTACGGACGGTGCAGAAAGTGATGATTCCATGCCTCCGCTTCAGGACGTTTCTGAGTCTGATGAGTCCGACTCGGATTGGAGTGAGACGGATGAGGATGACGACGAGGACGAGGATGACGAGAGTGATTATGACACTGACGAAGAGGATGAAATGCGGGAGATGCTTCGGGAGGCGATGGACACCGCTGTTGAGGCAGAATTCTTCACTGATGGGCTCGAGTCAGAAAATCCGTTCAACCAGGAGGATCGTAAGGGCAATCCCTTCTTGAAGCTTCTTGGCTCTCTGCGTGGTAGGTTTCTTCTGCCACTCGCGTACTGCCTAAAGTAACCGGACATTCAGGTCGCATGTTCAATAACAGCCCGAAGCTTTCCTCCCGTAGCAAACCAGCGACCAAAACGGCACCCAAAGCCAAAGGAGCTTCTCACGTTCCCACTGCTGCTCCCACGAAGGGTAAGATTTTAGATATCTCTTGGATCTCTTTCCTAATCCACGCTGCCAGCACCGAACCATAAAACTACAGTGGAGGAAGTGGAGGACGAAGATGATATCGTCCAAGGTGCTAGCAGCAAAAAGAAAAAGAAGAAGCCTAAGAAGAAAAAGAAGCCAGCTGCGACCGAACCCGTGTCTCCGGAGCTGCCAGCTGCACCTGCAGCTGCACCCGCACCCGCACCCGTTCCTAGCGCACCATCGCCTCCAGCAGCCAAACAGAAGCCCCAACCACCTCCCGCCAAACCGAGGGCCAACCCGGTGGCGAGCTCGGTGCATATGTCGACCACTTCAATACCACCCGTAGAACCAACGGTGGCTCAATCTGGTCATTCCTATGCTCAAAATCTGGACGTGAAAACCAAAGTCAAGTCCAGGTCTGACCAGCCTTCCTTGTTTGCTAAAGGCGTCTTAGGACGTCTAGGAGTTGGCAGAGACAAGTCGAAGGAGGAGCCCGAGTCGAAAGCGACAAGGCGCAACTGGTTTGCCTCGATGCACCGAAAGACAAAGGACTATCTGCACCAGATACTGAATACTTCCGAGGACGTGACTAAAGGCAGCGCCGGCATGAAGTGGGATACATTCGTCAAGGTAGGACAGATTCTAGAATCCACCTCTTTTGCAGCGCTTCACTCACTTCTTTCTAGGTCATGAAAGATATGGGCTTCACTTATGTCCCTAGCACAGCGGGATCTAGTGTTCGGTTTGATCCTCCAGATGCTCGTGACAGGGTACGCGGCGTAGAAACTGTTACTTGCATCATTAACTGACATGTCTATGTAGTCCATCAGCTTCCACAAACGTGAGGCGATTCTTTGTGTTTCGATGCCTGGTATTGACTCGCATTTTACAGCGCATCCAGATTCCTTCATTCATCCGAAGATGCTAAAGGAATTCAGCAAGAAATTAAAGAAATACTATGGCTGGGTCCCCGAAGACCTGAATTGATGCTGTGTCTTTTCTTGTTACTGACTCCCTTGCTTGAATAAGACCATGTACTCACTAACACGTTCGATCCGTTGAGACGAACGCTGTATTGTTTCTTTTGCCATGGTTCCGCCCAAGTACGGTGTTATATATAGAAAATTAACGCGGGATTGTATGTACATACAATCTATTATATTTTTAGTCATCCCATGTAGCTCTTAACCTTCCACATTGTCGACAAGGTCGTCAGCTGAGCATTGCTAGTATCAGCACTGATTTATGCTAAAAATGCGAGAGAAACCTGCCAGATGCGAGAAACCATCTTCGTGTATTATATCGCTAACCAAATGTTCCAAGTCGGATCGTGGAAGACCGTATAGTTGCGTTGTTTCGCGGAGAGATGAAAGAACAGCATCCTTGATAGCAGTATTTGAAGTCGACTGGGAAGCAGCAGGCTCCATGATTGATGCGGATGTGGGAACGATAGACGCATGGGATGCGCTGTTCAGGGATGACTGCGACTCAGCCGGTTTCGGAGCGGGCGGTGTGCTTGTTGGTAGAGGAGAACTAGTGCTGTTGAGCACGATAGGCGGTAGCAGCGACGGAAAACCCGGAGACGAAGATAGAGTATGTAACGGGATATCTTGGCCAGATTGAGGAACTTCTTGGCGAGGAATTTCAGTTTGGGAAGCAGCAAAGGTCAAATCAGGGTTGTTGAATACAGGCACAGTAGGATATTGACGAAGATAAGGAGTTTGAGACGATGTAATTGAACCGAGAGGAAGCGTCGGTCGAAGAGTGCTAGAATGTTGAAGAGGTGCGAGAGAAGGTTCCACAGGAGCACGGGTAGGAGCAGCGTTAGCTTTGCAAGGACAGACAGTTCGAATTGCATTGATGAATTGAGAGACTGAAGCAGTAGAGATGAACGTTATCTGAAAGCGCCGGTAAGTCTTGTAAAGGTGTCAGTAATGATGCAAGTCTGGTTCGATGAAAATTTACCGGATTGGCAGAGTATTCTCGGGGATGAAGATAGCGAATGCCAACGACCAAGTCTCGATAGACAGCTTTGAGAGGAAGGCCCTGTGATTGCCTCTGATGCTGGCGAAATGGAAGGGAAGAAAAGGAGAGTAGATCAAGGTCTTCCTACAGAATATTGAACAACGGCCGTGAATATATTTTTGAGATACGTACAAACAAGACTTGGTTTCCGGCAGTGGTATCCATTGGGTCGCCATTGTCCATTGTCCAGATGATACGGAGCCTCACAGATTCGAGATCTCCTCCAGACGCGTTTTTCGCATCAAGTACGAGCCGAATAGTCGGATTGGTAAAATGCTGCCATTCTGAGCCAGTCGAAGTGGGGTAGGACCGGGAATATTTCTGAAGGGTAAAGGTCGAGGTTGCGGTCGTTGAGGTAGACATGAGCGCAGTTGTTTATCCTTGTTGCCGCTCTTCTTACCTTCTCCCCTTCCATGGCGTCGCCAAAATGGCCTCCAAGACTTATGAAAACCGTCATGAAATCCTACCGTGTTCGAATACCCAAGTATGATATGCCAATACGGCTACGTCCTGTATGTCTATTTCGCTCTCGTTCGCATCATATCTTTGACGCACGCACACGTCAGTATTTCTTTGTCTTTACGTGTATCATCATGGTATCACTTGCTTTGCTTGGATTCACCAACTTCTCGAGAGCATTGCCTTTGAACGATAAATTATTGCATTTCCTTTGCTTTTGCATAGCGACGGGCGTTTTCTACTTTATCTTTGATGTCGAAGAGTAGGTCACGTTTCGTCAATATCTACTTCCTGTCTCTAATCATCTCCTAGAGATGCAAGGCGCATATGGTTCTGGAGGCATTCGGGACTGATTTTCACAGCTATTGTGTGTTTCTTTTGTGGCGGAATCCTTAGTGAAGTTGTCCAATCTCTGCTACCCGTAAGTTTGCTACCGGAGTTAGCGGTATGGACGTAATGACAATTCGGGTTTCAGTACAAGGAGTTCCAGCTTGGAGATGTTGTCGTATGTTCATATTGTGCCTTATATTATCGGTGTTTTTCGACCTCATTATCCAGGCCAATCTACTCGGTTCTTCCCTCGGACTCTGGTCGGCGTATTACATGGAAAAGTACTACCGCCATCGAAGAGAGGTCCGCGGCGTGTTTCATTGTAGTTTCAACCTAACGAATTTCATCTGGCAGATCGCCCGTTTGTATCGTCCTCTCGATACGGAACCTCTGTCAGACGAGGACGACGAAGACCCGCTGAGAGGGACCCAGCTCCTTCCGACCCATAATGCCCAGACCACCAAAGGAAGCAAGCCAACGGCACGTATGACGGATGTTTGGGATGAGCAAGAGGAGCTATTTGGGATCGGAGATGACAGTGATGATGATGAACAACCTTCACGAGGGACTGGCGCTGGCGCTCAACCGGGAAATACAGTTGTCCCAAAAATACTTGTCACGCCCTCATAGCCATCTATCGAATGTATGGGTAAATTATTGGTTCTTGGATGGACCCCACAATTAATTGTAATTGGCACAACAGTTATAGATTATCTTTGGATCGGGAATCTATGGTTTTTAGGTCGCTTGACAGTTTAGCTACTTCTTCAGCAACTTCGCTGATTTCTTGGTTTCTCTTTCCAATCAGGGTGCTCAATCCACTACAGCCCTTGTCTGCAACCACCACCACCTTCTCCAACATAGTGTCATCCAAAGTTTTCTAATCGACTGTGGTTAGCGATTGACGGCTTATTTTGGGTGGGACGTACTTTCAAGTCCCTCTCCAGACCGTCAACCACTCGGTGCCAGTCTTCCCACCAACGCTGCTTTGCCTTTTCCCAATGCCCGACACCCCAGCGCACACCGAGAAGAGCTACTAGAGCACCAGCACCCATAGCTGTCCCGGCATCTACTCCTAGGAATCCGATAACACTTTCGCTACCGCCAACCAGCCAGTTAGGCCAACCAGCCCAGCCTATACCAACACCAGCGACGATGGAACCGCCCATACCAAGTACAACATGCTGTCCGGCGAGGTGTAGTCTGGCCGTGGGATACTGTACTAATTGAGCACGTCGGATGGCCAGGGGTCCTACCAAAGCGTCCGGCGTAAGCGGGTAAGATGACGATGATCGTATTTGAAGCAGAGTATTATGCAAAACCGAAGAATGGAGAGAACTATTACTCTTCGGGAATAACGCAAACATTGCGTCGGAGAACATCTGCTGTGTGTGGGAAAGACGCCCGGCATGATAAATGAGCTATGGGAAGGATTTTCGGTTCGACTCATGAATTGAAGCTGGCACATCCACGAGTGCTTACCTTTGTTTCGAGACTTCTTCCTGACCGCCCCACTGCGGCCGAGACGGTTGTCGTGATCTCATCCACCCTGGGAACCATTCTCCACCACGGTAGTCTGTCCATTTCCGAGGAAATTTCTTTCTGAGCAACTCTAGTGATCTCATCTTCGGTGGACGTAGTTACACCGAAGACCTCCCCGGAGGCCTTGATCCGCTCTTCCTCAATCCGCTCTCGCAGCGTACTGACTTGAACAAAAAGCGCATCTGACTTGGTTCTTTCCAACCGTATGTGCTCATTGGTGATAGCGAGAACACCACGGATTTGGGACAAACAAGTCTGGGTCCGCAAGGCAGCCGATATATCTGCGGAAGACGTTTTCCCAGTCGCAGACAGAATTCTCTTGATGGTATGTGTCAATGTCGAAGTCCCGGATCCGATAAATCCATCTTGGTATCTCTGTATGGCTGATGGAGCCTTTGGATTCCCCCTCAAGGCGTCTAGGGCGGATAAGGCTCGTGAGGGGTCAACAAATACGGCATTTATTGCGGTGTCATCGCCGAGATAACGCTGATAAAGGCAAGCAGGGTCGGGAACAGAAGAAGACGTGTAAGTGAATACAAAGATGGTGTGGGGATTAGTTAGGAATAATTTGTTGGTCAAGACGTCTCTTGGCGAGGTGGTGAATGGGTTGCAAACAATGATGGGAATATCAGCTTGTAGAAAAGCCCGCAGATGTTGCTCGTTGCCTGAAAGTGGCTTAGGCTGAGAAGTGTCGATGTATGGTAACTCCTGTATCTGTATACGCGTGGGGTATTGTTGGAAATAGGATGACTGGCAAGGGAAGAGGTGGGATTCACGCGCCGCAGGGTCTCCACTCCTATATCAAAGTCTTGGTCACAATGGCATGGGTAAATTGATCTTGACATACAGAATGGTGAGACTTGTTTGACTAGGAGGCACGTCGTTCCATCTCTGTGCAATGAGATCATTTCTTGATGCATCGGACGCGAATGGCTCTTGTAAGAGACCAGTAACAAGATCCCTTGCTCCAGACCATTGATCAAGCTCCAGCACTGAACGAAGGTATTGGCGTATGGAGGCAGATGTGAAGAGGAGAGATACTGACCCGTGACCGTTAGAGGGACATCCTTGACATTTGAAACAAGATTGTCGTAGGCGTCAGATAGAACGTCGTTCCATAGACGCAATGATTGTTCGAACGGTATGCTTTCTGATGTCGACGATGGTAGAACTCGGGGCAAGAGCTCCGTAGTCTTGTGCAAGAGCGTCAAGATGGAACTACGACTGGTGGACGTGTCCAACGAAGGAATAGTCGAGAAGAGACGGGCATTGAGACGGATCCTGGAATATCGACAAATTGAACAGCTAACTGAATATGCTTTGATTGGCGTTGCAGCAATGCGGCATGATTGCATGGAGAGACGGAACAGGCACTTTGAAGGAAACCGGATTGGATTGGCAGTATTTGGCGACACCGTCTGGACGACACAGGCCAATGACAAACTCAGGGATGACTCCCAGTCAAAAGTCTGTAGGCCTAGGTTAACATCCACAGGTACGAGTCGATTCGTAGACATCTGTGGGTATGTAGAGAGATCTGTGGAGTAATGAACTTGCTTAACCCAGACTCATAACCTTGATCCAACTTGGCAAAAAATTGTTTACAAGTGCGCTTGAAAATTTCCCGGGCACCTGTGTTGAAATCGTTGAGAGGTAGTACACAGCCCGCAGACGTGCTCTCAGGTGGCGCGGCACAGTAATCCGAATAGCAAGGCGTCGGCTAATTCCGAATGTCCCTCTCCCTCTTACCGTCGTGACTGCCGCCATCCAATACCTTGTTAGTCGCGACCACTGGCTGCTCCCCTGCCATTACTTCTGGATCATGTCGCTCGTCTCGTTGATTCCTTGTAGGCGCTGCTTTGACCATATTCACGATACCGGTACCTCGTATTACACTGCTGAAAACCTGCAAACGCGTTCGGCGCGTCAAAATCGGACTACAGACTCGGAAGGGTACCCACAAGACCGCATATAGCCAGGTTTTTCTGCTTGGAAGAGACAGTGATGAGCGTAGTGGGTGTTGTCTTTGTCCTGGGCAAAGGTACGCCAGGTGGCCAGTAACCTTCGCCTTGTTGCCGTCTGACGCTTTTTACAGCTTGGCATGCTGAGAACCATCTGTACTGGTGCTATACATACCCCAAGACCATGATGTCTCCACGTCTTCCCCTTCCATGAAAGTCTCCCCGCCTGGCTCACGGATTTTACTAGGAATGTTCGTGCACCCGCAAGGCCGATGTATTTGACACCTACTACGACTCTCACAGCAAGCCAAGGTGAAGGCACTGAAGAAGGTACGCCATGTGTAGTCCCTCGTTTGGCTTTGCACTGAGTACCATCTGATACTAGAATCAATTAACGGCACAGACTTAGAACGGGACGCGGGAAGCGACAAGGCAGCCGATCAAGCGGGAATGTATGCAGGGTTATGTAGATATCTAGGCATGTATAGATATTCATCGATATCAATATATGGCTATCTACAGACGTCCATTACTGCCTACGAAGTAAACATAGAATGGGCCATTCTTAGCTGCTGACAGGTACCCATAGATTTATCGACTGATATATGTGGTAATCGACTCGTGTCCGCAGACTTTTGACTGGGGATGACTACTCTAAAGCTACCTAAAGTTTACTCGGATTGTTAGTACGAGTCCGCCGTTCTGTACGGGCCTGCAGATGGCACTAAATGGCATTAACCGGGTCTATGAGGTTCCTGATTTACGCTCACTGTATACGACCACCCGTATGAATGACCTTAGCACCGCAAATTGTCTCACTAACAAGAACATGGACATGATAAGGACAGCCGAATTATTGAATTGAACAGCGTCATTTACTCAATTCTCTGCTATCAAGTTATCTTGGTGCACTATCAGCGCCATAGCAGCCCTGAATGTGGGAGTGTCCAGGGTCCGATACAAGTCCGATGCAACATTTCTTTCAAACTCCGAGTGGAGGACCCGGTTAAGTGGACATGAAATCAGGCAATCCCAGGAGGTCAACCGGTCTGGCCTCTATTCCGCCTCAAACCCGCCCTCTCTCTCTCGCCACCATGTCGTCGTTGTCCTCTACGACAACACAGAATGGCTCCCGTTCACCTTCACCCCATACCCCAGATTCTTCTGACTCCTTGGAACACGTCGCTCACCACGAGCTCACCCTTTCTTCCTGGTACAATACCGAGCACGACAAGTCTGCATATCTGCAGTCTCTTTGGGAGACAGATCCTATCTTTCAGACGCAGCCAAAGTGCGAAGACGACAATATGCTACAGCTCGATGATCTCATTGAAAGCCACGCGTACGACGAGTATGTCGGTTTCACACGTTTTCGTGTTTTATTGCTTATCCGACTGTCCAGCTCTCCGGCTCTCAGTGTCGAGTCGCCATTTTCCATCATATCACCTACCTCGCCTATGGGCGCCGTCGTGGAGCGCCCTGCTCCCTTGCTAGTTCAATCTATGCATACAGCTCCACCTGCTTTGACAATGCCCAACTCCATGTCTGTGACAAAACCCATTCCTCCTCCAGCTTCTGTACCGCGGCGACAAGATTTTCTGCTGATGAACCACAAAGTCGTCCATCCTCCAAGGGAATCTTGTGTCAAGTAAGTTCTCTTATCAGTCCGAGTCATGGTTCCTAAATCTCATCTACCTTAGTCTGCCTATCATGTTTCCCAGTATACCGGAGGGTGGAACCAAGTCTCGCGTTGAAACTCAAGTACGAGTTACCGTGGACTTGGCTGATCCAAGTTCTTCTTCTGACCCATATAAATACGATCGCGTTGGCTCATGGAAGTGGTTAAAATTACCACAAGGAACGGCTACGAAGAGGCGGACGCGAAAACAGGGGAAAATAGGTTGGGTCCTTTCACTGGTCATAAGGCTTTTTGTTTGATTCTGCTGCAGATCCCGACCCGCAAGATATTCTTCATCTCAGCGTCAGTATAACTTGCGCGTCACCGCCCCATAATACGGTGCTCAGTTGTTCTAGTTGTCGCGCTCGTGAGGTACCGCGATACTTTTCTTTATGCAAGACTATATTCTCATTATCCTTATCCAGGCCAAACGAGTTGCAAAAAAACTAGCTGCTCGAGTACGCCCCGCACGATCCGATTCTGACTCCGGCGAAAGTCCCAACAATACCCCTACCAGGAACGGACAACGCGAGGATACTAGCAGCATAATCCAATTCAATTGCTCGGAGGTCATCGATTTTTCCACCGGCTCTGTCGTCCTTCCATTGCGTATCACTTGCTATTGCCGCCACCATCGTGAAAAGGTTGGATTCAATGTCCATTTTACAATGATGGATCACACCGGTCGCATTGTTGGGACAGGGTCGTCGCGCCCTATCATGATTACGGATGACCACAAGACGTCGTCTAGCAAGCATAGCGACCTCGCTTCGACATTTACGACGCGTGATTATGAATGGGCGCAGTTTGGACCAGCTCATGTCGATTCGTCTATCGAGAGTCGCGCCCCTTCGAAGCGTAAGAAAGACACGCCGTCAAATACCACCGGGACGAAAAAGCGTGCTAAACCATATGATCCTGCCTCGAAGCCGAGCAGGGTTAGTGGAGAAATTCCCGCATCGAGCGAACCTTCCCCCTCCCCATCACATGCAACGCTCCCATCCACCAGGTCGCCAACTCCTCTGGATCCTCCACTGTCGTCCCTACCACCACAACTACAGTATTCATCTTTCGAGTCAGAATCTTCGCCTGATGGATTAATGACCCCAGCGGAACATAATCTTGATATAGCCATGTCTTCAGCCACCACTGAGAGTGACTTTTCTGTCCCTTCTCCAGTCTCTCTTCCCGTGACACCTCCTGCTCTAGTTATGCCTGCACATCCTAATCCCATGCCTTTTATGTTCTTTGATCCATCTCAGCCAGCTCCCCCTCTGGCACTACCTACAATCCATCGTCTCGTACCGAACGCTGGGCCGACACACGGTGGTATTGAAGTTACCATCCTGGGAGCCAACTTTCATCCTTCCATCACTCTGAACTGCATTTTTGGGGAGGTCGCGGCTAGTTCGACACAGCGGTGGAGTGATAATACCCTGGTCTGTGTGCTGCCCCCAAGAGCTACTGCTGGTGTAGTTGCCGTCTGGTTTGAAGGGTTCCCCAAATTAGAGGAACATAGCAATGCGCCTCCGCCGCTATTCACATATTCAGACGAGTCCGATAGGGCCTTGTGAGTACACTCCTCGATTTCATTCTATCCAACGGATGTCTGATACAGTCTACTGCAGAATGGAACTAGCTTTACAGGTAGTTGGTCTGAAGATGACTGGAAAGATTGAGGAGGCCAAGAACGTTGCCATGCGTATCGTTGGAAATGCTGGTGATCCATCAGACTCTCAAAATGGATCAAATATGACTGGTGCGATGCAACTTGCCCCTTCCTTAACCCGGGACCTGCGACCTCTTCTGCTTATCCGCGCCGGTGAAAACGAGGATTTCCAAAGCCTCATAATCGATTTCCTCTCTATTCTCGATGCACCGGTTGAATCTTCCGAGCAAGCAATATCAACTGAAGCCGCTATCTCACACCAGAGCCCCAGCGGACAAACATTGCTCCATCTTGCCGCGTTTCTTAGCTTTCCTTCCCTCGTCCGGTTTTTGGTAGATCATGGAGCAGACCTGGATATGCGCGATCGAAATGGATATACTCCCCTTCATTTTGCTGCCTCTATGGGTAGCAAAGAATGTGTTCGATATCTTCTGGACGCGGGTGCAGACACGGAAATTGTGAATGCGTTAGGAAAGACTGCCGGGGAGATTGCCATGGACGGCATGTTTGCAGATTCACAGGGTATCAATGATGGACTCGATTCAGGTATTGAAAGCGAGGAAGATGAAGAAGCCGAATGGGGTGATGCTGAGGAGGATGCCGATGCTATTATTCGAAGACGGGCCCGGCGCTATGGAAATCGCAGACGGCCACGGCACTCCGATACTCCTCGAAGAGACAAGGATAACATCACGGACCACCTTTCTAGACCTCCCTCTCCCTCTCCGAAGTCCGAAAAGGCCATTTTGGCTAATGTGGACGAGAAACAATATTCTTCGTTCACTGACCTCATCCAGAAGACAATCGCTCAACTTCCTGGTTCTCCTCAGTTACCTAACCTTCACATTCCTGGCATGCCTGCGGTTCCATGGGGTGTTCTTCCGCAACTCCCGATGGTGTTTCCCGTTGTTGTCCCTTTACTACCGGCCTTCCTTAGCGGAGACAATACAAACCGTGACGGTCTGGACGACGATCAAACCGATGGGTCCTTGAAGGGCAAATTTGCTGGGGCAAAAGCTGCATATGAACTGCGTGCAACGTGGGAAAGATGGCTTGCAAATGGGGCCCCCATCAAAGACAGTGAACCGCCTCCGATGTATACGCCTAGAGCCACGGAGGCCGGTCCATCGCATGCTCCATCGTCGACTGTGTCTGAATCTCTCGCAGAGACTGAAGCCCCACGACCCGAAGGACGATCTTCCTCAAGAATATACAACTACGAGATGATACCTGTTACGGAGCAGGAAGTGGATGCGTATACGTATGAACCCAAAACGCAACCCAAGAAACGTGAGTGTTCAGATATCAATGACGGTATGTCTAACAAAATATACAGAGGACCGAATGCTTTTACTTTTCTGGCTACCCATCTTGATCAGTACGTTGATTTCTATTTCATCTCGTGGATAGGTAAATTGACCACTTTTCGCGCAGTTTCTCTTATTTGGGCTTGTCACAATGGCCTTCGGTTTGCACTCGGCGCTTTACGAGGAGTTGTACCATTGAAATCTGGAATGCGTACCTGATGTATCAGGACTGATCTACTATTATTTGCTCATGCGACATTTTTTTTGTCACTTGCCTTTCGTTGAAAGTTTTTATTTTATTTGGTTGCTCTAAATTATGCAGTTTCACTAGAAAAAGAAGTGTATGTCATAGATAATCGGAATGCAAATTTTCCTTCACCATCCAAAGTCTTAATCGTCGAAGAGAGGTTGGAATGCCTGCGAAAGATTTGCATCAGCCTAGTGTTTCTGGTAGCCAATGAAAAGTATGCATACTTTTGACTCCTCCAGGTGGTAAGATTGCGTTGGTCCAAAGGATGGTTCCTCCATCATGCCCGAGCTACCTGGATCATTTGCCAAGTCGATGGGCCGCTCGCCCGTCTCCAGGTCGAGCATGCTTTCATCAGCGTCACCATCAAGCATCATGTTCACTTCCTCTGCAGTCATCTGGTCGAGGCCTAATCCAGACACATCCTCCGCTTCATTGTGGGTGATCTGAGATGATGATGGGAAGAAAAGGGGCTCGCGTGGTTGTGGAGAAGGCGGCGGTGGCATCAACTCAGCCGCGGGATCTTCAGGGTGAGCTTGGGGGAACGAGGAAGGAGGTGCGAGACTTGGTTGAGGTATAGAAGATTGCGCAGGAGTCACATTCCGTGATTTTGACACGGAAGCAGGAGGAACCGACTGGCGGACGGCTTTCATGGGTTTCTTGAATCGTTTCTCATCTTCATTGTCTTCTTCGTGCTCGCGTTTGTGCCTATTAATGAGCACTTGCTGGGATTGACTGCTAGGCATGCCCTGTACTTGGCTAGTTGATATGACGAACAGAGCCGTGAAACTGTCCCCGTCAACATCTATGAATAGAGGCGCTGCTGGATCTGTAAATCGTATATCCATAGTGACTGATAATGAGTCAGTGAATGCAATGGTGGCCTTGGAACGTCAACCTTCTGACTACTTACAAAAGCAGGCGTGCTTACATTGAATTCGCGAAGGTGAAAAGCAATGACGGTGGGCGCAGCATATAGATTATAGACATCGAACTCTTCCGAACTTATTGACAGCTCTGTCGAAAGCTGAGATTTTCCTGAGAGTATTTTGAGTGCCCTTATGCGCGAGTAAGGGAAAGAAGCTTGTACCCTTGGAGTCAACAGATGATTCCAAACTCTTCACTTCGACCTCATGTTGTCCAAAGTTCCAGATGAGCTGAGGATCAGATTTTCCGTTCTTGGTGGATGTAAAATGTTCAATCATGTCCCTGATAGCTCTTGGTCCTATTGTTAACAACGATTCCGTCGAATTATCTGGAATACCCGGAGCCATTAAGGATGTAGGTGTGGAGAGCAGCAGTCTATGTGTCTTTATAACGCCTAAAAGTGAGATGTAAAATGGATAACAAGATATGAACTAGATGAACCTACCATGTCTGCAATGTAAGCATACAATCAGCCTACTTTCAAGACCATCCTGAGCTTCATCGTCCGTGTTACCACCTTCTACGATAGACAGTTCACACTTCTCGACAGTTTTTTCGACAGTTCTGTGCTTGAGTATAGATAAAAGTAACTTGGAACTATCAGTGAGAACTGTGGCAGATAGTGAAGACTGATGTACACACCTTGGTAAGAAGTTGACCAGTAACTTGCGTAACTTCTTCGATGTCATCTGCCAATGAATCCAAGGAGCCAATTTTGTATTTTTGGAAGAACTGGCTCTCGTATTTGAACCGACAGTAGGCAGATTTGGACGAGTTTGTAGCAGACAAGGAGAGGCATTCCGGCGTAGCGTTCAGAGTTAGTTCGTCGCCATATCTTGAGATGCAAGTCAAGGCCTTAGTGAAAGCTGAAGATGTTTATGAAATCGAAAATTCTGTCACGGGCAAAATGCTTACGTTTGAGTGCCGCAGCGTCTAAGGTGGCCTGCATATCGCGTCGCGGACTCGCGGTTCGGGTTGATCGTAGAGAGGATCGCGTCACGTTACGTCAGAGCATATTCAAAAAACACGTGTTTACACTAGGGGTAAAAGAATCCTAAATCTAATAGTTACGCGGCCGTGATACGGTATGCTACTGTATCATGCGCCTGTACATTAACAGAGAAACTCGAAGATGTTGAGTAGGTCCCGGATAAATCTGTGCCCGACCACATATCATGCATCTTCCATGTCCCTGCCTGCCCTAGCTCCGGAACATTCGAAAACGTGAACGTTTTAGTCGCTGTACTCGAAGATGTATTGATTATGAAAACGTGCGCGCCTGCGGACGAAGTTCCAGAGTAGTATTCGGGGGGCGAAGTTGTTGGTGCTCCAGTGTAGGCTGTGAATGGATAAGCCGAGGAGCCGTTAGTGATATCCTGATGGAAAGCAATAAGCTCTACGCTCTTTATCAATGCCACTTGAGTATCGTCAAGTTTGCTCAACTGTAGAAACCTGATATCGGGAATTATTTCGTGCAGTTAGAAAGGTTTACTCACGTCTGTACCACTACGAACAAGTTAGCATTTAGTCAATAATAAGGGAGTAGAAGGGTACAGGATAATAGGGCTTTTCAAAAATGCCCAGGCCGCAAAGTGAGTGCGCTGCTCTTGAGTGGTGAGGGCTCCATTTCCTGTGAAACAGTAAGTCTACCTCTCACCAAAATTATCAATCCATACCTATCTCCATCATGTCCATATCGTTGTGAGCATAAAAACCAATTGACGACAAATGAGCAGCATTAGTAGCGATTATTGAAGTGATATACGACCAGGAGGCGCTGGCAAAGACACATCAGTTCCTTGGTTTGATTACGACGGCACGAAATCACCTAGAATCACCGGACATTCTCCATGAATGTCCCTGAAAGGTGTAAATACTATGCGGTATACTACACCATGATGATGCTTACCACACGCGCTCCCCAATCCCATACATTGGCATTTCCCCAATTACACAAGGCAAACTGTATCGGGCGAGACTGCTGCGCTAATGCACCACTTTGTCATTGTTAGTGTAGCGGAAGACAACACAATTGGGATTAACCCTACCCCATTTGACGATATCTGACAGCAGTATTTGAGTTACTAGCGGTAGAGATCAAAATAGAGGTTTTATCAAGTCAAGATACGGCAACGTACTACCAATCATTGCCTTCAGGTTGCTGAAAGGTGATGTGAGTAAGCGCATGAAATCTTTAACAGAATTTGTGCACTTACCCAGCTGTCACTCCAATTTCCTGGGACATTACAGTTATCTGTGCATCCATCAGTTTGCAGAACGTGGAGTACGAATGAAGATATCGACCGTATTTCAAGTAATCGATGCCCCACTCGCTGAAAGTTGCTGCGTCAATAGCCTCCATACCCAGGGAGCCTGGAAAGCCAGAACACGTAGCAGTTCCAGCGTCGCTAGAGAATAATTGAATGGTTGATAAGCTGTGGAAGCTGAAGTCATGTAATACATACCCATATATACCAATTTTCAATCCAAGAGCGTGAACCTGGTCAGCAACACTGCTGATTCCGTTCGGGAACTTGGTAGAGTCAGGGATAATCTTCTGGGTAGTGATGTTGCGCGTTGTCTTAGACCAGCAATCCTTGGAAACAATACAAGCATAAGCAACTGTTCATGAGGAAGAAGACCAGGCTCGTACATCAATGTTGATGTACTCATAGCCAACTTCCGCGAGACCTAAGTCGATAACCGAGTTCGCGGCTGCTAGAACCTTTGTTTCGCTTATATCTGAAGAAGAATCGACGAAAATGTAGAAGAGGCAGGCATAATAAGATATTTACCACATCCATACGCATTCCAGGTGTTCCAGCTAGCATGGTAAGTTTTGATCACATCGTAGGCATTTTAACCAGTAGATAGGTAAGCAACATACCCCAAAGCTGGCGTCTTGCCAGTTTGAGTCGAGGGAGGGTCAGTTGGTGCAGAGTCGGCAAGTACGGTCGAAGTCGACGTCTGTGCCAACACCTGTTGCGATACTAAGAAGCAGACAAAGTTTGAGTAACATTGTACCCGGGGGAAGATAAAAATCTGACCACTGACGCTCTCCCTCCAAGTAGGACTTAAGTATTCGGAGGGTTACAAGGTATATTTTCGGTATTCAAAGTAATGAAGAATGCGATTTTTTCCCGATCCCGCAGCGAACTAGTCAAGTGTTCAAGAAAGTGACGAATCAGTTGATCCATTGTCAAATTGTAGCGGCCCGTGGTGGCAGTGGCAGCCTGAGCTTGATTCCCGATCGCGCCATAAACAAGAGGCAACAACGCGCTTAACATCGTCCAGCATGATGGGCCCTCGCACGATGGACTCACGCTCTCGCTTGCCTTCTCTTTCTCGCCAAAAGTCAACGAAACAACTCATCAACCGCTACGAAGCCATGGCCGGTTCTACTACTCCTGCAGAGCCTACTGTCCCGACAACACTAAAGAAGGACCGACCTTCCGTTCGTCAGTCTTTTCGAAATCTTCTGGGTCTATTCAAAAAGGCGGATGGAAAAATGAGGCTAAATAATGTCTTTTCTGCTAGGCGGTCGCCATCTGTGTCTTGCCGCGCCGAATCCTTGGTTTCGCGCAGGTCTTCTTTCGCATCGACGACACCAGCGCCTTTGTCAGGACCGCTGCTGTATCTTTCTAGGGTGTCCATTTCTACCTCGAATGCTACAACTTTTCCAGTCTGGACTACCTGCACAGGAACCCTTGAAGGCGATTCTATCTCCTTGTCCTGGCTCTCGCCTCAAGGGCTCCAAAAAACTCATTCTGTGTCACTAAAAGGATGCACAGATGTTCGATCCCTTACAGCTGCTCAGTTGGAAGACGAGGAGTTGATATTGCTTCCCAGGAATGATGGTATAGACGAATTGAGGCTATTTGAGCTAGTATTCGGAGACAAAGAAACGAAGAAATTCGCTACGACTTCAGTTCGAGAGCGAGCGAGCTGGGTTAGCGCTGTATGGTAACAAAATTACTTCATTTGTTGATTTCCCTTGGACTCACGGTCGTATCTCCATTCAGGGACGTCGTTCTGTCCTCGCAGGATATCTCAGGTCGCCACATGCAAAAAGATGCGACTGCGGGCCATGACCAAGACGTGCCTTCCGAAGATCATCCATTACCCCCCTCACCAGCTACGCGCTCCTTGCCTGCACTTCCTGACCACGACGTTCTGTCTCCTTTGTCTTCGGCCCTGCCGGACAATTCCCTGAATCCTTCGCAAGCAGGTCATAGTATCTCGGAGAATGATCGCGAGCCCTGTGATGAATCTTCAATCCGCCATTCAAGCGGACCCAAGAACGGATCGAAATTCCAGAGTATTCGTGTCGAAGCCATAAGCGCTGAAAAACCCTTGCCAGACGTTGTGGCGCAGGAACGTATACACCGGAAATCGTCTGTTGAAACCGAATCCATCTTCGATGCTTACTACGGCGGCGGTCACTCAATCTTCCAGGATGAATCTCTTCACGCGGCAAAAGCTCCTACGGAACCTACCGATGCCACCTTCGATAATATACGACCGCTGAAAGACGACCTGCAACAAATATCCAGCAAACTCATTGGCTTACGAGATAATGTCGACTCTGGACTGGCTAGTACACGCCAACGTATTCAAGACATCAACGTATGTTTCGGACATACAGAGACTCTTCTAAAATCGTTGTCGAACGACCTAGCCAATATGGCGGCAGCCGGTCCTTCAGTCCCATCGGTCAATTCTCAAATCGAGCGTCTAATTCAAGTGGTGGAGACTCTGCAACGTTCCCTGCATACAGAACTATCCGGGGTCAAGGAATCTTTGGACGCTACACGACAGAACCAGCGATCTTCTGGGCCTGTGACTGCCTCTCAGGAGACTCCTCAGCCCGCTGCTGTGGACGATTCAGCCTCTGCCAAAGCCATACAGGAGAAATTAGAGGCTATTCTTGCCGTTCTGAATGACAAAGCTGAGGTATCTATCTTTGATTTGGGTGAACGCGTTTGCGGCTTATTCTCCTTTAGTTGCTAGGTATTCAAGAGCTTCTGCGAGAAGAAGGGAATCAACGTGCTCTGCAAGGACAGCAGCAGACTGATAGTGTCAGATACCTGAATGAGTTGAATTCGGTCAGTTCTTTTCTTGATGGATTGTTCCAATGTCGCTGAATAGTTGCAGTGGCTGGAATCATTTGTAACCAATGGTGCCTCTCAAATACAGGCCGTGCACGGGGCAGTGGAGCAAATCCGCCACATCCTCGGATGCGACGTCGAAGGCGACCAGGATCCAGGTTCGCTTTTCAAATTAATGCAAGATATCAGAACATGCACGAATACCCTTCAAACATCTATCGACAATCTGGCCGGATTCGCCAATTCCAGGAATACCTTTAGTAAGCCTTACTCCGTGCACGATTATTTACCCGACGGTTGTGAACATACTCTTGAAGCCCCGGACAGCGTTGCTGAACTCCTGACGCGTCAAAATCAGGATCACGAAAACTTCTTTCGAGGAATAGCGGCAGGCATGGCACACAGTCCTTTATTTAATTAAGGTCTCATAAATTTTCCATTTCCCAGAATTGTCGAATGAGATCAAAGGCGAGAGACTTCGATTTGTCGATGCTATGAAAGAAGCTACAGAAATTAATGTGCAAAGTGCGTCATAAACACCCTGCATGCCCATTTTTCTCACAGCTGGCACCAACACAGCTCATGTAGAGGAGTTCAAGAAGGAACTCAAGCGCGAGGTCCATGGAATGACGCAAGAAATAGGCCGTCTCTATCGGGAACGACAGACCATGGAGAACCAGATTGCCGAACTTTTTGCTTTCTACACCAAACAGAAACAGGGCATAGTGGGTCGCCAGTTTTTTTGCCTTATGTCTTCACACTCAACAATTTGCCTTCCCAGCCTTTCGCAGCAAATGCTGTGCATCAGGCGCCCTTTGTGCAGGTACCTGATCCATCTCAGCGACGCCCCCTTCCCAGCCCACAGAGGTATAGGCCCGGCTATTGATGTCTCGAGTAGTGTTGGAATAGTTTTTTCGAATATATTTGATTTAAGCACGCCGCGTTCATAAAGATATTCACAATCAGAATGCGCCTCTATGTCTTGTGGATATGCATGTAGACGTGAATAAAACCATTATTTTTTCGACAGGGCGTACTGCAATGCCTCGTACACGTCTGCTTCAATCTGGGCTTCGGCCTTGTCCTCCGCAGAACCATTTCCAGCTATGACCTTTTTCGCTTCGGCCAAGTTCGTGCGGACGGCCTAGTGAAAAGTCAGATGTTTTCCTGGTGCTGTCACAAGGGACGCACCTCAGGCGAGAAGTCTGCCAGCGGCGCCGCTTCAATCACATTGATGGTGAGCTTGCTACCAGGATGAACGGTTGCGAATCCGCCAGACACTGAAACACCATGAAACTGAACAACTCAGTAATAACGACCCGACCACATACCAAACCACTTCTTGGATGGACCGCCAGTAGCTTCGATGACCTCCACGACACCAGGACGAAGGGGCTCAACGGTGGGAACGTGATTCGCCAAAATACCCATGTCACCAGTAGCAGAAGGAGTGTTCACTTGCACAACGTCAGCAGAGGTAAAGATGGCCTGGACAAAATTCAACAACGGCAGCGTCGACCCCAAAACAACGGACGTACTTGGTGAGGCATGACAAAAGACAGGCTAATTTTGTCTGCTGCAACAGCATATCCTCTCCTGCCCAAAGAAATACTAGAAGGAGCGCGTCGAGCCGCCGTAGCAAGGAAACGTAGTGAAGCCATGATGACTTTAACTCTGAACGGTCGTGCGTTTACGGGTGCTGGTCCGTTATCGGTAACTTCCGGATCTCCCACGGAAAGTAGTAGTTATGTAATATTGTATTTATTTTATTTGCCAAAGAATATAAAGTTACTGGAAATAGGTTAACGCATCTATAGACCAATCGTTCCATGATCCTTAGCACCACCTGTGTAGTCGTCCGGTAAAAGTTCCGGTGCGCGCCTGACGCCTCGCTCACTGACATCGATTAGGACACAAATCAAACGAGATGAAAATAGCACATACATCTCATCCACGGCTTTCATGAGATCATAGTTGATCTCCTTGCTCACAACGGAGTCGTGCTTGTAGTCTGGATGTTGTCGAACAAAGTTTCGCATCCACGTCGCAGGCGTGACATACGATCCTATAAGGAGCATTAAGAACGCTGTTAACGCCAGCAATAGACATCACATTACCGTTTGATCGTTTTCGAACTAGATCGAGGTATCGGTTAATCTTAGCCAAAGCATTTTCGTCGACTTCCAGAGTATCCACGTAGTCGGAAATGACGCCAAGCAACCCTGGGAATGTTTCGCCCTTGGAAAAGAGTAAGATTTTCTCCGATGAGGAAAACGAAGGTTAACACATCGCCATTCATAATTTCATTCATATTCATCTCACGGTATTCGTCTTGCACTGGCTCACGGTGAACCCCATTCTCGGGCAAAGGGGCTGAAGGGAAACAGTTTCGCATTTTCTTGTCCTTGGTGCGAGGCACTCCGTCGCATGGCGTGCAAGATCCGGAAGATGCGTTACTCGAGGAGTAGCCACTGGTGCCTTCACGGTAAAGGTTTTTGCGGAAGAAGAACTTTTCAGATCTAACAGCATCCCTTCGTTGAGCCCTTGACATATTCTCGTCCACCTAGATCAAGATTAAGTGAGCACTGGGTCGTGCCAAGACAGAAGGAATCATGCCTTTGATATGGGTGTATAGAAATTGAGGTTGAAGCTCAAAATGGCCCTAGAAAGAAGAACAACGAACACCGCGAACGCAGCATTTTCGAAGTCGGTCATCTGAACCTCCATACTTCGAAACTCTACTCGCCAACCTATTGAAGAATTCGGCGGCGGTGGTTTGAATCGCAGTGTCTGCCAGTTTGTAGATTGGATGTTCTGCAATGAACGCATCAGTTTAATGGGCCACTATGTTTGTCGCACCAACCTCAAAATGGTCGCTGCTGGTCTCATCATCCTGATCGATTGTTTCGGAGAAGACGACCAGAGGGTCACGGATAAACAGATGCGCTATATGCTTCGATAAGAGGTCATCAATGCCTGGAACGCGGTCTTTACTCATCGTCTTGTACATAAAACTGTGCACGAAACGCACCATGTTGCATCAAGCGATCAAATATATCCTTGTCATATGGTACGTATGTGTCGTTGTATTCCGGACGGTTAGCCCAATCTGTGGATATATATAGGTCGACACTGTCGTATCTTGACTTCGGAATTTTGTAACGATCATTCTTCAGAGGCTAAAATTAGCAGTCAGGACCTATATATTATCAGACTTGAAGCGTGCTTCGAACCTTCGAACCCCTTTCTTCCTCTGTGCGATCGTCAACGCTTCCGGCAATGACATTCCAGCGACAGTCTACATCAGTAATATAGCCACGCCAGAGTGGACTCGCAGCGGTGAGTGCCAACTATAAAGTTTCCTCGTTACTTTCTCAAACGAATTCGGTTAGAAGATCCACATACCAAAATTGGACCAATAGGAATCAACGCGTCGTACATGCGTCTTGCCTCGTTGACATTACAAGCTTGAAACGTTAATTGAAGACAAGAGCATCCCATTCCAAAACCCATCGCATCCAGGTAAACATGATCAGGAAGTGCGGCGCCATTTTTTGCTTCTAATAGACACGGTCAGTAGTCTGAAAACGCGTCTCAGCAGATACGAATAAGCACCAGGGTCTTCGGGGTAGATTGAACGATCCCACGGGATTGTTGGGTCAATGAATGGTCGCGGTGTGTGTTCGTCGAAAAAGATAGGTAGATTTATGGCGACTTTGGATCCTCGCCTACGTCGGATATTGGCGGTAAGAGTGCTAAGAGCGCAATCAGTCGTCCACGTTTAATAACGCATTAATAGTCGGTCCATCTCACTGACGGGAAGCGGGCGTGGGGATTGGTGATCTCCTCCGGCAGAAAAAGGCTATGACTGGAAACCGCGTCTGAAGGATCAAAATAAGGCTCTGTAAATTGTCCTGGAACGCCTAGTCGAGGGAATGAGGTGAATGTTAACGGAATCTCGTTTGGCTTCAGGTGTTGACGGGCCAGGCTCCGCCTGGGATGGATGTGAGCACGAGTATGCAAAGTATAGGCTGCCTCCACCTGTAGCGCATATTGCCTTCCACAGAAAGCAGATCCGAAATTGAGCCTGTGTAAGGCGAACCAGGGGTAGATTCCAGCATGTATCGACCATATTCTGGATGGAAAGTCGGCACTGGAACGCTGAAGACTGGATATTGAAATGCAGCAGAGATAAAGTTGGGTTACGAACTTACGCGTTATCGCAGTCCGAGCAGATATCATCGACAATAGAGGCTAGTTTCTCCAAAATCTCGGTTTGACGTAAAGACAGTTTTGCGTTCTTGGCTTCGTCGTCGAATGAAACTACCATATATTCAACCTAGCCGCCTTGTCAGTATACCCACGAGTTGGGATAGAAGAAGAACGAACCTCATCACCCCAGAGAAGCTCATCTCCATGTCGGTCCTTCAGACGATCCCACGTATGAAGGAACTGTGTGATTCCGTGATATCTAACATGATCGGCATACTTTTTTGCTTCATCCCATGTTAAGGGCGTCCCAAGATAGAGTAGACCCATTACACTTTCGGATTCTACGCCGGGTAGCAGAGAGAGAAGCCAAGGGGAACCTCGGGAAAGCAGAGGGAATTAGGCCAAATAGTATATAAAGCAAAGCAGTTTCGATTTGTAAGATCTGATCCTCCTATTGCGCCATATCCGGTTTGTCAGACAGTAAAGCGATGTGAAAACCGGCCGTCTGAAAAAGGCATTCAGGTCCATCAGGCTTATCACTACGACTGGCAGCTCCTGCCGTCTGGCAGAATCCAGTATGCTTAGGTAGACTAGACCAGCCAGAGTGTGAATATAGAAACAAAAGAGACGTCATACCTTGCCAGCTGTCGGCTAATGCGCTAATGTCCGACCGGGTCGACCTCGGCGTCAAGTAATCTAGGGACTCATTCTGATGGTCCTATCATATCCATCCAATATCCATTGTAGGTACATATAATTATAGAATCAAGGTAATGTCTTATCCATTCGCACCATTAGTGGCCCATTTCAGACATATCTTCAGAGCAAGAAGGACATGGCGGAGCGATCTTGTCCAAGTCTCCTCTTGGTTAAACTGCAGCTTGACCGAAACATCGCCGATCTTATCTTTGACGACTCTGCCAGGGACGATTAGTAGCTTCTTTCAGAAAACACGTTGCACTTACTGATGAGGAAAATCCACAGAGGGATCTTGGGACTTGATATGATCCATGAGATGCTTCAAGCAATCGATAAAAGCGACCATGGCTAAATCAAACCGTCGATTATGCAGTAATCGGCCGAAATGGAGGTCACCAGAGCCGTAGAGCTCATAATTGGACTTGTCACCAGTAGCTTTTTCAATGCGGGAAAAAGATCCCATGGGTACTAATCGATAGCTGACCGAGAATGAGAAACAAAAAGTTGAAATGTAATAAAATTGCGCACTTCTCAAACGTGTAGTCGAGTTTGCGAGCAATGGTATACATTAAAAGAAGTGTCTGTCCCCAAGCCGCGTTGATTTCAGCCCATTCAACCTAATACCCTCAGTTACGAATAGCGAATTCAGAAGTGATGCTTACTGGCACTCCAGGTACCCTCCCTAATCGTAGCCCGTTAATGGTCCCAAAGACACCGTCATGGCCAATACAGAAAGCATCGTTATACACATTAGTACGCTCAAGTTTCTCGAGAGTGGCAGAATCCGCTGCGTACGCAGCACGAAGTGTTGCTAGCTGCGCGGTTTGTTGATCTATGGACAAGACTTGTTCGTTGTGAGCGCGCCAGAATCTGTTCGCATAGGTTTCAATGTCATTCAAGAGTTCAATATCGACGTACTCGTTTTCTTCGGCATCCAAATCCTTTTCTTCAAGCTCTAATAGTCGCAACTCTTCGTCTAGTTGCTCACGCTCACGTTCCGCCTCTAGAAGCTGTTCGATGGCAAGGCGTTCTTCTCCCTGTAGTCTTTCAATCTTCCTCTCCGCCTCTTCTTTCGTCATCCCACGTCCTTCTCGCTCCCTCTCCTTTTTAATCTCCTTCTCAAACGCTATGTAACCATCTCTTTCTTTCTTTGTTTCATCCAACTGACGTTGTAGTGAGGTGAGTAGGATCTGTGTGCACTCCGCACAGAGAGGGTGGTCGATCTCTGTCCGTGAGGACAGGAAATTGAACAGTCTGGTAGTTGAACGTAGATGGTGGGACAGTGGCGACGGGTTCGACTGATCGAGAGCAGGTTTGAGCGGGGGTGACGTCGGAGACTTGCTCGGGGAACTCCGCGCCTTCATGAGCCCTTTCTTTTGGCGCGGAGATGAAGGCGAAGAAGAGGGGATATTACGGATCATGCTGTCTTGCAAAAGCACGAAGGATTCATGTGGCGACAGTGCTCCGTTTTCAGGCAGTTTTCCCTGAGCACGAGCTGAAAGAGAAGAGAGAGCAGAGGACTTGGATTTTTGCCATGCAGATTTGACGGTCGAGTCTGCAGGAAGAGCAGCCAACTTGTCGGCGTCAGAGGTAAGACGCGCATGCGAAGACGACTGCGCAGGCGGAGCCGAGGTGACGATCATGTCATAGGCAGAAGGAGCTAAATCGACAAGAGAGGCATCCAACTAGGAACGATAACTATAAGTTTCGACAGGTAATGTTAGAAAGAGGCAGGTACGTGCTTGCAGTGGCTCCTTGCATTGCTGACATATGAGGCCTCCGGAACTCATGGCGTCCGATGGCAACAGAGAAATGATTTACACGTGTAGTTACGTGGTCTGAAAATATGGGAATGTTCCAGGGTAAGTACCCTGGCTGAGTGCTACTGGTCGCAAGTCAAGGAGGATGTAGCCTGTTTGGGAATTTCAAATAGGAAACTTGCCCTTAGCTTCAACGACAAAGTTCATCAGCCTTCGGTGTTAAGGGTAAGGCTACTTCTCAGCATATACTAATGGTTAGCCTCGATTATTTCTTCCGTTTGAGGGCACTTGATCACCGCTCACGGCATGCTCCAATGCTACGATTCTACCTTACTCTGAATAGAAGTCCCAATACTTAATTTCACGGGTCGTGGCGTCTTTAACTGTGCATTGGAATGCTCCCTGCATACCGGCACTACCTCCGAATGCCTGACACACAATACGAACAATTTTACCCCGTCTTCGCAACTGGTTCACACCCACACTTTATAAATAGTCTGCTCCGAAGAGTGGAGAAGTCTCTAAGCTCTGAATCCGACCTCGACGACCTTCCCCGATTATTTCCTTTCCTACGTTATAACCAACCTCTACGGTTAGCTCCTGACGTTTCTCTTTATTCGATCCGAGTTTATCCGTTACCTTTGTGCGCCTTTCTCTGGATCCGCCTTTCCTTGTACTGACCAACGTCTACATCTCCAGACAGACTATGGGAGGTCAAATGTTCGTTCTTGTCATCGGTATCGACAAGTACAAGTCGGGTTCCATTTGGGACTTGGACTCTTGTGTGTCCGATGCACGAAGGATGAATCGCTGGCTGACGAGCGATCTTCGAGTACCGAAAGAGAACATACGGCTGCTTATCGACGCAGAAGCGACCAAGGCTGGCATTGAAACTGCGTTTCTAAGCCACCTAGTCAACAATCCTTCTATTCAGCGAGGGGATGCCATCCTGATTTATTTCGCCGGACACGGCAGCTTGATGCCATCTCCACCAGATTGGTATAGCGGTATCTTATCTTCGCGCAAGGTACACACGCCGCCCAAGGTACAGGTTTTATGCCCATACGATCATGATACCAAGGGTCCAGAGGGTCGAATTGCCGGTCTTTCAGATCGATCCTTGAAAGCCCTCATCCGGGACTTATCTCAGGCCAAAGGAGATAACATTACGTTGATCGTAGACAGCTCCTTCACCCCTCCTCTAAAAATTCGCGACCGCCGCCATATTCGTTGGACCTCTACTCACAAGGCCACGCCTGACGACCTCCGTACCTCTCTATGGCAAAGCGCACATGGTCAGCGTCATGAAACATCTGGATTTCACGATGCACAGACCTCTACTCACACCCTGGTTATTGCATGCGGACTCAATCAGATGGCTGTAGAGGGGAAGCACGGGGGAAAGTTTACCTCCGCCTTTCTCGAGGCAGCCAAAGGCGTACCCCTGCACCGGACGTCCTACGATCATTTGGTAGATCGCATGCTTTCCCAAGCGGGCGAGGAGCTCAAAGACCAACGCCCCATTTGCATTGGGCCCGACAAAACCCGATTCATATTCGATGTTACACTATTCCCACCCGACGAGAGCTACGTCTCGATTGACGTTCTGGCTACGAAAGCTGACCACTTTCGAGTTGAAGTGGGGTCGGCTCACAGCATCTTCAATGGCGATGAAATGTCCATACATTTTCATAACTTCTCTGGTCCATATAACCCATCCATTGGCACCGTCGTTGTTATGGAAGTACATCCTACGTGGTGCGTTGTTCGTCGTAGAACCAACAGCACTCAAATTGAAACGGGGTGCTGGGCTCGCGTAAATCATCGCCAGACCCGGTCCAATTCTTGGCTATCAACTACTAGCTCGGCATTCCTTCCTTGGACCCGTGGCAAAGAAGGAGAAGGACGGAGGTCTATAACTCCTAAACCTTCTCATTCTCTAGATGAGAAAAGCATAATTTCGGCGTATCAGGACCAGCCGCCTGAAGAGGAGCTTATTGGTCGCCCCTCGCTCTTGTGTAGGTGTTTCAATGGTATTTTTTAGTGCAAGGAGCAAGCTCTCGTAAGTCTTGGCCTTGTCTTATTCAGTGGTATCTAACAACATGTGTTCACAGTTTCGCCTATCTCTGCAGAAGTCGGAATTCTACGGGGTACACCTGAGGTAGTACTACAATCATACTTTATTTCTTGACGACAAATCCATGCGGTACCTTTCTTTCTTCCGTTCACTCCCGCGAGTGGGATTACGATGCTCGGTACCTTGAACGGTACCGGTAGCTATTATCTTACTTACACATCGGGTCTTCCAAATGTATTACCACTTGTGAGGCCATGTATACTATATTTATGTGACTATTATGTCCTCGCAGTGCGCACAAATTGTTTTTGCACGTGCACTACCGATGCGCGGAGATCAGGTCGGCTTTCTCTCGAGTTACGCCCGCCGCCGCTACGGTGGCGGGCCTAGTGGTCTTACGCGGGTCTGCGGGGGGTCGGTCACAAACCCCGTGATCAACACGCTCAACACGTAACAGTAACAGATGACGTAAAGCCTAAAGGGCTTCCTTGAAGGATGCCATGACCTCCGAACCAACTCCGAAATCATCCCAAGCCACTGAAAGTCTCGTCAAACGTCTCGCTGGTCCGTCCACCGGCAAAGCAGGGTCAGTCCTCTCCCGTAACCTTCCGAGCAGCCTCTCAAACAGCACAGTCTCGTTGCTGACCAAACAGAAATCAACCGCGTTATCACTGAGGCCTCGAAAGGCTCCAAATTTTACGAGGCACGCCAAATTCTTCCCTAATTCCGTGGAATTTTATCAACGTATCCTCTGCGGTAACTAGAATGAGAAACGAAAAGATCAAGACCTTACGAACAGGATTAATAAGATATTGAAGCTGCGCGATGAGGTGTCAAAAGGAGTGGACATGCGTGCGTTGTATCAAGCCTACGATGACTACCAACTATGTGGCTAACATCTGTTTAGACAAAGTCGAGTTGAGTGTTGACGCCCTGGTTCGTGATAACAATCTTGGAAGCCGCATCAAATTTATTCACACAGTTAATAGCTTCAAGAGGTTGAACGACAGCGAGACTTGAGTCAAGTCATTGTCCATGTTGATATGGATGCATTTTATGCGGTATGCACATGTTATGAAGCCGCTGGTGTGTGTCAGTCACTAATCACCTTTACTTTTCATATATAGAACGTAGAACTTCTTCACAACCCAGAGCTCAAAGGAAAACCTTTTGGTGTATGCCGTTTGACTCCTGTCTGAAACAATTGACTGAGGATCGCCTTCAGGTAGGTCATGGCGTACTTACTACAGCATCATATGAAGCTCGGAAGTATGGAGTCCGCTCGGGCATGCCAGGTAGAGAAATATTGGCCTTTGTTATGTAACTTGAGCGAAACTGTTGCCAGGCTTCATTGCGAAGAAACTCTGTCCAGAGCTTATTCTTGTCAAACTCAACTTCACGCGGTACAATGAGATGTCCCAGAAAGTTATGGATATTTTCAAGCGATGTGATCCCAACATGTGTCCTGCGGGATGCGATGAAGGGTACTTGAAGTAAGCGTCCTGTTATTACTCTCTTCTCTTTGATGATCTGATTATCCAGTATAACTTCATATTGCAAGGAACACGATGTCACTCCAGATGATTGCGTCCAGGAGATGCGAGGAAAGGTGTTTGAGGAGACCAAATTGACCGTTAGCGCCGGCATAGCACCTAATAAGGTGACACTGCACTGCTCTCGTAACGACGAAACATCGACTAACTTTCTCCTTTGAAGATGCTAGCAAAAGTGCGTTATGTCTCTTACTTATCAAGCCAACCTAGTCTGATTCTTCCGTAGATATGTTCTGACAAAGTGAATTGCCCTACTCTTTGGACGACCACAGGCTTATTGTACATATCCCTACCAGAATAAACCCAACGGTCAATTCCGCCTGCCTTTTGATAGCCAAGAAATCATCACCTTCATGCATGACTTATCAATTCGCAAGGTCCCTGGCATTGGACGTGTCAACGAACGGTTGCTAGAATCTGTGGGCATAAAGGCAGGCATTTACCTTACAGTCTATGGCCGAATATAACTGACTGTTCCGATCCTTCAGACTTGTGGCGATATCTACTCTCAGCGGGCAATGCTCTCATTGATGGACAAACAGTTCGGGTTGCACTTTCTCCTCCGTACCCACCTTGGTATAGCGTCAAATAATGTTCAGCCGCATCAGAGGGAAGAACGAAAAAGTATAGGTGCAGAACGGTATCGTTTGATTTTATCGTTCACAAGTCAGATTCTGAGTGAAGAGCTAGTACTTTCAATCCTTTAGACGATAAAGAGAGGATTTTCCAGAAGCTTCAAGAGGTTGCCCAAGAACTGGAGGACGACATGAATAGCAGTGGGTGGACGGGACGGACAATTACCTTAAAGTTCAAGCTCGATACATATCAAGGTATTTTGTTATTATGCCAGCAGACCTGAGCGATTGACTAGTCTGATCCTGATAGTATTCACTCGTGCGAAGTCTTTCGATCGCTGGATAATGAAGAAGGAGGAGCTGTTTAAGGTGTGTATGGATCGTTGACATTTTTCATGCATATTGAGAATCTCCTCTCTTTTAGATAGGCAAGGAGCTGCTGCTGCCTGAGTTTCCGTTGAAACTGAGATTGATCGGTTTGCGAGTAACAAAGTTGAAGGATTTACGCGCTACCTCGGACACGACCGCTGGTATCAAACGGGTGGGTTTACGCGTTCTTTGCAAACGCACACATCATTGAGCTACAAACAGTTTTTTGAGTCTGCTGGTGGTGATCAATCCACTTCTAACAAACGACCCAAGACTGAGCATGACAATGACTTGCTGAAAACTCAAGACCAGTGGGATGACTCTATGCCCGGATATCATGAGCTTGACGACACTGACAATGACATGAATACCAATGAAGGAGACATGGAGGAGACCGTGGAGCCGTCCTTCCGTTCTCGGCCACCCGTCTCCGAACCTGCGCGTTCTTCTCAGGACCCGGTTCGAATATCGATCAAACCTCGGAGCACTATAACGCGTCCGAGTTCATCTTCGTCCACAGTGAAGCTCTCACAAGACTGTCCAGTTTGCGGCAAGACCTTAACGACGGATAATAAAGGATTTAACGATCACATTGATTTTTGTCTGAGTCGGGGTATTATTCTGCAGGTGCAGGCTGAGGCAAGCGTGGGTGCTTCTTCCAAATCGAAACAGAAGTTCAAGGGAAAGCGGAGAGGGTAAACCTCTATTTAACACTACAATGGTGTACAGGACTTTGTATGTACTCGGAATATATTATTACAATTTACCTCTATGCGCCTTGAAAGATGCTTGTATTCCTTTTCCTGCTTGAATATCAGTCATGCATTTAGCATCCACCTCCCTTCCTTTCGCTGCCAACTCGACGACTTTCGATTCCCGGTCCCTTGGGACACAGACAACACCGTCTTTATCCCCAATCATCCAGTCCCCTGGGTGCACAGTGACAGGGGGGAAATCGTCCTCCGCTTGAATCACGACAGGAATATCTATGGCCGAAGGGCGCGTGAATGGCGACTGACCAAGAGTGGAATGACCACGGGAGAATACGGGAAAGTTGAGACTAGCATGTTCGCCAATGTCTCTGCAGCGACCCGAGATAATGACGCCGACAGCAGAACGAGCTTGAGCGCCGGCAGTCATTAAACCACCCCAGACAGCGTTTTTAAGTTCTAGAGATGTAGGTGAGCAAGGGGAAAACGAAATTATAAATTTCATCTTACTTGGAGGGGCATTGATGACAATAACAGAGGACGCAGGAGCCGTGTCCACGAAATGGGCGGAGAGTTTTGGAGCGGACTGGTCAGAGGCAAGAACCATCTGAACAGTGTAAGCAGGACCGCAGACGGTGGTATCTGGCGGGAGAGTGGATATCAGGTTTATATCTGGCACGTAACCTCCATGCGGAGTCCCAAGCTTTATGAGCGCGTCAGAAATCTCGCAAGTTGAGTACTCCGCCAACTTGGACATGATCGTTCCAATCCAAGCTGCTATCTGAATGATAGCCATCTTATCTTTTATCTTATCTACTTTCCCACGCTCCTCTAGCTTGTACACTAACCTCCATCATGACAGCCAGATCCCCTCCTGCTCGACCCCATATTGGTATCCATCCTACCAGCCATTTCTCATCTCTTGACTGGGGAAAGGATGATGCTTGGGACAGCGCTTCCGACTCGGAATCACCCAAACAATCTCCTCTGTCTCTTACCGGTTCGCGCACGACTGCTCCAAGAGCTGTCCCGAAGCCTGCATACAACAAATCCGATTCTTCCTCGTCAGCGTTGGCTTTTTCGTATACCCATGTCAATGCCCCAAACTCCAGCTCATACCCTCCCCGTACGGAGGAGCCTGCTGCGCCCAAAACTGGTTGGACTATCGTCAGGAAATCCCCCAGCGACAAGGCCATCAAAAAATACAATTCGTCAAGTCAGGACGATAGCTACGACAATATAACGTCACCCGAAGGCTTAGGGGATACGGATGGAGAGAGCGATATGATATTGGGCGAACTTGAGTATGATGCATCTGGGCCGGAAACGCCAAACCCACCCCCCGGCAAAGCCACAGTAGATAAAAGCTCAATACGAGAAGACACTGATGCAATTTTAAACGGTATGCCTTGCTTGATAGTAGCTTCATTTTCCTGCACCGATTTACATCTGCACTTTCATTTCAAGATCCCCTTCATGGCATACACCATCGTCCACGGAAGAACCGGTCTCCGTCATCCCCCAGAATACCGAAGGAAGGACATATAGAAGCTCCGGAAAAATCGGAGAAGTTGATGCGGGAAAAGTCGATACGAAGTAATCGTCGTCACAAGTTTGTCGAGTGTCTATCGAATCAGGACGTTAATATCGGTACGTTCTCCTAACGTACGTGATTTCCGACACCAATGTACATCAACCTTAGCGGAATTGCGGAAACTTGCATGGGCAGGCATTCCGGACGATTTGCGTCCCATGGCATGGCAGCTCCTTCTTGTGCGTCACAATCTTCCTTAGCTATCCTCTCTTTAATTCGATTGCACGCTTCTTAGGGTTATCTTCCCTTGCCAACCCCACTTCGTACAACCACTCTTGCCCGAAAGCGCGAGGAATATCTTTCTCTTGTTGAGGTGGCATTTGCTCGCGACCGAGAAGGTCTGGACCAGCAAATATGGCACCAGATTGAGATCGATGTACCCAGAACACGACCAGGTGTAAGGCTTTGGATGCACGCTGCTACTCAACGGGTATGTCATGTTGCATCTTCCGACTCTGGCGCTAACTCTTTCCCAGAGTCTGGAGCGAATTCTATACGTTTGGGCCATTCGACACCCGGCAAGCGGCTATGTGCAGGGAATAAATGACCTCGTGACACCCTTCTTCCAGGTTTTTCTGTCTGCATATATCGGTAATGGGATTGCATCTTTTATCACGTTGCACTTAAAAAGAGTTATTTAGAGTCCAATCCTGAGGATTTCGACCCTTCTTTACTCCCTTCTCAAGTTCTTGATGCGATAGAAGCAGACTCTTTTTGGTGTCTCTCCCGTTTACTTGATGGGATCCAGGATAATTATATATTTGCGCAACCGGGAATACAAAGAAGCGTTCGACGAATGGCCGAACTTGTAGCCAGAATCGACGGTAACATTCCTTTGTCATTCAATTTTTAGTAACTGATAGTAATGTTGATCTAGCACCGTTATTTGCTCATCTGGAAGCTCAAAGTGTCGAATTCATGCAGTTCGCATTTCGATGGATGAACTGTCTCCTTATGCGAGAAATAAGCGTGCAAAACACGATCCGGATGTGGGACACGTATCTGGTGCGTTGAACCTATAACATTTATTTGATAAGCCTCATTGATCCTCGCAGGCTGAAGGGCCAGATGCGTTTTCTCAATTCCACCTGTATGTTTGCTCAGCATTCTTGGTGAAGTGGAGCGATAAATTACGACAGATGGATTTCCAGGTGAAAATTTTTTCACCACTGCCTTTTTTTCCTTGCTCAACGTTGAAAGGGTATCATAATGTTTCTGCAGTCGCTTCCGACGCAGGACTGGGGCGACCATGAAATTGAAATGCTCCTTAGTGAAGCCTTCGTCCTGAACTCTATTTGGCATAATGCCCAGAGTCACTTCAACGGGAAATGAGTCTCGTAAACATTTAAACCTGATTGGGAAGAGTTAGTTGAGAGTAACTATGATTAGCTTGGTCTGCGCAGCAGGATATGGCGATGTCGGTGTAAAGGTAGTGTATGATTGGAAGCAGGCAAAACTCGCTGTACAAGAGAAATGTGCTATCGAGATGAACACACTACAGTCTATTCATCTTTTGCCTTTACGAAAGAAATCTCTCTTTCTAGCGCATCTCTTAACGCATGCAACTGGTCCTCGGTCTTGGTTCGAACTGAGTAACTCTGAGCAACGCCGTTCTCATCGTGGCCAACAAATCTAATAGCTTTGTTCGCAACTGTCGGTTTCAATCCTGCGTAAATATTGAAATTCTGTGGAGAGCGTTGAATTCATGGACAGCGGATGAATGAAGCAAGAAACGGACCAGGTTGATTTTTCCGGTGCTGCTGTTCCGCTGAAGCACGCGACGCGTCCCTTTTTCCTTGTGTTTCTTCAGTCGGATGACACCTGAAGGTTTACGTTGATATGAATTGTTCAGCACGGATATGGAACATACCATGACCCATGTCTTGCCACGTCCCGGCTTCTTTATTCATCCAATAAGTCTTCGCTTTAATGGAGTACGTCGTTTCTTCGTCTTCTTCTCCTTCACCTTCCTCGTCATGAGGGCTGTTTGCTAACAACATGGGAGGCGGTACAGTTTCTTCTCCATCAGGCTTTGAGCTTTCTTGCTCCGCGTCGTCTACAGTTTTGTCCTCTGAAGCTCCAGACTTGTCATCTGAATCTTTTTGCGTAGCACCGAAGTTGAAACCGACTGGGTTACCAATACTACCAGAAGACGGCTTTCCGAAACCTCCGAAAGCACTAAGCGCCCCAGAATTTGAGGGTGCTGACGCAGGAGGCGTTGCGAAGAAGTTAGAAGGCGCAGTGCTTCCTGGTGTTGCACTCTTGGACGCACCGTTATCCTTGGAATTGGAAGGGGCTCCAAATGTGAAAGGTGATGAAGATGAGCCTTTGATCCCGAACGGGGACGGGGCCAAAGAGGGCCCCGATGCATTTGCAGCATCAGTATTCGCCGGTTTGGAGAATGAGAAAGGAAGTTTGTTGTCCGAACCTGAGGCGCCTGAGAAGGCTGTCGAACTTGAGGGGAATGTCAAACCGTTCGATTTGGGGGCAGAAGATGAGGGAGGAGCGAAAACGACGGGAGTAGTGGCAGGGGTCGATGAAGGGGGTTTCGCCGTAGGTTCTCCAGCAGGCGTTGCCGGTTGGGGTTTCCCAAATGTGGAGGAAAATATCGGTGGGGGGTTCGCTTTTTGTTTCGCCGCTTCTGAAGTATCAAATTCTGTCTTTAATACAAGTAAATGCTTCTTGTATGTTTCAAAGTGTGTTTCCGACCAATCTGCGAGTGGGTCGTCAGCATAGGCCTTCGTCACTGCGTCTATGAACGACTTGTTCAGGCCGCGCAATGATGTGTAATACTTCTGCGCGGCACTGCTGGGGCCACCTAAACCCTCAGCAGGTTTGGAGAAAGTTGGATTCTGAATTATGGATCCGATGGTCTTCGCTGCACTCGATGGCGGTGGGGGGATAACGGGAGGTACAAATGGTTGGGCCTTGAACGATGACATGTTTCCAAAAGCTGGCGCCGGGGAGGGATTAAGCGATGGGGGTGGAGAGACACCTAGCCCAGACGCTGGGGATTCTGGTGGCGTAAAGGTGAATGAATGTGTGCTCCCCGGTGTTCCGAATCCTGAAAAGGACCCAAACTTCGATGTAGGAACCGGCGCAGACGGGCTCTGAAGAAAAATGAATAAAAGAGAAACAAATTATCGCGATAAAAGGACACACGTCTGTCGATGGAGATGCAATCACCGGGATTGCAGGGACTGTACTTCGTCGTGGAAGAGCGCGTATCCTAGAAGTAGCCTCAACATTGCGATGATTGAAAAAACGGAAGAGTGGCGCACTTTCTTGTCGCCAGCGTATCCTCGTCAGCTTTCTGGAAGCCTTGTCGACCTTCTGTTTCCTCGACATCCTAGAAGCAGTCAACCCATGAAGAAACGAGAATGAGCAGAAATCGCACCTCTTCCACATCATCCTTGGAGAGTTGTTTTTCAGCGGCACGTTTCATTGCGCGACCGACGCGTTAGCCACGAAGTGGTAAAGTGAACTCGAGGACAAGACGTTGAATTACCTAATGGGCCAAAAACAGATTACAATAGCAGACACAATTGAATTGTTCCGGCAGTCTCCGATTCACAGTTCCTTCGTTACAAATCCGAAGCTCGGTCACATCCAAAAGTTGAAACCAAGCTTGAAGTATGCAGCTAATTATACACAATATCGATACCTAACGCAACATGTAATCGTCTTTATCTTCAAACCTGAGATCTCTCGGCCAATGATCACAAAAACTCTCAACAGCTTCCATCTCGACGTGGTCATTCAACCATTCATAGTCACAAAGATCCGAAAAATGCTCCTGCTCTGCGAGAAAGCACAGCTTAGCCAGCGGATGACCAGAATTGATTCGCCATTTAACCACATTTTTAATGAGTGATTGCTCCGTAAAGTTAAGAATCATATTGAGTCTCTGAAGATTCGGCCAGGGCGCAACCCCGCCAATTTGTAGAGGCGTTGCTAGATATCTGAGCATATGGGGAGGATGAAAATCAGGGTTCATCGAGGTGAATTCGGTCACTGCGGGAAACGACGCGAACAGCCGCGTATATTGGCTTTCGAGGGAAAGATTGAAGTCGCAGAATGTAAGGTGGCGAAGGTTCGGGAATTTTGGAGAAATAGATGAGGATAGGAAAGGATCTAGATCGTTATCGATTGCGCCTTTGAGGATAAGGGAGTCCAGCAGGGGTGCTTCGAGGTTGAGCAGAAGCCCGCTGTATACATATCCACTGAATCCACAGATACGTAGAGATTTCAGCGACAGCATACGAATCAGGGTGCCCTCGTTGGCTTCGGGCCAGGGTACTGCTCCAATGATGTCGCCATACACGGATAGATGTACCAGGTTCTCGGTAGACATCAACATCTGCCGAAATGAATCATAGCGAAAGGTTGTAAAGTTCGTTTGGTCGAGATGAAGAGTGGTGGCGGCGTTCAAGGGTGGGTGGAAAAAACGTACGCCTAATCCACCCAGGCGGACGAAAGAAAGGGCTGGGCTGCCGCCCCTGAAAATGTGGAGCGCCCTTGATGCACCTTCGAAATCACTTAGAGAAAGGGACATATATTGGAGATTAGAAGCGGCGACATCGCAGAGGCGTGCGATAACTGGATGAGCTTCTTCCTCCAGCTCCAATTCGATAACGCAACGGCGCCAGGAATGGACACGGCTACACACAGCGTCAAGAATGCTAGAATCGAGGTCGCAGCCATTGTTATTGGCGGCTTCAATTCGTACATCCAACAAGCTGCCAGCCGCGCGATTCAAATACGCATACACGCACTCCCTCCAAGAGTCGGCCGAAATGATGATACGACACCAAAGAAGTTGGGTAGATATTGCAACATCTCGCCAGTAGGAACTGACTTTGGAAACGGTGAGCTCAAAAGGAATTCCAGCAAGAACATCTTGATCACTACTCGGCAAAATCGGCGCGCAGTCGCCCTGACTTCCTTCCTGACCGAGTAGAAAGATGTACGACAATATCTCGGGAGGGAAGGAATGAACAGAAACCAAAGGCTTCTCATCGCCTGAGAGAGACTCAGGTATCTCTTGAGTAAGAAGTGCAGCCACACTGACGGACATGGCTGCCAGGAACTCCGAATGTTCGTCTGTTAACTGCGAAGTGGTCGGCACAGACCTCGCTTTTATGAGAATATTATACACACCACTACATCCATTTGGGTTGACTTTGGTGGCAATAATCAGTGGGGCGTCACTCTGAGTGTAGAAGCTTCGTATTTGTACCGCTCATGAGCAGAAAACAGGGTCTAAGGGTTAAGGTAACGGTTAAATGTGTCATTCTGAATTCCGACAATGAGGGAATGCGGCTTACCATATGAAGGCAAATTTCTGGAACCTAGCCAACCAGCTGGTTTGTAGAAGATTGTACACGTCTACATCCATCCGACCTATTTCACCAAGTTCATTCTGCGATTGCGGATCGTGAAATCACCTTCTTGGAGCAATGCTGTCTGCCATAAAAGTATAAAGGTGTGTCCTGACATAAGCTGCTTCCCTTCAAAAAACTTTGAAATATGCGCCACAACGCAAACTTTAAGGATTCATATGTTACTAAAAGTACATGACCGCCAAATGCACGAAACTTCATATTTAGAAGGAATGCGACAATGAACTCAAGATGCCGATTGCATGCGCTGTGTCAGCTGAATCTACAAAGAAATTTGTCAGAAGATGAAGATTGTCCCCGATCCAATATAGTTACCTCCGCCTTGGAGATAGTCCTCAATTCGCCAGGTGCCGCGCAGTTCTTGGTGACAGCACTGACTGCCGTATCGATAGCCCGTCCTACGGATTCCTTGGTCGCCACCCAGTACCTGATTTCTTCGGGGATCACTTCAATTATAGAGATACGTGGATCATTTTCATCGCCTTTGTGGATACCGTCCTTGAGATCACCGAAATAAGCAGATAAACTAATGCATATTTGAGTTACGGTGTCGCATCGGCCTGCAGGCAACGAACTCACCCAGTAGACCAATGTTTGGCGATTGTTTCCTTGTCTCTACTGACTCTAGCTCTTCCAGAATAGCTGGCGCGGGACGTGAATTTTTACAATGTACTTCCAAGATGCATAATAAACTTACGAAGCCCAGCTTGTGGTATCAGTGTTGAAGAAGCTGACGTTGACGTGAGAATCGTTGTCAATTTCCTCAAACTTGTGGCTTGCGTTGTTGGCAACAAAAGCAAGAGCCAACTGAGTACCACTGAAAGCTACAACGGGGGCGAGTCAAGACACTTCAGATTATCAATTCCACGAGCATACGAGCAGAGGGCATCATGGCACGGGAGTGAAGGTGGCCATCTGCAGATCTTGTGGTGAGCATACCGGTCTTGGCGGATTGGACGATTTCGTGCAGTCCTACTTAGTATGAACACAATACTTCGACGCCCAAATGACATGAATTACCTTCGATCTTCTGTTGGGGGGTGAGATCCTTATTTTCGGCCTTCGCGGTGTAGGGGTCAAGATTGGTAGTCATGGTGGGTAGTCGAAGAAATGAAAGTAGAAGTGGACGAATGGGTGTCCTAGTATATATACGAGAAATGAGACTTGACGTCATGTGGCAGTCAACACGAACTTTAGACAGGAATGACGTCGCTCCATCGTCAGCCTGAAATTTTGTGTCAATTATAGCCAAAAAGAATTAGAATTATTAGCAATTGCCTTACTGCCCCATTGTCAACCGAGTCCCACCGAGCTACAACAAAGAGGGCGTCAGAAGTCTGAGCTGTACCTTATCAAAGTGACGGTATTTTGAGAGCAGGAGAATTATATGTATAAAAGATGGTGTAGACAAGTGGTGTATGGACGAGACGGTATCTACTGCAAACCAGGGATGGATGAAGAAGTTGACTGTTGGGGAGCCATCGACGCAGGCACTGTGTATCATGTATATAAGCAAGAGCTGAATTGAAAAAGATGGTAGCGCACATGGGGCCATCTGTGGCCGTTGTCCTTCACTAAATACTCGTGATACAAGAACACCAACTCCCTCGAACACGCCGAGAAGAATACCACACGCTATGGCAGATCCCAAAGCAGATTTTGGACCACCTAAATATCAAGGAAAGGGGACGATTAGTCGCTGTAAGGGAAAGATGAATCACAGCGTACTTCGAGCGGCCAGACATCCACCGGTCATGAATCCAGATATGATAGCGTTCCATGCATCCTCTTTTTGCCTCCAGCCCTTCACAGCACAGTCGAATGTTGAGAACATTCCTCCCCATACACCAAAGTTACCGCCTGTAACTGGTGCTCGGGCCTTCATAGATGATATGGCACCGACAAACCGTTCACCCTGAACGAAGCAGTGAGAAGAAATTCTTCTGAATATCGTATGCACACACTCTAGGGGAATTCCGGGCACCCTTAATGCTATACCAGATACCGCCACCAACGGCACCCATTGCGAATGCACCACCGAAGTCATTGAGAATTACCCAGGGACTGAAGGAGACATGTTTAGTGAGCTTGTGATTTGAGACGGAAAGATGCTTGCCAGGGATCGCGAGAGTGGTCTGCATGGGCCATTGAAGAAAAGAAAGGGAGATGTGGGGGAGCGGATGAAGGTAAGCACTGAGGCTGGATTCGGGAATCGGAATGAAAAAGTTTCTTTTCCCACAAGAGCACGTGATGGATACGCGTTGACATAATCACAAAACAACTAGCAGCTCAGGTTTCAACATTCAACTTGGACCACTATCTCTGACCACGACAAGGCCACCAACAACAATGGAGCTCACCCCGGCGTCTGCCGCGCGTCGCTTTATGAAGGTCCACGTCCAGATCCCTCCTTCTCCTCTTCGCCTGTACCACAGACCCAGTTTAGCTTCCCCCATTCCTACCACTAGCAGTTGCCTCAAAGAAAATACGACTGTACCAACAATACCCAGTAGTATGAAGATCAAGAGAAAAGCGGAGGACCAAGAGATAGCTGGCTCACCTGCCAAGAAAGTTAAACCGATTCCTACGGATGCACCAGGCGTGTACTGCCATCAATGTAATAGGAAGCGCGATCCTGCCGGTGAGTGTCCAGCAGTAATGCTTTGTAATGTCAGCTAAATGTCGTCCTTAGACTGTCTTCAATGCACTTCGGTGCAAATGCGTTCTGGTCAAGTTGCGTCGCGTCGTTGCGCCGTGAAATTCTGCCGTACCTGCCTCAAAAATCGATATAGCACGAATTTGGACGCCCTCAAGTTATCTGATGGTTCAGTTAGCGCAGAAGGCCATGTCAAAGAAGCAGGTTATGTATTCAGGTACGTCTGCGACTAAAGGCATGTCGCTCTTCCTGATAGGCCCGCCTGTAGATGTTATAAATGCAGGGACATTTGCAACTGTTCGCGTTGCAGAAAGATTAAAGGATTGGCGCCTATAGGGTAAAATCTTTGTCACCGTTGTTGATGCCGCCCGTTGATATATCTGCCAGGAACCAACTGCAGATTGCCCGTAGAGAAGGCAGCAAATCTTCGGGACCTCCCGTCGCGAATGTCGTTTCCTCTGCAAACAACTCCGGGGGACCTACCTCTACCAAGAATCATACCACTACCGTCAGGAAGCCCAAGAAGAAAGCTATGCCAAGCGTGGCCTGGACTAGCATCCAATCAAAACTCGGTGTTGCTGACGCTGAAGCGCGGATTTTCATCAGAGAGCTTGTTCTACGCTTTGCACAGTCAACCGGATCAGCTATCAGCAAAGCGCATCTTGAAGAGATGGCTCATATTGGAGGCAGGGGACGTGCCAGTGACGATGACGAATTGGTCGAATGGATAAGCGAGCCTGCTGTCAAGTCCATTCTGTTGTGGTCGTTGGGTATTTTATCGTCCGAAGCAGGCGATGAGTCTATCGGGAAGGTAGTGCATGCATTTTCTCTGACATGTCTGTGTACTCACGCCCTTTCCTAGCCGGTCAGAGTCTGCTCTAAAGATATCCGAGGATCAGGGGCTAACCTCAACAAGATATGGGATAGTCTCGTTGTCCTGCGTCATTCTATCGAGAATCTCAATGGCGCAGTCTTCATACCCGACCCTCTGCCCTGTCCGGACTCGGCAGTGACACACAACACTCGCAGTGCGCGCGGCTCGAACCGTCCCGATAGCTCAATATTCATTGCATCTTCCGCACAACTAGTCCCTGTTGTCCTCAGCCTCGTAGAGTCTGTGCTTCAGACACAGGCCATCAGAACCGAGATCGAGGATGGTGTGAGGCTCGGAAAAGATCGGACTAGAGAAAAGCAAGAAGCTGTGAGAAAGGAGCACGAACGGTGGGATAGTATGAAAGGGCTCACAGATCATAAGAAAGGAGCCGAGGTCGGTCATTTTCCACTCCGCCATGTGCAATATTGAATCTGGAAATTCATAGATGCAAGAACTCAAAGTGAAACGTCATGAACATAAAGAAATCCTCGAAAACTTGGACAGCGCTCTGAAAGTTGCTTCTCACGATTTCTCTGTGCGTTCGGGTCCTTTGGGTATGGACAGAGATGGTCGAATCTACTGGGCCCTTTCACCTGGTGTACACGATCGCCAGTATGCCATGCAGTATGTTTCTGCGATGGCAGCGGGAACCAAGAAACCCAAGAAGGGGAAAGGCTGTACTCGCGCGGCAAAGGACGAATCGTCTCTGTCGGATTGGTCGTCTTTCATCGCTGTTTGGGGACAGAAGCCGAAGACAGGTACGCCACTGACCCACGAAGACGACAGTGACGAGGATGGAGAGATGGACCAATGGTGGGGTTTCTCGGATCCTGAGGACATCAGAAAGCTAGCGGATTGGCTTTCCATTATTTCGGGCCTGGAAGAAGATGGCTCTGAAAGTCCCCCGGCCATCGGTGAGACTGTTAGAAATGGTAATTCAGTTAAAGCTCTCGTTCATAATTTGAAGGAGTATGCCACCGTTCTGGCGTGGAGATGCAAGGATGAGAACGAATAGATTTCAGTTCGTCGGAGAATGCTTCTATTATTATTATTATTTCTTTCCTCGGTCTGTTGTGATACCTTGATATTGACGTAGATAATTCTTACAATATCTTTGTATACTGGTGCTGCAAAGTTACAGCCAATTCTTCCTGTCCCATCGGGCGACTAACGCAAGCGCGAATACGTTCAGCGAGCCGAACGGCAAGGACATGTTTGCACTTTGAAACACTCAGTAACGTTGTAGGGTGCAGGTAGTGAGACGCTGACCATCAAGTGCGTCTTAGAGAGCAAAACGGCATAAATATATGCAGGACAAGTGCAAAAACTGGACGTGGGACCAAGGTTTAAACCAATGTTGACTGTGTGTGTTCCCGTAGACCCAGCCACTTCGTAATAGATGTGCCCCGAGTTTACTTCATACTTGACGACTGTCAGGGGGAGAATTAAATCGGATCAAATAAGACGTAAGCAGAAGATATCACTATTTTCTCTGTCAATGATATCGAGCGCGGCAAGGATTAATGAATCAGGAAAGACTGCCTGGAGCCGGTGTAAGGCATCATCGGTAACTGAAAGCATTGAATGGGATATTCGCAACATGACTGAAATGTAGAAGGTACCTCCTGTAGGTTCCACTGAGTCTATTATGGCGTCGGCTACTTGCAGAATAGAAAGCGACATTGCTTGGGGTTGTCAGGATCATAGCAATTGAGGTCAGAGTTGTCGGCCCGGTGTCCCGTGTCGAGCCACAAGAGCTTTGGTGGCGGTGCCAACTTCATCTTTCGAAATGACTGTCCAGTATCTTTTTTTCTTTGCCCAAGCGCACCATGAATTTCGCATACCGGAACTGCTTTCACTTTCTGAAATGTTCGGCTTTGACTTGAACTTGCCTGAAAATCCAGAGGACCGGAAATCCACTCGTCCTTTTCTAATTGTTGGTCTCCAATGCGAAAAGCACGCTCAATTGCTTGCAAGTCGGAGTATTTTGATCAAGTGTGTCGCGCCTTTGTTTCGTGGCCCTTGGTTTGACATTGCTACTAGATCAGTCTACGAATACTATGGCCACGGATCGACGTATGAAGAGCTCCATCTCTGCAATCGCCGTAATCGCGCCAAATGGGCCAAATACATACCAGACACGTCCTTCAAGTTTCTTGTCACGGCATACAATCATAAAATACCTCAGTCACGACAAAGAGAGATCGTTGAAAGCTTTGCCTATATGGGCTTCTTGGGGAAAATAGATATGAAGAATCCCGACATCGAGCTAGCTTGTTTTGAAGAGCGCAAGTCCTGTTTAATGACTGTATGGTAAGCATTGCTAATGCATTGTCATGTAGACATCGACCGACATGGTACCACTCGAGAAAAACATGAGGGAGATGGCTCATTTAGACAAGTATATTTTGGGAGGCTGGTGCGCTAAATCTTCGTGTAACGCATTGAGGTGCACTCATATCGTATTACTCAAGATCACCACTGGCTCCGCTCGCTCTCTGATAACCAAGTTCGACGTAAAGAAGCGGTCATACTATGGGAACACCAGTATGGAAGCGGAAATCTCCCTTCTCATGGCCAATCAGACACTAGTTAGTATCTTGATGATGAAACTTTCATAATCTAAATCTTTTATTCACAGGCATCCCCCGGTAAGCTGATCTACGATCCTTTCATGGGAACAGGAAGTATGGCCTATGTAAGTCAATCTCAGCCTCTATTCAAAGTCAGTGTTTCAGTGAGGAGTTCAGCCGACAGCTTATTTTGGCGCGCAAATTTTTGGATCTGATATTGATGGACGGCAAATGAGAGGAAAAGGTGACACCTAATTATAATACCCGTTGCCTGTAATTTTTAATCCCTTTCGTACTAGGTGACACTCCTGGCATCATAAGAGCGGCCACACAATATGGGGTGGCAACAAGAATTGTAGATCTATGTACTTTTGACATCACACAAAATCCTTGGCGATGCGGAGACCTTTTTGATGCCATTATAACCGATCCTCCTTGTACGTTCATCTATGGCATCGTTATCCGTGGAATGTGTCGCTGACTTCCTGCCAAGACGGCGTCCGGGCTGGTGCTAAAAGATTAGGTCGGAAACGAGAGTTGAGTCCCGCTAGAATGGCTGCATACCTTGAACACAGGGCGTCTCCTAGACCGTATTTGTCACTTTCGCATTGTCTTCTCGCTAATATCGCTGACCTCGGTACAGGGACGACCAGCCTTACATCCCTCCAACAAAACCGTATGAACTTTCCCGGCTTGCCGTTGATCTTGTGTTGCTTTCCAGATATTTACTTAAGCCTGGAGGGAGGCTCGTGTTTTTCCTCCCTACCGTAACAGACGAGTATGAAGAGGTGGATATATACTCTATGCTTTGTCCTGGGATGGGGGTCATTGCGAACTCGTTGCAAGATTTTGGATCATGGGGCCGTAGGGTCAGTGGGGCCTTGTTTTCAATTTGTATGACCGACTGAATTCTTGCCAAGCTCGTAACCATACAAAAAACCACCAGTGACACCTATCTGCCGCCTGTACTTGAAACGCAGGAACCCCCAGAACGCCCACATGTTCCGGCCCACAAGGACTTCCGAGAAAAATACTTTCGTGGATTTAAACCTGACAGCTGATTATGAAAAATTATTAAAGCATTTAGATGTAATATATAGATCATGCAGGACAGTCAACTAATGACGGAGAAAAGTATCAGTCATGTCACGGCGGAGCTTCCTCGTCTGTTCTCCTTGTTTGCGTCGACTCTTGGAGTTTAATCTCATCCATATCCTTCCTCACTTGCTTTCCCTGCAGGAGTGCCACAAATGATGCCGCAGCTAACACGAACGCCCCGTTGAATATCAATGCCCGGCGCATGTTAAGAGGCGGCTCCGCATCTGGGCCGGCTCTCAGCGCATCCATCACTAGGTCTATGAGCGACTGCTGACAGGAACGAAGGATGAAACGACGAACCCAATATAAACATGATAGCAAAAAGATTTCCTCTGTTGATTCCGTGAGAAACGCAAATAAATTGGACGATTAAGACGTACCCAAACCATAACAATGAAGAACTCGCCTCCGCGTTCCTGGTCAGATCACAACCTAACTCAAGTGCAACTGGTAGCATGGGAACAGATCCGACACCTAGAATAGTCATGATGGTGAACAGTCCGCCGGTATTATTTGGCTTCACTGACAACATTCCATTTTTAGTAGCGTATCAAAGAAGCTTTGCACCGGACGCACCTGCCCAAATCATGGATAACCACACCACGGCCACGATGGGTACTGCGATCTTCGTTGTGATGGCGAGATGTCTAGTAAAGACTCTGTCGAAAAGTGGCGCAGTAACTATCGCAGCAACGATGCCCGTTAGAAGTAGACAGGCCTGTGATACATGAAGTGAATGGTATATCAGAATCAAGATGCCGGCTCACCCCCATCAGTCCGCTGGTATCAGATGAATAGCCAACAGGTTCCTGGTCTTAACATCAGTCTTAGCACCGATGTTGAATGAATTGCGCCAACCATAATTTCGGCCGACAGTAAGGCAAAAGTATTGGTTCTTAAGGACATCATGTCAGACCACACTAAAGTAAGAAAACTTCACTTACGCGGCTACGAGCGAGGAGAAGATGATCCATATAATCCCAAAATCGAAGCGTTCTCTCACAGTCATGTAATACTCTCCCGGTGTTTTATCCAAGCCTAGGACCCGTTTGACGAAGGAGAGAAGAGACGGATGTGTTCGGGACGCAGCATATGCTTTGGTAGAATAGTAACTAGAGTTAGCATATGAAAAACTGAGAAGGACAGTCCATACTGGGCGGCGTAGGAGGAGTAGATCTTATGAGAAACACGCATGGAGTCGCCGCGGTTGATATGATGCCAAGGACAAGAATCTGTCAACTTTACGATCAATTGAAGCCTGGAAGCTAACGAGGAGAAGACGGCCAAAGACGTTCTAACGTACTGATTGTCGAGTGTCACCCACAAGGGGGCTGAGGAGCTGGCCGATGGCACCCCCAATAGGATTAGCTATGACAGAGAGTCAGTAGAATATACAACAAAGTAGTTATAGGAGTAACATACAGATAGCTATGATCATTGTGGCGGTTGTCCTCCCCTGCAAGTTAAACCAAGTCTCAGAATACTTTGGACCAAGCACTTGGTAGATAGGCTGCGAGACCGACGCAAATAGCTGGTACTTCTAGTGAGAAAGTGAGTCGATATGGTTGACTACTCGGCTTACTTGACCGAACATGAGTAAAGCGTAAGAGCTTTGCGTAGACAGAGATCTGGAAGTCCCTGCGTATCTTATCCACGAGGAGAGAATTAAACACAAAGCGCCGACATCACACTGAATTCAGAGTCAGGGAGGTGGACACTAATGAGCAGAAGGATACGCACGCATCGTCGAAGGCCATATCGAGATATAAATGGCGGAATGAGAATTGCTACAGGGAGGTAGATACAAGCCATTATATTTCCCAGCCAATTTACTCGGTTTAGAGAGAAGCCAAGTTCCTGAGATGCTGTAGACCACCAATGAGGACACATGCTACCCGAAGACAGTGCACACTTACTTTCATTGGCTATGGGCCCGAACCACGGCCAACTCATAGCTGCGACGATATTCAGAACAACCTGAAAGCTAGTAAGGTATTGCGGTGAGAGCGAGGAGAGTTTATTAAACAGACAAAGCCAAAGACACCGACAAAGCGCCGTTTGTAGAGGCGATATTCTAGGGGAGACTGAGCTGCATCGGAAGTAACGCTGATAGGATGTACTATCGGGTTTTCCTTGTCTCGCTTGATAGGCTGTAGATCTGGCAGCTCCTGGTCGATGACGGGCTTTTCCAGCTGCTGAGATGAGTCGACGCTCATCGTTACAGGATAGAACAGGACCGTGGTCGCAGACTTTCTCTCATCAGACTCTTTTATCACAAACACCGCGGGAATCAGAAGGTATACCCGTGTGCCCAATACGGGCTCGGTCGAACAAGTGGCCAGGGGCTAGGGGCCATGGGCCATGATGTACATGTGGAATTGACATAAGCCTATTTACATCATCAAGCATCTCCTTTTATCTGCCACCATGAGTGAATACTGGGTCTCGAAGAAAAAGTACTTTTGCAAGTACTGCGATATCTATATTACCGACGATGCTCCTTCTCGACAACAGCACGAGAATGGCCTTCGACACAAAGGAAATCGGGACAGGTTCATTCGAGGGTTGTACAAGGAAGGTGAAAGAAGGAAGAAGGACCAGGCAGAGGAGAAACGCGAAATGGCCAGGGTGGAACAGGTGTGTTTATATTACATTTATTCTCTATTCCGTTTTGACTTCATATCAGGCTGCTCAAGCTGCATTCGCCGTAGATGTTGGTGCCGGGTTTGCCAGACCGTCCGCGCCACAGCCGTCAACCTCCACTGCACCACCGAAGCCAAAGCCAAAGTCATCGAACCTTTTCGCAGATTACTCCACGGCAGCCTCGCTTGGATACACTGATCCCGATGCCGAGAGAATCTCACTGGAGGCTCTGCGTCGTAGGAGCGAAGGTGTAGCTGGTAACTGGGAGGTTGTTGAGTCCATCCCGACTCAGGATACTGAGTCATCATCATCTGAGGTTGCGGGGGTTAAACGTCCAGCAGATGACCACTCAAGCGAGGATTCTCGCCACTTCCAGCTACGCAAGCGCACTCTAGACACCGGACTCGGACGGATATACGATCCTGGCGCTATCCCCATCAAGCGTAAGAAGATAGAGGAGTCCGAGGCGGACATCTCTGGGAAAGCCGACTCATCCTCTGGTAAAGAATCACTGGGGTCTTCTGATGTCCCAGCATCAAAGTGGAAAAGGGCCGGAGAGACGAACGCAGATTCAAAAGAGACTGAAACCCGACTGGACCCGTCCGTCAAGGACGAGGAAGACGTCAAAGTTGAAGAAAGCGTACCAGACGTCAAACCCGACATCAGTAACGACAATCTTGCTCCTGCTCAGGGGACAAGCCTATTTCGAAAGCGTAAAGCCGTTGTAGGCGGAACTAGAGGGAAGCGCTCAATATGACCGGGACAAACGGGTATGTACCTGCTCCTCACACATAAAAGTGTATTCTGATACCTGCTACCATGGATATCAGGGAGTCACTTCCGGAAAGTTTACCGACTAGCCCTGATGTGCCAATGAATGGGCCGCTAAACGATCCGTGATGATCGCGTCATGGTGGATGAGGATATAATACAGTTTGAATACACTTGGCTGTTATACACAACACGTATCGTAACCTGACCAAGGTACGCTCTAGGACTACCATCTCGCAAAGACCATCTCAAGCAAACACAGGCAGGAAGGATGATTGCATCTATACCTAAATCCTCCAAGTTGCTGGCGTCGAAATGATCAGGACGCCTGCATTCTTCTTATCCTCAGCACAAGTAATTCCGTGACTGTTAATGGCGTCAGGTTTCGTGAAATGTAAAGGAGGAACATTGCACACCCTATCATCGCCTTCTCAACTGCAGGCTTCAACTTCGCTTTCCTCTGTTTGGAATGTAGTCCCTTGCCAACGATAACACGCAGAGAATTCCCGCCTTCTTCAAGGACTGCTTTAAAGGCTTTCTCCGTCTTGATTACAGCCTCTGAAGTCAACAGCCCATGCAAGTCGATAGTACGTATCGGGTTAGGCTGTAGTGAGCGATTGCGTGCTGGAAATAACCGTCATTTAAGCGCAGTCAAAGAAGATTAAAAACTCACCGTGGTAATGTCGTCGCGCTGCCCGCTCGTGTAATTTGTCTATTTCTCGAGTGCAATCGTCGATTTCTTGCTTCAGAATGAACTCTTGGGCCCGGTCCTGCTGCTGGACGGCCTTATTGAGACGTATCCTCAAATCTTTCCTTCTCGTTTCATGTGACCATGCTTGTCTGCGGAGCGCCTCGGCCCGACTGCTAAGCATCGGTGAGTCGGGAGAAGTTATGGCGCTGGTTATCGATGGAGGTGAAGATGAGGCAGAGCTATGGTCTTCTGGCAAAGCTATGGCTCTCTGTAGCACGGTGCCTGGTGCTGGAACAGGGATGGCATCCAAGTTCTCCGCCGTGACAGGCTCATCAATAACCGCTAAAGCATGAATTGGTGGTGCGTGAGCTGCGGTCATGTCGACTGAGGTGCTTGAACCCTGAATGAACAGTGGATTCCGCAGCAAAGACTCTTCATCCTCTTGATCCAATAAAAGACGAAGCGGCGGATGGCGCAGATGTACAGGTGTCATCAATGGGTCATCATTGATTGACCTGCTTGCAACTTTACTAGTGTCAAATCCTAGTGGTGTTTGTAATGGATCATCATCATCATTGCTAATGCCAATGTCTCCTTCAGCACGATGCCCTTCTGGGATTGCTGTTGGCGCCCAGCTCAATTGGAGAGCTTTCATTATTCAATGATTCGCGTTGTAGGAGCATGGGTGGTGGTATAATGAGGTCAGTCAGGCCTGGGGGAGAAGGGTACCTCAACGGGTATGGCGCTCAGAATATTGGGACTCGATAGTGGTTGTGGGGGCGGGGGAATAATAATACGAGGAGATGAATCTTCGATCGGTGATTCCGGATGATCAGAGGCGTCTTCATCTTGCGCGCGATGATCTATCGCACCGTGATCATGCGGCGCTGCTGAAGATGTTGGGTTCGATGAAGATTGTTGCGGGAGTGGTATTTGTCTATTGCCGACTTCGTCTAGCAGAGTTGCCGGAGGAGTAGGAAGCTGGGGAGAAGGGGCAGGAGGATAACCTGGATCGGCAGAGCCTGTGGCGACTGGTGCTGAAATAGAAATATCAGAGGTTCTGGGTTCGCTGCGAGTAGTGTCAATAATCCTATCAATCACTGGCCTGACGGGGCCAGGCCTCCCTTCTGGTCGAGGAAAGCGACGGACGGGGGAACTAGTAGGGGGCCGTGTATTCAGTGTACACAGTTCGTCTGCTACCATTGGAATTCCTTCTCAGCGACTAGTGTCGTGTCCATGGTGCGTACCCAGAGCTTCCGAGAACAATGCCCCCAGGAGTGTCCAGAGAATTGTCAAAAGGACTGAGAAAGGACTGTCGGATAATATAAGATCTAGGGCTATTCGCAGCAGATATCCTAGGTATGGAACTCCTGGATTAGGAGAGGCATTGGCGGAGTAATGAACGCAAACGCCTTCCCAGAATCCAAGAAGCATTGGGCCGATCCTGCTTCTCTGTGAGCCGCTAGTGAACTGGAGGGCGAAACGGATCCCAAGCCCCGCTATAACTGCAAATATGCTGTCCATGCTGGCGTAGACTGTGGTACATGATGAAGCCTCGTTGAAGCCGTGTTATCCCTCTCAGGGAACTTGACTGGGCCACGAGGCGCAGAAGATAAAGGCTATACGTAATAAAGCATTATTGTTTCTTGGATACCGCTTTGTTTTCGGATACATCCGGGATGTCACGATCAGGTGACAGTGTGACGGTCGCGACCTTTGTGCCTTTGTTGCCCTTTGTTGACCTCGACACTACCAGGACTATCGCATCAACCTCAGGGACACTGTCAGTGCGTTTCTCTGTTTCTGCATAAGCCGGGCTTAGTGTGCTCGTAAAACAGAATGTCCAGCTATCAACAACACTATTATCAGGATTATGCTAATGAGGATCAAGAGGATGACAGCGAAGACACCGACGACTGCGAAGAGGAATCAGAAATCACGGAGTATCTTTCATCACACTCTCACCAATCGCAGCCTAACTACGCTGAACCGACACCTGATCAAATGTACGCGCCTTTGGAATCAACATCGTCATTCCAGCGATACCAACCAGGTCAAGCATTGGCTCCCATTCTGACCGGAGAGACCCTGAATATAGATGACATCCGGTCGTCGCCCCACTCCTCCTCGGATCCATTTTCCGGATCTCCTTCACACTACGCGGGGCAACCCAGCTACTATGCTGACCAAGACTATGTGCCGCCATTCACAGATACCTACTCTGGGTCTTTCGCTGCGGGCACGGGCGCAGACCGCTATGATGGCGCAACATACGCTTCTGGATACCTCTCCCGTGCTTCCTACGTGCCACCCCGTTCTCGGTCACCGACTCCTGCTGTCGATGATGAAGACTACCATATTGTCGGTGACGAGAGTTATCACTATACGGGAGAATCCCAAGACCCAGAGAAAGGGGAGTACATCGATGCATACCATGGGCAGCCCGATTATCCGGCAGAGTATGATAGCCGCTACCCAGTCCAAATGTCGAAGCAGGAATCAATATACTCTGCAGCCAGCGAGTCCGACGTAACACCCGTGGAAACGCGCCATTTCGGTACTGCACCCAAAGGTCGCACGGAGCGCCGGCATCTGAAAAGGACTGTTGCTTTGAAGAATGGTCATCTTGTCACAGATCTCCCGATTCCACCTAAGCTTGTTCTACCATGGCGAGGATCCCCAGAAACGTTATTTACCCGGTATTCCGCAGTGACTTGTGACCCGGACGACTTTTCGCGGAGTGGATACAGTCTACGGCAGTTTGAATTGAAACGGACTACAGAAATCTTTATTGTTATAACAATGTACAATGTAAGTCTAATCTCTGAAGCGCAGGCGTTTGTGATGACCCGATATAATACAGGAAGATGAGGTTCTGTTCTGCAGAACGTTGTACGGAGTCATGCGGAATATATCTCAGCTGTGTGCGCGGAAAAATTCGAAGACGTGGGGACGTAATGGATGGCAGAAGGTGAGAAACAACAGTATCCCACGTATTTGTTGAACGCTTATGCTTCAGTCAGGTCGTTGTTTGCATTGTTGCCGACGGCCGAAAGAAAATTCATCCTAGAGTGTTGGATTGCCTCACGCTACTAGGTGTTTACCAAGAAGTTCCAAAGGAGATCACGGGCTTGAGAAAGGGCTTCAATGTCGATATGGTCTCCGCTCATCTTTATGAATACACAACATCTTTTGGCCTGGACCCCAATCTGCATTTCAAGTATCCCGACAAAGGGATTGTCCCTACTCAAATCATATTCTGTATGAAAGAGAAGAATCAGAAGAAGATCAATAGTCATAGGTGGTTCTTCAATGCATTCGCTCCTCTGCTACAAGTGAGTTGTTAATATTTATCGTTACCATCCTAATTCTTTTATTAGCCCAAAGTATGCGTACTGCTGGACGTGGGAACATGCCCTGGAAGTAACAGCATTTATCGCCTGTGGAAGACGTTCGATCTCAATTCCAACGTTGGCGGGGCCTGCGGTGAAATCGCCGCCTTTAAAGGGAAGCGATGGTCGCTTCTGCTCAATCCGTTAGGTGCGTGGTCAATAATTGCTGCATTGATGCTGGAGAACTCAAGCAGGAAATCATGTCCTATAGTTGCTGCCCAGAACTTTGAATACAAAAATAGTTCAATATTGGACAAACCAACGGAATCCATGTTCGGATATATTAGCGTCCTGGTAGGCCCAACTAGCGTCTATTGACTGTGTACTAATTCACCGCTGACTAGCCTGGCGCGTTTTCTGCGTATCGGTATGTCTCGACCCGATACTCTTTTTATGACATTAAAAATGCCTAGATATTTTGCTCTGCAAAACGAAAACGGTGTAGGACCGCTGGCTTCGTACTTTAAGGGAGAAGTGTTACATGGCCGTGATACAGATATCTTCACCTCTAACATGTGTAAGTATATATGCTCATTCTCAACCTGCGATTTTAATCGTTAATTTGCGCATAGACCTTGCCGAAGACGTAAGGAACTTGAATTCTTGTCTGAACATAGTTTCACTTTTCTCTTCTAGCGTATACTCTGCTTTGAGCTCGTAGCGAAGGCGAAATCAAATTGGTGATCGTGTTGCTCTCGAATTGCCCTAGTTCGCTAATGTTTTTATAGGGTTCTACGATATGTCAAGGGTGCTATTGGAGAGACGGATGTACCCGATGCTCTTCCTGAATTCATGAGTCAACGTCGTCGATGGCTCAATGGGTCGTTCTTTGCTGCAACATATGCTATCGCCCATACCCCGCAAATCTGGCGTTCCGGACACAGCCTTTCACGGAAAATATGTCTGACGATCGAGACGATGTATAACATCATGAATTTAACGTTCTCGTGGTTCAGCATTGTGAGTCTTTTCTGGTTTGCAATGTGAATGTCTCTAAAGAAATCCACAGGGAAACTTTTACTTGTTCTTTGTGAGTCCCTTCTTTGTAGCGATGAAGCCGTTGTCTAATCTCGGTACATTACAGGTTGTTCTGACGTCCTCTCTAGAAGACAGTGCATTTGGAATATCTGGAATCAAATATCTTAATTGGTTTGCTCAGGCGAGTCTTGTTAATTTGTTTTTGCTGTTTAATGCCAATGTCATGCAGTATTTTTTGGCGTCCATCATAATATCACTATTCTTCATGTCTATGAGCATTAAACCCCAAACGTATGCTTCCTTCCATCGTTATTAGCCCAAGTGACTGATAAGGGTATTTCAGGGCAAAATGGAAATACAAGTCCTTGTCGATTGCTCTTTGCGTCTGCATGATATACATGCTTACTGCATCTGTTGTTTGCGCGCTAAAAGCATACTCACAAGGAGGTAGCGCGAACACCATCATGCTCTTTAGTGTGATTATCACCTTCGGCAGTAAGTTCCTGTAACAACTTCATATACCAGGCTAATATTTATTGGTTAGTCTATTTTATCAGTAGCGTGATAGCACTGGATCCGTCGCATATGCTGACAAGTTTCCTGCAATATATGCTGCTTTCTCCGACATTCATCAATATTCTCAATATGTAAGCTCTATTCCTCTATACCATGTAGTGCCTGACATTTCCCTTTCAGTTATGCATTCTCAAATCTGGACGACGTGAGCTTTTATCGACATCTGTTTAAACTTACTAGATATGCATTGCGTTGCAGATTTCCTGGGGAACCAAACAAGACGCCGAGGTTGAGCCGGAAGGGATGGTGGTGCGGCCCACTGCCTCCCAAGTGGACCTCGATTTCTATACGGAAGCCTCAACAAATGAGTTGTATGAGGAGGCTATAGCGAATCTCAAGAATCGGACTCCGGTCGCAAAACCTAAATCTACGTCGCTGTCTGAATATGAAAAGGCACAAGCAGCTAAAGAATACTATGCAAGTATACGTACCAATGTAAGTGATACACTCTGAAGACTTCCTGGATTTCACCAACGTGTATAATAGGTTGTGCTTACTTGGGTTTTGACAAATGTATGTCCGAGGAAGTTGGCTTGTCAATCATCCTCACGAGTTCCATTTCAGGGTATTCTGCTGGCACTGATATTAGGAAGCGGCAGCAATACTACCACCACTTTTAGTGAGGGATACACCCGTGCGAAGACATACCTGACCTTCATCCTTGTTTTCACTACGCTCGCCAACTCTATTGTACGTCACTATCATTGGTTGCTTTCCTAGCATGCTAATAATGTCATCCAGCGCTTTATTGCATCTACGATATACCTTCTTATGACCCTCATAACGGGGTAGACCAAGTGACATATCTTTATAGGTATTATTATGAATGGCCTGAAGACTAGACATCATGATATAATGCGCCGTAACACAACGTACTACTTCAATGTGTACCATACAGGCTCCTCTGCGATCTTTGGAGGTTTATGTAGCTCATCTACGGAAATAAATAAGCATAAAACGACGTAGGATTCTCTGGCGAGCGCGCAGTTCTTCGGACTGGCCTACGCAGTCGGACCGCCGGGGAACGCGAAGGAGATGAAGCGGACTGGGCTTGACGCAAGCGAGTACGCAAAGGTAATGAACGCCGAGGGCTGATGTCTGTATTTTGGTCTATTGTCAGAGACGCCAGATTTGCAGACAGGCCATGTTCACTCCCTGACTCGTCTGCTTCGATATCTGAGCCTGCGATGACCGACCATACTTCATCAAGGTCTGGTTCTGCGTCTGCAACGGGTGATAAAGGTGGGGAATTTTCGGGTACTGCGGATAGACCTGTGGCAACGTCGTTTAGAGATTCGACATCGGAGGTAAATTCTGATTCAGTATCAAATTGGGAAGAAGAGTCGATGTCGGTTACAGGGGGGGTTGCAAGGGCGAAAGGTGCATGGGAGTCTGGGCGAGTGACGTTGGGGCGCAGAAGGTAAGTAAGACGTTCCCCGTCCACTTCCTTGCCTACAGAAGGAATCAATAACAACGGCCAAAGGCTGGCTGCTGGGGCTTACTGTAGCTGACAACCTCATGATACCTAGCACAACAATGCACAACATATCTTCCGAAAGCATCGTCGTTGGTGCACCAGACCAGCTGCAGTGGAGTACGCGACACTTCGAAGATGGTTCCTGTGTCACCGATAGCTCTCCGGACGCCCGTGCTCGTCGTCTGAGGAGTGTCTGGCGACATGACTGTCCCACCGACATGTAACCAATCGACGACTTCTTGCTCTATATCTTGGACAAGAAGCTGGGCGCGCCTACCAGCCTTACGAAGATCCCGTCGCATTCCTTTAAGACTGAGTGAAAAGCGGCCTGCATTAGCTGAGTTGGGATCTCTTGTCGGGAGATGGGCTCCGGGAACTTTCGCGGTGCGAGGAAGATATGGTGGTAGGGGTTCCGGAAACGTAGTCTTGTTGGACGGGGGATCCAAAATATAGTCGTTCTTTGTTGCAGAGATGATGTATGGGTTACCAACGAAGCGAGCTGTAAACTTGTTTTTGAATAACTCGAATGAGGATAGACGAAGACGGACCGTTTTCTTTGCGCTTGATCCACCGCTTCCCATCATTATCGTTCCTTCTTCTTCCCTTCTTTGATGTATGGGGTACGGTGGAAGACGTTGAAAGGGAAGGCTTGGACGTAGTATGTAGATGGGCGAAACGGTCCGTAAGGCCGCGATTGCGCAGAATGGATGGGAAAGAGAGAGGAATCGGGCCTTGGTCTTGGGCTATAGAATTGGCATTTGAAGAATCGTTGTTACTGTCTGCCATAGCTGCGATATCGACTGGGTAAGTGGTCGAGTAGAGTGAGTCGCGGTCCGCCAGCCGTACCGGACCCGCAACCATGCATGACTCCGACCTAACCCACACGGCCAAGCTCCTCCTCGATGATGACGGCGACTTTCTGACCTGGTAGTCGTGGCACTATTTCGAGATATAATTACATTCCAAGAAGCAAAGATGAGTGAAATATCTAAATGACAGCGTCTAACTAGCATAACAGCGAAGAAATGGATAGTGAAGAGATACAGTTTGATACAAGATAGATGAAACCGGTTATGGCTACAAGATGTTTGACGGAGAGATCCAGAAAAGATTATATCCATCGATATCGGACAAGGAATATAAATCAAGTCCTTCGAGAATTCAAAGAAAGTCCCGACCCGGATTCGAAATTCTTTCATCTGGATCGTTCAGCTGTCTCCGATAGGTGCTAGGCCCTCGCCTGTGTTAGCGCAGCCGTGTTCTTGGAACTGAGCTGGAAGGGCGACAACAACATCGATGGCGGGACATTCTCATCTCGGTTCTGCGGCTGTTCTGCCCCATGCGCTGAAAAGTCGAGTCTCCTGCCCCGAACGCCATGAACTCCTGCCCCTCTTGGGTCGTCGCTATTATGGTCTGTGTTCGTCCGTCCCTTGGGTCGTGGTGTAGCGAGGACGGAAGAGCTGTAGAACGTGCCAGTTTGTGCTACGGGAGTGGAGTATCGACTGTCGATCGAAGGAGACGGAGGGGTAGGTGAAGGTGTCGGCACCTGCAAGATGGGGCGCAATTGTGCATCTCTTCTGGTGGCACTTCTCGTTTGCATGATGGTAGGTAAGTAAGAGGGAAGGTTTCGTGATTGGCGCCGTTGCACAATAAAATTGCTGTGGTGTTTGTCGCCCTTTTATAGGTAAAATCAGTACAGAGCCACACTGTCACATTCATGTTTGGAAAAATATTACCTTTGGTTTCCTTGTTCTATAGTCAAAGCGCAACCGTGGACAAAAGGGACAAGACCAACCTTATATATTTCGCGGCAATACACCGTCACCTTTTTATGGCATGTCTTGGATACCGAGGGCCTATTTGTGTCCAAACTAGCTCGGAGTTGACTCGTGGTAAGACTCAAGGCTGAAATCGCCTACGCTCCAGCCCCTCGTACCAATTTCACGCCGAATTTCAATTAATGCACATGACCGCGCTAAAGAGCCGCGTGGCAATTGACTTTGTCGTGACGAATTCTAAGTTGATAGTTCTATCTGTCGGGACAATCCGAGTATTGATTGCCTATATAGTACATGAATGACTTGGAAAAATATAAGAAGTGGCAGAACATTCTTTCCCTACTTCCTTCACGTTCGTCTAACCTCCTCGCACCGCGCGTCCCCACCAATCCTTCGCGTTCTTTTCATCATGAACTTCTATCAGCCGTTGAGGCCCCCTCACCCGTTGAACTTGCCGCTCTTCAACACGTCCGTTCCAAAACGTGTTCCTCTTTGGCGCCCCCAGGCAATGAAGACCCCCAAGGTCACGAAACTCACGAACGACCCCCTAAAACGCATGGCGCCGCAGCTCAGAAAGGACCGAGTGGAGACCATTGCGTCGGCTTTTCGACGCCATAGGCTTGCCGGCGCTGCTCGCACGTCCAAACTTCCCGGCTGTAATCCGCCCCTCCCTGATGAGGAGGGCAATATCCCGAATACCCAGAAAGATAACGTGGACGAGCTGGTTACATCTCTGGATTCCACCCACCTTTTCATTCTCACGGCACACAGGTGTCAGCTGGCTTTCGAACATAACCTCACGTCAGAGGTGATGCTACAGCGCATGCGGAAGATTGAGGACCACGACGCGGCTGCCTCCCAAGCTAGGATGAAGCGTCGTCTGGCACGAGAAAAGGCTGAGAGGGAGGAGCAGAGGAAGAAGGCAGAACAAAAGAAGAGACTGGAGGAGGAGGCGAAAGAAGCGAAGCGAAAACAGGAGGAACGGGAGCGTAGACGGAGGCAGGAGGAGCAAGAGCGTAGACGTAAGTTGAAGGAGACGCAGCAGGGCACTTCCCGTTCGCCGCCATCTAAGCCAGTGAGTATGTTTTGTTCGTCCTGAACTACTACTGACCGAGGCTGCTATATTAGACTTGCGAAGAGTCATCTTCAGTCGCGTTCTACCGCTTGTATGAATTCAAGTGGACGATTTTAAAGTCAGGCGACATAACGTCCAGTGGTCCTCCGACATTTGAAACCTTTCCTTGGCCATGTTTCGAAACCATCTCCAGGGAGGAGGACCTTACGTCTGAAAAAATCCGCACATTTCTCTTGGATCCTGCTAGGCCCAACGCAAAGGACAAGACCAAGAAGGATATCATCAAGGAAGAGCTGTTGAGGTGGCACCCAGACAAGTTTGTAAAGGTACTTCCGTTGATGAAGGAGGATGACAGGGAAAAAGTTGGCGCTGCAGCGAAGATTGTCGGGAGGTTGATAACGGACTTGTTGCCCGAGTTCGCTCGTGGATAGATCTAGAGCACCAGTGTATTTCTTGTTTCCACACTTTGTACCAAGTACTTAGACTGTTGCATTCCTGAGTAGAGTATGTTTCAATAAAGTTCGGTTTCCAACAGTGGGAGTGTGGTTCTTATCTGTGGCTTTCACAAAGACAACTTACCAGTGGTGCCAGCTGGGAGCGGCGCACAAATCGGGTAAACTCCGGAAGGAGCACCCGGCCTGTGCCAAGCAGAAACAAATAACGTGACTTGGTTTGAACTTCGCGTGCCACATTTCAACCATTACCCTTTGCGCGAAACCCCCATCATGGTAGGCCCCTCGTCGTCTAGAATCGTTTTTCGCGCTGATATTCGCTTCAGTTTTATTCAGAAGCGATTTTGTCGCGGCGTGGTCCGCTTGGAAAAGTATGGCTCGCTGCACACATGGAACGCAAATTGTCCAAGACGCAGACATTACAGACGGACATTGAGGAATCCGTCGGTACGCCCCTATTTATTTCACGTCTGGCCTCCTCTAATATTTTCATATAGGTGCCATAATGGGTCAAGATATAGAAATAATGGCGCTGCGACTCAGTGGACAACTTCTTCTCGGTGTGGTGCGTATATATAGCAGGAAAGCCAAATATCTGTTAGACGACTGCAACGAGGCCCTGTTGAAAATTAAAATGGTTCGTCCGTTTGTATCGCTGTTGTCGCGCAGTTTTCTTACACTGTCCTCAAGGCGTTTCGTCCCGGAATTGTCGACATGAATGAAGACCAGCTTGTGGCCAACAAGAACGCGATCACACTCACCAGCAATGACTTGGACTTGAATCTTTTCATTCCTGACGTCAACTGGTATGATGTTGCTCCAACCCAAGTTCATTGACTCACGTGAGCATAGGGATATGGATTTCGAGGATCGCCCTTTACCACAGCAAGGGCATCAGCATCAAGCTCGTATCGACGACATCACTTTACGAAATACCGAAGATTTCGGCCAGTTTGACTACAATGATCCCCTCGACTTGGGCCCCGCCGATGGAATTGGCTCCCAGGACTTTGATATAGATTTAGGTCTTGACTGGGGTGACGGTGCTGTCAACAACAATGACTCCATGGATGTTGATGGCCTGAGTGTCGATGGCAGTGTCGGTGTTGGACGAGATGCAGCGCCAGGCCGGGATTCTATTGGAATAGATGCTAACCACTTACTGGGTGGGGACGTAGACATGGACATGGATATCGACCTTCTTCGCCGTAGCAAGAGCCGAGAAGCGTCTGAACATCCTTTCGACGCGGACATGAACATCGACGTACCCGACTTTGGCGATGTAGACTTGGGTGACTTGGGTATTGGTTTTGATCTCCCAAACGACCTACCTTCCGACCTTCCTCAGGATGGCGAGAAGACACCTGGACAGACACGATCGTCTTCGCGGGCTTGTAAGTTCTCTGGCAAACTTGAGTATTGTGTCTCACCTCTGGCTTTAGCTTCTCCTCTCTCTGATGTTCCCCTTACCCCGCCTCCAATCGAAATGAACGGCGACGTGACTCCGATTGCTCCTGCCAAAGCGCAACGGAAACATAAGGAAAAGAAACAGATTATCGATGCCGTGACCGAGCTTCAAGGTGGTCCAGGAAATGGTCGAGGACGACATGGCTTAGGTGCACCGGTAAACAAGGATGTAAGCGATATCCTCGTCGAACCCCACTTTCTTCCTCGATCGTCTGTCGTGATGCGCTTGCTTGAGATTCGCAGCGACCCACTTGCACACTTCCTTCCTACTAAAGTGACTCCCCAAGGCACTATCTTGTGTGCTGCTCCCCCTGGGTTGGCACCTGAGCTTGCGGAGATGTTCATGCGACCGATCGCTGGTTCGAAGAAACGCGGCATTTCTCCCGGAAAAGGCCCGAACAAGCGCCGAAAGGTTGATGAAGCGAGTGTCCATGAGGATGATGAGGTTGAGCAAGGCCGTCGGGCAGAAAGTCTGGCTCCTAGTGTTGCATTGGGGAGTGATGTCATGGGCCGTGGTGTCAGTGTCGGACCTGAAGGGCTGGACTTCGGCGACCAAACCGGTGGTGCAGAGGATTTCCAGTTGGATGTTCCGGATCTTGATCTTGATGTTGGTCTGGACAGTTCGCGAGAAGTCTTTGGCACCTTCAGACAGAAGTCGGATGTCGACCCCTGCTGGGGACTTGTTGGAGGACGGCGTGGATACTTATGCCGATCTGACGTGCCCTATTGCTATGTTCGATATCCGACCATCGACTCAAACTCAAGAGAAAGAGGCGGAACCAGCAGATACAGAAGGAAAAGGCTATAGCAAGAATACTGTTAAGGCTCTAGGTATCATCAGGCGAGAACTGAGGCCTGGTGAGGATGATGACGCACAGGAGAAAGTGATCAGTTTCCGCAAGATGGCTGACAAGGTACGCCGTTCTTGAATTTGAATTTTGATCTTAATAACGAGTATTCCAGGCATCGCGTCGAGCTGCCGCTTCCTTCTTTTTCGAACTGCTTGTCCTTGGAACTCGGGATTGTGTCAAACTGTCGCAATCGGGGCCGTTTGAAAACATCGAAGTCCGGGCCCAAGATAAATTATGGGAGCGCCAGCGTCACGGATCTGTTCAGCCGTCTGTGCGTGGTGCATCGGTTGCACGATCTATCGCATCTACTATGGGACTATGATTGGATACCGGTATCCTCCGTGTGAGATTTACTAGGACGTCTTGGATTTATTAACGAACCTTTTACGTCTACTATCTATTACCCTACGTATCTTATTCTTTTCGCTATCGTTTGTTGTGTCCATTACTATAGTGTAGCGTATGTTTTTGTTTTTCCAATGAGCAGTTGTATCCGTTGGCGCAGCCAGGATTGAAAGTGGATGGGCTTGCTAGATGGGGCTATGCGTCCATTCGGCCCTCTATATACGGGCACGACTCTTGTTAGTGTCTATGGTAAAGGCGCGTCCACGTGCTATGCAGCGATATATATTAAAACTACGTTAGAAGGCCCTGGAAGGAAGGGTACGCTCTGTCTTGGCCTCATAAGTTCCGGTGAAACGTGTTTTCTCATGCGTTGAAACATCAGTATCAATGAGTCGAACGCTTTTACGATATCGTAAATTCTTACCAGCATCACGATGATGAATGATCGACAGTATATATGATTGAATGAAATAATGATTCTCGAAACTTCAGCGTAACAATTTCAACCCTGGGGTATCGGCACTGGTACGTTTGCCTTTCCATCGATATCCAGCCCCACAGTAAACCTGCTAACCCAATTATAACCACCCGCGGTCGCTGCGGCGTCCACGAGTTGAGTATCATTGAGAAACACGCGGAGGCTGTTGAATGTTTCCTCTGACACTCTGATATTCAGAGCAACCTCGTCCGCATATATCATCGCGGCAGCGAGACGGGGCCCGAGCGATTGTGTAATGGTGGAAGAGTTGACACTACCGAAGGGCGGAGTGAGACGGACAAAGAGGAGTTGTTCTGTTGTGAGACCTTCAGCGCGTCCGACGGCTTCGTGTTCTGTCCTATGGTAGATAGATATCAGATCGGGGTAAGAGTTTCAAAGCAAGGACTCTGTGTTACCACTGATATGCTGCGTTATTAATGGCTGCAGTACGCAGGATCTAGAATAGTTCCGTGAGAACATTTCCAAGCGGCTCTCGGTGCCTTGACATACGAGCAACTCCCGCATATCGCCTGGTAGGGTATTGTTATCCCGTATGGCACCAAACACATCGTTCCACCCTGCTGCAACCGGCCGCGAGTTGAGCCTGATATTTCGAAATGGTAAAATGGAAGTGAGTTCCGACTCTGAGCGCGTGCTTACAGGACACCGTCAAGGTCGAGCAGTATGCCATTGGTACGTCGGGCCCGAATAGAATCCGCGAGCTGTACATGTGCAGATAGTGGTCAGTCAAGCTAATGAGGTGGTTTATGCGTACGGGAATCTGTGCCAGCTTCAGGGAAGATGTACGGTACCCGTGCCTGGGATATTGTCATCCCTCTTTCCGAGAGGCAGAGCCAGCAGAGAGGGTACGCAGGAGAGGATAAGAAGCAAGATGTAACAATTCCATGACTTCGCATGTATTTGACCATGTGCGCATTTAAATGTATGTTCAAATCACTGCTGACACGCTGCTGTCCAATGGTGCATGAGAGCTGGATTTCCACTACCCAGTCAGATCCATACCGTACCGTTCCGTTCCGTGGGACGTGTGCGATCCCCGTGCGCAAGGTACTCAGTGATCACGCAAGAATCGAAAAACTCAGTATTTCCACCGGTACTACACACGCTTGAAGACATACAAAGAGTTAATCTCCCAGTATGCTTCCTTAAATTTATCAGGATTGTTATCAACGACTAGAAAGCTGTCAGCGAAGACGAAAATAGATCGAAATGGTCCGACGTACAATCCACACAGGTGGAAGTGCCACAACCGGCAGAAGCAAATACATTGCCTGCCCAGTCACCCTGTGGGAATTAAGTCAGAGCCAAAGATGATCTCATGATAGGGATGACGCACGCAAAAAGTAAGATTAATCACGATCTTGTGACTATTAAAGTGGGTTGAGTAGTCGCAGTCCTTTACAGGAAAAGTTGCGTCTGGTTCTCCCCAGCTGTCTGTTCCGAAGCCGATGTGCTTGAAGATAAATGGATATCGGACTTCAAGTGGGACCCGCCAACTGTCCCTAGGCCAAAACCAGACTTGGATACCGGTTTCCTTGGTTCTGCGCATTGCGTACCATCCGCCGCCGTTGCTGTTAGATGGAGAACCGTAAGAGTTGCTTTGTGTAAAGGAAGTTCCGCAGCCCTGGTTGTAGTTGAAGTTTGTGTCGCAGTTGGTTGACTGAGTTTGCCTTGGATGACATTCGTGACTCGGGACAACGTAAATAATACAAGGAACCCACCCGCTCTGTAAACGCTCTTCAGGCATAGAACAATTGGGAGTTGTGTGGAGAGAAGCGAGGTTGTTTGTATTGAGATTGACGCCTTCTATAATCTACATAATTGATGGTGAGCAATTGGTGGGAATAAAGCAGGAGGAAGAATATATAGATATACATCTATTTCGCCGCCCTGAGGCCAAGGGCCCGACTGACTGAATGACCAAAAGGCCGGCCAGGTCGCACAACCAGCAGGCATGTGTTCGACGTCCAAAATGACGACAGATTGATCGTAGGCGGAGAAGGATTCAATGCGAACACTGTCCCTGCCACGAGCATCGCTGGCAGAAATGACATTGTGGGCGTCGGCACACATAAAAAACTTGGTATCATCGGCTGAAGCTGTGGATGCACCGGTTGAACAAGTGGGCCTACGAAGGGAGATAATAGGCGATACCATAAGAGAGATTATTGGCTATGGCAGTGCGCTGGTCGACATAGTTGACGCGACCGTGAGTAGGGTCGTCAAAGGTTTTCCAGTCAAAGCCAGAAAAGAAATCTGAGCCTATGAACTTGTCTTGCAAAGTAAACCAAGCAGGGTGAGCTTGCACGGAGACGAAAAGAGCGGCGAGGAGTAAGGAATACATGAAGGGGGAAAGTAGACAGACAACATAGTCGACAGAAAAACAGACAGGATTTATAGAACCGAGGAGCAGAAGTGACCCTTTTAGTAGCCCCTAGCATGATGAACCAAGTGGTAAACGAGATCAAATGCTGACATAACAACTTGATCAATGACCACCACGAGAAAGGCAGCCAAGCAGTCCGCCTTGGTCAAATATTACCTTGTCACTTACAACGTCCTGTCCACTCTCGGCTGGTCATGGATCCTTGTCCTGACCCTTGTCCACTTATTCAACCTTGACGGCAAATCTGCTGCCATTCAGCCAACCACTGCCTCCGCCTTTTCTCGCATCCTCACTTCCCTGCCATTCGTCCACGCTGAAAAAATTTATCCTTCTTATGTCGAGTCCCGGCTGCCCCATTTTCTGCAACCCGTCTATCGTCGCGCAACGACGACGTACTGGCGGGTTGGGGCTGTCACCGCGTTCGTGCAATCATGCGCTATCCTCGAAGTCGTACATGTCCTGCTCGGCTGGGTGCGTAGTCCATTGTCAACGACCGCCATGCAAGTCGCCAGCAGACTGTACGCTATTTGGGGTGTCACCGAGCCATTCCAACGCGTCTGCTCGAATCCTCTCTATACGACCATGGTGTTCGCCTGGTCTGCCACTGAGGTCGTCCGCTACTCTTTCTATGCATCCACCCTTCTCGGTCATGAACCCAAACAGCTGCTCTACCTGCGGTATACCCTCTTCTACGTCCTTTATCCTCTTGGTGCTTCCTCTGAAGCTTTCCTCAACTATGCCACACTTCCCACTTCCTCTCCAATACCTAGTTGGTTGTCATGGGCACAGGGTATGTGGAAACCCACAGACTACGTCCGTGGTCTTTTGTTCTTGACCTGGTGGCCAGGTGAGATATCCCAGCTATTCATTCGCCTTTCTCGTCTAATCCCTTGCAGGTCTGTATGTCATGTATACGCACATGATCGTTCAGAGGCGAAAAGTCTTGGGTCCTGGGAAAGGCGCAAAAGCGAATTAATTTGTTATAAGTGGGATAGAATAGTACTGGAAACCCTCAGCCCCCCGTATTCAACTTGAACCTATAATGTCCTGATTGATGCTCTTCGCAAACCCGATACGAGCCTTCCCTGAACGCGGCCCATAATCGAAAGTGGTGTAATCTATTCGCGTCTTTTTTAGTAACACCCCCACAGAAGCTAGAGTACGTACAGGATTTCAAGAACACCCCTCCCACAATCACCAAGTTGGCATCTAATCCGCTACCATCATGCGAGAGCACACCCCCCACACAATAACTACACAATCAGCTCAGACAGAGTACGATGAAGACACAATCCACAATCACCTCGAATTCTGGTCTGTTTTTCCTGTTCATGACAATCAGGTTCAATATGCGGGCTGCGAGCGCTATTTGAGCCTACCGAGGTCAAAATCTCGACGATCGATGTAGAATTTGTGGTCATCGAAGACGAGCGCGATGTTGACCTCCGAATTGCAAGGGTATTTGTACATCCCTATGTGCGCTCAGGATACTCAATAGTTACATCTCTGATGGACCCACCTTGTCCAAGGTCGTCTGCACGGCTGGAATGCGGAATCTTGCAACTCTTGTTAGAATAACCCATTATAAATAATCATGCTCACGAGTACCATCATATAAAGTTCCTCTGTCACTAATCGAGACGCATATATGAGGGTCGTCCCGGTGTCGATAACCTGAGGAAGTCAGACACGCTTCATGAGCCGAGGTACCTTTGAGGACGTACAGCAATTAGTTCAAGGGACACCAAGGATTTCTGTTGTTTTCCCACAATCACAGCATTCATAGAAACGGTCCAATACGTCTACGACAACGGTTTCAATGCAAGAAGGGCTCAACGAGTGGGATACCGTACTTCTGATTTAACGTCTATGTAGATAGGCTTCTCCCTTGCTTTTGTAGGATCGCGGCATCCCAGACAGAGCTACAGAGAAAACGTTTAATAGATCAACAATTGGAGTGACGGAAGAACTTGCCTCAGAGCCCGTCTCCTGTTTCCTTGTGAGATGCACCGAAAACATACGAGCCTGAACCAACCCTGTAGCCATCATGTTCTCAAACAGTGTTGGCTGCCTGCAACGTGCTATGGTCCCAAACGCCATTCCCAATAAGCCATCGTTTGGAAAGTAGTTGAAATCATCCGTTGTCGCACTGACGGCGCCAAAAGTCTGGTTTTGAACGGTGACATCGGCAAATTTGATTGTCTCCGTGGCTAGTACCCCTTTGACGCTTCCAGAGCCCTAGTACGAAAGTAGTGAGAACGCATTCACGGGAGAGTGTGTCAATCACTTACGTAGACCACGGAGAATTTCCTTCTCTTGTTGATGTAGGAGCTACTCTTTTCGGGGACAAACTGGTCTCTGAAGCAAGATGGACAGTTTGCAGGGAACCAAAGGTCTGCAGAGCCTGTGTCAATGTCGACCGTGAGCGTTTGGAAGGGCGTGCCAATGTTGATCGAACTGTAGTATAACACGTCAAGGGCTCCGTCAATGAAATCTGTAAGGCTGGCGGCAACTGGTTTAATAATCGTCGAGATGGGATTCGGTAGAACGGGAGACTGTTCGCTGCCTGTGTCGTTGGACGAGTCGATAAAATATGTATTTGGAATCGGGACGCCATTGATGAAATACAGAGCCCATTTGTATTTGTCGCTAAGAAGGCTTAGCTCGGCTTGCTATGGCGAAGTTGAGGGATGCAGGTGGGATATGAAGAGATACGCACCAGGAAAGTAGAGTTGAATGCAAGGGCGTTGGGATCACCTTGAAGAGAGTGGCGAGATACAATTGGAATCATGTAACCAGGTAAAGCGTTTGCAGAGAGAAAGTAAGGAAGGAAAACGGAGACAGCGAGATAGTAATGTAGCATAAAGAGAGCATTGGGGCCAACCACGCCACCGTCGCGTGTTATATATACCACTAACGCGTCTTGTTTGCCTCCGCGGCGTTCAAAATACAAAAATAAAATAATATCAATTCTCATAAGATCATACAGCTGTCAACAGCATTCAGAACCAATACGCGCATATATGCAGGTCAGATCTCACCATCTAGCATTAAACAGCCAGCAACGGCTTCTAACTCGACAGCGACACTGACCCAGGCTTGGCTTCCATCTCAATGTACGTCGCGCTCTGCCTCTTCGCTGCTCCCACAGAATCCGAGGAGCCGCCGTGGGACGGGCCAGCAGAGAACGGATCAGAGGGCAAGGAACGGTGTTTCTCCCTAACCAAAATCGGAGCCGCAGTCGTTGGCGAAGGAACGGTGGCGATGATCGGACTGGGAGGTCTCTTTACATCACCACCACCACCATCCAGGTTCAGCCATTGTCTCCTATTCCTCCAGTGTCGAGGCGATCGCTTGTTGCGGAAGCGCATGAACACGATGGCAGCGATAGCAGCAACTACCACAGCTCCAACAACGCCCCCAGCGATGGCCCCATTTCTCTTTGACGACGAGGAGGCCGCGATGCTGGCACTGGCACTGGGCACGGTGATGGGGTAGAGTGTCAGTGTCGCCGACTTGGTCTGTGTTATAGACCCGGAAACGATGGTCGTGTAGGGTTCAACCGTGACTATGGCCCCCGACGAGAGGGGAGTAACGACAGTGTACTCCGTCTTGGTGCTTAGCACTGTCGTCGTGCTAGTTGGGTGCACCTGGGTTGTCGTGAAGCCGATAACCGAGATATCATTCGAATCCGATGTGTTCGAATTCTGCCGCGCCACAAAGGGGCTGGCGAACGCTTGGACGGTGACGAGACACAGTATAAAGTAGGCTTGCATCATCGGGAACGCTAGCCTTAACTGGCAGGTTAAAGTACCAGAGAAAGCGGCTCTACTCGGGACCTAGACACGTGTGAATCGTGCCGTCCGTGCTTATACATACCGCGGATCAGCTAAACGTATCCAGCGCTCCACATGCCATTCAGTGAAGATCAATCTATTCTCACACTCTTAAGAACCGCTTGTCAGTAAGACGGTGACGACGATTACAATACTACTACTCTGCGGTCAAATTTATTATCATAAATACAGTTGGCAATAATATAATACATAATCCTTCCAAAGAACCATAATACATACATTCACCTAGCAGCGATTTCGAAGGCTTTCTGAATCGACTCTAGCTCTTCTGTATGTCTGGCAAACTCAGCTTTTAGTCTTTGCATTGCCTCGACGTCCAACAGCTCTACATCCCCATCAGAGTCGGTGATGCTCCCGGCAGAATCATCAAACGCAGTCAACAGAGCGTTCACCCTCTCTCGCTGCTCAACTAGTCTGGTAAATGATTTGATGTAACGCCCATAAGCAGCCGCATAACCCCTGCGCAAGGAGGCACGATCTGTGGGTAGTGGACGCTGAGTTGGTTGAGGGTTAGGTGGATTGGAGGTCATGGATGAAGGTGTCGTGGTTGGGGGAGAAGGGAAGGGACCAGGTGATCGATGCTGACGTTCTTGTTTGATCTCGCCCTCGTCTTCAGATGATGATGTGTATATAGGTGAGCGGTGTCGACGCGACCGACCATTTCCAGCGCTTGTGCTGCCTGTCGTCACACGTGAGGACGATATCTGAGGCGATTGAGACGCTGGCGGTGGACGCTGAGTAGCTTTCTTCGCAGGCGGAGGCGGTGGAAGCGGGGAGGGTTCTTTCTTGATTGCCTTTGGACGAGCAGATAAGTCTGTCATCGGCTTCTTGTTCGACGAGGAGTCCCTGCTTCCGGAAGCAATTGCAGCGCCTTCTGTAGTCTTCCGTCGCTTCGACTTCCCATATTCCTCGTCATCATCGTCTCGAGGCTTTTTTCGTTTGATGCTAGGGGCGGAAGATGCCAGGTCCCTGCTGCCTTTATCCCCGGTTCGTTCACCCCCAGAGTTCCGTCTTGACCGCTCAGAATCCGAGCCGTGCCCATCTCCGGCTGACTGTTTGAGTTTCCTGATGCGCTGGATGGGAGCAGCAGAAACAGTGGTGCTCGGTGGCAGGTCCTGGGATCGACTTCTTTCCTCCGATCTAATACGTGAAGAAGTGCTGCCATCCTCTGATCTTGGAGCCTTATACCCCGATCCTGGCGGCTTTCGTGTAAGTGCAGAAGGTGCGGTTTTTGTTGGAGGCGTGCTAGCAGACAAATTAGCTGCTCTGAGGTCCGCTTCCTTGACATTGGGCGCCGCAGCCAATTTAGTCTTGGCTTTAGGCTCGGCCTTGACTTCCACCGCCTTGCCTTTCCCCTTCTTCTCTTTTGCGGCTTTTGTGACCACAGGTCGCTTTGCAGGCGTCTCGGCCGAGGGTCCCGGAATTGGTGTCGTCGCTGGAGGACGAAAAACGACGTGAGCCCAGGCGGGGTCAGATTCAGGAATGCCAAGGGAGCTCAGAGCTACTCTTGCAGCTCGAGCTATGGTGTGTCGTTCTGATTCTGAAAGACCGGGCCATTCATAAGGCCGGACGTGTTGGTAAGAGGTATTTTTGAGACGCAAGCGACCATCCTTCTTCGACGCGGACACAGGTTCAGCGATCTACGGTAATCATGATAAGCTAGCACAGGCATCAAAATCAAGTGGTGCACCTCTTGCAAAACATCCAAAATTTCCTGTCGATGAGCGGCATCACAATTTGGGGCGACGGCTTTGACGGCTTCGTCGCCTTTGCGGTCGCCTTTGGCCAGAAATCGAATAAGACGAGTTCTCAAGGACGCCAGGGCGGCGGCACGCGCCGGGTTGGGAGGGGATCTGGGACGTGAAGTCGAGGCAGAAGAAGTCGACGCTGTTGAAGCGGGGGTAGGGTTTGGTCGTGCTGCTTGATCAGAAGGTCGCAATGGTTTTCTAAACATCGACGATGCAGCTGGTTGCTTCTTCTTTTGTTTCGTTGGAGGCGCAAGATCGGGAGGCGTGTCAATGAACTTTGTTTTGTGAACATCCTTCTGCTTGGCTGCTTCCAATGTACTCTGCTGGATCTGTTCAGAAAGATCCTTATCAAGGGTAGGTTCGACTGTGAGCTTTCCGGTAATATTTGCGTGCAATCTGAGGGGTGCATTGGGTTTGACGGCAGAGGGTGTACGAAGGTAGAGTTCATGGCGGATATTCTCGTGCTGAGTTTTAATGGGAAAGAAAGCGCCATCGACATAGATTCCCTAGCCAAAACAATCAAATTGACATTCAAAAATGAGACACAAGTTCAACACACTGGCTTGTCGCCAAACTCAAACTGTAATTGGGGATGCTCTGAGGCGTCAAGAGCGTCGAGAGTCTGGCGTGACAGGCGAACGATATAGGCCTGTTTCTGAGGATTGGACGGAAGAGCCTCTCCTGGTCGCGTATGGAAGCCCTGCAGCGCGTAGGTAGCGTCGGGCGGGAGCATGGTGGATGAGGACAAGATGCGATTTCGTTGTGCCGCCCGAGCAAGCGGAGAAGGGCCCTAGACTAACACGTGCAAACTCCTACACAAAAGCGATCACTTCGATCGTTACCATTTTTGGGTCCTGTTTTACTTGTTGTACTTGTTCAACAGATGGTCTTAGTTGTTACCAGGAAGGTCAGCGGTACCTGCCCGCTCAATATTCGCCAACAGACACCCCCAATTTCATGACCATTTCCCGAGGATGATGCTAGCTCGATTAAGCCAAGCCCAGCGCTTATTCGAAGCTCGAAACATGCTGTACACCCCGTCATAGGGTCAATATTCATCTGATGGTTAGTCGAGACGCCATCCTAGGAAAGGAATTCCCGTTGGTCGGTGGGTCCAGGATCCCAGGCGGGAGCATGAGGCCACCACGACACGGCCACCGAGTCCAACTTTTGTTGTATAAAAACCTTCTCTTCGCCTGCGAGAATGCTATCAACCTCCCTCTTTCCCCCATCATATTATTCTTGCCCCCTTCATTTCCCCCCTGTCCCGGTGTTCTCGGTTGCGGCCAAATCTCTAGAAAGCTATGCTTAAGGAATTGCTTGTGGTCCTTTTTTGACGTCTCTTCAAGGGCCTTGTGGACTTTGCTCGCTGGACCAGACCACTCACGTTCTGCGGCATGCCCGTACTTGTTGCAGGTCATATTTTGACCTCATGGGGAGCTAGGACACCTGACGCTAGCCTTAGTCTGCACTGCCCTTTGTGTCTATCATGACTGTAGTTCATTCTTTTGAGCATCCTGTTCTGGAGAGTACCCCCAGTCTTTCTTCTCTGTGACCTGTCCATGTGGCTCAGGCTCAGTCTTTTCACCCTTCATGCCGTCTCTTCTATTTATATTGCGTACTTTTGTTGCCTTGCCTCGGCTCTTGTTCAACATCGGACCATGATTCCTTTTGTGTACTGCCTCTTCAGTTAACAAGACACTATCAGGTACACCAATGATATACTTCCATCCTTGGCATTGGACTGACCTGCTGATAGGTTGGATGTTTACCTTTCGAACGTAAGAGGGTAAGTGTGGCTTCCAACGAAGCGTCAACGATATGATGTGTGGATACATGATTGTGTATTACTGACTGCCACAGCTCCCGGGGAAAGATGTGCTCCCTTGTCGTGGGCCCCGGGCTTAAGGTCATGCATCCTGCATGAGCCAACCAAATGCACATCGAATAGAGACTGCGAGTTGTTCATAGCTTTTATCAAGGAGATGTGAATAATTTTTATCATTGAATACGTACTTATTCAAATTCGAAACGGCGTCTAACGAACAAAGCACCGCCACTGCAGTGATGATCATCAGCAACGGCCATGACTACTTATGAGCAGCATGCAGCGTCTTCTCTTCTTCCCACACATTCACAATGCTCCCGTTCTCCCTGTTATTCATTCTCATTCCCGTTCTCGCCCAGCAGAATTCAGAGCAAAGCTCAGTTGTCGACTATGCTCCAAAGCTGAGCCAGCAATGCCCAGACATCACAAACACTGATTTTATTCGCGTTTTCACGCCGTCGAATCAAACCCTCCACCCACAAGAAGCGGAGTACATACGGACGCGTAACTCCACTGTTATTTCTCCTGCATGGCTTGACTGGCTCGGAAATGGGTCCCAGCTCGGTTATGATCTTGCTCAGTTCAAAGACCATTTTCCAACTATTGGCATTGCAATACCCGGAGGTGGTCTACGGTCAGCGCAATTTGGTGCGGGGGCGCTCAATGCTTTGGATGCAAGGAATGACACAGCTAAATCGATTGGAACTGGAGGTTTGCTGCAGGTGTCTTCCTATATTGCTGGCTTGTCGGGTTAGTTTCTTTGACAAAAGTTCATACCCGTTGACCTTATTGCATCTTTTAGGTGGCTCATGGGTGACGGGCTCTATCTTCTTCAACAATTTCCCCATCATGAATGACCTTGTCTTGGGAAATGGCGATGACCTTGCCGGTTGGTTACTCGACCTTCCCTTTGCAACACCCGACGGTACCGACATATTCTCCGAAAACAATCAATACTTTTTTGGAAGCATCCTATGGAGCATCATGGCTAAAGCAAACGCGGGAGTGTATGTTTCTTTCTCTCAGTACCTTTCCTCCAGCTCACGTACGTTTCAGTGACACGAGCCTCACCGACCCGTGGTCGCGCATGATCTCATACCACTTTCTCAACCAAACCGACCGTGCGAACTTCTTTTCGAATGACACTGGCCACGGTGCAGGACAGCTATGGAGTCACATCCCCGACATCCCCGCCTTTCAAAATCACCAGCTTCCATTCCCTCTTGTCGTCGCTGATTCCCGTCCCGTCGGATCTAATTTAACTACTATTTTGGATCTTGATGCTGTGGTGTACGAGGTAAGCATTGGTCCTGGTTATAATGAAATCAATAACCCTTCTTTAGATTACACCATTTGAACTGGCTTCATACGATCCGAATCTTTCAGCTGCCGTCAATCTATCCTTCGCAGGTACCCATCTCTCCAATGGAAAACCGGAAAATGGATCCGCTTGCGTGAGCGGTTTCGACCAGGCGGGTTTCGTGATGGGTAGCAGTGCGAGCCTGTTCAACGTGAGCCATTCCCTAAAATGACGACACCTGACGTACTTAAAGGAGAGTCAACTACAGCAAATCTTGGACTTTGCCCAGAACACATTGAGCGGATTCTCCAGCGACGATGCCAGCGGCATTCTCTATGTGCTTTCGCGACAGTTACAGGAAGTTCGGACTCGCGCAGACGATGTGGCCAACTGGCCCAATCCTTTTAATGGCATCAAGGGCGACACTTTTGTTGATTCAGATAAAGACTGGCTGGAACTCATCGACGGATCATCAAATCAGGAGAATATACCATATGGTCCACTCTTTGTTAAGGTCCGCGGCTTAGATGTCATCAGTTACGTTGGATTCCAGTGCAGACCAAGTAGATGCTTGGCCGAAGTAGGTCCACATCTTGAACAGCTGGGGGATGCTAAAGGAATTTATACAGCGGGACAGGCTTACTTTTCAGTGCGAAACGCCAAGCAGATCAACTTCTACCGTCACATCAACAGTTTCCACCTATTCCTCAGACACCAGAGGCATTTATTGATGCGGGTGTCAACTTGCGGCCCACGTTCTTTGGATGCTACCCTGTGCAAAACCCTCCAGAATATCCTCTCGTCATTTATCTACCCCAGGCACCACCATTCAATGGCGACGATCCAGTCATCAAGTTCGTATATTGCCGCTTATGACTGTCATCGACCTAACTCGCTTGTTCATTTTAGTTCTGCCACGTTCCGCCTTACATATACCCGAAAGCACACCAGCCTTTTCCTTGATCAGGTCTTCAATAATACCATCTCAGGGTTCACTCCCAACACCACTTTAGCTGATCCTAATTTTCCTATATGTTTGCAATGCGCTTCCGTCGACCGCGCGCGCTACAAAGTATCGTCCAACGCGACTATCACTCGATCATCAATTTGCGAGCAGTGTTTCAAACAGTATTGTTACGATCCACAGAACCCACCAAGCGTTTCCGAGTTACCAGACCGGAAGTACACATTTGTTGATCCAGATCCGCAAGGATTGGATAAGATCTCCACATTTTTGAGCCAGAGTAAGTTCAAGCTCATCGGTGGGCTGATAGGGCTGGCTGCCTTTATAGGATTACTTACAGGAGGACTGTACGCGTGTCTTCACTCTCTGAGGTTGCCTTGTGTACTGATGTGTTTGTAGGATCTGGTGGAAGAAGCACCGGGAGAAAAAATTGAACGCGGAGTACAAGAGAATCAGCGCTTTGCACGAAGATGATTCGGAGACCCCCAAGAGATTCTCCGATTATGTGCGTCCGGACGCATCATATGCATCATATTCCTCGTATGAACTACCGGCATACCGGGGATCTCAGTGAAGTCCGCTTATCATCTGTTCCCCCCCGTGAGGGAATTTGCTGTCGTATTGCTTTGTTACCTGGACTTGTGTGTGTATTTTTTCTCTGTCATAAGCCCGTATACCCCAGCATCACAAACGGGACATCTTAATAGTATTAACACTAGATATGGACCACTTAAATACGAGAATATGCATATATACGATATAAATAAAGAATACGAAACTACAGGATCTCGTCCAGTGTCATTTCGCCATCCGCTGGTATCGTATCTAGTGTACGTGGATGAAAGCCAGTATCCTTCGCTTGGGGAAGATAATGACTCATGCTCTGATTTAAGTCGGTCAGCGGTAGTCGATGTACTCGTGTGATAGTGGTCTTTGGCTTGTTGAACACTACAACGGACTTGTACATGTCGATTTCGTTCATTAGCTCCTGTTTCTGCGAAACAAGAGCCTCATGCTCCCGTGTTAATAATGCATGTTTCTAGATACGTTAACCAGCTGGTAAGTAGAGAAGATGACAAAGATAAAATAAGCAGCGTACCTGTTTGGACTCGGCTAGTTCATTTCGTATCCGTTCAACATACAGAATCTTTTGGGCTGGATTCTGATGCCCGATAATTTCTGCATTGAATTTGCTCAGCTGTTGAGCGACGTCCTCGGCCAGCGCATTCTTCGCGAGAAGCGAGCCAACTTCGTCAGAAAGAGCACGATAGGCTTCCTGAAGCTGTTCAGCATTGGCCACCTCGGCACCGAGCCTAGTAATTGATTTAGATTGATTTTGTAAAGGGAGCAGAATGACAACATACAGCTCAATTTCGGCCCGAAGCCCTTCCTCAGCCATACGCTGCTTCTGGATGGTGGATGCCAATCTCTGAGCATTTTCCATCTCTCCTTTAAGTTCCTCCCTATAAGCATGGGACTGTTCCTCTAGCTTCTTCTTCAGATCTACTGTTTGACGCCTATACTCCTCGGCTTGCTGACGCAGACCCTCAGCCAAGTTTTCGGCAGTCTCCAGCAATTGACGAGCAGTATCTCGTTCCCCTTTCGCCTGCGAAACTTGTGTCGATAGTGTATCGTAATCTCCTTCGACTTCCGCTAGTCTCTTAGACAAATCCTGCTTCGATTGCTTGGTGTCTGCCAGTTCCAGGTCCACATCACAATACGAAGAAAGGATACCGACGCTGAGCAAGCGATAGTAGTCCACAAACATCTTATCAATCTCCATGTCCAAGTGGTCTCGGAGCTCAGATTCATCGTGTATATCCTTTTCGATAGCTGAGACAAGGGCATCGGTATCGTCGACAGAATGTCGACAAACGGCCTGCGATTGAAGGGCGGGATACCAGAACGAGCGAATTTCTTCCTCAGTCTCGCGTAATCGACCTGCTAAAAAGTGGTTCTGATCCTTCACTTGACGGATCAGATTAGCTAGCTCGACGACCTGTCCCTCCGCGTTGGTTAGCTTCCGTTGGAGTCGGAAAGTATACATTCTTGTCGCCAGATGGTCGCTCTGTAAACGGGAAAATGTCGTCTTCGAGATGGTAGTGGTGGCGAGGCGGCTGTATTCGTTGGAGACGGTCTCCAGTAGAAGCTTATGCCGGCGCAAGTCCTGAAGCAATGAGTTGACTTCGGATGATGATTCCTCTGACTCGAGGCGGGCCTGAGTAGCTTCCTTATGGGCAGCATCAACTTCTGACTGAAGTACTTCGCTGGCTGCTCGTGCAGCATCAGCACCCTCGTCCCGTTTCACCCTCATCTCCATCGACAACGCCTCTGCGATTTCTCTTTGCTTCTTCTCTGCTTCCAATGCCTTCTCCATATTCGCAATCTTTCTATCCTTCTCCCTGACTTCCTCCTTCCGCCTATTCTTCCATTCAGCGACGTCCTCGTGCTTGGAGGACAGCTGTGCACGCTCATGTTCCACCACACGAAACTTCATGCGAAGCTCTTTGATTTCAGCTTTGTCAGAGGAAGCAGCTTTGTTAAGTTCCTGTATCCGGAGATCAAGTGCGTCATGTTGTTTCTTCTGTTTGTCGAGTCGGGCAGTTTGCTCTGCAACTGTCTTTTGCGCACGAGATAGTTCGAGTTTCAGTCGATCAACTTCATTTTTGTGCTGCAAAGAGACATCAGCTGAGTCAAAATCGTCGGAAAGAGATGCCACTCAACAGATTTCTTGTCCTCGTTATGTAGTCTCTCTAGGTCCTCTACTTTTCTCTGGAGAACAGCATAGCGGTCGGCATTATTTGAGCTCGGTTTGACAGGTGGTTTGCTGGTAGTCATCTTGGTCTCCGTGTTGTAGCTGTTCGGTCCTAGTAGCGCAATCAATGTGCGAACTCACAGGGGGTATGAGTAGCTTTACCGGGGACGTCAGCAGGTTTCTCTTTCGAAAATCTGTCTGTCTTCTCCAAGAAAGCGCCACGTTTATACGCGTCGAGTTGGGAGTCTAGCAAAAAAGTCAACAGTATTCTTTGAAATCGTTTAGACGCGTACCTGGAGCAACATTATAGGCGTTAGGTGCAGGTGTATCTGACACTAAGAGGACATTATCCAACTGTCAAGGAATAGAGAAAGCATCGTACCCTTGGGCGGTTCAAACCTTGGACCTCTGGGAAACATGAAATTCGGAATCAACTTGGGACATGTCACAACTGTCACGTACGCGTCTATCACGTGCCCTTAGGAGCCCCCCAAATTCAAATTCCACGTTTCTTCAGGCCCTCGACCACGATTGCACGGCTCATCTTCTCACAAGGCAAGTCTGCCGAAGGAAAGTAGAAACGAGAGATGGTGAATATGTCTCTGTAAATGTTTTCTGTGTCTCTCGTTTACAGTTTGTTTCTAGTCTGCACTTTTCAACTTTCAATCACTGCTCCTTGTCATCCTTCTATTAATCTGTACATGTACATACGTCCGGGCCATTGCGCCCAGGCTTGTGGATAGGAATAAGCAGGGGTGAGTGATGTACATTCCTCTCTAATAGGTTTGTCGTTAACCGTTATTCAGCTTTCTCGGAATTTTCTTCATGTCTGCCCGAATAGGTGCGCTCACTTACTATTGCTCAAAAATGCCAGGATATTCAACTCCGTACAGGAGAACGTCTTTCTCCGTATGTCTCTCTGGCGTGTATCGTTATGGCGATCACATTGTTGTGGCAATGAAATCAAGCAGAGTTCGAGTCGTATTAGAAATAATACAGGAAGGAATCTCATGAACTCTTCTTCTGTTTCTTTTTGCCTTTGGGTTCAGTTGTAGTTTCCTTCAACTTTCGTTTCTGCTTTTCCCCTTCCTTCGCCTTCTTCTGAGCTTTCTCCGCTTCCTTCCCGAGTACCGCGAATGGATCATCCTCATCTACGCTGCTAGCATTGTCATCGTCGACCAGCGTGATGCCTTCGCCTTCACCCTCTGACTCCTCAGGCGCTTGGTTGTTCGACGACGTTGCAACATGAGTAGGTGAGAAGGGGTCTGGCTGTATGGATCCAACAACCGACAGCATTTCATTCGCAACAGTAAGTCTAACAGGTGTCGTCAAAACGATAGTAATGGCACTATGCTGTAAGACCTACCCAATAACTGTGAACTCCAGGTGCCCGGACTTGCCACCAATCAGGTCGCCTGTCAGTTTATGTATCCATCTTCCGCCTCCTCCACCAGACTTTTCTGCGGTAGGTGATATGGCATCTTCATCATCTTTCTCTGCGGCGTCAGGTCCAAACTGAGGGTCGTTTTCTGCGGGACCATATTCAAACTCCCAGTCCTCGGAAGGTATATGATGACGGGGTATTGACACGTTGAACGTGCGGTGCACAAGTAGTGATATGTGATCAGGAGAACAAAGATTTATTCGACCTTCTACATGGAAGTGAGAAATGAGATGTCTACAAACAAGGATTCAATTCGCACCGAGTCGCATTCCAACATGAGGGACTCCAGACGGTCGCATCGAATGTAACCCGACAGACAAGAAATGGACAATCGGCTTTAATGGAAGCCATTTCGTCGAGGAATGTTAGGTTGGAATGGGACAACACGACCCCTTGAAGGCCTGGTATATATCTAAAAGAAATGAACGTTAAAGAAATGATATGTCTGTGAGAGTTCAAAACACACCTCATTACCATTGAATCAAGCATCTCATTGACTCCAGATTTTGGGTTATCCGCAAATTTGGGGGGTATGGACAAGACTAGAGATGCTTGGACGACGTGAAAATCTGATTCGCGTCCTTTTCCCTTCTTGTCCTTCGTCTTATTTTTTGAGTGGTCATTGTCGCGTTTTGCCTTCTTTAAGGGTATTTCTCCTGGCGCCGGTGAGGTGTTCTTCCGTTTTTTCTGAGAAATGGTTGAAGGTGACATGGTGAGCTAGGGAGAAAATTCTCACGTGGACGGTCGGCACCAAATTTTGTTTCTTTCCGAGTCCGTCCACCAGCTCCCTTTTGCTGTCGGTCCATGGTAAGGCTTTATCCTCTGCTATTGTATGCCGCTTACCATTTACAAATGCAGTCTTCTCCTAGAGCTATCATACAAATTCTCTTAACGTCAACACGAATTCTAGGCAAAGCATTTTTTGAAGCTGGTCGACAAGCCGTGAAAAGTGTGTATGACCACTCTCATGCCTGTGCTTTCCTATATTTCTTTTAGATGCCAAGGCTGCACCACAGGCTATAGGAAGTGACGTCGCAGGTGTCAGCAACGCTCGGTCGGGTTCGCTAACGGATCAACTCACGCGACAACATCGAATGACGCTGGACGAAGCCCACTTGATTCTGAATACTAAACGGGGCGAAGAGATGGAAAAAATTCTGCAGGTGAGCTACGCAGTTGTCTAGAGTTATCTCGGTATTGACGTTGTTGGTTAGCATTACGAGCACCTGTTCAAGGCCAACTCGCCTCCTGCACATGCACCGAAAGCACCAACGCATGGTCGGTCGGCGGCTCCCCCTCTGAATTCCCATTATCTCCAGTCCAAGGTTGTACGGGCGCGAGAACGAATAGAAGCTGAACTAAAAGGCGTAGAGACGGGGGAAAGTACAGGTTCGCCACCACCACCACCACCATCATCGCATAGCGACTCACCTGTGGGAGGCTCATCATGACGTTGGCATGCATATAACTGCTGTATAATTCTACAAGTACCCCCTTCATTCAATAATATACATTCTGTGAATACAGAGTGAGGTTGAGAAAGAGCCTACCCGGGCCGGAATACGTCACAGCCACTTGCTCCATGACCACCAACCCGTCCCACATTCTCATCGCTCGTAATTCGAGAGGTCCTAACAATCCCTCTGCCTCCCTCAGTTCTCCCACAGAAACTCACGCTGCAGCTGCTGGTATCTTTCGTTCTTCTGGATCACCCACTTGGCTACTTGAAGAGTGCGAGAGTGACGATATTGTTTCCGAGCTCGAAGTCGACGACGACGACGAAGCGATCGAGCTCGATGAGACGTTCACAAAGAACAGCAAATTCCCCGGAACCGTCAAGATTGTAGTCGAGAGTACCACATTCTGGTACGCGTTGCTTGATGTCTGTGAGTGGCAACAGCTCAATTAGCGCTAGGGCACACAAAGAAGTGCTATACTTCGCGTCGCCTTTCTTTGAAGCTGCTCTCAGTGGTGACTGGGCAGAAACTGGTCGACCACCCTCCATGTCTTCGGTCATCACCATCTCCCAGCCTCCCTCGATTCCTGGCGACCGGAGCAAGTCCGATGCCCCCACAGAAATGACCTTCTCCCCGATGGATTCAGATCCCGATGCCGAGGACCTTGATGTCATAGCAGATACCGACCTCTCAAAATCTGAAGACAGTACCGCTAGTACTAACATCAGTTCTTCCGCTGTCGAGCTATCAAGGAAGGAAGCCAGAACACGCGCAAGAGACGATAGTCTGGCCAAGCTTCAAGGCGGCTCCCCCACTCAGTCAGAAATCAGGTCAATATCAAAGAGAGTGGCTACGGTCAAGCGGCGTCCAAAGAACGGCCCAGATGCTGTCATAGTCTTGAAAGAAGAGCGGGTTCGCGCCTCTCAACTCCCTCACTCTCCAAACACTGATGAATTACTAGGCATCTAGCTTCCATGACTTTCTCAGATTTGTCTATCCTCAGTGAGTGGCGCCGTTTCGCAGCTCAGGCATCATCGTAAACGCGTCTTTTTGCCAGCTTGGAGTGCACAATCACCTGGAACAATGTCGAGAGTTTGATGAATATATCACATAAACTCTGCGTCCCGTCGTTACAACGGGAGTGTCTGACATTTCTTCTAACACATGCTGCCGGAAAGCCTATCAAGGCTATGCGAATCGCCGAGCTGTTCGAGGAAGAAGAATTGTATCGGGAATCCAGCCGTTTCGTCTTGGATAATCCTGGTGGATGGTCTGAACATGAGTTGAATACTCTCAGTCAAGAAACCTTGCTCAAGCTGGAGAAACGGTCCGTGTTCACTCCTCGCCGTATTGATGGCTAAATTGAAACTTTCACGCAAAGTCGAAACTGGTTCCTAGAAAGGGTGTTGAAGATTGGATTGGTTGCCCTTTCGAAGGAGTATGAATGTGTACGTGTAGACTTTGACCGTGTTATCGATGACTAAACGTTGAATTCGCAGTGTCCAACGTGTCCGGACTCAAGTAACTGTGCCAGGCTGTTAGAGGAAAAGTGGCGTCAAGCCTATCACGCAGTCTTCCGTTTCGGTGGGTGCTTTCACCTCTCGAAATCCGGATGCTTACCTTTTCTAGGCCCTCCTCAACCATCTATGGTATACCGTTATCTTCGAAACCTCGAGGGTGTCAGTCCCCCATTGTCTCTCACACATCTGGCCTGTCAGACGACTGCGAAAGCCTTCATTTCTACGCGTTAGTGTTTTCATCCTTTCGACAGACCCGATCTCAGATATCTGTAGTCTTCGACAGAATGTTTTCACTTGGTGTGCGCGGCAGTGACTCCGTGCCGCTAGGGACGCGCGTGGCGGTGGCTGCGGCGGTGGCCGCAGGACCACGACGGCACTTCTTATACTGCACCCTCAAACCCGAGACGCTACCTCGAACCAGAAAATCAAGGGAACTGATGTGACCTTCACATGTTGCACGGATCTTATTCCGCCTTTGCGTCGAACACGATGAAGAATCTTGGTCCTGTTAGGCATGAATGTACATCCGAGATACCGTGAAAAGGGTATTGGTAAATGAAGGCGTTGGATATATAATAGTATGAGCATTAAATACGAAAACATGGCAACGATTAGAGACTATACGACACACCCCTGGCAAAAGTGAAATCCGAACGAAATCTTAGAACAATAATAGAGGTGTGTAAAATCACCTGAGTGATAGTATAAAAAATAAACCCAAAGAAGTACTTCTAGAATGGAAAATCGTTGAACGAAGATTGAGGGCGTGGTATAATCTGCAGCTATCGAGATGCGCTTTCAGCAAAAATCTGGGGCGCATTCTCCACTAGCCATTCTATGGAAAGCGCTTTGCCAGCCATGTCGCTGAACTCCGCGCCAGGGTTACGGGATTTCATTAACGTGGCTACGGTTGATTATTAGATATGACTGCAAGAGTACGCCGAAGAGACTTACGGCCAAATACAACGCCCAGATTCCGAGCATTCATCAAGTTCCTCTCACTCCGTTGACAAACCCTGAGTAGTGTTAGGACAGATGCAACGTGATAAAAGCTCTACGTACTTATTCAAATGGATCATCAGAGCACGCAGTGTATGATAATGCTCCTTTGGCAGCTTGTTCACCAGGTCGAGCAGCGTTTTGTTTTTAACAGAGGAGTCACGGATTTCGACAGCGGACATGAATTGGTCATGAAGGTCATAGGTCAGAAGAGGGACAGGGAGAGATCGGAAGTAGGCCTTCAACACGGAAGTGACACTACATATGTCATTGAATCGGTCTGAGTCCCGAAGGTCAAACGCATTATAGTCGCCACGCTCAAAGAGCTGAGTGATTGATTTGCTCTGGCTGGATCCACCTGTTTTCCTATAGATCCCTTCGTAATCCAGTGCTGCAGTGCGTTAGAGCAATCGGCGTTAAATGATCAGTAATAGAACATACCTATGGCGTCAACAGCTTCGATGCATTTATCAACAATGACCGGAACCTGTCGCGAGCTCCCTTTGGCATCAGCATACACCTGCTCTATAAGGTCGCGGCCAAACATTGAGTGCGCTAAACGCCGGCGTTAGCTTACACTCAGACTGCATACAGCAGGAAAAAGCATACGCAAGATTTGCGAATCATCACGATTTGAACTTTGCTGCGTACACAAAACCTGAACATGGTTTATGCACCGCACGTGGACGGAGATGTTGCAGCCTTGAAGGCATGGTAGATAAGTTACAGGACTCGTTCTAATGTACAATCGAAACGCACCTGTACAACGCAGCTGGGAGCCCCACATCTTATCTCCGCAATGATCACATCGAGTGAATCGCAGCACACTGAGCTGCTGGAAGTTGTGCTCCGAGTGCCCCCTACTGCGGCCATCGCCAACGTTTATGAGGTTGGGAAGATCCTTTGTTCTGGAACCCGGCCATTTGATGAACTTCCCTTTCGATGGCGTAGGCAGTTCTGTTTCTGGCTTCGAAATCTTGATGACGGTTTTCATATCAGCAATCGTCTCTTCAGTAACCAAAGAGGTAGTAGAGGCATAAGGATTTTGAGAAGGCAATTGCACAGATGTCTGTGGCTGGTGCAGCTGACTGCGACCTTTGTCCATTGAAGACACCACGTGTTCCCCGTTCTTGGATGGTGCCTTCAGGCACTGTATCCATCCGACGGGCGTACTGGGCACTGAGCTGAGCCAATTCCTCATTGCGAGCATTGAGAACCGTCGTTTCTTCAAGGAAGACGTCTCGAACAGCTTTGAGCTCCATAATCTCTCGAGATAAGGCCTCTCGCTCGTGGGTCAATGGAACCAGATCTCTCTGATACTGCAGCTTTAACGTGTCAAGACGCATCGTGAGAGAACGGTTCAGATGTATAGGACGCTGGTCAGCCGCCGCACTTGAGCTAAGAAATGTGAGCAAGCAGAAAAGAAGTTTCACACGAATTCGTACCCTTTCGTCGCAGATATCTCCTCGACCTCTGCCAATGCCATGTCACGGTCAACCTTGAGTTTTGACAAATCCTGCTCCAGCCCCGACAAGCTGATCATGAAGTTCCTTGGTCATCCGTTGACGAAGCTCTTGTCGGCGAGAATCACCAGAAAGCGCGGTAATCCGTGCCGCCTGGCCAGATAATAGGACTCGTAATCGGGTGACTTCGGCTTCCGCCTCCCTTCGTGCTTTGAGCTCACGATCATACTCCGTCTGAGCGACAGTCAATCCTTCAATGTATTGTTTACTTGCTCTCTGTGATGGTATTTAGAAAGAAACAAGAGTTCCGGAGCAAAACGAACCTTGACGCCATCGAATTTGCCCTTCAGATCGAAAAGGTCTGCTCTTCTGACATTCATGGCCTTGATGATAGCTTCGACAAAAGCGCGGTCCAGTTTCAGCTGCTGAGCACCTCGCTCCTTGGCGTCAGCCATTGCTTCTTGTAACCGCAAAAGTACGAAATCGGAATCATCTGGTCTGGTGACACTCCCCGGCGTTGTCAAGGTGATACGGCCAGAGGAGTGGGATTCATTGATTTCGGATACATTAGCATTCAAAGTTTGAAGAGATTCTGGATGCGACTCGGAGGATTCGCGCTCTTGCGTTGACGTAGACGATGTTGCGGCAGAAGCACTAGATTTTGGATAACGTAAGTGACGAGCAGGCTAAAAAGGACGACTTCGCATACCGAAGGCCGTCAGTCGAAACACTTCTATTTTTACGATAGCCCGGCGCGGACAATCCAATAATAGTGACATCGCTACTTGGGGTCGACGTTACACCATTCGTTCTTATAGAAGTAGCTGAAGGCGGTGGGGTTGAAGGAACATCGTCGATGCTCTCTTTGTTCTTTTCGGTGATGCTCGTTAACTGATCCAAGGATTTCAACGCGTTGATCCCGCCAACAGAGCTGAGCAGATCCGAGAAATCACCTGTGTTCAATGAAAACCGGATGGGTGGTAAGGCCGGTGCTATGAAAGTCGCGTGCGATGTCTGTTCTACCGGCGACGATTCCGACATATCATCTGAACCACTATCCATCTGGTTAGATGCATCAACATCCACATCGCTTGTAGGAGAGACTGCTTCAGAGGGTGCTTGAATGGCAGATACATCCTTCTCTGATTTGGGAGGTAATGCCGGTGGCATTGACGTGTTTGACTCAGATCGCCTGTGCGCAATCGGTTCATCTGTCTCCGCCTCTGTGTCTGTGCTACTTTCCACACTGTGTGGCACATCAGCTCTGGATGGCGCTCTGGAAGGACTACTTGATCGCATCCGGTTGAAATTTGGGCTTGAGGGCGATGAAAGACGTTCTCGAGGACGTTCATCGAAGGACCTTTGATGACGCACAGCGTCAATCGGCCTTTCGAAGAGAATGATCAAGATTTGGTGAGCTAATTTTCCTGGCTCTCGGTGTGCTTGTTTCGCCTGGACGCGTATCTGGCGAAGGAGTTTCAGAAGACGATGCCCGTATTTGAGGTGAGATGCCCTCATCTTCGGAATGATTATAGTGTGAAGCAGAAGATCCTGGACGAATGTGACTTGTGGTGCTTTGAAATGAACCATTAGACGACGGCCGCGATATTGACTCCGCCTCGTTGAAATCCTCTCGAAGCGGAGATGGTATTCGAGGAGATTCCCGGCCACTGTGGACAGGAGGAGTCGGAGAACGATTACCGGACTGACGATTGAATGTTGCAGACAGAGGAGAGAGTGTAGGTGGCGGGGATGCAGCAGGACTGACAGGAGACGTCAAATTGCTGAGAGTAAGGCCCGGATTGATGGATCGACGTTTGTCACGTCGCGAGGTCTGTACACTCAGTCCATCAGATGATGCTTGTGGCGACAAGTTCACAGAGTGAGAGGCAGGTGTTTCCTGCTCAAAGCTCTGCTCTGACAACGTAGATAATTGATGTACTAGAGGAGGTCGACGATGAGACATGTCAGAATGATAATGGGTATCTGGCTCTGGCGGGGCTATAGTCACAGATATTGATTGCTGCGGAGGGAGGGGAAATGCTGAGGTCAAATATGAAGGAGAGGTCTTCTCCGACGACTTGGACCGCTGACTGCTGGGCTGGAAAGCGTCACTGATGTACGGCCCGGACCGCCGTTTAGCGGAAGTTTGGGTGGATGTAGACACTGGATGACGAGAATTTGAAGGTGACGGTTGATCAAAATGTGGGTTGTGATGAGACTTTGAAGAACCCGGCACATCATGAGAATGAGTTACAATGGGGGAGATGCGCTAGACGAGCTGTGAGAAGATGAGGTGAATGAAATGGACAGTGGCACTTACACCAGTGTCCCTTCTATATCTAGCTTCACGAGAAGAACTCGAGCCGCTACCGCCTGCTGCAGCAGCTCTTTCTCTCTCAGCTTTTTTCTGAGCATGTCTCCTGATTTTGATCATCCGTTCGCTGTGGCAATCCATGCAATAAATGCCTTGGCTGGTCTTGGCAAAAACGAGCTCGTCAATACGGTTCTTGCAGACTTTACACTTGAAACAGTGGGCATGGTAAGAGTCGTCACCGGTCATAATGGCCTCGTCGAGGATGGGCAGCTTGCAGACATTGCAGTTGTATGAACAGTTGGCGCATACAGGTGAACCGTCGGAAAGGAGCAGGAGATTTGTATCTGCGGTGACTTTATCTCCACACTTGGCACACTTGAAGCAATCTACGTGAAAGAACGATTGCCTAGAAGAACGATGGATCAGCAAGGAGAAAAATATAATCGTTAATGACCGAACATGAAATTCAGTGTTAATGAAGACAAGCACTGAAAGCAAGAGAAAACATGACAGACTGCAAGTCGACACGTACCCAAAGGCAACGACTAGACCACCATCGTCCGTCACTGCGGAGAGTTTACAGCCAGGACATATCTTGTCAAAGTCGATGTGCTCGCCATGGTCGCGCTGAAGATCAAGATGTGGATTCTGGTGAATGGAAGCTGTCGACTGAGATATGTTCATTGTGGCCAGCATGATAATGGAATGGCGAGGCCAAAGGGGCTAGCTAAACTTGGAGAGAAGATACGATAAATAGGAGACCGCCTGGGCACTATGATATCGCGAGACAGGATAAGGAAACGCAGCAGAATACAAGAGAATGTTGAGGAGGACGAGTACCCGTGAATACTGTCGAGCTCGAGGAGCTCAGCGAAGGGCGCGATCCTTGAATAATACGGGAAGACAAACCCTCGCAACCAAACAATCTGGGTGGCGGTGCACGCCAAAACGGAAGTGGTCCGTGCGTCGCATCACGCCAACCTGCTGCGTGCCAACGACGGCGCAGCGCTGCTGCTCCACCTAACCGATTATTTCACTCGCTCCGTCGGCTGGGTGCGATTCAACGCGTATTATTTGCTTGCTCTGCAAAAGTCGCAGCCTAGCACGTCCAGTAGCAAATTTTGTGATTCCCCCTGCCGCCCTGGTTCCTCCATCATCTGGTGATGCTTCTATGATCACACTTGCCAACGCAGTCGAAGCGTAAATAGCATTCTCCACGTCATCTCCGTACACATTATACCAGCCTGAGCCAGGTCAGGTACTCATCCATTCATAACGTACAGATCCCGTACCCGGGTTACTAGTTACGGTACCGCTATTCCATCTTCATCGCCCTCCAACATGAGGCATACCTTGATAAGGAGAAACCATGAGGACACGTTCTACATAGGTCTAGAATTTGAATACACACATATTAACCTGATCGATTGCTTTCCGTGCTGGACTACCTCTTATTGACACTGGCGTCACGTTGAACCCGGAGCGTTTGAAACTAAAGACATCAGGCCGTGCATCTTCGTTGCTGGGTGGCACTTACACATCATTGTACCAAGGCATTCTTGCAGCCGACCTCCAGAAAACCAATCCGCCCGGCTGAATCACGCGATAAAGTTCCGCGATTTCGTCGTCTACATCTTGAGAACCCGGTGTGAACCAGTCCAAGTGGTCCATGACAAGCGCGCGCGTAAGGGTATCAGAAGGAAGACCGCGCAAGACACTGGCGCACAATCAGTTCATCCGGACTACTACGAAGAGATATCACATACTTCACGATAGAATCAGTATGCAACCGAAATGCATCTAATGCTTTGCCATCATTGGCTTTCAGCGCACTAAACCCAGAGGGCGTCAGATAAGCCGGACATGATGATGGGGTGTAGTGGCCCAACAGAGCCTAAGAGGACGATACTCGGGATTGGGAATGAGATGTTGTCAGGACACTTACAAGTAGATAGAAGTAATTGCATGTCTTGAAGAGATACGTAGACACGACCGGATCTAAGGTGTCCTTCACATATTCATAGACGCCGCCTGATACAATATATCAGCGTCCTGGATCATATCAACGTGGGTCTCCGTCACCTTCGTCAAGAAGCATTTGTCGCTGATTCATAGGTACGCCAAGCGCATTCCAACAGAAGATCGGACTTCGTAGAAGCGTCACGACCAACGGATTCAGCAGAACTGGCCTCAATCTCTCCTTCCAAATCTTGACCTGCTCCTCCAATGTATCACATTCGCATAACTTCTTGACGTCTTGGTCAACTCTGGCCAATTTGAAAATCACCTTAGCAACCCTCAGCGCCCACCCACTGTACCCGCTGAGGTAAAATGATGAAGAGAACGCATCAGAGTTGATTTGCCAAAACTGATATGCACTTGAGGACAGGTAAGGAGATATTCTGGAATCCAAAAGGTAACGGAAGTTGGCGTTCCTGCCTTCTCCAAACATAGAAAAGAAGTCCGAATACGCGAGACTTTGTATGGATGCCAGCTTGAGTTCGAGAAGATGTCCCTGGCTGAAGGAGGGGGCATGTCAACGAAACACCGACGGGTTTCGAGCGTCCCGCACTTACCATGGGTTCATATCCACGCAATGAATCTAAAATAACACTTAGAGTTGGAAACGATGACGACACGCGGAAAACTAACCCTCTTCGGACTTGCCGCTATGGCATAGTGTAGTGCGTTGTCGCCGGCGGATGTAATAACAAACATCGAGTCGGTACTGGTTAATTGGAGATGTTTCATATCATCAAATGGATCTTCCTGATATGCGGAGACAATCTTTCAAGCCAATAAAGCTGATGATCATTAGAAAAGACCTACCCATGTGAAAGAGTAGATAAATGTTCTAAACTCTTTGTGAACGGGGTGGTCATAATAAGGTAGTCTCCAAGGCTGATGCGGAATAAGTAAATTTAATAAGAAAGTAGTGTCATCCTACCTTCTTGATTTGATAGTGGAAAGAGCTCAGGGGAGGCGTTACATCAATGACCATATCATGGTTGCTTGATACCGGTTTCTTGGTCAAAGGAATAGCAGGTTCCCCAATCTCCAGCGGAGGAACAGCATTGTCAGTTTCCTTCAGCGTAACGAATGTTGACGGAGAGCAGTTGCCAATCATGTTTCCGCCCTCGACCTCAAAAGCATGGCAGAACCTTGAGACATCACACGAACGAGGTCGTCCGAGCCAGACATAGTAGGGTCTTAAGTCTACTAAGCAATGGTAACAAGAATCGACAAAACAAGTACTTACATCCTGACGATGAAAGGAACAATGAAGCGATTGCGTCCATTGTAGCTCTTAATCTGAAAGGCTCTGGGTTAGGCCTCAATGTTATGATGAGAAATAATTGACGCACCGTTCCAAAGCGATATTCAAGATAAGCACGTCTCGCCGGACTGAGCGATACCTGTGAGCGAGATTCAGAAACATTTTCCACAGATATTGCAAAGTTGTAGTACGTGATCAAAATCAAACCAAATTTGCCAGAACCATCGGGAAAGCCAACCGCATTCTTTACTAACACCACCAATAGCTTTCTCGTGAAGCAATGGCTGCTTACCAGCGGTGTAGAAGTCCGCAACACCGATCAGGCCTCGCTCAGGTGAGAGGACATGGTCGATCCTGTCTAAAAGGGTATAGAAATTGGGTATCTGTGGTGTCTTTCAGAGATGTCAATCGTAACAATGGACATGACATACCATAGATAGCGAATAACTGAGCGTGACGAAGCTGACGCTACCCTGCGGGTTGATGCCTTGAGCAGACCATTCTGGAAGGTAGAAGTCACAAGCGTCTTGACACAATACAGTGACGTTGTGCCAGCCCCGCTTTGCGAACCTGCTTCTTGCGACCTGGAGAAGGGGCTCACAAAGGTCGATGAGATATACAGCGTCGAATTCGGAGATGGGAAAAATTTTATCCATGAGTTCGATGTTATATCCTGGAATGATCAGTATGATTATGAAATGAAGCGAACGAACGTTTGAATGAGGCTGACCTGTCCCGCCGCCAATATCAACCCAGACCAGTCGTTCACCGGGATGGGACTTTCTCAGTTCCTTGAGATGTGCAGCGGAGAGGTTCAGCAAAGTCCTTCGACCACGAAGAAGTCCGTTACGAGTAGCATCATATACATCTGCTTGACCCTGGTAGAACTGTAGCAGTCTTAGTTGTAAACATAGTTTAGGCGGTGAATGTATTGCACCTTATCCAGTCTGGATTTATGGTCGTTGGCACCGATGGGGCGAATGAAGCAGTACCAGATAAAACGTAGCTGAGCGGTGAATCGTCCAAGACAGAAAAGGACGACGATGCAAGCAAGCGCAATTACCGGTGCGGAGGAGAACGACCAGTCAGGCCGGAAGGGTAGCATGGAGGGCATTTCGAACAAAGGTCAACCAAGCAATCCCCAGCGGTTTTAAACGAAAATAAGGCAGAGAACGTTTCGTTGGACTAATCATAGGGGAGAATGCGCACGAGTCAAGGAGGTCGCTACCAGCGTTCCAACGAACGTGCGGGCCAGTTACATTGGCGGAAGCAAAGTGGAGACAACCAGTAACGTTCCATCAACGGTCCGTGCTCCCGCAAGGGTGATTGGTTCGGGTAAGTACCTTCGTAACTTGTCACAAAAAAAATTCATACAGCTTAGATGGTGTGCGTGGCGTCGATGTCGAACAAAAGTGGAAGCAAAAGGCCGTCGTCCGTTTTCCTACATATTTTACACGAGAGCTTTAGATTCGAAGAATGAGACAGGCAAGTAAGAATACACAATGTCACTATTATTTAATCGTCAAATCCACCTTCAAAAAGGTAATTGGCCGCAAGTTCCTCATTCTTGTCGCACGCAAAGTATGCTTCGAGGACAGCCTGACGAGGGAAACCCAAAGCCTCGAGCTATAAGTGTTATGAGTTATGGAATTTGAAATCATACTTCTGTCAACTTACACGCTGGATCGCGGCCCTTTCCTCTTCCGTTACACTAACAACATGAGCACCAGGCGGAATATCGCCCTCCTCAGGGTCAAAATCGCCCTCACCAACACCAAGCAGTTGCATCAATGCTTCTGGGTTTTGAGCCAAAAGCTGAGCGAGGGCAGGATTGCTCGTAGCAAGTTGTTGGATCAGAGGTTGAATGAGATTAGGGTTTTGAGCGATGTGTTCACGAAGTTGTTGAAGCTGAGGGCTGTTCTGTAGAGCAGCGAGGTCTAATTGACCTCCGTGAGCTCCTCCGAGACCTCCGGTGCCACCTCCACCGGCGGCGGCTTGCTGTTGCTGTTGCTGGGCAAGCTGGAAAACATGGTGGTTAAATTGCTATAAAACAAAAGATACTTATTGGGCTCACCTGGAACAAGTTTTGCGGCTGGTTTGATGGTGGGGCGGCAGGTGCTGGCGCCGGAGCTGCAGCGGGAACTGCAGCAGCAGGGGTACCAGCAGAGTGGGAAGGCACTGTAGGGGCATTTCCCGCGGCCTCTGATTCTAGATGGGCCGGGATACCCTACATACAACGGTTAGCCCAATAAAGGTCTACCATGTAATGAAAGCGTACATTCATGAGGTACTCTACAGCACGATCAGGATTGTTGTAACTTGCTCTGAGGGCACGTAGAACTTGATCCCGCGGAAATCCCATTTCAGTCATGCTGTTGATTGTAGACTGTAGCGCATCTCCGGTTAGAAAAGAGCTCGAATCGCCGAAGGCGGCGGGGGTAGAGGTAGCTGGAGCTGGAGCTGGAGCTGGCGCAGATGCCGCAGGAGCTGGAGCCGGAGCTGGAGCTGGAGCAGAGGAAGGAGCAGGCTGCTGCGTCGTTACAGGCGCAGGTGCCGCTTCCGGAGGAGGTGCAGCACGGGCTGCTGTTACGCCGCTGGATGATGCTGTGGGAGGCATAGGCGTGGGTGTCGGTTTAGGCTGAACAAATGCGAATCGGTATCATCCCACGGTAAAGGGGAAAAGAAGCAACCTTGGACACCATCAAGACCAAAAAGTCCTTTTCCTTGATACCGCATGATCCTACTGTCTTATCGTCGGCCAGTATTTTGCCTGCGATTGTGTATCAAGTGAGCAGGAGGGGCCAGTGATGGAATTGATAACTTGCCTGAATATATGATTTTCTGGCTCGCAACCGGATGGCCCTGTGCCTCCTGTATCTTGTTCTTGAGAGCACCTATTGTCTCCTCATCTTCAACGTCAATCTAGACAAGGGTTCAATGGCGATGGCAAAGAAGGCGACGACAAGAAACAGACCTGGAAGACCTTTTGCTGGGTCGTCTTTACGGTTACTTTCATGTCTGAAAGTAGCTGGAGAAGCGGATGGCGGGGGATGGAAGGATGTAGTACGGAGACAGGATTATTGGGAAAGATTGACGCGTAATAGGACGTGACCGTGACCTGCCGTTCATCCTGCGTGACGTGACATCATGCTCATCGGGGCAGGTTGCGTTCCATTGCCAATGCCCATATCGAATGCCGTGGCTGCTACTCATGTGTTGATGCTGCTGCCCTATCCAATTATCTGCATCATTTTTCGTATGTCTGTGCACATTCGACTGGCATACAGCTAATACTTTGCTTGCTGCAGCGTTCTAAACAGCCAATACAATGGCTCACGAACTAGGCGACGACTACATTCGACGGATAGCCAGCTTTATCCGTAACAATGAAAAGAATCTAGCCGAAGCCGGATTTGTTCGCAGACGTCGACCTCGCCAGCCTGCACCGGATGCTGCTTCTCTCTTCAATCCACTAGGGTGGTTTGGCGCTGACGCTGCCCCTGCATCCCCAGTCAAGCCCATCATTTTGTCCATAGACACCCACCATCTCTTCTATCTCCTCATGCGCCTTGAGGCCCTCGGTATCGATATTGGAACCCTTGATGTCCGCGTCGATGCTCCCTCCAGGCCAATGAGTTACATAAACCTCTTCCCTGATACCGACAAGTCTGAAACCCTTTCCCTCGCTTCATTTCGTTCTTCCCTATCTGCAGTATCATCCTTCTCTCTTGGGGGTGGATGGTGGGGGAAGCCGGAACAACCGTCTCTCGATTCGGAACTCAAATACATCTACAGTAGTTTCACCAAGCTACCCGCCTTATCCGTCACTGCCCCAGGTCGGAAAATGATTTCCGAACTCGCAAATGAACCTCCCAATGAAAATGCTATCCCCCTTAATGCATTCAAGAACCTGCAGAGCTTGGAGTGTGTTGATATCGATCCTCGTTCACTGCTTGGGTGGGACCGACTTGCTGAAAGTTTGCGCAGTTTGAAGATAAAGAAGAGCGGGCTTGAGGACATATCAGACATTTTCATTGGGGCGGTACTTGATGACCAAGCTAGAAGAGATGGAAGTACCAGTCGGAAGCGGCATAGAAGAATCCCCCGTGGGCCGGAACGACGGTCATCTTTCTATTCCACTCAGTTACCAAACTCTGTGCCGGAGGACGAGGACGGTGAGAACCCTAACCACGAAGTTTCTTCTGTGCCACAGAATGGCACCGTCACACCACTACCCCAGCTTTCTTCCCTTAAATGGGCTTTTCTTAAACATCTGTCCCTTGCCGACAATGCCTTGGCCTTTTTTCCAGCGGAATTAATACCCCATCTCACATCTTTGGTCCATTTGGATCTGTCGTCAAATCTTCTTGTATCTGTCCCCTCTGGCCTCGGTTCTCTTTATAACCTTGTCTCCCTCAATCTCTCAGATAACATGATTGACTCTGTTCTCGGAATTTATCTCAATTTAGGACAGGTTCTTCATTTGAACCTTTCTCACAATCGCCTCGAATCAATATGTGGGCTGGAGCGGTTGCACGCATTGGAGCGCGTCGATTTACGCTACAACTCCCTTGATGATTGTGCTGAGATTGGAAGGTTGGCGCCTCTACCTAACATTACGGAAGTCTGGGTAGAAGGCAATCCCTTTACAGAGGACGAAGGATACAGGATTCCCTGTTTTGACTTCTTCTGGAAAGAAGGGAAGACCATTACTCTTGATGGATCACTACCAGGCTTTTACGAGAAACGGAACCTGACTATACCACCGCCAGAGCAAATGTCTTCGTCTCGTCCGCTGTCCGTAGCCTACTCGCCGCCCACAGTTGCTGTTGGCCATGCCTATCCTCATTCCCATCATTCATCGCCTAACGCGGTACCCCACGCCGGCAAACAACCATCACCTTCCACTTCAACCCCTGGTTCTCCACATCTTGCCCCCGTAGGTGCTGTAGGAGTCGGAGGAAAGGCGCGTCGGAAGAAAGTAAAGCGGATAGTCGATCTAGATGGCAACATCAGTGATGGTAGCATGGCGAGCTCCTCTCATCGACGCACTCGGTCCGATGGGTCAGGTAAGGCGAAGGCGAAGGCGAAAGCAAAGCCCAAGAAGCCTAGAGACACGAGCCCTTTAGGCCCAACGAAGGAATGGAGTCGGTTCGAAACGCTCCTGGAGAAAGAGGGGGGAGAACTTGTTGCAGGAGATCATGCCAACCTCAATCCTCACCCTCAGGAAGCACAATCCTCGAGCACACCGGCTTCACCACAGCGGCCCGCTCGCCCGTCAAAGCATGTTCGTCATCACACTGATCTTGCTCCAGTCTCTCCAACCCAATCATCTGGTTTCCCGGATATTCAGCCCAAGTCTTCCAACTCTATCAGCTCACAGTCTCTTCGGACACGTGGTTCGCATACACTGTCTTTTAAATCTGCGGCACGCCGTGCTCGCGTCACTGCGTCTGTATACGAACCCGCTACCCTGGGTTCAGATAGAGAGGATATCCAAGGGGAAGAGATCAATGACAATGCCGATGCGTACAGGCGCAAGATTGAGGCCTTGAAGAAGGATATGGGTGATGGATGGCTGAAGGTTTTTAGTCAAACGCAGATGAAAGCCACGACTCCACCCTCTTTGTAGCATTAGCCGTCGTTTCTCATGCACTTATTCGCTTGGAACACATGCAGGACTTTGGATTTTGGCCATTCCTTTGTATTAATATATGCCCATCTATTGACATTAATCCGGTATACCTATTATTTAATATTTAGAACCATCTTGGGCGGTCAAAGGTTGGGCCAATTTGATGAGCTTGAATGTGACAGTTGTTTGTCACGGTATAAGGAATCGGCTGTTGGTTTCTCGGTCAAACTTGTCTCCTGCCACTACTTTATCTCCTTGCTTGCGGCCGCTATCCGCCCTTACGTCGTTCCTTACTTTCTTCTTTTAAAACCATCCAAAGAAATTATCATGGGTGCCAATCTTTCAAAGGCACTGGGTGAGAATGCCGCTGCTGTGTAACAACGAAACCGTACTGACGATTAATTCCAACGTACCGTTTATTTACCTCTTTACCTCTCACAGGGAAGATATTCGGAAACAAGGAGATGAGATTGTTGATGTTGGGGTTGGACGCTGCTGGGAAGACAAGTGAGTGCAGAGCGAATACTAGCCTGCTCTAGTTCTAATGCTGCAATCCCATTAGCTATCTTGTACAAACTTAAACTGAACCAATCTGTCACCACTATACCAACAGGTGCGCTTGCCCTTATCTTTAAGCCTAGAGACAACGTGTCACCCCCCCTCAACGGTTCTCTGCGGTCCCACATCATTCTAACTCCATAATTTCTCTAGTTGGATTCAATGTAGAAACGGTGACTTACAAGAACGTGAAATTCAACGTCTGGGATGTCGGAGGCCAAGACAAGATTCGGCCATTGTGGAGGCATTACTACACAGGCACACAGGGTCTGGTATTCGTTGTCGACAGCCAAGACCGGGAGCGAATTGATGAAGCCAAGCAAGAACTGCACCGGATATTAAGTGACCGGGAAATGAAGGAATGTCTTTTGCTTGTATTCGCCAACAAGCAGGACCTTCCGGGAGGTATGTAGCATCTGAATCTGGACGCTGCTACAATTCACATTTGCACGCTACCCCTAGCCATGTCACCTGCTGAAGTTACTGAGAAACTCGGCCTACACCGAATGCGGGACAGGTCGTGGTACGTTCACCCAAGGTATGCAGGAATATTAGTCTTGTTGGGACTAGGGCTAATGTCTGCCACCAGCTGTGCAACGACCGGCGAAGGTCTTTTCGAAGGTCTTCAGTGGCTCTCACAAAATGTCAAGAAGCGACAACCGTAGTCGTTCGCGACCCCCTCCTTTCACTGTTAGAAACGCCTTTCAGGATACCCATACCATTCACGTCTTGCCTTTCCCGACACTACCACTACTACTCACGGCCTGCACCAGGTGCATCTACGACATAGCGACGTATGGATGGATGTTCGTTCATAACCTCATGCCCTTTCACCCTTTCCCTTGTCGTTCCAACTGTTATCATCTCAGTTTCTATGTTCTCTTTCATGTTTCCTCTGGCGCGGTTTCTATACACATTTAATGCCATACTGTTGCTCAGTCGACCCAGCTTCATATCAATTGTCTCTGTATGTAGATTTTTTTGGAACGCCGCATATATCTCGCATCTTGGTCCTCTTTTTTTCGGAACATCGCGTGATCTAGACTCGAAAGAAAGGATTATCTAAGATGTCGTGCTTTGTGCTACATCGTTCAAAATGGCGTCCGAGCCGGCAGGTGCATTGGTTAACCTTGACCAGCCCTTTCCTTCATGTTTTCTGCAGCGAGAGCCAGTATACGTCGATCGTTCTCCACAGGTCCGGTCGATGGCTTCGTGGGGGCCATTGGGAAGACACCCTTAGTAAGGACGGACTCGATTCATTCTGGGTCTCTCTCTCACTCAGTACGGTTAGATCTACTTAAAAACGCTCTCGGAACGAACTGGCTCCAGTATATATGGCAAAGCTGAGTTCCAGAATCCCGGTGGTAGCGTCAAGGATCGTGCAGCACTTGGTGTAGTCCGAGATGCCGAGGAACGGGGCCTGTAAGTATCATGCTGGCTACGGGGTCTGTAAGCTTACTGATCCTCACACCAAGGTTGAAGCCCGGTGGTACTGTCGTTGAGGGTACAGCAGGTAATACTGGTATTGGACTGGCCCATGTGTGTCGAGCAAGAGGCTACAGATGCGTGATCTTCATGCCGAATACACAGGTATGTCTTTCAGCTCAATGATAATACATTCACTCTCTCATCTCTACCCTAGAGTCAGGAGAAGATTGACTTGTTGCGAATGCTTGGAGCTGAGGTGTACCCCGTGCCTGCTGTAGCATACGATGATCCCAAGAACTACAACCACCAAGCCCGTGATTTTGCCAAGGATCTTCCGAATGCTATCTGGACAGACCAGTTCGACAATACCGCCAATGCCAATGCACATTATGTTTCTACCGGCCCGGAAATCTGGGAGCAGACTGGTGGTGACCTGGACGGATTCATTTGCGCAACGGGTACAGGCGGCACGTTAGCCGGCATAGGCAAGTATCTCAAAGAGAAAAGCGGGGGAAAAACTCAAATCTGGCTGGCTGATCCTCCGGGGAGTGTCTTGACGAGCTATGTCAGCAGTGGGGGAAAGCTTGTAGAGAGATCTGGAAGTTCCATCACCGAAGGTTATTTGTCTTTCCCGTCATATCACCTCGTGTCGCTGACTCAATACTTAGGCATCGGTCAAGGAAGGATTACTAACAATCTGGGGACCCTTGTGAATGAGTTATCCGGCGCCTTTACTGTACCAGATACGAAGAGTATCGCCATGCTCTACGAGCTATTGGATACTGAAGGTCTGTATCTCGGTGCCAGCTCAGCTTTGAACGTGGTTGGTGCCGTGGAGCTTGCAGAAAGACTCGGAAAAGGTATTGATCGTCCTTTGTGCTTGAACACGTCTATCTAATCTCTTCTTACTAGGTTCGAAAGTCGTCACTATTCTTTGTGACGGTGCCTATAGATACCAGAGCCGTCTCTTCTCAAAAAAGTGGTTGGAAGTGAAGGGACTGTCAGACTCGATACCTGAACATTTGAAGAAGTATGCAGTACTAGATTAGAGCGTAATAGAAAATACGATGGCTGTATGGATCGTGTGAAAAAAATGGTTACCTAATCATAATGCAAAGGGCAGCGTACCTCGTTTCTTCGGCGCTAGCGTGCATCTTCCTTCTTTCTCTATCCTATGGCCGCGCCCTCTGTGCCTTCGTCTGACGTTCCTACGGCGCAGGATAAAATTGACTCGCAGTCGTCTGATCCGTCGTCGTCAACAAAGGTAACATCCTTCTAGCTGCCTTGACCGTCTCTAACAGCGTCCGTGGCGTGTTGTGCAGGTTGACAGTCCATCTCAAGGTGCCAATGGTACTACTGCCGTCCCTGAGTCTGATGACGCTGTAGCGTCACCTCCCGCCGACACAGGCGACGAACAAGGGCAGGCTCCCTCGTCAACATCGCAGAAGCCGGCGGAACCGACGGTCGCCTCTCCGAATCATGTCGATGCAACGACGACCGACGAGAAAGAGCCAGAGAAACCTGAGGATGGCTCGCTTTCGACGACGTTGACCGGGACTCATCCTCATGGGGCCGCATCGCGTCGCAAAGCGCAGGCGTCTTCGACGACAGAGGGTCCCGCTTCTTCTCCTTCCGAAAGCGCGAAGGGTCCAAAAGTATCCAAAAGCAAACGTGGTTCTAAACCATCCTTTTTCACTAGATTCATACGTAAAATTATTCCCTGCGTCCCCAGCTCCCCTCGTTCCGCGTCTGTCGACATTGATATCCCCTCGGCTCCCCTGCCCTCGTCACGAGAGAAGCCCGAAACCAAGGCTCCCGAGCAGACCCTTACCGATGTCCCGTCGACCTTACCGCTACCTAAAGCCGATCCGCCAGCAGACACTCAGGATACAAAGGAAGCATCTACAGGCGATCTCCCGCCTCTGGATACCAGTCCTCCTCCACGAGCACCTGATGCTGAGGTCATCTTACCCCCGACGCCGACGACGCATTTACTTCCCCAGTCGGAGACCGAGGGTATGACTTCTGGTGCTGTTGTCCCACCTGGAGCCACAGGTACAATAAACAAAAGGCATTCTGCCGTTCTGTCTGCTGGAGCTGGAGATGGAGATGAATCTGAGGGTACCAGCTTTACGGAAGATGAAGACATGGATGATGTCAATAACGCCGATGAATTGGAGGATGAGGAGGAGAGGTTGATCATCAATGGTGGTGCCGGTATACCCATAGGTCCCGTAAGTCATTGTCATTTTTTTGCGTACAAGTTTTCATACCCTTCAGGATGGCGTTCCCAAACCTTTGTTACCGCCCATCGCGCCACAACACGTCGGACGAAAGTGTCTTGTTCTCGATCTGGACGAAACACTCGTGCACAGTAGCTTCAAAGTAGGTCTTACATGTTTTGCACCCGTTCTGATGTTGACGTTTGGGGGTAGTCGATACAGCAAGCTGACTATGTTGTTCCTGTGGAGATTGAGTACCACTGGCACAATGTCTACGTGATCAAACGACCCGGAGTCGATAGTTTTTTGAAGAAAATGGGGGAAATATATGAAGTGGTAGTATTCACGGCGAGTTTGAGCAAAGTGAGTCATTGAATACAGTATAAAATTGCTCATTTCTGAACCTTTGTAGTACGCTGATCCTGTGTTGGACAAATTAGACATTAATCAGGTCGTAACGCATCGTCTGTTCAGAGAAAGTTGTTACAACCATAGAGGCAATTACGTCAAGGTGAGGTAATCCCAAAATTTTCTATACGCCACTCATGACCACTCTTTAGGATCTATCACAACTGGGCCGGCCAATAGCCGATACCATCATTCTTGACAACTCACCCGCTTCATATATCTTTCACCCCAACAATGCCGTTCCAGTGTCTTCATGGTTCAACGACCCGCATGACACAGAGCTGACCGATCTTGTACCCTTTCTTGCCGATCTTGGTACGGTGGACGACGTGAGAGGTGTCCTGGACGGTGCTCGCTAAAGTCTTGGGAACATGCCGATCAAGTATCGCTTGTGATTCCTTTCTTCTCGTTATTCTCTCGCGGTTTCTTTGGTGCATGGTCATATCCCTTCATTATACCCCCGCAAGCAAATCCATAATCAATATCATTTTCCCCTACCGCTGTCGCTCCATCTGCTTTCGACCCGTTACCATGTTCGGAAACCACGTAACGCATACAGTGAGGCTCGTACACGCTCCTTTTGTTTTTGTTCATAACTTTATTCTACATTACGCATCCACGGACTTGTGAGCCCATTACCACCACCAATATCCAAAATTCTTTTCTTTATTGCCATCGGCTGCGTTGGTGTATCAATGCCTTGCTCACTCGTGTTTTACCAGCTTATTTCATTGCTATCGCTCAGATGTTCCATGCTGTATTTACGAACTTGGTATGAAAGCTATGAAAATACACAGATCTTGGCAGGAGCTTGTTCGAGTCATGAATCACAACAACAAATCATATGTATACGATTTCATTGCTATATAACATCAAGGACCAAACGCCCTCCTTTGCCCACTCATAGCGAATGGGACTGCTTTGATACACTTAGTCTTCTTCGCATACTACGGTTCTAAATAAGCACTATGAAATCACCACGTTCGCTCCACACATCCACCCGATCACTTCAATGACCTCTTTGACCCGACGTAGCAGTTTTCTTGTTCACTGAAGGCTCCTCGTCATCCCACGGACTGAAATTAAGCTTGCGAATCCGGGGTAAGGATTGAAGCCACGATGGGATCCTGTCATGCGCTGGAACAGTTAGTGCATGGGCATTTACATGCGATGGAGATGGCGGGATGCTTCCAACATCGCTCAAGTTCGGCAGACGCTCGAGGCTGGTGTTGGTAGAGCCCCCAAACGCGCGCTGAAGGACCTCTCGCTCTGCCGGCGAAGGCGCAAAAGCTCTCAGCAAGGTACTACTGTCAGACGTGGGCGCTGTCATGACATTAGGACCCAGACCATGAGGATTTAACGCGTCGAAAGACATCTGCGAGAAATGACCCTGTTTCTGCGAATCCGATGCTCCAGATATGCTGAACACCTTCGCATCCGGATTGAGACCCTTTGTGGATTTGTCTTTAGAGAACCAACGACGAGGAGCCGATGGCTTATCGGCTCCAGGGGCTGGATCAAATTCTTCAGACGTCGGGTAAACCAGGGAGGGAGTTGAACTATTCCGGTGAAACAATGCACGCTGCATGTCCATGGCACTCTCAGAACGTAAAGAGTACCTTTCTCGCTCACGTGGAGTCAACATGCGAACCTCGAAAGGATCATAATCAGTGTCGCCGGTGGAAACAGCATGTAAGGATGTTGGTGAGGATGCGGTCATCGTCCCGTACTTGGGACTAGGTTCGTCTGTGTTTAACCGTTGGGGATGTCCGTGTACACCATTATTTCGCCAGTGCCTGTCAAGGAAAACGTCGTTCTCCGACTGGAAGGACCGCGAAATATTGTCTGTGCTGTCGAGTGCAAGGGAGGACATGAGACCTGATGGGATCAGAGAAGATGACGTCGGAGAGACCGCCATTGAGGACTGAGATAGATGTGGATCAAGGTCTGCGAATGGTGCAAAGTTCCCGACGGCGGGTTGCGATGTTTGAACAGCAAGGGATGGCAAATCATTCTCTAGCCTGGCGTACGTATTACTTCGCAAAGGGATTGGAACCGAAGCCGAAACATGGTCGCTGGGATTTCCAATGATCAACTCAGAAGTTTGTGGAGACTGTCCTGATACCCGCTCGTCACGCAAAGAGTCATCCTGCGAGGATCTTGTAGGTGAATGTGTGATATCCTTGATCGACCATGAGGAAGAGGTTGGGTCTATTACATGGAAACCATGGTGAAGGGACCGAGTGAGCTGCTGAGATTGGAAGCGTTCTCGTAATGACTGTAACCTTGCTTTCTGGGTTGTGAGCCGCTTTTCCAATTCGCGAGCCCGAATATTCAGTGCCGTGACAATATCATCTGCGACTTTGATCTCCGTTCTCTTCTGCTCCAAGGAAACCTTGATGGCCTGTTCCGTTGGCGACTCAGAGTCCTTGCTATGTCGAACCGATGCTTCATCATCAACCAAACACTGTTGTAAGCGTAAGATCTCGGAGTCAAGGTGCTCTATACGCTGTTCAGTGTCTTTACGAGCAACGAGCGCAGCTTTAAGACGTTTTTCGGAGTCTCTTTTAATGCCCTCAGCTTGCCTCTTGGAGTCGTCCAATGCCTTGGTCCTAGATTTCAACTCGGCTCTCATAGAATCCTCCTGCCGTTTTCGGTCCCGACAAGACTCCAATTCTCTTTGAAGAGTAGCATGAGACTGCGAGGCAGAAGTTTTGCAATCATTGAGTTGATTGCGAAGGTCCAGAATGGATGCGGTGGATGCGGTAACCTGGCGAAGAAGCTCCGCGACATGAGGAGATTGATCGAATACAGTTAAAGGAGAGCTCGCTGAAGGTAGCTGCGCGCCGGTGTTTACGGGGTCAATGGGAAATGATGATAGTGACTGACCCGCATGCTGAGCTATTACGCCATGATCCGCCAAAGCTTGCGAAGATCGTGTCGCGTGCAGAGGCAGCGACACTGATTTGGGGAGAGGTGGTGGAGTGGAACTGCGAGTAGGTAGTAAGCCGGACCGTTGAGACGATTTGTCACGATTCCTTAGTCTCGGAGGAGAACCGCGCGACAACAGATGAGGAGGAAGATTCTTGGTGGTGAACGGAAGACCTGGCAGAGCTGTAATGACCTCAGACACCAGCAGTAGAGAAACAAATAGATCTGCACTGACCACCATTGTATTCATGATGTCTTTCAGAGGTTTTCATGCCAAGTATGCCCGAACTCCAGCTTTCCTCGTCATTTCTGGCGATCACGTCGTGGTACCATTCATCCAAGACCCCGCCACGCCACCATTTTCCAAAAGCTCCCAGATACCACGAATCGGAGATAACTGATACCATACCATCGGAACGTCGATCGACTGGGTCACGATCCGACTTTGAGATGGGGACGATTACTGCAATGGTGAAGATGCCAAAGGTATGAAAAACATGTTTAGGTGTCCGAAGCGAAACTGAAGCACGGTTAGCGAAATGAAAAGGTGACCTGTTGTCAAAAGGGAGCGTGTGGGCGGTGCTGTTCGCACCACGTCGAACTGAACATTTCGTTTCATGAGAGTCGTGATCGTCGTCGATGCTATCATCGAGACGACTGAGGTGTTGCCGAAATGACTGTTCAGTCAGGAAAGTACGAAAAGACGTTTCGGATGGGTTTGTCAGATAAGCTATAACAATGACAGATCAGTAAAGCAGGTCGTGCGGCTTGAAAGGGGTGAAGAAAACACTTCAACTTGTCAAAAACAAGATGGAAGCGTGCTTTGTGGCGCATTCAAGAAATGCATGTAACGGAACAGAGACTCACCCAAAATCAGGAAAAAGATGCAAAACACGATTAGCCAAAACATGGACCTAATGTCGCCCTTGCCCCAAAGGATGCCCATTGCATCCGCCAAGGGATTGCGAAGGGACATGAGACCCAAACTGCCGAACGAGATGCTCATGACAAGAAAAAACGAATCCTTGCGACGAGATTTCGAGATAAGCCCGGCAGAACCGGTGGTGGTGGCAAGAGGGCTCTCCGGGTGAGGTTGGTCGGACAGGGTTGTCGGTGGGCCGCGAGCGGCGACCCTTAAGCGAGAGAATGCGTTGGAGACGTGTGCGGCGATGTCGAGGACGCGGTTGACGACGGCGACGACAACAACAATGTAGAAGAGAAGAAGCCTTGGAACACCGTAACGGCGCTGATCTGGAGGAGGCCAAAACCGAGAAAAGAAAATGTGACTTGTCCCAAATACACAATTTGCTGACTAATCAGTCCGAGAATTACCTCAATTTTGATCAAATTCGGGTGATAGATGACTAACTGTTCATCACTCTTCCCGGTCCTCGAGTCGCAAAGACTCGGCGGGCGGTTTCAGTTTTTAGTGACGCTCGAGCTCATATTTTTCGCAATCGTGATAATGACTTGTTAGAGTTGTGTTTCACTATCTAGGTCACATCAAAAGGTTCACTCATTCGACATCAGACTTTCCTTTGAGTTTCCTTCTTCCACTGACAATAATGACAGCATCGCCGCAGGGGCGAGGTCGGTCAGTTGACCAACAGCGGAGTACCGCTCGAAACAGCAACAGTCGTAAAGTACAAAGTCAAGCTCATACTGATTGATATTTACCCGTATTAAGAATAATTTCCTTCATCCTGCTCCACGAAACTACATTCTCAAGACCCTTCTTGTCCAGAGCGACAGAGAAACCGAGCAGTTTGGTGCCGGTGTGGGTGCTGCCGGATCCGGACCTGCTAATACTTTGCGAAGCATTTCCTTTCCCCCGTTTCAACGGTCGATGGTGTTGATTGTCACCCGATGTTCGTTTCATGCCCACGTTGCCTTCCATCTGATTATCGGCATCCTTACGGGATAAGGTTTGTTGCGTTATTGCAACGGTATCTTTCTTTCGGGTACTCGATATCTCATCGGCAGTTTCCCCGATGATTCTAACTGTAGAGTTAGATTTGTGGGGGTTCCCGCGTTGCGGGGCGCCAAGGACTGTTTTATCTTGTTGACTGGTCATTTCGTCGGTGCGGATATTTCTCGATCGTGATCCTGATGGATCCGCTGATCCGCTCGTGAGGGTCTGGCGCATGAAACTAGGAGCTGCCCACGCAGATGGGCTATGGTGAATGATGTTAGCCTGAGAGCGAGAGATTGATAGTCTTGGTTCCTCGAGATCATCCGCGTCTAACAGGACTCGCTTCCTTTTCCGTCCTGAGCGTGCAGCCATCTGTGAATACGATCTCTGTGAAGGGCCAAAGAGATCTGTTTGTGTCTCGAAGTCATCCGGATCCAACGGTCTGCTAGGGCCTGCGTTCCGGTCCGTTGTATCACTGCCGTCATGTCTTTGACCACGAGAACGTTTGCCAGAAGATTGCTTATCAGACTCCGAATCCGAGTGCGGGTCCGATGTTTCATCTGACGAACCATCCACATCTATATCGCGCTGAGTATCAGGGGGGTTGACGGAAAGAGAGGCATCCTCAGTGTTCTCTCTGAGGATAGAGGACTGTGACCCATTTTGCGATAAATCACCATCGTAGTCATCTGCAGAGAACAGAGAATCATGATCATCGATATCTTCTGCATCTCGTTCAACAGGCAGGTTCGCAGCCGAAGTAGCAATGGCTCGTTGCGAGGCTGCAAAAGGGCCAAAGGGCTGCGGCAGTCGCAGAGATGGTCCAGATTGCGGCTTGTCTGCGACTACCCGTCCTGAGGATTGGCCAGGTTTCGGGTCGCATGGTGACTGCGAATGGAGTCCAGATTGTGACTGGGACTGTGACTGTGATTGAGAAAATAAGTCGTGATACTGGGTAGGAGGACATTCTTGGGACTGGGAATATAACCACGACTGAGACTGAGGTTGTGACTGTGAAAAGGGTTGTGATGAAGTATCCGAATTAGGCGCCAGAATCTTGGGAGTACTTGTTGAATTGATTGGGAATATGATTTGGTTGGGCAGGAGGAGGAACTTTGCGAAGTCCGTCAGCAGCTAACGGTCGCTCAACAGAGCGCAGCGGCTTGGGAGGTGGAGAAGATAATAAGCTATCCTGACCCGAGGTGAACGAGGATGGAGGGTTACGGGGCTGGATACTAGGAAACGTCGTCGAATGCTTCTTGGAGGAGGTTGCGGATTGGGTGACCGACTTTCTGGACACCGGCTTTCGCGACGGAGAACTGGCCAGATAACGGTCCCCTGCTACATCTGTCCAATTGACGCCGAAGGACTTTGACCCCCGGATTGTTGCAGTGTAAGTGTAAGTGGTTTTTCTCGGTCGCTGCCTGCGAGGCAAGGACAGATGCGACGACACCTCTCCTGGTCCACTGCCACCGGTATCCACTGAATCCGATGTTTTCCTTGAGCGCCCTGTCAGAATTGGTGTTGCCTCAGAAGGCACTTTCGGACGCCGAGTAGATACTGGCGATTCTGTAGGAGACAGTTGGATTGTCAATTTCGGTATCACATCGGCCCGGGGCGTTGTCAGACCATTCCTTGGACTTGGAGACCAACTGTCCGTCAAGGGACGAGAAGTTGTTGAAACTTCTGAATCAGAGTTATCCTGACATTTGTCTGCTGGGGAATTGGAATCTGTACAGGGACATGAATGTCATCAGCTTCATATCGCAGGGTCCGAAACTCACTATTTTGCCGTGCATCGGTATCAACTGTGGCTTTCCTGAGATACTCGTGTTGGTTGTTCTTATCCAGGTGCTAAATTACCCATTAGCCACAGATCCTATCACAATGGGAAACGCCTATACCCTAGACCACCAACGGTCGTATTCGCGTGCTGCGTTTGCGACATCTTGGTGTTCGGACGTCACCTCCTTACCACCGACTCCCTTCGATTCAGACTTTTTGTTAAGCCCACGGTCTTTAGGGGCGAAACCGAGCCCATTCTGCTGGGACTTGGGTTGCTTTCGAGAGGTCTTCTTGACCATGAAGGAACTACTAATGTGTTTATCAATACAACGAGTGTCTTGCGGTGGAACTATGCTGACCCACCACCAACCCCTCGCCGCAGGCTATGTATCCAGTCGTTTAAGTCTGGGCTGGCATGAAGCTCTGCTGGTTGACCTAATGTAGCTGTTGGAGATGTATCGGCAACGGAGAAAGCATCGCATTGAAGCGCAAGCTCTTGCTCGTCCGTCAATCCTGTAGCACCTTGTAAGGGTATGCGCCGGAAAATTAGACGAAATGAGTTGATTGATAAAACTGCCTTTTCACATTGACCGATTGGATGACTGATATCATGCCGTCAGTATCTTGTTCTAGAGAAGTACCGCATGATAGGCACCGCTGTGTATATGATTCCATTGCCTTCGTAGTGAGCATCAATGGCATTGTAAAAGCTCTGTCAGACACATTCACCCATAAGGATGAGCTGTTATCAGGATCCTTGGGCCTATTGCCACGAAACTACCACAAATAAGATGAAATCTGTTGGAGTCAGGCAAAAATGACGCACGGTGAGTAACTGAACTCTCTTGGGCTTGGTGGCAGGCTCTGCTCTGTAGTATTCAGCGCCAAATCGTAGAGAAATGTCCAGTAGATAGTCGTGGATCCATGGTGCCAGTTTATCTGCCATTGAGAAACCAGCGCGATTCCAAGTAGAGTGTAGGTTTGAGTCAAGACGCGTCGTGTGCTACGCGGTCACGGTGGTGGCTGACAAAGTTGCTGACACATAGTGCCATGTCACTGGCAGAAAGTCCAAGACCCTCGCGCCGTTTATGTTGCCGTTTTATGGGGCCAGCGACGATGTCGGCATTTACATGGATGTTTCAAGCAATCAGCCCGTCCGAGAAGAAAACTTCAATGTTTGAATAAGAAATGATATTAGCAAGCCTAGCAGTTTCGTCCCAGCTTATTCTTTAGTCGAGGCATCTACACTAGTAAAGTTACGTTGACGAGGCAAGAAGTCAGAGCAATAAGGTTAAATGCAAGAACATACAGTCATTTTACCACCAACAGATGTCGGGGGTCAAAACCGTTCACCTGCTCATGAAACAGGCCCTCCCCGTGGATTTTGAGAAGAACGATGACAAAGCCTTGGGTTACATAACTTGCACTGGCATGATCGTTTTGTTTTCAACCACGACGACGCATGGAATGCGACAAGACGCTCATGACCACTGGCGACTACCGACTTATAGTTACACGGTCCGTGCGACAACAGAAGACAACAAGACTTTAAACTTTGCTCGACAAGAACCGGGGACAAGTACAATCGAATAGCTACTCCTTCTGACTGGTCTCTACATTGGTATTATTCTCCGAGGCTCCTTCCTTCTTGGTTTCTTCCGGCTGCTGGGAAACGGTTGTGGTAGAAGACAGCAGCTGAGCCTGGGAAAGGGCGGCACGAAGGGCGGCATTTTCGACCCTCAATTGGTCAACCAATGCACGACATTCTTCCCAACGGCGATTCGCCTCGTCTGCTGAAGCGAGGGCGGCATCAAGGAGTTGCGAACGAGACTCAAGGGCCTTGACATGCCTGGATCTTGGTAAGCAGGAGGCTCAACAGATGCATTAACTCTACATACTGGTCTCGTCGTTCTCTAAATGCACGCTGGGCCTTTCTGTTCTGCTCTGCACGCTTGCTGGAACTGAGGGCGCGCTGGCCTGACGACGTGGATCCGGACTGGTCGGGTTGGGAGTTTGGGGGAGGCGGCGGCATTCCACCGGGCGAGTAGTCGGTATACTGATACGGAGGCATGGCGCCGGGGGGAAGCTGATGCATGATGGTATGGGGAGGTGGAAGAACGTGTTGAAGCTGCTGAGGCTGGGACTGAGGCTGAGGCTGAGTGGCGGGTTGCTGAGGTTGGGCAGAGTCTGGAGTCGTGGCAGGAGGAGACTTTCGTTTCCGTGGGTTACGGGTTGGTGGTGTTATGGCTGGCGGCTCGTCACGCAGGCGCATAGTCTGGGGAAGAGCCTGCCCATTAGTCGACTGAGCAGGCTGCTGACTAGTCGGCTGCCCCGCGTTGGCAATGTTCGTCGAGAGATTTGAAAAGTTCATCATTCTTTATGAACCCTCGAGGACCACAAAGTATTTGTAAGAGCCTGACAAAGCCTGACTAAGAGCTCCCTAAATAGACAAACGCCCTTGCACAACATGTACAAACGCGTACCCCATTCCCAATCCCCTTCCACCATGTCTCCATCTCTGCGCCAGCGTTTCTTCTTAAAAAGCAAGGATGCTTCGTCTCAGTCGCTACAGCACTCACAGGATACATCCGGAAGTACAGGCAGTTCGTGCTCTTGCATTTCTTGTTTCTCTTCCTCAATAATATATCAATCCAGCGACGTTAACCCCAGAGTCAGATCCCCCGACAGACGCCAGCGCTCCCACTGCTCTTTCTTCCGAGTCTTCTGTGTCTGATAGAGACCACGATCCGTCTCTGAGGACTACTCTAGCAAACATCCATCGCGTTCCGTTCTATCGACGCAGAAGCAACAAGTCTGATGCAGCTCTGTCCTCTTCCATCATCAAGCCTCCCACACGTCGCAGACGCGCAAAACCCTCTTTCCTTTCTCGTGTCGTCCATAGAGTCGTTCCTTGTGTACCCGATTCCAGTGCTCCCCAACCGGATTCCGATACACCGCCGTCAGATCCATTAGCCGCTCAACTAGACAGTCATCTTAACTCATCTTTATCTTCTGATGTCTCCAATCAGTCTGATAATAACGCTGTCGTAGATCTTCCTCCAGTAATGACTCAAGATTTGTCTTCACCCCAGGACCCAGATGTCATCGTACCTCCACCTTCCAGCGTCTATCTGTTGCCTCAGGACGAGACCGACGGTGTCACCTCGGGTGCCGTCCAGCCCCCAGGATCTACTGGAGAACCTATTGCACGGACGCCGACTAGAGACACTGATGATTCTGAAGCTACTAGTTATATGGATGATGACGGAGATGATACGCAAATTGATATGCAGGCTGAAGAAGATCGTTTGATCAAGAATGGCGGATGTGGAATACCCATCGGGCCGGTAGCTATCACTTTGCTTTCGTTTACTATTTAGTGCTTATGCGCTTCTTTCTCAACGCCCAGGACGGCATGCCGCAGCCCCTTCTACCGCCCATAGCTCCTCATCATGCGGGACGCAAGTGCTTAGTTCTTGACCTCGACGAGACCTTGGTGCATAGCAGCTTTAGGGTAACTTGACCCTTCTCTTGTGTAATCACTCTGGTTCTTACTGAATGTAGCAGGCTGTGCAAAATGCTGATTTTATCGTTCCCGTCGAGATTGAATATACTTGGCATCAATTCCATGTATTGAAACGGCCGGGGGTTGATGCCTTTCTCAAGAAAATGGGTGAACTGTACGAGGTCGTTGTGTTCACAGCGAGTTTAAGCAAGGTAAATTCTGTTAGCCCTTACCACCACCCTGCCTTACATTTTTCTTTCAGTATGCCGATCCAGTGTTAGATAAATTGGACATTCACCAAGCTGTGGCGCATCGCTTATTCCGAGAAAGTTGCTATAGCCATAATGGTAACTATGTTAAAGTACGTATACGCTTCGTACGTTTGCATCAACTCTGCTAATCCGAGTGGAACTTTTCAGGACCTTTCTCAACTGGGTAGAGCCATCACAGACACTATAATTCTGGACAACTCGCCCGCATCTTATATCTTTCATCCTAACAATGCGGTTCCTGTCTCCTCATGGTTTAATGACCCACATGACGCAGAGCTCGTAGACCTCATACCTTTTCTGATTGACCTCACTTCAGTACCAGATGTTAGGGGCATTCTGAATCCCGTTCGATGTTAATGACACGCAACGTATTTGGGCATACGTGCACTTATTTTGCAATCCTACGACACCAGTCATTCGTTGACATATATCGTAATTTATTCTGGGATCTTTGTTGGGTTAAAGTATCACGCACACATTGCTTTGAATATGTAGCCTTCTTACAGTTTTGTATCAACACCATTTCTGCGATTCCACGGCCTATCATAATGAGTGATAGATATTAATGAGTAATACAAAGAAAGTGACCAAGACTATATAATTATGCAAGTGCTAAGCTTCAAGCTTCATATATCATCGGTCTATTTTTCGGGCTCTCAACGCTCCGATTTATTCCAAGACGTGCCCTCCGACCTGGACCCTCTCCCATTGTACGATCTGTTATCCCGCCACCCCGACTGACCCCGACCATTTTCTGACGCATTGGAACGAGATGAAGATCTCTGCTGATTGTTCCAAGGTTGCCGCTGCCTTCCTTCTTCCCAGTCTTGTTTCGGCGGCCGGCGATTGTCAGAGCCATACGTACGAGGTGGTCTCTCCTGATTATTCCAGGATTGTCGCTGCCTTCCTTCCTCCCAGCCCTGTTTCTGCGGTCGACGATTGTCTGAGTCGTAGGCACGAGATGGCTTCCTCTGCTTGTCCCAACTTCCTCTCTCAGGCCGACGACTGCTGTTCTGAGACCCCCCGAAATTCTTGCTACGATATCTATCTTGATTATCGGAGCTTCCCCATCGATCTCGCCGCTCAGTAACAACCCGCCCGTACTCATCCTCCTCCAGAAATTCCTCGGCAGCAGGTGCCTCGACCTCTTCAGCGAGAGGAGGTTCTTTAACGGATTCGGCGCTACGATCTTCCTTTAAAATCACTTTTACTTGCACAGTGCTCGAGTCATAGCTTTGTTGCTGGCGAAAGAATGTTGATCCGAAAGCCACAGATGTCTTGGACGAGATTTCGCCCGAGACGTAAGCTTCCACTTGGTTTGGAGCCATAGCGGCAGCGAACTTCGGTATCACCTTTAACATAGTTGCAACCTCACTACGGAGACGCTGCTCAGCACCGCTATTATATACCTGTATGCGTTTTGCGAAACGAAGATCCTTTTCATCAGGGAAAGGCACGTGTCCGCGCTGTACTTTGGTTAGAAGGTCGGGTGTGATATCTAAACAAGGTTTGAAATGAAGCTTTTGGAGGGAGACGGCTGCACAAACATCGAATTTCTATGGGTACAATGGCTTTGATTCCACTGAGAGACACGAAGTTCATTTCGTCTGAAGGGACCACTTCCATGATTCGAGCACTCCGCTTCGTTAAGTTTCTACCACACGCAGTGCTTCAGGTGAGAGAAACGGCAGGTCAGCACTGACCAAAGTAACTTTGGTTCCTACTCACCATATGGACGTACTCCTCAATGGATTTCGCGGCGTGAAAGATTATGATGTTCCCGCAGGGATCAATGTCATCCCTGAAAAAGGCTAGAATCAACGAAGTCAGCAGTAGCTTCAAGGAATGGGTCAAGACTAACTGGAATCAGCGGATATTATATAGGCCTTGATTTTTTGGTCGTAGATGAGGTCATCTTTGGATTTTATAATGCTCGCCGTGACGGCTTTCTTGTAAAGACCGTCATACACGTCTTGAGCCATATCACTGTCAGTGGTGTATATTATAGTCCTGCTGGATGATGCTGTAGCAAAAGGATGTATGTCAGATGTGAAAATACGGCGAGAGGTGAGACATTACTGATAGAGTCTGTTATATAGGTCCAGAAATCGTCTTCCAAATTGTTAACACCGTCATTGGCAGGTAAGAAGGAAAGATTTGGTGGGAAGGGCCTACAAGATAGTGTGATAATCAGGAACACAGCACCATCTTCCCAGAGTCATAATCCTACCATGTTCGAAAGTAACACTCGGTGAAGGAGACGGCCCTTTCGTAGCTCCAGTTTAACTTTTCTTCGACGTCCAGTAGGCAGATGATGGGCGTTCTTTCGGAGGAAGGAACATAATGTGTTCTCGAGGCGTCCACCCTTGCTCTTTGATTAAAATTTCCAAGTGCCTTAAGAAGGCTGGAAGGATGTGCCATGTTAATTGCATGCGGGAAGCTCAGGGAACGACATACGTTGCATCGGGCTCAAAGTTGCAAAGAATGAGTGACTTGCATTCAGAAGGGTTGTAACATGATAGTGCAGAGGTGACAGTATCAAGTCCGGAGATCAATACACTGATTTTTTGTCAGAATGAAGCAAGGCATAGATCTAAGTAGACGCACACATCCGCTTTCCGAGCTGCTTCTGACACCTGAGCTGTATCAACAAGCTCGACCGAGGACCTATCTTGGGCCCGTAAGAAAGCGAGAACGTCTCTAGCAGTAGATGATTCTTTGAAAAGTACGATTGTCCTGGATACCTCTGGTTCGGAAGGAAGTTTGTCGATCAAATCGGCAATGGTGGTGGGTTGGTCTTTTCCCGACACATAGGTTGCAATAATCGAATTTCCGAGAGTTGCTGCCTCCACAGTTTCTGAAATCGCAAGAGAGGGGATCGTCAAAGGGTTACCAAGAGTCACACGTTTTGACTTCTGAGAAATCATAGGTGAATGCGAGCCGATTAATATATTGTTCAGTAAGAAACAATACCTTTCCACGTATTCCCGCATCTTGCGACCCTTCTTTCAGCGTTGCTACAGCATCTGCAGCTAGAAAAACAGTTTTTGAGAATGAACGAGCTCGAAGCGTCGGAGGAGCGACCAATCTCAGAGGTGCTCGACGCGAGAGAAAAAAACGAAGCATGCTTGTATTCGGTCCGAGTTCCGGATTTACCTATCACGAGCACGTGATATATATGTTCGACGTAAGATCGACGGCGGCTCCATCATCTATTTCTATTATTTCTATCATTCATGTCAGGCGGTATGTTTTCCAATCTTGTAGGTACCGTGTCTGGGATGAAGTTTTTTATAGAGACAATATCTGCCCGTCGCTCTAGTATGGACGCCCAGAAGATCGTCTTCATCACTCTGACCGCAGCGTTGAGCGTCGCCGTCGTCGCCATCCTCATTTTTGCCATTCGGGAAATTCAAGCTAAAAGGACAACCGCCCATAGATGCTTGTTTCGCTGTAATAACACTGCCAACACTTTCCTACACTCGGATTCAGAAAAGGCGATTCACGACACAGACTATCCTGACCACGGAAACACCCTCTTCAACACCTGAACTCTCTACAAAAACCCATACTTCCACGCTTTCCAGGCTGTCTCGGCCTGTTGAGCTGGATATCACGCTCTCGCACTCTCGCACCTCGTCTGTTGACATCGCATTTCCTCTGCTATCATTGTCAACTTTCACGCATGTCGACGTAAATACTGCTACATCAATGTCCATACAGGCGGGACTTCAGTGCATGTCCAGAAGAGGTATACTCCGAAAAATATCTCAAGAAGAGTCGACTTCTTCGGAATCCATCTCTGACTTTGCGGATAGTTTGTCTTTCGCGAGTATATCGAGTTCGTCGATGACCTCTATTTCTACGGCGGCTACGGAATCTAGCTTTTTGGACGAGGAGCGCGAAGATGAAACGTACCAAGTTCAGAGAGCGCAGACACAGAGTATGGAAATTCAACGAGGCGTCCTATTGACACGGGAGGCGTTACGTGCATCAGTTCTCGGTCCGGTCGCAGACACCCCGAAAGTCGTCATCTCTACAGTTCCAGTATCTAGCGAAGCTCAACATGCGTCTCTCAGCACAGATGCGAGTCTCTTACACGTACGAGCACCATCAATACTAGTCACGCATCCTAGTACGAGCACCATTGATTCCAGCGCTAGCAGTATGTCCGTTGACTTGGCCGATTTCCCCCTCCCTCCTACGCCCGGGGTCGTACCTGTTGGCAAACTGACGGTATCTAAAGACGTTGTCACGGGTGGCCGTCTAGATTTCGGCGACTTGGACAAGCGGTCGACTCTCGAGCAGTTCATCATGCTCTACGGAAGTACCCAGATGTAGTTAGTAATGTGTCTGGATGATATTGGCGTAGTTATGGAAAATGTATTTCTATAACTCTTCATCATTTCCGTCCGGTCTTTCTTGAAGCAGTAGTATTTTTGTAGCGCAAAGGGGTCAAACATCGCTTCTCTCAGACCTATCTAAATGACTGCTCAAGGAATTATGGAAAGATACTGTGTCGCCCAAGGCTGGGACGAAGGGCACGATATCCTTAAACGCCGGATCGAGTTCGCTTACCTGCCACACAAGTTTGACGTGAGGAACGAACGGCTCAAACTCTGTGATTGGCCAAGTAAAGCGTAGTGATCAGAGAGATCCCCCTTTGCCCCAGCGCTTCGTCGCATTTCCCCAGTTATTTGGCTCAAGCGAGGCAGCCAAACCAACGCGATCGTCTTGCGCTATTCGGTGCAAGTGTATTTTCGCTTCGTTCTCTCTCCGCTCTCTTCTTTCAGTCGCTCCGCCGTTTCTTCGCTCTCTTTTGACCCACCCACCTACTCCCTTCTTTGTTTGGGTAGCGCCTGGTCTGACGTGCAGCTACGTCTTTTCGGTTGCTCAGATTTCAGGTTTCCCCGAACAACTGAGTCCTCGGCTTCCACTGCTACGAGTTTGAGCTTCCGGCATCTCTGCATCCCGGTATCCATCTCCGGACTGGTTTCATTTGACGGCAACCATGATAGTGGTGGAGCGACCCGTAGATTTGCACTTTAGCGAATGGAGAGGTAACCAGTATGTAGAGCCTGAGAATGCTATATTGGATGTCGTCGAACCAGAGTGGAATCAAGACCAATGGTAGCCACTTGGCCACGGATTGTACAAGATATCTGATGATTGCAGATGCTATAAGACAGTTAGAAATTACAAAGCTTACTTCCACCCAACCATCTCCTCTCAATTAGTCCTTCGCCGTGCACATGTTGAATTGATATATGCCAGCTTCAAAACATAGAACCTTCTGGCGGTTGTGGAAGCTTCCTGTTATGGAACGACGCCATCTCCCTACAATTTTATTTATTAGTATGAGTAAGAAGATCATAAAGCATGCGGCATGCGTACTTTCTCATCTCTACGAGAACACTCTCGATGCTGTGGTTGCGAGTCCATCCAGCCAACACAGGAAGCTTGGTTGGATCGACCATGCCGTTCGTCTGGTTGACAAATGGCAGATTAACCTTCGAAAGGAACTGAACAGTCGGAGCGCTATCAGGGTAGCTCTCTCCACAAGTAATCTTAAGGCTGTAGATACGATTCTCGTGCACGGTCTGCACAGATGACAATGATCAGTATTGTATCTGGGCAGGACAGGACGACATACATGTCCTGGACCAATAATCGTGCCATTCCAGTTACTCATCATGATATCGTCGCCATCCTCTAAACCGTACGAGCACGACCCATCGCCAATGCCCTTCTCGCCTTTTTCAAGTTCTTCGAGTAGCCGAAAGTTTCGTGGAACTATCCAAGCCAGATTTCAGTGTTCTAGGATGTTAGAATAACTCGTGGACTCACTCTTCGCCATCGCAGGGAGGATGACAAGGATCACTAAAGCTCGTAGTAACGGGCCAAAATGTAAATTTCATCATCATTATAATTTGGTCCGAAACGGAACTGCTTTCGGAACTCGTACAGCCACTAGCGTGAGTGAGCAATTCCTCATCGCATCTTCAACGTCCGCAGCTTCCTCTCTCTCTTTATACCAACAGTCTCTCCATAAAGCTCACCAAATCCTTTAAATGTTTGGAGGAGGCTCTACGAATCCATACGATGAGGTCGTCAGTGCGTCTACTCCCATACTGACTTGCATATGGCTTGTCATTCCTGATCACAACCTGAGCAGCCAAGACGACAGACGAGAATCTGACGAGCGAAAATTGGGAACTTATTCTCAATCTATGTGACAAAGTTCAAGAGGAAGGCCAGGAAGGGTGCGTTATTTGTCGTTTAGCGGTATCACCGCTTACACGCCATTCCAAGGGCTCGCAATGTCATAGCTGCTGTGCTCAAGAGGTTGGCTCATCGTAATCCTAATGTGCAGCTATATGCTCTGTCGCTGTCTGAGTCGCTATCTAAGAACTGCGGTATCGAGCTCCATAGGGAGATTGCATCCAGAGCGTTTACCCAAGGATTAGAGAAACTTATCACTGACAGGGTAAGCACCTCCAGTGTTATCAACTTCCGCAGAGACTTATATATATGCAGACAACACACGAGAAAGTACGTCGGAGGGCTCTAGGCTTAATCGCGATGTGGACAGCCGAATTTGAGAGTGATTCTACTCTCGGTGTGATGGAGGACTGTTATAACAGTTTACAGGCGAAAAGTATATTGACCATACTTTGACATTGTTCTTTTCGTTCAACCGTTTTCCAGATTATAAATTTGAAACACCGCAAGAGCCTCCGCCACCAACTGTGGACGACGAAATTCGTCGAAAGGAGGAAGAGGAGCTTCAGCGTGTCCTCGAAATCTCCATGGAAGACAAGGGCGGACGAGACCAATGGGCACGGTACAACGACACTGTATCAAGTGGTGCAGGTGGATCTGGTTCATCGCCAAGTTTGCCTCGCGCATCCGGTTCCTCCAGTTCGTATCACGCCCCATCATCGTCCTATGCAACACCAAGTTACTCGACGGGTTATACCTCCGCGCGTACACCTTCACCGAAGCAGCAGCAGGCACAGCAATTCGTTACCACCGCAGCACCTTCTACCCCAACAGCGACTGTCTCACCTCCTCAAACCAATATCGTCACTCGGGTTCGCGCACTACACACCTTCGAGCCCACAGAACCTGGTGAGCTTGGATTTGAGAAGGGTGATGTCATCAAGGTGGTAGATCGTGGTTACAAAGATTGGTGGCGAGGCCAGCTTAAAGGAAGAACCGGAATTTTCCCCGTAAACTATGTGGTGCGTAGTCTTAGCGTCGAAGGACCCTGGTGAATGACTCTCTTCATAGGAGGCAATGCCTGAACCTACTGCTACCGAGCTGGGAAGAGAAGCAGAGCAGGAAGCGGCTGTTTTTGCCCAAGCTGTTAATGTTGAGAAGCTGCTCAACATGTTGAGATCATTGGATCCAGCCAAGGATAACCTTGCAGATAACGAAGAGATTCAAGTACGTCTCTTTCATATGCTCAATTTTTCTGTCAACCAATCTTGTCCTCGTAGGAGCTCTATCGGTCGAGTATGGCTTTGCGCCCCAAGATTGTGAAGCTCATTGACAAGTACAGTCAGAAGCGAGGTACATTTTCCCACTCCTTCTTCTGAGATTGGAACTAATGTATATGACTAGCTGATCTTGTATCAATGAACGAGACGTTCGTCCGCGCGCGCACCATATTTGATCGTATGATGGAAGAAAGCCTTGCTCGCCATAGTGCGATGTATGAACAACCTTCTGCTGCATACCAACCCGCAAGCCAATTTCCTATCGCACGTCCAGACTCTCGTGGACAGGCAGTGCCTGCCTCTTATCCATGGAATCAGCAACCTCAGCAGCCGGCATATGGCGCGTACCCCCAGTATGCAGGACAGTATGGTCCTCAACCTCAACCCGTGGCTACCGCGTACGCCCCTCAGCCTTATGGACCTCAGGGACCGTTGCCCTATCCTGCTCAAGGTCAAGGTCAACCGGGATCCGCCGCAGCTCAAGCAATGCCTGCTCAAACATCGCAAAATTCTATTCCAGTCCAAGCGCAAGGAGCGGCGTCAAGCCAGGCGCAAGGATCCATGCCTTCTGACGCTCAGGGACCCTTACCTGCACAAGTGCAAGGATCCCTGCCTGCACAAACTCAAGGTTACATGCCCGCACAAGCACAAGGGCATGTACCCACACAAGCTCAAGCAGCACAAGTTTTAGGACAGACACCACAGCAAGCCGACCCTACAATCCAATCTCAGTCACAAGCTCAGGTGCAGCATCAGCAGCAAATTCAGGGTCGTCAAGTCGCTGCTCCTTATGTTTACGATCCCACCATGACTTATTCTGACCCGAATGTACAAGCCTGGGCGCAGTACTATGCTAAAGGCGGGAAGGATCTTGCTGGCGCCGTCTATTTCATCTCCGTTCCTGGTGTGACGGATAATTTGCCGCCTCACGCTACTCCTGTGCCCGAACCTCAACCTCAGTCACTTCAACATCAACCTCAGCATCAAATACAAACCAACGATGTGGGTTCCGCGGATACGCTTCCATCGCCTTTCCCTTCTGGTGATCAGCAGAAGCAACCTGTCATAGCGAATGAAGGGGGAAGAAGTCCAGTGGCTACTTCTTCAACCCCATCATGGGTGTTGCCAAAAGTTTCGTCACCGGCAAGGCCCCCGGGTGGCGCCAGTTCCCCCGCCCCAAGTGGTGCTGGAATGGAAGGTGGATACGGAAGATCATCGTATTATGCCTTATCAGGACATATGGCGGGAATGAGTATTAGCGGAGACCAGACACAAGGCTCCGCTCATGGGTACCAAGGTGTCGGTGCGACGGCGTGAAATGAAGCGAAGCAATGTTGCACTCTTATGATTAACTACCAGATTTTGTGATTCGGATATTTATTTTGTGTTCATCACTACCCTCTGCAAATTCTACAATTCTTCTATCTTTCTCACCTTGACAATAAAATCCTTAATCATAATCCCCTGGAATTTCTTCGTTGATTTTTAAGCTTTGCATACATGTGGACCAATTTGAAATTGCTCTTTTAGACTTTGTTATGTTCGAATTCGTCTGTTTGCGTTTCCTATCAAGAAACCTAATAGTAAAAGATCCAGCCAAGCTATCATCACGGGTTGAAGCTGTGGATACCAGGATCGGATATGATGCTAGCTGTACATATTCTAGCCTTGTTCTGTTACTACGGTTTCCTCGATGGCCTGTCTGGTAACTCTGATTGGCGGTATATGCGTGCTTGCCGCCTACATATTCTATCGTCTCGCTATTTCGCTGTCTCTCGATCATCTGCGTTCACTTCCTGGCCCTCCTGTAAAGGGTTTCTTTGAAAATCATCTCAATCTAGTATTAAAGTACGGGCTTACTTCCACTAGACCGTCGACATGCACTGACTACACACGCCTCGTCGCAGCGCTGAGATATCTCCCAGAGCCTATGAACTACTCACTCGTAAATATGGCCGAACGATGAGGATAAGGGGTTTTGGTCCGGTATGTCCACTTGAACGTTAACTGTATATTATCGCCTGACACGGCTGCCATCAGTGGGATGAACGCCTTCTGACTCTGGATCCTGTCGCCGTCGCACATATTCTGAAAAATACCTCGGTGTATGAGAAGCCGCTGTTATCAAGAAGGATTATAAACAATCTTATCGGATGTGGGATGTTGTCGGCTGAGGGGCAGTTATACAAGCGCCTCAGACGCGTCGCGACACCCGCCTTTTCCGCTTATAATATGCGCGCACTAGTGCCTCATGTTTTCAAGAAGGCGCAACAGCTCACGAACCGTTGGTTGTCTATAATGAAGGAACATGAGGACGAGGGGGAGTATCTAGTCATCGACGTTTGCCATTGGCTCAACCGTGCCACATTTGATGTGATTGGCCTTGCAGGTATCTCCGCAGTGCAATGACGTTACCGGCGTGCCGTTACTCACAGACTGAACCCTTGCAGGGCTTGACTATAACTTCGATGCCATACAAGATGAAACTAATCCGTTATTCATCGCTTATAGGGATATGTTTGAGAAAGGCCTATCCCAGACGGGTTCATTACGAACTCTAATTGTGGGTTATCTCCCTTTCTTGAACGTGATATTTGTAAGTCCTATGAGTCGTCATAAAAGCCTACTGATGCTAGGTTCAATAGCGAAATAAGACCGTGCGGCGGTGTCAAACGGTCATACGGGAGATAACTGGTCAGCTCATTCGAGATAGAAAACGACAACTTGAGGAAGCCGCAACTCTGGAAATTCCATATTCCGGAAGGGATCTACTCAGTTTACTCAGTACGTCATAAAGGCTGTGAATTTGGTGCCATTGCTAACTTCTTTCAGTCAGAGCAAACACGATGCGAGATGTCCCTCCTGAGAGCCGCGTATCTGACGGTGAACTTTTAGATAGTATCAACACGTTTATCTTCGCTGGGTCTGATACGTCTTCACTTGCTATGACTTGGACTTTGCTTCTACTCGCCAGACACCCTGCAATGCAGACTCGTTTGCGTGTCGAATTGCTCTCCCTGGGTCTCTCTCGCCATGTTGATGAAATGACGGAGGAAGAGATGCAGAGGGTTTTCGCCTCAATAGCCGAACTCCCTTTCTTCCACAACATCGTACGGGAGTCGTTGAGGCTGATTCCGCCCATCCATTCATCAATGAGAGTGGCCACACGGATAGATAGCATCCCCCTCAAATACGCTATCAGGAGCAAAGATGGCGAGGCTACAAGCATAGAAGTACCGAAAGGCACATTCGTTCACATTCCCGTTGAAGGATTTAATTTGGACAAAAACGTTTGGGGAGATGACTCTTGGGACTTCAAGTAAATATTCACTTGGCGATTTCGTGGATGTTCTAATATCAAGCATGCTAGTCCGGATCGGTGGGATAATCTACCTCAGCGGGCGAAGGAACTGCCTGGCTTATTTTCGAATATTCTAACTTTCTCTGCGGGACCTCGTGTAAGTCTCATGCCGCCATTTAAATTGACATCCAAAACTTACGCGCCTGGAGTCCTGTATAGGCTTTCGCTTTGCCTTGATTGGCGTAAAAACGATGCTCTACTTTTTGATTGTTAATTTCGTTTTCGAGGAGGCGGAATCTAAGGTGGTGAAGCACAACACGTATGTCCGTGATCCAGCACTTGGCTCTGTATCTCACCGAATTCACTAGGGTGTTGATGCGACCTTATATCTCTGGGCGTTTTCATGATGGAAGTCAATGTCCGCTGAGGGTGTCTGTGTACCGTTCTCCGTAAAAATTTCTTGACGCCACATAAGCCTATAAATAGTAATGCACTAGCGTGACTTGCTCGCGAAGCACCTCCGCTCCTTCTTGGTTCAATCTTCCATTTCGGTCCTCTGAACGGTCCTCTGGCTACCCTCATTTCTCGCGGCTACGTTTTTCTCTCCTTTTTCCATCTCAGCGCCTTTCTTTTCTGTATTCCTAAGGATTCTACCTTTTGGTATTTGCAGGTATACTTTACCTCCGAGGATGCGTATACAGTACTTGAACCACCCCTACAGGCATATAACACACAGGCGTTTCAAAATTTCTGTCGTATTCCTGGCAGGTCATGCAGTCAATATCATACCAAGACTTTGAATCAACGCCCTTTACTCCGACATCGTTTTCGTCTCCGAGATCTTCATTTTCCTCGCCGTTGTCTGCCGCAGAACGAAGCTGGCATGCCTCAAGCCCCCACCGGTCTAGATCCACCCCCAGGGACCTCGGTATGCCTCATCTCCGAGACGAAGACATTACCGCAGACATGTTGCTGGAGGACACTTGCAAAAGGTAGATTTATATTCCAAGGTTAAGTGGATAGTGACCTGATATTCAAGTTAGATTCTCGTCGGCAACAATGGCAGAATCGGAAGATCAAAACGCCGGTTTCTGCTCTGTTGATCTCCGGCAGCCCCCTATTGACCCCCGCAGGTCGCGTCGTCGCTGCATGAACTTTGGCTTTGGCAGAGAAGAACTCCATCCTACGACCCCTTCACCTGTGCAGACGAAATCACAGCACGAGGAAAGAGATGATACAAGCAGTTCTGTTTCTACACCTTTGGGAACTTTTACGGGAACAGAATCAGACTTTTCCTCACTCAAAGACATAGAGCTTGAATTTCCCCAGCCACCTCCGATTGGACCTATCATTCGTCGCATGCAAAGTTCACCATCCTTCGCAGAATGCTCACACGCGTTTAGCGAACATTACACAACGGTGAATGCTCATTCATTCCGTCATACCAGCTCCTGGAGTAGAACTGTATCGGAACGACAACTCGACACGTCCCACGAGGTGTCGCTCTCTTCAACCTTTCAGACTACTGGCGGGAGAACGGACGGTCTCTCGAAGGAACTTGGAGCAGGTATAGATCATGAGTCCCTGATACTCAATGCGGTCAACACCAGTTGCGCTGCCCGCTGGCAGAAAAACCATCGAGCATCTAAACCTTCGGATCCCCATTTACCCATTGCTCATGCCCGGCCTCAGAGCCGTGATTCGCATGCTACGCCAAAAGGCGGCCTACCCCATGAACAGAACCACACAAAACCTGCATCGGCACCCACTCATAACCGCATGCCAAGGATCATACGCCGTGTCGTTAGCCTGACAACGTCTCCGAAAAATGAACATAGCTCCCCTCCTCCATCGCGGACGATCCACAAAATGCGGTCATTGAAATTTGTTCCCTTTTCCGAGTCACAGTATTGCACAGAGTCCGAAAGATCAAAGCCACCACCAAAGTGCCAGCTACGTGGCCGGTCGATATCGATGGAATTCCAGAAGGGCAGACCCAGTGCTCACGGGCGTTCTCTTTTCACCTTGTCGTCGAGCAACGTCAAACAAAAACCGTCTCATAAGTCGAACCTCTCCTTACCTCTTGCGGGGCTTGGCCCATCCGCTGGTAGCCAGGCGGATTCCAATCCACTAATTTCCAAACGGCCAGCGACCCAGGTTTGGCATTGTCCCGTTGTCCAAGACACAGACAACAGTGGCGTAGGCTTGACATCTTTCATGGACATCACCCCCGAACACAAACCGCACCACAAATCTGCTCATGCCGTGGGTAGAGATCGGGTCCGCGCTCTATGGCAGAAAGCCAGCCATGGTATACTTGGTTGGGGGAAGACACTCAGAAAGAAGACGTAAAAACTTGTACCCTCACTCGATTTGTAGGATTTTGGAGTCACCCATCGGGTTCACATCTATCGTAGATATGTGTATGTATTGTAATTAGGCCTTGTATCATTTTCACGAATTGTACACCTTTTGTCACTGAGCTTAGCTAGAGGAAGCAGAATCAAATGGCATATCCTTTAAAAGAGATGCAGCACATAGACACAAGTAGCAGTACTAAATACAGAAGTCTCTATTTCTTCCCTGCAGTAAGCTGAAGATGTGCGCTGTACTCGTCGTAGGGAAGCTTGGACACGGGAATATCCCTCCACAAGTCTGGCGTCAAGAACGCGTATGTTTTGGTGATCTACGAGATAGTCAGCCACAAGAGGATACACAGACGATACGAGTAACATACGGCAGCAAAAGTTGCCTTCAAGAAGTTGCCCATCGTGGCAGTGGAGCCCTTCGACTGGGTGTACACATCTTCGACACCGGCAAGCTGCAGTATACGTTTCGAGGCAGGCGCAGCGACAATACCAGTACCCCGTGGTGCTGGGATGAGACGACACATGACGGAACCGACTTTCCCGCTGACTTTGGAGGGCACGGTGTGGGGTTCACCAAGGGCAGCACCCCAGTAACCTCTTCGCACCGGGATGACAGAGAGCTTGGCGAGAATGATGGCACCACGGATAGCTGTTGCAACTTCCTTCGCGCACTTGACTCCCAATCCAACATGACCATCGAAGTCTCCGATGGCAACGAACGCCTTGAAACGAGTACGCTGGCCGGCACGAGTTTGCTTTTGGACGGGCATGATTTTCATGACTTCATCCTTGAGTTTGGGTAAGAAGTAGTCGATAATCTGGAACTCCTTGACGGGCAGGGAAAAGAGATAGATCTCCTCCATGGACTTGATCTTTCCATCCTTGACGAGACGGCCGAGTTTAGTGACGGGAACCCTGGGGTGGGATCAACGGAACGCCTGCTAATGAGAGGGCAGCTCGTACCATTCCTTCTCATCGTCTTTGCGGGCACCACGACGAGGTCCCCTTCGTCCCCTTCCCCTGTCACCACGTCCACGACCAAATCCACCTCGTCCTCTGGGAGCGTCAGCCATTGTAGTTATTGAAGATTCTAAATGCAAGACTTGTCAGTCAACGTTATCCAGATGGACAGAAGCTCATCCAGCCGAATTATGCGCATAATTGGTGCAAGAAAGCACGATATGAGAAGAGATTGGCAGCATGAGGGCCATAGAATCAAGAAAAGTGGACTCACTTTTATTGAGCTCGCTGTCTCTGACGATGAAGAGGATTCCTTCCCTTGGCTTGACCTACAAAAATTAGTTGCGTTTGCCGGAGCAAGCCGAGGCAAGATGAGTCAGCAGCTTGGTCCGGGCAGCGCCACCGCTCCTTACCTAACACTCTAACGCCCATCTCAGTACCTGCCTCCTTTTCAATTTTCTGTGCGTTTTGCTCGGTTTACTTCTAACTGTCCTGGGCGACTCACGTTCTATGTTACAGGAATTTACCACTGAAATACTATCAAGTTGGCACCCCATGTCGTTGAATTCCATGTCGAATTTTACCAAACGGAAATCTAGTCTTTGCCCCACGTATGTAGCCACTTCTCTTCTATCCAAGTGCCGTTCAGTGCTAATATGCATGTATTTGCAGCAACGGTCGTCAAACCGTTGGAGATGGGGCATCTTTCTCTCTCGACACCGATCCTAGTGTGCTTGCCGTCTGCCAAATGCAGGGCACCGACGATTTGTACTACTACTCTACTACCTTCTCTGGCGGACCCGGGGTGAGTTTTCTCATTCTTCACTGTTGGAACTTGTACTCAAGTCGGCTTAGTGGCGCTTTTGACGTCCCTAACTCAAAATGCCCTCCAGACAGAGGGTCGTCGGATTGTGTGACAGGCAGCCCGGCGTCGATTCTCTCCTCATCCCCAACTGCTCTTTCTTCTTCCCCAGACTCTAATTATATCAACAAACATATCGTCTATCCCCATGCTAAGCCCCCTATTACGACCGTTGATTGTTCTCGTGCTCGTGCCGCTGTTCCCGTTACGATACCCACCAGGTCTCCGTCTGTGCTCTCCACTCCACCCCTCACCCCAGACGACGGCAGTGACTGTAGCGCCAACGGGTCAGACATTGACGTCGACCAGAAGGATGCACTGGATTTCGTTATGACGATCTTCCCCCGCCAGGGATTGAAAGCCTTGCCCTATGCTAAACGTGTTACTATCACCGCCTCAAGTCTCGGCTCCAATTTTAGTGGCATGGTATTGGAGCTGCCGGGCAAGCCGAAAACTTTGTACGTCGATGGCAAGAGCGCACAGTCTGTCAGTCTTCGAGAGAGGTAAGTAAGGATACCTGCATTACTTTTCTGGGTGCTGATATCATGTTAGTGTTGTTGCTCTTTTGGACCTTGCCGATGAACAATTGGCATGCTCTGCCCTTGTCATTGTGCTGGAAAGGTCTTCACCTACTTTGGGTCAGCTCCTCCATTCTCTCATGTACGTTGGAGGGTCTGTTGTGACCAAACCTCCATTCGAGGTTGATCCTGCTTTTGTCTTGGTGGGACTGGATATTTAAGCCATGAATGGGCTATCGTGTTTTTGCTCTAGTTTTGTACTTTCTAATTTTCAAACAGCGTATATATATAACCATAGTCAGTCGAGTGTTTGTAATTGCAGCCATCAATAAACACCCATACTTGACCACAACCATCTGGCACGCTAACTCCGCTGTGCCAACATGTCTATCTTGCTGAAGGTTGCCAAGGCTGCGATCTTGCTGACGGCTATCGTCGTCGTATTTTGGGGTGGATCACCTCAAGAATCTGGCAAGCCGGAAGAACAGTATACCCCTCCGCCAAAGCAGCAACCGGTATCTCAGCCACCTCCTCGTCGGCCGCCTCGATCACAGAGTTATCGATCACCACCGCCTAGACCACCGTCACCACATAGATTGCCGAAATACGAGGTATCACAGCTTCTTTCACAGTACTCCCCACTTGCTGAAAAGTTTGAGATAGGACGACAACCAGGAAGACAAGCAGAATGAATATTACATCGACCTTCGTGCACGCGCCCATGAAGAAGGGGATGAAATGACAAGATGCTTCAGCGAAAGCCAGGAGGCCTATAGTCGCGGGGATGGTGCTGCAGCCAAGGACCTCTCAAACCAAGGGAAAATTCATAAACAGAAAATGGAACAGCTGAACAAAGAAGCGAGCGACCGGATTTTTGTTGGTCAGTACTGGCCACTTTGTACTCGATGCGAATGCTCATTTTCTCGATAGAGAACAACCGTGTAAGCTGGGTGTGCGCCACGTTTGTCTAGGATACTAATTCTGTTATTCAGGATAGCAAACCTGGGGAGATTGACCTGCATGGCCTTTATGTTAAAGAAGCTATTGCACGTACAGATACTGCCCTTGAAGAGGCGAAGCGACGAGGTGACTCTGAAATCAGGCTCATTGTTGGTACGTTCAGGCTACGCAAAGTGTTTCATTCAAGTTGAATCCTGTATTATAGGTAAAGGTTTGCACTCCGAGGGGGGCACAGCAAAAGTAAGACTGGCTATCGAGAAGCGGATGCGCGAGTAGGTCGGCGTACATGCTGCGAGTAATTCAAGTTCGACTAACCTGGTTCGTACAGACACCAGTTAGTCGCAGAGCTTGACCCCTCAAATTCCGGTGTTCTTGTCATCGAGCTTGGACGCCCCTTGCGTCGGCGCTACCGCCACCATCTCGATATTTCCCACGGTCGCGTCAGCGGTCGTAGGCGACGAGCAGGCAATATCGGAGCGTCGGAGAGCATGGAGACAATCCATCCCTTACTCTATAGTAAAGACATGTACCAGTAATATCTCTCCCTAAAGTGCAACCCATACCCACACCCCCACCGAAGAGAAACCCGAAAATGGACCAAAGCTACGAAATGATAAAGCGCAACATAGACCCCGTACAACGCTCACCGAGGAATGAACCGACCCCGGTACCTCCCCTGTTACCGGAGGAAAGCGCATCGCGCCCTGGACGAGATGGAACACCCCAGGAAAGCGAGGGAAGGGGCATGTTGTGCAAATGATGGCTCCTGCACCTCCTGGTGGCAGGGACTTATCGAATACCATTCAACCCTCTTCTCTGCTAACACAGACCCAGAACCACCTCCTGTGGATATCACCCAAGAGCCCTAAGCGAACTCTGCACCCCCAAACCCATCAAATATAGTGCATACACTGCACAGTTCTCCCTCCAATCCCAGAACGCGACGTCTCTCCCGCAGAATGTAGCTTGAGCCGTCCGGTTTGAATGTGCAGCTACAAACCCTACCAACACACGAGTGATCCACCACCCACAAAACCGCGTTAGCCCCTGATGGGCCCCAGGTACTTTAAACAAGATTCATTCACAATTTATTCGTTCAGTTTATCATGTAAGTTGGAGGATCCGTTGTGGCCAAACCTCCGTTCGAGGTTGACCTGCTTTTGTCTTGGTGGGACTGGAGATTTAGTCCATATATTGGACTGTCGTGTTTTTGCTCCAGTTTTGTACTTTCTAATTTTCAAACAGCGTACTTACATACATATATATAACCCCAGTCAGTCGAGTGTTTGTAATTGCGGCCATCAATAAACACCCATACTTGACCACAACCGTCTGGGCACGCTAACTCCGCTGTGCCAACATGTCTGTCTTGCTGAAGGTTTGTCAAGGCTCTGTTCAACGTATTTTGTGGTGGATCACCCCAAGAACCCGGCAAGCCGGAAGAACAATATACCCCTCCAGTTCACCAGCCAGAACAGCATCAACCGGTATCTCAGCCACCTCCTCATCAACCATCTCCACCACATAGACCGCCAAAATACGAGGTAACACAGCCCCTTCCACAGTATCCCTCGTCCGCTGAAAAGTCTGCAATAGGACGAAAATCAGAAAAAAACCAGCAGAATGAATACTACATCGACCTTCGTGCACGCGCCAATAAAGAAGGAGATGAAATGGCGAGATGCTTCAGCGAAAGTCATGAGGCCTATAGTCGCGGTGATGGCGCTGCAGCCAAGGACCTCTCAAAACCAAGGGAAAATTCATAAACAGAAAATGGAACAGCTGAACAAAGAAGCGAGCGACTGGATTTTTGTTGGTTAGTGCTAGTCACTCTGTACTCGATGCCAAACGCTTATCTTCTCGACAGAAAACAATCGTGTAAGCTGGTTGCATGTCACGGTCGCCTAGGATGCTAATTCCTGTTATTCAGGATAGCAAACCTGGGGAGATTGACCTGCACGGCCTTTATGTCAAAGAAGCCATTGCACGTACAGATACTGCCCTTGAAGAGGCGAAGCGACGAGGTGATTCTGAAATCAGGCTCATTGTTGGTATGTGTAGGCTGCGCAAAGTGTTTCATTCAAGTTGAATCCTGTATTATAGGTAAAGGTTGCACTCCAAGGGGGGCGCGGCAAAAATAGACCAGCTATTGAGGAGCTGATGCGCAGTATGTCAGCATTCATGCTGCAAGTTATTAAAGTTCGACTAACCTGGTTCGTACAGACACCAGTTAGTCGCAGAGCTTGACCCCTCAAATTCCGGTGTTCTTATTGTTGAGTTTAATGGAGCAAGGGATAGAGGCGTCGGGCCGGATGAAATTGCGCGCCGGCTTGACCGCGATGATGGTGGATGCGTAGTTATGTAATTAAATAAATAAATATTAAATTACCGCTTACGCCTCGGCAACTTGCCGGCAACCAGCGTTCCTTCCTACACCCACTGGGCAGGTTGCTGCCGTCTCAACGATGTTCTCTCTGCAAATATTGTCGGTCCTTTCAATCTTTGCGTTCCCTACTACTGTTCTCGCCGGCGGCAACAACACTTTGGCGATCCATGCTCCCAAAGCAATAATCGCCTGCAAGCTGGCACCTACCAATTCTACAGCGACTGCAATTCTCAGACGTACTGTGCTTCCAACTCGACATGTGCGCACAAAGGATGTAGAAAGGACGAATTTCCCTTCGGATATACAGACCCCGATACTATGCCTCCCAAGTGCCCTCGTGGCCAGTTTTGTCCCGACGAGCAAGACCAGTGCTTGGATGTCCTTCCTGTGGGCAGCCCTTGTCAGCTCAATAGAGATGGTACTTTCAACATATCTCGTTGCTCGCAACTTACCAAGTCTTCAAAGATCAATGTGAAGGCCCTCCCAACTTCAAAGAGCTCGCCGACGAGAGCAACATCGGTCTGAACGTCAATGGATCTGTCTGTCTCAACAACATTTGCATGTTCGTGTAGCCCGCCTGTATTAGACCGCCCTAGAGCTCACGCAACTGCAGGTGGGCCAATGTCACTGAGGGTGAAGCTTGTGTGGTCGAGAACACGGCCTACATCGCCTATGGAACTTATCAAGAGTACATCGACATCGTATCCCGGTTAGTTCGTTATGACCAAAGCCGCTGACAGCTATGCTGACGAGCTCCTCAGTGGCAACTGTCGCTTAGGTCTGTATTGCGATTCTCAACAGCTTATATGCATCAAGAACAAGGATCTCGGTCAAACTTGCGACGGCCGATAAAGAGTAGGTGTAATCATCAAACTCTTTGTCGTTTCCTTCTTGAACCCACACAGGTGCTCCACCTACAACTGCCTCAGTTCTGGTGTTTGCGGCGAAAGTCCGAGAACACCACGTCACTTTGGTGCTTGGGTATACGTGATTGTATGCATTGGTATTTTGGAGGTAAGGCTTCCGCAATCCCTATCTCCCACTTGTTTAAAAAATGCACCCTTTCTAGGCATGTTTGGTACACTCTTTGGGTTATTCTTCCTGCATCGGTCTCAAAGAGAACAAGAGAGAGAGAAACGAATGCAGTATTGGAAGGAGCAGGTCTGTCAAAACGCCAGATTTATGATCATCAATTATTTATGATTAGGTGACATTTAGAATGCTTTCCATCAAAGTCTTGCTCAAATGCGCGAAACGGCTCGCAACTCGATTATGTCTCTGGGAAACAGTACTCGCAGCACGATGTACAGCCGCGACGGCGGAAATTCGACGATTCCCACCAGCCCATTCTGCAGCATGGCCCGAAGGCATCAAATTTACGATATGTTGCTGACGATGGGAGCCTTTATGATGAGAGTCCTGCGCATAGGAGAGACGATGGACGCTTTTAGGTTAAATATTGTTGGACACCACGGTATACATAACGCATTCTCAAGGGACATTTATTTCGTTAATATACACCATATTTTGGATTCTTTACTTAATCCTCATTGTTTGGCACGGGCCAAGAAGGCGTGATTCCAAAACGGGCAGAATCCCTCCACTGCACAGTCAAGACCACTCCGGCCATGGCCTCGATTTCGTCAATGGAGACGGTCACTCCTCACCCACCGTTGTCGTCGCCTCCCTCGCCGACAGAAGAGGAAGATCTCACTCGTCTGCGTCCTTGGGATGAGTCTTCTCGTACAGACAAACGACGAAAAGGCAAAGAGCGAGCAGTGGATGATATCGAGTACTCTGACGTCGTGGAAGACTCTGCAAGCTCAGATACAGATCAGCCAATAGCATCTGGCTCATCTTACCCGCCGATGCACGAGGACGAATCCGACACAAAGCGTGTCGAAGAGGTCAGCAGCTCGCTAACAATGAATTCTTGTTTCTCATCACTGGCGCTCTTCTAGACCCTGCGGCGCTGGGAGGTTGCTGAGCGACAGCGACGGAAGGCTGCACGAGAGGCAACGACGCGCGAGGCTCCAAGTAACCAAGCACCTTCGTCATTGGTCGATGGCGTCAGTCGACGTGCCAGTTTGTTGTGGACAGCGACCAAGTCAAGCTCCAAATACCCTCCTCATCACCATTCTGTACTCAAATCCCAAGATTCCATTGATTCCGTACCGCTAGAAACTCTTTCTCCCGTTCCAGATTCTTCTCCGTCCAACAGCCGTACTCCATCCACAGAAAATCCTTTTGAAACCCCTGCAGAAGCAGTGTCACCATTTGCAGACTCGCACCAGATGCAAGAGCTTTCGGACGTTGACCCACAAACCGCTAAATTGTCTGATAGACGTCATCCACCGCCAAGGCCCCTCGATCTGCCTCCTCCACGTTCCCCGCCGCCCGTTGGCGAACCCCCGCATGCAACGAGGTCACCTCAAATAAACTTGACTCCCAGCGAACGCGAGGACATCGCTCAGCAAGAAGCACCCCCAGACGGACGGTGGTGGCATGAGTGGTTGTGCGGTTGCGGCGAGGATAGAGGAAGTTCCACGATCCAGGTGCGTATCTACCTCGGACATAGGCAGTTTCTGACACCCATTCCTTTGTTACAGGGTGGAAGGACGAATCCGTTTGAGTAAATCACAGTTTCTCATAGCTCTTTATATTCTTTCGTCGTGTGGGACTTATGATTCACGTTCTTGACATACTGTATCAAACCGGACAGCATAATTTCATCACTTGTTACAAATTTACAAAACGTTTACTGTGCTTCAGGGGAATGCACGACTCTGGGTGTCGATGATTCACCAGAAGTCGGCAGGATCACTGCTGGTGATTCATACTCTTCCAAATCCAAATTCTGCGGTGCTTCTAGATTCCGCACGACACAATTAGACAGTTACACTCACCGGTTTCCTTCTCTTCTCGACATCCTTGTAACCTCCAGCTGCCGCATCGCGTTGACTGATCCAAGACATCCACTCGGGTCCATCTCGCGTAGAACGGGAAAGTGTACGCGAAACATTGCGACCAAAAGAAAAGAAAGGGATGGATAAACCATCTGAGATAGTCCGTTATTCATCTTGTAACTGTAACAGAGGGATATCGCACGTATGATTATGGACCCCAGAACGACAAAGGAAACGATGGGTTGGAGCGTAGTTGCTAGTAGTTCTTGCTGGGTTTCGGGAGGATGTCGAGGCTCCGGTAACCTTGTCAAGGCAAGGGTTGAGATGAAGACAGCCCCAACTCCCATCTATATCATAAGCAGTGAGAAACGAACGGAGGGTTTATCGATCGCAGTGCACCCACAGGTCCTATGTCAGAGAGTAAGGTGCATATACATACCGAAGAAAGCCTGATGCATACCAAAATGACCAGAAAACAAAGCTTCTTGCCACGAGCTGATTTCAGAAATCCACTTGTACAACAATAGCATGGCAGGAATTCTACGCAAAACTAGTATGGCGATGAACAAGACCAACAGCCGCACGGGGGACGTTCCCAATGAGGGATCGTTAAAGGTATCAAAGCGTAGCCAAGCTCCAATATAGACAAAGCAAGCACAGTTGAGGATGCGATCGATGACTGTTGCAAACAAGTCGTCTTCAATCTGAATATTGAAATGCTCGTCCCAGGATAGTGCATTGCCTAAGTGGCCGCGTTGAGAATGAGATTTTATCGATATTACTTTTCATTTCCACACACGTACGCACCTGCAGCAAATGCGGCGAGCAGATCGTCGCTTCCAATGGTGCTTGCAATCCCAATTGTCAAGAAAGCCAAGGCCAGATATTGCGCGATATAAGACTCGCGGTCAGTGAATCCCTTTCGTAGTGACCTTTTCATCAGCCAGGAGAATGCAAGGCCTGTTCAAGCTAATTTTCAATTTCGTATCATGAAGACGCGTCGTGGTACCCACCCAATACGGCGCCTATTACAACCCCCATAATGACTTCGTCTGGAACGGCATATAAATCAGCGTTAAAATGGATGTGGTGATGTTGCACATACACAACCATCCGATAATCAGCCATTTCTCAAAGGCAACTCGTTTGGAGGATTCAACAGTAAAGTAGATAGATATCGATAAGAAAGGATATGCTATAAAAATTCGTGATCCAGGTAGAACAAGTCAGTATCTGAAGTTTTCGGATATTGAGCACTTACCAAGCCCGTCATTGGCTGCAGATTCTGCGGATAGAATTTGGCGGAGATTAAGGGGGACATGTTTCAAGGCAAACTTTCCTCCTTCATAAGATCTTTTGGTCAAACCGAGTCTGCGAGACTATGACAGGAGACTCCACCGCACCGACGATAGCTGCACATATGATAGGATCCGTTGGAGTCAGGCATGCTGCAACTGCGAGGCATGAAACAAAGCTTAGACCCGAAAATAGAGCCCGTAGAACACCTGGTGGCAAGTTATGGAAGCTACAGAGAAGTATTAACGATCTTCGCACCAGCTACGGTTATCCATCCGATAGCCATAGTGGGAACGACCATGATGAGAAGTCCCTTGGCGTGTGTGGCCATGTAAGGCCCGGGTAGTTCTACCCCGATGATGAACAGGCCAATGGCCAATACTATACGCATGACTTCTAGAGTGACAGTTTGGGTAGATGATCCCCAAGAGTGAGGGTCAAAGACACCACAACCGTAAGGACCCATGGCGATGCCAAAGGCAGTTCCTAGAACAACTTCATTGATAAAAAGCTGGGTAAAAGTCAAAAATCAGCGAAAATACTAGAACAGATTGAGAGGAGGTACCTTGTCTTTGGTAAGGAGGGAAATCGTCGAAAACTAGAAGCCAAAGTGGAGATATGACACCCCGAGTTGAAGCAATGGTTAAGGGGATGAACATACGATTACGACAAAGCCTCCCAGTACTGTATATGCAAGGCTTTGTGCAGAAATCTGGAGAAAGATTCGTTAGGGAGATTGATATGGACCGTAAGAGTAATGAGAGAGTTGACGTTAAGCAGTTCGGAAGACTCTATGGAGACCATGATCCCTGAAGCCAGTTCTGAGAGTAACTACACCAAATCATTCTAGCATAGGCGCCTTTTATACAACAGCACATTCTGCCAAAATATGCGCAGTGTTCAAGCTGTTTGGCAAATGAATGTTAATGACCGTGAGCAGTGAGCACCAAGAAAGGTTCTTCGACTTGACTCGGGATTCGGTGATGAAAACGGATCAAGCCGAGATAAGATCAGATCACACCATGTGGGGGGAGTACTGTCCTTATCTCCAACGAACAACCCTACCAGTCACCACCACTGGGCGACTGACGTGCACCCCGACAATCTTGCAACAATGGGGGCAGCTCCTTCGCGTCCACAAGAAACGATGTCCTATGACGAGAAGCAATCTGTTCGCAGTGTAGCTGCCTCGTTTGCCTCCGTTTCTCTCCAGGATACTGCCTTATCGCCCAGTGGTTCGTTATTGATAAACAATGTGGCGAAATGGGAGGAAAGTGTATCTGCCGATACCAAGACCCAGCTTGCCCGTACCATTCTTTCTCATTCCGACATCCGTTCAGCACTCGTTTCTCGTGACTCCGTCATTGCTGATACCCACATCTTTAACAATGAGATAGATTTCAAGACCGGACCAGTTACCAACCAGAAGTCCAGTGGTCGATGCTGGTTATTTGCTACAACCAACGTCCTACGTTACGAGGTGATGAAGAAATTCAAGTTGAAGGAATTCCAGCTTTCTCAGGTGATATCTTTTGTCTGTAATACCCTTCTCAGCAGTTTATGACGCTGCGTCCTATTTACATAGTCTTATCTGTTCTTCTGGGACAAACTCAACAAGGCTAACTACTACCTGGAGCTATCCATCGAGCTTGCTGACCGTCCTCTTGACGATCGGCTTGTTTCCCACCTCTCTGGAGACTTAATCAGCGATGGTGGTCAGTTCGATATGGCTGTCAACCTTTTGGAGAATTACGGCGTTGTACCTCAAGCTCTCTATCCCGAGTCCACGCATTCTTCCCTTTCATCGCCGCTCAATGCCCTTCTCAAGACGAAATTACGCGAACATGCGCTCATTCTCCGTGCTTTGTCAAGCAATTTGAAGGCTCGAGCTTTTTCACCGGATGAAATCCAGGCCACTCTCCGTGCTGAGAAGGAAAAGCTGATGAAAGAAATCTATACTATCATGACTGCCACTCTTGGCGTACCTCCCATGCCTGATAAGCAGTTTGTCTGGGAGTATTATGACGCAGATGGTAAGGCTGGAAGATGGGAAGGCACACCAATTGAATTCTTGAAGAACGCGTCTAAGCCATATCCTGTAGGTCACGCTTGTCTCCTTATCTGTATGAGAAATTGAAAGATTGGTTTCACAGCCTAAAGAATTCTTTTCGTTGATCAACGATCCCCGCAATGAATATTCTAAATTGTACACTGTCGACAAGCTCGGCAACATTTGGGGAGGTCGACCAGTTCTTTGTCAATATATTTTACGTCCCCTTTTTATCATCTTGCCTCATTTTTCGAAACTGTAGATATTAATACTGAAATCGAGAACATGAAGAATGCGGTGGTGAAGGTATAGACTTATATTTGGAAAATCACCAATTAATTCTAACAAAATGGCGACAGATGATCAAAGCAGGTTTACCCGTCTTCTTTGGGTGCGACGTAGGAAAGTTCTCAGACAGAGATGCTGGCGTAATGGATCCTGACCTCTTCAAGTACGAGGTAAGCGGATACTTACTTCCGGCTCGTTATCCTGGTTGCTTAATGATACGCGTAGACTGCATTCGACATCACACTTGGTCTTACAAAGGCCCAGCGTTTGCAAGTAAACGAGTCCTCTATGACCCACGCGATGGTTATTACGGCGGTCCATCTGGATACGGCCGGTAAACCTGTCAGGTACAAAGTGGAGAATTCTTGGGGCGAGACCACTGGCAATAAAGGCTATTACATGATGACCGACAAGTGGTTCGAAGAGTATGTTGTATTCATATTACGAGCGACCTTATTTCTTAACTTGATCGTTGCAGATTTGTCTACCAAGTCGTTGTCCCCAAGGCTCTTGCTCCCAAGCATCTTGTGAAGATTCTCGAAGCTGGAGATGCTGTCGTGTTGCCCCCTTGGGACCCTATGGTGAGCTCAGCACGACCTTACCACCATTATATTTATAACGAGTCATCAGGGATCTTTGGCCTGAAGTATGGCATATTATTTAATCTTTGGAGTACGATATGTAGACCATCGAATGCTATGTTATGTTTTAGACTGAGACTGATCCGATTACCTGTTGTTACACGCGCGCGCGCAGCATTCGCAGTACCTCGCCGCGATCACCGTGAGATTGCATCGGTTGCTCTGGCGAGCAATCGTGTCCAATATGTGCCTCGGCACGCGGCCTATTCTGACCGTCTCTAGTTAAGTTCTAACCATCAAATTTGCTCAAGTCAACGCCCATCTATCTTTTTATCTATTACTCTTTTATTCTTAATGTCCGACTCGCAGACTGGTACAGGACTTCGAATTCGAGGTCCTTCATTCTTTGGATGGATTGCAATCGTTTTGGCGGCTCTCAAGCTCAAAGAGGCCCATGAATGTGAGCGAGAGTCATGTCTCTTCTTGTGATAAACATCGACCGTTGTGAACCAGACAATAAGGTTGCCAGCGATGAAGAGGGTGTCTCTGCAGACCATCTTCCCGCGTATACCGATGGCGACAACGAAGAAGCAGTTAGTCTGCTCAATACCGAGGTTCCAGCAACCCGTAGGATGAAGCGCAAACGATCTAAAGCGTGTTGCATGTGTTGTGGTTTGAAGTGAGTCCCTTGTTCGAGCCAACTCCAGAAAATGTTAATTCTTTCCCAGTTGCTCGCTGTTCTGGAAGGCAGTGGGGATTGTCTTCGCAGGTTTTGGGCTGTTTTACACCGTCAAGCTGATCAAATGGGCTGTTACTGTCGGTGAATTTGTCTTTCCTACATGATTTCACACTAATCCATCACTCCTAGCCTGCTCCTACCGGTCTCGAAAACATGCCAGTATACAGCAGTTCCCTCGGATGCCTTGCCGCTCCTTATATCTTCGAAGGCGACAAAACCACTGTCCGGGTTCCGGTCGGTGACAGATTTGAACATTCCATCGACATTCATGGTGGTGCTGTGGGAACAATCGTACTCGCTGAAGGTGCCGCAGACTCGGTCGACGTTTCCTATGACATTACTGTGAGAACCGACGATGAGTCTTTGCTCAAACAGGTGTCCCTCGCGTATCCCACCATGGAGGAGCAAGTGAAAAACAGCCGTCTGTTAGTCTCTACGCCAAGGTCGGAGGAATCTTCTTGCATGCGTTTTGATATCGTTATGTACATTCCTCCCAACTTGAAGAAATTGCATGTGGCCTCGGTAAGCTGCGCCGCTAATAGTCGGAATTTTTGCTAAGCCCCAACTATAGCACACTTTGACCCACGTTCAATTCCGCCCGGATTCTCAAGTCGATCTGGACAACATCTTCGTTACTTTATATGCCACGAAGGCCAACAATATGATTCTACCTCATGAACGTTTCTTGGCGGATGCATTGATTCTTGAAGTGTATCGTGGATGGATCGTTGGTGACGCCGCTATTGTCAACAGGACCTCTATTGTGACTCAACGAGGCGATGGCGTTGCAAACGTCCGAGTTCATCCAGTCCCGTCAACGCACCTCGCATCGTTCGACACCGTGACTGGAGCTGGTCGCACGGATGTTTCTTATATCGAAGACCTTTCTTCTCACAGGCCCATTCGGGGCGATCATACTTCCTCGATGAACGGGGATCTCTATTTGACCTATCGCGACGCCAGATTTTCCGGTCTGATTGCACTCCATTCCCGTTCATACAGTGCTACGGGTTTACAGTCCGCAGCGGAACTGCCTGGTTCTGGTGATGGTAAATCTGGCAAAGCGTGGACCCACTATGTCGGGGATCAGGATGGCGGGGATGAGATTGTAGTGAATTCTCGAGGGTGGACAGGTCTTTATTTCTGAAATATTACACGCGAGTATAGATAGAGAAAATACCGGTTCAAATATTTATTTCATGGACTATGGCTATGATTCGGGCTGGACTGGAGAAGATGATAACCGAGAATCTTCTTGCGGGGGACTTCGTCTAGAGTACAAAGAACGAGCTTCCTGCAGTTTCGTTTGCCGCACAATGACTGCTTGGGCAACGATGATAATAACAGTCTAGATCTGGTATAAATGCAAAGACAGACGAAACTGGACAATCCACTCACTGCAACGAGACCGACAATTATCAGACGATCTTTCCAGCTGTCATCAATAGCACCGCCCTCGTACAATTCTCTATGGCGCCGAACATGGACTGCTCTCCGTGCTGCGGTAGTCGCCTGCTGGGCTTCGCTGACGGGATCAGCTTGGGACGCCGTTTTTCCACGAAGAACGTTGTAAGCATCTGTTATGGATTGGAATCGAGCATGGGCCAACTCGGAGGACACAGACGAATCTACCGTGTCGGGATGGTATATACGAACGAGTTCATAGTCTAGCGAAAGGAATGGACATTTTTTTAGCTTGCTGAAAGTGAGGAAACGGCAGTGCATACATCTTGCTTTGACATCCTCTGTGGACGCAGACCGTGGCAGATGGAATATTTGGTGCGGCGTAGGATTCGTATGGCGAGGAAAGGGATAGGCGTTATGTTTCGTAGCCAATGAACGCCTTGATATTCTGTGAGAAGGAAAAGGAAAATGGCGAGCAACCACTGGCGACGTTGCTCGGAAGCAACTGTACATGGAAATAGCCGTTCAATTACAAGTTGCACTCCGCTCCACAAGTCCTTTCATGAAATGTTCTTGAAATCCAATTAGCGATACAAATGATATCTACACGATGATTAGACTCTTAGAGAGCAGGATATAAATGAGCGACTATGTGCTAAGGTCCCTAGGGCCCGAAAATGCGGTGATCTATGAAAATAAACGTGCGCGAAAAAACAAATCTAGGTGCGTAATGAATCATGTATGCTGTCGAGGACCTGCATCTTGTGTATGGTAAGGACTACTAAGCGACGGATGAGAGAGATGAGAGTCTGTCGGAGAACTTAATGGCGTAAATGACCATCTCCGTGGTAGAAGGTTTCCGACATTGGTAGAAGCAGAGTCGCGGTTGTTCACACCGTGGTCACCCTCCGTTGAAGGCGGTGTCAATGGTGTGTATGGCTGGTTACTCTCAGGATCCAATGGGACGTTCCGTTCAGGCGTTGGATTTTTGGGACGGGTGAGGTCAGGGAATGACGCTCGGTGGTTATCTTTCTCCACCATTGTATCGTCAGCAGATCCTTCATGCTGCGTGGTTTCCTGCTTTGTCCATAGCCGCTGGATGCCGCAGTGTAAGACAAGATTGATAACGACCACGATGATCGCCACAGAATATATGACAGCCATGACGATGCCAATGACCACTCTTGGAATCGCATTGACATCGAGACGCTCAACGAACGCAATCATTAAGCCAGTGCAAACGAGACGCACGATAGCCAAGTACGATGCGAGTACGTCTGCTCCTCGAGTCTTGTGTGGACGAAGGACAATAACACTCGTCATAATACTGACTTCCACGGTCAAAAATAGGATAATTTGGGCCAAGCCGCTCGTTTTGGCAGATGCAATGAAGATCGCTTTCAGATAAACACAAGCCAACGGTATTAGGAAGAAGAAATAGCGGGCTGTGCGGTACTGTGCGAAGAGCGGACCATGGGATGAGATGACTGCAGGGCGGGAATAGAGGGCATATGCCGTGGACTGGCGCGCAGTACGCAGAGTGATGAAGGCGGGATAGCTCGTGCCGCAAGCCACGGCAAGGAACGCGATGACAGATAAGAGAATCGATAGCCACGAATCTTTGAGGGTCCACTGATAAAATGCGAAAACAACAATGGGATAAAGAGATAAAAGGCCCTAGGACGATGCATTAGACTTGCGTTCCTGATGACAACGACACACTTACTAGTCGCAATGACCAAGCTCTGACAAATGATGGGTACAAAGCCTTTAGTTCAGCCCGCCGTTCAGCCCGTCCTAAACGGAAACGATGCATTGCCAGCAAACCAACATATCCAAGACCAAAAACTGCTAATGCAATGGCGGTGAGTATAAGAGCAGCAAAAAACACCGTCATAAAAGTGTTGGCTGTCGCGATGTGTATCGAGTTGGCATATATAGGAACACCGGCTTCTAGGACATTTGAAGATGAGGATGTTACGGTCGCAACACCTTCTGTGGAGAAGATTTTTGCTTGTTTGAATATACTGGAGGATGACCTGCGGCCTAAATTGAGAGGGGAAAAGCCTGACGACACGGTGCCAGTACTGATAAGGCTGTGGTCATTGTATGGGCTCAGCTTGCGATTAACGAAAGCGATTGCGGACCCGGAGGTCGAGTTTGCCATTGTGCCTCCCGTGATGTGTCGCATATTGTCTATGGAGGTTTGTTCGGAGGTTGAGGATACTAGGCCGATGGCCCATGCGAAGTTGAGTGCGAATGCTCGATAAACAGAAGGGTAGTTGAGGTCCAGAAAGGCACTTGATGCGATGGTCTGATATAAATAAAGCAGATCCAGCAACCGATAGGGTGCTAGGGCTGTGGGCGAGAGTGATTGCCAAGCAGCCGATATCAAGGCAGCAAGGGCAACACCTGCTGTACTCCATGTAACGGCATGCTGGTGTGTTGACCACCCATTCGACAGAGTGGCTTGCACGCATGCCTTGAGATTGCCTGTTCCTACTTCTAACAAAGACAGCTGCGCATACCCCTCGAGGTCGGGGACTTTGAAAGCTATCCCCGGTAGTTGGTCGGCCACGTTCAGTGATGAAGGCAGTGAGATGGTGTCAGACCCTACAAAGTTGTACTGTGGCAGAGGACAAAGAGCGCCGCCGAGGATGTCGCAAAGGTCGATAGTGACATTCACTGGCGTTAGTCCGTAGACGTTAAGCAGTAAATTGGCTGTAACATTAACGTTCTCTTCCTGGAAAAAGGATGAATTACGCTGTGACGCGGATGATGCGCGTACTTACGACACTGGATGCTGATACATTGAAGAAGATAGATTCATTCTTGTTGTAGTACACGATGTCGAATTGCTGGACAAGCAATGTCTCTGGAGGATCACAATATGTCACAGAGGAGGTGACTGTGAAATAGTCAGAACAATGCAAAGCAAAAGATGTGTCTGTAGCACGCACACAAAATTTCGTCCCTTGCATAGGAGACAGAAGCCGTTAGCAGGGTCGTCAACGCGATAGCTCGCAACCAGGCGAGACCAGGCGACATGAACAGCAGACGATAGAGAGGAAAATATGGAGAAAGGACGGTGAGAATAAAGAAAAGAAGAAAGGGGATGGGGCAGGACCTAATAAAAGTCAAAGAAGGTTAGTCACGAGCTGTAGCCATTGTTCCCACTTACGGAAAACTATTGTCTTAAATGCTGTTGTCGTCGTCGGTTACTGTGGCCAACGATTATCGGTATCGAGGTGCGAGAAAACGAGGGAAAGGGCCGATATCCCTTTACCTAAATATGACAGTGAGCGACACAGAGTGAGCGAGCTCCACGCTGGCTGCTGGCAGGGGCTGCTGTGGAGTACCTCGGACTCGGCTGTCATAGCCATGTTTCTGTCACAAAGTCACACTCTAGTCACGCAGTCGGAACCAACCGGTTTACTACGGCCCACGACCATCCACCACCATGTTACTCTCGTCTGCTGCTCGTGCAGTCAAGTCTGCTCCTGCATTCGGCCGTCGCGCAGCCTCTACCATATCCACTAAGTACGCCAGCGCTGCCTTTGGCGCTGCCCTGGCAAAATCTTCCCAAACCCTCACCAAAGTCGAAGCCGACCTTGCCAACGTGTCCAAGCTCATAAAAAACGACTCCACCGTCAGCGAATTCGTTCATAACCCTACTCTCTCGGCCAAGGAACGTGCGACGGACCTGGCCGCCATTTTTGCGTCTTTGGATACCGGCGCCAAGAAGGATGCTACTTCCGATATCACTAAGAATTTGTTAGCCGTTCTATCGGAAAACGGGAGACTGGGAGAATTGGAGGGAGTGATTGAGAGCTTCAATGCCTTGGTTGCAGAGCACAAGGGAGAGCTCACCGTCGTCGTCACTTCTGCTGCCCCCCTTCCGAGGGATATTTTGACGCGACTTGAAACGACATTGAAGCAGTCTCAGACCGCCCAGAAGGCTCAGGTTCTCAAGGTCACCAACAAGGTATGTTACCTCTCTAATATCCACCGTTCATTCCTTAACGCCTTGGCATAGGTTAATCCTAATGTGCTGGGCGGTATTGTAGTTGACTTTGGTGACAAAACCATTGATTTGAGTGTCCAATCCCGAGTCACCAAGCTTAATAGCGTTCTTCAACGCAAGTCCTTTCTTCATATATATTTTCTGATTGTACTGATGGATTATCACCTTCAGAATCAGTGTAATTTGTCATGTCGTACTGATAGAAATGCATACAGTCGTAACGACTCACTTGTTGAGGGCGTGATATCCGCTAGTTCCGTAAGGATAATTATTTACGGCGTTTCAAACCCTTTCAAAGCCTACCTCCGTTCTCCTGGAGTGCGGTTTGGTGCTGGAAACCTTGGGGCCGTTTCAAGACCATCAAGTAACCCTTAGCACCGTGTAACGACCGTGTTATTATGCTTTTCTCTCCAAGCGGGGTATTTTCTATTTGCAGCAACGCTCTGTACGCTTTGTCTCTCAGGCGTATATTAGCTGATCCGTCCGTGAATTTAGTTGCATCTTCATTACGGTGAAATCGAAGAATTGCGTTGATTGCATCTCCGGTTGTTCAGTAAGAATCAATGAGGTGTTCTGGTCTTCACTTCACGGGCTTTTGGCGTTGGTTGTGCTCATGCTGGCGACGCTTCGTTTCCATATTGATGTTTAAGTTACGCATATAGCCGGCCAAGTATACTCTTTGACAACTACTCTTAGGCGGTCCTGACATGGTGAGTCAATCGTGTTCCTTGTAGGGGTTTACTCTGTCTTGATCAAGGTATCCGATGGTAGCTTCTCTCGGAAGAATATCTCCCTTACTTCGAAGTACGTGTGGGTACCTCACAGACACGTCGCGGTGATTCACTTGCCTTCTCTTCATCGAGTTGTCCTTTGTTGATGACCCAGGTGTTACGAGTCTGGAGTTGATTTACGACGCCACTTTCCCTCCGGGATAGACTCTTTGGCGTGTTGTCTTCGGGATTCAGTTTGCGATTGTGAATTGCAGGAAGGAAGTTTGTATTCTACCGGCATTCTTATGTGGATTCTCAACCTAACTGTTTTATTATCAGTAACTTGAATTTCCACAACGAGATTGGCAAGATCCGCATGGTGGGTCTGGCAAGACGTTATAAAGCAGAGGTAATGAACAGTGCTGCCTCCGTACCCGCCTCTGCAATGTCTTACGCTAAGATTCCATTCATGCTTCTAGCGATGCTGGGACTACAAATCTCAGTAACGCCTCCGCATCCCCCTCCCAGTAGCAGCGAAAAGGCGCCATCAACAAGCTTGGAGATCATCGTCAAACAACGGCTTGGCCCCTTGCTAGTCAAGGCGAGTTCCGCTGCCTTCAACAACATTATTACTAATGGCAACATGAAGATTATTTGTTGGCTAGGAGCAGTCGCTGAGACCACAGTAATTGTGGCCCGCTCAATTCCTGAGAATGACCTGTCTCGAAGCGTACTTTCAGCTTTGGTTATCACCGGGAGCGCTGACCAGATACGCATAACGCCGCTCTTCTTACTGGGCATTCTTCTAACCACCCTTGGGGGGTACATTCGGTACCGCTGCTACCAAGAGCTGGGAAGGCTTTTTACATTTGAGATGAGCATCAGGGAAGGCCACGAATTAATTCGTACGGGTCCGTACACCGTAGTCCGACACCCGGGTTATTCTGGCGTAATATGTGCGATCCTGGGGATCGTACTATGGCATGCTTCACCGGTGAGTTCTTGTGCAGCTTGCTTCTAATAATGACTAACCATATGTAGGGCTCCTGGGCACGGTCATGCGGAGGTCTAGAAATGATGCCCTGTCGACTCTTGACCCTCACGTTTCTAATACTAGTCACTACCATAGTTGTGGGACTCTTGAGGCGTATGCCGAAGGAGGACGAGGCGTTAAAGAAGGAATTCCCAGAAGAGTGGGCGAATTGGGCCGCCAAAGTTCCCCATAGATTGCTACCTGGCGTTTACTAATCTATCGTCCACCGAAGTAATACCAGCTTAGAGACTTAAACGCTCTTCGCACCTTTGTATTCTATATATTTTCTTTATCAATCTTGGACGTCTTTTCCGGACCGTTTGCCAAACCATTTGGTGCTGTCAACGTTAGTCACGAGAGGTGTCGATCACCTGTCGGTGAGAACTTCGCGTTGCGGCGTGGCTGCCTGCCTGTTGAACGTTGAAGCTCTACCACGTACATAACCTGGTCGGAATGAAAGAAGAGTCCGGTCAGTTGAATCATTTGCTTCGTATGCGAAGAATCTGAGTTTTTATTTGCCCTCCGGTTTTCCTTATAGTAACGTGGTACGCACTCGACGCGTGTTTTTGACTTATCTCACGCTGACAAATATATTTCAAGTCCTATATGTTCTCGACGCGTCTTGGAACGCGACATTAATACTCATATAGACGATGGTTGTCCAGATCCACCGTCTTCCTCACAGGAGCGCCACTCTCAAGAGCTGGCACCTATTTTTACGATAAAGAAAAAAACAAAAGTCGATAGTGGCTTTTTTGGAACTCCTCGCAATAGCAAACGCTCTGCGGCTGAAGCACAGTCATCGCCAACTCCTGTAGCATCCAAACGCACGAAAATCTCGTCCTCTCTTCGGAGTGTAGCGCCATTGGCCGAAAGAATGCGCCCTGCGAATCTCGAAGAGTTTATAGGACACTCTCATTTAACCTCACCTGATTCATTATTCATGAGCGGCGTAGCCAATGGATCTCTTGGCAGCATGATATTTTGGGGTCCTCCGGGGTGCGTTTGTCGACGCTTTCAAACGTGTTGCTGGGCTTTCTCATAATCTTCACTTGGCATAGCTGCGGTAAAACGACACTGGCCAGACTATTTGCGAAGCAAATAGGATCCGTTTTCAAAGAACTGAGTGCTACTGTTGTGGGAATCAATGACGTCCGCGCTGTTTTCGAAGAAGCTAGGAATACGCTATCGTTGACAGGAAGGTTGTTTGAAGAGATTTCCCCGCCGGACCTTGCTAATTTTTTCGATAGGAGGACGGTCTTATTCTTGGATGAAGTTCATCGATTCAACAAGGGACAGCAGGTGGGCCTAAGCATCTTTTTCGGAAAAATATAATTGATATTATCCATTGCGCCAGGATATCTTCTTGCCGTTTGTCGAGCAGGGACAGATTCAGGTTAGCTTTGAATTGTCCTTGGTATACAACTTATTCATCTTACTGATTGCAAAGCTCATTGGTGCCACGACCGAGAATCCGTCATTCAAATTGACGGGGGCCCTGCTTTCTCGCTGTCGGTAAGTAAGGTATCAACCGATTCCATCCATGGGTATTAACTCGTATTCTAGGGTATTCGTTCTCGAACGATTGACAGATGACGATATTCAGAAAATCGTAAACAATGCTATTGAAAAGATATCTCCAAAAGTTGACAGCGTGGGAGACAGCCAACGGATGTCACCTCATTGTTCATCCCAATCATCACATTCGGGCGCCCAACGGTCTTTCCCTCAAATAACGGAGAAAGTCATAGCTTCTATGGTCTCTATGTCCGCAGGGGATGCCAGAACGGCTTTGTCACTCTTGGAGCTTGTCGTCAATACGCCATCCAATAAAACTGAAGCAGACATTATAACGTCCATGAAACAGTCTGTGTCTACATCGTACGATCGTACAGGTGACAGTCGATATGATATGATCTCTGCGCTTCACAAGTGTGTACGAGGAAGCCAAGGAAGTGCTGCCATGTACTGGTTGGCGAGAATGCTTACTGCAGGTGAGGACCCGCTGTATATTGCCAGGCGGATGGTTGTTTGTGCTAGTGAGGATATCGGCCTCGCAGATAACCATGCTCTACCACTTGTAAGCACATTCAATTCATATTCAAACAAAACATCCATTTATTCCCATTCCTTTCCCCCCAAGGCGATGGCTACTCTTCAGGCATGTCAGAATGTTGGAATGCCAGAATGCCGCATCAACTTGGCTCATCTCGTGGCCTACCTCTCCGAGGCACCGAAGTCCACCCGGGCGTACGAGGCCTACAAACGCGCTGAGGCCGCTGCCCAGCTAGATATGACCATACCTGTCCCGATGCAAATTCGTAATGCCCCCACGAAACTCATGAAAGAGATAGGATATTCCAAGGATTACCACTACAATCCTGATTACGCGTGCGTCTCCAGTTACTACTTCTGTTCAAACTCTAAAGCATTTTGAAGTCATCCTGTGCATAATAACTATATGCCGATCCAATTTGAAGGCGAGGAGTTTCTGAAGAAGGCCGATGATAAGTCAGGTAAGATGTGGGACGAAGCGGCTTTGCGGGAGTGGGAACTGCTGGAAAACCACGGTCATGATTGGGAGGGTAGACCGCGAGATAGTTGAGGCTACGATCAGGTCTCATGATGTGTATGATATGTGCCTTTTTTGAGGGTTTTAGGTAACCTTTCTAAAATAATGGGGAAATGGTACAAGTTATTGCTCAAGTACATGTGCCATGTAATTAAGTTATTTGTTTCAGTCACGCGTGCGATAAACTTCATTGACGTTTTGAGGATCTGATTCCTTCAGCCAAGACACTAGAGAAAGATGAGAATTATAGTATTTTTAAGTCAGAGAGGATATTAACTTACCCTTCGCCACTCCAAAGCGCCAAAACACCAATAGATACTGCTGACACAACTCGCCTGTCCCATGTAGGTTTATCCCAGTTGATGTATGAGAAATATCCCACAGCACCCAAAATACCAGCGTTAACTGCAGCACGTCAGAGGGAAATTCGTCAGTAAATTTTGTTTACGAACCTATACCAAGAATCCCTCCGAGCACATCAGGACGAAGGATTTGCTCACGAAGGTTCCGGTAGATTAGGCTGCCATCTTCTTTGGCACGGCGAGCTTCCTCTTGTCCCCTTGGAGTTTTGCTATACTTCTCGACGGCAAATCCTTCCATGGATAGAAGAGCAATGGTAGCTGCTACCGCTGAGGATATGGCCTTTGAGTCTCGACGAAGATGTGGTTGGGTGTAGAAGGCGCGAGCTGCACCAGCAAGTAAACCAACATTAACTAGGTAGAATCGTCAGCCAGTGGTGAAGGCTTCACAGTTTGCATACCTATACCAATGATACCGCCAGCGACACCTGGTCGGAGTAGATAGTCCTTCGCAACGTCCCAAAAGTAATATCCTTCGTCCTCAACCTTATGATGTTGCCTATTGGGACGCTTCTTGTTAGGAGGTGAATCCAAGTCTTGGGAAGGTGCATTGGCGGAGGTGGCCGTCACAGGATTGGATTTGTAGTCAGAGGGTACGATGGTTACTTTGGCGGTGTCGTCTACTACAGGATTGGCTGAAGGCCGGGTGGTGTTGAGCAAACCGGTGTCCGGCAAGGGGTCTGGCTGACCATCGTCGACAGCGCGTTTGGCAGCGGAGGCATACGAGAAATTGTTGGAGGACATTGTGGTGGTTCTGAACAAGTTGTATCGTCTATAAAGGAGACGGCAAATAACGATGACATCATGCTCCCAATGACGTCAGTCACCGTCACCAGTCGCAGATCCACGCCAAAAAAAGATTTAATTAAATAATACTTGGCTGGGAATATGAAATATTAGTTGCAAAAATATTTACAGGTGGTAACAGTTGGTACTCCCTCTTCGCACTATTACGAATCCGAGCCGCCATCTTCGCATACCCATACTATTATTTGCTTGATGGCGTCTGTCACATCCTCCGTGCTGCAGGGCTGATTCACGGGTGGACAGTGCATGAAAAGTACTCGGGTGCGATTGGACTTGTCGTAAGGCTTTCTGTTGCGTTGTGCCTCCGCTAGTGAGCCATAATAGATGAAATCGCAAAGGTAGTGTCCTGCATCCATCGACGAGTATACATGCTACAGTCAGCCGTATCGTCAGGGAGGGTCAGTGGTGAGCAGTAAGTCCGCATACCTCAATTCCTGCCAGTTTCATGTCTTGCACCAGGCGCGTAACGTCGACATCAGTCAGGAGCTCTACAAATCGCGGTAGGTTCAGTACCCCAAACAGCTGATAGTTGTCATCTTACCCTCTGTAAAGCGCTCGTAGCCGTGTCCATAGCCTCGATGGACACGTGAAGTGAAACTGTCAAGCGGAGCAGTTTCCGGGGGTATATCACTTGAGGGTGGTCGAGGTTGTCCTTCAGGAATCGCTACAACGCCTGCAGCCGCGCCATTCACTTCCTCTGATTTCTTGGTGTTGGATGTCGGAGCATAGTTCCCCAACGCGTCTTTCATGTGGTAGCCAGTCTTGTGTGCTAGCTTCTCCATCCGTAATGGTCCACGTCCGGCAACTCCAATGTGAAAGATAAAGTCGTATCCTCGTTCTGGCGGGGGCGGAAACAGAGGATTGCTCTGGATTTGTTCGGGGAGAACGGGTGGTCGTGCATGCAGTCCCGGAACAATCTTTAGGATAGTCTCGTATTCAACTGGTATCTCTAATGTCGAGATCCGGATTTCAGCAGGCGGCGAACGTTTTGGCTCTTCATTCAGATTCGCTGGGCCATCTGAGGCTGGACTAGTAGTAGGATCTGCGACGATCGGGTCAGGATGGGGGTCAAGGGCGATAAGTGTATTTTGCAGGGGTCGGACGGCGAGCCAAGATGGATTTTCTTTATATTGTCCAAATGGCTGAACAAAACGTAAGTCGACCCCAACTAGCATCAATAAATGAACAAGTCACATACGCCAAATCCTGTAAGGAGGACATTATATGTTCCATCATTCTTCGCAGGACGGGTATCGGGGTGAGGGGACATATTCAGCTTAAGTCCGAGCTTGGGGGTAAAAGACAGAGGCCTCTGTTATCGTGGCATTGACAAGTAAAGGTCGACCTACTCTGTGCCGTCACGCCGGCATTTCTTTGCATCTGTTGTTCAATTCCTTCATAAACTCTAATTTTCGCTAGTCAGTTTTTTCCTTTCGGCACCGTACGCACCATACCATAATGTCCCGTTTCTTCAGACAAGCTGGCGACTCTGATTCTGACTCCGAGGAATCCGACGATGAGTCCATGTCCAGCGGCGATGACGCGCCTACCCAAAGACCAGCAGCTTCCACGGCGAAGCCAGCCATGTCCCGTTTCTTGCGTACTGCTGGATCAGATTCGAGCTCAAGTGATTCCGACGAGTCTGAAGAATCGGATAGTGACAGCGACGACGATGCGCGGCCCACAAAGAGAACTGGATTACCTCTTCGAAGTGACTCGGAAGATGAGGAATCGGAAGAGGACACAAAAGCGGGTGTAAGAATCATGAGCGCCCAGGAAAGGCGTCTTGCAGAGATGGAGTCGACGGGCAAAGCTATCGACAATGCCTTGAAAATCAATGACTGGGTTGCAATCTCCAACGGTGCGTACTGATATCTCCATATTAGCGCCTGTATTAATGTTCTTACTAGAGTTCGACAAGCTCGTGCGTATGATTCAACGCCAACATAACGTCTCCGAGCCGGTGCCTCCCTTCTACATTAAAGCTCTCATCAGCTTGGAATCCTCTCTCAATGCTGCTATCGCCAAAGAGAAGGAGTCAAAGAAAAAGATGAATGCTACAAACGCCAAGGCTCTTACTGCCATGAAGCAAAAGGTCAAAAAGAGTATGAAAGAGTATGAGCAGGACATCTCTAAATACAATACGGTAAGTGACAGGTTCTGTGTCTGTTTCGTGCTTCTGACCCTTGAGAAGGACCCGGAAACATTCGAACGGGACTACGCAGCGCTGACGACTCGCGAAGCACCTCCAGCTTCAGGAGCCGCGCGGGCAGCAGCCAGGAGTGGTGATGCTGATGGAGAGGTTGTCGATGACTTTACGACTGTTGGGAAGGGCGGGAAAACCATGCAATTCACATCAGAAAGCATCTTCAAGAATCTTCAAGCCGTCCAGGAAGCGCGTGGTAAAAAAGTAACATCTTCCTTTTAATGTGCATATGGATGTAGTCTGACTTGTATACCAGAATACGGACCGAGCTGAGCAAATTCGAATTCTCGAAAGGCTCCTCGAAGTGGCTGCTACGACCTACCAGCGGCTGCGTGTTCTTCTTGCACTCATTTCATCGCGCTTCGACTACAACTCTTCGGTAGCTACACATATGCCCATCGAGCTATGGCTGTCTGCCCAGCGAGAAGTTGACCAACTACTTTCCATTGTGGCTTCAAATTCTGCATATTCGGTTCAGGAGATCACCGAAGATTACGATGAAATGGTGGAGCGGATTCCTTCTACCGAAAAGGACGGTGTTGTGCGGATACGTGGCAGTATTATCAGTTTTGTTGACAGACTCGACGATGAGTTCACCAAGAGTCTGCAAAACATAGATCCGCACGGTCCGGAATATGTTGATCGACTGAAAGACGAGAAGGTCTTGTACTACACGATCTGCCGGGCGGAAGCTTTCTATGAGAAGACAAATCAAGAGGAACCGCTTGGACGGGTCATTATGAGAAGGCTCGAACATATCTACTCCAAGGTCCGTGGTCTACGTGCCTCAATTCAACTTTTTGTCTAAGTAACAGAAATCCAGCCCGATCCCGTCGTCCAAGCGCTTGAAGCAAGTATCGACACCTCTGACATAAAACCAAAAATGAACCTGTCGCAAGGCACGACCTCTCTTCTGATTCATCAACTATGTGTCTATCTGTATGGTGCCGGCAACTCACTTCTTCGAACGCGTGCTATGCTAAGTCACATCTACCACCATGCCTTGCATAACGATTTCCATACCGCCCGGGACATGCTACTCATGTCGCACCTTCAAGAATCCATCCACTCTGCCGACGTTGCCACACAGATTTTGTATAACCGTACTGTAGTGCAACTTGGTCTGTGCGCGTTCAGATGTGGACTTATTAAAGAGGCCCAATCGACACTGCAAGACATATTCACGACACAGAGGGTCAAGGAGCTTCTCGCACAGGGCGTTCATCAGCAGCGTTTCCAGGTGCTCACACCGGAACAAGAGAAGGCAGAGAAGCAACGGCAGCTTCCCTTCCACATGCATATCAACACAGAATTGCTAGAAGCTGCCTTCCTCGTGTCTAGCATGCTAGTGGAAATACCATTGCTTGCTAGTATAGACTCTGAGGAGCTCAAGCGGAAAGCCATCTCCAAGCCATTCCGACGCCTGCTTGATTTCGCAGACAGACAGGTGTTTACCGGACCTCCTGAGAGCACCAGGGATCATATTATGCAGGCCAGCAAAGCTCTCCAGGATGGCGAGTGGGAACGGTGCAGAGATCTGATTCAGAGCATCAAGATCTGGAGTTTGATGCCCGAAGCTGCATCTGTGAAGGAAATGTTGGCAAAGTAGGTTATTTCTCGGCGTAGTGCTACATGCGCTCATCATATTGCAGGCGAATACAGGAGCAAGGCTTGCGCACCTTCCTGTTCACGTATTCGGCCCACTACACCACTCTATCTCTTTCACTGCTTGCTAGAACGTTCTCATTGCCCCTTCGTACCGTCACATCTATCGTCTCGAAGATGATATGGACAGAGGAGCTTTCCGCCTCCTTAGATCAGTCGGGTGGTGTTGTCGTTTTACATCGGGTGGAAGTGTCTCGCGCCCAGCAATTGGCACTGGTCATCACTGATAAAGTCAACGCTATGGTGGAGCAAAACGAAAAGATGCTTGATATCAAGATGGGTGGTAGTGGTGGATGGGGCGATCGTGCTGATGGTGCTAAAGGCGAAAAGCGTGGAGAACAGACCCAGGAACGACGCGGCCGCGGTGAGCGAACACGAGGTGGTGCTCGGGGTCAGTATCCTTCAGCAGTACCCAATTCAATTTCTCTGACGAGTGTACAGGTACTACGCGTGGGCGCGGGGGTCGATTTGCACAAGGCCTCGGAAACCGTATGCAGACCGGTTAGCTTGGGATATGTGTACTTTATTTCATTCATTCCTGTTCTTAATCCGACATGTTTGGTTCAAACAATTCTCGGTCCATATTCGGGTATTGGACAAGAAGAGGGAATAATAACAGAAAACAAACACGACAACAGATAATAATAAGTGCAACTACATAAACCGTCCTTTATGCTGATTCCCTAAGGTATTCCACAAAGTCCACTAGAAACTTAACTTGCTCGTAGGTCTCCACCGCTTTGACGCTCCTCCGTCTTCGAACGAGGCATATCGCTGTCTCAACCATCTCGAGCGTATCACGTCTGACCGGAAATGTGTAGCTGTTTGGCCCACGATAGGAATCGTTGGAAAGCCATGAAGGCGCCATGGAATGGAAACAACGCTGATTCGTATCCGTAAACCACCCGCATAAACCTAATCTGATCATCCAACAGCATGCTACGACACCTGCACGACCGACGCCGCCTCGGCAGTGTACAAGTACAGGAATACCTCGGAGTGTATATGTATGGATCAGGACGGTGAGGTTCTCGTTCAACGAAGCAGCGGATAGTGAAGGGGCCAACCCCTCCGGCGTAGGTAACCTTCCGACATGTCAATAACAATTCGTGTGCGCGATTTACGAAACCTACCTTAGGACATCGATACCAATTTGCCGTGTCAGACGTTCATATTCAGGCCAACGGGCACCCAAGAACTCCAATTCACTATCATCCAGACAACTGAAGGTCAAGCGGGGTTAGTGAAACTAAACAGTCACGTAGTTAAAACGTTACCAGACAATACAGCCCACGCCCAGCTCCTTCATTCTCATTAGATCCATCTCTAAATTGCGACATACACCAGAACGGCCGCGAACAGGTCCCTGCAACCGGACTGTACATGAAATCAGTGTTTGGTTCACTGTGATGGAGATCTGACACACCTTTTTTACCAGGGCAGGATGATAATAGCAGATTACCAAGAGTGAAGGAAGACAAGATGGGAGGTGCCACTGGGGCACCGTGTTCAAGGAGATCAGGAGCCGAATGGGACACCCTCTCCCCTAGCTCCGAATCAGGAGTGCGCTGCAGATTTTGAAGGGATCTTTTAGGTGACAATGGTAAAGAAGAATTAGAAAAGGTTAATGATAGCGATAGCGATACTGAAGATTGATTCGAGTTAAAAGTGGCGTATGTCGACTGGGACGTGGCTGAAAACCTGTCAGACTGCAGACTCATATCAATGGTGGGAGGAGCTGTCTGTACGGATGCAGAAGTAAAGCCGGAATTTATTGCGGCTTGCAAGGCCTGGGAAATATGAGAACGTGTTCGGATATGTGACGTTGGTTGCTCAGAGATTTTCGAGTGTGTGTGGGCAGGGGGGTCAGGGGGAGTAGATAGCTCGTTCCCAGATTGGCACCCAGAGAATACGAGACGGTCGAGCGAGAAAGATGGCGGGATTTCGCAGATAGTGGACCTCATTCTGCACGATCTCGAGCACTCTGGAATGGTATGGCAGATACAGGTGGGAGGACATGATCTGAGCAAGAGGTGCGAAGATATGAGTGCTAAGAATTCCGGAGGTATTATTGATGAAATGCTATTAAAAATGTGAATGATCGGTCGAAGTAGGTATTTGCTAACTCACTTGATTGGATGCGTCGCGGAAGTCTTGATTAGGTGCTGCTGGATAGGAATCTCAGAAGGAGCGGGTGCACTACAATTAATATTCAACGGCTCTTCCATGGCAGCCGATAGTTCCTGCACCAATTCCGTCTCTGATGGCGAAGTAACATTCACAGATGGCTTGGGGACATCTTTGGTGCCCTGAAATTGACCGTACCACCATGCATTATTTTGGTTGCATTCCTTTTGATGAAGGCGCAATTCTTGGTACACGTCCGGGGTATGTATGCACAATGGCACATATCGAGTCGAGCAGCCTCTGGGTCCAAACTTGATGCGGCTGTAATCACTGGTATGGTGCTGAGATGCTAGTCGAGCCAGCTGGCAGAGATTCAAAACAAATTTCTGTCAATACTAGCGGTAACTTGGGAAGCTGATACGACTGACCACCTGAATGGTATCTTCCACAAACCGAGGAACGGTAGGAACATCAGTTGGCATACAATGAAGCCTCTCTATGCCTTCAGCAAGATGGTGAGGATGGGGAAAGGCAGCGGATTCGACGAGAGTCATTGGAGGAAGCAGCAAAGAGTTCAGGACGAGACTCCGCTGTTGATATTCATTACGCTCCTTACGTAACTAGTCTAGGTCGCACAATCATTTGCAGTATCAGAATTCCTCTTTCATTGCTTCTCTTTTCCATGATATTGTACACTTCTCGTACAGTTACAGCTATCCATTTTGCAATACAGCGCCATTGAAACCTGGCATTCAAAGTGCCCTTCTTTCCTTTCCACCACGTGCTGGCTTGGAACTTCTTTCGCCTCTCCCAAATCCTTGTCCTTGCGAGGATAGCATTCCGGAGGTGCTCGTATTTCTCCTGCCGCCTCGTCCTCTGCCCCTGCCACCTTTGTTGATCGGGAATCCTTCCCTAGCGCGGGAATCTTGGTTTGATGAGGTGGTCGCACTTCGGTGTCGTCCTTTTCCCGGTGTAACAGGGCCCAAGGCTGGCGCTTCAGGAACTACAAAGAATCCTTCCTGAAGACCTTGATCTGACGAAAAAGACACATCAGAATGTGGTGGCGTTAGTGGCGAAAACACCTGAACAGGGGATCCATCGGAAGATAACTTCGGAGTTAATGGTGTTAGGTCGCTGTTCGACGAAGACGTGGAAATGGATGAAGCTCGTATTTTCTTTGCCGTTCCTCTGTTTCGTCCAGATCTACCATCGGCACCGTCAAAAGCGCCAGCATCCGTATTGTTAACTTGACGTTCGCTGGCCAAAAGCTCGGCCTTCTCTCCGGTCCATTCCTGACCACTTCTGACGGTTTCTATCCAACGCATGTCACTCGTTTCAAGTTCCTGCTCTCGAGTCGTCATGGCCCATACAGAATCTGAAATCTTTGGAGGATGATATTCAACAGAGACGTTCATGCTGATCTTTGAGCACCTCGCTGCTCGTTTCACGGCCCACGAACCTCGTCCAAACTTTCCGTACCACTCTTGATAGAAAGTAGATGTTAGTGACCCAGGTACGGGAAGTAGATTCTAGAATACCTAGCATTTCGAGTTTTGGACATTTTCGAACAAAGCGTTTGATGTCGCGTAGTAGCGGCATCGAAGGATCGCTTAAATCGGCTTTCGCCAGACATGTTTGATTCTGCATTTGATCAAAGTCCAATAGTTGGGGCAAGACGGCTTTCGATTTGAGAACAGGCGAATCCGTAGAGGTGGGAAGAGAAGGCGGGTCGTGAGGTGGCAGGGGCACGGGTGGCTTACCAGGCGCATGTACGCGATTCACAGAGACACGTAGTTGTTTCAAGTTTGAAAGATTAGCAAAGGTCGAAGTCAGGGCAAGAAGTTTCGAAAAAGGTGCATCCAAACAGAATTGTACAGACTGTTCAAAATTTCAGGATGTCAGAATTTCATCAAAGTATGGAGCGCGTACCTCCAGCTTGGGACAACCGTCGAGAATCGCTTTGATGTCGGTGATAGAACACATCCAGAAATCGCACCGTAGGGTTGTAAATGATTTAGCCTCTCGGAGCATCCGTTGCATAGCGGCCGGTAAAGGTTGCAGCGAGATGGCATCGTCGACAGTAGGGTCATACATTGGAACATCGTTATACATACGCGGAAGCGCTTCAGTTCGTGTTACAGACACTTCGCTTAGTCCGGCGGTTGGCAGGTATTCTAGGGATATGAGATGGTCCGTGGTCCAAGAATGAGAAGGTCCGGTTTCAGAGATTGTTATGCGAAGACGATGCAACATCGGAAAGCTGCTCGGTTTTGACCACAGAGCACGGCTTAAGCGACCTATCACAGCGTGAAATTTTGGAAGAGTACGACTCATCAGGCTTGTCACCTTGTATTTGGTCAAGCAGAAGATCCTCCAACGCATCGCATCCTTCCAGTATGGCAATGAGACCTTTGTCAGTTAATTTTGTACCACTTGTACTAAGCCGTAGTTTACGAAGCTTCCTGCCGCTTGCCGCTATTGCTTCACATAAGGGGTCGTCGAGCCATACGAGTTCAACACTGAGATCTTCCAGTGTGGAATGCTCGCCGAGATCTCGAAGAAGAGATGTCAATGTGCGTGTCCCTGTCTGAGATAGCCATGACAGGCGGAGAGTCGTGATAGGAAGGTCAGCCAGAAGCGGAAGGGAAGGCGCATCCCATTTGACAAGATTCTTGCGTTGCGATATGGGTAGTGTTGGGGGATCATAAGAGAAAGAACGTAACCGAGAATTGCAGGCGACAAGGATCTAAGTACCGAGTTTGACAGGTGTCGACAGACTCTACTCAATTATAGCAACGTACCTCGCACAACCCGTCGGGGGGTCGAAGGTAGCCTTCCCAACATAACGCTTCGAGATTGGAATACGACTTCAACAGGTTTTCAAGGCAAGTAGTACTCAAAGGAGTGCATGTCGACGCGAAACCTTCATCGTCGGGAAGCGTGACATTGGACGCCCTCGTGAGTGTATCTGAATCTCGGACAATGAGCTTCTTCACATGCTTGGCGTAACGACCCGGGTTCGCGACGACGGCTGCAAAGCTGGCATTCGTTGATGACAGCAGGGCTTGCTCGTCGTCCTGAATAATTAGAGTGTGAAACAATACGCGAGCAGTCGACTCATGGATACGTTTTCCTAGCGAAGAGAGAAACGCGATGCGCACAGATGGTACGACTTCAAGTATCTGAAGGATGAGGGCTGGGACAAAGGCTGGTGAGTACTATGAAGACACACGATAACGATATGCGCGCACTATCGAGGCAATCCTCTGAGAGAATATCAAATGATGGAGACATCCTGGCCTGCTCAAGATGAGCTCGTAGTCAGGGAGGAACAGAGAAGCCTCACCCGAGAATGGAGGCTGTTTCACCGCAAGTATTCTATATCCAGGTCTCTCAAAGGCCACGAGAGGCGCTGGTAGAACTGCTACTGGCTTCAATTCCAATACCCAGCAGAGAAAGCAAACACTGATGAGGGTAAGAAAGAAAGATGCAACCTCGATGTGCGAAGCGAAGACTAGGCAAGTACTAGTCCAGTCATGGCCGCTGATGTCATCGAAGTGCTGTCCGCTTTCAGCTAAAAAGGATGTTCAGCCACAATGAAGCTCTGCACCGAAGGCCGTCTCCCTGACTTAAAGAACACGCTGTTGGCCGACGAAATCCTTGACATGTACGTTCTATCGTCCTCTGCCCTGTTATTGCATCTAACAGCGAATTTTCCATTACTGTTCACAAATTCTCGCTGATAACCTGCATTTTACCGTCCATTGAATCTCAGAAAAGTAGAAAAGACATAGTAAGAGCAAACAAAAATCTGTTAATACTATGGATGCAAGAGTGAGCGACAAGACAAAATCGATGAGGTAGCCAAACTAATACTTGAATAAGTCACTGTATGACGACAGGGCAATTAGAGCGGATGATCTAAGTTGAGGTATTCCATGGGTGCAAGCTGCAACATAAACATGGGATGACATGATATGCGGTAGATGGGTGATGATGGTATAGCAAACAAAGCGATATATGGGCAATCCAAACACCAACCGAAGAAAAGAAAAGGTCCATTCGTTTCGTTCAAAATCTCGTAGAAGGGTCTAGAGGACCAAGTGGGCCATATCGGTCACCTGGACCGCGCTGCCCTCCAGGCCGACCACCAGCGGGTGTCCAACTCTCGTTTGAAGACATACTTGGTGAAGTCGGTGAGTGTATGTTCGGTAGCATTCCGGGCGAGGTAGATCGTGATAAGGGTGAATAACTGTCGTCACCAACATTCACCAGTTGGGTGGTAGAAGTGTCCGTGAGCTGGTATCGTGGTGCAGGGCTATGATATGCGGGACGAGGTCGGTCATCAAAGCCCATTTCTAGCATGGCCTCCAGCTCCGCACCGTCAAGTGTCTTTGCTGACTGAAGAGTTTCTTCTTCAGGTATCAGCAGAGCAACTGGAGGTAGTGGATATTGCGCATTATGCTCGTTGTAACCGCCGATTTGTGTCCCCCACTGGTCGTCTTCTGATGAAGATGCCAGAGATATGGTGTCAGAACCGTCATACTGGCTTCTGGCATCCGACCGTGCGCTTAGCAGATCTCCATCTCCCGCATAGTATCCTCCAGGATGTGCGCGTTCGAGATCTCTCCGCCGACGCTCATCGCGGCGAAGTTTACGCAGCCTAGACCTTTCCCAGTCTTCCCACCGGCGCATTGGAATAGCTTCACCGTTGAAACGCCCGCCAGAGCCTCCATGACCGGCATCTTTTGCTTCGCCTTCAACCTTCCTGAAAAGGTGTAAATTTTAAGTGAGTCATGAGAGTTTGACTTGAGAAGTACACAAACCTTGTTTCTCCCCAAGAGAAATCGTCAAAGTGCCAAAAGGAATATACAGGAAGAACAAAATTCCATATAGGTAGAGCAAGAAGATATATGCACATCCAAGCGACATACACAATCTTCCGCGTCGTTATCAGAATGAGGATAGCAGGCAAACCTAGAACGGCAACGAGGAGAATGAGGGGTATCGCTTCTTCGAACGAATGTGGTGGATCTAGCGCCATTCCAACGATCAACATATATGTCAACGCAATGGCGATAGGAAGAACCACAGTTCCGACCAAATCCATGAATACAACAAACTGCATACTAAAGCAGAATGTCCCACAGAGATTACGCACAAGAACTAGCTCCATGAGGTTGTGAATCGTGGAGTTGATCCACCGTCGCCGCTGGGACAGAAGAACCGAGAACGTGTCGGGAACAACAGTTCTACACCGCGCCTGCGGTAAGAACATCATTTTGCGGTTTGGAAATGTTCGTAGAAGAATGGTAGTAAGGAAACGATCTTCTCCCAACAATAGAAGGTTCTTTTGGTGAAGAGTTGTCACCTCGCTCTGACTATACTCCTTCACAATCTCTGGCTTTATGATCAAGGGAACCCAATCATCGCCTGTACTTCTCCGTGCTTTAAGGCGGAACATGGAAAAACACCCGGGAAGACAGGAAACACCTCCAAAGACGGACTCGAAGGCCTTGGCAAGGTGGTGGGAAATGAAGTATTCGAAGACCTGAATGCTTGTCACCCATGACCCCCGTTTGTTCGCTATGCGGGTCTCCCCGCAAACGCCCATGATCATCGGATCATGATGCATGCAATTGACGAGATGACCCAAAGACTCGGGGAATACCTTGGTATCCGCATCCACCTAGGCAGAGGTTTGTGAGGTGGGGGTAACTCAACGAAGAAAAACTAGCTGACCATCAAACAGACTTCAAAGAAATCGGGGGTTACACCCATGAGAACATGGATTTTGCGGAAAAGATCGAAGTCTAGGGGCGTCATCCGGTCGTTGTATGTGACGCGAGAAAAGAAGTTCATGAGGATAAGCTGGCTGTCGCGTTTCCCTCTGTTGCCGGGCTTCTTCCCAGTAGCTGCCTCACTTTCCGTGCCACATTTGACAACAATGACGGTGGGCGTTCGACGGCCGGCGGTGGCTAAATCAACTGGTCAATTAATTAAGAGAAATAAAGTTGGTAAACGTACTATAGTGACCGGCATACACCATGGCCCTGTTTTGAACCTTTTCCCCAGATCCAACAGCAGAATACAGCATAGGCATTGGGTTTCCAAAACGCGGATCTGCATCAAGGAGTCCCACGCAAATGTCTGGTGTGCTCATCTTCTCCCCAGCGCCAGTAATCATCCCGTCCGCCACGACGAACAGAAGTTTGCGCTGATCACTGTACGTCGTTCGTGATATTGAATCCAGAGTAGTCCTGAGCGACTCCTCTCCTTCGGAATAACAGGTTACTAGGCATACGGCGAACAATTCTCGACCAATGGAAGCCAAATTCATGATAGGCGCAGCAGTACCGTCTGAGGACGAGTTGGTGAGCGTCGTTGATGATGCCGAAGCGAATGAGCGGGCAGATTTGTTCATGTTGGACTTGTTGTTCAGCTTCCTCGCACTCCCGGCAGGACCCGCCCAAGGTGCTGTGCCATTTTTATTGTCAATGGACACATTGGCACCCTCTGGCATAACTGCAGGGCTAATAGCGGATCTCTCTAAGTCCCTGCTATTTGGTGGGCCGGCTAATCGCTCCGACAGGAACCAATTAAAAATACAGGCCATGACGAAGCGTACGAACACAAGTCCAAGTACGACGATGAGACCCGCATATAGAATCAAGGAAGAGACAAAGCATCCTGGAGTAATTTTGTCAATGTTGCCTGCGTAATATCTCTCCTTCAAACATTTGACGGATGATTGAAGGTCGGAGCGGCTGGAAAAAAGACGAGTGCCATCCTTTCCTGAGCTCGTGTCTTGATTATATAAGAGGGTGCGAAGGGCAGCATCAACATTATCGGACGGTATGGAATTTGGATGGAGGTTTATGTAGGTGGTCATATTCAGTACGGCACCATCAATGACGAAGTAGCTGGATGAGGCGGCAACCTGTTCCCACGAATAGCCAACGATGTATCCCGTATCTTCCATATCAAGATTGGAGAAGGTGGAAGATGAGTTGAGATTTCCGAGCGAACATGGGTTTGTAGTGGAGCAAGGGGCATCGAGTGCTACTCGAAAGCTGAGGCCTGTACATGCTGAGAAGTCGGAGGCGCTCCTCGTGAACAGCTGAGTAATATCCTGACCACCGTTTTGGCCGAGTGATGAGAACGAAACATTGGAAGTAGATTTCGCAGATGTGACGTTGTACAGGTGACCCTGAACACCTACTGTGCCCGACTGCGTACCCAGTCGAACAAATTCGGTATTTGCGCTGCCCGAACTTGGGCAAAGGACCTTCTGGAAACCGACAGTAATGAAACCCACGCAGCAACAAAGGATTAAGATCAAAAAACACAGCGTCATCTTTTCCCGCCATGCTTGCTGAGTAGCTTTGTCCTTCAACCCTCCGACTGAGCTGAGAAGGAAACCAGGCGCCCAAAATGTGACCACGCGACTAAACAACCTCCATGCATTCGAGCCGTTGTAGTCGTTGGTTGGGCGTGAAGGAGATGAGGGTGACGAAGATTGGGGATTGATGAGGGGTACGGGAGCGACACTACGTTCTGGGCGTGTAAGAGTCTTTGCACGACGAATGGTGGTGCCAGTGGTTGGGGGCTGCCGTGTAGTGGGAATGGGAACATCTGTAAAATTGTAGTTGGATTGAAAACGAAGGGCCATGATGAAAAGAGAGGAAGATGCACGGCATGCGACAGCAGCCTGGTATCAGTGGAAAAGAGGGAATACGTGCTCAGGCCTGCCGTGAACGGTAGATGGAACCGTAAGGAGAGAGAGAAGGACCGTCGTTGTTGGTGGTGTGGGAGGTAGTGGTAACCGAGCTGGCCACTACATCAGCCGGATAATTGCCATTAGAGGTACTGGAGCTCCCACGTGGCCGGATCCTTTTTCTATAATTCTTAAAATAAAATAATATTCCTCTCAGAGCTGCAACTTCAAGTATACCCTATCGCATATACTTTCTTCACCTTACATTCAAAGCTCTAGTCTGTTTAAAATCTACTGTTCATGACAACTTGCTAGCAAAAGTCGTTGCTACCAACAATGATTTAAGAGTGCCTGGTAGTGGAGTAGCAGTAACCTTGAATTCCATAAATTCACACAGCAATCTCCTAGACTCTTATGCTTTTCTAATACGCATGTATAGGAGCTTTTAGAGGCGAATTTAAGCTTTTCCAAGCTTTGCCCATGCAGATATAGACGATAAATTCTTTGGCTTGGCCGCAGCTCGTCGCACATGGCACATACAACTTTGATCAGTCCATCATGATCTTGTCACTCTGAATGGTCAATAAAACCATTCAAAATGAACGTGCGCCTTCATCGGATTCGGCGAATGCTGTACGTTAATCGCGTCTAAAATATTCCATGTCGTGCTTTTCCACTATCATAAAACTGGCATTGTTCAAACCTACAGGCCCAAAGTCGCTCAATTGAAGGATGGTTGTAAACACAAGTCTAAGATGAGTCAAAGGAGTGTCCGTGAAGGGAGAGGAACTGAGAACACTCGAGGCAGTAGAATAGACGGGGGACAATAGGTGGATCATTATGTACGGGGATGAATAGATGGGTACTATAGTTCCTTTCAATGCTACGTCGTTGATCGGTCTAAAAGTAATAAGTTGAGGGGTATAGAAAATTCGTGGCAAATGAGGAAGAAAGTCAATGTGAATAGATAAAGACCGAAGAGGTGGAAAGGGCTGGCATGATATTCCTTGTCAATATGTCGTTTTGCTCGTCTATCATCCTCGGCAACAAACGGTCGAGTTATCGTCATATCAGAATGTTATATTGAACCACCAGTGTTATGACAGTCCACCCTCGGGTAGCAGGGAATTGGATGAAGTTCTGGCGATAGGCGTTGATGGTCGCGACCTATCACGGGATGGGGGTCGAGAGGGGTACGGGGAACCGTAAGGTGCTTGATTGTACCTTGTTGTATCCAGAGTGTCTGAAAATCCATCCGTCCGTCCAATAGCTGCGGCATCGGCCCCACTGCTTAGACCAAATGCGCTAGCAATGAGACGCGGACTGCCAAATGGTGAGGTCTTCTTCTTGAGAGGAAACTGGCCTAATATAGGCTCGTCCGAAGCTACAGGTGTCCCGGGAAATGGAACGGTTTTCCCTGATTGGCTCGTCAGAACGATAGACAAAGGCTCACGATCGGCGGGTTGGTTGTACATCCATGTTGCGCAAAGAACCGTCGAAGCGCCGATAATAAAAGATGGCGTGATGCGAAATTCAAATAACGCAACAGAGGCCAGGAACGATAAGACGATTGAAAGACTTGTTGCAAAGCCCTTCAGTATATTGTCCGAGTATTTGATAACAAGAGCCGTGATCAGGCCTCCAAATACTTGAATCGCGACCGTAGCCCACGCCCAACCTCCAAAGTTACGCAGCAAATCAGACGTAAATCCCTGGGAATTCGAGGGAGAAGTCTTGTACAGGACGGGTAGAAGAGCCGGAATGAGGGAGAAGAGTGACAATTGGACATTGCGCACCCAGAGGTCCGCTTTGGAGTTTTTGAGGACCATCTCGAAATACACACCGGCAAGCCCTGACGTGAAACATGCTGCCGTTACAGCGCCAAAGCCCTTAAGTGGACTCATAACATGTATATGGAGAGGAGCCGAATCGTGTGCACTTCCTACGGGTGTGTTTTTCGGCGCGGCGTGACCAACGGAGGCAGTTTGTATCTGGACAATGCCCACCCCAATTGCCAAGAAAAAGAGGGAGAGCCATTTTGTCGTGCTCAGCTTCTTTCGCAGAAGCGCAACTGAAAAAGCCGCTGTCGTTAGGATTTTCATCTGGTACGTCACTTGGAAAGATGCCACGGGAAGATTGCTTATGGCGACAAATTGGAGAGAATTCTGGACCACATATAGAATGGCAGGAATGGACAGTTTCCAGCAGTCTGGACTAAAGATTTCTCCACATAATGACCAAAATGCGGGCGTCCAAGGGTACGGCCAGGAGCAAAGGAAGTTCCACATTGACCGGCGGCGCCAAGGAGTCTCTGAAGGGTCTCTCACTCGTGCAAGAGCTATGATGAATGATATAGAGCCCTTGAGTAGCTCATTGAGGAGAACGGCGGAAGCGGGTGAATATGAGAGAGCAGGCGGTGTTGATACGCGCGAATAATGCATCACAATGGACAGTGCAGCGTTTTGCACGGCAAGAGTCACCAATCTAGAGGCAATCAAGGGTCTGTCAACGAATACTGTGAGAGAAAACTCACGATACGTATTTCAAAGGCATCCCGAACACGGTTGGTCCACTCGTGGATTCAGCCTGGGATGAGCCAGAAAAAGAGGTGGCATTGACGGGCAGAGATCCCTTGCTTGGATAGGACATTCCCGCGGATGGTAGCAACGGAGTCAGCCTTGGACCTGAGTGCTGCACCGAGCCTGACTGGCCGTATGGCGAAGGGGAACGAACTGTTGGTAGCGGACGGTGATACATCTCGAGTTCTAGGCAAAGCCTGCACTGGGACGAGACAAAAGAGGGTACGTCGAGGAAAATAAGGCCAGCAACGCAACCTGTACGAACAGTTGCTACTGTTTTAGGTTGGTATGAAATAGGGAAAAGCTATACCCGCACCTAGAATGTAAGATAACAAAAACGAGCCCAAAGCAAAGAAAAAGGAGAACGGCGCTGGGCAACGACAATTTTTTGACTCTTTTCTCTTCACGATAGAACAGAAGAGGGAAGAGTGTGCCAAAGTCCGGTGAATGGCGGAAGACTGGACGCTGGCCAACTATAATTCTCACGCTGCCCCCAAATTGGTATTGGTCATGAGGATTTTTGGATGCCTGGAATGTGCTCACCTGGTCGTCGCTGTGTCGCTCGTCGTGGTCCCCGCGGTACCGGCTGGCAAGCTCGACGTCGTACGGTCAGTGTGCCTACGTTAAAAAACGGAATTTGGCAGGCCTCAGAAGCTGCGTCTCATGATGCCCTCTATATTTAGTCAAACTGGCGCCACAACGTGCACAACGTGGCACTGCGGCTTGACGACGTACTTTGCCGATATCTCACCATTTCGTTTCGTACTTCCATGGCCGGTACCCGGGATGCTCTGGCGAGTAGATGAACACGCATATATCCAGCTTCTTTGCCTGATACTTGCTTGCAGTGGGCCACTGGTCACGATGAGTCCGTCGAGGTCAATCAACGTGCTCTCATCGACAAGGTTCTCGCGCGATATTCTGGAGAATTTACAGTGTTCCGTGAATTATTGCAAAATTCCGACGATGCGCAAGCCACAGCGGTGGAAATACACTTTCAGTCGAAGCACTTTCTAGACAATCTATCCAGCATTTCCAATCGCTCTTCCTCCGATATCCCATTGCCGGACTTGTCGACAACTCTGGTATATCCTGACCACACTAGTCATGAACTTGTTTCTCAATCAAATCACAGGTGCATCAATGGACCTTCAAGAACAATGGTATTGTCTTCAGAGATGAAGATTGGAGCAGATTGAAAAAGATCGGTATGGCATCCGCCGCTACGACCCTACCAAACTATTGATCGCGCTGATAGCTGAAGGCAACCCGGATGAGGAGAAGATTGGTGCTTTTGGAGTAGGTATGGTCCCACTTTTTATTTCGAAGCGTTCATATAGTCACGGGTGTTTTAGGCTTTTATAGTCTGTTCTCTGTTACGGAAGAACCGTTTGTGACCTCCGGAGGTATGTCGGGCTACTGTCGAATTTCCGATATTCTCTGAATACGTACACCAGGCCAATGGATGGGTTTCTATTGGAAGGACAAGAAAGATCAAGTACGTATGTCGCTTTTGTTTCCTCGCCGACTTTCTGATGCCTCCCAAGCTGTTTGCTCGTCGTGGTACTCTCCCCAATACGGAACAGATCGGTCCGTGGACAACGTTTGACATGGTATTGAGAGAAGATGCTACCATTCCGCCAGCGTCTGATTTTGCGCGGTTCCTGGCATCTTCCATCACCTTCATGAATTACCTTTCAGAAGTCAGCGTATACATGGATGATAAACGCCTTGTACATTTAACAAAGAGTTCCGGTGCTGATGAGCGATTGGTGATACCAAGAGGGCTGCAAACACGGAGTCAGAGGTCGATCATGCACGTCAAGAATATCAAGTCCACTCGTAAGTTTGTTGACATTTCCCCCCTGTAATGTCGCTAACAATACCTGCAGCACTACATATTAGTGCCCAAGTAATGCAATGGGTCTATACATCCTCTAGTGATAAACCATCTGCTACCAAATCTGTTAAGCCACAGGCTCACGGCGGGTTTTTCTCATCACTCTTTACAAATTTCGTTGGGTCCGTACCGGCACCACCTGAGGAACCCAAGAAGGTTATCGATCCCCGTCAGATCCGAGTGACCAGTGTAGCACTGTCCATTTTCTCTGCCGATGTAGATGTTCGTTTAGACAAGAAATTGTCCGCAGAGCTTCATAGATCCACAAAGAAGAACCCGCCTAGTAAGTTGAAGTATGAGCTCATCTATGTGAGTGCTCATGAGATAATCTTGCGTATTGGAACCGATTGCCATGCTAGACTGGAAAAGACGAATACGACACCAGCAAGCAATCTGACGCAGAGAACGAGAAATCCATCTTCCAAGGCTTGCGCGCTGATCTCGATGGGTAAGTAGCAAAGTTGGTACTATGAGAAATATATCATAACCTAAAGGCTTTCATTCTCAGCACGGGTTCTGCTCGTATATTCATAGTATGGTGCATCTAATACTCATGTGCAAGTGCTTATTTGATTCAGGGTCACGCGACTGGTCAAACTACGGGACTTGGTGGGTTTCTACTTATTGTTTGGAGTGTTATTAATAACAGCCCATAGGCGGTCATATGGCTGCTCGATTCATACCAACTGTTGAGCGAGAATCAATCGACTTGATGTACTAGCTTTTTCTATTACAATATTTTTTTCATGCTGACGAACATTATACAGGGATCGTGCCGTTGCTGGTAAGCATTGTAGCCTTCTCCTGTAAAGCAAAGTCTCACAGTCCACAGTATGGAACCAGGAATTGTTGTTCGTCGGCGGGTTTCTTGCGCGAGTGGCCTATGAGCTTGAACTCTCGACCATTAGGAGCCTCTGGGAGGGCGCCTCGTCCCCATCATCTGAACCAGCCGAGAACGTTAAACATCGGTTAACTCAGCATTCCCTCCATTTGCTGAAGTTTTTCACCTTCCATCCTTCTACACCTTCCGGAGAAGTTGCTGGTCGTTTGGAGGAGGCATTCTTTTCTTGCGCCAACAGCGTACCCTTCTCGATCATAACAACTGCTGGTATCCGTGAGATTGGTGATGCTCGGATGCCTGATGCCGCCTTTTCCGGATTCTTGACACAGCTTCCCGTTATACCTACAAACGTTCTAGACGAGGCTAGGCCAATGATAACTTCTTTGCAAAACCGACAGCTTCTTAAAACTATCACGTTCGAGGATGTCCTTAAAGAGCTCCGGTCGCGTCCACTCTCAGAGGCAGAGACTATTGCCTGTCTTAAATGGTGGTCGGGTGTAAAACTCAATGTCACCGATAGGTCCTCGATCCAAAAGCAGCTACTAGATGCTGCCATTATGACCACCGGTTTGGCAGGTTCTGGTGCGGAGAGGATTGTACCTCTGAATATTATTCAGACGTTCGTTGATCCCAAATACATCCCACCCGACGGTCCCCTACCAGATCATGTTCTCCCGTACATTGTCAGCAGGCAGCTCTCGTCTTCTACCCTCAGGGCATCCTTTCCATGGACGGAACTCACTATACGTCAATGGATACAACACATCTGCGATCATAAAACTTGGTCTGTCCCTGAACATGATATCACAACCTCAGCACCCTGGGCAGAGCACGTATTGACTGTCCTTAGTCGTAGTTGGACTATCATTTCGCCTGAGATGAAGGGAGAGATCGTTGTGATGATGAAACCTCTGAAATGTATTCCCACTTCGAGCGGAATGAGAATTCCGGAAGAGGTCTATTTTCCAAGCGCAAACATATTCCGCGATCTTCCTGTGGTTCTTCTCCCTTCAGGCGCCACAATTAGAGGATCACTCGAGCGAGTGATGGAAGGTCTTGGGGTCCGTAGGGATGTGGAGTTACAAACTTTGTTCAACAAGTAAGCGGCATACAGAACCTCTCAGAGTTTTCACTGAATTGAATGCCCTCACAGAATGATTAAAACAAATGAATGGACTGTCAACGACCTCATGAAGCATCTTGCAACACGTAATCTCAACAATGAAGAAATTACTCGCTTACGGTTGACAGCTGTGTTTCCGAAGCAAGAAGCGTCAGAGAGTGTTCCTGGCGCGAAATTGAAGAGATATGCTGCCAAGGATCTGTATGAACCTTTGGAAGTTTTTCGACAACTCAGTTTGCCTGTCCTAGACTGGGGGGCACAGAACAAGTGGCGTTCATCATCTCCCGAAGGTGGGTCTTCTGTCTGTCCGCCGAGTCTTCAGCTAATGTTTTTACAAGCGAAACTCGCATTTACCCTCAATTTACGTCAATATCCTCCTATCGATGTCCTTGTTAATCTTTGCGCCAGTCCCGACGAAAAGGTGCTTACCGAATTGATTGCTATCGTCTTCCACCATTCCTCACATTGTTCTTAAGATTAGAGCCACCGCACTGAAGTATCTTACTGACAATGTGAATACCAAATACCAAGATTTCGATCCCAAGAGATTTGATCAGGTTGCATTCATTCCGGCCATACGAGACTCCAAACTTTGCCTAGGAACCCCGGAAGAGGTACTTAGGCATTATCCTTCTCTTCATGCTAGTTTCTAACCCGTAATAGGTTTTCGCCAATCCTGACTGGGCCGCCTTTGGCTTCTTGGTGACACCACCGACACTATCAAAGGAGATAGTGGCAAAGTTGAAAATCCCGCAGCATCCTCCTTCACAGATGATAGTATCATTACTCGTCAAGAACGTTCCTCGAGATGAATCTCAGGCGAGGCAATGGTTTGAAATATTGGCGGGGAGAATAGCAGGTGAATGCATGTGTCCGTGCCTCACCGCGCTCGGGAGACTCATTATTTTAAGACTTCTCTAGTTTTCAGTTGACCACACTCTCAAAGACACCCATGGTTCCAACTAAGGAAGGCGGCAGTGCAGCGGTAGCATTTCGATGGGTCCCACCTAACCAATGCTACTTCCGTCGAAGCTCTGGTGATGACCATTACTCGAGGCTATTTATTTTCGTCGATTTTGGACCTGCTGCAAATGCGTTTTTGACTGCTTGTGGTACTCGCCAGGAGCCTAGCGTGGATGAAATCGCTCGTACTATGTTACAAGATCCAGGAAAGTTCTACGAGTCGCTGAACAATAGCCCAACAAAGTTCGAGGATTTTTTTTAGCCAATATTAATGCCTGTTGATAATTTGCCCCCACTAGTTACATCGGGGAATTGCGAAAGCTTGCCATGGCTCATCAACAGATTTCTGGGGACACACATCGTAAAATGCGACGGGCAAAGATCTTATTGGGGCTGAAACGAAAGCCCAAGGGAAAGGCAAGCATTGATTATGATGACTTCGATGATGACGGGTGGGACACGCTTTATGATCTTAAAGCAGCTGATGAAATAGTCATCACCGATGACACCAATGCCCATCAGCTTTTCAGTGAGTCCTTGTTTACGGCACCACAAGAAGACATACTTGAAGGTGAGTCGATACATTCATATCTGTGCAACGATCTTCACGGTGCTATTTAGCTTTCTATATGTCCCTCGGGTCCCGACGCTTGAGCTCTGTCGTCGAAGTATCGTATAAGGCCTCTGCTGCGGTATCCAACAGCAAAATAGCAGCCGAGACGCGAAACCTGATACTCGAGAGACTTCCCCTGTTCTTGCATGAACACACCCACTCGAAGACCAAGTTCACGCTTACCTGGCTGACCTCGCCGGAACATTTCGTGGTCCAAATGTTTGGTAAATTGTCGATCACCAAGAAGCTTCGCTTTGGTGATGCACCGTCCCGCTCACTTGACGCTTTGGCCTATGCTGTATACGAAAACAATAGGATCATGCTATTTCTCGCCGGAAATGCCCAGGTCGATATGTATTATGAGTGCGTAGATCAGATCCTAGATGATGATCCGCGTCCAAGATCTAACTCTTTTCAAGGGTCGCCACTTCCTTAAACCGGTTACTTTTCGAGTCCCCGAAGGCTAATGATGCGCTTCTCTTCATGACCATATTATCTACTCCTCTTCGTGAGTTGAAACGCAGAGGCTACAATGGCGCGTATCAAATCTGAATTCATATTTTATACCAGGCTGACTTTTCGTTAGTCGACCGCATCCTTAGACAACAACAAGCAGAGAGGCAAGCTGCGCAAGAGGCCGCCAAGGCAAAAGTAGAGAATATATCCTTGATGTCGAAGCGAACATCAACGCCCAGCCCTTCGCATGGGATTTCAGACTCTGCTCCTGTTCCTAATGAAACATCGTCGCAACAGCCGGTGTCCGATGAAATTTCGCTCCTGCGCTCAGCCAGTAGTATGCGGAATACGTTCCAGAATTTGAGACGCAAGATCAGTCCAAGGCCGAACACGATCACTCCTTATCCACCCGTCACTGAGGTGAAACCGACGGGAAATCATGTTACAGATGCTGGACCTCCACCTATACCTGACGAGACTCGCCCGATTCATCCACCTACAGGCAAGCCAGGTGGTGCGTCAAGAGCGGCTATCAGTAGGTTTCCTATGTTCGCACTTGTATAATTTGGCTGAGAATTTGCGATACAAGCGTCGAACATCGATATGGCAATCAATGCATGTAGACCCGAGAAGAATCACCTGCTCCAGAATCGAGAACAGATGCGGATCGTCAAAGAATCGCTGAACGAAGGGTATTGTGATCTTTCCGGTCATTCGGGGACATTGAAACTTGTCGGTGAGTTGCCAACTCATTCAAGGTCAAGTCCGAGTATTTAACTCGACGGATCAGCGTCTATGGAGAATGTCAAGATATATCTTCCACAAAGTAGGCGTCTCAAAAATCTGTCAGCATAAAAATACCGACAGTATTTCAGGTACAGACACAGCCCGTATTGAGGAGTTTCTTTCCACAAGACACGACTCAGTCGCGAGGTTCGTCCATGTGATGAATGTCCTTGCGGCAGTCTATAAGCTTCCTATGGAAAATCTACACATCTTCAGCGAAGACGAAGGCACTACTGTTGCGTTCAACCGCAATGGTAGCATTTTCTTGAATTTGCGATATTATATCGCTTGGCGTAGGTGGTTCACTATACGTAATTGCATCCACTTATGATCATGCACAGATGATGAACAGGTAAGAAAGGGTGATATGAACCCCGCAATTATTTCCTGGTAAGTCCCACGACCACCGAAGTACTACAAGGTCAGCGCTGATAATCAGATAGGTACTTTACTCTCGCGCATGAAATCGCGCACAACCTGGTACAACCTCATAATTCAGAGCACGAGTTTTATCTTTCAGCAATTTGTGAGAGACATCTATTGGAGCTTGGAAACATCGTATTTAAAGCATAGATATTATTGATGGACAGCTGTAGAAAATTATGTACGGATGCAATTTACTGTAGTCTTAGAGCACCCTTAGCACCGCGTCATTTAGTTGCCCCTGAACCCACGTGAGTCCTATTTCGCCGGAGGCTGATTCGAGGCCTCTCGTGTTTGCTACCTACGACCGTCGGTGTCAACCTTCTTCCTCGTGGAGACAGCAGCGGTCGACTGCTCTGCCGCCCTTTTACTGGAAGTGACTCTTTTTTTCCCGCTGAAATCCAGGCAGAATAATACTGGTATTCACTGGCCGACATCAAGGCGACGAGGCGACAAGTAGTACGTTTTCATGTCTCACGACTTTCCTCGTATAACCCATATCCTTCAGCTTCATTGCGAGCATGGCTAGTATCAGCTCTGTGGTGTCAGCCCCAGCTACCAGCAACCCAGTATCGTCCATTCGTAGGAAACCCCAATTCACGTACCGGTCACCCCCACTCTCAGACCCTCGTTCAGTCAAACCCTCTATTTTCACTATTACTCCGAGGACAACACCATCTGGAAAGCATAATGTCGTAGGACGGGATGCGCTACCAGCGAGCACGACGTCTACCCCGGCGAGCAAGTCAAAGAAGCACCCCATGGGCCCACCCCTTCCCCTTTATCATCCCTTGGGTCCTTTAGCACTTTCGCTGCCACCTCTAGACCCGACTATTTTCGGTTTTCCGGCTGATATCACTGTGGATGACGATGAAGGACGCCAGGCACTGGGACGTGGAAAACGCCCAGTTGTCCAGGCTCAGGGTGCCGAAGAAGAGGACACCAAGTCAGCGACGTCTGGCACAGGATCCGTAGCAGTTGCGCCTGCCGCAGCGCGTGAAGTCAAGGAAAAAGCCAGCAGTCCGCGGAAAAAACGCGGAGGTGGAAAACGGAAACGGAAAGATGCCGACGACGCTGATGCGACATATCCAGCTAAACGGACGCGTCAGTCGCGAGCCCAGCAGATGGAAGAAGGTTCTCCGATGGAAGTTGCAAACACACCTATCTCAGAGGGTATCTCAACTCCCGAACCAAGCTTGGCGCTTGATGGTAACGAAGACAAGTCGAAACCGGGGCGCAGGACGACGCGATCTCGCGGTCAGCCCGTGCGACGGGACTCTAATGCAAGCGAAGCCACGTCAGTATCTGTTGCAGCCTCGACGACTCTGAAAAGAGAAAAAGATAGTATCGGGGAGGACAAGAAATCCGATACAGAGGTGCCGGACCCGAATGGTGATACGGCTGCTTTGGAAGCAGATGGCAAGCGCAGCGTTCGAAGCAGCAGTAAGGAGGAAGGAGAAATCAGTGAAGACACATAAGATGTCCCCCGCGCGTATTTGCCGAGTATTTTTGCTGAACATTCTTGCTTTTTTTTTTTCCAAGTATCCTGTCCTGCTCCCACACATTATTCTGTACACCCACTGCATCGCACCCATATGTTCTATCTCTACAATTATCTCCACACGTCTATTTCTCCCGTACGATAGCATCTGTTGTACATCCATATTCTAGTAATTTATGTCAGCTGGCAAACTGAGTCCCGGATCCTCAAAAGATCGTCGGCGCGGGAATAGCAATGAATCAGATCGTAATACGCTAATGGAACGGTTATCGACAGAGAAGATGTGATTGGCAACTGGAAAAGTTCGAGATCATATGGGCTGTCAGTCGGGACACGTGAAATTAAGGGCCGGCTACTCTCACGCCTTGAAAACGCGTCCTATTTTGGCAATCACCGCCATGGTCGGTCTCGTCGACTTCGTCACATCTGACCAACAGCTGATACCGGCATCATCCACCACCGTGGGCCTTTTCTTTTCAGGAAAAATATATCTCGCAGATGCCTAGAAACCTAAACTTGGGCCCCACACTATCTTCTCCTCGTGATAATTTTCATCAGATCTGGTGACTGAATTGCGCGCGGGAGGCAGCGAAGTATGATTGCTCTGCGGCGCTTCTGCTTCGGATAACCATGTGCTCCTTCTCGTACCTCGTCCACCCAATGGCATTTCTCATTGACATGCTAAATTTTACCGGTCTATATATTCCATTAGCATTTCTCACTCCCCGGTTCTTACCCTCGTGTTTCTTCTCTCTGAGTCCGTATTTTTGAGGTCTCTACTTGCATCATGGAACCTGCTCGTGAAAGCAGTGGAATATACGACCAAAACTCTGATTTTGAGGGCTCAACTGCGTCGTTAGCTGGTATGCACCTATTTGTTGTCACTATTTCGTCGTCCTAACGCATGCGGTTTTTGTGCAGGCCATGCTGCATTGCCTGCCGGTTCACGGTTCTCAGAGGATCCAGAGATTCTACGAACGACGGTCGCCGGTGTGCCCGTTGGTACTGGAGCTGCTCAAGCCACCCCGACAGCCACTCAGTCAACCGCGCTTGACCAACCTGAAGTCACCCCCCCTCAGAACGCGGCTCCTCCGGTACCTTGGTACAAGAAGCGCAAGTTTATCATCTCGCAGGCTATCATCATTCCCTTAGGGATTGCTCTGCTTTTTATCCTGCTCTTCCCTGTCGTCACCGCCATCGTTCAGTTAGTCGTTAACAGATCCGTCATCAACATCGATGTCGCTTTTATCACTGAGCCTCAGAACAACACGTTCAACCTCGCGTTGAGCGGTACGGTACGTCTCCCTTAGTAACGATTGACCATATGCTCGTCGCTGATTTCTTCTTTCTAGATCACTCATACCGGCATCATATCGGCAAGAATTGAGTTTACCAAACCTACCGATGTATCTTGGGTTCAAGACAATGGCACGGAAACTCCCATCGGAGCTATGTGGTTGCATACGCTCCATGCTAAAGATAAAAGAGCTGCCGTTGATGAGCAGACCATCTTTAACATCAGCGATGAAGATGCCTTTGGTCGATTTACTCAGCATATGATTACCGCGGCAAATTTCACTTGGAGGCTTTCGAGCGATGACCTCAAAGTTCAAGCAGTCAAGTTTCCCGTGTCTCATGGAATCAAGTTCAATAAATATGTCACCTTGAACGGTAAGGTCTTTCGTTCTCCTGGAAAGGAACAACCTCAACTCCCATCCCGCTAGGATTCAACAGCTTCGATGGCAACACCAAACTAAAGGATTTGCAGCTTCCTAGTGACAACCCAAATGGCGGCATCAACTTTGTCACCATCACGACACTGTCCAATCCCAGGTATTCTATTCCTTCGGTCTGATTTCACACTCATTTACTCGTAACGAACAGCCCATTTTCTCTCAATCTGGGAACTGTTGTTTTCGATCTGTTCTACAAAGGCGTTGCCTTGGGAGTGGGCATCGGCCAAGACACTAAGATAGTATGGGAAATGCGTCTTTTTATCGTGGCTTCTAACAATGATCGCAATAGGTTCCTGGTGACAATGATATATCCTTGGGAGGGTACTTGGTCAGGCATGATACCGCGGATGAGCTTGCCGTCATATCGGAACTCTTCACCAACTATCTCAATGGCGATGATTCCACCGTCATTGCTAAGGGACAATCAACTCTCCAGAACGACGGCACTGCGATTTCCTGGCTCAGTACGGGTTTGGAGGCACTAGAGTTGCAGGTCCCCTTCGTTTCACTCCAAGGCGCCATTAATCCCATCCAGTCGATCGCGATCGGTGATCTCGCATTGTTATTCGACACGTCTGTACCATGGTCACCGATAACGAATAGCAAGACGGTTCAAGCACAATTACGTGAGTCAAAGTAAAATTGATTTCGTTCGCTTTGATTGAGGTACTACTCGCGACAGTATTACCCTTCGGGTTTTCCGTATCTATCGGAGCTATCAAGAATTCGTTCAACCTCACTAGACCGCAAGGAATTGTCGGAGGACTGGACGTTGTAAGCTCAACTCACTCCCTCTGATCACTTGGGATTTCATTGTTTCTTGTAGCCTCTAGACGCCTCCGCCTCCGATATCAAGGTGTATGGTGAAAAGAACACATCTGGTCCAGTCGGCATTGTCATCACCGACACAAGACTAGTGACACCAGACCACCCTACATTTGCAGATTTTAGTGAGTACACACCACCCTTTTTCTCTCGTTTGGCGTACTCATGTGATCCTTAGACGTCAATATCACTAGTCACGCCGAAGTAGACTTCCAGATTGTCGGCCACGCAAGGACTGTCGCGAATACGAGTATTGGGCAAATTACACTGGATCCCATCAATTTCAATGTTACGTCGTCACTGAAAGGCTTGCAAGGACTGAATGGCATGACAAGTATTGAGGGCGTTGATGTACAAGGCGGCACCGAAGAAGGTATCACTCTCGGAATTAACGGTTCGTCGTCTTGATCTACTGTCTCGTGCGGGTTCTCTGATACGCTTGCAGTGGCAATTTACAACCCGTCCAATCTATACTTGCAGACCGGTGATCTCCGTGCGTCCGATCTCGACTTCTTTGATTCCAAGCTTTTGTTTATTAGTGATGCGCAGATATGCAGCTTAAACGCGATGGTGTAGTGTTGGGAACGGCCCTTATGCCCAACCTGACGTTAAATATGGGCAACAACACCGTGGTGGCCCAGTCTACATTCGCTGTTCGTTTTCGATCTTCTGTTTTTCTGAATGGAATTAGCTCATACGTACAATTTTTCGAAGGCAAATGATAGCCCTCAGGGATTGCAAACCCTAAACGATTTCGTCGGTCGGAAAGGTAAGCATCGAGGTATCGAGAATCCCGCAGATAGTAACGTTTTGCAACGTAGATGTTCAACTTTCCATTGTTGGTTATAATGGAAGCACCGAGATCGCCTCACTTTCGGAAGCGTTTCAGACACTTGACATCGGGGTCGTCCTCCCGGGGCTGAACACGACCCTATTGAATCAAGCCGCTCTTGAAGGTCGGTCAAAGTATCATGATCAGTAGGCCGAATATCTTATTTGCCCTCCCCCTCCAGTCCTGTCTACTACTGGACGAGAAAACAATATTAGTCACGTTTCCGTCAATATTCAGAATCCTTTCACAGCAGCTCTCGGCATCTCGAACATCCAATCGACCGTCAGCTCCACTGGCTTGACATTGGGGACGATTGATTCTAGCAGCGCATTCACGATAGACGGAAAGTCTACGGCCACATCACCCGAACTGGATCTCAATATGAATATGTCTCCAAGTGTTTTGTTCACTCTGACTCGTAGGTTGGCAGTCGACGCGGGTCTTGATACCGCCCAATTGGACGGAATCGTTGGCATCGGGGGGATCTCGTATGTGGATGGAACCGATGCACCCTCTTCGAAGCGCGATACTCAGAGTAACATATACACGTCAGTTTTTAGGAAGATCGTGAGCCGTTCCAGTGCTAACTTGATTGAAAATTAGCGGATTCAATCTCCCTCAATTTGTCCAACAAGCATTCTCGAAGCTCGAAACCGACGTGGAACTTACGACTGGTTTGAAGATCGGTAGCCTACCATTCCCTCCACCGTTTGGTCCTTTCTAACACAGTTTATAGGCGATTATAGTACCACGCTCAAGTATACGCAGAGTGGCGTGAAGACAAACACTGATGACTCACTTGATCTCATACTACCTATCTTGGCTCAACCAATTGTTCAGAAGGTCGTGTCTCAATCGCTTCTCAGGTATCTTCGTTCTCGTCGGCGTCGCTGTAATTTGATCTGATAACGAACGATAGCATTGACAATGTCCTTATTTCCGATCCTCGACCGGAATCCTTCAGTATGGCACCAATCTCAACGCTCGACAGTTTGACTAACAGTTGTCTCAGCTGCTGCAATGACAGGAAGTATCACCAATGCGGGACCATGTTCGTCATTACTAGTAGTCGTGACACCTGTCTTCATTTCTAACTTCCTAATTTCACAGTCGACGCTGTCATCGCATTTACATCCGGTTTATCCGTCTCCTGGAATGGAAAGTCATTAGGGTCTATTGAGATGGACAATATAACAGTAATTGGTGATGTTGGCGCCGGTTTTAATGTCCAGTCCCAGTTCACTGTCGCCGACGTTGATCACTTAACCGAGTTTACTAAAGTGCGTGACTATCTTCCTTTCCTTTGTTTGTATAATGTTAATATGGTGTTAGGTATTGGTGACGGAGGAATCTTTTGAATGGATCATCTCGGGTGACAATCTGACTGGTATGTCTACACATGCTTAGCCAATTTTTACTTATTTTCTAATTTGTTACAGTCAGTGCGCTGGGCATTGATGTCGGTCAAATTTCCTTGTCGGATAAGACGGTCACATTGAAGGGCATGAACAACCTAAATGGTGGCGTCACGATCACTGGCTTCAACCTGCCTGAGAATGATCCTGATGGTGGAATTCATCTCACTCTAGAGGCCACTGCGACCAATGTTTGCATCATTTTTGGTTCCAGAATCGGGTATACTGACGCGTTGTGTATTAGCCTTCCCAAGTCGGTATCAACCTCAGCTCAATAGGCTTCGAAACCTATTTCGACAACGTCATGATCGCTCCCGTACTTTCGGAGGAAGGCCTTACATTGTCACCGGGCGGCACTTCCAATCTCTCTCTTGTCGGCCGTCTGATCCCTCAGGACTCGGATGAAGGCTTATCGGCGGTCTCGACCTTGTTCAACAATTTCATCCATGGAAAGGACAGTAACATCGTCGTTCATGGTGCTAGTGCAGGTCCTGAAGATGTGTGTCTTGTCTCCCTTATCATGCCCAGTTATCTAATTTCATGTCTAGGTAATCTGGCTCAACCAAGGTATCAAGAGTCTGCAAGTGGCTTCAGTCCTTCCTAATCAGGGCGTCCTAAGTATCATCCAGTCTGTCGATCTCTTGCAGCTGGAAATAGACTTCACGGATGATACCGCATATAATCCGGCGACAAGCAGTGATTTTTCTCAGGCTGCGTTCACTCTTCCTTTCGGCTTCCCCGTAGATATACAGGCGCTTGAACAGAACATTATCGTTGGCTATGGTGGTCAGGACTTTGCGCAGCTGATGATTCCGAAGTCACCAGCTAGCACAGATGTGGATACTCGCATCATCACCTTGACTTTCAGCAACGTACCTTTCGCAGTCTTTGACAGCACGCATTCCATCTTTGATGCCTTCCTAGCAGCAACTACCATGGGATCTAAGGAGACCTTGACTTTGACCGGGTCAGCCAATGCCGACGCAAGTACCGCTGTTGGCCTACTCTCTTTAAGCGAGATCGCATTTTCCGTGGAAACTTCAATCGATGGTTTGCAAGGTCTCAAAGCGCAACCTGTCACCGTCAGTGACCTGGATGTCAACCATGGTTATCCGGACTACCTACTTATCAAAGTCAACAGCGTACTTTACGATCCAAGGTGAGTCATCTCTTTCAGCGCCCAGCCTAACCAAACTGACAGCTTTTGCAGTAACTTGACTATTGGTATGTTGCGTATCGTTTCTCAAGTTGCAATTCATCAACCATGCTACTAGGCACGGGCGATGTTTCTTTTTTGTTCTCCTACCAGTGAGTCGCATCTTTTTTTCTTCTGACATATCTTACTTTGTATCCAGGGACCAAGTGGTTGGCACCGCGAACATAGTACGCTTTCTCGCACTATTTGGTGGGCTCAGCTCACTTGGATTGTCATTAGGCCGACCTAGTAATCAAACCTGGCAATGGAAGCTATCCCACAGGTTCGTGCCACGCCATCGTGACATCGAGTCTCTTACATTCCTTTGTTGTTCGCAGATGTCCGCTTTTCCCCCCAAGGACCAGACGCAGCGTCGGCAGGACTGACACTCCTGGAAAATTACATACAAGGAGTCGATGCGGAAACCTCCATTACCGGTAGTACAGATTCTACCTCGATCGAGTCTTTACAGACGGCGCTCTCTGAGATCGTCCTGTCTCCCGTTACTATACCTGCCATGCACGACACGCTGATCAAAAGTACCTCCTTAACGTTCCCGACCGATATCGTGAACACAGGAATTGCTCAGGCTTCCTTCACTCTTGCCAATCCGTTTACGGCTAGCATCAATCTATTCACGGTCGGTGCCACTGCGACATATCAAGGGCTGACACTAGGCACAATCCAAAATGTAGATGTTTCATCCAATCCGATCCACGCTAATGGGCACAGTAGCGTTGATTCACAATCATTGGACATGAAATACAACTTGGACAGGTTGACTATTGTCCATTTTTTGGGACTTACGGCTCAAGCCAACGGCGTCGATCTTGGACCACTAGTCGACATGTTCCAGTTACTTGTTGCCAATCCAGACTACAATCCTCCAGTAAGTTCCGTATCTCATAACTCATAACTGTTGACATTATTTGTATTCTCCAGGTCACCACAACGGTAGACACTCAAGCTTCTAGTTGCTCTAGGTACGAAGTTAAATACACCTTTCTGTTACTTGTAATCTGAGCGCAGCTCCTCCTTCATAGTGGCAACCAGTTTGATGTCGCAGGTGCGATCATGAAGGCACTCCAAAATCTGAAGGTCGACCTCGCAATTGATTCGTCACTCAAACTTGACGACTGTATGTGTAATCCTGTAGCCGGCTATATCGGATTCTCATCATTTGTTGTTTTGTTAGTCGCAGTAGACCTGTCCTTTAAGCAAAACGATGTTCCAGCCATAGTAAGGATCTCCGATTCGTTCACTCTCAGCGTGGCAACTGTCTAAACAACCTTGTTAGACCGATAAAACTGCTCTTTATCTGATAGGCGCTGTCGCCGGACCTATTGCACAAAATCTAGTGGATGCTTCTGTTCTGCAATTCACTGAAGCAGACATCTCGTAAGTACATTTTGAATGTCCGTCTCAGATTTTTACCCTTTCGCAGAAATATTTCAAATGACGGCCTGGATCTTTCTCTGCGTGGCTCTCTGACTGGAACTGGTCCACTAGATGCACTCATTACTTTCACAGAGCCTGTCACGTAAGTGATACTTTTTGAAATATGAATGAAGATTAATATTTACGGACACCAGCGTAAATTGGGAGGGTCATGACATCGCGCTGATCGATCTCGAGCCAAGTAAGTTGTCCCAGTAGCCTTCATACCACCGGCTAAGGTTTGAAATTTCTTTAGTTTGTGCTGCCGCCAACGTCGGAGTACCCGACTACGAGACTCAAGCAAGACTTACGATAACAGACCAATCACAGTTCGTCGCTGCTCCGATTTTTTCTGTAGGCTCAACTACAAAACGTCCTATAGATTTACTCAATTTGCGATTTACCTGCTTCATAACGAAGACTTCTCATGGACAATATCAACCAACAAACTTCGTCTAACAGCATTAGGAACGATTTTCGACAATGTGTCGCTGGAGAAGACCGTCACTTTCAAAGCATTCAATAACTTGCCAGGTGTTACAATTAGCAACTTCAGCTTGCCATCCGATGACGTAGACGGAGGCATTCATATCGAAACGGATGTATCAATACAATCACCGTCGCGTGAGTGCCCCTTCTTCTCGCATTTGTTCGCAACCTTAACACTAAAAATGGTACCACAGAAATTGGTATTGATCTAGGAACGGTCGTATTCCAGTCATATTACGAGGGAACGCACGTTGGACGTACGTTGCAGCTTGTAAAAGACCCTCTGTTCATTTCTAATGGGATTCTCTAGCCCTAACCGCCACTGGCTTGATTCTGACAGCCAGCTCAGAGACTTCATCACATTTCTCTGGGCGCATAATGCCTCAAAGCGGCCATGACCTGAACACCATTGGACAGCTCTTCTCTACCTTTTTGGCTGGAGGAAATTCTACCTTGGTAACGACCGGCGATTCTGTCCAGCCCAGCGGATCTAGCGGGGCAGTGGACTGGCTTAGCGCTGCCTTCAAGACCCTATCTCTTAACGTCGTTTTATCCGGTCAGATGTTTAATGTTGGTTTTCTTCTCATCGCCGTTGGCTGCAGTGTTCTTATCAATCTCAGGTCATACAATCTGTGGAACTCTCGGATCTGGAAGTGACATTACAAAACGACGACCAGACTTGGGCACCTCCGACGAGTTCCCGCAACACGCTAGCGACATACAAAAATCCCTTCGGATTCTCCTTACAAGTGTTTGAAGCTGCACAAAATATTGTGATGACTTCATTGGACGGAACGGAGATAGCTTCACTCGATTTGCCGAAAGCCGCTGCTGACGGTGGCGTGTCTACGGGCAATGTGGTGAACCTTGACATTCAGTGGGAGAACCAGATTCTGAAATCTCTCAACAATGAAGCGTTCGAAGCATTGTTTGCCGCTGTAACTTTGCTCGACGAGGCGGACCTAAAACTCAAAGGAACGGCGGACGTTACAGCTCACACAGCAATTGGGGATGTACCTATATCGGGGATCCCCCTCGACGTATCATCATCTTTGAAGGGTATGAACTCCTTTGGGGGTTCCGCGGCCTTGAGCAATGTATCTGTAATTGGAAGTGGGGGAGATGAAGGAGATGAGTTCATTGTTGCGCCACTGACGACGACGATACAGAATCCGTCAAATGTGACTCTCCATACAATTGATATTGCGCTGCCAGTCATGTATCAAGGCGTGATGATCGGGAGGGCGGCAATTAATGTGAGCCTGAAGCCCATCTTCAAAATCTTCTACACGAACTGACTGACTGCGCCTAGCCGTTCGATTTGCTTCCAGGAGAAATAGCGTTTCCCACAGAATTCCACTATGAGCCAAGCGATGCGAACGATACTATAGCTCAGGTGAGTACATGCCAAAAGCGTAGGTTCACAAAAATTCACCTTTTTATTTGACAGGCCTTCTTGACTCGATTCTTGACCACTGGAGACGATATACCTTTGACGATTCATGGCGATGCCCAAAGTACACCGTTTGCATCACTCCAGGAAGCCCTAGCAGGGCTACAGCTGACGACAATGCTTCCAGGTTAGCATTAAGCCTCAATTTTCTGTAGCCATTGATTATTAACTTTATGCAGGTATGGACCAGACGAACATCATCGCAAGCATTCATGTTATCATCACCCTCGACAGTCTTGTTACGAATCTCGTCACTGTCACTGTTTCGATTCACAATCCGTTAGATGCTCCGATGGTAATTGAGTACGTTCAATCTGAAGCATCCGTCGAAGGGGTAGTCTATGCTTCCTTTGGTCATTCGTTCGGGGAGGACTTTGTCATTCAACCCGGAGAGACGACGGTGTCTCCTGAAATTGATGGAGTGTTGCTTACGCAGGGTGCATTGGCGTCTTTGGCCATCATACCATTGGGATTTCTCGACGTCTCTACAGCGAACACAGTCAGGATTGGGACGGGCGGGTACCAGCTACCATGGTTGAAGCTAGCGCAAGATACTGTGCCGACGACGTATGACTTGGCTTTGTCATTTTCCGAACTGAAAGCGCAGGCGGGGAGGTTGAGTGCGTCATCCGCTGAAGCTACGGCGTCAACTTCGGCGTCTTTGGGTAGTTCATCCAGTGGAACATCGCCAACTATATCTCCGTCGTCATCATCCGTGGAGCATGCGTCAGTTACCGCTTCAGCGGCGACGGGCACGAGCTCAGTGAATGAGTCTCCTGCTCCAACGTCGTCAATAGCAACATCAGCTGAAGTTGCCGAGACTTTAATAACAATGCTGTCGGGAAGCGGTAGTATCACTGACATCGGTGATTCATCTACTGGAATTATGAGGCCTCGGCAGGTGAGAAAACAGTGATTTTCTTAGGTCCCTGTGCTTAACTAATTGGCATTTCAGACTGACATTCTGTAAACTTGATAGCTGCACACTGCTCTTATAATGATAATGATTTGTATCTGGACACTGTATTGTTTCATCTTCCATCGCACAGAGGCAGCTTCATGTCTTTTATGATCATAATTTTATTCTTATCAGCACTCCAACTTGTTCCACGTATTATCACTTGCTATTCTAGCGAACAGAGACTCAACTGTGCATGTATAGCATAGCAATGAAAAATTTCATGATGTCTGTCAAAGGATCAGGAATGCACTTTGCTTCCGGCCTCAACGTAACTCGGGGATAATGTGCCCACTGCCGCGGACATATGTTACATTGTTACATATGACTAGAGAAAAACCTTCCGCGGGAGCAAAAATTCCGTCACCTTAGAGATTCGAACTCTAGCGGGCAAAGCCCAACCGCTTAGCAGGCGATCCCGTTAACCACTCCGGCAAAGTGACTTTCCAATTCATGCTGGAGGTAGGAATGTCATCCACAGTACTACGGAAATGCTTCCCCACAACACACTCCAACCAACCCACAGCTTTCCCCACGCCCGATATTCCACGATGAGCCACGCAGCGGCCCAGTACGTAATAGGAAGAGATGCGGCGAGACGAAGGATAATTTGCGTGTGAGATGTGAAAAGAAGAGTAGCGGAGAGAATCAACGCGTGAATGGCATGTGGAACCAGTGATGAAGTGAATGATCCCTTGAGAATATGGACGGAGTATGCCGTGAGGAGCAGAAAAGGTGGTGCAGCAATGAGAAAGTTTGGGAGCTGCTGGAATGACCAGTAGTTAAAGAGACCGACGTTCCAGTACTTGGCCTGCACGTAAGGGTATATCAAAGGTATACTTTTGTTGCACCAATCGGCTCCGGGACAGAATGCAAGGTATGCGGAAAGGTTGTGGTATATGAATGGAGCAAAAATTACTGCTGTAAGCAGCGTGCTTAGGTGCAATTGTCTTGGACCAAGTCCCCACACAATGTATCCAGCGAGAAAAATGCTGTTGGACCGCAAAAATCCTGCCAAGGTGAAGCATACAGTTGCGTGGTAAAATTCTTTGGTCGCACAATACAACAGGCCTAGAAACCGTGAGAATCAGGCCATTTGACGACAAACGACAACGTACCTTTATAGACCAAATATGTGAAAAAAGGCTCTGCATAAGGTGCAAGACGAAAAGTAGCTGGACTGCTGGGGAGGAGGGAGAGCAGTGTGGCGAGAAAGGCCAGGGACGAGATGCGAAGGTGGATGCTTTGAAAGGCGGTAGAGGGTGACGGAAGTATCGCAGGCGATGGCGGTCATGAGCATGTGCCATTGGATGCTGTCAGGCTCAATACGCCGAATTACAAAGGGCAGCCCTGGAAAAAATGCCCATTCGTGCTCGTACACGTATCCTTCCCTTGCAATATGCGAGAAATGGAATACATCCCAGCGCAGCCACGACTTTACAGGTGACGCGTCAAACAGCGGCAAGTAGGAAGCGAGGAAAGCAAGGAAAGTGGTGAGCAGACGAGCAGCGACGGTGAGTAAGATGATGGTCGTTTCCATGGGCCAAGCTGTTCATCGGCCCGACTTCCGGTCGAAACTTCAACTTGCGGGTAAAAATAGGTCTACAAAGTACAAAGAACTCGCCGATTCCAGTATAAAGACTCGAAGAAATGCATACCCCTTCCTTATTCCTTCCCCCATGTCGCCCTCGAACACAGTTTTTGCTGTTTTTTCTGTGTTCTTTTTCCTTCTTGTACTTGTTCCCACTCCATGCCATGCCCAGCCATGGAATCTCGGCACTCTCTTCTTCATCTTTTGGTTAGCTTCTAGCTTGATCATTCTTTTCGTTGACTCCGTTGGCGCCTACTGCTGCCGGCTGGTGTGATTTCAGCTTGCGTATTCTGGTCGCATCTTCCGTGGGCATACCCACTTCTCTCATGACCATCGCTCGTCGTATCTGGTGTATTTCCCAGCTTGATGCCCCACTGCCGTCATCACAAGTTAGCACATAGTTCTTTCTTTCTTTGTGATTCGTTCTCATGATTCGTGAAGACGGTCTTCAGCGCTATATTAGACATCTTCCTCTGCATCATAATACCTGTTGCTGGCACACTGACACGTAAGTCTACCCTAGCACTGTGTGGCTCCCACTGATATTGAGATTTGTCATAGAATACGCCGCTCAAGCGCATCGATTTGACATCTTCCTCGACGCTGGCTGTCTACCATTCACTTACGATACCGCCCTTTCCATCACGTTCGTTAATGCGCCCAGCCTCATTCTCTCTCTTATCGCCGTCGGATTTTCTGTTGCCTCTCTCGGTACATACAAGTATCTCAAGCCTGTTCCTCACAAATACTCCCCTCTTGCCGATCCATCATTTCCAGCACTTTCTCCCCAGCGCTATGTCCGCCTTCTTGTCCTTTCTATCGTTGTGTCAGTTTTCAACGTCAGCATATCATGTCATCATGATCGTCCTACAGGCCACCGAGCGACGAATCGAGGCTCATCTTGAGGGTATTGACGATTCCGAACGTTCAGCAGTGAACACATATCCTGCCTCGGTCTGGCGCTCCGTAACGCGTACGGCTTTCGGTGTCGACGGCAATAGGTGGATGTTTCTTATTATTGGGCTAACTTTCCTCGCTTTATTTGGTACGGGTGAAGACGTGCAGAAACATTATCGTCGTCTCTTTGCTGTCGTTCCGAAATCAAGTCCTAAGTTAAAATTAGATGTCTTTGCTTTTGCCAAGAGGTAAATTTCCGCGATCGTCAAAGTTCTATAGAGAAGCTGAGTGATTCACAGGAAACAGACCGCCCCCGAGCCCGAAAAAATCGGACTGCATACTATGGGAACAATCCTCCGACCGTCCAGAAGGACACTTGCATTTCAATACGACAAAATGTCTTTCAAGGACGTCGGTGGACTGTTGCTAGATGCCGGGGAAGCGCCTGCGCTCCCGCCGTCAGAGACAGGGGCCGCGAAGCTGACTCGACCGCCAAAAGCGCGAACATATGACCGCGATAAACCCCTACCGTCCCCCGAGCCCCTCGTTGACCCAAACTATCGGGGGGAAACGTTCGTTCTTCCATCAGATTCCTTCCTTGAGCTGGCGAGTCCCAAGGAGGCAAGCCACCTCCCCTAATACCTCGTTAGACGATTCTTGTCTGTACAATTATACTATATACGCAGAAATTGAAGGACTACGCATCTCTATCATACTTACACTAATTTGTATTCGTCGACTTTCTGTATCGCCATGGGTCATCGCTATCTTAAGCTGTACGTTTGCGGCCGTCGGTGACATACGTGCTCCCAAGCTGTCCGGGGGTGTCAATTCAATCCTCGGATTCCCCTGTCGTTTTGCCCCCGTCCTTTCGACGGAACTTGATTTCTCCCCCTCCTTCTGATTACCTCCGTCATTTTCATTGAATCGAGGGTAAGACATTGGCGTCGGACGGGACCTATTTTCTAGAAAATTTAAATAAAAACTGTCGCCTGAAATTCAGAGGCATGTGCTTCGCCGAGAACATCCTAGTTTGAACTTTGAAGTCGATAAAGCACTAGCAAAAGTGGATCGAAGCCAGAAACCTCGCCGGCAATTTCCAGAAAAGATCAAGGCTATGGCGAGGGAGCCTCGACAATACCATCAACTTTCCGAGCCGAGTCAGGTACTACTGAAAACCGCCGTCCGATCTACCTCTCTTTTGATGATCTTACATTCACTGCGACGCTCACAAGGAAATTAAAATGTTAGTCTTAGCTAGTACTAAATGTACATACACCCAGATAATACTGATCCACCATACTCAAGATGAAGATGAAGGAGATATTGACTGCCTGTTTAGAGCATTTTTCAATCTCTGCCGTAGAGGGCTGCCTCTGTCATTATCCACGCTGCTTTCTCTGGAATGACTTATGCTGCTCTGCCGAGTTTGCCGTTCTATACCGAAATCGCCGGCCCCGACAACTTCGACGGTCTCGTTAACGATTGCTACGCGCGTCCAACGTCTGTATCGTGTATACTGAAATACCAGAGATATCAGAGTGTGAAGCACATCGGCAAACATTTACACACCTTCCCAATGCCGCCCTTTGCTGAACGATTTTCCCACTTATTATCACCATACACCCAACCATCGGGATCTGTCTCAGGGTCTTCATCAGTATTGTCGCGCTCGTCATCCTCCTGTGCTTCCTCTCCGGATCCACTAGCGTTCTGCGATTCCCTCATCTTACCATCCACTTTGGCGAGCTGGCTCTCCCCTGGGCCTTCCCCTTTGGGAGCGGGTAGTGGTTTCTCAACTCTAACGACGGCTGAACCCTCCCGCCGGACACATACTCTCCATTCTGCCTCTTCCCATGCCCACTTAGCGGTCCGCTTCTCCCGACCGCCCTTGCCGTCCCCTACATAGACTACGCTGTCACCGGGGAGGGTCATTGCGCTTGGCGGAGGAACCGGTTGTAAGGATGCAGAACACCATGACGGGCGTTCGCTCGGGAGCAGTGCAGCAGTCCAATCGAGCCCCATCCACCATCGCTGATTCTCGTAAACCATGAATAAAAATCGAGCCGAATTGCGTTCGTGTTCGATAGTGAGATCTCTGGTGCTGACTGTGGGAACAGGGAGCGGTCGACCGGAAAGTCCGGACCATGCTCGGTAGACACCCCACCGGAACCATGCACTTTTCCAGAGTGTTGTGCGTAGAGCTTGGGACCATGGAGCGCGCCAGGAAAGCACTATGGTGCCCGCGATACCGAAGAGGACGCGCAGAGAAATATAGTGCGTAATGACAAGGTAAGGAATGTACAAGATGACGCATACACGGACTAGTACAGAAAGAGAGCTCTCGTTGAGTTCGAAGGGAATGGATGGCAAGAGAGACTGTAGAATGACCAGATCCGTGATCGTTGCCTGAAGATTTTGTTCGGTAATTGGAGGAGAACCGGATGTCCGTCGCGGTGTTGTCCATTTAGACACAAAATACACGAACAGAAAGGTTGCAGGAAGAAGATATCTAGTACGCGTCAGTCAGAAAGCAAGAATATATAGAACGGGGGCGACGTACTGTACAGTGAGCTCAAGCAGCAAACAGAAGGCCCACCAGGCAGCAATAGCAAGCCAGCTGTCGTACCAGGATGATGACCAGCTGGTGACCTCTGCAAGCTGCCTCAAGGCTGATATATGTGGACCGAGACGAATGAGAGCGGAAGTGAGCTGATAGGGAACTGAGCTGAGAAAATCGAGTAAAATGGGGGCAGCAGCTGTCCCTGGCTGTACTGGATCCTGCGTAGCCATATTGAAGCTTGTCGATGTGGTAACACACAAAGGTGTAACCGGTTACTCAGGTCCAGTCCAGCCACCCGGATAGTCGGTCCGAAGAACCGGGGACCAGAGAAGAAAAAATTCGTCACCTTAGAGATTCGAACTCTAGCGGGCAAAGCCCAACCGCTTAGCAGGCGATCCCGTTAACCACTCCGGCAAAGTGACTCACAGTTGGATCAAATACATAATATATCTCAGCCTACATTAGAGCATATCTGGCCCAACTTATCTTGCCGTAGGCAGTTTCCTTATCATGAGTTTGCTTTAGCTTTTACACCCATGTCTTCAGCTTCAGAGAAAGCGACTTTCAATGCGAACTCCAAATTCGTCCTTGTTGTTCATGGGGGTGCTGGAACCATGTCTCGAGCAAATTCAACACCCGAGAAAGAAGCAGCATATCACGCAGGTCTCCGTGCTGCTCTCGAAGCTGACTATCAAATACTGAAAGATGGAGGCGAAGCAATGGACGCCGCAGTCGCCGCCGTCAGTGTATTCGAAGGCATGTGCTCCCTTTTTCCTAGTCAAGTGTTATACAATGATTGTTGCCGTAGACAATATCCTGTTCAATGCTGGCAAAGGTGCCGTTTTTACCACTGCCGGACGCAACGAACTTGAGGCATCTCTCATGCTCTCAAGACCGCCTTCCACTCATCCCGAAATTCTGACAACGCGCCGTGGACTGGGACTTACACTCTTAACGTGTATTCGGAATCCTTCCCAGCTTGTGAGATCCCTGTACCTGTCTTCTTCCAAAGCTCCCCATGTCTTTTTGTCTGCTGCGCACGCCGAGGAACTGGCAGTCCAACAAGGTTTCGAGCTCGTCGACGCGTCATACTTCTTCAGCCTCAAACGTTGGAAAGAACATCGAGAAGGATTGGGACTACCTGTTCTACCACTCCCTATTACGATTTCGTGCTCTATCTTATCTTATCGACCTCATCGTAATCATGCTATGCCAACTTTCCGACTCTGATCGCACTACACCATGCAGGTATCGTGTGTTTACCGCACCGCTACAGACTCTTGTACTATACTTAGAACGACTCAAACTGTATTTAAGTAGCTTGACTGCAGGTCTTAAACCTCAGTCTCGAACTAAAGTTTATTCACCCGATAACTTAGTCTGAACTCACTCTCGAATTGCTAAGCGATAGCTCCCTGCACGCAAACCTGCGGACAACATAGAGTGCCTGACCGAAGTGCGAGTCACGCTCAGTTGTTTGATCTTGTTTGTGTAATCGGTCGCTAACAATTAGTTCGAGACTCTCCTAACTCTTCATCAACAACAATGTTGACGAAGACGAACGAATGAACCCCATCGAACAAGCTATCTCAGACCTCATCGGGCTACAAGGCTTTATCGCCATAGCCTACCTAACTTTCCTATATGGATATGAATACCGAAGAAGACAGGAGCCAGTCTCCCAAGAAGCTGTCACTGTCGAAGCCCCCAACGAGGAGGCTAGACGACCGGACACACCCCCCCCCCCCGACTACATCAACGACCGAAACCCCGCATTCATCCACTTCATCTTCATCACCGACGAAACTGATGAGTCTGACACCAACACAGACTCCGACATGGAAGGATGGCCCTCACAAAGAGGCCCAGTCATTGAAAACGAAGAAGAGCCAGGACTCTACGAACAAGGGGTGGACCAGCGTATTCTCTCTCCCATTACCGAGGAGGAAAGCGAAGGGGAAAGCACGGGAAGTGACCCCTGGAACGCTCCCTCCCCCACCTCCACCGAAAATTCAGCCGCCAACCCTGGCTACAATTCAGACGGACGACGTCTCTATCAGCGAGGGCTTAGATACCATTTGGGAGAAGGAGGAGAGGCTGAAGATGGAACTGGAAGCAGTTCAGATGAGGAAGGCAGCGTTACAGAAGAGGACGGTAGTGGCAACGAGCTCCCGGGACCACAAAATGACTGGTCCCCTCCAAGGCTGGACTCAAGAGGAGAAACGTGGGGCCACTACTATGCCCGTAGCGACTCAAGCAGTGATGAAGGGGCCTATCTCAACCTCGTCACATGCCCAAACACCCCGATCATCATCAATGATAGGGCCGAGGAAGCCACTACCGAGCTCGACCGATGCGAGCCCACATATGATGCCGACGCCAGCTGCGATATATGCAGACAAGTACAGGACTACGCTGATGCATGGCTCATGTACGAAGGAATCGAACCCCCTTCCTCTGTCGTCCCCTATGCCATCTATCCCCTTGCCCCAGAACACCCCCTCGCAGCCCCCGTCCCATTCATTGCACCCTGGGTATGGGATCGCCCCAGAAGACCTGACTTTGACCAGGCCATTCTCAGGGTCAACGAGTGGGCCCGAATCATCAGAAATTGGAATCGAATCGTTACAGGAAGCGAAGAGCCTTTCGAGCGAGTCCGACCAATCGGACTTAGAAGAAGGAGAAATTTACGAGAACCCTGGAATCGTGCAGCCGTCAATATGGAATGGCTACACCGGGCAGGAGAGTATGGAGACGAAGACGTCATCCCAGAATTCGTGGAAGGATCTAGCTCGGGAGCCTACTGAGGCTGAGCTTGAAAATATGACGTATCTAGAAATGCTCCGTTGGACGGAAAAGAAGCTCCCACGAGAACTCTCATGGAACGGGTCGCCACAAGGCAGGCATTTTCAGAAAAACAAGAACACCCCTATCGGAAGCCAGGTACTATATCGGGAAACGATCTTCCACACCAACCTTCTATGGAACCAAGTGCACCCTGACGACTACACTGAACCCGGTAGTGTTGCCGCCGCTCGGCTCCGCTCGGCTCCAGTTGGCTTTGACCAGCTTTCCCTTTTTAGTAGCTCAGAACTGAGCCGAGCGGGTAAAAAAATTCCTCGGCTCAGCTCCGCTCCGCTCGGCTTCAGGAAAAGCGGCAGTTCGATGCCATAATAGGCAATAAAAAAATCAGTATCATTTTCCGCCATGTAAATAGTCTCGATATGCCTCTACATCCTCCGGTACACTATCTCCTGCAGTTAATGTTGCCTCCAGCACTGTGACTTCATCCTCCTTCGACATCCCGGCAGTAAAATTAAGAAACTGACCTCGTTTAAGAGAAAACTTCAACATCTGCAAGGCTTCCATCAATTCCGGTGTCATTCGGTTTCGTCGTGCGGTTGCGGTTTCCTTTCCTGATGAGAAAACACGCTCACAAGGTACAGATGTGCCTTGGATAGGAAGAATGTCCATAGCAAGCTTAAAAATAGTCGGATAGACATGTTGATTGTCCTATATATCTGTTAAAACAGATTCAATGGGTAGTATTCATAAGGACCATACCTGCCAGTATTTGACCATATCATTGCTACTCTTGACATCAGCAAGGTAGGCATTTACCTCTGCTTCAAGGCCTTGCGGATGAAGAGTCATGTCGAAAAGATTGTCGCCAAGGAGATCATCTGCCCATGTGGACCGCGTAGGATTAGGCAGTCGCACAGGTGTCGGTGGCATGGTTGCGGAACAACGATAATCACGAAGCTGTATACAAGAATCATCAGTATCCAAAACAATGATATATGATCATGCAATTACCGTCCTGATAAACAACTGTCTTGCTTCTTCTTCTTCTTCAGGCATATAGCGAGTAAACCAGCGAAGTTTCATGTTTGGATTGAGGACTAAACATAGTATGGTTATCAGCACAACAATACATATCATACTGTTCAAATTACGTACTTGTAGCCAATGTATATGCTGGAACAACCTCAGTACGTCCACGATAAGTCTTTAATTTGCAAAGTCCCTCTTTGATTGCGGGATTTGCATCAGGAAACTTGATGGCGAGTTCTTCCCAAAGTTGAATCATCCATCGGAAGCTAGGGATTGCCAGAGCTAGAGTTGGAGTCTTGTCTGCAGATAACCGTTGCTGGAAAGCATGTGGAACCTAAAAAGAACATTGACGTTAATCTTGAAGGGTTAGGAGCAGTGGAGCATACCGCGAGAATCTGATGAATGATATGCAATGCTTTCCATTCATCATCGGAAAGCTTATACTGCCTCAGCTCAGTGAAATCTTGCTTATCAAGGAATTTTTCGATACCCTAAAAGTGTGAGAGGATATGATTAACGTTAACCACAGATTAATACCTCTCGGAGATAGATTGCTCTTTCAATCATGATATCAGTTGAAGACCAGCGCACATCAACGTCAAGAAGTGGCTGGAGTATTTTGATGTCCAGAGACCTGAGGACCGATGCAAAACTGTGTCGACGAAGAGAAGATATGCGTATCTGCAGGGCCAAATATATGCTTGAGTAGGTGTACCACTAAGCACAAATTACCATACCGCCCGAATCAATGCCCTAGTTGCAGCAATGGGATCACGTTCAATGTCTAAATTTTCTAGAACAAAATCTATAAATAAGATTTACATAGAGCGGAAGTAGTCAACGCACCTGAAAATAAGACACCATTTAACGCTGTTACAGCAGATATCACTTCTTTGCATGCAAGATTAACGATGTGTGCAAAACATCTGGCCAGACATCCGAGAATTAGATCAAGTTCAGATAAATGGTTGAAGTATCATACCGTATTCTCCACTCAGTTGCAACAAAAATGAATCCACGACGGAGAAGAACATGTTCGACATGTGTCATAAAGGTCCCATTATTTGCCGCATTATCCATTGTAACCCAGCCAAGCTATATAGTATGTTAGCATATGAAATCATTTATTAGTTCTGAGTACAAGCCTTCAGCTGTTGACGAGGATCCCTACTCGTAATTCCCACCCTGTCCGTAATATAGAGAAATGCAGCTGCCAAATGTTCACCATTGTGGCGCCCAGGAATCTGATGATAACCAATTAGATCAGAACGCAACCGTAACATTGTGAGGCCATCCGCATTCATGCCAATAGCCTCTATCCAGTGCGCTGTTACCGCCATAAAATTGACAAGATTCAAATCTGTTGACAGGTCCATAGTCACAGATATGCAACCCTGAGACGACTGGAACTTCTTAGCATACGGAATCACAATCATTTCAGTACGTACTTCCATTTCAGCTCTCAGTGTCTCAATGTGTTTCTGCCACGTCTCAATGACTCGCTGGCGGATATATGTACGGTGTGGGATATCAGATGGTTTCAACTCTTCTCGGAGCATGAGAAAAATTCGACGTAAATGCGGAGATTCAACTGCATTAATAGACTGTAACATTGTCAGTGATATTCTAAGATACACTTGAACATATTCACGCACCTGATCATCGGCAATGATCCATTCTACAATAGCATCGATAAACGCATCATGCGAGTACTCAGGAACAGGTAGTGAGTCAGGATCTGCCACATCTGCATCATGGCGCTCCAGGCTATTCTCACGCCGAAATTTTTGAGCAGCCCTTCCCGCTTTACCTTTAATTGACACCCCGAGCCTATCACATGCAGCCACCCAAAGATGCATGTGTTCCTTCATGAGATGATTTCGGAGAACAGTAGTGCCTGTGCTCATCCGGTATGTTTTCGGTCTTGTGGCTGACTTTTTATTAGCCCTAGTTATCGGTTGAGAATGAATCAAACCATGATAAATGGTGAGCATACCTGCACAGTTTGCAGATGCGATGGCTATCTTCCTCTACAAAGAATGGCCATATATCGCCTGCACCACGAGAGTCCTTTTGAGTTGGTGAAGGGGAGCTTGATGGCGATGACTCATGGCTCAATACAGAAGAAGATTTTGAGCTCGGGGATGGCAATGGAGATGACTCGGCGGGTGACAATGGAGGGTCTGGAGCATCGAAATGAACAAACTGATATGTGGTCGCTTCACGCCTATGAGGAGGGGGGCGGACAGGTGTTGATGGAGTCCTTATATTCTCAGGACCTTCGAGTACATGAGGCGAAGATGGTGGGAGTGTTGGACCAAACCAGTCTTCATCATTGTCTTCAGATACTATTGTTACACCTAGAATACATATGTCAAAGTCTGTATTGAACATGG